CCTATGCACCGGCCTCATGTCGACATCGTCGTCGTCGTGGATTTTGGCTCAAACTTCGTGGGCCATGGTGGCCCAAACTGTATATACAGTAGCTACCATTGCCATAGTTGAGAACACGAAGTGATTATCTTGGCCCATGATAGGTTCCCCATTAGAGGAGGCCTCGTCGGTATCATTAGATATCTTTGAATTATCGTATGTTTTTTCCTTTCTTGCTCCGTAGATTTCAAACCAAGCGTGCATACTTCCACTACATTGTGCATCTTAACTCGTGCATTGCTACGCACGGTACTTTTTGGGTCATGTATGTGACGCGAAACCATGTATACACGTTTCCCAGTGCTCTGTGCTTTCTTGTTCTACCAGGTACACCCGCCTGTCTTGTTTACGTTGCACGTTCCGGATGCGGGTGCGGATCTCAACCTTAAGACAGGAACGGGGGATCATAAAGTAACACGATGAACTCTGTTTGTTCATTCCCGTTAACTGGGGAAAGGCGCACCGAGAGTCACCAGAGCGACGCCAGCCGTCTCCATTGGCCAATAGGGCAAACTTTCTCCGTTCTTCGCTATGTAATTCCTTAGCAGTTCTCCTGACATCATAACAGTATACTTTTTTGACGCGTTTTTGACAGGCGCCTTCCATCAACGGGCAACTCTATCAAACTCGATCAGAAAGGAACACAGTTTTCTGATGGCAGGGTTCTGATAGACAACGCTTGATCGTCCTTGCATTGTAGGAGAGGCGCTCTTCTGCTTTGGCTGAAATGTCTAAATCGTGCGCCTGGTGCGTCATCGTGTCTTGTTTTTGACCGGCGCCATCCCGCCAGCCCTTTCTCGCCCGAAGTCAGGTCATGTTGGCTGAGGTATTACGGTGGATTTTGTGAAGGCATCGCTCATCGGAATGTTTGTTTTTGCTGGGCGTACGTAAAGGACACATGAGGACGTCGTTTTCCCTTGCTTAGCTAAATTTATAGATCTCCGCCAATACAACGCCCCAGAAGTCAAACGTTATGCACATAGTACCAGAGTTGTTATAATCGGAATAACTTCAGCACAAAGCAAGCTTAGTCGAGTACTTGCATCCAATGTATACGACTGTGGACATGGGAGATGACCTTCGCGTTTAATCATGCAGCGCTACCAGTAGAGGTCATTTATGTGCAGCAGCAGGATGTTATACTGCACTCGCGGCAGTTGTAATTTTCCAGAAGCAGAGTCTAGATGTGGGCTTCGGTATGCATCATGCTGTTGTAGTAATGTCATTCCAACCTGTCCGAAGTGCTCGAGACCACGTTCGCGCCCATGCTCTTTGGTAGCACAGCTGCGTAAGGCGTAGACAGCTCTTCCCAGGAGACTGAACAAGCCGTATGTCGATATAGTTTCATACAAACAGTAGGCATAAATTGAACCACTGGCCGGTTGAGATTTGGTGTAGTATTTGCGAAGGACGAGTTTTCGGAGTAGGGTATCCAAGATGTACTACCCGCTATTTGACAGTGAAGTCGATCGTGGAATATGTACGAGTTTAATCTGCGATGTTGTTCATTCATGGTGGCCAGCGCCTTCTGCAGAGCCGCATACAGCTTCCTGGAGCGTTTTATTCAACAAAATCATGAATCCTCTTCAAGAGAGTACATGATTCCTAGTATGGTAGAAATTGTGGCATCTGGATCTGGCCCATGCTTGATCAGTGCTTCAGCGAATTTCAAGAGCCTATGTGACTGCCGATTGCAGCGTTGGGATCTCTGTCGTATAGCATTCAGATTTGCTCCATATTCTAGCAAACGTACGGCGGGTCGCAGGAACGACTGTGAATCGTCGGTGGTGGAAAATCGCTTTACTGCACAGAATAAAGGCGTATAAGCTTCATCTGAGGAAATATTCGACATGACGCTTTTGACAGTAATCGACTACAGTATCGTCAAGAACATATTCCCAAAACGAGGCTCCGTCCCACCAACTTTTGAGACGATTAGGTCTTAGGCTAAAAAGCTGTGTGACAAGTGTTGGGATGGCTGCAGGTAATGGCAGGGCCCAGCAGTGAGTTTTCTTCTGTTTTGGTGTGAAAAGGCACGCACATATGAAGACTAAAGTTCAACCACAAAGGCTCACAGATTCTAAACTTGTTCAGTAGGACTGCTGATGTATTCAGCTCTCTTAGGTGCGCCAACACTTTCGGATGTCGTCGAAGCAGAACTTCCTGGTGATCTGTAACGCACCGCCTCTAGGAGCATTTTGAAGGGATGAGCTGTGATATGTGGCGAGGAACGTGCGGATCAGCCTCAGACTCAAGAGACTTCTTTGTCTAGAGGAAACAGACTGGGTAAAGGAAATATATTGCGCCGTTACATCTCCCAGTGTCGGGATCCTGGGGACCGAATATCTTTGTTCTCCATTTAATATTATAGCGACATCCAAAAGAGGCTTCTGCTATCATCCGCCCATCCTGTAGGAGATTCGATGATAGCGCACGGTGTGAATTCTTTTCACTGCGCATAAAACTCTACGTAAACCGTTTACAACAGGACTCCAGGGGACATTAGACTGACGTGTCTGTTTTCGGAGTAATTTTCTTCCCCAAGAACCATGGCATACAATCCACATCACGATGGAACAAACGTGTATGCATCAGCTATTTCGATGAAGTATATAAATTGAAAGCCCTGAATTAGACAAGTCCGAATTTTCGGGGCGTGTACCGGGATCTTGGATTGTTCGTGAGGTATCGACATAAAGTGGACGCTCTGATTGCCGGCTTGCGATATGGCGCATAATGCTTGCTACCATTGCGTTAGATCTTGTCGCTGATCTCATTGCCCGCTAGCTTGCTTCGTTGGCTTATAATGGACATTGTGGCAATTTCAGTAACGATTGGTCGAAAAAGATCGTAAGTAAGGTAAGTGACACAAATGGATCCGGTCTGTAGTTCTGCCTCGTCGAGCGTGAAATGTGACTATGCGGCATCGACATGAGTGGCTTGGCCAATAGATGGGTGAGCACGCTATGGTGCACGAAATGTATTATCCCATTTTCTTCAACTTCGAGTAAGTGACCACCACAGAAGTAAATTACGGATTGGGGATATGTAGGAGCTTAGCGACATCATAGTCCAAATTTCTAGAAATAACAGTCAAGGTAACTTGTAACCCGTTCAATGTCAATGATTGCTTAGACGCAGTCGCGATTTTGAAAATGCTACTACCATAATAGCGCTTGTCAGTAATCCTGGCAGGGAGGTCATCATTCAGTGAGTGATCCAGAAATAGCGCTACTATGTAATTTGGAACCTACAAATACTTGAGTAGTGGGTATGAATGGATCTATAGTACTTATATCCTCCTGTGTGTTAATGGATAGTTGGGCTTTTACGAGAGTTTTGAGACTCTCGTGAAGAGCATTTGTCGCCGTTTCGAGTCGACTTGCTGAAGAATAAACTCCTTGATCTCGTTATAACGAAGCTGATCGCTCACGGAACCATTGCAAGGTGAGCTTTATCAACATTAGCAAGTAAGTTTCTTTGAACACAGGACTGATGTCGACTTGCGGGGCAAATCAGAATGTTCTACTTCTTCATCAAATCACGCAAACACCTCAACACATCATCAAATTCTTCACTCCTGCATTCTTCTAAGCCATTAAGTACTACATGACACACCTGCTCCGACGAGAGTAACCTGAACAGAAGTGTCACAATGTCATATATGCTTAGGTTCCCCATGCCAAGAGTCGTGTCTTCCAATTTCCAGAAGTCACCATCAATGGGACCATTTTTCAAAGCTGGTAAATCACACGTCCAAATTTTTTTTTGGCAACTATAAAGTCTGGTTCTTGTGACGCACGGAAGAAAGAAATTCAGTAATTGCTAAGACATAGATCGGCAACAATGATGGCAAGTGTGGCAGTCTTACAAGACCGATGGCACTGTTTAAACACACTGTAGAAGTTGTTCATTGTCGTTTCTATGAACTGTACACCCTCAGTACCAACGAGGCAATTACAAGTTACATTTCATCATTAATGGCGCTACCTCGGTTTATGTGAACCCTGACGTGTTGATAGAGCTAGTAGCAATTGTTGCCTTTTTCTTCTCCTCCCCCGGAAATTATATTGTGTCCTTGATGCTGTCAATATGCGACGCATAACTTATGTATTACCCCCCCCCCCCCCCCCCCCTCTTTGATGTAGTTCCGTCATCGACGGAATAGACTAGTTGTTAAATTACTGCAGCCACGGGAAGGGGAATTGCTTGATTGTAATACCTTACTGAATATCACAGCCTTCTCACACAAGCTGACCACGGATATCATGAAATCCAAAAGCAATCTTTGCAGCTCAGCGGAGTTAAGAAATAGCTGTGCAAAGTCTTCATGTAGAGACCTTGATGTACCCGGAGAAGAACATAGATGAGAGCCTATCAAAGTAAGTCAAGGATCCGATCTTGGACCGATCAATTGTAAGTGGTTGATACTAAAATAAAAACATATTACAACCTATTGTCTTGGCTCGAGGCAAATACTGATCGTACACAACACAAATCAGATGTGATAAGTTTTCGAGAGCTACCAATCATGGCATCGTCGATAATGGCAATGGGATGTATGTGGCTGAGGAATACTCCCATACGCATTGAGAATTGTCGCCATGATTTATGACGATGCGAGACATCTGTCCAGCTCTTCGGTGACCTTGATCACGTCGGTGACTGTAGGTGGCGACGTTGGGATGGTCCTTGAGTCTCAGAACTTACGTCGGCGCCCATCATCGTCAAGAGCATTGCTGAAGTCAGATATGATAACACTCAGCTTGACCTCAGGCTTCAGTCTCCAGCGAGCATAAAGAATCGCAACTTGACGCATATCTATAATCTGTCTAGAGACAAGAATCCAAAAATGGCAGTTGAGAAAAGAGAGCATGAGTGGAACGGTATGGCACAATTTGAAAATCAAGGGTTCTGACATCCGATCTACTCATCTCATTTCTTATGTGCCAATCAAATAATCAGTGGTTTGGTGTAATTTCTGCTATGAGGACTTCGCACGAAGGCTCATATGGTGGGACTCCTGGAAGTATCGCCGGATAGACTTCACCCATGAAGGCTGCAAATTCCGTGAAGCTCGATCCAATCTCATCAGCCACACATACGGCCTTCCGATGATGACCGAACTTGACCAGCTCGCAACTACGAGAAGTAATACTACGAAGCGACTCCGCAGCAGTGACGATTTCACCACCCCGTAGGACCAGCTCGATGTTCTCCATCGGAGCAAAGATGGCCTGCGTGTAGGCATCGCCGGATCCAGCTCGGAATATGACGATGTCGGCAAGTTTGCCAGTTGCTATTGAGCCGATGTGCTCTTCAAAACTTGCGGCTCTGGCAGCATTGATGGTCATCATTTCCCAGATGGTTTTGGATTCGAGGGCCTGCTCATAGCTTTGTTGGATAGACGAGGCCGCACAGACGGCTTCTCGGCTCATGGTGGCGGATCCTGATGGAAGCCAGTCGGTCCCGAGTGCGACGTTGATGCCAGCTTCCAGAAGATATGTCACATTGAGCGTCTTGCCGTACAGAAAGACATTGCTGCGTGGTGACCAAACCACATGGGCCCCTCTCTGAGCCACAAGGTCGAAGTCGGCTTCGGTCAAGCCCAAGGCATGAACCATGGCAAGGTTTGGGGCGATGATGTCGGTGCTCAACCCTCCACCACCGGGCATGGGAATGTCGTCGTAACTATCACTTGATAAACACCGAAACTCGTTGGCGGCCTCTTCATCCAAACCCTCTGCGACATGTGCCAAATATCTATGATACTTGCTTGCCTTATCTTTGTCAATAGCCTCCGCTCCGTAGTCGCAATCCCCGTTTCTGAGGATTCCACCTGCATCATTGAGAGGAAAGACGTCCCAGATATCAGGCGCTGCAGAGAGACCAGCTTCTAGACCAGCAGCAAAGTCCAAGTTACGCGCCAGCCCAGCCACCATGCCGCCACCCACAATGGAAGTAGTGCCAGAAAGAACATGTCGAAGCTCTCCCCATTTGATGGAATCGCCAATCATCTGTTTACTGATAGTTGCTTCTCGTATGGTATTGTTTCTAGCTCCGACACGCCAGTCATGTCTGTGCCTAACTCTCTGACCTAGGTCTTTGAATGGACTAACAGTGGAAAACTCGATATGCTCATGGAGATTAATGAAGCCGGGTGATATGATGGAACCGGTGCAGTCAACAATGGTCACGTCGTCGGTTTGTGTACCAGGTTGGTATGTTTTACCGACCTCGACGATCCTCTCGGATTTTACAAGGACGTATCCATGCTGGAGCGGACCGTCTGGGCTCAAAACGGTTCCCTTGAGAAGCAAACTGGTCGAGCTCCCTTTTTTGAGAAGTTTACAGGCTCCATGATTTGATGTACTAGCGAGAACCGGGTCCGATGGTGACCTGAGAATCCTAGCAGATAGGTACAGCACAATGGGGAAAAGTACTAGATAAAACCATAATTTCCTCGCTCGTCGAAACACCAGAGCCATGAGTGCATCGAGTCGGGTAGTTCGAGTCTGCCTCAGCCCCGAGTTGTTTTCCCTTCGGTGTCTTTATGTCGGATGAGTAGGAGGACAATTCCCGACGCTTAACGAGAAGAGCAGGGGAGATTTTCTCGGCGTGAAGGGGATGTGGGATAAGTTGCGATGCTGGTGTATGAATGAGTTACAGTAGGGGGGTGTGTCTGTTCGAGCATCAAACAGAACCAGCTGCAGGCAGCTGCTCCAGTGACCTCAGGCGCCCCCCACCCCCCGCGATCTGGATTTGGCGCTCACCAGCAGCACTAAGTCAACTACCAATGGAAGGCATGCATGTAATGTGTAGGCTGCTGCTATTACCTGGCCACCGGAACACTGAACAGGGCGCCCGGTCTAAACCATGAGATAAAGCAGGCTCAGCTCAGCTCTCTCTTGTCTTGGAGCTCAAGGCTGGACATTGCATTGTCACCTGGATTCAACCCTCCATCAACGTACATCCCAAGCCACGACGACCACCTCCGTGCTGCATGAAGGCGCCATGGATAACACCGCCTCCATCTGCTTAGGATTCCCTCCCGAGCATCCCACCGATACTGCCACCTACGAAGCGGCCGTGAATGCCCACCTCACACAGCTCGTCAAGCTGATTGGCGACCCCTCGAGACCTTTGCAAGCCCAAGGGCCCCAACTTCTGAAGCTTCTCGACCCTTCTCTCAACTCACTTTCCTACCTCGCAGTCCTCCACGGTCTGCTGATCCCCACTCTGCCAAGCGAACGAGAGTTCCTGTTAGAGAAGCTTGTAACCTTCCTCGTCTGCTTCGACGCGAGGCAAGCCAGATATGCCGGTCAGCACATCCGGGACCTGCTCGACCTGGTCGCCAAGGGCCAGGTCCTGCCTGTAAGTGTAGAGACAGACACCCCACAGGGAACGTCGCTTGCTAACGCCTATGTTGAGCCCTCGGTAGCAGTTCACGTCTTGGCCTCTGCGATATTGCGACTCGACCCCACTGGCAGCATGCTTACTTCCACTCATATCAGCTTGGTGAAGCTTGCATATGGCACCGACACGATCGAGCCCGCCCTTGACGTGATCGACAAGAATATCGTCTTTTATCCGAACATGGGACCTTTCAAAAAGCCTGCAGAGCTGAACGACCTGTCATTACCGCCCACCGCATACATAGCCGAGAACACTGGCTTGACGGCTGCTGTTAAACCACCTGCTGTCCTCGAGTACGACCTGTTGCGCGGCCTCATGTACTGTTCGCGGAGAGACTGGCCCAAGGCATTAGCCGCCTTGGAGAGAGTCGTTGCATACCCAACTCGAGATCACGGAATAAGCAAGATCATGGTTGAAGCATATAAGAAGTGGGTGCTCGTGAGCCTTTTGTGCAACGGCAAACCATCTCCTTCGCCTGTGTCTGCCACTTCCGCTACGAGCAAGGCCTACAACACCCTGGGAAAACTGTACAGGGAGGTTGCCACCATCTTCGAGACAGATAATGCAGCCGACCTAAAGCGCAAGGCGGATGTCAGCACCAAAGACTGGCTGGATGATGGAAACACGGGCCTTGTGCAGGAGGTACTTTCTGCCTACCAGGAGTGGCAGATCATCAACCTACAACACATCTACACCAAGATTTCCATTTCCGAAATACGGAAGCGAACGAAGAGTGCTCAAACAGGCGCCAAACTTGCCAGGGACGAAGACGTCCAATCCCTTATTCAGAACATGGCTATTTCTGGCAAACTCAACGGCGTCATTGAGAAGAACGATGATGGCGTTACCTTCTTGACGTTCCTTCCCTCATCGGCTGCACTCTCGGAGATCGAGTTTGCGAACCAGCTTGCTGGAACGGCTGCACGACTGAAGGCACTGGAACCCATCCTCAAGGTCACCAACGAGCGATTAGGAACTAGCAAGGAGTACATCAGGCATCTTGCTAAGAGGAAGAATCAAGACTCGGATAAGGACGGCGATGTTCCCATGGGTTTTGGAGAACAAATCGAGGACGAGAACCTCATGGACGACTCCTTGGCCGACGCGGTGTATTAGAGCGGGTAAATTTCATTTCGTTGCCCGACCGACTGCGCAGATGTAAACTGAGCTTGAGAGCTTGTGTAGCATCTCCACCACGACCAAAAGTGATCATCTCACCAAAGTCCTGGGGGAGTTGGGGGCCAAAGTCAGAAGAGCTCCTGATGGCTGGACGAACCAACCACGGGAGTTATTGCATTGATCTAGATTACCTTGCATTAAGACGCATGCCGGCGTTCAGGTGTAATAGATTGAAGGGGAAAGCCTTTATGCATAACGAAATACTATTAAAGCTTGTCGAGCTTTAGAACATAGTCTAGAATCACTAGGTACATGAGACCATGACTTGACATGAACATGAAAAGCTATGAATACCATACAATTCGTTGAGAAAGTGCAGCGCGAGACATGTCGGATCCAGTTTCCTTTGCTTGTTTCTCAGACACCTAGGGATCGTCAGCACGACCAAATGTAGGCTTTGAGACTGGATGGCTTGCACGGGCGTGGATTTCTACACCGTCAGTTGACCAAACATGAGCTGTCGCTCGAGCTGGTACGGTCATCCCCGGCTCGTCTATGAAGCATGAAGAACAAGTACACAACAGAGCGGTCGATCATGTGGCGATCGTACTTCAATGTTAATTGATTACAGCTCTTCATCAAGGCGGTATCTCGATATGCCCAGCTCACCAGGCTATCATCTATCACATTCCCCACATGTACACGCACATGCCCATCACATTTGTGGTGGCCACTTCTCTGAGTCTGGCTACAACAGCCGTGGCCGCTATCAAAAAGACATTGGTTGGCATATCCCTTGGTAGGAACTCCTTAGTTGAGACCAAACTGCTTGATCATATCCGACAAAACCCTCGCCTCGTTCTTGTAGTCGAGGGGCGATGCATTCATCACCTGGTATCGTACTCTGTATCATAATTAGCTTTCAGATTCTACATGCCAGTAGCAACAGATCCGTGGTCTTACCGTTGGTTGTCTCCATATGTATCCATCTTGGCGCGCACCCTGAACAACAACTTGGCGCAGTTTGCCTGTTCGAACACAGACGCCAGCGCAGTCTCGTCGTTGTCCTTGAGCTCCATGGCCTCGTCGGCACTCATGCCCATAATCTGGCGGCCGGTCTCATCGAAACAGCTGAGCCATAGCTGGCCGGTATGGTCGTTGACGTTTATGCTCATGATGTAGCGATACGCTGGCTTTTGGTGGTTGACCTCACACTTCTCGCATCGCCAAGTGCCATCGCCTTGGTCGATTACCTTCTTGTTACATCCTTCGTTTGAACAGGCAGGATAACAGAAGTTGTCTTGCTTGATGTACACCACAGTTGCCTTCAGTGAGAAATATGCAGGTGCATCATCCATGCCAAGGTTCTCGTCCTTGACCTGTGAAATGAACTTGTTCTGATCTTGGCGGCCCGTTGCAGCACCCACACTGGCACTGTTCTGGTGTGTGTTGAACTGTTCGCCACGACCTTGCGAGTCATACCAACCCTTCAGCCTGTGGGCTTCGGAAATGTCAGGGTCAATAGAGACTGTGCCCGAGGAAAGCAGCGATAAAGATTTGCCGCCAAAGTCCGACACCTTGACACCCTTGAAAGCCACAATAGATTCTGGTTGCGTGGAGAACTGAGTAGCCGTCTTGCCCCAGATGGTCACTCGAACGGAGAAGTGAGAGTCGTCAACGAGAGTCAGCTCTCGCTTGTCATAGGGCTTGCCAGTGTTCTTGGATGTGATCTGCGACGTCTCGCCAACCTCCTTCAAGACACCAATGATATCAACAGTGGAATCCTTCTCGATAGTCTGAAGATCTTGAACGTTGACAAAGTTGAAACGGAGTTGAGGTACGCTCGATTGGTCTTCGGCCTTCTCGATGACGGTGTCTCGTTCAAAGGTGAGCTCGTAGTCGTTGGGCAGATTCGAAAACTGCTTCTTGGCTAGCTGAACTCTGCAAGGGCTGCCAATATAATAGACTTGACCTTCTTGCAGCAGATCATAGAACTGGTCGCACTGCTCATTGAACCCAGTTGCCTTGATCTCACCAGTCTCATCGAGCAGGTTTACTGAGAACAGCTTTCCCTCCCCAGAAGCCTTGTGCCAGGTTTTGATGTCTGACTTTGCCGAGACTCTGGCCTTGATTGTCCACTTGTGTGCATACGGAGAGAGACTTTCGATAGGATAGATGTTCGCACCACCTGCAGAGTGGTTACCGCCGCCGCCGCCACCGCCGCCAATGCGAGAAGACACGGGCTCCGGCTTTATCGGAGCAGAAGCCTCGGGCTTTGCGCCATAGAAACCAGAACCACCGATGGTCGTTTCAGCCGTGGCGGGTTTGGCTTCGAAGCCAGTGGGTTCGCCGATACGATCGTGGGATCCGAGCCGGTCGACAACCTCCAAGTCTAGGATGATGAGAATGCTGGGGGAGTAGGTCAGCAGGGCGAGAGGTATGTGGAGTTGGCAGTGTACAGGGGCCTTACTTCTTGCCCTTGACGGAGTTGGCTTGGTACGACTTGACACGTACTATGCATCCCCTGACGAGCTGGTTGTCATGTATCACATGGTTGGCCTCTAGTTTGTTGTTAGAATTGCCCTGCGCTTGTGGACTATGCCCAGGTTCATGGTCGATACGTACGTGTAGCCAACATACACTGGACGTAGTTTCGAACATCACTGAGGACAACTCGATATCTCTCGGCACCACCTCCAGCTGCGGGGCCAGCAGCAAGAGGTTTGATCTGAAGACATTGGAGGACGGGGACGGGGTAACGTTGCCCAACGTTGGCGGAATCGTTGAAGATGGCGCTGAGGAAGCTCTGTCAGTACGGGAACATGCATGGGTGTTTGCGTTTGCATGATAAAGGGGAAGGGAGCGTGGAAAAGGCTTACTCTAAAGCACCTTGAGTTATTGCTTGCTGCGCCTCGGCGGCCGACATGTTGACGTGTTCTTGTTCTTGTTCTTGATCTCGTTTCGGATGTCAAGAAGAAGATGGCAGTTGGGACAAGACAAGACAAACTACAGTACAAAACACAAATGGAGAGGAAGTGTGGGTGTTGTAGATGTTGACTTTGGCAATCGGGTCTGAAAAGGCAAGACGCGACTTGGGACGCGACAGGACGCAGCAAAAGTTAAAGTGGTTTTCCAAGTTGGCAGCTGCCACAATCAGGCAAGGCGGGCGAGGCAGGCAACAGCAGTGGCACCCCATTTCTCTGCCCCTCTTCTCTGACTTTCAGCTGGCGCAACGGCGATGCATTTTAGCGCGGGGTACTACGGGTGCTTCCATGCATCCAAGAGACGTCACAGCTCAAGATAAACCAACACAAGCATTCCGTAACATGTGATTTAATCCTGCAGAAAGACATCAAATAAAACAAAATGATTATGGTCGTACAGATACCGAGCTATTAAAGTATATCTATTCAGTGCCAAAGTATATTAGCAGCCTCTGAATATATAAGAAACATTCAACTTAACCTACGTGAGATGGGCTGTTGCGACTAATTGTCGCTTCTACCCCGCCATGCACTCTGGCATGTGCTGTGAAACGGCCAGGGTAGTATCTTGAGGAATGCACTGCAGCTGCCAAGTTGGCTGTTTTACGGGGGTTAGGTGGTACTGGAACATGGAGCCTGGAAGCTGGACCTGGAACCCCTAGCGAGACCCCCATCTCCTTACGCAACACCTTTCGTGTAATAACACTCGGTCTCTCAGAGCAAGCATCAATTGCAATTCTTCCTCGCAGATTGCTGCCATATCGAACAACTAATCTCTGCACCTAAAACACACCTCTCCCTTGCCGCCATTATGCCAGAAGAGGATCCTCAAGTAGCAACCAAGGCGCCCGAGAGCGACGCTCTAGAGCAAGATGATGGTCCTATCATCCCCGGAGACACCCCAGCACAAACTGGACCTACCATGGGCGAGCACTGCACAACAGATAGACCGACCCGTAAGGATATCAAGACGACGTCCTTGCTTGATTCCTGCATACTGATGTAAGACCGCAGCCGAGGGCGAGAAGCCTCAAGGCGAGACCCGTAAGCTCGGCGGCATCGACGTAAGTCAACCATAGCACCTAGTCCCGTCCAGGTTGCTTCGCCGTGTGTGTTCTCCCATTCATCCAAGGCTAACCCGCAATCTAGGTCTATATAACCAAGCCGAGCTCTTACCCCTCCTCACCGGCGAAACTCCTCCTCCATCTGACCGGCGGCACCGGTCTCAAATCGACGAACAACCAGATCCAGTCCGATCGATTTGCCTCCGAGGGTTACATTGTTGTCATGCCAGATCTCTTCAATGGGGAGCCGGCACCAAACTCGTCGACTTTCCAGGAGGCAGACTCAGAGTCTACAGGATCCTGGCTCGACACGGCCAAGCTGAAGCTTGCCGAGACGGCAAAGAGCTTCATGATAGACATGTGGCTGGCCAAACATACAGAAGAGAAAGTCCTACCCATTCTGGAGAAGGTCATCGAAGCAGCCAAGGGTGAGTTCGCAGACGCTGTTGCAGCAGGAGACGGTATCTATGCCGTAGGATATTGCTTTGGCGCACGGTATGTCCTGCTGCTCGCGGCAGAGCGGCAGCCGGTACAATCAGGTTGGAGTGGTGCACAAAAGCCTGAAGATACAGAGGCCGGGAAGAGCACCAAGGGCCCATATATCAGAGCTGGTGCGCTGGCACACGCCACACTGGTTAGCACAGATGACTTCAGTGGTATCAAGTCGCCGCTCAGTTTGGTCTGCGTTGAAAATGACCCCATGTTCCCTGATGAGGTGAGAAAGGTTGGCGAGGACACACTAGGCAAAGAGGGCGTGGAGCACGAAGTGCAAGTATACCCTGGCGTCCCTCATGGTTTCGCAGTTGTTGGTGACTATGCAGATGCGCACATCAAGGACGCGCAGGCAACAGCTTACGAGCAGATGTTGAAATGGATCAAGGAGCATTAGCGGGTGAGTAGCAACAAGACAAGAGGGTTTCTTTGCAACGTAAGAACGGCCTTGCGGTCGATGAGGTTATTCTGAGTTGGTCTAGTCCAAGGACTTTCAATATATAGCGATGTTGAAGGCTTGAGGTAGACCTAGGCCTACCCCGAGCAACGCAGTAGGAAAGTCCCGCACCCATCAGGCCCCTTCCATGCAGGCCGTGCTCAATAAAGCAGCCCGATACTGTGTGCCATAGGTTGAATCCTGCAGTATCAATTGATGTAACTACTCTGCGTAGCCCGTAGAGGATGCCACAAGCGTCGTGCCTACGACTCCCCAATAGTGCAAATGATCTTTCCCGTCGTCTTGTTCTCCTCCAACAAGCGATGCGCATCCTGGATCTTCTCCCACGGCAGCACTGTGTCGACGAACACCTTCAGCTTGTTCTTCTCGAAATCCGGTATGTACTCGGCGAGCTTGTCCCTGAGCTTTCCCTGGTAGTCGGCGTCTCTGGACCGCAGAGTGCTGCCCTCGATGCGCACCCTCTTGAACAGCAACTTGCCCACGTCCACGTTCTCCAGCTTCGTGCCGCCCATCAGGCCCAGCATCACCCAGTGCGCGTCGCGCGCGGCCACGTTGAGGTTGCGCACGAAGTAGGACGCGCCGATGAAGTCGATGATGATATCGACGCCCTTGCCGCCCGTGGCCTTGAGGATCTCCTCGTCCCAGTTCTCCGTCGTCTTGTAGTTGAAGGCCCTGGTGGCGCCGAGCTCCCTCTCGATGAAGGCGCACTTCTCGTCGGTGCCGGCGGTGGCGTAGACGGCCGAGGCGCCGCTGTCCTTGCTGAGCTGGATGCCCGCGATGGAGACGCCCGAGGCGCCCGCGTGCCACAGCACCGACTTGCCCTTCGCGAACTCGCCCACCAGGTACAGCGCCTGCGTCGCCGTGATCCAGGTCTCGGGGATCCCGGCGGCCTGCTCCCAGGACAGGAACGAGGGCTTCTTCAGCAGCATCTTGGACGAGACGGCGATGTACTCGGCATAGGCTCCGCCGTAGGCGAGGCCAAAGACCTCGTCGCCCTCCTTGAAGTCGCCGTGTTCACCAGAGCCAAAGGACTGGATGGTGCCGGAGAACTCGACGCCCAGAGTTGACGGCGCCTGTGGTGGCAGAGGGTAGTGTCCCTCACGCTGTATCAGGTCCATACGGTTGAGGCCGAAGGCCTTGATCTTTACTATAGCATCACCCTCCTTGGCTTCCGGCTTGGGCGTCTCAGCATTGATGAAGAGCTTGTCAATGCCTCCAGCGCCGCCTTTCACTTCTATGTGGGGCTTAGTAAGCAAGAAACCGCAGACGAGAACGAACGCAGTAGTGACCTACCAACAGCCTTCATTGTCGAAGACATAATTGATGAGGAGAGTTTCGAAGGTTTGTGTGTTATATTGTCACGGAATATATGCTGCGTCTTCGAAACAATGTTATGTTATACGTCCAAATACATACCGCTGGATTGTGTTTATAATATAGGAGCCGGGCAACTTTTACGGTAGCTTCGGTAATGACATCAATTAACCATGGACCTGTTACAAAGCAAGGCCCGCCCTAGGGGTTCTCCAGCATAATGGCGCTAGGAGAAGTATTTGCCCCGGCCCGTCAGCCCGTATAATAGCACCTGGGTGGTGAGACGGGATGGAGCGTTCATTGTCCCGAATTGGTGGGTTTGGACGGAGAAAACATCATGTTTTCGTCGTGGGCCGCGGTGTCGCATTCGCATGTGAAGCTGCAGAACAGCTTATATGCATGGTACCCAGCAAACGAGAATAGAGAAATGACGGGCATTCGAGATCGCTATAAGCTTCGTCGCCCGTGAGCTCAACAATCATCGAGCCGGCCCCGATCTGCGGATGAATACCAAGTCTAGCATACGCCCCACAGCTGGTTTAGTTGTACAGCGGGATTTCCCCGGGCGCGGAAGCCTTTGTCAGTTTTAGGCTTGTCAGCCATATGAGTGCAGAAGAATCCTTCAGCAACCTTCAGCATCTGTTTCCACATTAAATAAGGCTTTACGACTAACACCTAATCCATAACTGAGTTATCGTCCGTTAGTTGGATCAGTAACGCGGGCAAGTACATCCTACAGTATCAATGCCATCAACACCAACGATGGCCTAGGTTGATAATCTTGGGAGAGGAGTTTTGGAGTCATGGAACTTACGTTGGCGGTACTATAAGGGTGAATGACGGGCAGAAGCAACCCGCACGCTCGACGCTCAGGTCTGCAATGCCGATATGATTTCCTGGAGTTTGTGATGAACAAACACGACGAAGCGCAACGTTTGAGCGGATTGAAGTTCGTTGGCAAAAAGAAACACTTGTTGCTTCGTTGCAATACAGCATAGTACGGAAGTAACGCAGCCCGAAAGCACTTTACTTCTACGAGGTTGTGGAACTCGCCACTGGTCCTTGCCACACGAATTCCCTTATCATGGCAGTTTATCAGATGTGTAACTGAGACGCATTCCCTTGCATCTCATCAGATGACGATGCCATAAAATTGACGTAGACCGGAGCGCAGACTGCAGTGAAGGGGCGTATAGGTCGGCGATCATGGGTGAGCGAAGCCAATGAATCAAGCTTCCAACGGCAGCAACCTCTTCCGTCTTAATAGTTCAAGCAATCTAGTATGATCATTTTGCCAGATCGGCCAAGAGCCCAGAAGTAGATGCGTTTATGTTTGATCAATTCCGGGACATGCCATGTGGCTAGCTGCACTGGAAAGCCATACTCCGCGACAGAGCGGCAGTACCAAGATCATACGACTTGCTTGCTCAGCCATGGTAATGATAAGGGGCACTGCTCGAAGCCCCTACATGTGACTCGTGTCTAGGAAGTTCCTAGAAGACATCAATCCCATACCTTTCCTTCTCGTGTAACGGAGGAAATGACGCCAGGTCTGCAGGCCAGGATTCGTACTGACTATGGCGAAAGCGTGAATCGTGGATCAACCATGTACTAGGTTGCTAGGCTGTCGATGTATTTGGCGTACGGGTACGCTATAGTGTGTACCGAAAGCTGAATGGTAATATTGTGACGCAGAATATACCAAGCGTTCTCCCGGATGGTCTGGTCCCCATTACCGAGGAGTCCCCATCGCGAGGACGTGCTCGAAGAAGCTTTAGTATATAGAGGGTCCGGAAACACCAGCCAATTTGTGTTCGCTGTACAGTTAAACGTCTCACCAACGGTGGTTGCTTTCCGGCACCAAGTGTTTGTGTCTAGCGGTTCGCCTCGAAGCGCGCACTAAACCTGATTTGTGCAAATATGTAGTCACTTTCTAGGTATCGTCGGAGCGTCGCTGTTCTGGTTTCGAAGTCTACCTACGAAGGAATACCAGGTGTTGTGCGGCCACGAATCGTGTCAGATATCGGAGTTGTGCGGCCAACTCAACACAGTACAGGACCAGTGACATGGAAGCTGGTTTCGAACCCGATGCCGCTTGTGTTAGCCCTAATTGAGAAGAGTCGGTATGTGCTACGGCCGGCCACGTATAGAAGAAGAAGGAGAAGAAGAGGAAGAAACGCGTCGCTATATTGTTACCTTCTACTGACATTGTTGTTTTCTCGATTTCCTCGCATGGCAACTGCATTGATGATCTTACTATTCCCACAATTGCAGCAGTAGTCTGCAGTAGGCTAAGATTGTGGAAATTGTAGCGGGTGTCGGCGCCGAGCCAGCTAAGATTAGACACCGGGGATAAGGAGCCGACTGCAGAATACTACGTACGGATCCGTACAGCAGATGCAACGGCTGGGGAGATGTACAACGTCCCAGACTTTTCGTATTCCGTACAATTGGCATTGCCCAAGGAGAAACGAGATTGCAGTTATCTGTATAATGATTGGAAAGATCGGGAATCAAGGCTGAGGAACTAGCCCTGTTATCTAGAGGTAGTCCCATGGAGCCAGCATCTTGTACATACATAACGCACTTTTTGCAACTGATTAGATTAGCCAGGCTGTGATCACCAAGTACTCCGCAGCAGACAGACATTCGAAACAGCCAAAGGCAGTGACAGGAGCGGCATTTGACCACTTTCAAAAAGCCAATGCATTGCGAAGATCCTCCGTTGACAATTGATCGTTCTGCTGGTCGAGAACTCCCCCGACCGATTGATGAGCGTTGAGCAACGAACCTTGGGCGCCGCTGCAGTAAATTGAAGGTGGACCGAGAACCGAATCTGTCCGTGATGCTGCAGAGTGCTGTCAGGGATCATAACAGGGGATGTTATCGCTTGATTCTACCCACTGCATTGACAACCTGGAAGCAAAAGTATCTGATATCGCCATGGGAGTCACCACTGAAAGTACATACTGGCATGTGAATTGAGGCGTAGACCCGCTACGGACGTTCAACGGTTCAATGTTGTCAAGTTTCATGTAACTCGGCATCATTCAGGCATTTGTTCTCCTCTAAAGTCATAGGCCTACACATTGATCAACTTTAGTCCGGTGCTCCTCCGGTGCCCGTCTTCACAAAATCGCATTTCTTAGACGAGTTCAAACATCATGGCCGAGATTCGAGACTGCAGTCAGTAGGCGATATGGGCCCTCGATTGTAATCTCACGGACGGACTTGGCAGTATTCAGTCGTTGAGTCCACATGGTATCCGGAGCAGACATGCGCATCTCGTTAGTCGCTTACCCCAGAGAAGAAGTGCAATTTCGCCTGGAGAATTACCATGCCAAGCAAGAGCCAGGCAAACTCCGCACTCTGCGCCAATGGACCTGGACCTGGCCAGTCGACCACGGCGACGACGACGATCTCGCAACTATCAATCCCACGATTATAGCCTGGCCAGAGGGTTTGGTATGTTCAACTGGAGACAATCGCACGTTCCCTGAAATGAATTGCCCTAGAACTACCGCGTAGTACGGTGAGAGCGTGCCCAAATAGCGAATGGCTTATTTCAGTTTGGTCTTCTCCAACGTCAAAAAGAGACCAATTAAGTGGGACACAAGCGTGTCGTTGATTCTGGTTCCCATGTGATCTGTCGCCGCTTGTGCATTGAAAGAAGGATCTGAACAGGATCTCAGCGTCGTCTTTGACAAACAATTGGATATTGGCAACGTGAGAATTGACCGCCGGTGTTAACGAACCTTATTCCTACAGTATGTAGGTACTTCCTAACATAGCACTCGCGATCCACAGCACGACAAAGAATGGGTCTAATTGAGGAGTCAGCTTATCTTTCGCAAAGCTCGTGCCAGGTTCTGTTGGCATCAGACGGAGTTGCAAGTACAGAATACAACCCTGTGTTTCTATTGTTTACTCTGTTAGAGGCTCAAGGCACATAGTACACACAACCATGCAGTAAGTAACCAAGCAAGGCGTAAAGCGACCACAATTTCGACGGCGCGCGAATTACTTGCTAAAGCGGTCATTGCCAACTAATGACATGTTCACGAAAATGCAGTCAACATGCAATCACCATGTTTAGCCAAACGGTGCCGTCACTGGGCAGGTCGTAGATTGAACTATTGGTGATTCCAGACAATGGGATGATAGTGCTAGTGGCGCTGCAATCTCCCGCTGTCCCCAACCCCAAGACACACTAATCCTTGCTATCCAGCAGCGATCCTTGTACCTTGCAGCTGTACCTGACATTAGGGCGGATCCGCCGAAGCATTTTTGGCAAAAACACACCCCCCTTCCAGCCAGCGAATGAAGGGCCAGAACATGGCAATGACAAGTGCGTCCAAGAGGATTCTGTTAGCCCAAGCATCTGGATCATGGCGGCTATGGTACTATTGCCGTATCATTTGCCTGATCAAATACCGCACCTGGCGGGTCGCAATGTCATACCACTGCACTGACACTATCTGCCACTGGAAGGATCTGGTATCTCATCGTTGCACACCGTAAGTTAGCTCCTGCCCCTTTCTGGACGCCCCCGTCTTCTCAACTCAAGCCAAATCGCAACTTTCACACCCCTCTCCAGCCAGAAAAAGCCAGAACACCGGCTAAAGTCCACAATTGCTAACCAGCCAGGTTTTCTAGGATCCGCATGAAAGCGCGGACCTCGACTTGGCTGCAAAGCGAAATAACGTAGGAAAAATAAACGGGGAAACATCACGGGTGGCACCCACCTAGTCAAGCCCCGGTATCCACGCTCATCACCCATCAACTCTGTATATAAATTCACGGCGTCCTAAGATGGCAATCGACTTTGCTCTTCCCTCCTCACCCACATACAATCTCTACAAACCAACCCTGACTTTTCAGTCACATTCATTCTTTAAACAACATACCTAATATTAATCCTCCGACAATCTACAGCTCTTCCCGAGTCACTCAATACCAGACAAATCAGTCAAGATGAAGTTCACCGTTGCTACTGTCGCTGCCCTCGCCGTTGGCGCCCAGGCCTCTTACGCCGCCGGTAACGTTACCTACACTACCGAGGTCGTTACCGCCTACACTACCTACTGCCCTGCCGCTACTCAGGTCACCTACGGTGGCAAGACCTACACCATCACTGAGGTGAGAATTGATGGCCGATCTTGAGACTTACAACAGCCATGCTAACGTCTTCCAAAGGCCACCACCCTGACCATCACTGACTGCCCTTGCACCGTCAGCAAGCCTGTCTACACCACCTCCAGCGTCATCTGCAGCACCTGCACATCCGCTGCCGCCTCCAGCTCCACTGCTGCTGCCTCCAGCTCCGCTCCCGTCTACCCTACCAACAACGGCACCACTGTTGCTTCCACCAGCACTGTCAAGGCCACCGGTGGCCAGACCACCACCAAGGCTTCTGCCACTGCCTCGACCACCGCCAGCTCCGTTCCCACTGCCGCTGCCGGCAAGCTCGCCGCTCTCTCAGGAGCTGGCCTTGCCGGTCTCGTCGGTCTCGCTGCTTTCTTGTAAAGCGCCTGCTGCTAGACTTTACGTCATCTTCACGATCTTCATGTCGATAATACCTAATGGACGGAAAGCAGTTTGGACGTTTTGAGGGAGTATGGTGATTAGATTGGGAGGGCTCACGGGCACCCACGGTTATTCTGCATTGCACTTGGGCGTCATTCGCAGGACTTTATTATAATTCTCGTCTTGGTGTTAGGACAAACGATACCACAAACTCGCCACGGAGGATTCGCATTGTGTGCGGTGTCAAGGATATGGAATATGGTCAAACAAAGAAGTTAGCAATCTTTCAATTGGCTTTCTCAGTGCCGCTGTGGATGGGATGACATGAAAGAGCGGCAACTTTGACAATCAATTCACCTATTTCATCTTTTCCTCACTATCTTGTCTCTTACCCCCAAAGAGACGTTCGTTTCTCGTGCTCGCAACTTGACTTTCATTCTTGTACAAATTTGGAGAGTTAATGGATATACTGGAGTCGAGGCTTGAACAGCCCATCTAAAATCGCCGGATGTTTTATTGGTCTTTGGTCAAGTTCTCAATGTTGGCTCTTGTACGTAGCAAACATGAACAAAGATCAAGTTTTGGTCTGGCAACTTTGCCCCAAGTCTTCTGGCATACTGAGTAAAAAGGCCATACATCGCTGCGTGTCGGTATCAGGTACTCGCACACCGTACAAGCACGTACAGCATATAAGGACGGTTGATTATTGACAGCATATGACCACGTCAAATAGGCAGTAAAAAGGAAATTTTGTATAACCGTTGATGGCGGGTGATGGTACTGATTTTCGACTTATTCTAGACATAGTTTGACTCTTTCGAGGTGACGCGGCATGGGTTCAACGAATGAGAGGCTTTGCATGAACGAGAGCTGTTATGTGGTTCGTCCAATTTTCCGCCCTCGCCCTTGCGGGATAACACTGGCCTTCGAGAATACATCAGCCGTTCAAATCCCGCGACGAGAGACATGGCGCAGAGACAGTATACAGTAGGAAACTTTTGTGAAACGCCGATCGAGGTAGGCATGACCTTGTGCAAAAACTCTGAATCGACTTCTCAGTCACGATGGCTGAATTCTTTTTTTTCATTCCTTGCAAAGAAATAGTATCTCGGGTGTTTTACACATAAACAGTAAGCAGTAGGCTGTGCACTCCAGGGCGAGATTTCTTTCCCTGCAACCAGCCCATGGCTACTATGAGGGAGAGACGGAGGGGGTGGCTACAGAGGCTGAGAGGCACCCGGAATACCTGTCGGCGTCCCAATTGGCGCTACTGCAGGTACATACAACGCCATTGTTCGCTGCAGGCCACACCGGCCACTGATAGTACATACATAGCCACGCAATACACTGGGAAGAAAGCCGCTTTCCCGCAGAGCCTGGTCCTCCATTTTGACAAGTGTCGATCAGTCGGTAATTGAATTGCACACAAATGGTTCCCTGAGCCGGATGTCGGTGCCGCTTTTGTCGGTGAAGACCATTCAATTGTGCTCACATCTTTGAAGGAGCACAAGAGTCACCGCCTAACTTGCCTTCTTTGGGTACTGTGAGTCTGATACATATGCTTGCAGCCGCATATTGATAACCTGATGTATACGATTTGCTGTCGATGGATATGCCTGTATCAATCGTGCATCAGCAGCAACACCGAGATAATGCCCTTGTTGGTGTCGACCAGGCTGGCTAAAAACTCGACTAATTCATACGTCAGCGGTGTTACGCGTCGAGACGGTCCAATCAGAAACTGTCGTCTTCGTATAAGCATACGCAACCTGTTGCAGAGCTCGCTCGATGACTGTGTCGTCTGCTGTCGGATGAACCAATCGCTTTCACTACTCTTTTTCTCTTGAGCATCGACCTGCTTGACATGTTGGTTTCTAACAATGGGCGACCTCTAGCAGATGATGCAGGAAAACAAAAAGTCAATTTTCCCTTGCGCTGCTATATTTTGATATAGACACGGAGCTACATCCTCGGGACACCTTTGTAACATGTTGGACGACAGTCCATTGGTCGAAGCGGGGATATCACCAATGCAAGCAGATACTATTTAATACTGATATTGATTGTTCAACGTCTAGAATATAGGACAAGGACCAATACTCATATCGACGAGCTTAATAGTCTAGAAATCCCCTTGTATTGAAACGCGATGCTATCGGACCTATGACAACTACACAGATCTGTCTATTTTGAACATAGCCGGAGTCTGCTTATATGGCGGCATTGCCGGCAGAATTTTTCCCAACGCATCGCTCACCCTGTTCTTACAGACATTGACTGTAGTAGTCGTTGAGCTTCGTGCAAGTTGAGCCACTCACACAACTAGTCGCTCCTGTCCAGCTAATACCACCACATTGTGCCTGTTGTTGGTGAGCTTCTTGTGAGATAATATTTTGTCATGAACTCACATATTTCGCAGCTGTCCCACTACCACCTGAGCTTGCGGCACTGGTGGTTGATGTAGGAGCAGTCGTTGTTGACGCGCCAGCAGTGGTGGTCGACGATGCCTTTGTTGACGTCGAACTGCTCGCAGCACTCGTGGCTACCGTAGAGGGATTGAAAACAGGGAAGGAGGAGTCATCAGTTCGACGACAGCCTGACTTCGCCACGATCTCCGAGGGGCACTGTACTTGCTCGAATGTAAGATTCGGATTATCCGTGTTCTCAAACCAGTCGAAACGCCAATTGCAGCCTTCCTGTAGAATTGCTGGGAAGGAATTGCATTCGGACTGCGATGAGATGCCACCATATGTGGCTCCTGGAAGCGATGTACCGAACTCGACCTTGCACCCGTCGAATATACCTACGCCGCCACCAGGCATCAATATATCGAATTGGTTCGAGCCGAGGTCGCCGCCTGTATTGGTCGATTGTACGACCATGGTCTTCCCGGCCACCGCTCCGGAAGTGAAAGTGAGCCTATAGCCATCAGTAAGATTATTGTAGATAGCACAGCCTATTCAGGCGAACTTACTTGTAACAAGCACAACACCAACTCGCCTCTGTCCCTCCGCTGATAGCCGTTGCAGCGAAACCATAGGCCAGCTGATCGCTGATTGCCCATGGTGAGTTGTCAGAACAAGTAAAGGCGGTACCGCCGTCGCATCCCGACTTGATATCTGGATCCGAGAGCACATTGTCGTTCTTGTCACACGTCAACACTGGCTGGTTCACAGAGGCTTTACCCGACCATGCGCAAGAAGGTTTGCAACAGTCCCAGTATCTAGTTGATACTCCAGTTCCAGAAGCAGCCCTCGTCACAATGAATAAGGACGAGGCAGCAACTAGGCTCAGCCCTCGATGAGTGTGCATTTTAAGTGAAGTTAAGCGGTGCGTAGAAAATTACGGCATACTGGAGAAAAAAAGGTCCTCGAAGCACCTATCCCGCATGGAATGCGATCCGGCCACTGTTTATATCCACCAACTTATCAGTAGCTAATCTTAACCAAGTAACAAAGGAACGGCTTTCGGAGCCAACATCATGAACTTTGCTCGCGGTGGGTCATCCCTTCCGGTCCAAGCGAAATCACGGTGCTCAACCTCCGAGGATGAAATACCACAAATCAGGACTCGCGCCAACCATCACTGCTAGCCGGAACGGGCCCACAAAGTATTGTTTCCGAGCATCGCTGGGATTCGATTGCGAATACAACTCTTTCCATATGGTGTTCGAGTGGTTTCGGGTTGTACAGGCCGCAGTCCCGTTGGCTTGTGACGGCTCGCCGGGAATGTTGCTCACTACCTGCTTCGCTCCAACGCATCCCACTGAGAGCCTAACGGAATGGCAAGTACCGCAGGAAACGGTTCCCGCCGACACTGACGCTGTATCCGTGTTGATGTATCGAACAACTATATGATGTTGAATGTTCAGAATTTCAGCATTCCTTATCTTGGAGGGTATATGAGGAACTGCCATGTGTGCTAAGTGTGTAGCTTGGCCTATCGTGGTTAGCGTCGCAGGTTGCTCAAGAACGCGGCCTTTCTCAGCTACAATATTCCAAATCAGTGCATCATGTGCTGCTGTAACTAGATGTTGTCTGACCCTCCTCCTTCCATGCAGCAATAAGTCATCATGTGCTGGTACACATCAGGCTGTTGAGCGCCAAGTAGTCTGGTACAGCATCGTCGCCTTGGATGACTCGCTCCACACCAACGGCCGCCGGCATTTGCCCCAGGTCAGCCCGCTAGTAGTTTCCAGGATCCGCTGTAGTGGAACGGCGCGCTGTCCTTGGCTTCAGCTCTGAATATAGGGAATATATCTCAAGATATGTAAAACATGTAAAGCCTACATACAGGTTCAATTATTCTCTGCGCAGATTTTTGTCAAGCAACGTTACAACCACTTTTGACTGCCGTCGTACTACATACCAGGCTTATCGTGAGGAGTAGTTTTGTGATGTCATGAACCCATGTGTGTGATAGGCAATGCGGGGGACGATCATCGTTTATCTTGCATACAGTGTACACACGGATCCGTACATAGTGGTAAGATATTGTACATAATATTCTTGACACAGCTATCGGCTAGTTTGCCAACTACTCACCACGGAAATAGCTGGTTATTTGTGTTACGACCGAACCATACACCGGCGTATTTCGGCCTAGTGCCGATTGACGGCATTCTTATCAATGGTCCGACCGACAAGAGCTGCCGAATATAGAGCTGTTTCTCGTTGAAAATCGTTGTGTTCGTTGTGCTCTTTTGTTCTCTATCTTGACACATTTTTCATCAAGGGATATTTGCCTTCTCACCATTAGGCAACATCCTTCGCGTTGTCGGGTCCTATTTCGAACAAGATGGTCGAGGCAGAAAATTCCGGCCCAAATATGGGGGAAGACATCGAAAAGAAAGTGGTGTCGAACGACCCATCCCGCCACGATGATTTCGGCATGATCAAGCACGCCGACAAGAACGATGCTGACGAGGCCTATAAGGTCTTCGTAGCGCAAGGAGGAGAGTCCATTGTCATCACGCCAGAGGAGGAACGTCGGCTTCTTAGGAAGATTGATCTTAACCTCATGCCGTTATTGTGTATTGTCTACGGGCTCAACTATCTAGACAAGACCACAGTATCTTACGCAAGCGTGATGGGTCTAAAAGTGAGCAAGATTTCCATGAAGCAGCTAGGTGACTTTACTGACTGGGATCACAGACTGATATTAATTTAGTTGGTAAGTGTATTTCTGATCCATATATTGCTAGGCTAACACCTGTCCTCTTCTCTAGGCCAGGACTACTCATGGATCGGTTCAATGTTTTACTTTGGATACCTGTTCTGGGAGTGGCCGACAAACCGCCTTCTTCAACGGCTTCCGCTGGCGAAGTACTCTGCTTTCAATGTTATAATGTGGGGGCTGACATTGTGCTGCATGGCAGCTGTCAAGGACTTCGCAGGCGCAATGACTGTGAGATTCTTCCTTGGTGTGTTTGAGGCCGCTGTATCTCCTGGGTTTGCCTTATTTACCAGCCAGTGGTGGACAATCCGGGAACAAGGAACCCGCACCGGTTGGTGGTTCAGCTTCAATGGCTGGGGACAGATACTCGGTGGGTTTGTCGCTTATGGTATCGCCGTCGGGACCGAAGCACATCCGGTAGCCATCAGGTCGTGGCAACTGGTATTCTTGGTCATCGGTCTCTTCACCGCTTTTATGGGAGTTATTTTTCTGTGGTGGATGCCCGACAATCAGATGAATGCTCGCTTTCTTACTCCAAAAGAGCGCCTCATGGCCGTAGAGCGGATCAGAATTAATCAGCAAGGCGTTGGCAACAAACATTTCAAGTGGTACCAGTTTAAGGAAGCTGCGACAGACCCTATGGTCTGGGCATTTGTATTTTTCAGTGTGGTCGCAGATATTCCGAATGGTGAGCCCTCTTCAGTAATCACCCTGGTTGGAAACTAACTTTCCGGATTTAGGTGGCATATCAAACTTCTTTTCTCAGTTGATTGTGTCCTTCGGTTACACAAACACTCAGTCACTGTTACTTGGCACTCCGGGAGGTGCTGTTGAGGTCGTGGCATTGGTCGTCGCTGGCCATCTAGGTGATCGCTTCAGGAACAGACTTGTAGGTACCTAACTGCTTTCCAAGTGCATCCGCATGGTCCGTTGACATTGTTGTACAGCTTATATCGACATCTGGAATGATAATCGCGGCAATTGGCATGCTTTTGATTACTTGTCTTTCCGAAGAGCACAATGTGGGCCGCTTAGTCGGTTATTATCTTACGCAAGCATCTCCAACCCCATTTGTGGCTCTTCTGTCGCTCATATCTACCAACGTCGCCGGGTGGACAAAAAAGACCACTGTTGCCGCGATGTATCTTATCGGCTATTGTATTGGTAACATCATTGGTCCTCAGGTTTTTCGAAGTAAGGATGCACCGCAATACCGTCCTGCCGAAATCACAATCATTGTCTGCTACTTTGTATGTGTGCTTGACATTCTCTTCATATACTTCTGGTGTAAGCGAGAGAACAACAGAAAGGCGGCTATTCGGGCCGCTCCGGGATATCAGAAGCTTGATGGCCAGGAGTTTTTGGATCTGACGGATAGGGAGAACCCAGAGTTTGTCTATAGTCTGTAGCAATTGCTTATGAGTTCCAATAGAAACTTGTTCTGGCACTACCTTTTAGTTGAACATTTTAATGAAGTATATCATATCAGCCATATCTGTAAATATTGCCGAGCAACTGATTTCTTCCATCTTCTAATGGAGTGAAGAAGTGGAGCATTCGGACATCGTTTGGTATAGTTAACTAACCTTAGTGGCTAAGTTAGTATGCTCGATTGTTATTGTCAATATTCCATGCACCTCAATTTCAATCAATCCAGTTTCTACTCAAATTATGTTCTTGAGTCAATATTTTGACGCACTGCCCAGAAAGGCAACGCCAACAAGCAAGCAGCGTCTTTGGAATTTCATAAAGGCTATTCTAACTTAGTCTAGTATACTTTGAAGAGTTCCACTATTACAATATAGAATAACTGATAGATTATTATTTTCGATATATTAATATGAAAAACACACACGAAAACCAATATTTCAACGTAGGATAAGAAAAAGTATCAAGCTTAGGCTGGTACATGTTCGTGTTTATGTGGCTTTGTGACCTGTGTCACTGAGCTTGCCGGGGGTATGAACGACGGGCAGTGGGTTTTGTATCGTTCCTTCTGGGGTCCGGGGCAGCGGATGCGGGGAAAGCACAGATAGCCGGGGTGGTTGGCAAACGTCAGGACGTTGGCACCGAACGACGCATTGCGGCACATAAACAACCTTCCGAGGTTGTATCATGCACAAAACTATATTAAGCGTTCTGTGTTAGTCACTTTACAAGACAAAAGCCCGCCTGGTCCATCACTACTTCAAGCGATTGTCGTAAAGACACACAAACCATCACGCCTAGGACTAGACTCTTTAGCCTTAAGCTATCTCGGCCCTAGAAAAGCAGTCCATAATGAGCCATCCACAAGACGAAGTCCATCACCATTCCCTAGAAGACCCCGAATCTTTCTGGGCTCACCAGGCGGAACAGCTCTACTGGCACAAGAAGCCTGATACTGTATTCACGAAAGCCACCAAGACTTTGAGAAGTGGCGCAACACATCCGCACTGGGATTGGTTTGATGGCGGCGAAATTTCAACATGTTACAACTGTGTTGATAGACATGTACTAGCTGGCAACGGAGATTATCCGGCCATCTTTTATGATAGCCCGGTCACTAAGACGAAACGGACCATCACTTATAGCCAGCTTCTCGACGAAGTTGAGGTGACAGCCGGCGTATTGAGAGATGAGGGAGTTAAGAAGGGTGACGTTGTGCTAGTGTATAGTAGGTCATCCATACTGCTCCGCGCAAACGAAGCCAACCCGACTGAACTATTATAGTGCCTATGATTCCAGCAGCTTTGATTGGTATTCTAGCAATCAATCGACTCGGTGCAGTTCACGCAGTTGTGTTCGGTGGTTTCGCAGCAGCATCTCTGGCTCAGCGTATTGATGCGTCGAAACCTGTTGCCATTCTCACAGCTTCGTGTGGTATTGATGGCAACAAACCCCCAATCGCTTATAAGTCGTTCATAAGGGAGGCTGTTGACCTTTCAAAACATAAGCCCGACCGCGTTTTCGTATGGCAACGGAGTGAACTGCGCTGGGATCCCTTAAACAAGGCGGCTGGGGAGCGAAACTGGTTCAAGTTGGTAAGAAGCGCTCGGGCCAGGGGGGTTAAGGCAGATTGTGTGCCTGTCAAGTCAAGCGATCCGATCTATATAATATACACCAGTGGCACGACAGGTTCACCGAAGGGGGTGGTTCGCGATGCTGGAGGTCATGCCGTTGGCCTTCACTTGTCGATCAGCTATCTATTCGGTATCCATGGCCCAGGAGATGTAATTTTCACCGCTAGGTCCGTCGAGACCATTTGTTCCATCCTAACCTTTGCAGCTGACCAAATCGCAGTGACATCGGCTGGGTCGTGGGCCATTCGTTCATTATCTATGGACCTCTTCTTACTGGTGCCGCAACCGTGCTGTATGAAGGTAAGAGGCCAGCTTGAAATGGAACAAGGGGCCAATGCTGACTATTTACGACAGGCAAGCCTATAGGAACTCCAGATAGTTCTAGTTTCTGGCGCATCATCCAGGTGAGTTCTCATTTTCCCACCAAACACTTATGCCATGGTTTAACCAGAGGGAGATATTGACCCGTACTGGTTAGGACTACAAAGTTAACAGTCTATTCACGGCTCCTAGTAAGTTACTTGAAGTTACCGAAGACACTAACTAACATACGTAGCCGCATTGCGAGCGATCAAGAGGGACGATCCACAGAACAGGCATTTGAAGAGAATTGGCAATCTAGGCGGCCTGAAGTCACTCAAAGCATTGTTTCTGGCCGGCGAAAGGTCGGAGCCATCGATTGTCACCATGTACCAAGAATTATTACAAAAGTACGGAGCGTCGGGGGCTACTGTCATCGACAACTGGTGGTCGTCTGAATCTGGATCTCCTATTTCTGGGGTCAGCTTGATTCCACATGCCGGAAAGGACAGAAATACGGGGATGAGGAACTACACACCTTTGGGCATCAAGCCTGGCAGTGCTGGCAAACCCATGCCTGGGTTTGATGTCAGAGCTGTGGACGACCAAGGAAACGAGGTGAAAAGGGGGAAGATGGGCAACATGTAAGCAATTTTCGGAATCATTTCTTGCTATTTCAAACAAATCTACAGATCGATATTGCCCATCAAAGGCACTTGTTTTTGTGGTTGTTTTCCAATATCCCTGGACCCCTCAAACCCATCCTAAGGAAACAACTACTAACCATGAATGCTGTAGTGTAATGGCTATTCCTCTAGCCCCAACAGGCTTTCGCACGTTATGGAACGATGAGGAAAGGTTCTTCAGGAGCTATCTGAAAAGATTCGAGGGAAAATGGATTGATACAGGAGATGCTGGCATGATCGACCCAGAAGGGTACATCAGTATTATGAGCCGAAGCGATGATCTGATTAACACAGCTGGGCATCGGCTCTCCACGGGTAAGCGCTCCGCTTCATCTGGCTTGATCCGGTCTTAATGTAGATACAGGTGCCATTGAACAGGCAATCACGAGTCATCCGCTCGTAGCTGAAGCTAGTGTGATAGGAATCCCCGACAACCTCAAGGGACAATTACCTTTCGCCTTTGTTACACTCTCAGTACCGGACCATCCCTCTTCTGCCATACCAGACAAAAGCCTTGTTGACGAGATTCAGAAGCAAGTCCGCACCCAGATTGGTGGTATAGCGACTCTAGGTGGTATAATTCAAGGAAAAGGGATGATACCCAAGACCAGATCGGGTAAGACGCTACGGCGAGTTTTGAGAGAGCTGGTGGAGAACGCTGTACATGATGAATTCGATAAGGATGTGGCATGGCCCGCGACTATTGAGGATGTCTCTGTGATCGATGTTGCCAGAAGTAAGGTGGCGGAATATTTCAAGGAAAGAGGCAGAGCCCATCAAGCGATTGAGACGCGCGCAAAACTGTGATCCACGGGCAGTGGAGAAATACAAACAAGTGGTGGGCACAAAGCTTTATAGAAGCTGCCTAGGGTAGGATGAGATGTAGGTGGACTCTTGCTAATGTAACATGGAGTGGTCTCGAAACCAACTGGTCTTTTGTAGGTGTTGCCAAACATCATTGCTAGAATGTGGGCTTATAAGAATTGCCACTCTTGTTGATGGACGTTATAGTTCGTCCGACTTTGTGGACCTTGTTATTATAATTTGATGGCAATTCAGATTTCCAGCACCACTTGAATATTGTGCATGGGCAGAGACCTGATAGTCTCTACTTGAACAAGGACAAAAGAACACTTCAATGAGACCAGTGCGCGTCAAACCAAAATAGAGGGCTCCATTGAACTCTGTACAGTTTCAGTCTTCTCGGTTATCTCATGAGACTTGATCAAAGAGGGCAATGCCTAGTCCCTGGGATGCACCGGGGGTTTATAGATGTTTCCTTAGCACACGGTCCCTGAGACCACTCCATCGTGGTATGAAATGCGCTTTGCGAGAATTGGTACAATTGCTGCTGTAGCCAGGAATTTGAGGAGAACAAGTATAGGGCTGTCATATGCAGAGGAGATGATATTTGTTTTTCATAGTAAACAAATAGTTGAGGGAAAATATCGTTTTGAGTAAGTGCTATTTCCACGATCTTGCCGTGAGAATCGATTGGCATCACTAAGGGACTCACTCTTAAGTGAAGAGGAGGCGGGCGCTGGCCTTAGGGTCAACACTCAATAAAAACTTTGGAATCCATATTCAATTTGGGGACGCTCCTTCTATTTTATCATTTTAGAATTGGCTTACTGTTAAGTTGTTGAGCGCTGCCAGATGCGCCTGACGCACAGTTCTGCCTGTCTTTCCCAAGTGTGGTCAACCCTTTCAAACGACGTAATTATCACTTTCAAAACTCGCCTTCTCGCTACAAGGTCACAACTTTGAGCGTTGGTACTTCTTAGAAGGGCTCTTACCTTCATCAAACTTCGCATTAAATTTCATCATCCATTCCAATGGCAGACGGCGAAAATCTTTGGCGCAAACGTGCACATTCGCGCAGCCCTGAGCGTCGTTTGGGCAGGCCACGAGGGACCAGGAGCCCGCAGGGCGAAAGACGAACTGACATACACACAGAACACTCGTATCCAAGACAGCAACGATATTTATATGAGGACAATAGGTATCTCAGGGAACGAGTTGTAAAGCTCGAAGATGAACTCGAAAGGCTTCAACGCGTTACCAACAATGCACCATCTGAAAGACACCGAGACCTCCAAGAAAAACTGACTTGGTCTAAAGCTGAAAATGCCAAGGCCGAAAAAAAGATAAAAAACCACGAGAATGAGCTTTCTCGCAAGTCTGCCCAGATACTACAACTGAAGGAGAAGGTTTCATCACTGGAGGCGCAGCAGAGAGTTTATCGTGACCGCCTCGACATTGCGCAGCAAGAGATTACGAATTTAAAAGCAGGTGTAGGTCCTCAAGATAATTTTGTAGACTCAGCAAGCCTGCACTCAACACAGACTCGCCCTGGGCCGGCATCCGCTCCAAAGGCAGGATCTATGAAGCACATACAACATTGGAAGGTAAGTTGTTTTCTGATTTTAATTTACGTCGCTACCACGCACTGACACGAACGATAACATAGAATCTGCCAGATAACCAGAAGCCACGATACCATACAAGCAAGGTGACTATTAAGTCGGAAGATGATGAGTCTCAGCTGGCAACTGACACTCTATCTAATCTCTAGGAGCCCACCTTACAGCACCAGAAGTCGAACCCTGTAGTGATTAATAAAGATGTAGAAAAGGTTAAAATGTTGGAAGAGAAGATGAAAAAGACTGTCCAGGAGCGAGAAGACACTATAAAACAACGAACTAAGGAGATGGATGAGAAATTGTCATCAGAAAAGATCAAGTTCCAGCAGCAACTAAATTCAAACAATGCTACTCTCGAACGACAACGATTGCAACTCAGGAACAAAGATCAAAAACTTGCCAAACAAGATTTGGATCTCACCAGAAAGGACCAAACCATACAAAAGCAGGCAGATAATATCGCCAGAAAGGACAGTGCCGTCGACGGTCTTAGCATGAGAAACGCGGAACTCCGTTCGGAGTCGCAAAGTTTGCGACATGAGCGTGAGGAGTTGGTACTCGAGAAGGAGTGCCTCACAAACGAGTTGAAAGAGAAAAACCAAAGGATCAAAACCCTCGAGGTAGAACTGAGCGACCCCAAGGCCGCGTATCGAAAATACATGGATTATGTAGAGTCGAAGATTTCGGCTTTCAACCAATCTGTGGTTACGGACCTGGCATCTCGGCGGCAGAAACTCGATTCAACCTCTCGTTAAAATGGCATTTGACAAGGATGGGAACGAGAGGGGTGGCTTGTCGAAATGATCATACAAGGCAGCACTAGTACATCTATAAGTAGGGTACCTTTTGAAAATACGACTAGCGAACAATCATTGCGGAAAATTCCATGGCTAAAGGAGGGTTGACTATATACTGCGTGGCTGTCACAGAGTCCTTCGAGACATCTCGATTGGTATAGCAGATTGCCATGTCATAGATGCAAGACTATTGGTGACCTCATTTGGATGATGGAACCACAAAGCAGTCATTCTGATGGGCATAGAAACCTTCGTTGATCTTCCATGACATTTTGGCATCAGTTTTCCCACAATGCAAAACATCGGGTAAGGGATATCGCCCAAACAACCGCGCACAACCTCCACCATCTCGTAAAGTTTATATTCAGCTCTTGCGATAATTGTTTGACCTCATTGACGGCCAGAACGGCTATCTTTTTTTTTTTTGGGGGGGGGGGGGGGGGGGGGTTGGATTAATGCATTCACTTCAGACGGCCACTCTCCAGTCGACTTCGTAAGGCTCACAAAGCAATCGATTGCCCTTTTTTTCTTCTTCTCTATCCACGCGAGTAATGTTCAAGCTCTTGCGCCACTGAACAACTGTATTTCTTGCATCTTTATTAACTTGGTTGTAAAATCTTTAGTATACAAGCCGGGCACCTTCCCACAAAAAGCCCCAAGGACCGGGCACTGAAGTCGCGCAACCATGATCAGAACATTCCGGTATGCAGCTCAGAGGTGACAGTAATCCAGTAATCAATGCTAGTATTTCTAGACATATCAGGAGATGAGAAACGAAGATCCTGGCACTGCAAAGTGCATCGCAGAGCATAAATGCCGGGTTGCCAAACTGAAGGCCCAGCCGGCAATACTAAATAGCATAGAACAACGCCCTGTCATCTGCTGCCACGCGCAGCGCCGAAGTGGCAGACAACGGCAGCACCGCTGGACAGACTGATATAAGGGCTCATGCTATAGCTGTCAAGAAGGAGAAGCAGGGCCAGCGCGGCGAACCCAAGACCTGTTCCCGCGAGCTCAGGACAACGATGCGTGTCGACGGGCCCCAGACCCAGACGCTAGAGAACAAGACTCGATCGATAACGAAGAAGCTGGGAGCTTGTCAGAAAGAGAAGACCCAGAGCGAGGCCGAACTTCATCAGTCTAGGACTGAGATGCAAACAAAGATGGATATTTTGCAGGCACAGACCACAAGGGTGAGACATAAGACACAGGGTGTTGCCGCCTTTATCTTTGAGGCAAACAGAGAACTCCAGACGCAACTTAAGTCTGAACCGAAACTCTAGTGTTGTGGTGGGATGTGTATCGTGGATTTGTTCCGAAGAGCCTTAGCCACACAATACGAGTAAGCACTTCACAGTTTCAGCTGTCCCATGACTATACTGTAATTTTGTTGTAGATGAAAAAAGTCGACTTGCGTAGTCATGTCGACTGCCGACAATATATTCATTGTCATCTATTCATGAATGGCTTCATCTCAAATGCTCAAATATTCTCTTGGGTCATCCGCGACACAATGTTTTATGCATAACCCCAACGCCTGAAGCGCCTTTGCTCCCAAAACCACAAAAAAACCCGATTTATAGCTGAATATCGTTGTTAAGCAACCTGACCTCCTCACCGGGCTTGAATGCTGGCATTCCAATGTACGGGCATCCGTCACATCTGAATGCATCGCCGAGGGAGCAGTTGCCACATGATCCAACCTTGCCCTGCACTGTGAAATCAACCTCGGTGAGATCATCAGCTCCAAATTTCAAAGACTTCAACTTGGAGTCCGCATTGTCTCTCTTTGCGGCATCGTCGGCAGCAATCTTCTCTGCTAGACCACAAGTGCAGTCTTTGCAAGCACGCCTCCTCTTCCCAACCTTGGGGATGCATTCGGCAGCTGGATTGAGGTTAGTGACACGAGTCGAATCTATAATGTTGGGGGACGACATACGGAGAGCGAATTGTGCGTTCATATCCTCTTCCGTCAAGAGAGTGTCTTCGTCGATTAAATCATCATCATCACCAAAGTCAAAGTCGTCGTCCAGGTTCACAAAGCCAACACCGGCGGGCTTTGACACTGGAGGGGCCATATCCAACTCTATAGTGGCCCCAATCGTCTCGTGCACCGTCACACTAGACACAGCGGGGCCAGCTGTGCTCTTCTTTTTGTTTTTGCCGAAGGACAGCTTCAGAGGCACAGCCGCCTCTTCGTCCTCCGCCTTGGTGAAACCATCTGGTCCAGTGACCAGACCTGCCAAGACGGCTTCGCGAGCATCCGCACTGTCACTGCCTTGTCCCAATGTGCCGTTCTGTGCCTGAAGCTTGCCTCCAACTTTCAAGGACGGCACGATCTTTCCGAAAACGTCACGGTTCAGGAGGAGCGTCGACTCGGACCGAGTGCCGTCGGCGTCCGTCAGGACTAGGATGAGATCGTAAGTGGCATCGGGAAGAGAGACAAGGCCAGCGGACAGGCGATCAAGCATCTGCAGGTCTGTGACAGACCGGTCGTGTGCGGCGAGAACTTGGCGCAACGTCTCTTCGTGGCTTGCGATCGAGGGCGGGGCTAAGAGGAGGGTTCTCGCGGCCGAGAAACCATTCTGAGCCGACTTTGCAAAGGGCGAGACGAAGTCATCGCTAGTGTCGATCATCATTGCCGAGGGCGACATCTTGACGGTATGCGCAAGCTGCTGTACTGTATTTGGGACTACGCTGGTGTTCCGCGCGTTTTTCTTTTTCTTTGTTTTGCCGTGGTCGAGGATGGCGGGGCAATGCTTTGTTTGGACTTTCTCTGATGGAGGGGCAAATTTCGGGGCAGGATGGAGTAGAGCAAGTTGATGGAAACGTCGAGTTGGCGACTTCCTAGCAGTAGGGGTGGGAGTAGGGCGAAATCGTGAAGTGAACAAACAGCGAATGAGATTGATTACAAATAATGCAACAATATCTCTGCGAGCGGAGATGCTTGGATTAGTCACACAGCGGGTGGTATCTGTTTGGGCTGCATCAAAAAATTCTTGACCAACTCGATTTTGGGATAAACTGTGGTTCTCCGGCGTTGCCTTATCAGATCCGGTCTCGGCGGCCGGTTCCAGAAGTCAGAAGTTCAACTGGTTCTGTCTGTCGCAGTGCTCCGTAGTGACGATAAGTTAGTGACGTCGAGTTATGGCAAACGCAGGTCTACAGTGTCGAGGCTTCTAGACAGCGCATTTTTCGCACAGTGTGTCGAAATTGACAACAGTGGCACGGAGTGGTTCTTTCTTAGTCGCAGTCACCTGACCGGCTTTCTCGTTTGCAGTCGGAACGGGTGCAATGTCCACGACCGTTTCCTAGGTGGAGCTGGACCCCTATTTGCTCAAGTAAGACACGGAAGAGACGGACTTCGGGCTGTTCTCTGGGGCAAGAACTTCAAGGTATATGTATGTGAAACATCGTGTGTTGTTTACTTCGACTACAGTTTCGTCTCCCAGTCCTGAACCCAATTCCCATTTCTATGTATGGCCTCAGACCGGGAGAGGAAATAGCTCAACGGGAGACGAGTCCAGAACAGCAGCCAATGAGTAAACCAGTTCCGCGTTGTCTATTACTCTGGTACGTACCAGAAACCAATCGAAACCAGATCCATCCTGCCATTCCAGTTGCCAGATGGGGAGATGCAGTAGCGTCAAAGATGATCACACAGAGGTGACAATAACGGTCCACTTTCCCCGCATTCCGAGCGCTTTCCAGACCAAGCCTACACGGCACAGTCGGGGGTCATGGAAAGGCGGTACCTGAAGATGGCCGGCGATGGCTCCACCGTGACATAAACTTGCATATCCGTGCGAACGAGATGGCAGCTGTTGTTGAGACGTAGCAAAGAAGACAAAATACCAATTGGCTATCATGTTTCACATATAAAACGGTCGCTGGAAAGCTATGGTACAGCTCACACAGCTGGCAAGATCATGCTTGACAATTGCTAGTGGGACAGAGTCAATGGGTGAGAGAGAGATGGTGTTGCATGGCCACCTAGAACGTCGGGATATAATCCTTGCGGAGCGCAACTCCATCAAGGAACGTTCCAAGAGAGGCGAAAGGGTTGGGAACCGCTTAGCATTAGACAGTTCTCCGTACATGCTTTAGAAAGCTCTGACAGCAGGATGACTGCTCAACCAGAGGGCCTTAGCAGACCAAATGTAACTTTTGGGGCGCCCGGTCTAGCCGTGGTAGCTCTCACGCGGTTTCGAGGCGACATTGCCTGAGGTCACGCGACTGCCGGACCCCTCGTCTGGATCCCCAACCCGCAACTTACGACTTCGGAATCATACAACGATCAGCCAGGTCCAGAAGAGCCGTCCATTAGATTTCACGGCCACCGTCGTACAACAGCTGCAATTGCAAGTACAGAAGCCAGTACTGGGTGCAATATGTAGATGAGCAGTTGCCGCCAGCCGTGTGATCACCAGAAGCCAATAGCAGCCCGTTTTATCTGATGGTTCAAAAGAAACTGATTCGACCTCGCATGCCATCTTCCATCATTCTCTCCAATACTGATGCAAGCCAAAACACCGCCAACCGCTAATAACTAGTAGACTTGCAGCTCCAAGCTCTAAACAAGCAAAGCTGCTGCAGCACTCCTGATACGATACATACTTGACTTACTCCACACCCCACTCCGGTCTTTCATCCACTTGACTCTCACTTCCCATATCTACCATCTCAACGAACACTCTCATCCAGAAGATCATTTATCCATCTACAAACTCCAAGACCATCTCTGTAGATACCAATTCCATCAAGAATCTTCTCTTCAAACATTCGTGCGGCTTCATTTACCATCCGACAACAATCTTGCCACCCGTAACACCCCCCAACTCATCAACAGTAAGTCTATCTAGCTCTATCCTCACCACCCATCTACCAGCTGCCCCGCATGATCGTCGCGTGACGTGCTTCCTCCTTTTTTGTCCCTGTTCAACAAAGATACGATGACAACATGCGAGCTTTGAAAATACTCACTACATCTTATATGGCATCAAACACTACTCAGCTGCTCATGGCCACCTTGGTTGATTTCAACCGGACCCCTTGTGACATGCACTTGGTTATATAATGTGACTGACACATCATCACAGTGACTCGATCTCACAAGTACACTGACAAGGACCGTGTTGGCATTGCCGAAGGCACTGTCCTTCCTCAAGAGATCATCCCCAAGTTCTTCGCTCAGAATGGCTTCGCTGGTGTCGACCCAAAGAAGATCAAGAAGAACGGAGGTGGCAGAAGCAATTGGTAAGCTTGCCTGACCTAGAGCCTGTACTCAATCTCGCCTGCTTTTCATGACATATTGTTTTGCCACGCAGTGCAACCCATCTATTACAGACCGTATCTACTTGGATACTGATCTTATCTCAGGGGCGGCCCAGGTGAGGAAGTTGTCGACGAGCAGTTCAAATTTACCAATGCTCGCCGTCGATCCAACAGCAGCGGCTATTCCAACCATCTTGAGCACTTCAAGACCAAATTCGAGGTCAATGAACCCGAGCCCGTCTTCGAGGAGAGCCTCCACGGTCCAGAGGCCGAGGATGACGAGACCTTGACCAAGACTGAGACCTCCTCCAGCGCTGGCAGCTCGGTGGATGAGAAGACCAAGAGCTTGTAAACTGTTTTCTTCAAAGGAGAAACATACAAGCCCCCAACATACCGGAATGAACCCGAAATGTTTGTTATGGTAATGGGCGTGACTGGAACTATACTGCCAAGAAACTTCTTGGGAGTTTGGGAAACTATCAAGAGAACAATAACAAAGTCTCTTCGATGCTGCTGCAAAACAGCAAGCCTTGTACGCTTGTGGCAAGTTGGTGATGTGGGGCGTCACCAATATATGTATTATCACGTGGGCATTGACTCTGGTATGGAAAAGAATCAATTGACCTTTGTATATGATATTTTGAATATGCATGCGATTTGACTTGAAGCAACGAGTGATACGATAGTTCCAAATTGACTCATCTAGGATACAAAACTGGTGGTTATGGTCTTGGGCGTGTACGTTTCCATATATTGAGATATGACAGTCGTGCACATGGCTTTATCAGCACCAGAAATATCCTCATTCACCCGTCGAATCCCGAACTAGTAGTCGTTATTTTTGTTAATTGTTGTCCTAACTGTCCAAATAGTACGGGATACGATGAGCGGAAAGAATATCCTGCAATTGACACTCTTCAAGAGATAAATGAGCAAAGGCTACCTTAGCCGGCTTGACCTTCCCACCCTCGATTTTCAACTGACGAATTTCTAATGCGGATTGACAGACATCATAGATGGAAATGTCTGGTCCGTCATTTACGACAGGTATGGGATCAGTGTGTATGGCATGCTCACCAGACTTTAGGTTACTGCGGTCAACAAGGTAAACGTTCTCAGTTTCATCATCAGGGGCCCAAATAAATGCATCAAACTCGGGCTTGGCCGAGTCTGGTGTATCCCCGTCCATGAGCCGGTAAATTTTGAATCGGTGATATTTACCCGGCCTTTGGAAGAGTTGTTTCCCCTCCTGTGATGTAACTTCGCGAAGTTCGCCCTCCACGATAACCCTCTTCGTTTTCCCTTCTAGATCCCGTGCCATGAACCACAACGGCCCAATGATGCGCTGTGAATGCACCGCAGTCCTGGCGGTCCAAACTCCAGACCTAGGACGGCCGACAAGCTGGCGCAGCGTAGACGTAATCTTTGGTGCCGGCTCGTTCCCATCTGGCAAGTTCGCTGCTTCGAATATGGTCTGCGCCAAGGATGGATCGGACTTCTTCAACTCGGCAAATTCTTGCTGAACGTCTGCCGATTCCCAGCTGTCGTGGCTACGCAGACCATCTACTACCCTTTTGTACTTGGAGCAGTCATCCGCCCCAAGTTCGAGATGGCGCTTGTCCAGGGTCCAGCCTACCGCCTGTTGGGGGTGCACATGCCGACCTTCACGGAGGCTCTGGACAAGCATGTGCGTAGCCAAAGGCGTCAGCGCTGCTTGCAACTCTGGTACCGTATAAGTCTGCGGTACTTGATAGGCGTCGTCCAAGGGCGTCTGGGCCAGTATAACGCCCGCGTCAAATGTCTTGTCATCGAGAGTCTGCAGCGTCACGCCTGTTGTCCTGCGACCAGCAAGCAAAGTATGGTGCAGTGGTGCCGGGCCCCGGAACTCGGGCAGGAGCGACGGGTGCACGTTGAGCCCGCCATACTTGGCGCCTCGCAGAAGACGTGGGGGGACAAAGAGGCCGAACGAGACTGCGATTATCAGATTGATATTGGAGGGCATCTGTGGAGTCTCAGTTCCGCCTTCACTTGAGCGATATGTGGCAACGAAGTGTACTCACGCTCCAGCCTGTGAATGTATCGCGCTCATGTATGGGAAGATTGAGCTCCGTGGCAAATTCCCTGAGCGGTGCTGCCAGGTCCTTAGCTCATTGCAAATCGATGTCAAAGGTGTGCTGATGAGAAACTCACGATGCTGAATCTTCTTATAGCCCCGTCCTACGCGCTTGCCGGGCCTGATCACCACATCAATGGACTCGATCAGGCTTGGGTTCTTGACATGTTCGTCATATATCGCCCTCAAATTCGCCACACTAAACTCATCGGAGCCGCAAAACAGAATGCGCAATGGCTCCGAGGTCTTCGGCGTGCTCGCCTGCGACTGAAAGCGCCTGCACAGCGCTGCATCCCGGAATAGGGGCTGCAACCATGGCTGGATATGGGACGTCCCAGTGCGCCTTGTGCGAACCGCCGATAGCAGCGGCCTGAGTTTGAGCTTCATGGCGCCCAAAGCCTCGAAGACATTCCGTGTATTGTAATGGGCCCTGGAATATACTTATACCATACCGTGGTATCACTTCAGCGCGTTGCCCGTTGTGGTTTAGATATACCCAACTATTCGTCTTTTGCTTTTTTGTGTTGCACGGAAACGCGATGGGATTTAAAACGCGTTTAGTGATCCTTGTGGTGCACTGGCCCCCCTAGACTTGGCCTCGCTAAATAGTTACCTTCGCCTCCAACGCAACGAACAGAAATTTCCAAGAGTATGCTAGTAAACAGAAATAAGTTTGATTGTTTATTCAGAATGGTCACAGTTTAGTAAAAGAAAATATAAACTAATTATGGTTATTTGATTGCATGGTTAATTCATTTGAGAGGATGCATGATTTCAAGGCACAGGCTCCCCTAACCTTAGGACGTAATTACAAGCTAAAACTACGAATAAACGAAGGTACAGTATAATCCTGCACCACAGAGCCAGTATGTGCAACAGCATCATCGAGAACGCCAGTTTCATTCTGTTCCATCGTATCTTTGAGTGGCTTTCGTGATTCCAGCCTGCCGCTGATTTTCCCCAGGGAATGGTTGGTATGCGGTTGCACGGACACTTTTCCATAAGGTTGAAGTGCTCGGACAACAATAGCAAGAGCCATTTCCTTCTATATGAAGGCTTCATCTTACTACGCACTTTATAGTATTATCCTTTCAAGAAGAGCGCAGTCTCCATCTGAGCAATCTTGAGTCAATGTTGAATGGAACAAACCCGAAGTCTCTCGCATCTGATTCAACTTACCACATACCCAGAGGCTATTACTGACTGACCATTTGATGCGTTGCGGACCCGGACAACGACGGTACCTGCGCAAGCTGTGGCTTCGCCTCTTCCATTGCAGGTTCCTGGGCCCAGATTGATATTGGACCACGACCGCCGCCTTTTCACTGGCATCAGCGACGTGGGCTCTATCGTAAGAGAATTTAGCGTCTCGCTTCCGGCTGTACTTACAATTGGAAAGTGCGTAACCCGCGCATGGTGTGTCGCACTCTGCCTCGCCCACTCTGAATTCCCTCGGAGGGATGTGATTTCCGCAAAGGCAATTAGTTCCGTTAGTAAGCCCCGCGACCCATTGATCCATTCTATTGCACCTTATTTGGCAATTCCCGGTAGATTGATAGATAAAAGGACCCATGTCAGCGAGGCCGATCGAATCGCTGAAGCACCCGACGTAGAAGTATGAATGTTGCCATGATGGCGAGCAGAGACCTAGCATAAGTAATGGTAGCTTTATGGATCCCATGTCGGCCGATTGTTCGTGATAAGTATTATTTGATAGGGGTGAATATGTCTTGTTACGAACACTATGAGTAAGGCTAGAATATACTGCAAAAACTTAAGACCTCTTGTGTAAGCCACAGTCATGAGGTGTGAGGAAGCAAAAGATGGCAACGGATGTTTGGTCGTGATAACTAAAAGAAGCCTAGGAGCTAAGTTAGAGACTAAGCTTGAAATAGCACAAGGATCAAGATCTGACGCTAACTGATTTCAGATTAGCCCGTTGTAGATAAGCGATAAGATTGTATGACGTTGTGTCAGTCACGGGCGAGCTTGTGAGCTTGTCGGCAACAACGAAACCAAGACGCGTGAGACATTGAGGCTTAGCAAGAATCTTGGCCACAGGTGAGTTTTGCAACTTCCGAAGCTTCCATGATTAAATGAAGTGCGCTGGTGGGACCGTAGTACATTCCATTTCGTGCAGCATAGAAGCTTCAAAGCGTGTTTACTGCAATACTGAGACTCCGTAATTCAGCCAAGCTTAAGTTACGACCTTGCACGCTACCCCAAGTGTTAGTAACCACAGCTGCCCAACACATCAGGTTATCATTTGCGCTCTGCTGTCCTCAAGCATATCACAACTTTCTGCACTAAAAACATCTTGGGCGTTTGAGACAAACAGATAAGCACCATGTCAATACGGATTGCTCTCGACGAACCACCTGAGTTCTACACGAACCTGGACTTCATCCAAGGTCGGATCATCCTGGGGTTGAACAGACCAGAGGGCATTGGGAACATTGTTGTGAAACTAGAAGGGGAATCTAAGACAGCCCTGGACATGGGTGGCAGGAATCCGAATCTCACCAACTACAACTCAGCGCCTCTACCGTCAGATCTCGCAACCGAAACGCACAAGCTGTTGTACCTTGTTGAGCAAGTCTACCCGGATGGGAGGGCGGCGTCATCCATGGCCGTAGGCGCAACGCCTGGGGTCTTATATCCAGGTCAACATGAGTTTCGATTCAAGTTCAAGATTCCATTAAATAATATTTGCAGTAACCCAAACGCGATGGCAGCCTTGAATGGAATCGGTGGTATTGGTGGTCCTAGTAATAGTTCCAACTTCTTCGGGTGGGGAGGGTTTCGAACAATGGATGGCAGCAAGCAGCTCATGCTTCAGCATGTAAGATCAACACTACCGCCCTCTCTAACTGGGTTTCCCCGGAAAGCAGAAATTCGATACTACATCAAGGTCACCATTCAAAGACCGGGTTTCTTCAAAGAAAATTGGCGATATCAGCTCGGGTTCAAGTTTCTCCCAATTGAGTCACCGAGGCCACCGGTGACAAAGCAAGAGGCTTTCGCGCGACGACCGTTCATATTCAATCCTCGCACACCAGGACAAATCGGCAAAAGGAAATCATCATTTTTCAGTTCTAAAAGCTCACAAGTGGAGGACGTGAATGCGGTACCGCCTTCCTTCGAAGTTTCAGCGCGCCTCCCACACCCGAGCATTTTGACGTGTAATCAACCGATTCCACTTCGTCTAGTCGCCAAAAAACTCGTTGAATCCCAGGAACAAGTGTACTTAACAGCTGTAGAGGTCGCGTTGATCGGTTTCACCAACATACGAGTTTTTGGTGTGGACCATACAGAGGTTACTCGATGGATGGTCTGCACCGCCAACAATCTCTCAATACCTGTAGGAAAGGCAGATGATGTTGTAGATACAGAGACCGTCTTGCCTGATCAGTTTTGGGCGCACGGTCAACTGCCCAACACCGTAGCACCATCATTTACCGCTTGCAATCTGTCACGCCGCTACGAAGTCGAGTTGAGAGTAGGTCTTAGCTGGGGCACGCCGAGCAAGAGCGGCAAGGCATCAGCACCATATCCGCAAGTCGTCACCTTGCCTCTGAAGCTGTCAAAGGTAGAGGTGTTCTCAGGAATCGCGCCGCCCAAGGAACTATTACAAGCGGCCAGTAACAGGCCTCAGCCACCACCGCTTCCGCCACGAATGTCAACAGCGCCGGCCGCTCCGCACGATCCCCTCTATCCGCCCCAGCTTGGCCAAGATAATGCACCACCAGACGACGACGCCCCACCTAGCTACGATGAGGCGATAGCACAGAATATCACAGGACCGCAGGAGCGGCCAGCATACAGCGGGGTCACAGCGGAAAACGATCCAAGCACTATGCCTGCTGAGAAGTCTGGGTTGCACTGAGCTAAAAAGCTACAGATATTGGCACTTTTAGGGATTAATTACATGCGACGATGGATGGAAGGTTGTTACGGCTCAATTGATTGATAGTGTCGCGGAGCTGAATTATACCCCCTTACAAATGTGGATGAGTACAGTAATTAATTTGACAAAATTTAATGCTAGTTTTATGAGCAAAACAGGAAGTGAAGTCGTTCTAGTACTGAGACTGATTTTTTTGTAACGGCGATACCTCTCTGACAATCTCATACATTGTTTGTGGTCGGCTCCTCTAGCGGAGGCCTGGGCGCTTCTTTCGCCTTCTTTCCACTGCGGGTAGGCGGATCGTCGTCATCGCCACCGTGGGAATCCTTCATATTCTGCTCTTCCTCGTCGTAGAATTGCTGCGCGTATGTCTAAGCGTCGGCGTCATTTTGGTCTTGATCCCGATCAGGGCTTGGGCTTTCCTTGTACGATGGCATTGCAGTATCAAAAACAAAAGAATTCGAGCCTGAACAATCGCAGCTGGTCAATAGTTAGCTACTGTGTCTGTCACCATGTGCTTTGGCTAGCCCACCCCTTCAGTTTCGTGCCTGACGTATACCTGAGCATTAGGCTGGCTATTGAGACTTGGAGGGTGTTTGTCACGAAATCTCGCTTCAATGGACAACGACCGCCCACCAACAAGTCGACTATGTGGCTTCCTAAGATGAAGTGAGTACCACGGTATTGCAGCCTTCATTCAAAGACTCTCAAATTGCCGGAAACTCTTAAAAACAAATCTATCAAGTTGATGTAGTGATATAATTATTGGAACAGGCAAGAATATGTTGGGCTATTTATATTTCCATAAACATGGCAGAAACTGTGTTCTAACAAATCGAAAACGCCTAGTAACTCGGATGAGTCAAACTGGAATATGTTTTGGATATATCCTGCAGGTGTCCTGCAACTTAAACGTGTTGGTACTGATCTACACATTTGATTGGCGGGTTCATCTAGGGTTGACGCCCATATAAGCACGCGGTTCCTGCGCCTCTCTCCAACATTGATGCTTCCAGCAACTACAAGGCTCTATCGGGACAATGTGCATTATCGTATTTCGACGGGAAGAACCATGCTTAGGAGCATGTATTTATCTGCACTACTGATAGCTCTCTGTTAGATTCTCAACAATCGACCCAACAACATAAACACTGTGCATGAGTTTCGATATGACTTGCCCACCATGCCAATTCACTATTAAAGAATGCGAAGTACCTCCGAAAACGCATGACATGTCTAGTGTTGGCGCCCACATTGCGACAGAAAGCTGGTTACAACAGTTGAGTAGTGCTATCCAAGCGGCTTGGCGGAAACGGCTTCAGGGATACACAAAAGTAGCAGTACTTATGCTGAGTTGGGAAGACGGCGACATTGATAATAAATCTTTAGAGCTCAAGCGACTCAGAGGTTTTTGGGAATGATTTCCACTATCACGTGTGCGAATGACAGATTCCATGGGGGAGAGCGGTCAGCAAGCTAGTTCAAAAAGTCCAAGAGTTCATTGACGAGTATTATGGACCAAAAAGCTTCGTGATAATATATTACGCAGGTCACGCTCGGCGGGATTAACAAACAGGCTCGTATCCGGTTTGGTTTCCAAGGTATGTATTGCCGGTTGTCATTCCAAACAGCGTTGACTAACTAAAATCACCGCAGTCAAGCAAGAGAAGACGCACCTGAAGCTGATACTACTGCTATTAGTTCCTTACTCCTTATGTCTGAGGACGAGGCTCCAGATGTCCTTGCTCTGTATGATTGGTGCCATTCTCTCTGTACCCACCACACAAGTTCACGACCCGCAAGACCCGTCATCGAGTCGCTTTGAGCAGGAGGGTTTGAATCGGAGGTTCCGATGCCCGGACCTGATTCTTTTACATCTGCTCTGCTAGAAAAACTGGCAAACGCGGCAGGCTCAAAACATCGATTTCTTTTTGTCTACCTAAAGTTCAGATACATGGCAAATACATATAAACCCATGCTCATTCTACGAGCAAAGCTTCTTGGTAAATCCAAATAGCGAAGCGATTCTCCTCCATACCCCCCCTAGCTATGATTATTCGACGCAAGTTTAGTAAGTACCAACCCTTGATCTACCGTAGTATTTCTCAAGCCAACCTCTGTAAGATATTTGCGAGCGTCTAAGCCCTACGACTTACATAGATGAGACCGATACATATTTACATTCTATCACAAACTACTCAAATTATCTAAAACCCTGAGTCGGACGTTTTACATCGGTAGATCCGGTATGATAGTCCTATAATCCCGTCTTGCCCAACAGGGCAACTGGAGCGGAAGAGGCGCAAGGCTGTGAAACTAAAAAGAAATTAGGTGCTTTGCCAAAAGCTCGGCGCCTTTCCCGACTTCAGTGAAGAAATACAGGGCCCTACCAGCTGAATTTGCCCTCTCCTCAACATCAAAGGATGTCTTAGAAAAGGGTGCAGCATGTCAAGTATGCAATGACTATGTGATGTCACAGCTGACTAGTTCTCAGGAGCTTACAAGATCACCAAATGCTTGCATAAACACCACGATGACAATTTGGCGAGACCGGGTTCATGGGCGCGATCTAAACATTGAACCGCCAAGAGATTTGGTAGACTGTATTTCGACTCATTTACTTTTCGAGTCACTCATTGATTGTGACGAGAACTGGTATGGGGCTTCCCTTGAAGTCCGCCTACAGGGGCAGGGCAACGCCGCAACGCAAGCTCCTTCGTCGTCACTTGAATTCACCAAGGTTAATTGCGTTCGAAAGCTATACTCGTCGAGATGCTCAAGAACGTATGCATGAGTCTATCGAGAGGATTGAGGCACGGAACATTCATAGTACCGATGACCTCGTAGGCACTCGACACACTCCACGGATACAATTACCAAAAGACCATGTCCATCAGTATATGGACACCATATCGCAAGAACGTAGAGAAAAACTGAAACAGACGGAGAAAAAGGAGGAGAAGCAGCAGGAAAATAAAGGCGATAAGGAGCTGTAGTCAGTATCTATGCGCCTCGTCTCCGATTCTCCACACGATAGAAATAAGGTTGGTCGATATTCAACATCCAAGAGTGAATCTAGCCAAAGCGGAAGCCTGGACAATCCCTAGCTTAACTTACTGGAGAGAGGCTCAGCTATGGGCAGATGTGGCTTCTCTAATGGCTGGCCTGTGATTAGGAGGGCAGAATACAGTTTCAAATTTTTTTATAATTTTTTTTTATAAACATGCCTTAGTGGTCGCTCCAGATGTACTTTAGCCATGGAAGCCAGCAGTCGGTTCTGAGGCAGCGTTGAAAAGCGTTGACTTGATCACCAAGACACTCAGCTCATGCTGCTGCGTTAATGTGTAAAAATAAGCAAATGTTGCGAAAGTCCGCATTTAGCTTATGTTTGACAAGCTGCTTTGTCTCTCTTGAAAGCCTCGTGATGATCTCCTGCAAGCACAACGCACTAACACATATCTTCCTCAGCCATATCGTCACTTAACATACTTAGTAGATTGGGACAAGAAAAGTCATGTCACGGCAACAAAGAAAGGCAAAGCTTTCGTATTGGCATACAACTAGTAGAACAGCCTGGCCGGCAAATGGTCGATCGTTTACGCCAGCCGGAGGTGGATCCCGATGTGGGAAGATTTGACGCCCTCAACCAACCATGGGGTCAAACTGTCCTTTACACGCCCCAAACACCCCTCGAAACAAAGAATACCACATGTACGCGTGTCGACGATATTGAAGACACCAAACTATGCTAGATGATCGCAAATGACAATCATCCTTGACCCACGCAGCATTATGACATGGAGCCGCCAATGGCGAAGAAGCCCAGCAGGTTTATACCTCGTCCTCGAGGAACCGGTAGGCAAACTTGAAGTCTGCCTTCCTCCTGTTCATCCTGTGATGGTCGTTAGCATAATTAGCGAAGAGTGTCAGTGACTAGAACTCACCAGGTGGATTCGTAGTCGAAGAAACGGTAGGTGCCTTGTTCAAACTCCTCCGTGATCGACTTGGGCTCTTCGTGTCTTTGGAACCAGGTCTGGTACTGCTTATGGAATCTCCAGCTCTGGTCCTTCAACGCCTTGGCGGCTAGGTATTGCTGGTATGTACCTTGCTTGTAGTAGAAGACATAAAACAGAGTATCTGGGTCGATTCTACCATACAACCGAGGGTCATCAAAGATAGGTAGGGGCTCCTGAGGATATTGAGCCTGGGAGGGATACCTTTGATCGGGCTTGTATTTCCTGGGTGCCTCGGCGTCACCAACATCTGGCGTGCTGGCTTGCGACACTTGCATCATCCTGATCTGTGAGGGTGCATTGACCGGCAGCGCGCGCTTCTTGGTAATCTCAAAAGAATCAACCAGATCTGACAAAGATGCGGGGAGGTGGTAAACACAATCCTCTTCTTTGTCTTCCTCGACGGGGGTGGACTTGACCCCATTGGAGACACCATTGGTTTGAGATGCTGTGACTATTGTGAGTATCCAAGCAGAGGCACGGTGGAAGGGTAGACTTACATCTGGAAGACTCGGCGGCCTCTGCTGCTGCAGTGGCCTTGGCTGCCGCCTTCGCAGCAGCCTTGTCTGCCTTCTTCGATATGGGTGCGGGTGTAGCGCTGGGTGTGGGTTCTTGTGTCTTTGGCTCGAGAGGAGCCACGGGCCCGGGCTTCGGATCTGAAGGTGCGGGCTGTATCGATGTGGTACTCGGGGAACTTGTCGCACTCGTCTTGGCCGTTTGTGCAGCCGGTGGCAATGGTGAAATACCGACAGACGCCGTCACAGGCAGAGCACCTTGTGGCGGGGGCAAGGGTGCTATACCCAACGCGTTCTTCTCTGCCGCTGCTGCCGCCGCCGATGCGTACTTGAGCCCTTCGGGCCGCGGCGGTACGGACGCTGGCTTCATACCAGGTGTGCTCGCCGCGCTGCCGTTGGTTGTATTGGACAGCGGATTATGTAGAGTAGCCAGTGTCGGTAACGGAGACTTGAGTTGCGTAGAGGGTCTTCGTCCTACTGCTGCGGCCGGTTCGACGGGTTGTTTCGACTTGCCTGGTATGCTTCCGGATCTCGATTCTGTTTCTGGAGTGTCGTCTTGCACAGACTGGGTCTCTTGTGAGGATCCCTTGTCGCCTTCGTGGCCCATGCCGTAGACCTCCTCCTCGTCCTGTAGACCGAGCTCATCGTACATCTCTTCGTCTTCCATGAAGTCGTCGCCTTGGTTGTCCTTGACGTAGTACTCGATCGAGTCCTTGATGTTGTCGATATCTTCGACCTCGAGACCGCCGTTTTCGAGGGACCGCCTCATGAGCTCAAGCTTGCCTATATGCCATCGGTGCCTCTCGATATGATGGTCGAGGGTAGCCACTCGCTCTTGCTTCTCCCTTTGATTCTTGCCCTTCTTGAGGGTAGCCTGGATGCCTTCGCTTTCGGCCTCGAGGGTTTCGATCTGTTGTTCCAGATCCTCGACCTGGCCGGCGAGCCATTCGCTGGTGTCCAGCTTGGCTTGTTCTTTGGGATCGAGCTTTTGTTGAGCGGAGAGACCTTCCTTAGAGTAGGCTTTCGTCTTCATTGCCTTTTCCACGGCCTTGAAGGACTCCATTTTCTGCAGTGTGTCAGCACATCACGGGACATGTTGGTCTTGAGTGTCATGTCCGCTGTCAACCAACCGTCTCAATGAGTTTCCTCTGCTCGAGCAGCGGGGCCTTGTCCTTGATGTCGTTGCCTGTGGCCCATGTCTTGATCTGGTCCCGTAACCGCTGCAGTTTTTTTATTTCCCGCTTGAGCTGGTCTTCGAGTTTCTCCTTTTGCGCTGGATTTGTGGATTGCTCTATCTTCTCGTAAATCGCATCGAAATCGGCCATACCCTCGGCGACCTTTTTGAAGCACTTGTCGACTTCCTGCTGCAGTTTCCTCGCGGCCATTGTGGCTGGGTTGCGACTCTGAAGCCGACTATTTGGTTGGCCTGGTGACACTATCGAAATGATGGTGAGTTGGGGGGGATGGATGTGCTCTTGCGACCCAAGCGCAAGATGGGATTGAACCGCTATGGATGACAATGCGATCGCAGATTGCGACGACGATTGATGGCAATGGGAGGCCGGCGATGCGAGGACCTCCAAGCGGGCGTGGGAAGATGCGGATATCTCGAGATGCCGAATAGCTGCTAAGATCCCCAAGATTTGCCCGAGGAAGGACGAGTGACGAATAACGAACAGGACGTCGCCGATCCGTCTCCGTCTGGGCACTGGGCACTGGGCACTGGCAGGAAAAGGGAAAAGGAAATATAGACTGGGTGGAAGGAAAAGGGTATCAAAGCATAAGATTAATGCCCCAAAACTCTGTCTCCTCGTGGTTGGTGTTTGCTCAGTGCGTCGTTGTGTGGTTCGGGTCGCTGCAGTCCAGGTCCAGTTGATTTCATTTCATGCATCCCACTTGTCATGGCGTAGCTGGGGAAGGCTGAGCTGGTCAAAGAATGCAAAGCGAAGCTCCAAAAGTGGACATTTGACGTGTTAGAGTGCGTGTGGGATGACCGGAGGCGAGCTACGAGAGAGCTAGGCGAGCGCACGGCTGACATCTACTGTGCATACAGTAACCTCTTGACCCAGGCTTGGGGGCGCCTCGCCTGGTGTCTCTCGCCTGGGGGTGCCTGGGTGCCTGGGTGCCTGGGTGCCTACAGTACGTAGCCACTGCAAATCCACCGGCCCGAGATGGTCCACAGGGTGTCCCGACCTTGAATGAACTACCGTCCGCAGTCACTTTTTCTATCTCATCCCATGTATGTATACCCATTTGTTGTGGTCTTGTCAATTATTGTGCTCTGGGAGGCCACCAAGCGTTTTCAACCCATCTTTCAATTTTTTGTTTTGTTTTCTCCATCGTCCATGATTAGGGTTTTCTGCAAGACGCTGAATATTATATCCTTAACTCACGCTTGTCCACTAACTAATAACTCCCGCGGGGGGGTTTCTTCCTTTTTTTTTTCCTTTTCTTTTCTCTCGGAAGCTTTCAGCTGGAGCCCGCTGAAGCGCACCCTCCCTGGGAAACTTGGGTTGCATAGGGTACCGAGATTTACGTCACATGACATCCTGTGCACCACAACATCAGTCTTTCCTCTGTTCCCGGCACAAGGCAACACGAACAACACTGAGCGTCTGAGCAAATTGCCGTGCCGTTCTACAGGCCGCATCCTCTTTTGATTGACATCCCGTCCCCAGCCTGCCGAATGAATTGGACGCCTAGTGTGGCGCCTGCATCCAAGAAATAGCCCCCCTTAGAGACACGTGCGTTCTAAAGCCAGCTTGCCTGCAGGAACCAATCAACATGAAAGGTAAGGCAGAATTGTCTCATTTTCAGTTTCCCCCTTCTCTTGGAGATAAAAACAAAAAGAAGTGTTTGTTCATTTATAATGTCTCTTGAAAGCGATTTTACAGCGGGTCTTGTCAGCCAGTGTGACCGTGGAAAAGGAGGTCGTGTCCTCCATTGGCAAGGGCGTTTTAGTCTTTGCCGCCGTGGCTCCGGGAGACACCGAGAAGGAGGCTGATTCTCTTGCCAACAAGATCTTGAAGATGAGGTTGTGGGATGACGAGAAAGGTGGCAGAGTATGGTTTTTGTCCCCTGAGCCCAAGCCGATGTGACAATGTCTGACCTTTCTCCCTACAGTGGAAACACAGTGTGCAAGACATTGGTGGTGAGGTTCTTTGCGGTAAGTTGCCTGCTCCATCATATTGTTCCAAAGACTTTTGACCTGATCACGGATGCAGTCTCCCAGTTTACCCTGTTAGCATCCACAAAGAAGGGCAGTAAACCTGATTTTCATGGTGCCGCTGGCGGCGATGAGGCCAAGAGACTCTACCAGTACTTCTTTGATAAGGTGCAGAAAGGTTACCAATCAAATAAGGTAAAGGACGGTGTTTTCCAAGCAATGATGGAGGTTGCACTCGTCAATGACGGCCCGGTACGCATCAAAATCTAACAGATTGTCAAGACTATACTGACTCCATTTAGGTAACACTAGAACTTAATGCCAACCCACCGCCACCTCCACCAGCGAAATGAACGTGTCAAGGTGTATTTCGGTTGTTCATGTAGATGTCTATAAATAATAGAATTTCACATAGATACACTAAGCAGAATGTTGGTTGGCCCCTACACAGCTAAAGGATCCCCTTGGAAATAGTGTCCGACCCTGCCCCAACCGTTTTGATAGCCTCCATTACGTCAATGAGGTGTTTTATAGAAACGGGGCCAAAGGCTTTACCTGAGAACGTATGTGTTCCATATTGAGTGCATGAGGCTTTTCTTGGTGCGACTTAAACCTGCGGGTGACAACATCGAAACTCGTATTCTGATTGGCTTCGCATTGTTTGGTATCCTTCATCGTGGTGTTGAAAAGATGGCTGGCCCGTCACAGGATGCCTAACCAAGTCGTAACGGGATTTATCATTACAATAATATGTGGTCTTATGAAACCCCCAACTACGGCAAAGTAATTAATTGCCAATGAGTTGCGGATTGAGTTGCCAATATCGACGCACTGATCGACAAAACCGGAAGGCTTGGAAACGAGATTTTGCCTGCACGTTGTCAGCCAAGTTGAACATTCCTTACCCGGGATAGAATTTGTAGACGCCTACTACATCAAATCGATATGTATAATCTATCCAAATCTATATCTTATAATGGCCAGCATACTTGTCCGTCCATCCCAGCAACTTCGATATGACACGATCCATAGCCTCTTCTGACCGAAGCAGGCTTGTTGTAGTAGTGTAGCCTGTAGCCAGCAATTTCGAGCTCACACGCTTCTCTTTAGGACTTACAATCGACATTGGGCTCTCAGAGCGATAGTATGGCATTGCCAAAATCTTGTGCCACAGGCTTTGTTGGTGAGTGTGAGTAGTATATGCTTGATAGTATCCGAATGACTGACGCTGACTTCATTATGGAATTTGCGCACAAAATACCCCAGTCCGGTCTATGTTACACATCAAGACCCCTTGCGAAAAGCGCCTAACATACCAAGGTCTTCATGGATTTGTCAGAGTACAAATTCTGCCCACTTTTAATTATGTCTCATATACCACAAGCGTATAAATAATGCGGCGAATGGTCCGGGAACATTGCTTATAGCAGAATCACATCGACGAAATGCTACTAAGCAAAACGCTAACAGCAATAACAAGGCCAGCACTTGTGGTTTTGATATGAAAGGTTTCAAAAAGGTTTCACAAAAACAGTCGTATCATATTGGAAGCCATAACGAGGGTACTTTAATAATGAGAGTTTCTGAGAGGGTGTAGTAGCCAGGTGTCAAACACCACAGCAATTAAACGTGGAAACCAAATTCCCTTCCACGCATCTTTCCTGGGGAAAACGGCAGTATTCATCCGGTGCTTGGGTCGTGATGGGTCAATTTCTTTGCCGCTGTACTCTCCCGAAATTCAAAATGGTACACAAGCTGACTGGAAGCAGCCATGGTGATTCCCCTGCAAGCCTCGTCGCCAGCAAGCGCTTCGAAGCTATTCAGACAGCGAGCGCTCATTGGACTTGCTGATATACTACCATGGATAGATGCAGGCTTTGCCCGGAATTATGCTACCGAGAATTCGTGGGTGCGAAACGATATCGGACTGATGGTTTGGAACCGGTCTCTAGCGAAAAGAATCTGTAATCATGCGTGGCCTCGGTCATTGTCTTGCAACGTCTCTGGCCTAAAATATTGTTAGAGGCAAACGTGCGAGGTCTACACCCTCTACCTAGGTGAATCATGGGTTGTTGGCTGCTATCCTTCAACTGAACTGTGAAGTACAGTGCTCAATGCAGCACGCAGCCGCCAACCTCGGCTCGCACAACTGATCTATCTATCGGCTCTCTGCGATGAGCTGCGATCGCGCCATGATGATGCGTTGGATGTAAAGCTGGCGTCTGAGATCGTGCCGTTCTAAATGTTTAGTGTTGGTGTTCGTGGAAACCCCTTGTGATTCCGCATTTGCGAGACAATGGGGACCCCCGATGATGTGATTCAGCGCTTCAAGGAGAACATAAAATGCATGAATGGGATGGGGCCATGCTAGTGGATACTATCTTCTGCCCCACTACTTTAGGTACAGGTCCACGTATTTACCACTATGTAATTATATGTACAGTAGCTCCGCCTTTGACTGACCTTAGCAACGATGCACCAACTGAAAAATTATGACCATCTAGACAGAGCAAGGATGTATGCTTTCTAACGGTGATCATGCCCGGCGGTGCAATTTGGGCAGCCAGCGATATCGCCGAACGGAACCTTTGGTATTGAGGAAGTCAGATGGCCGCAAACATGGCGGGCACGCTTGATAACCCCACTGGATGCTGGTTGCATCGACATAAGTTAAGTTACCTGCAGGTTGGGGGAAAGTGCCAGGGAGTGCTTCCTCCCGCTTGTATCGGCTATCGATAAAACCTTATGTGGTGGGCTGATAAGCGTGCCCACTACACCATCCGTAGACGGATGTGACAGGATGATGCGACAGTCCACGGGAACACCAAAAAGGATGGGTGATCACTTGGGTGCTGGTTCCCTCATGAATAGCCGTGCTGACCCATACTCTGACTCTCACGAAGAGCGGCTCCTGAAATGCTTCGTCTTCTTCTTCTTCTCCTCTGTTTTGCCAACAGTCATCGTGTCGTACCATTTCCCTCGTCATTGATGCGGGGCAGGGTATCTGCATAGTAAATAAGTTCTGTCCGTGACGCCTTACAAGCCCGAACGGCACTTTGGGCAGGCTTGAGGCCTCTTCAAGCCGTTTAAGAGTCGCTTTTGACTCGTTGTTCAAGCCTGGAGACCAAAATATTTGATCTCTGGTACATATAGTATCTTTCTAATCGGCATGACGGGCAACACGAACTCGGCCGGCCCGGCGCCGAAATTCCCTGTTTACCTTCTACCTAGCTTTAGCATACCTTTTCGACTTCGAAGACAAAGCTCTCTCACACCCGGTTCTTATGGCAGTCCTCCGGCTGAGAGCAATCTGCCATCACTGGGTAGCTCGCCTACAGATTCGACAATTTCTAGCCCCGTCGGGAGCCCAGCAACGTCTTCATATTTCTCCTCTCGGTTTTCGTTCTCAAAGGACTGGCGTAGAGCCTCCGTAGAGCCTCTTGACATATCTAAGCTTAGCCGAACCAGCCCCGACACTATTCGCTGTTCGACTTGCTCCACAGACCTAGCGTTTACGTCGCAGATAGTCAGCAAAGGCTTTACAGGCCGATATGGAAGAGCATATCTCGTATCATCGCCTGACCACGCAGTAACAGGCAAGAGTGACACAAACCTGGTGAATATCAAGGTGGGCAAGCAAGAGACGAGATTGTTGGTGACCGGTTCGCACGTCGTGGCAGACATCACTTGTGCTATTTGCCACGCGAAGGTCGGCTGGAAGTATGTAGACGCCAAGGAGGAGGCGCAGAAGTACAAGGTGGGCAAGTTTATCCTAGAAACGGCGAGGACTATGGATCATCGGTCGTGGGAAGATGTGGAGGTGTCTGAACTGTCGGCCATGGAAGCACAGCACGATAGCGATATTGAAGGGGATGAACCCGTTATCTTCGACTCGGAAGACGACGACGAATGCGAGGATATCTTTGCAGGGACATGGGATGCTGATGCTGTCGCCAAACGACGCGCCAGAAAGGTCCATCGACGACCCAAACAAGTTGTCTAAGCTGTTTCACGGCGATCGATACGCCCATGGGAACGATGATGTGATGCGATGTGTCAAGGGCTGGGCAACGTGGTGTTGATAAGTGAATTTTTGGCATTTATACCCAAACTGGTTTTGTACTGTTTCAAGGTTGCAAAGTTCTGATTTGCTGGAAGGATGGATTATGGCGTTTTGTTTTGGCACTTGGACTTATGATACCCTCTTTACCTGAAAATGAATACTCTACATGCGTCGTGCCCTTGTCAGCATTTGGCAATGGTTGTGCTTTCCAACATGATGGCTAGTATAATTCAAGATTACGATATTCGTCGTGCGAGCAAAGAGCAGGATTGGCAGTATGAGGCAAGACCTACTGCTGTTGCCCATTCATGGCCTGCATATATCGCAAAGGCAAGCAGTCATTTCGTCTCGACTATTCGCTAAACTATTCAAAGCTATAATGTTGCATACCTGGGTGTAGAAGGATGTATTGATACTTTAATTGCGAACAGAAAACTTTGGGATAGAAATATATTTCGCGACCGGAGTTGTTATGACTCGCGCATAATGATTTTGATGATGTCTCGGTTCGGACCATCCCAGTGCTTCCGAGCTCGCACAAACTAAAGAGTAATTGCCACGACGAGCACGATGCCGTAGACGGGAGCACTGTAGTTCATGTTGAGGGCATCCACTGGCAAGGTTGTTGGGAAGATAATGAAGAGCATAGCCCATAGGGTGTACACCAGGGCAAAGGAGTTGATATAAACACCCCAGCGCCCCAAATTCCATTCGCCAAGCTGAACGTTGTGCGTGCGTCGTGCATACAATATGGACATGAGAACAAGCGCGTAGCTGACGTACATGGCGAATGCTGAGAGTGAGACAATAGCGCCAAAGACAACATAAGTTGTACTGCCGAGGTTGAGCAGGGAGAAAATGGCAATGATTGTCACGGTTAGTAAGATAGCTCTGCCTGGGACGCGGTGCTTTGCACTAACGTAACCAAAGTAATGAGGTAGTCCGCCGTCTCTAGCCCAAGCCCATGTGAGACGGGAGACGGAAGGAGACTGTAGCGAGAGAACAGCCAATCCCTGAGACTACCAGAGCGGAGATCATGGCAGTTGCTGCTTTGGGAGAGCCAGTGGAAGTGTATAGAAGTGTGACCAAAGGGCTAGCGGAATTAAGAACTTCGTCGAGAGGTCCCATGCAGATCTGGTGAGGATATTAGAGATGGCGGAGGGCTTAAAGTGCAGGACAACTGACGACTAATGTGAACAGCATGATAAATGCTAGAACTCCACTTGCGCAAACGGAGGAGAACATGGCGACCGGAGCCGCACGTCTTGCATTATTCGTCTCTTCGCCCATGTGGATGACACTTTCGAAACCTATATTCGGGTTAGATTAGTCTAGGTCGAAGTGAGTTTTTGACTGCAAAAGGTCAATATGTATCGACAAATAGGAAGATGTGTGACAAGGACTCAACATTCCACGAGATGAAGTAGTTCTCCCACCCAGAGCTCATGTTCGTTGTCAATATGAAGTCGGCGCTATTTCGTGGCGACATCACAAATAGAACAACAACATAAATGAAGAACAAACAGACGTTCAGAATTCCGGCAATGAACTCAAGCCAGGGGATCACCCTAAAAGCATAAACGTTCATCAAGGCCATGAAGGTCACCATACCCAAGTCCAGTGATACTGGGCACCAGCGACAGGCTGTATACTGGCCATCTCAGCAAGGCTCGCAGTTTGGGCTATTACGCTGATAAATACAACGATATAGCTGAAGAACCACGCTCTTGGGCCACCGTTGTACAGAGCGAGCAGGACGTGAGGCAGCTGTGATCACGCCGCACTTATGCACCTCTACATTGAAGTGGTATTGTTAAGAGCGGGTCTACTAGGGACGGAAGCCCACCGGCATTGCCACCGAATGAATGCCATACGTTAATACCAGTGAGTTGGCATCCTCTTTGGACTGCAATACTATTGAGTAGGGGTGGTGGTCTGGAAGAACCCGACTGCTCGCTATTGCGTCTTTCGAGGAACAACCCGCGAGATGAGGTTGCGTCCATTTGTTATTGGCTCGGTCCACCACCGTGATCGGGCGGCCCGTCATCTTCCATCTGTCCAGATCCGGGCCGATGTCTGACTGCGAAACAGCTTTGTGTGTTTGTATTTCTTCAGCAGTTTCGAGCAGCATCAATATGATTATTTAATTTCGGGTTTCTTTTCATCTTTCTCTTACTATTATTGAGGATTGCGAAGCAAACCTTCCGCCCTGATGAATAAGATGACGTGGGGTGACATGCATAATGCATACATGGTTCTGAATGAAACCAGGGTCGCGTAGACTGTCCGAGCCAAGTCAATAAGTTCGGCGGCTTCTGCATCTGTGGCCCTGGTAGTTCTGTTGGAATTTTTTAAACCAATTAATCCAGGTGCAATCAAGATAACACGAAATCCATTCAAAAGTCGACTGATCGCATTTCGGTTCCAGAAGTTCGGATCGCTCATCACTGGTACATAATTTGCAGGGGCTCTCGCTCCATACAATAGCAATATACCAACTGGCGATGAGCCGCAGGAATCTCTTGGTTATCGTGTAATACATCACCCGTGGCTCGGTCAGAACAAAGTCGCGTTGTTTGCACAAATTGTTCATCCTGCCAGGCTACAGGGTGTTAAGTAAGATTCAAACCACCGGGTAGCAAACAACTTCGATTTCACATTAGAGCATATTGATAACGTACCGGATTAGGTACCTCCGAATTGTTTGTTGACGGCACGTTGACGATGAGAGTGGTTCGTACATAGCGCTTCCAGTTACCAGAGACGATGCTACCCATGTTACTGGTGAAGCGAGAGGCGGGCATCGTCGTCAACTCGGTCCGAGATGGTCTCAGCAACTATCCGGACACAAAAATTCATTCATCAGTAATGTTCTTCGGAGCATTGGAAACCAGTAACTACTTCACTTCCATGATAATCTTTATTCTACGAAATGGGTACTTCTGAGGCTTTCTACAAGCTCTCGGCAGACGACCGATTTGGACTCCGTGTCATCACAACAGTTGTATTCCTTCTGTTCACATTTGTGAGCGTCGTTGCCAAAGTATGGATAAGGTGCAGAATTTTGCCATCGGTACTGCATGACTATGTCTTGCTTGCAGGAGCATTGCTCTTCCTCATAGAAGCAATTTGCGTCTTGAATGCGAGTCATTCTGGCCTGGGAAGACATAAAGGGGATATTGATCGCGAATCTCTGGAAATACTACACAAAGTGTGTATACAAAATGTGGATAATTGCGCCAGAAAGATTGGGCTGACAATTTTGCTTCTGCAGCTTCAGTATTCATCCTCGCTATTGGCAATTTCTGCCAGATCTTGCGCCAAATTATCAATGTGTCTGCTCATCAAAGCAATCAATAATCATGACTTGATGTCGCGAGCGAATCGATCTCTTATCGCACTGACACTCGTTTCTTTTGTTTCCGGTTTCACAGCCTCGGCTTTTCAATGTCGACTCCTTACGCCGTGGACATGTTCAAATCATGCGCAATGTCCCAGTGCTCGTTCTGTCTACATCTACAATGGAGCAATGAACATTGTTACCGACACCTCCATCTGCATCCTCGCATTCGCTATGATTAGGAAATTTCAAACCACACGAAAAAGGAAGGCCGAGATCGTTGCATTGTTTGCGTTTCGAATCATGTGAGCGCTTATAGCCCCTATTCCCCTCTCACGAAACTGACTTTGCCTCAGGTGTCCCATAACTACAATTCCCACGCTCCAATCGTTCGATTTCTTATATTATGATACATCTGATGCCTCCTGGCTAGCACTTGAGCCAGCTATGTGGTCTCAAGTGCCACTCAGTCTTTCTGTTATTACCGCTTGTTTTCCAAGTATGAAGAACGTCTTCGACAGCTTCCTTGGCAATACCATTGCCGTAGGCATTGATGCCCCATACCAATTGGACACGGTGAAGGGCAAAGAGGGCTTTCGTACTACAGCATATGCTAGTGAGATTAAGAGCTCAACGCCTCGGAGCTTCCCAAACCGATGCCTCAAACCCACAGATACAGCTCCAACTCAAGTTTCTTATCATACTGGCCCAGCGGATCTTGGATCTGACGAAATGCCACACAGGAAGAAAGAGCAGAGCGAATGTGTATGGAATCGGACAGACGGTGTTATGGCTATCAGCGAAGTGGAGGTGCAGCTTGATTGTTCACCCAGGTCGACCTCGACTGTATCATCACAAAGCAGTGTATACGCCAGCTGGGCATTGCTAGAAAAAGCCATGTGTAGAGCTCGTAACGCGAACGCTCTCGTTGCATGGAATTATCTACACTTGAATGGAAGGTTGTAGAGTGAGTATGCCAATTGACCGACACTGGCATCTTTCAGATACATGAACGTTGAGGTGCAAAGTCTGGTCGCTTGGCTGACAGCTGCGATAAAGCATTTGTATTATGTTGTGCACCAAGTATGTCCTTTGTCTATCTCAGTCATGGAAACGGTCAAGGAGAATAGTTAGTTACTGGAGTGAGGTTTCCGTGCACACTGGTTAGTCATGTTTAGCGTGGTTTCTTGAAAGTATAATCTACACAATACCAATTGGATTAATCGGAGCCAAACCGATGCAGTAGTATACAGATCATCGCAACCTTGCTAATTCAGCACTTGATTTGGGTTTGGGGTTTGGGGTTTGGGGTCACTCCCACTAGCAGCGGCTGGTGGTTGCAGTGCTTACTTTGGGGGGGTTATGCCGTTGCTGCCATTGATTACCGAAGAACACATCTAGCCTCGAAAGCTCTCTGTATTGTGAGCGACTCACGAATAAGCAGATTGCCGCCCGTAAACGATCGACAAATGTTGGCCAATGTTGAAGGGATTGTCAAGTTTCTGTGCGGTGCAAGCTGCCAATGCCCAATCACCCAATTATTGTGCTACCCGAGTGAAGGAGGCCAGCGAATGGGGGCTGCAGGAGAAGCGAGCATGTGGTCTCTTCCTCCATGGCGATGCGGTGCAATTCTAGTTGTCGCACGTGAAAACAGCACTAAAACAATGTGCTAAGGCCACCTAGCAACCCGGATCAGAACGTTGAAAGACCCCCGCAGCTGCCGCTGTTTCCAGAACCCACACAGCCAAGTCTTTGTGGCCCACACTAAAATTCTCCTCCTTCATCAATCAGGTTCTTAATCTTATGCTCCGCCCTCGCCATCGTTCGACTCTCTCAATTTGCCTCACCGTCCTCACCGTCCGTCCGTCCTAAGGAACATCCGTCCATCCATACTCAAGCTCGCCTCGGCAGTCCATCTCTCAACGCGCAAATTGCACATTCGCAATCCCAACAACAACCCAACCTGTCAATTAAACACTTTGCTTTGTACCTTGGTACGAAAAGCTACTCAACAACACCATCGCCACTCCGCCGCCGACAGTCCTCGGCAGCTCTCAGTCAACCCACCCCCCCAAATCAATCCCCCCAGTAACAACCCTGGAGTCCATCAGTCCTCATGGCGCCAATGAAAAACAGTAGTAATAATTTAAATTCGAGTAGTTATGGCGAGGCCGTGGTTTGTCAGGCCAATGTCCTCGCCAGCTGCTACATCGTCAGCCCTTCAGCCTCGCTGAAAGGCTTCCACTACTGCACTACCCTGGGGGCCGGGGCAGAGTGGTATTCCTGAGGTCCCTATCTCAGGTCTACCATCCCCTCCGTCAAGTCCCCCCCTCGCGGCAATCACCCAAAATAACGAGCTCGCCCTGCAGCCTAAGAAGAAGCGCAGCTCTGCCACCAACACGCCAAGCCGCCGCCGAGGGGGGGCAACATACCAGATCAGGGAAGAATGTGAGAGATTCTTTTGCGAGACCATGAAGTCTGTGTTCCAGGTTGAGGGGAACATGGCTACTGGCTCCAGCCTGACGGATGTTTACACCACACCATCACCTACCGACTATCCCACTCCCCCTTCATCCTACTCGAGCACCGGTGGCTACATGAAACCTGCCATCGACCTCGCTGGATGGATGGAGTTCTGGGATTATGCAGGAGGCGCAAGCTTCCGAGCTTTTGTGGCCGAAGACGGTGACGAGAGAAGTCTCTTTGCCTTCTTCGACGTAGGACTTATGGGGCGAGATCTAAAGAAAGCGTCAGTAACCTGCCCTCCACCCTGCACTCTGGGCCTGTACTAACAACTTCACAGTTTAATTGCGTTCATTGATCTGGCCGAGGGTCCACTTGCCTGTACTCAAGTAGTCATCTGCTTGGACAGATTGATACCAGAAGACGACGTAAAGAGCCTGATGAGAAGCTTCCAGTGGGTTGGCTTCGAGCTTAGCACACTGGACCAATGGGCTAAGGGGATTGACGTCACCAGCGATAAGTGGTTGTTCATGGCCATGGAAGTCTAGTCTGATTTGTTTCTGCCTCATTCTGGAGTTCCGGGAGTTGCGGTTTTGATGACGACGTCTTCTTTGTCCTCGCGCTTTGTTATATCGCTTGGTGTTTTCGATTTCTTATTTCAAATATGCTAGCGCAGCATTTTTTCAGGAGCATAGCTGCACTGGCAGAGTTTCTGAGCATCGTCTTGCGCCTCTATTCTTGCGTTGCATTTGGGCAAGCATCCCGAGCGTTCTGAGGGTATCTGAAAAGGAGATGGAGAGTGTGCTGCTTGTTGCGTGAGCGCCAGTCTCACGCTCTACACTGCCGGATTCCAGATATGCAGGATACATGACCATATGCAGTATTCTTCGATGGCTGGTTGCAACGGAGTCGGAGGGCAATCCATTAAATAGTTTGAGCTTTAAATGACATGAACGCACATGGGCACTCTAAATCATATTCCTATAAGACTTGTGAGGCTGCATTCGCTCAAAAGGGTAGCACGAGATATGCCGACGCTCCTTCATGTTGTCTCACGTGATTTTTAAGCGATGACGGAAAATGTATCTTGACGTCAGATCACAATAGGCCTAATTGCCTAATTATTCCATTTCATAACTTCACGAGTTCTCCTGCCTTGCCTTTCAGCACCCTTAAGAGCACAAGATCTCGGAAAACAAAGTGTTCTCGACAAGGTCCTCCATGGTTTAAGTCGACCTTATTTGCAAAAGTCGTGTTCATTATGCTACTCTCCGCCAGCAACACGCAATAGCAAAAGGCGTCACAAAGTTTAAGGGCGACGGCTGACAGAATATAACTGCCGCCTCTGCATGCCCGAACCGCTCAATGGCTACATTTCAGTTGAGGAGATTCTCTGACAAAAGTTTAGCATCTGCCACTGACGAGATTTGAATTTTTAGGATCTCACCACGCAGAACAGACGATGATGGTCGACTCTCTAGATGATACACTATGAAGCCGTACATTTGTGAGCAGACACAACTGTGGTCTAAAGATTGCTGTACTTTGCCGTACACGCAGGGCGATGCTGCTCGTTTTGTGGTAGACGGCATCTACTTTGATTGGGTGCTCAGAACGCATTGCTAGGGCCAATGCAGTGTGAAACACTACGATATCTACTCGTTACTGCCTCCTGCTAACGACCCGTCTTACTCGAGTAATGTTCCGTTGGGTAATCATGGCACGTCGTACGAGAAAGTGATTGTGAAGACGGCCGTCATTTGCAACGCTCTTGGTCGGTGGAGTACATGTGTCTTGTTCGTGAAAGTGGACGATGCTGGAGAGGTGAACACTGGCTACTCAGAACCTGTTGAGCAATCTCTTTGCATATGCTGCGTGTCTCAATGAGCAGCATGGAGGTGGGAAGATTTGCAATGCGGTGGCCGCGTATCCCATATGCAAGTGTTCAATAATACGCCATCAAAACTACACTGTGGTAGTTGTCAAGTACCACCAGAGTATTAGACTTGATTCGGTTCTTGCCTACGAAAGTTTGGAAGTCTCTCGTGATACAATAATCGACTTATTTGAACGGCGACAGGAGGCAGTGCCACAAGTGTAGGACTAATCTCATAACTTCAGGTCATACGAGTGAGCTAACCTAGGCTGATCATGATCAAGATAGCTTGCGGCATTATTTACCACGTCGAGTTTTATAAGGGACAAAGACATGTAAACAATTTGGATTCAACTATACTATATCAAGGCTGGTATAGAATAGGGTGAGAAAATAATGTTCATTATTTTATTTTATTTTATTTTAATAATAAAATATGAAATCCGTAGTATCAAAACATTACTCGAATCTTCCCACTCACAACAAACTGAGAACGCCAATAGCAATGCTAACTAACAAACAATCCAGTCCTTCTCCAGGAAGCTCTTTCTTCGTCATTTAAATTCTTTTTCCAATCATCATCATCAGAGCCAGTTTACTGAATGGCGATGCGTCGGCCCTCAGGCTTCTTGGCCTTGGGAACGACGACATTCAGCACACCGTTGTCCAGCTTAGCTGAGATGGCCTCGGCGTCGACATGGGTCGGGAAGTTGAAGGTGCGGGCAAACTCGCCCACACTGCGCTCGGAGACCCAGTATTTGACCTTGGGGGCGGGCGCAGTGGTACCAGAGACCTGCTTGTCGTTGTCGGAGGGGGTCTTGGTGACCTGCTTGCCCTTGTCGGCATCCTCAGCTTCCTCCTCGACCTGCGTCTTCTTGTCGCCGCCGACCAGGCTCGCGTCGCCGCTGGTGTGGGAGCGCTCGACCCTGCCGGAGATGCGCAGGGTGTGGTCGTCGGTGAATTCGAGGTGCACGTCCTCCTTGTTGATGCCGGGGAGGTCGCCATGCAGCTCGTAGGATGTTTCCGTCTCCTTCAGGTCGAACTTGGGGGTGAAAGTGGGCAGGGTCAGGCGGCTGCCGCCGCCCTGGCGAGCGACCTTATTGTTGTTGTTGTTGCTGTCGACGTTCTCTCCAGATGACTGGGAGGCATACTGGTCGAACTCGTCGATGAGACGGAAGAGTCCGTTGAAGCTAGGCTCGTTGTAGAATCGGGGGGCGAAGACGGACATTTTTGTTTTGGTGTGTGGTAAAAGTGATTTGAGGTGAATTGAACTTGTGGTGAGAGGTTTGTGGTTTCTTGATGATCGCTGTTTGATTGTGCTTGTATTTGTCTTGATCTGAATCTGGTCTAAGAATTGTGTCTACCTGAAGGGACGGAAGTGGCCATTATATACATATTGGCGCATGAACAGATCATACGTTTCTGCACTTTGACAGAAATTTCTGGAGTTTCCTCGATTCGAATGAACTCAACTTGACATCACTTGTTGTCGTACGAAACAACGTCAAGGTTCACGATGTTACTCGAGTAGAGTAGAAGCTTCCAGGAGTCTTGGCGGGTCCACTCTTCCCGATCCGGAAATCCGGGGTGAGCAACAAGCACTAGCGCTTTGGCGGCGGCAACTATTGGTCAATGTTCCTTCATTCATGTGATTATTCAAGCAAATAATGTCACCACTGCCATGAGCCATTCCAAATGTGGCTGGTAGCCTTCCGGTGAGATTGCCTCATCGTGCGAGTATATGCGTTGTCTGTGTTGGCAGGTGGTGCCGGTTCCCACGTTACCATACATAGTACTGCACTATTTGTCCTGCAGTATTGGCTAGCCGGTTCTCCCAATCGCACACACAGCGCAAAATCTCATTTTCAACTCGAATCTAACTTGTAAACATGGTATAGAATAATGTCAATCCTATGCTTGATCACAAATACAACATATTCTAAAACAAACGCTTCTATGCCATTGATGCCCTTACTTTAGTGCCCAGGCACAGTCTGTTTCGCCCCTACGCCCCACCAATCTAGCCCAACCTGTGTTTTACGCTTCTCAAATTCGCGCTGGTCACGACCTGGTCAAGTCTAGCCATTGCTCAATAATCACCCTCGAACTGGCGTACCTCGAGCCCCTTTCCTTGTAAGTGATCCTTGACTTGCTTGACAGTATACTCGCCTCTGTGGAAAATGCCGGCGCCCAATGCAGCATCCGTCTTTGTCTTAGCAAACACCTCCTCAAAATGGGCAGGGTTACCTGCACCACTGGATGCGATGACAGGTATACGTACGGCGCCCTTGACTTGGTTGATAAGCTCCAGATCGTAGCCGGAATTGGTGCCATCCTTGTCGATGCAGTTCAAAAGAATTTCACCGCAGCCCATGGCTTCCACAGCTTGGGCGAGCTCAACCACATCCATGTCCCTTGTTTCACGGCCGCCCTTGATGGTGCAGGCATACCAACAATATTCCTCACCCTTTGGTCCGGGGAAGGCCGTCTTTACAGTCGCATGGCGGGTAGCATCGACCTTGGGCACGTATACACGCTTGGGATCCACGGAAACTACGACGGCTTGGTTGCCATACGCGCGTGAAATCTGCTCAATGGCAGTGTTGCCGAACAGCTCTTTACCCGCTGCGTAGTATTCTTCTGCGGCTAGCACGGCATCGGAGCCGATTGAGACTTTGTCAGCGCCGGATTTGAAGTACATGGTGGCTATCTCGAGTGCCGAAACCTTGGTCCCGTCCGTGTCGACCGTATCGCGGATTCCGCCGCCAATAGTCAGAGGAACGAAGACGGTCTCAGACGCGCGACGCAGGACTTCGAGCATAGGTAGATCGGCAACGGGGCAATCGCGGAAAGAGGTAATATTAAGGAATGTCACCTCATCGGCGCCTTGCTCATAATATTTCTTGGCCAACTCGACAGGCTTTCCAAGGTTTCGTACATTTCGGTCGTCTGACTTTTCGCGCACATCGTATTGGTCGCCTTTCGTTACTACAAGATCTCCCTGGTCATTGGTTCGTACGTCGAGACATGCAATAACACGTTTCGTAAGACCTCCTGTTGGTGCCGGGCCGGTAACCGTTTGGCCCAAAGCCTTTGCGCCCTCGCCTGTAAGGAAGGACTTGATTAAGCGCAAGCCGGCCACGCCACTCTTCTCAGGGTGGAATTGCGTGGCTAGGATATTATCTTTTGCTACGGCACCAACGAATGTCTCGCTACCGTACGTGGCTGTAGCAACAGTCCAGCCTTGGCCCTCAAGCTCTCCTTCCACGTACGGGAACTTGTATGTGTGGACGTAGTAGTATTTGCTTTCCGGTCTCAAGTCGTAGAGGCTCTTGCTACTCGAATTGGCGCTGTTCCAACCGATGTGTGGCACCGACTTTTGCGAATCGTCGAATTTGTCGAGACTGCCCTTAATCCAGCCCAAGCCCTGAACCTGGGGATCTTCTAGCGAGCCCTCAAACAAGGCTTGCAGACCAACGCATATTGACATGAACGGCTTGCCAGCTGCTATATGTTGGTTGATGGCCGGAAGGTACCCAGCGGAAGCCAGTTGCGAGAGACAATGGCCAAAGTGTCCGACACCGGGGAGGATCAGCTTGTCAGCCCTGGAGATCTCTTCTGGCGACCTGACCCAAGAGACTGTGTATCCGCATTTCTCGATGGCGTTTGCAAGAGACCGCACGTTACCGGCGACGTAATCGAGAAGGTGGACTTCGGGCATGGTGATGATGACGGACGCCTGGGTTTACAGGAGTGAATGTGTTAAGTGTTGTTGGGTTTGGCGGGCAAAACGCCTCGGAGATGGTGTAAGATTCAATTATAGGTCAGTCGAAGTTCTCGCAACCAGTCATAAACTTTTGTGTGGATATGCGATGTTCGAGATCGGACCGTGTTAGTGAGTCAATCTTGGCCCTGAGATTTGCAATGCAAATTGTTGATGGAGGGGTACCAATTCAACTGCCCCGCCATTGAGGAAATTCTTAGTGCTAGCTAGCAGGCCTTTACGGATTACCTAAGGAGCACTTACTCCGTACAGATCTGTACTGTTGCCTTGAATGCCACCTGCAGCAAGCAAGTGCCAAGAGCAATGCACAGTACCCTAGGTTAGGTTAGGCGCCTGGCGTCCTGTTCTGCCGTCTTTTACCGCTTTTAACGCTTTCGCTTTCAACGCCAATGATCCCCTGCACAGGTGCCCTGGGTTCGTCGAGCTTGGAGTTTAGCGCTACTGCAGACCTGGGTGTGTGTGCATCCCATCCCGTCAATGGAAGATACGGCACAGTGTTGGTGAATGAAACCGACATATGAGACCACAAACTTTATCCATCAAGCTTCCGAATCCCCTCAGTTCTCAATCATCGGCGAATTCACAACAGTTCATCTCGACTCACTGTGTTCAACCTCAATGAACAAAACTAATACAGCCGCCTGCAAGATACAACGCCCAGATGGCTAGCGCTCCAACGTCGGCGGTTCCAGCCGCTGGCGACCATGATGACGATTCTGAATGGGAGTATGAATACTCTGCGACAGAAACAGAGGTAGCCTGTCCCCCTACTGAATAGCCTTGCCACACATCGCTTACGAACGACAGACTTATTATGTGACCTTGGACCTTTCGAAGGCAGACTTTGTGACGCGCCAGCAGTCTAGTGTACCGAGTGGTCGCGGTGGATACAAAGAACGAGCACTCGCGGACATCTTTGCTAGGAAATATGATGACGACAATCTTCCTGCCCCCAAACCCAAGCCATCACATCCAGGCAGAGATCCGCTTGATGAGCCTAAAGGCCCACAGGCCGACTCTCAAGACAAACTATCATACCACGACGTCGTCGACCTGAATGAGTTTCAAATTCTGGAGCTTCATTCGGAAAATCCTCTCGTCTCCTATCGTGGACGCGTCTATGAGGGTCACTGGGCCCAAAACGTTGGCACCGAATTACTGTTCGCCCGACACGATCAAGATAACCCATTACCTGTGGTTCGTCGACTTGACAAGGGAGTCGATCTGCTAGCAGCGAGCTCGGCACGCATTATGCTCACTGAAAAGAGTCTAAAGCCTGCAGCTACAAAGTCTCAGCGACGTCAACCAAAGGTTCGTTTTGATGGCGAGGACTATGAAGGAGAATCGCATCCCACCGTCCCCGATCCAGAACCAGGTGCCTCAGCAGAAAGGTACGAGCAGGGTGATTTCTTGGCCAAGCTGATTGCATTGAAGAGGAAGAGGGGCGATAAGGATGAGGTGACAGTGATCGCCAAATTGCACGAAGAAGGAAAGAAGAAGCCAGGGCAAAAGAAGCCAAAACCTGACCAGGATGAGGAGAGGCCTGCTCGAGGAAAGGGGAGTGGACGCGGCCGTGGTGGGGGAAGGCCGCGGGGCAAAGCTAGAAGCCGCGGCCGAGGACGAGGTCGAAAACTACATTTCTCTAAGGAAGAATCATCAGACCCTGACCCAACCGAGAAGGTCTCCACTCCCATGGACCATAAAAGCACACGGGTTACTCCGAGGAGATGGTCTCAACTCAACAACCCCGATGAAGACGAGAACCAAGATAACTAACTCACAAGGCGGGAGGGACTCGAGGGACAAGCACGCGGGCGAAATGAACTTGGGCGGAGACTACATGTAGTAGTAGACTGACAGTATGACCTCTCAGCCGTTCTGGATGTGCTGTGGTGGTAGCAATGGTTTTTGGAACTGAGGCTCGAGTACAGCGTAAATTGTTCACTCGTTCTGCAACAATTTCCAGGAGTGTGGACATATCTGACTTGACGCAATCTACTCCTTGGGTTTCACCTGTTACGGCAACGGTGTGACTGGAACAACAGCCTACTCATTCTGATCTCATAACATAAAGTCAGATCATGAGGACAAGCTAATCTCCGATGGGATTGATTGAATAGAACCATCTCTGGGGTTCCTCAGGGCCGCTGGAAAATGTTTGTCGAGCTTGGTCCCTTCAGTCTATATTAGCAGATAATACGTATGCAAGCAGTCTTGCTAATAATGAACTTCTATCTATGGATTGGGACGTCTCATTGGCCTTGATACGCCGCACGTCAACGGCTTGCAAGCGGCAGTTTGTGGGCTCGAAATTACCTCATCCTAGATCATGTAGACTGGCAATCATCACACGGAAGATCCATTCCGGAGCTGTACTTGCTCTGGATCGATCTCGTCGATACGGAGACTGCAAATGAACTCTAATCTATGCATTGCAGTGAAGCGAAATAGCAAGGAGAAATAAGCTCGTTGCATTGGCAGGTTCAAGACCCCAACTCTACTTGCATTGAACGCCACATTGTACGGGGACCTCGGGACTCCTCCAACACAACGTGAAGTGAAGTCCTCTTCAATAAGTGGACAGTGGACCATCATGTTGACGTTTTGAATGTAGCTCTAATTCTATCGACGCTGTGCTCGACAATCCATCCACGGCCGACTATCGCAAATTCCTCTGATTGCAACAGGTATTTTCTACGCATGATAATTCATGCACATTTCTCTTCGGCCTATTTCTTGCACATGCTAGACACGTTCATGTTAAAGCACTCAGACGGTACTGCACACGACCCACCATCGCTTGGTCTTGGCCTGGGGTAACAGCCGAGCCGAATCGTGGAGAAAGGGATCGACGGTGTTCTGTCCAATCATTCCCTGAACCGATCAGGCACAACTACCCTATTCGGTACGCGATGCTACCAGCACATCCATCGCTCCAATCGCATCTCAGCCCCTTAAGTTTTCACTGCAGCCAATAGCCCTCGCGGCATACTACTTATGCGGAGAGGCCTAGCAATTATCTGGGGTTTCCTGAACTGTGTGATCTCATGCCGAGATAGTGCAACATGTGAAAAGAATCTGTTTCCATGAGTTAGTATCCTGATTAGCAGTGTAAACCAATAAAGCCCTCTGTACCGGAACAATGCACTGGAAAGAGTACACCGTTCCGCTGTTTGCTGCTGCTCGAATATAGGGAGTGCCTTATACGGGTGCGATCCGACCTTGCTCATCCCGTTTTGTCTTGACAGACCTTCTACACACGTCTTATCCGATTACTTCCTATACTCCTACATTCTACTTGTGGTGACATTCGAAAAGACTAAATAGGAAGTTTATCGGAGGCTTTACCTCTCCGTGGAGACGAAACAGCAACGATGAAATCAGTTATGGTACTCTCCGCGTTCGCCAGCGCTGCTGTCGCTCAGAACTGTTTAGCGGTCGCACTCACAGCCATTCCGGGGTGTGCTCAAAGTTGTATCCTGAACGGAGCGCCATCAATTGGTTGTAGTGGAACGGACTTTGCCTGCCAGTGCGACAAGGAAGCTGCCCTCTACGCAGCGATTGAGGGCTGTGTGAGCTCCGCATGCCCCGAACCGAGTTATCAAGCTGTTATCGATGGCGCCTCATCGGGTAAGTGATGGAAAATCTGATGCGTGGTAAATGGGGAAACTCTGGGGCTAAATGTTTGATATAGTCTGCAACTGTGCGACTGGTGTCGTTATCGCCACTACGACAGATGCACAAGGAGCTACGATGACTGCAACGACCACGTCGACGTCGGCTGGTAATACGGTCATTACGTATCCCACACAGACCTCTGGGCCCGGAGTGACCACGGGTGCAACCACCGGAGCTAGCGGCGCAACCGGAGGAGTAACGGGAACAGCTGGTGGCACTGGTGTCGGTGTAAGTAGCACATCTGTCAGCGGATCTTCCAGAACAGCAACCGGTACAGTGGTTCCGGTCGTAACCGCTGGGGCATCGACGCATAGTGTCGGTATGGTGGGCTTGATGGCCGCTGCTATTGTCGTTGCAGCTATGTGATCACCTCGGCATATTCATGGTAATAAAATCCGACAAGAGTGGAGGGCAAGTCACGATTCATTGCGCAACAAACGACGACCATTCGGCTTGAGGTTGTAAGGATGGGGGGAATTTATGATTCACCTTCAGTGATTTATCTACTTATATGCAACGAAAACTTTGTTCGAAAACGGCTCGTGGTTCTTGGAGCGAGTTATTCTTTTGGGTCTGCACTCTACAGCGAACCTCGGTATAATGCTGACAATGTGTTAATATTCTTCCCGGCCTCGCTTTCGACCCCGACTTTGCTCGATTAGAGATGTCTCCGTAAATCGAAATCGATGAAGTATTCTGGTACCGAGGGGCTGGTTGCTGAAGCATATATTCGAGCTCAGAGGTTTTCTGTGAAGCATAGTCATCAATGGCCACTTACACATGTCATATGATGCGCCCAAGTGAAGGAGTTTCCTGGCACATCGACATACATACATGTACTTCTAATACAGAAGTAATCCATGAAACTTACTCTCTTTCTTACTTGAATACCATTTCATATTAATTTGTTTCATATTGATCGGCATTTTGGCAAAGGTGTGCCTCTAAAAACTTTACCCACTGACCAACAAACCCATCATGTCGCCTGGCACTGACAGGTGTTGAGATTCTCGGTTGTGGGTCTTCCTTTCTACCTTTGTCCGGTCTGGCACAACTACTCCTATCGCCTGGAAATCGACAAGTTCCTAAAAGCGTCAAATACATGGCCTTCGTCCCGGATCATAGGCTTCTCAAAATTCAACTAACAACCCGACTTCTCAGACAGACCTCGCGTCTGTGTATTAACATTGCATGGGTCCTATATTTTGCAACGAAGCAAAGAGCCCTGAGAAAGAGAGAGTCTCGTTCTCGGAATTGTCCAATCTTGCTCGGCTGTCGGCCGTGCCTCCCGTCTTTTCGTAGCCGTCGCCGGTCGCGGCTCCACAAGATAAGATTGAGTTATCTGATCCTGAAATTATATGGGTCGGCGTACGTGGGCAACTCCCGTCTGGGCTCCACCGAGTGGGCTTTGAAGGCGCGGAAAGGACCTGTACTAACCTGATTTCTTGGAAGATCTTCGTGATGAAAAGTAATGAGAACTGCCTGAGGGTACGTGATAGTCTGTGGATCTGGTCTTGATGTTGCCGATGCCGGCTAAAATGGACAGGGTGAGCGAAATGCGTGGGATCACTGAGATCGCATTCGGCCTCTTTATAGTCGGCGGAATGCATAATCCTCAGGTCTCAGGTACTTTGGTCTCAGTTAAATCGAAGTGTATGCAAATCGTAGTCAAGGATCAGGTTACGCTTTTACGTTGCGATTCACGTCGTGGCACTCGTCGATATGTCAAGTCACTAAGACGACCAGTCTCGAAGTCCGCAGAAATCCAGTCAAGCATCAGAACCATGTCGATCACGGCAAAGTTTATGTGGGCCATTGCGTGTTTAGGTAAATGGTTCATACTTGATGCTACCCGCCCTGCACTGCGTATGTGACATCAAGTTCTTAAGATGCTACCTTTGCGTGGGACTCAACAAGGGGATCGCCAGTGGAGTAAAAATATTGTAGTTGGCGAGATCGGACCTGCACTGGAGGTTTTTGTAAATATGAACCAGGCCGTTCGACCTCGAGCACGCAATATGTAGAGGGTTTGTTGCAATACTATAGAGAGTTCTGGGCACCACAATTTGTCTCTATTCGACGATTCATCGGAAATCAGAGGTGTTTAACATAGATACACGCTGTACAACATGGCACTGAATCCATTCTCATCCAAACCTCCAACTGATATCTTTACTCGGCAAGATAGCACAATCGACCGTAGAGGAAAATGTCGCACGGTGCCAATGAGCGTCCTTGCGTTGGGCATGGGTCGAACGGGAACAACATGTGCGTATGCGGTTGTTCACTTGCGAGGTCACGTTTTAGATCTGATGCTGACTATGCCCATGAACTGTAGCTCTTCGAGCAGCTTTAAAACGTCTAGGTATAGCTAATACTTACTAACAAGACAAACGAAAACGACTAATATACAATTCAGGTTATGAGGATACCTACCATATGATGAGCGCTAGTGTCGAGAACCCATTGGATTGTCTATTATGGCAACAAGCCTTCGCCGCCAAGTATGATGGCGTTGGAACTTTCGGTAGACGAGAGTGGGATCAATTGTTGGGTCATTGCCAAGTAAGCCTAGCTACACGACGAAGCGCTCTTCTTCGTACAGGTTTCGCCGTGCTTCTAACACTAAATATAGGCGGTGTGTGACTGGCCCGCAATTGCGTTCAGCGAAGAGCTTATCGCTGCCTACCCCGAAGCCAAGGTCGTTCTCCCGTCACGCGATGTTGACTCATGGCATGCCTCGGCCCTCAGCACGGTGTGGTGGCGCGTCACGGACCCCGAGCTCAAATACGCCTCTTATGTCGACTGGGCAGCCAGCATGTACTACCCCATGCTAAAAAGGTTCTTCGATGTTTTCTTCGATGGCGATTTTCCAAATCGCGGAAAAAGTAAATATCAGGAGCACTACGACATGATCCGAAATATTGTGCCGAAAGACAGGCTGCTGGAATATCATGTCAAGGAAGGATGGGGACCACTCTGTGAATTTCTCGATCGACCAAAGCCGATGGAGAAGTTCCCATGTGTGAACGATACGGGAAGTTTCGTCTCACGTTGTCGTGCTCGGAACAGGAGACAGATTGCAAACGGGCTATTTCGATATCTGGTTCTTGGTTGTTGCTGTTGGGCTATTGTTTCCATGATATTCGCTTTCTTGGAGAGACGGTGAACAGTCACGATGGATATGGAGGATGGAGGCTGAATCATGTTGAGCTCTAGTTTAGCCGTATACTACGCGGTATTAGTGAAAGGTTAACATCAATCGATTAACATTGTCCCTGACGGTTTGATAGACGACACAGTAGACTGTTGAAGTGAGGCGACATGCATAAAATATTTGGCGAGAGGTACCTGACTACCTGAACTCAACAGATTAACTCTGATTAGGGACGTCACGAACAAAGCCTCAACATGCCTCCATCATGCAAGAATTTGATTCGTCTGAACACACTTGCGATCGCCAATAATGATTCCTTAGAGGAACGATCAGCCAATGATGTTTGGCCCCCACTCTGGGATGTCACACAACTGATATTGCTGAAAAGTGTTGGTAATGCATTATAGTTGTGCTTGCAGGAAAACGTGGCACCAGCTATGGTTGGTCAGCTTCGGCCAATGAATGTGTGAAGGAATGCGTTACTGCCCAAAGCCCCTCTCTGTCCAACATAACCAAAGAGTATATATGTATTGGGCCTACAGCTGCTTCATTAAATGGCGGGAAAGGAAGAACTTAAGGCTTATCCGCTCACCGAACATTCCTAAATGCTGTGCTGAAAATACATTCGATCTGTTGAGTCACTCCTAGGTCTAGGCTCTCATACATGATCTGCAGCCCTGCAAATTCGGAGCGAAAACATTGGCGGCTCTCCGTCATTAGAATGCATCATTCAAGCCGTGGGTCCCGAGTGCGTACAAGCAGACATCGATCTGACAGCACCAAAGCTACCAAGGTCCAATAGTGCCAAATCTATACCCTGGTCGTTGTCCACGGTGCACAATGGGGGGGATCCTTAACCGGCCGGTCGCATTAGAAACCAGGTTTTACAGGCAGGCCTCAATTTTGCGGATCTGTTCAGTATCAAACTCGGGACGAACCGCAAAACAGCCTCGTTCTAGCCATGCATGGCACAGGGTGAAGTGACAGGTTCCCCAGTGATCAACCGCAGAGAGGCGCGCTATAGCGTTCTCCGCGCTCTCGAGACCAGGCAACAAACAGGCAAACAAACATGCGCTGGCAAGGCTTCCCGCTGGGCGAACTGGTGCGCCGGTCAGATTGCTCTGAATATACTCCACTTGGAGTGCCAAAAAAAGCTACGAAGGTTGCATCCGTTAAGCAATTAGACATGATTGATGCCATAGATTGGGGCTGTTCGCTGCACTGATAGTGGCGCAGGGCATTTCCAGGCAGCCATCGGCCAATTAGAGCACAACGTTCGACCGCACATAATCTTCAATAGTCCTACAAGCTAATACTGCTCGTGCGCATATATGGAAATTACTCAAACAACGAAATCACGCTCGGTTGAAATTCGAGCTTGGTGTACTGGTCCAACTCCAGTTCAATACAGGGCATAACTTCCCTGTCAGCGTTCTGCAACCAGCTCCGTGGAAGGATCCTATCATAAAATGGCCTCATGTGTCCGGGAAAATGAACGAACCAATGGCCGGCCGTGGCGTACTGTCTTTGTCTGCCTCCATCCTATGCATCACAAAGACCTCACAGCCTATGAAAAACGGCCAGCCCTGACTCAACGCTGTAATGCAAGGAAACACATAGTTTGTGGGGTTTCGGCTTAAAGCTAGATGCAATTCAGGATCTATAAGTTCGATCATGTTCAAACTGGCCCTGGTGGCCAAGGCCGTAGATGATTGCTCGAACTGTCAAGGTGTGTCAAGGTAAATTCACCGAGCACCGAGATTGACTATTTGAGTTTGGCCACGTTTTCTCGAGCTCATGTAGGCGCCTTTTGTCACATTCTTTTTCTTACAAGACCTGTACCCCTGGTCTGCTCATGATTAGCGAGTCTGGAAAGAGGCTATGTCTATAGCAGTAAACAATACGCTAGGTCGACAAAGAGACACTTCCTGCAGCTATTTACTTGAACTTCTGAGCCCACGCACTCAAGGCCCACCTATCGAGTTTCACGACCGAATGTAGCCACTGTTTCAAAACAATAATATTGGCATATCTACACCGACAATGTACCAGGGTGAGATCACCATAACTCGCAAGCCTCGTTCCTTATCACGCACCGTACGCCTCAGGTGAGAGGCACTCGAGTCCCACCTCGCCTTCCTTTACTGCACATATGCTTTGATTTGAGGCTCAATTCTCAATCTAGCATCACCAATGTTGCACATATATCATCAATCATTTTTGCCCAATTCCGGTCACTTCAGTTTTGATAACACAGGACTACTTAGATTATATTGACCACTCACTTTGAAAGTCTTCGTCACCTCATCGCACAACCTTCAGGGCACGGCCAGCTTAGTTCGATCGAAAGTTCTTATTTGTTCTGCCGCAGTTTGCTTGCCCTTAACAACGACCTGTTGGTGTTACTAGATCAGCGGCTGGAAATTCTACTGGCTTGACTGAGCAGGCCGGTCAGCATTATAACTGTGGGTGGTCACCTCTTCTCACCATCAAGCCGGGTTCAACAGTACGGTTTTGCGTTACGACAGACAGAAAATAACAACTTATTCCCGTTCCCAAGTCGGGCCCCACAATAGCTTATCAACCAATCCCAAAACATGGACCAACCCAAGACTCACTTTTACTATTCAGAAGATCTTACTCTCAATACCATAGGGGCGTTTGTGCCCTCGGGCCAGAACAGCGCTCAGGGCAAAGGCCATAACATGAGTCGTGGTCCGTCAAACGGGTCATACATCTCGAACAACTCATACACCACTTACAGCCCCGTGTCAACACAAAACGGCAACTTTTCACCGGCGACTCCAGAAATTGAATTCGATATGTCAGCGCCGTATGAGTACAGTGATATAAACCATGATCGATGCATGGATCTCGACGGTTACGCGGAGCCCGATGGATACTTGACTGAATACGGGTGCGATGACGACTATGCTCATCTTGGGAACATGGACACATCACATGGGTTATATAATGTAACGAATAACAACTATTCGTATGCATCCCATATGGGGTCAATGGAGATCACGTACGAAGATGACACTATGTAAGCTAGCTAAATCCTATCAAATGCCAAGCACGACTAACACATCGTTCAAAGTCCACGAATGCCGGTGATGCGTGCTACAATACCGGAACCTGAGCATGCCAATGAAGGACACATGTGCCTCATTCCAGCGTGCAATTCAAAGACGGTATTCAAACGCAAGGCCGACCTCCAGCGTCACTACGACCAAGTACATCAATCATCACATCTGAAAAAACAATACTTCTGTGACTATCCAAGGTGCGAGCGTAGCAAGGAACCCTTCCACCGAATGGATCACTTTCGCGATCATTACCGTGACTTTCACAAAGAGGATCTACCACGCAAGAGTGGTGAGAGTAACGAATGGTATGCAGAGAAAGCAGAGAAAGCCTCGAGGAAGTGGTGGCGATGCACCAAGTGTTTGACCAAGATCGCCATTAAGGACTACGCGTTCGTGTGTATACAGTGTAACACGCCTTGCGATGCGCCACGACAAAGCATCAGGGGATATCAATAAGCTAGCGGTCCTTTCTTTTGACGAAGCACTCCACTCCGAAGGCTTGAGCGACATTTTCTAACCATGTCTCGTCATACTGGAGGAGTGTCTCAACACGGCTTCCTCATTCTACGCGTGATTGCTATCATTGTTTTTATACGACCATTTTTGATACCCCATCCACTTCTACTTCTCGCCGTCAAGCACTCGCTCCCATCTCTTCCACAATAACACCAAAAGATTACGAGTTTTACGACTTATCTGGGTTTCCTTTACCGGTGTTGCATGGGTTGTCTTTCGTTGTTAGGGCCTGGTATTGGTGTTGTCGTACGCTTCTCCGTCGGTCAACATACGGGAAGAGGTGGATTCGTGATTTGTATCTCGTGGCGTCTTTTTGTTCCATTTCCTACGTCTTGTCAATGAGGCTGTGTTTATTCTATCGGTTTTAAGGTTCATGGGCTTCTACATATAAAAAAAATGCGGCGGCGCGGGGCTTCACGTTGCTCAGCAAGGAGATCTGGAAAAACCCCTGAGCATTTAATTGGTCAGCTGGAGGGTTTTGTGTACGGGTAGGTTACTCAAATAGGGAACTGTCATCCTGCAGTGGCGGAGGGAGTGCATCGTCGTTCACTTTGGAGGAGGCCGTACGTTATGCATGGCAAGGCAGCCTAACAGGCTGAAGCGCCTCAATGCGGTTCGCCAAGATCGCGCATGAGAAGTTGCCTTAATTTTAGAGACACGGGATCACTCTCAGCCCATTGTTGTTGAAACTGGCGTTTAGATAAAAGCATCGAATGGATACCGTCCGTAGAAATGCGAATGCCATTGATCTTGGATTCGTAGCAAATACAATAACGTTTAATCAGTATAATCTCAGAGCTTTTACATAATAGCGCATGACGTCCCAGCGCAATAGTGTTCGGCTTGGACGTTCGCTAACTGCGGTGATTCTGATTGTACCTGGGCCGAAGCCACTCAAGCTTTTCGTGCTGGCGCTGATCTTAGAGTTTGTTCTTTGCCTACCTAATAACAGTTCGTGACACATGCCAATTGTTTTGACAGATGCTTCCCCTTGGATCATCCGCGTCATGTCCAAACTCTCACTCTTCATATGAATACTCCCGTCGTGCGACTTTGCATTCCAGTTCCATCCAAAGTATCTTGTCCATAACCTTCACCGCGGCACTCGCCGGCCACTCATTTAGGCTAGGCCATTCCCCGCAATCGTCATTCCATGCGTTTACTATGTACGTACGCGACTCGTGCGTGGAATGTCCCATTCTTCCCTCAGCTGCGTCAGACCCTTGGGATGCCATATGCTCTCCGCAAATCGGCAGAATGTGTGGATCGAGAGACCCCTGGCAAAACCCAGGTCGCCAGCCAGGCCCCTCTTTTGTAGTCAAAGATTTTGCCAGTTGTAACCGCAAGCGGACGTATCACCAGCTTGGTTGCTTGGTTACTGTTACAGCAGCACAACCAACCTCCGATTCTGCTTCTGAGACCTGATCTGAGCTCGACTCAATTGAGCTCTCAAAACCCCTCAAATCCAAGTGAGAGACGGTCTCTCATATATACCCGAGGAAAACTACACAGTTGAGCAAAGGGCTTTGTGTCTCTCTGGATATAAATCCGTCTTTTCCTGTTCAGGGCTTGCGTCAAAGCTCCGGCCATTCGATCCAAACTCAAACGGTGTCTCCTGCGATTGTACATGTAGCTGTCCAGAGCTATTTCAGCTCCAATTACCTACTCAAGCAGCTACTCGGCCGGCTCCTAATCTGTCGCAACGACCGAATATCTACGAGCGGCTATTAAAATAGCTGTTCCCCGAACCACCCACTTCCGAGATCAAATACCCGGTTTCTTCCTCGGCTCTCAGACTGCAGTCTTGCAACCCACCGCCGAGTATACTTTTCTAGCTTCGGTATAAGATCCCCCGTCCGTCCTTCCGATTCTATATTCACCATGAATACCATTTGCGCATCCGCCGCGCGATCGATCCGGCCAACCACCTTCTCCAAGACCGCGTACCGTCCCGTGTTCCGTGCAGCCGCTAGACCTGCAGTCCCCGTTGCTTTCTTTCACATCACCCGACAAAACATGGCGGCGCAAAAGATCAAGGTCAAGAACCCTGTGGTGGAGCTTGACGGTGATGAGATGACCCGCATCATCTGGCAAGATATCAAGGACAAGTTCATTCACCCCTACCTGGACATCGACCTCAAGTATTATGACTTGGGCCTGGAGTATCGTGATGAGACCAACGACCAGGTTACCATTGATGCTGCCGAGGCTATCAAGAAATACTCCGTAGGTGTCAAGTGTGCTACCATCACTCCTGATGAGGCGCGTGTCAAGGAATTCAACCTCAAGCAAAGTAAGCCTCCCCGCTCATCATGCCTGAACCTTCCCCAGCATTGCAGTCTCACTGCATCCCGTCCTGCACGATAGTCAGCCCCGCATCATGCATCGAAGCGCCTCTCCACAGCCTCACCCTTTCCATGCATGTGCAAACTTTGTTGTGTGGTGATTGCTTACAAGCCCTCTCCTGCGTGTAGTGTGGCTTTCACCAAACGGTACTATTCGCAACGCCCTGGGAGGCACTGTCTTCCGCGAACCTATTGTGATCCCGCGTATCCCTCGTCTAGTACAAGGATGGAAGAAGCCCATCATCATTGGCCGCCATGCTTTCGGTGACCAATACCGAGCAAAGGACAAGGTCATCTCCGGTCCCGGAAAGCTGTCAATGGTCTTCACTCCCGAGGGCGGCAAGCCTGAGGAGATTGAGGTCTTCCAATTCAAGAACGGCGGTGGAGTTGCGCAAACACAATACAACACGGATGAGAGTATCACTGGGTTTGCTCATGCCAGCTTCAAGCTTGCCCTCCAAAAGGAGCTTCCTCTGTACATGTCCACCAAGAACACCATTCTCAAGAAGTACGATGGTCGCTTCAAGGACATCTTCCAGGAGATCTACGAGGCTCAATACAAGAAGGACTTTGAGGCCAAGAACATTTGGTACGAGCACCGTTTGATCGATGACATGGTCGCTCAGATGATCAAGAGTTCCGGTGGTTATATCATGGCTTTGAAGAGTGAGTGAAATTGGATTTTCTCAATGTTGTTGTCATCGCTAACCTTCCTACAGACTACGATGGTGATGTTCAGTCCGATATTGTTGCCCAAGGTTTTGGTTCTCTGGGTCTCATGACCTCAGTCCTCATCACACCTGACGGCAAGTCTTTTGAGTCTGAGGCTGCCCACGGCACAGTCACGCGTCACTACCGTGAGCACCAGAAAGGTCGCGAGACCTCTACAAACCCTATTGCCTCCATCTTCGCCTGGACCCGTGGTCTGATCCAGCGTGGAAAGCTGGATGAGACTCCTGAATTGGTTGCCTTCGCTGAGTCCCTTGAGCAGGCTTGCATTGACACCGTCGACAAGGACGGTATCATGACCAAGGATTTGGCCTTGGCTTGCGGGAAGACTGGTCGTGAGGACTACGTCACCACCACCGAGTACTTGAACGCCGTTGAGAGGAGGATGAAGAACCTTCTCAAGGAGAAGTTATAAATACCCCTAAGGTGTGGAGGTTTATCTTGAAGTCAGTGGTAGAGCATACAGTAACCACCGAGACTTATTAAGATGTATTGGCCTGAGTATCGACATTGATTTATTCGTTTGCATAGCATCGCATTCGTACATTACTGGTACAATTTAAAGGTCTGTAAATAGGGCGCTAGCTTCTGGTAAATAAGAGCATTTCGACATGATTGATTGTTACTTCGAGTTTCCCGAGCCCATTTGCACAAGTTGCTCTGCATGTTGTATCCTTACTCGATGCAACTTATGTAATTCGATCATCGATATGCGCTGGAAACCAAGACTGTACCCCCCGCACCTTTTTGTCTCAGTCTTGCCCTGTCTCGTTGCTTGATCTGGCCATCGCCCACCCCTTCCGCACCGCAATGCCAGAAGCTAGTTTTATGGCATGACTCCGTGTGAATCTGGAAATTTGGCAGGGCAGAATCAGTCCGCATAACACAAGAAGTGTTCAGTCGCGAGGTCTTGATGCAGAGAACTCGTCATCTCGGCTAGATCTTGTACTCACAGAATAATGAGAAACCGCTACCGCCTCTGGAAATGCTAATGGTGTCAAAGGGCGTCACACTCTGACAGTAATATTTGATGTTACTTAGAATTTTTTTGAGAATTATGTATCACATGTAACGAGCCGCGAATTTTCCAATGCCTGATGCCCCTAACCATACCCTTCAGTCCCAGATACATAATGAGGAGTTATCAGGCCTTCTCATCATCTCCTCCTGTAACCTCCCAGAGATTCTTCCACTTTCTCCATAACTAGTACATGGGCATTCTGCCGGCAAAAAGCCCAAGCAGGCGCTACGCCATGCCACCTATTCTGGTTGCAATTCGATGAGTAATAATTGCATACTTTCGTAGCATTATCCTCCATACATACTGGTGGTTTTCTCGAGGTAGCCCAATTCGATGCTGGGATCTCCTCGAGCACATCGATCAGAGAACTTCTTGGTTGCATACATCTTTGAAATCCTGGCCCGAGGGGCTTTGCTTCTACCTAGAGTTGATTTATTGAAAGCATTGCCTGCACAAGGTCACTCATTACTCCATGACTCCATAATAACCAATAAATTCATGTTCGGTCATTGGGGATGGTCAGTCCAATGCAGTAACCCTTCGGCACAACCCTGAAGCTTTTGTTAGAAGTTCTCGTGAATGCCCCTCCACTTGGCTTCCGCTTTCTTCAATAAAGCCTAAATAGATGTTTATCTGCGACGACATTGCAAGGTCTGGCAAAAGATGGATGATAATAATAGGCGGTTATCATGTCATGATCTTAGGAGAGGACGTGGCCGCTCATCAAGAGACTCCGACACAAACGGGCCTCCAACAAGAGCGCTTTTCTAATTATGAGAGAAGCCGAGAAGATGACCGTCAAAGAAGGTCAAATGACTAATTATATGCACCATAAATCGTTTATAATACCACAAACTACTACCAGGAACCTTCTGGTGAAGGTGTGTATGGCTGACATATTCAAATAAGCCGAGAGCCGGCCAATCACCAGTCATATTCGAGATATGGATGGAATCCTCGAAGCAGGACTCCTACATATCTCAGATAAGACACTCGGGACTGCAATAGATCCTAACACCTCCCGGACAGAGATGCGTATAGTACTGCTCATCAAGGACATTTAGATGCTCGAGGCAGAAGCACGTCTCGCCTTCCGCGAGGTGAAACCGGAATCGGGCAAGAATCCGTCGTACAGGAAGAACGTTACTGTAGGCTCCCAGAGCCATCGCCTAACGTGGAAGATACTACACTGCTGCCCCTCGAAGATCACTGGGTGCTGTACCTGCTATGGACTTCAACACTAATTACATCAACGTGGGTTTCCATCTCACCCCACCAGTACCAACCAATCGACATAACATATTCCATAGGTCATGTAGCCAGATCTATGACCCGGCATTCTGTCGGTGCCCTCTTTCCAAAGTTGTGTTGTCGCGCTGTTTATGGTATGGTGGCTGCGATCATAATGTTGTAGTATGTGCCTATTTGCCATTATACTTTACAGAAGCAGACCGTCGAGCAATCAAGGAATACGTACTGGTATACGCGCGACAGGGCCTAGCATCTGTGCCGTCCAGAGAAGATATGAGTTTTTCTTCTTTATTTATTTAACGCCGATGTGGTGGCTGCGTAGCAAACCGGCGCATGCTCTCAGGAGCAATGACGCGTCGCTAGTGATTTTAATATACACATAGAGGAAAGACCAAGGTGAGCTAGTTTTCTACACCTAAGAAAAGAAAAGAGGCCAAATCATGCTTCAAGAGGATTCTATTCCGATACATTCTATCGCGATATCTCAATTTAAGAAGACTTGAGTGGAGTACCCGCTGGGCCAATCTGTAGCTAGGGCTTACGAGACGCTTCAAAGCGAGCGTAACAAGGAGAATCGCCGGCATCCGTGCCAGGAAATATTTGACTACACGCAATTAAGGGCCGTAGAAAAGAAGCTCAACTCCCTTCTATGAATAGAACACTTAATCAGTACTCAAATAGTGGTCCACTCCCGAATCGCAACTACGATGAACACTCTTTGTCAACGAGCAAATCCCTAAGACTGCTGGTGGTATCTTTGCAGAACCATCCACTAACTTAACTTGCCCTCCCCATTTCATCAACCGTGAGCACCGCTCGGTCATAATTCAACTCGGGGCCGAAAGTGAGAGCACGAGCAGATCAAGATAGAGAAAAGGCAAAATGGCCCAAAACAAATATGAGGCTATGTAGAGCGTTGCCTAGTCTACTATCAACTTAACCATTAACTAGTGTATCATTACTATCGCGACTCTCCACTTGGGATTGTTTGGATCCCTTGGACTCGAGAATGATAACTGAGGAACCCAGTCATCCCCTACGTCGTTATGTAACAAGACAAAGTGATATGAGACTCAAAGATCGCTAACCTGCCCTATTAGCGCCAGGCACCAACGCCTGAAGCCCTTGGCGATGGAAGGTCGCACAGGCAAAGCCATCTATATTGAGGATTTTCTTCTGATGGTTTGGGGTGACAACTCTTATCTCGAAGCTGAGGCTGAATTGTGTTGAGCAAAACGACACCATTTTCATTCTAAACAGTCGGACTAAGTATTAATCTAAACATAGTTCTTGCAAAGATTTTATCAAATGCGTTACAATCTATGTAATAGTATGTGTCCATGTTGGCGTACGTCTGTGATTAAGCTCTGCTCGACTACGTTGATCTCCCTGAGCATTGCGTACGTACTAATGCTGGTTATAGTCTCCTCAAGACGAAATGCACTCGAACAACACATCATTCCCGGTTGCAGAACCAAGTCTACTGCTCTCTAGTCACGGTGCAGTTTCTTTCTGGAATCAAGTTTGGTTCAATATGTCAATAAGGTCCGGCTTATATACAAAAGTGAAGTAGCCCTTGACTGCACGTCACCTCATGTTTCCATGCGATGACTGTGATTTTCCTCCGCTGATACTCATCCCCGGCATAAAGTTTATTTACAAGAAGTGCCCGAAAGGCTTGGTGCAACTATTACAGAAGCTGAAGAACGATCCGAAAATGGGGAACGCTGTAGGCTGAAATGCCACGAGGGAACATTTAAAGGGTTTGGCCGGCAGTTCCAGGGATTGTGCTCGCCACGGAGCCGGAGCCAAGAGCCGTGATGGTGTCGTAAGGGAACGAGCTGGCAGTTAGGGTACCCTCGGGGGCAGAGTTCTCGGAGCCGCCAAGGTCAACGTCGTCAAGGACGGCGTAGCCGGTGGTGTCGGAATCGGCGGACTCGACGGCCTTGGTGGCGGAGTCAACAAACGCGGAGCTCTGGATCAAGACCTGGGCACCCATGCGGGTGTTGACACCAGTGCCGAGGGCACCCTCCCAGAGGTTGTTGATGATGTGGACGGTACCGAAGCGGACGGAGGGCTGGCGAGAGTTGATGTTCTTGAAGTAGTTGTTGGCGTAGGTGACGTGGAGAGTGCCGGTGTCCTCATCCGAGTTGCTGTCGGAGTGGCCAACCAGGGAAGCCTTGTAGTGGTCATGGAGGTAAGTGTTGGAGATGGTGACCCACTCAGAGGCGTGGGTGACGTCAAGAAGACCGTCGTAGTAGTCCTTGCCGTTGTCAAGGTCGGAGGACAGGTCACAGTGGTCAACCCAGACGTTGGTGGAGGCCTGGATGCCGATGGCGTCGCTGTTCTCGGCAAGAACCTTGGAGAGCTTCAGGTTACGCAGGATGACATTGCTGACGCCCTTGACGTAAAGACCAACACCCTGGATGGAGGAGCCGGACTCGCCGTAGATGGTCTTGTCAGAGCCAACACGGATCTTGGAGGCACCGGTGAGGGCACCGGAGACGATGATGGTGTAGGGGTCGTCGCTCTCGGCGTAAGTGGTCAGGTCATCGATAGTGGTGACGGTGACAGTCTCACCAGCAGCACCACCAGTGGTACCACCGTTCTCGGTACAGTAACCAACGTCACAAGCATCGGTAGCAGCACGGCGGGCGATGGCGTTCTTGAGGTTGGTAGGGGTGGCGGAGGCAAGGGTGGCCAAAAGCGCAGCAGCGGCAGTAAACTTCATTTTGAATAAGTTGGAAAGAGAGACTCGCGACTTGCGCTGAGGTAAAGAATGTGTTTAAGGGTTGGGTTGGAAGAAAAAAAGAATGAATGGTGGTCAACTGTGAAGATTGGCTGAAGAACAAAGATCACCATGTTTTCGGTTGGACATCGACATGTCTTATACTCACGATATAGTCTCTGCTTCCATCCGTTTCAACAGCCCTAGAACCAAATTGTTCTTGGCTTTGGGTCACATTGTTCCACCACTCAGGAGAGTCTAACCAGGAAAATCGATTATGATGATCTACAGGATATGGCGTGGATCTGCCAAGTCTCTGGGATATAGTTCTTCGCTTCGAAAGAGGTTAGTAGCAAAGGGGCACAGCGCGATGTTGATGCATTCGGACAATGTTTTCCCTATGGATAGCACCAAAGAACAGTGACCAAAGACGACCAACAGGCCATACGGAGAGATTCCTGCACCTTAGCGCCGACAGGGTGTACGAATCCCTTTTACTATGCGGCTGATGGATCTAGGGATAGTGCGGTCGTCTGCCGGCCCCTGATGGAGTTGGCGCCTCCATATAAATTAAATTCCGAGGAGTTGGGTTTAGTTTCACGTTGAAGTCGTTGAATTAAAGTCTTGGCAGGCCCATCTAGTGAGCTAGTAGCCTTGGCGGTATTAACAGATATACGAACTCGAACCTGTGGGGGAGGAGGCCCAGTATTAACGGTCAGGGGGTCTCGTTTTCTGAAACAACAAGTGGTAAGTTAGCCTCCCGATCCCTTCGGTGCGATCCGAACACGCGAGTGGTGAAAAAAGATGGGATGATTATCAAGAAGGTGTGGGTGCCATCGCTTCTTCGCTTTTTGAGCTTCATGTTGAATGAAGCGAGTCATAAGTTGGAAGCAACTATCGCACTAATGACTTGTGGATGGCAGGGTATGATGGTGTTTGTATTCTTCCGCATTAATCTTTTCGATTACGGCCAAGACTTGCGTGATACAGACATATTGCGCTGATCTCATTGACCCCAACAAACTTTTCTGGATTATGGGTCGTACATCTTGCAGGACTCTACAGACAACGCTCTGTGCCCAAGTTGTCGCGTCGTCTCATTTTTTCTATCGAGGGATACCCGGTACCCAGAGTTACGCCGGATATAGCCGTCATAGTTTCGACCGTAAATCCGATGATGTGGCGGACCCATTTGCTATGTACCCATGAATATGATCCGCTCAGCGCGGACCCGAGCGGAACGAAGCTGAGCTTGATGGTCTGGCTGATATTTCGAAGATACTGTATCTAATGGAAAACACAACCTCCCTTATCTGAATACCCTTTTTAGGGTTTTCTGTCCAATCTTATCTCTTGTGTCCGTCATCGTGGAGCATGAGAAATAATTAAGAATATAAATAAATAATAAACCAAGCTAGTAAATGCCAAGTTATATCAGCCGCTGCACTTTTGTACGTTATTGTTGATACATAGCAAATGTCTTCGATAGAGAGTCTGTTTCAGGTGGAGGATCTCGTTGAACATGTTTGTGCAGATGATTAGTTAAGTAAGCGGCAGATTCCATTCCTAGGTTTCCTCCGCTCCTAGGTCAATTATTAGTAACCACGATCCATTTGAGAGGCCTCCCAAGCCTTTGGGTTATTATCTTATAACCGGTCATCGCCGTTAAACGCACGATAAGACGTCGAGCACACGAAGTTTTCCGTTATATATGATATATACCCAAAATGGTCAAAGAGATGGTACTTAGTCAGTGTCGAGAATGCATACTGCATGCTTTCACGTAAGCTCAATAAGGCGCCCCCTAACAACGACCGAGGCTCAAATTTACGGCGGCCCGCTCTGCAGATGCACTATCAAGCGGTCACTCTTGACAGACCACTGTACAACACTATGGCCGAACTAGCACAGGAACCATCGTGGCAAGCTATTGATACAGGGAAACACGAACTCGCCTAAACTCAAGCATTCAGGTCTCACCACGATAACCTATCATATCCCATGTCATGCTACTATATTTTCGATGGAATGCCGTGCTGAATCTAACCCTTCCACCCCCCCTTCATGAAGTTTTGAGGGCTCCGCTCGTTCATGGTCTTCTGACACGCGGGTCAAAAACGAAGCATCGCTTTCGTTATTTTCGGCACTACCTTGGTGATACATCAACGTTCTCACCTTGGATTTCCAGAGCGCAACGGGATTGCAAACATCGATTCAGGTTCTTAAGAGTCCGGTTGGAAAATGGTATTAAGTGCTAAATGGCAAATACCTCATACGCAACCAGATGCTCCGATACATTACTCCGAATGTGGATTCTTCTCGTGGAACGACTATGTGATAATTGACTGGAAATAATGACAGCCCGAATATATATATACAGCTCGAATCAGCGAATGATCTCACCATAGCCCGTGGCCTAGCAAGAGTGCCAAAGCGCGATGACACTCGCCTAATCATCACGATCTGCCAGCAATGGAACCTCAAGACTCAAACGTAACCAGTTAACCACTTCATGGGACCAACAAACTCTGCGAGGAGTGGTGGATGGCGGCAATATGCAAACAACCCGTGATCCATGACCAGCCTATCCCGTGCAATAACAACACCTCGTATCATACTGCGCATAGGTCCCAACAATATACTTCCTGCACTGGTGCTTGTCGCACTTCTTGGGCTCGTGTCGCATGCACTCTGTAGTGTCGGTCATGACACTAAACTTCCTCTTGCCGCTCTTCGAGGGAAGGTCGTTACCATCCAAAGGCCGACTGCAGATCTCACAGACGTTGAGCATATAAAAGCAGTACTGCTCGAAATTGTAATGCGGGTCTTTAGTTTTCAGGTCCTCGGAGTTTTTGTAGAAGACTCGTTGATAATAGGGCAAGGAGCTTGTTGCCATGGCACTGCCCAGTGTCTCACAGGGTCGACTACGATCTCGAAGAAGTGTTAGCCACGCATGCCATGTAGGTTCCGAGAGTCATACTTTGGTTTCTGATACATGGCCTGCCTGATTCTGATATATGTATAGGACTTCAACCGCAAAATTTGAGCAAGTATTGTGAGAGTAAAACACTATGAGCCTTTTGAATATAGATTCAATCTTTAGCTTGATTCAAGACGACTCATGCCCAGATAAAGACAACGTCTTGAGCCTACATAATTGATTGGCTCAAATATGTGATTTGAAGGACGCAGCACCTCATCCCATTCATTGTCTGATATGGTCCACTGATGAGGCGAGGCGACTATTAATCTTCCAAAATCTCGCAACCCAAAATCTCGCAACCCAAAATCCCGAGAAATGAGCATGAGACAGTGTTGACGATGGTCGTTGGTCGGAAATTCGACATGAGAATTACCGCCCAGTAGGAGAACGCCGTCAGTCTAGACAGCAGAATGCAGCATATTGGCACGTTATACCGATAGTATCCCAAGTGCGACATCAACGCCGGGCACAAATCTTTTTCCGGCCAGTTGAACATGATCAATTTAGGCGGAGTGCCGAACTTACGATCTGCAGCATGCCGGTCGGGCGTTGAGCTCGTCTCTGTGGACAGGTCTAGACCAAATGCGGAGCACGTAGATCTGGGGTATAAAGGAGCCTGAAGAAGTAGAGAACAGCTCTTGAGTGGCTCAATGTAACATCGATACTTCGCGCATGCATGAGTTTTGGCGACAAAGTGCATATGCAAGCCTATCAACAACAATATCATCCATTGTTGGTGCCACCTCAATCATGTCGAGCAATAGTTGTCGCAATTGCAGCTTTTATCAACAGACTAACCGAACCACGAAATATACTTGATATCGTTGTACGTCAATTACCCAGACGGAGAGATAATACCCTCAATGTGCTATTGTTTCACAGCGTCAAAGATATATTAGACCTTGCTGGTGTTAGACACTTGGGCAGGCCTGTGTGAGGTGTTAAGTATGGAGCTGTATCGATTTCGATTTACCATGGTGCACAACGCAGTGGAAAGGATGCCGATTCGGTAAAGCTCATCAAAGCAAGTGCTTGGGGTTGACCGGTCTCCCAAGTGACTAGGAACGATGAGATATACAACGCGAAACCATTAAGCCAACCACATCGAGATCGACATTCGAGGCCCACCAAGAGACTCGCAACACGTGGACTGATGCCTACTACTTCGATTAGTAGCTGAGAGAAAATCGGGTTACCTCTGACAACCAGATCTGAAAAAGCGGCAGAAGTCCATCAGCGGAAAACGACGGCTAGAACCGCTTTACACAGCAGCCGACCACCTGCGTGGGGTGGCATTGCAACATTGCTGTGGCAAATAGACGGAGCTAACTCCGTATCGTGAGCTGGAATCAATAAAGCACCCTGCTCGTAATCTTTCCGATACCTCCTCAGGTCGAGTTTCACTTTCACAATATCCGTGGCGAGAGGCCTGTCACTTGACAAGCTCTATGCTTTGAGCTTGGGTAAGAACCAATAAGTGATGAGCATACGTCGGCACACAACTTTTGGAGATAAGGCTGTGCAAATGTTGTAGCATTCAGCGAGTCGCTGTTGGACAACTATTTTGAGAAGTTCAACCTCTTTTAGATCTGCAGCACATGGAGGTATCACATAGGCAGGCGTCAAGTGTGCAGACGTTATCGGAATAGACCATAGTCAGCACGCCCTGCGAGTCTTGCCTCTCATCATACTACAGTGTATGCTGGTGTCTGGAAAAGTCTGGCAGGCGTCAACAGGTCTGTGTTTATCAAGAAGATCCTGGCTAAGAAGTATATGGTATACGACAATTGCGTAGAAAGGGTAAAGGCTAATATGCTGATCAGCGGTGATGCAACCTAATAGACCGACTAGGAGGGTAGATTTTGGTGTTTGGAACAGTATGTTTTCTGGGCGACTATAGGCAGAAATAGTTTAGATTTTTTTGGGGTCAGAGCCTGCGTCGTCTGATCTGCCTCTCATAGTCCGACAGAGCAAATTGTAGAAGTTTGGAATGATAAAACAGGAGCGAATATTAGCTTATTAGGCGTTTCAGATCTAAAATGACTTTGCTTAGATAGCATCAACCCTTGAATGGCACCATAGCTAGAGTCTCCGATCTGTCTTGAAGTGTGAAAGATATGAGCAAGCATTCTTTGATGGTAACATCCCTTCCTCAAATATCCCCCAGTAAATTAGGGTTGTACTCTGATGATTAAATCGCCCGCGTATACACATCAACCCGGTTGTGGTGAGATTGCTGCTAGTTCTGAGCAATCCGCCCGCTTTACCTTAAAGTTCGAGCAGACCTTCATAGTGCAGTAGTGCTGTGGGAACAGCAACCGCAAAGACGCCGGTCCCGGCAAGGGACGTTCTCTCAGAGATGGTACCGAGTTCCGGGATCATGGCTCTCCCGCGGCAGCTTCTGGTCTCACAACCTAACAAAAAGGTACGCGAAGAACTTAGTGACTCTCAGGGTTGCAGTGCCAGACCTGCGGATAACTCCCCGGTTGTGTATTCAGAGTCGATAAGTGAGCCTGCTAGTATCGCGATTGGAACAGAGCGTGCACAGAAGTGGTGGACAAGCACGGGCTTTGGATTTAAACATATCCTCGATCTCGAAATAGGAATAGAGATTTTAAAATCCATTAGTGATAGCAAACAAGTAATTACAACATAAGGTCGAGGCGGGCCAATATATGCAAGTTACATTCATAGCCGATATGACGTGCAGCATAGGTGGATGGGAACCTACTGTTTCGCGTCAAGCACTGTAATTAACCGAATTATCTTGCCTCAAGATGTGGACAAACGAAGTTGGTACCCTTACCAATAATTCGGATGGATCGCTTGCAGGTGAATACTCTGTAATGATTCACAGTTGAAGAACGTGTTGTGCCCAGAATCCACCTGGATAGGTGTATATGAATAAATCACATTGACTAATAAAAAAAGCTTATTAGTATTATACTTGAAGGAAGGATGTTGGTATAAACATCGTCGACAACCTTCCCCAGCCACTTTGTAATAGAATCGAGTCGACTTACTAGTCAGCTCTTGGAGGAGACTGGGTGACCGAGATCTTGCAGCTTTCTATACTTCTCGACCTCTCTAGCTAGCTTATTCAGTGCTGACCTCGTTATTCCATTACCCAATTCCTACAGTTACTGGGGGCATCTGAGCAAAGTCTATTGTTCTTATTCCATACATAGAATATATAGTCTTTCTAGGACAATCCCACACAGTGTTATTTAAAAATGCGCCAGAAGCGGTACAATAGTGTCACTCACTTTTAATTGTAAAATTATTAGATATAATTTTATATAATATGTAGCATTAGGTTATCCGCTCCATCATTGACTTCCTAGTGTACTGTCCAAGCCGGTATTGAATGAAGATCTCCCGGCTTTAATTGCGCTCTCTTCTTGCCGCCTTCTCATGTGACGGCGCCTATCCCGCTTGCGCAGAAGACAGGTGTGTACTCAGCCCCATGTTGGTATATCCCAGAGAATTTGTGAGGCTCTGTGATCGTTTTGTTGGTACTCCCATGGCCTCCGTTTGTCCCACAGACATTTTGAGGGACGAGCCTCGGATACGTGTCACTGGCTATGAGGGTGCTGGATGTGAGAGAGGCATGATGAACACATCTGGCAAAGCAAACATTTCGCAACTGATCATAAATTACAAAACGCTGAGCTGGTCGAGTAGATAGTTGTACGATGGTGATGATGATCATCCTCATGAGATGCACGGCGTTGGTCCCCATAATTGGAGACAACTCTCCCGCTCAAAGCTATGATGTCATAGATAATATTCGCGACATTCTGCTGTAAACAGAAGTTCAGGACTATTCATACATGGGCAGATATTTGTGGGACAAGTAACGTATGAACGTTGCGCATAATTATCAGACACCAGTAGTTTTGTTTCCAGTATGATAACGTCCATAAAGCTTTGATTGGAGCGTCTCTCCAAGATAGTTTTAGGTGGCTGTTGGATATGAATGCACCAAGTACAGACAGATTAATGTCACTGCACACACGATCATTGAATAGTTGTGGCTACCAGTCGCAGAACTACAGCATATGATACGATAAGAGAGGCACAAGAGAGATGATAGTAAAGCAAAAATACTCAGAAGCTGGTATAACAGCTGAAGAGGCACAAATGTATCTGAGTTTGATAGTACTAGGCGCTGCTGGGTCTCGACGTTGCATCGATTTAGAAATTTGAAATGCGAATGTGGACATGCGTGGTACAATTCAAGTACCAAGCCACGACATCTGGCCGTATGCAAGAAGCATATGCCGGGGGGTCTCTTCAGGGGGGGTAAGAAGACTATACTAAGTTCGTATAGGCTTGGAACCTTACCCCACGATGCTAAGAAAGTCAAGAGCGCCTGGTTACAATGGTAAGCCGAATGTGGTGTGGGTTAAACTTCTCACGGTTAAGTCAACTGACTATTCAAATAACAGTCGAAATCGATGCCGAGTGGATTGCTAGTGGTTGCTCATGAAGGTTCAGCGGAGATAGGACGCGGTATACAGGAAAGTGTGTTTGTTATTCGTCCAACCATGCTTCCATTCCATCTACTTGAGTTATGGCCATGTCCTGGCCCCAATTGTGGAACGACGGGTTTGTTTGTGGTTTGTGGATATTACAGCATGATTACATAGTACCAGATGGTCGTTGTCGTGTTATTGGCAGGTGCAAATTGAGTTTGGAGTGATAATGCAAGTCGATGCTACCATCATCAGCCGTTGTCTGTATAATTGCACGTATCCATCCAATTATTGCCTACTATCACATGGACTCTCAGAGGCGCATTCGCGGCGCCGGATTTGACTCCGGGAACCCTCGTGAAACAAACACTTTTTGCTCGACATTCAGAGACTTGAGAGGTAATGATAATTCGCTATTGAGCTCCTGATTGGCATTGAATATTGCGTAGGTCGACTCCACTATCCCTGCCGGCTAGAGAGGGCGTGACCCGTCGGAATGTTTGCCGTTCCAAGGCGAACTGTTTCGTTTACTACGTATGTAGCACACAACCCGACAGCTAGGATCGCCAGGGCTTTACGCACATCAATCCCACCTCTAGAAAGGCACGACGAGATGCAGTCTTATCGAGATCGTTTCCCTGTAAATCATTCCCTCGATTGGAGGTATGGAACTTGTGACTCCTTCAAGTAGGACGAAAGCTATCTTGTCAGGCGCGCGGTGCCAACAGAGTCGACCAGCCACTTGCCTGATCTACGTATCATGTAGAACAGGCGTACTACGCTTGCGTATGCCATTGCAGGTAGGGGTTGTGCGGAACAGCAGGACAAACATTCGGTCTTGCTCGCGATGCTTGGATATATTTTGCTTGCCCAGGTTCTTTGAAAGCGGAAGTTGGCAGGGGGGTCAATTGCCGTACCTGGGGTGGCAATGCTTAACAAGCAGTATTAAGGAAAATGGGCATCAATGACTGGCCATCAGAGTTTCCAAACCTCCATGTTTCCGCTATGGCAACCGTGAAGTAGAGTCATCTTCTGCTTGTTGATGCCCATCTTCTCCACCATTCGCACAATAAACATGGATATCGGACTTGTGTATGAGTGCACTGACAGATGTTTGGCATGGATTACATACAGTACCCAGGCAACCCCCCAGGGGCATCGGATCTAGCCATGTTAATTTAATGCATGAATAACAATTGAGAGCTTGATAAAGCTCAACATCGTCCCGTAAAAGTTTCAAAAAAATACTTTAGAAACGACAGCCATTGCAGCCTTTCCACTCTGCCACTTTCCACTTTTCTTTGATCTGCAGTCGAGAAGATTGTTTGAGAAGGCTGGATTTCACAAGAGAGCCCACCAGGCATTGTCGATCCTTTGAAAGGGGACTAAAGAGGCCCAACCTCCTCAATCTTGCTCAGCGCCCTTCCGTCTCCATCTCTGCTCACCCCCTGGGATATAGCGGTACATGCCGTCTACTTGCGGATCGGTACTGCCGCTACCATAGTGCACCTCACGCTGCGATCTACGACCCGACTCCATCGAGCCTCCAAGATTCAGCTGCAAGGCCTATCGGAAAGTCAAGTCAGACAAGCTGCCCACTTTCTGCGCTGCTGGATCCAGTCCAAGCCCAATCCAAGTCCCTTTTCGACCGCTGCAGCGCTCGTAAAGTTCATGTTCCAGTTTCCAGTCTAGCTTGAAGCTGCCATTTATCATCCCATCCATTGCGACGCACTCCCCGCTCTGAGCTCTCCCCCTCCAAACGGTGCTTCTGAACCACCACCCCGACCAAAGTTGTATTTCACAAAATCGTCCGACAAAACCACCAGATCACGACTTTGCCGCTTTACTGGGCAATAAGTTCCGCTGACCACCCCAAGTCTGCTCGCTTCCTGCAGTCAAGATGAATCCCCTTCTGAGGAACAAGATTACAAGCGCTGTATGTCTACTCTACCCAGTGCCGTACCACACCCACCCACCCCCCACCTTTGCCCATTTGCTCCCTTGCGTGTTGCAATATCTACCTGGCAGTTCAAACCAGCACAAGCATTGAGCCGTCGGCAGCAGAACAGTCCGTTGCCTTGTCCACGAGGCCACCCTTCGCTAATAGACCATGTCCTCTAGGGATTAACGCCCGAGGCCAAGGCGGCCGAAGACCGAGACGTCACCAGTCGCTATGGCCCGAACGCAAGGCTCAAGAAGACCCAAGCCACGCAGGTCCCCGTACGAAAGTATTTCGACAGTGCCGACTATGCCGTATCCAAGGCGGGCAAGGGCAACAGCATCGATGCGGGCTCTATCGGCAGCGAGCATCCCGTTCCCGAGAACATCCCTCACCTGGCCAGCCCCAACGGCGCCCAAAGCAACAGCGGCCTGCCCCTACCACATCACGGCAGCATCAGCGGCCAGTCCATCTCGCCTATCAAGGAGAGCAGCTTCCTGCAACGCGAGTCGAGCGCCGACGATGCCGAAGAGAAGACCGCTGGCAACGAGGACAGTCCGGCGCAGGAGGAGCAAGGCATCCCCATCAGGAGATAGACCTGCCAAACAAACAACGGAGAGGTGTCGCTACGATGATGTGGAGGGGTCATGTGATGTACTGCTAGCTTGAGAGTCGAGGCGACTGGATGACAAGTACAGGTTCTTGATGCCAGCTGCCGCGCGAATGCTTTGGTTTGCCCAGTTCACTCGCTTCTAGGGAAGACAACGGATCAGTTGGTGTCACGCGTAGTGGCGGATATCCATCTTCCACTGCTATCCCGACTGGTTTATGGAGATCGCGGCTCGAGCTACGACGATGATGATTACGCAGGTAACAGTTTATGGCGTTCTATGGTGTCTTCTCTTATCGGAATCCCTTCAGGGCCGATTGACTTCAGTATCATCTATTCCTGCCTACTACAAGATTTTTTATTCTTTTTTTTATGTGGTTTTATTTTTATTGAACATGCCGCCTCTCTACATGTGATGGTTGGGTCTAACCCAGTAGACTGACTGACTGATGTGCCTCAGTATTCGCGTTCGCGTTCGCGTAGAATACTTGTGCATAGATATCAACTACGAAGATGTACAATAGATGTCTGGCTCTCGTATAGTTAGTATGTAGAAGGTATAAAAGCCCAAGCGCCAAGCCGGGAGCTACGATCAGGCATGACTTGTTTCTTCTGTCGTTGGGGAGTTGCTTTTGGTTGCTGAAAAGATGGACTCGATAGGTATGCCGTATGTAATGATATACCTACATACACATGCACTGGTGTGTAATCATTGCAACCCCACGCTCAAGGGTTGGAGGTCCAAATGCATACTCCTGTACCCACTTTCGGTCTTGCTGCAACTGCGGTCGTAACTCATTACTGCAACAAGCCCCAGTTAAACATTTCAAGGGACCAGTCAACCCCACTGCATTTGAGATTGTAAGCCCAATACTCAAACACACAGTAGACCTTTTTCACCACAATCGCGAGAAAGCAGTCTTGACCACAGGTCCTTCCCACCGCACTTCTCACCCACTTCAGCTTGTCGTATGCTCCGGAGCCTTGTGAAAATGGCCGAAAGCGCATCCAAACGCCTCAAGACCGGCTCCGTCTCCATTGGAACACACAATGGCCACTTCCACGCCGACGAAGCCCTGGCTGTCTACATGCTGCGTCTGCTGCCTACATATGCCGACTCTTCGCTAGTGCGCACCCGCGACCCTGCCCTCTTGCAGGAATGCCACACGGTCGTCGACGTAGGCGGCGAATATGACTCCTCCGTCAACCGCTACGATCACCACCAGCGCACCTTCACCACCACATTCCCCGGCCGCCAGACCAAGCTGTCGAGCGCTGGCCTGGTCTACCTGCACTTTGGCAAGAGCATCATCGCACAGAAGCTCCAGAAGCCCGAGGATAGCGACGACGTCAGCCTGTTGTGGAACAAGATCTACGCCTCCTTCATCGAGGCCCTCGATGCCCACGACAACGGCGTCGACGTCTACGACCCCGCCGCCGTCAAGGCCGCCGGCCTCGAGAAGAAGTTCAGCGAGGGCTCCTTCACCCTCGGCGCCATGGTGGGCCGCCTGAACCCCAACTGGAACGACCCCGCCCCCAGCGACCCCAGGGAGGCCCAGGCCGCCGAGGACGAGCGCTTCGTCACGGCCAGCAGGCGCATCGGCGAGGAGTTCTCCGCCGACCTCGACTACTACGCCAAGGCCTGGCTCCCCGCCCGCGACATCGTCAAGGCCGCCTGGGACGAGAGGCTGCAGTACGATCCCGAGGGCAGGATCATGGTGCTCAAGGGCCAGAGCGTGCCCTGGAAGGACCACCTGTACACCCTCGAGGAGGCCGAGGGGACCGGCAAGAAGGTCTTGTACGTCCTCTACGCCGAGAAGCCGGTCCCCGACGCCAAGTGGAGGATACAGTGCGTCCCCGTCACCAAGGACTCCTTCCAGAGCCGCAAGCCGCTGCCGGAGCCGTGGAGAGGTGCCAGGGACGAGGCGCTGGACCAGATCACGGGCATCCCCGGCGGCGTGTTCGTACATGCCGCGGGATTCATTGGGGGCAACAAGACTTTCGATGGTGCCAAGGACATGGCAGTCAAGGCATTGGGCTTGTAGAATGGCAGGAATGCGGAGGGATCATCTCATGAACGTCAGAGACTGCGGGGCCAGTCGGTGACAAGGTATCGGGCAAGGCTACGAGGTTTAGAGAAAATAAAATGAAGCATATCGATATATATACAAAGCCAACTTTGGTCTTGGCGTTTGTCCACTGCGTGTAATTTGATGTTAAGGCAGTATCCGGCACATCTAAGCCTATCCAGGCAGAAAGATTGTCATGCTCGGACAGCGGGATACGGTCTCGCTTATATGAGCATAGGGGAAGCCGAATCTTGCTCTAGAAATAGCTGCAGGATCTGACGCCAGGGTTCGGAGCAGAATTCTTTTGATGGATTCCCAACCTGCGTGCTACCGCAAGACTGTTGTTCCCGGTAGAGAGATTCCTGCCCGTAAAAAGCATTCTCCTCATAGAAGCCATACTGCACCGATGCGCGAGTACCATCCTTGGGGAAGGGGGAATCTTGCGCAGGTTGAAGCATATTGACAAACTGTACGTGTCACCGAGTCACTAGCGAGCAACAACATGGCTCACAATATGTGGAAACTAGGTGAAGGTAATAATGGATATCTGTTTTGGGTCCTGAAGAAGTTCGGTTTGATATTGGAATTGAGGTGTCAGGCCTCCGGACGCGCATCTTTACGAATGCTCGACTGCCAAAGATGAGAAGTTATTCCTGCTTCTGAGCGGTCACGGTATCAATATCCTGTCTTCTGGCCGGTTTCCTCACAAGGGATTTGACCTTGTAACAAAGGCCACATCCTGATGTCACGGCTTGCGACAGCGACGCATACGTTAGGTAAGTTGCCCAGAGATCATGTGAGACTTTGGTCCTTGTATAGATTGGATGACATCGCGCACAGAGCACTGGTGGTCCAAGATAAAAGCCTCACTCATTGGACGACGCATGCATATGAAAGTCATGTCGACGAGGCAGCTACGATAAGCTGCTATGTTTACAAAATCCTCCCCCGGGTTAAAGCGTGAGACACTTGTCCTTCTCAGATGTATGCCAGGTATCGAGAGGCAGAGCGAGGGTGGAGTGGCTGAGTTTCCTAATCGGGCTGACAAGCACCGACGGCGGCACGATTCTCTGTTGTTGGCTTTGATTGCATTTGACATCCGAAGCTGCTGGTCATCTTGGCCCCAGGTTATATTCAGAGGGTAAGTGACGGTGGACTCATATTTGCTCAAGGCACCTCAACTTGATCTTGCTGCGGTTGAGATCCACACTCTACGGATCCGTACTTTTAAGGTTGAAAGGTGATGTTGACGCTAGATTGGTGCAAATCGTGGGTACTTGAGACATAGCTTGGCGCGCAAGCCTGCGTTCCAACGTTGGACGAACGTTTAGGTAAGAAGGGCAGCTCGCTTTGGGGGGGAAAAACGCCCCCTGGAACGCGACGCCAAATGATGCAGCTGGACGTTCAGGCTGGTCAGAAATGAATGGCTTCAAACTGTGATTGCCGATTGCCAGAAAGCTGCCCCCCTTCGTTGTTCTTACTGTTGTTCCTCTTTCCATCCACGCATGTGATTTTCTAATATCACATTGCTCTTCTTCAGTTATGTCCCAACAATAATACCTTCTTTGAAACACTCCCGTAGTCATCCTTTCGTTCCGACAACCACCCTTTGCTATCACCAACCCGCATCCGCTGCCCCCAAATCACCAGCACCGTCTCTGTCGCCATGGACGATCGGCACATCAAGGCAGAGCCTGGCTCTCGCGAACGCAGTACCGATGACGCGCCCATCGGAGACTCGAGGCCCACCTACAAGTCATATAAGAAGAAGTATAGGAAGTTGCGTCTACAGTTCGACAAGAATGTGCAGGAGAGCGAGGACCTCCACCGGTTGGAGCAAAAGGCCATACGCACCATGAAGCGTCTCGCAGTCGAGAATGAGTATGCGCCTCCCACGTCTAAAACAAACAAATAAATGAAACTGTAGCCCCGGATCCCCCGAGATGCACATGCTGATTGCAATCCAGTCGCTTGATGGATGTACTACTAGACATCAACGAATCACCTCAAATCCCACCCGAACGAAAGTTTGACCTGGAGGCCGATGGCGAAGACACGGAAGACGAACAAGATGCCTCACAAAGACCTGCCAAGTCTCTGAGACGCCTTGTCGAGGAAGTACCTCATCAGTCTTTCTCTGAGACCGCAGATCGCTACCCCGAAGTCCTCGACATGCTTCAACCCCAAGAACCATACCTCCATCCTACTGCCTTCTTGGACGCGAATGACGTCGACGCTTATCTTGCTGATGTCGATGCGCGACTGGGCCTCAAACCTAAACCTTCCGTTCCCAGACCAGCCACAGATCCCAAGAAATCTGCCACAAACTTCGCACTGCGCAACCCTACCAGTGTGTACAACTGGTTACGCCGGCATGCGCCCAAGACGTTCCTCCAAGACCTTGAAAAGGACAAGGACAAGGACAAGGACCGCGAGAAGCACGACGAAGAAGGCGGGGGCAACAAACGCAAGGGTGGTGCCGCCCGAGGAAACAAGAGACAGAGCGCCGCCCACCGCAAAGAGGCCGGCGAATCCATGGATTGGGAAGAGGAGGTCGCGCACGACGACCAGCCATTTGGCAGCGTCAGGGGTAAGAGGAAGAGGGATGATGACGGAGGCTACAGGCCGAAGGGTGGCTCAAGCCGTCCAACGAAGAAGAGAACCAGGAGGTCTGGGGCATAATTTTGTTACGGCAGTATGACAGCTCACAGTTCACTCTGTAGGCATCATCATGGTTTGGGAGCAGGCGTACGGCGTTCCGTCATCAGAAGTTTGTGCACGATGCTATCAATGGGCTTATTTGAAAACTACATGTCCGGTTCTGAAGAACATGATGATACCAATATCAGTTCGGTCCAACTTAGTAATATGTAACAATGATCCACGAATACAATATGGGGGTTTCAAGTTGTGTTATGGATTCTTCACGCAGGTACAATTGATAATTGACATTTTTTGTATTGATCAGGTAGCTCAGAAGAGAAGCTTCAATTCGGCAGGTCCACGGGGTGCACTAAAATTCAGCGGCGATCTCAAAATTCAAGCAAGACCCTCAAATCCAGCAAAACCTTTCCGAACTTCATCATCAGCAGCAGTCCAGTAAGTCGCAATTTTTAAATCACGGGAGAGCAGAGTACATATTGGTCTTGCAGATTATCTATAACCGCTTGAGTAAACAGGTGCTAAGCCTGCAACAAGACGTCACTCTAGCAAAGACCCCAACTCCCCAAAGCAGTATCAATTTTAATATTCAGTACCAGTTCGCATGCACATTATAGTTGCGCAAATTTCTCCTCTTCGCTAAATCTCAAGAGAAGTTGACAATTTCTAGGGCTTAGCATACTCTCAAAATGCCACACCACCGCACCTACATAGTAGAGCACCTCGACCCGGAGTTGGGTCCGTGGTCAGAGCTCGAGTACATCTCCATCGCCAAGGAATCAGGTGAAGCAAATGCCAGCTTTTTGCTGTCATCTCTTCCCGACGGCTTCAAGGTTCCCGAGAAGTTGGCCAACCAGCCTGCCTTCAAGGCCGAGCACCGAGGTGTCGAAGAGATGTACCCGGAGGGCAACGGCAAGGAGAGGGTATGCCTCCTGGATCCGGCTGCCGACAAGGACCTGAACCCCGATGACAAGGGAGAGTTCGACGTCTTCCTATTCGGTGGCATCCTGGGTGAGTTCGGGGACACATTGATGAATTACCTAAACCAGGGAGTGTGCTGACAAAAATACAGGAGATGATCCGCCTCGTGGTATGCACATGTCTCATGCTCGCGAAGTCGAACATCTTACACTAACGGTGAACAGACCGCACTTCTGAGCTCCGCAAGAAGGGCTTCACCGGCCGCAGGCTGGGACCTGTTCAGATGACGACTGACACAGCTGTCAGAGTGACGCGGATGGTTATCGAGGAGCAGTGTAAGGCTAGAGTGCTGGTCTGGCTAGAGTTCTTGCTGATCACCTACAGACACCCTCAACAACATCCCGTATACCGACCACCCTGACCTCAAGTTCAATGAGCATGAGAGCACACAAATGCCGTTCCGGTATGTGAAGGATAAGGAAGGAAACCCGATCATGCCTGAGGTACGTGATATCAAGACAATGTTTCCCATAGGTGAGAGATGCTAAACGATACAGGGTATGGTGGAATTAATCCAAAAGGACTCGGACAAGAGTATCGATGATATGTTCTAAGAGTGTAGAACCAAGGCGCATATACACATGTTTCAACTAGATTGTGACATCAAGCTTGGGCAGAAATATATATATATCAATATCACGATCATACATCATACCTGCACCAATACTTGCCAGATATACAGCCTTCTGAAGCTCGAATGGCCTTTGCTTATGGGCTTTAGTGGCTCCTTGGTTGCTCCCCAGATATATGACCTCCGTGCACATCTTCAGTATACTCATTTCCACATTTGAAATGCTAAGATGGACCAAGCATGTGATCCTACTATCTCTGAATATCGTTCTTATTTAGCTGTTGTCATTGATCTTGTTCACATGTCGGCTAGGGTGTTGCCAATCCCGTCAGAGCGCATTCCATCGGATGACTGCAAGCAGTGCCTTTGCTTTGTGCTCTGGATACGCAGCGCCAAGAATAGGCACACACGTTGTCAACCCGAGAAATCTAGCATATCCATTCTTTGTCCGCAACTGCATTTGTTTTACTCTGCGTACACCAAATGAATTCGAGGCGCAAGTTCTTTCGCCGGCCTTCTCATCACTAATCGGGCCAGTTTCAGGTCCTTAGTATTAGCAATGTTCAACGAAGCTCCCGCGCAATCAGCGCACGTCAATACAGACAGTCATAGGCTCAGATACAAGCCAGTCGTTTCTAATGGTAAAGCAACCAATATCGAGGATGTCGAGGAGTATCAACCCGGCGGTTTCTATCCTGTTGACATTGGAGACAAAATTCTGAAGATTTTCGAAATCGTCCATAAGATAGGACATGGTCAGTACGCCACTGTTTGGCTCGGATGGAACCTGATCAAGCACGAATGGAGGGCTATCAAGATCTTCAAGGCCCGTTGTTCGGCCAAGGCGATGTCAGCTTTTAAGAAGCTAGAGAAAGCCAACCTTCGACCTGCCACGGACCACACTAGAGCACACATTCAACTGCCCGAGGAGGCATCGTGGATCAAGAGTGCCAATGGCCAGCATTTATCTTTTGTTCTCCCTCTGCATGGTCCACCGATCACATACCATGATCGCAAATCACGTACTGTACACAGGAAACTACTTCTTCAGGCTGCTGAGGGGCTGCGTTTCCTACATGACAACGGGATCGCACACGGTGGCATTCGACCTAGTAATGTTCTCATACGCCTGAAAAACATTGGAGACATCAGCAAAGAGATTATGGTGGAGAAACTTGGAAGACCAGTCAAACACAAGGTCGAGGCTGTGGAGCCCGGAGCCAAATCTGTCAAGTCTCATGCACCGAATTACCTAGTCGCTTCGACGACATACCTTGAGCGGTTAGAGAAGGAACTTGAAGTGGTGATTGTCGATACAGGCATTGCTTCGAGTATTGACGAGAAGAGAAATCTCGAGGACAATGTTAAAGATGATGAGGAAGTCCGATATATGGCACCAGAAGTCTACTTTCGCTTCGGGACCAGTCATGGTAGTGATGTGTGGTCGTTCGCCCTCCTGGTTGCTAGGATGCGGCGTCGACACTGCGATCTGTTTGCGAAAAGGCCAGGGTCTGAACAGAGCAGACGAGAATCCTATGAAAAGGAGTTGTTGGATGCTTACGATGCCTCCCCAGGGCTATCTCGGGATACAGCAATTTCTGCAAAGTCTGCCCAAGCCACAACTGACTTCATCGAACGAATTCGGACCAGGCTCGACCCAAAGACAGACAGCCCAAATAGCTCCGAAGACAGATTGCCAAGGGCCGAAGTCGAGGCGTTGGTCGACCTGCTCGCCAAAATGCTAGGTTACACCCCTGAGCATAGGATTACTATGCAAGAAGTAGTTGGGCATGTTTTCTTCGACGTCGTTGGTAAACCATTCAAGAGTTTATCAGACGACGACCTGGATCGGAACGGCGCATGTACAAAGGTAGATTCAGAACCAAAAGCCGCCGTCGAAGTCGAAACGCCAACAATTACGGCGAACCTTGAAGCCCTCCAACTTGTACTGCGAGGTGGAGGTCCCCACGAAACCCCCGAGGACGATAACACAGCACTTGACGGGGGGTCGCAGCAGGCTTTCGAAGCACCTCCAACAGAGCAGATAGCTTCAGCATCCGAATCATCCCAACAGCGCCCTAAAGCAGCCGAAGCAGTACCAGACGGCGCATCCTCACAAGAGCGGAGCCCCCGGTCGGCCCCAGGGCCATCATCACCTACACCTGTCCCAGGATCCCCGCCTGCGCCGCAGCCGCCTTCCGCGCGACTTGCCGGTGTCGTCCTGCCCTCTACAGGTGGACTGACGCTACTTGGCTTCGTGCTCGCATCGGTACTGTTTCTGTCCCACCTCCTTGTGTACATGGCCGCAAACCGGACGTCGGCGAGGGGCACGCTGATAAGAAAACCCTGCGGTCCTGGTTTCGTCTCGGCGCAGACCCGCAGGCTGTCGGCGCAGACCGTCTTCTTCGAGGGCGTGATGGCGTTCCCGGAACACAAGGGGGCCATGAACGATGTGACGGAGTGCCCTGTGTTTGACGATCTGAGATTTGAGAGCGAGGTCAAGGCTATTACGTAGTCTAGAGTTTACCAGATAGTCTTAAGCACGTAAATCCTTCGTCTTTTCATTTTTGTGCACATGCAATGGCAAGATGGAATGAAGTAATGAGAAATTGGGAGGTTGATATTTCTGTAGGACAGGCTGTAGTGCGTCTTCCGAATGCTATTCCGTCGTCAAGATCATTGACCTTGTTTTCGTCAAAGGCATTGTGCTTCGAGGTCATCAAGTCGCGATGTGCGAAGGTTTGAGCCGTAGCCCGGCCCGAAGGAGCAAGGGATTGATCAGGAGATGCATATATTATCTTTACGATTCGGCCCACTTGATTTCGTTCGGACCAACACAATCAGTAGTTGATGTTGCATGCACGCTGAAATGATTTACCAGTTTGTTGGGTGTTGCGCATTAAGTGACCCAAATTTCGCCCGCGGTTGGCAAATCGGGTAGCAAACACGCAGAAATTTCCTAGGATAATGGCACCAAAAATTGTCGCGGAGGTCAAGTCATCACCAGTGCAAAGATGGTGTGGCATCTTGCGAGAGACAGCACATGAAAGGTGGTTCATACAAACGGACCATGGTGACAACATACTATTCACCGCCATAGACAGCACCTTCGCTAAAGCTACAGTACGCCTTGACTTCAGAGATGAAGGCGGCAAGATTTTGTACTCAATGCATGTATCCAGGGCCAGGGTGCAGGAATGTCCACGTGCATGAGATGTTCATGGGCTATCCTTCTCCATATGTTTATATTTTGCTTGCCCTCTTTCTTTCTGATTGATGTCATGTTTTATTTCATTTGCCTTTTGCTTTGATAATTTGACAGTAATTTCATATTTACCATTGACATATAATACGACAATATCTACAATTATGGAGACTGCTCGCATGTCCCAATGATTCGTTCTCATCAGTATTAGATCAACTTGACACATGATTGACGTTGCGATTTGCACCTTTGCCGTTCGCAGCAGCGGCCAAATTGTATGGTCCAGTGCAAGCAATATCGCAGATGGTGTGACAATAGATCTTGGGGGTGGTTGAGCAAAGTCACCTATGATCCAGAAAGGAAAGAAAAAGACTTGCCTCTATATAACCAGGAGCCAGGTGGACGACTGCTTATGAGGAACTTGACTAGCACGGTGTAGTCGTAGCTGGAGGCTACACGATAGGAGGAGGCATCTCTGTGAGTAAGCCGATAGCTTGGAATAATCTACTTGACTGGATCAAAATCGGAGTTGTACCAGGTCCTCGAAGGGGCTTCTCGGAACTTTGGCATCGTCACTCGTTCAGACTTCATGAGTTTTGTGGAATCAAGTCTCTGGAGAGGTATATGGATTACCAATATATCGACCACAGAGACACAGATAGCAGCGTTGGCCAACTTCACGGCCAACCTTCATGAGAGTCCTGAGAACTGCTGCGGTATCCTATGGACTTGCCAAACGGCCTGGTGCGATATTGTGTGTTTGCACTTCATGTCAAAGAGCAAGGGTGCCGCAAGCTCGCCGGTTTCCAAGCAACGGCTTGACTTGTCTGCTATTCTGAATACTCCTAAAACAGTTTTCATGGCGGCACATGTGAAAGAGACAGAGTAACTAGTGGAATACTTGTGAGTTTAGCCGTCTATCCATCCGTTATAAAGGAGGCCTAGCTTTGGACATATTAATTGACATATTTATTTTTACTAGTATAACCTGGGTATATGTGCTCTTCAAAAATGATCTTATTACAGTTACTAAGGTGGTCGAGCTTCATGCTGAGGCTGTCGAGGAACTCGAGTTCAAATCTGATAGCGGAGACTTCTGGACGGTGGCTATCTTCTAGCCACTACCGAGGATGATCGCAGAGCAGGGCCTTGAGGGAGAAGATAATGTAATGGGTGTAGACCGGGTCAAGGGATGCGTGCTACTCTTCATTGCTAGCGTTCACGTGAAAGGAGAGGAGATGTTTGAAGTAGGAGATTCGATTTGCAAAGCCTGGCACGGCAAAATTGAAAGTTTTTGCGCGAGAAAGAGGGACACATCTTGACTGGCTATATCTGAACTGTGCAGATAAGGGCTAGGATCCATTTGGTATCGTTGGAAAGGAGAATGTTAAGAAGATCTGGAAAGCTGCGAAGACATATGACCCGGACGGTCTATTCTATACCAAATGTCCTGGTGGATTCGAGATCTCATCTCCCCAGTCAAAAGCTTAAATCTGGGAACAAACAGTCTAATGTGAGTCTTTTACGACTGGTATCAGATCAAGCGACCACATGCCATGCCTATAGCCGGACGTATTGAATTCGCCCAGTCGATTCTCAACCTATGGAATAGCGATTGCGATACATATCATCTCGTGTCATTATTGGTCTAGTCGCACTTTACAACTGATGTATGACCCAACCCCGACTCAGTGATTCCGTTCCTCATGTTTGGGACAAAGTTCAGAGCTGTGCAAAGCTGTATCTGTGGGAAGCTTGTCTATTGATGATCCGGCTCAGCTGTCCGTTGCGACACCAAGTACGAATGTCATCCATCATTGCATATTAAAACCAACCCCCTGGCGATGACGGCACACAACTTACAATTCTGTTGTATCTTATGGTCATGCAGTGACTCTTGCATATGAACCAAGTCATTGTCCCAGAAAAACATCACTTCTGACTGTGGCGCCAGCCAATAGTGGTCATTGAAACCATGGCTAACCTTCCAAGTCGGGAGGTGCACTCGCCACGTCAGAGGCAGAGCAGTCCCGTGAACACAACGAGCATCGGGACAAATGATTGAAATCAAGCTTATTCGACGAGATGGCACAGAGTGTATCCCGCCTTGTGGGCGATTGGAGGCTGCACGCTGTTGCTGCATCTTCATCATGGTTCTCCAAATGGTTGCCTACCAATTGGGACGTCGTGGGACCGGCGCCAGCACCCCCCCGCACTAGCTTTGAACTCACACCGAGCAGTTGGGTTTGGGTGGGATGTGGATCGACGGTGCTGTCACCAAAAGTTCCCAGATGAGCATGCTTTTGCCGAGGGACCAGACTTTGACCGGTCGAAATAAAGAAGGGTGGGATGATATTTGTGGGAGTTATCCAGTCAGGAGCTCTCCCCACACTCCTTCACGCTGTGCCAGCCTATCGACATGGCGGGTTCCTGCGCAGATGACCGCTCGGTTGGCCCCAAGTCATTTTTGACACATATCAAGTCTATCTCTAATGATAGAAAATCCCCCCAAAAAAGATTTTTATGATAATAAAGAAATCGAGTAAGGAGAAGAACCGCTCCCGTGGGCGGCCCGCCCCTCATGTCAGAATTCTACACTAGTTTGAAGCAGTCTAACCATGGAGAATGCCACGGTCCACACGTATCGCCTTGTCGATTTGAGACGAAAGACGAGCTCGGTGCGCGAGGCCGAAGTCATGGGAATGGAGAGATGCGAGGATACGTAGAACAGCACAGAGTCGGGTGCTCCCGTCTGCCGCTGTCTTTTTTTGAGAATGGGAACTTGGATGGACATTGCCGCAGACGGAAACAGAACCACGTGCCAGTGTTCAGATCCGAAGATGGAAACTGTCTTTGAGCACAGCGCCATGGCCGCGTATCAGTACAGATTACTGTCTCGGAAAAGGTACCTAAAAATGGATTTAGCGGTCCTACAAAGCATCGAATAAGCAGATTTGTAAGTCGCGAACTGTAACACCCAGAACAGTGGCACAATCCGCGGCAGTGGAAGTGACATTGTTGCAGTGCACAGGAGCGTGCCACGTTGCCACCATGCCGCTACAGACGTGAGTAAGAATGACAGGGGGCAGATATTGTAATAGGTTATCACCAGGCTGAGCGAGGCACATTCCTCGTTTGGAAACAAACTGGCAGTGCTTATATCTATTTTCATAGAGTTACATTTTGAAAACGTTTGAACCTGATTCTTTTTGTCACAAACCCAAGGATCTGTTCGTAATTAAGGCATGGCATTCTTGGCGCAGGATTTTGAACAATCCCAAAGCTGCCTGGTTTGCCGGGTGCACATGTCTCACGGGTCGAAAAATCGAGGTGAAACCCCCAGGGCTAGAGTTTCCCACGAGAACCTTGAGAATTCGCAAAGCTTTATGCTAAGATCGGGGCGGCAACCCCTAGAAGGTGGGTAGAAGCAGGTACAACCGCTCTAGTCCGTAAAGTCATGTCTCATACAGATAGGCGGTATGGAAATGCCACTGAAAGCTGCATGCGACGATGCCAGACGACGGTGCTCAAGTGTGTGGGAAGTGGATTCGAAGTGGACGACAAAAAACACTTAGGAATCACCTTAGAAGCTGGGTAGAACAACGATAGGGCGCCTCGGGGAACAGGGCCGTCGTGGACTAAGCCTTACTGAGCTGTTGGTGTCTTTCATGGAGGAGATAGTCCGCCCCAGACAACTTGCGGTCAATAGAATGTACCGTAGAGCGACTTGCATGGCCGTGCTCACCACACATTTATGAAAGTATTGCTGAGGTCATTCTTGACTAGTACAGGTACATTCTAGGCTGCACGTCTTCTCCACGAAGAAACTGTGGCCTACTATCATGAAGTTGTTTCGCGATAATGACTTGATCTTTTGTGCAGGGAAAACAAGTACACCGCATTTCGGCAGCTGCGCACAGGAAACATGATATTGTAATTTAGAGTAGCTAGCCTGTATTACTAAACAGTAATAGGGGGTTGGTTTCAAGGGAAGAGCCATTAACAGCGGTGTCATGATCCTGCTGTGCAATGGTCATGACGTGCGCTTTACGGTGTCTCTCGGGTAACCGATCGACCGTTGAAAGCATGTTAGGAACGGGTTCAACGGCTTACCGCGGCAATTGTTTGCTGTATAGAACTAGGCATCGTAACTAATTCGTCACCTGACGATGCTATACTCTAGCGAAGTAAGTCGTGGAGAAACAAGGTGGAATCAGTAAGAGCCTGGCCGTAGTTCGAAAGAGGGGAAAGGGGAGATCCGGCTGGTAACACAAACGCACGAAGCAAACGAGAGAATTTAAGCGATAGGCATAATTCTGACCATGATACTGAAGGGCTAGAGTTGTGTGATTCACTTGCAAGTGGAATTCGTGGATTGCGAACTATTGGAATGAGACTACGAGAGATACTGCTTAGCTGAACAAACGTTCTGGTTTTCGGTGATGGCCAAGTTTACCAAGAAGTCAAAGTCGATATTGCAATAAGGAGCAATTAGAAAGAAGTTCATAGTTGAATGATCACGAACTGCACGGCGATCCAGATGGGATGGATCTACGTACTTTTGTTCTGATTGTGAATACTGTACAGTCAGGGAGATAACCGATCTCATCGTGGAGTTCTCCGCGATAGTTGCCCGGCTATCAAGTGCATCTATTATATCTGGTTAGACCTCCCTATAGGCACTAACATGTATTATGGTCTAGAACAGTTTCTGACAGGAACAACCTTGAAGAAAAAGGCACATCCGCCTTGATTTGTTTGGGCAGAAGAGCTGTCTTGATTTTAAAAAGCGGAAACGATGAGATCAGTGTTCAATAAAGGCGCATTCACGAGACATTTTTCAAAGGAGTCGAACCCGTGCGAATCTGGTGTGCTGAGCAACCACTTGCAGTGAGGGGCCCAGTCAGTGGAATGTACGAGTCACTTTTGGGTTAGACCAAGAGAAATAAGCACTTACATACATACCATCAGGGCTCGTAAAATGATGAAGGACTGCCAGCTCAGCGATCAACTGCCCCAAATCTGTAAGAGTGGGCCATTAATAGGTCGAACCGTAAAATGCTACGATTACTGCATGAGGCTTCCTGGCTTCTTCAATGATCTTGCATAAGCCAGTGCTTATTGCACAACAGGAACATACATAGGCTGACAGGGGAGCTGGCGGGCTTTCAATAGCCACAACAAAAGGCGCTCACAAAGCAAAGTGCGCAGCGAGCCCACAGCCAACTTGCCATACCACATGTACCACAAACTGTCAAACGTACCGTTGGAGTGGACGGTGGCTTTGGAGAGGATGTGATGCTGTCAATCGGAGACTCTCGCAACAAAGTACGAATACATGGAGAAACCAGAGGTGGAAAAGTGCAGTGATTCCAGAAACGTCGACGGCCGAGGAACCCTGACAAGTTTACGGAGTACGACTCACAGACATAGACTCATACTATACCCTGTCTAATGGTCCACGTCCCGTCCCACTAACATCTTTGACGGTGGCTGAATGACCGTCGGACTTTCGCTCTCAAGAGCCGTAGAGCTGGACCTGAACCTGGACCTGAACCTGAACGAACCTACCTGGCCTATTTTCATCTGTGGTATTCATTTTAGCCACCCTTGAATGACAACAGCGATTTCCTAGTTGCGTCTCGGGACTAAATTTACCTAAATACATCATAGCCCCCCCCCGGACGGATCAAGTCAAAGTCAATTACTCCGTACGAGTCCCATATCGTTGTCGTTTTCTCTCGATTTCCTGACGATCGGCTGGTCCTTCCATATTGCAGCACTTTCAGCACTTTTCGAACCCCGTCGGGTCGCGGATCTACAATACTTCTCCCTCGGCTGCAGCTAGTCGACTGACGTACATAGCACATGTGGGCATAAACTGCTTGCTTGCGCTTCCCTCCAACCACTGCAACCACCCACGGATCCGTACTCTGCCCAGTAGTGCAGTACCATATTGTAGTACCATACCGGTAGCCTACCCGACCTTATTAGAGATCAATACTTGCTACTTGTATTTGGAGTGCCGCACTGCACAGCGCTGCCACGGCACTCGAGCATTACTACGCGGGCACTTACCTCAACCACTGCATTTTACAGACCATACCTACAGTGACCCGACATCGATACCCGGACTCAACACGACACCACAACATAACACAGCACTACGAAAGGGAAAAAAAAACTCCACACTGGACGTCATCCACCAGTCAACCAGACGACGACACGCTTACAAGCCTAACAAAGCAGCTTGCACCTGCACCTGGACTTGCATCTGCGCGCGCCAACTCCCCAACATTGCCCATACTGACAATTGGCTTTTCTTTTTCTTCTCCCATTCTTCTTCTTCTGCACCCCCGAACGCAGCCACCTTCATCTCTCCCGGACACAGGTCTTCTTTGGTTACTCTTGCTGCTACTACTTGGTCGAAAGCTACTTTAAGGTTCCGGGCGCATGCAGAGAAATTGAAAACAGGACAGCCGTGTGACGACTAGTGGAAAGGACAAAGCTTGAAGTTGGCGGAATACATGCTTCACCACCAGCCATATACACGCCTCTAGAGCCCCGTGGTTCGGTTCTCCATTCGAATGCATCAGCATCACCGTCGACCCAACATGATCAGACGATATCAAACAATCGACAACTGTCCAAGCTAAAATCTCTTCTGGAAACACGTGGTATGCGCACCCTCGAAAGGTGACCCAACTGTTACATCCCTTACCACAACGAAGCTGGACGTCGCCTCGTTCGATATGGAGAGGTCCGGAACGCTGCCTCACCAGAGCAGCTCTGGCTTAGATGCCAGCATCTCGAGCTTGAACTCGGTCGACCAAGAGACATCCGCAACCTCAAGCGCAAACATCGACACACAGCCATCGCGGTGGACGTCAACGACGACTTCACTGGTGGCTTCGCCCTTTGCGTCGAGGGAACCTTCCCCAACGAGAACGTCCTATCCCAAGACCGGAAGAACAAGCCGCTCATCAACAACGAGATCGAGGAAAAATAGCAATACGAGCGTCCAGGACCCTAGCCCTTCGAGGTCGAGGTCTCATCTCCCACCGACATCCGCACCACGACAACAAATATCAGCCACCAACACTCCCACCTTACCACCGCCATCGGGGAAAGAGCCCGGACAACGCGCGCCACAGCCACAGAAGCCTTCTGTTGCCGCCGAAAGGTCGAGGGATACACCTAAGTGGCCTGTGTCGCCCCGACTGAAATCTCCACCACCAGCCCTGAATAGGCCAGCTATTCCGCTGTCATCTGGCAAGAGCGAGCGCGAGCCGCCTTTGATAAACGTACAAAGGGCAACCCCTTCACCGCATCCGCTGCCGTCGGAGCCCTCATCGCAGGCTCCCTCGGACACAGAAGGAGATGATGCTGCGAACCTCGAACCCGGTGTGAGAACACCGGTCAGAGGACCAAGTGGAGGTTCTTCGCAACTGGAAACTGTGCAGGAGGTCAGCCAGCCCAACACTCCTGGGCCGGATTTGGACATGGCTGTCGAGAAGCTGTCTCAAGCTAGCATGGCTGAAGGACAAGGACGCATGTTCAGACCAGACGATGCAGTCAACAAGACGCTCAAAAACCAGTCCGGCAGTAACAGCGAAAGTGGCAGCGACAGCGGAAGCGTAAAAATAAGTACGAGAAGATCCAGCGCCGCAGCCCCCTCACCGCTATTGCATACCAGACAATCGAGCTCGGCTCTGCGGTTTGGCGGTAAGGCGCCGCCGAGCGACATGTCGAAACACATCATGGTCGAAGAGGAGGAAGTCAGCTCAGGCCCACGCCTAGCATTGGGGTTAAACTCAGCGATCCAGGCAGTCAACGGCAGTTTGAAGGCCAAGCCCAGCACAGAGACGATACGGCCACGGAAGGATAAGAAGAAACCGACGAGGAAAGCAGCGTCGGTAGCTTCTGGCACTGGTGAGACCCCGACTCTTCTTGCAGCAAGACCAACGTCAGCACAGCTTCGGCATCAGCGCTCGATCAGGTCGATGTCTTCATCGATTCCTTGTCGTTCGCCGAAACAACCGAAGCACGGCCAAGGGCCGAACGTTGAAGAACCCATGTATTTGCGATCTCCTTCAAGGAAGGGATCGCGCACTCCAAGTTTGACTGCTCATGTGACCAATTTACTAATCGGAGGCCCTCGTCCAGCATCATCCAAGGCAGACATTTTCGAGGCCAAAGTTGCCAGCGCAGTCGAGGAGAACAACTCCTCCGACTCTGATGAAACCTTTGTCTATGACTCTAACCCACCGGACGCCCCCGACAGGCCACGCCGTTATCACTCCCGTACACCAAGTGCGACTTCCATGGTTAGTCAAGCCGACCGCGGTGGATTACGCCCGATACACACCATGCTAGATAGCGGCCCTGTCAACCCTGCTATCAAGAAGAGCATGAAGTTCGTCAACACCTACAATAGCAGCGGAGCGGACACCCTGACCGGTGACGACGACGGCAAAGGTACTGGGGGGCGTAGCAATGCCGGCTCAGCACGCGGCACCGGCAGACACCACCATCACGGCAACCGCTGGGGCCGTAATGGCAGCAGCACCCACCTCTCTCTTTTCGATAACGAGTCACCATTTCCTAATGCCGCACGGTCGAAGCTCTCTACCAACCAACCAAGACATCCATCTAATCCTCCTAGTCCTCGATTCGCCCATGGCCGCGGTGGGCTCCAGAACAGCAAACGTCAAATGGCCATGGTCGGTGGCTATGACCTAGATGATTCGGCCACAGCTGGAGCCGACGATGAACGTACCCCTCTACTTCAGTTAAATGGCAACCAATCCGTCAGGTCGAATCGGAGCAGACGCACCATGGTCAGAAGTCACAGTGACATAGAGGCTGGTCGTTATCGTTCTCGGCCATCGTTCTTAAATCGTTTCGCGAGTTGTTTAGTACTCACCATCATGTTGTTGCTGGTCATTATGGGTGCAGTCGGCTTCATGTTTGCCACGTCCCAACCCCTGACAGATATCGAACTCGTCAGCATTGGTAATGTGCTTGCAAGCGAGCAGGAATTAATGATGGACATTGTGGTCAAGGCACATAATCCCAACATAGTTGTTGTGTCGGTGGATGCAGCGGATCTTGAGGTTTTCGCGAAATCACCACATGCAGGTACTGATTCGGAATGGTGGCGACACCCTCAAGATGTAGAAATCCTGGATGATCCACCAAGTGACCCACCGGGCGACTTCCCCGAGGACGGGAAATCTCCAAATATGCGGCTTGGAAATATCATGGAACTTGACAGCCCTTTGAGCTTCGAGGGCTCCTTCTTCCAGTCTGGCAACTCCATGTCTTCTAGCGAGCTACGTCTGGTCCGCCCCGGCAACGGTACAGATGGCGGATCTGAACGTTGGGAACGTATACTGGAAGACGAGTTTACTCTGATCCTGAAGGGTGTACTCAAGTACACGTTGCCACTGAGTCAAAAAGTCAAGAGCGTCTCGATCTCAGGCAAGGCCACTGTCAAACCAAATTCGGCTAGCGATCCGGTTTTGAGGAAACCAAATGGGACCGACTTCGAAGTCGGGATCCTGTAGTCTGGCGGGTGACTCTGACCCGCCGCTTCATTTCTTTTGTGGATTTTCAATCCATAACGACCTTTTCTTCTTGATTAAATATTGAGCGAGTAAAGCATGGCATTTTCTGGAGCTTTGGCGTTTGGATCACAGCAAGCATTTGTTTCTGGTATTGCATGGAAAGAGAAAAAGAGACGGATGATATTCATTGCATCGCATCCCCCCCCCCCCCCCCCCCCCCCCCCCCTCCCCCCCCTTTTCGTGTGCGAAACCCAGCATTGCGAACACCAAAATTCTGGCAGCGGTAAATCAGTTTGGCGCGGCGCAAGAAAGACGATCTTGTTAAATATATTTATTTTTTTGGGATACAGGATTCTCGCATGGAAATTTGGACCCCACGGCCTCCACCATCAACCATCATCATTCATCATTCATCATTCAACATATTATTGATTACGAAACGACGTTCCCCCACCCCCATTACAGCGATACACATCTTCAACCCTCTAATCAAATGGAGACGGTCAAATGTTACTTTGGAGACTTGCTGCGATGATATGAGTAGGCGGAGTTGAAGCGTCCAAGAGAAGAATTAGACTTATGAAAGGTTACGGGGTTATTATTTCACGACGCAGACTCGGATGTGAACAGCCGAACTTGCATTTGCATAGGGAAATGGATAGGAGACAGGGGAAATGGAGTTTCGAAAAAGTGCATAGCCAAGTTTTAAAAAGAATGCATAATAATGAGAACCAATATAAGAAAATCGTGAAAATAAACGCCTGTGAGGATGTCTGCTATGCTGTGATAACCCTGAGAATTTGAAATGAAGCAGAATATTGTTCGTGATTTTTTGTTTCTTTTTTTCTTTTTTTTCTTTCTAGCTTGGGTAAAGTCGTTGATGTTTAGTTGCCCGCACGAGGAGGCACTACGCTAGACGCCCGAGCTTAGGTTTAACCATCATCTCAAGCATTTGATGTATTTCTCTAATACCCTATGCTATGTTTTTTCCCTGATGGCACTACCGCAATTCGGTAGCAACCGTTTTCAACACCTCCTCAGCACCCTTGCCAACGTTCTTGGGGTCCTTCGCAATCCTGGTCCAAGTCTCGCCATACCTCGGCTCGACACTGATACACTTGGACACGACCTCGTCTCTCTTCTCCTGCGTGCCGTGCTCCACCAGGAACTTGTAGTACCACGCCCACGTGTCGCCCAAGTCCGGGTCGCGGACGAGTGCCTTCTCGAACCAGTTTTGCGCCTTGTCAAGCCTGCGCTCGCCCCAGAAGATGCGCGCCACCGCCACGAGGAGCGTTGGGTCGTTGTCGACCTCCTTGATAGCTTCGAGGGCACGAGGTTTCCTTTGCGGGCGGGCAGTCAGGTGCCAGATCTTCTCAGACCACAGCGGGCCTTGGGCCGACTTGGGCACGTCGCGAAGAGCGCGTTCCATGAGTGTCTCGGCTTGCTTGACGTTGCCGGCGCGTCGCTCGATGCGGACGGATTCACACCAAAGCTCCGCGTTCTTGGGAACTGCCAACCTCGCGCGGTCGAGGACGGAACGGGCTTTAGGAAGTTGGCCAAGCTTCTCCTCGAGTCTGGAGTATAACAACCATAGCGGCACGGATTGGGGACACGCCTTCACACCTGTCGCATAAGCCTCGCGTGCTTGTAAAGGTTTGTCGAGCTCCGAGTCGTAGATCTGGCCCTTCATCATCCAGAGCTTGGGGAAAGCCGGGAAATGCTGCAGGGCCTGGTTCACGAGGTCTAGCGCAACGTCTGTATTGCCAAGCGTTCTCTCGAACGAGGCTGACTTCATCCAAACACGGTCGGTAGGAGCTTCGCTTCGAGCAGTCTCGAGTAGTTTACGTGCTTGGTCCACCTGGCCGTTCTCTGCTTCGAGCTTTACAGCTGCAAGCCAGATGTCCTCGTTGTTTGGGTTTTGCTTGAATGCACGACCAAGGACACGACGGGCGTTGTCGATTTCGCCAGCTTGCCATTTCTCCTTGGCGAGCATCATCCATAGGACTTCTGAGCGTGGACAAGCATTGACGGCCTTCTCCAGGACTTGCCACAACTCATCCTTGGTGCCGTGGTTACGCTCCAGGTCAGCCGCAGCAAGCCAAAGGGTCTTGCTCGTCGGGAAGATTCGCAGTGCGTAGGCATATATCGCACGGGCGGTCACATACATGCCTCTATTAATGCTGCTGCGTGCATCTTCCATCCAGGTGTCTTTTCTATCGTCATCTTCGTCCAGGCTCCAACCGAGTGTCTCTTGTACGATGAGACCACAGGTAATGACGGCACCTTCTTGCTCACATTTCTCGGCCTCGGTGATCCATTCCTCGCGTTTCGGCATGGCTGATTCCTTGGCCAAGATCTGGACGGCACGCTTCATGACGTTCAGCTTGTGCGCATTGCCCAATTGCTCTTGCAGCCTAGCAGCTGCGATCCAGATTTCGTGTGATGTTGGGCAGCTCTTTCGAGCCTTGTTCAGGACCTTTTGGGCGTTTTCGGGAGTTTCTAGTCTCGCGAGCGCTAGCCACAGGTCGACGGATAGAGGTATCAGCTCAGTAGCCTTAGCAAGCAAGAGACGGGCATCTTCTTCGTCCTCCTCCAGGTTCACGGCTTCTTTCCATAGAGCCTCTGATTCGGGAATGTGATCTAGCGCATGGCGAATTACTCGCTTTTTGCTCCTTGCGTCAGTCTCCAACTTCATAGCTTCTACCCATAGCCTCACGGAACGGTTGTTCTTCTGGATAGCCTGGGCAGCGATGATTTTGGCATTGTGCTTGTCGTTCAGACGGATACTCTCAAGCCAGACATCCTCGTTCTTTGGACATTGCTGGCACCCCCGGGCGATCAGATTACGCGCCGCAACGATCTTGCCGGCCAGCTCCTCCAAACGCGCAGCAGCGATCCACCCTGGGCCATTCGTAGGGTTCGTTTTGATAACCGAGTCCAAGAGCTCTCGTACACGATTGACATCACTGACTTGCGGTGCTCCCTCGGGCAAAGACGACTTGGCGAGACTGGTAAGATATCCCTTCGGATCGATACTCGTCGAGCTTCCTGACTGTGAGGCTTGGTCAAGACGAACTTGCAGCACCTTGTCTCTTGCTTCTCCAATCTTGGCAAAATCGGTCATGGTGCCGTCCTGGCCATCCTTCGTCGAGGTCTCGGCGCCGTCGGCGACCGTTGTTCCTAGTTCTCCGGCGTTGCTAGCTGCTGCTAATACGCTGTCGGGCACAGCATAGAAGCGTTGTCTTCGGGCCTCTCGAGCTCGTCTGTTCTTGCCGGTGAGATCGCCAACCTCAGGCAAGCTGGCCCACTCCTCATCGGTAACGGCACCGAGGGCGCGCTTCAGGTCGACAAACTGCTGCTGGATCTTGGGGTTGTTGCGTTCGTATTCTTCTTGTTCTGCTTTCTCGCGTGCCTCCCTGTTCGAGATATGGTCGGTAATCTGTTCATCTATCTTGGGATAAATGGTGAACCAGTTGTTGGAAGACAATGGGACAGGGGGTTGAGGGTTAAGGGTTGAGGGCTGAGGGTAAGGAGAAAAGGGGAGGGGGACCAACCTTCTAATCTTTCGTCTTCTGTCCATCTTCTCGTCTACCTCACGGTAAATGCGATCGGCCTCGTCGTCGTCCTTGTCGTAGACGCCACCAGCGAACAGCCCCACTTCGTTGTCGGGATCTTGGTATCTCTCCTGGGCGCCGTCGTTGTCGTCGTCGTCCTTCTTTCCGCCGGCGGCATCGCCAAAGCCCAGGGCGGCAGCCCTCTTGGCGAGGGCCTCCTTGATCTGATCCTCGGAAGGGCCTTCGCGGGCGGGCCCCAAATCCGATCGTGTCGTGAAGCCAGTGGCACCACGTCCGAGACCAGCCACGTAGTTCTCGGGCGCGGGCATGCTCAGGAAATCGCGTCGGGTGGTCATGTTGTCTAGCTGCCTGCGCACTCTGCGCGACTATCCCAGGGGTGGTTTGCGACTGCTGTGAGATGTTGCGAGCTTCTCTGACAGCTCTCCCCGGCAGCTCTCCTGACGCAAGCGAGCACGCGCCTGTACTTTGCGCTTGTTGTTGTTGGTGTTGCTGCTGCTATGGGCCGCTAGCTTACGATAACGAGACAGATGCGCAGGCTGTGAGGGGCCTCGCGAGAATGTGCAGCGACAGAAATGAAGCGTCGTCTACGTCGAGCTTGAACTTTTGAAGCTCTGGATCTGATGGGCTTGATGCATCTGGCTGCCTACCTACCGACCGTGGGCACTACTTAAGTTACTTTAACCTAGTAGTTGCTGTCAGGACTCCGCAATGGAAAGGGAAATACAGTGGAGCATCTGTGGCTGAAAATGCAGCCATGAGCCACCGATAAGCTGATAAGCTATCGCCGCAACTTTGCAGTCTTGTCCTTGCCCGAGGCGCAACAGATCAGATCAGATCAAGAGACGGGCCGCGGCTTGGTAGTCAGTCGCCTTGGGGCAGAAGATCTACACAGGTTAGTAAGTCCAGCTCGTAAGCCTGCATACCGTTTCGTAAACGCTCAGGCTTGGCTCTTTGGTAGCCGGCAGAGGCTGTCAAGAGATGCCTTCTGAGCTTCCCCATACGGCAAGCGCTAGTCCGTCTATAGTAGAGGCTTTAGCAGCTCAGTGCCTCGGATAGCCGCTATTCCTGCAGTATTTCTCTTGTAAAGCACAACTTTCTACGGGCCTGTAACACGCTGTACGGAGGCCCTGGCATCGCCTTAACCCTCAAATAGAAGCTCTCCAATTCGCGAAACCCCCCCTCTGCCCCTCTACCCCTCGGCCCCTCCATCCCTGAGGTGACCCCTTCCCTTCCCTTCAGATGCCCCGCACCCTGCTCACGCGATTATCAAATCGCCAGCTCTCGATAATATCATCCAAGCCTTCGTTCCCTCTTATAGTCCCCACTGCTTCCTTCCGCACAGCCTCTAGGAGATCATACTCTCCCATCTCTTCTTCCCCTCGCCATCTCCAGACTCGACCAACTCGGGCCTCAACACAACACGCCAGAACCTATCTCACGCCCGCCGTCAAAGCCCACCAGGCCCGCAAGCTCAACATGGCGCCTCAACTCGACGGCTACTTCGCCGAGGTCGACAAGCTCTCCGGTCACTTCATCGACCGTCTCGCCGAGGCCGTCGCCATCCCCTCCATCTCCTCCGATGCTGCCCGCCGTCCCGACGTCGTCCGTATGGGCGAGTGGCTGGCCGATCAGCTGAAGACCCTTGGCGCCAGCGTCGAGTTGCGACCCCTCGGAAAGCAGCCCGACAACCCCGAACTGGACCTGCCCCCCGTCGTCCTCGCCAGATACGGCGACGATAAGAGCAAGAGGACCATCCTGGTATATGGGCACTACGACGTCCAGCCTGCCGAGAAGAGCGACGGCTGGGCAACCGAGCCCTTCACCCTGACCGTCGGCGAGGATGGGCGCATGTTCGGGCGCGGAAGCACTGACGACAAGGGCCCCGTTCTGGGCTGGTTGAACGCCATCGAGGCCCACCAGAAGGCCGGCGTTGACTTCCCCGTCAACCTGCTCATGTGCTTCGAGGGTATGGAGGAGTACGGCTCCGAGGGTCTGGAGGAGCTCATCGTGCAGGAGGGCAAGAACTACTTCAAGGACGCCGAGGCAGTCTGCATCTCGGACAACTACTGGCTGGGCACAGAGAAGCCGTGCTTGACGTACGGACTGAGAGGATGCAACTACTACAGCGTCGAGATCTCGGGTCCTGGTGCCGATCTGCACTCCGGCGTCTTCGGTGGCACGGCACAAGAACCCATGACCGATCTGGTCAGAGTCCTTGGTAGCTTGGTGGACACGAACGGCAAGATCCAGATTCCTGGCATCATGGACCAGGTTGCCCCCGTGACATCGGAGGAGGAGAGCTTGTACGACAACATCAGCTTCACCATGGAAAACCTGCACGAGTCCCTCGGCTCCAAGACGACAATCTTCGAGGACAAGAAGTCCACCCTCATGGGCAGGTGGCGATACCCTTCGCTGTCCGTGCATGGTGTCGAGGGTGCCTTCTCTGCCCCCGGAGCCAAGACCGTCATCCCCGCCAAGGTGATCGGCAAGTTCTCCATCCGTACCGTGCCCAACATGGAGATCGAGCAGACCAACGAGGCCGTCTACAAGTATGTCAAGGACGTCTTCGCCAAGCTGGGCTCCAAGAACACCCTCAAGGTCTACGCCCAGCACACCGGAAAGTGGTGGGTCGCCAGCCCCAACCACTGGAACTTCCGCTCCGCCAGTAAGGCCGTCGAGCGCGTCTTCGGTGTCCAGCCCGACTTCACGCGCGAGGGCGGCTCCATCCCCGTCACCTTGACCTTCGAGCAGGCCACCGGCAAGAACGTCCTGCTCCTCCCCATGGGCAGCTCGACCGACGGTGCGCACTCGATCAACGAGAAGCTCGACAAGAGGAACTACATCGAGGGCATCAAGCTTTTGGGCGCGTACCTGCACTACGTAGCCGAGGAGGAGAAGAGCGACTAAGAGGCTTCCTATCAGAAATAGTGTAAATATACCAAGACTTGAGCCAGACGAAAAGTCTGTCGCGCATGACGAACAAAGGCATTTTGATGAGCCGCCCCCCTCCGAAACGTGTAGACTTGTTAAATGTTCACAAACACGTGTGTTGGAGAAACGAGATCACGTGGTAAATGGTAATATGTAATATATGTGTGTATGTGAATGCTGAAATCAAAAACGCTTCGTCATGCGATGATGTATTCTATACTCCTTGACTCCCCAAAAACCCGCATTAAGAGTAATATAATACGCACCGCCACCTTACCATCCAACAAAAGAAGAGAAAAGAAAGAAGAAGAGGCTTCAAATCTTTGGACGGGCACTTCCATAATTTTCCTCATGTGACCTGTAGGTATAATCCCGTATGTTGTTGCAGCGACTTGGGGAATACAAAAAATTAAGATAAAAATGAACGCCCCATTGTAGTATGCCTATATCAGTGGTTATGCAAAAGGGGGGGTCTTTTTTTCTTCTCGCGTATAAGAAAAGCCGGGTCATGATGGCGGCAGCTCCTCCTTGTTGGCCCCTATCCCACCACTCCTGTCGATGCCGCTCCAGCCCTCCTTCCAGCCTTTATCGTCGTCCACGGCACCCGCCGCCTCGCCGCCTTCGGCCATGCCTTTGACATCGCTCCAATACTCGAGCCGGCGCACCTCCTCGTCTGCGTGCTTGATGGCGGCGGCCAGGTTCTCGGCCGTCTCTCCTAGCTTCCTGCGCTCCTCCTCTGTCTCCGGCTCCCGGGGTATGCTCGGGTGAGGCTTCTTGGCCGACTCGTCATCGCCTTCAGATGCCTCCAGCGTCTTGATGCGCATTGTCGGCGGTTTGGGCTCTGGGTTGGGATTGTCCGCAGACGAGGCGGACATCTTCTGCTTCTGGTACGCATGGCCGTCGTGGACCTCCATCAGCCTCGTCAGCAGGAGTCTCCTACTCGCCTGGAACATGAAGATGGACATGATCTCGTGCATGTGGTCCTGCAGGTGGAGCAAGTTATCCGTGCTGTGCTCGATATAGTTCTGCACGGCGTCGAGTTTCTCGCGGTCGATCCTCGACTTCCTGAGCATGCCCATGAGTGTGTCGATGTCTTGTATCTCGATCTTCTGCTCCAGTCCATCATCCTCGGGCTCAAGTAAGCTGGTGTGTTTACTCGCTACATCTCCCACGCTACTGCCCTGCCTGGAATGCATCTTGGCTGTAGGTGAGCCGACAGTGAAGTACTCAGGGTTTAAGAGATGCGGGTCGTTTGCCTGATATCCGATGCCTTTCTTTATCCGTTGCCTAGTCCAAGCCCTGCGTCTGACGAAGCTGTTGTACCATTTCGGCCCATGCCAGCTGAACTTCTTGCTGAACATGAAGCTGTATTCCCAGCCGTCGTGGTCGGCGTCGATCTCATCATCATGGTTGACACGCCAGCTTGGCCATGACCACTCCCAACTTGGGTCCGGCACCTGAGCCGTCCTGATGTCAGTCGGCGATGGTCTATGTATCGCGTTTGTCCAGGGCGGCGGGTCGAGATTTCCCAAAGCCGCGCCTGAGAATAGGGGGATACCGCAAAGGAAGCCCCCGCGCTCGTTTTCATACAAGATGTCGATGGCTGTCTCGGGCGATTTGGGGCGGCGCGGGTGTTTCTTCACCTGCTTCAACGAGGAAACCCGTGAGATGTGAACCCCATTCTGCGGTGGTGGTTGTTGTTGTTGTTCTGCAGAGTCGGACGGGCCAGGTTCCTCGGCGGCGGGCGTGCTGGGCTGAACGGTGGGAGTACGAGGTCTGTCGACCGTGCTCCCGTGACGTTCCTCCTCATGTGAGGCGTGCCCGTTCCGAGGCTGGTCTTGTTCCTCTTCGATCCTCCCGATTGGCGCGGCGCCGTCTCTGAGAGGGGCCTGACTGTCGGAAGACGCCAGAGCGGGCTGGTCCAGGATAGTATTGCCATCGCCATCGTCGCCCTCCGGGGTCGGAGATGGTGCTCGACCGACCTGTTTCGCGGCCGAGCGGTCGACGAGATTTATCTCATGGTCGATATCAGATTCTTTCAGAGGGGGCACGCGTCGTGAGGAGCGGCGATTGGGCATGGTTCGATTGTCCGGGGATCCTTATGGTATTGTCACCGTCCTCAGCATACTGCGTCTACATACGTCTCGGCCGTGTAGGCGATCGGGAGCTTAGACGCGGGCCATAGATCGGAGGAGCCAGAAAGTTAGAACTTGCACAGCGGAGCAACAAGACACTTGCGAACCCCGTCTACCTGTGCTAACTACTAGCTCGGAATCTTCTTCTGCGACGAGCACTGGAATAAAGTATTCAGAATGCATTGCATAGTGAAATTTGGCAGGTCAACCCAATACGATAGTGTGGTTTGCATGGACCGCCAGCCGCACGCTAAATTCTCAAGGCAGGTGCACTATCAAGTTTATGACGCTCTGCGAAGGGAGCTATCCCTTCTTTAGCCGCCTTCGTCATCTCCCAGCCGTAAGCTTGGCGCGCCCTGGAGTTGGTTCAATCTGGGTTTGGGTTCTCTTCCGGTCCGGTCAAGTTGGACGAGCTTGGGAAACCAGCCCGCATGATAAAACCACTGTCCAAACTGCCGTATGCAGGTATAAATATATTCAGAGTTGGAGTGTTGAGGGAATGAACTCCAGTGCGTCTTTGCCGCGTAGTTGTCTTTGAGATCCAACTATGTGTTGATGTTCTATGTGCAGCCATCAGCATCAGCATCCATTTCTCAAGGGCGCGTTACTGGTTGCACCACGGTAAACTGCTCCGTAACAGAAAAAGAATCGAGCTTACACACAGCAATGGACCCCCCCAATGATGCAATACCTACCACGGCTTTTTCATGTGTCGGCGTGCAGCTGGAAATGATTTCCCATCAAGGATCAGGCATCTTCGGGCGCTAGGAGCCACGGATGGGTCCACTGGAGCCATAGGGGCTAGAACGCTGCAGTCGTGACAGTGCTTTCAGTCCCTCTCTGCCTGTTGGCCTCCGTGTAACTGTAGCGAGCCCAAGCTCCCCCCATCTTGGAAAGACTGGGGCGGAGGGTACCTCCTTTCCCCGCATTATCCAGCACATACGTCATGTATCTCTCGATTGCCGTGTGCTTTTCGCGAGAAAGCTTTCTGAACGTCGAGCCTGTCCATGCATACGTCAATTCGCTCCGTGTCAGCCAACCAGAAGCCGTGGATTGGATCGGGAGGGACGAGGGAAGCTTCTCGCTGTCACAGGTAGGGAAAAGAGAGCGGGCTGGGCATGGCTTTTATTATTACTTGGCTGGGTTACGTGACAGGAAACAAAATGCAACGACACCTTATTTAATCCGTGCTCCCCCTCCCCCCCTCAGGACTTCCTCTGGCGTGACCTCATTCGATTACCTCGCACAGCCCAAAACAAAAAAAACCACATAGCTTCCCCTTCCAAGCTCCATCGCGAACCAACCCATAGACTCCAAGTCTTACCACAATCAAACGTCCATCCAGCATACACATCACACACAATGTCTCGATCCAGAGCTCCCCTCGTCCTCGGTCTCACTGCCGCCGGTGGTGTCGGATACTACCTTTACAGTGCTGGCGGTAACCCCAAGGCCGCCCAGAAGGCAGCTGAAGGTAAGTTACCATTGCCCGCATTTGCTACAGTCAATGGATGAGCCCGGCGATGGGTAGTTTTGCAATCCTCTCGGGACAGGGATCCGAACAAAACGACTTGACGCTCGGAAGAATATCAACAACTAACATGTTCCGTTTGTAGCCGATGCGCACAAGGCTTCCAGCAAGATCAGGGGCGAGCTCCCGGGTCGCGGCCAGGAAGCCCAGAAGCGAGCTGAGCAGTACGCCTCTGAGGCCGGCGCCAAGGTCGACAGTGCTGTAAGTTTGATTCATTCGACCTCCCCAACTTCAGCTCTCGCCGGGATGTATTTGATCTGACACACACGCTGCAGGTCGCAAAGACAGAAGCCGAGTTCGCCAAGGCCAAGGCCGACGCCGAGGCATACGCAAAGGACGTCAAGGCCAGCACACTGAAGAAGGTGGACCAGTTCGACCACAAGGTCGAGGCTGAGGCCGCCAAGGCGAAGAGCGGCATCTCGAGCTGGTTTGGCGGCAAATAAGGAAGAAAGGTGTCTTATGTCAATATGAAAGACAACGACATGTGTAGTACTATGATCACGGAATGATGACGAATACGGCGTTCATCTTGTTTAGTAATGGGTTCAGGAATTGTGTCTAATAATGACTTGGTATCAACAACGATCTATATACCCCCGCCGAGCAAAATCTTTTGTTGTAAATGTGATGTGAACTCCAAAACTCCAGTTGCTCCTTTTCTCTTTTGTCCTCCCTCTGACCTTGGAACGCCTTCTGGAAAATGAAACGCTGTCCCCGTCCACAGGTTAAGAGAAGTGGATGTTTTCCTGGTTGAAAGCATGTAGCAATCTCAGGAAATCGTTTTCGTCACACTAACGAGGTTAAGAGTCAGCAGTTGCGTCTTGAATAGTTTGGTAGGCCTTCTGGACTATAGTGAGACAGCCGTCAGGAGTTCAGTTGCCTTTGATAGACAACGTTGAGCCTCCGTAGGCATGCTGGAAAAGGTGGCAATTAAATTCGGGTATTGCTTTGCTTACCTTGCCTGAACGCTGATCTGCCAGGTTCGTATCATCCTCCAAAACCTTTCGGATCTTCTCGCGGATGAGAGCGTTGACTTTGCTTCTGGGCCTTTTCGACAGGGTTTTCGGCATTGAGCTCGATGCCTGCTTCAGCTCTTGGAAGAAAGATAGCGTATCCTCTTCGCCGGCGGCACCGTCCATGTCCATGCTTCCGAAGGCCTCGACATCTTCGTCGCCTGCGCTAGGTTCTACGTTCTCGTCAAGGTCCATGTCCTCATCATCGACGCCTTCGATGGTGCCTTCTTCGAGCGGAATGTCGTTCATCGAACAAAAGAGTCGGTAGTTACGTTCGATCATGGCTAGGACTTCCTTCGTTCCTAACCAACTGCTTCTGAGCGTCTTGTTGCGTCTATTGAAGCATACACGAAGCATTCCCTGGTGACTGACGTTAGCTCGTCGAAAGTTTCTCGGCGGTTTTGGAACCGACGCACATCCCATTCTTCAAAAGACACATTTGGACGATCGTGGCCAGTCTTGGGTTCGATCTTGACAACAGATGATTCAACTTGTAGTGGGTTAGTAATTTCTATAGTCTGGTGATCATGATCTAACATACCTTGGGGCGGTGGGTTAAAGTTCTTCTTGCCAACCTTCAATATATGTGTTATCCGAGCCCAGACTGGTTGCAGAAGATAGGTTAGCGTTTTCCTTAATCTCACCAACAGGCAGCGTTTCCTCAACAATGCCAAGAATGAGCACGCAAATGTATGTTGGCTTACACTGTGCGTTGACCGAAAGTCTGCAATACAACGGGTCGCCGGGCTTCGCTAAATACCGTGTTAATCACAAGATTGCAACATGGAATTTCGTGGACGTTGGTACTAACCTGTCAGTCTCAGAGCGAACTCTCTTTGGAACATTAAAACGCTGGTCCTCGGTGGGTTGGGAAGACTAAGCAGTTTGAAGACGAGAGGGCTTGAGATTTCTATAACACCATTTAGCCTTCTGATTGCAGTCCTGGTTCACCCGGAGTTGACTGACGATATGGTGTATTGCTGATGCACACATCAAATGCCGGCAGTTTGTCGTTGGGCAGTTTGATGACGTCGCCCATAAGTACCTCAAGTTTTCGTTGCTCGGGTGTACCCTGGACACCTAAACATTCGGCATCAGTAATTACATCTTTGGGATTGTTTGGCGCGTCTCGTAAGCAACAAGAGTTGTAGTGGGAGGGAGCAACAAGGAGCACTGCGGCCGACGTATGTTCTGGTGACATGTTTCAAAGGACATAGAATGACTTTGGAGAAATCTCACGTTTTGTCACCTCGGCCGCCATACGGGGATCAACCTCAACGGCAATCACTTTCTTGGCCTTTTCAAGAATTTTGACAGTAAGATTGCCAGTACCCGGACCGATTTCAAGCACGGTATCTGTGGGCTTCAAGTTCGCTTTCTGTTGTAACGCCAGAGGTCAGCATCGCTCTGGTCAGGCGGCTCGAGGTGGCCTCCCGGGATTGCGTACCTGCACGATCGCCTCGGCTACACCCGGATTTTTCAGGCTGGTTGTTTACTCGTGTCAATATACGGTCTGCCATGTCATACGAAATCCGACGGGTGGAAGCATTCGTACATGTGCTGTCCGTAGGATGATGTGTTGAACTTGAAGATGTTGTTCCCGGCTTTGGCCTTGCCGCCCTTGCCTGGCCGCTCATATGGTGTGCTTGATGCGCCACCATGCTTCGTGGTTTTGTTTGCCTTGCCCATGTTGACTTTTTGCAGCTCTCTTTATTGGAAGACCAAGCTCTCAGAGGGAGAACCAGTCGTTCGTATTAGGGTCGAGGGAAAAGAACGGAACCGCGGTCGTGTTCGTGTCGTTATTCGGTAAGTATTGAGGAAGAATAAGAGGGGCAGAGAGTCCCGCTACGAGTTGGAGTTTTTGGTGTTGAAGGTTGACAGAAAGTTTATAGTGGGGCAGACGGTATCTATCGACGATAAGCTTATCAGATTGCCGCGCGCTTGATAACATAGCGTCGAGACTCCAAGCAGCACTCAGCATGGCCTTGAGCAATTCTGCGACCGTTTTTCGAGCTGAGCATGGAAACATTTGACGCCTCACGGGAAAGTAGTTCAATTTAATAAATGACATGGGTATATGTTTGTCGGCTATGTTACATCTACACAAACGCCAGTGCCTTAAAAATATTTATGCCAATGCAACCTCCAATGCCTTTATGTAATGCAATCCTTAGTTTACAAAAGACGAGCCCTTCATAACCGAGGGCGTGCCGTCTATACGAGATACAATTTACTTTCTTTGTTTTCTCTAGAGGAACCACCACTTGGTTCTGGCGTCCTTTTCGTCGCCGGGGCCACCAGCGATAGCCGTCTATACTCCCGACGCCTCAGTGGGATATCTACCATCAGCTGCTCCCTCATAGACGCTGTCATCGGGTCGCCTTCCTTGATCTTCGCGTGTAGCTTTCGGTCTGTCTCGTATGCCTCGACAAGCTTAGCACCGAAAGAATGAGTCGGCTTGAAGAGATGAGCTTTGGCTCCATGCCATCTGGCGATAGTTGCCCCCAGAGTATTTGTGTGCTGCGAGCGCAGTAGAGTGAGCGCAGCTTCCCCAACGATCGGGCCTTCCCACATCTTGAGCATCGACATGCGACCCAGATCTTTGTCTTGCCTCAGAAATTTGTGTATATCATGTTTCATCTTGGAGCTGGCCTGTCTATCGAAGCTGGCGTAATGCCAAATCACACTAATCATGTTAGGGCTCCTGGTCTTCCACGCAATTCGAAAGAGCATATCGTAGGTATCTTCGTCGAAAATAGTTGCTGCAGGCCATCTAGTCTGAAACATCCGGATTGTCTCCAAAATTTGCCGAGTGCTTCTGTTGTGGGTGATGATGGCATTCAAGGTGATGGCATTGGGCACTGTACGTCGGGAGTCGTGAACCAGATTTAGCAGCTCGTCAATCATGCCGTGCTTGCCATGTCTACCCAGCATATCCACGAGCCTGTTCAGCGTAGGCTGGTTAAGCCACATCATCCCATGAAGGTCGTCTTGGTGTTCGACAAATTCCTTCATCGGTCGTGTTTGCTTGATGAAATTCTCAAGTTCGAAAGGGGCCATATGTCGACCTGCCTTGACAACTGCTGACTGGATTCGATCTAGTCCTTTCTTGCGCATCTTGCCTAGTATGTAACGTTTTGCATCGATCTCTTCCACAAGCGTTAACAATGAGATCCATGATTCGCTATCAGCATGGAGATTCTTCCTCGCCATCATTTTCAACATGGCATCAAAGCCATCCAGATCCCCTGATATTGCAGAGCCTCTCAGGAAAAGGTTACAAATTCTCGTATCCAAGGGCAAGTTGTGGATTTCAGCTTGGTTGAAGATGGCTCGCGCGGCTGGTCTGAAAGCGAGCTTCCTGTCCTGGATGTATGCCAATGCCATGGCCAAACCGTTCGGAGTCAGAGATTTTCGAGCTTGTTCATCATTGAAGATGTCCATTAGCGATGACACAACGATATGCTGATGGTCGGAATGATCCTTATACAACGAGGCCTTCAAGTCGGATGGTACCACCCCGTACACGAGAAGTGCTATGTAGGCCTCGACCGAAGCCCGTGTCCAAATAGTAGGTCTAGGGATTTGGTCGGCCCTTCGAGTCAATCTATATTGCCTTCGATTTTGGAGTTGAAAGACCGAGGGTGTTTGTTCTCTTGTCAGGGTAAGAACACGATCGTCAGATTGTGTCTCCTTCGTAGCCGTGTGTTTAATAGGAAAATCCCCGGAACTGGTCTCCCCCAGTGGCAACAGTTTCACAGAATTTAGATCATTCCGCTGCTGCTGCCATAGGTCGCGAAGCATGCCTTGGGAGTCACTGTCCAAAACTCTGACAGCCATGATATGACCTGACGTCTTGAGTAAGTCTAGCAAAGCCATACGAACGGAATGTGCCGAGCCGGTCAAGGTCAAATGCAGGGTTCCTTCAGAGTTGTCCACATGATCGACACGGACGAGAGCTCGTGTGCTTTGTTGCAACTGTCCAGGTTCGGCAGTAGGTCCTCGTGGCAATAGTTTCCGTACCTCGTGCGCAGCTCCTTTACCAACTGTGACCTTGAAATCGAAAATAGACCCAAACTTGGGAGTGACCTTCGACAAAAAGCTCACGACGCTTCGCCAATCGACACCAAGCTTTTCTTCTCTCTCCCGTGCATATGCCCAGAGATCCTGTATCGCTTTGCTGCGATAACTCTTTCGAACACTCCTCACAACCTCATGCTTGCTGGGATACCACTGCACCGGCTTAACAAGTACGGGGTTCATGCTATCGGTGCTTGCCCTTTGCTTCACGACGCTCCGCAAGACCGAGCGCCGTACTGCAGAAGGCGAGGCATTGATGACCGTGACGTCGCTTGGTTCCTCGGGTATTGCAGGCAGTTCGACTGGCTTGGGGGGAACTTTGCGAACGATACTGGGCGGCTCGATAAGCTCGTCAGCCTTGGTCGTTTCGCTCGTCTCGACTGGACTGTTCGACCGAGTCGACTTAGTGGCTTGAGTTGATTCCCATCGCATTTGCCGGGTTCTTGGGTTGAGGGGGAGAATTCGAGGAAGATCCCTGGGACTCAGGGAGAGCCCACTGGCGGCTGAGGCACAGGCATGAGCTCTCCATACAGTTTTGACTCCCAGGGACATGAGCTATGAATAAAGCATTTCTTGAGGAAGTTTAGAGGCCTCTAAGTAAAAGTGGCCGATATTGGCTTTGGTCGCGATTTACAATGGTGCTTAACGGGCATGTCCCCAAAAATTTCCAACAACGGCGTGTCGCAGTAAGGGACGTCGGCGAAATCGGTGGATTAGCCCCGACTATGACGGCATGCAGCTGCTGCCAGCTGATTGTCCTTACTTCGATGCCCGGACAGAATGCGATTTCACAATGAGCATCGTCGTCGAGGAAATATGCTGGACATAAAACAACCGAGGTAATGTTCACAGCATGATATACAGAAGATGATACACGTTTCACATCAATGCCACCGCATGTGTAGGCTGGGCCGTAATTTGCCTTCAAATAGTGCTGCCACTGGGTGTGTCATAGGAAATATTGCAATTCCATCGAAATCATGTGCTTCTACCCCCGATCTGGAAACAGGATCCGGCGCTGGTCCGCTATCACATTCGGCCACGGTTCTTTTCAATTGAGCCCTTCAACCTCGTTCGTTCAGTCGTCAATACGAAGTCTCTTAAGTATCATAATAGCAGCAGCCGTCCTGAGTCCTCGCCTGTCATGCCCCAATCTCATGCGATCCCCGCATGCTTGAAATCAAGTCTTGGTCTTTCAACCGTGCCGTACACGCTCTTCTCTAACAAACGAGTCAGAATGTCCACTGCAAAGTCACACCTTGACCGCGTCTAGTTGCTTCCTAGTAGGGATATGGGATAAAACAGATCAATGTCATTCCATGCATGAATGGAAACCAAAATGTTCAATGCGGAACTCGCTGCTGTAGTAAACATAGTTCCAGTCTCTCCGGCTACTCCTTTGACTCGGTCTTCTCTTCCGTCTTCGACTCCTCCTTGGTCTCGGTCTTGGCTGTCTCTTCCTTGGGGGTATCATTGCTTGTAGCATCCGTTTTCGACTCGGTGGCGGTATTCGACTTCTTCTCTCGGGGCGGGGGAGAGGGTGCTCTTGGGGGAGGGCCGGCGCTGTTCTCGCCTTCATCTCCTGCTGATGACTTGGAGACTTGGCTAGCGAGATCCTTGTCCTCCTCAGCGTTGTCGAACATCTCCGTGTCGTCCGAGTCTGTCAGGACCTCAGTGCCATCGCCAAGGAAGATGATACGACCCTTGTACCCACCAATACCAAAAGGCTTCGATTGCTTATCCATATCCACATCATAGCCACTGTCGCTGTCGTCAAAGTTGTGGTGGACGCCCGGACCCCGGAATTCGGCTGAGTCCCACAGTCAGTTCTGCTCCGTTGACTCGGACTTCTGAGATTGCATACCGTATTCCGGAGGGGCGCAAGGGCCGTCACCCTTGGAGACGCGATTGGCGACCTCTTCATACCAAGCGTCCTTGCTCTTTCCACGGAGGAGTCCAATGACGATCATGGTCATGTTGTCGCAACCAACACCACCCGTCTCGGAGTTGGAGGCTAGGCAGTTGTCCATCATGTTCTCGCAGATCTTCTCCAACTCCTGCTTCGCGGCGATGCCTCTGCGAACAAACTCGACTACAGCCTGGGACGACTGGCAATCCCAGATACCTGGAAACATGTCAACTAGCATTCAAATTTGGGGGTCAAAAACAATCCCTACCGTCACATGCAATGACCAAGAACTCATCATCGTCGCTCAGCTCATGCACAACGACATCTGGGTAAGCCGTAACAATTTGCTGCTCAGGGGCAAGCTCGGCGCTCTTCTTAAATTCGAAGTCGCCAATGGCACGCGACAAGGCGAGGTTGCCATTGACACGACCAAAGTCGACAAATCCGCCGGCAGCAGTTATACGTGCCTTCTCGCCTGTTGTGGTGATATATGGGTCAGTAGGGCAGACAGCGTGCCAGAGATCCGAGTAAACCAACCTTCATTCTGTGGCTTGTGGTCAAATGACAAGGGCTTAGCGCGGCCTTTGACGCCCAAAACACTTCGCGAGTCACCAGCGTTTGCCTGCTGTTGTTTAGTAACCATTTCATATCGAATGGCGGCGGCGGGTACGAACAATGTAGATCTTGTCGTCCGTGATGAGACCAACACAGGCGGTACAGCCTGATACCTCCTCCTCGTACTTGGGGTCTACGATCGTGTTAGCCTCGCCGTCCTTCTGCGATAACGCTGGCACTGCTGGCATTGTGACATACCACTCAAAATGGCCCGATCGGTGGCTAAGAAGCAGTCCTTGAGAGCCTGCTCGTAGTTGCCGGCCTTGAAAGTATCCTGTTTTACCAGGATATCGTCGATGTGCTCGCCAGCATATTGCGCTACTTTATCACCTCCATGTCCATCAAAGACACCGAAGAAGGATAGTCTCGAGGGGTGCGACTTTGCGTCGTCGCTGTCGGGCTTCAGTAGGTCTAACATGGTGCAGTGGGCATCCTCCATGCTGATACGCCATCCCTGCATGGCGGATACACCATAGAGTAGGCGTTCATCCTGGCCTTTGGCAGACGCCTAAAAAAGAAAGAGATTGACATGTCAGCAGTCAGTCTTCATGAGTGTATATAGATGTATATGGGTTGCGGGCAGAGAAATTGTGGCGATGTGTAATTTTTCTTCCGCAGAATAGGCTGCGCGTATGGGGGCATGGTTCACTGATGTCATATGCCACGACGGTCGACGGGCAGACTTGATCAAAAGCAGGCGGCAGGATCGCAGATGGTAGCAAAGCATGAATGAATAATTACCTTGTCGACGACAGGCTCCGAAAGTGTTTGACCCATGGTGTCAAGACTGTAGACCGCGGCGCGTGGGCAGCGGGATCGTCTTGGGAATGGGGAGGTGAGGAGGGGTTGAGGTTGAGGTTGGTCGTCAGGCTTGCAGTTGCAGTTGCAGGTGCAGGTTCAGTTGCTAGGTTCGAAATTTTCCAACGCGCGGGATGTTTGGTAAAATGGTGGGTGGTGCGGAAGGGAGCGCTTCAGTAGAGTACTAAAAACCGCAGACGGGAGACAAGACAGCCAAATGTGTTGCTACAGTATGCCAAATGTGTGTGGTGGGATGCGGCAAGATTGAGGTCTCTCTCCAAGTAGAAAACGGATGGGCCAGGACGGTGGACCAGACCCGGGCAGAGCAGAACGAGAACAATCCAAGGCGGGGTTATGCTCCCTCAAAAACCACCCGACTGTGATGGCTAAGGTAGTGAGTGATTGAGTGGACGAGTGGACTAGGCTGGGCTGGCTGGGCTGGCTGGTTGATGACGGGATCGGGGTCCGGTTTTGGGATCGGTGCCTTTCGTAAGATTGCTCCCTTGTTATCAATTTGGGGAAGAGGCGAAAACCAAAATCAAAAAGAAAAGAAGAGAAACCGTCGCCCCAGGTGGACAGTCTCTGCTGTGAAAGAATACAGTATTGGAGGAAGGGTACCTGCACCGACAGCAGTGTACAGTAAGAGTTTGGCCGAGAGAAAAGAGAATATATTTGGGAGGTGCGCGTTTCCACCAGCTCTACTACTGTACGACTCTACATAGTACTGTAGGTGCAAAGTGTGATGTGATCATAGGTTGCGCGTGCGGGCAGTAACGTTAGGTGGCACTGGCAATCAAAAGGGTTTACAGATTTCGCTGTACTGTAATAAGCCAGCCCAAATATCTCTGAAGTCTACGGGGTTGTCAATGAGACCTCCAAGATGGTGGAACACAATGGCAACTTAGACACAATGAACAAACTCCACCACTACTTATCACATGAACGTGAACGTGAACAAGGGCAAGTAATACCGTTGCTCATGCGTGCATGCTTGGGACATCTTCAATGCATTATAATTCATTAAACAAGGATGCTTACAACAGGCAGTAGAGTAACTCTAGAATAGAAACAGAAATAATGCTCGGGCCTTCATCGGCTTTTGAAATACGTTACCGTTGGTTCAGTCTCCGTCAGACCTAGAACCTGATGAGTGCTAGACTGACAGTCACACAATGGTACATTCAAATCTCATTCCCATCAACATTGGGACAGGTAGCGTGTCCACTATCGTAGGAATACCATCCCCCATACCATGCAAACTACCTCTTACAGTATGTATACAGCCTGCAGCGCAACCTAGAGCATGACGAATTATGACGGGAAATGTAGAGACAAGAATCCTGCCCAGTTTGGAAACAAAAAGCTTCGTCAAGCTTTATGATCTACATGGTTTCTTGCACACACGTCACGGAATAGTTTGCTAAAACCTGGGGAAATCGTGGTTTGGGGAAGAGAGAAGGCGGCATCGCCTGGTCCGTGAGCTGGTCCACGTTTGCGACTCCCGTCTAGGGCACCTCTCGAGTCAGAACAAAGGCTGCTTTATTCATCTCTATAAAACAATACATCAGGCTGAATTTCCTTGTTCTCTGCATTTCCTCTGATACCTTTCGTCGAGGCGTGCCCTTCTGATGTGCTTTGCCTCACCATTGGCGCCAGAAATTTCTTCAGAATGGATCAGCTTTCGAACGGTCCAGCCGGCCAGGCTGGGAGATCTGACCCATAAGAAGTAAGTCGCTGCAAAGAGCTGCATCACATGGGCAGTGGCTGGCCACCCGTTTGTTTCTGTTTACCACGACGAAAGTTCCAGATGTATCTCGATTGATAATGTTGTACTTCCTAGCAAAGTCACACTGACTCTGAAAGCCGGACGACCCCTATCAAGGAGCACTCTAACCTGAGAAACTTTGGGAGTCGAACCACCGCAAGTACGATTTTCCATTCGTACATCCGTACAAGCGAGCAAGGTAAGCCCTCCGAAAACAAATAACAGCAGACCAACGTTTCTTTTGCCACATTTCGATATCCACTTGCTACAGGAAGGATTTCAACGGAATCGTTACATGAGAAAATCTATGATTCACCGATTCCGAACCATATTGTTTTTGGGAGCCGACAATTTGGGGCTACGCAAACACCAACCTCAATATAAAAGAACAAAGGAGTGCAGTACCATTCGTAACTCTGATCATGTACCTCAGTCAAATCCAGGCCACATGTGGCTGCTGTTGACTCGTAAGGATATTTTGTAGATATTGTCAGTATCATAAGTGGATCGATTAAACCAATATGTCATTTATACTGTTTCTCCAACAGCCATTAAAATAGCTCATAAATCTACCAAACCTGACAGCATCTTCAGTCCCACCAAACAACAATTAAATATAAAACTTTTAGTTTATGCGCCATCCGCCCATATCGCAAGCCCTTTTTACAATTTGAACTCCTATCTGTCTAGATAAAGGCTGGCAGGCTTCCCGAGGAGCTCCCACAGAACTCTGCTCCCGGCGTACTCTCCGGTCTCAGATCTTCCCAGCCATCATCCATCTCAGCGTACTCACTTTTGTTGACCCTGATGCTCGTGACGCTTGTGTTAGTTTTATGCCGTGTCACATTACTCCAACTTCCCCCTGGTGCACTGCCGCTGGACTTATTTGGCAAATCCGCTAACGGGGCTCGCGCAGGATTCTGTACTGGTATCTTTGGCAATGGTCTATTAGTTGTGTGCGCCCACGTTGGGTCTGGCTTCGACATCTTGTTCTTGAAGTCGTTCAGAGCCTGCTGCTCCCGTGTCCGCGACCGCCCGTCATGCGAGGTTTCTCCTCTTCGCGGTATGCTCAAGGAAGGCACAGTGCCGTCCCTATCGGGTGGGCCATTGAGAGCCCTGGACTGGCGTTTATCGGTTGGCTTGTTCCTCCTTTGGTTTTTGCCTGGTGTGACTGGTGTCGGTGGAGAAGCGTTGACGGGAAACCGAGTTGCTGCGCGAGAGGTTACAGGACCAATTTGGCTACCTGTGTTTTGCGGTTTGGGCCAGAGCTCGGGCAACATGAGATTATGGGAGCTTCCCTCATTCCAGTTCAATGCATTTTTATTCTCCTTGTCTGAACAATGTGTCAGGATGGGACTCGCTGATTTTCGAGCTGTGATCATTGACTTCAAAGAGTCGCGGCCAGATCTTATCATGTCCTTGTATTCAATACCCAGCGAGTCTCGTGTAATCCTTTTCCACGACGAATCGCTATCGCGGTCATCCTTTGTGGCGAGCGGGAAAGAGCGTGGGGGTCCAAAGAGCGGCTCCATGGACAATTTGACCGACAGATTAACTGGTAGACCAAAATGCTTTGGCGAGTTCACAAGAGACCCACCACCGAACAAGGTACTGGAATCGTCTGTCCGACGACTGATCTGCCGCATCTCGCCTGTATGGCTGGGAATATGAATGACAGTGGGGCGAGATGACCTTCTACCTATTGTCAGGTCATTACCAGCCCTGCTACTCAAGATGCTGGTCCGTGTAGTCTGAGAAGTCGAGGAACTCATGTTGCTTTTACGTTTATACTCCTCCAGCAGGCCAGTAGGACTTGCTCGTTTCCACGCGTTCGAAACTCTCGTACTAGTAGTGCGCGATCTCGACGTTTGTGGCCGTTGTATGCCAAGACCTGCGGCGCCGGCAGAAGTTGAGTCATCCGAGCTCGCTGGCGATCTTGTGTTGATGTTGGCATCGTCAGCCGAGTCTGTGCCAACAGCTATGTAAGCAAACTCAGGCGTTGTCTGTATGCTAAATGGCTCGTGGGGCACTGGCAAACTCAGCCCAGGTACCGATGGGGTAATTAGAGAGTGCCTGAAGGATTGCGGTCCGGCTGCGCTTATCACCAATGCAGGGATGGCACCGTGGATGTGGTGCTCATCAGTGCTGGTGGTTACGTTTGATAAGAGGCTCGTTCCATCCACCCTTTCCATTTCCGAAGAGCCTCGACTGGGAGGAGTTCTCTGCGGAGTACGTTGACCTGCATGGATTTGTCGCGGTAAGCTTCGACTCGCGAGCCATGACTCTCGAGTCTCTCGCACTTCAGAGTCGCTCAGTGACCTTCTGAAACCGGAGGCGTCAGAATTCATGGCATATGGCACGTTGTTATTTCGGAGACTGGCGGTTGAAAATGAATTCCGGAGTCTGGATGGTGCCCCTGGGACAAAACTACCACTATTTGTCCTTGTTCTCGTACTAGCGTACCCAATATCAAGCATGTCATGAACACCTCCCTCGAGACTACTTGTGTCATGTTTGATGAAACTTCCTGGTATTGGTGCGGACACTTCTGGAATATGTTCTTCTTCGCGCTGTTGCTGCCGTTTCCTTAAACAGCAAAGCCCAAGAAGGATGACTACAACGCAAAGTAATATCAGCGGTATGAGTACAGCAAGAAGGACTGTTCTCTTCGAAGAGTTTGATATGTTAGAATTGGCGGCAGGCGGGTTAGTACCTATTGGAGTTAATGCCGAAGTTGACGGGAGTGTTGAACTAGACCGCGAAAGAGACGGAATCAAGTTGGCTGCAGCAACTTGAATTATCAAGGTGCCTGAGTCTGTCTTTTGGCTATTTTTTGATTTCGCTGTTATATGAATGCCAATCCTGAAATCATTTATTGATATCGGAACAATGCCTAACAACTCCAGTGTTGAGGAGTCAATTTGTATCCACGGTGCCTGTGACTGATTCTCGATCTGCAACTGAACATCCGATGGGTCCTGAAGGTACGGCTTTACATCGAATAATATATTGGCGCCGGACGATACATTGAGAGTAGGAAGTTCTGAGCGAAAGATGTCGGTCTCGAGCCCAATATACAATGTGACGTTCAAGTTGTCAAAATGAACATCTGTGATAGATACAGTAATATTGATGGACTTCGCTGTTAGGCCTGGCGTTCCGCTGAACTCCCACGTTGCTGTATCAAACTGTAACCAGTCCGGTAACTTATCTGTTGTGATCGAATTCACATCGGTACGCTTAAGCGGGGCATCATCAATCTTGAGGATACTTGATAGGCCGCTGTACTCAAAGAGTGTTCCTTGAATCGCATTGAGCACGACTTGGACAGGATCAGCTGTCAGCTCGTGGTTACCGACAATTATAGAGAATGGCACAGAAATGGATGAAAAGCCCGTAACATCCGAAGCCACAAGCTGAATATCAAAACTGTGAGGCGGTTGGAGCAATGATTCAAAAGTTGGTGTTCTGCCGGAGAATAATATCCCGTCCGCCTCGAAGCTTATCCAGGAGGGAAGGGGGGCATTATTTTCGGATACCGCGTAGTAATTCAGTCCATCTTCACTGAACGTATTCTCATCAAATGAAAAGTAGAAGTCCTTTGAAGGTTCCAGTATGATAGACGATGGTGCTGAATATGATCCAAATGTCCATATCTGATCTGAAAGAGGTATCTTGATTCCGGGCGCAGGGTTTCGCGACACAACCAAGGTGGAGTTCACCGTAATAGAACCATCCTTATCTTCTGCCGTAATTGCTATCGGTATACCAACAACAACTCCAGACGCGATATCCTGGCCGGAAGGTGTTCCATAGAGCCGCCTGTTGTTGCTGTCAAGTGATAACCATTCAGGAGAATCGACCAAAAAGTAGGATATTGTATGTGGCGAAGAAAATGTTAGAGGCGAGAAGACGAACGAGAACGGCTCTGATATACGGGCAACAGGGGGTAATTGTGAATTGATCGGGAAGTAGCTGACAGGCGCGGTGATCGCAGGTTTCGCGCATAACAATATCATAATAGGGCTAGGTGCCCACCTCTTCAACATGATGAAGTCGATAACATAGCATAAGAGAGAGGAAAGCGCGGAAAGCGCGAAGAGGCCTAATGAGTGACTGAAGATCTGATCATATCACTATATGATGAAACAAGAGAAGAAAACAAAAACGACGGTGGTTGAGTACATGCATGGAAATGGCGAGTTGTGTGGACTAGAGTTTAACCTTACCAAAACTTACGAGCCGTGTCTCTTCACTACAGGAATAGCTACTGCAGAACTCACGAGCGTGTAAAGTGGCTGACCACACAGACAGGTCAACTATAACGGTTGCGTCGTGCTTCACTGGGTCCCTATGGAATTTCAATGTCTTGCCACGCGTTGCCCTGGCATTGCTCGAAGAACAAGGCTGGTGGGAATGATCAAATTCCATGAGCAGTTTCGGACAAGGGATGATCACGAGCGTTTTCTAGTATTGAACACATGATTGTGCAAGTTTGTCTAGGTGGTGATTTGGCATGTCAGTCCAATATATATAAGCAAAGTGACGTAGAAAGAAGAGGGAAGCTCCGAATGGCATCTATAAACCGATAGGCTGGCGCTTGGGGCACTAGTCCCCTGCCAGAAAGGGATACTGATGCGATAAGTGACAATTGACGAGGACCGGACACTATTTGACAGTGAGGGTCTACAACATTTTCCATTCCACAAAACTTCTCTGCACGAAAAAGAACAACTCCCAAACAATGATCGAGAAACGCTCACCGTCTCCTGAGTTCGACCCCTTAGCAGTTGGGACGGACTTGGCGCCTCTGCCGGAATACAAAGCAGCAGCCACTGCCGGTTTCGACTTTGGCGGACTCCTCGCTCAACCATTACGGCTTCATGAGGACCTCGCCTCTGGGTGCGGTGGGCAAACATGGCCAGCAGGCATGGTACTAGCAAAGCACATGCTTCGCTATCATCAAAACGATTTGTGCCAGTCGAGAATGTGGGTTCTGTGACAGCGTGATGTGTTGTCACTTCTGCGTGGTGGGTAACATGAGAGAGATATTTTTACTGATGCCCGCTTGCCTTCACAGTCTAGAACTCGGTGCGGGCGGCGGATTAGTGGGCCTCGCAGTTGCTCGAGGCTGTGAGATCCAGCAACCCCTCATTATCACCGATCAGCTCGAGATGTTCTCGTTGATGGGCCATAACATCGCGCTCAATGAAATGCAGGGTATGGTCACAGCTGCAATTCTGAATTGGTTAGTGGCTTCAACTTGTCTCTCTAAATCCCTTATTCCAGCCACAATGTGTGACATCTCTGGTCAAACGCCCGGTGATGCAGCACAAGCTCTAACAATGGCGGGATCTTGTAGGGGCGAAGCGCTTACCCAAGACATTGTGGACTTCCAACCAGATGTCATTCTTGCAGCCGATTGCGTTTACTTTGAGCCGGCCTTTCCTCTCCTCCTTCAAACATTGACCGATCTACTCACGCTGTGTCCTTCTGCGACCATATACTTCTGCTTCAAAAAAAGACGTCGGGCAGACATGCAATTTGTGAAGAAAGCACAAAAAGCTTTCAATGTTGCTGAAGTACACGACGTGGACCGTCCGGTATTCAGTCGGGAAGGTTTATTTCTGTACACTATTACAAGTAAAGCATCGAAGCGTGGATGAGCTAGGATAAGAATAGATATTCGGTAAGACCAATATTCCATACCAACACGTTTCTTTCTCGGGAGCATCGCACGTAGAAATAAAAATAAATTGCGTACTGGGAGGACTCCTCTGTATTGTTTTGTCATACGTAGTTTGAGGCACTTTTCGTTGTCGGGACTCTCTTTTGCCATACCTTCTCTTTGGGCCCGCCATTTATCCCGCAGTATCCGTGCGGAATACATAGGCTTATCCAGGCATGCCACCTACAAAGTTAGAATCGCACAATACGATCTCAGCCGCCTCGACACGATCCGTTGAGGCGCACATAAAAGCAGCGAAACCCAAGACATCCGTATTCGTTCCTAAATGTTTTCCTACATTGACTATATCGAGGAGATCTAGAAAACGAGATGTTGAAGACCTTTTTGGATATGTATGATAAAAGAGGTAGGTATCGTCCTAGATGTGTTCTTTGTGCCATATCGAAACGGGATGAGCGGGTGGAGTCGCAGGCAGTCCACGTGGAGCTGCTGAGTGTCGCCAAATGGCGGCGACCTGCTTGATTTCCTCCTTACCGGTATTTCTCTTCGATCCAGATCAAGGTTCTGGGTTCCAAGCGCTTGGCATTGGCACATGTACGACAAACTGTGACTGGCCGATCGTTTGACATTATTACAACACTTTCAGGCTGGTCCAGCTGTGGCACCACTCTGATGGAACGTACTATGGACGTTGGCTGGCTCCCTCCGCAGGGTTCCGTTTTTACGGTCCTAAGCCTTTTCCCAGAAAAAAAAAAGTTGCCGCGCAGCAAAGAGTTTTCTTAGCCCAGGCAGCGCCATTCACGACTCAAGACAAGCCACGACGAACGGACATGAGATGCTAATGCAAACTAGGGAGCATGCCCGGAACACCGTGGACAACTAGAAGGGCCTTTAGAGGGATCGCCAGGCACTTATGCCCCTGCATTAAGCTTACTACCAGGGATCTTGGTCCTTTATTGGCTCGTCCAATTGTGGATGGGCGGTGCCTTGCAGCCTGTAAGGTACCCTCCTTGGAAGTCGGATTGTCCCCCCGGTTGTACCTTGGAGATGAAGTTGCGATGTGCCATTCCTTGGAGGTGACTTGGACCTTGCTGCATGGTTCCAGTTCGTAGTGGGCGCAGTCCCCAGTTGCGTGCTCTGTTTCAACTGGGGTTAATCTCGTGATTGGTTTATTTGCATCTTGCTCGGGCCTGATTCTGGCCCCGCTGGGGTTAGATGAACCCAGCGCTGTTTTTGTTTCCTAATCCAAGGGTAGACTTGCTTTCTTGGTACCTTGTCTTGTGCACTTCTCCTCAAAGGCAATAAAGAGCCCCGGTTCCCATTCTTTCCCTTTTGATCCTATGCCGGCTCATTTGTGATTATCACGAGAAAGACGTTCATTTCCAGAGCAGTGCTCACTGAATACATTCATTTTTCAAACAGCTCATCACACTCATTCCCAAGGAGGAATCAGGGATACCATTAGCCTCTACCACCGTACGATAAAAACAACAAACGCACATACAATACAACCCACAGACGATCACTCTGTATAACAACGCCGGCTGGTCCTTGAAGCATACATCTTGCCTTTGAACCACTAGATACCCCAATTTGCCAAAATGAAGTCCGCAATTATTGCTGCTGCTGCTTTGGCCTCAGCCGCCATTGCTCAACCCCACAACCATCACCGCCGCCACCAGCACGAGAAGCGCGATCTCGTGGTAGAATGGGTTACTGAGGAGCTCACTATCACCGTCATGGTTGACGAGGCCACTACTGAAACCTTCTACCCATCTACAACCCAGGAGGTTGTCGCAACCTCTTCCGGCTCTCCTGGACAGTTTTTCCAGGCCGCCAGCGTCAGCACTTCCTCGTCGGTTGCTGCACCATCGACTACACTGGTTGCCAAACCCTCGACTGAGAAGACCGTCGCTCCTGTTGAGCCCACAACAACCAGCATAAGCACCAGCACCAGCTCGACTCCTGTTGCTGTTCCCACCACCACAAGCACTACCCCGGTAGCCGTTCCAACCACTGCTACTCCTACCACTACTACTCAAGCTCCTGTTGTTGTGCCGTCCTCTACATATGTCGCCCCTGCCTCTTCCACCACCGCAGCTGCCAGCTCCGGAGGCAGTGGCACCACGTACAACAGTGACATGACATATTACCAGATCGGTCTCGGTTCTTGTGGTTACGATGACTCTGGCCTCGATCTGAGCAAGCCTGTCGTTGCCATCAGCAGCACGCTTTGGGACTCTGTTAGCACTGCTTCTAATTACGGTATTGATCAGCCAGCTCATCCCTTCTGCGATCAAGAGATTACTATCAAGTACAACGGCAAGACCACCACTGGTGTTGTCCGCGACAGATGTCCCGGTTGCCCTGCTGAGGGCATTGATGTCTCTGAAATTATTTTTGACGACCTCGTCGGTGGAACTGGAGCAGGTAGAGTAGAAGTAGAGTGGTCATGGAATTCGGGCAAGTGGTAACAGAGTCGCATCTTCTGCCAACAATGCCATCAGAAGCTTCGCATTTGCTACTGGTGAGGCTTGCCACCAAACTCATGCTTACGATTACGATTCTGTTTTACTGGTTTACTTCCTTCGCATGTACTTCGGCCAAGCTCAAGTATAAAAATCAACGGAGTTCTGGAATAAGCTGATAGGCGCATCTACAAGGCAGAGAGCCCTGATCACCGGCTAGAGAAACATCGGGTTTGGGAGAGAAAAAAAATTGCCTCGGTGCCCCGAGAAGCTTGATCTCGTTGCTGAGTCACGAGATTGATAGATCTTCAATTCTAATGTATATATTTAGAAACAATTCAAAGAATTCAAACCATTATTAGACGTCGACCCACTGGAAATAGAGATGTCTTCCTCTATGATGACAATGCGATGAGGCAGCCCATCGATGTCCCCCTTTGTGGCTAAAACTCTCGAACCCTTTGTCTCATAGGTTGGTGGCTGAATCAAATCACGACCATACCGCCCCGAACTTTGTTCGACCCGTGACAACTGCGAGTCTCAGTTTGACAGCGCTTAGTGTTCGACTATAGCTATTAACCGAGGTGTCTCTTGGGTTTGGTATTCCATGCGCTACAAGAGCCGTTGGATTTTAATTAAAGCCTGATTGCATCATCATACCGGCACCTACTGTTACTCTGTTGAGAAGAATTATGAGTCAATTTGACTGATTTCTAAATTGCCCATTCTCTCTTAAACTGGGCAACAGTCCACTATTGTTCTCAGGGGATGTCATCTGACTGAGTCCGTTACAATTTGACGTCGAAGTGCATGGCATGAATTGACATATCGAGCTCTTTACTTGCTATCAGAGTCCTCTATCAGGATCTTCGTCGAGATTGTTACGATTTCTAAAAACGCCAAACAAAGCCTCCCCAAACGGGAGGCGACTTGATTTGAAGCGACAGCTATGCCAAATGGCGTCAGATATATTCCTTGAATTATGTCATCTCCCAGACGTTTTAGCGCGATCCCTTTCGCCTTCAACAATGATCCCAACGGCTATGGTTTGAATGGATACTTCAGGCTGATCGCTGATACCAAGCCTGCGTGGTATCTCGTAAGCCGGCTAACAGCCCAAGACTGGGTTGCCTCTTCATGTCACTGATAACACACTCCATTGCTCATGTTGCAGCAAGGCACTTAAGCCTTAAACATGTGTCAAGCTTGATCTAGCACGATATTCCGTCCAATTCGGGTTCAACTTAATCCGATGGGATGTTCCAGAGGCAAAATGCAGAAAACGAGAAGCATTTAGTCCTCTCTAAATGCTTTCACAGACTCTCGAAATAACTTCATACTCTGCTCCAAAAATTGTCCGCCAAAAGGTGACATATGACCCGCTTCTGCCATTTCCTTGATCAAACAACCACGCTTCAGACTCTCAATTGTAGCAAACTGAGATATGGCTGAAACCTCATCGTCCCTTCTGGTAACTATGTATACTAACCTGTCTTTCCATGCATTGCTGTCATCGTCGCCCCCAATCGCAGAAGGGGGTTGTGCGCTCGTGAAGGCTAATGTGGCGTGAGGCTTACAGGAAGCCCCAAGAGCGATTGCCTCCCTGGAACCAAAGCCGTGCTTGAACATTCTCACAGGATCGGACGGTATGTTGAGTCCAAACCTTGGCGTATCGTTCAAAATCCAGGAGGCCAACTTGCCGCTGGTCATGCCTATGCAGGTTCCGCCTTCAGACACGACAAACGCGGCGATGTAGATGAGTCCGATTATCCCACCCCGGAGACCGGCCTCGCGTCTCGAGGATACGCTAAGCCCTTTGGCAGCACTGGAACCGGGCATGCCGCCATAGCTGTGCATAACGAGGACGACGTGTTTTTCTTCATTGTTGATCAGATGCGCAAGTATGCCATGTATCGACCGTGAGTCTTGAGCAACGTCTGCTGTGGCTGGATTTGTGGGATCGAAGGACGGATATGATATTGCGAGTGTGGGGTATCCTTCTTGTTCCAGTGCTGAGAGGTAAGCTTCATATGCCGTCGTAGGAAGCCATGCTCCAGGAACCAACACTATGGTTGGTTTCGAATTCATCGTCCTATTGATGTCCATCGACATGGAATTATGTACTTCTCTGAAGTAATCAGAGGAATTCAGGCCTACAAGCTGCACAAAACGGCTGAATAGAGGGGTAAGACCGACACACGAAATTAGAGTTTCGGCTTCACACCAGAGTGGCCCCTACCTGCTTGTGTGGACGAGAAGCATTTGATTTATGGAAAGTAGAAACGTTGGTTGTTGACCGCCGGTACGAAGTGCGGTTCCTATAGATGAACGGAATGTGCTCCGGACCTCGACCTCCAATGAGCACTAGTCAAGACCAGGCCTAGACCACTACAGCCACCAAGATATACAGAACTACCCTCTACGCTTATTTTGCAACACCTGCACACCAGTGTTTCTTTGTCCACGTTTTTGAATTATGATAAGGGTTGTCGTCCGGGTGGTCGATGTGAGTGATTAAGCAAGACCTGTTGGCCATTTCTAACCGCAAGCCAAATTTAGTCTGTCAGCATTTCTTCATGATCGGGAACGAGTATTATCTTATTGTTTATATTTGGACGTGAACCAGCAGATACATGATTAAATGCTGTTCTGTAAGCCAAGCCCGACCATGGTGACCTCTCGGTGGCCTGGAAAGTTTGTGCTTACCTGCGTTTTGAGTCTTCCATGCGCTGCTTGATCGTTGTTCCATATATTTTAAGAGGCAAATGCGGGCAAGTGCGGAACAAAGAGTGCTTGCGTAGCGTCAAAATCGTTGTGTCTGCTACCACAACATCATCGAAACGGGGCGATTCGTTGTCAAGAACTAGGTTACTATATTACTTCATTTCGCCCTAAACGTTTGGTTTGAACGTGTAAAATGGGACTAGACTAGTCTAAGCGGGAAAAACAATACAAGTGTCAGATGAGGACGCCCCAAATCTTGGCTCCGACTAAGTAGCGTTATAATTCATTCAGAGATCAGGCCACTCAACATGTGTCCAATGCCACAATGAGATAGAGTAGTATCATGTCTTAGTGATAGGCTTTGTGCCACAGATAATGTTTGCTCTACCTCATACAAATAATCTAGCGATTGAGTACCCATCTGAAGGCCTGAGCTAAGGCTACTTTCTTTTTTTTTTTTTTTTTTTTTGGATATATTGTGTTCGCTTGCAACACGACATTTTACTAGCAATGAATCGACCGATGATCTATGATGCCGAAACATCGAAAGCGCCCAAGAGTTCTAAGCATGTTTAGCTCTATGTGAGAAACACTCTCCACGGCCCTTCAACTATTAATAGAGAATTCCAAGGTGCAGCCTGCACAAGTGTCGCTGTTTCCAGCGCAAAAGACTTGCGCTAATTGGTTCTCTTAAGCGCCCTCTCCCCACAGCTGCAGAGGGTTTAATGGAAAACCATTTGAGGGCGCCCGTCGAGACTGTTTTCCTGCTTCTTTTAGAGCTCTGGTCCTCCAAAATGCTAAGAGAACAAGCGAAAGGCCTCCCAGTCTTTCGACCATCTCGGAGGGATGCCAACCCTGTCAACCCGCATCTCAGTAGGAGGGTTTGATCAACCTTGTCTGTGTGATGAAGACCCCCTTGTTGTTCTTGGGGCTGAGGCTGGCTGCCCTGATTCAGGATAGTAAGTGATTAAGAACCCCAAGAGCTCGTCACTTGCCAGTAATGCGCCGCTTCCCCCAACAGAGAGAATCGGGATCTCTTATCTCAACGTTGTTACTATCTTTGAATAGATGTATTCGGATTCCTGAGAATAAACCCCCTCCAATAACACTGATTCCCGTAACACCATCGAATGTGTTACTTCTTTGGCAATAGAAATTTGCGACCGCTGAGCTGAGTCCAGCCGCATTCCCGTCCCTCCATCAGCGTCACGAACCAAAAGCGACAGTCCTTGAGCGTATTTAGCTCTGCATTTCAAAATAACTCGTGGTTGGTTGTAGCCGACTCCGTTGAGCGTGACCTAGTTTTTGAGCTGTTCCGGCGTATAGTGATTTTACTTTTCTTTTACTTTTCTTCTTTCAATCGATCCTGTCCCTCGTCCCGTACTGGCGGTTATTGTTCAGAACCAGACAGAATGTCTCGCGGCACATTTCGCTTTTTCCTTCATTAGAGCGCGATGATATGAGGTCTATCTTTTCTAGTTAGTCTAAGGTGATGGTAATCATGGCTCAACAAGAACGCTCACGCGAGGCGCCATGGAAGGCGAACGGAACCAGTCAAGACTGGATACATAGTGGTTCGACTATGTCTAATAGCCCGTACGAAACAGCAGAAACACTGTCATCTCGACATGCCAGTGAGTCGCTTATACCGCTGGAGTCACACGGGGGATCACCGCGACCAGGAACTGTTTTTAATGATGCAGGACATGTCTACACTGGTAGAGGTCCTTCTTGGTCGGTGCCGTTTCGTCCGTTGAGCGGTCAATATGAACCGGTTTCTACGGTCACAACTTCTCTAGACCGGAAGACTCCCCGCCGTGGCATATCTCAGGACACTCTGGTAGAGGATGAGAGCTACGATATGTCTCTGTTGAAGTCGGCTGCGCCGTTCGGCACAGCAAAAACTTATGCTACTATACCCGTTGAGGAGTCTACCGAGCCTAGCACACCTATCTTCGACATGACTTCCTTTTCTGGTCCTATGGGTCCACAGGATCATGTGTTCCTGAAGAACCTACAAGAACAAGAGGCGAATGGTCAACTAACAGGTGGTTTGGGATCCGGGATAAATCCCGACACTAGGATTACAGGTGGTGAGCTTCTAGCTACAAGTCCTACGGTCAAAAGGTCGTTCTCATTCTCGAGAGCTTTGTCAGTAAGGAGGAAACCCACGGTTAGGAACGAAATTAGGGGCCTCGGACAGACCGCGGCCAACAAGACAGGTGAAGTCATCGAGGTCATCATCGAAGAACCATCAGAGGATCTCAGCAACATGACTGGACCGACTGCTGTCGGCGTGGATCCACATTCGATGCGGCGTTCGACATTTCCTAGGTCAGACACCAAAAAGGAGGTGTTCTATCCACAACCAAACTGGAAACCATTCGCGATGAGATGGCCATACTTGATGAGTCTCATTTTACTATCACTCGGCCTCGCCATTGCCCAGGAGCTGTTGTACCGCCAGTCTGTAATATCACCATTGATGAAGTTCGAGAAACCAGACGAAATCAAACCTATCGACTATTTTGTGTTGAAATTCCTGCCGACAATCGTTACGGTCACGTTTGGTGTTTTGTGGTCGATAACGGATTCCGAGGTGAAGCGTTTGGAAGCTTTTTATCAAGTGTCGAAAGAAGGAGGCGCCCTAGCCGCTGAATCGGTCAACGTTGATTATTTAACACTCTTTAATCTGATGGGGCCTATCCGTGCTTTTCAGAGAAAACACTATACGGTCGCCGTATCATCAATAATGAGTTTGCTCGCCGTTTCACTTGTCCCTACGCTGGGTTCGGCAGCAATCATCATGAACCCTGATAAGAAGACACGACAAGAAAATGTCCTCATCGAAAAGACGATTACAATCAACCCGACATTGTCCCGTCTTCTAACTTCCACCTTTGTCATTATTGCCGTGCTAGGGATGATCCTCTTCTATCAACTACAAAGTCGTCGGTCAGGATTGCTAGCAGATGTGAAGGGTATCGCAGGACTTGCGTCAATGGCTGTAGTCAGCCATATCATGATGGATTTCAAAGATATGGATGTTGCCAAGCCGAAGGATATTCATTACAAACTCCGGAACTACCGCTATGTTTTGCGAAACTCTTCACTAGCACGAGATGACTCGTCGCCAATGACCACGCAAGAAAGAGACAGATACAAGGAAACACATTTGCCAGAGAATCCACATCCACTAATACTGCGAGCAAAGGGCGGCATACCTTTCATAGTCGGGATTTTGCTCTTCCTGGGCTTCGTTCCCCTGTTCCTCTTCACGCCAGTGAGTGAGTTGACCGACAAAGCACCTTGGATAGTGACAGCACTCGCCGTCTGCATCAAGCTCGCCTGGGGCAGTCTTGACACCGACATCCGCATGATGGAACCGTATTATATCCTATCGAAGCGCCATGCTCCGGCCAAGACACTGACACTTGACTACACGGCCATGCCGTTCGCGTGGGTCGCGATACGCGCCTTGCTCAACAAACACTGGCTTGTCGCCCTCGTCGGCTTCGGTACCGTACTCTCCGAAACTCTAACCATCTATGTAACCTCACTCGCCACCGTGGAGGGCAAGGACTTCATAGACCAGATCCGCCGCGCGGCCCAATACACAGACAACACACTATCTGGTGGACCCTTGCCGGATGATCCAAACCAAGACTTCAATTCCGGGCAGGAAACAGTGGGTTCATTCGTCCTCTCGCTTGCGTTTACCGCATTTACCCTGCTGTATATGTTCACGGTAGCGACGCTGGTCTTCGTGAGACGCCGACATCCATTCCTGCCCAGACAGCCGAATACTATTGCCAGCATCCTTGCCTTCATGCATCAGAGTAAAATGCTGTACGATTTCGTCGGAACGGCCAAGTATAGCAACGCCGAGATGTTGCGCAAGCTTCAGTCGCTGGGCAAGACGTATGGCCTGGGCTGGTTCGAGGGCCGTGATGGCCAGACACACTGCGGAGTGGACGAGGAAGAGCTCACAGGAAGTTATAAGCACGGCATTGATTACAGTCAAGGGAACAAGCCGTGGGACCGTGAATGGCAGTTGTTCTAATTATGAGGCCACCGTATCACATTGGGAGATAATAGATGCCAGGATAGAAGTATTCTACATATGTTTCAGAAGCAAAGGTCTCACATACCTTCACTGTAAGCCTTCTCGGAACTTCCATCCTTCTCTTAACGAGGAACAGTATTCCAGCCAGGTGAAAAGCTCCGTGTTCCATCAAAGTGCAACATGTCGTAGATTACTGTTGCTACGTAGCCTACAATCGGAAGTAATAGCTAGTCTCTCAACGGGGGTCTTGTTTGGTTGCAGCTAGGTTTTACGGTAGACTGTAATGGCCGCAATGCCCATAACTGCAATGAGAACTAGCTCTATCTGCTCAGCTTTCCTCTGTAATGGTCGAGGCGATTTGCCATCGATTTTGAGCTTATCGTTGATGCGGCCCTGAATTTCCCTCTCTTACTACTGACAGGTTATTGTTTTCAATGTAATCGGAGCCTTCAACGTTTGGGCGTCCTTCTGAACCGGAGCAGGAGCAGGAGCAGGAGCAGGAATCAAGTCAGGTGTTTCTTGATGAGGGGCAATGCGATATGCTAATAGTAAAGATTGAAGGCTTCGGCCGCAGTTAGTGCGTCATTGTCCAAATTTTTTATTTTATTTTTGGAAAAGACCGGAGGCTTGAAGTAGTTATTCGCTTCTCAGCCGCGAGGGTTATTTGTTACCAGACGCGGAACAGAGCGACAGTGTGCAGTGCTCAGTTAAATATTCTAACCATCCTTTCTACACGTCGAAAGTTGTCATGGATTCTGGGATGGCTCAAGGCGCCTCCACCCCCAAATACATGACCAGGCAACTTGAACTTTTAGAAGATCAGCGACCCAAACATCCACGCACAAATTCGCGTACGGGGATGTACTGCCACAAATTCAAAGGGTTGATCACCACGAATTCGACGTTGTCAAATTCATCTTTTTCTTTCATTGTTTGTATACCAGCAAACCCATACAGATTCAAATGGTCCATAGAGAACACTACACAGTTAGATAGTAAATCACGGATATCGGAAGTTACGATCACCGGCACCGATTGGGACCAGGTACCTGCATAAGAGCTCTGCGGCAAATAACTCCAAACCATGCCACGGCACAGTTCGTGAGCGGGAGGATTTAGGAAGCAGATCGATATGTTGAACAGGATACAGGGGTAGCGGCACAACGCGACAGTGATCCACTCGACGAAAGAAGACCAACGAATCTCTCATGTCCCACTGCGATAACACGACCTACGAGACGCGCGAGTAATCTCAACCATCGCCAGCCAGTTACGAATACCGTGCCACCGTTATGAGGCTGAGAAGTGCGCGTCTGGATGAGTAAGCCAAGCCTGCGTAACACGAAATCAGATAATCAGTGAAGACAGTGTTGCAAGGGTAGTAGTGGAAACGCGAAACATCCCGAATCAGTGGCTATCACATCATCAACGGTTTAACAAGCTGACGGCTCAAGATGGTCATCGCTTCAGGACACAGTCAGAGGGGATTCTCGATCAGATCAGCGCGGGGCAGTGAATGCGGAGTGCGTTGTTTGAGATGAATTGTTTGAACGACGATAAAGTAACTGGCCAGGCTGCCGTGATACTAGTCAAGACAGCAATTTTAAGTTTTTGATGTTTCGTGAACATCGGAAACCAGAGACAAGAAACATACGAAGTCCCAAGAACACTGGGTCTCGTTCAGTGGGTCGAAGGAACCGCTCGGTGACGAGTTCGCAATTACAATACGGTGGGCGGCAGAGAGGCTGTGTCTTTCTAGGTCGTAAGAGCCTAATAAGAAGACGTCCCAGAAGCCAATTCAACGTTACGAACCGCCTAGCCGGTGCCAATAAAGCCTGTTAGTGCCAAGTGCTTGAGGAATATATTGGCGACCGCGAATTCCGTAATTGAAGTATGTTTTTCGGGTTGTTTTCGTGTCATATTCGGATTCCCGGGTGACACAAACTGGATCGTCCTTATCATTGGTATTGTTTGCCAGTGATTGGGGGGGGACGAAAAGTAGGTGTCGCAGTTAGTCTAGTGTACGAACATCTATATCTAGAAGATGATAATAATAACACCTGGAGCCGGTGGTGTTTGACGTTGCGACGAGTCTCTCGCCTAATCAGCGAATTTCATGAAAGATGGGCCGGATTGGCCGGATGGATTACAGTTCTGGCAGTTCTGATGGTGGCTGTGCAAGCCTGAATTGTGTCCAACGACACAAGCTCAAAGATTGAGTGGTTGAGGTTGGTAGATCAATGATCTGCTGGTCCGGGCCAAAACACGCCGTGTCGCAGAGCTAGAAATGTGTGCCGCAGAGCCTGGCAGGTCCTTGGCAGACCGATGTCATTCAGCCAAGCAGCCGCATGCCGTCCATTTCGTGGTCGCCATGCTGCTTGCTCGTGCGCGGTATTTTGCTTTGGGATGACAATCGCGAAATTATGACAGTGGATAAGATCGCCGACGGCTTGATTCGTGATTCTGCAAAGACAACTAGGTCTAAGGGAAGCCCGCATGAAATAGTGCGTCATCAAAGTTGGCCAGATTTGTGCATTTCCTTGTTCACGAGTGCCCAAGTGGTGGCGGGTAAGGCGATTTTTGGCTTGTCAGCTGGAAACCTGGCTGGCTGGGCTGCACATGGTGGATTTTGTGTCTCTTCTTTTGGAAAAAAACGCCGGCAATTGGTGATACCGGTAGTAGCGGATGACAATCAACGCGTGACTCCGACCTGAGAAAGACGGTCTGTTATGCGAGAGAGAGAAAATTGTGCATTTCTTAACGACGGCTGTCCGGCCTAAACAAGAGCAGCCAAGTCAGGTCCGCGCATGGACATCTGGAGGCCAAGCCTTTTGCATCTACTATAGCCGGGGTCGATACGACTCTCACGTGTAGTGGGCTTGTTACGAGGTACTGCGGGAGAAATAAAAGATTGCACATTAGCAGCGGGCTGCTGCATTGTGAGGACAATAGGGTGTGGGATTGGAAATAAGGTGTTACGCTGATAGCTGAGGCGCTCAGGGGAAATGAAGAATATACCTTGGAACATTTAGTTGACGCCAGTGTGGTCAAATGCGTAATTTGGCACCATCCATTCCTGGACGGGGCTCCACCCAGCAACCACGGCTGTCCCTTGGCTTGCTGCAGAGTGTACTTTGTGATGCTGGGTGCAGGGCGTCAAAAGGGCCAACCCCGTATTCTTGTATGTATCGTTGAAGGAGTGGTGCAAGCAGATCCAGTAGATCCTTGTCGCTTCAGAAGACCGTCGACCCCCCTTGGACCATGGACCTTGCACCTTGACCCTGCGGGCATCCACCTGCACACCCAAAATGAGACCCCCCTTCCCGCAGAGTGCCTTGAATGCTACAGTTCCCGTGCTGTAGTCAAGAAGATTGCTCCATTCATTGTCTCGTCTCGTCTCGCCTCGTCTCTTGTCAACACCCCTTCCAGGCCTTGTTGCTTGCTTTGACATTGACATCTCTTTCACTCTCCCACTCCACTATTCCCTGATTCATCCTCTAATCAATCAATCACTCACTCGTCAATCGACAATCGCCAAACCAACGCAAAACCCGCATTCCCGAGAAGCAACGCAGCGCCCTTTCCGCGAAACGGCCCCAATATCGTCTTGTCTTCTTTGCGGCGGCTGATCGACTGATTGATTGACCAAGGGTTGATCGTGAATCACCTCACTTTCGCTTTAATCCCCCATTTCTTTCCCTCGTTCAGCTGGTGGCCTGCCACCACAGCACTCGTTTGAGAGTTGGCAAAGAGTCTATCGAATTCTTCACCCGGAAAAGGGAAGGACGGGATCTTGCAAGTCACGGATCGTCAGGAAACGAGAAGGACAACAACAACAACAACAATAACAACAACACCACCCGGCGACCAACAACACCATCGACGCCAAGGTCGCACCCAAATCGAACTGTATATTTCCCGACACACTCGACGTGCGGTGATACACCAAACCAAATAGTATTGCCGGCTCGGAAACCAACGACCAAGTACGAGTAGTGGCTACGGTATTTCTTAATTATTAGCGGAGAGACGCGAAACCGATTTCGACTTTTTCTCTCCGCCAAACCAACACAAACCCGCCAACAGCAAAGCCCCCCGGGAAACATTAATCATGATGTTTTCGTCGTTGGGGTGTTTCGCCCTTCTCTCCTCATTCTCGGTAGTGGCTGCCGCAGAACAAATGCTCACATCCAGCTCGTTGAACACTTGTCAGGATGATTCGAGTTTCACAGCCAGTCTTTTCAACGTTGTCTTCACACCAAACAACAACACGGCCTCTGTGGATATTGTCGCCACCTCCTCGGTGGAAGGCAAGGTCATTTTCGACGTCGCTATTTCGGCCTATGGATACCAGATTATTCGACAGACGGTCGATCCTTGCGAGGCTGGCTTGGCTGGATTGTGTCCCATGACAGCCGGAAAGATCCCTCTCAACTTCAACCTTCCCGTGGGCTCCGAAGCCGCTTCACAGATTCCCAGTATCGCCTACACCTTCCCGGATTTGGATGCCACCGTTCGTGTCTACTTGAACTTGACGGAAACCGGAAAGAGCGTCGCTTGCGTCGAGGCTGATATCTCCAACGGAAAGACGGTTGACTTGATCGGGGTCAAATGGGCCCTTGCCATCATAGCTGGTCTTGCTCTCGTCTCTTCTGCTATCATCAACGGTCTGGGTCATTCCAACGCTGCTGCCCACGTCGCTTCCGGTGCTTTATCGCTGTTTGGTTACTTCCAGGCCCAGGCCATCATCGGTCTGACCGCCGTGCACATGCCTCCTGTCGTTCGTTCATGGACCCAGGATTTCCAGTGGTCCATGGGTATTATCAAGGTTTCCTTCATGCAGGACATCTTCACCTGGTACCAGCGAGCAACCGGCGGTACTGCCGCTACTCTGTTCGATTCTTTGACTACTGTATCCGTCCAGGTTGAGAAGCGTGGAATCCCCGTGCAGGCTGGTGTGGACCTCATGCGACGAGGAGCTGCGTACGTGCCCAAGGTGGCCCACACCCTCCTCAAGCGAGCCAACATCCAAACCGGGTCCGGAAGTTACATAGTTTATGGCATTCAGCGCGTGGCTTTCAAGGCTGGAATCGAGACGACAAACCTGTTCATGACCGGCCTCACCTTCTTCTGCCTGTTCGTTGTCTTCACCATTCTTGGAGTTGTTGCTTTCAAGGGTTGGTGTGAGTTGGCTGCGAAGCAGAAGTGGATCAAGTCTGACACCTTCCTCGAGTTCCGCAACGGATGGCTCACTGTGCTCAAGGGCATCCTGTTCCGATTGACTCTGATTGGTTACCCACAAATGACTATCCTATGCTTGTGGGAATTCACCCAGGTTGACTCGCCTGCCGAGGTGGTTCTGGCCGTTTTCTTCTTCTTCGGCATGACGGCAACTTTGGCATGGGCTGCTTCCAAGGTCATTCGTATCGCTCGCCGGTCCGTTACCATGCACCGCAACCCTGCCTATATCCTGTTCTCGGATCCGCAAGCCCTGAACAAGTGGGGTTTCCTCTACATCCAGTTCCGTGCTTCGGCTTACTACTTTATTCTTCCTGTGCTTGCGTACACCCTCGTCAAGGGTATGTTTATCGCGTTTGGGCAGGGAAGCGGTACTGCTCAAGCTGTCGGCCTTCTCATTATCGAAGCCGGCTGGCTTGTCGCCTCCAGTGTTATGAGACCCTGGATGGACAAGAGTACCAACACATTCAACATCGCCATTGCGGCCATCAACTTCATCAACTCCATTTTCCTTCTCATTTTCTCTGATGTATTCAGCCAGCCCGCGCTCGTCAACGGTGTCATTGGCCTCATTCTCTTCTTCCTTAACGCAATCTTTGCTCTGGTCCTTCTTCTCATGGTCATTGTCACGACCATAATCGTTTTCTGGCGCAAAAACCCCGACACTAGATACCAATTCATGGCTGACGACCGAGCTTCGTTCATGAAGTCCCAGAGCCAACTCACTGGTACCACGGAGCTGGATGCTCTTGCTGCTACCGCTCGTGGAGACAAGGCTGGCTACAAGCCTGGTTTGGATCTCGACGACGATAACGAGTCCATATCATCCGATTCGATGCGTCGCCGAACGGACACATCGATGATGAATGTACCACACAACGGCCACGGTTCAGTGCGCAGCAGCCATGCCAACCCGCCGCGGTCACCAATCGACCCATCCGTACCATTGTTCCCAGCGTCAGGCAACTACAACAACGCCCGACCTGCCAGCCCAAGCCCCTACGGAAACAACCCAGCAGCATTCAGGGCACAGCATAATGCCAGGTAGGCACTACTTGCACAACAAGGTCTCTTGGACTGTTTGGCTAACATGTAAACTAGTCCATGGCAACGGGGCGCAGGCTATGACCATTAGGGTAGGGATTTGGCCGTCCACGAAAGGCAATACTTCTAGAGGACATTTTGTCCAATCCTTTTTCTCACATATATGAACTCAGTCATGACAAACGGGGGTCGGAGTTACTTGCTTTGAGTTGCATTTGAGGGGAAAACAGTATTCCCCCTTTACCAGCACCTTGGCCTAGGACAGGTCCTTTGGATATTCTCACGGCCGGCGGTTGCCCCAAGAGATGACCTGAACCATTATGTTAGTGTCACAAATGGCACCGGACCATGAAGCCCGGTTCGGTCAACTTATACGGCAACTTTTTCTCTTCCAGCACAGCATAGCATACCATTCTCAGACGACCGCGACCTACTCAACTGCATGGGGGACAGGCGTCAAGAGAAAGGCAGGAGTTACAGCAGGCATTGTATCAACATGTGTTGTTGTATCACAACAACTTGTACCCAGTACGGCGGCGCGGGGGCAGAGAGAGCCCGACGTCATGTGGGCGAGGCAGTGGAAAATGAGGGCTGGGATTGACATGAACATTAGAGTCGCCGCTGGTAGCGGCATATTGAATCATAGTTAATTGATTTCTTTGTAAAGAAGATGTATAATTGTTCCAAGTCGAATGTGTTACGCAAGATGAGCTGCCATCTGGTGTTTCTGGATAGTTTTCATGTGCAGTATTGACAAAAAGTAATGGCGATATGAGCACAGCTGCATTTGGAATCGTGCGCAGGGGCAGTTGGCGTGAAGAAAGTAAGGCTACGTAGTTCTGGATGCTTTGTCAACATTAGGCCTGGACATTGGACTACATTAACCTTAGCTAGACCTTTGCATTTAACGACGAATCTGCGGTACTGTGGTAAGGAGTATTTCGACAGGCTTGACAGGGATTCGTGATTCCTTCGAGCGATCCGCATCTTTGAACGCCGATCCCCCCCTCTCGTGCTTCTCCACTGCGCAACCTTAGCCCAACTTGATGAAGCTCTAGGCTAGGTTTTACTCCGTGCGTACATTGTACAAGAGATTGATTCTTCTGTTGCGTTGCTTCGAGATGCCAGGGTGTATACTTCCTTTCCAGAGGTTACAACCTTATGTTCCGAAGGCGCCTGCCCAATACCAGCGAGATAAGATGCTGTAGTGAACAACCTCTTAGCCGTAAGCTGTCGCGACCCCGCTGCAGTGAAATGGTTCAAGTCCAGCCGATCTGCTCAAGCATCTAGACCAGTCTGACTGCTATGCATGCATCCGGAGATCCTCCACGAAACGAAACGCTTTTTTTCTTCTTCTTTTCCCTTCACTTCCCTTCATAATCTGATGTTGGCTGTACCTTGCAGTTCTGCGCACTTGCATTGGCAGTGGATTGTCCGAGTACTGTAGGTCGTAAGCCACAAGTGTTCAATTCAATTCAATCAGCTCGACGCATCAACTTCGAAAGTCGTCGAGCTCTTCCTAGGAGGGTCAGCGGGTTGCATGTCTCTCATTCTTCAACCTTGGACTGATGAGTCGCAATGGCACTGCCTCCACCACTCGCCTTTCCCGTCTCGCCAGGGACAGATGTAGTCGTACCAGCGCAGCTGGGCTTTTTGGCCATCTTCAACCCGTCCCTAGGCGCTACCGATGAGACCATTGACGACCAGATCGTCTATTACGCCTCGGTCAACTCCCAGCAGCAGAGCCAGCCTCGCCGCAGACACCGCTCCAAGGCCAAGCCCACCGACGGAATCTCGCAAGACGAGCGCAACGAGAGACTGAGGCAGATTGGACTGGCGCAGGGCATGGTCGAGTTTGGACGCGGCTTCGCTGATGGAGAGCCGACTGATGTGATTGAAACGGAAAAGTCAAGAATTGTTCTCAGGGAATTAGAGCCCGGGTGGTGGATTCTAGCTGTAAGTTTGGATCCCGTTTATTGTATACAACGCAACAGACAAATGTACGAGCAAAGGTCTACGGAGTATACGTTTCGACTCTAATCTGATATAATCAAATCATACCAAAGCTAACCACCGTCTTCTTTCCAGTCCATTGATCTCACAAGACTTCCCCTTCCACCGCGCCTGGGTGGCTCTGCGAAGGACGTCGCGCTCGACAACGTCGAATACTCCTCGCGCGAGGTCAAGCCTGCACTCCTCCTCCAACAAGATCTTTTGCGCGCGCATTCCATCTTCCTGCTCCATCACGGATCATCTCTTAGCGCCCTTTTCGTTCGATCGAACAGAGCCAAGTTTGTGACTATACTGAGCAGATACTGGGATATTTTTCTCTCGACCTGGAACGTGCTGCTTCATGGAAACCCAGCATGCGCCGTCTTTGGCGGTATCAAGATGGCCGCATCTGGAGAGCTGGGCGTTGGCGTTGGTGAGGAAGAAAGAGGCAGTGGGGAACGCGAAGTCCTTGAAGGGTTCGTTGGAAGAGTCGAAGGACTTGTGGACTTGGTCGTTTGCAAGTATGGAGATGCTGATCTTGATGCCGTCTCCGAGGATAAGGCGTCGACTTCCTCGCAATTACCCAAGTGGATCGGTACCGGAGAGGAGCCAGGCGCTGAGGACGGCGCCATCTTCCTCGGCGTCGGCAGTCTGTCCAGAAAATCGTTGCGCAACGTCACCTTTTGGATGGAGGATCTTTATACCTGGGGTGAAGACGCTTACGGCGTCAAGGAAAGTCCGACTTCCACGAGAACCAAGGGGAGGCAGCACAGAGTGAAGTCTGTAAGCAGCAAGACCGAGCAGGCAAAACAGCCAGCTGGGACTCTAAGCACTGGAGAAACGGATCAGGCCAAAGACCAGGGTTTGGCGCTGCAAGGAAAGGCACAGGCGATTGGCGGCAGTACCGCGCACAACGGCAGTACAACTAAACTGATGGATTATCTCAAGCTGGGTTACGGCACACATTGGTCCTTGGGAGGTCATGACGGACCACCCACCAAAGCCGAGCACGAGAATGAGCCCGAACCCGAGCGTGCCAGCACGGAGGAGACTTTTGCCGACCGGCCCAAGCTAGAGGCTCGCACGTCATCTAGGCCTGGTGTTGACGACAGGATTGGCCATTACTTGATAGGCTTGCAAGGCGATGTCCATGACAGTGGCAACGACAGCTCAGATCCCGACTTGGAGGAACTACAGTCTCGAACCCTCCTGAGGACTTTGACGGTAGAGCTGGAAAGGGGAGTTCACCGCCTGCCCGAGGAAGAGAAGACGCAAGACCTCAGCAGTGGCAAAAACGGACTCCCAAGCTGGAAGCATGGCAGCAAGAATCACCAAAACCCAAATTCACACTTTGACAGCCAAGATCGCAACAAGTCTGTAAAGATGCGCGTGGTCGTCTATGTTAGCAAGCCTTTCATCTACACTTTCCTTTTTCAAAACAGGACAGACTCGCTTGCTTGGGATAGTCTGTATAAATCGCTGCACTATCAACTGGAGCCGCTTCGCAAACCTCTTGCTCTGTCAACGCTCTACCGGCCCGAGAAACCAGACTCGGGAGGTGCAGCGAGCCACATCTTCGACTTGATCTGGGACCCCAGATCACTAATGATCCATTCTACAATCCCTAGTATCCCAGACACCATGCCCACTTTGGCCCCAGATTCCAAGCAACAGAACAGCTGGTCTCGCTTGGAAGCTATGAACTCGCACATGCAAATTGTGCAGACTTTTGCGGGAACACGGCAGTATACCGGTGAACTTGAGCGAACTTGTAAGACGAGCCGCGGTTGGTGGGTGGTTTGGGCGCGAATACTGCAGACGAAGGAGGTCACCTTCACTGAGCCTCTGACAAGCGATGGCAGGACGCCGCCGACTCTCACTAAGAATGACAGTCAGGATTCAGAAGTCTCAGAATCGACGACCGAGTCTGGCGGCTTCTATCCTAGTGCTGCATCCTCTTCGAGCGGCATAGCCATCCAGTCTGGAGAGACCGCCAAATGTTCCGAAGAAACCCAGAAGCCGGAAGAGTTGAACAATAAGAAACGTAGGCAGAACAAACAGAAAGTCAGCAAGGAGATCTTCCTTATTCGGAAGGCTGGCGAAAGCGGGTCTAGGAGTCGTAGCCTCAGCCAGATTTCAGAGGGCAGAGAAGGTTGGGCCGATGGTGCCAGTCGGTTGGCCCAGGGAATCGGCGTGGATACGAAGAAGTATATTGAGGGTCTGCTTAGTCTCACGCAGTGAGGACGCAATAACAAATGGCAAGCAAATGATTGGGAATTTTCGGAACAGTGTTTTTGGCGTTTGGGTAAGCATTTCTAGCATCGATCAGGGCGTTATATATCCCCAGAAGCTTATAGGCATCTCGATTTTTCGATGATATCATAGAGTATGTGGACAAGGCTTCTGGGCCCAATGTCGATTTAGCTCGTGATCATGATCATAAATCACCTCTCAGTACGGTATCACAAATATAAGGCACTTACATTGGGATGTTATACTGGATACTATGTGTAATTTTGTGTGAATCTTACGCCCTGGGCATCCATCGGACGCTGTCTATACCTGGTGCGATACAATACTAGAACTCTGGGAGCATGTCCTCCGCTTATCAACTGCTTAGGCAGTTTAGCCACACTAGTAAGGCGTCTACCCCATATTCCCTTCATCCTTGCCGGTCTTTTATGGCCAACAATATTGTCTAATCATTCTCGTCGTTGGTGAGCCCCACTCGACGAAACAAGCCCGGGGTCTGACTAGCAACTAACTACTTTATACATAACCGCCACACCCATGGGATGAGCCCACCATTACAATTCTTATAGATTGACTCAGAAAGATCACGTATCTGACCACAAGTCATCACGTTACCGTGATATACGGAGCAATGCAGCAAATACCGGAAGAGATATGGCAACGAATCTTTGTCTTCCTCCAGAAGATGAGGACCGCGTCTTGCCAAACAAAGCGCAAGTAGACCAGAGATATTTTGCTCTTGCCCGCTTGTGCCGCATTTGCACGGCATTTCGACGGATAGCAGAAACCGGCAACAGATCAGCGATTCGCTCTGAAAGTCGTGATGTCTCTCAGACAACAGCCAGAGCGGCGCGATGAAGTTCGTGGCATCTCCGTGCCTACCTGGGATAGGTCCAGTAAGGCTAGTCACAGAATTATATCTCTTCACCAGGGTCTCTGGAGACTCTGGTCTCGAACGAAGACACTGCTTCCGAGCGATAGAGACGTGCTTCTGTCAGTTGGGGAACTGGTAAGCCAGAGCCACAACGGAGTTGAGCTCACCATATTTCTTGCCATTCTATCGACACAACTAGATATACTTGGTTGTACTATGACCCCCTGTTCTTGTTTCTGGGAACTCTTCATCCTTAGCCGTGAGAAAGTGCCATTGCAGGCGTTGGCCGAGCCCAACAGGGGTATCCGCTTCTTCCCGAGGCTGAGGGAGATCCGACTGCGCAACTACGACCTGGAGGAGACTGACACTCCGGCAGACGTCTCCGTCTACAATCTTCAACTGTTGCTCGTCCACCCCACGCTCGAGACCGTTCAGACTCGGGGGTGGTCCTGGCGCAAGCAAGATCTTCTATTCAAGCAGCTATATCTAGAGGCTTTCACCTCAAGCGTGAGGCACCTGCATCTCTTGGTAACCATGATCGATGGCTCTGGAATGCAGGACCTCTTTATCTTCTGCCCCCTGGCTCGAGAGTCTGGAGATTCGTCTAGGCAGCGAACTGTATATAAAAGGTGGTTCTGATCTCACACACCTGGGCGAAGCTCTTAGGGAACACGGCCAGCATCTGCAGAAGCTAACACTGCGTCTCCCAGACCTTATGACTGGTGGAGCTGCATCTCCTGCGTCATTATCTGTGTATGGCGAAGGAGATACATGGACAGGCTGTATCGGCTCCCTTGGCAGCCTAACGAATCTGAGAGAGCTTAGTATCTTACCGTCGGCGCTATATGGACGGGAAGTAGGAGTTGGAGATTTGCCAACAGACGTCTCCTGGGCCGAGTATCTGTCTAGCTCATTGGAGATATTCCACATGTACGGTTCGTTGGCCGACATCCTTCGAGAGTACTCGTCAGCGCTTTCTTTCTTTCTTTCTTTCTTTCTTTCTTTCTTTCTTTCTTTCTTTCTTTCTTTCTTTCTTTCTTTCTTTCTTTCTTTCTTTCTTTCTTTCTTTCTTTCTTTCTTTCTTTCTTTCTTTCTTTCTTTCTTTCTTTCTTTCTTCTTCACTCTTATACCTCTCTCGCTAATTCTACGGAGCTCATGATATCGCCTATCCATGACAACAGAACTCTTCGTGATCTTTTCGCAATACTCCTAGAAACCCCTACAACTCGCTGTGAAGATGTAATTACCAATTGCCGATATTGTAGTAATGTGCAGCGAGAAGAATACATGCCTTCGCGAAATACACCAAGAGTTAATTTCAGACATCAAGCCGGAGGTGGGCAGTGCTTGTGGACAGGAATGGTCGGACAAGTTCTGGGAGAGTTTTGGCGGGAATGTTGGGTGGGCGGCGAACTCATTGGTAGGTTGTATGTTATACTATAGGGTGGGGTCGTTTGATGCAAGCTTGAAAGTGTAGCGATCAGACATATGACATTAGCATGGCCAAGTGGCGCATCTATAACTTCTCCTGGCGTGAAGGAGAGTTCGAGTCCATGGCGAACTATCCAGACAACCTCCCAACTGCTAGGCATCTTCGTCTCATGTAATCCCGAGTTTAGGGTCCTGGGCTGGCAGATGTCCTCCTTCGATGCCCTAAGCTCGAAACTCTGGGTCGGTTTGGGATGGCTCGAAGGAGGAGAGGAGGAGACAGTCGATGTGATCCTCTTTAACGAGCTGAGGAATAGTCTTAGGGATTACGGGCAAAACCTGCAAGAGATTATCATCATTCCGAACGACAGGTCGTCGTGGGAACTCGACACTAGAGCAGGTCGCCAGGGGCCATGACTGATGGAGCTTAAGAATCTGAAAGTGTGAAGATGTATTTTCACAGTGCTCTGTGGACATCAGACTGATGATCATTACAGCGGCCACGAGAACTCAGATTATGAAGGAGAGGCGGAGTTTGATAACAAACCATCTCTCTACGAATGGCTACCGAGCTCTGTGGAAGTGATGGATTTCTGTTAGGACTGTACGGGGTGGGAAGACACCTCAAACAAATTCTTCTTGTACTATCCCCGCAGGTTCGCGAGATACTCCTCAGTGGGCACGACACGCTGGAGGAAGGTGGGATGGAGATCCCATCCGGAAAAGGGGTTGTCTGGGAGATGAACAACAACAGTCCCACGGGCCCTGTTTTGAGGGTTTCAAAAGGGTGGCATTCGCATGGCTAGAAATATATTTCCTTGATAGTATTGTATTAAAAGCAACTTTTCAGGCAGGCTCTCAACTAGAGCCGATTTTAAATCAGATCATTCGCAACACTAAGATGACAACCATATTCGGTGTGTAAAATTGTCTGTACTTGAAGTCTACTCAAAAAACTGTCTGTGTTTGCACATACCATGCATCTCGGAGTTCAAAAGTCCCCTCTTCCACGTGAACTCTGGTTTCCAAGCTAGGGGTCTCTATACGTATACAAACACGCACCTCTAAGCAGGTCCACACTAAGTATGGAGAGGCCAACGAAAGCACAGTTCAATCTTGCGATCCACGATGGCGGTGGGAAGGAGGAGGCTATCATGATCGTGACAGTTGCGATGAAATCTCAATATCGTTGATTTTCTCAAAATATGGTATTGTTCTTATAATGGGGTATCATGAGCTCCAACTCTTCTTTCTACCTTCTGCTATACTATACAGTATACGACATCTCCAGTTCTGGCAGACTCTCTCCCGTCCCAAATTCTTGAATTTTGGACCTACAGGACCGGTCACGTAGTGATATTGCCCAAACAATCTCCATTGGCGCGCATCATTCAGACCGTAGAGCTTATCACCCCAGGGGCCCTCATAGTGAAACCAATTCGTTGGGGCGTCTGGGTTTTCTTTGACAGGCTCCAAACCCTCCCCGTCCCTTGTCTCAGTGTAGTCATACCAGTAACCTCTAAAGTTCTGAGCAGGATCCCACAAGGGACCACGATCGGTTTGATCCTTCAGCATCTTGAATGGAAGAACATAAGGGTGATCGCCAGGCATAGCGTACATGGCATGGCTGCCGACAGCGCTATAAATCACAGGCCGCTGGATCTCACTTATGTTCCCACGCTTTTCTATTGCCTGCCAAGCATATGCTTGTCCGCCTTCATGTTCGCTGAAGAACATTGCACGCGGCATTCCTGACTCAAAGCGGACCATGCAGTGTTCCCAGTCACCCACGTGGTTACCGAACCGGATCCGAGCGACTGTTTGGCCGAGGTTGTAGGCATAGAAGAAGAACCAGAATGCGTCGACAATCCCCGACCCTTTGTCCACAAGAACTAGCGTGGCAGGTGCTTTGGAATATCCCGACTCGTCTGGCTTATGTTGCGGCGTATCCCCCAAAATCGCCTGGCTCTCCACTGAGCGCTTTGAGCGGGGCCCTCGCGATCTTGGTGGGGGGTAGCGACCGTTGCGTTCTCGAGGATCCGATATCCTTTGCAGCGGATGATCTCTATCTACTTCTTCCCACGTAGTGCCATCAGGCAGACGGCGCGACCCTTCTGGTTCAGCCGGTGGTAAGAAGTCGTCACCGTTGTCTTGATAGGGCAACGGGATGTTTGCGCGGCTATGGAGCCATTTCGGCCTAGACTCGACGTTATCATTGCTTGTAAGATAGACGACGCCTTCCTCCGAGTCCAGCCCATGGAGTGCGCCCAAACTAAGGGGGTCTGTGACATTGAGTTTGTCGTCTCCAGCATATGGTGTCATGTGTTGAATGTGGTCTGCAATGTCCGATGGCCAAAAGTTTTCGCCCGAGTACAGATGGACAAGCGGCGCATACTTCAGTACATAGTCGGGTATCTTTCTGAGCCTTTCCTGATGCGCCGCCGTCTTCGGACCCTGCGTAACACCTTTGTCGACTCTTGAATCCTCGGCCCTTTGCTCCAGGCCAATGAACCGCAATTCCAATCTCCTCAGATCCCCTCTATCTTTTTGATTGTCTCCGTCCGCAAGAGCCGGTGGATCCGATCTCACATGCAGTATACCGCACAAGCTCAGCCAGCGACAGGCCTGCCTGTCTAACCAGTACGGCGACGTACTGACCCAACGAGAGTTGGCTTTGCGCTGCTCTTCATTCGGAGGTGTCGGATTAAGGACCCGTGGTACCAGCCATGACAGAAGGCTAATGATTAAAATGGCAAGGAGAATAAAAGAGATGCGACGTAGATGGTACACCATCGTTTGTTTCGTAGTTGACCGGCTGGTCGCGCCGGTATCGCTGTCGGACTGTCGGTATAGTTCCTTGAAGGAAAGTGATGCTTCAATCTATGAGCGAAGGGATAAGATTTGTGCCATGCATCGAGGACAGAGACAAGAGAAGAACGAGTGAAATCGGTTCAGCTGGAATGGGTCATGTTGGAGTAAGAAGTGATCGCCAGCACTGCCGTCATTGCCTGAAGGAATGGAGGCTGAGCGGCGAGGCGATCGTAGTGGGGAGTGGTCCGAGAACCTCGAAAGAGCCTGATAGTAAATACATATGTGTAAGTGAGTATATCACACAGTCCTAAGTAACCATTTAACTAACTTGCAAATCGCTCTAGCGTTTAGACACGCGTGGGGTCCCTCAATGACCCAACTGACAGGCTTAGCGCGATCATGGGAGAACCGCTTATCCCCATGGCATCTCGACCACGTGTTGGCAGGCTGCCATCACGAGGAATCCTATGTTCTAGACGGTGCACTCAGAACAGGTAGCTAAGCCAATGTAACCTAAGATCATTCAGTAGGAACTGTGAATGTCACCACAGGTACAACTGGTATGTCGTGTCCGCTGCATCATTTGTGGTGAATCGATCATAGGAGCACTGCAACCCCGGTGCACCAACTCTACTGCGCTTGGGTAGCTTTGAGCTGCTCTCTCGGTGTATGTGTCGGTCAAACGCCCGGTGGGCAAGATCTGCAACCCAAAGGGTCAGGCATATATATGCCAACGTATGCGCATGCTTGTGATGTGTTGCAACCTGCTCCGATGCTGCTGTTGTAAAATAATCAAGCTTGCTCGTTACTTTTCGGCAGGTCTAGTTGTCGGAATTTGTGCGGTATAAGTGGACACAACTCTGTACACTTTACACGGCAGATTGACGGACGAATTCATTTATCACCACTACTCTGCAGCAATGCATTAAGAGACATCATCAGACCCGTTCCTGACAGATACGATCACGTGTTCTGCGTATATCAGGTTGGCTGCAAATACAATGCGACAACGTCGATTGAAGCAGCTGGCCACCCGGCATTGCCTCAATGACTGAGGCACCATATAATCCTCCTCACCACACGAGCGAGAACACGTCCGTCCTGGATTGTTCGGTGAACTTCAAACCAAGCTGTCTCCGTACAATGGATCTTTGGAATTTGTCCGGCACCACCGGAGCATTGCGGAGCTAGGAGCTTCATTGTCGCGACTCGTGACGGAATGGGTTGGCGCGCACTTCGGTTCGGTTGACTAGGTTACGGGGGAGCGGTCGGCGGTCGACGGTATGTCATCATCAAAAACATTTCATTTGGTCGATATTGTACTCTCGACTATACCGCCAGCACAGGAGATTCCAGACTGGAGTCATTGGAACTTTCTGAACTCAAATTTCCAAGGCAATCGTTGACACTCACGAGGGTGCCATCTTTGTTAGGAGACAAACACTGAAGCATGCTGGCGGCGTTACATGCAACTCCATGTTGTAAGCGATCATGCTCTGCGAGGCCTAGCTTTGTGCAAGCTTGTGCCACGTGAGATTACTTTCAGCCCTCAAGCGAGGCATGGAGCAAAGGGAACGTTCTGAACGGCGCGCATAACTTAAAACAAGCATGTTGGGTTATAGATTCGGGCCTCGATATTCCTTCGAGTTTCTGGGACGAATTGAACCACCCCATCTGCTCCAGGTTGACTTTGGAGTATGCGGAGAATGACTCTCGGCTCCCCACACAAACCCCAGGCGCCCCAGGTTCGAACCGAGTATGCATTACCGGGGGCTGGGAAGCGTTAACCATTGGCGCGCATGTAGAGCCCTGCCGCCATTGAACAAGGGCTATGCTATTTCCACCAGTTGAAATCATGTCCAAAAACGCTGCCAGATGGGTCTACGACGCATCGGTATCACGAGCCGAGTAGCATGCAGCCATACCCATCAATGAAACCCTTGACTTCTCCAAGCTTGCACGTCGTATCGTGCGGAGAAACGCATGTTTGTCGGTGGCCCGTGAGTCCGCTCATGATTGTTATATATCATGAGCAAGGCGCGGAAGTCTACAGTCGTATTCTCTCGTGATCTTGGCCTCAGTACTTGAGATTCTGACAATACTAAATCGGACATAGCAGAGTTTGCTGACCGACAGTCAAGATGCCGTTATCACCGCATACTTACCAGGTAAGCTCCTTCACCACATCCACAGTCCAGCCCTGGCTTTGGAAAAGTCTAATGACCAATTTGTAAACAGTTTCTGGTCGGCGTTTTCGCCTCCATGGGCTCTGCCCTGTACGGATACGATCTTGGTGTCATCGCCGGTGTCATCGGCAGCGAACATTTCTTGGTGGAATTCAACAAACCAACCACGGCACAAACCGGTGCCGTCGTTTCCCTCTTTACGGGCGGTGCCTTCTTTGGTGCCATGTTTGCCGGTATTTCTGGTGACAAGCTGGGTCGGAAAATGACTATCTTCCTCGGTGCCTTGCTGTTCCTCGTTGGTGGCGCTGTTCAGACGGCTGCCCAGACCCTCAACTACCTCTACGCCGGTCGTGCGTTTGCTGGATTGGGCGTCGGCTTCTTGACCATGATTATCCCCCTGTACCAGGCCGAGATTGCACACCCTTCCATTCGTGGAAGAGTCACCGCTCTCCAGCAGTTCATGCTGGGTATCGGTGCGCTAATGGCTGGATGGATTACGTGGGGAACCAACATGAACTACAATGACGATAAGCAATGGCGCATCCCACTTGGTATCCAAATGTTACCCGCCGTTATTCTTGCTGCTCTCATCCTCTTCTTCCCCGAATCGCCCCGTTGGCTCATCGACCACAACAAGGCCGAGAAGGGTCTACAAACCCTCGCAAACCTCCATGCCCATGGAAATATCAATGACCCCTGGGTTCAGGCCGAGTACGCACAGATTCAAGAGGCCATTGAATTCGAGCATGAGCATGAAGCCAAGTCTTATGTCGAGCTTGTCAAGAACAAGTCCGCCTTCCGCCGACTCTTCATTGCCGTTGCTCTACAGGCTTCCGTTCAGATGACCGGTGTCTCCGCAATCCAATATTTCTCAGTCAACATCTTCAAACAGATTGGCATTTCTACCAATGACGCGCTCAAGTACCAGGCCATCAACTCGATCCTCGCCCTCATTGCTCAAGTTACCTGTATTGCCACCATCGATCGCTTTGGGCGCCGCTGGCCTCTCATCATCGGCAATCTCTTCAACTCGCTCATGTTCCTCATCGCTTGTATTCTTCTCTACAAGTTCCCACCGGTGACTGATTCAGGTAGCACTGCGGGCTGGGGTTTCATCATCATGACATGGCTTTACAACATCTCGTTCTCATACTCCTGTGGTCCCCTCTCGTGGATCATCCCCGCCGAGATTTTTGACACGCACACGCGATCCAAGGGTGTCTCGATCGCGACCATGACCTCGTATGCTTTCAACACCATGATCGGACAAGTGACGGATATTGCCATAGAGAGAATTGGTGGTTGGCGCTACTTCATCGTCTTCGTGGTGTGCAACTTCACCAACGCCGTCTTCTTCTTCCTTATCCTCCCCGAGACCAAGAAGGTTCCTCTCGAGGCAATGAACGACCTGTTCAGAAACGCGCCGTTGATCATCGGATTCAAGAGCAGAGAGTCTTACCAGGCAGACCTGCTGACAAATGAGCTGGATAGACGTGCCGAGGAGAAGGGCGCTGCTAGGCACGACGAGGTGATTGCTTAAGCCTTGTGATCATACTCAATCAGGCTGGAGAAAAGCAACGATGGAGCTGTATACCCTCGGAGCGGCGAAATTGTTAAAGATAAAAGATACATAGTGAAGTGTCTAAAGTCAATCAAAACACTAGATCCGCAATTGACCTGATGTATGTCGGAAGATCTTACTTTGTGAGCGTCGAATATTGTAATATGAACGAATGAATGGATGTATACCGTAAAGAATTGTGCTGTAGCGTGGTCATTGAATTACTGTTGGAGCACATTCATCGTCACTTAACCTTGAGAAGGGGGACAGGAGACTGGCCATCAAAGGTTTCAATACTTGTTCAAGTACGTAGCTCTAAATCTGCTGTAACGAAATGCTAGTGCCGTTCCCCACACCCCAAAAAAGATACTCGTTATCCAATAAACTTTTTCTAATGAAACTGATCCTCTGTCACACCCTTGCCCATGGCACTCGTGCTCGAGATACCACCCGTGACCATCTTCAGCATCTCATCACTGTAACTCGCACCGCTCCACTTCTGGTGCTTGACCACATCCACGCCGCCGTCCATCTCGGGCTCCTGCACCAGCTCGCCGTAGGCGCGCATGCCGTTCTTCGCGTACGCCCGGGCGAACTGGTCGCTGATCAGCGCCGTCGTGTGCAGGCCCGCGAGCGTGATGAACTGCCAGCAGTAGCCCAGGGATGCCAGGCGGCGGATGTAGGTCTCCTGGTCGTCGCGGGGCATCGCCGACTTCCAGTTGAACGAGGGGGAAAGGTTATATGCGAGCCTTGAGTACGAACCCTGTTAGTCACAGCTCCATATTCACAACTGAAACGATGTGTAAAAGGGGGGGTGGGGGGTGAAGACTCACTTTTGCTCGGGCCAGACCGCATGCACACCGTTGGCAAATTCCTGCGCCTGCTTGAAATCGGGCAGTTTGCTCTCCATCCAGATGGCGTCGCAGTATGGTGCATAGGCGATCGCGCGATTGATGGCGCAGTCACAGCCACCCTTGAGACGGTAATATCCCTCCCGTGTCCGAGGCGCGTCCCAATTGAAGTAGATGTCAACGTTGGTGATGCCATGAGCGATGGCCTTGGCCTCGCTGATGCTCTTGCCCTTGGACTGGGACACGTACTGCTGGATTAGTTCTTTCTTGTTCTGGTACGCGCCCGCGCCGATGGCGTCGACGACGGCCTCGTCAAAGCGCTTGAGGCCGGCCTGCTTGATCCAGGCATCCTCGATGTTCTGCAGTTCTTCGCCGGTCTTACCCGTCTGCTCCGCAGCAAAGAGGAGGTCATTCAAGGGCTGCAGGTTCGGGTTTGTAGAGCCCTGAATGAACGCATGATCGCGAGGGTCGATCGTTGTGGTGATGAGTGTGGCAGCCTCGGCATCTGTACGAGCAACGGCAAGCAAGTCGGTGCCCATGATGTCAGCCTGGGCGCGGATGGCGACCAGACGGTTGATGTGTTCGCTGATGGGGACGAGCACCTTGCCAGCCATATGACCGCACTTCTTCGTACCAGGGGCCTGGTCCTCGATATGTATACCGGCGGCGCCAGATTCGATGAAGAGCTTGGTGAGTTTCATGACAGCCGTGAGACCACCATGACCTGTGTCGGCATCCGCAATGATCGGTCGGAGATAATCGATATTCTGGAGTTTTGTTCGCTCCGCTTTCGACACGCTGACGCGCTCGTTTCTTTGCTTTCGGTCGTGGAACAATTGTGCCATGAAAAGATGCTTCACCTTGTTCGGGACAGTTGTCTGTATCGATCTATCAGTTCGTGACCTGTAGTATGACGATGATTCTATGACTTACGTAGGGATAATCAGCCAAATCTGGGCCAGGCTCGTCAGATGAAGACGCAGTTGAAGATGATTGCCAGCCAGAGACATAAACCGTATCCAGGTACTTCGCCATTTGTGTGACCATGGTTGGTTCCAAGCAGCCATAAGTGTAACTAGCATCACGGTTCTTGGGTACATCAGTATTATAAAGTCCAGAAGTTGAATCCAGGATATGGCACATACCTTGAATCGGCCCTCTAGGATATTCCACAACTTCTTGGACTGGGCACTACTGGGGTACTCAATCTTCAAATGTCCCCGTTTTGAGACAATCTGTTCCGCAGTAAAAGGCCTCTTGGTATATCTCCATCTGGAATCACTCCACCATGTTTTGACGGCTTCAACCTCCTTGGCAAAGAGTTCGTCTTCAATGTTGGGATCCACCCCAGCGTTAATCATATTGTTGGAAGCCATATTGGGCAATGTTGGAGCAAATGGCAACTTGAATTATAGCCGATACGAGAGGGGAGGGGTAGGTACTCCTAGTTCTTTCAGACCCAGGAAAATGGGATGACTATGCAAATCTCGTTCGTTGTATAATAGTAGGGAAGAGGTCAGACGACAAAGACTGGACTTATAGAGCAAGAATTTGAGGCAAGTCACAACAGATGATGTGAACAAAAAGTCAAGGAACTGAAACCTTCAGCATGACGGAAGATTACTCACTTACAAGTCTCTCTACTTACATCCCGATTATGGAAAAGCAATCGGGAAAGATCGGTCGAACGGCAATGGCCCAAGCCTTACTCCCACATCTGGCGTGACTCCTGCATGGATCCTTGCCTCCGGTATTCCTTAGTGCAATATTTCATGTGCTAGATGATACAGCTTGGCTCCAGAGCCTGTGGCAGATGCAAAACCTCGGCGCTTTACGCTGGGCGGAATGGCTGTTGACAGAAACTATGGCCTGGATGAAGACAGGACCGGCCGAAAGGGGTGTTAGTCAGGCGTGACTTTGCCGTCATTGGCCGAGATGCCGAGCGAGCGGCCATGGAAATTGGGGTACGCCCTGGAGCGCACCCCCGCATTAATGGAGAAGAAGCTGGGGCAGCCGCTTCAATGACGATAAGGAGGTGTCGTGGCTAGCATTTGACAATGACACTACTACGCTAAAGAAAGTCTGAAAGGAGCTCTGTTGGCAGCCAAGGTCTCGTCAAATCACCACAAGAATCCAATGCCAGGTCGGACTGGAGACACACCAATCACGTAGCGTGAGATAACGTCGTTCATGGTATCAGAGATACGCTGAATTGTTGACTCTAGAGTCTTAGAAGGTGCTTTGTATTGTTCGCCTGGTATCGAGCGGCTAGCTTTAGATACTAATGGGTATGTCAAGTAGCTGTCCGGCATGTGAAAAGCAATTGCGTTTATGGAGTTGGTCATGCGCGACTGGGGCTATGAATTACCCGAAAAGTCTGCGGGTAGCTCTCCCATTGGTTGCAAGATGAGCCTCGGTTGATCCGGATATGCCATCTACTGGATATATTTCATAGACCAAGCTTGTAAGGTCCTTGCTGCATTATCACATGAAGTAAAATCATTGACTTAACCTGTGTGGGCATAAAACTGTCACTTGCAGACTGTAATTCTAGACAAACTCAAACTCAAATTCCAATTCCTTTTAAACTAGGTCATTGGTATTGCAAATCCGTCCCCCATGAATAATGCTCCGAGTACCGGGTGATGACGTCTAACTCATGATACACATAATGACAGCCTTGCGATGTAGCAAGCTCATAAAGTCAAACTCCCGCAAGCCTCCGTCGCGAAACCATACAGTCAAGCACAGCGTACAGCCCAAGACGCCGACATAAAAGCCCCAATAAAGCCAACCATCCTTCCAGTCTAGGCTATTACAGAGTATGTACGTGACTAATTGGATTGGATATCAGTGCTGATCATCTTGCAACCGGTATCTACGTTTATGGTGCGTAGCAAGCAGCTTGAAGGATTAAGCCAAGTCCTCGAGAATTTTCTCTTCCCTGATTTGCTGTGCTCGGTCATAAGTCTCCCACGGAGTGAGAGCACCTAGAGCTCGCCTCATTTCCGTAGTGACAAACTGAAGACCATAAACATAGCTGGCATTGACCCAGCCAAAACTGAGATATTGTCAGTCGGCATCATTGAGAACAGATTTAGAGAAACACTTACCCTTCTTTGGCAACACCCTTGAAGTCAAGACCTTGGTTTCCGTACTCAGCATCGACTCGGTGAGGATCAATTGGCCGCGTAACATCGTACTTTTCAACCACGACACCGTTGTAATCGAAGAATGCCTTGGTAATCATAAAGAGCCACTTGTAAGCAAGTTTCTCGGATAGCTCATGGTATCCATATCGATACAGGCCTGTCCATGCAAGCATTTGTTGCGGTGCCCACCCATATGGGTAGTCCCATTGTCGATTCGGTCGCTCAAGACTGATCTCGCCCCGAGATTTCTTTGTACCGGACAGCAGGCCACCATATGCTTCGAACAACGGCACTGCATTTGCGACCACCTTGGCAGCTTTCTCAGGGTCGGGCACGCCAGCCCACAGTGGCCAGAAAGTGGTGCAACTTTCGTATGAGCACGTTTCCTGCTTGACTGTGTCATAATCGAAGTACATGCCCTTCTCCTCGTTCCACATATACTTATGCATAGCAGCCCGGCGTCTCTTCCATCTTCGGTCCCAGATGGCCGACGTCTCAAGTTGGCCAGCCGACATGGAGCCACCACACCACTCAGCCGGGATGGTGAACTTGTCACCAAAGACGTTGCGGATGGTACGAGAAATATCCATCTCATACTTGTAAACAAGCGAGTTGAGGTCCACCGTGGCAAGGTTAGCACATACGTGTTCTAGACGGTAGGAGGTATCGTGACCAGACTCTCGCACAGCTCGATCGTGAAGGAAGTACTCGTCAAGCTCGGGTTCGTGGATTTCGTGGTGGTTGTAAGCTCGAATGAACTCTTTGAAGGACAGGTTGTGCTTCTTGGCATAGGGCTCGAGAATGTGTACGAAATGCGTTGCTTCCGTCTCAGGAGGCACTCCAAAACCTTCAGGCCGATATCTCGAGAGCCCGGTTTTGGGGTCGAGCCGCGGCTCCGCCATCCAGACACAGTAGTACTCCTTGATAGCTGCCAAAAGAGCAATGCGAAGGAAGTCAAGAGCGCCAGGTTCATGCTTGATCTTCTCGTAAACTCGCAAAGCCATATCCGTCAAGAAAGGGGGCTGAGATCGAGAGAGGTAATAGGATCGAGTCGCGTTGAGAATCTTGCCGTAGTGTCTGATGCAGAAGCAGAAGTTTTGGACCATTGACTTGGCTAGATGAACTTTATCGTTCACCAGCAACCCTAGGGACTCCATGTAGCTGTCCCAGCCGTAAAGCTCGTTGAAGCGACCGCCGGGAACGACGAATGGAAGACCTTGCAGCGTCTTTTCACCTGTCTTGGGGTCTGTGACTTCTTCCATTTCCACAGCAAGCAACCCCGGCGCATCGTTCAGGTCTCGGACATAATCCGGTGTGATGGTTTCTGGGAGCACCTGAACATCCAATCGGAGCTCTGGACGATCAGCCGCTACCTTTCGGTAATACTCTATTTGCTCAGGAGCACCAGGTGGAACATAGATTCGGGGACGCGGGTCATCAGTCCAGTCTTTTGGATCTTTGGCAGCGATCTCAATGCTAGAGGCATCGATTCTTCGGGTTAAGCCTTCCCAGAATTGATCCTTGATCAATCGAGATAGCCTGCTCACAGGATTCTCGTTGAGTCGGCCAATGTCGAGGATTACTTGCTTTCGGCCGAATTCTCTGGCCATATGAAGCTCTTGCAAAAGATTGGAGAGCATGTAAGTTCCTCGGATATCGAAACGGTTATGTCCGCCAGACCCTGCGGTTCTTAAAGAGATGACCTTGGGACCAGTGTCTTCAATAGTGATCTGCATGTTTCCGTCCGTGTCTTCCTGCGCTGCCAAGCTCTCAAGAGTATGGTCCACGTTAACAAGAAATTGGCGCGAATGGGGTCTGCTTGACTCATCTAGTAACTTCCACGTTAGAAACAAGATTAACCGTTTACTCATCTCAGAAGCTCATCCACATACCGTGACTTCCTCGCCGATGTGGCTCTACCAATGCCAGGCGCTCTATTTGCTGTGACAAGCCATTCTGGTATTATCAGCCAAAGCTCTACTATGCCATAGACATCAAGGGAGATAAAAAGATACCTGAGAATATGTACGACTTCGATTGTGGAAGCGGCCCTCGTGCCTGGCCTCGGAATTGTAGTAAGTAGCAGCAGGATCGTAAACACCATGTTCGTCATTGCCAAGGTTGTAGTCTTGGTGATGGGACTTGGTGGATGAGATATTAGCCTGATCTGGCGTAAGGTAGTCGTTCTTGGACGGCATGGCCATTATTGCTCCGGGGGAGGTGTACGTGAGCACTTCAAGCAAAGCGCAAGCTATGTGTGGTGTTTCTTGTCACTGCTTCGACAGCAGAAACCTAAATTGGCTGGTCGGATATGCAGACTGTGTTCAGTCAACTATGCACAGGCGGAGCTTGGCTCGTTCGGGTTTGTGGTTTGTGGTCTGCGGTGGGCAGATAGATGGAGATATTCGTCGGAGGAAAGACAACTGCAGTCTTTCAGGTTGGTAGAAATGAAACTGATGCCGCTTGAGGTGCAGCTACCATAGCTTTCCAGGGACTAGGGATTAGAAAATGCTTGCGAATGACCGCAAGATGCCGTAGAATCTCGTAAATGAATGAGGTCAAAGGTTGTCGGGGCGACTTGGCTCGTTCCCTTCCCTGCCGGAGCTTATGGAAGACAAAGGCTGACCGCCACGCAGAAACTGCGCACGAGGACAGGACAGTCAGAATCAAGGAGGGGTCTTGAACCGTTCGTTAGGTAAGGTTAGGTTAGGTACGATAAAAGGATAAAGGATAAAGGAAGGAGCCCCTGCTTTTCGTCAAGAGCGATCTCGGGCGACGTGACGGCAATGGACAGAGCTGGACTGTTGATAACGGATTGGTTCTTGCGGTATTGTTTTTGGATCAAATCACGATAATTCTTCAGGTCAATGGCGGGCGATTGGGGGGGGTTTACAGTTACACGATCTATGGACCCCGAAAACTCTGGACCATGATATCATCGGAACCATGACAGTGCCATAATGTTATCACCCTTGAAAGCTCAACGCTACAGCTCTTGAGCCTCCACTGAAATGACGCCAATTAGTGGACATCACCGCACTTCGACCAGGCGTATCATGTTCGTTCCCACCTTGACAACTAATGTCCTCCTTTCTGCCTCGTGTAGGCAGTCGTGCATGTTGTGTATCAGCGTACATGCTTTGAACAAAATCAGATCCGCATTGTCAAGCATTCTCCTCCGCCACCTGATGTTGTTTTCGTACAAACACGAATCAGGCCACGAGCGCAGCATGCACTTGACCGCCAGATTTACCTAGTCCTCGTCGCCGTTCTCGGCATGTCAATTGGACAACAGCATCAGATCACCATGATTCAAGCCACCACTTTTTCCCAATTGAGAACTCACGATACCGAGTGAATCACTTTGCATTCATCATGTCCGCAAACACCTTGTCCGGAAGTTTCTTCGGATACCATAAGGTGCGGGCTACTAGATCTTGTGTGCTGAGATCCGTCGTCCAGCCCCTCATGCAGGTGATCTTGGATTGTAACCCCACCATTGACTTAGGCCAATTGGCTGACATTCATCCCACGCCTGGGAACACCATCAAAATTTTGACAGGGCATTTTAGTGGCTCACAGCTGTTGATGCGGCTACACGATTACCAGCCTGTCATAATACTGATCCTCTGAAATTGACTGGTTCTGTGCTGTGTTGTGCTGAAATGCAGGCACGCCGTAATCCTGTCAGCCTCAACCACCCTCTCAATAACGAAGATGAGTGAGATACAATTGCTATTCAAGTTGCCCGTGGACGACTGGGTAATCATGTGTTTCTAGACTTAAGGCCCACGGAGACGAGTAGAAAAGCACGTTCCTCATTTGCCAACAAACAATGAGTCCGCATTACAGTATATGCTCGGTATTTGTGGTATCTGTGGCTACACACGACCAAATATATTGCTTTCCGAAGCCCTGGGCCGTCCCGCACCTCTGTGCCATGAGACCTTGACCCCACGTGGGGGTATTAATCGACCATTTCAGGGCCTCTCAGCAACCAAGTGTCAGTTTGCCAGCATGATGGCAAGCCAAAGGCTCAGCGATCGAAGTAATTGTCAGTTGCAGCATTGTCCGCTTTGGTACTTGCAGTTTCAAAAGCATATTGAGATATCAGTATTGACGATTTGACGCCAATCTGATGCCAACCGTGAGAAGACTACCATTCCCTAGAGGCATCCCCGAAATATTTGGCTGACATGCACGATACAAGGCATGGCCTTCCCCGGGGGTGTGGAAGTTATCGCAATGTTTTATTTCGTTTTATTGAGAGATCCCGGCGTTTGCAAGACTACAGGAGACAATCATTTTGCATTCAAGCCAGCTTTTGAAAGGTCATTTGCTGGATTACCCGCAAACGTGCATTATCACAGAGCGGCCGCGATTTCAATTTCGGAATCAATAATGGCGTCTTCTGCGGGGTTGCTTGCAGTGTTCATTTCTATAGACATGGTAATGATTTTTTAAATTTGCGTCGCCGCAAGCTGAATTCTGCCTTCTTGTGTATCTACTCCATAGTCGTTACTGGACCAGCCACACGGCAGCACCAATGATCGTTTATGTGGCTATTTGATTTCCTACCACGTTTCGCACCGAATTGCCGCTGCTGAAAGAAGTAGCGTTGACGCAAGTACGTTGGACGAGGCTGCGGATTTGCGAAAAAGAAATAACGAAGACCTGCACTTGAAACGGGCAGTCAAGGGTTTTAAAGCTATTTAGTTCTTGGCCAGTATGGTCAAAGCTGCAAAGAGCGATCATATGCCGTGACCTAGTAGCGCAATTTAATCCAAGTGCTCAAGTTACAACTGCGGGTAATTGAATGATCTAATTAGCGATAGTTGTACCGAGACTATACAAGGACAATCATTGTACATAGTCGTTCAGATGGACATTACAACATGGTAAGATATCAGCCTGTACTGTACCACGGCTTGATGAGTACTGGTAGCGGTCGGGTGCGATACATAAGCTTAACAAGCGAGATGCAGCCAAGCAGGCTTTAGGCAATTAATGTTGTCTAAAACTCAATTCTTAGCCAATATTTGACTGTGTTGTCAACTATAAATGGAATATTGCCAGGTTATTGCAGCTCGCCACCGATGCAAGAATGAATAGAACATGCAGACATATGCAAAGAACCTTGGAAACATTTTCAGAACAGGATGCCAGAGTCCCAGATCCTACCACCGACTTTTCGAGAACGTCCATGGCTGCAACCAAGTCCCGTGGGCTTTGCAGAACTTTTTTTTACCTGACTTGCTTGACTCGACCGAGGCAATCCTCCAAATTACAAAATCCGTCTCTGAAATCCGGATAATCCATAGCCACCGGGTCATAGCGGCGATTCACCGCACACCGCACACCAAGCGCAGGTCTTGATAGCCTTGACGGTCACCACCCCTTACTTGTACTTGTAGAATTGGTGCCGGCCGTGATGACTCCACATGATACACCAATGCAAAGACAACATGAAGCGGCCTGTTCGGGCATGTGGGAAACAGAGTTCGCCGAAGCAGTCAGCTGACCAGCCAACTCATACGTACTAGGCAACTATATGGTCGCCAGTAACTTGGCAGACTCAAGACAGACTCGAGACAGATCACCTAATCCTGTCTTGCATCGGATCCAGCGATTTGGAAAACCAAAGAAGCTTTTGAAGCTATCAAGAACGGGCCATGACTCTAAGAACACTAAGCACGAGCTATCACGGCAGCGTGCCCGAACAGCCAGGAACGCCTCAGCTAGTAGTTGTGGGCCAGGGAGATCCGGAAAGGGCCCGATTAATATGGGACACTAGTGGTGCGGCGGCACACACACCACTTCACGGGTTTTAAGGTAGCCTCTAACCGACATGCAGCAAGCTTATCGGCACCTCCAATCCACTTCCATTGCTTCCAACTTCCAAGCTCGTATTCTTTTCGCTGCATTAGACGTCTATCTTCCGGCCAGGCCAAGCCATGCGTATCCCGCCCTCGTGAAATGCACATGGAGCTTGCCGCCACTTCTCTCAGCCCTTCCACTCGAGTGCTATGTATCTAGCTGTCTCTACTATTGACGTCGAGGACCCAGTATGGATGCCTCTGCCTCTTAATGGAGCGGCCATAAGCCAATAATGGCTCGCAAAGTCCTCGATCTCCCATTTAGACAACACAACGTTGACATTGATACTATTTTAGTTCATACTCGTGGGTGCTTTCTAATTTATCGGCCGCATGGCTTGCCCCGGCTGTTATGTCAGGATGTTTTCTCTCTAATCAAGCGTGATGTTAGGAATGTTGCCATGGTTAGAAATCCCTGGACCTTCGTATTATCATCGCTGACACGCGCCCTTTTAGGTATAGACTGTGACCAGAAGGCCACCCACTGATCTGCCATCCTGACACCCCAACCAAGCCAACTGCAGCATGCAGAGACGTAGCGCTCACGTATCACTGATGCTATTGGGATTGTGCATGCACCAGCCCTGTCTAGATGCAACTTCCAAGAACCGTTCTGGATATGGCCAGCCTGTGATGATAAGACTGCTCATCCATTCGATTTGTTTTCGTGGCCAACTCAATTAACGATTTAGATCCTACTATTGAGCCAAGTTCCACCCAATATCCAGTCGGCGTATGCAGGCAGAATGTTTCGGTTGCTCCCTACGGCAAAGGTAACGAATATGGCGAGACTATCTACAACCTGCATGCAGGGCTGGTTTCCCATTTTTTCGCACATTCCAAAACTGGAATATTGGTGCTGGGAGTTTACAGCCCGCCTCCCGAAATGTAACACTAGGTGACTCGATTCGAACACAAGTGGACCGTCTTTCGTCGCCTGGCGCAGAGCCGTTGCTGTATGTTTCAGCTATCGCAGAGTCCGTAAGTATGTGCACTAGTACTGTGAATGCCAATCGATCGATTATAATTCCAATTGTTCAAGTGGGGGCAACGGCTGCTGCTACATAGTACGTGGTACAACACACACCAGCAGTAGCTCGGCCGTTTTGGTGCCATGCAAGTGCATCTGCTAGCTCATCTTGCTGCACCACCTGGTCTGGGACTTGGTCGCTACCTGAACTTTATGGGCGCAACCTAGCGTTTACAGGCTCACAGGTATCTTCGGAGTTGTCGAGACCATGGCGGCCATTGCTACACCAATAGATAGGTATAGCGTAATGCCATTGGACACCCACCCCGGAGCCATGGCGTTTGGGACCAGAACCGCCCTTTGGCGGATGGTATTAATGAAGCCCTTGCCCATGCCCCGGGGTTACGGTCTTTTTGAAGCCTGCTTTCCCACCTGTCAATCTTTCCCGGCATCGTTGTTTGTCTTGTTGAGCGCATCCACGCCTTGACAGCCTGTCGTTCACAAGTGTCTGTGTCGCTCGTTGTACTAGTCTTTCGTTCATCTCTACTACACTTGTCATCGACAACATGGGTCTCAAGTCATACTTTGCTCCCGGAAAGGGAAGCAAGAAAGAGGAAGCAGAGAAGAAAGGACATGGCAAGAAGGCCTCGAAGTCCAACAACACAACTGTCATGATGGATCTTACACCTGCGGGACTGCAAGACCCCTCGCAAGCAAGACCGACACCAACACCCGTTCCCGGCTCGACACCTGGAGCCCTCACACCCGGCGGCCATGTTAGTTTATATGGCTCTCGTCCAGGCTCCGTATACTCTCGCCGCTCACTATACCCCGCGGGTGACTTTCGCAACTCAGGGCGCGACAGTTTGCTCGATGTGAAGGCAGATGTGATGTGTAACTGGTTATACCAGCGACAACTGGAGAAGCAGTACGTTACTGGCATGCTCCCGGGTGAGGGAGTTGTCATCAAGAAAGGAAAGCAGAACTATGCTTGCTGCCCACCACAGCTTCAGGAAACGCCCGGAAGTTTGTACGAAATGGCCATGGAATTGAACGTTCGGGTATGCCGCCACAAGCCCAAAAGCATTAGGTGTAGCTAACATGATACACAGTGTGCCATGACCGTCAACACCAGAGTCATCAACGTCATTCTGAGTTCACGAAGGTCAGCTTTTGATTACATACCATTGCCGGATGGTCTTCGACTACAGGTGCTGGCCACCATGGCCGAGCTTCCTCGGTGTCAGAAGCATCACTTCGCTGCCTTTATCCAAGACGCTGGCATTCTTGTCGTCTGGGAAGATGATCCTAAGAAACTCCTCCTCAGAGCAGAGGCTATCGAGCGGCAATTAATGAGAATGATTTGGGGTACTGGTGAAGAGGACGGTGATGAGGATGAGAAGAATGCCGCTGAAGTTGGCGTGTCGGCTGTTGATCTTGAGGCTGCTCTTGACGAGGAAGTCAGGAAGACCAAGCTCACCAGCCCAATGACTGTCGCCATTACCTTAGCGCTAACATTCACCACGGTTGGCCTGGGCCTCCGAAACGTTGTTTACGAGATCATGATGGACGGCTCATACGTCCGTCTTGCCCTCATTGCCGTCATCCCGGTTCAAATCTTTGTCTCTCTGTTCTTTTTCCAGACTATCTGTGGTAATTTGTTTCAGGTCTTCGGGCCTATCTCCTCCGTCGACAAAAACTCCAAGTTTTACTCTGGGAAAGCACCCAAGCGCCTGGATCGGAACTTCTCTACCTTGCCTCATGTTACTGTGCAGATGCCAGTCTATAAAGAGGGTCTCAATGGTGTTATTCGGCCTACCATCCAGTCCATCAAGCAAGCTATCTCTACCTACGAAATGCAAGGTGGTACTGCCAACGTCTTCATCAATGATGACGGTATGCAACTGGTTCCTGAGGATCAAGCCGAGGCCCGCCGGGAGTTCTACGACGAGAACAACATTGGTTGGGTGTCCCGACCTAAGCACAACCCGAAGCCCGAGGAGGGAGAAAGCGTCTTCCTGCGCCGTGGAAAATTTAAGAAGGCTTCCAACATGAACTATTCCCTGATGGTCAGCAACCGCGTCGAAGACAAATTATTGCAAGTTCAGCGCCATCCCAACTGGACTCAAGAGGAAGAGAACGCTGCCTATGACCAGTGCCTTGCGCAGATCATCGAGGAAGACCAAGGCCGAACGTGGGCTGAGGGCAACATTCGTGTCGGTGACTACATCCTCATCATCGATTCCGACACTCGTGTACCAGCGGACTGCTTGTTGGACGCCGTCAGTGAGATGGAACAGTCACCCGAAGTCGCAATCCTACAATTCACATCCGGTGTCATGAAAGTTTCCACTTCTTTCTTCGAAAGTGGTGTTACTTGGTTTACTGAGCTTATCTATTCTGCGATCACCTTCTGTGTGGCTAATGGAGATGCTTGCCCTTTCGTCGGGCACAATGCCATGCTGCGATGGTCAGCCATCCAAGATGCCGTCGCGTACCAGGACGAAGATGGTTACGAGAAGTTCTGGTCCGAGTCTCACGTTTCAGAAGACTTTGAAATCTCTCTGCAGCTTCAGACTTCGGGGTACACTCTTCGCTTTGCTTCTTACACTGGTGACGGCTTCCAAGAAGGTGTCTCGCTCACTGTGTACGACGAGTTGGCTAGATGGGAGAAGTATGCTTATGGTTGCAACGAGTTGCTATTCTGGCCTTTGCGCTACTGGATCACACGTGGCCCCTTTACGCCTCTGTTCCGCAAGTTCATCTTCTCCTCTATTGCTCTACCTAAGAAGGTCACCATTCTTGCATACATCGGCACATACTATGCCATTGGTGCGGCCTGGCCTCTGACTGTCTTGAACTACTTCATCTCTGGATGGTTCTTTGGTCTTCTCGACAAGTTCTACCTCGATTCTTTCGCCATCTACATCTCCATCATTGTTGTTTTCACTGCTTTTGGTAACGTTGCCCTGTCCATCCTCCGATACCGTCTCAATCAACAGGGTCTATTGGAAGCTTGTAAGTCATGTTCATTTCGTATTCCTCGGACAATCAGCAAATGCTAACATGTGTAATTCTCAGTCTGGAACAATGTCAAATGGATTCCAATGTACTCGATATTCTTGGGCGGCTTGCAACTTCACGTTTCGCAGGCTCTGGTGTCGCATTTCCTTGGAATCGAGATGAACTGGGGCGCCACAGCTAAGGAAGTTGAAGATGTCAACTTTGTTGAGGAGATCCCACGTCTGCTCAAACGGTTCAAGGGCACGTTCTTCTTCGTCTTCCTCATGACGGCTCTTATGATCTGCGGCGCCATTGTATTTCCATATCAGTGGCGCATCCAGGACTTCGCGGCCATCTGGCCCTTGGCCAGCTGCACAGTCACACATTTCCTCCTGCCAGTGGCTCTCAACCCTGCGCTCATGGTTTTTGCGTGGTAGATGGAGGAACATTTTTCATTGTTTAATTATACATACTTATGGCTAATGTCTAAAATCAATTGGGTCACATCTGGTTAGGTGTTAGGATAGAGGAGGGGTATAGACACTCTTTTGCATTTGGATAAACAGGGTTTGCTGCGATCACCCGAGTACGTAGGCAGGGATCAATGTCTCTCATTCGTTATAATATATATCTGGACGATTGTTCTTATAGTCTTGTTCTAGGTCATCGTAATTCAGGTTGTTTTCACGTCAAGTACATGTCTGTGGCTGCCAACGCGAAGGTTTCATTTCGAAATACCGGTAGTGGGCACGTGAGAGGATTGAGAACGGCTGCCGACGATACGATATCTAAGGGTGAGAGAAGTGCTACAGTGATGCGGACGATCAAGCTCTAGATTAGTGGACCATGTCGTAATTGACGGTGTAAACCCCCCTTCCATATATTAGGGTGATGAAGTCACGTGTTGAAATTCGTCAAGATCGTAAGCAATAGCCCAGATAATGTCCAGTTGCGACTTCAAAGTCAAGCAATGGAGATGCATGACCCGTGGTATAAGTGGAAGTGAGTGTGCTTCTCTATAATAAACACCGCAAGCACGGTTTCGGGCAAGCAGCAGACGCTGTACGGTCGACGCGTCGTTCCGATTACCGCTCTTCTAGGGCGTGTCTGGGATCTGGGAGGGCCATGCAAGATGTGAGATAATCTTTTGAACATGTACACTCTAGTAGCGTTGCTCTTATGTAAATTGTAACCTCAGGGGGTCACACAAGATGTTGCAAGCTGCGATGTTGACAAAGAGAAACGACCCAAGTCTTAACTTAGCATCATAGACGCTACCAAAACGTTCAGCTGCCGCAAGTGCATACCGCATAAACACGTGAAAACAGCTCTAACTTCCAGCTGCCATCTCTCCACCTTGAACGGCTTTTCAGCGGGATCTGATAAGAAGAAGGGGGTCAAAGCCACCCCATGATCCCTGATCTCATGTGCTGTCTCCAACTGAAAGGCCCCTCCAAAGCCCCCCTGCTTCCCACTTGCCAACCCGCCCGACCTGGTCTACCTTACACTCGAGGTACAGATCCTCCGGTTCAGGAGAGGAAAGAAGCTCTCATCTCAGTTTTGATCCTCTTGCTTCGGACACGAGGTTTTTTTTCTACCTTGTCTTTTACCAGACAGATAGGCTCTTCTGAAAGTCACGAGCCTGTCAATGTGTTGATCAACCCTTGCTGCGACTTTGTGTGATTATACTCTCGCCCTTCGTTCTTGTTATCTTGTGCTGCTTATCTTACGTCACCTGGACGGCATCGACAACACAATGGCTGTCTTTGTAGACTTCTCGTCCGACGATGAGGACCCCCAAGACGTGCAGCCGCAGCAACACGCTTATGGCCGTTCTATACTTCAAAAATCAGGGTGGAAGGGCGAGCGGACCGAGGCCACCGAACGTAGCAGCGTACCGGACGAGGAGGAACACAATGAGCTCTCTAACAGCACTGCCAATGGCTCGGCTTCCAGCCACTACACCTTCAGGAATGCAATGACGGAGGCTCTCGGATGCTATCCGTAGGCTGGCACCCCAATTGCTCCTTTTGATTTTCTTGATTCGTTCTTCTCAATAAAAAGATGCACCAAAGCTTCACCCTCGAGGCCGCACGGTCGATATGGGTGCGTGAGCTAAGACTAACACAAGGCGCAGAGTCGCAATGGCCATTGCTTCATCTCTTGACCTCATCTCGCTCGACAACCTGTCCCGAACCTGCCGCCAGATCCATGCGTCTCTCCTCGAATACCGCAGTCCGCTCAAGTCGCATACATTGCACTGCGTCAACGAGAATGTCGAGTTTGACCCGGATGATACACTGCGTTATCGCGCGAGAACCGGCAACTGGTACTATATGGAAGAGCTTGCACGACCTGGCGACAAATACAACGGCAAGAGCGGGCAATGTGCCAGAGACATGGTCGCAGAATGCAGACGTTGCGCAAGAGTTGTCTGTCGGGTAAGTCTGCCGTTCAGGTTCAGCTATCCGAAGCTTGGGAAGTCGGCACGTACTGGCCCAAGCCGTTACTGAGTGAAAGCTTCACAGAATTGCGCCATCAAACCACCTGCCCCGATCGCGCTTCGAGATCGACATCGCCGGCTATGTATTCGCTGCACAAAGGCCCCAGTCGGTACCCTCGCAAAGCCTTCGTTGCGCCCGGACACATCAATTGATGCCGATATCATGAAAAGAGCTGTGTGTACATGCCAAAGTGAGGGTGTCTGGCTGTGCCAGCCGTGCGGAAGGAGTATCAGAGGCGCAGATCATGATTACCAGTCGTACGAATTCCATGGTTTCTCTCCTCCTCACCAGCTATCTTTGTTTTCTCTGCCCAGCGTGAGTTACTGACAAGGGCGAGCAGGATATGGCGCTGGCGCAACCAGTACGGAGACATCATCGGCGGCCTTGGAACCGGCATCGGCGACGGTGACCGCGGCGTAATCTGCGGTCGGGAGGGTAGGTGCTGTGCGGCCAAAGAACGCGAACACGAGACGGACTGCGATGCCGCGGACGCACGGGAACACGTCCTGTCCAACCCTGGCACGCCACCTCCTGCCAACCCGCACCCCTACCAGTCCTGGATGACCAGCAGTGACACGTCGAGTCCTAGTCCATCTCCCTCTTCATCCCCGGACTCTCGCCGCACACCGTCTCCTCCCCACCTAGGTCCCGGCTATGCTAGACACGAGATCGAGGGCATTGGCGGTGTGGTCAAGACCAAGCGGCTGAGCATGGTACGTGTTGGCGCTTGCGTGCCTGAGTGGGAGGATGAGAAGAACAATGGGCAAGTACTCGGCAGGGAAGTCTCAGGTCGCTCAAGGAGTTGGTGTGGCTGGTGTACGAGGGTTATTCCAGGCAAGAAAGACTATGAGCAAAGCGCACAAGAGAAAGGATATAGCAGCCTCCCGGTAGTCAAGGCTGACGGCTGAGCATCCCATGACGGGCACAAAAAAATGGACATGAAGATTCAGGGGTATGTACACCTTGCAAAAGGGCATGCACGCATAGGCACCCCTGGCAAAAAGGCACAGTGGCGTTCGCAGTATACTTGATTGTCTTTGTCTTTGAATTTATTTTTGATTATACAAAAGATTTTCGTCCACTAGTTGGAGTAGTGAACCTAGTATGACATCGGTGATATACAATGAAGGGGGATTAGTATCTGGCCGATAGTTCGCCGTGCCTTTGCTAGCCATGCATCGTCTATATCTTCCCAAACGCCACGTTCGGCAAATGCCAGATGCTTTTCGGTGTTCCCCTTCTCCCGAGTATGTTCCATATCCCCTTTAGGAACGTTTCTGTTGTACATATAGATGCAATCTTTCGTACAGCTCCACACCCTCCAATCTCCAGCAGCTTCCTTTTTTTGTTTTGTAAGACTGAGCTCGAATCCTTCGTACGGTTCTTCCTGGACCCACTAGGCGAATCCTGTACAGCAAGCTCGCTCTCTCTGGCCGAGGATCACCATCTCACTATAACTGGCCCTTCAGGAGCAAGACCTTCCTCTTCTGCCTCTCCTCGCGAGCCTTTGACTTGATGGGGCCCCATCTCGACTTGATGGCGTCCAGCCGCGCCGTCTCGCTGGCCCGGTGCTCCGCGCTCGCCTTGCAGCACATCATGACGAAGAAGTTGCTGCACCCGAACTTGCCGGCCAGCGCCGCCACGCTCCACCTCGCCGGGTCCGACGCCCGCAGCGACCGCATCTCCTCGACCTGCTCCCTCGTCACGCTGTGCTTCGGCGGCGCGAACCCACCGTTCGGCTCGCTGCCTACCTGCGGTGCGAGCTCTGATGTGGCCGTCGACGAGGACGAGGCGCGGATGAGCTGTGTGAGGTTCGCTTGGCGGCGCGGGTCGGTCCGCGGCAGGAACTTGAAGGGCGTGTGGTATACCGAGGGCGTGGAGGAGGGCGGGTTGAAGACGATGTGGTCCTCGTTTGTGGTGTTGAGGAAGGACGGGTGCGGGCCGATCTTGAGGGCCTTTTTCGTCCGTGATGTGGTTGCTTGTGTTCGTTTGGCGGTGAGGGTAAGTGACGAGACGAGACGCCTTGCGGGCTGGAGGACGGGGCGCTCCATCGTGGAGAAAGGAAAAAGGTCAACAACAAGGCACTGCTCCAGAAATGTTGCGTGAAAGAGATGGGGGTCGAGGTCGAGGTCGTGGTCGTGGTGGGCAGGTGAAGCTCAGTCAGGAAAGAACTTCTAACAGATTATAAAGCGGCGAGTGTCCAAGGCAATAGCAATCCCAATTGCCGAGTCACTGGATCGCTTTGAAAAGATTGTGCGCGAACGGAGGCTGCAGATCATCAATATCTCAGGAGCTCCTGCAGATTGATGATAGCTTCGAATTATCGTGCCCAAATTTCTGAGGCGCGGAAAAATTGACGGAGCGGCCAGGGGGTTCACGTTCACGGGGGTACAAAGTAGGTCGCGTGTCGCTCGGCCTTTCTCCATCACTAAAAAGGGCCATTAAGTAAGCAGCTACCCCCTGTTAGTACGTTGTCCGAAATACTGTGTTGGGTACTATTTATTACTGTATGAGACGATTGCCCTTACCCAAAAGTCAATGAGACCAAAGCTTCGGGCATGTCACTCTGAGTTTGCACCAAGTCCTGTGGCACTCTCTCATTGAAGGCGTGTTTCTGCAAACCCGCATCAGACATTACACACTTCCCCATTCTACAGAATCTACAGATTGGGTTGTCGTCTCCGGCCGCAGTCGCCGAAATCAGGACACTGCAGATAGAATGCCAAGCTAAATTTGGGTAGTAATGTCGGGATCGACAAGACCAGAACCCCCGAATTGCAGCCCAGATTCGAGTTCTGAGGACTGGTGAACCCCTCCTTGTGACGTAACCCCTTGATTAACCTTTGGGTTTCATGTGGATGAGATACGCAGCTCGTCAATGTCAGGAACGACAATCCTCCTCGAGTCAGCAACTTGCCCAAGTCAGCTTTCAAGTAGACGATATATTCAGCTATCTACCTCCACTAATTCGGTCACCTCCAGGTTTATCCAAGCCACCCGCTCACTTACAGCACCCATGGCACTTCAAGGAACGCGCAATATGGGCCGGTTTTCTAAGTTTATTGTCATTAAACATACTCTATGAGGCGTTTCGAAACGAGATGGGAGTCTCCATATAATCCGCAGGGTTCGCTATGGAGATCTCTCTTCCAATTTCTTCCAGACCAGATCTGGTTGATCGTTGCCCAGGCTGTGTAAGTCGGTATTAGCATAGTGCTCATGATAAGCCCTTGTGGTTGGCAGCAGGCCTGTCGTTGGCCCTGCATTGGGTACGGGCAGAACGGTCTAAAGCAGGCAGTGTAAGGCATTTTCTGCCATCCTGTTAATTATTTTCAGCAACATGGATTGCATTGCATTGATTCATGCGACAACGGGATAGATCCAATCATGGCGGCAGCGTCATCGGGCTTCCTATTGGCCCAAATGTCTGTTTCCAGTGTAAGCCGTGACCAACATTAAAGGGTCCTTATTCCTGAACTTGGAAACGGCCGGGCAGTCCCCTCGCTAAGTTAAGAGGAACCCAAACAGGATCTCCTCATTCCCATTCAACGATCGTCATCTGGCCTCTGCATAGGGCAATTTCCGTTTGCCTAAATAGACCTCACCATCCCACCCACAGCTCGTGATCTCACCAGTCATCGTCTTGTTATCGTTGCATAGCGAGGCACGTATAACTCCCCAAACTCTCACGCAATCGTACGGCGCCCGTTCGCTGTTGACGCCAACCATAAGTGCCTATTAAACTCTTACTGTTCCCAACGTCCGGGGCTAGCTGACTACAAGCTTCGGGACATCATACCGCTAAACAAACAAACAAACAAACAAATCCAAAGGAATTGGCTTTGCTTTGGGGACACAATAACACTCACGACTTCAAATAGAATTTAGGGGGTGGTGAGTTTGCTATTCCGTGAAAGTTGAACTCAGATATTCGACTTACACGCTCCCAATTCCCGAAACCAATCCCATTCATCTTGCGCTGCCCGCTTCCAAGAAGAGAGACAAGATTTCATTCTAACCAGGTCTCATTGGATAGTTCTCCTTGGAGGTGCCGAAAGCTTCTCAAAATCTAGTCGCTCGCGCTGAAGATCGTGATTCCTCTACGGTGATTGCTCTTGTTGATATCCATCCAACATACCTTGGCAACGCATCACATCCCAACGAGCACTGAAGCTCCAGTTCCACAATTTCTAGCGACTCTCCTGGAGCGACAGATCCGACAGAGGTTCCTACCCAACCAGGCAGACGCCAATCGCATTTGTCAATCCGCTCTGACGTGCGTTCTCGACCGCTCCTGAGCCCGAAAGCTTAGCACATTCAGACTTTCAACAGAATCCCTTAGCCAGATAGTCACTGCCTTTCGCAAATTGGCGGACGAACGAACCTGGGTGAGTTTCCTCATGTTGCTCCTTGTATAATTTCGATGGAAGCAGCGAGGGGGCAGATGTCTGCCTCATACGTCGTCGCGTCTGGCCCCAATTGCACATCTCCATTTATCTTGCTAGGTATCTGGTAGCCAGCATACGAGTTGCCGCGTGCTTGTACGGCGGTGTCTCGCTCCCCCACATGCGCTGGCACACCGTTCTTGCAGCGGAACCTTGCTGATTGATCAATTGAACCATCCTCTGTGGAATTCCTTTTTCTTTAAACCTAAATACCTGCTGACCTGGACATCTAGCTGTCAAAATTCAACCGCCCCCAACTTTGAATTTGTCACCTATAGAGTTCTACCAAGCGGCTAGCACCATGGGTTTAGCTCCAGCGGCAGATATACAGAAGAGCTCAGCTCCCAGTATGAGCACAGCGGACAAGACCTCAATCTTGGGATCCACCAAGACTTTCAACAACGAGGAGACCGAGGCCGATACCAAAACCAAGAAGCGGAGTCTGTTCGGATTCGGGAAGAAGAAGACAGCGGAAAGGACAAGCAGTCCTGCAGACGGTGCTATGACCTCTTCCAAGGCCGAAAACAGCCTCCCGAGCCCTCCGCATACTCAAAACGCATCGCAATTGTCCTCTAGACGATCGACACAAACGTCCCCAGGCCCGCTGGACGCCCCGCACAGAATGCCCTCATCCCCAGGACGGGGTATCTACTCGTCGTCGCCGCATCTTGCCTCTCCAGCCACATCCCAAATCTTCGAGAGAGACGTCCAAGAAAGTGCTGTTGCTATGCCCAACTCGCCAGCCATTCCCTCTCACATCCAGGTCGAAAACCACATCCCTCCCGCGTTGGATGCCACATCGGAAGCCATCACCGACGGTCACCTCAACCCTGATAGCGTCGAGATCGTTACCCATGCTTCCCATCAACCTGCCTCTGTGACCGTCACAGGCTCTGTTCCTTATGACACACAGTCGAGTGCCTCCTGGGTGGACGAATTACAATCGCTTGCGGAAAAGGAGGAGGCTGCTTCCAATTACGGGAACCTAGACTCTGCGGACGTGAGGCGTCTTAGCTTCATCTCTTTTGCCGATGTTGTTCAAGCTGAACAAGGTGCTCACGGTGCTGCGGCAAGCAGCCGAGACTCTGTACACTTTGCTGGCTTGACATCGCTCTCCTCAAGTGGCCTCAACCGCTCCCCATCACCGATAAGATCGCCAATGCCTTCTCAGGGCCAAGAGGTTTCACCGCCATTAAGCAAGTCTGGCTCTATAAAGGGTTTGGACATGTCCCCAGGTCGAAAGCCTCTCGGCAGCCCTACATCCACCCAGCACAACCTGGCTATCGGAAGCAGCGGCGACTTGAACATTGAGACCATGTCCCAAGCATTAAGACGGCCTGGCAGCAGTGCGGATCTTAGTATCCACCGTAGCTTGCCTGTCAGCCCTATCGAGGCCCAGTCCCCTCTCCGGTAAGGGGATTCACCCGTAAAGTCAAACCCAGGTTTCGTGGCGGAATTGACGCCTGGCGAAACTGGGGAAAGATTGGACGCCTATGACACTGTCATACGACAACCGGAAGACGAACAACACATGGGAAGACTTAACGATGGAGAAAATCGCGAGCAAGAGACCGGGACAAATTGGCGTTATGGGCGAGGATTTTGGAACTGTTGGAGTTACGGATATTTCTACTTCGCAACCAGCCAGTAAGTGGTGATGACTCGAACTTCTCACACATTTCTGGAACTTTTGGTGGGGGCTTTTTATTTTCGGGAAGGTGGACGAATGTTTTGGAGTCACATATTATTCCCCATGGAGCGTGAGAGGTCAAAGGTCAATTTGACGATAAAGGACAAGAATGAGGCTCAAGTTGTATATCTGGTAGATGGATTACGTACCCCACAGAAACGAGATTACACTGAGGAGGATTTCCCCCAAATATTGACCTCTTTTCTTGACACTAGCTTACATGCTTGAGACATGCTTATATTACTGACGGGCAACTTGGCATAATGCACGATGGAGGTGAGATAAATCCGCTGGCTAGAAAACCACGACTGATGATTGGGAAGAATCTGTTTGTGACCTGTAAACACTGTGATGCTAGACAAAATGTAGGCTGAACAACAATAAGTTAGGCACACTACCTGATTTCATGGCATATGTAAAGGCAAAGCTGCGACTAGATGGGACACAATGATTGAAAACAGTGGTTCGTTCGTCCTAGGAACGGAGGAAGCTTCAAGTCTCGGTGTTGCGTCTGTCATAAAGAGTGTCATAAAGAGTGAGCACAGAAAATCGAACGAGCCCCAAGCCCATTGTTACCCGGCAAAACTTCAGATGCTACAACAACATCATATTGTGTGCTATGCGGAACAAAAAGGGATCACGGACACGTTCTTTGGTGCATTGGTGGTGGGCGAGTGATAATGATGCTATGGTTGCTACGAACTCCTCGTATCTACCCCCTAGATTATCCTCTTCTGCTGTTGATTGGTCTTATCAGTTCCGCATGATTCACTAGACAACAAGTTTGTTCATTTATTTATTCAATTTTTCATTACTAATATATCTCTTTCTCACGGACGTTCTAACTTCTGGGACGGCTAATCTCGTAGATATTAATAGTAGCATAATGAAGAGCCGCGATACGAGGTTTTGATGGATGTTATCGCGGTATCTAAGCCTCCCCATCTAGCTAGTGTCGTGATATACTACGTAGATCAGAACAAGCGTTTGAGATCCACGACAGCATTGCCGCTTGCCAATGCCGAGAGTGTGCATACTCCACCTACATAATGGGTTTTCTGGGATAATAAAAGAACAGCAAGGGGACGGTCCGAGATGCTATCGCGCCGGGCACTAGACGGGTATACTAATGCCATGACTCGGCTGGTTGCTTGAATGTTCTTAGTACTCTGACGCGCAAGAGTTAGACCCATAGGTTAGTTTGGATATTCTTCGCAGTTTAGGGAGAGATCTTGACGGGGTCCTAATCTAGCATCTCCAGGCCGTGCGGGCCGGAAAGCCTTCAGGTGAGTGAAGAGCTGTTGTTATTCGTGGCTAAGTTTTGTGTTTGAGATTCAGAAAATGTCCGTGTTGTTGATGACGAATGATTGCGATAGTGGTTTGAGATACGTAGCATATCGCCGCTTTCGCGCGCTGTACCTGAACCCAAATTGAGAAGGATCCCACTTCGTTCGGGATCTGGGCGGGGCGTGGGCGATGCGGACTGACAATGTGTTGTCCAATATTCGGCAGTGAGCCTGCTGCAACACTCCAGATGGTCGTGCTGTCAAGATGAACATGAGGCGGAAATCGTACAGCCACTTTCTAAAGACTGACGCTTCTTGTGGTCAGTTTGCGTCCAGGATATCAGATAGTAAGTAGGCTGGCGCGCGGGATTAGGCTTCCGAGACAAGTCTAAACACTCGTTAAGGTCGAGCTATTGGGGAAGATCTCGAGACCGGCGTAAGACTAGGAAGACAAATGGCCTTTTCCCCCTCAGCCTTGAGCGTGTAAGAACCAATCAATGACTGCCGTTTCTACATTCCAAGTAACTTACAGGCTGACCATTGTAGTTACTGGCGACGCATATTGAGGAATTGTAACAGCAAAACCAGCTATTTTCAGAAAAGCGTTCCTTGTCGTCGTTGGTATGGGAAACGGGAACGAGTTGACGCTACACAACCTCAAGACATCATTGGCTCGAGATAAACCATTGTACCGGAACGAATAAACTTTCGGTGTGTTCTGGAAGCGTGGAGACGGCAGCAAGCAATGTCTCTGGGGAATTAGGCTTCGCCCCTGCTGTGCCTTGCGCCCGTGTTTTGAAATCAAGATTGGATGCTGCTGCAAGAGGGCAAAAAAGAAAAAGAAAAGCCCCCCAAAGTTGTCTCGCAGCCCTGGAACCAGTTCTCAGAACGGACAAGAAATTTTTTTTTTGGAGCTCGTGCCCAGCCAGCCCAGACAATAGACGAATCTGTGCTCAAAGTGTGAGTGGCCATGTTGGATTTGGTACCCAGGGTCCAAAATCACACTGTTGACTATTTGCATATGGTCGAGGATCCCGATTGGGTGGAAGATCAAGAAGCAGGTCCTCGAGACAATGCTCGAGAGTCGAAGATGTCAGACACCCGCGCGCTACTTCAGATAGATTGCAATACCGGCATGCTGGTACCTTGGTTTCCAGCTTGCCGGTCCGGACGTGCAGGATCGTGCAGGTCGATTGGTCCCGTTTTCCCCAAGTGTGCGGCACGGTAAATGCTTGGGTGCGGGTTTGTTGTATATTTCATGGTTGTTTCATTGCAGGAAAGCCATTGATAAGCCCCTGGTCTAGCATGTCTTACTACATATGTACATCTCAGGGTGTCGAGGTTTGATATTACATGTGCTGGCATTTACCAAGGCCATATGGCTTACAGATCGATGACTGAGACGGCCGGGGCAGTAATGCACGCGTGGGTCGAATCGCTTTAATCTCGTTTCCTTGGTCGGGAGCAACCTAGAAGCTCGTGACTTCTGGTAAGAAATGCACATTTGCCTCCATCTGCGTTTGACCGAAGGAACGTATTCTCATTGTCAACTCTGGCCTGCCTAGCGCTGGGCAGAGCAAGAGCCTTTCGATATAGTGTCACTAGGGTTCCAGAGACCCTGCAGGAATGGAGTCGATGTCCACTACGCTTGTGAATTTGCGGGCAAGCCCGTCCCTACCATGGCCTTTCTCCAGTGTCTGTGTGTCACCGAAATGTTTGTTGCGCTTGTTATAAAACTTTGGTAATAGCTAGAAGCGTGTGCAAAAGGGGCTTGTTGTCCATGACGGCCACCAATCCAAAGTTTTGAGCTTGTAGTACAGAGCAGATGCAGGGGATAAAATGGATCATGGGGGCCCGGTCCCTCTGCCCAGGAAATAATCCATTATGGGCATGGTTTTGTTTGGTGGCCAGTGAGTCGGTCTGGGGTTGCGGCCGGCAAAACTGGCAGACCGAGCAGGGACCCAGGAGGATAGTTGATGTTAGTTAGTATGAGCTGGATGAGGACTGATATGAGATGATTTGAAGTTGTATTCTCTATAAACTATGTACCAAATGGGTTATTGACCTGTTGAATCGGGTGGAATCATAAGGCCAGGGCGGATTGGCTGATTTGGTTTCGGGTCGCCAGTCGATGATAGTCCTTACATACATAGTACTTATGCAAGGTACAGAAAGAATGCCGAAGCACCCCATCAAGTGGCCAAGTCCCCTCCTGGTGGGATCCAATTCGCGGGCCCATGAAATCCCTATGTTACCGCGTGTGCGTCACGGTGGCCGGAAAACCAGGTTGCCCTGGGTTTAAGTCCGAGGCTATACGGCCGGTAATACGAATGGGACAAATTTCGATAGTCTCGCGCAAGCGGTCACTACGTCCAGTGAAGACTTGTTTGACGTTGTAATGCTTTCAGGGTATTGGCACATACTATTGTATGGTGTAATTTCCAAGCTGGTCAAAGGCCGGGGCTGCATACAAGGTCTTGCAAGGTAGCACCCGGAGCATTCTTCCATCGGCAGGCCCAAGCAGTGGGTGCTTATTAGCATAGGTACTGTAGGCAGGACAGATCGCGTGCAACCGCAGGTCCGCACCACATGACTCGCAGTCGGACCTCTTATAGTGAAGTTCCCGTCATGCAACTGTTGAGAGGTGTTAGATGGTGACAATGTGCAAGCATATAAGAAGTATTAAATAGAACTAAAACAGTCGGACAAGAAGAGCTACAATACGGGTTGCGTGCATATGCCTAATGCAATTCATTACTCCTCCTTCCATCCGATGAAAAAGGCAGAAAGCAAGCAAGAGATAAAGAAAGAAAGAAAGAAACAAAGAAATGAAGAATAGAGACGGAGCAGACGACATGATGCAGCATGGGCCTTGCCCGTCTGGTCTGCCGTCTGTTTGTCAATGCAAGATTTACGAAGTACCCAGTCTGGTCAGTCGCTATTGGCAAGACGTGTACAGCACTGTGCAGAGGTCTCGGGCGCAACGGTGTTTACCCTGTCTAGCTCTGGTACAAACCCAAGTCTTGGAGTCTTTTCGTCTCAAAGGTGGTTAGAACCTTGTGCAGTGGAGAATGCACCATTGAGGTCCCCAAGTCCTTCATTACCAAATGTTGCATCTGGGCAAGCTTGTGCAGGCGAAGCCTCCCTCCTGGCAACATCACTCGTTGGTATGATGCCCCCTTCTTGTTGCTCGACTCCCTTCCGAATGCGTGTGTGGTCGCTCGCATGCCTTGAGACTACTTGAGACGCACGCCTTGAGACTACTTGAGACCGTCTGCACCCCTGTTGGCTATTTTTCGCTCCATGCTGACGAGCCCAACGGTGATTTAGCTGCTGTTGTGCGTGGCGGACAATTGACTGAGCGAAAGCCTACGAGGAAGCAGCAAGCAGGAAGCGGCATTTGCGCTAGACTAGGCCTGGTCTGGCAGGAAAACGGTGCCGTGGACGTCCAACTATACCTAACCTGGGTCACTGCCTACTTACAGCTGTCCCGCCCACACCAACTGGGAGACTGGAACTTGGAACCTGGAACCCGGGCTCGCAATTCCCTTTTGGTCGCCTTACATGCTCAGCCAAATTTTGTTACCGGTAGCTTCCCGTGCCAGTCTTGACCTCAAACTTGCATTCTTGGGTTGCACAATCTTCTCAGAAGCGCGCGTCCGATTCGAAATAATCCCCCGACCCTCGCAAACGTGCATCCAGAACGAACGAGTCAGAGGCCAACGGCCAGGTCCCCCCGCTGTCGTCCCCTCTCTGCTTGGGCGACTGCACTTTTGACCAACAAGCACTTGCCTGGAAGGACTGCAGCACGCATTACCGCAAACCAGATTCCGTGACCGACGACCGTCCGAATTGTTGTGACATTGCAACTGGGCACCTTTCCACGTGCTGGATCCCATATCTCGTCGCTGCGGTGCGCTCCACGCGCGCTGAGTATGAGACGGGCGAGGAATACGCATACTCCCTTACGAGCCGACTGTTCCTTCTTGCGTTGCCCGACCCGGCCTTGTCCCAAGCCTAGGGCAGTGCGCTTGTGAGGCCCGTCGCGAAACACTGTGATTCTACGGCACGCAAGCTAGATTCCGCTAGATATTAGAATGGTAGTTCTCCGATGTCAACAGTATTTGAACAGGAAATCGACATTCAGGGAGGATCGTATACATTTATGACCGTACGTCCGCAGTCGCCGGACATAAAGCTGGCTCTCGCGTGTTTCGCTCTTACAAACGTGGATGGGCTTGGCACACACCTCACGCCCCTCCCGAGAGCACGACGTCGACCCAGAGCTTCTGTTACTCCCCGTGAAGTTGTAGATGCCCGATGCGCTGCGCATGCTGTTGTCATTGGCGTTAGAACAAGCAAGTAGAAAGCTAGCTAGCCATGGACGGACGGAGCCACAATGGTGGCGGCAGTGGCAGTCGGGAATTCTGGCTGCAGGACACAGCAGGTCCGCCTGGCAGCCTTGAAAGAAACGGGGATGGGGACAGAAACAGAAACAGAGACCGGGACAGTGCCCACACGACAAGAAGCAGCAACTACAGAGCCGACGTCAGCACGCAAAGCACAATCCGAACTGTCACACCTGAGCCACCCGAAATCGGTCACCCCATCACGGACACAAACATAACACAAACCTCCCGGACCTCTCAAGGCTTTGGCGCCACGTCGCCTCAAACCTCTCCCAGGTCTATACCTGGCGGAGAGCGTAGGCGAAGAGGCATTGTATTCAATGACACATATGGTGGCTCATATGATAGCTCCGAGTCAAGCCCGCCTCAGCAAGCAAGGCCCTCACTCCGGCCTCGCACACACACCATGGACACGGCCCTTGCGTTACAACGGCAAACTGCGCCCACTTCTGCGGACAGTCGGCATAGGGTGGGGTCGTTCTCGTCCTCAAGTTCCACGCCGTTCGCCGACATCGATGTTCGTCATCCGCCAACTGTTCTAAAGACCGCGAGCTACCCGTCAGTGGCGTCTGCTACGTTCTCACGTGCTCCGGACCTCAAAATCTCTGTCTCATCTTCCTCCAAGCACAGCAAGCAATCAGCAAACAGACGTCTCATAAAGCGAGCGTCCTCTCGTCCGACTTCACCTCTAATTTCTCCGGCTCCTTCTGTGGATTCGTTGCCGCTGCCCATACCCACAGACGATGCGAACAGGTTGCTTTTGCTTATGAAGACGCTATGCGGTCGGATGAAAGGCGGTGTTGAGTACCAAGGCGAGCCCAGTGGACTATGGTATTCTGGCATTTGCTATATAGACGAGGAGAGGGGAAGCTTGCTCTTCGACTCCGGCCAGAATGGGCCTTTCCACATACCGCTTGTCGGAGACCTTCGCGGTTGCAGGGTTCTGCCGGTGGAGCACCAAGACAGTGGGGGTAAATGCCTCGAACTACTTAACCACAAAATGGGCGTCGAGCTGTTGCTTCGACCACTCATCGCCGATGAATTCGATTTGTGGCTTGCTGCCCTACTTTGTTGGCAACAACTTCGGCCTTCTGGAGCCCGGGTCCCCAGCAACAGAGTCGGAAACTCGCCGTCAACGAGTCGAGCCGAGATGCGGCGACGGGGTTCTTCGGCTGTCGGTTCACACGCAGCTGCCAATGCCACCATCATCAAAGTGGGTAAGGTCATGCTTTGGGACAAGGGCATTGCGACATCACCTCGCGCAATCGTGAAAAGACCATCTACTCGTGACCTTCGCGCTCCGACAACAGCCTGGGTAAGGGTGTCTTGCATATTGCAAGACAATGGGGCGTTCAAGTTGATGACCGAGAACGATGTGACTGTTCTCTCCATCATAGAGCTCTCCCAACTGTCTCGTTGTGCTATACAGCAGCTCGACAAGTCGGTGCTTGACGAGGAATATTGCATCGCCATTTTCCCCATCTACGCACCCACGTCCAAGCAGCTCTCTATATTCAGGCCAGTCTACCTTGCACTGGACACAAGGGTTCTTTTTGAGGTGTGGTTTGTCTTGCTTCGCGCCTTCGCCGTGCCAGACCTCTACGGAATCGAGCCATCTTCGGAGCTAGCAACAGAGATTATCAACTTCAAGGAGAATTTTGATGGACAGATGTTCAGAGTTGAGAAATCAATACAAGTAAGAGTTACCGAAGCAAAATTGAAGAGGCCAGACAACAGACCCGATCAGCATGATAGGCATCACAAAAGCGATCGCGATCCACTCATTGGTAATTACCTAGCCGAGGTTATACTGGATGGCGAGGTTCGGGCACGCACGACAACACAAACCGACACCAGTAAACCGTTTTGGAGAGAGGCCGTACAATTCAGCGAGCTCCCGACAACACTACCCTATTTGTCGATTGTGCTCAAGCGGGTGGACGGCAACCTTGACAGCTTTAGTCATCAACTCCAGGCCTCATTAGGCCTACCCAAGACGGGTAATCTGAGCGAGACCATGTGCGGTGCTGTCGACATACCGCTGGATAGGCTAGAGCGCGGCAAGGACCATGAACAGTGGCATCAAATACAAGACGAGAAGAACGAGTCCATCGGCAGCATGTTTGTCAAGGTCAACCTCGAAGAGTTCGTCGTGCTCATGGCCGATGACTACAAGCCTTTATCTGATCTCTTGCACAAATTCAGCTTAGGCCTGCCTAGCCAGATTGCCGCTGCGATGCCACAGCAATTACGACGTCTTGCGGAGATCTTTATCAACGTCTTCCAAGCCTCCACACGATCCGTTGAATGGCTTCTTGTGTTGGTAGAAGAGGAAATAGACGGAATCAGTGGACAGAACACCATGAAGAAAATGCGATTCAGTAGACGCATGAAATCCAATGACTCGAACAACTCGGCCAGTGATCGAGAGCTGATTGTCCGCGACATGGGCAAGTCACTAGCGGGCGAAGCAAACCTGCTTTTCCGAGGCAACACTCTGCTTACCCAGGCTCTGGAGTTCCACATGCGTCGCTTGGGCAAGGAATACTTGGAGGAAGTTCTCAGCGACAAGATCTTCGAAATCAATGAGATCAATCCTGACTGCGAAGTCGACCCAAGCAGAATATCGCACCATGTTGACATCAACCAGCATTGGTCGCAATTAATGCAACTTACCACGGAGGTCTGGCAATGCATCGCGATTTCAGCAAACAAGTTACCAGCCGAACTGCGGCAAATACTAAAGTATATCCGGGCCGTCGCGGAAGACCGCTACGGTGACTTTCTCCGAACCGTCACATACACGAGTGTTTCGGGCTTCTTGTTTCTTCGATTCATCTGCCCAGCCATTCTGAATCCGAAGTTGTTCGGATTGTTGCGGGACAACCCACGTCCTAGAGCTCAGCGCACCCTCACCCTCGTGGCCAAGGGGCTACAAGCTCTAGGAAACTTGTCCACGTTCGGCAAGAAGGAGAGCTGGATGGAACCGATGAATAAATTCTTGAACAATCAAAGACAGCCTTTCAAGGACTTCGTCGACGCCATATGCTCTATACCGACCGAACGCGCCACCATACCACTTCCGGCGACATACATGACCCCCATCACAATCCTCGGCCGCCTCTCAAAACCGGCCCGTGAGGGATTTCCTGTATTGCCATACCTTATCGATGACGCAAGACACTTTGCCGCTCTAGTCAAGCTTTGGTTGGACGCTCATCATGCTGGCGCCCATGACTCGCGTCATTTCGAAGGTGAACTCGCCGAATTTCACGAACTCTGTATCGGGCTCCAGCAACGCTCAGACCAATGCATGGAGAGGATAGAAGCTATCAGAGCTGCAGAGACTGGTTCAGCCGCCACTGATGATGTAGCCGATAGTCTTGAAAGAGCATCGCTGATGGATTCAATGCATGCCGCTTACGGCAGTTCGTCGATATGGGTAGATAATGATCCTTACCGTGCTCCAGGCTCGTCTGGCTCGGATGTAGAAGGACAGGAAAGATCAATCTTCCGAGAGATCAAGTTCGCAGGCGGAAGGGAAGGCACTGAACGCCAACCAGTAGATGGCTCTGAAGCCTCTAATGCTGGTGGTACACTCCGCCGCAACGGCAAGAACCCACGCGCGTTTCTCAGCAATCTTATCGCGGGGAAGAAAGAAAAGCATTCGAAATCCGATTTTTCAATATCCGGCTATACAGGCCTGCGCGAAAAGAGCCGGGACAAAGAAGACCGAGAGAGGAAAGGGTTCTTGGGCGGTTTGGCAGAGGGCTGGCAAAACAGCGAAACCCCGAAACACTAGTACTGTTTTGGGTTGGAACTTCAGGTCAATCAGCCTGCATCTCGCGGGAGGCATAGAGAGAGGAATGTTTTGAGAAAAGGACCACCCCGCATCATGGTATAGATAGGTCTTGTTTACAACGTGGACACCTCAGGTGGTCGTGAAACGGGTGGAGGCAGCCTTTTGGACCGGTAGGCCGTCAATTCTCGGGGTTTCGGTCCTAAGCTGAGGTCCGGACAGAGGCATCATGACCAAGGCGCAGAAGGCAAGGCGTCTTTTTTTTCTTCTTCTTATGAAATAGATGGGGGGTGGGTCGGTGCATCGGACACGATCTAATGTTTGGGTTGCCTTGCCTGGAGTCAGCATAAGGATGTGGGAATGGCTTTTAATGACAATAGACATTGGACGAGTACCAGGTGTACGATGATTTGGGGAATCGGGGCGGAAAAGAGGACAGACGAGAAAGAGATATTACACTTCATGAGCCCTGTTTGGCAGAGACATCGCAAATAGTACTTTCATACAATACCCTTTGATATTTTTATTTTATTTCTTTTTCTTCTTCCGGTTTCTGAACTGGGCAGTCCGCCGTGACGCCTTACGGCAAGTTTCTGGTACCCACGACGGTCGGCCCGGTAATCGAAAATTCTTTATCTTACGAAACACTATAACATGACAACGTCCATGGCGATGCGGTTGCCCACGCAGGGGTTACACGAGCCGGATCAGTCGCTATTACTGTTAGAGCCATGGTCACCAGTTTTTGTCTTGTGCTGAGTTCTCTCTCAAGGATTCTCTAATTCACACAACAAACTCAGAGGCTTCTCGAACGGCGTCCTTATGTGTCCAAAAAGAGGAGTGGGGGTTGATATTGTAGGAAACCGCGTCTCTGGAGGTCTTCCGCACTGACAGTCCTACTCCATGAGGTACGTCTGCTACATGGACGATTCTGAAAGAAGTTTGGCGGACCAACTAGTGTTACGGGCTTGGGTAAGTTGGAGGAGCTGTCGAACAAGTAGAAGATGAGAATGCCGTAGGGCTCGCGGCGTCATGAGATAGACTATAGAATGTAAGCCATACATGGCAGACAGAATTGAAGATTGCATGTAGGCTGTGCACCGTTGGCTAGCACTATACCGGCTGTCTGCAGTGTGCAGACTTCTGATTGGTCGCCTGCCACCCCGCGCTATTGCCTACGGAGGGGTCCCCTAGAAGCTTCCAGCACCAGGGCTAGATACGTGGGCTTCAGCTAGAAAGCGCATCGCATTGCCTTGTTCAACGGTGCTGCAAACGAGCGCTGAACTGTTTGCTTCCGAATTCTTGAACTGCCAGCTTCATTTCACGATTGACTTGGTGCCTTCTGCAGACTATCTTTTTTATTAGCTTGTTCTCTTTCGCTCGCCCTCCCCCTTCCCCTGCTTTCTCCGTACACTCAAGCTAGGAGCAAGTCAATCGACACAAGACCAAATCACATTCCCACACCCCCCACCAACCACCGAAAACCATCACCAGCTCCCCGGTTGCGTAGACCGTTACGCTCCTACAAAGCTAAAAATAAAAACAAATAAAAAAATTTAGAAGCACAAACGAGTACCTGCAATATGGCGTCCGAAGGTTCCAAGCGCAGCAAGGTCTTCTTCGACATCAAGATCGGCAACAAGGCCGCTGGTCGTGTCACCTTCGAGCTCTACGATGACATTGTCCCCAAGACGGCTGACAACTTCCGCTCCCTCTGCACCGGCGAGAAGGGCCTGGGCAAGAGCGGCAAGCCCCTGCACTACAAGGGCAGCATGTTCCACCGTGTCATCAAGCAGTTCATGATTCAGGGCGGTGACTTCACCGAGGGTAACGGCACTGGTGGCGAGAGCATCTACGGCGAGAAGTTCGACGACGAGAACTTTGAGAAGAAGCACGACCGCCCCTTCCTACTGAGCATGGCCAATGCTGGACCTGGTAAGTTTATAGTACATACATATTAACATCTACATGCTCACAACTGCCCGTCACAGGTACCAATGGCTCCCAATTCTTCGTCACCACCGTCGCAACCCCCCATCTCGACGGAAAGCACGTCGTATTCGGCGAAGTCCGCAGTGGAAAGTCCATCATCCGCCAGATCGAGAACTTGCCCACCTCCGGCGGCGACAAGCCGACGCGCGACTGCGTCATCGAGGACTGCGGTGAGCTCACGGGCACCGCAGCCGAGGCTCTGGCCGGTGACCAAAAGGCTGCCGATGCTCTCGGCGACGCCTACGAGGACTTCCCCGAGGACTCCGATGAGCAGCTGGATGCCCAGAAGGTCCTCAAGATTGCCTCGGACTGCAAGGAGTTCGGAAACAAGGCATTCAAGGGCGGCGACGCTGCCGTCGCTCTGGACAAGTACCAGAAGGGTCTGCGGTACCTGAACGAGGACCCAGACCTGAAGGAGGAGAGCGACGATACCAAGACCAAGATCGACCAGCTCCGCTTCGTGCTCAACAACAACTCCGCCATGATGAACCTCAAGCTCGAGTCGTGGGAAGATGCCGAGCGCGCTGCCACCAGCGCCCTTGCCGTCAAGGGCATCACAGATGCTGAGAAGGGTAAGGCGTACTTCCGAAAGGGCCAGGCTCTCGTCAAACTGAAGGACGAAGACGGTGCCATCAAGGCATTCGAGGAGGCCAAGAATGTCGTGCCCGGCGACGCCGCCATCGCCCGCGAGCTGGAGGCCGTGAAGAAGGCCACCGCCGCTCGTCTGGCCAAGGAGAAGTCTCAGTACAAGAAGTTCTTTGCTTAGGGAGATGACGAGAAATATTCAAACCAATGGAAAGGTTTACAGCTTCGGCCCCTGTCCAGGCAGGGCTTTGACGATCATGGAGTTTAGGTAAATGGAAAGGGCAAAAAGGCGACATGTTTCGAACACTCCGTTAGCACGTACAATAAGGCAATATAAATCGAGGGCTCAATATACCCGGACCTGGCTTATAAGTCGAATGAAATGACGGATAGTGCGACATGTTTGTGTCTCAGGTTCCTTTACTTCTCAGAATATGGACTAGGACGTCACAACCAAGTTGTTTGCGTCTAGACTAGTCCACGGGTGCTGGCGTGCTCTACGTTGTTGTAACTTCAACAAGCACTATCTGAGTCCTCACATCCATCAGCGATTCCACCTTATTCTGTTCCGGGATTTTATGCCCTGATTGAAGTCCTGGATATCATAGAATTACTAAAGACAGTTCATTTACCTATTTACCATGTCGCCGTTGGCAAAAGCTCTCCAAATTTAAAAATGAAATGGGAAAAAGGGGGTTTGCCACCCCCCTCCTTCGTTTGTAAACCCCCTGAATGTTTCTGACAGAGCATGAGGAAGGGTACAGAGGAATCACTGCTGTAATGGTGAGTCTTGTCGCTAGCACGCAGTGAAGCATATAGACGAGATAAGTCATGGGAGATCTTCCATTTCTCAGGTATTTAATACAGTAAAGCTGAGAGCTCGTCTCCGTCTGGAGACGCCCCTGGATTTTGTCCGAGTCCTCTGTGCCCGCCAAGCTATATCTGGTTTGTACTCATCGTTCATAGATAAATAAATTAAAACTCCCAAAGCTATACCCCAAACGCTTCTTGCCGAGTACCAAAGAGCAAGATCAGAAACACGCTGCCGAGAAAATCCAACTTCAAATTCAAGTTCAACGCCAAACGCCACGCCACGCTACCCACTCATTTCACCTGCCCAGTCGGCTATGTATCATGATATGCACATGAGACACGAATCAGATAGGCAATGCACAGTCTATCCTAACTTTTGCTTGGTATCTTCGTAAACCCTGAACTCCTCCAAGCCATTGGTCCAGGCACGCTGTGTGGTGGGATACTCAGATGGCACGCTGCTGTGCTGGCTGTCCGTATCCCCGGTGTGTTCCTCGGCGTCAAGGACATCGCTCATGGCGTCTTCGTCGACATACACGTCGACGTTATCAAACGCCATGGCCTCTGGATCGCGGTTCTCTTCGTCCTCGATGCCAGGCCATGGCTCATCCTCGGGCAGTGGCTGGCGAGCGCCCTGCCAAGCGTCGTTGCTGGAGTCTTCGTATATACGTCGCTGATGACCAAGATCGATCATTGCTGCATCCTCGGAGTCATCCTCGGAGTCGTCCTCGCTGCCCTGGCCGTCCTGGCATGAGTAGTCTGATTCACTACCGTGCTCCTCTTCAGCTTCTACAACGCCGAGGTTAGATCTTGTCTCAGCTGGCGGCGCGTTGCTGTAAGGGGTAGCATAGTAGAAGGGAGTCGTCTGGCGACACGCCGCTTGCACTTCGCCCTCACTACTTATGACTGCAAAGGGCTCGCTGATGTTCATGGTCGCAAGTAAAGGACTAGGAGTGGATACGCTCCAGCGAGGCGTGTTTCTCAATCGGGCAGAAAGGGGTACTGACGGCGATCTAGTACTTCGTCGACGATTTGCCTTCGCTATGAGATGTGCAGATCCCGTACTGGCGCGTTGAACTTGGGGTGACGATCGGCGTTCGTGGAGGCGTGGATGAATGCTGCCAAACGTTGCAGAAGCAATGCGCTGCCTGGCTTGAGAAGGTGAAGCCATCGGAGGCAGATCTGGTGGCATCGATGTGGTGCGAATGTATATGGGCCTGGGCACCGAAGATTGACGCTCTATGAGAACCATCGGTGAGCCGGCACGACTACGGCCAGTCGACAGAGATGGAGACGGTCCGGAACGACTTGCGCGTAGCGGTCTTTGGCTCGGGGTCATAGATTTCAACCTTGGCTGAGCTGCCTGCCGCAAGCTCAGAGATCGAAGGCTGTCTTGGCTTGAGTCTTGCTCGTCTAGCATCTCATTCCGGGCCCAGTACCCCTCCATCGCATCAGCTTCAGGTACCTCTTGCTGGCTACTTTGAGAATCAGGATACACCCGCGTCAGCTCTCTTAGTCGTTGCCAATTCCAACCATTGTTATACGCGTCTTGATCCTGAAGGTATGCTTCGGGCTGCGTAATGAAAAGGCGGTGCACACCGGTAGCCTTCATCACCACGCTTGAGCTCAAAAACGAAACATCCCAACTTGTTGGAGTGATCATTTCCGGAGGAGACAAAAAGCGTAGGCGTGAGTCTTTGTGTATTTTGCGAAGCGGCACCCATGCTTGCTGCAGACCGAGGAATCTGGAGACTCGATGATGCGTCGTGGAACCATGATAGACACTAGCTTGCAGGCGTGAGAAGGTACGGAACAAAGTTCCAAAAGCCGCAGAAACAGCCAGGTGCACACTGCGGGCATCCGGACTTGGGACTGCAATAGTTTTGATAAGTCCTCGGCTTCGGAGTCGCTGATCTACGACGTTGCCCGAGGCACAGGCCCGAGGCAATAGCCACTCGGACTGCAGCTCGGGGCCTGCCCATTCATACAAGCTCGGCGAATGAGGCTCCATCGTCGAAGAGCTATTTGGCAATTGAGTCCATTCGTCAAGTTCGATGTTGGAGCCGGCTAATGGACGCTGACTCGGAAATTCGCGAGACTCGTACCAAATACCTTTCAGCGGGAAAGGGAGAAATACGACCTCAACTTCATAGGGCTTCGAGTGCGTCGGGAACGACGAATTTTGTATGTGACTTATTTGCGCTTTCAACGCAGCCAGCTCACTGCGCAGCCCTGTCCGATCTGTGTGACCGCTTGCATTCGTAGAGACAGAGACAACACTGGCGACAGACTCATCTAGTCCGGGGCGACGAAGTCGATGATGACTTGAGGTGGCACTGCTGCCATCGTTCAGCGTCTTCTCTAACTCCTCCACGCGCGACTCGAGGTCGGTGACACGCAAGTCATTCTGTTCGTGGTGGTCATGGCAATCCTCATGGTCGTTATGGAAGGACACAGTCTCCAGTCTCTCGATCCTATCCTCATGACTCTGAACAGTGTTAGACAGGTCTTGGAAGTCCTCACGGCTTGGTCTTGTAACTGCTGGTTGGCATGCCGGCTCGGGTATAGTCGCGCGCCGCGCAGATCTTATGGATCTGGGCGTGTTTGTGACTGTCTGCAGATCATCAACAGAGGGCACAGAGTGGCCGGTCAGCTCATCGCGACGGGGTGGCACATCATCAGCCTCGATCTGGAGAGGTTCGCGCAGTCTAGACCGTTGTGGCGTGTTGAACATATTAGGTCCTTTTCCACCAAAGGGTTTGAGGTAAGCCAGGCGGACCGACGATGTGGTCGAGCTTGGTTGCGACTGTGGCAGCAAACATTGGCTTGGAACAGACGGCGCAGCCTCGATCTGGTGTTCAGGCTGAGACTGCAAAAGGTTCGCCCAGCTCATGGTATCCGGCATGGAAGGCTCGGGGGCTGGCGCGGGTTTCTCACCTTCATATAGATTTATCTCTTGATACAGGTTTGTGGAATATGATGCATTGTTTAGAGTGTTCAAATCAACTGGTTGATTTGTTGGGGGAGGCATCTGGAAGGAGAGGTCCGGCATCACTGGAGTGAGTGGCTCCCTGCCAGCTCTTGGTCTTTCGTTTTCTTGGCCAGCGCCATTGCCATTCACTACGGGCGCAATGGGTGGTCCTTGTGTGGCCTGAACATCATCATGGAAGCAAGCATGATGGGAACACATGCAGAAGGCGGATTGGTCCGGCTGGCTGCCTCCATTGGCATATCCTGACAGTCCAGCTGGGCTTCCATTGAATCCCGACGCGCCGCGGCTCCAGAAACGGCGACAACCACATCTGGGACCATTGGCGCCATGGGCCAAGTCCACGTAATTGCATTGCCCGCCCGGCAATGCTGGGGCGGGCGAACTCCTTGTCACTGGACGTCCATCGGTGTGGATATTGAAAAAAGAGCTGCCGGGGAGGGAGATGTCGGACACGGATCCTGCCATTGAGCTGCGGCGCTCAAGCGATCGAGAGCATCGGTAGGTTCAGAGACGAGGAATGATGGCGGGGTCAGTAGGAGATAGGGGGGGAGCTCGTGGGTATTTATCGCGTGTCGATTCGTGAACTGAGGATGCTCAAATGCTGGGCGACCCGACCAGGCGCAGCTGGGTCGCAATCGCGATTCTAGTACATGGCACTGGTCTTGTTAGTTGACGGTGGCTGACCGAGCTCAACGCGACGTTGAGATCCTGTGCAGGTGCATCCTCGGCTTGGCACTCACCACAAAGACAGACAATAACTCGGAGTCGGTCGAAGTCGCAATTGGCCATTCGAGAGAGTATTTATGGAAAAGGCCAACGGACAGCGAGGGGCAGCGCACGTTGGAGCGTCACAAGGGCGATAATGAGGAAACGGAGGGTTGAGGTTACGAAAGTGAGGCGCCTAGGACGGGATTGGGCAAGATAAAGTGGTGGTGGGGTTGCGGTGGATGGCCGAACGTCTTGCGTCTTGCGCCGTCCCCAGTGAAGATGGCAGACTTGAGCGGTGCGTTCGATTTACAGTTAGGCGACCTAGAGTTACATATGGATCCGTACCCCCATATGCGATACAACCTTTGGACAGAGACGAGGTGTGGAGAAACGAACACCAATTGCGAGACAAAGTATTCTGCAGCGGCCCTGCAACAATTGTGACTCGAATATCTTGCGTGTTCATGGCGACCTACTTCATCTAGGAAGAGGGCCTGTTCTGGTCGCCCTGCCTCGCCCTGCCTGTGCGGTGAATGTTGATTGGGAGGGGGCGAGAATGGCCAGGCATTCGCAGGCAGCTTTGCATACAAGTTGCAGTCATCTTTCACAACACACTCTCCCTCGGTCGTGTTCCCTCTTTACGCGTCGTCGAAAAAGGAATCACTTTGGTCGCGCAACGGTGGAGGAGTGAAGCGGTAACGCCTCCCATTGGACGGTGCAGCCCGCGATCCTTGTTTATTCAAACGCAGCCCAGAGGTACCGCTTGAAGAGCTGCCGGCTTCCACCCACATGATTTACACTCTGCTTCAGAGGCGTGGTCTTGAATTGTGACTTGACACCTGCTAGCCCGAAACGCGGCCGCCTTGCCTTGCATCCTGTTCGCTTGATGACCGATGGGCTGTCGGTCGGAAAGGTCAACTATCGTTGTGGCCGCCAATCGCCAATCGAGGCGACCAGCCGCTTCAACCGGCTATTGTACAGTTGACTTGACGCTGCGAGACTCATCGGCGCTACCACGGTATGCAAGCGGCAGGCGACGCACTTTTATCGGGGGTTTCAAAGTTCAGCTTCTACCAGAACGCCGCTGCTAGCAAAAAGGATAAATATTACATGTGTGCTAATCAAGACCCTCACGTATATGTGCATTGCTCCATGTCTACACCATCGAATCTTGGCCATAACTCCTCACGGGCGTTCTCCGGACCGAGTCTGATATATGCCAAAATCGCAATGCAGGCGAGCTTTGTGTACACAATCAGGCGGCAACAGACACGGATATATGAGGATCATCCATGACTTGCCGGCACTTGTCATTTCTGCTTGGTCGAACCAAAGACCCGAGTACCGCAGACCTCGCCCGCGCCCATATGAGCACAATTCTGTTTTACTATAGTAGTTCGCAGAGTTAGAAATAAGTAATTCCTGCCTGGCAAGATCTGCGGTCGACAGTATAGTCGCACACGACACCTCTGTCAGCTACCCAAATGCTGTGATGATCAGCGCCACTCGGATTTTGAGTTGCAGAAGAAAACACGGCATAGTATGAAAATGGTCGGGCGCATTTGTGAATCTCATGCTGATCTGGAACAAACTGGCAGATTTTTGGATAATATATACAGCTGTCCAATATATAGGCTGCACTAATGGCAATTCGCTAGATTGCTTACATATGCTGCGCACCAACAAGCAAATGAACACGAACAGGCAAGGATTAGAGTGTATGTATAATGGCCTAACCTAGCTTACACGACGTTTTCTTAGCATTCTCCACCAGACAAGCACCACTTTAACTCGTACCACCTCATTCAAACCTTCTTTCTAACATGTTCAAGAATCCAACTATAATGCGCACTTCTCTCCGCAGATCATGTGACGCTTGTGCAAAAGCGAAACACAGTTGCGATCTTCGTACACCGCAATGCTCACGATGCATCAAGAGGCAATCAAAATGTGTCTATGCTAATCAGCCTCTAGGCTGTGACAGTGCTGGCCAGCTTGCTCATAGAAACCGTCAAGTGTATGAAATTAACCAGCTTCCTCATGAGAACCAACTACTGGAGCAGCAGCGCCTTGGGAGGAATGAGGAAGACGTATTGATTCAACGACAGTTGCCGGAAAGCACGGCAGGCTTCTTGAGCATTTTTGACCCGGCGACGGTGTCTTTTGATCCATTCGATTCTTACCCGCCCACAAGACTCCCTCGCATGCAGATCCAACGTCTCATACACCATTGTAAGTGATTTCACTCATTGACTAGACGTTGGAGCTGACCGGGCCAACTAGTCCTAGCCCATATCTCGTATCAATACTACCCTCTTGACCTTCAGATGAACTCGAACCCGTTTGTCGTTTCATGGTGGCCCCAAGCTCTTGCTGACGCGGCACTATTCCATGTCTCCCTGCAAACAGCTTCCCTTGATGTGGAATTGCGTGCTGGTAAGGGATTTCCAATGTCAGAGCTGCTCATGGTGGATTCTGTGGCTTTGGTGAGAAGAAACGTCGAGAGTTCGTCCTCAACTGTTCAGGTCGAAACCATGAATTCTGTGGTTACTCTCGCTGCGATCGAAGTAAGCACTACTATAATGCTTCAATCCTCGCCATACTAACTGTAGCATGTATAGTATGGTAAAGGAAATGTTGCAGTAAGCCGAATGCATATCGACGGGGTAAAGCAGATGGTTGCCACAAGAGGCGGCATTCACGAAGTGAAACGCATCAGCCCATTGACAGCAAGAATGGTGGCTTGGTGAGACGCGTCCTTAATTCGATTCAACCGATCTGCTAATTGTTCTAGGGTTTCTATGATAGTCACCGGTTCGCCCCAGTTTGAGACACAGGATGATTTTGGCCGTGGCAGCGGAGTTGGTCCAATACTGCAGTGGGAGGCCGCTTCAACGAGTCTGGGTGTGCAGGAACAGGCTTTGCATGATCTAGACATCGACCCCGCCATGAACATGATCTTGTCTCGACTGCATACCGTTTTCCACCGGGAGTCGCCTACAAATTTGACGAACACGGAGCTGCACGATCTTACATGCTTCATTATGCACAGACTTTTGTCATTGCCACCTTTCTTCCCAGCAAGATCGAACAGATCAACAATGTCGGAAAGCGTTCGATACTCACTAGCACTCTACATGTTGACCATACATGGCCCAACATATTATTCGCACGCTGACTTGGCAGACAACATGCTGCTCCGACTCAAGAGTCACATTGAAACCATGTCACACCCAGATGACATTCCCGGATCGCTGAGGATCTGGATGCTTAGTGTTGGTCTGGCCGCTTCCACTGGCACGCAGTACCACCGTTGGTTTACAGCGCAAATATGCATTGCCACCGAAGCTCTCGCTCTAGGCACATGGTACGATGTCCTGAGATGCCTCAAAAGTATCTTGTGGATCAGGTCTCCACAAGAGGAAATCTTTCGGCAGAAATGGGAGGAGATTCTGGTCGTCATGGCAGCATAGATCTCAGAAGCCGCCGGTCGTCTCCTCACGGCTCGTATTGACGAGGAGCCGAGTTCTTTTTGGCCAAACCGGCGACCAATCCTGCTATGTAGTAAGAGTGCATTATCTCCGGATTTGTCGGTATGCCTTACGCTCATATGCCTGTCTGGTCCCATTTAACTCATCGGAGTCTAGTACTAAGAAGGACTAGAGGTGTCTTGGCATCTTCTCTAGTCAAGCGACAGGGGACTATGCGATTTCAGGGTCCTCGTTCATATCCAATTTCGACATGGCGCGTGTGAATCGCATGATGGCGGAGTCTAGTACAAATCTGGCTACTACAAGATCTCAGATCTCTTTAATCAAAAGAGTGAAGGCCATCAAACTAACCTAGGAGACTCTTACGATCAGGCAATGGGTCTCCGAGTCGACCCAGCTTCTTTGCCGCACGAGCAGTAACTTACGATATGCCGCGGCGAGTATTCTTTTAAGTGCAGCACTCCCGCGAATCTTCACTGGACTTTCACGCAAAGAAAGTTTAACCAATGCTCTCACCCGAACGATGGCTACAGTCATTGAAGCCATTCCTGAGCGCTTCGTCAACAATGCGACTCATCTGAAACAAGATCATACGTCCAGCCAGTTGAATGGCCTTCTACAAGGCTATTTCTCTGGCTGGAGCAATTTGCAGGTCGCTGTCACGATTCTGCTCGTTCTTGTGAGCTATGATCAATGTATGTGGGCGGCGTTGATAGGTGAATGATTGGCTGCTGACTGCTCGAAAGTTCGATATCTCTGGCAGAAGGGATCTATTGCTGGTCCGAGATTTAAAATTCCATTCATGGGCCCTTTCATCCAGGCCATTCACCCAAAGTTCGATGAGTACCTTGCTCAGTGGGCTAGTGGACCGCTCAGCTGTGTATCCGTATTCCATAAGTGAGTAACAATATTTCCTCATTCCTTCTATGGCCGAGTTATGCTTCATGTTTTCATATACAAGGCACTTCGTCTATCGTTGATTTCAGTCCCACGAACAGCTAACCAGTGATTACAGGTTCGTTGTCCTGGCATCAGATCGTGACCTTGCACACAAAGTATTCAAGTCACCTACATATGCCAAGCCATGTCTGGTACCAATCGCGCCCGAGATTATGCGTCCAACCTCCTGGGTTTTCCTCACTGGAAGAGCCCATGCTGAATTCCGCAAAGGCTTGACTGGGCTGTTCACGAACAAAGCACTGAGCACATACCTTCCCGTCCAGGAGAAAGTATACGCCGACTATTTTGACAGGTTTGTCGCCGCCAGTGAAGCAAATGGAGGAAAGCCAATGGGATTCATGGGCCACTTCAGAGAAATTAATTGTGCGCTTTCCTGTCGAACTTTCTTCGGAGACTACATTTCTGAATCGGCAATCAAAAGGATCGCTGATGATTTCTACCTCGTCACCGCCGCCCTCGAGCTCGTCAACGTGCCTCTTTCCATCTATGTACCCTTCACGAAACCATGGAAGGGCAAGCGCACAGCTGACGCCGTCCAAGTCGAGTTCACCAAGTGCGCGGCCGCATGCAAAGCCAACATGGCCTCGGGCGCAGAGCCAACGTGTATAGTCGACCAATGGGTACTCCACATGATGGAGTCCAAGAGGTACAACGAAAGGATCGCGGCCGGCGAGGTGGGGGTCGAGAAGCCGAGCAACCTCATTCGCGAGTTCTCGGTCGAGGAGATCGGGCAGACCATGTTCACCTTCCTCTTCGCCTCGCAGGACGCCTCGAGCAGCGCCACGACCTGGCTGTTCCAGGTCCTCGCCCAGCGGCCCGACGTGCTGGACCGCCTGCGGGAGGAGAACCTCGCCGCGCGTCAGGGCGACAAGACCCGGCCGTTCGAGCTGCCCATGTACGACTCCCTCACGTACACCAATGCCGTGGTCCGGGAGCTCCTCCGCCACCGGCCGCCCGTCATCTTCGTCCCCTACCTCGCGACCCGGGACTTCCCCGTCACGCCCACGTACACCGTGCCCAAGGGCGCCATGATCGTGCCCAGCTGCTACCCGGCCCTGCACGACCCGGAGGCCTACCCGCGCCCGGACGTGTTCGACCCCGAGCGCTGGATCACGGGCGACGCGGCGTCCAAGACCAAGAACTGGCTCGTGTTCGGCACCGGCGCCCACGATTGTCTGGCCCGGAGCTACGTGCCGCTGACCATGGCGGCCATGATCGGCAAGGCCGCCTTGGAGGTTGACTGGGCGCATCATGCCACGCCGCGGTCAGAGGAGATACGCGTCTTTGCTACGCTGTTCCCAATGGTGAGTTTCCCAAGCATCACCACTTCCGTGCGGGTGAAGCTCCATGTTCGAACGAACACTGGTGTGTGGATGGAAGAGAAAAAGAAAGACCAACGTGCTGACCTTCCCCTCACAGGACGAATGCCCACTTGTTTTTACTAAGCGCACATAGGAATCTTCCACCACAGGCCCCGACGAACCTGTATTCGGCCATTTGCGTTGAGCCCGTTGATTTTTAGACTACAACCAAAACTTGACGAAAACGGAGTTGGTAAAGACGTTGTTTTGTATTATAATGGTAGCAACATCAAGTAGGCACTAGATTTTGAGCAGCGAATGCCACCTCCTAGGCGGCAAATATGTAATTATTTTGTATCCCAAATAGGGTTGTTTCGACTTTCCGAGGTTCGACTCGAGTGAGTTGTCATCGTGTAAATGCTACGTTATGCCATGCAATCATAATCCGTGTGCTATCCCGCGCCCGATACCCAGAAGCGCCATTAACCTAAATGCACCGAGAGATCAGGCACTGCTGTGCCTGGTTATTATACAGTATTGAGTCACAGCTCAATCACACCTTTCGAAACATAAGTCATCGCTCATCAACTCACACCTCGCCCCAGCTTCCCATAGGACCCGCTGCAGCGATTAAAGATCCCGTACCGACAGAACCAGCACCAATGTCCCAGTAATGGCGAGAGGAGCCACTACCTCTTCTCACCGACTTTCGTGTACTCTGACTCGCACAGCTTGAAGCATGTCTAAAAAGCACCGGGCTTGTTGGCGTTGTTGCTCTAAACACACGCCTCTCGGCGGGGCGCGCCTTCGATACTAACGGGTGGTGTTGTCGTACTCGTGCCACTTTGGCCGCCACGTCTTGGGTACTGGATGTCGCGAGATGAGAGGTACCAGATAAGTTGCCCGTGCTGTTTGAGCGTGACAAGAAGCGTGATCGGAGATAGCGGAATATCAGTCGCACGTCCAGATCCTTCTCCCATTCGTCTTGTGTAAAGGATGTGTCTGGGGCGGCCTTGTCACCCTGGACGGGCGATGCAGCTGCGGTTGGCTTGGCATGTGGCATATCGATAGGTCGTGTTTGTTGGGGGACAATAGTTGGCTTGAATTCGGGCATTGTCGTTATTGGGCTAGTTGGAATTGCTGGAGTTTGCCCAATGTCGGTCGTGGACTCGGCAATCGGCGGTAGACCAGCATAGGGAATGGGCATTTGTTGCATTCGTGAGTAGGTCGAAAAGGCTCCCGGATGCTCCGACATTGAATGTACAAGCGACCCAAGTTCTTTGGCTATCCTTTCGAGCATCTTGAGTTGCCATGACGCTTCTTGGGAATCAGTCATGGTGGTGTCATTGCTTGTGTCGCGCATTACGGTCGACGCCTTGGGCGTTGAGGACAAATCGTCCTCATCAGGCAACGACTCACCGAAAAGCACGGATAACATCTTATCGTCAATGCCCAAGATGTCACGGACGACTTTTCGTGTGATACGACCCAAGATACCTTCACTTTCTCCGAGGTCGTTCGCCTGCTGATCATGCCAAGCATCATCCTCATCTACTGTTTCTTGGCTGCTAGCCAGGACCTCGTCGACAGCTGCTACAACTTGGCTCCTCGCCACCGCTGATTGTGTACTGGCTGCAGATCGTCTCCGCCGTCTGGTTTCCTTCTGGATCTCCTCGAGCAGACATCGGCTCTGCTCTAATCTCCAGGTCTCTATCCGCCTCATCTTGTCCATCTCCTGTTCTTGTTCCGTCTCGAGCTCAACCTGAGCTACCTCGAGACTCTCTCTTCGCCTCTTTACCCGTCGAGGGTTGTACTGTTCGAATGCATACAGCCTTTCCTGGACATCAGGACCCATGCCATCGTGGTCAAGTCGGAACGAGCCGAGGCCATCGTGGGCAGGCACGATAGGCGCTAAGCCATGCGCCGAGCTATAGAAGTGTGGTGTCGATCGAAACTCGGGAAGGTGGCTGTCTAGACTGTCCAGTTCTGCGTCCTCTTCCTCATAGTCGTCATCGTCAACCGCATTGCTGCTGGCCGACTGTTGCTGCCCGATGCTGTCGGTGCGGGCAATCGTGTGCAAACTACCTAAATCACTCAATCGTGAACGACCGGGTGTCGATTCGGTATGATGGGTTCCTGTGAGGTATGAAGTCGTAGTCTGATCATCATTTGTTGGAGAGAATAAGACCCATGTGTGCGACTCTTCGACGACCGACGCCACTGGCTGGGGAGCTTGGCGTACGTCGTCCTCAACCGTATGGTGGAAGATTCGTTGAGCAGCCTGGCGAGTTGGTTGATGGAAAGCCATGACGGCACTCTAAGCAGTCACAGACACAGACTGGGAGGTTCAAGTAATGGTGTCCCGACTGGGTTGAGAACCCAGAGGGATTGCCAACTTATGTTGTCCACCAGAGCTGCGGGGTGGACTGGTGGCTAGTAGATCGACAGATCGTCCCCAAGGGAACTTTGGGGCCGATTGTAGAAGGTCTGAAATAGCACAGCAGGATCTCTCCAAAATGCAAATAAGGCGTGACCGCCCTTTGTATCGCTTGTGTAGGTATCGATATCAATATTGCGACTGCGCCTTTATGGGGGGGAGGGCCAAGCAGATAAACAGAGATGTGTACTTGGGACGCCACAACTATACTTGACGACTTCAGTTGGAGCTAAAACAGGATGTGTTGAATCGTTGCACAACAAGCTAGCCTTCAGGACTGCAAGATGCCAAGTAAGGAGGACTTCGTTAATGGCATTCATCAAAAGGTGACCCAATGACGGAAGTTCGAGTCAGGTGCCCGATTGGGTGATTCTGTTGGTGAGCGCGTGCCCGTTGGTTGTACGCTGCCTTGGTGGCTCCTTTGTGTTGGGTCGGCTATGGGATGGGATGGCCCCCACCTCAACCAGTCGTACGTCGTGATACGGTCTTGGTGCAACCTTGTCTTGATTAGATATCTGAGCAATCCTTCGGTACTCTGAAATGTTGTCGGGGACGAAGCCTACAGCTTGTACCAGCGACGCCACGAGAGTCCTAAAGATAGCATGCGAATCAATAGGGTATCTGCCGTCGTGTTTGCGCAGTCTCTTGCTCAGATGTACGGATCCGTATGTAGTCATGTATGCTGTCATCCTGTCCGACGATGAGCTGGCGGGCCAAGTGGGGCAACTCGATGCAGCTTTATCAGCGCTCATGGCGCCATGAGCTTATCAAAAAGTGAGAGGCGGAATCGTTGTTCATGGCAGGAGACTCCTGAGAGTCGAGCCTTTTACTGTAGTTGAGGATTCAGGCCATCATGTGGCTTCATGCATCCAGACTACGTCTTTGTATCTCTCTCTCTCTTCTTCTTCTTCTTCTTCTTCATCATGTTTCAGGTGAACATTGATTACACGTGTAACATCGTAGATAGTTATACGAGAGTACCTCCAAGCAAGCCACTTGTCGGATTGTAGGTAAGAAAGTAGTTCTTCCGTCATCGTCATCGTACCACGGAGCGGTCGTCATTCAGGTCTAGCATAATACTTCCCCTACTTTGGTCGTGGCGCCATGCAAGGCTCGATACATGAAGTTGTCGGACATTTCCTCGTCACGTACTCAGCTGCAGGAACGCTGCCGGGAGGCCAACTTCCCTTCCCACTGACTCGGAATGTGCGCAATAATCTATCTACCCTGCTTCCACGGCCCGAACCCAGCGATGAACGCATTTACAACTACCTTGAACAAGCAGGTATTCGCAGTTGTCGTGATGAGTATGTTGAGTATGTTGAGCATATGTTTATACAATGCCGTGATGTGTAATAAGTTGACACTCCATGCGCATCATTCTTGCACTGGTGCTCGCAAACCATATTCCAAGATCACGCAGTGGTGCATGTCCGCTAGGGACAAGTTGGGTTCGGCGCAATCACCTGTCATGATAGATTACAGAGTGTATACATGGTTGTGGTGCAAATGCAAGATCCTCAATTGACTGCCGTTTCACAGTACATTGCTATGAGTGGTAGCCTAATCAAACGCCAGCCCATTTCCCGTTGCTTCTCATGACACACGACAGAACATCCACTTAAGCCTCCTGGAAAGCCTCGGGGAAACGCTTCATGTTGTTGGCCAGGTTGCCGTGGTTGGCAAGGAACTGAACGTAGGCACCGTCGACCTTGACGCGGCCAGCGGCGACCTTCTCCAGGTACTCCTCGCGGCGGAGGGGGGTGAAACCCCAGTTCTTGGAGATGATGATCTTTTGGCGACCGGGGAACTTGTACTGCGATCGGCGGAGAGCCTCAAGAGCAATGGCGCGGTCTGTGAGGGGAAGAAGTTAGTATCCGGTCGGGAGTCAATGACTTATATGAGGGGGGGGGAAAACGTACTAGAGTCACGAGTGCGGACGCTCATGATGATCTGACCAATGTTGACACGGGCGACAGTGCCGTTGGGCTTACCCCAGGCACCACGCATACCGGTTTGCAGTCTATCGGCACCAGCGCAAGACAACATCTTGTTGATACGGACGACGTGGTAAGGGTGAACGCGGATGCGCAAGTGGAAACCTTCCTTTCCGGCGTACTTGACGAGGTACTTGTTGGCGCAAATACGGGCGGCCTCGAGAGCCTCGGAACTCAGCTGCTCGTACTCATTGGAGACCATGTGGATGCAGAGAGGGAAGTCATCGACCTTGGCGCGCTTGCGACCCAAATCGAAGATTCGGATCTTGGGGTCGGGGACACCACGGTTGAAGCGCGACTTGGGGTACGGCTGGAGACATCAGGTCAGCTTCTTGTTCTTGTCAATCATTCTTTTCGACTGCAATGCCATCTGAGGACGATCCGAAGTGGTCGACGAGACCCCGATCTAGCCGATGTCTGCTCGTTTGTTGGTGTCGTTCTCTCCGCATGACTTTTTTTTAGTACTGCTTTTTCGTTCGCTCTTCTGTTTTTTGTTGTGTTGCTTTCTTTTCTTGTTTTGCGTCTATTGCAATATTGATGGGGAACTCGTTGAAACATGTCCAAATATCTGGCGATATTCTCCTTCGATAATGGCCTTGCCGCTCCCCCCAAAAAAATACTCTCATGTCGGGACCGGTCGGATCGTCTCAGATGTCGGCCGTGATTGAACTTGGTAAAAGAAACACATCATGCTCCGAAATAACTCACCTTGTTCTTGCAGTAACGGTAGCAACGAGCGGGACGACGAGCCATCTTGACGGTATTTCTCGTTGGTGTTGCTAGGTGTGGGTTAGTACTGGGTGGTTGTTGTCGTCAAGTGGTGAGAGGTACTGCCCACTTTTGAACGAATTCCTACCTGGCTTAGAAATCAACCAGCGGCAACTTTTGTCAGACTCACCCGGTGTGGCAGGCTGTAGAATGCTGACCAATGGAATTTGCCCCCGAAGTGGGGTCTTAGGGTGAGGGCTGCTCTCTGGAAGGCGCAGGCCGCAAAACCGCAAAAGCACAAAAGCCGAAAAAGGCTTACGTAACGCTGGTGGGGGAGAGTGCCCCCGGGAGCCCAAAACCGAAAAATTGTGAGCAGAGCCAGACTGCTTGAAATCTCCTGCACTCGACACAACCCTCAAGACAAAGACCGGATTACCACACATTCGCGAGTCGATCAACAAATCAGTCACAATGGCCATCAAGAAGAACAAGAAGGACCAGAACTCCCGTAAGTCTACTCTGGCAAGCCCTCACCGCCGCTTCCTGCTAACTGATCTTCAAGTCTCCTCGCGCCTCGCGCTTGTGATCAAGAGTGGAAAGGTCACTCTGGGATACAAGTCTACTCTCAAGACCCTCCGTTCCGGCAAGGCCAAGCTTGTCATCATTGCTGGCAACACTCCTCCTCTCCGCAAGTCTGAGCTCGAGTACATCAGCATGTTGAGCAAGACTCCTGTGCACCATTTCGCCGGCAACAACGTAAGTACAACATGACTTCTTTCTCGATCGCGGCGTTGGTCAACCGTGAGCAATCATGGCCGACTGCCTTGAGATCAATCCCAGCGAAAAAGTCTCCTGTAGACTTTGGAGGGAAAAAACCCAGTAGGCTAACTTGACCCTCCCACGCACAGATCGAGCTCGGTACCGCCTGCGGTAAGCTCTTCCGCTGCTCCACCATGGCCATCCTGGACGCTGGTGACTCCGACATCCTGGCCGACCAGCAGCAGCAGTAAGCCTGACGAGACAATTCTGTTCTTCGGATCTCGCATGGCGTTAGGGACTTTGGTCTGGGGTCACAAAAAGGGATATGATATTTTGTCCATGCGGTCGGTACTTGCAGTGCCTCGAGCGCTCTCCGATACCATGATGCTTTACGATTTCCCGGCGTCTAGAAACTTTCGAGTAGATGAGCGAATCTGATGCCAATTGTCAATCTGCGACAGTATCACTGTATCTGCTTGAGGAACGACAGCATAAAGTGATATCCAATCGGCGTCATTGACGCCATCAGGCATTGCCTGCATGCAGCCCCGCAGAATCGTGAGAGCGATTTGGGCAAACAGCATGCGTCGATGTCCGTGATTTTCATGTTTGACACTTGTAACATATGCCAGATTATGTCTTTGGACATTTATCGACATTTGCATCTCTTCCATAGATGCTAATGTTTTCGCACTGGCAAAGAGCGATTCTTCGACCCGTTGCTGGGCGCCCGCATTCTAGAAGTCGTTTTGTACTTCAACGAGGAGTTGGGAATCAGTAGAGGTCACATTCATTCACACCGTCCCATGATCATAGATACGTATATGCTACACAAATTAGACAGTCCCAACCGCAGCCCTTTTATCAATTTACATTTTGTACCATGGGCCAACCATAGCATGCAAGCAGCTGTCCCCTGTCTTGTGTCAAATGCGCAACTTGTGTTGATGTATGACAACTATTCTGTGCATTACACCTGAACACTTTTCTTTCCACGTGTGGGTGCCCACACCCCCTCCCCCCTTTGATGCGTGAGTGTTTATTGCCCAGCAAAGTCCTACTGCTAGGCTTCATGAAGAAATCTGCGTTTGAGCATCAGTAGTTTGGTCCGGACCAACGCGTTCACATGGCGATTTGGCTGGGCTGCATGAACTGCGAAATTGCAGCCTATGACAGATGCAGCAAGTCTACATTGTGGAGGAAGAGGGCTCCCCAAGACACAGGGAAACCAAGGCAGTTGATAATTATATGGAGCTCCCCATGTGCTTGAAATGACCCGAAGCTGGGTGACAATGCATTGCACAGTTGTACCAAGCTCTCACTCGAATGCGTGTTTCAGTAATTGTCCGATGTGATGCGACAAATTACCGCTTTTTGATGCGACGTGATCTGTGTACGGATCCGTAGTCTCGTACAGACAGTCTACGGGGGACGTGATCTGGGATGTGGCATCTACTGTAACCTCTGGGAGCTAGAGGGCCTCGGGAGTTGGCTAAGATTCGATAGGCTTCCCCTGAGAGGATATTCCAGCCCTGTGGCTTCTGACGTTTCCGATGACAAGTGCCCTTCTATTTCCTACCTATTGTACTCTCTCGCATTGCTGTTTATCTGCTGTCAGAACAGTGGCTGCCTCAAACGGTTGAAGCTTTGAAGGCGGGATTGGCCGTGAATCATTTGGACCAAGCAAGGCTTAGTCCGGAACAGGGTCGGGATCGCCAGCGCATCTACTAAGTAAAGCGGCAGCATGTACATAGACCCGTACACCGTACTTGCACACCGCACCAGAGTGTGCTCCGCCAGGGTCCAGGGAAAGGAAATTCGCCTAGACAACCCTCGGGTCATTATGGCGGCCGGGCTATGAGCAACTTGTCTCGTCTCGTCTTGTTTTGATCTGTTCTTTCCCGGCAGGAAACACCCCTGTCTCTCAAGCATTTCGACCAGCAGATTTAACTGTGATTGTGAATGAACTGTTCGAGGCGGCAGCGAGGCGAAACGTTGTATTCTATCAAGTCCCGAACCAAACCAAACCTAACCTAACCTAACCCCCAACCCAACCCAACAACGCTTCAGAGCTGTTAAAAAAAGACAAACCATAATCCGCAGCGACGCTACATACCCTGAAGTTAGATGCAACATTACCCAGACCAGTGCTATTTCGGTACTAGACTAGCAGAGGGGGCTACGGCAACGGCTGAGCACGAGGGAAACCGCCGAGTTGACATCAAATCAAATCAAGTCGTTCAGCATTTTATCTTACTCGGTCCTTCGCTCGACCTCAACTTGACAGGACACGCAGCCAATTTGCAGGAGCTACATTCCTCCATGCCAACCTAGCATCTTGACGACCGACCACCAACTACCCAACCACAACTTCTTCGCTGCAGACATATACCACTCGTATATTGGCCAGCGGGAAGCAATAGGAAAAGCAATACCTAGCACTCCTCGAAATAAGGTTTACATCGTGCAATCATGTCCTCTGCTGCGACGAGAAAGCCGCCTGTCAGCCGGACAAGCGACAGCAATATCCCATCGCCATCGCCCTCGACCGCGCGGCAGGCACGAGCTTCGACACCAACTTCCACCGCTACTCCTACGCGCAGCAATACCGTCGCGGGAACCCCTGCCCGCCGGGACTCCCTCAGAGCAGGCACACCTGTTTCCGCGCGAGCGGCCATGCACAGGGCCACGTCTTCCCGCAGCATTCCCACCTCGGAGGCCGAAGAGATCGCGCGCGCAGAAGCTGCCGCTACCATTGAAGATCTCAAGGCCAGGCTAGAGAAGTCGGATGCCGCCTCGGAGCAATACAGAAAACAGACCGATGTCCTGCAATCAAGACTTCAAGAGACGCTCCAGGAGCAAGCCAAACTCGAGGAGCGAGTACATGAAAGCGAGGAGCAAATCGAAGCCCTTCGCAATGAGAAGCGAGAATCTGCAAGACAGATGCGGGAGATGGAAACCATCTACGAGGCTGAAAAGAGCAAGATCCTTAAGGAGAAGGACCAGATGAGCAACCGGGAGGAGGAGATGCAGGCTGTCATCAACAGGTTGAAGGACACTATCAACCAGAGGAACGCAGAGGATGATTACCGACCGACAAGACAATGTGAGTGACGCGTCACAACTCCTCTCGCAATTCGTGCCGCGACCCCCCCTTTTTCCTAAACCTGCCCACTAACGGAACCACAACCTGTAGCCAACAACTCCTCTCCTACCGTCGACAATGGCCAGTTTGCTCCTCCGTCATCCATCAACCGCAGCGATTCCAGGAACAACTCAAAATTGCTGCTCCAGAAAGACAAGCTCATTGAATCCCTGCGGCTCGAGCTGGCAGAGGCGCAGATCAAGCTCGTCGAAACCGAGAACCAGGGCGGCGGCCGCCTGCACGAGGTCGAGCGGCTACTGATGGAAGCCCGCATGGCCAATGCACGTCTCATGGAGGACAACGAATCGTACCAGTTGCTACTGCAAGAAAAGACGCTGCATGGGGACTTCGGCAAAGGCGATTTCAGCTACATGGGAGTCAACGCGAACCAAGATGCCTTGAACGCCCTCGAGGGCCGTCCTAATTCCAGCGAGAAGCAGGACACCCTTGGTAGCAGTCTAGCCGATGAGCTAGGTGATCTAGCTGACGAGTCAGCCATCTCTCATGTCGACGATGCTGACCACCAGCGTCGTCTCGAGGGAGAATTGCGTGTTCTCAAGGACCAAAACAAGGCGCTCACCCTGTACATTAACAAGATCATTGAGCGCCTTCTCCAGCACCAAGAATTCGAGCATATCCTCGATCAGTCCACCGACAACAAGCCTGGTGCAGATGTCAACAAGGATCTTCCGCCGCCGCCTGAGAAGGCGGGTGCCAGTGCCTCCTTCCTTCAACGTGCAAAGTCGATTGCTACAGGCAGCGGCACCGTACCTGCGCCTGTGCTCCCGCCTGCATCTGCACCAGTAGCAGCTGCACCCACAGGACGCAAGCCTCGACCGATGAGCTTCATGCCGTCGTCTGCTGTTCATAACAACCCCGAGACTGCGCCAAGTATCCCCATCGGTCTTGGTCGGTCTGGTTCGACGAGACGCCCTGCTGGCCGTCCTCTAAGCGAGCAGTATTCTAGTGCCGCCGGTATTGTTAATGCCATGTACAAAGGTGGCGACGGCCCCATGGGTCCCATGTCACCAACGCTTTCCAACCCTCGTAACAGTGGTCAGTTCTTTAGCGGCACAGGTACGCCACGCGCAGTCTCTTCTAACAACGGTGCACCCACAGCAGGTAACTTCCCTGGCATGCGCAGCGAGACTAGCAGCGTGAGTGGAGAGTCTGTCAATGAAGGAACCAGCGCAAGCCAGAGCCCACCAAGGACGGTCAGCTCAGGCAGCCACAGCCACCACGGCGAGAAGCAAGGCGCTACTTTCGCCGGCAACAAGCCCAGACCGCTGAGACTGGTCCAGGAAGAGACAGATCGGAAGGCTGCCGAGAACAAACGTGCTAGCTGGTTCGGCAACTGGCAGGGTTGGAATGCCAAGAAGCCCGAAGATGGCGAGACTATTAGGGAGTAGGCAACCTTATCTCTACAGCTGAGCATCACAGTCTGGGCCGAGTAGCTACTGCTTATGTTTGTGCGGTATGCCAACAACGAGCCCGGGCTTATGGTGATGCCGTATTCAGTTCCGCGACTTATTGGGGCAGAGCCTTATCATGGTGATATGACCACTGCTGGGAATCTGGTATATCCTAATGAGTATGACGGTATGACGTTTGGACGGATTGATGTAACACACAGTTGTGAGGGTATTAGTCGATCGTTTTGATCGGCATTCTTCGCTACTATAATTTATGCCCATACCTGGATAGACTAGGTCGGATTACACTACATATTATCAATATACTATATGATCAACGAAATTCTGTCGAGGTACACATAGGATGCTTCTCCTGGAGATACGGTGTAAATGACGAGCAAGCTCATCTTGTATCGACATGTATTCATGGAATTACGAATAGAAACCAGGTCTCTAAAAAATGGAGCTCTGAACCTTGCCCCAAAAGGAGACCAACCAGTTCGGCGTAATATATAGGGATGCTATGTAATTAGACTAAATGAATACGAGACAGCCTGGTGTACAGCACATATATATGCATGGGCAATGATTCAAGTTGAAGACTATTAGGCAATTCGCAGGTCTCTAATGCAAAGCCCCTTATACTCGGCCGGTGTCACAAAAGAATGTTAGCTCGGATTTGTACCATCGATATCGTACCAATTTCTCCAGTAATCAAAGCTGAACGGCACCATATTGCTGCTTCGTGCGTATGTGACGTTGCTTTCATCCACAAATACTCTCGTGGCTATAGCTCCCCGTTGCTTGGCAAAATAAGGTTCATCTTACGCGAGAATTCATGAGTCAAGCAATAGACAGTGTCCTCGAACATCCGAGTTGTCAGAAGCGGCATGGGGCCTCGACCCACACAGTCCCGTCACTTTGTGTTTGAATTTGGCACAAAACGGTCGTCGTTGCGTTAGGAGACCTTCCCTAATTTCAAGTCCTCCTTTCAGCTTGTGTCTCAGTATGGACTGACGAGACAGTACGAAGCCACGTGCTACATTCTGGCCACGAAATGATTAAGACAACCTTGCGCCGCTCCATTACAATTGGCCGAAGACACCAAATCTTCAAGTCACAATGTCCGAGGAATAAGCAACATTCTTTCTTGGTTAAGGCTGTCAAGGCAGACTGAGGCAGTCTCCCTGGCTTCAGGCAGTCCTTGACGCAGATCTGCTTGACAGCAGGAGAATCCCACCATGGTCTGATTGATCACGATGTATTACTGCTCCATGTTGGGTATAAGAAGCTCTGGCATGCCGATCTTTCCATTGTGGATTCCAACAACCACAACTGAACTTCTACTCTAACTTCGTATTACAATTTCAAGCAGTTCAAAAGGTAAAACGTCAACGATATGGGCAACCTTCAAACAATTTCTCTTCTGACGGGCTTCCTGGCTTGCATACCAACAGTCCAAGCTCATGGCTACGTCAAGAACATTGTCATCAACGGAGTATCATATCAGGGCTACGACCCGACTGTTTTTCCTTACCAGTCGAATCCCCCTATTGTGGTAGGTTGGACGACATCTCAGACCGACCTCGGATACGTCGAGCCCGCAGCCTTTGGTACCTCAGACATCATCTGCCATAGAGGGTCCAAGCCCGCTGGTGGCCACGCCCGTGTCGCCGCGGGGGATTCCATTGCCCTGACCTGGAACACCTGGCCCGACTCCCACCACGGACCCATCATCGACTACCTCGCGCCCTGCAACGGCCCCTGCGAGAGCGTTGAAAAGACCGCCCTCAAGTTCTTCAAGATCGATGGTGCCGGCAAGGCAGACCCAAGCGCGACATCCAGTCCGGGCTATTGGGCTGACGACGTGATGATGGCCAACGGTCTGACATGGCTTGTCCAGATTCCGGCCTCCATCACGCCGGGCAACTACGTCCTGCGCCACGAGATCATCGCTTTGCACAGCGCCAACAATGCCAACGGCGCTCAAGCCTACCCGCAGTGCTTCAACTTGGAGGTCATAGGCTCTGGAACAAATACGCCTGACAGCGTATTGGGAACGCAGTTGTACAAGAACAACGACCCGGGCATCGCGTACAACCTGTACACGACGCCGCAGCCGTCATACACGGTGCCCGGCCCGACGCTCATCGCAGGCGTGCCGTCGAGCGTGGCTCAATCCAGCTCCGCCATCACGAAGAGCACCTCCGCGACCGTGGGGTATACCTCGGCCACTTCGTCTTCCTCCATAACCATAACCGCATCTGATTCGCAGGCTAGCACGTCGTCGACGACGACAACTAGTAAGTCTTCGACTACAGCCTCTTCTTCATCCACTACCTCCACTACCTCCACCACATCAACATCAAAGACTACGACGACAAGCGCGAGCACGGGGTCGGTACCGAGCGAGAGCCTGGTGCCGCTGTATGGCCAATGTGGCGGTAGAAACTGGCAAGGCTCCTCGCAGTGTGCGCAGCAGAAGGTAGCGTGTCAGTACTCAAACGATTACTACTCACAGTGTGTGCTAGTGCCGGCATAGACGATTCACCATGCAGGCACTTGCATATAATACCAGCTGGGCTTTCAGCGGGCAGTTGGAAATTGGGTGTTGCGGACGCAGTATGGTAATGGAACAAGATGTTGGTTGTGTATGCTAAGATGTTTATAGCCTCGCTTGTTTGCAAATAACCTTTCTTTTCCGCTTTAGCTCCAACAGTTCACCACTAATCATAGGAATATTCAAGGTTCATTGAGTTAGAATACAAGTTATTTTAACTGCACTAAGTGAGGAGGGTTAATACTTGTTGACACTAGACTAGGTTAGTCTAAGCACAAACATGATCTTGCCTGAAAGGGACTAGACTTCGACTCGGTGTGCCGCTTACTGGTATATTCATGCATAATTCCTCTTATTCGTTGCGCAGCACAACAGGTTTGAGAATAAGCCTGCTTATATGATGCCGGTTTAGTACTATCATAGATGCAATAGCAATTTTTTGGGTTGTGCCGCGGTATGTACCAGGCGTGTCGCCAGTGTCCAGCGCGTGATTCTGTAACGGTTGCTTCGATCTCAGGCTAAGACTAGTCATGTCCTCCATGACTTCATGCTGTCGAAAGGCATTATATGATGGGCTATTAACATACATGACGGCATATTCGGGGGTCCCTCCAGGACACTCCAGACTGCTTTGAGTCTCAGATAGGGCTTATTGCGGTGCCGATCAAAGTTGTTGTTGCATTGGAAAATAATCATGACGCTCAATACTGCTCGTCAGGCCTACTTTGGAGAGTATCATATAATATGTGAGTAACACAACTCTTCTAGAAACACAACGTCCTCACCAAGACAAATTTGATTACTCTCTATAAGTCATCACCATGTCGAGCACTAAAAAGAATACTGAAGCTTTGAAAGAGCACAAAATCATTCCAGACGTGCTCAGCGACAATGTGAAACCAGCATACTCCCTGACGCTAAACTGGCCCAACACAACGCTGGAGTCGCCCGCTCAGGAATTGGGTGGCGAGGAGACGCAGCCTCAACCATTAGTATATCTGAACTCTGCAGTAAATAACTCATCGCCTGCATGTGTGCCTACATACGATCTAGATGGCCTAAGCTAACTGGAAACCGTGGCCACCAGAGCCGCTCAACAACCTAGTGCTCATTATGACTGATCCGGTAAGGTGACATGGTAGTACAGTATATTTGTAAAGTATCAGTCGTGATGCTTACGTATAATCATCGGATCTCATGACGAACGACAACACTTACTTTGGCCAAGTCAGACAGTGGCTGGTTACCAATGTATCCACAACGTCAGAGGGCTACCTCGCCATCCCCAAAAAAGCCAACGTGCCACCATACGTCGGGCCAGCACCGCAGCCAAACTATGTGTCGCCTCGCCCCCATCGCTATTGTTTTATCCTAGCTCAGGGCTATGGAGACGTTCACGTCACGCCCGAGGATTTGCGGGAGCTGCAGAAGCCGTACATAGCCGCGATGGAAGGAAAGTAGCAGGAGGCGCAGGATTTGAAGGATCGCTGGGGTTTAAACGCACAGAAGTTCATTGACAACAACGGACTCAAGTTTGAGGCTGCCACGTTTATGCGTGTGTGGGACACACTGAAGAGCGCGGCTGCCAATATGGCTCTCACGGGGCAGGCTTTAGTTGATCATGCGCTCTTGGTCGGGTTAATGTTCCTTAGGGACGTGTAGATGCTCTTGTATTCGGCTACCTTTTCTTATATATCGAACCGAACCAGTTCATGATAAGCGTTGCTAAATACGACGGAGCTGGTATGTATTAATGGAATTTCAAAACATTTTACCTTAGCAGAGCAAGGAGATGAATATGTGATATTGATCTTGTATTGCTAGTATAGAATATGACTGAGAAGCTTTATTTAGCTCTGTAGTGCATGATTCTGGAGGGTTGAGTGTCCTAGAGTACCAAATCCGATATGGATAGACGAGACACATGCTCCGTCATTTTAGTTTCCCAGCGCCGAGTCGGTACCGTATTACAGATAGTCATGGATTCTTGTGTCAAGTCTTAATGCATCTCATAATCTCCAGAGCGTCCTGAACAGGTTAGTCGAAGACAACAGTACAGGTTGAATTACAATGACTTACGGGCAACCCACTTGACTGTCAACTCGCCACGAACTCGCTTGTGTATACAAGCTCGGGGTTTCCTTTTTGGTTCGCCTTCGCCGGCCGATGCATCGTGTCGCTTTTTCTCCTTCACGGTGCTTCTGGCGTACTCAAGACACACAGGGTTTCCAGGCATGACGACTCAGAGCTGCTTAGCGGAGTATTTTCCATTTCTCTCTGTGATTTCTCGACTCACTATTATCGGCAGCGTACACCGACCCAGAACCCACAATGCCGAGGTCCTCGCACAACTTTAGGTCTGGTGTGTTGAAGGGTTTCAATGAACAGCAGGTCTATGTGGGCGATCTCTTCGCTCTAGCGCAGGCATCTGACTGTACCTAAGCTGGACCCAATGATAATCTCGACCATGTCGCTGAACCTGCCAAGCCGACGAGCATGTTGGTCACTGCACCAAATTTGCGGTTGAGTTCCTGGCTGCAGTACCGTTTTCCCTCAGCCCATTTCAATGCTGCTGCGAAAGCGATGGTAGGGTAGCCTCCTAAGCGCTAAGCTCCACTATCGTCTCCGGCTTTACCTCCTCGATAAGGTCAAACATCATGTTGAATTTATCCTCATCCACATTCATCAGATACCATTTATTTCTGCCATATCCATCAATGGCATCTAGCACCTTCTGGGGATGTCCGCGCATCTGCTCTAGTTGCGGATGGCTGTAAATGAAGTAAAGAAGAGCAATTTCGTGTACATTATCAATCTAGGAAGCTACTTGTCAATGGTGTACACGGAGTCGAGGAGCGAATGGTCTCAACAAATCCATCCATCTTCCAGAAGACGATAGGGCTCTCCGTGGAAGATATTGTTCTGATATTCGGAGCAGAACTTGCAATGAAGTCCAAGTCGGATTTCAACAAAGGTTTAGAGTCAATGAAGTCATTTACAAACTTGAAGCTCATTTGAAGTCTAAATAATTAGACATATAATTGAGATGCAGGTAATCTATTTTCTGTGCACCTAAAGGAAAGAGATCATACCAAAAAAGAACATAGTCTATATTTTCGTTATTTCTTTCTAATTTATTAAGCATCTTATAAATGAAGTGACTTTCTTTAAGTTACCAGAGCTTGTAAGCTGATTCTCCGCATTCCACTCCGAGTAGTACTTCCGGGGCTCATTCTAAGAACGTAAGCTATTGTTTTACAAGTACCCGTATTAGAGGTTTGCGAAATCATCGAAGCACAGGGTCACGTAACAAATATACAGATCCAGTGACTACCGAGATATAAGCAACAGTACCATAATTCTTCAGCCTAGACTTGTAGCATTACCACCAGTAAACCCCGATCTAGTTGGAGCCTCGCACTGAACACTTTGTGCCTGGTGACTTACAATTGTCGATTCTTGGTGCTGCACTGAACGCATGCCATAATGACTCACTCTCAAATCTCCGAACCAGACTACGCTTGTTCGGACCAGTCATCACACCTTGGCCGCATGAAAAGCTTCTGGTGTTTACAGAAATTATTGCAACAGGACACATATTTCGCTTTCCGTTGCTATAAGTTCATAGAGATTTCATCATCTCTTTGAAGGGTGTCCATAGTAAAGATCTATCACACCTTGGTTCGAAATACGAACCTATCCAAAGCATTGCCGAATTTTCATCAGGACACAGTATTCTAGAGCTAATAAAAAAAGTTAAGAACCATAAATTAAATTATCAGATTCTATCAATTTACATATAAACTTCAATATTAATTTATTAATTCACGATTTGATAAGCAGCTTGTCGTGCCGCAACCATACATGCCCCACAATTCGTTCGACTGATGAGTCTCTAGATCTGACATACTCAATACGTGTAACTACAAATAGGCCATAGCCACTGCCAACTTCCAACTCATCCCCCGCTCATCGCAGCCCAATTTCCCCACGCCTTCGAGATGGATAAGCTGCCACCAGAGATACTGGGTCGAATCATCTCCTTTCTTATACCAGACAACGGATTGAGTTTACCGATTACAAGCATAACCAAGCCCTGGAAGTCATATGGGTCAATTGCTCACTTCGCCACCGTCTCCAAGCTCTGGCAGCGCTACGTGGAAAGGCTGACCTTCAAGAACCTGTTCCTCTCCACCGTACGCCTGAGTACTGCTAGCCGCATCATCACATCGCAACGACTGGAATATGTGCGCTCTATTGATCTAGAGGTCATTCTCGAAACATACGATGACGAGGCCACCTGCCGCGTTGAGAATGAGGCAGAGAAAGCCCGTAATAATGAGCAATTTACTTGTACCGTGATCGCGCTGTTTGCACTACTGAGGGAGCTCGACATGCCCAAGTTCAACAGTTTGCACGACCGCGTACTCCGATTGCGCGCTTATTCGCCGAGCGATCCATGGCGCCGTGACGACTGGCCCAGCATACGCAAGACCAGGGTAAATGGTCTTACTGACAACATTTTAGAAGCTCGCTTTGACCAAAGCTATCTGGAATTCATTGAACCGCTCGATTCGAGCATCAATACCTTTTCAATATTCGAGGTCCCTGATCCCGTGGGAAGGAACCTCACATATCGCCGCATCAGCCCGAGTGCCTGCTGCAGTATCGCAGCTAAACTGGGCAAGCTCAACAAGATCATTTGGCATCTTTCTGACAACGAGAAGAAGGATATAGCACTTCGCAAGACTTTGAGACAGGAGTTTTCGGAGCAGCTGGGCCATCTACCGCTATCATTAAAGCACATGGTTCTACGCTATACGAGAAACCCTCCCAGAAATCACACAGTCTCACCCGCCAGCATCCTAGGTGCAGACGGATCTGGAGAAGATGACCTTAGTACGGCATTGCATGACCTCTGCAAGCGTCTCGTCACTGCAGATATTGAGGCCTCACTGGAAAACAGTTTCTTCACGCCCATTGATTCAATACGCGACTCAAATGCAAAAGCGCAGTGGCCCGACCTACAGACTTTGAATCTGACTCTTTCCGCAGTGACACCTTCCGGGAAATGGCTCTTCAATCGGCATCCTGACGCAGTGGAAGACGAAGATCCGTGGATCGAGGAAGACAATCTCATGGATCTTAAGCCAGACACACCGGCTGAAGAGGACTGGAGGCTATACGAATTCCGCGGTTCACCTAGTGTATCTGTCATCAAGCCATGGTTCTTGGCTGCAGCAGAGGCTGCTCGCAACATGCCTTCTTTGCTAGAGTTGAAAATTGTATCGGGTTGTGGCACGATACCCAAGCCGTATCGAGCTTACTGCGCCCTCCAATATTCTGTTCGGGCACTTTTGCTTGAGATAACCAGTACTCCTGTTTTGGATGTGGATTTAGAGCTGGAGGAGGCGTGGAGAGATACCGCACGTGTACAGCTCCAAAACCGAAGCACCCTAACCATTGAGTACAAGGAGGCGAAAGATCACCGCAATACAAACACTGTGTCACTTCAAGCCCAGGGCAGGACCACGCAGAGGCCAGTTTTTGGAAGCGGGCCTGCACAAAACAACAGTGCAGTTACAGCTGAAGACGTACGACAGCAACGGCCAGTGTTCGGGGCCCAAGGAACAGGTCTCGCCAGGCCTATATTTGGAGCTCAAGGAACAGGATTAAGCAGGCCAGTGTTCGGCGCCCAGCAGACGAGCCAGAACAACAGACATCCTCGTGACTCATAGCTACTCACTTCCAAGATACACGCAGCTGTGCTCATCTCAAGATATCCATATTGCCCTGCGTACTCATACATTCTCAAAATCAATCATTACTTATGCCAAATCTGTGAAGCACCATCGGCCGTACTACCACAGTGTCTTTTCTGACGAATTACCATGCGCTTTTTTCGAATTACAATCACGTCAGACATGCTAACCGGAAACTCCCACGCAGTACGCCTCCTCAGCCCAGAAACTGTAATAGAAAGATTGGTTAGTGTGATAAGCGACACGACTTCTCAGAATGGGCTTACTTTTCGCAGTCATTATTCAAGACCGGATTCCATTCGTCTGCGCACATTGTTAGCACACACCAAGCTCATCTTCATGGGGTGGTTATTTACACAGTTGGTCAAGCGTGATATTATTGGCAGCGGCAAAGTCATAACAGCCACCTCCTGTGGCGACGGCATACAGGTTGCAGTTTGCAGGTATTCCGCTCTGGGTTGGTCCAGGCGGGGTGACGCTGGTTTGAGTTGCACTTGTTGTTGTGGATGGCGTGGTCGTTGATGTTGGCGTGGTGGTCGTGCTACTACTACTCGAGACACCAATACAGTACGCTTCATCTGGCCAGAGGTTCTCGCAATTGGCTAGAGATATGCATCAGTGTCCAGTTTCCCCTTATCTAGATGCTGGGTCTAGGGAAACTTACATCCAACGGCGGGATTCCATGAGTAAAATTGGTCGAGAGTGATTCCATTGTCTGCTGCAATGTCATAGCAACCGTCTCCGGCCTGTGCGACATACCATTTGTTGCAATCAGCTGTGATACCCGTTTGCGTCGGGCCTGGAGGTCCGGAGGTCGAAGTCACGGTCCCGGTGCTCGTCGCCGTTCCAGCGTCGGTACCCGTATAGTAATGAGCGTCCTCATCATCCCAGCCAGGACCAGCGACACAGTACTGCCGACTGTCAGTATCACAAGAGATGAGGTATTCTTATCTTCAGAGAGCGAGAAGAAGCTTACTGAAGTATTCAGCCACAAGTTCTCACAATTAGATCCTGACATTAATTAGCCGGTATTGCCTAGCAAGTGAACCCGCAATCACACGTACCAATGGCAGGGTTCCACTCATAAAAAAGCGAAAATGGGATGTCGTTCATCTGTAAAACAGTGGTACATGTATCGTCTAGTAGAAGAAGATTAGCCTCAATAGTTGCATGAATCGTAGCCACGTGCTTACAAAGCTGTGTTGTATACCAATCCACACAGTCAGTGGTTGAGCTTGGCGCTGCGTTGGCGGGTGCTGTAATAACAGCCCATGACGCTGAGGTGGTCGTGGCGGCCACTGAACTCAAAATTAAGCATTGGAGACGTTCATTTGCGTATGAGTAGACTCACGACTTGTGTTGTAGTATGACGCACAATAGGCGGTGGCGTTTTGCAACACGCATGTCTCGGCATCGTAATCAGCTCCGTTGAGGATGCTGGGATTCCATCGGAGAAAGTCGGCTAAAGCTACACTATACATTTTGGTCACGGCCTCGCAGTAGATGGAGCCATACGAGTTCTGGAAGACAGCGTAGCAACTGGCAATTGATAAATTTGCGAGAGGGAACCCTGTTGCAGTTGGCGCGGCGTATGTAGCTGCGGAGACTGTTGACAACGTTGCCGTGTTGAGTGTCGTTGGAGTTCCAGTATTGGATGCTGTACTGCTTCCGTAGTATCCATCATAGGTCGTTATGGTGCCCACGGGAGCAACACAGTAGCTGGCGTCGGCCCATAAGTTTGTGCAATTTGAATCAATCTCGGGGTTGAGAAAGTAAAAATCAGACAGGGTGATCCCGTTCTTGGTGGCAATCAACTGGCAATACTCATCTTTTTGCACCAAATACCAGGTACCGCAGTAATGGTTGGACTCAGTCATGGCATCTGTGGGCACGGGTGCTGCGGTGGTTATTGGTGCGTACCCAGAGTCATCGTTGATTGTCTCGTTGGGGAACACGTATCCAAATGGGCTGCTAAGGCAGATAACGTGGCCGACCTTTGAGTTCCAGTTCATGCACAGTGGATCTATAGAAGGATTCCATGTGACTAGCTGAACGACTGTGATTTGGGCTACATTTGAGACTGAGACGCAGGTGTCGCCTTCTTGGACGGTGTATGGTGTGCATTTATCCTGAACACATAGTTCGGTTTGGTCGCCAGGCCAGTCAGCACAACCACCGGCTAGGTTGTTGATATTAAGCAGCTGATCAGTGGACATGCTGTTGGCTTCGGCAAACTGATCACAAGTCGTGCCGGTCTCAACTGGGACGTAGGTACCAGTGCATGAGAATGTGATATTCTCACTCAACGTACTATATCAATGGTCAGCAGGCTTCTGCTAACGAATGTTGCTGATCGGAAAATTTGATGAAAAGCTATAGAACAAGATCAATGCAACTCACATATTGTTGTTTTGAAAACTGGAGGTTGGTGTGGCCAGGGGAGCCGCCGTTATACCACAAGAAGATACAGCAGAAGAATATTGCTCAGCGAGTCCTGCATCATAGGCACGCTCATCTTCCATCTGCAATCGGAAAGCATCAAGCTCACATGGACCACAGTCGTCTACTGTGCCGTTGGTCCCGTTTGCGGTAGAGAGATAGCAAAAATCACCGGTTCTAGGTAAGCCATTAATACAATATCATATCATGGCAGCTCGAATCACACGTACATATCTTTCAGGCAGAGAAGGTTGTAGTTAAGAAAATAGTAATCGACCAGCGCCAAGGGATTTACAGTCTTTCCCTCCATTCCATAGACGTCATTAGTTGTTGAAGTACCGTACACATAGTCCGTGATGTTCTTCTCTGGAGGATCCACGTAGATATCGTCCGCACATTCCTGGGCAACATTTGCACGATGATCTACAATGGAGTCTCTGCAGGAGTCAGTACAAAGAGCGGCCAGTTCATCGGCTGACATGCCCCCCCATGTGTACAAGAATTCTTCCTCCCGGATAGATTCTGTACAATTAATGGTTGCGGCTAGGGCACTGGCACAGCCAGCCGAGAACATGAGGAGGTTATCAGCAAGGAAAAGAGCGGTCGGCTCAGAACCGTCCTCTTGTCTTGAGAAAATTGTTCGATGTAGATTCATATGATCGCGTTGGTAGGGTTGATTGTGAAGATATGTAGCGCCTACATGTGCGTAGTGGCACAAAGCTGCCAGAGCGAAGTTAATGATGAACCAACTAGCCATGGTGAAATGAGTGTATAGATTACGTCCAAACAAATGAGTGAATAGCGAAGTTGGACGTCCGTTGATGAAGAACGACGGCGCAAGGGACGGTCGGAAGGCTTTTGGCTGTTGCCAACAATATGGATATCTAGAAAGTCACGATTCAGATGCATACTCGACCATTTCTGCATAGCTCACCTGATCCCTCCATTCCGGCTTCATCTCGCTGTATGTAATATTATTCTACTGTATCCCTACGGCACAGCGAGCTAAAACTGCGAGGGACTTTTGAAGTCTCAATGTCGACCATCTTCCCACGGGTGCCACATCAGAAACTGGTATCAAGCGCGAGATGGCGTGCCCCACTCGTAAGCAGGTACGGAGTATCAGATCGGTAAGTGGGAGGATTGCAGGCCACAATCAGCCGTTGAAGAAGACCAAGGACTAAGAATTCTAACTTTATTTCTTGATGCTGTGCCGCAATCTTTCAGCGCGCGCTCCTTTGACCTTATGATGAGTCTGTGCGCTCGTCAACAGCCCCACAGAACCCCTGAGGACACCCTAAATAAAGACCATTCCACCTATAAAACAAGCTTATTCCAAGAACTATCTGATCCACCACTCAGGTTAGTTACTTTACATAGTAACCTTACTGCTATCCCTGGGCAGTTGCCAGGGACGCCCGCATGGGAAATTGCGCACATCCTCGCGAAGTTCACTTACACACGAAAGAACCTCGTTAACTAGGAAAACGCGAAATTTTCTATTTAGATAGAGTATATACTTAGTAATAGTGCTACATTCTTGGATTTGTATTTTATGATGGTTTGCGCGACTTATAGACCACGCAAAATAACGAGTTCTGGTGGGATGCGAGCAATATCCCATGCGCGCGTCCTGTTGCTTGACCATTTGAGGAGTATAGGCTGGTGGTGCAGCCGCAAATGACAACTGAATCGGGACGTCTCAGTCGGCTTATGTGAGAAAGGATCCAATGCCAGACGAGATAGTGATTTTTAAATTACAAACTACCATACAAGGCCTGTTATGGGCCAATCCCAACCGTCATGCTTCCTGGTCGACGCGCGTTTTCCAATATTCTAATTAGTGTAGCATCTATGCTGTGGTCAGGCTATTGTACTGTGCCGTATGACAGCGCCGGGTCATCACGGCGTTACTATGCGTACAGCAGTCTACCTAGTTGCGGCTATCGGCCACTGAGCCAGACGGCGAATGGTGTAAAGTTCGGGGGAGAAGGGTCTTCCAGCCGCAGATTCATGTCGTGAAGATTTCATATCCTCACTGCCTTGAAATACGTCGAGCGATGTCTGCTTGCAATGTGTTCGTTCTTTTCCTGAACATTGGGAGATTTGTTTCCCTACCCTCTTTTTGAACTTTCAAGTTCGCGACACTCATTCCATTGCCATAATGGCTAAGCAAGATGCTACTCCCAAAGGCTACAGACCGTTACTAGGTATATACGTTGTATTGTGTATTGCCTTTGTTACATTCTTTACGCTTTTTCTCAAGACTGACAGCACTTCAACCATACATAATATTTCGTTACGTTCATTTACCAACTTTAATGCCCTCTACCCATTCCACGTGTCAGGCCAGCAAGGTCATGCCACTGAGCAATATGGCAAAGAGCTTGTAGTTAGACAAACATCATCCGCCGGCACTAATGGTCATGACTATACCTGTACAGAAAGCAGGCCATGTAGTAATGGTGCTTGTTGCGGCGCCAGTGGTTTCTGCGGTTACGGCCCAACTTATTGCGGTGACGGCTGTAGTTCCAACTGCAACGCAACAGCAGAGTGCGGGCAGTATTCTGCAACCGCCAATGAGACATGTCCCTTGTAGGTACATTAGAGTTTGGGCTACGCATACTAGTCTAGGACTAACCGGATGATCAGAAATGTGTGTTGTTCAGAATGGGGCTTCTGCGGTACAACCACGGTCAGTCCTATCAAAAACGATAAACTTCCTATCTAACACTATAGCAGGAATTCTGTACTGGTAACTGCCAATCGAATTGTGGGCAGCCCAATCGACCCAGTCATGGCAATGGGTCGACGGGAAACGACGTTCGCAACAATCTTTGGGGCTACTACGAGACATGGAAGTCCGAAGGAACAAACTGTGGTATAATGGAGCCATCTCAAATTCCTGTAGAGGCACTACAAGGAGTCTACACTGCATTCGCCTATGTGACCACTGGTTCTGTAAGTTCCTTTTTCTTGTTGTTCTTCCTCTCTTCCTCTCTCCCTCTCTCTTTCTCTCTCTCTCTCTCTTTCTCTCAAGCATGTTTCGAGGATTGCATTTATCAGAACACACAGCTCCAGGCGGTTCTAAACGGTTCATTCCCAGCTTTCAGGATTGAGCTGACTTCCCTAGTATCAAATCGTGCCCATGCCTGGCCAGGACGAAGATCTCTTCCAACGAGTTACAGACATAAAGAAGCGCAGTCCTGATACAAAAGTGTATGTTTCTATCGGAGGTTGGACGTTTAACGACAATACGTGAGTTACGATGTTACTTCCGCCCGCTGCTCCGACAAATATTGGCGATTTTGGGCACAAGAGAAAATTTAATGCTCATGCATAGACAGATCATCAACCCGTGAGGTCTTCACGCATATTGCCAGCAACCTTTTTAATAGCCTCCAATTTGGCAAGAATTTGGCCCTTTTTATGAACCAGTATGGGTTTGACGGCGCTGATTTGGATTGGGAATATCCTGGAGCCCCAGATCGCTCTGGTCGTACACAAGATGTCTCCAAGTTTCCGGAAATGCTACAATGGATTCGCGTTGCCTGGAATGCCTATGGAAAGTCCGACTGGGGCCTAACCATCACCGTACCAACATCGTATTGGTACCTGCGATGGTTCGATCTTCCAGCGTTAGCTAAATACGTCAACTATTTCAACGTCATGGCTTATGACTTACATGGCATTTGGGACTCCACGGACCCAATCGGCCCTTACGTTTATGCTCATACTAATCTAACAGAGATTGATCTTGCACTGGACCTTTTTTGGCGTAGTGATATCCCCGGAGATATGCTCAACATGGGCCTGGCGTTTTACGGCCGGGCGTTTGAGTTGAAAGACCCGAGTTGTACTACCCCAGGTTGCGAGTTTAGCGGACCAGCCAACGAAGGCCCTTGCACCAAAACCGCGGGATTTTTGTCATGGAGGGAGATTCAGAACATTCTGAATAGCGAAACTATTGACTTTGACACGAGGTATGATCAGACAGCCGGAGTCAACTATATGGTGTGGAACCAGAACCAATGTACGTGACTTTCCTTCGATCTAGCAAGCGTTCGCAATTGACCATGAATTAGGGATATCATATGACAATAAAGAAACTTTCCAGCAAAAGATTGAGTTTGCTAACCAGAGAGGCATACACGGCATCTTTATCTGGGCTATTGATCAAGATGACGACTATTTCAACGCCTTGAAAGCAGTGACAGGGAAAGACATTGCTCCCACAGTCGCTGAAAGCGACACCCTAGGCTACTGGGATGTGAATAAATGTTACATCACCCACTGTGGCGATACTTGCCTGGTCGGGTGGACTAAGATGACAGGATTGAACGAGGACAGGGACGGCGTTGGTTGCCCTAACTCAAGCCAAGACTCACAGCAACGCTCGCTATGCTGCCCGCCCTGGAGCGCTCCAGATCCCTCGACCTGCAACTTCTACGGAAACGCTCAGTACTGTTATGGGCAGTGTGCACCAGGAGAAGTTCGTTTATCCCGCAGATAATATATTTGGGATGCAGCTAACCTCTCTTAGGTCCTTTTCGCGACTGACAACTTTGGTCATACAGGATGGTGTCGTGAAGGTAAGAAGGCATTTTGTTGTCCGGCGACGAGCGGCAATGAGGCTGTCGCTGCTTGCCAGACAGTATGGGGAGACTGCCCATCCGAGACTCCTCATTTCATGACAAAGGTTGGAGACCGCCAGGCATTCTGTTGCCCCGATTCACCGACGTGGAACAATTGTGGCTGGCATGGCGACACCACGACCTGCAACAACAACCGCTGTCCTATCGGTCAGATCGAACTCACTCGAAGCCAGTATGGTGATAACTGGTGGACGGGATGCGTTTTGGGTCGACAAAAAGCATACTGCTGCGACCCGCCCTTCGATGGCACTGCATTCATCCCTGCATCTCTGGATCAACTCTTCGCGGATGGCGACGATTTCCCTATAGATGAAGCCCCGGTATACTATGAGGCCTTCGATCATAATGCGGAGACCACTCCAATATTCGAAAACACCTACACTGACGATCCTAACAAAGAGCCATTTGCGTGGACTATTATGGTCGGAGCTAAGGAAGATGTACAGTCCTTGCGCAGACGAGATGGTTCACACCTGGAAGCTTTCGATTGTCCAACTCCTGCCGCAGATGACTTCTCAACTCAAACTCTTAAGTTGGTGTGCCTGTCCGATAAGTCGGATCATAACTGTGAAGACATCATGCTTGGCACCGTCAAAGGAACAATCGTGCGACTTCCCGAGGACTGCGGTCCCGACGAATGGGTCCGAGCAGTCTCATTCCAACCACTTGAGAACCATCCAATTCCATCACATCTTGTCAAGCGCGCCCCAGAAAATGCCAATATCTACCAGCTGAGATACGATTACAACTTCCGTCAACTTAGGCGTGACGGAGGCGAGATTCATGTGCGACTCGATACTTCTGACCATGCAGGCTACTGGGATGGTAAGTTTCTCCATTTGAAACATCACTCCTTCTATTCTACCTCGAGACGGGTGTGAGACTGACTTCGGGCACTATTAGAAATTGTGACGTCCAACACGGATGACCCAGCTAGGAAGCGCAGTGAAAATGGCGACAACGAGAACTGGCGTGAGTTCCACCTCTCATGGTTCAAGGAACAAGAGGCCGTCAGAAAGCGTGGCGTCGGAGAGGGCGACTCTTGGTGGTCCGACCGTTTCACTGCACTGCTTAGTGGGGAAGTGAGTTATGGCATTCATCACACCTACTCATACGACCAAGTTCTTTATTCGGCATCGTTGAGCTGTCCGGGTAATGTAGATGCTAGTGTCGAAGCACGCATTGGAGGAAATTTCGAAACCAAACTCGACTTTGGTATATCTTTAATTGGGACACTTCGTAACTTTGACTTTAGCCAAGCTTATGCGTACTTCCGCATGCGGGATACTGAGATGCTGAACAGAGCTGTCCTTGAAGCAAATGCTGTCTTCCAGATGGAGTCAGAAAAGATTCCCATAGGTTTGTTATATGATAAGCGATGCTTTGCCGGCCACTTACTAATTCTTGTTAGTATCTGATTTCGATCCGTTCGGTGGTTCTTTCAACCTGAAGGGTCTTTGGGTTGTGGGTCCATACTTCCAAGTCGATGCCCAATTACAGGCCTTGATCGTAGCCTCAGGGTAAGTATACATCTAAATTTGGTGATAGTACGTGCTGACTGAGACCTCCTAGATCAATTTCTGCCGGGGTTTCCATACCAATCGAAGATTATACGTGGATGTACCCTCAGCAAATGGGGTTCAGCCCTGACGAAGACGACATCACCTTGAACCCTATAGTGGACTATACTCCCAAGGCTGGAATTGAGACAAGTGCTGCTTTGGGTATAGAGGGTAGTGCTACTATAACCATATATCCTACTATGGGATTCCAAATTCAATTAGGGGCTCTTGGCGTGCAATTGGTCGATAGCAAAGTCTCTTCCAGCTTTACTTTGGGTGTCACCCTCCATGTTGGGGCTAACAGTGACGGGGACTGCGACGGAGCTTTGATGGCTCTCGATTTGAATGCCGGTGCAAGCATTGATCTAACGAACCCTCTTCCAGGCTGGGACTTTGTCGAGGACGTCAATTGGGAAGTGATGCCGCTGCACAGTATTCGGTTGAAAAACCAGACATGCATCCCATGGTCAGGCTCCGTGGACACAGGTCAGTGGATAACCCTCTCGTCAATGCCAACCTCTATACTTACACTACCTTTATTGGCAGATACTAAAGTAAGGCGGTCACTCGATCACTACTCGTACTTAGAGTCCCGCTCTTTGATAGACATCCTATTCCCTGATGCTCTGGCATCTGCCTTGGCATGTCCTACAGATTTCACTTCCGACACTGGTGACTGCACTGCGCACATTCCAGGCGACTACGGGCAGATATTGAAGAGGGATTCCCTGTCGGGTGTGTTGTACGACAAACCGACCAATACTACCGAGGCACCGACCGCTGAGGTATTATTTAGGAGAGCTATTGAGAAGAGATCGAAGAAAGAATCTTTCTATTACTGTAACGTGGCAACCTGGCTGGTGAGTCTCAATATATTAAGCACTTCATATGGCGGGATCAGATTCAGCAATAGCCGCCTGCATTGTCATTATTGTGAAAGCTGGGATTTAAGATGGCACTTCAATCCTTTGCAAGGGCTCTTCATCGTCCTGATCCACATTCTAACTTGCGTATAGGACTCGCCGCTCTGTCCGGGTAATGACCCAACCTGCAACAACAAGCAAATTGAAGTAAATGGCATCACATACCCAGCCTCTGGAGATCTGGTAAGAGAAATCAACAACAACCAGGGCAGCTACACCACCTATGGACCTACTGGAGGTTGCGATGACTATACATTTGATACAGTCAATACACCTCCGACTGGCACCACTTCCGACTGGGCAGCTGAACATATTCTGGAGTGGCAATTGTTCCAGGACTTCCTACTGGATTTCCCCGAGTATGCACCGGTACGTTAAAACTAGCTGTTACGAAAGTGGTTGCAAGCTGATTTTCCATACAGTTCAGTGGCATGACTTTCGTCAATCAGGCGGATGCCAACTACATTGGAGCGCCAACAGCGACCACGTGGCAATTTTGCACTTACATGTGGTTCTGGTGGAGAGAGGCTCAAGTTACCTACCAGGGCTTGACGGGTTCTGGAATGGACATCGTGGCAAAGTCATTTCCCAACAACGTATTCAACAAAGCGGAGCTGCAACTTCTGGACGAAGATACCAACAAGATGAAAGAAAGGTCAGTTTATATTGTATGATTAAGGCCATCAGGACTGATTAACTCCAGAATTTGGGGTACCGGCGTTATTCGAACTGACTCCACAATGAATTCGTATATGTCAAACGATCCCAATGTCGCGATCAACGTCGTTCGACATACCATGTTTGCGGTACAATATGTGAGTGCTTTTGGGAGTGATCTTTTGTGCCTAAACTAAATTCTCGGGCCACCAGCAACAAATTACGAGTGTGAAAGATCTGCTCGTGTCGCAAGCACGTCGTATAGGAACCTGGCTAGACGACATAGAGAACCTTCTCGTCGCAGGGGTATGTTCATGCGTCGGTGTCGCAAGCGACGCAACTGCTTACTGTATTTCTAGGGCATTGTAGCAGGTTTCAACTCGCAGACATACACGAAACTCAACCTCGGAAATGCCTGGAGGAAATATGTCTACCGCCAATGGAGCGGGGCCAATGTAAAGCAACAAGATTTCCTGCGCGCATGGGTTGCGAACATCGTTAGGAAGCACACGCCGGGCAACGCTGGTAGCGCGGCTGGTGGTGCCAACGCCGGCGGTGGTCAGACGAATACAGCTATTGTGAATCGTGTGAAGAAGATGAAGGATGCGTATGATGCTTTTTTGCTTACACCATGGGTGGGTTTTTGCTCCTCTACTAAAACAATGTCCAAGCTGACTAGAACCACAGACCAATCCCTTCCCAGCTGCTTGGGCTTAGTATCTGAGATATAAATCGAGAATAAAGCACGATAAATATATCTAGGCAGATAGATTAGTACTTTACATATATATAATACTAATATACTTTAAAGTTTAAATTTTGTTACTTATTAAATACAAATGAATTAGTCTGGTTTACTAATTAGCTAAGGCTAGTCCTTTGACTACTAGCATTGTTACAACATTGAAGTTAAATGTTCGCATTCGTATGCTTATACCTATAGCGTTCCGTTCGACTACACCTTTGGAGCTGCAATCCCCATTAGGCCTGAAAGAAGCTTTTCGCGTTTTAATTCTATCAAAACTAGGGTCGCTAATCGTCAAAACGCTCCCTAACACCTACTTAAAAAGCTATGAATCGATTAGAAAAGGGCACGCAAGCAATGGGGCACTCAATTGCCCTGTTAACGCATCAAATATGAACTCTTCAAGAAATAAATGTAGCGCCTTAAGAAGCGCCGGAGGTAAGGAAGATTACGTGTATAGCTTGGAATGGCACTTAATATAGAAGATTCTCGAAATATTATAGCTAAAAAGGATGAGGGGAAGAAGTGTGCGATCGATAAAGTTGAAAATGGCGGCCCCTCAAAAAAGGCGATAACGACTATACGACGGTGTACTCCAAGTGACGATTAGCAAGGTCATTTGGCAACTACATGTGGCTCTGGTGATGCATTTTTGCCATATCTTGTTACAACATTCGAAGTAAGCAATTCTCGAGTGGCCGACCCGGAAGGTATGTTATGGTGGATCACGAACAACACTTACACACCCTCGGAGTTCAGTGGAATACCAGGAGGCGGCGGTGGTGGTGGGTTCCCTGGTAGCCCAGGAGGTGGTAGGGGCATGGCGGTGGCTTTACCTCACGCATTGGTGCTACTTCATGGATTCTGAACTACGCCACAATGCTGATATTTGCATCGTGTTTAACAACTACTGGTCCGGTGAAGGAGCTGATCGTAAAGAATTGGTAAACGCTTACTAGGATATTCTCGTTAGTACGATGCTGAAACCTGCAACAACACAATCGTGCCAGGAAACTTTGCAGGACCCTGTATATTGGACGCTTGGATTGAATATAAAAACATCAGGGCAGGCTTATACTCTGAATACCAGGCTAAGAAAGTGGTAGGGCCATTGCAGACATTCTTTTCGGCAACGTCAATCCTAGCGGGAAGTTGTCTCACATTATTGCTAAGAACGCTTCGGACTAACCCACGCCAACTTATCAAACTGCACGCTGAGTGCAAGGATGGGCAGCTGTGAGTATTTGGAAGCGAAGATCACATGGCGGGCTTACAGAAGGAAAAATACCTAATTTCGAACACTAAAAAAGCTGGAAAGTACCTGGTAGTTGGCTTTCTATAGATCTTTTAACAAACATCGAACGATGCACAGTCTGTCAAAATCAAGAGCAGCATGAACTCGAGTATACACCATGACAGACAAGGCACAATTCTATTTTATTGATGACAGTTAACCGCTTGTAACACTAAAATGATAATATAAACCTATGAGAGGTATTCTGCGAGCTTCCAGTGCAGCTGGACGACTGGAAAACTGGGCTCTGATACTGTAGAGACTGTGGAAAGTTTCACGAAAGTTTCTCTTATTTATTGTGACATCTTACAAGTGATGAAGAGCTGAGTTTATGGATTGTGTACCATAATAGTCAATCATCAGCAAAATCCTCACCACTCTATTCATCAAAGCCCCAGTAGCAACAAAGATCAGTTCCATTCAGAGACCTTTTTTTTTGTTTTCTTCGATGACTTCTTCGGGCGGTCAGGCATTCCCCAATAGCTATCGGCGACAGGCTGCTCTAAATCTTCAGGGCTTGTTTGCTCTATTTCTGCAAGATGAGCCTGCGGCGGTGAAGAAGGGCTGTCGACGGATGACAGGTTGGAATCGACTGCGCTCTTTTTCTTGATTTCGTCCAAGTCATCCGTTTCCTCCTCTTCGTCATCTTGCACCAGTTCCTCGTCCACTAGTTTCAGGAGTCAGCAATCAACATTTCATACGTTGCTTACTAAGGGAACGCTATTCTTACCACTGAGTTTCGTGGTGGCAAACTGTTTGCAAGTCTCGGCGCCGCTGCTCAACACTGCGAGCTGCCTCATAAGTTGATTTCTCATAGTTTGAACCTCCTCGGTTTCGCCGGCGATACGAGCAACCAGGTCAGGTGCCATCTCGTAGACCTTGACAGGAGACAGTATGGCTGGGAGGGCAGACATGAGCACTACCTCGATTACCTCAACAGCAATGTCATCTAGAAACCGCTTCAAAGAAACCTACGATAGACATCAGTATAAGCTTTTCCGTAAGTGTCAAAAAACTCATCGTACCTTGTAGTATGCATTCATCTGATCCAATGCTTCGGAGGCAGCAAAGCGATGCATATCTGGTTCGGCAAAATCATCGACTAGCACTTTCAACAGATTGTTGAGATCTGTATTTCCGCAGTGATGGTTGCCCAACTCCGGAACACCAAAGAATCCAAGCAATGCTCGTGTGACCCGGCCTCGCTCCCTCTCTTTACGGACATTCTGGATTGTATCAGTGAAGTAGTGATTGTAAGTGATCGGGTGAATCATTTGATGAGGCCTCAAAGTCTGTCCGGTTCTCGATTTGAGTGTTGCTAATATGGTCTCCATGGCAGGCTGTACGATCTTATGCATGACTGCTGACGAAGTTCCTGCGTCAGCCACATGGCCAAGTGCGTGTTTTAGGAAAATCCGGCATGCCTTCCAAGTGTTATGAACGTGACTGCGTGCTAGCTCCTCCCATGGGCTTGCTTGGTCTCGGAAGAGGTCGGCCACAATCATAGGATGAAATAATCCAGGTAGCTCTCTTCCCCGGGATCTGCGTATCTTGTTTTCGATATGGTCGATGAATTCCACGCGAGTAAGAGAAATGCCGTGTCTTGTCATTGATGGCTCTCGAGAATCAGTAATGTGACGGCGATGGCCATGACTAGACAAATTCTCCGCAAACTGGTCATTGAGGTTCTGGACGACAGCCCTAATACGTCGAAGATAGCCGGTATGGGACCCGGCATCGTAAAAAAAAAGGTCATTCCAGTTGCCATCAACTGCGCTCTGGACAAGTCGTTGGAACGATTCGCTGATACCGATTAAGTGGAGCTGCTGTTCATGCAGTGTAGTTCTGGGTTTACCAAGCTTCTCAAGTCTTTCCTGACAAGCATTGCGTTTTGCCTCGATCTCACCAATCAAACTTGGCAGCTCTGTTGTGATGTGGTTCAAGAGAACTTTGCTCAACCTGCTACGCAATGTGGTAACCCCCAAAACCGACTCGGAGAGTTCCTTCCATATTCCTCGGTTGAAGAATTCTAGCTCTCTAATATCACGCTGAGCCAGCGTTTCAAAGCCTGCTTCGGAATCCAAATTCTTCAGAACGTGCCAACCAAGGCGGAACTCGACCTCTTGGTTTCGAGCTAAAGACACATAAAGTGACTCGCTCTCAGAGCCCGGGTGTAGGGTATCGGGTTTGGTGATAACACCAATAGTGCGATTTCCAGTAGTATCAGCGGAACGTGCCAGTTTGAGCACCACCTGGTTCGCAAAGTCGTTCTTGGCTGAGACAACAGCCAGAATGATACTTCGTGGCTCCTTCATGTAAGATTCAACCACCTCCTGGATTAAGCCGACATCTGATGCTGATTGATTCTTGGTCTGCGAATGGATGAGCCCAGGAAGGTCCACAATAGTGAGATGTGGCCGATCCGGCCCGGAAATCTCAACACGAAGGAGGTCTTTCGCGAAGGCCTTGCCATGAGTGCTAATGCCCATGGCAGACTTGGCATTATCGATCAGATTGGATAGACCGTCAAAGCTCTGCAACTCCTCATGAAAACTACCAAGGGCAGCTTTCTCAGTGTCACTTCTTGTGTGATGAGGTACGATGGAAACGCTGGCACTGGCTTGGTGGGCCCTGCGTAAGACAAGCTCTGTAGGAAAGCGTGTACACAGGCTACTCTTCACAGGAAATGACACACCAGATATAGCCTCAAGCACAGAACTTTTCCCAGAAGACTGATCGCCACACACAATGATCTGGGGAAGAGAGACAAAGTGGTTGATCCCTTGAGAGCGTAGGTTATCTATAGAGTCCATGAGGTCAAGACGTTCTTTGGAGCAAAGACCATCCAAGGCCTCTGAAGGGAAAGTGGTGAGGACCATGTTGGGCACGCGTTTGTCGGTAGTATCGAAATTGAGTATGAATCAGTGAGTAGATGGGGAAAAGAATCAGAGTAGAAATGTGATCTAAGAAGCCTGGAGCTCATGTCTCTTTTATTTAGAAGAGTAACGCGAACGGTAGAGGTGTAAAATAACAAACAGGAACAGAGTTAGATAGTAGTGGGTAGTTGTTTGTGGCGTCACTCACAGCAGATGCAACTTGCCTGGCCTCCCGCATAAAACCACTGCTTTTTGACGGGAGCCGCCGGTCGTTGGCTTGATTATCGGCCACTCAGGTACAGCTCATCAATACTCTGCCCAATCATTTTCGTATCTAGTTTGATAAGAGCGAAATAGGCGAACTTAGAAAACAGCTACGTGGCTGGACAGACCTCACGTTGCAGGACAGGAAACATGGGTTGGACCTCATAAGAACCATGATTGGTTCCCTTTTGCTTTTCTTTTTTATTTAGAAGAGTTGGGGGCGAGTATTTGCGAGATAACATTTGTTTTCAGATTGACACTTTAACTTTTCTAAGCTTGTACTTTTGACATTCTGCTGAGATGGTGATTTTCGGCTATTTTTAGAAATGTCAACAGGTTATGTGATAAGTGCAACACGTTTGGAACAGAACTCGGTGTAGTAGCATGATATTAACTGAAATTGGGCAGATAAAGGAGAGAATTTGTGTTGATGAAGTGTGTCGAACCGCTGGATCCGGAACCAAAAACATGTATTTTCCATATGTCGACGTGTGTTAAAAGTATTCGTTCCTTGCACGCATGAACGCCTGTGAATCGTGGTGGCACCGGTGTTTCGTCATTTAAAATTGCCGGTTTAAAAGGTACAATGTTTACTCTTCACAAATATAATTGCGATATTCGCAAGGACTTATGACAATGACCGTGTCGTGGTGTGGTTCCCCTCAGCCTACCAAAGTACTGAAGTTCCACTTCGTGTTATCGATCTGCCCCTCGCTCCCTCAAATTGGTTCAACAAATCGAAGTTTAGAAAATACGAGATGACATCAGGAAACAGGCACCCAAAAGGGTGTCAACTTGATCAACTTGGCTTTTCACAGGGGGTTGTGCTCCCTCCGTGCCACTTAGAGCACAAATGCCTGCAGCTTTGCCGCTCGTCATACCATCGATACTCTGGAACTTGCAGAAGCAATTGCATACACTCTACAAATACTATGTAAAAAAGTCTAATGTACTCCCAATTTCCCCGCATCTCGCCATCTACAAAGCTGGGTGTCACTAGGACAGTAGCAACAAGTAGAAGCATCATCGAGGCACAATTTGACCAGTGCAGCTCAATTATCCATACAAGTCTCGTGGGAACTGCGTCGCTGTTCAAGGACCATAATCCCTACGCATCTTAGTTCAACGCCTCAAAATGTGGACAAGTCTCAAGGAAAGAGAACAGCTCCTACAGAGGATCAGTCTTCTTGCTTTACTTGGTGGTATACGCGAAGGTCTTAAAGCAAATGATCTGGTTGCATCAAGCAGCGGTCATTCAATCCTCACAATAATGCAGGAAGCAGAGGTTGCCAGCGACCTTGCATTCCTCTGTCGCCGTCGCCCAGATCCACAAAGTGTCGCTGCAATCGGTATTGAAGAGGATTTTAATGGAGAAGGTGTCGTTGTACGACTTTGCTTCAATGGTAGAGCACTGTACAACATTGAGTATGGCCTAAAGATGATATGTAGATTGCTAGAGAAAGCAGCTCAGCGGCGTAAGATTTCCATTAGCAATGAGATTTTTGAAATGCTAACAGGCCTCAGAAAACCCTGAAACCCAGGATATCGAGGAACTGCTGATAAATGTGGTTAAGCTAGACGTATCGCGTATTATATCACGCGTCGTGCCGTCTCGCAGATCTAGCCAGCATGCCTTGTTACAAAAGGTTTTGCAAAACCCCCAAAAGGACACCGACGGAAGCTCACCCCAGCTCTTTCAAGGACTCCGGAATTTCCTGCAACTCTGTTTGTCAGTGAAAAGACAAGACACAGGGCAGAATGAACTCCTCGGTGAAATTATCAAAGGAGCTTATGACATAACCTTGCATCCCGAGCTCAGCGCATCAGTAGCCCACGTCTGTCCGGATAGAGAAAGCTCAGAAAGGATCGAGAATATGCTCTCAAAGCTCGGACAGTACTTCAGAGCTACTCGCCGTCTCATATTGGCAGCTAGACGGAAGCAGTGTCGGCTGTTTCGATGCATTCGGGTTGAAACATTCCAAATAGAAGTACCAGCTTCGGTGAGAGTATCTAGCCCGCCTGCCGCCGCCATTCCATTGGTTTCGGATTTGTCCAGCCATATAGATCACTCTAATCTATTGAGGCGGTATCAAGGGTCGAAAATTAAGGCCTCTGATGCGTTGATTAAAAGGCTGAATGGCACAAGATCTGCCATCAAAGTACACGCCGAGATCAAGCTCCTGTTCTTCTACGAAATGCATCCCGATATCACCCGGCCACGCATAATAGCTGCAAACAAAAGCTCTTGCTACCTCTGTGATCTTTTCATCAAAGTGCATGGCGCATTCCAGGTCACCAGCACATATGGAATGTTGCAAGAACGCTGGATTTTGCCGGAATGGTGCTCAGTGCCATCAGACGCCGCAGGTCGTTTGAGAGATGTAGTAAAAAGTTTCAACGCAATCCTAGACTTGGAATTATCGCGGACACTGCGCGGGCGCGTGAGAGGTCCTGATCCGCTCCAAAGTTTAATTGCGTTGTCAGCAAAATGGTCCGAAATCAGCTGGTCTTCAAATTCGAATGCTGCTATTTCGACAACAATCTCGCCTGATACGGAAGCAACTACTTTGCTAGTTGAGGACATCAGCTTGAGTCCTACGGATTGTGTTCGCAGACAGCTCGGTTGTATCAATGATTGTTTCTCTCTCCATTTTTACGATAACTACTTAGTCCTGTCTGTGGAGATTACACACATCGAGGCAAGACAGGACCTGTTGTTTTTGGAGGTGTCTTTAAGTGAATGGAAAGATGAGGCGGAGCGGAAGAGGAACGGTATTCCTGTCATAGATCTGGTCGGCATCAAAGAAGGCGGCAGCGGGACATTCAGAACTTATCAGACTGCCTCTGGCAGTACAGTGTACGTGAGCTCTGGAAAGCTGACAGCATGCATCTCGGTATATCGTAAGAAGTGGCCAGGGAGACTTTCTGCCGAGGTTCTGTGAGAGCAACTGTGATAAAAAGAACAAAAAATCAAATAAGTCGCAGCAGATCACAGTATCAAGTCCAGCTTCAATTCATATATAAAACAGTACCAAAATTTCTATGCTAAACGTCTTGATGTTATGTCCAAGTAAAAAGCGACCGGCATCTAGTGGTAAAACCCGTGGAAGGAAAGACCGTCGACTTCCAAGAACATGTCATTCACCACTGGAACGTATTGGAAAGGCCGATGGCCTGCCCCTTTTTGGGCTTATAATTCCTCCTCCCAGCATGTTTGAAAAGTAACAGTAAGCTTTGCGTTCTCCGCATTGATATGTCGAAATAGTCGTAGGTGTCTGCAATATTGCCAAGAGAGGAGAGTGAATATTCGTACCATTGTCGTATGACCTAGAGGACACAGACTCCTGACTGAAAAGCAATAGAAACTTGGCATATCGAAGGTATCTTTAAATTTTTTAAATGCGCTGAGCTGACTAACGGCGCTCTTGTCTAGCGCAGATCCTCCTCGAGCCCATGGCCCTTGACTGCCCCTCTACCCAACATATGTGACAAGCATAGGCGCCGAAAACTGAATCTATAACGATATTGCTGGGTGTGTCAACGTCGTGCTTGGCCTGGCTGTAACCCGCATTGTGTGTGCTCTCAGCTGAGCAATTTGAATGGTGGCAATATGCGGCAAATCGAGGTCGGAAGGAGGCGCAAACGGGCTGAACTTCAGTGATATCTATGATGTCTCAGGGAAAGACGTGTGCAACGAGAGAAATGATCGAAGCTCAAATGAGGTGATATTTGGGGGAGTTGTTGAAGCGACCATGTGGAGCTCTTCCACATAAGAGTCGCCCCTTCCATTAAGATTAGGTGAGCTGAGTGAACTTGTGTCAACTTTTCCTAAGTCCCTCAAAATAAAGACCTTGGCATTCAGAGTACAGATCACAGGGCAAGGTTGCGGAACGTCTGGGTTGACATCTAGAAATTATTAATTTTGACAATTTCCTTTTCTTGTTTCAATTAGTGCCAGAAGACGATCACTGAAGTCAGTTATGGCCCTTACGATCTAGTTTGGGAGGAAACAAGCTTTCTTTGAAGGAAAGGGGTGAAAACTGTGTGTTTAAATTGAAGCCCTGGTTCGCAAGAAGATAATGTGTTCATTCTTTCATCACGCCAAACTACCATACGATGGTATGGTAACTTAATTTCTATAAGGATAACCGGGTGATATTATGGTTTAGTCTAGCTGCACGACTGATATGCAGACGTTATGGTTCTTGCGAAGCGATTTTCGATACACAACACGAAATATAAGTCTGAACTTGAACTAAAAGTGGGAAACGGAGAGTAATAGTAGGGCCCTCGAGCGTTTCGCCTTGTTTAATTTCTGTTTTGAGCATTATATTGTGACTAAAGTGTATAAATCATGAGGCACAAACCATGTCCAAATTGTACTTATTACGCTCTTTGCTTGTGTCTACACGCACATGCTTCTTAGGTCGCAACATGTACGAAAGCCATGCCAGAAGGTTTTGATATTCGAAGACTACGACTTTTAAAGACAGGAATGACAATTCCAAGGAACGTCGAGAATCATGATCTTCAATGATCATATACTATAGGAATTCTTGCAAATTTCCTATGCTTGGATATCAGCATCCGATTCTTTAGTATAATTCAAGAACCTGACACAAATTCTCGATCGATTAAAATGAAGCTGGATGAAATCCGACAGTGTACGAGCTTTTGAGTTTGCTTCGATCTTTCCTTAGCATGCACCTGCCAGCGCTTAGATTGTGCTATATTCCAATCTTCCTTTTCGGTGTCCTTAACGGACAAATAGGCGAATATAAAATCCTTATAGAGTTGGACACGAGGGGACAAAGTTCGGTGGCTGTCTAAAAGAATCTAGCACATGAATGGCTCACCAAGAACCCACCGAGGAAGTGCATTGATGAATACCTACGTACGTCCGCAGCTTTGGCATTGTTTTCTCATCTAGCAAGGCAACAGTGTCATGCAGAGAAGCCCAATCAAAATGCTCACCTCATGGATTGGGATGATCCTTGTAGCTCAGTCGGAGGAAATAGTTTTGGTAGTCTAATAAAGTCATCAATCATTACCATTGTCGAAATCCACCAAATGTCTGTTATACACAAGTGACTTTTCCTAAAGCATACTCAGATCCTGGCCAACAATTCGACGGTCTGTCGTTTTTCCTGCAATTCCTCGAACTACTAAACGCCCAGTCCTTCCCGCAACACAGTGCAAAGAGAGTCATAACCAGCATCATAGAAACCGTGAGAATCGTAGAGAATTGATGCCACGGGGGCGCCCGTGGTGTGAAGTCGTAATAGTCGTAGTGTTCATGATAGTCGCAGTATGAAAGTGAACGAGCTGTAGAGGAAGGGAAACACGACAGGGCTGAATTGGAAATACAAGACGAACAAGCAGGATAATTAAAATCGCAACATCTATGTCAGACCTGACCGCGACATAAATCTCATAGTTCGTGAATGGGATAAAGAAAAGGAACTGAAGTGTGAGCGTTTCCCTTCCTAGCTTCGCGGTATGGCATCTGGCTCGTGGTAAATATAACATGGATGTATAAACGGATACATTCTCATTGCATGTACCGATGTGCTCAGTCAAGTCGAGCACTGTTGGGAGGAGTCTCGGACTTGCCACAGTCTATAGTATCAAGAGAGGCATATGGGTTCTTGGTGTTGACGGTAGCTTGTCCGGTCATCAGGCTTGGTGGAGGACCGAGTGGAGGAAGAGAAGGTCGGATTACGGTGCGCTGAGGAGGCGCTATGGGGCCGAACGGAGAAGGATTCCAGACTGGAGAATTCTAATCAGCCGAACTGTTAAACGAGGATGACAAGGAAAAGGAATATTACATACTAGAAGAGCGGAAACTCGGGCAACCATCATGTGCACTAACATGAACGGTTGTGATGTTACCAGAGCTCAAGCTTATCCTGTCCTGCACCTGGTCATTGTTGTCGTTGTTTTTGTCCAGCTCCTGATCACTCTGCTGCTTCCAACCCAGACCAATTGTGGTAGAACTACCAAAATTTTCGCGGCTGGCATTACCAAAGACGTTGCTCGGTTGTCCATTGACGCCGAAACCAATACTTTCTCCCATCGCCAGTCCACTTTGGACACCAGAAGTGTTGCCTTCGGCAAGACCTTCGGTGCTTGTACTCTGAGGTACATCTCGTTGTCTTGCGATTTCCGCCTGCTGCTTCTTCCACCAAGCTGGAAGACCATGGAAAAGACCTAGTTGGTGTTGCGTGACCTTGTCGAATGGCATCTCGTGCTTGTACTTGCATCCTTGCTGAGTGAAAGCACAGACACCCTCGTGAACCCATTTATCGCAGTAGATCTTGGGTCGACGCTGGTGTTGGTGGTGTTGAGCGCTGCATGGTAACAATGATGTGCCTTGTTTGGAGTTATTGGCCAATGAAGACCCTGTCAAACCGTGATGGCTGTGTGGTGTCGGAGTAGACGGTATCGATGCGACGATAGTATCGATTCGGGACTGTGTTGGGGTGAAAGATGGCGCATTAGCCGCAAGGCTTGCAGACAACTTCCTTTGAAAGGGATTAAGAGGGTTGTAGTTGGAAGGGGCAGCAGCAGCAGTGATTGCAGATGAAGATGTTAGAGAAGCGGGATGGATAGGTAAGTCTGAACAATTGCCTGGATTTGAAGATGCCTTATTCATGCCGATCGGAGCTCGTTGACGCAAAGACAGACTCACCTGGATATTATCCGCAGGGGCTGTAGAGGTGACAGGGGAAGTCTGTGCAACGTAGTTAATAAATTAATCTCCGACCCATCGGTATTGTGGCGCGCATGAGCATGGCAGGACTTACTTTCAATGTGACTGGCTCGGTGCTGCTGGGCCGGCCGTTTGACAGGAAATCACGAGGCATAGGCATCACAATCATGCCTTGGCAGCCTTGCTGTAGAGCTGGGATGTTCTGAAGGGGAGGCAACATGTCGGCCGGGATGAGTCGCGTGTACTGGCCATTACCACGATCGAAGCAGTATGCATAGCTCGAATCAAGCTGGGTATCGGAAAAGGTAGCCATATTGGGGTATGCCATCAGAGGAGCATGTTGTTCCATTCTAGATGGAGGTCTGACGGGATAGGAACTAATACCACGACTAGCTTGAACATTTAGACTACTGCCAGCAGGTTCGAAGGGACCATATGCGTTCTCAATCAAATGCTGTGTTCGCCAGTTATTAGAAGTAAGGCTTCGTGAAGCCTGAGAACAAATGGAACCGCCCGTTCGTGAAGCTTGAGGCTGCTGAAGTGATCGCTGGAACTGAGAAGCGTTAGTGGTAGTACATATCTCGTTACCACGCTCAGCAACAAGCTTGCCGCGACGCATATTGACCGACTCGAATGCGTTACGCTCCATATTCGGCTTAGGATCAGGCAGGTCGTTGCTGGCGGTCTCTATACTCGTAGTCGTGAATTGCTGGAGATCAGCAAGAGGAGAAGATGGTTGCAAGGAGGTAGCTGAAGAAGTGGTTCGAGTTGAGGCACAAGAGGCTTCAGAGGAGTAAGAAACTTCGGAGGGTGGATTCATGGCAGGACCGGCAGGAATAGGTGAGAATGAGGTGTCCATGGTGAATGGATATTGATGAGTTGGGCTGGGTTGTCAGAGACATGGGGTAACAACGGACAATTACTTTCAACCAAAGGAATAGAACAAGAGCAAACGGAGCTGGGCACAAGCTATTAATAATACAGCATCCATTCGGAGCAATGGAACGTGATCAGACTGCCAACCAGAAGACTTGAACGTCTAGAACGGGACAGAGGATGAGCCACAGAAGATGAGATGATATACTATCATAGAGGCAACAGAAAGCAGTTGTTGTGAAGGGCCTGGAACCTCGAGCTGGTTGATCTTGGTGCCAAATCATAGTTGCCATCACGACCGTTTCCCAGCAAACGTCAAATAGGGTTAGATGCATATTAGGCGGTTACCTGCAGTGAAGCCTTGTGTTTCCACGTGACAATCCCTGTATACTGTTGGTTGTTCAAATACCAATTGAAAACTTCTGTCTCGAATACATTCACTCAAAATAGGGCCAACAACGTCCGAACTTGTTGATTTGTCTTCTCATATCTATATTCCCAAGCAATTCCGTTGATCAGAATCGCCCAGGTATCTATGTCGGAAAAAAACATTTGCCAATGGTGAGGGGATCAGTGAGATCCGTTGAAGCAAACCTTGGGGGCAATAAGCTGTGCACAGTCTGCAGAGACAGATGCCCAAATCAGCTCACATTTTTGGTGAGTACTTTTAGTCGTTGTCTAAGTTGCTCCCTGACCTGTTCCTTGAATGCACGATCAGAGTCCGCCTTCAACGGTCTAAGACAGTCGATTGCGATGCGTAGCGAAAGTTCAGAATTCAAGTCCACGCATGCCAGAAAGGCATGCGACTCTCCGCAAATGATGCAAGGGACTCCTCGCTCTATGCCGTTTTGACCTAAAGTCAAGTTTGTTGCCAAATTGGTGTGCGGCATAGTTTGAATATTTGACACCAGAGTCATGTTCGTAGGCGCTGGCCCACTTGGCAATGAAGTCGCAGGATTCGTTTGATAGTTCGGAGTATTAATATGCTGGAAGGAGTGGGCCCTATCGGGTAGGTTGTGATATCCGGCAGGCGGCTGCTGTAAACGGGACCACGACGAGACTAGAGGATTTTGATTAGTAGTAGGGGTAAATTGAGGCACGGTACTACTAGGATTACCCCAGCCATTATTCGTGGGTAAGCTCATTGACAACGAGGTTGAATGTTGTGCTGGGAGTGGTTTATACATTGGCTGCGGAGCCATCTGTAGGTATGTCGGCGCCTCCGGGACCGCTGACTGCTGTATCGGCGGCATTGTCAGAGGAAGCTGAGGGTTTCGAAGGCTCGTTGTTAGGGACTGGTTCGGGTGTGGAGGCTTTTGCACCTTCGCTGCCATCCGGTTTGACGGCGTTAGTTGGTCCACTGGCTTTCTTGGTCTGCCTCTTTTTCTTGGCTGCAACGGGTCTCTGGGGAGAGATGGTAGCCGTGGCGGCGGCGGCGGCGGCGACAACGGCTTGTCTAGGAGAGTTACGACATCTGGTGCCAATGCTTGGAGGAGTGTTAACAATCTTTGCCTTCTTGGGCAATAATGTACGAGGAGTGTTGGGTGGTGCACGTTTTTTAGATGTAGTGTATGAGGTACGCGGGCTATTAGGTGTTGGAGCGGTGCGCTTCCTACCTTTTCGAGCTCTGCTCTTGGGTGAGACCTTAGAGTAAGCCTCTTCCTCTTCGGCATCGCTCCCCTCAGACTCCTTAGCATTAAAGTCACTCTCTGTGGATGCATCGAGTTCGAGGTCGCCCTGAATCTGAGACTGGTGTTCTGTCAGGAAGTCGTCATTAATGCCTTCGATATAGCCACCTACTGCATCATAGCGCACATCTTGAGCCCGTCGGCGAGCACCACGGCCATACTCACGATGCTGCTTCGCAAGCTCCTGCTGGTGTTCCTCTTCACGTTGTTTCAATATGTTTTCCCAAACGTTCGAGTCTGTTGGCCCGTTGCTCTCATTAGCATCGTCGTCGATGTTAGCAGTGAGTGTGGCCTTGTCGTTGGCCCAGACACGTGCGAAGGAGAATTGCGACTCCGTTGATTTGTCGTTACCAGTACTAGTACTTTCGATCTGACTGCGGTCAAGTAGCTTGTCAACGGAGGCTTCGTCATAAACAATCTTGTCCTGGGCATCGCCACTAAACAATGCCTCTGCGCCATGCTTAAGAATAGATTCAAGGTCCTTCTCTCCTGCCTCATCAGCAGCATCCATACTTTCGATCAAGGCATGATCAAGTGCCATCTTTTTGCGGCCAATCTGCATGATCTTCTCCTCCACTGTGTCCTTTGTAGTCAATTGGAAACAGAGAACCTTGTTTTTCTGTCCAATACGGTGAGCTCGTGAGAGTGCCTGTATGTCCTGGTGTGGATTGAAGTCAGGGTCAAAAATTATGACCGTGTCTGCAGTTGCTAGATTGATACCGACACCACCGGCACGCGTTGACAGTAGCATTGCAAAAAAGAGTGAGCCAGGCTCATTAAAGGCGTCGATCCGCTTCTGCTTCTCTAGAGCGGACAAGCTTCCATCGATCCGGGCATGGGGTAGTCCGAGTGCTGTGAGAAAATCCTCAAGGATAGTAAGGCTCATGAGGAATTGGCTGAAAATCAAGACACGATGGCCACGCTCCCTCAATTTGGGAAGCATGATATTCAGAAGCCGAAGCTTGCCAGAAGCGTCAACAAGGTTCTTCTGGATGATGACTGGATCGGTAACGGTTCGATCTTCGACGGAGTCGCTGAAGAGAAATGGGTGACAAAGAACACGTCGTAGTTCCATGAGTATATTGTTCAGACCTTTCCGCTCACCGGCTTTAATCTTTCCTTTGGAAACAATCGCCTTGATTAATTCCGAGTTCTTGGAAATAATAGATTTCGACAGCTTCTCCTGGAGGTAGGTCATGGTGACAGGAAGAATGATTTGAGCCATTGGTGGGAGAAAGGTGAGAACTTCTATCTTCGTACGACGCAGAAAGTAGGGTCTGATCATAGCATGAAGCTTTCTAAGAGATTCGTTTGTGACCTCTCTATACTCTTCATCGAGTGCCTCGGCATTACGCGAGGGATCGATGAATTGCAGCAGGTTGAAGAGCTCACGTTTGTTGTTCTGCAAAGGGGTACCTATTTAAATGGTGAGCAAGAAAATAACGCCACTGCAGTAGACAAGAAAACTAACCAGTTAACAGAACTCTGAACGGAATCCTCATGTCTTGCAAGGCTCTATACAGCAAGCTCTTGTCGTTCTTCAATCTCTGACCCTCGTCTACGATCAAGCCTTGCCACTTGACAGAGCGGAACGTCGATCCAGCATCTACGGCTGCTTCATATGACATAATGACAACATGCGCCTTAATGCCAGCCTTAATACCTTCGGGAAAAATTTCGTGCTTGAAAGCCAGATCCTGTGCTGCCTTGCCACCATGGTAGGTGCAAACACGAAGTTCTGGTGACCATTGCCTCAGTTCGCGGCGCCAATTAGGACAAGTGGAATTTGGAACCACAATTAAAAACGGCCAGCAGTTAGGCTTGTCCTGGACAAGCGTAGTGATGAAAGCCACCACCTGTACTGTCTTGCCTAGACCCATTTCATCTGCCAGAATGACATTAAGCTGTTTATTGAAGTTGAAAAGCATCCAGTTGACACCATCGACCTGGTACTCCATGAGCTTTCCACGCTTAAGCCCGGGAGGCTGAGCATGGAGTTCGCACTCGGACCTGAAGTCAAGGCCACGGAACTGCTTGACTCTTTCAGCCATCTTGTGGTCTGTGACATGGGGGAAATGGACACCTTGGACGTATTCCTCGTATGCTGTGCGGAAAGCATCGTAGGCTGCTCCTGTGTCCTTGGCAGGCGGCGTGTCCCAGACTGATTCCGTATAGCCAAGACCCTGAAATTTCACAAAAATCTCCTTGACATCAGAGATACGGGCAAGGTCCTTAGCTTTGCTCGAGCGCACTCTATTCCCACGATATCGGACATTTAAGATGACATCGGCTAGAAGCCATTCTTCCTCAATGGCTTGCTCGAAAGTCATCTTTGGGAGCATGTTCTCATCGCGTTTGACAAATGCAGATTTCATAGCGCTTGCAGCTACGCCAAAGACCCAGGCACCGGGCATCCATGTGTCATGGAAGTGAGAGACCTTGTCCCACTTGACTAGGTACTCTTTACCATCCTCAGGGATGTCAAGGCAAGTCTTTCCAGTAATGTAGCCCTCTTGATCAACGGGGCGCCAGGCGACCAAGGACTGGATTTTGTGTTTTGCGTCAACACAGTCCTTGCACCTCCAATCAACCATGTCATACTCGGAGATCCTGTTGGCGCGCAAGTCGACAGGAATCTCCTCTTCTCGGGTTAGCGGTGGTAGATGTTCGAAATGGTAGCCACGCTTGCAAGAAGTACAGCGGAACAGTAAAGTGGCAGCATTGTTTATGAGCTCACGATTGACCTCAGTAACAGGATCTTGGCCTCCATTTTCTTGGCGCAAGTGTTCCTCAACTTTCGGTGTCTTCTTCGGTGAGAACTCGTGGCAAGAAGGAGAAACTGCCTTGCATGTTTGACACAGAGCATGGTTTGGTGCAGTCGCATCTTTCTTCTGGTATGTGCCTATGCAGATTCTGCATTGAAGAACAAAGTAATCCGGTCCGATCTTGGTGACCCGATGCTCACGTGCCGATCTCTGACCCAAGCATATCTTATGGTAAGATGTCGAGCAACCCTGACAAGCAATCAGAGAACCTTTGCCTGCATGTGCCCCGGAACCGCAAGTCTCACAGGTTCTCATGTGCGACTTGACGAATTCGGAATCCTCAGGCAGGGGCGGGAAGATCTCTTTGACGGAGACATGCTTGGGAGTACTGACAGGTTTGTCGTCGATTGCGCCGTAATCATCGTCAATGTCTGGAACGACGTAGTTGGTGTCTTTTGTTATTCGACCAGACTTGCGAGTAGGTTCAAACTCAATCGACGAGTCTCGATCTCTTCTTCGTGCGGCACCACGGAGGCTTCGTCTGCCTTTGCCACCCTTCCTCTTGTGACCGGCCTTGAAAGAGCTGAGGTCAGAAGTGACGGGTTTGAAATTATCATCAGAGTCGCCAGCAAGTTCATCCTCAGAATAGAGAAGATGGGCAGTGTATTTCTTGCCAACAGAATTCTGAGCTCTGGTCAGTCTCTTGTTAGGTCCAAGTCCTTGCTTGACGGGATTGTCGAAGTCATCGTCGTCCTCGTCCTCATGATCATCCCCGCCCACAAATGCGCTATCGACAAGATCCTCATCGATGCCATACTTCATGGGATAATCCACAGATGGCTGTCTGGAGGTCATCCGTCTCGTGCTTCGACGAAGAGGTATTTGTCGCGGTTGCTCAAACTCCATGTGGTCTGAGTCTGTGTCGGCTGGCCAATGGCGTTTGGTACCGTGATGTGCTATTGTGCCTGGATGTTGATACATGTCCTGTTCTTGATAGAAGCCCTGGCTTCTGCGAAATCTGTCCAGTGCAGAGGAGCCGTTGCGCATTGTACGAATATCATCATAAGCGAACTATGGCAACGGTTAGCAAATCAAAGAATCGAGGATGATTTTGGTGAAAAGGGGGGGGGGGGGGACAAGAAGTAAAAATGGACGAGGCAACAGTTTCAAAGTGTGACCGGAAGTTGCAATTAGAATGGAAAGCACTTTGGGAGGATCGAGAGGAGACAAGCATATTACACGAGAGTTCACTTGAGTAAGTGTACTGAGGCGCACCTGTTGGAAGAACGTACCGACATCTTGTCTTATCTGTCTGGTCTTGTTCGCGAGTAGGAACGGTGAATAAATAAAGATTGTGTAGGGGTGATGAGAGGAAGTACGAAAGGATGTGGATTCGCTGATGACAGAGATGGCTTTTGTGATCAAGAGAATGTGATCTCCTGGTAGATTTGCCTTCAAAGGGCAGAAACAGTGTGCGATCCTGAGAAGCACAAGTCCAAAGCGTATAGCTAGGAAAGCGCTGCTGGTCTGCTGATGTGACTTTGATGACGTGGATGTGAGTTGGGAACAATGTGTGAGGTAGGTGGTTCACGACAACCACCTTGGTATTCAGTGGGAAGCAGATATGTGAGTATTGCTCGACGACCAAGGTGACTTGCCCATCAATCTCTGGTGCACCAACCTTCATGTTAGGTGTTAAGTTGGACTGCAAGAGAGGAATGGAATTGTAGAGTAGAGATGAGGGGCGAAGTAGGATTGTGAAGAGAATGTGGGTGGGAAGTAGAAGTTGATTGTCTTGTATTTGCTGAAGAAGAACAAGAAGAAGAAAACGAGAAGTGGATATAACGTCCCAGGAACTGAGTTAAGAAAAAAAAAAAAAAAAAAAAAAAAAAGGGCAGGAACTGTGGAAGGAAAATGCTTGTTTTCACAGGGTTCCAAACAATTCAGCACTCCTGAGATTGCTGCGTCCTTTCATGAACGATGGGCGGGAAATGGAAGGCAAGCAAAGGGAGCGCAAGTGCAAAGTGGATAGAAGGTAGAGCAGACCATAAAACCACGCAAGGGCAGGCACTTACTTGGTCAATACGACCATCGTCAAACTCCACACTATACCAAGGGCCATCGTCGTCGTCATTGTCATGGCCAGTGGCAACCTCTTCGAGGATCTTGGAGACAAACCAACTAGGTGGTAGGTCGATTTTGGAGTATGAGCTTGGGTCGGCCGGGGCATGGAGAAGGACCTGAATGGGCAAGAGCTGAGGTTGCTGCAACGGCGATGGTGAGGAATGTTTGGTGGAGGCGTTCTCTTCGTCCACCTGTTCTGTTTCTTGTACACCTGCCAAGTTCCCTGTTTCGTCTTGCTCGACTTGCGCATCTTCATCACCATCATGTCCGTCAAGGCTCGTAGCATGACCAGTGGGCCCCGCCGCATCCACGAATATAGAGTTGTCACCAACATCTTCAGCAATATGGTCAGGGTCGGGGTCGAGGTCATGGACATGGACATGGACATGATCATGATCGTGATCAGATTCCGACGGGTCCGCGCTCGTCGCGTCCGTCGCATCCATCGCATATATTGCTACCGTGTCGTACACATACCTCGTGCTGTTCCAACTGGCTTGGAAAGAAGCTCAGGGCGATGGTGGGGGCGAGAACTGCACGCAAAGTCAGCATTGACCGGACAGCTGTGGGTGAATGACAAGAGAAAAGCTTGGCGCATGGTCGCATACCTCTGCCGAAGCTATTTCGAGCTTTCTCCAGCCTTACCTCGAGTTGTGGTGCAGTTGTTCCAAAGAAGGTTATCGAGGCAGGCGAAGTTGAATCCATAAGTCAATGTCGTGCAGGAGACGCGCTTTGAAATCAATTAACCTAACGAGTCTGACGCCCTCGAGGGCCCTTCTCCAACGCGGTGCGCTAAGCGTTGCGCTAAAGAATACTCCGATAATCATTTGCAGGGTCCTTATCCAAGCGCTAACGTCTCTAGCGTCGTGCGGCCAGGGGAGAGGCGACGGGCGACGGGCGATGGGCGACATGAGACAGGGGGGTCCCTAAATTTTCTACCGTAGTTCTAGACGAGCGTCACTGCAGTAAATTCTCCATAGCTGCGACCAAGGAGCCATCTTCCTCTCCTGCACCAAACATCTTTATCTTACATGTTTGATACAGCTTTCTGCTGAGAGTATGAGATGAGACAGTTCACTTCTCTGTGTTCCCTGGCAAAACACAATGTACCATTCAAAACCTCCACCCTGCATGGCCTGAACCATGTTCCTGTACGCTATTCCTCCCTGTCTGCCATACATCGAGGGTTGAGAGATTCCGAGAAGTCCCGCCCCCAGGGCTTCGCAAGGGGAGCCCTCGACACTTCGGCCTCCCTGAGGACAAAGCGGACTACATCTCGCAGTCGACGTGATCCGGATTGGACCCCCCCGGGCTTCGTAATCAAGAGGGGCAAGAACGACATCACTGACGAGGGTCCCAAGCCGAAGTCCAAAAGAGAGAGGTTCAATGACCCTACCGAGACTTTTGGAAAGAAAAGCCATGTGTACTTGGCGAAGACTGGCCGACTCCGGGAGGAGCTCGACGCCCTAAAAGGGGACCTCGACCCCACCGACCGAGGGACATTTGAAAGCAAGTTTACCGGCAAATTCAACGACGACTTTGGCCAAGGCCGCTCGTCCCGAGGCAAAGACGAGCGTCGCCCCTCAGGGTTTGCCAGGTCCGGCGGCAGAGACAACGCGAGGTTTGCCTCCAAAGGCCATGGCAGCAGATCTGACCACAGAGCCGCTCCGTCACGGGACGACGGGGGCAGGGGAAGATCTGGTGACAGGCCAGCACGCCGCTTTGACGATAGGGACAGCAGACGGCCTAGCGACAGGCCCGCTCGTCGCTTTGATGATAAAGACGGTGGAATGTCTGGCGACAGGCCTGCTCGTCGCTTTGATGATAAAGATGGTGGCAGGTCCAGCGACAGACCCGCTCGCCGTTTCGAAGATAAGGACGGTGGAATGTCCAGCGAAAGACCCGCTCGTCGCTTTGATGATAAATACGGTGGGGCGTCTGGCGACAGGCCTGCTCGTCGCTTCGAAGATAGAGACGGTGGAATGTCTGGCGACAGGAATAACGGCCGGTCTCAGTACAGGCCAGCTCCTAGATCAGAAGACCGCACCTCCAGATTTGATAACTCCTCAACTGAGGACGGGCAAAGCTTCCGGCCTACCGTGCCAAGTCATGACTTGCCCATACGAATCCGTCACACCACTGCTGCATCACAGTTCCTGTACGGTCGTTCAGTGGTAGAAGCTGCGATGAAAGCTTCGCGTCGAAAGATCTATCATCTGTACCTATATGCGGGCCGTGACCGACAGAACTTGGTTCAAGACGCAAGTTTGGAAAACCTGGCAAGAAAGCAAGGTGTGGAGGTCACCAAGATCTACGACAATGATGGTTTGCGCATGATGGACAAGATGAGTGTCGGCAGGCCACATAACGGCTGCGTTCTCGAGACTTCCCCAACACCGCAGATACCGCTGAAGAGCCTCGGACAGCTATCCGAGGACCCGTCAAAGCCTGGCATCAACATCGAATTAGCATATCAGTCGGCAGAAGATGCAGCCATCAACGGGACACCTGACATGATCCCTTACCACAGCAAGAATAACAGAAACCCATTCTTCTTGTTGCTGGATGGCATCCTAGATCCCGGTAATCTCGGAGCCATTCTCCGATCTGCAGCATTTCTAGGTGTTACGGGTGTGGTAATCAGCAAGGGTGGATCCGCCGGCCTCACACCTGTATCCCTCAAGGCATCTTCCGGCGCCTCAGAAGTACTGCCGCTCTATTCTGTAAGCTCGACTCCGGATTTCCTCGAGAGGTCGAAGGAGAATGGCTGGATGATATATGCCTCTGTGGCCGCCGGTCCTCGTTCGAGGGGCAACTCCCACCTCACGCTCGATCGCGTCGAAGCCTACGACCCTCTTTCGGAGAACCCTACAATTCTCGTAATCGGTAGCGAAGGAGAAGGTCTCGAAAAGAAGATCAAGCGATTGGCAGACTTCGAGGTCTCCATCCCAGGACAATCAGGGCTATTGAGCACGATAGACAGTCTGAACGTCAGTGTTGCCACCGGAATTATGTGCTCGGCATTTCTGAAGAAGAATCAGGGATTTGAGATTGAGGAGTCAACGGAAAGCATCAAGGAGCAGAATAGCGATGAATCTCCACTCTGGTAAAAAACCATGTGTTAATATGTATGAGTATGTATAACCTGTACAAACAAACGGATAGATAGGGGGGGCATGCATATAATGATACCCAAAATATATTGCATTAATACAGCTTTCACAATTTATCGAACTATGATCACAGAAGACTTTGAAGCTAATGTGCATGCACCAATGACAGAAGAAAGACTAACCAAGATCGCCAAAACGTCATTGTTTCTATGCATGACTTATCCGAGGTACTCAAGACCATCTATTTGATTATCACTTGTCAGAAATCCCCGGGCCTCTGGCCGTTCTCAGCTGACACCTCTAGACTCCGCCTAGCTATCAGCACCACTACCAGCACCCCCCTCCGTCTGCGATACATTCGCAAATGCCAAAGCCAACAACCTAGGGAACAACGGCGTCCCCAGCCCCGTCACCGGATCCCACCCCTCCGTCGCGTTCCAGCCAGCCCCTGGCACCTCCGGCGTCGGCAGGCCCGAGTACGGACTCGTCGGCCCACAGCCCCTGCTCCCACCCACCGTGATGTCCGTCAGCCCGCCCTTGGCGGCCACGGTGCTATACAACCAGGGATTCAAGAAGCCGAGCGGCCTCCTTCCCTGCGCAACCAGGGCGTTGTTCACCAGCGAGATGATACCCGCGAACGCCGGCGCCGACGCAGACGTCCCGCTCACCGACGTCACCTTGCCCTGGTCCATGACCCGGTACGCGTTCCCCTGCGCCGAGACGTCCGGGAACCCCCGCCCGGACGCGTTGTACAGCCCTGAGAACGCGCCGCCGATGCCCCCCAGGTACCCCGACACCGCGGCGTCCTGGTACGCCGGCCGCGGGAAGTAGTCGCTGAAGCCGCCGGAGGAGAACGAGACGGCCTTCTCGGGCAGCACGCCGGCCGTCCCGCCCACGGAGGTGATGTAGGGACATGCGCCGGGGAAGGTGGGCGTGAAGCGCGTGGTTTTCGTGCCGTCGTTCGTCTGGCATGCAGACCCGGGGCCGGTGTCGCCGGACGAGAAGATGATGCTTACGCCGCGGGTGCCGAGTTGGCCGAACATCTCGCATACTTTCTGGGCGTACACGATGGGGATCTCGCGCTCGTTGTCTCCATAAGAAGTGGATAATGTCGTGGGAAGCTCGTCGTCGGTCAGGTTGAGGAGGTAGGTAACGAGCTCGAGATAAGGCTCGTTGCTGTTCTGGTTTTCGTTCGGCTGGCTTCACATCGTTGTTAATATGGTGTGATGGGGGTTAAGAGATACAGGCTTACTCAAGGTCAGGAATTAATGGCCCTCGCCCTCCGACTGAAAAGAACCGAATGTCAGAGTTGAACCCCATAGCAGCCACATATTGCATATCCAAGTTTGCCTCGACGTCTTCGTTGGCTGTGTCTGTCTGGTTGTCTTCGCCGCCATTGATCAGGGGTGTCGTGAAGCTCTGGCTAGATGCAATCGGAGCGTACTTGTCTAGGAACACCTGTAACATGTCGTGTTTGGCGTATTGCTGGAAAGATCAATACAATGGTTCTTCTTCGACTAAGGTAATGACCTTACATTGAGAAAACCGCTGACTCCGATACTGGTTTTGGCCGCGGGCTTGGCCGTATAGTTTCCGACTTTATACAGCAACCTAAGGCAGGCCGGTGTAATGAAGTAGTTGCAGATTTTCAGTGGATTCGTTCCGTTAGCCATCACGTCGGTATCGATATTGAAGGACAACTCCTCCGAACCTTCCTCCAACCCTTCCGCATTTTCACCCTTGTATATATGACTATCATGCCGTCGAGTTCGAGAAAAGACGGTCGTAGGCTGTATCATGGTTATGTGCGTCCTAAGGCCCTCTGGTACCGAATACTTCAATGTTCGTATCCTCGTGTCGTCCGTACCTTCATAGTTGTAAATACCGAAATCGGCACTCAGGAGGTTTTCAGCCTGTGCTACTGTGGCCCTAAAGTTGATCCAATCGCCCGCATCCTCAATTTCGGAATTAGAAATTCCACCAGACTTCAGCCAGCTAACAACAGCATCGGTTGACTCCCGATGCGGCTTAACCAGCTCTTTCAACTCTTCTCTTGATAGGTGCTGACCATAGGAAGGATGGTCTGGAGACGAAATATCGTAAAAGATTCGCTCGAAGTTGCCATTCAACACGTTCGGCTGCTGTAATGCTATTCGCAGCTGGATTATCGATAATGGGTTGGCATCCTGCACCCTCTCCCAGCCGTTCGGAGGATTTAACACGGACTCGACGATGGCGTTTCTGCCTGCCGTAACAAATCCAAACAGCTGTAGACCCGTTCCTAGAAGCACGGATTGTCTCATCATTACCTATGATCCGGGAAATCATCCAGGGACAAGTAGTAATCATGCGGATCGAGAAAAAAAAGGCACTTTAATGGGATGCTTATGGCAGAGTTGCAGAGACCTGGGAACGACGCGTGTGGATGGTCGCATGTAGCAAAGTACCTCCCATCTATTCGTCAGGAGCAGAACGGCTAGGCTTAAAGCCAATAAGAATTTCCGCGACTGGATATAAAAGGTAGTATAGGTAGGACGGAAACCAGCAATCAAATTCGCACGTGTGCAATATGTTTCTGAGTGCCAGGCAATTTAGATACCCGCCCAATATGCGCCTGTCGCATCCTTGGCACCGGAAGGGCGAAAAAGACCTCCCGAACTGCAACCACCGACTCAGGTTACAGCACTTCTTTATTAACAGGTGTCGAGATGCCAAGGGAGCGGAAGGGAACAAGACTCCGGAATGGAGTCAGACGTAAAAGCAAGCGGCGCCAGCTTCTTAATGGCTCCATCGGTATGGATTCTTCTTTGTGACTGACGGACGTTACTCAAATTGCGTATCGTGGTGAGCCCCACAGACACATGTCGAACGCCTAATCTGATAGAAATGGCTGCATGATTTTACGATCGGCAGATAGATACCCTATCAGCGCACTAGCTGACTATACTAACTGCCGTTTTAGGGCCGAGCCGAAAATGATTCTCACTGAGGCCAGGGATTTCCAGGAACTCTGTTCGCAATTGCCTCTTTGAGCTCCGGAGTCCGACGTGTTTGAGCCAAGCACCTGCCGCAAAACTTGTAGACTTGGCAAGCCTTCACGCAATTGGCAACCTTAAAGTAATGGAGCTAGTTGCGGAACTATTCAGCAGAAACTATACGAGTAGTTGTCTGCTAAGCTAGTGTTATTGGCGCTTGCCTCTATATTGTAAGTGGGGACTCTGCTCGCTAGGCTACATTTATAGACATTGGAGGTTAGGGCGGTCACTGGCAATACAAGAATTTTGAGTGGGTTTATGGATTTAAGGAGACTGTAGTCGGTGTCGCTGATGCTTCCTGGCACCGGGCCATTACTCGTCGCTTGTAGGATTCTATTCGCTCGGCTATGCCCTGAATACAGCGTTCCTACCAGCTCCTGTTGCTGGATGTACAGGTCCTCAATCGATGTGTACTAACAGTAGGACATTGCTGAAGCTCTCTAGTCATGGCTGTATAGCGGCGACATGTGATGCAGGAACGAGCAGCTGCAACAACCATTCTGGGCACATATTTGAGCCGCAATACAATAACGCTACTGGATTACAAATCACGTATTTGCAAATTGACATTCATGACTAAACTCAGGACGTAGTATCACACCAGAAACCGAGAGTTGTACGGTTCACGAAGTTGGTGAATTCCAGTCCTTTTCTGAAACAGTCCACAGGCCTGTGGTGTCTACCGTACGCGATGTTACTGAGTTACAGAATTTATCAGGTCCGTCTGTGGCGTACCTTTGTATGCTCAGGTATTTAGTCGCGCATCCAATCACCTCACAACAAGACAAAACCAGCACATACTCTCAATGTTCTTGAGAAGCTTGAACATGGGGATCTTGATAGCGTCAGTCAATTGGATGGTGTCTTGACTCAAATGACTCTTTGTGGTGAAGAATCGCATACTTTGATAGCTAAGTATTTGGAAATGCAGTGGTCAAATACACGCCATCAATATGGATAGCTTCACAGGTCCGGCCTTGGGAGCGCCTCATCCCTGTCCCACAATTTTGCGACAAGGTGCGCAGTGACAAATTTGCCAGTTGGTACTTAGTGAACGTAATATTTGCATTATCCACTGTTTCCATGTTCGCCTCATACTAGCCAGGACTGGCCGAAGAACGACTGTGCTCTTCAAGACCAACAACGGTTGGTCGTACCCTAGTACTTCTGTTGGTTTTGTAAATAAGGATGAAATTAAGGTCGTTACAGGCCATGTTCTGGGCCTTTGGTGCTGCATATAGCACCACCTGGGCCTTCTGCGGAGCGCTAATCAGGCAAGGGAGACAGGTGAGATCGCTTTTATGCAGAATACAACCTCAGAAATGTAGCCAGTTGTTTCGAATTGAAAAATTCAATGTCGAAAAGCGATTCTGAGTTGTGCTGTAACTCGAGAATTCCACCATGTGTCTGTTGAGCTTACACGTAACTACATATACATAGAGCTAATCGAGAGTGTTATATACAATATGGTAAGTGTACGTATGCGATCAAACTGTCTTTGCAACAAGATGGAAAACTAGAATGTGTTATGTACTTGGCAGACCTACAGAAAGAACTGCGTTTCTCCAATTGATCTAAGATAATCTACTCGGTGATTGACTTAAACCAGAAGTCCCCTTCATTCTATCACACTAACGGAACATAAAATCCGAGAACTGAGCTTCCATGAGTATTACAAAGCCTGATTGGTGTGCTCTTTGACTAGATTCTCACTCCTTGCATCACGACGAACATGCATGTATGTATCAGATCGATCGATCCAGACTTGTGAAATCTCACCTGAAGAGTTCAGTGGTGATTGTCATCTAGTAGCCTTCCAGGGTGGTTGTTGCGTAACTGTCAGTATTTACTAATTTGCAGTTCTGCAACTTTATAAAATCATCGATCAGTTCACAATCTTACCACTTCTTCTCCGGTGCATTACAACGTAAAAGGCCATTTCCATTTCTCAACTGAAACTCGTCGATCACTAACGGTCACGAGTACGCATCAATTCTTCTTGACTGGTTTCGAGAAGTCTTCAAAATGCAGTTCCTCAATCTTACTGTTGCAATTGGCCTTTCGGTCTTTCCCATAGCCTTCGCCGGGCCTGTTCAGAACGGCAGGACTACTACTGAGACTTGGCATGGTAAACCAACAACTCTCACTGCTGCCGACCATACCTACACTTCTCCTCGCGTTCCCACCATCACTGGTAAGACGAAACTCCCTGGCCCATATGGTTATCATCATGCCTCTTTTGAACGGTTGGTTCGTACTAACTCTATAAAATCCTTCACATTCATGAGAGAAGTGCTGGGTCATGAATACAGCAGAACGCCACCCCCCCCTTTTTTTTTTTCGATCATCTTAGTCGAACTTGGGACTAACAGCTGTTTCAGTCAGCGCTATTCATGATCATTCTAGTGTCCATAGCGATGGTGGAACCAGAGTCTTCACTGAAACCTGGGATGCTCACTTCACCCAGGACGATGGCGAAGTCAAGACCGTTCCTATCAAGACTGTGACACTCACGTACGTCGACGGTACACTTGGTACGTACTTAACAGACACGTCTATGCTTTCATGTCTGTTTGTTTGTTTGTAGACAACGAGTCGCTAAAACGAGTCCACAGCCAACATTCCTGGCACCTTGGCTACCAAAACTGCGCGTGATGCTAGCTACTCGGCCGCCACCGGGGAAAACCCCCCCGAGACCATCACCAATGACGACGCCGAGGTTTCGACATTCCTGACTCAGACTCTGACAGGTGCCTTTCAGCCTGCCGCTGTTGCCAAAGACCACACCAGCGTCAGCATGTGGACCGAGACCACCACTTACACTCAGACGGTCGCCGCCACGACCATGAATATCAGCGGCACTCCCCATACATTCACCGAGTGGATACAGACTATCACCTGGACTAAGCTTGTCACTACTCACATCACCGGTAAGCCCTGGCGGCTCGCTATTTCTGTCCTTGTGAAGCTAGCTGACAAACAATAAAGTGCCTGACAGGATCGCCTACTACACTTCTCCGGTTCCGGTTGACGAACCTCCCTTCGCTAGTAAGTCACATCCACCTGAGATTCGACTGGCGAAAGTCCTTTTTACTGACAGTTTTCTTGTGCAGCAGTTACGACCACGGGAACCCCATGTTTTGACCACCTGGCAGGCGCTGGCTGTACTCCCTTTCCTCAGTAGTAAATGACGCTATCCTTCACATCAGACTAAACTGTGTTACTTCTCATACATGGTGCCTACCATGACTTAGGGTTAGATTGTTCCTTGCAGAAGAGATACTAGCATGGACGCAGTGAAATACGTAGACATACACAAGAGATCTCTGGATGGTGCCTAGATCACTGGCAGATAGAATGCGATTTTTTTTTTACATGGATACAAAGTTGTAGAGTTCGGATAGCCTAAAAGAGAGGTTACGTACTTTCTTGTAATCTGACTTCGCAGTTCGGATTGTGTGTTCGATGCTTACTCCTGATGAGGCGATGATGGAGCCCAAATAAGCTATATGGTGAAACTCCGGGTGAATCACGGCACTTTGGTAACTATCGTTGGAAATGAATGTGGTCTTATAATGGCCAAAAAGCGGACAGTTGTCAACCACTTCCCGGGGGGAGGCTCTAAATTACCCAAGCAATGACTTGGTGGTTTGGTGGTAGATAGCTACGGCTTCAATACTGGTTGGTTTCAATTCCATAAAGGTTCCGGGTCCTAGGATCGATTCGGGTAAGTACGTCACCTTTTTGACCTTTTTCCCATTTGTTTCTCTCGGTTTTTGCCTCTCTTACAATTTTATCTATCTACCTTTTTTTTTTTTTTTTTTCTTTTTACTTTGCCATCCATAAGAAGACCAAGATGATGAAGTACTGTTTTATACCACTACGTCAGATAGTGTTTCAGCCTTCTGTTCAGCGTTTTGTGAACTTTCTTATTCAGAGATGAGTACGTTCAAAATTTTAAATTCTTGTAATAAAATAAATATGCTCATGACAAACGTTTTGCATCATGCGATATGTCAGCTCCACCTATTCCTGTCCAGAATCCATCGGCTTTCCAAATACCAGCATCTCCATAACCTAATAGTGCACTCTCCTTGACCCAGCTGAACCGGACAAAGTCCGGTACGGCTTGCGGTGTGCGCACCCACTCAAACCTGTCCGATTCCTGGCTGGCGAAAGAATATCTTGCCCTCTCAACATCGTTTATCAGCATGCTAATCCCGTCCGTTTCGATTGGTACCGGCGTACGCCAGGTGAAAGTAATATTAGACGAAGCGTCGTTCAAGTGGATCACCGGTTTGAGGACTTCTGGCGGGGCGACTGCGGCAACTACGGATAGATCTACCGCTGAAGTTGGAGTCGTGAAGATTTCCACCGAATAAAATAGACCCCTCTGAGCGAGTCCCTGGACCAGAAGTCCGGCCAGGAGGCCCTGATATGCTAGATTGGGCCTCGTCAAGACGGCAGTTCCCGGCAGCAGGAGAAAAGCGAGCGGCAACAGATGTGCGGGAACGCCACGAAAGGCCAAAGAGATAGCAAGAGTAGACAAAGAAGCAGCATACAGTGCTAAGGACCTCGGAAGAGTTCCCTCTTCATGCAGATAGTACATCTGATGGAGTGCAACTAGGGCCACCAAACTGGGAACCGCGAAGATCTTCTGTTGCAAATCATGGCTTATGATCAACCCGACCCAGAAGGAACCAAGCCACAAGACGGTCTTCTCTATTGGAGCGACCTTGCTCAAAGTCCGCCTGACCACATGTCTGTATATTAGAGTGGCGCAAAGAAGCACCGGCGCATACTGGATGGTGGCAGTGATCAGGGTTTGCCGAAAATTTGGCGAACCACTTTGCACAGTCGGCGCGTCACTCTCGCTCCTGCCAACACCCAAGAGAGCTATGGAGTGCATCAAACCAGTTCCTATGGCAACGCAGAAAGGAAGTAATGGCGTGTTACTGAACAGAAAGACCACCATTGTGAACGCAATGGATATATACGGCAGCATCCGACTCTGTTCCTTGCTATGACACTCGAATCCCGAGTCAAACTGAAACTTGAACGACTGCGGAAAGTAGGTCCGAACCGCAACCGAGACGATACCGTTCATCCTCGACCCCGGGAAGGTATTCGTCTGGCCCATGCGGGAGAGAACTCCGCACCCACCTTTCGCGTCGTCGACGATGCCGAAGTGAACGGCCGAGGCGCATATCCATGAATCAGCGCGGTAAACTGGCCCGCCAATGGCCAGAGGCTGATTTACTATTCGCTGAGACCCTACAAGGTGTGGTTCTTGAAGTTTGACGCTCGCGCAATTCGCTGGGCAGCGGAACGCCATGGGCTTGGACGTGGCTGGACAATTTTCGCCGTCCTCTCCGCATCCGTTGCCAGGTAGCCACAGGGACTCGGTACAACTCAGCTGTCGTACTGGCTGATATGCTCCGTCGACCTTGGCGAGGGCCATACTTCGATCTGATAGAACGGCAAATGCCAGCAGCCAGGTCAGGAAGAGGCTCAGAAACAGCAGCGTCTTCTGTCGGCCATGAGGAAAGTGGGCATCAAGCCAGCGTGATGCCGCTGTTTGCAGGCCAGGCATAACCGGGTCAAAGATATGCCTCTGTTGCGAGTTGACTCCTGCATTTTTGTCCAGGGGGTATTCCTCAATAATCCGGACAAGACGTCCCGTACTTTTCTCCGGGCAGCCATTAAGAGAACCTATCTGGTGAGATGGATCGTCGGGTTGCTCCATTGTAATGCTAGTCATGCTTCCAAACTTCATGATGGACAAACTCGCTCAACCATGCTACTGAAGTGTGCGTTGCGTTGGAGGAGTAGATCGATAGGATGCGCCAGGGGTGTTCAAGGTCGTGTTGAGTAGAGTTAGTAAACATATCACAATGGATGCGTGACAATAGAAACAAAAAAGAATAGATATATTTTGCCCCCCTTCTGGTTGACTGCCCATCTGGAAACACCCAATGTTTCGCTACGCCTGGGTAAAGGTCTGTGCCCTGTTCAGCGATGCTACGTGCGAGCCCCCTTGTTGTGAGACCGTGGCACGGCGACAGGATCGATAGATAGAACGGGAGGGGCCACAACGTGATGTGTGAAGTTTTTGGTATTCCTTTTTCCTAGTTCCAGGGCTGTCCCTATATGCGACGCCTCTATGACGAGCGATGTAGAACTGCTATGTGCATGTCTCGCGGGCTACCGTGTTGACGGCGCTCGTGTGTGTATGTATATTGCTTGTCTTCCGCTTGCAAATGACTCAAACTTTCCGTAAATAACCTTATAACGACGACGCGGCCTCAATTGCGCCAGCGGCCTTGAAGGACTTCTTGTTGGTCCACCTTATTTCTACATTGTGCATCCATTCCATGTACCTCGCCCAGCCTGTGGCGTGTTAGCAAAGAAAGAGGCGGGATGGGGAGGGGGATTGGAGGCTGCATACTCCAATATGCGAATTTCCTCCCAAAGTATTTGCCAGCAAATGGCACCAAGATCATGGTCAACAGAAGCTGTAATTGTTCCAGGCTTCGCTCCCATTCGCGCTGTGCATCGTACTCATCATCGTCCGAACTGAAGGAATCGGTTGTGCTCGAGGGCAGGGAGTCAATGTCATCGTTGTCGGAGTCGGAGGCGTGCGGCATGGCGAACGAGTCGGAGAGAGACATGTTGCTCGAGGTAGACCTGTGGTCCGTGGTTCCGTCGATCGGAGGGAGGAGGGAGGAGGGTGTATTTGCTAAGTATGAACCTGGAGTAAGGCGTGATGCGAGCTCGAGAAGGAGGGAAGCGAGCTTTTCGCCAGGACGGGAGAGCGATGGGTCGGATGCATCCAGGGAAATGATTGTGCTATGCAACGAGAAGTTTTCACCCCGATGCGACCGAAATGCTTGAGAAGCAAGTACGACTGCCAGGGACCGTGTTGTGGTGTATCGAGCTGAGCTTCTGGATCATTATTAGAGCTTCCCCAGGCCAATCTGCAGGCGTCGCCCGTGAAAGTGTCATCCGTCGACTGTTGGCGTTAGTGAATCAATCAATCGGGGAAGCATTGCCGGGCCCTGTGTGATTGGATCAACAGCCTCTCTCCCTCCAATCTGGTGTGGGTACGGTACTCTGGGCAGTGACACTACGTACAATGCATAGGTCAGGTTTGGGTTAGGTTGGGTAGCCCGGGCTCAGGCTCTCGGTGCTGTACCAGGAGTACATGGACAGGCTGCTGAGTTGTTGAGTCAGAAGTGCGGCGCAAACAAACACACGAAGGAATCACTGAGGAGCACGGCTGGGTGACTCAAACGTCATTTTGATAACCCTCCAGGCGCAATCACAGCTTGTAACTCTGACTTTGCTTCCACAACTCCCAATCTACGAACAGCCAGGCACTTGAATCCAAACAAAAGACATATCTCTCCGTCAACGCTATCGGACTGGACTGGCCCTAGACTACTCGCTCAATTGTTGCAACCTTCAAAGCCCGAGCATCTGCCAACAGAAAGCCGTCTCACTTTACGCTCGACACGTTTCCGGAGGGGGTCACCTGGAGTCAAAGTCGCAGATATGGCGGATACCGATGTAAGTTCGCCTGCTTTACTACCCGCGCAAAAGGTTCCTCCGGCATCGAGACATGAGGCGTCACTGTACCTGCGTCAAATGCAAGCAAGCGCATCGCACCGGATGCCCGTTCTCAAAGCATAGCCCTCTTCCGATTACTCAAAAGTATCACATTGCACATTGCACAATGCCATGCCACGCCATGCCATGTCATGTCACGTCGCATCTAGTGATTGCAGTTGACGGGCACCAGGCAGAGCTGGCGGGCGACACTGGATACTGGACACTGAACACTGGACAATGGGGGAGGGGGGGGGGGGCGAAACTAGAAATTTACCCCTCCAATGGCAGCATCTGCCACTGCCCACCATCTGCCACTTGGACACAAAAATTACGGAGCTTCCCAAGCAGGGAGATGGCAAGAGACAGACCTCAGACCATGACACAGATCCGCTAGCACCAATTTGAAGCACTTTGAGTCATCCCCTCCATCAATTTGATTTGATCTCATTGATTGTGGCATTCACTCCCAGAGGCGACATCGAGAATCAGCATCAATTGACTTCCATTTGTCACCAATCTGCCTTTCCCCGAACCCCTACCGAATCCCCGGAATCCATTTTCGGCCTCGATATTGATTTCTTTTTTTTCTAACCATAGGAACGTCCATCGGTCCCTGTGCGCAAGCAACGCAAGAGCGTCGTCTTCAACACTGAAATAGACGTAGTCGAAGCAGACGGAACAGTCAACACCATGGCTTCCACCGAAGAGCCCAAGGACACCGCCATGTCCCACGCACCAAGTACGACGCCTCTGTCCGACGCACTTGAGGCCTTTACTGATACCACTCAAGCTGATGCCGGCGATGCTGCTCCCGCCGACGAGCCCACTCTCGATCTCTCCTCCATGAAGAAGAAGAAGAAGAAGGTCAAGACCGAGGATGCCGACACCGCCGACACACCCGCAGAGGGAGAGGACGGACTGGCCCTGCCCAAGAAGAAGAAGAAGAAGAAGGTTCCCAAGGAGGGTGAGGATGATCTCGCCGCCAAGATCGCAGCTCTCGAGGTCGACAACGATGGCGAGGGAGCCGAGGCAGAGGAGGAGGCCCACGAGGAGCAGAGCGGTGATATGGACAAGGGCACCGGCATCTGGCAGCACGACGAGATCAAGCCCATCACCTACGACCTCCTACTCAGCCGCTTCTTCAGCCTCCTGTCCCAGAAGAACCCCGACCACGCATCAAGCGGTGCCCGCAGCTACAAGATCCCTCCGCCCCAGTGTCTCCGTGAAGGAAACAAGAAGACCATCTTCGCCAACATCCAGGAGATCTGCAAGCGTATGAAGCGAACAGAGGAGCACGTCACTCAGTACCTGTTTGCTGAGCTGGGTACAAACGGTTCCGTCGACGGTAGCAGAAGATTGGTTATCAAGGGTCGTTTCCAACAAAAGCAGATCGAGTCCATGTTGAGGAAATATATCCGTACGTCTCAAGAACCACGATGAGTTTATTCTGCTCAAAAGCTAACATGTCAACTATAGTCGAGTACGTCACGTGCAAGACCTGTCGTTCCCCTGACACAGAGCTCAACAAGGGAGAGAACCGTCTGTACTTTATCACCTGTAACTCGTGCGGTTCCCGACGTTCCGTCCAGGCCATCAAGTCTGGTTTCACAGCCCAAATCGGAAAGAGAAAGAAGATGCAGGGTTAAGCTGTGTAATAGGAGCATTGGTTTGGGCTTTCTATTGGCAGACATATGAGACAGTTATGAGGACATGCCAAGGTTATGTCGTATGATCAACAGATAGGTGCCACAAAATAACACAGCGTTCATATTTTCTGATGAAATTTTGGTGATTGTGGAACAAGTTACTCCCAAGGACGAAGCTCAATGCCGTCACATATCATCCATGACTGCAATTTGAAGCTACACGTGAGAGGACATATGTGCTTGCAGGAGCTTCCATGCGGCAGAAATGTGTGTCCTTGCATATTGAGTAGACAACACCTTGGTGAATTAGTAGATCACGCAATAATCTGGTGGAGGCTGAACGAGTATATCCCCACATGAAACCAACTATCAAAGTGGCTCAGTGCGGCTCTGATGGAAAATTATACCTCCTTATACGTTGTCCACATAAGTCCTTGACTAAATTACATGGCAACTCGACCAAATATTTCGTAAATTTTCAGAAGCCTCGCAACTATTCCCTCATCTGATAATTCAAAGAGGCCCCACCAACTGTCATCCTAGCGGTCAAGCATCCTTGTTCCCACTCAGCAATAGACACGCTGCAACCCCATCCTGACTATAACCTCAATTCTGAGCCCTGCTAGTTTCCTAGACCCAGCATACTCTAAAACGACACCATGGCCGAGGCACAACTTCTACCAGGCCAGTCCGGCCTGCCGGTGCCCAACCCCACCGAATCCCACTGGCACAAGGACCCCTCCGAGAAGCTGTTCGGCCACCGCACCACGGCTGATCTGCCCCACTCGGCCGATGTTGTCATTATTGGTAGCGGCATCACCGGTGCCATTGCGGCGCACACGCTGAAGCAGAGGAGGCCCGAGTTGGAGGTCGTCATGCTAGAGGCGAGAGAGGCTTGCTGGGGTGCTACTGGACGAGTAGGTTCCCCCCCCCCCCTCTTTTTCTCCGAACGATTCTGCGTAAAGATCTTCTAGTGTTTCGGGAGAAGAGTCAGTAGGCCTCGCAACAGGACTCAACTCTGATGTATCTGGTCTGAAGTCAACATTACTAACAAGTTTTCAGAACGGAGGCCATTGCCAGCCTGCCATGTATGCTGCCAAGCCGCATATCGCCTCCTTTGAGCTACGCACATACTCTTACTTGAAGTCTCTTGTCGAGGAGTACTCTATCCCTTGTGACTGGCATTCAACATCAGGTGTACATGCCTACTACTCGGCGTCGCTCTTCAAGCTCGCTCAGGATGTAATCAATAACCTCGGTGATAAATACCCAGACCTCGCCGCCAACGTAGCCGTTGTGACCAAGGGCGAGAAGGGCGCCCCATCGTACCTACTGGAGGGTGAGAGAAAGGAGCTGACGCTCGAGGGCTTGAGGGTTCCCAACGCCGAAGGCGCCGTCGTTCAGTGGAACGCTGCTAGTCTATGGCCATACAAGCTCGTAGCTTTCGTCCTGGAGCGCTTGTTGGCCGCGGGCGGCTTCAACCTGCAGACCAACACGCCGGCCACCGGTCTGCAGAAGATCGATCCGCCGTCAAACCTGACGTCGCCGGCCAGCCCTGCCGGAGGTGGCGAGGGCGAGAAGAAGGCAACCGAGCACCCCACTTGGATCGTCCACAGCCCTCGCGGCCACATCACGACCCGCGCCGTGCTCCTGGCCACAAACGCCTATACGTCGCACCTCCTCCCACAGTTCAGCGACCTCATCGTGCCGACCCGCGGCCAGGTGGCAGCCCTGAAGCCGCCCCAGGAGCCGGCGCCGGGCGAGCCGCCGCTGGACATCGGACATACGTTCTACCTGATGGGCGACCCGAAATCCGGCGACGTCCACCGGGAGGACTACCTGGTGCAGCGCCCGCCCCCAGCCGCCGAGCTGGTGCTCGGCGGCGGGAGACAGCTGGCCCGGGACTACGCGGTCGGCGTGTGGGACGATAGCACGGTGGACGAGCCGGTGAGGTGGTGGCTGCGGGGGGAGATAACGAAGGCGATGGACCTCAGCCTGCGGGACGCGCCGCAGAGCCCCGTCAAGCACGACCACGCGCCGTCCCCCGCGACGCAGGACCTGGAGCCCACGCACGAGTGGACGGGCATCATGGGCTACTCGCGGGACGCGCACCCGTGGGTCGGCCCCGTGCCCGCGTCGCTGGGCGGCGGCGATGGCCTGTGGATCAGCGCCGGGTACACCGGCCACGGCATGCCGAACGCGGCGCTGTGCGGCAAGGCGGCCGCGGACCTGATGACCGGGGCAGAGGAGGTGGACCTGCCCGAGGAGTACGAGGTCAGCGAGGAGCGCGTGGGCAGGGCCAGGGCTAGGGACACGGTCAGAGAGGCGGAGGAGAAGGGGGCACTGGTCTTCGATCTCTCGGCCGCGATGGTGTAGATCGCGTAGACATTGCTCGGTAATCTACTTCACTAACGAATGGAGAATGAATTATTGCCATTGCTGGTCATTTCAATGATTGCAATCACACAAACAAATTATCCATTATCTAACAACGTAATGTTTTTGACCACCTCCCACTCCTGTCGAAGACTAGTCTCAGATGAACCAGCGCGTTCCAGAATCTCCTCCGGTAGCATGTCACAGACTTTCGTCAGTGCGCTTCGAATATGCCCGTTGTGTGCCTGGATCACTGCCAGCCATGTGAATTATCGTGTAAAGTTCCCACCTCCAATACAATCAAAAAGCAGACTAAGTCAGACCAGACTCCAAAATGCTTGCAAAACCACCGGTGTTTGTGGAGTGGTTGAAATAAGTAGTCTTTTGGCCTATGCCGCTGCTGAGAACCGAGGGTATTTGATCGCCATCAGCTAGGTATGACAAAACAATACCCGAAGCTTGAGCGCTTGGGGCAGTTGTTGATGATGAGGATGACGCAGCAAGCGTTGCACTACCTGGCTGTATACCAGAGCTGGCGCTCGTAGAAGATGTTGTCGAGACTACATGTGTTTGGCTGTAGATCGAGCTATCGTATTAGAGATCTGAAAGCCACTCGAATTTGAACTGGCTGAGCATAAAGACGAGATCGTTTCTGTCTACGATGAGCCTAAGTTGACTGACTGACTTGATGTTGTAAAACTGAGCGATTTGTTGATATGCAGATTGTTCACAATAGGAACATCGTCTAAGACCCGACCAAGCGATGAGTGTATATCAACGAGCGCCTGACGAAGACTCGCCATTATAGTGTCAGTATCATTGCTACTTGCCGCGTCTCTTCGTCCGAGGCTGGGGTATGATAGACCTTGGGCTGTGGTCGTCGCTAGATGGTCTGTAGTGCAACTCAGCTCCCCAATACTTACGTTCTATGTCGTGGACTCAGAGTCACTACTATGGTCCTAATCGAACACCTGTGCCGATGTTGGACGGGCTCCAGTAAGGTCATCACTAAGACCAACTGAGCTTGAAAAAAGAGCGCACCGGCAAGTTATGCACGGTATGAAGTTCTTATAACAACCATGTTATTGTTAGAAGCGAAATGAAACGATGACACAGAGAAGAATTATGACGGAGATTTGATAGAATCCGAGCCCGGGAGAGATGTGGCTCATGTTCCATGTTCCAAATTTGAAAGTCGGGAGTGTCTTCCGGTGATGCATATGATGTTGACGCGTTTCGTCCTTGTCTTTGAGTTTTGGCTGTGCTTGTTGGTCCATCAGCCACAATACTGCTGCGTGACATTGGCTTCCAACATTGCTGTTGGAACTACAAAACCCAACACCAATACTACAACGAGAATGATTCTTTGTTTTCCGACATTCGACAGAGGAATATAGTTCCCAACCAAAGAGCAGATGCTTGCAAGCAACAGTCGTTCAAGTTTGCGGTCCTGGCAAGAAACCCGCCAATTTCGCAATCAACCGATCGACCATTTCATGGTAGGTTCTCATCATCACGAGTGTCCTTAACAAGAGGGCATGGTCAATGTTGCGACATATAACACTAAATAATGGCCGAGTACCAGATCGTCTAGACGATCCTGGGTGCTAGTTAATAGTGGTCCAAATAAGCGACTGCGTTCAAATGCAGACTTGAAATGCATCCCGGTCCCAAGTTCCAGCGCAAGCGTCGGGGTTCATGAAATGGATGTCAGGAATGCCACGTATTGGTGACCAGGAAAGTTGAATCGTGGTGGATTAGCTCAAAGGTTGTGTCAAGCTTGCGATCGTTCAGGACGCGAATGCCGCCTTGCGAATTTTCACCAGTTGATAAAGATTGGCCGCAACGCAACGCAACGAAACGAATTCCGCAACTTAGTCATTTAGGAGCCTGTTAGATTGCAGTGCCTCAGGTGTTATGGACGTTCTGTGGAGGGGTCGCAATTGCAATCCCGATTATTCTCCTGATCGGCTCAATAGATCCACTCGTCATAGTGAAGAGATTGCGTTGGCGTAAAGGTAGTGCTCAGCTGTGGGAGGTTGACTGTATACACTCATGAAGCACCAACCGTGGCCGAGTCTGACCTTCAAACCCAGTTGTTGTATTCTGCATCTGAAACCTGCCATGGTACATCCTGACCGGCGGTTAGACGAATCAACAGCACGTTAGTAAAGCTTAAGCTTGCTTTGTCGAAACGAAACACCGTCGAAGCCTTGTGCAGAATGCCAGAACCATGTAGATGAGGGAATAAAATTGCATGCAAGCTGACGAGCTTGCGACATCTTAAATAATGCATGTGGATCGGGCTCTGGTGGGCAGAAGACATAGTCTCATTGAATCATATCACTTTGTTGTCATATTCCAGATGGGCGAGTGATTGTAACTTGTGCGAGGGTGATCTACCGGTGGACGATGACGCTGAAGCTTGCGATCATCAATGTACAGGACGGAAGGAGCTGAATGCAATGGGCGGTCTTGGGTTATTGAACTCCGCATTGGCGAGACGAACTTGAATCGTGTAGAGTGCCACACGACACTCTGTTGGTAAATCTCTAGCATGCCGGCCCGTGATGCATTTGTAGAGGGCAAATCATCATCGCACAGGCAATCGTCATGTGGAATATCATACATGACATGTCGCCTTTCTATTTTATGTACTGAGGATATTGGAAGTAATATTGTTGATCTGGCTGTGTTTTCTGTCCCTTAGTCATGGCGATGGCAAGAATCCTTGGTGGATGATTGTCTCCCTTGTGATGTGCGTGCGTGCGGCTGGACCCTCTTTCATTTTAGATTTGCAATCCGGGAAAAGACGAGCCTTCCGGATAAGACAAGACGAAGGTGATGATGATGAATCCAGCGAGGGGCCAGACTTCTGACTTTGGACTGGACTTCTTTGTGAGTTCTTGGCACTAGGAAGAGGCAGGGACGCATTTAGTGCCGCAAACGGCAAAGTGTGTAGTGAGGATGTCTCTCTTTCATGGTGTTTTTTTAGGGGAAATGGCAGAAAAATTGGCCATGCCATGAACTTCGGGTTAGACTGGCAGCCTGAGGCTTGAAAGGCCAAGAGGTACAAGGGTACAGCTGCAAGGGTTCTGCTCATCCGTCCGCCGCCCGGCCTCTCATGCGCGTAAAGTCGCTCCCATTCTTGTGAGAGCACCCCAAGCACCACACCCAGCGAGCATCCCGTCGTTTATTGTTGTCTGTCACGCCGCCTGGCACCAAAACGAGAGCAAAATGAGACCAATGCCCCGAACCTACCCAGGCCAGGACCAGAACCAGACATCATGGCAGCCCCCATAATAAACCATAACCCTTCCACCCCATCACCATCCCTCTCACCCACCATCGTCGTCGTTGCATTTACAAAGTGAGTGGCCAACGCGCAAATATCACCGAGGCACACGCAAAGACAAAGGCAAAGGCAAGGGCACAGCACCACGCACCACGCCTTGCGGTACACCAACGCCTGCAGGCTAACGCCGATAAAGCCAGAGTGAAGGAGCCAAATTTGGTTTGCATCAGACCCCTTCCGCAGTCAATCAAGGACTGGTCCACCTCTGACCTTGACCTTGGCCTTTATCAATCCGAAGGGAACAAAGTCAAACTGCACAAACCACTCAAACGCCCTGCGCTTTTGCGAGCTTGTCATCAACGCCGCCTCAACCATAAAATTTGCAACACCACCTCGACAATACCACCGCCAACCAAGATTACTTCGTCGTCGCCATCATCATCCTGAATAATATTTCCTACCCCTTCAGCCGTAGTGTCTTGACCTCAGCCTAGCAACCATGCCGGCTACAACCAAGACAAGCACGACAACCAAGGAGAAGGACCGGCGAAAGTCGGCCGGCAAGACCTCGCTTGTCACCCTTAAGGTGTCGCCTGATAGATTGCGAAGGCTTCTCGACCCAGAAGCACCACCAGCCAAGGAAGACTCGCCCTCCAAGGAATCTCCTGCCACCTCAGCACTACCTGCCGAAGCTGCTGTTGCTCCCTCTAATGGTGACAACGCGTCTTCCTCGAATCCCGGCACGCCAGCTGCTGCTGCTGTTGCTGCTGTTGGCACGCCGTCACAGGTTTCCATGGGTCCGCCTACTGAAGGCCCAAAGAAGAAGGGTGTGAAGAGAAGTGCTGCTGGTGCCAACGGTATAGAACCCAAGGCACGAGGCAAGCCTGGCCCTAAGAAAAAGCCGAGACTGTAAGTTTAATTCATCCTCGCCTGGCTTCTGCATGCCTTCCGTCTACACTGCCTCCCTTTCTATTGTCACCTTCTCTCTCGTGTATTTAATTAATAACGACTAACCTATTGCTGTAGTGAGGACGGTACCATCGACCCTAACTCAAAGAACTCTGCCGGCGCTTACCACAAGCTTGGTCCCAAGGCCAACCAAGGTGCTATCAATGCTGGTCTTCGTGCTCTTGATCGATCGGGCAAGCCATGCAGGAAGTGGGCAAAGGGCGGCTTCAGACTCAAGACCTTCACTGGCATTGTATGGGAGATCCCGCGCTGGGCTGCTCCTCCGAAGCCTTCCCCGGATGCTACCCAGGAGGCCTCGACTGCCTCTGCCGACAGTAGCAACAAAGAGAACACCAAGGAGGGCAGTCAGATGAAGAGCGAGAATAGTGCAAGTGGTGCGGATGGAGAGCAGCGAAGCTTGCCACCCAGTCTCCCTGCTGCCAGCTCCCCCGCGCCAATGCCAGTCGCCGCTGCCTCGTAACGAGGAATCTTGTCTCGATCCATGGCTACACCAGCGGGTCCTGATTCATTTCTAATGTCAGCTTTTTCTTTGTTAGCGAGGATCTTGGTGTAATGGTCGCTTGAGATGTTTGGCGTTCCGGTCATATAAACGGGGGAGAGGGTTCATCCGCATCACTGGCTTTCGGTATGGATTTAAACAAAAATGGAAGGCGTTTGGGCTGGCAGGCAACATTGAAGCGCCGCAGCATCATGTTCGTATTTCAGTGTATTATAATAGCTCGATGCTGCATTTGCTACAGCCAGTTGAGCCGACAACATGAACTTCTAGTCATTTCTCATATTTATCACTCATGTGACATTGACACCTTGCGGTTGTTCTTGTGCCTAAGAATATGCCAACTATCATGGCAGATGTAATTGCCCAGGAGTCACCCGCTCTAGCATGGGATGCTCCGGATTGCTCAGCAAGGTCTAATGATGAGACATAATTGCCTAGTCAATTTTGCATTGAAATGAATATCTACTCTTTCTTCTTTACCGGAGTAGGTAGAAAAATGGACTCTGTATCTCAAAGCTTTACTGAGCCAATCTTGGAAGAAGGACAACAACGCTTCTGGCCACGGATGAGAAAGTTGGCAATCGAGCTTCTGGACGGATTTCAGAGGGCCGCGATGAAACAGGTATACATGTACTTGCCCTTGTAATATTCACACTTCCAAGGACCAACAAATCTGCGACCACCCTATCAGAGGCTATCGCAACTGAATCAAGCGCAAATTGATGAGTTCTAGGGTCTGAAGCAGTATTCCCGCAAGCCCCAATACGCGTTGAGAACATTGGAGTAGTTGGTGCTAGAGAGAGCGGCATATGCGTCCGAGTGACTGAAAATTTCACAGATGGCAGAGCAAAGCGGCGTTTCGTGCTGAAGCGAGCCAACTTTGAGAACCAACAGGCAACGCTGCTTTCTGATATCGTCAGACTACAGGTATGTGGTTTCCTTGGTAAAGTCGTTCTGTCAATGACTAGGAGTAGTCAATATTACTACAGCAGAGAATTTTCCTCTGCTCCCCTCCTACTCTCTACCTGTAAGAGTTACCGTGGGCTCAGCGAACGACCCTTCTCTTGGTTCTGTCTCCGTGTAGGACGCAACAACTATAAGGAACACGGTCCTCAGACCATTGATAGGTCCAATTCTCATCAAGGCTATTATCTCAAATGGCACAGTAGAAGCATTTTTGGAGAGGGTAAATAGGAATGTGGTGGTAAGTGATACATTACCAAATCGGTTGCCCGTGGAGGCTCACTCTGTACCCTACGCTGAGCCCGTTCTCTTTTCTTGCATACAACATCTTAGCCTTATGTATCAAAGCCATCAGAGGCTGTATAAGAATGGCCTACCCAACAGACCGTTCTCTTCCTAGATTAGAAGTTTGAGACCGGGCTAGATCACCTAGTCATTTCACCCCTTTTGGCATGCATATAAGGTATAGTGAGTATAACGCAAAGACACTTATACAAGTGGCTTGAGCTGGGTAGTTGACACAGTATATAGTAATGCTGGATGTCTTCGGTCCTCGACAAATCGAGCATACGATTACGCCTCTGCTGTAGATGATGAATTTTGGCCTTGAGACCGTAAACTGTAAACTGTGGAGCTGGTGGGCAAGGCTTAGACACTTATTAATACTGATACTCTAATATCTATTCTATACATACGTAGAAGTTGGGACGATAAGAGACCGCAACGAGTCCCATCTGCTCCATTACTGAGAACCATGAGATTGGTGCACAGAATGCCACCTCAGACCGACAAGGTGCCGCGGCAAATATTTCTCGCATCGTAACAGTATGCGTATTGCCACAACCGCGGCCGGACTCATTGGTCAGCACTCACCGAATGGTATATTGCTTGCCAAGGGTAGATCATGTTTCATATCGTAACTCGGGGATTGGGATTCGTTGATACTACTCTGAGAGACTACACCTTGCCAGATCATAACCAACAGGCCCAAACTCTAGCTCCCACGACCGCATCTAACCTAACCACTACAACCACAACCACAACCACACCTAGAGCAATTCGAACCTGGGCAGGCCAAATGCTACAACAAAATGGGTCCAGCTTCGCCTTTACAGATCTAGATGAAGACCTCGGACGTCGTGTCGCTTTGTGCTGTGCGCTTTAACCTGAAGAACGGCCAAGTTCGGGGTAGCTATACGGCGAAGCTGTGTGGGCACTCTTAATCAGATTATCGGAGTGGTACGAGGGCAAGTATGCGGGAAGAGACTGGAAAACTGATGAGATTGTCACGGCGACTGTTAGGCATTGCATGTTTGATGCGGTGTAAAAGTTGAGAGCACAAAATCAATTTGAAGGTCGTACGCCCGACTACCACAACTAGCAGTTCCCCTCATGAACTTGCAATATGTAATCCACAAGTAATCTAGATATCCTCTGCATAATAGTTCGGGATTCCCATTTGTTCTATATATCTTCCTGATTGCTACTATTTGATTACTGACCTCAGTACGCCAAGAGCCGCACCAAACCACGCGGCTTCAATTTGCTCGCTAGCACTGACGTGTCTCTTTGTGTCAAAAGTGTGAATATCTGCGCAAACAAGATGAGTATATTCACGACGACCACTCATCCTCCTCTGATGAGGACATCGTTCTTCTCGGGGTGAAATGAATGCGATATTCTGCCTTTCGGTGTCATGTAATAGGTACCTTGATGGCAGCTCTGGATGACGCGCCTGGCTTGGTGTTTGTTGTCCGATTCTCAAGCTGATCTACAGTACATTTCTGGTTGCTGTCGGCAGTCGGGGGTCGGATTCAATCGATCCCTGTACATTGGTTGCAGACAGACCTGGAGAAAGACAAGCCCGCCCACCTACAGTAAAGTACATAGCCCCTATTGAGCTCAATGATATCGCGACATGCCTCGGCCACAGCAAAATCGGCGGGCTGCAACCTATAGTCTACGCCGAGTGCGTCTCTTTCGTCCACGAAACTAAAAGAAGAGGTCGTGAGGCGTATAATCATATTATAGGGTGGAAGCAATACAGGGCTGTCTAACACATCCATGATGGCGGGTGTTGGCCAACTTACAGCGCTTAAATAGAGTCACGCCCAGGTTTAATAGCGGCAACTCGGATGTCGTCAATGCATCTTAGCGTATCAACTAACCTGAAGCGCGATTCGCTTCAGCAACTACCACGACTACTACAACGCACCTCCGACCTCGTGACTACATTTGTTACTCGTTCGTGCGTTGGGACTTCTCCGCAGCGACTCGCATTTGTTATCTTGGATGCTTCCATTGCCGTATTGAAACTTGTTCGTGTCCAAAAGCACCCGGGTGCTCATAAACTGCGTAATAGTCCTGTTGGCGCCGTCTATTCTAGCCATGGTCACTTGGCTTTAAGTGACGTTATCCGAAGGAGCTCTGACAAGCTACCCGAAAGGCATAATCTAGACATATCTCAGACCGGACAACTCGAGGAACCTTAACGATACCATCTCCTTCCCAAGTACACAATTATTGAAGCTCGAGCTGCAGTCCACACCATTGCGATTTCCCTGTCACTACGTGAAATACCGCCAGAGTGATACCGATCGAATCCGGACCACTCGTCTTTGTCGCCTTGGCCATCAACATACACTGGTCCGAGGGGAAGCGGGGAATAGAAGGGATTAGCGACAGCATGTCGAGCCCTTACCAGAACATCCCATCGGGCCTGCCACAGGATGGAGTCTTGCCGCGGAATAGACCTCCATATGCATTCGCGTCAGGTGCGAATCCCGCGACCTTACCGTCCTCCCATCCCTCGTTGGGTCGTCTTTCGCATCTCCTCAACCTGCCGCAAACCACCAACTCGGAGCTTTATACCACTCGCCACTCTTATATTCGAACTGGCAGCGGCGCCGACTTGGATAGGAACCTCAATACTTCAAACAACGCGACTTCGGACCTGCGACAGCAGCCTTCTCAATTGCCATCTTTTTCTAGGGCATTTGAGATGTTCGTGAACCCCATTGGAGACAGTGTATGGTCGACTCGGCATCGGAGTAATGGTCCGTTTACACCTTCATACCTCGCCAATTCAGCCTATATGCACAAGTTGGAGGAGGCGTATGGAATTAAACAGGCACAAAGGGAGATCCAGCAGCAGGCAAGTGGAGGTAATGGCCTCCAGACAAGCCAAGCTTCCACGCCCTCCATACCTGGCAAACCAGCCTCGTACTTGGGTTTGGCCTACGACGTGATCGAACGACCCCCTACACTGGAAGACGATGACGTACTTCCACCACTACCGACCAGATGGAATAAAGACGACAAACATGGCGGGCTCGAAGTCATGGCTGAGGGCCAAGAAGTGAAATACACGGCACAGAGAACACAAGATAGGGACTACGAGGCTTATGCTATTCGGGCAGACCATGCTGTGCCGAATCAAGCCGGCATCTACTATTACGAAATCACACTCCTTTCTAGGAAAAGGGACGAGTATGTTACACTAAACCATGACCTCTTGAGGAATGCCCTTAACCTTTTGTGTACAGGACGACAGTTTGCGTTGGCTTCACCACAAAATCAGTATCACTAGCTCGACCTCCCGGATGGGAGGCCGAATCATATGGCTACCATGGCGACGATGGACAGATCTACAGTGGTGCGAATCAGGGCAAGCCCTACGGGCATGTCTTCTCCACAGGCGACACAATAGGCTGTGGTATCAACTTCCGGACTGGTAATATATTCTTTACACGTAATGGCGTTAACCAAGGTAGGTCTATTACGGCTGTGAAGAGCTGACCGTTCTCTGGACTGACAAATATCCTCAGGTGTGGCGTTCAGGGATGTTAAGGGGAAGCTGTTTCCTGTCGTTGGGATGAAGCGGAATGGTGAACACATCCAGGCTAATTTTGGACAAACCCCTTTCATCTATGACATTGACGGAATGATGAAACAAGAGCAGGCCAAAGTCAAGAAGGCAATTTCCGAGACCAGTACTGCCAAATTGGCTGGCCCCTCAATAAGCGAACCAGACCTAATACAACAGTTGGTATGTGCATTCAAGAAACACAAACCAACCGAAATTGACATTTTTATAGGTTTTGCAATTCTTACAACACGATGGTTATGTCGAGACCGCAAGAGCATTTGCTGAAGAGATCCAAGCAGAGAAACAGGCACTCAACCTCGAACCCGATGTCCCTGTGGAAGGTATCAACATTAAGGATGACGAAGACGCCAACCGTAGACAGCGTAAGGTTTCTGGTTTTTAACGAAGCTTGAAATCTTAATACTGACCTTTTATAGGTATTCGACGGGCTATCCTAGATGGTGACATAGATAAGGCATTTAAGTATGCCAATCTATACTATCCTAACGTCCTCAAGGATAATGAGCAGGTCTACTTCAGATTACGCTGCCGAAAATTCATTGAAAAGGTTTGGCGCTCGTCGTGTCTCAGCAACCACGAAAAGATATCCAGCAAGAAGAGCAATGGTCATGCTGTCGACGATAATCTTAATGAGATGGATCTCGACGAGGACGACTATTCTGACCAGATGGACACTCAAGATACTCCGGAGTTGGTCAGTGAAGAGGCTGTCACGGCTTCCTTGAACGAGACTATAGCCTACGGGTGCGAACTGCAAGAAGAGTTCAAGGATGATTCAAGACGCGAAGTCAGGAAGACATTGCAAGATGTGTTCTCACTCATGGCATACACAAATCCGCCCAAGGAGAAGGATTTGGCGCACTTTTTTACAAGAAAAGCTCGAGCTACGGTAGCTGAAGAGCTCAACTCCGCTATTCTATGTAAGTCCTATATAATCGTCCACATTTTGCACCATCACTAATTTCCCCCCTCCTCAGCGTCACTGGGCAGATCATCTCGTTCTGCTTTAGAGACCCTCTATGGCCAGACCAGCGTCTTACTGGACTACTTGCGTGAAGATGGAGGGCCAGGATCTTTCGTTACTGTCGAGGGTTTGATCGACGAGATCCCGAAGAACCCATATTAGAACTATGCTGTCGACAAGTTCCCGCCGTCCTTGGACATGAGTCATGATCCGGATCTGATGGTATATATATCGTTTGTCATCGCTCGAAAGACACGTCTGGCTTTGGGGCTTGAAAAATGACCTGGCCAGCATATACTTTCCGCTGGTCATTCAATCGCAACTTCTTCGGCAATATGCTTAGTAGATGGTTGAAAAGGCATTCTATATTGGGGCAGTACTGCGCAACCCCCACGTTTGAGGCCCATTCGTAGCACACATTTTCCTGACATAGGTTGTACTACAACCTTCTACTGCTGCAGAGGATTTCTGTATCCTCAGGTTATTCATCTTGGCTTTTCCGGGGCGATCATGCACTTCCAGATGGCGTCAGACAGCGTTCAAGGTTGTTGCTTTCTGGCATGAACATCGGTGGCGTATTGGGACAATAGATCGATCATTGTTGTTCTCTCTGTAGCAGAACTAGTTCAGCTGCCAGGGTTTCTGAATCCGGCATCCGTCTTTTCAGTAGGATGCAGATAAGATTACATGCGTGACGATTCAGCAGGTGTTGCATAAACAGACATGATGGAAGGAAACGACCGCAGTGAAACCTACCAATGCTCGCAGGTCACTAAATCTGCATTGATTCTGTAAGGCCGAGGCAAGGAGCAAGGACATGTATGTCGATAGACACATTATAGCAAAGACAGAAGCTAGCGTTAACGGGAAACTGCTTGTTTTGTATCCGGGATGTGCTGCAGTTTCTGGGGGAAGAGGATCATTGCATCTACTTGACCATTGCCATCGTCATTGCCCATTACCCCTTGGTGAGGACTATAACTGCAGTGAAATCGGTTGGCACTCTGAAATAACCGGAACTAGACTAACCTAGGGTTATGTTAGAACCTCGTAAGCTCTCTGAGGGTGCTAAAATCGAGTGCACCTGGCAAGTCCTGGAGCCACACGCAATGAGTTATTTGAAGTGGTTGCTGTATACATTCTCGAAACTCAGCCGCAACCGCCCCTTGCATCCAGTCGGATGAATCATGTGTAAGCTGCGATGTTGCAAGCCGATTTGAGGTCGTTCATCATGTCAATATCTTGCAACATCTTGCCTTGTTTTAGTATTTACGCCTTCTAGCGAATTGCCTGCTGCGGGGGACAACCCCACAAGTGCAACACACTCCCTTATCAAGACTCATGAGCCGAACCTACAAAAGTAGGTGTAACAGACTTTGGCGATCCACGACACATTCCTCATCGCTCGAATGTTGCTACAAATCCTCAGTGTCACTCAAACTAATCAAATGTGAGAGCCTGCACAATAGGCATACACGTTGTACATTGTGTTGCTTGTGTGAAATCACAATGGCGTTCTGTCACAGGCTGCCAGTATTTATGTGGGTGAACGGCACAGCAAATGAACCGACCAACGTACTACAGGGGCCTGGCAAGACTTCAGCGTCAATTGAAACGCACGCGGATCCTGGATGACCCGGTTGAAGTCAGCTCGGGCTCGCGCAGCAAATATGAAAAGCGCATAACCCTCCTAGTCACAATAGTTCTAAGCTCAATCTTTGGGCTATCAGCATAATGAATCACGCGCAAGCCGTTCTTGGGCTGCATCCCTACTCAGCCGTTGATCTAGCTTTCCTTAGAAATGACTTGTTCTTTGATAAAATTCGCTTTGATGGAACGACCAGTCGCTTTGCAGGCCCATTCGCACTACGATTGATGCCGTCTGCGGTATTGCTCCTGCTATTCCCTATCAGAGCTTTCCAATTACATCGAGCCAATCTCAAGGTCCTACCGAACTACATAGGTGCTATCAAAGCTGTAGGTATTCTGATGATTGACATCGCAACTAATTGCTGACGGTCTCAAAGGTGCTCACTGTAGCCATTGCAGCAGTTGAATTAGCTTCCACAGTCCTATGTTTGACATCTTCAGCGCGTCCGAGTGGAATATCAATTGCAGCCAATGTCATTACCTTAGTGGCGGCTCTTGCAGTATGCCATTTGTCATTCAATGAACATGGTCGATCGGTCAAACCTTCTACAATACTGATGCTCTATCTACTGGCATCTGTGATATGCGAGGGCACTCTCCTGGGGTTATCTGACCTAGGACTTTGGGCAACTGGCACAACTCTTGTCCCTGTACTGTCATTCAGCCTCAAACTAATCTTCCTCATCATTGAATCCATTAACAAAAGATCTTATCTCAGAGAGCCGTATAAGGAGCTGCCTGTTGAGCAGACAGTCAGCGACCTGAATCGGGCATTCCTGTTCTGGATCAATGACCTGATACTCCTTGGTAATTCTAAATTGCTCAAATATTCTGATATACCGGGCCTCCATGAGGCGCTCAAATCAAAGGGTATTCGTGCGCGGATAGAGAATGTATGGGATAAAACCAGTAAGCATCAAATATGGATATCAAAGCTTGCAACATAACATCATCACTGATTCGATTTCAGCCAAGCCGGACAATCAAGAGGGCTCAGAAGGTGGAGGCGTACTGCTGTGGGCACTGTTCAGATTCTTCAGAAGGGCCCTCGTCCTGAACGCAATTCCCAGGTTGCTGGTGATCGCTTTCCGTTACTCACAACCAATTTTCATAAACAGGACAATCAGATATGTGACTCAGTCGACCAGAGAAATCGAAGAAGTAAATGCTACTGGCTACTATCTCGTTCTTGCCGCGTTAGTCATATATGTTGGCTCTGGGGCAAGTTATTCATTCTACGCTTGCTTATCCAGAGGTACTGACTCTGTAATAGGTTTCCTTTTGCGTGTACTATCAAAACCATAACAGAATCAGGGTCCAATGTCGCGGCGCACTTGTTGGCCTCATCCATGCTCGCTGTCTGACAATGCGTGATGGAATTTACGACGATGCTGCGGCTGTCACACATATGAGCAGTGATACTGATAATGTGGAGAACCTCCCTTGGCTTTGTCAAGAAGCATGGGCGCAGATGATCGAATTTCTCATCGGAGTGTGTATGCTTTGGAATGAGATTGGATGGTGGTGCTTGGCACCACTCCTCATCATATCCTGTAAGTAATTCACGCTCTGAATGTTTCTGGACAATATTGAGTGTTGCTTTGCAGTATCCTCGCTAGTCGCCCGATGGGTTGCGGGTAAAGTTGCAAAATACGTTGGAGATTGGCAGAAGGCCCGACAAAGCCGAATCTCATTGACGGGCTCTATGATCGACTACATCAAGAACATCAAGATGGTTCGTTACCCTCTGACATTATGTACAACTTTTTTTTTCTTCTAATAAGGAAGAAGAACCGAAACAAAATCTGAAGATACTAACTCGTTACGGGTAGATGGGAATGACTGACACTATCACGACAAGAATTGAAGAATCAAGGAAGTTTGATATAGCTAAGGGAATGAATGTTCGTTGGATAATCGTTTACTTCAACCTAGCAGGTAAGTTTCATCTCATGGCATGCCCTTATAATTTGCGAAATCAGCTCCTGACAACAGCAGGAAACTCTATCGGAATTTTCGCTCCTGCTGTAACTCTGATAGGGTATGCACTGGATATATATATTCATAGCAAAGAATCTTTGGACCCAACGACGGCTTTTACGACGATTGCCATCATCAGTCTGGTGTCTGTGCCGGCTAACATGTTGCTTGCGCTTCCCACACAATTCGCACAAGTCTACGGTTGTGCCACCAGAATCCAGAAATATTTATTGGAGCCGTCTCAAGACGACAGGCGTATTTTGCTCGAACCTAGTTCGAGTAAAATAGGCTCAGATCTAAACAACAAGTACACAAGCGAAGAGCGTGTAAATGGAAGCCAAATTAGTGATCAAACTCCAGCAGTGATCCTCGAAGATGTGGTGCTTAGACCAGCCAGTGGGGCGGACGTATGCTTGGATGGTATAAACGCACAGCTAACTAAAGGCTCACTGAACGTGGTTGTCGGAGCCGTTGGTACAGGCAAGACAACGTTGGTGCGGGCCATTCTTGGAGATGTCGCACCTGACAGTGGCTCCATCTATGTCTCAACAAAACGTATTGGTTATTGTGCTCAGAAGCCCTGGCTTGTAAACGCCAGCATCAAAACCATGATAACGGGCGGAACAGAAATCGACGAGGAGTGGTACAAGACTGTCATACATGCATGCTGCCTAGAACTGGACATCCAAGAACTAGGCGGCGGAGATTCGGAAGCTGTTGGTAGCCGCGGTGCTGTTCTTTCTGGCGGGCAGAGACAGAGAGTGGTATGTGTTTATGGCCCAATCCTCTTCCCAAACTGATCTACTGAAACATTATGTGACAGGCACTTGCTCGAGCTGTGTATTCGCGGCCCGAAATAATCATTTTGGATGATGTACTCAGTGCGCTAGATGTAAGAACGGAGGCTCAAGTAGCCACAAGATTGCTAGGTCCGAATGGCATATTCCGCTCTCTGGGGACAACCGTGATTCTTATGACCCACGCCAGTGAGTTTCCAAACAACCCCAGCACAATTATTTTGGTCAGCTAATATCCTTGCCAGCTCAGCACCTATCCTCCGCCGACCTTATTATAGTCCTCGCCGACTCGAAAATCGTGGAACAAGGCACCTACAAGGACGTCCAACTTTCCACAGCATACGTCAGCAAACTTCAGGTCAAAGAATCAACATCGCAATCAATTTTGAACGAGAAGCCTTCAACTGTGCCCGGCACAATTCCTCCTTCGAAGGATGAGCAATTAGATCATTCCAGGAGGATGGGCGACTTATCTGTCTACCGTATGAGTCAACCCTCGAACTTTGCTGGTTGTGGCTGTTAACATTCCTGCAGTCTATTACCTTAGATGTGCTGGGCTACCTGTGTTGCTCGTGTTCCTAGTATCCAATCTCACTTTTGGAGCGACAATAGCCACAACACCGTCCATACTAAGGGCGTGGTCGGAGTCAGGAAGCCAGTATATGTGGTTCTACATCGGGATGTATACTCTTTCGTCGCTTCTAGCATTTGTTGCGACGGGAACCATGATATCGTACGCCCTCCCGCGTCACTGCAACCCCTATGGCAGCTCACATCCTTGCCAGGTCAACGTTCATCCTCATCGCCCCTAGAGGGTCAAAGATTCTGCATCACCGTCTACTCAAGACTATTATGAGGTTATAACACATATCTATCTCACACACTAGAATATATCACTAATGGGGTATCCTAGCGCGCCACTGTCATACTTTACCACTACCGACACGGGTGTGACCCTGAACAGGTGAGTCGCCCAAGGTAAGGGTCACAACGGTCACCTAACCTCTACTATAGATTCTCCGCAGATCTCGCTTACATAGATCAGCCTCTGCCTATACACCTGATGATCACCTGTTGGCGTAAGGAAATACCAATATACCTGAGCTGTGCGATTTGATGGTTGACATTCTTGATAGAATTTTTTAGGTTGATTGCCCAATTGGTACTACTCTTGCTCACGCAAGCATACGTCGCCGTCGCCACACCTTTTTTGTTTGTAGTTCTGTACTTCTTGCAGAAACTATATTTATATACGTCCCGCCAAATTCGACTCTTGGACATTGAACTGAGAGCTGAGGTGGTATCCAATTTCTTGGAAACAGTGTGTTCATCTAACTCCAAATTTTTATTTCGCACTAACATCGAATAGCTCGAGGGGATCTCTCACATCCGTGCCTTTGGTTGGCAATCTCAATTCATCGAACAGAACACCAAGAAACTTGACATATCTCAGAGCCCGAACTATATCATGCACGCTGTTCAACAATGGCTGACTCTCGTGCTTGATATCTTGGTAGCGGGACTCGCTGTCTTGGTCATCGGTCTTGCCACTGCTTCGAGGGTTTCTACTACTGGAGGACAGATAGGCATTGCTCTCAATGTCATTCTTACTGTATCCGGGACTCTCAAGGGTCTTCTAGAGTCATGGACACAACTCGAGACTGCCATGGGCGCCGTCCACCGTATCAAGGAGCTCGAAGAGACTCTTCTTCCAGAATCCAACGAGAGAGAAAATTCCGAGGCACCCCCGGAATGGCCGAATAACGGTGCTATCGAGTTTCAAGACGTTGTTGCCGCCTACAAGTATGCGATTTCTTCTCCCTTTTCTTTTTCTCCGGCCTCGTCTTTCCTGTTCGTTGGATGAGGACTAATCAATACAGCCCTGAGACGACCGCTCTGAAAGGGATCTCAGTAAAAATATCCCCTGGTCAGAAAGTTGGAATCTGTGGCCGCACTGGAAGGTATGTGAGCCCCACCCAGTGTGTTTCCATGAAATGCTGAAAGCCGGCGTATCTAGCGGGAAATCTACTTTGTTGTTGTCACTGCTACGACTCGTTGAGTTGAAATCCGGTTCTATCACAATCGACGGCCTTGACTTGTCCACACTGCCGCGTGAGAAGATCCGATCAAGCCTAGTCGCGATCCCCCAAGATACCTTTGTTTTGAACGACACCATACGGCACAACATCGATCCCTCGGGCACTGTGTCAGATGATGACATCATTGCAGCTCTCGAGAAGGTTCAGCTATGGAACGTCATCAAATCTCGTGCTACCAATAATGGTAGTAAAGTCGGTAATAGTTCTGCAGCGGCCTCCGGAACGGCAACACCAGATATTGAGGAGACTGTAAATGGTACCTCAACGCCCCCAAAAGAGAAATTTGACCCTCTCGATGCATCACTCAAGGGCTCTCCTCTATCTCATGGTCAATTCCAGCTTTTCAGCCTCGCCCGTGCCTTGCTCCTGAAAGACCGATCCAGGATACTAATCCTAGACGAAGCGACGAGTAACGTGGATTCGAAGACGGACGAGCTTATGCAGCGTATCATCAGGGAGGAGTTCGCCAAGCACACCATCCTGACGGTCGCTCATCGATTAGACACTATCCGAGATGCTGATATTATTCTTGTTATGGATAAGGGGCAGCTGATAGAGATTGGCACACCGGAAGAGATACTGGCTAAGAAGATCGACATTACGGATTAGCCTTATTATGAAACTGTTCAAACGGTGAACAAAACATTCATGGAAGTTAGAGCTGGATTGTAGTGAACTTTCGCAGGTATGGAGGTACAACATAGAATCAGTTAACAAGTCTTATATTTCAGTATTTATCTTGGTGGCGCTCATTTGCAACAAGAGCTGTAAGGAAAATGGAAGCGAGAAAATCATTGTGGGTGCACTGCATGAAATGCGTGGCTTTTCTTCCCCATTATACATCCTTCTCACCTTACAGCAGCAAGGCCAGAAAAGATGGAAAGGTAGAAAGATAGTACACTCAAAGTCTTGTTGCTGCAAGGACCGCATATGAGAAGACCAACTCGGATCTAGCCTGAACCTTTTGTGACGATACTGAAGGAGTTTTTAGAACTGCTTTCGTTTTCGCAGTTCCAGTTGTTGTGTTGTGCTGTCCTCTAGTTCTCAGTCGGGATGAAATCCTCCTTATCCACGACTTGACCCCAGGCCTACCCCTAACTCGATCGGTCAGAGTTTTGATAGACCTCTCTGGCTTCGTACTTGATATCTCATCGTCCGAGTCTGTATAATTGCCGGGGGGTCAGTATGGAGCACTTCGCGTAACACTGCTGATATGGATAAAGATGGTGGTAAACAAACCGTAGTCGACGTCAAGCGAAATATTCATCAGATCGAAATCTTGGGTGGCCATTTCATGCATTGGAATTCAGGACTTCGTGGGGCAATCGTGCATAGTTCGAACGTATTAATTTCATGATATACGCCGTTTGTAACACACGAAGCTTAAAATACACAATATTTCCGGAATATAAAACTTACGGAGTATAATGCTGACGGAGTACAGATTTAACGGAATACAATATTCACGGAATACAATTCTCACGGAGTACAATTCTCACGGAGTACAATATCACGGAGTACAATCTCACGGAGTACAATTTTCACGGAGTAGCAGAACAACGGAGAAGACCCACGGAATACAACGTTCCAGAGTAAGGGACTCACGAGCTGCATCATTGAAGATCATCAAATTATCGGAGTGTTATGAGATAAACTATATAGAGACCTTGGGTTGACATGAGATGCAGATGCACCTGATCCAAGCCGTCCCAAAGCTTGTAACCTAGATAGCTACGGCTTCATCTGGATTGTGGAGACCAACACACTCGCCGCTAAGTATGGGCCATGCCCAGCGTGGCGTGGGGGTCAAGGGCTTTTAGTCGCGCACATAGAAGATACCAACTATGAATAAACCGCCCCCAAGCTATGTAATAAACTCTACCTATATAATCAGGAACATGAGATCGTCGTTGAATCCTCTCGAATTTAGTATTCTACTGTCATGGATCAGACCGTCGAATATGCAACAGGAGCACCCCCCACGACATGGATCCGGATATCAATCCAGGTGTGCCGCAGGGTTCAAACTCTTTAAACCAGAGTCACGACTGGGAGTGATTCAGCAGTAATATCAATACAAGGCAAAATCATTGATTAATAACCTTGAAGCACTGCCAATTCTGCAGGTTGTCCCGGTACACAGGCAATCTCGGTCATTCTCAACGTGGCATCTCCTGTTGGCTTCTGTATATGCTTTGCTATGTGACTGAGGACGTTCATTAGACTTTGTAACTCTATTTGTTCAACGGCTTGTATCTGTCTCCATACGCACAACAGGTACTGATTTTGTAGTCTCAGTTTTACTTCAAATCCTAAGTGTCATTCTTGGCTCATCATGGTCGATCCACTCCAGCTGGTTGATCACTTTTGGCACCGTTGACCGGAGACTTAGGAGATATTGGCCACAGTGTCCTGCTTCTTTACTCCACAAAGTCCCTCTGGCTATATGATCTTACGTCTAGACCATTTCAGTTGAGATATGAAAGCCCCATGGCAAACTCGGTTTTAGTATGAGAATAAATGAAGCCCAAAATCGGAACTTGGTGTATCAAGTATCTATCAGCTTTGGGTCTAGACTAGGTAAAAGCGCATGCATCAAGCCGTACTCAATAGACCCTTACCGGTCTATAGATATGTAGAGAATGCTGAAAGATGAGAGCAGTGGGAGTTGTGTGTGGAACTTGAACTCCGGCCGCTGCGCGGAGTAAAACAATACCAGCCAATTCCGGGGCCTCGATTATGTTGAAATAAATCCGAATAGTCTGTTTAAAATTCTGAATTAAGTCGGAATCTTAACAAATTCCCTTAACCTAACGGAAAGTTCTGGCTGGTTATCTTCTTATATCAAGCTTGATTCGGTGTAACCTTACACTTTGTTACCAAGGGTCTCATGAGTGTACAAGAGTACTGACAAATACTTCTTATATGAATGAATTGAAAGCTACATAAAAATAGTACAGCTATGGCCCACAACGAAAAAACACGCAACCAAGAGGATCCTGTGCCAGGGAGTACTGCCAACAGGAAACTTGTAAGTATACGAAGACATAACCCCGCCAAAGACCATTTCTGTGGTATTAACAATTTAACGATCACCTGGGACGGACCTGATGATCCCGAGAATCCAAAGAACTGGGCTGTTCGTCGAAAATGGCTGGCGGTTATCTCAATTTCCGGCTTTGTCCTAATGAGCCCGCTACCAACAACCATTGTCGCTCCCGCCTTAGACGTTATCACGGTAGAACTGGGGATCACGAGCAAGATCCTAGAGTCTATGATTTTATCCATCTTTCTACTCGGTTATGCGATTGGACCCATGTTCATTAGTCCCCTTTCTGAGATATGGGGCCGAACGCTGGTGCTGCAGACATTCAATCTTGTTTTCCTGATCTTCAACACTGCGTGCGGTTTTGCAGGGTCTATCGAGCAGCTGCTTGTCTTCAGGTTCTTTGCCGGGCTTTTTGGAAGCTGTACCGTTGGTGTGAGTCATTTCAAATTTCATGTCTTTTGCTTGATCATGACTTACCGATGCTCGATCCTAGATTGGAGCTGGTACTCTCGGCGACTTGTTCAATGCCAGTGAACGCGGGAAGGCTATGGCCATCTACAGCATATTTCCCCTTCTCGGTCAAGTCTTGGGTCCCATTGCGGGAGGATTTCTGACTGCACGTGCTTCCTGGAGATGGGCTTTTTATGCAACCTCCATAATAGATGGCTGCGTCCAGATATTCGGTCTCTTCTTTCTCGACGAGTCATACATGCCAGTCCTACTGCGCAGGAAAAGAGATCGACTCACAAAAGCTGGAGCCACAGGCCTCTACACAGAACATGACTTTCCAACCGGTTTCTCACTTAGCATGATGCGAGAAACCATGATCCGCCCGATAAAGCTGCTTACAACGCAGCCCATAGTGCAAGTAATGGCACTATATCAAGGCTACCTCTACGGTAACATCTACATCCTCTATGCCTCCATCGCAGTCCTCTGGACAACCCGCTACAACGAACCGCTTGATATAGCCTCACTACACTACCTCGCACTGGCCCTCGGAACGGCCTTTGCAGCAGAGGTTGCAACACACATCAACGACCGCATATTCCGCGTGCTGACCAAACGAAACAACGACGAAGGTTTGCCCGAGTTCCGTATACCCATAATGATCCCCGCCACTGTCGTCCTGACCGTCGGTTTGTTCTGGTACGGCTGGAGCGCCGAGGCCCGCCTCTTCTGGCTCATGCCGGACATCGGCATTGCGTTATTCGCCGCTGCCGCATATATCTGCACTGTCTCGAACAATATCTATGTTGTAGATACGTACGGGCGGTACTCGGCCAGCGCTCTCGCTGCGACATCCATGCTGAGGTGTTTGGCGGGGTTCGTGTTTCCTTTGTTTTCGCCGTATGCGTGAGTTATCCTCTTTCTCGTGCGTCTAGACTGTAGTTTACTGACGCATTATCTAGATATGAACGGTTGGGATATGGTTGGACTAGTACCATATTGGGTATCATCGCATTATGCATCGGTCTTACCGGTGTTATTTTCCTATGGAAGTTCGGGCATGTATTAAGAAAGAACAGCCCGTACTGTGCTAGTCGCGATGTGGATGATTCTTAAGGGGTGGCAAGCAAGTCAGTTTCACGGATGAAGAATCAACGGCTCCATTATCACACATGTGTATTGCTGGGAAAGGCTATCGTCACCGCTTATCCAGTGCCACGACCACCCCATGGCCTGCAAGGTTCAATTCCACCAAAGTAGTCAGATTAGGACGTCCGAAATATCACGCGTCCAATCCGCTCCTTCCATTCGACTGAGGAAGTCGTCGAAATTCAAGGCATCATCATTGAGTCCAAAATTAGGCGACACTGGCAAACTTGTCATGAACTGATTTTGTGCCGTTTCTGTCGCGACTGTTTCACGATGTTTGGGGTCGATAATCACGCTCAGAATCGAGGACAAGATTCTGTGTGCCCATTTGCAAGACTCCTGGTTGACTTCTTGACGATTCGTGCTCCTTCGCAGGTTTGATACAAAGACGGCGAGATTTTGTATGACCTCGGCGCGAGGAATTGCGTTGATTTGCGTGTTCGGGGTGTTGGGTTCACGAATTGAGTCTTTGAGTAACTCAACAGCCAGAATACTAGCAGCTGGTAATCCATAATAGAGAATCTTTGGAGAAACTTAGCTGCAAAATCAACGAATCTGTAAAAGAAAGACTAAAACACTTACGGGCCAGGACATATCTCGCTGCATGGTATAGACCTGGTCAGAGAGCGAGATTGCCTGAAGGATTGTGGCAAGTAGGGACCTTGAGACTTGGTATAGAGGTTCTCGCGTACACTGAGTCTCATTCGCAAGCTTTCGGTACAATAAGAAGCGATTGTAGTTTTGGTCCATGTAGGTTGTCATCATGACATATCGTTGCGGAGGGGTTATGTGTTGAGATCCTGTGAGTTCGTCATACTTCAGCTCTTGTGGAACCGTGTCCCACACAAACTCATGTCTCGTCAATATATCGCTGCGTCCTAGAGATCAGCAGAGTTATGCACAATAGTATCGACGAATCACTCACTGTACTAGTCCCTCGTTCTCGCTAGTAAGTTGTGTTCCAAGGTATATCCCGAGTACCTCTTCTCGAAATTGACTGAGTATCAGCTTAATGCGTCTCCACGTGGCGCCTCGGAATTGTCGATCCAAGTTCCAACCGTTCGCATCGACATTGCGCAAAGAGTCATCCAGTTCGTCGTTTTCTAGCAGGAAAACCGCGTCGTCAATGTCAGCGGGCATGGGGATAGCACAATGTGAGCCCAAGATTCTTGGCGGTCGGCCGAGAATAGTACTAATAGTTTTGTCCATTGAGTATAGTTGGGCGGCATACCTCCTCCTCAGCTCGATTTGGTAATATGGATATATTTCCTCGCATTTAGTTTTCTCCTGGTGAAGCCCAAGGGCGGAGAACATACTCGAGAGGTCGCCTACACAGCGCCAGAATTGGAAATCTACAGATTCCAGTCTGTCAGTACAAATTGAAGTTGATTTTGATGCTGTCTAACACTTACTCATGTCACCGTAAACCACGTTCTTTAGACAGGCGCCTCCATAAAGCAACCATAAAGCCTGGTGGCTAACAGAATTATAGCTATAACAGACCGAGGTACAATAGTCAACTGCTTCGGCAATACGATGGATAAATGTAGGCTCCTCGGTAGGTGAAGTGTCTGATAACGGCTCGTTCCGTTTGTTGACATCGTATTTAAGGGATATACCTAGAGTAGCAAGAACAAATCCAATTATCTCCCACCTGATGTTAGGTCCGGTGAACAAGGTATGATAGACCTTGGCTGAAACATGCGTGAAAAGGTCTAAAGGCGTGGAAGTGTTTGCAAAAAGAAGCATGACAAGTTGTCTCAGTTGGCTGCCCCTTGACCGAGTAGAGGATGGGAAAGGGCCGAAAAGGGTTTCTTCTACCGACGCAACGCAAGCTTTGACGAATGGATCCGGGACCATACATGTATAAGAGAGCTTAAGATATCTATGAATACAGTCTGGGAAGGATGGAAAGTCGACCAGTAAGTTCAACACGGCCATGCCTGCACGGATTCGTTCTTCCGAAGTGTGCTCTTTTCTTTGGTGTACATTAGACAGTATCTGCTGATCGGCAAGCTGTTCCACATATCGATTGATGATATCCCGGTCGTCGTCAATAATTGCTGAAAAAGCCGTCGAGCCAAAGAATTCGGCGTCAGCGGAAGGAGCAGCTTTTGTTCTCGATGGCGAGTATGTGCTGGTTCTCTGCGGAAGTTGTTCATCATTCGGCGTGGGCGCCAATTGCAAACTTGGAGAACTACGGGCTCGCCTCATGGAACGTCGTGAATGAGACACAGATATCTGGCTGTTACGCGGTTTTGTCATTGGAGCAGGATGGTAAATGCAACTCCTCTCCTTATTACGAGCAACACATCTGTCGCAGACAGGAATCTTGTGGTCACAGCGGACCTTCGATATACGACATGGTTCGCAGGAATGAGGCTTTCCATTACGTCTGGTTGGAACCGAACCTGAGGGAGTCATTGGGATACCGAGTCGTATGGCTACAGACCCTGGATATGGTCGCGAGAGCTTTGTTCGGGCAGTGCTATAAGGCAGGTAGAATCATGCGTAAGGAGAAAGCTTGACTCCGTGTGGCGCGGCTTGGCCAAACGTAAGCGCTTAGCCCAAAGCGAGTTCTTATTAAGTGGGGCGTAGCTCGGCGTCCAATGTTGGTCAATAGTGCCCGTGTATTTAATAACAATCAAGATTTGTGTTCATAAGGCCCGTGGTGAAGTGATGCTTCTAGTATATCGGAGATTTGATTAGTAATCAGTCTACAAGACCAGTTATATACAGCATAAACCGAGTTCTAACGCCCTTCAAGGCGAAGATACGCAGATAACTAGCACGCGAACTCTTCCATTGAGGAGGGAGTCCCCCAACTACAGCGGGTTTTGGCAGCAAATTGTTTGTCCCAGTATCAACTGAAAGTTCTGTTTATCAGGCCGAGCATTTTGGGGGAGATGCTGACGACAGTGGAGGTGTTTGTCAACACCTTCGTGGTGATTAACGTCTTGAGTATAGCGCTTGGAATTGCGTAGTGTTAAGCAGGTCGTCATTGACGTGGTGACAGTCACACAGTATGACTTGCTAGTATCAATTTAAGGCATATGATACTAGGGCTCAACTGTTTTAGATCGTCGATAGACAGTCATTTGCTGCCCGCGAAGCTCTCGCACGTAGCGCCGCTGTCGGCAGACATGGAAAGGCTGCAGTCAACAGCACGGTGTAAAAGGGCTGGCTTGGGGAAACCCATTCCTTGTGATGATTCCGGCTACAAGGTGTGCCAACTGTATCCTTTTAGACTTCGTTTTGGAGTTGGATGAGGAATTAGGTTATCAGAGAAAGTTAAGGGAGCCCGGCATTCCGAAAACAAACTAAATACTCATCGAGGCAGAACTCAAATCCCAGATCTTGTACTCGCCTTTAAATTCACCCTGTTGTCTGTGATAGATCTAGCTTTACACCAAGCAGTGGAGAAGAACCAAGGGCCACACCACTTTTGTCTACCGTCTTTGCTTTCCAACATTCCGAGCTTGCGCCATTTCTGAACACTCTATTTTCATTCTGAATATGGTATTGTAATAACATAAGCAAGACCGTCGTAACCACTAGCTATGATTTTAGATGGGTAGACTTCTTCAGCAACGACCCCTACTTTGAATACCGCGGCTTCACTATATTTAAAACTGAGGGTATTTGGATGCTAACCTGGAGGGTAGACCGGGATAGTTACACCAAGGACTACCATTCCAAATGAAATAGTAACGCTATCGTCAACAACTACACAGGTAGTTCGATCCTTTTCACCACCAAGAATTCCTCGCAGGAGTTGCTATCAACGTAACAAATACTCTGGACATTCCCTCCAGAGTAAACTGACATGGTAGCGAGACATGTACAGTGGTGGCAACCTCCACTCCCACCCCAGGTCCTTGTCGGGTCATGATTGATCCCGCTACTACGTCACACATGTCTTCCTCCATGGCCGCCCGGGTGTACAAGGGCACAAACCCACCTGTAAGCTGCCCATCGGAAGAAGACGGCAGTGAAACTGCTGCTCAGTAAGTGGCCGTTGGAGTCGTGGCGTGTTTAGCAGCCGCATTCGGAGCATTATGTCATATTCTGGTGTAAACAGCATATACAAGTGCAAAAGTAATTAGCCCTCGGTCTCCACATACAGAATACAACACCATCTCCGCATAGATATTTTCGTAATAATTCGATCAATAAGACGGCTGACTATCAGTTATACTAGCAGCATTGATAGTTGCTTTTAGGGGTCCTATATTAAGCTAATCGCAAATACATAACTATAACTATAAGCTTATTCTTTTAGCCTGCATACATCAAAATTACTACCCACCTTATACCCCTGCAAAATGTAAGCCAACGGCCAGGAAACCTTCCTATCATAGGTTTAGTGTAAGAACCGGGCGCCACGGGAAGTATAGAGGACGGTTATGACGACTTATAGAGAGAAGCTATACAATATCTTAGTGTGCGGGACAGACAGCCTTACAACGATTCACCAAGTCCCCGCCAATACATCCTCCGAAATTCTTACTATACAAGTGAAGGATAATTGTAAGTTTTCTTGCCTAAAATAATGCATCTGCGGTCTTCGCTAAAAAAAAAATAAAAAAAAAGTATACCTGATCGAGGCCTCTTAATTAAGCACGACCAAGGTGAATATCTCAAACCGACAGGCTGGATCATTTATAGATTTTCGTTTTAAAAATAATTTATAGAGTAATATCCACCGGTATATCTATAATACGTAGAAGTTCCCATGTAGTATACATTTCCGAAATGTGGCCACCGAAAGTCTGCTATTACTGGCCGTATTGGTGGCTTAGAGCCTGACGGTGTTATTGCTAGACGCCTACGCCATAAGCTGGCCGTTGGGTGAGAATAGAATCGAAAGAACTAGAGGGTTGATCACCACTTTTACTCCGTTCAATAGTGGACAGCTCTTATGACTACAACAGACTCCTTTCAGGTCTGCCCTACGAGGCATCCAGTCGGCTACAGTTCGCAGGAGTATGAATTGTCAGCGTCGTACTGATGTTTTACGCCAGTATAGTACAGAAGAGGCTTGTATATATTATCCCAATGAATTTTATCTACGTCAAAGAGGTAAGGACATATGAGCTCATAACCGAAAATTTTGTAATATTCGGCAACGAATATAATGAGTAAATATTAGAATTCTTTACTTCTTTTGACTTCTTATTACTTGTAATTTGCGAGGAAATTGGGTTATTAATGAGTTTCCAAGTGATTACTTTGCTCTAAGACACCGACGAGAAATTTTGCCAAAGTAGCTGGTTCAGACCTACGAATGGCTAGAGTCAGGTTATGACTACATAGAATTATCACACTAACAATTCCCACCCCTACAGACTGTATTCACTTTAAATGAGGGATACTTTTTGTCTGTTAATCAATCCAGCACATGAAAGTCAGGTCGCTGTGCTTATTAAACTTATGATTGATTCCAAGGAATCAAGGAACTGTGAAATCTCCTCCCATTGCCCTTTACCTACGGGAATTTAGCTTATACAGACTATTACTAGTCCGTATATCGAGGTCTATTCGTGGTGTAAATATCACTAGTGTTTGTTCTCAATAATGTAGGATGTTCAGGTGATTGGTGTTGCTAATAACAGTCAGCTGTCTGAGTATGGATCAGGTGGCTGCTACTGAGGGTGTTTTGGCTAACAATCGCCTGCGTCGGATTTGCCTCATGATAATATGGAAAATTCAGTGACTCGATGCAGGGACTTGAGAAAGGAGAAAGATCGCAAAACAGGATAAAAGGCCACTCCTCCGTTTCCATCGTGTGTAGAAATCTCGATGATCAATTTTTGCTGTCTTCTCGTCATTTCTCAAAATTCGTATTCTTACAATTGAGGCCTCTGTGGGAACTCTTGTGCAAGCATGGTGACTACATCACGGTTTACGGCGGCGCATCTCCCCAAGGTCAAGGGATGCTGCATCGTCCTCCAAAACATCGAAGGCGACGGCAGCGCCGAGTAAACCATGCAGGTCGACAGTAAGAATCAGTGCGAGATCTGCCTCATCCAGGTCTTGCGCGTTTGGCGCTGAGGTTACTGAGGTCAGTAACAACGTCAATGTCAAGGTCGGCGGGCAACATGTCCTTGATATCATTCATGATGCTATTGACAAGTTTGGTGGGAGCGGCAAGGTTGGACCTAACGGAAACATGAAGTCTAACGGCAACGTTGAGTTCCCTTTATAATGTACTCTCACGTTCACGCCGAACATCTGGTCCAAATGCGACAAAGGTCCAGCAAGGGTTGGCAGTGCATCACCTCTGGACGCTAGGCGCTTCTCATCACGCACCTGCAGCTCAATTGAGACCGGTGTTGACACAACGGTGGCTGGAAATAATAAATGGTTGAATACCTAGAAGAAAAAAAGCTCCACCCAAAAGGCCAATACATGAGACCTTATAAAGTAGCGATGTGCCACTTACTGCCAACCGATGTCACACAGCTGTAGCAGTCGCCGGCTCTGATCATGAGTTATACTCATTGCTTCGGTGCAAGCAGAAGCTTCAAGAAAGTGATAAACAAACCAAAGAATTCGTCGGGGGGGGGGGGAGAAAAAGGATTATTAAATCGGTTAAAACTCGTTTGGTTTTACTGTCAGAGCGATCCTTTGAATCAGGACTGAAACATGTTGCAGGGTCTCCATTTTTAGAGCCTTGTTCAACTTCGGCATCCACTAACTTTATAAAAATAAGTCCTTAGAGCGCCGGATTGGTAAATGGGTGACCACCAGCGAGTTTCTTGGTGCTTATTATTTTGTATCCTTTTTGCTCCCGATCTTCTGCAGGTCGCGGTCACGCATAGTTTTCATGTCAGCACGTGACTTTGGCCATTGGTAATGTTTGTTCTGGTTGCAGGACTTGGGGACGTTATGAGCACTACCGTGATGACGGCGATGTATCTATGTGCTTGGACTTCGATCCAATAAAAGTAATGGTTTGAAGAAATACCATGGCTGTGCGTTGTGTAGGGCTGTGGGGGTTTTAATAGATGTCATCACGAAATTTGACCATATTGATATTAGCTTGAAATCAGTCAAATATTTTGAAGAATAAGAACTACTATGTGACTCCAATTACGTTGTTGATTGTTTGCTACATACGCCGCAATTTGGTGCGGTTCAATCGGCGCTTTCATATGCCTTATAATGGCCAAAGTCAAGGTCCATTTGCTCCTAGATTTAGCTGCGTGTGAATGTTCTCACACCACAAAGATAAGAACGCCCTAGGTATCAAAATCACTGGAACCACCAACGCCGTTACGCTCGAGTAAAAAGCAGGAAAGGGCTAGAGCGAATCCCCAACTTCGCCTGAGATGTCTATATCCGCCCCAACAGACTGAAACAGAAATCCATCTATGTCGTAGGAAAATGAGGAGAGAAAGGCTCGTCGGAAGATCAAAGCGGACTGCAAGACAAGCCGGGTGAACATTACGTCCATGACCGTGGTTCTATCTCGCAGCAGCAGCCGCCGCCGCCGGCGGAAGGAAGACGATCAAGCGGAAAAGCCGGTCGTTATCAAACCATCCTTACGTGCGAACGATTCCTTATCGCAAGCGTAACGATGGAGAAAGTCGTACGCCTGCAACACAATATCCCGAATACCGAGCCGAGGCTATGTGGGTCTGCCATGGAAAGTGGGCTCTATCGTAGCTTCAGTGCAGGGCCCACGTCATAAGCGAGCACGTTTTCGTTTCCATCTTTTCATCATGCTTCTCGAAAATAGCCGGACGATAATGCAGCTGCAGTAGTAAATATGCGAACGATAAAGCTAGTGGTAGACGACCACTCCGCTGAGGTCGGCTGATAGACTCGCAAAAGAGGGCAAACGGAATGGGAATTGTGCTAGACTAGACGAAACAAAGCAGTTCTAACCGTCCCCGCAGGGACAGATAGAAAAGGCTTGGCTATCATAGTCCGCAACTCTCCATATCTCGCATCAAACAGGCCATTTGTGCTCGCTTTGCGGCCTCAGCAACGAGGTTGAAGTTGTTCAGGAACGTCTCGGTGCCGGCCTGTCTTGTTGGCGGTGGTCTTGGCGGCATAAATTGTTGCGACGGGAACGATTGTGAAGGAATCGACGATGCGGTCGAGCTGCCGTGGTGAGCCGCAAGAGGGGATGTCATAGGTGCGTCCATTGTGGCTTCCTGGTAATCGTAGCGACTTTCTAGGAAGGAAGTGATGGGTATTGTTACAAGCTCTCGTGATGATCTCAAGGAGCTCAGAGATTTCGAATGCGCAAATTGAGAAAGATAAAACCTCAGCCTGGATTCGTATCACTTTCCAAACGGTGTGCTGCAGGAAGAATGCGGGATGGTAGTTGTGCACAACAAGGTTGTAATGCCTCTTGTGCTTGTTTGATATCGAATGATTCGGCCTTTTCGCTGACGGGCCAAAAGTCTGGTGTCGTACGACAGGTAATGCAGCAGGTGCAGGTCGTTGTTCTAGGAACTCGAAGTATGCTGAAAATGCAAGCCTCGGTGGAAGTCTAAAGAGTAAATGCAACGCCGGCAAGTCTCTATATGCGCGTGATGCAGGACGAAAGAAAAGACAAAGATGTAGATCTCCGTATGCGATCTTTACAGCACGTGAATCTCTTCTTCCTATTATTGTTGTTGATGTTGTTGTGTAAAATCTGGGATAGGAAGAAAGAGAAGATTTGGGGAATGACTTAAGCAGCAGGCTAAAAGTCCGGGAGGGCTGTATCGATATTATCAAGAAATGAAGCCGGTTGTTGCTTTTGCGCGAATCACAAGAAACAGAAGTTGGGGGTATGCTTCCTTCTCGAATCGAGATGGTGTGTAAGATGAAAATGGGAGACGGGATGGCTTTATGACAGAATGATAGGCTGTCCCCAAATTGTTCGATCGATAGATTCAAGACAAGGCACCCAAAGTCTTGGTCTTGGGGGTTGCTCGATCCTGAGTGGTGACGATCCGCTGTCTCGTGTGTGTGGTGTTACTGTATTTGTCCTGGAAGCCTGGTTTTGTTACCGAAACTGTTACCGAGCCGAAAACTAAGGTGCAGAGAGGAGCCTTTTCAAGGGACAGCTTGATGTGTCGTGCCAGGCGAATCAATGAAGTTACATGTGTTTATGCAAAGGTAGTTACGGATCAGCGTGGCTCAACCTTGGGGAGAGGCGGGGGATTATGTAAATGGTCAGAATTAAAGCGAAGCCCGCGAGGCGAGCACCTCGATTCAGGGTGCCGATAGTTTAACTTGAGACAATAACGACGGTGGATCACGATAATCTTTCGATTCAACCGGGACGGACCCACGAGCAAAGGGTCCTAAAGTGTCCTGCGTCAAAGAAGAGTTCGTGGAACAATTCCGTAGGCGGATTACACTACGGCCAAGATCTCGGGGACAAAGTGGATTGATCTCGAGAATACTGCAAATTACGCAGACTAGGTAGGCGATAAGGACGAATTGCAGCATACCCATGCGCAACAACAGCAACAAGAGCAATAACTACTTGCAGCAGTTGTCTGTCTCCTCTGCTTGCAGGAGTTCACATGCACGAAGAGATTGACTCTTGTTGGTTCAGTTCATATGTCTCGGAGTATGGTTGCATGTGCTTGCTCAACCTAACAGCCGAACCTACACAGTAGAGTGCTATTTGCACCGTGGATTGGATTGCCGAGTTTAGCGTTCCACGCAAGACCTGTTGATGATGATATTCCAATGTCGCAATGTCAAGATCGAATGACAGTCGTCTTGGTTTTAGTTGCAACACCATCATCATACATGTGAGCCACTGCACAAGTATTGGCACCAGGTACGCATTGGGCGTTAGGTTGTGAAGGCAATTCAAGAAATCGCGAAGGTTTGATGGAGCTGTGTTTCAAGGCTAGTGACACTATAGGTGCGGTAATGCGGCTCGTATGACCGGTAACAAAGAGGCTGCAACCGAACTATTTGCTCTTTCAAGTTTGGGCCAATGCAGAAATGCATCGAGAACCATGACAAATGTATCAGTTATGGGTTTGCCTATAACCAGGGTTGGAGTATAGACGAGTCTGGCTGCTACCGATCGCCAATGGCCACTGCAGAAGAAATAATGTCGGGGCTTGGTATTAGATTATGTTGAAACCTGGTTTTGTGAACAGGAAGGGAACGATTCTATCCGTCGTAATCTCTCGGATTTCCCATGTGTTACAACAGGTGAAAGTGCTCCCTAGCACTTGGGCTCCAATCTTTCTTTGGAGAACCCCCCCACGCAAGTGGACATCCCCGCAATGTGCCCCGGACTCTGTCTTGCTTGTGATCATCACTGTTGATTCCCCAAGTGGGCGAACAGAGGAAGAAAAACATGACTCTCCGGCCAACCCTACCGAGCCTTCTTTACCGTGTCATCTCGATTGAACTCAGTCTCAAATTGAACCATGATGGGCAATGGTCCATGATCATCCTGTTTGTTTATTTTATAGACAAGGAACAATATGCAACATGTGCACCATGCATGAGTAAGGTGCTCCGTACTACGGCAATCTAAGCAAATGCAACGCGCGACTGCAGGCCGATTGCGTGGTTTTCATGGCCTGGATTGGGGCTGGGCAATCTTGATAATTCCCCGTTTCCCCTGATCGTTTCGTTGCGTTACGTTACGTTACGTTACCAGGCAATAAATTCCTGCTCGCGTGGGATGAAGTGTGAAAAGCGACAAGTAGTGGCATGACTCGGTATGTGCGAAAAGAACCCTTTGCTCCCCACATGCAGCGATAGTGGAGCTGAGCAACGCGAATTTATCGGGTGGACAGATAGACGTGGCATGCGAAGAAAAATGAGAAAAGAGTCCGCTATGAACTCATCATCGTTCGAGCTTACAAATTTCTCCACCGAGTTACCATTTTGATTTCTGCCAGGCGGTGGCACTTCCTCGGGTCTATTTGAACTGAGGCTGACCTGGGGTCATCGGCCCGTTGAAGAAGCGTCTTGTGGGGTTTTCGGATTTCACCGGTGAGCGCGCCTCGCGAACAATTTTTGCGACGGGGCCGTTGACCGGGTGTGATTCTGAGCTCGGTCGGTCTGGGTCCAGGTCTGTAGAGCTCAAGCTTTGGCGGTCCAGTCAGAAGAAGAGAAGAGAAGAGAAAGACCAACTAAACTTACGACACTTGGAGGAGAGCCAAACCTCTGCAGCATGTCACAGCAGGAGCCGCCGCAATCAATTTCGGAGTCGAAAGATCCATCGACTGCCGCGCAACCCGTGTCAGATGCTACTGCGGCGACACCACCGAAGACGTCTTCAAAGTCAACTTGGTTCGATGTACCAGCTCCGTTGGCCCGACTATTCAGGCAATTCCCACTTGTAACATATCCCCCAAACGAGCTACCATTTCGATCGCCGAGCAATAAACACACTCCTGCACTCTATGTATTCGTGTCAGACCGTGACGCTCTACGGGCATGGCCAAGCTTCAATCCCTCGTGTTTGAAATGGCAGGTAAGCTTTATTCCACCTATACCAGTCCACTGTCTCCGCCGCATAGACTTGTCCTGACAATGCTGGTATAGACCTTCCTTAGACTAGCCGGGGTCGAGTTCCGTATAGTGCCTTCTACCAACCACGCATCGCCCACTGGTGCATTGCCATTCCTAATTCCCCAGTCAACCCCGAGCGACCTTGCGTCCCAGATTCCCATACCGTCCAACAAGCTGGAACGGTACGCGCTAGACCATGGCTCTCATAAGGTGTCGGAAACCGATAGCCCACGAGTTGACGCATATCAGTCCCTGCTAGATAACCCGATACGTAATGCTTGGCTATACGCGTTGTATCTATCTTCGACAAACTCGCGACTCCTGTCCCAGCTCTACGTTGAACCTATATCCTCGTCGATACTCGTCCAGACAACAGTTCGATATCAGCTTCGAAACGCTGCCGAGGCTGAGATATTGCAGTCGGTAGGCACGACGAGAGTAGATCCAACAACCATTTTTAGAGACGCGGAGCAGGCCTTCGATGCCCTTGCAGCAGCGTTGGGATCCGGTGACTGGTTCTTTGGGAACCCAGGACCAGGTCTATTTGACGCAGCATTGTTTGCCTATACGCATCTCCTGCTGGATGAATCTCTACCCTGGGCAGATACCCGCTTAACAGACTCGCTCAAGAGATACCAACCTCTGGTTGATCATAGAAACCGGATTCTAAATATATGCTGGCCTGACTTCATCGGACGCCAGACGTAATTGCTGCTGTATGAACACTGTATCAGTTGGAATGCAATTCGCATTCTGCATAAACCATGGCGTTAAAGAGTGCAACATGACTGCTGGTCGAGCAAGTCTCGGGAAACTGAATTATACCCTTTGTACATAGGTAGTTCAAAACATCTAGTTTTGACCAGGCTACGCGCTCGTCGCTATGCGACATGAATGTATCATAATGGCTGGATCCCGTTGAACATCATCAAATGGAATCAGCTTTACATCTTCGACAAATTCGAGACTCCACCATCCACATTGATTGTAGCACCATTGACATACGAACTATGCACATTAGTAACGGTCACGTCTGCTTTGGAACATGCAAGAAAACTCACCCCGCACGACTCGCTAGGAAAATGCAAGCTCCAGCCACATCTCCCGGTCTTCCGATCCTGCCCATTGGGTTGCCCTCCTCAATCTCTGCCTTCGCCGTCTTCATCGCGAACCTCGTCATTTTTGTTTCAAACGGCCCACACGCAAGCGTGTTGACCGTGATGCCCCTGGGGCCCAACTTGGCGCTTAGCACCCGCGACAGATGGTGCAGACCTGCCTTTGCCGCACTGTAGGAATAGTTCTCCATGATCGGGACCCTCAGAGCATCGATAGACCCGATGTTAATCACAGCCGCGGGCATATCCTTGGCTGCCGACTCCACGGATGGCGATCCCGCGGCATCGAGAAGTGGTAGTAAGAGCTGGGTCAGAGTAAAGACGCGCTGCAAGTTTAGATTCAGCACACGCGACCACTGTTCGTCCGGGAAGGAGTCCAGTGGTGCACCCCAGGCGATACCACTGTTGTTCACGAGGACGTGTAATTTGGACTCCCGCTTTGAAAGCTCCGAGACTAGACGCTCGCACTCGGAGAGCTGCAGTAGGTCTGCGGGTAATGCGACTGCTTTGCCTGGACCTGCTGAATTCAGCTCCTCTGCTGCTGCTTCGCAGGCTTTGGCATCACGGGAGGAGATATAGACTTTGGCTCCATTGGCGACAAAACCTTGTGAGATCATGAGTCCTATGCCTTTGGCACCTAAATGACATGTTAGTGATTCAATAGAATCTTGTTGGTGTATAGAAGCGATTGCTACCTCCAGTGACCAATACCACCTTGTCCTATACACAGAGAGCTGTGAGCGATATACTCGTTGGGTAGTCTTGTTGATTCAACCGCTTACCTTGACATCGAACAGCTGATTCAACTCCATTTCTGCCAATCAAAAGCGATATAGTTATATATGTTTGGCCGTTAATTCAATCCACGTTGGTATTAATATGACTTCTTCGTTTGCACAGTAAGATGAAAGCCTTGTATTTGTTTTCGACACAAAAGCGTGTCCTGCTTCGAAGTCATCTTGAGCTCGTGTGGGGCCGAGGTTCAGAAATGCCCCCAGCTCAGGGATCTGATAGAAAGTACTTCCGGAGCACTCGACCACCTGCTCCAATTAGCGGCCGACTATGATTACCGCAAGTATCCACTAACTTTTTCCGGCTCGTTAAACCCTTGGCTTGATCCTCGAATGTTGTCCCAGATACAATACCAAGATCTATTATTCGACGGTTCGTTCAAACAAAGCTCATCGCTTTGTTGGAGCATGCCGGAGATCAACACTACCGGATTACACGTCAATGAGCGCATCGTTGATATGTTCTTCCACTTGTGCGTCGTAGATTAGAAGCACTGGAAGACGTCGACTCCTGTCCGACAAAAAAGTATGGACATTTATACCTGCAGTTCTGAGAGACTGCTTATAATCCCATTTGTGTACTTTTGCGGGTAGCGAAGGGAGTTTCCCTAGAGTGCACCATGCCATAACAGATGATCACAGTGGTCAATACAGTTACTGCTGCTCAAATATCAGAACAAAAACACGATATCTCGACATAACTGGCTGCTTAACTCATTCATACCCGGAAATCAACTATAATTAAGAGTTGCTCCATAGTAGGGCGAACATCATGTCAATCAGTGGAACAAAGGTGTCGGACTACCGACAAGCCGCGGGGAATTAAGCGTAGCGTGTCATCTAAGCAGCACTCACCTTCTATATGCCACCTATACTCATTCCATCACCGAGTGCTCCGAGCCAACCGAGTCTCCGAACCCACCGAGTCTCCGAATTCTCATAGTAGTATAAGGACATGTCTAACCTAGTATCCTTGAGGCCTACTTGTAACAGTTTCTAAGCAACTTTACCTTTTCTAAACACTTTGAAGATGTTCTACAAACCAGGCGAGACACCCCACGGTCTTCCCCACGACCCTTTCAAGGTAACCGTTTCGCCTCATATACTACGTAGGGCCAGAGGGAAACTGACTGTGTGCGCAGGCGTGCGTGGTCCCTCGACCAATAGGATGGATCTCAACCGTCTCTGTCGATGGCGAACACAACCTGGCACCTTATAGCCAGTTCAACAATCTAACTTTTGATCCACCGCTGGTCATGTTCAGCTCGAACCAGACCTTGCAGAACAATAGGAAGGACACTGTCAACAATGCCGAGAGCACGGGCGTTTTTTGCTGGCAGCTCGCAACCTACGATCTGCGGGATGCCGTAAACATCACCTCGGAGGCGGTGCCGGCTTCGGTAGACGAGTTTGAGAAGGCCGGCCTCAAAAAGACGTGGTCGCAGACGCTGAAGACGCCGGTGCCTATGGTTGAAGCGAGCCCTGTCAGGTTCGAGTGCGAGTATGTGCAAACCATCCGGCTACCAGGAAACCCACCAATGGGAACGGTTGACATTGTGATTGGTAAGGTCGTGGGCGTGCATATTGATGAGAGCATACTCACGGATGGCAAAATCGACATTCGCAAGTCAAAGCCAATTGCGAGGTTGGGTTATTTTGAGTATGGCGTTATTGACAAGTCTTTCGAAATGATTATTCCTGGAGATAGGGCTGGGCTCTATGGAGTAGGTAATATAGAGAATCATTTTCTGATTATGTTTAGCTAATGCTGGTACAGCTCGAAGGAAATGCAGCATCAAACCGAAACGAAGACAACAAGCAGAAGCAAACTAGCCAGTCAAATGGTACAACAGGTGACGACAAATAAGCACAACTTCGAAGAAATCAAGTCACCCAAGCCTGTGACGAATACCGGCTCCAGTCATCTGCAGCTCATTGATAGAAAATTTGAGAAATGAATGCAAATTCCTGCTTCATTATCTTGTTGTAGAATAAAGGCAGGCTGCGCATACAAAAGCTTACGCAAGAGTCACACGAATATCCATACCTACGAACAGGTATCTACATTTAAATGTTTAACGGACATAAGTGACCTCGAAACTCTTTATGGAACAATTTGTGGCAAATCTCGGACCCAAAAGTCCTCGTGACACGTCTTAAACCATATGAACGCATATGCCATAATGCATGCGCCGTATATTGCTGGCGCTTTTTCCAGAAAGCGAAGTCGCTAACGTTAGCTAGACGCCCCCACTTACAAAATAGTGACGACGTATATAAAGACTAAACTCCGCTGGCGCATTTGGTTATTCTGCAAAATCACACGTATCAAAATCCTTCTCCGCAACAAAAGCATTGGTCGCCGTGGTCAAAATATATAAGCCAAGGGCTGTGTGCATCATGGCCGAACAAGGACCATCGATAACACTAGAAGCCCATTTCAGGGATCACGCAGTTGATGCTCACGCAGAGAGATGGAACTCGCTGTGGAAGGATCACAAGTTCACGCCATGGGATCGTGGTGGTCCCAGTATGGCCCTTTCTGACCTTCTGGAGCATCGACCAGACCTGTTCGGTCAGCCAGCGTCCGCCGCGCTTGTTCCCGGCTGTGGCAGGGGTCATGATGTTCTCCTGTTGGAGTCCTTTGGGTACGATGTTGTCGGCTTGGAGGTTTCGCCCACAGCTTTAGAGGAAGCACAAAAGAATGCGGGGTCAATGACAAGAGATGGTGTTTACAGACGGCGTGGACAACATCAAGGCAGTCATCGTTTTGCCTCTGGCGATTTCTTCAAGAACACGTGGACACAGGAAGTAGGTGTCGAGAAGTTTGATCTTATCTTTGACTACACGGCAAGTTGACTCTGTTCGATCCACCGCGGACAGCATATAGTCGCAATGCTAACAAACCTAGTTCTTTTGTGCCCTACCGCCGGCAGCTAGACCGAAGTGGGCTCAACGAATGGCTGAGTTACTCGCGCCAGGCGGTCGGCTAGTTTGTCTGGAATTTCCCTCGGCCAAATCGTCTTCCGAAGCCGGTCCTCCGTGGGCAGCACCACCACATTCATACGTGGCTTATCTGGGCAGACCTGGCCAGGAGCCTGCAACTGACACGCATGGTGGTGTGCTTGAAGACAAGGTAGAAGAACCACAGAAAGGTGGACTAAGACGGATATTACACACCAAACCCCAGAGATCTCACTTGTCTGGGGTCAAGGATGGGAAGATGATTGACAACATTTCCGTTTGGGAGCACTATTGATTGCGAGACTCTGAAGGGCTTCAAACCGACTCAAAAGCCATGCTAAAAGCTGTATTCACCAGAGTTTATAGTACCTATCAATTTCTATCCTGTCTGCATTTCCTAGCTATTCTAGTTCTACGTGGTTGAGCAGTCGCCAACAATTAACTCAGCAGGACTCAACACGAATTTCGCATCCATTACCAAAGGAGTCTACACCACAACCATTGCAGCCGAAGGCACGGATTGCATTGTAAGAACTCTAGCGGGTTGTAAATCAGACCGGGCTCTACATGCATTACCAGTCGGAGGTTTAGGGGGGTTCTTACAGTCAATACCGAGCCTTGAGCCTTACAGCCCTCTCCACGCACGTGTATCGCACAGCCGAGCGCGCACACGCCTGAGAAGCTTCCGGCACCCTCTGTGCCGCTTACGAGATATGTGCTACACTGTGTTAGCGACCCATATGAAATCCAGCTTAAACAGTGGTTGGTGGGTGGGTGGTTGAAAGAACCAGATGCTACATACCGCGACGGGATAATCAGCGTGGCGGCAGCATCACAATTTGCTCTAATAGGAGGCACTGGTGTGTCCGCGGCGCAGTTACAGTTCGCCTCGCCTCGGACACTTAGGGCAGATCTGGGAGCCGGAGATGCGGCGGTCAAAGCCACGAAAAGGATGAGACTCGCTGTGAAGTTGGTGAAGAGCATTTTAATGTCTGGTTTTTAACTACGATGCGGATATAGGATAACACTAGTTAAGGGAAGTTTGTTTCGTGCCAAGAAAAGACTTAATATAGGGCTTCGGTGGTCAGATAGTGGTAGTGAGCGAGACTGAATGTTTCGAAACATTTTGCGGATTGTATATATATTCATAAGAATTTATTATTTTCAAAGAGGGCTGTTTGCTTTTAGAAGACTTGCAGAACCTGCAAGGATATATCCGGCTATGGTATTTCGGGTACAGGGAGTCCGGCTGGAACAAATGGGAAAAATCCTCCTGCCTCGCCTTGTTCGCAGTGTGATTGTTGCACAGCAGAATGCGACAGCAAACTAAGCGCGTTGCCGCGCAGGGATTAGCCGCGACCAAACCGTTGATGGGTAGATATACTTAGATTTTAAATGCCAGCAAGGCGTAGCCAATCGTGGTCAACTCGGATGTATCAACTTCCGGTTCGGCAGCTGGCACAACTTGGAGGCTGTGCTGGAATCACTGCGGCGCGGTGGTATTTCGGTCAACAAAGACCTACATCGCCAAATAAGATCCTAAGGCAGGGCTCAATCTGTAGTTAATGGATTCTACATCTAAGAAACTGTACTTGGTATTACCAAATCAAAAACTTTCGTCATTAATTTAGCGTACCGATCAATTCCGTCGCTCGGTATCGACAGGTCTCTTCCACCCTTGCATTGTCGAACCGGACTGTCAGCATCAATAGTCTGCTACCGATTTTATGGCAGCCACAAACACATCAACGTTGGTTTTAATGGCCCTAGTTTGGTCAAGACACTGGAATATGTCGTGATAATACGTAGTGGTTCTTTCGCAACACCCGTACCGCGATGCTCTTGCTTGACGCCTGGCCAATGGGCCACTTCTTGAATTCTTCTTGCAAAGTTAAATTTTCACATATTGCGAGTAAGTACTAAGCTCATGCCAGTACATGCCAAATAGAATTTGGATCAAGGGATATGTGTAAAAGTTATGAGAACAGCCCTATGAACTACCGAAAGCGTAACTGCCTATAATCTTGAAAGATTACCAACTTATACCGCCGACTTAGGGGATGTGCCTCTGTGTCCTTTTCACTATGCCCACGCAACCTGTATATAATCGAACCGACAAATTTGTGATTGAACAGCTAATACGCGCCGTATCGATCCACAATTGTCACACTACCTGCAACTGGGGATCTTTCCAATATTTTCTTTCGCATGTGTTGGTTCTTTCCACTATCTGACCCGGCACGGTTCAGACGTTACCTCTTCTTCCCTGTTGCCGTATGTGCGGGAGTCAATTCGTCAGAATTGACACCAACAAACTCGCCATATCCCTTGTGTAGGCCTAACATCTCCTTGTATGGTCTTTTCAAGACGGTTTCCAAGCCACGGACAAGGAGCCGAGTGGCATGATCTTGAGCCTGGGAATCGGCAAACAGGGCTAAATAACTCATTATGGACGACTATAGCCAACAGATGAGCAAAAACGTATGAATCTATTGGCCAGAACTTACCAGTAAAGTGTCATGCCTCGAGCTCGATATGCATCGGTGTGCTCAATATTGCTATGGAGTGGTCAAGCTTAACATTTGGATTGCTTCGACAGGTTTCTATAGGTTAAGCAGGATGATCAATGTGCAACATATGCGTCTTTAGACTTGAGTGTACGTATCAGCCATTTGGGGCTCAAAAATATTTGTCAGCGCAAGATGATATCGCGTATGTTTGCTCGTAACCAGTGTGGGCGGGCAAGCTGTACCGGTTTAAGGAAGCCGTGGTAGTTCTGCAAATTCTGCTATGCAGAATTTTGAAATATAGGGGGACAATTGTAGCAAGGAATCTTGAACAGTAATCGGAAACAAAAGCAGCGGATTGACAGGCATATTATAGATGGAACATAACCTGGATGCAACTTCTACTACCACTAGTAAGGCTAGGCCTTGCTACTAGTCTTGTCGAGGTAGTAACATAAGAACGCCTTATGTCTATCTAGTGCGAGTGTATATAATGGTTAGACGAACGCTAACATGGACGTTAATGCCTTTACATTCAGCCCAATCGCGCGATTTGGATATGAATGAGTCACAAAGTGATCACCTTGAGTATGGTATATACACAATGATTTATTGTGTTTATTCAAAAATGCCCTGTACGTAAGCCCTCGTATCATGGATGTATGGTTGGAGTGCACAAGACCGGTTCCAAACGCGTATAGCACAAGAGCTAATGATCACGTACTCTCGCCTTCGATATGTAGAGACCGTTTATCGGTGCCGAGAGGCCTTGAGCCGGGACCGGTACAACATCCCATGCTTCTATTTCTTAGATTATCCAGACCGAGAACTTGTGCTCGCCTGTCCCGCTTGGCGACAATTATCTCAAATGACTTCCACGAATGAAAGCACATTGCTAGAAATGGCCCTAATAATAACATGCTCTCAGGCAAACACATGTCCGATCTCGATTTATGAAATCTTAAGCATAGTGTAAGAATTCATATTTAAGTGTTAATTTGTTTGATGTTACGCGACATCATATGAAACCATTGGATTCTCATCGTACTTAGTAAGACTTGAGACCTCGAACTCACATCTGATATTGAAAGGACATATTATTTTCTCCAGCGCATTGTTCTTGGTCAGAATTACCGTAGCGACTGCAAAGTTGATTACATGCTCTAAGCGTACCATTGCTAACTATGGCAACGATTCTGTGCTGCAGAAGAGGGATAGCGTCCAATAAACGAGACGGCTTTTGTCGAATGGCAGCGATCCATATCTGGGGCTACTATGTAGACTATTACTTAACCATGTCGACCTTAAGTCTTGCCAAGGGCGATTGCTCAACACGGTCTCTCATGATCGAGGGGGCCCTAGGACTTCACTGGTGTCATCGACAAACTGGGGGGTTGTACTCGTCGAGATTCGCCGCCCGCGACAGCAACCTGGAGACGCGATGATGATGATGACGACGACGACGACGACGACGACTACGACAGAGCGCCAGCTCCAGGCATCTGTAACAAAAGACATGTTCGTGAACCAGGAACACCACCGGAGTACCCAAGACGAATGGATACACCCCTTCAGCCAATATTTGCGCAAGATTGATCTTCGGCATCCGCGGCCAAGAGGGGCGTGCTCTCACTCTCGGGCATAGCCAATCGCAACTACTGGCGCGGCAAGGTGCTACAGCCGGCCCGACCGGTTCGCTGACCTCACAGCCGAGGTCGCCGAGGAAACAGCCATGAGTATATCCTCCAATAGACGTACAATATTGCTAACTCGGGCAAAGTCTCGGGATATCGGCCGTACGAACGCGTAGATGTATCTCCCCCAATGTCAACACGTATATTCTGGGTAGGGGCTGGTACCAGTGCGCAAGGTTGTGTCCAGGCTGTCAATTGCGCCCATTCAACGATTGTATCAAAGAAGCAGTATCTGAAAAGCAAACAATTGCCATCATTGATCTACCATGTTTGGGCTAGGGGTTGCAGGGTTCTTATCTGTATTTTGGGGGGATGCGACATGGTCTATGAGGGTGTTAGCTCCGCGGAGAAGATACTGCTCCGTTGTGTGAAGAAGAAGACAGGAGAATACCTTGTTAGAGGTATTTATCCTATTCCTATCTCATTTCGATGCGATCAGCATTCTTAGGTTAAGTACCAATGCCGCGCAGTGATAAGTGCATAGATAAATCCATTACATTATCCGATGCGTACAGTAGAATGCAAGATAGCTTACACATCATGACACATGGGAACAACAACTGAGCTCAATGGATGTACCTTTATAATCATTATCCACCAGCGAAAGGGCACTTCAAACACCGGAGCGTAATCCGGGCTGCCGGCCGTGGAGCCAAGAAGTTTCTCCACTACATGGGTTACAAGTATTCATGCAATATTTACTTCTTGCTTTGTCTCAACCATGGGCAGTAAAAACCCAACCTCGCCTTCGTTATGTTCTTCATAACACATCATAGACTGGGATAGAAAACAGTGATGCTATGGATGGGCCCTTCTCGATGATGGATTGTCAATACTTCGGCTCTCGGCGACGTGGTCGGTTTTTGCATGCTATTAGATATGACGAGCGATTTTAGTCTCGTCGATCTGCCGACTTCCTTCCATCCCTTACATACAGCCCACATACATGATTGATCACGGGAGATGCCTTGGCCAACTTTAAGGACGTCCTCGAGCCGCGCACTGCACGTGTGGTCGATCAACGTTAACAGACGTAGCACTTGGAGGTGCGGTCGACACCGAGGCGGCCCGAGTATCTATGTATGCCTATGGGTGGTAAGCAAGTCGTACGATCTTTGAACTGCCGATGCAATGAACTGACTCATGCGTCGTTGACATGGGTTCAGCCCATTGCAATTGCGCATTAATGCTTTCATCTGGTATAATATTGTAGCGTTGTGCCACACGTGTGGCCCCTATTGAGGTCTAGGATGGTTTAAGCCATCCATTTCCCGAGGTGAAAACGTGGGACTCGTGGGGGCTTGGTCATGCTATCCCACGTCTGGGTACTATTAAATCAATCGTCGAGTAACAGAAAGCCATGTTGCCCAGGTGATAGCGGGTGAACCGCAGTATCACAAAGGCATGCGATGTTTGATAGTTCGGGGGGCTACGGGCTGAATGGCCAGAAAAAGTAAGAGTTGCCGGGATCGAGTAGATCCATTGGTATTCTAGAAGCTGGGCAGATTATTGTTCAAACAGCAGTACATTTGAGGTTGTCATTTGAGGGACTTGACTACAAAGTTAACCACATTTGGCAACAGTTCGGACAGGGGTCTCATGCAAAATGCAAATGCAGTGGCACAAACGATCAGCCATCTCACCTGCGTGTATGTATGCGACCTTTCACAAGTCCACCAGTAACGAAGATCCCGTCGGACCGCCCATTTGTAAGCGCCTTCCACAAATCGAGTACTATTATAACGAACGGGCTCCGCAAATAGAAAGTGACAGAGGTGCATTGATATGCAAGGAAGATCCTATCGTCTGCGTACTGCTGTCATCCAAGAATGTGATTCTACACCGGTCGACAGAAAACGGATAATGCGAGACCCTGACATGCCCGTTTAGCCGGAGGGTCAGAAGGTTCGACAGGATGCTCTTGGGAAGAGGGACAATACGTAACATGTCAGGGTTGTTTTCATTCCGCCGCATGTTGACCGTGACATGCCGGCTTAGAGTCGGAGTTTGGTACGTCCGCCAGTACCAAATGCTTGTTTGCTAACGAAGTTGAGTGCCATTTTGGAAATGACAGTGAAATAGGCGAGATGAAATTCCCAGAAGATGCGCTTGTAAACTGCCGTACTGGGACAGCTTTGGAATTGCTAGGGATGAAACGAGAAAGCACAAGGGCACTTGTTTGATCGTTTAGATAAGATTGACGTCCAGGTACAAGAAACTAGCAAGGAAGCTTGAGGGCTTCTAGAAACGTATAATTCCTTGACCACGGCCGTGGCCTTGGGAGCTGCTAAACATAACCTTTGGGTCTATTTCGACAGGTTGGCCGCGGGGCGTCTGCTATACTGGACCCACATTTCGTGGGGGTTACTTAGGACATCGTGAAGTGGCCGAACGAGAGAAGAACATTCTCGATCTCTTCTAGAAAGACTTCACTGATTCAGAAAAGACCCTGGTGGTGTATAGCTGGACTTCAATTGCATATGTCGAGTCAAGTGAAAGGAACTATCTCCTGCGGCTAAGCAGGTTAGGAACGGGACGAGAAACTTAACGATGCGGATCAGAGTCATGAATAAGAGCTTGTGTGATGGTTGGTTAGTTGTTACATCTACGCTTGATTGACCTCAGGATGCTTGTTATCCAAGCCCATGTATAGAGAGCTAATGATGTTTGGTACCTTTCGAGGATACCTCCGCATTCCCAGTCAGTCTTTGTAAGTCTACCTTTGGGGCTGAAGACTAGGTACCAAACTATTGCGAGAAAGATATGTATACTGCTCTCGCCTGAAACCAGAAAGAAAAAAGAAGAAGAAGAAAGGTCCTCAGATACTGGCTGAGATTCCATGGAATGGCAATGCTCTGATTAGGTCGCCCAAGAAGTTTCGCTACGAGATCAGTCGTGATCGCGATGACATTAGATAGCATGAGAGAACTACGTGCTCAACACTGGCAGGCAAAGTCATTGGATCCTCCTTATTTTCGAGCTAGCTCGTGTAGCTAGGGGATCCGCGGACGTTATCCTAGTCTTAACTAAAGCCTGGAATCAGAACAAATCAAGTTTGTAGTTTCAAGATGTGAATTATGCCCCAAACAAGTCAACACAAGCGCCGGAGGGAATTGTCCATGTCCCGTTGCATGGAACTGGTCGCTGATTGAGGGGTCAAAGTTTGTAGATGTTCGAGACTTATCGACCTCAACTTGATAAGTGGAAGCGGCTTCGGCCAATGTCGCTCAGCACAGACATCAAGACCGACGCCAAGACAGGATTCAAGGGCGCACAGACAAGTAGCAGGCTCCAGATCCCGAGTCCCGTGGACGAGCGAGCCCTGCCATTGGACCCGAGTAATGAAACCTACGACGCCCCAGGGTATCATCAATCAAATTTACCCTGTAGATCTCCAATAACTTCGCACAAAATGGCTTGCCCTTGGCAGAACGGCTAAGCGCGAGACAGCGTTGTTTTCGTGGTTGTTGCTAGGGTGCTATGGTGAACCAAACCGACTTGTTGCAAATTGCATCAGGGACATTCGACGATCATTGGACCCAATAAGGAGTCTGGAAGTCGATGATCACTGCCCGAAACCCACGGCATGTGACCGGTCCTCGCCGACTCTTCGGGGGTTTCCCTGTACCGACATCAAAATACACGTGAGTGGGCGCAGCGGCAGATAGAGAACAACATAAGACTGCATTACTCCAAGGATGTGTCGTCGTCGTCGTCGTCGTCGTTCGCTGGATAGCGTCTACAGCTGCTGGGAGTAGAACGTTACTTCGTACATATGTCTGATATGCGAATCCTGCCCGCTTGTTCAAGGGTCCTTGGATTGGCCTGGGGCACATCACAGTAACGACAGTCTTCTGCCATACATTCCATGTCGATGGTTTTAATAGTGGGTAATGATAACCCACGCGTAGCATACGGCGCAGCATTTCTTCTTTGACCAGCAGTTCGTCGATAGTTTTGACCCTAGACTATTCGCCAATGGCCGAAAACGCGACCGGTAGGTAGATCGAGCAGGACCCTGGAATTAAAGCATGACATAAGCCGCCAACAGCACGGCGCCGCCGATGATCACAGCGGTCTGCAACCTGCATATGACGGAATTGGGCAAAGCAGTTTTGCCTTGCCTTTATTCAGACGACCTGGAGAGCACAGCAGCAGATGGCGTGAACATGTCAGCGTCGTATTGCGGACCGTCTGACAGGTGGGTAGCACTTCGTGTTGTGGCTATCCGGGGGTGACATGTGCGATTGTGAATACCCTCCGTTAGCTAGCTTCGACGGGATAGAGACCAATCCTTGAAGCGGTGACCGTAGGAGTCGAGAAGGCGTCGGCCATCTTCCGACAATTCAGTATACGGCCTTGAAAGCGGGAAGCGATCAACTTGGACAAATGCTCAGACAGTTTGATAATTTACGGGCTAAGGATGGAAGGAGAAACCTTGTAAACTCTAAGTTATTATGCAAATTCGAGCCTTTGCCTTATTGACCGCATCGAGAAACCGCATCGGCATCTCAATGCACGATCAACAAGGATGAGACTGACACAGCCTGCGCTTTCGCACATTTCAGTCCAGCATGTTCGAAATTATGCGTAGTAAGCATGAACTGTGTAATTGAAAGAGAGAGAGAGAAAATGATGCAACGTAGTCATATCATGTCGCTAGTTGATGCCCAACGAATGTAGCTCCACTGGCCGTGCAACGGCTTCAAGAAGGCCAGCTTATTTTGTCATTATCGCTCGAGTCAAACAAGGCATTGACACTGATGAGAATGCCGATGAGTCGATGGTATATTCCAGGTGGGTTATTCTACTCCCTGGCGCAACGGTTCGCAGTAGTTTTGCTGGAGGTGGATCAGAACAACTCATCCAACGGGGTCAACAATTAGACATCAGATATACAACAGGGATTTGGATGGCAGAGTAGAGGTTGGGGACGTTTGAGTAACCAATACGATCTACTGCATAGGACAAGACTCCATTCACCTACATAGACCCAGCGACGAGCTACAGTGCTCATGCAGATATCGACCCTTGGCTTGACTAGTACAAGCCGTCTTGCTGTGAAAGGTCTAGTAGCAACCCAGAGAGCAGAAAAGTCCCCATCTTCCGTTATCCGGGTCCCATCCCTCGCGCACGCTACACAAAAAGATGACAGAACAAAAAAATTATTGATATTTTCCATCTTGGATTTCGACGAGATCAATTCACAGGCCACGAGCGGGCGCGGCGGCATTTGTGCGATACTCGTCATCAGTTGATGCTAGCAACAAGCGTTGTCGAACATGCGACCAAGACGACCAGGATGCCATGCTGAGATGAGGCTTCTGAGACAAGCAGCCTTGATGGCGCTTCGAGATTGAGGCGGCAATCTCCAGGAAACCCCAGTTAACATAACAAATGGTCAGGAGCCAGGAGCTTGTGGCGGCCTACCATTTGTGGGGTTATTCTTAGGACAGGGCTTTTTAAGTGAACCTGCGACTAGACATAGCAGTTTGACTAGACACAACAGATAAGACTAAGCACTCGACTCAGAATGCTGATCATTTCATAGTATATGTTCATCAGGCAACGTGACGAGAGATAGAGAGCTTTGCATTCACAACAAAGCTATGCACACGTTGAGCTGGAACCGATACGAAGTGCGCAATGCAAAGTCTGAGGCCATCTTCTACCGGAGCAAAAGCTCACCAGCCTGATCCATTTATTCGTAGGGAAGGGGGGAAACGTAAATATGTGCCAGCCGATATGCCGTTATGCAACGAACTCGCTGAATGCTCTGCTAGATGTCCAAATATGACAGGTACTGTAGTCGGGATCCAATAACTGAGGACCAAAGGTATGGACATGATGAAGCAACCACAAATGAAGTGGATAAGTATTTTAAAGGGATAAGATGAAATCCCCCTGTCAACTCCAGAACACCATGATTCTTCAAAACTTCCCACCTCTCTTCTTCCGCGCATAGAAAACAAGGCTCCCTGCTCATGATAAAAACCAGAACCCATGCCCAGTGATGCCTTTTTGTTTTTTTTTATTCTTGCGCCATTCGCCATCCAGAAATTGCGTCGGGGTTGTGTATCAAGAGTAGAGTAAATAATAATCGTGAAGATCGTTTTGCGTAAGCACAGTATCGCTCAGAGCCGGGCATGAGATGATCCGGCGCGCGGCATCAGGGGCCTGGCCGATGAAGCAGGCCTTGTTTGTGGTAAATATGGACACTGCCCGTGACCACCTTTTCCAAGTAAAGAAGCAAGAGGTTGATAGCCGCCGCTTATAAAATGACGCAACGACCGCCGCGGTCTTTCTTCCCCCCTCTGCCTGTCTTACCCCCGCCAGAATGGCCTCCATTCTCTTTCTGTGGTCGCGACCCTGCCATTGGCCTCGAGGCGGCTTGACGTTGCCTGCGCAGTATTCGGACTACGTCGTAGAAAGCCTTCTCGACGTTTATGCAGTTCTTAGCCGAAGCCTCAACGAATTCGCAGCCTAATTCACGTGCCAGGGCATGGCCCTCTTGTGTCGAAACTTCCCGCTCTGTTACGCGATCGCTCTTGTTGCCCACGAGCATAATGGGCACATTTGCTGACGGACTGACTGCCGATATGGGCGAGCCAGGATATGAGGGCGACGAGTTGACGGATTCCTTGACCCTTTGGATTTGGTGGTGAAATCTCTTGATGCGGGAAAAGGACGACCGCGATGAGATGCTATACACGAGTACAAAACCTTCACCATCCCTGATCCATTGATCACGCAGAGCTGTGTATTCTTCTTGGCCGGCAGTATCTAGTACCTCGAGCATGCACGCCTGGCCATCAATGACAACCTGCTTTCGATACGAGTCTTCGATCGTGGGGTCGTACTGCAAGAAAGGTTAGCCGACGGAGACGCCTTCTTCCCCTTGTATGGGAGAGTGCTTACAGTCTCAACAAAGTGCTGCAAGCAGAGTTGAATTGTTAATGCCGTCTTCCCGACACCACCATCTCCCAGCACCACCAGCTTGTACAATACCATCTTTCCCGCCATGATGGACTAGTGTTTATGCCGAGCTCGTCGAGACCAGTTGTTGGAGGGCGGGGAAATGCAAGGGCCAAGACAGGCAATGCAGTATTTATTAGGTTTTGGTATAGTTGAATGATGAGGAGTAGCTGGGTTAGGGGTATCAGGCAGTGAAAGTGAAAGAGATGGCAGATTTTCTCCGGGAGGAGGACGCAGGTAGACTCTTGCCGGGAGAGGTCAAATCCAGGGATGTTTGTTGGCAAACGATGTTGGACTCGTTGGAGTCTCCTGCGACAAGAGTTGACGCTCGGATAGTAGGTGTCCGTCCGTGTACTGGGTGAGTTGGGTGACGGGCGGACAGGCGGTTGGCGAGTGAGTGTAGGGTGGCCAAGTAGGCAGGTCGGCAAGCTGGCAGTGAGTGAGTGAATGATTTGATCGCTGTGCTGTGTTGTGCTATGCTGTGATGGGCTTGTGCTTCGCGGTTAACTGCTTGCTTAGTGGAGTGTTGCCGGTGTGATATGCAATACACAGTAATGGTATTAGAAGGAAGCAAGTTCAACGGGCGGCAAAGGTGTTTCCGTATCGCTGAACTGATTCGGCCAACGGCGAGGCAAATTGTTGTCGTTGTGTGGATTAGTCTAGAGGATGGTCGCGAGCGCCAAATAAAAAGGCGAAAGAACTTTGAGCCCGTTTCCCTAGGACTATTTTTGAGGTGAGGGGGGGGGGGGGGCAGTGAAAGTGGCAGCTTTGGCCCTTTTGGGGGGGGGGGGGGGGGGTGGCAGTGAGTACAAGTGTGGACTTCTTCTCTGCTCTCCGATGCTAGCACTGCTTCTACTCTGGCTCTGCTCCCGTTCCAAGTAAGTCAAGTCAGCTTTATTACTGTGGGAGAGCACGGAGTAGTCCAGGTCCAAATTGTGGTGCGGTGCCAGGTTTAAAGTTCCAGATGATTTTTTGTAACTTGGGAGGAATTGGGACTCCATTCTCCAAGGCACAAGTCAAGGCTCATGGTTCAAAGGCCCCGAAGCCCAAGACGGCAGCGTAAGGTACCTAGACCAGGTTGAGCCTTGACTTAGAGCCTGGACAACTATTGGCAGGTAACTGGTTACTTACTCTGGATAGTGGACGCTGCTACTGCACAGTGGTTGAAGTGGAGTTTGAAGGGGAGGGGGAAGATGGTCGACGGCTAGAGCCCGCGGGTCTGTGTGTTGACATTGAGTGGGGAACTATCCTTCGGCGGGTCCAAGCTTCAAGAATTCATCCTACCTGGCTGCCTGGGCAGTCTGGTCCGTCGGTCTACTCAAGTACCTAAGGTGCCTAGCGTGTTTCCGTAGCTTGTAAGTCGACGAGCCATCACAGGTATTGTACTACCTTAGTTGTTATGTACTTGGGTAAACAGACACATAACAGTATACCCTGGACGATCTGCAAAGATAGCCACGAAGAATACGTGATGTTAAGTGTTGCATCTCGAACACTTGGAGGGCATGACAGCAACATCCCACCATAGATGCGTGGGATCACACCTTGGGTGGTCTGTGTCTCACAGTCCAGATTTTCTCTGGAGCAATGTTCGGATTCAATCGACAAATACACGTATGCAAGCAAGTGGAGAGAGCTTCAAGGGCAAACGAATGATCTGGGTCGGGAATATAGTAACTATAGATCATGCAGTAATCAGTTCACGAAGGCTAAAGCAACCACATGAGCTTAATGCTCTGTTTTGTCCTTCGCATCCGGTTGCGTCAAAACTCTCGCAAGAATGGGCCTCGTGAAGTACTGTGCGTTCTACTTCAGCCAGCGAGGAAGGAGGTTGTCAAACGTGTTGCACGTGCTTTCAGAGAAACGTGAGCATTGCATATCCCACGCATTCCATATCCCACGCATTTCATAATCCCACGCGTTTTCTCCAAGTTGACCGACAAGGTTCGCCCGGGAGCGCACGTTGAAGAAGGAACATCTCGGAATATGTTCTAAAGATGTTAAATGAGGTCAAACGATGAAAAAGAACGACGCCAAGGTCATCGCATTTGTTCTTTCAATCGTAATGCACCAACCACCGCTCAAGCGAAAGTTTATATTACCTGCAATAAGGCAGTGAAAACATGAGCCGTTCTGATACTTCGGTCGACGTCGACGTTATCGGAAAGCAAACCTCATGGTAGTGCATCCTCCAATGCCTATCTATCAGTAGACGCGCACAAACTCATGTCTGAACAAGGGGTGACACATCGACCTTCACTTTGTGACTTGTTAATATATTCTACAAGTTCAACCTCACTTAGAGTTTCACTCCGGGGGAAACTTTACTTTCGTACCCATGCGCAGAATGTACTGTACGTCTATGAAAGGATAGTGTTACGACAAACATTAGCACCCTATTCTCGAACTTCCCTTCGGTCGAATGAAGCTCCCAAGGGCATCCTTCCGGCCTTTGCCAGGTTCAGAGTGGGCATTAGAGCACCGCAAAATGCCTATGATTCCCATATGGCGAGCGAAGCATTGCTGCACTCTTACGCCGAAGCGGGAAAAGCTGACCTTCCTTACTCACTGGTGAAGACTGCCCGACCGTAATTTCTCATCACCCAACTCACTGCCAACCCGGCCAAGCAACAGCAATCAGTACTTCAACGCTCAAAAGGCAAAGACAAATGCGTAGCTCCCCACGCCGCACTCTGGACAAAGTACGTCTCTACTCCGCCAATGCAAGCGGCAAGAACTACAGTGTGAAGGGTGTGGTCGCTGGGGCGGGGAAAGCTTCCAGAATCCACTGCGGCGTTCAACCCATGTTTAATCTAGACATCCACGATCTCGGGAATTGCAGCCAACCCTGCAAACTCGCTTGCACTTCCAAAGTCCATCGCAACATTGGGTAACCAAGACTCATTAGTATCAAGACTGAACTAGTTCCAAATCTTTTATCTTTCTTTCTTCTTTTCTATTTTACTGGGCGGTCAACGAAAAGAACCTTGGCGGCTGTCTGTAAGTGCAGGCTGCTCAACTTGCAGTGCTGTTGTCGGTACTGCCAAGCCTGCCTCCCTCAGAGGCTAGGTCACAAGTCGTAATTATTGAAGAAGGCTCAAGCGTCAAGGCTTTGACCTCATATGAGCATTATTATTTTCCTCTGTGGATTGTTGCCATCGGATTGATTGCTTTATTCCGCTTACGATTACTCACTTTTTCCAGGGCTTTGCAGATAATTGTGGCACGATAACACTACTCCGAGATCACCATCACACGATAGCGAATCGATGGCCTAGAAGCTTTCCGAGCCGTTGGCGCCACTCATGTTTGTCTCATGGCCAAGGGCCAGCAACATTGTCGCATGTAAATGTGTCCGCCTTTACATATCAGAGAAAGCGATCTACTACAATTAAGCCGAGGTCTTCATTATAATGATACCGACGAGGACCGTGTTAATTAACTGCTGTGTTAAGGTGATGCCGAGTACCCGATCGGGTCGGACTTTGCACTGCTTCTAGCCATGCGGCTATGTTGCTATCTATATTGAAGCACTTTCGGACTGACGCGTGCTTACCGGGGGCTGATACGAGGCTTGACTGCTGAAGTAGGGGTGGTCTTGACGGTTTCTTCGAACCTTGATGCAACCCTGATACTAGCATCCGGCCCGCTGTCTGCGGGTGAACCGCCCATTCTTGCATGCGTCTGGACCGCTCTACAACCTCCCGATACGCATGTGGCAGAAAGCAGTGCTGCAGGTCACCAAAAGCGGGCTTGCCATGTCATCCACACTGGCTATGATACGATAGTTTGTGTATAAATTTCATTACCGTCAGGCCTACAGGAAAAGTAAACTATCGCCAATTTTAAAAACGAAATATCGGGCAATATGGTTGGTTGGTTGGTTGGTTGTTGGTGGAGATATATTCCGGATGCACGGTTAGCGTCATAACCATCTGCCCTAGCTGCTTCACCCCTTTGGACCAAACTCATTGGCACAACTGTTTTCTACAGTATATGATCCGTATATCTGTCAAGCCATACTCGGCTCGGATTCACCCTATAATTAATCACCTCTGGCAGCTTAGATGATGCACAAACACAAGTTAATTTGAATCACAATCGCATAAGTTACTTTTTACATACGATATTATGAATCCACCTTGGATAGGATAGGTTGTTCCAGCAATGCGATTTTGTGGTACTCGCTTCGTTATCTGGCTGTAGATAATTCCATTTTCTCGAAACCATTCAACAACAGTTATGCTTTTTCTGCAACGCCCAATCTCCTGGCCACTTCTTCGAACCCCCCTTCACCCTCGTCCACCCACATATCCACCCATTGTCTCGCCTCCTCGATAGCGTCTAATGGGAAAGCTTCCTCTTGCGGTCTCACCACATAGATGGTGCGGAACCCTTGATTCTTTGCTGCCCGGAGATCCCCAAGGTGGGAAGCCACTAGAGCGCATTCCTTAGGCTGGTAACCTATCTTCTCTGCCGCGCCCAGATAGACTGAAGGATGTGGTTTATATACCTTGAACATCCACGATGACACCAGATGCTGAAACGGTAGATTGCCAAAATCCTTGAGATCCTGCAGCAACTCTATGTTGCTGTTGGATAGCGTGGAAGTCTCGTATTTAGTGTTGAGGAGTGCTAATCCCTCCGAGGAGTCAGACCATGGCACGAGACGATGCCAGACCAAACTTAAATCCTTGACCTCCTCATCGTTGAAGGCGTCCTGGATTTCCCAATCCCCGAGAAGCTCGATCAAACTGTCGAGGTGATGGGTATCGATGTCTTTCGGTTCGGACTCTTCGGGGACAAACGACTTGGTGAATTTACCGTAACTGTCTCTCCATTTCTGGGCGAACTTGGCCCAGTCTCTATGGGTCAAGCCTCTCAGACGCTGATGCGATATTTGCGTAGAGGATCCTAGAGAGTTGGCCTTTGCCTGCCCTCTGCTGATGAGCTCGTCGGTTACGGATGAGCGCCAGTCAACAACTGTCCCGAACACATCGAAAAAGATGACCTTGGTCTCCCCGAACCGTGAGAGACCCCCAACTATGGGATCAACTTCACCCATGTTATGAAGTAATCAGCTGTGCGATAGTATCTCTTCGCAGTCAGAAATGATATGGACAAACAAACAAAAAATTCCGAGAGGGCAACACATTGTGGGAAGCTCTGTTTTGCACCTCGGATGAAGCCGATGCGGGGTAATACCTTCTGGGCAACGGTTCTGGCGTCATATTCTTTATAGTTATTGCGAGTACTGTCGTGAGGCCATCAAGCCAAAAGCTAATACTCTGGAGAAACTTTGTTATGGTTGCACACGATGCCCGATTGCGCGCGTGGGGCTGTATAATCTCAAACACAGCTAGTGGATTCGCATCAGTGCCATGCCGGTCAGCGATGTAATGGCAACAAACATCCATGACTGCTCGAGAAATACTGCTACAGACTACAGCACTGATTCTCGCTCAAATGTTATAATAGTCAGTCACAGTATGCATATCTCGATAGGTATCTCGTGTCGTCAGGGCGAGTCTCCATGGACAGGGGGAGGATCATTCTTCCATCACTTTGAAAAACATGGAACTCCAAATGAGCCGCCGAGATTATACCGCGTCCAATAGGTAAAAGAACATTGGCGTATGTATGTTTGGAGCGCCAAGAAGTTCATGCTTTTAATCATGTATCTGGAGGCGTGGTATTATCATTTGTCGTTATAAGTTATATTTTAGTCTAGCTTAATATCTTCACATTTCTCTCATGGAGGTGTCTAGCCACAATGCTTAGCGGTGGCGTTTCCATCCAATCAGGGACTTGAGGTTCACTTTCAACTTTTGCTTCAAAGTGCTCTCAATATCGCATTTCTTGGTTTATTTGAGATGCACCTTGAGGAAGTGTAACGATCCTGAAGGCGCATGATCGTCCTAGAGTACCAGATAATACACGTAACTTTCACCAAGTTATGATGCTGTACGCAATAATTCAGAATTTGCAATTCTTTTTCTACGCTAAAGGAGCTGGAGCCACAAGTGAAAAGCGCTTTTGGTCCGACACCTTCGTCAGCTTGTCAAGTTATCTCACGGTCGATTTTTACGTCACAAACAAAACAGACGCGATAGGGCTGCAATCAATCATGCCACGCCTACTGTTCCAGAGGCATCCGGCTAACGCGCACCATATCGGCGGACCCGTCCCCTTCCTCAACCCGACGAAAGCATATGTAGAAACAGAAAAAGGCATCGTTCAGACTACGGCCAGCTCCACAGATGAAAGCGCCAAGCCGGGCAACAATGGGACGGCCAGTGGAAAGGCCGACGCTGTGCCGGGCGTATACTACCATTTGTGGAGGTCACGCGACAACCGCAAGGGCCGCCATGCTGTGATAGTGCGACCAGACGATCAAACGGACAAGCATAACGCCGTATCGCACCCAGATGCATCGAAGTCGATTAAGGAAGTCCTGCGCGGGCTTGGCAAGATGCTCGTGAGATACCCTTTCTGGGATGTGAGCTACGATGTTGCCGTGCTATTTACTATTGGTGAGCTTTCTCACCCATTATGGCTGTTTAACTTGATGGCCATTTCGGCATGAGTCTGACTGGCACTAAAAAGGGTCCATTGTATGGGTGTTCAATGGCTTTTTCGTCTGGCTTCCCTTGTATGCCCCTTCCACAGAGTTTAGTGGCGAGGTGGACTTAGGTGGTGGCATTACAGCGTTCATCGGTGCGACAATCTTCGAGATCGGTTCCGTGCTACTCATGTTTGAGGCTGTGAATGAAAATCGAACGCAATGCTTCGGCTGGGCGCTCGAGGAGGTTTTGGAGAGCCGAGGAACCGTAAGACTTCATCCGGACCCTGATGGATGCACCCATCATCACTCGGAAAAGAGGTCGTTAATCGCGCGTCAAGTTGCTGGAGGCAACACCGATAGAGAATGGGAATGGTGTCCCACGTGGGAGGAATTGAACACTCATTATCTCCATGAAATCGGTTTCCTGGCTTGTCTGTCCCAGTTCACAGGGGCCACAATATTCTGGATTGCGGGCCTCACAGGCCTCCCGCCCATCTATGCCAACCTGTCTATACCTGCGGCAAACGGGGTTTACTGGCTACCCCAAGTGGTTGGCGGTACCGGTTTTATCATCTCTGGCTACCTTTTCATGTTGGAGACGCAGCCGAACTGGTGGAGGCCCGCGTTCGGGACTCTTGGGTGGCATATCGGTTTCTGGAATCTTCTCGGAGCCATAGGCTTCACTCTTTGTGGCGCCTTGGGCTTTGCGAGCGGAAACGAAACAGCTGCTTATGCTTCTACTCTGTTTACCTATATCGGGTCCTGGGCCTTCTTGGTAAGTTACTCACGTGAATAATTTTGTCCTTTCCTTACTAACCAACACTCAACCCAGCTTGGAAGTGTCATACAATGGTATGAGAGTCTGGACAAATTCCCCATTGCTGTGAAAAAAGGAAAATTTGGAAAAGCTGGCAATCTAGAAGAGAAGTCGTAAGGCAGAAGCAGTCCAAAATCTAGCGCTTTGATCGTCTGTTTTCAATTTAGCTGGGCCCCTCGGCAAGATTCAGAATAAAACATAATTACCAAATATCCAGTCCCCCACAGGTTCTCTACTTCGGTAATACTGCCGCCTTCCTATAATACTGTGCTTCGCTTACAATAGTTGTGTCAAGCAGAGACCAATAGAAGTGCAGTACAGTTCAGTTGGGCTTGAAACATGTAGGTGCCTTCACGAATACCAGTCACAAGTTGTTAACTGCAAAAAAAAAAAAAAAAAAAAAAAAAGGAAAGCCGAATTTACCAGTCGTACTGCTGCATCGTTTAAAGACTGGTGGCATCTTCTGCTCACCATGGTTCTCGGTTGTAATCTCCTTTGGGACTATTCCCGTCAGTGTATCGTGCATTAAGACTTAGGAAGTTCTAATTAGGAGACAGCGGACACTAATTACTGGCTGTCAGTATACCCTTCGCTACATGGCTGGCTATTGCGAGTTTTGTCTCCTCGAAATCAATCTTAGATAGGACACTATGCCCGCATACTAAGCCTTGAGGTGTATGTCCCGATATCAGTGCTTGCTGACAGAAATTTTAGGGATATCAGAACAGCCACGGCACCGTTCCCATCTACGTAGTGTCAAGGTGCGATATCTACTCACGGCAACCATTCTAACCATCTCGGTCGTGTTGACATTGCCTGATCTGAAGAGTCGAAAGTTGAATAGACTGGCTTGTATAGTTATTTACTCTGTTGTCAGTCTTGTCAGAAGCTGAATTTACAACTTATTCCTTCTCCAGGTACTTATCTAAACACCTGCACGTCAACAGTTTATACAACCACGACTGCCACAAGCTATATCATCAGTACCGTAACAAGCATCACCGACGCCAACATAATGAGTGACTGATGAGATTAAGACCTTGTCGGCAGTATCAACGGACACGGTGACTGCTTCTGCCCTGACATACGCAGCAGCGGCCGACGCTGTAAGCGTGATTGAGTATATCACTCATGCCCCAGAAAAGCGAGGTATCAAGACAACCTCATTTTCAAAGAGAAAATTCGGCATCCCTGCGTCAGCTTGTCTAAAAAGTACATCGCAGTGACATATGCATTTCTTGCATTTCCTCCTCTCACTATGACGAGCATGACAGTCGCAAGCGTCAACCCGGATACCATCCGCGTTGCGGTCACGACCACAACAAATTCATTGATGACATTGTACTACACTCCAACATCCACCCTAGTGAGTTTGGGTACGTATTTAAATACGTTTTAATAACGACTGACATACTTTACGAGTAAGACTGTTACCTCGCCCCTACGTTAATTGGTTTCAACTGCCCAACCCCCACTCTTGACCTCTCCTGCGGCCACTAGGGTGCTTAGTCTGCATATCACATCTCTCCATTCGGTGCAAATATTGACTGGGTGCATTCACAATCTAATAATTACCACCTATCCTCTAAACCTATTACTCCAGTCACTTCGGACGTCCCTGGATATGCCGGTGGAGCCAGCATTCCTTTCCTATACTCGGCATCACCATTCAACTTTTATGGATAAGCGCGAACTGCAACATTACATTCAACCACCCAATTGTTTCTATGCCGCATAGGCCGGTACCTTACCTTCTAGACTTCCAAAGTGAACGATATCGTTTTGGTCTGGGTTGGCCAATCCGCCTACTCTGGGTTGGATTCTTGCGAACGCGTTGCTGGACGTGACCTCATTATCCCGAGATTGGTGTGGACTCAGGTGAGGGTGGCAGTACCGTCGGCACTTATTCCGTGATAAAGGGAGCAAGCATTCCCACCAAGGTCTTATTTAGGCATGACGGGTCATTCGGCCTCAATATCAAGGCCGCTGCACCGGATGGTACAGTTGCGCTGAGCGCGAGCAGCTCGGCAAGCGACTACCTCGTCGATTATCGTTGTGGTAGAGCCAGAGCCTTGGGCACTGGCTTGTGCGGCATATGGCGCCGAGCCGTGAGTACGCTCGTTAGCATCTAGACAGCAGTTGGTCCACTAATGTAGCATTTCCGTCTATGTCAGTAATGAATGAGTAGCTGGTAGTGGACACGGCCTATTCAGGTAATCATACCCAATTTTAGCAGGGTGCTAGAATAATAATAATAATAATAATAATAACAAACTATGTGTAACAGCGGACATTCGATATGGTCTTGATCATCAGTTAGAGATATCAAGGGCAACGGACTTCGCGCCCATCGAGAGAGAGAGTGACGGTGTCGCGCTGCAAGTGAGACCCCTGGCACCGACAATATGATGGTAGAGACAATTTGTTAACAATATGAAAGTAAATTTGTGGTTATTTTCGATAGCCATAAATATGAACAAAGCCCGGCGTATGCCGACGTAGATATGACAAGTTCTCTCTTCCGAATCAGAGAGCAGTTTACAATGGGGGCAAACTCCGCCTTCGATTTTCGATGTTGGCGACAATCTATTTCATGGTACAAGATGTCGTGTCCACCGCTGCATTTTGTGTTTTCAGTGGAATATGACTCGTCTCCGAGACAGATCTTATGTGGCGGAACATATGGTTCCGCATCTCTTCCGTTGTCTCTGGCGACGAAAGCTCGATGTTACAAAGAGTGGGAAGTGGCTAGCATGACGACTTCAACGCAAGTGACAAGACCACTTTGAAGAGGAGCAGTACGTAATGACTGTACAACAGGAGTTGAACTCTCCTCCGCACGCGTCTTCCTGCGTAGGTATTGTATGTCCAGAAATATATTATTGGATAGTGGCAGGTTCTTTCCCTCCTAAGAGTCAACCCTTGACAAACGTCGTGTGAACAAACGTAACGTGGCAATATCTGATTCATGCTTCATGTCCTAGTAAGTACTCTCCGAGAGAGTCATAGCCAAAGTCAAAGCTCAAGTCGGCAGGACTAATGGCTATACATGCATGCTGCAAAGGATTGGGGTAACGAATTTGCCGTAGCAGTCACCTAAAGCCGGCAATGCCCATATATAGGGCTCAGAAAATCTGGTGTAGCGGCTTATGCAGCAAGAGTCGGATAGCTGCAGTAGCGGCTCGCAATGCACTGTTCTCTTCCGGCAAGCTGTGCGAATAATTAGTAGGGTGATCTACCGAGACAGCCAAGCTCTTGATCTTGATGAAATAGTCCTCGACGGACAACTTCTGCAGCTCGTCGTTAGTGAAGGCCCAAGTCACAAGACAAGGGTCAAGAAAGACATTTGTTCAACGATTCTCTGGCTCTTGGTCGGATCCGTGGGACATTTGAATCGGAAACAAAAACCTCGTGGCCACGCGGCTTACGGACAGAATCGGTGGTCCGTCATTTACATTCTACAGGATCAGTACCAAACTCCGGATAATCTTGGTCGCCATTGGAACAAAGTAACTCTTCAACCGTAAGCGACCCTCCAAGACGGCTATTGGTTGAGGCTATTCATATTTGGCGCGACTCTAGGGCCACGGGCCGTATGCGGCACATACATAAATTAGTTCTAGTCTAGTCTAGTGGACTAAACGTGGGTCTTCCGAGCTCTTGTTCTTTTTGGTGGCCTTTTGGCTGATTACCTCGCGTGTCGCTTCGAACTTGGGACGGCGAGAGATCACATCCCATGGCGAAAGAACATTGTAGCCAGGGTCGTCACGGTTGAACCAGGATCATACGGAACTGGCCAGACGAGAGCAAATAACCGCGGCAGGACACGCGCCCTTTCCTAGCGTGTTTTCCGGATGGTTCCGGCGTCCCAACATTGCGGTAGGCACAATAACATGCGAACCCGAGATTGTCATGATGTGGTAGTGCCACCTCGACCAGTTACTATCCCTCCAATGTGACATTCAATCGTGATAGCCAGTACACAGAGATTCCAGGTTCGCTTATAGGGCATAGCGGCTGTAACATGGAGTAGGTTCAGGCGGAATATTCATAGAAGGTGTCTACGCGATAGTAGTGTCGCTGTCAATGATCTGCAAAAGAACCTCTCCATCAGGAATATACTATGGTAATAAGCGTCCTCCTCTTCTCACCTGAAGTTGGCAATAAGCCCCCAACAAGCGCAGCCCCACACTTTCCGTCAAGCTGGGACGGTGGGTCCTAGGCAGGTTTGTGCAATGTCTGTTATTGGGTGTCTTCGGGTCGGAGATACCCTCATATTAACGCGTGAAAATGAAGCTGGGAATATCAAGGGCTCGTCCCTGTCGGCTGTGAGACTTGCTGACTGATTGTAATCGTGGGGGTGTTATAGCTATCTCCGTTATCAACGATGATTAACATGCAGTCTTACTACTTCGTATACTTACCGTTCATCGACAGTGCCCTGGCGCTAGACCTGCGGGACACAGACGCTTTGAATGGTCTGTGAACTCCATGCAAATGCAGTTGACCCAGCCGGCAATCCGGGGGGCTTCAGGCTCCGTAGATTCGAAGCTGAGCATATTTGACTTGCTTGCATGCATATTCGCGTATCGGGTGTTTGCATCGGCTGGACTCGCAGCTTTGGATTAATGAACGACGAAAAGTACTCTCGGTAAGAAATCACTGACTGGGGGTTATATCACTGACATGCATGCCGTAACGAGTATCACCACAAAAAGTGTGATGAACTGGTGTGATGATGCTAGTCGTAAATTAAAATGGCTCTCCGACTGGGGCCCGAACCGCGGCCTGTAAATTGATACTTTGGATGGGAGTTGGAGAAGACTTGTAGCCTCGTTGCCATGCCTGCATGCTGCAAGTCGATGGAACCGGGCAGCAACTTCGGCCACGCAGCCAAGGTCGAGAGACTAACATTGGCGCATCACCCGGTAGGTGACATTGGTCTTCCTTCTTGTGATTGTCGTAACCTGCAAGGAAATATCGTGTCGCATCATGTGCCCACATAAAACTGGGAAAACCACGAATCCTCATCGACCAAGTCGGAAATAATATGCTTTAGGGCCAAATTTACAAGGTCGATACGGCATGAAATTACCTGGTGATGTGACGAGAGAGTTTGCTACGCCCATGATGGTGGCTTGAGCCGGATGTTTTAAACATTTTAGCAGGAGCCTCAATATCGTTGGGCTCACCTACCGAAAGCGCCTTCTTGGCCAAATATTGTACATAGGCGTCTTGACAAGACTGATACCATGTGTTTGACAATCCTAATCATGAAGGGTGTACCACAGGGTGCCCTCTTCAACACGAGCATATGTGCATGTGAGAGGTTGAGTCCTCACACACATCAACTTTCCATTGCGACCACTCGTAAATAATCCCATTACCTTGAGTCCAACAATGAACATCTCTTTCAGGTGAGCGAATGTCAATTTTTGGCGGGGATTTGGGCTACCAATTGGGCGTACTGTTAAGTGATCGACAAGGGAGAAATTGCAGGCCCCGATCTGCTAGACGTTCACTATTCGATATCACACTAACATCTCGACGAAGATGGCTTAGTTTTCGGTCTCTACCAAGCCCGAAAACCCCTCTTGCCCTTTTGGAGTTCTGAGATTGTGTTCTCTCTTTATTATTGCTTCCATGGATCCACCCCCTGACCAAGTTCCCACAAAAACGCTTTACTATGTACTTACCACAGTATTAGCATGCAGGTCTAGCTGCGCGCTAGTTAGAAGTCAAAGCCTGGCCGCTGGGTCCTCATTCAACTGGTTGGTTCGATGGTTGTTTTGCGTTTTTAATGAGCCTTGGACGTTGATGAATATTTTGCAACCTGCTTGTCCTTTCGTTCTAACCTTTTCATCGACCTCAAGTTTCCATACAACTCTCCAAGGATAGGCTCGGACCATGCGCGGTTATAGCCACTATATTTAGGCCCCGCTAGAAACCGTCCCATCAGAAAGCATGGTGCTTGCTCTCCTGAAATTCAGGGTCCCCCTAACCTTTCAATCCTTGTACCTGCGTATTCCAACGACTCGGGAACGTTTCACCCTGATAATCTTGCACGTATTGAGGCAACACAGCTGCTGTGGTACGGCTCTGGTTCTGATTGTCCTCGTCGTCTCCCTTCAATTGACCAACTCCTTCGCAGGAGTTTGGCACATGCTTGAACAATGATTCGTGTCGGTCCTGCCGCGGGGATATGCATGAGACCATCCTAGGGTAGCATTGTAATTCTGCAAGGCACAGTGACAGATGCAACTTAGGTGCATTCTACAGGGACAGCCCCACGCTCTTTCGAACAATCGTGTCTACCGGTTAGTGTTACTGTATATCCTTGCTCCCCGTGCTCGCTGTGCATCGTAGATATGTGTACGTTAATCATAGATCCCGGCATTGTTCATCAACCATGAGGTCGAAGTGGGTAATACCACATCTAGCGCTGTGCTGGGGTTCCTTTTTTTCTGCTTTGACCACTGCTTGAACTCGCGAGATCCGCCGTTTTATCCCTTCTTGAATGCTCTCAGAGCTCCCATGTACGTCGACGTCCGTCCTTCTTTGGTACACGTTTTTTTTTTCCATGACGCGACTGTGGAATTCAAGCCTGGGGATCCCTTTCCAGCTTCACACATCTATCCCCACTAAAGAGTGCTCACTGGTCTGAGCCGTTGACAACATCCCAGCTGTCCATACAAGCTGTTGGTCTAAGCCTCACGGAGTTCTTCCATCTTTCTCTTTCCATGTAATTTCATTGGGTGAGTAGTAAAATTCCTCTAGTCGTTTTCCAAACATCATCCGGGGCGTCTCCCATGGACTTTCCGAACATCAACTCTCGGTACGCATAATGTTGATTTCATGCTGACTCGGTCTTTGCCACATAGTCTTCCATATTCCTTTTTCTCGCCGATGCTTTAACATTGTTACATATCACATTGTGGTCAATGCTTTCTGAGCAACCAGCCCGCGCTCGAACAATCCCCTTCCTAGATACGAGCAAATGCCTGTCGGCGCATGAACAGGAATTTGCGAAGCCCAACTCTACAAACATGTATCACCGGATGTTCGTTGTGTCTCGGGAACGTTGAAAGTTTGCGGGCCGGCTCTAGTGGGAACAACTTAGACGTTCAACTATAACACAGATCCTCGATTACTTTGTGCTCTGGACAAGTGAGTTCAACTTCCGCTTGAAAGCAGCGCAATCCCTATGTTCGTAAGAGATTCGCAATGCTTATGCGTTTCTGAGTGCGCAATGCTGACTGTGGGGCCAGTCCCTTATATACACAGGGGCTATCTAGGTGTTCAGCGCTATAGCCAGACATTAACCCCGGTCTATAACTGCAGGGGTGAACGCAGTCGACCATCACTGATCGCGGGACTTGCTTTCAGGCCCGTTTTCTACATCTCGCCGTGGACTCGTCAGGTTTCATATCGCACTGGACACATTCTATGCATGCCCTCCGGCAAAGAGACAATTTGTGGTGTAGAGTGCAGGACTCCATTCTCGGACACGAAAGCGAACGCCATGAACGGGTGGGAAACTGAGCCAGAGGATGTGCTGGGCAGTGCTGCTGCGGCTTCACTGCCTACACCATTCGACACGCCATACAGGACACCATCTAGGGGCTCGAGGCGATCGCGGAGGTCAGGAACACCAACCGAAGTTAACTCATCGCCTCCTCCACCATTACCGTCAGAAAGAACAGACAAGCAATCGAAGCGTGGTTCAAGGGACGTGATCATGGACGAATCCGTTAGCATACTAGATCCTCGCCGTTTCACGCCAACACTCCATGCGAGCCTGGTTTCAGAAATTCTTACTTTGCGAAGAGATCAGGAGGAGAAACTCAAGTTCATCGAAAGCCTAGAGGCGACGCTTCACACCGCGCGAGAGGAACAAGAGTCTTTACAGGATAGTCTTCTAAACACGGCGAAAGAGAGTAGGTCATTGAAGCGTCAACTAGCTTTACTTGAAGGGGGCACTTCTTCAGCTCTAGGAGAGTTGGTACGTGAGCGTGATGAGGCCACTGAGGCCATTACGGATGCGAAGAGGCGCCTTGAGGTCGCCCAGAAGAAGGTCCGTAGTCAAGAGGAAGATTCGGAAAAAGTGCATGATCTTTGGGCAAAAGAAAAGGATGAGTGGCAGCAAGAACGCCGAAAATACGAAAGGAGGCTACACGCAGCCGATACGCGGCTTAAGGCTATACTTGAGGAAGTAGCGCACTTTCAGGCTGCACAAGCCAATAGCCACCAAAGTGAGGCTGACGGTGATGATGGCGCGAGAGACTACGATGGCGCCAGTGTCAGGACAATGAGTCTGACAAATAGCTTACGATACTCTGTTATTCCCAACAAGACAACTGGGCAAAGTCTTGCAGACGAGCTCAATTTTGAAGACGACGATGAGTATGAGACTGACCCCGATGGCCGGCAGAGTGTCATGTCGAATGCACGACACATACGAACCCAGAGTCGAGAGAGTGTACTTTCAAAGACAGGGCCCAGATCACACCGCCGTAATATGAGCAGTGATAGCCAGATGCGGCCAGGAAGTGTTGCTCGTGGACGGTTTATGAACCAAACCGTCCTTGATAGGCTTGAAGGCGGGATCCGTGAAGATGATGAGTACCCTCCTGCTCCGAAACGCGAGTACAAAGATACCGGGGTACAGTTCTCTCCTCCGCCGTCACCAAAGTTAGTACCCGTGAAGCCAGCAACGCCAGAGCCCGCTGCCAAGTTCGAGAAATCTCCCGATTTCGAAAGTTCCCCCCGGAGCGAATGGGAAGCGAATCAAAGCAGGAAGCGAGTGCATATAAACAGGCCTGCGCCGATTGAACCACCCAGCCTGGCCAAATTGATGGTCTCCACCGGCTCACAAACGCCAACTGAGCCTATCAGTCCTCCGAGAACACCTTCGATTCCATTGCAGGTCGTCTCATTACCGACTGTTGAGGTCAAACCCGCTGCACACGAGATGGTCAGCTCAAGCACACAGACTGACATACCTCCACCTCTCGATCGCCCCAAGCCGGCCGAGCCACTCCTTATCCCCAGCATCAGTGTCCATCCCCCGACGTCCCGGCCTACGACACCCCGAAACCATCGCTTGCCACAGTACGTCAAGGACTTTGGCTGCCAAGTATCCATTATAGACCCAAAACCGACAAAGTCTGCGGGCATCCAAACTGACGAGATTCGTGTTGACACACGCCTCGACAAACTCCCACCGCATCTGCATCCTTCGGCAATATCATCTCGTCCTGTGTCGCCAAATGTGGTAATAACAAATGCCGAGGACAAGAGTTTCACACCTGTCCCTGGACACGTACCACCTCGTAACCCCAGGCGGCTGACGACCAGACGAAGCTTCACTTCCGAATTACCCTCGTCACCACCTGCTTCCCCTGGTGTGACAGACATTGATACTCGTGATGCGTACCCTGGGAACAACGATGATGGACCCTTGTCAGGCCAGAAAGCACCGATGAGACGACCACATCGTATAAGCAGCCTATTTGCTGGATTTGATGCCGCAAGTTCGGACGAAGCGGACGATCTGGCTGATGGCGATGGCAGTGATTCCGAATTCCGCACTGCTCTGTCTGCTCCGCAATCCAAGCCAGGGACACACAAACAGCGAGACTCCAACGCAACAACGTCGACAATTGACCAGGCTCCTGCGATATTGAGACAAGCGCGGAATTCCATCAAACAGATGGGGGGCGTCGCTGATATTTACGGCAGTTCCGGTGTAGGACGAGGGAGAGATGCACATACGCGCAAGCCTTCTGCAGGCAAGGCCATGGCATCCCGGGTTGGTGCAATGCGCAAATCAGCCATGATCCAAAGCGGCATCGCATCTCATCAAGGGCGCTCTCGGAGCCCAAGTCTATCAAGGAACCCACCTTTCCCTATACCTACTAGGGCAAGCTCGCGCCAGCCTGCCTTCAATATCAGCAATCCTAGCGAAGGGTCACAGAGTCCTACGCGAACGGGCGAGCCGTGGCATCGACGAGGCATGAGAAACGGAATCTACCGAACTAGTAGCATACGTAAATCGCGTTCCGCTGCGCCAGTACCTAGAAGCTCTAGGAATCGTAGACAGGCCAGCCGCTCACCACCACCAATGTCGCCTTCCGAAGAAACACCAGAGAGCCCTGGACTGCCCCCTTTGCCAACCAACGACATAACTACACCGCGACGTGATTATAGAGCTCCGCGGTATCGAAGCCATCGCTCCGTGCCATCGACAACAACCGCTAATACTGAGAACACGAATCAGGAATCTGTTGGTAGCTCTCAACCGGCTTCCACTGTTGTTGACGCCATCGCACAGACCATGGTCGGAGAGTGGATGTTTAAATATGTTAGAAGACGGAAGTCTTTTGGAATGGCCGACACGACAAAAGGCGAGGAAAACAGTAATGACCGACATAAGAGATGGGTGTGGCTGGCACCTTATGAGAGGGCCATTCTGTGGAGCAGTAAGCAGCCATCATCTGGTAGTGCTTTGATGGGCAAGTCGGGCCGAAAGTGTAAGTCCATACTCGTCCCGTGCCGTGTTAGCAGATCCTAACTAGTTATTATAGTGACCATTCAATCGGTCTTGGATGTCAAGGACGACAATGCCCCTCCCAAGGGAGCCGGCCACGTCTTCAACAGGTCCATTTTGATCTTGACACCTCAGCGGGCGCTGAAGTTTACAGCATTAAACGCGGAAAGACACTATCTTTGGCTTACGGCTTTGGCTTTCTTAGCTCACTCCCAGCAAGCGGTTCCTGATATGATCTCGCCAGCAGCACCGCCGCCAGTAGGCCCGACAGCTTCCAAATTGGCGCCGAGCAGCTTTGGTCCACCGCCAGCCAAGTCGCGAAAACCAATACGGGACTCGATCATGCTAAAAAAGAACAAGGGTCCAGCAGCGCCACATGGCGATACAGTGCATTCCAATCGTCTCGAGGAAGCATTCTCGTTCAAGCCGGACGACTTCAACGCCGCGCTGAGCCACCAACGTGAGCTCTCGAGAGATGTAGCCGAACCGCCATTCATCCCTCGCTTTCACGAAAAGTCTTCAGAGCGAGTGCACGAGCGCGCTAACCAGGCAGTTGTACACGGGCGTAAGAGAAGCAATACTGGCGGACGCGCTGCTCCGCCTCTATCATTCCGCGGCTTCTCTTCACCCATCCAGAGTTCACATCACAACTCAACCAATAGCACAGCTGGAAACAGCGTGATTACTACTGGTTCGTCCGAGGTGTACCAACCTTCCAGCAATGGACACTCCTGGGGGCCCATGAGCACCGTCGGCTCTCAACGGACATCTGAAGCTTCATCTCGGCCTGGCAACAACTTCTTCGAGGCCATCGGCACGGTGCGCATGGAGGCTTTCATCAGCCCTCTGGCCTTCCCGAGCTTTGATGAATATCCAGATGAGCACGATGAGCTTAGGTATAGGGCCCGTAGACGTAGCAAGGATGCTCGCCGCCGCCGCAGCCGAAGCAGGCGTCGGGATAGCTTCAATTCCCGAACCACACGCACAACAAATGATTACTATGGAGGAAGTAGGACAGGAGGGGAGGAGGATTATTTCAGGGACGACCCTTTCAAGGGGTTCTGATTTGATGGATTGTAAGCAAGCAAGCGTTGAGATACCCTGATACCCACAGTGTTTCGCGAGTCTACGAGGACTACCGGTGAATTTTTTTTTCTTTTTCGTTTCTTTTTACTCTCCTTTCTTTCTTTCTTTCTTTCTTCCGAACCTTGTATAGGGGTTGGTGTTCAGGAGCATGGCAGCCACAGGCGGCGTTGATTTCGCGGACTGCTGTGGTCTGCTACGTCGCACTCGCTCAATTTCTTTGTTTGTCAAATAGTTGTCTTTCTCGAAGGCATGATTGTTACCTCGGGTCATGAGGATTCTCTGTATCGGGGGACGGGGACGGCTGGAAAGATACCTAAAGGTGCCTATGGGTTAGTCGCAAGACCACGGTTTGTGGGGACTTTTTTATATAGCAATTTGGTCTATATAGGACCTTTCTAAATGTATATAGTAATTTTCAAAAGATCTGATGGCATACGCGTGTGCACAGTCATTTGCGGTCACAACAGTGACGGACGTCAGCATCATGGACGCACGGTATTTTACTTGCTATGGATCGTGTCTGCTAGCTCATGCAAGCTGTGAATTGAAATGAGCAGTCATGCAACATAAACATCTGGCCTTGTGTTTACATCTGTACAGATAGACACCCTATTTATCTCGTATACTACTACTTACCCCCTCTCGTGGTAAGCTCCAAAGTCGCCAGGTTTACCCAGTGACTTCGGACTGTTATAGCCGTCGTGAACCCACCCATCACTTGCAATCATGCACTGGAGCGCTGGGGCTCTAAAGCCTGTCCCCCATGCTGCGGGGCTCTGCGGGTACTCCCGTCCGCTGGCAGAATCGAAATCGAGCCTCGCTGCCGCCCCTCCAGTAAATCCGGCGCAATCACCTGCCCCGCGTCATTGCGACGAATTTATCTAACCGTGCCCACCCACTTTCGCACGCACCCCCTTTTGCACGCCGATCTTCCGACGCGTCAACAACACCACGCTTTTCTTGTAAATGCTAGAACTCAACCAATTGTAATCCTATCGATCTGATATTTTCAATATGGGTAAACTAAATGAACGCGATGTAGCAGAAGCAATTAGTTTGGTTCGAAACGGCGAAACGATAACGCGCGTAGCCAAAGCTTTCGGTATCGTACGGTCTACTTTGTCGCGACGACTTAACGGGTCGTAACCACATTCCTTAGCCCACGAAACGTCAAAGAACCTATCTGAATTGCAAGAAATGGAGCTTGAGTAATGGATTTTACATGAGGAATTGTGTAGACGCGCTCCGGGCTCGAATATGGTGCGACAAATAGCGGCTAATATCATGACTAGTATCGGCGAAATCGACGATACGGTTACCCCTGGATACAATTGGGTATATAAGTTCTTTAGCCGCCACCCATACTTGAAGACTAAGGTTGGACGTGTAATTGACGTTGAGAGGGTCAAAGGCATTGAAAAACAGACCGTAAAGGACTTTTACACGTATATATCACAGGTTAAAGACACTTATAAGATCCTACCAAAGGACATCTATAATATGGATGAAACAGGTGTACAAGAAGCCGAACAAAGTCAAGGCACAGTCATCGGGACGTCTAGGTCACGTCGTTCACGCGTTGCGAAAAACCTAGCAACTGGATGGATGTCAGTTATCCATAGTATCAACGCTATCGGGTTGAAAACAACGAATACGTATATACTAAGAGGAACAACACTACAAGCACAATGGTTACCTGAGGATCTTAAGGAAGCTAAGTATATAGCGACCCCTAAAGGCTGGACCAACTTAGCAGTGGCGCTATCATGGTTGTTAGAGGTCTTCGAGCTAGAAACCAGACCACAAGAGTCCCTAGACTGCCTAAACCCATAGAGGATGCTCCTCCTCGATGGCCATAGTACTCATGTTATACCCGGGTTCATGTTAAGGGCATTTAGGAAGAGGATTGCCTTGATATACCTACCAGTATACACAAGCGAAGCGCTCTAACCACTTGACAAGACGGTCTTCTCATCGTTAAAGTCCCACTACTATAGGCTAATAAGCCTATATCGTGGTATTTAAGCTACTGGGCCCGTTAACAAGCAACGGATGCTTGAAGCTTATGATAAAGCTTATGCCCTTGCTTTTACGAAACAAATTATCGAAAGCGGCTGGGCCAAAACGGGTATTTACCCCTTAAATGAATTAATGGTATTAGGTGACCCTAAGTTCTTCCCACCATTACCTAACACTTAACCTACAACACCACAAAACGAGTCAGATCTAGCTGAAATTGGTCTGTTTACTCCTTATAATAGTAAGGACCTTCGACTTTAAATTAAGGACGTTACCATCAATCAGTCGCAAACTTCTAGAGACGTAAGGGAGTTGCTTGGGAAATGTGCTAAGTCACTTGACATAGCGCTCGTAGAACTAGCAATAACACGTCAAGCAAACCTCGATTTGCAAGCTAAACTAGATAATCACAAGCCTGATAAACGTCAAACAGTTAGAAAAGACCCGAATAAGGTCTTTGCTAGTGTTACAGAGATTAGACCAGCGCAAGACAAGCTGAAAAGGAAGATGCCTGAGCTATAACGCAATGAACAAGTCCCTATTGACTCGTTCCTCGAAATACAACCTTCCACGCGAAAGCGGACACGTAAATAACCTAGAGATAGTTTATTTGAATTGATTTCATGGTGTTATGGCTGGCAGTTGTTGTATCTATCTATCAGTGTGTTTGAGGAAACGTCGGTAAATCGGCGTGCAAAAGGGGGTGCGTGCGAAAGTGGGTGGGCACGGTTACCTGGTCAAGAAAGAGAGAGCCAAGCGTCACTCTCGTATAAAAGAGAACAGCTTATCATACAAACTATTCGTATACGACACACTACAATACTGCACTGCATTATTTCAACTTACCTAGTCACCACAACGGCAATTGGACACACGCCCTTGTCCCAGTCGAGCTTTGCCTCTACACTAATTGCCCATCGCGAGCTGTCCCAGGGGCCATGGAACCCTCAGCGGAGAGCCCAGAGGCCTTGCAGGCACGCCATCGCAAGGAGCAGCGGGATCTACAATCGCGGATCACGAGCAAGAAGAAGAACGCGACGAAGAAGACGCGCAAGGGCGTCAACGACGAATGCGCCGAGCTCGAGAGACAACTGAAGGGGAAGCAAGAGCAGGAACTGGCCGCGCTGAACGGGGAGACCGTCCAGGATGAGCTGGAGGAGGAGCCCGAGATAGATGCTGTGGCGGACAAGCTGCGGGATACCTCGATACCGGACGTGTCGAGCAATAACAGGGAGGCGGCCGAGAAGGGGGGTTGGAGGAAGAGGAAGAAGAAGCACAGACACAAGCACAAACACAAACACAAATACAAGGGGCTGGCAAGAAGCGTAATCGCCAGCAGGAGCGCATGGCGCGGCGTCGGGCAGAGCAGGAAGCTGAGGCCGAGGCTGCTGAAAACGAGGCAAAGAACATGACAGACCACCGAGCGATAGAGAAGACATATCTCTTGAAAGAGTTCAAGGCGAACAATCTGGTCGAGAAGGAGATCCAGCCCGACGGGCACTGTTTGTTCTCCGCGATCGCAGATCAGTTGTCGCAACGAGACATACCTTTGGGAGGAGAGCAGGGCCAGCCGCCATACAAAGTGGTCCGAAGGAGAGCTACAGACCATATGCAAAGGCACAGGGACGATTTCGCGCCATTTTTAGAAGACAACTTCGAGGACTACGTGAAGAAGATCCGGGATACGGCTGAATGGGGCGGACAACTGGAGTTGAAAGCCCTTGCAGATGTTTATGGCGTCGAGATCAAGGTTGTCCAGGACGGGCGAACAGAGACCATTGAGCCAGGTGGCAGTGCGCCGGGGGAAAGGCCCAGGATTTGGCTCGCATACTATAGGCATGGGTACGGACTGGGAGAGCATTACAACTCCTTGAGGAAAGCCACTTGAGCATGCAAGGCATGCAATTATAGACCTGCAGCATGCGTGGCTGTGAAACCACAAATCCATGTCAAAGATTCCTTTGGGATTTATCTTGAAACCGCCCAAGGACATGTTGGAGTGTCGCTGAGAATAACCCATAACCCATGAGTACCTAGTTCAATGCTCCTATGGACGCCCCGAGCTGCAAGCCATCAAGATATGACCTGACGTGATCCAAACATGACACCTTAACGCTACCTGTTACGTTAGCAGAATGCTCACAGTGTTTGCAAATCAAAGCTGCAACAACAATTGAAGAGGCAGAATCTTTAGTATACGTGGGTATTTGAAATAAAGTGAAAACTATTGTCGGCCGCGCCAGGTTGCGGAGAGAAGTCACAAGACCTGGGGGGAAGAAGTTCCAAGTCAAAGCACAGCTCATCAGAGGCGACTGAAGAAACAGATTGGGGCAGGCAAAAGCCATGACCGCCAACAAGGGGAAGACTATTATGGCAGACAATTGGAGGGTCATTACGGCGAACTCTTTCAAGACAAATTCATCCCGAGAGTCGCAGATATTCAGCTAGAAAAAATATACTTTGACAACCCACTATCTCCCTCTCTAGGCTACCCACTGGAAACAGTCAAACGATCACCGACTTGCTGGCCTGAATCTGACAATGAAGAGCGACAAGGTTCCTCAGGCGAAGGTGTGGCGCCTGCCGGAGTATCATCAACTCTTTACACTCAATTACAGAAACGGGAAAGACACGACCGCCTCTACACCATACTACGATGAATACCAGGAATTAGGACGTGAAACAACGGAGTAATTTTCACTCGTCCAATCAACAGTGAAAGACAAACATCGCAAGTCGCACAAAGCGAAAGGGGAAGATCACGAAAACCACAGCTCCAGAACGCACGCTTATAATAACCAACCGGACAAGGAGCTCAGCGGAAATGAATCGCGTGGGTTGACAGAAGAATCATTGGCCATTTCCTTCCCAACATATCGCCAGTTGTCTTTTGATAATTACCATGATGCCAGTATGAAAGAAGAACAAGATCCCTTGCTTGCCTTAGGTCACACCGCACCATACCATATTAGTCATCAAATAGTGGAAGAGGCGTCTTTGAGTTGCTTCCTCGAAGCTGATTATTTGTATTGCAAGATCCTAGTATTATAAGAGAAGGAGTAGTTCATGCCAACTTTTCGAATTTATTTGCTGCGCCAGAATCTTGTAATCGTCCTTGAGCACCAGGGAGGCCCACAAGATATACAGAGGCTGAGAAGTATTACATGAAAGAGGTACTAGAATAGAGAATGACACACTTCGACACGGACTCACCGGCAGTCTACAGCACCATGAGTAACCTTGGTAAACTGTTGTTCCTGTAAAGAAGCGAGCATCTTTAGAGGTAAAATAACGAGAGAGTATACCGACAGTAACGACGCAAACAGGGAAAGGGATGAGCAGCACCCAATCGTTTTTCCCCCTTCGTTGTCTTCTTTTCCATTTCATTACACCTTCTTTCTGCAAATTTAACGGTACAATGTAAATGATGGACATCAGTCTGATCAGATAATAGGGGTTCTGAAAGGGCCAAATCGTCGTACGCAAGTGTGGGTCTCTTTACAGGGCCGAGTCTCTCAGCGGCGGGAGACAAACTCCGCGAAGCAGTATAGGCACGTGAATACAGAAGATGGGCTTCGACAAGTGCATTCAGCGTCAAGAGCTTCACAGATTATTAATTTTGTCTTTCCCTATCGAATAATATCTCGAAACGACTTTTGAGCACGTATTTCGGTTTCCGAAGCAAATAAGTTGGTGGCATCTGCGCGCCCTGGAACTTATTAAAGGGCTAAATCAGGCACTGCGGTTCTCGGAGGCGCCCCAAAATTCTGTCTTTCACCGGGGCAAATCGTCCATAACCTCATAGCACTTGTATCTTCAAAACGCGAGCACAACCTCAATATGTCATTGACAAACGCTTCTCCGGTGGACGCTGCACAGTCAGCCAAGAGTGCATCCCACATTCTTGCAACGCTGCCTGCATCGGCACGAAATGAAGCACTGACAGCGATCCACTCCGGCCTCACGGCGGCGCGGGACGAGATCCTGGCAGCCAATGCCCGGGATCTCGAGCTCGCCCGCCAAGCAGCATCGAATGGAGAGCTGAGCCAAAGCTTGGTGGCTCGATTGGATTTGAACAAGAAGGGAAAGTGGGAGGATATGTTGAAGGGCATCCTGGATGTTCGAGATCTAGAGGACCCTGGTGAGTCATCTTGCACGTCAGGAGAGTGGTTTTGCGTATTCAGGCAGGGAAAGGCAGTACGCTAACAGGAATGCAGTTGGCAAGGTCACGTTGAGGACGAAACTCGATGATAACCTGGAGTTAGAGCGAGTCACTTGCCCAATTGGTGTCTTGCTCATCATCTTCGAGGCGCGTCCTGAGGTCATTGCCAATATTGCCTCGTTGGCAGTCAAGTCCGGCAACGCCGCAATCCTGAAGGGTGAGATTCAAGGAATCTAATTGTCACAAATTTTTGATCATTAATGAATTACTATAGGTGGAAAGGAATCCACAGAATCCTTCATTGCCATCTCCAAGGTCATCTCAGAAGCGCTAGAGAAGACCCAAGTTCCTAACGGCGCTGTTCAATTGGTCACAACAAGGGATGTCATCCCACAACTTCTTGACTTGGATAAGTATATCGATCTGGTCATTCCGCGGGGAGGTAACGAACTTGTGCGGTATATCAAGTCATCGACGAAGATTCCTGTTCTAGGTCACGCAGATGGATTGTGCTCCATCTTCCTAGAGCAATCAGCTGATCCCAAGATGGCGGCCGGCGTGATTGTCGACTCGAAGACTACCTATCCCGCAGCATGCAACAGCCTGGAGACCTTGTTGGTACAAGAAAGCGCCTTGGAGACACTTTTGCCTGCAGCGGCGGAAGCACTCATCGCAAAGGGTGTCACATTACACTGTGATGCTAAGAGCAAGGCCGCACTTGCGAACAAGCTCTCCTCGACTGATTCTGCCAACGTTGTGGATGCGAAGGAGGTTGATTACGACACCGAGTTTCTATCGTTGGATCTGGCCGTCAAGGCAGTGAGCGACATCGAGGAAGCTATTGTGCATATCAACACACATGGCTCCAAGCACACAGATGCTATCCTCACCTCGTCTTCGGATCTTGCCGAGCGATTCATGTCGAGCGTGGACGCAGCAGGCGTTTACTGGAACGCACCTACGCGCCTCGCTGATGGTATGAGATACGGGTTTGGAACTGAGGTCGGAATTAGCACCAACAAAATCCATTCTCGTGGACCAGTCGGCTTGGAGGGTTTGATGATCTACAAGTACAAGATCCGTGGCGCTGGTCAACTTACCGCAAACTATGGAGAAGGCGAAGGCCAGAAGCGGTTCAAGCACGAGAGTTTGCCCTTCTAAGCTACCGTTTGAACAATGATTGGCTTCTTATGTGTGCCATATCTGGATTTTTACACCAACGTGACATAGACGAGGGCTACAGAAAGATATTCACATGTTCGCAGATCATAAAAGCGAAGAGCCAGTTCCGTCGCCGATAGTAGCGATCGGTTCCGCGATAATATCCCATAACCCCTTTTCGTATCGAACGATGCCTCCTTCTTCCCTCAGTCCTAAGTTTTGCATGAGCCGTGCATGCGATTTGTTATTGGCATCCAATCCCAGTACCAATGGTCCGGTCAATGTAGCATCCTTGCCTAGCTATAACAAGGCAATGGTAATGACTAAATCGTCAGACAGGTTCACCGAGTGCTTAAACATATGACAACGGAGTTTGTGGTAATATCCGTGGCAACCATACACGATTCATATAAGCATTTACAAATATCATTCCCGGAGGGTGGCATGGAAATGTTTAAGAGAGTACATGACTTTGTGTGGATAAACACTTCCGGGCTAGTACTTCGGTGTGGGAAAACATGCACGCAGTCCCTGGAACACTGTTGCTTGCCAGTAAACATAGCCTGGTGCTTGCCAACCTGTCTGTTCTCCCACTGCAACAGCAGTAGTTTGCAACAGATGAGCTGCCGGTCCGACAGATGTCTCTAACTAGCTAAGGTTCTCTACCTTTGCGCAGTGTGGTGGACATTCGCCCGACGCAGCAATGTAGATATATGTGCTGATCCAGGGACGTGCTTGTCATCGAATCGTCGTGGTTCCTCTGCCGATGTCGCCAATGTTGTTGAGAAGATTAGCTCAAAAACAAATCAAGGCTGATACGGGGATATCTGAACCGCGCAAAATCGCTCTTATACTGCATACGCGTCTGTGAGTGTGTAAAGGGAAGGGTATATCCCCGGGCTTGCTGTTGCTTCGAGAGAATAACGTATTTACCAAGCCACAGTATCAAGCATTGCGAGCTGACTGTCGCCAATCTATATATCAGTGTGCCGCTGGCAGCCATTGTTTATGTCTAAAATACTCATAGCGCAAGGTGTGATTTCTCTCTACGCAGTGACCTCATCCTCTGATGTTCCACCTCATTCCTTCTTCTCCACGTCCGCTCTCGCCTCGCTCACGATCTTGGCGAGAACATCCAGGTCTAGATTTCCGCCACTAAACACAATACCCACATTGGCGCCCTGCTCCCCAAATTCCCTCTCTACCAAGCTCCTGAAATCCTCATTGTACAACGCCACGGCAAGGGGCACACAGGCACTCGGCTCGACGACCATCTTGAACCTCTCCAGCACGAGCCTCAGCGCAAGCTTGATCTGCTCCTCGGTGACCGAGTAGAACCCCTCGACAAGCTTGCGCTCGTAGATGACGCCCCACGGCACCTTGCCCAGCGGCGTCCTGAGCCCGTCGGCGATGGTCAGGGTCTTGACGGTCTCGACGCGCCGCCCGCTCTCGAAGCCGCGCTTTGCGTCGTCGGCGCCCTCGAACGAGGGCTCGCAGCCGAAGACGCGGATCCCGGTCCCTTCGCAGGACAGCGCGACGCCCGAGAGCATGCCGCCGCCGCCACAGGGGGCAAGAATGATGTCCAGACCCCTCTTCTTCTTGTTGCCGCCGCCGAGTCCCCTGCTCTCCTTCGTGACGGGCGCCGCGAAGCTGCACTTGCCCCCTTGCCCCTTATCTGACATGCCTTCCTTCTCGTCGATGTCAGCTTCGGTGAGCAGGTTTGCGGCGTCTTCCTGCAGCTCCAGTCCCAAAGTCCCTTGGCCAAGGACGATGTCAGGGTGGTCATACGGCGGGACCAGCCTGGCGCCCGTGTCTTCGACGACCTTGGCGCAGACGGCCTCACGCTCGGCAGAGGTAGAGCCGCTAAAGATGACGTTTGCGCCGTAGCCTCTCGTTGCCGAGATCTTGGGCGGGGGCGAGATCGAGGGCATTACAATGTAGGCCGGGATACCATTGGTGCGGGCGGCAAGCGAGAGGGCTTGCGCGTGGTTTCCTAGCCGGAACTCATTAGTTTTTGCCATTCCAAGGAAGAGGACAGAAGAAGGTTTCCCTCCTCACCTGAGCTGTGTGTGACGACGCCCTTCTCCGCCCCTCCGCCAGCCAGCCAGCCCGGTTCCTTCTTTAGGCGCTCTATCGCATCTGGCACGTCTCGAGATCAGCGACCATCACATATGTTCTCTCCTTCACACCAAGAGGTTTCCTTTTACTCAGCTCTCGAGAAATATGACGGGAAGCGAACTTACGGAAAGCCCCCCTGACCTTGAATGCCCCTACCCTCTGCAGGTTCTCACACTTGAAGAAGAGCCTGATCTTTGGGCTGCTTGCTCCCTTCTCCCCGCCTTCCCACTCGGTACCCGTCAGCTCCTCCCGGGACCTCTTCGTGCTCGCCAGCTGTGTCAACGTTGAGTTGGTGAGTGTTGGTGTGTGGTGCACAAAGGGCTTGATGAGCTCGTGAGCCGCCACCACCGAGGCCCGGGTTAGGGGTGGGGAGGTGTTCGGGTCCGCCATGGAAGAGTCGCGTCGATGCACCTTTTCCCTTCTTTATTTGAGAGGTGCACAGTTGATTATATAGGTGACTCGCGCCGTTTAAATGTATGTCTTCAAGTCCAGCTCTCAGTTGGGGTCCGGCGGGGACTTGTTTCCCTCAAAGTCCCTAAACAGCCTGATTCAACGTGACACCTTGTCAATGGTCGAGAAGCGATCGAGCGAATGAGATGCAAGAAGGGGATGTGTTTCTCGCACAGCATACAGTATGGGAATGCTCAAGAGAAGGTGCTAGGTTGGCCGGCGTACCCAACGTCGTTCCTGAGCACTAATTCTGGTATAGCGTGGGTGTAGACACCCGTGAGCGTGGGTTAGGCAGTGGGCGGTCGTGGAGTATAGTACGAACTGGGTTTAGCTACGACTCGCTTGAGTGTGCATGTGGAAAGCGGTTGACATCGGAGACGAATAAGATCACGTCAATTGCCAACATCGAACCTGCGTCCGATAGCGGAGGCAGCAGTTCACAAAAATAACGAGGCATGTCATTCAGCTATAACGTGCGGAAGGATTGAAGAAACGACAACCCGCTTTATTGTGCAGTGCCCGATCGAAGTCGAGCTAAAATAGAAAACTTTTTGAACCATATCCCTAAGATCCTCGAAACAGCCAAGGGAATCCATGAATAATAAGTACAAAAGCTGTCCTTGGGAATATGTCCAACCATCCAGATACCATCCTATTGATTAAAAACACCACTCCCTTACTTCTGGTTCTCGGGTCGGAGGGAACTGTCAAGGTTGTTAGTGATTGTTGTTGATACAGAATGCATTGATGGGTGCAAAGTGAACTTACCGGACGGCCCTGCCGGCTCTCCAGATCTCCAAGTTGCGGATCTCCTCCATCTCGGCCTCGAACTTCTGGCGGTAGTCCTTCTGGCCGTTGTAGTCGAGGGATCGCTTGGTCTCGGTACCGTCGTGGACGGCGTCGTAGAGGGAGTTGAAGACGGGCTTCAGGGCATCCTTGAACTTGGGAGTCCAGTCGATGGCACCACGGCGGGCAGTGGTGGAGCAAGCCTCGTACATCCAGTCCATACCGTTGGCACCGATGAGAGGGTAGAGGGACTGGGTAGCCTCCTCAACGGTCTCGTTGAAAGCCTCGCTGGGGCTGTGGCCGCGCTCACGGAGAACCTCGTACTGGGCGAGGAACATGCCGTGGATACCACCCATCAGGCAACCACGCTCACCGTAGAGGTCAGAGTAGACCTCCTTCTCGAAGGTGGTCTTGTAGAGGTAGCCGGAGCCGACAGCGACACCGAGAGCAATGGCCTTCTCCTCGGCCTTGCCAGTGACATCCTGGAAGACGGCGAAGGAGGAGTTGATGCCACGGCCCTCACGGAAGAGGGATCGGACAGTACGGCCGGAACCCTTGGGGGCAACGAGGATGACATCAATGTCGGTGGGGACATCGACCTTGGTAACATCCTTGAAGACGGGGGAGAAACCGTGGGAGAAGTAGAGGGTCTTACCCTTGGTGAGCTGGGGCTTGATGGCGGGCCAAGTCTCGGACTGGGCAGCATCGGAGAGCAGGTTCATGACGATGGTACCGCGGGAGATGGCCTCGTCGACCTCGAACAGGTTCTTGCCCTCAACCCAGCCGTCCTGCTGGGCGTCCTTCCATGACTGACCGTTCTTTCGGACACCGATGATGACGTTAAGGCCGTTGTCGCGGAGGTTAAGACCCTGACCGTGACCTTGCGAGCCGTAGCCGATGAGGGCGAGAGTGTCGTTCTTGAAGAACTCCTGTCGGGGGTATTAGCAACTTGGGCTTTGTCCAAGAGCGGTGTTTCCGGGGACCATTGAGATGTGTGCCCATTGCCCACTGCTCAATGCTGACGGGGGAATTTGTGACTCACCAAGAGCTTCTCCTTGGGCCAGTCGGCACGCTCTGTGAAGAAGAGAAGAAAAAAAAATTAGCGATCAGGTCGGCTTGGTATGGCTGCATTCCGAGCCATTGCTTGCTTACCGTAGACGTCCTCCTTGACACCAGCAAAGTCAATGGTCTTGACACCACGGACCTGCTGTCTGGCAACAGCGGGACGAGCAGCCTTGACGGCGGTGGCTCTGGCACCGGCAGAAGCAGCAGCAACGAAGCTGCGTCTCTGGACAGCGGGCGAGGCCAATTGGCGGGCCAATCGCTGGGGAAGGGCCTTGGAGAAGGATTTTGAAGCCATGTTTGGGGATGTGACTGGGAGTGGGGATCTGTCTAGAGGTAAGGAACAGGTCAGAAAGGTAGAAGTTCAGAGGCTATATCCTACCGAACGATTATGTACTATTTTGTCAATAGCGTCGAGCGTTCTCGGTCAGAAATTTTTCTGGTTCCGGAGGGATCAGCAACTGACTCTAATTGACACTAAGAGCTCTCCGACCAGTTTCCCCAGCGATTTCGGCCATTGCGAATCCGCTGCGGTGAGATGGAGTGGGGAACTAGGAACTGGGAACTGGACCGAAACTGTCGGGGGGCCTGTCGGGGGCTTGTCGGGGGACGATCGGGGGTACATTTTGTCTGCGTTTTACTGGGCAGAGACTGGGGTACAGTAAGGACCATCTGGGACGTGGTACGTGCCCGGCGCTCATGGCCTGCTCCAGCTGGCACCTCAGGCACCTCTGGCACCTCCGCGGTCCAATCAAGTCCGCTGCCTACCAAAGCATTGCAGCTTGATGCGAGATCGCATCCAAGTAGGCCCCGTTTCTGCCACCGACTGGCAGCCATACCCTGGGTTGCGTGGAGTTCACATCATACACCAATGCTACAATGGCCAATGTCTGGACCTGAGATGACACACTTTTCGATTGAGCTGTTTATTCTTGGACCACACCAAGAGCCGAGCCGAGATCGTTGTTGTCCAAGACCATCTCCCCTTTCTTGGTACCTATAGCGATCGCGAAAGAAAAAGAAAAAGAAAGCAGCGGTAGTAAAGGCAGACTGTAAAGGCGAATGTGAAGGGGCTAGGTGGTAGCTTCACGTGGCATGGCATGGCAACAGCATAGCATACCGTAATAACATAGAACGAGTCTCGAAGCGCATGGCAAAAGCACAGGCTGAGTGGCATGACATAACACAACAAACAAACACTACGTCGCAATTTGCATTACAACCCAAATCAAGTCTATTGCGAATGCGAGCACGACTACGACCTATATGCTACCATGCTATGCTGCAAAGTGATCCCAAAACAAAACAAAGCTTTACAAACGCTGACCTACGACTATTAACGCCAGATCGAGACTTCGCCAGGCCGCCGGTTCATGGATAGCTAAGCAGACGTCCAAGATTGAGTAGGCATCCCCGTTTATCATCTATCGCCAGTCCGCCCTACGCGGCTTCTATCCATAACTATTCCATGTGTGCCCTCAAGGCATTGTGTCCTCACTTGTTCCAATCTGCCGACTGCGATCCGCCGGAAGGCTTATGTTGAGAAGGGGTGTTCCTCGCCGGCGAAGGAACGAATATCGCCGCTGTCGGGTTTAGGTCAGAGGGAGTACCGGTAGCGGCATCGCGTGGCAGGTTGGCCGAGGTTTGCAGTCCTGTGCCGTCCCAAACCATGGACTTTCCACTCTTGGTAACGTGCTTCTTGATCCGGGCGATATAAGACTCGTGCTCTGTGTCGTCCTATGCCACAGCAAGCACCCGAGTGTATTCGGTGGCATCGCTCGAGTTTCCATTCCTAAGCCTGCCTCCCCTCATCGACGTCTTGACATCCCTCTCGAACTTGGCCTTGTCCTTGCGCATCTCATCGGCAGCTTCCTTGTTGAGGGGGTCGTGCTCATTGGGGTGGTCGAAGAGGAACTGAAGACCGATGAAGATGGTGTTGAGGTTGAGAACCGGCTTCCATTCCTCACGCAGGATGTTTAGGCAGACCTTTCCCTCGAGGTCGATGTTGGGGTGGTAAATCGTGGGCACGCAGCGGACTTTGGGCGCTTCGTGAGGATACGACTGGGGCACAGAGATCTCGAACGGGAACTCGCCGCCTACGTACATGCCTTCATCAGGCTTGATGATGAGCTTGAAGTTGAGAATGTCATCGGCATCCTTGTATTCGAGCTTCATGGTGTTGGGTAAAGACAACTCGGCAATATCTGTTGACAGGTGGTATTGTCAGTCATTGCCCGCACAACACAAGGCTACATCCATCAACGTAACAACTCAGGTTGGCGGCCGTATGTCTCACCTTTCTGGACTCGCAGCTCTGCGGCCTTGACCTTCTTCTTCTTGCCGCTGATCGCATCGGCGTTATCAGCCTTCTGCTGCTCCTTTTTCTGCAAAATGTCAGCACATAAGAGCCAACATTATCATGGCGACATGCGTCGTACCATGGACCAAATCTTCAACATCTTGGCGGCTGTATAATGTGCAGGCGAACGATGATGGGAAGAGAACCCGACGACTATGACGAAGGCGGGGAGTTTGGGTCGATAAAGATGGCGTGTAGTGGGGTTGAAAGAAAGTAGTGGACAAGGTGGAAAGTCGAATATCTGCCAAGACACGAGGATGGACGTTCAGTTCAGAGTGAGGAAGTAACGGTCTTATTACCACGCGTGCAAGAGAGAAGAAGAAAAGTGGAAAATAGTAATGACCAAGATTCAGATTCAGCTTCAGGTACGGCAGAACATAACGCCTTGCCCACAAACTTGGGGAAGCAAGAACGGCATCAGCCTCATGGCTATACTGGATACACACGGTAAAGTTTTGGACTCCAGCTCCTGCTCCTTCCGGGTCGGGTAGAATTTGGTCTGTGCACCGCGCACCTTACAAATGCTCAGTCATCGCATCAGTCGCGTACCCTGATATACTTTCAACGACGCGACGACGCGAACCGGGGGTTTGAAGCTCACACTCGACAGTTTTCAATATGTAAGCAAGAAATATTCTTAACAAAATGCATTATGTATTGTGGCACGTCACATAAGTACCTGATCTAAAGGGAATTTGTAAAACGCCTGAAGTAATGCCACTCATTCTTCTGAGCGTGGCGTGGCGTGGCCAGACAAGCCCAGGGCAACTTTTTTTCTCTTCCAGCGTACATCCTACATCCCATCCAAATCTCTTCGCTTCCATATCCTGTACAAAGGCAAACAGTTTTGTATATGACGCCAGGTCCTGAGACGCAAAATGCTTGTTGTATACATATCTTCCCAAGTTTGGGGTGGGTATATTGTTTCGGGGAGGACAAATATGGCGCTTTAACGTCGCGAGAAGCAGCACATGAGACCCGTCTTACCAAGGAACCACAAACATCCGACGAAACGGACGAAGGCGAGGATAGCCGTGGCGATCAGGAGGAACTGGAAGTAAGCTGCAGTTCTCTTTGTAGTGGTAGCCTGTAGCATGTTAGTTTGGGCACATTGAACACAACATTTTGGGGACTTACGCCAATGCCAAAGGTGTTGAAGCTGTCACTGGTAAGGACAACAATCAGAAGAGCATTTGAGAATAGCCATGCCAACACCAATGAAGTTCTGAAAGACTTGTACGAGTCGTCCAGATCCTTGCCATCGTTTTCCTCCTCCTCCTTGAAGGGCGCCAGAGCACGCTTGACGGTCGCTTCGAACTGACTGTCGATATCCTCCTGAGGTTTATCGACTTCTTCAATGGCGGCTTCACCCTTCTCTGTCTTGACCACCTGTGCAGAAGGCAGCGCGTCTGCTTTGTCTGAACCCTTGGTACCCCAGGAAACATCGTGCCAGTTGTTGAACGCATAAACCATGAGAATGTTGATGTAGGTCGACATGAGCATAAGATAGGCCGGGAAGGAGTGGAACATGTGCCACGGGTCCAGGTACAGGAACGAAGCCACAAAGTAGAGACCAAACGTAGCCAACAGCGCAAGCAAGATAATGGCAACCTGGGAACGTCCAGTCAAGAGCTGGGCCAAGTCATCACCAATGTTGATATCTGGGTTGTTGATGAAGGCGCTGACGACCAAGTAGAAGGAATCGATGAGCAGATACAGCTGAATGAAACCGAAGAGAGCAAATGACAAGATGTACTGCCACTTTGAACCCTTGGGACGGTTACCGAGCGCGAGAATAAACTGCATGATGACGAATGCCACATACAAATACTTCAAAACCAAGTTGATGATCGGTGTCGCCGTGTCACCGAAAGGCCAACCGTGACGTTCTGCGCTAGTAGGACCGGGTGCTGTGGGAGTGCCGACAAGGTCCATAATGACCGTTGTAGTCAGGTAGTAGGAAGCCAGAGAGAACCATGTGAAAGCGACTTGTGCAACGTTGTAGAGAAGTTGCACGTGGAAGAAGAACATGCGGACGATGTTGTGGCCACTCTTGTACATACGACCGAAATGCATCAAGGAATAGAGGGAAGCGGCGAAAGAACCGTTCAGCCATCTTCTTCGCTGACTGATGAACTCGGGTGCTCCTTCGGGAACATCGGTTTCACCCTTTGCGGCCTTGATGTAGGTCAAATGCCACTTGGAGCCAGCCTTGGCAACCAGCTCGAAACACAGAATACGATCCTCAGCCAAGAACATGTTCTTCTTAAAGATGTTCATACCCTCGATACCTTTCTTACCCAATATCTTGGAGAGCGTGTGATCACCGTGGAAGTACTGCTCGAGAGGTCGGCCCATAATGGCACGGAATCGGTACGCAGAGAAGGCACCGGGCAACACGGAAACGTAGCCGAAGGAGCTCTCTAGGGGCTTATCCAGAATGTTGGAGATCTTGTACTCAAAGTTTTGGACAGCAACCAACGGGTTCAACAGCTTCTTGCCACCCTTGCCCAACATGGCGTGAATCTCACCACAAGCACCACCGAGATCCTTGTCGTTGTAGAAACCTTCCCATAGAGCCAGAAGTGACTTGGCTCCGGGCTTGGTACCAGCATCGAGAAGAATGCAGACTTCAGGGTTCAAAATTCTGCCGAAAGCGTTGAACAGCCAACGATGGGAGTTGATCTTCTTGGTGTTCTTCTGCTTCAAGCAGAAGATCATCTGAACGGGGGGCAATGTTTGGGGACTGTCATCCGTAGGCCTAATAAGCTGCTGGTTTGGTGTCACCGAGAGCTGGGTAGTATATTCGAAGACGTGGGCTACAGTCTCCTTGCCATTGACGTCCTTCTTGACGACACCGTCCTGGTAGATACCGACAGTAGCCAGAACGTCGAGTGTCTCCTTGTCGGCCTTGTCGATACCATCAAAGACCATACAGACAACAATCTTTTGCCAAGCGGGACCTCCCTTGTTCCAGAAGGTAGACTTCTTGAGGTTTACGATATCGCGGATGTTCTGCATAACACCGTGCAGAGTACGGGCCATAAGCATCTTGTCCTCGTTGTAGTAGGTGATGGCAATCAATAGCTCGGTATGTCTGTTATACATTCTGGGTCGCAGATCGTAACCGTTCTTGAGGGTGAAATCGTTGGGATCGCAAGTGGCTGCTGTGTATCGCATGTTTGTGAATTCGCCTGTTCCGCCCTCGACATCTCTGTACTTGGGCTGAACCGCATTCCGGATAGCACTGGGCACGGGGTAATCAATACTCAAAACTGAACCTTGCACGAGCTTGACCTTTCTGGTCTGGTTACGCTTCAGGCCACCTCCAGTAACTCCGCCGGGTTGCTGACGACGAACCCAGGCCTCGTCACCGTCGACGGTCGAGGCAGGTCGGCCGTAGCCAAAGCCACCATCTCCAACCTCGGCGCCGACAGGGAAGCCGGCATCATGTCCCGCGTAGCCTTGGGTGTATTGTGGAGGGACGGGTGTTGTGGAAGCACCAGGGGCATATGATTCAGTAAGACTGTAGGCAGAAACAGGTCGAACAGGAGGTGTGCCAGCGCCTAGACGATCTTGGTCATATTGATAGCCAGCCTGTCCGAGGAGAGACCGCTGCGTCTCGTCTTCATCTTGATCGTGAGGAGGAAGGTGGTACTGATTTCATCATACAAGTTAGATTGTTGTTGGAAGGAATGCTTTCGCACGTGAGCTACTTACGGTGCTCCCAGCGGGCATGTCTTGGAGCTGGTGCCCACTACCACCGTACTCGTTATGGCCGCCGTTGTACGCCATGTTTACGGTACGGCACGATGCGCCGGTTCTGGAAAGCAAGAAACGATTGACTGGCTGCTGGACTCAGTCTCTAGCGATAAGCTTTGGGAGCAGTTTGGTTCGCGGGAGGATAATGATTGTGGTCGCGGTTGCAATTGTAGTTGCAGGCCTGGGGGTAAAAAAACAGGATCCAGGGGTTACTAACAATTGAGCTCGACCCCAGAAGGAACAAAGAAGTTTTGAGGGCCCGAAGAATGAATGGGTCCTGCTTTGAGGTATGTAGGTCTCGATGATGAAAGAAGGCAACAAACCCTCCAGATTCGATGGACAACACCCGAATCTTTCGATGCAAGGCAGAAGAAGCTGATGACTTGTAGGATACGGAGTAAAAGATGAAATATTCAAGCAGGTTGGAAAGAAGTGACGGGCTTTCTCGTATTTTTTTTCGTCAGGGTGCACTGCGGGATCAGCGAACTGGAGCAGGGCCCCCGGATCCAAATTGTCTTGGTTTCTTCACTTGATCAAGCAACGCCTTGTTTGCGGGATAGGGGAGACCAACGCATGCTATGCTAATTGGGCTACACGATTGCTAATGCGCACCGCGAGCTTTTAGTGTGGCTTAGCAGCAAATGTCAAAACCGCAACGTATGTAGAACCGTGGTGTTAATGCTAATGCTGATGCTGCAGCTGCAGACGAATACCGCTGCGTCCGCTAGCCGGCAGTGCTTTTCTGAGGTCCGGTTCCAGGTTTTGCAGGACGTCTCATTCACTGCGTGGTTACAGTCTATACCAGACATTCCTATGACCTCTCCCCCCCAGATGTCTCGTAGAAAAACCCAGCCCATGGTGCGCTACGGATTATGCTTGGCTACTTGAGTATGTATCCTACGTCACAGCTCTCCTTTCATCCCAATCACCCACCCACTGACGCATGAATCGTCGGATATTATTTGACCGCCTGCTTGCAGCTCTGTTTGCTCGCTTTTTGCTTTCCTGAGCGGCCTCAACCCGTCTGTCTATATCTACTAACCGCATTGTGCCCGATTCCAATCTGTAGAAGCTAATCAGATCCTTCGGCTGATTTCATCTACAGCCACTGCACTAACCTAGCAACAAAGAGTGAAGCACACAATCTTGACCTGTCAAGCTAGTCAATGTTTATCATCAGCACTTCTCGCAAGCCTTCTTTCTGCTACATAGTAAAGACTGAGTGGTCAGTAAGACCATGACTGCTCCACACCACTCAAACTTGGTTTGAATTGGTTTAGACCAACTCGTCTGAAACAAGTCGCGAGTCTCTTTCACAACCTCCAAGAACAAGCTGCAAACGTCTACATGGTGATCGCCGCGACTTCCCAGCTCACCAAGTGTATTGTCGCCTCCAATTTGTCGCCTAGTCGCACACAGCGGCAACTCCAGCATCTATCATGGGGTATTACGAGATGCTACACCGATTGTCGTGCACTTTACTTTAACTCTACTTGACAGTTTTGGGCGACACGAGGCAACCCAAAAATAGCAGCATAAAGGGAGCGGTACCACAGTCTGTGGGGCAAATGCTCCAGTGTTCTCGAGGCGGTGCAGCTGCAGATGGAGCCAGCTCACGGTAACAATTTCGCTCAGGACCACGCACGCCGTATCGTATGCCTCAGCGCCTTTGCCGACAGTAGTACGGATCCCGTACCTGTCAGACCGTCAACGCCTCTACGGATCCGTAGCTTCCTCACGTCAGCTGCGTTACAAATGTTGTCGGCCAATGCCGTTAGCGTCAGAATGCTCGCTGCAGCGTGATGTAGAACATGAATTCTGGAGGCTGAGGCCCGGCTGCCCGGTTACTTCTATTAAAGTTAAGATATCAAATCCCTTCGGGTACGTTTTGCTTTCCCAAATCACAATTTTGCCAGATGCAGGTACGTGGTTGGCTCCTTCCTGAAATACTGGCCACATTATCAAGAGCTTAATGCAAGGCATTGCTTTGTTGATATTTCGTAGACGAAGCTATGTGTACGTGCTTTCTATTACATGCCAACGACTGTTGGCACAAGCTCCAAGCGCACCTCCAGCGGCATATATAGCGAGTAGGGAAATAAGGCGCTTTCGGCAGGACTACGATGGTAATACGCGATATGGAATTCAAAGGCAACTGTGCCGTTCCGCTGCCTCCAAAACTTGGGCCGATGTCTCCATATTCGAACGCATGGGAGCCATATGAATCTCAGTCAAGCAATGCCGGTAGTCCAACGACCGTTATTACGGGCCTTGTGGTCCTTATGTTTCCAGCGCTTGGCCCTGATATTTCCACGTGCGCTTACTGTTTGTTGGGCTGATTGCAGGAAGAGGACGACCCCATCACGTTTATTTGGTCGATGCTTACAGATAAATACTGCTCCAAGTCCCTGGTAATTTTAATTTCCTGGCTTCTGGTTCAATGGGGTAGTTGATTGACAGTTTCGGCATTGTTATCCTGGATGCTGAGGTTGGTACATAGCATAGCTCAAGTGAGCTTATCGGCAAACATCAGGCGATGATAGCAGCGCTGGCCACATTACAGCCATCGTCGCCTCACCACGATCATGCGTTGTGCTCGTAGACTGTTTGCGAATGACTCGTTGGGTTTGAGTAACTGGAGTCACAACAGCGAAGTTGGATGCTTTCAGCACGAGCTGCCCTTTTGGAACATATACCTTATAATCAATATTGACGGGCAGCCATCTGCCATTCTCAGTCGATGCCAGTACCCGGAAGACTAAAGGAGGGGTTCGTCCAAGATTTCTTAAATTAAAGTTGGCAGCGGTGCCAAGATGCAATGAGGACTGTTATGCGCAGTGTCGGATCTCATTATGTTACTGAAACCAACGGGTTCAGTAGATTGTTACCTACTTCCCTGCTCGCGATCAAGTAATGGCCCGAGATGGGCATCATGATCACCGGCTTTAACGTACTTGAATCATTATTTCAGAACAGAGAGACATGTTTTTCGATGTGGCCAGAACCTTTCCGACCGTCGATCACTGGGCAATCCCACGTTCCTTTGTCCAACGTTGGAGCTCAGCCGGCGCCAGGGTGGTAGAACAACAGAACACGCCATCGACGGTTTTCTATGGCCACACCAGACATCCAGCGTCTACAGCACAGCCTTTGGAGAGATCAACACCCGAGGGGATTTCTGGTTCGTCAGTTCTGATGCCCCTTCATAGATTCACAGGATGGAGTGCAGTGCAGTTCATGCGAGACGCAGAGGGAACGGAAGGAAAAGTGGAAGGCGACCAAGATCGCTCTAGCGTCCAGAGGCTGAACGAATAGAAAGGCAAAGTGGCCATCCTGGCCGTTTCGCTAAAGTACTGGGGACACCCGCAATTTTGCGTTTCTCGTCCCTTGCTCACTCCATTCCTCCCCGTCCATCCCAGTGTCTGGTTATGTCTGGTGTCCATAGCCCATAGCGCAGTGCAGTAAGCCCAGGCCTTCTCATTGTCGACTGGTTCGTCCTTTGATCGAGAGTCGACAGTGTCCTCCATTCTCCTTCTTCGATCGCATCTAGGCTGCATCACGACCCTCGCCGACGACTCGACAAATCTCCATTTTCGTCGCAACCGCCATAGCTACTTCATGTTCCTTATGACTTCGATGTCATAGATTGCACCTCAATCTATTCTGCTATTACTTTGAGCTAGTCTCTCTGCCACTCGTTTACTCATTTGATTCTATCGCAACTGACACCACGTCCACACTGCTTGTTCTGTCAATCACGACAACGCCTTATTATCGCCATTTCTTTCCCACTCCATCAAATATTCTATCAGTATACCCTCAATTTGAATATCCTCCCATCGTAAATTGGGCTCAATCAAAACGACCACAAGAATTACTGTCATATCACCCGCCAAAGGCGTTTGAATAGTTGGGATCGGCGACTGTCGATCTAGCCTGCATTGAATCTTCAACGATTGTCGATCACCACAGAAATCCTCCTAGGGGACATCGAACCTCTCAGTCGACGAATATTTATTAACATAGTTCGGTGATTACCTTTTGATTGCAAGATGTCGCGCAACGTTGGGCTCGCTGCTGGTAAGTTTTGCCGTTCCTCAGGTCATGGAGTATGGCACCTAACTCGGGATGACAGAGGGGTACTCATCCCTATTTGCACGCCAAAATGGATGCGTGCAATGTGAGACAGCACAGTTGTCATGTCCAACTTGTTCCGATGGCGAAAGCTGTCAATATACTTCACAGAGTTGCAGCAAATGCCCACAAGCGTACTGCGTCAAAGACTCAACTTCCTCGTCAGACAGCTCGACAGTTAGTAGTGGACCGAACGTGGGTGCGATTGTAGGAGGTGTAGTCGGTGGTCTGGCAGTCGTTGGTATTATCACCTACCTCGTTTGGAGGTTTTGCATCAAAAACAAGAGAGACGAATGGCAGGATGAGCCATGGGCTCAGGATGGTCCACGATCCAAGGAAGGTTCAGATATGGACTATGCCTCTAGAGCATCTCAGCGACAGTCCACTCACTCCGTGCACTCTCTGGCATCGACTGTGCTCACACGTGCTTCCAACATTATTCAGATCGCATACATTCCTGGCGTTACAAACCGAGCCACGCCTACGTCACCTACACTTCTCGTGCCTCCAGTCCCTCCGATTCCTTTGGCACGTTCCGATACTGGAAGCCCTTCCCCATATGAGGAGCAGCACTTCTTCGTCCCTGGCAACTTGAGAGACTCTTCTTACTCTGGCATTTCAGGTTACAGTGATCGCACCTCATACGCTCACACCTCGTATGCCCCTCGATCTAGCGTTGCTTCTACCATATACGGCAAGCATGCCGTGGTCTCTCCAATGCCGGCGCAAAAGGGCACTCTCCTCAAGCCTTCACTCGTCAGTGTCAAGTCCAAGGGCGCAAGCAGCGGAAGCTCAACTCCTCCTGTGCCCTCGGTTAACTACGAAAAGTACGAACAGCCGCCTGCATCTCCTGCATTTAGCATTGGTGCAACTTTTTTCAAGAACGCCAGTGCATCGACTGCCACTGCAGTTCGTCCACAAGTAGTCCGTCTGGGTAGCAGCAACGGCATTAAGACTGTTGATGTCAAGAAAACTTCGCCTACTGTGTCCATCACCGAGACAGACGCTGAGGCTAAGGCCACCAGAGACTCTGCTGCTCCAACGGCCACTCCTATTGATGACACACCCGTCGAGGCGAAGAGCCCCTTTTCTGATCCTCCTAAAAACAGAGCTTCGCAGCACCAACACTCGAATAGTTTGGGTGCAATGATCAGCGAGGCCACGGAACGCGCAGCTACCAGAAGTAGGACAAGCTCGAGTTCAGGATCCTCTAAGATACGTGAGAGCAGTCCTTTCGGAGATGAGCATGCTTTGAGGGATTAGGTGTCCATCAATTGCCACCCGTGTTGACTGCCATCGTCGTCAAACTGGACAACAAGCAGGAAACAAGGCCCGCCTGACCTTTACTTTTCTAGTATTTACTTATCTGATAGATTTATTGTTTACTGGGGGGCTATTGAGGCTCGACTTACAAGAAACCCCCCCTCATTGCACTGTGCTCCCGTCATCATCACGGGATTTTATATCTTATCGTTTTCGCACGGAGCTGGATTGGCATGGCGTCTTTGGCTATTGGGTGACGGACTGGGTTTCCACCTCATCGGACTTGACTGTGACGATGGAAAGGTCATGCTATGCGTGTTGACTAACACAGGTTTTATTCTACGTTACGCTACTTGGCGGAAAGCTTTTATGTACAGCCCTCTTAGGGATATCTATCTTCCGGTAGAAATGAAATTGAGAGATGCGTTGACGATGTCACAACAGAATAGTCTACTTGAAGTGCATTACCATACAATGGATTGGAACATACAGATGAGTCACGGTGTCGACTTCCATAAGAATTTAAGTTGCACTTTGTCCTGGATGTTAAGCTGTCCCTCAGCTTAGAGTGCTTTTGAGGCAGATTCTATATTTAACCAATCAATCTACTCGTGGTCACTTACTCCTTTGTCAGCGTTGCTTTTTTCGGATTTCGGGTACTGGCCACTCGTACGACAGCAAAAACGCAGCCACTGTTTAAAATCTATGCTGGAAAAGAAATGGCTTAAAGGTTTATGATTGCTTTCCAGGTGCCTTCCGACTCGACATTAGGGGAACACATAAGCCCAGGTCGCAGTCCAGCAATGCAGCATCCCTGTGGGACAAGGTACTCTACATGGAGGATCTCGATGCGAAGAGCTCCCACACGTGGTAGTGCTGCCGGGGACCAGAACTTACGAGTGGTTACACGACGGATGTTGCGCCAAGTCTTGTTCTTTTTTCTTCTTTTTTTTCTTTTCTTTTTTTATTCGCCCCTGCTCGGTCCAACTCGTTCTACATTTTCCCCGTCGGCAAATACCGTGTTGCACTGCGTTCGATATGACAAAGCACAGGAAGAACGGCAGCCAATTCGTACTTTTGAACCCAGTGTACACATTTGCATTTCTTGTGCTTCACATCTAACATCTGAGGCGTATGTTTGAATCCTTTTGTGGCAGTCACAATGTGATAGCTCACAGACCTTAGCTGAAGTGGCACATTGGGCATGTGGAGATTTTGGCACATGTGTAAGACGCTCAACCGTGCTGGTTGGGGCCACGAGGTTATTGGTTAAACCATGTAGATAGCATACGATGGAACGAAAAGGAAGTCCAAGTTTCTCGTGACATGGGTTTCTATTCTCGGATTCGAACTCCATTTGAGCTTACCACAGAGATCTCGTTGTCGGAAACAATGTGCAAGTAATTGGGCGTAGGCAGAACTCAATGCCCATTGAGTCAGTCCAGTATGGCAGTACTGAACCATATGATTTTTATCTATCTGGGTAATCATAAACACTAGGATCATCGAAAACAAGCAAGGTTGGCGCTGGAAATTTCAATCCTCATCGTAGGGGAAGCATGAATGCTCGTAAAGCCTCAGAAGTACTGATGATGACTGGATATGAAAAGAAAGAAATTTACACTATACTTGAGCTTGGAAACATGGATTTTGTGCATCATAAGCTTCCTCATGTACTGGACATTTTGTGGAGGTGTCTGGTCATATCGTCGCTCAAGGTGATCAAACGAGATTCTTCACAGATTTTGCACCCAATTTCTATGAAGTGATTATATTGGAACAGCCCGCCAGTTCAGCTGGTAGTATTTCTAGCTTGTTTATCTCTTGTCGGATGTGTTTCGCGGGCTGTGCGCGTCTGGGCTACTCCAGACCACATGTCCGGATCGAGCCGGGCTCCAACCTCTAAACTGGGTTTGGCCGGCACATCACCTTCTGGACAGTCTAGCAGATCATAACAAACAACATGAATGAGTGAAGTCCAAGTTGTATACATTGGTCCCTATGCTCCTGGTTTGTATCGCAATGGCTTCACCTCGCGGCCTCGATGCTCTCCGAAAGTTTACCAAATGTGACGTAAGTCAAAGTACCCACGAACGAACTTCAGACATGCTGAGTACAGTCTTGTCAGATTGGCCATGCCCTGATCAAGTTGAAAATCCATACGGCGGTTTCTTTGATGACATCAAGATGTACTCGCCTGGCGCTACGGGATGCGTGTTCGGCCCCGCCATCACTGTGCAAATGGTAGAGATGAGCGACATAGCCTCGCCGAAACTCGACAAGCATTTCGTGGACCACAACTAGAAGGGCCACGTCATGTACATACAGCAGCCGAAATGACTTCCATCTGCGTGCTGGAGCGGGCTAATGTCAACAAGGGCACAGTATCTCGGCGCTGAAGCGGTCATCGTTGATGGCAGAATGAGAGATGTGAACGAACATCGGGCGTTCGTATTCCCTGTACATCTCATAGACCCTATATGATACTTCAAACCTGTACTCACAGACTCGCACAGGTCTTTGCACGTGGCAACTCGGTTTTAAGGTCGAACTCATTCACACGCGCATCTCGTGTCAATGTGCCACTGCAGTTAAAAAATGATTTATGGATTAATCCAGGAGACCTGGTGATAGGGCATGAAGATGGAGTGGTGGTCACTTCACCACCATTGATCGAACAGGTAGTTGCGCTCTGCCAGAAGCGTGCAGAAATCGGCGAGAAAACGTTCGCAGGACTCAGAAATGGGGAAGCAATGGGCCCGCTCATCAAGTCGCTTCGTAAAGAAAAGTGACATCTGAAATCTTTTTGCAAGGCGGACGTTTCATTTTTCTGATTGTAATTTCCGAGAAGAGCTTCTGGGAGCATCAATAGCATTCAAGCAACTGTTTCAGCCAACCGTATGATTTAACCATGGGGCTCAGACAAGTAAATACATGTGCCGCCACATCAATCATGCTTTCAAACTCTTTGTGTCGTCGTCCCACTTACATGTCTCATAGCATCTTGTAGTGCCCCTTTGATTAATAACGTTTGATTTCTTAAAATGATGGTGTATTTTACTATTAGGTAGATAGCCAGTCTAAGCCACCAAATATGGAGCTGTATTTACTTCTTCGTCCGTAAGCCCAATACCCATATTTTGTTGGCAAGGAGGAAGAGAACCCATGATCATACTTTAACGTCTATGAGGCAAGGCTTGATGGAGTGCCGAATTACCATTACACGTCACTATGTTTAGATGGATGTTACTGTGTTAGAGGACTAGCTCTAATACATTCCCAGGGTCACGACTACTTGCCTGCTCTGTGGGTTAATGGAGCGAAGTAGTACCCAGTGAGTTCTGCAGATTGGCATCCATGTGTTCGCTCTGTAACAATTCCCAAGGAACAGGTGGCGTCAGTCCACCGCGTATCTAAGCGTGTGTTTTCCCTTATAATTTGTAATATTGACGAGTCGTTATGCTATGGATAACTGCAGCAGCAGATAGGACACCGCTTCGTGCATCTGAAAAAAGCTGCGTGATTCAACGAGGTTCGTCCCTGCTGATCTGTACAACTTACAAGTTAAAGTTCATTCTGATGAAAACTTGCATTTTTAATCAGACTCTGCACTAATTTCAAGTGTCTCTTGCCGTACGCATTATGTAGACTGGTTAGACCATGTGTGTTTCACCACAAAGACTTGTGACCAGTAATCAAGCCTAACTTCACTCCTTCCATCACACCAGGATAGGAAACCATTTGGAACAGCGAGTGACCAAAGACGTCTGGAAGATTCGAATCTGTCGTCCCTAAAGTAGACACCTCCTGCATTGTTCGCATTCTTGTAGAGGTCGGTATGTATAGGCGCATGTTGGACCGGCGCCTTTGGTTTCCAGTTATAAGCCACAAATGATTCGCATCCAACAGAAAGCGGTAATAATGCCAATTTGGAGTATGACGTATATGGCATAATGGCCGAAGCTGGAACAATGTGCTATATCGCGTCGTACTTTGTGCTGACAGATTTGTTGTTAAGCGCCTATTACTGATAAAACGGCAGTCGTGAACTTCTTGTGAAATCTGGAGGGGCAGGCATGTGCTCTAATCTGTAAGGGTACATAAATTGAGAAGACCCAGAGCTAAGCAAAGTACAAGTCCCGCATCAACTTATCACCGGAGAAGCTATATTTCTTGACTTTTGGAGGATGTGCTGCGAAAATAGTTAGTTATAATGACGGGGGGATTAACGAAAGGGGTCGATGAGTAAATGTTGCCAGATGATTTATGGCTGGAGTCCGCCAATAACGTCGTCGCTGTTCCTCTCACCACTACTGGAAGCCTTGTGAGCTAATACTGTTAGATATATTCATAACTGAGAGATGTGAAGTTAATCTACCATCACCGTTATTCAATTATTCGTCAATAATTTACTTGTAATGCTCCTTGGACTCCTGTCATGTGCTCGGGTGGTTGAGGTTAGCATTGTGATCATCGGCAATCTGAGCTTTAATAGACCTGGCTGAAGTTATATGGTCGCCGTTGAGATGAGAAAGTTGTTGCGAAGCTGTAAAGTAATCCATTACTATTATTCGAAGGTTGATTTGATGAGGTGAAAATGGGTGTGAACAGTCGCAGACGCATGGTCTTTATGGACATTGTGTCTTCAGAAGATGCGGTCATCTCATCCAGGCAGGCAATTCCTAAGTGAAGTCGATCTTCCCCTTGCTGGACGACGGACAGCGCAGCAGGCACAGAACAGAGTGCATCCTCGTTGCTAATTCAAGCATTAGAGTAACCTAGGGTATATTGCACCTTGAGGCAGGGCGTCAGCTCCCCACGGAAGAACTTTTTGCGACATATTACCTTGTGGTAGTGTACTTACACACATTACTCGACATAAGAGAGGTACGGTGTCGATGATGACACTGACCACACGCGTGCCTGGCATATTAAGACGAACCATTGGTAGTGACCGACGTCGAACATAAGAAAATCAACTTGTCCCGCCGTACTAATAACGAGAAATGCGTCTCAAGAACGGTGTTAGTGATTTAATCTTGGTACTAAGCCGTCCGATCTTCTCAAAGGAGCTTCTCGTAATTATTCGGTTGGAATCGAGGTTCAAAGCTGCTCATGCAAACACTTTATCCATGTGGAGACTCTGTTACACGGTAGTCTACATCGATTACTGCAAATACCTCATTTCTTATGACGCAATCAACGATTATATTGTTGTTTGTTGTGCTGAAGGTATGTAAAAGCATCAAGGTCGTGAGGTGGTCAATGAACTATCTACTATATAACTATGTCATTAGTTTAGTGAGAACCGATCGAATCAAAGCACAAGCAATCCCTAAAACCTCAGACATCAAATGTATTATTAATCCTCATTAGATAGTCAAGGAGAAAAGGAGAACCAAGGAATGACAAGAGGCAAGTCGGAACCTATGGCGGGCTCAACAAAAATGGAAATTTTTGAAATTCAAGGCTAGTAGAGAAACAATACCCGCTGTAATGAATGACCGCGCTGCGAATCATTACCAGTTATCGCAAGCCTGAGAAAGAGGATCCTAAACTCCGGACTCTGGAACCGAGGTTCCCATGGTGATTGAGCAGAGGAACGGCATTGTCCATTTTTCGTGAAGGAAAATCATGTAAGGAGGTATCACGAAAGTGATCCTGTATCAATCCATTAAATGCAGTTGTCGGATTAATTAGCCGTGATGGTAGGGCTGCGGGGATGTGGCTAACCTAGCAGGCCCCTAGCGCTAAGTATTCCCCGCCCCCTGGTGCTACCTGGCGCCAATTGCGGTTGCTGGTTGCACCGACAGACACCAATATCTTCACTCAATAGAGGGTCCTCACATGCTGAGTGTTGCTTACAGCATATCACAGGATCATTGTCGTGCAGTATCATACAAACTTGCTCGGCAAGATGTCTAACACACCGGCGGTAGAGCCGCAACCTCCTGCTTTCAATTACATTCTCGGTTTTCTTCTGGTCGGCATTGCCTGGGGTTTCACAACTCCGTTCATTCGCCGGGCCGCCAAAGACCACAACCCACCAGCTCACCCTACTCTTGATAGAGAGGACGTCAAGGCGAGCTGGCTGAAGAGCAAGGTCTATGGAGCATTCTTTGCCGTGCTGGATCTCCTCAAGAACCCACGGTATGCGATACCACTTCTGATTAATTTGACCGGGAGCGTGTGGTTCTTCCTATTGATCGGACAGGCCGGTATGTCACACTCACGGGACGGGACGGCTTCTGTCGCATCTGAATCTGACTGCCAAAATAGAGTTGAGCTTGACTGTACCGATTGTAAACACCCTCGCTTTTCTCTTTACGGTGCTAGGCGACTGGTGGGTCGAGAAGAAAGTAATTGATAGGAGTAAGATTTCCAGTCTTCTGACTACACTTCTCAAACATTGACCAAGCTTAGATACCTGGATTGGAATGATATTTTCGCTCGGCGGAATCGCCCTATGTGTACACAGCAAGTCAGGTTGATGTATATTTTGTGCGACGTTATCTCTTTCGCTCCTGGTTTATGGACTTGAGATAGGCTACTAGAGTTTTCGGGCTCAATACAAGACCTCGCAGCTTTTTCTCGAGAGACTTGATCGGTGTGTATTCAACAATCTGGTGTATCTTGGCGGAGCATATTGTTCAATCAATGCGCCGGTCTTGTATGAACGAATCGGACCATGTTTGTTGGACTGCTGTTTTGACTTGTAGACCCAGAACTCGTAATGGGCTAGAGCTGTTTCCGCCTCTCTCCTGAGACATTCTGTGGAGGAAATATCCAACTAGACATGATATCTAGCTTTAGTTTGCATTTCATAAACATAGCGACAGTATTCATTCATTGGAACTGCCGTCTCGACATACATCAACCAAACGGTATCCGCTCTGACTTGAGAGCTTTCAGATCTTTGCGTAGCTGAAGACCTCAATTCTAGACACTACATAATGGTTTACCTTGAGAAGATATATTCCACAGATTACCGGAAGAAGTCATTTGTGTCCTATATAAAGCCTTCAAGGAAAATTAGAACAAATTTGCGATCTAAAAGACAGTCCGGTATAGCACATATGCCCACGCAAGTCTCGGGTGATCATGCTAACCTTAACTCGGCCTACCTGTCATTAGATGTGGCTTCGTGCAGTTCCAAAAAAAGAAAAAGAAATAAGCAGTTTGATCCCAAAGATAATGAAGAAGGAGCTCGTATCCGACATTAGTTCCGTACTGTAGGTTCTGTATTTACATGTGCATCAATCAAAGGGCCGAGCTCTAACGATAGGACAACCACGATCATGCATTCATTCTTATTCTAAAAACCGCCCTGGCTACATGGCGAGTAAACAGTTAGCAAGTTCGATGACATTGCATCGCTCTTAGGATGCGCTGCGACTAAAGGTTAGGCACGAGATCAACATTGAATGATATCGGCTCGAGGATCTGGATCCCAACCCCAATGCTAGATAGACCTAACTTCGAAGAATCCCTGAAAAGATATATCTCGAAGAATCACGACCTGAGATTCTCAGGTCGAAATCCACAGATTAAACCTCCGCTACATAGCCCGTATGCTGTGTTCCCAAAGCTCGAATGCAAAAGCCGGCGTGTTGGCATCCTGCCCAGCTGGGAAATGTAACGGGAAAACCCTAAATTTGGATATATATGCACGCATGTGCTCTTAAACGTCAGATAATTGACTCGTTTGGAGTAACGAAAACTTACGACGGATAAGCCAGGCTTTTCTGTTATACGTAAACAGCTGACGACTTCGACAGCTGTATCACAGACGATGGTGTCTGGTGAGAGAGAGACACATTAATGAAATGTTCATAGTACAGTAGACCGTTGACAATTAAGCCAAGCCTGAAGCAAGCCGTCGTCGAACCCAAAACGGCGCCAGCGAGGTTCCGGGGGATCCACAGGATTGGCAGGATAGCCCCCTTAATTCAATTCTTGCATTGCGAATTCCGCATCCCGCCATGGATCGGCAGGTTGGTGCGCTTGGCGCGACTGTACCACCAATGGAATGGTGGCCGGTAGAAACAAGAAACATCGCTTATGAGCAGGGGGGCTCGCTGTACCGTCCGATGGACATTCCCTTTCAGTACAGCAATGCGACCTCGTATTTCCTAATCCAGGGGCCATTTATGGAGTAGGATGATTGTAACTTCGCCTGAAGGGTTACTGGAATGGAGATGTCAATAACAAGGTTATCGGGCGGGTCGTTATGACGGTAGGCTGTGCATCTATCCATACTTAAAGATTGTCCAGCATCTCTAACAGAGTTCTTGGTATCTACTCTGTATAAGAAAGCGCATCGAACGAAAATAGAGAGAGACAGAGAGACAGAGACAGAGAATCACCTACCAAAAATAAACGGTACATTATCTAATTATCAATAATCAATATGCGCACCGCCACTATTCTCGCTGCCATGGCTTCGGCCGTCTCAGCCGTCACCTTCCACGTACAAGCTGTAGAAGGTTACGATTGGGATGTTACGGCCTGGAGTGCCGGCTGCGAGAGATCCGGTTGCTACTATGACTTCAATGTCTCCGGACCGGCCGACGACCAGAACCCGCCCCGTCCAGCATTCCTGGCATACTGTTCTGGATTCGGTGAAGGTGCCGAGTACGACGAGTGCACTCTCTTGGACGAGGGAGATGTTGCCCGACGGGTAGTTGCGAAGCTCCTGCCAGCCATTAGGTTCAACAGCACCAACACTAGTACCATTGCACAGATCCAAGTTAGCTTCCAGTATACAGATCTCGAGGTTTCGTAAGTTATAATCATCTTCCCCATGGTTGCGAGGTTTGTGGAGGCTAACAAACTGCATCCATAGTACGACATGGTGGAACTTCACCGGCCACGGCAACTCCAGCTACAACCAGTTCGTAGCACCGCTCCAGAACTTCACAATCAAGCCCGACACGATTTCTGGCGTTGCGTGAGGTCGGCTATACGATCGCATGGCTGTGTGGTTCAGTCGGGGGACATGTTAAAAAAACAAATATTTAATTCTTAATGAAGCCCCACGCAAAGATCCCCCCCGGCTTGTTGCCGCGGGCTTGTGTTACAACAACGGGTAGGGGGACAGGGATAGGCCACGAGATGATGACTTGCAAAGAAATCCCATAGGAATTCTGTAAGACAGCATGGTCGCGTGCGTTGGGTGTTGGAGGCGCCAGCCCTTGCTGGCTACCTAAATACTTTCAGTGTCCATATTACTCCGCTTTAGGCATACAACAGATAGATGATGCTGGGCGAGAAGAGCCCAGGGGAGAGGTATCACGAGTGTGCTGACAGCACTGGGCGACGTCAATAGAGACTGTTGCGCCTAACACGAATTTGGCCCATTGCTGCCGCATTCCTTTCACTGCTTGAAGTTTGACCGCATTGCCTCGATGGTGAACTGTACGGAGCACAATGCGCTCCTCTGCTTGTACGGCACTCGCCATGAGGGGGTTCATAGGGGGACATGGACAAGAGGGTCCTTAGACTTTTCAAGCTCCAACCCCTCAAAAAACGGATTTGTCGGATGCCTCGCATTTTCGCATTGGATGTTCTAGTTCTTGTTTAAAGCCGAAGGGCCATTGTCGAATCAAATTCATGCCCAACTGCAGCGGCGCGAAATGGAAATGGAAACTAGGAAACGGGCCCAGAAAAGCAGAAAAGAGCTGCCTGATGGATCTTACGCAAGTGAGAGTGGCTTTGTACTTGCCTTGTCCAACCTCAGGTCAAGTTTTAGTGCAACCTGGAAACGATTACATCACCCCGCGCGCAGCCCCACCAACTTCCCGCCGTTCAGTTCACGTTGACCCTGGGGCTCAAGACTCGAGGCTTCTAGACTACAGGAAGTTAAGATCAGCCAGGGCGCAAAGCATTGCTCTCGAAAAATATACACGAATTCTGAACAATTGTTGCTTGGCCTGCCGAAGAAAACCCCAAACCAATACAAACCTACGTTTTCGCTTTGGCAGTTCGAAGACAGCTACCATCTTCCGTACTTCCTCAACGACAACAGACACCCACTACAACCCCGCGCCTTGGGTAAACCCCTCGTCAACGCATATTTGCATGAGAGATACTCGGCCGCACACCAAGTTGACACCATGAACGTGCTCAAGTTACAGAGGTAGGCGAGGCAAAAGCTAGTTGGCGCGAGGTTATGGCATGCTGTGGCATGGCGACTAACACCCATCGCTAGGAAGTTCCCTCAGTTCGAGCAAGGCGACATCTTCGGGCTTACTGATGCTTTCCGGAAGCTCGATGTCGACGACAAGGGATACATAGAAGAAGCAACTGCTATCAAGGCAACCCAGCAAAGCGAACGTCAGCCCTACGATGTTGTAAGACAGGCACTGAAGGAAGTTGAGCTTGACTCCTCGAGACGAGTCGAGCTCGAGGACTATGTCGGGGTGCGTCGCCGTCAGCCCTTGCTCAACACGCACTGAAGCCATTCCAGAACCTACATGCTAACTTCTAATGTCGCTGAAGCTCATCGCAAAACTCCGTCAATCGTCGCCGGCACAACAGCGCATGAACACAGGAGGCGCTGCCAAGGCCGCTGCTGCTCCAGCACCAGGTGTTGTATCGCAGAGAACCGGCGGCGGCGGTCATGCCTCCAAGGGCAGCGTGGGCAGGATCCACGTCCAAGGGTCTAATGCTAACACCACGCATACCATCAACGAGGACGAGCGAACCGAGTTTACCCGCCATATCAACGCCGTGCTGGCTGGCGATCCCGACATTGGCGCCCGTCTGCCATTCCCTACCGACACTTTCGAGATGTTCGACGAGTGTAAAGATGGTCTCGTTCTTGCCAAACTGATCAACGACAGTGTACCTGATACTATTGACGAGCGTGTTATGAACGTGCCTGGTAGAAAGATCAAGAAGTTGAACGCCTTCCACATGACGGAGAACAACAACATTGTTATTGAATCCGCCAAAGGTATTGGCTGCTCAGTTGTCAACATCGGCAGCGGTGATATCATCGAGGTCAGAGAGCACTTGATCCTGGGTTTGATCTGGCAGGTCATTCGGAGAGGTCTTCTGGGCAAGATCGATATCAAGCTTCACCCTGAGCTGTACAGATTGCTTGAAGAGGACGAGACGCTCGAGCAATTCCTTCGTCTACCTCCGGAGCAGATTCTCCTGAGATGGTTCAACTATCATCTCAAGGCTGCAAACTGGCCCCGCAGAGTACAGAACTTCTCGACTGACGTTAAGGATGGTGAGAACTATGCAGTACTGCTGGCTCAGATTGGCCACGAGTATGGTTGCAGCCGAGCTCCTCTCCAGACTCGGGATCTGCTTCAGAGGGCGGAAGAGGTTCTGCAAGACGCCGACAAGCTGAGCTGCCGAAAGTTCTTGTCTCCCTCATCTCTGGTTGCCGGTAACCCCAAGCTTAATCTTGCTTTCGTAGCCAACTTATTCAACACTCACCCCTGCCTCGACCCAATCACAGAAGAGGAGAAGCTCGAGGTTGAGGACTTCGATGCTGAAGGCGAGCGTGAGGCCAGAGTCTTCACCCTGTGGCTCAACAGCTTGGACGTCCAACCTGCTGTTGTGTCATTTTTCGATGATCTGCGCGACGGCACTATTCTTCTTCAGGCCTACGACAAAGTCATCAAGGGATCAGTGAACTGGCGGCATGCGAACAAGCGGCCTGCTCACGGTGGCGAGGTCATGAGGTTCAAGGCTGTGGAGAACACAAACTATGTCGTCGAGCTCGGCAAGCAGCACGGTTTCTCTCTGGTCGGCATTCAGGGCGCTGATATAACCGACGGTGTGAAACTCCTGACACTTGGACTCGTGTGGCAGCTCATGAGGAAGGACATCACATTGACTCTCTCGGCACTTGCACAACGTTTGGGCAAGCGTGAGATGTCTGATGCTGAAATGGTCAGATGGGCCAACGATCAAAGCAAGAAGGGTGGCCGGAATTCATCGGTCCGATCTTTCAAGGACCCTGCCATTGCCAGTGGTGTTTTCTTGTTGGATGTCCTCAACGGTATGAAGAGCAGCTACGTTGACTACGACTTGGTCACTCCTGGTCAGACCGACGACGATGCGTACATGAATGCCAAACTAGCCATTAGTATAGCAAGAAAGTTGGGCGCTACCATCTGGCTGGTGCCCGAGGATATCTGCCAAGTCCGCAGCAGACTTGTCACGACTTTCATCGGTAAGCCACGAATTTTCTCCGTCACTGGGCGATTTACATATGCTAACGTTTGTGATTAGGTTCTCTGATGGCCACCTCCGAGAAAATGCAGTGATTGAGTGCGAGGGAACCCGACTGCTGGCACAGCAAGTAAAAATGGTTTGTTAGGAAACTACGTGGTTTTCCAAGTTTGTGAGGTTCAGCCTGTTCAGCCGTCATAGTATTAAAAAATTACTCTTACCAAGCTATGCATGTTTCTACGGAAGCAGTCACAACAAGCCAAATGCCGTGAAATAGTGCAAGCTCATGCAATTAACAGGCTCCGTAATGCCAAGGGGTAGGTACAAATGCAGGTACATACCGCACCAGGCTTCACCCCACTTCATGAATAATGGTGCCCACTCCCCTGTACGGATCCGAACGAGGCGAAAGCTGGCGGGGAGCTATTGCGCAGCATTACATCAGTTCCTAGGAATCTGCTGACCTTGAATTCGGTTTCTTCGGCCACGGAAAAGCCTATTATCTCATCCTAAGACGAAAATGTGAGGCTTCATTTGTAATCCAACAAACTCAAAGGTCTCCTACACGTCGTTGACATCTCCTTGACGGACATTTCGTGCACCCGAAGCGATCACCGGGGGAAGCCGTCGTGGATCGTTCCGTGTTTGCAGGGCGCCAGACCACATGACCGTTTTTTGGGATATTGTATTAATATTGATCTCATTTGTCTCCGGAGAAAACATTTTCTATTCCCATTCTCTCAATCCAACCCGAGAGTTTGATCAAAACCGACCCCAGCTCTTTAGCGACTAGCCCATATCATGGCGGAAGCCTTGACTTCCCCCACTAACGGCATGACGGTAGGGTTGAGGACTCCGTCAGAAAGCCCAAGTGAAGTTGAGGACTATGACGAACAACATGTACACCAGATGCCGGTCAACGTAATGCTGCGTCGGCGACAGAAGTCGGCAATGTCTGTCACAAGCTCTGCAATTAGCACTCCCGAAATTCTCACTCTTCACAGCGCTGCCACGGAGTCAAAGGAGAACTCAGGTTCTGATGAAGCGATTCACCGGGATAAGGCTAAGAGTGGTGGTATAGGAAGAAAGACCTATGTGGTTGCGTCGGACGACACCGAGCTACGAAATATCTTGCGGAGAGGTCTCGAGAGAGTATGTCTTCCAAGCCTGCTTCTGACTCATTCACCTGACTGAAATTCCCCTCAGGAAAAAGCAAAAGCTCATCCTGTACGGCGGGAGAAGCTTAGAGATATGGTATTCTCCAGGCAATTCTCGGCATTCGACAGGCAAAACCAAGCTGCTGCGAACAGTCCCTTTCAAGGGTTTTATGTTCTGTTTTGGATCGCTGTCGCTTTCCTCATCATCAAGATGGGTGCCGATAACTGGAGAAAGACTGGAAATGTGCTCGGCACAAATGAGATAATGAAGTACATGTTTCGTAGAGATGGTAAGCCTGATAACGATTCATTCCCTACTTGCGACTAACATTATCACTAGTATTGGTTCTTGCGATTTCTGATGGCGTTATGTGTAGTATGACCGGCTTTGGATGGCTACTCCAGCAACTGGTCTTGAGAGGCTTGATAAACTGGAACAGAACGGGATGGATCATTCAGAATGTGAGTTTGTCTGCTACAGGCGCTGAGGGACATTGTACTGATGATAGAACTGCAGATTTGGCAAACAGCATTCATTGGCGCCGTCGTCGGTCTGACGCTCATCAGAGATTGGCCCTGGACGCACACTGTTTTTTTCGTCATGCATGGTCTAGTAATGCTCATGAAGCAGCATTCTTACGCATTTTATAACGGACACCTATCAGTTGCATACAAAAAGAGGGAACTACTTGGCGAAAGACTCAAGCAGCTCGAGAATGTCGAGCCCGTCAACTCGCCTTCTCAGACAGTCCCACCGCCGAGCGCACTCTCAACATCCCATTTATCTCATCGACCTTCTGCCCACGAATATAGAGAACGACGCCTTTCTGTATCCAAGCCAAATGTAGCAGACGATATCGAGGACATCTCTCGTGCAATTGACTCCGACCAGCCACTTGATATGGAGCAGCTCCAATTATTTGAGCGGATGGTCAAGTGGGAAACCGATGCCTTGACAGATGAGCTGAGAGGAAAAGCTACTGAACCTGACCGAAGTTATCCAAACAATCTCACACTGTTTAATCACTATGAGTACATATGCCTTCCAACCCTGGTGTACGAGCTCGAGTATCCACGATCCGATTGCGTCAATTGGCCTTATGTTGTTGAGAAGCTGTGCGCCGTTTTCGGGGTCATCTTCGTCATGATCATGATCTCTCAAGCATATATCTACCCAGTCGTTATTCAGGCCATAATGATGAAAGAAGAAGGATGGACGTTGATTGAGAGATTTCGAGAGTTTCCTTGGATGCTCAGCGATTTGGTGTTTCCTTTCATGATGGAATATCTCGTACGTATCCCTTCCGCTATTTGTTGACTTCTGGAACGAGTCCTGTCCGCTAACATTAGTGCTAAGCTTGTATGGTACTTGATCTGGGAAGCCGTTCTGAATACCCTGGCGGAGCTCACATACTTTGCTGATCGCAGTTTCTATGATGCATGGTGGAACAGCGGTATTTACCGACCCGAACTACTTGTGTGCGAATGTCACTAACTTTTCACAACAGTGTCATGGGATCAATATGCACGCGACTGGAACCGACCAGTCCACAACTTCTTACTCCGGCATGTGTATCATTCCTCCATCTCTTCTATGCGCGTCAACAAACATACGGCGACATTGATCACGTTCTTCTTGTCCGCTTGCGTACACGAGTTGGTCATGTGGTCGATCTTCAAGAAACTCAGAGGATATCTTCTGATTTTGCAAATGTCTCAGCTGCCACTGGTACAACTAAGCCGCACTAAAATGATGCGCAACCAGAAAACACTTGGCAACATGATCTTCTGGATCGGTATCTTCACTGGACCCAGCTTACTTTGTAGTTTGTATCTCATTCTATAGATCGGTCATATATATTACTCCACTCCGAATGTATAGGATCAAGACTTCGCCGAAGTGTGATTCAGGATAGAGTTCACAGTATCGACCACGCTCCTCTCCAATGGAAAATAGTTCAACTTGAGCACTTCCTTCGACTTGGTATTATTGAAGCGGTATACGTCATCCGGGAAATCATCTACTGTATCCACGGGCGGCAAGAGATCTTCAAGTTGTGGGAAGTTCTGTCGGATGATATCCGCAATCCGCTTGTTGCTGAAATGGCCACTGACGACGTAGAACCTGTGTCCACCGGCCTCACGGAGTGACATAGCCCGGAGATGGGACAAGGCGACATCGCGCACGTCTACCCATGTGAAGACCGGCGCCGTGGGCTCGATTTTGTCCTTCATGCGTCCCAGCACCATGTCCCGAATTCTGTGATTCGATGTATTCATGGCCTCTAGATCCGGCAGCCGGCGCTGGATTGGACCGAAATTATACGTACTGTTGATGACCGCTAGGTCAAAATTCGGGTTCTCTTTCTCCACGAATGCCCACGCCGCCTTTTCAGCGAACACCTTGCTGCATCGATACGTGTTGATCGGAATCATGGCATCCTCCCAGCTGACGGGCGCCCAGAATGTCTCGTCGTACACTTTAGCATGGTTTGGCGGGTTCAGCATGGCGGCCGAGGAAGATGTGAGAACTACGCGCCGGACACTTGGCGCATGTGCCTTGATGGATTCCAGGAGACCTGTCGTGCCTTTGATGGCTGGGTCCAGAAAGTCCTTCACTGGGTCGACTACGTTCATGTGGTATGGCGAGGCGGTATGGATCACGTAGTTGAAGGGCGTGGATTGGAGGGCCTAATATGAGTCAATATCCCTGCCCATCTCGCATGGCGCATGAAATCAGAAGACGACATTAATGAGAGCCTCTCACAGCATCGAAAGCGTTTGGCTTAGATATGTCTTCCACCACCGCATATGACACATGGTTCTTGTGCTTTGGTTCAACGCCCTCAATGATCTGAATGCCTTTGGCTTCAGACCGCGCTGTTGCGACCACGTCATACCTATTCTGGAGTCAGTGCTTGCCATTAGACAGGATATAGTGGTCGGTACCCTGCTTCTAGAATATAGTCCAGAATATGTGACGCTATAAAGCCGCTTCCGCCTGACTCGGGGTTCAGTACATGGGTTTTGGAGAACTTGTAACCAACGACTTACCTGTCAGGAGCACCTTGCCTTTGGGTTGCCCGCTGTTGACTGTCATAGTTATGGATCTTCACGGTCAATTACTGGTCCAGATGAAAAAAAAAATTTGAAAAAATTCTCAGGTTGGCAATAAGAGAATCTGGAAAATTGGATTGATGGAAACATTTAAACACTCTGGTACATTCTGGGGTAAAACAACGGCACAAGATCGGCACGTCTTTAGAGTATAAAAGCGCCAAGGGCCAGCGCTCTGGGGGTCCGGGATGCCGGATACCCCACAAGAGACCCGGTAACACAATGCATCTCATCGTGGGATAACAACAACAAACAAATTAAAGTTGTCTGGGCGCGATACTACTTCAATAATAACATGGCCTATTGACAATTTGCTTGACCCTATTGATCCGTCAGTTTGTTTGGAGCTGAGAAGAACGAAACGATATCCGAGATATCCTTTACATGACCTTATTTGATCAAGTATAAGCCAAAGAACGAACCACGTCAACATGCTGACTCCACCGTACTCCGACTTGACCACACGACCAACCGGCAGCCTCCATGTTGCGATCGTAGGTGGTGGCATCACAGGTGTGACCCTGGCCCTCGGCCTAGAAGCCCGCGGCGTCTCGTATACTCTATACGAGCGCGCGCCCGAGCTCAAAGAGATTGGTGCCGGGGTCGGATTCTCGCCCAACGCCGAGGCAGCGCTGAAGGCGCTCGATCCGAAGATCCATGCGGCTTACAAGAGGGTTGCGATGCCGAACGGCGAAGATTATTTCCAGTGGGTTGACGGCTTCGAGAGTGACAAGGTCCTCTACAAGTTGTTCCTGGGCGAGCAGGGGTTTCAGGGGTGCCGGAGGAGTGATTTCATAGATGAGCTGAGCAGTATGATCCCGAGAGAGAAGGTCAAGTTCGGCAAGGCGGCCAAGACGATTGAAGAGTTGAGGGATGGAAGGGTGAGACTCGGGTTCCGAGACGGGACGGACGGGGTCGCAGACGTTGGTGAGTAAAGCCTGTCGAGTAGCCGAGTGGCCCATAGTTCATGCCCTCATCCTAAGCACATAGATGCATTTAAACTGACAGTGGAACAGTTATTGGATGTGATGGCATTCACTCGCGCATCCGTCAGATACTCCTGGGCGAAGACAACCCGGCTTCATATCCCGCATACTCGAACCAGTTCTGCTTCCGTGGTTTGATACCAATGGATGAAGCGCGGAAGACACTTAGCGAGCATAGGGCCTCAACGCGGTTCATGTACAACGGGCCCAACGCGCATTCTATCACATATCCGGTATCAAAGGACTTGCTGAATGTACTGTTGGTCATCTCAGACCCGAAGCCGTGGAACGGGCCCGATGGAAAGCACACATCTCGTGGCCGAAAACAAGAAGCCCTGGATGCGTTCAAGGACTGGCATCCCTCTGTCAAAAATATTGTCGACCTACTGCCAGAGGAGATGGAAAAGTGGGCTATCTTCGACATGATCGAGAACCCAGCACCGTTCTACTCGAAGGGAAGCGTGTGTATAGCCGGTGATGCGGCGCATGCTGCGGGTCCGCATCTCGGCGCAGGCGCCGGGTTTGGGATGGAGGATGCCCTGATCATCTGCGCTCTTCTCGAGGCGGCCGACAACACGCCCGCGTCGAAGGACGATAGGTCGAAGGTTGAGATGTGCCATGATCTGCTGCAAGTATACAACGATGCGAGATACGAGCGCACGCAGTGGCTTGTCAAGCGGACGCGGGAAGCCGTTGACCTGTTCCAGTGGAAAGACTCAAGTGTAGGAAACAATGTTGGGAAGTTCAGTGAGGAGATTACTTGGAGGTTCCACAAGATATGGGACTTTGCAGTCGAAGCTATGGCTGAGAAAGCTGTCTGGGATTTTCATGTTGGAGCCAGACAGGCGAGGAGGTCAGCGAGTTTGGGCTCGATTAAGTCTAATGACAAGATTTGAAAGGGAATTCCAGCGTAGAGTTTTCGAAGCGTTTCTGTTTAACTTTTTGGATGAATTTAGCAGGTTTGGGTGTCATGAGCCTATCAATGGGACGAGATATCGCAAATGTTGTCGTTGCCAGGGCTGATTGTGTTAGTGGCGTTCCTCGAAAGAGACTAATCCGCACTTTCGGATTGATTCAAAGGTAACAGTTCGGATTGCAAGTGAATCGACAAAACAAATTTGTACGCTAGCGTATTGTAGTCATGCTCGATTGTATACTCAATTATCATTGCTGTTGAGGTGATGTCGACGTGCCGGACAACACGTTCAAACTTCAGACATCAACCACTTTCAACATCCATTGCTGAACAGAAGTCCAGAACATATGCCAAATACAAAGCCAGCAACAATGACAGAAGCTCGTGAAGACTCTCCAAAAAACGATTCCAATTGGACGGCTCTATATTTGCTCCTTTTCCTCATCCCAATTGTCTTCGTCTGCGTTTGTGCCTACTCGAATTGGTGTGATCGCCGCACCAACGCCAGACTTGAGGAGCAAAGATTGCGGGTTCTACCAAATCATCCTGAGGCTTTTGCATCACCTCAACGACAAGTAAGACCTACACACCGTCGAGCGGCTAGCTTGCAGACACTTTTCGAGATTCCTAGAACTCCACGAACGTCTCACGTGGAGCGACTGCCATTTCCACCAGCTCACCCAAGTGGTCCGTCAAGGAATAATTAAATTTTGTTCTTTGCTCGTCATTTGTACAAACCAGCAGTTCTAATTATTCAAACCGAAAATCTTTACTGACCTCACGGCAAAAAGAAAGAAAAAAGATTTTCAATCACAAAAGTTCACTGAATCACACGCAATCAAAAGCTCAACTTGTTCATACCAGTCACCATGGATTTGGGTTCGGAGGAAGGAGACCTTCCGAAGAAGAAGCGTGTAAAGCTCGAGAAAACCGTTCCGACGCGTATCCAGCTCGGGCAAAGTGCTATAATGAGCAACGATGTACAGCCTTTCTTTTATCAACTATTTTTGAGCTTCGAGATGCTAACATTCCGAAGTCGATTCGCGATCCTTCTGATTTTCTCAGCCGACCTGCTCACATCCACCTTGGCTCAAGAGAGAGTGGCACAAGTTCGAAGACACCGAACCGACAGCAAGCTGCGGGGGAGCCTCGTTCTCTCCGGGTTGAAAATCGTGTTCGCAGGCTGAGACACCGGCTCAGGGTCCTATGGCATGACATGAAGCGTTACAACAGTCAGTTGATGGACCAGCGATCTGCTATGCTGGATGGGCTCCCACATCGATCTGAGGACATTGGCAAAGCAGCCGGGTTTATTGCAAAGGTCACTAATGAGACCGAAATCACTTCCGGAAAGCTTAAGGACCTTGGTGGCAAGGCGGACCAGCTTGAGTTTGCAGGAGATATTTTGAGCTGGGGCTGGAAGCCTGTTGGCCATGCTCATGGTCAGTAAATAGCTATCATGTCCTAAAGCATGACCGCATCAAGGATTTGGGGAGTAAACCGATATGTATGGGTGTACTCGCCACCAACAATCAAGAGCACAAGTGACATTTCCTGTCTTGATTTCATCGTGCCTAATAGAAATGTCCCAGCATAAGTACGCGCAAGTCTGGGAAGATGCGAACATGGCAGTAAAACGTCTCCGGGGATATTACCAGCCGAGTCAATGAAGCATCAGGGTGGATCGACGAGATGGAGGGGGCAGCAGATGCTGGCTGACAGAGTCTGCGGCCTGGTGAGGGATACTGCAGGGTTATTGCAGAAGTACACTGTCGAAAAACAGTCGGAAAGTGATTAGAGGTAGTGGTTCATCAGATAGAAATGTAGGGTTCGAAAGAGAAATGTACGGGCGGAGATTATCCACGAGAGGCTGGTTCATTGTTTTCATGTTATGCTATGCCAATGACCAACGCGAGACTCTATTGCTTGAGTTTGGGGTTATGGATATTAGTCTGGCACGCTTTCTCCCAATACATTACAGTAATTTTGTCAGTCGTAGTTAGCATTTCAGCCTTCCCATGGCACGGGAGCCGTCACAAGCGCTCAATGGATGTGTTGTAGATTTATACAGGTGTCATCTCTACATTTCCCACCGTCTCTTCTGATGGAAACTTTGGCGTTATCGCGAGGCTCGATAGAGCAATGCCAATCCTTTTTAGCTACCCAAAAACGCCTCGCTATGCAAGCAAATATCAAGCACAACCCCTTATTCGAGCGTGCTCACCCAACTCGGGCAATCACGCCATGCCAACCAAAAGGCCTCCAAGCATGCCGCCGGTCTGTGTTGCCATCTGCGCCGTCTCGATCTCCCTGCGAACTCTCCTGTGCAGAAGACGGAAGTTGTCCTCCAATTCCTTGCTGCCGCCGACAAACTCAGAGTAGAGATCTAACAGGTGCATCGCAACATCGACACAGACACTGACATATCTCGGGTCGACAATGTGCTTCTGTACCCAGTCCAAGACCGGCTGTACACTCTCCTCATCTCGGCCTTCCAAGGACTCGCGCAGAGCTGAACGATGTCGTAGGGCTACGAGAAGAGTCAGGACTGACAGTGGCGTGTAGTGCGGCGAGGATGTGTCAAGCACCCGATCAAGTGCTGAGACAAAGTGGCCGCGGCGCAGGTCCTTCTGCCAAGGCTTCTCCTTGGTCGACTTGTTGCGGCCGGCAGGGTTCCCAGCAATGACGACGTCGGCACCTTCGCCGATAAGGTCAAGCCGGTTGGCTTCGGCAACACGGCCCTTTCGCTTACGCTTCGCTTTATCGTGGGTATCAATCTTGCCTGCGAGGAGGGCTTGCATCTCCTTTTCTCTTTCCCTCTCACGTGCGGCTTCGGGGCCGGTCAGACGAGTTCTCAGGGACAACACGCCAGACTGCATGCCGACTGCCAAGTGTCGGTCGTCGCCGTTCGCGCCCGAGGTGATGACGTTGACCGAGAGAATGGGTGAAGGGTACTTGATACCGGCCACGACGTTCCATCCTGTCGTTTCAAAGACCTTGACGTGCCCGTCCAATCCACCGGATACAACGCGCTTTCCGCCGGAGGCGAGGGAGAGCGAGGTAACGGTCTTCTGATGGTTCGTGATCATGTGCAAAGGCTTGGCCGCCACCAAATCAAGGACAGATATCTGGGACTCTGCAGCGGCGAGGATGGTAGTTCCCGAGGGAAGAGGTAGGACGCTCTCGACAGGGTTGGCATGCTTGAACGTCATGACGGCCTTGCGTTGCACACGAGGATCCCAGAGCTTGACAGTCTGATCGTAGCTACCAGAGACCAGCATGTTGGACATGGTGCCTGGCATGAACGCACCGCAACGTACGTAATCATTATGGCCAACGAACGTCGAAGTGCTGTGATTGCTCGGAAGATCCCACAGTCTTACCGTCTTGTCGTCGCTGGCAGACATGAGGGTGGTGAGGTCGACGGGCGAGAACTGGGTCTTCCATACCGGTTGCTTATGGCCGGACCATGTTTTGAGAATGGCACGCGACTTGACATCAAAGACCTGGATCTTACCGGTATCGTCACCGGCTACCAGGATCTTTCCATCTCGTCGCACATCACCGCTGCGCGCAATGTCGGAAAAACGAGTGATTGTCTTGACGAGCTTTCGGGTTCGTATCGAGTACAGCTGCACTCTCGTTCCGGTGGTGACAGCAAAAAGGTCGCTGCTGGACGAGGCAACGGTGTTGGCATTGACGGCGGGGAAGGTGATGTGGGTGATGGGATACTGCGTCGGCGAGGGTATCCGGAGCTGGTTCTTGAAAGTCTTCCAATAGCGATGCTCGGCAGTAATTGGCGAAGGGCCTTGCGGCAGCTTCAACTGCTGAAGCGGTGCTACTTCTGCGGCCATGGTGAATGGTTTGCGACGGGCGTGATGCAAGCCGTCTCGTGAGGGTGGGATGGGCTTCGCTTCGCTTCCCTTCAGAGCAACTTGGACGTAAGACTCCAGCGGGCAGTCGAAATTTCCTGGCAACTTTTTTTCGAGAGCAGTCGGTCCATTGAATATTTTCTGCCGAATCTAACCCGCCTTGGCCAAGCGTGGGAAGCTAACACTGTGCTGTCCAGAGGGCGATAAGCATACTGATAAGCGGCCCCTGCAGTGGCGCATGGATTGAATACCCCGGATGAGCCATGAATGACCCCATACCGAGAACGTCTGGTGCCGAGGCACAGTACCGCTGACGGGCAGTACTTTCGAAAAGGTCACCATGGAACCTGGTCTCCCTGCTGTTCTGTTTGTTTGCCGTTTGCTGTTCGCATAGACTATTCACACAAGATACCACCACAAGTCACACAACATGTCACTGCTACAAGGATTCTCTCATTTCAAGCACTTCAATGTCTCATCCCCCGCCGAGTTCGTGGCTCACGTTGAGATCAACCGGCCACAGAAACTCAACGCCTTCTTCGAGGACATGTGGATAGAGGTCGGCAAGATATTCGATCAACTGTCCTACGACCCCAATGTCCGAGCCATCGTTTTGTCGGGGGCCGGCGAGCGCGCCTTTACTGCTGGACTCGACGTGCAGGCGGCTAGCGAGAGCGGGCTCACAAGTAACTCTGCAGTAGATGGCGCAAGGAGAGCAACCGTCCAGAGGAGACATATCCTCGAGTTTCAAGAGTGGATAACCAAGATCGAGAAATGCGAAAAACGTAAGTCTTGATCCTTGGTCGTTCGCCTGCCCTCAATGCTCACCAAGGTGCAGCCACAATCGCAGTCCTGCATGGAATCTCCTTCGGGCTTGCAATCGACATGGCGTCGTGCTGCGACATTAGAATATGTTCAAAGGACACAAAGCTGTCCGTAAAAGAAGTCGATATTGGTCTGGCTGCTGACATCGGCACACTGAGCAGGTTGCCCAAACTCGTTGGCAGCCTATCTTGGGTCAAAGAGCTCGCCTTGTCTGCTAGAATCTTTGGTGCTGAGGAAGCTCTTGCTTTTGGGTTGGTGAGCCAGGTGCACGAAAACAAGGCCAAGTCTGTCGAAGCAGCGTTCAAACTAGCATCTCTTATTGCGAGCAAGAGCCCAGTTGCTGTCCAAGGAACAAAGGAATTGGTCAACCACGCCAGAGACAACACCGTTGCTGACAGTAAGCTTTCCTTCCACTACATTTCTAGCATGCCCTACTAACCGAGAGAAAGGCCTAAGATATACAGCCGTGTGGAATTCTGCCATGCTTCAGTCAGATGATGTGAAGTCAGCACTGTTGTCGGGGCTCAAGAAGACGAAGCCGAGATTCGAGAAGTTGTAGTGAGAAGGGTGCCACAAAGTGAAGATTCTTCCAAGCACCAGGCGAAATAGCGAAATAGATTTAAAGATGCGCAAATTCAGTGGCCTCATACCATTGCAAGACGAGGTCGAATTCAAAGCGATCCGAAACTGCCTTATGTATAATCACCCTTGGCCAGTCCATGCCAAACCCAAATGTTGTACGCCGAACACCATGCCATGAAATATCACTGACGTCGTAAAAATGGCCTCTGGGCTGTGTAAAGACAGCTCAGCGTCCCTTGCCATCCTTGACATCACGGTCAGAGTCCGAGTCTCTCTCGATCTCCTGAACTGTCTCCTTGAGTCGCTGCGAAAAGTAAGTGTGGTGCACGTAAACCATGTATGAAAGGACTCACGTCGTCAAGCTTGCGCTTGAGATCCTGGATCTTGTTCTCCTGGATGACAAGGTGAGTGTCATCAAGATCATGAAGGATGTACTCGTTGTTTTCGCTGTCAATATTCATGATGATGGACTTGATCGAGGGGTCACACTCGATCAGTACGCCTTTATGAGTTTTAATCATTTCAATCTACCGCTGTGCTGTTTCACAAGAGCAAGCTTACCTCTACGTGCCTTGGGCATTTTTTTCTTTTATGTCGGGTTGGACAGTGACCTGAGGTGCAGGTATGTGTTCGTCGAACTGCGCTCAAATCGTTGGCTGAAGAATTGTGGATGTGGCTGTTGTGGTTGTTTGTTTGATGACTACAGCAGGCAGGAATCAAGCCATGGTACTTCGTGCTCCTTGTAATGTGCAGAAAGAATCGCCGTTGAGAGTTATGCATCACTGTTTGTGCTGCAATCTTATGCATGGAACTCTAGCGCTGAAATCTCATGCATAATTGTGGGGGCTACACTAAAGACTGGGGCCACTGAACTTTCACAGGGGAGAGCTCACGCCACATGAAGGAGGTTGCGAGGTTGGATGCGAGGTTGGATGCCAGGATGCATAGTGCCGCAGCGAGCGTCCCCCGGGTCCTTCGGCATTTCAACACTAGACCAACCCTCTGATTGGAATGCCAAGATGACGAATACTATCTTCCACTTGGTGGCCACCTTCCTCGGGCGGCCGATTTGTTCTTTAAAACGATCCAGGTTCTTCTCTTGGGGGAATGTTGGCGTTGCCTCTCTATTATTCTAGATGTGAACACGGGGTGTTGTTTCGACCTCGTCATGATCTACCTTTAACTAGTAGTTGATGTCGACGTCATCAGAACCGCATTTTCTGATACCATCCAACAGTTTTCATCGTGACTTCTTCAAAGCCGAGCCTGGGGTACAGTAGGTCGACCTTATGTGTGCAACGAATATCAATCGTACTTTCTTCCAGCGAATTTACTGGATCTCCCGGAACAAGGCGTCGTAATTGTAAGTACGTGCGATTGGTCGCGTGAGATATCCTTTAGAAACTTGCCACATCCCCTACTCCGGGGCTACATTGACAACCGGGGTCGGCAACCTACGCGGTTTCCGTCAAAAAGCTCATCCCTTACACACCTAGTTCACATCTGATCATGTCTTAGTATCGATTACCTATTGTTCTCCTCTTCGAAACCTGGACTTTCGACTGCCGGCAGCAACATCACCCTAGGGAGCCGCCACAACCTCCTCCGTCAGCGTGTATCGTTCCAACTCACACGCACGGATCCTTTTCCGAACGCGGCATCATGTCTTACACAAACGGGCAAGGAGACCTCGGGTACAGCGACGATGGCGGCAACTCCAGCTCCAACTCAGAATGGCCTGATTCACCTTTCAAATGGGTTCTGGTCCCCATCTGCATACTCATTGTAGCGGCCTTCATCGTTACTTTCCTTCGATATAGGAAGCGGCACAAGCAGAGGAACTCTCGCGGTATGACTGCTTTGGAACGGGATTTGGAAGCGATGGGGCCGAATCGAGTCAGGCGCACGGGTAGTACAAGGTGGCAGTGGGTCAGTGACGGACAAAGAACTGGCAGAAGAGTTGGCTTGGGGGTTGGAAGCAGAGAGGAAGGGTTGAACGAACTTGGCGAAGCACCCCCGGCATACGCGCCGCCGCCAAAGAGCTCAGAAGATGTGGAGCTGCACGATATGCCCCCATCACCAGTGAGCTCTTATGGTCATGTCGTACTGCCATCTTCTACAGGATCACCGTTCGCCCACGAAGCTACTCCTCCCGCTTACGGGGAGGCACCACCGCAGCAACACGCACCCGGACGAACAAGCAATACAGCCGAGCCGCAACAACTGTCCGTACCCACGCCTGCGGTGCTGCCCTCGCACTAGGAGTCAATTGTGCAGATGTCAAATTTGACTTTCCACCCCTTTCCACCCGCTTTTACAACTGTTTCAGCCTTCACATCGCATTCTGGTGGCAGCATGTCTAATGAAACAGAGACCTATCCCAACAAAGTCGGATAGCTGGCTCCACCAAGACGCTCAGTGCCATGGTTATATCATGAGCGTTCATCTGCTGTTGCTTCAACAGGTACCCACCTGGTTGTTAAGTTCATACTTACTCTCCACAGTGACGCTTAAGTGTCCTCGAATATCTTTTGGCACATGACGTGCTAGCGCAAATATCAGTGTGATTGCGTTATGCCGAATGGACACCGGGAGATAGCCACGTGACGACACAAGTTCATGGTACCTTCTGAAAGCTGTTTGCTGGAGCACAACGAAGCCTGGAACACGAGTAGTGGCAACGTCAAAGCTATCTAGGTGCAAACAAATGCCTCTTGAGAATCGCAACCATAGTAGCAGAGGTATTCCTAATCGCCACACGGCTTCTATGAAGGAGCAGACTCATGACAGCCGATACCAGTCACGACGCTCGCCATAACCATCTACATCATAACGAAAGTTACACTTGCGGGGAGGATCCCGAGAGATGGTTGAAATGGCGTTGTTTTCACACTTGACTGACCTAAGTACAAATAAACGCGTCGCTTGGGTACATGTCATATATACCAGTTGAAGGCGTATGTATTAAAGATCGGTGTCCAAGATTAGCGAATGCTCCGGCAATGTCGAATTTCAATCGATACTACTTTACATGCTAAGCACTTGTTTTTATATTAGTATATAATGTAAACACTATATAAGTGGGACACCATGATAATCTAGCCTGGTTTGGAATAAGGTGGCTCTAAAACGTTGCATGCATTTTAGGGCACGAATAGCTCAAGATGCCTGAAGGATGTATTGCAAGATGAATTCGCAAAAGCCGTACAGAAGTAAGTTGGAGTAGCTCACGATACTACCCAGCCAGTTTTTCTCATCCAGATAACCTGGTGATGCACTTTGACACGGTGTCAATGAATATAATATGAAAGTTCACTAGCTAGGCTTAAGTCTATCATCTCACACGCACTGGAAACCCAACTCTCCTGTTCTCGGACCGCAATCTATGGGACTACAAATACCGCACTATTCTCTCCGAACACGTACAACTTCTTTTATTTGTTTCCAGGACCGTGAGTGATAACTATCCGCGACTCTATTATGACGTCTGCAACAATCAACAACTATTGAAACATGTCCCTATGATGATGACAATGTGTATGGACCCAGCCACCCAGAGTGTACATTCAACTTATCAAAGAAGTCCGTCGTGGAGTGTCACGTCACAGACCTGAAAGAATTATGTATCAGGGGATAATGGCGGCGTACATGTACTTAGCGCTTACCACGCGTTGTTAGCGTCGTCAAAGTCGATATCGATGATCGGAACTAGAGTATCGACGCCCCCGAATCGAGCAACTCGGCGTCCGCATGAGAGTCTGATGGTGCGACCTCTAGAACAGATCCACCACAAATGAAACTCCGAAGCGGCCAAGAACATGCTGGAAACGACGACAGTACCTCGAGTGAGAAGACCAGAAGCAACCGGATTCAGGCCATGCACAACCGGCGAGACCATTTTCAGCAGTCGCCGGTTGAGTCTGCAGACCTCGCAGGTCGGGTAGCTAAGGTGATCAGTTTTTACGTTGAGACTACGAGTGTGGAAGATCGCTACGGTTCGCGCGTCTATTCGTCCGCGAGGAAGACGTATTTCTCGAGAAAATAAGTGCAAACAAGTGAAATACCACAGACCTTTATAAATGTAGGGCGCCAGTACGAGTGGATATACCGAGTATCATTAGAGATCGCATGCAGTGAACTACCACTGTAAACACGAGTAACGATGGTGCAATATACAAATGGCCTATTTTAAATATATACATGAATAGAAGATGCAAGTCTTTGGGTCATGAATCTGCCTGCACCCCCTCTCTCGTGGCCAAGAATGCCCGATGATATCCCTAACCTATGCACCGCTGTTGATGTCCGCCACGTGATCTGTGACCAGACATTCCCAGTCTGAAGTGTTGGTGAAAATGGTGTTTCCATCGTCGCTGGTCTTGCCCCAGCTGAGTGTGACGCCGAGTTGCCAGAAGAGATCGGAAGCAATGCCATCGGTGGCAAGTGCGGTCTCTTGCCAAGGAGCCTCGATGGCGCAGTGGTTTGTGGGAGCGCCATCTGTCAAGTCGTTAGTTTGTAGTCCTCCTCGAAGCAGAGTTGCAGTGAAATTGCTGGAGTAAAGACGCGTTCATAAACTCACATTCTTCAAACAAACAAGGCTTGTTGGCGGCAGCACAGGCAGCACCATGAGTCTCGACCCAGGCGTTACCCCAGTCGTAGCTTGTACCCCAGGAGTTCGGGTACAGGTGGAAGGTGGCGAAATCCAGAGTCGTGATGTTCAGCAGAGCGACGAAGTCGGTGCCCTCGTTGTATGTATACGGATACGAACCATCACCAGGCAGACCGAAACCCTCGATACCCGTTGTGACCAAGTGGTTGGGGTCAAGACTCTTGATGTATTGGGAGGTGGTCTTGGCCCAATTGTAGATGACACTGGTGTCGCAGCCATTGCAACGGGGCTCGTTGCCGAGCTCCCAGGCGAGAATGGCGGGGGATTTGGTAAACCTAGAGACGACGGCCTTGATGTAGGCCTGGTACTGAGCCTGCGCTGCGGTGTTGGTGTACCACGAAGTCTTACTGCCTCCAAAGGCGTTGACGTACGCCGAGAGACCACCATAGTCATCCCACTGGTTGACAAATGGAATTATCAGCTTAATACCTCGGGCTTCGGCCGCAGAGACGATGTAGTCCAAACGCTGCAGACCGTCGGTGCCGGTGTTGATAGTCGAGCCGCTTGCAGACAGGTACTGGAAGTAGACAGTGCCTGATGCCGGGATAGAGTTGACATCGTTGAATCCCCAGATACGCAGAATCTTCAATCCAGAGTCGACCAGATCGTCCAGAGTGGAGTCTACATCATCGTTGCTGGTCAAAAAGGAGATCCAGTAGCTGTTAGTTCCTGGGTAGTATTTGGTGACACCATCGAGGTTGAAGAGAGTTCCGTCAACCTTGGGGATACCTGTGGCGGTAGACACAGCTGTCGACGTTTTGGAAGTGCTAGTGGCCTTTGTTGTGGTACTGCTCACTGCAGTGGTTGTTGAGCTGACGCGTGTTGTGGTGCTTGTTGACTTTGCAGTGGAGCTAGCTGTGGTCGCAGCAGTACCTGTTTTGTTTTATTTTCTCGTCAGGAACCGCCTTTCGAATGCTAGTATGTTGAACTTACCTGGAACACATTGTGAGTAGTAGTCGTTATACTTTGTGCAAACCGCTCCAGAGACACAAGTTGTCGCACCCGTCCAGGTCAGTCCGCCACACTGTCCGTAAAGTACTTGTTGGGCTGTAGCAGCCGTAGCTAGGGACAGAAGACCTGCAGAGTACTTCATCTTGTAGCGATCCCAATGCTATTCAGGAGTCCAGCTTGAACACTCTCTCAATTTTGACTATCGGGTCTGGGCCAGACGGTGTTATTTATATCCAAAGCCGTGGCGAGGGTGGTGCCATACCGTTTTTGAGCCGCATATGCCAGAGTAAGATTGCGGTGATGTTTGGAAGATGGCAGCATCAAAGTAACTATTCTTCAGGCGCGGAGTAACCTGGTCCTTGCACATATTACCGGCGTCGTCACTTAATTCCATCAATGGGCATTCTTCTCCTCCTTGTGCCTGGAATTGTGGACCGTATAGCCGGCTTGTGAACTTTCACCAATGCTTCTCCGCATCTTATTGCAGTCAGGTCTTCTAGAATCCAGACCCGAAAGCGGGAGAGCAGTCTCATCTAAGTAAGTACTAGTCTAGCATATTCTTTAATTGATGGGACTAGTTCAAGGAATGAGTGGTTATCAAATCTGGGGACAACATCCCATTGCAAATGTTCAGATGATCAAGATAAAACTCGCTTAACCTAGACCCCAGCAATTCGGCGGGAGTTCTCGTTCCACTCGGGCATATCGCCGTCTTGAAGCATTGGCTTGACGCCTTCTTCGATTGATGAATCCTAATTGTTCTGCCCTTTCGTCATGGGTATCCGGGGATTTCATTCGAAGAGCATCCTTCTTGCCCCGTGAATAATGAGACGTAATTACAAGGTCTGTTGCTTTGGATGACCGACCCCACTAAACATCCACGGATGATCGCCCGCTATGGGGTAACCAATCATGCCGGTGCCACAGCCTCCGAACCGCTTCTTTTGGGCAAGTCTGATGCCAAGGCTCGGCAGCCGGTTGGCCTCCGGAAAGACAAACGACAAGCCTCGAAGCATGTCGACTGCACGTGGTCTATGTTCGTCAAGACAATCCTCGCTTAAGCAGCTAGATATCGCATCAACCGGGTCGTAGCACTACGCCACCCGACAAGACAAGCTCTGGCAATGCGGCTGCTACCGCTTGTTGACGTTAGGATACTCCTTTCAGGGGCTGGGGTAGGCGAGACGGCTGAACCATTCCTGTGGGCTTGATCTTCAACGTTGTGGTGTTCGCTTCGAAGGTGGCATACCAGATTCGGCAAGGGGTGGTCTAGCCGATCATGTAAGCCGAGAACGTATTTCTGGAGTCTTGGCCACGATTGGGTATGCCTCGCGCTTGACTTTTCATACCAGTTCGACGGCTTTCACACCACGTTTTCACGGACATGAAGGCAAACCGTAACAGTTTGTGGGCCCAGACGAGTCGCGGTTATCCTTGTCCGGAATCTCAGCCAAAGGAAATAAATGCCTATCTGTGAGGACTTGGACTTCTACGTAACCGCTTCGCAAGTGCTGGTACTTTCTCGTGGGCGCATCGATCATACTGTCGGTTGGACTCAGGGGATCGAATGGACCGGCACCGGCGATGAGTCGTGTGGGCGCAAAAGTACGCAAGTAGGGAAGTCGGTCGTCGAAGCCAGTCCTGAGCAATGAGGTCGCGCAGGCCACAAACGAGGCCTGTTTTTCTCGCGAAGGGTTGGAATACTGCCGACCTTTTGACAAATGGTTTACAACAATTTTCCTTTACAACAGCCATACTGTGGCTATTTTGCTGTCCTTACTTCGGTGTAATGGTGCATTGACTTTTTTTTTTTAAAAAAAAAAGGAAAGAAAAAGGAAAAAAAAGAAAAGATTGAAATATAGCCTGTGAGTTACTTTCGGATCAGACTTATGTAAGAGTTCCATAATTTAAGTTAAAGATATTAATAAATAGTATAGGCTGATGCTGTAATGGGAGAAGTCACGTCTCACTTGCAAAAGGTCAGCAGCACATGTCGAGTGACATCTGAACATCGAATCAAATCGTTCTTGTCCACATAAGGCTGGTTGACTATCCGGGGCTACTATTAGTGAGTATGAGTGAGTTTATCAAGTTTAAAAAACGATTCGAAGTGCGTCATAGGGCAGCATAAGATGATACTGCACAATATATATACCTACCATCCGGGTCACAACCACACCCAACTAGTCTAGAGGATTGGCATGGATTTGAGACGAAGAGATAAATCCGAGAAATACATTGCCTGCGTCAGAATTCAAGCGGTTGACGAAGAAAAGTTGGTATCGGTGCTTTGCATGGAAACTCAGTCAAGGCACTGGAAATACGCCCAAACGGAGCTATTAAACATGCAGCCAACAACAAATGATTAGGCGATTGCTAGTTGCCCTGGAATAACAATCGATCCAGCTTTTCAAGGCAGCTTCTGGCTGATTCCAAGTAAGGCGTACTTCGTCTCCAACCCTTCGTTAATTGACCTCCCGGCGTCTTGCAGCTTGTTGATACTCTACTCTTCTTTTCCACAAGCACCACCGTACAAGCTATTCTCAACAACAGCTTCCAGTCGCCAACTTTCAAGCTGTTTCTACAGGATATTAAACATCATCAACGACCAGCAAGGCGGTCGTTGCTACTCCTTGGTCATCAAGGTTCATCCCTAATCGCCTACTTCTCTTCGTCTTCATAAGCACTCAAAGTAAGTAATTTCCAGACTCCGCTAAACCGCAATCACTTCCATCTCATCGCCATCCGTCGCGTCCATGATGGCTTCAAACCTATCCGACGCGTCACATGATCTCTATATGTACTTTTCAGTCTTTGTCAATATGCTTTTACTGTTTGCACCGTCTCTATTATCGTCCAAATTTTAGACCTTGGCAACTCCCAACCACATAAAACTGGGTAACCAGTCAATATTCCCAAGCATCAAAACCTGTCAGCAAGACTGTGTCTGCGTGGCCCAGCTATCTTCACTCCATCCCGAATCAAACTCTTGTATGTTGGTCATGTAACCACATGAGCTACGATCGATCTTTACGTCCAAATACTTAATTCGCCCCGCCATTACCCGGCGTCACCATCAATCTTCCCTCCTTACCAATTCTCTTTCTCCAGCAGATGACCACTATCCAAACAACCCCGCCTTTTTATTATTCTACATAGTTCTTCTTTTCACCCAAAACCTGGTATTCAGCAAGACTACCTGCTAATTTGTAATTTTATGGACAGCTGGCTCAAGATGTCCTGGGACAACAACGCCGGTGGTGATGACCAGTGGGGCGGTGCCGCTCCCGCTGGTGATTTCGATGATGCCAACTTTGGCGACCCCAACGGCTTCGATGATGGCGGTGCCAACACTAGCGATGGCGGTGACCATTCCCGTGGTGCTTGCTTCAACTGCGGCGAAGAAGGGTGAGCACTTTGGCTGCAACACCAATCGGTACGGTTTTGTACTAATTCGTACTATAGTCACAACAAGGTGGACTGTCTTAAGCCTCGAGTCATGCGATGCCGCCATTGCAAGGAGGAAGGTCACACCATCCGTACTTGCCCAGATCCCGATTGCCCCCCTCAGGAGGAGCGCGAGTTCACTGGCGAGTGCCACACCTGCGGCAAAGAAGGTCATCGTGCTGCCGATTGCCCCGACAAGCCGCCCATGGTCTGCAAGAACTGTGGAGAAGAGGGTAAAATATATCAACTTGGTTTGGTTTGGCGTACACTAATCTGCCTCAATACGCAGGTCATCAAGTGTCCGAGTGCCAGAGTGCCCGCATCATCGACCGCTCCCACGTTGCCGACGTCGACCCCGAGGTTGCTTGGCAGAAGATCGTAACTGGAGCCGAACAGGGTGACCTAGACGACGTGAAAGAGGCAACCCAAGAGTACTTGAAGAATAACCCTGGCATCACCTATGCTGAGCTTGAGGCGGGATTCCGCCAGCAGGACATCAACCTCTACGTCATCGCCGTCGAGAAGACTCAGCTCATCGGTGCTTTGACCAACATGGACTTGCAGGGCAATTTGGGCAAGAAGTATACCATCACCTACCGTTTCGACCCCAAGCCTGCTCGCGAGCGTGAGCGAAGCAGCTTTCCTAAGGATGCTGAGGACAACTTGGAGCGACTCAAAGATGCCGGCGAGCCGGTCAACAGTGGCAAGCTGAAGTGCAACAACTGCGAAGAGTACGGCCATACCGCTCGCTCTTGCCCCTCTGACAAAGTCGAGAAGGATCAGGTCGTTGTCAAGTGTTTCAACTGTGGCGAGGAAGGTCATCGTGTCCGTGATTGTAAGTTTCTGCTCTCTCAGTCCAGTCCACAATTGGGCATCCTCTAATTTCTCTCAGGTCCCACTCCTCGTGTCGACAAGTTCGCCTGCAAGAACTGCAACCAACCAGGCCACAAGGTCTCGGAGTGTGAGTTGTCCAATTTTTATTACTCGTAAAAAGGAATACCAGACCATTAACACATCCCCCATAGGTCCCGAGCCTCCCAACCCAGCCAACGTCGAGTGCCGCAAGTGCAATGAGAGTAAGTAATAAACTTACTTGCATACACTTTTGTTATACTGACAGCGTCTCCAGAGGGTCACTTTTCCCGTGACTGCCCTCAGGGCGGTGGCGGCGGGGGAGCTTGTCACAACTGCGGTGGGGAGGGTCACCGCGCCAAGGAATGTGCCGAGCCCAAGAGAACTATCTGTCGCAACTGCGATGAGGAGGGTCACGTCAGTCGTGAGTGTCCCAAGCCTCGGGACTACTCCAGAGTCAAGTGCTCCAACTGTGGTGAGATGGGCCACACCAAAGTTCGTTGCAAGCAGCCTGTTCCCGCTGAGGACGCAGACAACGCTGGTGGCGATACCGGCGCTGGCATTGGCGCACCTGACCCTACTTTCAGTGGCAATACGGGTGGTGACTTTGGCAGCAACAACTTTGGTAGTGGTGGCACCAACGACTTTGGTGCCGGAGACGACTTCGGCAGTGGTGGCAATGATTTTGGTGGTGGTAGTAACACTGCTTGGTAAAGCACGGCTTTGTTTGGAGGCGATGTTATATGCGAAGCCCATGAAGACATCTCATCTTGTATGAGATGAACACGGTGTCTGCATATATCTGCGAGTTGGCATGTTGAGATCAATTACTCGCATCTCATCAGTCCAATCTTTGATATGCAAGGTATACAGGTTACATATGTGCACCGCATAACATCACCTTCAGTAGACTTGATTCGGCCACTTTGCTAATTAGGTCGGTGAAGGTGAGGCAATGTTTAAATAGGTGATCAGCACCTTTACATACTGCAAATATGAATCGAACAAGTTTTGCCAACTCACTATCTCCAGGACTTCACTGGGTATTTGTGAGTTTATGTTGATTTGTTTCGAATATTTGTGATCACTCTTTGAATATTCATATCTAGTAGATGTGGATGATTATTGTAGTGCTAAGTTCCAGCTGTCAACACAACACGACTCGACGACGTTCAGGGCTACTCTTGCAATGCGAAGAGCAGTCTAAAATTTTGCACAAAGGTGTTATCTCACCTCAAGCACACCATGTCTAACACAAACGAAGTTTTATCTGATGTCATTCTCATAAATTACAGCAGCTTGCACATTTCTGTAGCGCAAATTTTCAGAGCAATTACGAACACTGACGAAGTTTCACATTCCTTGGGATGACGTGAACGTGAACGTCAATATGGACTACATCTCCCTTCACAGACACCGCCAGATATATGCTGGTTCTCCGTTTAGGCGTTGCCTTGACCAATGGGCCACGGCCATGTCGATACTGTGTCTTATTAAGCAGCGCGATATCGAGGAAGAGCAAGGTGGCTCACAGCGAGACTATTTTAACTTCACGGTTGAGTTGCTAGGATGATCCAGAGTCCGACCTATGGTAACGTTGCAGGTATAAAATTAGGCGCGAACTGGACTCATGAGTTCCAGATGCTGGGGGAAAATATGGTATGTAAGGTAGTTATGCGTGCTTATGCATTAAACGCAAACCATTGGATTAAATAGTATGTACAGACCTTTAATGCAGAACAGGCGGTTTGTAACTTGATTGTAGTTCAAAACAGCCGTGAGTTGAGTACCAGTTGATCTCGTCATTGGTTGCCAGCAAACAATAACAAGCTTCATAGCTCACATCCAAAGGTTTAAATGAAACCTGTACTTATCATTCAATGTTATGGAACGGATGGTCTGAGGAGACGGAAGGAAATCAAATTGTTGTACACGGCCAGGGGGTACTTGTGACAGGTACCTTGACACTAGGCTCTAATGAGTACGATGAGCAGCTGCGTTGATGGGCCCGTGATACGCGCGGTAAGACTAGCACTAGCACCTATCAGAGAGGCCCACGGCCCGCGTGTGGGGTATATCAGCCGGGGTGTGGAAGTGGAAGTGGAATGGCCAGGATTCCTTGCACCACACAAACTCAGCCAGGCCAGGCCATGGGGACGATCTTGCACCGCATCCTGTAGTTCCAGGGCTTTCTGCCGCGGAATTTCACTTCATCCCTAGTTTAGTCAAGCTGTACTCTTCTCCATCACAGATTCTGCACCTACTATTGAGCGGTCATCTATATTACTCGTCATCTTTGTATGATGTGTTGTTGGTTGGACTATGAGCTGAAGCCTAGTGACAACTCATTCAACCCCGCAATCCTACAACAAGCACCTGCACGGTGTATCATGAACCGCAGAACCTATCCATCATGTCCTCTGCACCAAAAGGGAAAGCATGGGCCTCCGACGAGGATTGGCAGAAGCATCGAGACATCATCACAAATCTCTGGTGGGTCGAGGATAAGCCTTTGAAGGATGTCCAGACTATTATGGCTGATGAATATGATTTTCATGCCTCGTAAGTACGATTCAACCTGCGCGACCACTTGAGACGACAAGCTCAACATGAGATAGTGACAAGATGTACAAAGGCCGCTTGAAGGGATGGGGTCTTTTGAAAAACCTGAAGTCCAAGGATGCCAATCAGATCATGGGCCTTGCCAAGTCTGGGGTAGCCACTGGCCCGCTGGTAATACGAGGCCGGCCCATGGGATCCAAGAAATGGCAGAAGCGCCTTAACAGGGTGGTGACTCCTGGCGAAAGCGCGAGCAGCCCTGTGCTGGTCAGGAAGAACAGCGCCGTATATCACCTGCCTCTACCGGAGCACTTGGCCGCGCCGGATACGTTGAGGCTGACAGAAACTGGGCTGCAAGCCATTCGCGACTTCACAGCTCTGAAATTCACGACGCAGGCGTGGGATCTCTCCGGTCTACCGTATGACTTTGACAACGACAAAACCGACGGTTGGTCAAACGGAACGGTGCTCGCAACGCAGAACCTAATCAAGGACCGCAACTCTGCAACCAACTTTTCCATTCTCAACAAGTGCTTTGAAGAGTATGCAGCGGTCGTGGACCAAGCAACGCCAGCACTGATACCTTGCACTCTGAACAACGTTATAAGGCTAATTCCGGTAGGCCCTGCCGTCGCCGACGAGCTTCTGGGCTATGCAGCACGCCTGATAACCATCAAGTATGGCGGAGATCATCCCCTGAGTCGTTTCATGGCGCAGATGCACATACTCGGCGCAGTTCAGGTACCCCTTGTGGCTCGCGCCATCTTGGGTGCTTACTTTGACATCATCGTTGAAAACAGTCACCCAGCGAATCGATGGCGAACTGCGATGTATCCCACGTATGCAAGAATCATGCAGCAATTCTGGGGTGCTCTTCCGGCGGACGCCGTAGCAAAGATCTACGATGATACTATTCGTAAGATTGAGGCGTCTCTGGCGCTGTTAGACATGGAGTCTGCGGATTCTTTGCTATACGATCAAACAAATAGGCACTTGTATGAAGTCAAAGGGTACTACGTCGTGTGGCTTGTGGATCAGAAGAGGTTTCCCGAGGCGGACCAAGTTGCTGAAGAGATGGGGACATGGCTCCGTGCAGGTGCGGCGATGGAATATAAAGAACAATGGGAGCAATACCTAAGAATTAAAGCCCTGATTCTCGTTGGGCTTGAGAGACCCGAAGAAGCAACACCATTTTTCGTCCAAGTATACGAATCCCGGCGCGATCGGCTAGGGCTTAAGAATCACCGGACTACCCGTTCGATCAGTGATCTTGAGGAACACTACAGGTCGCTGAACAACGTCGAAGCAGCCGAGAAGCTCCACACAGAATTTGAGGCATCGTACGAGGATGAAGCATGATCATAGGTACTCATGGGCATCCACCAAACTGGTATTCAATCGAAAATTACCTCTCTCTACCTGTATGGTTCCAAAGTCTTCATTCATTCGAGCTGAACCCTATCACTGCCAATATGAACGGTTCACGATATGCCAGAATATCGCTAAAACATTGTCTTGTCTGAGTCCCAACCCTGGTCCTCCTCAACCTCGGCAGGAATGCCCTTGTCAAATTCACGAATCTCACCGTCTCTGGCATTGCTCCTAGGATTGGCTGAAGCAAAGGGCACATCGTGCGGGTCCTTCTTGTCTGTGACAGGAGCGTTCCTGTTACGCTCAGCATCGCTTGTACGATTGTCTGAAGTTAAGCGAACTCGCTTCGCTTTGGACATGATAGGTGACTCTTCATCGCTGTCGTCGTCACCTAAGTCGATTAGGACATTGCCATCGGCGCGAAGACTCTCCTTGAATCGTTTTGCAGGGAGTGTTTGGGGGCCTTCTGCGAGTTGAAGATATCTCGCCCTGCGCATCGCGGGCGGCAATTTCTGTCATTTGTTTTAGTACTGAGATAATGCATTCTGGGGAGTTCTCACTCACCTTTGGCTTTAGGAGTGACTTGGAACGGGCAAGGAAAGTGCCGGACGATCTGGGACCCGGGGCCAGTCGAGGACGGAACAAGCTGATTTCGTTTGCACTCATTTTGTTAATGCTTGGCGAGGGAAGAGGTCGTGGAATGACGCGGTCCCGTATGAGACCCTCTGAAGATATGGTTAGCGCTACAGAGTATTACTAGCCAGGATGAGAGAAAGAGAGAGGGGGGAAAGGGGGGTCCCAGACCTATCGATCTGTATCGAAACTCAAAGACAACTAGAGGTAGACCACGCGGGTGCTTGAAGACATTGTTACGGCGAGGCGGCGGTCCGTACTCGATCTCCTGGCTCTCGACGACAGCCTTGTGGGTAATATTGCGACCCTTCAAGGCCTTCTCCGGTAGCGTGTCGATTGTTGCCTTCTCTACGCCCCTTCCCTGGTAGTTGTTGGTCTTGACCGTCGATTGCTGCATCTGGAAGACTAAGATGCGCAGTACACCGAAGTTTTCGGTCTCCATCGCAATCCTGTTAATCCAGCTCTCAGTATAGTCGCCACTACCATCAACTAACAAGTATTAGAAGTGCTCTAGTAAATACAGGAGATAACCCACCAGTCTTGAGCTTCCCAAACTTGAACCTTTGCTTGAAATAGCCAGTCCTGGGCCCACCGGTGTTGATTGAGTCGCATTTGACGTTCCACCGGGCGGCCGGCCTAGAGGGTTGCTGGTGTCTGATTCCACTCTCAAGACCGTCGACACGCCACTTGACTCCGAGGTGGTGACAGTCTGTGGCAAAATCGGCCTCGGCGACGAGACGCAAGGCGAAGTGCTTGCCAGAGGGAGCTGGGACGTACTTGATGAAATAGTGCTTGATGTCGCGCAGATCACAGGTTTCAGGGTCCTCGCCAAGGTCGGAGACGACCTTCTTCTTGAGGTAGTTGATGGGCTCGATGATGGGCGAGTCGAGCTTGTTCAGCGGGATGTCGTTCACCAGGACATCCGCAGAAATGCCCTCCAGACCTGGGAAGTTACCCATTCTGAGATGAATCTATCAGAACAGACAGCACTGCCACTTTTTTTTTTTTTGTTGCGAGGGAAGGGCTAATTATGGAAAGGAAAGCTGAAGCTAGTGCAAACCCTGTATTTGATGGGGTTTGGCGGGGGACGATGGGTGATGATGGGGTTTGGTGAGGCATGCTGGAAGAAAAGAAAGCTTGGGGTGGAAGGAGTACTGGATGAGTAAAATTAATTGTGTCTAAAAGAATCTGATTGTTCTTTTTCGACTGTTGGCAGTCGAAAATTAGGGCATCACACTCCATTACTGTGTGATGCAGACATAGTCGAATACCAGGTTGTATCTATCGCCGATTATAGGGTTTGGTATAAATATCGGTTTGGGGGTGATATAGTCGGCGAGTCCCTGAGGGCAAACAAAGCTATTCTTGTAATGGATGTCGAACAAAATTAGCACGTTAGGAAAGTGGTGTGCAAATAAAGCTCCTCTAGATTCCAAAGGATTTTGGTTAATTGATGTCACTATCAAGATTCAGAGAATCAGGGCATTGTGCAAACTTAGTCACTGGGATGTCACTATGCATATCTCTTGGTGAGCCCCTGTATTCACACGTGAAGTTCTACACAGGATAAAAGAACGCTATGCCTTTCAAAGACGAAACTGTCTCTGCTACATATACGGCAACAGCCTGTCTTGTTTGGTACAATGCTTTACTTACAAGTCGTTTGTCTGTGTGAGATCAGTCACGCAGCGTTCAGAAACCAGATCTCATGGAATTCTGCTGTTACTCGACAGTCTTAAGAAGATCTTTCATGTCGTCCAGCACCTTTTTCATATGGCAGTTTCTGGCCCTCTCACCCTCCAGTTCCTGCTTCACTGCCCTAAATTGATCAGTCTCCTCCTTGAGCTGTTTAGCGAGCTGCTCAAGGGAATCATCGAGCTCTTTGATTCGTGAATTGGTGCACTCCTCAAACTGATCGTGCTCCTTCTGAAACTCCTCCCTAAAGCCCTCCTTGGCCTTCTCTGTGACCATCTCCTTGAACTTCTCTTGGATCTCGGCATGGTCTTCTTTGAGCTTCTCCTTAAGCTGCAGGTAACACTCCCTGTGCTTCTTCTCCAGCTGGGCCCGGTCCTCCTTGAGCTTAGCGTGCGCCGCCTCGACGCCCCCGGCGTCTTTACGGAGTGACACAATCTCGTCATGGATCGCGTCGTGCTTTTGCAACAGGCTGGCATTGAACTCATGTAGCTTGGCAATGGCTTGCTCTTGGGCTACGAGAACTAGCTTGCGCTTTTCGTTGTCCTGTTTGAGACGGTCGAAGCCCTTCTGCAGCCTCTCCACGTCGTCTCGCAGGGTGGCGTTCTCCAGGCACAGGCCTTGATTGTGCATGTCCAGCTCCGTGACGCGCTTCTTGGTCAACTGGTAGGCTGCCTTGAGGGCCTTGTTCGCCCTGGCGTGCGGTTTATGAAGCCCACCAAGCGTCTTGGTGAGGGCCACAGCATCCGACTTCTGCAGCTTCAAGAGCCGGTCCGTCTCTGTCTGCAACTTATCTGCCAGTTTCTCGGCCGCTGGGTATGCTGCATGTGTGAGGTGTTCCTCAATATCCTTGGCAAGTCGCTACGGCTTTATCAGTGTCTTGTGATGCACACACACCACATCTCGTTCCTCCCAGTGAATACTCACCGTGACTGGGTCACTCTTCAGGTTGTGCTCATCCTCCGTGATGCGCGTCACGCACGCTTTGCATATCTCAGCTCGATAACTACCAAACCAGAAGCTCTCTTCCGGGCACCTCTTGCCGCAGGCATCACAATCTCTCGAATCAACGAATACGAACTCGGGCTATGATATATTGAGAAAGAAGAATATTTTGTCTAAGCTGACTCTGTGCAGGAATAAGAAGCTTACCTGGGCCAAGATCTCAGCCTGGCGCCGGACCTCCTTCACTAGGTCCGTCATGACATTCTGTACCTGGGCGTCTGGTTCCGTCTTGAGGCGAGCCTCCATTGCCTGATGCATCATGGCATCAGGAGCTTCTGCACCGAAGGCGTTCGACGGGAGGTTTATGAAAAGCCAGATCTTTGGATGAGCTCCATGGTGGGAGTTATCCGAGGGGCCGGCTCCCTCGCATGACGGACCACCGGGACTGAAGAAAAATGGGTTGGGCATGCCGGGCTCCATCATGAAGCTGTTGTTTGTCTGGGAGAAAGGATAGCTCACTTGTGTTGAACAATGATCGGGGTTCCAGGATGGATGCCACTGAAGCAACCAGCAAGCTTTGTGGAACAGGGCTGCTAGAGCTTGGGTGATCGATGGGCGGTCATTTCGATGTGTAGACTGGACTTCCTCGTTCACTGGTCCCAAACTACAGTCATGCTACAAAGCATAGTGTACAAGCCGACGAAGCAGGTGCTTACGGTCTACCTTTGACCTGAATTATGTAAAATATGATATCTTCTACAACTGTTACTGTTCTGAGTTCCTGAATCGCTCAACGCATTGTCAAGTAAGTTTGAACTATGCTTTGCAATCAGTATCGTTTTTCTTTGCATTTCAAGACTATTGCCACTAGTTCAAGAGTTTGTGATGGTACTTGCCGGTAACCAACCTCAAGCAGAGCTTATCGGTGAGCTATTGTCTATTGTGGACGTTTGTTTTGTATTGTATTGTATTGTATAAAAGCTAACTGCCTAGCATGTTATACGCCAAACACCGCCGCTTACTGCAGACCAGACGTCTTCCAGAGCTTCACTGCCGCGTCGCCACCCGCACTTGCGATATTGTCACCAGCTAGCCAAGCCACAGCATTCACACCGTCCTTGTGAGCATTCAGAGCCTTGACTCTGCTTCCTGGCTTGGCCAGACTCCACACAAACACATTGGTGTCCAGAGCACCACTGACAGCATGCGTACCAGCTTCGTTCCACGAAATGCTGGTGACCCTGGCGGTGTGCGCTGACCATCTGTCGGTTGCGACTGAGAGATCGACGGTTTTGTAGGCGAAAATTTTCCCGGCGGTATTGCCTGCTGCCAAGTGCGAACCGTCCCTCGAGAAGGCTACTGTTGAGATCTGGGCGGTGCTGTTCTTGGCCTCGGCAGCTTGAGTGAGGTTGTTCGACGAGTCCACTTTGTAAACTCGAACTGCGTTATTGCTGAGACCGACGGCAACCAGCGAGCCATGTGCAGAAATGGACGTAGCTTGAGCATCGGAAATATCAAGCTTGCTTGCTAATGAATCCTTGACGTAGACCTCGACGCCCGATGCAGTTGCAACGTATGTGCGGCCCTCTGACGACGCGACTCCCTTTGGTTGCCCAGACAGCGTCAGGGTTTCCCCAGCAAATGTGTTCGCTGACTCGTCAACAATCCGTAGAGTGTCATCCCATCCCACAGTGTATCCCTTTCCTGAACTTGATGCGATTTGGCTGACCTGGTTAGTGTGGCATTGGCCGTCAACTACCGTACCGAAGCCTGACGAGACATCCCAGTTCAGCACTCTGCCCTCGAAACTTCCTGTCAAGAGCTGGGTCCCCTTTCCACTCGAGTCCGCACTCATTGCTGTGATGCTCTTGTTGTGGCCCTGGACGACCTTGCCAGGCTCTGACTTGCCCTCGTACAGGTAGGTTAGATCGCCATTCAGGTTGAGACTGATAATCAGACCATCAGTGCGTCCGTGTGGCCATACCACACCAACTTGTTGATCTGGCACACTGACACCCTCACCCATCTTCCATGTCTGGACGACCTTTCCAGCCTCAACATCCCAAATCTTGACCGTCTGGTCTGCACTCGACGTGACGATCTTGGTGCTGTCCTTACTCCAGCTCACGGCGAAGATACTGCCTGTGTGCTCGCCCTCTCCAAAAGTCTTTATGGGCTCGCCCGTCTTGCCATCGTACAACTGAATCTTCTTATCCGCCCCTACCGTAACCAAGTGGTTGCCATCCGGCGAGAACTGTGTCCCGAACACAAAGCCCTTGTGTATGCCGCTGTGCTTGCTGTTGAACTTGAATGGCGCACCGTGCAAGAAGCACATGGCCATATCGTCACTGACTGTGGCGGCCCTCAGGGGGCGCATGCCCCTGATAGCCACAGCATTGATGACCTTACTGTGTCCCGAGACCTCTCCGACGCTGTTCCCCGAATCGGCCGTGATACAATGTCCGAAGCGCTCGCGGCCGTCACCAACAGCGATGATGCGCTGGCTGTCGCCGTCCCAGGCAATGTCGTTGATGCGGCCCGAGATGATGTGGTACTCGCCCTTGGTGTTGACGGCCTCGACGGCATCCCAGACGCGGACGGTACCGGAGGCGTCACCAGAGGCCACGTAGAAGCCCGAGGGTGAGAACTTGGCCACGGTTGTGCTGGTGGTGTGGCCGGTATATTGCTTGCATTCGGAGGGATTGTCGATAGAGCGGAGGAAGATGGATTTGCCAGACTAGGAGCAGTTGTTAGAAGCAAAGACAGGGCAGGGTCACCTCACGAGGTAATGGAGGTGCCGGGGCGTGACATGGGACTCTATTGACTTACAGCATATGCGATTCTCTCGCCTTTGGGGTCGGTGGAGAGCTGTGTAGGCTGGCCCCGCGAGGTTGCGGGGGTTGCCGCGAGGATCTTCTCGATTGTGATGGACATGCTCGAAGATTTGGAGACTTCTGGCGCTTCGTTCTGGTTTATTATTTTACTCTTTTTGCGAGTCCTGGGATCCCGAAGGGCTGTAAGAGAGGTCGTGAGATATGTGGGAGCCTGCTCGTATACCAAGCTGGGAAGTTGGTTACCTAGGGGTAACTGTTTACTTGGAGGGGCACCCTCCTGGCAGGCTGTGGAGCGGTGGGAGTACCTCGAGAATCAGAATCAGGGGGAAGATCGACTGCGGGGCATTACTTAATTGGAGCCTGATCTCATAGTGAAGCTCACCAACAACTTGCGACACCAGCGTTTTGGATCTTTTATAAATTCATGCAGATAGTAGGCAATAGTATCTTCTGACTCGGAGACTTTCCAAGGTTCGGCAGCCATGTGCTGCTGAATGCTCTTTTCCCACGCATCTGCCTTGAAGTCATGTAGCAGAGGTAGATTAAACGTCGGCCCAGAGAGGTTCAGGCATGCATAGGGAACTTCATCTGATGCGACTTTTGGAGGTTTATACACACGTACTTAATGAAAGCAGATCACACCCAACATACACAACCACTCAATTCAACAGCGTGGCCGGAAATCGAGAACAGAAAAACTCGGAGTTCACGGCTCGAATTATTCTACCAAGTAGCAAAAGCACACTGCAAACTAGAAATGCAAATCGGGTATCATCCTTTTTCAGAACGCCAAAACCTCCAGATCCATATTTCCATATGCCAATGTTAGTCCTCGTGAGGACCAACCAGAATCAAAAACATAGCTTCTCTCAGATTCATGATGCAATTACCAGCTTGACCGATGTAGACTCAGTCGAGCCAGAGAGGCGTGTATGTGTCCATTGCATCATCAAACGCAGCATCCTTGCTCAGGAAACAACCATCGTCACTGGTGAAAGCCTCTTGCCCGTTCTTGGCCACGCTTTCATCTTCCTTCGCATCCTGTTCGTGAAGCCGGCCGATCATGTATCGAAATGGGTACATATGAGAAGAGCACGGCGAAGGCTTGTGCTCCTAGTGACGTGGGTTTTTGGCCTCCTCGTCCACCACTTCCTCCTGCTCCTGCTCCTCCTCGCCCTTCTGCTTCTCCTTGCTCAGCCTGTCTGCGATCTTTCTCTTGGCGTACCAATTGGCGCGCCATTCACCGAACATTTCGGTCTTCTTCTTTGTAATGAGGCCATTGAGAAACTCATGACGTGGATCACCGTCGGGAAATGGCTGGTTGGCATACATATCATACCACATCTGCTCCTCTAATGGCATTTGGCGTACCTCCTCCTCGGGTGCCTCGGTGATATCCTTGGCGGGCAACATCCAGTTGATGATATCGCCGACATGTCCGAATCTCGAGTCCTTGGGTCGCTTCGGCGGCCAATTGACAGGCTCAAACTTCTCCATCTTCTCAACATCTGCGTGTAGCTGACTGCAATATCATTCAGTAAGGAACCGCTCCCGTGGTTCAACGCTAACGTACCCAAGATGACCTTGAATCAGGTAACCTTGCTTGTCAAGCTCCTCGGCGAGCTCAAGCTGGTGGTTGTCCATGAGAGAGGTGTTGGGAACAACGATAACTCTAGCATCAACAGTCAGAGCTTCCAGAATGGTACCAGCGCCTGCACAATAGGTAAGCTGTGGATCGGGTATGCCATGGAGCTGATAAATATCAAACTACATGCCTGCATGAGCCATGATGATGCCTCTACCACGCTTCTCACTGAAAAGTCCACCATTGGAAGGAGCGCACTTCAGCAAGTGGCTCTTCATATCATCAGTGTAGGCAAATCCACTGATATCAATCCAGTGGCTGTCGAATCCCTTCTGAGGGCGAAGGCGTTCAAAGAGCTCCAGGTCAGGGCCGCACTGAACAATGAGTCGGTTAAACTTGAGTTCAGCAAGAGTCTCCAGAAACTTGTCGGATACGACCTCCTCAACGAGATCCTTGAATGAGGCGATAGAACCAATAGTCACAAACATGGTTCGGTAAGGTTGGAGGTGAGCAGGCTCAGCAGCCGCGACAGCAGGGTCAGCCATGGTCCAATCGTCTTTTAGGTCGGAATCTTGGTAGGGATTCTTGACAACCTGAGACTTCCCAGGGTCAAAATTGACAGGAGCGTCACAATTAATGACAGCGTCAGAAAAGAATGACTTGTATCTTTGATAGTCCTTGTCGTCAGACCGAGCTGAGCTCACTGGTTCCTCAGCCTGATACAAGGAATTAGAATTGTGGTGGTGAAAATGTGAAAGCAGTTCAGAAAAAGACAACGAGATGTGACACCAATGTGACTTCCGACGATTCACCACAGAATCATGGGCGAGTGGTTAGCGTGATATGTATTCATGAACACCGATAAAAAGATACCTGATGGAAGCTTTGGTAGGGATGTACACAGTAACTATGTACTTACCATAGTGAGGGCCAGTGCTCACGATGGACAAACTGTGGCGCAGCTATTTCTCTGGCTGTCTGGGTTTGATGGATGAGTGGCGGTGCAACCCAAACTTGGAATGAAGGTGACGAAAAATGAAAGTTGGGGTGCTGGAAGTTCTGTGCAACTTTGCCAAGAAGCTCAATGATTGGCCCAACTGGCTCTCTAAGATCCACCTCCAATTGATTGGCTCAATCGTCAATTGGCTCTCTTGAGCTGCGATTCTGAGCCCGGACCCCGGGTTTTCTTGCAGCCGCCGAAATTTGTCCAAGCAGGGGGAAGCTCTGATACAGTTCAACTCGAGGTTAGCAGCAGCAAGAGAACCTCTGCATTTATGAGCCATTGATAGCCATGGTCGCCGCCGTACAGTCCCTGAGGCTGTGTGCGCGGGCCTGCAGCCGCGCCCCGGCTCCGCGGAGAATAGCACCGCAATTCGTGCATTCTACGAGAACTTTCTCTTCGACGCGAGCGAGGCGTGCTGACGAGCACGATGCGCCCACCAAGACCGAGGACCAGTCTGCCAAGGCCACAACCTCCAAGGCCCCCCAAAAGGTCGCCGGAAAGAGGTCTGACAAGGTGGTACTGGGCCTCCAGGAGGGTATGAACGAGGACGAGAAAGAGGCATTCCGGGCGTTGCTACAGTACGCGGACCACAAAAAGATAGGCTTGCCTGCCCGATGGACACAACGGAAATCCGATCAAGATCTTGAGGCTCAAGCAGAGCGCCTCGAGGAGCATATGGCTGGTGCCACGGTCCTGTCCGCGGAAGAGGACGAAGCGTTCAAGGATCTGGATCGTGCATTCAACAGCCTGGACGAGGTGGCCTCGGAAATCAACCAGAACCCGAAAATCAACAAGAGGTCGTTCTGGGGCGAGGATGAGGAGGATCCAGACTATCTTACTGAAGACATCGACGAGGACGACTTCAGCGATGAAGATATCATGAGTTTAGCTCATGGAAAGCTTGAGGAACACCGAGAGTTCAGGGAGTACGCTCGCATTGCAGCATGGCAGATGCCTCTGCTCAATAGTGAGTCTCTATTTGTTTTTCGAGCGTGTATGGGCAGTTTGCTGATGTGTCCGTGCCACAGAGCTTGCGCGCCCATTTGAGCCACCGACAAAAGAAGAATGCCTGCGATTCCGATACACAACGTACATGGGAGAGAACCACCCAGCTCAGAGCAAGGTCGTTGTTGAGTTCTCAACGAAAGATCTGCCGCTCAACGGAAAGCAAGCACAGAAGCTCTGGAAGCTGCTCGGCCCCAGGTGGAACCCGGAGACCAAGGTTGCCAAGATGAGCTGCGAGCAGTTCGATCATCAGGCACAGAACAAGCGATACTTGGCCGACCTCGTCAACAAGCTCATCGCAGAAGCAAAGGTAGGTTGCGTCGCTGTGTTGCCTATACGAAGTGGCCCGGACTGACATGATTTCCTCAGGATACCACTGATACATTCGAGGACGTACCCCTAGACACAAGGCACCACCAGAAGGTGGTCAAGCCCAAGTTCCCCAAGGAGTGGTACTTGACGGAAGCACGTGTGCAGCAGCTTGAGGACCAAAGACAGAACGCCTTGTTATTGGACCAGTCCAAGGAGGATGCAGGCTCGCTGGTTGACGGCGATGAAATAGTCGTAAGGCATTTTAAGCAACCAGAGATGGCTGCCATACCTGCGTTCAATCGTGCACCGAGTCTGTTTCCGGGTAAACCAGGCCCGAAACCGAGACGCATGGCATAGGATGGAGAAGTCAATTGGATGTATTATATTAGACCAGCGCATCGACGTTAAGAGGTCGATTATGTACAAATGTAAAATACTGTACTGTGGCATACTGATGATATCGTTGGACAGCTCCTGATTATGGCTGAGAGGAGTGGCTCGTATTGTGCATCGCGACAGCGGTTAGAACCGTCCTGACACGATTTACTGTAGCGTAGATGGCTGTGACCTGCAACAGTATATTTTCACGTTGTTCACTTATAAAAGTCAATCAAAACATTGCAAAACAAATGTTTCGGCATGAGAGAGGGTATATTATGGGGTATCGTTCATCATCATTATTATGGCCGCAAGCTGTAGCTGATGCTATGGTACAGTCGGAGAAGTTCATACGCTTCTCATGGCTTCCTCGCGAAACCCTGGGGGAATCATTTCGTAAAAGCAAAATTCCACATCTTATGCGCGCGATGCACAAATATTCCAAGCTCCCCGCAACAACTCATCCATGCGCTCTGGGTAAACAAAGAAAATCGATAGTGTGGTGGCGTAGCGCTTCATCTGTTGGTGTCATGGTCTGTGATGCAGGCTGTGCTCTATTGAGAACCCCACATCTTTGAGTGCCGAGCGCCCCGACAGAGCGCGAGCAAGCACTGGTAACCACGAGCGCCTTGGGACGACTGGCGACTTTTCAAGTGGTTGTTTGACACTGCTTCATCGCCAGGCCTTTATTGCTTAGGCGACACCGTTCGCTTAATACTTCAGAATGATGTACCTAAAAGGTGCATTAGTACTAGTCCATGGCAAGTCGGGTTGGTATTAGAGCCGTGAGGTAACGTACAGAGCGTGGATAATACCGGGGATGTAACCCAGGATGGTCAACAAGACGTTGATGCAGAAGTCAGCACCACAGCCGCGCTCCAAGAAGACACCGACGGGCGGGAGGATGACGGCAAGAATGATCTTGAAGATATCGGATCCGGTGAAAGCCATGTTGGCGGTTTTGTTTGTAATGAAGACTTTAGTGGTCTAGTTTAGTTGATCTGCAGAAAGCGAATTGCTGAGAGGTCGCAAGAAAGATATTTGTATCTTTCGTGGAGTGTGGGTTGTATGTTGTTTGGTTGTGTCAGAAAAAGGAAGCGAGAATTGGGAGGAATGCAAGTTAGTTAAATACGACCAACCTCCTGACTTAATGCTGCACAATGATGGATCGATTCTGAGTACTATGGTATGCAACAACGGTACAAGCGGTACTTTGGTGGAACCACGGGCACCTTAACAGGCTGAGATGCAAAGTAACAATGACGATTTACTGGCAAGTCCAAGGCCAACCCCGGCATTGGAGGGAACAAGCTCAGCCAGGGAACGTGGCTGCGTCATACATGCACATGCACGAGAGTAGTTGCAAAGGCAAGTCAAGTCAAGCGCCGCGGTCCGGACAGTGTATCAGCCCCAATTTCCAGGATTTTTCGCAGGTCGCTCACTTCGCTTGTGGAAAAGCGGCAACTCCATTTTCTCTGTCGCAAGTCAGGACTTGGGATTCAGAGCCAGACAAGCTTAACTCTCAAACCATCCATCCTTGCCTTATCACAGTAATCTCTGCCCTGGTTGCTAGACAGCCCTGTATCCTGTATCCTGTCACGACCCTGGCTTCAGGTACCAGGCTTGATACTTGCTTACTGTCAACTGAGAAAAGCCCTCTTCTACTTTTGCATGCTTGTGACATGTTGCATGGGTGAACGCGTTGCTCATACCAAGCATTGGCAGCACCTTCGCCCTTGCCCAATCATGCCGAGTTCCGGATAGACTGACAATAACCAGGTATGTACAGTCCTGCATCAAAGCTCTTCATAAAGCTTCGCCCAATGCGAGAACCAATTACGTCACAAGACTTCAAAAGTGGAGAAATCCGCCGTTCAAAAGCAAAAGTTGACGTCACTTTGTGTGGCGTTGTGGCTGTGAAAAATCGCAACAACTGTGGCGCTTCTCCCTACACTGCCGTGATTCGTCAACTTCAGCTGGATTAGTTTTGACCTTGAAGCTATGTTTCACTGTCTGCCAACGATCCAAAAGATTTTATCACAGGGCGATGAGGGCCTCGATTCTGTTCGACCTTTCTTGTTTCTATTTTGCCGTTGGACGGCCCCGCAGCATTCCATTTTGGGACGTCTGAGACCCCTAGACCTGCTGAGTGCCAAGACATCACGATTTCGTAATACGCTGTAGCGCATGACACGCCTTCACCCGTTGAGACTCAAGGCCTTGTTCTGCTTGTATAGCTGATTAGCATAGCCTTCTCACCATGTGTTTCTTAAGCCTGCATCTACTTATTCGCCGCTCTTGTGACAGCCACAACCAGTCCTGAGTTTCATTGTAGCTGTAAGGGCCCCCCTAGATATTCGAGCAACTATCAGGAGCTGCAAGTGGGAAATTGCACACTTCTCCAGCTCGTTCCATCAAAGGAGACGCTTTTCGTGAACCATTTTCATACCACTACACAACAAAAGTTTAAGTGTGATATACCAAGTTGAGTTCAGCTTTGGTGTATTTACATGAAGTTACTATTTGGATAAAATTTTCGATATTTCATTTATTTGTTATCGTATATTCGGGTTTGACCTTGAAGGCATCTATAGGTGCAGCAGGGTGCATTATCCCGCTTGCAGCTCTTGCTGTTGAAACCATTAGCAGGCAGTGGACTCAAACAGCCCTCGAAGGCCGCCTACGACACGCGGAAAGTTGTTCACAATTTGAGGCGACTCATTTGTCTGCCTCTAAGCCCCAGTGGCAACGCATCATTCCGCACCGATCTCACATTGCGACCTTTTACAAGAAGCTTAACTAGGCTTTGCCTATACTATCGACGCCGAGAAACTAGTAGTCTACGACACGGCCAATGGCACATTTCAGTGGTGTCTAGTGGGTCTGACTAGGCAGCCATTCACATTTTAGCAACAATTAGCTCCTTGTATCAGAGGATTCTGAAAGCTGCACTAGACAAGCCAGACCCATGGCAGGCAGAGCTGTAGATGGAGACAAAACTGAAGTTTCCTCTGTGTTGAATCTCGTATGGTATCGCTATAGCTTTAATAAACATTCCGACTCATGAAAGTTCTAGAACACTTAGGTTTCCCCGAAGGACAGTCTCATTCATTGTTGCCCTCACTGGTTCCCCTGGCCCCTGGACGTCTTAACCTCTTCCGTCATTTTGGTACACAATGGTTTCGATTACAATAGTATAATAGAGGACTATTTTATGATTCAAAGATTTTTGTTCTAGGTGAATGGGCTATGATGCTTTGGCTTCCAGTAGGGAGGCAACGAAATGCCCGTTGCCGTATGCCCATGAATTTCGTGATTCGTGATTGCGTCAGATTTCTGACAAACGAAGCCCAGAACTCCACGCTGATGACCGATTTCCGTAACTCCAATGATTCTCAAGCAAACGCCACGATGTCCGCATTTCCGGTGGCACTGATTCTAGGCTGATGTACTGCCTTTAGTCCCCCGAATGATGTCTTATGCTGTGGCTGCGTATTCGGCTAAACAGGCTTCTTTTGCGTGGTGACTCTCCATGCTCAAAATGGGAGTCTGCTAGACTTGCTGGAGATCCGTCCATGCGATCCATACTTTCGGTACCGTCTTTGGAAAGTCTTGCGGGATTTTCACCTGCGACAAGTGCATTGCTGTCCTCCAAGCCTATTGCGCTGTCCGATGCTTCAAGTGCCGCCTTCTCTTTAGGAGTAAGGTATTCCTGTTCCATTGCGGAGGCGATGAATCCGTGGCTGGTTGTACGCTTATACTTGTGGTATAGGAACGACCTGCGATGCCTGTGGGCAGCCTTCGCCACATCAACATCCTCGGCGGAAATGCATGCATCTGGTGATGTGTTTGCTTCCGGGTGCCTCCAATTCGTCGTTCTAGGCATTTCTGGAAAGCCCGTATCATAATCCCGACTAGAAGACCTACGGTGGCTGCTGAAAGTGCCACTCGACGAAGATGTCATTGTGTACAGAGAATCCAGATCCGTCGTTTCTGGTCTGTTGCTTCTGCTTCTGCGCTTAGCTAGCGAAATGGACCGAAAGAGAGCCATGTTAAGAGACGGTGAATTAAGGATGTGTAAGAAATAAGGCCTGACAGTTAAGCTTCCTGGCTTACTGGGCAGTGCTCTGGAACTTTCCGATGGCGCTAAGTATGCGTATATGAGAAGGATAGCGGATGTAGTGAATGCAAAGAAATTGTAGGGAGTTGACTATAGGACAATTGCTGAAATGATACGGAACAACACAAGACAAGCGACGACGAGGTCTGATGTTTGAACTGGTGCGACAATAGATGAAGCAAGATTCGCAACGGACTTTGCTGGGCAGAATATGGGCTCCCTCCACTAGGAGTATCCTAGTGGTTTACGCCGAGATTGCTTTATATCTCCGGCGGGCCCTAGCGACATTGCTTTAATCGGAACTCAATCAATGAATAATATGAGTTCCGAGCGATGTTTTCGTGCGTTGATAGCTCGTCTTTGTGGAAGCGGGCACTGCGCCCCCGGCTGACGAATGAAGATGATAGGCAACTACTGAAGGAGAGGCCTGCTCACCTGAACTTCTATGCAGCGCCAAAGCCTGGGGCTTGGATTCAGAATGTTCTGTAAGGGTCCACTAGGGTCTTCCAAGTCGCTTGGCGGCCAACCGCGCGCCAGAAAAGACGAAGAATATGGGGATTTGTATGAGCTTGATTCGGATCGCGGCACCGCAAGCGTCTTCGTAGCTTGGATTGACCCTGATCCGCGAAATGCCTTATTCCGGGCAGAAGCTGGTAGTGCCGTTGAGCCGTGCGTTGAAATGAGAACTTCAATAATTGTCGTATGACCCAACAATTGGTGTAAGGAGTAAGCTGCAGAAATGAAAGATGACCAGAAAGTTTGGGGTTAAGGACACAAGGAATATTTGAATGGTAGTGAACTGCGTCGCCAAGCCGGCAAGGAATACCACAATAGCCTTGCCTAACAAGCAAGCTTATTCTTCAAGTAGGTAACGTTGGAATTGACTGGATAGCAGGTGCCGCCTGTGCATTAAGTTGTGCTGAGGTGCAGGTGGGCGGAAGCTGATGTGTGCGCTCACTTGAGGTTCTTATTAATGGGAGATTCGAATTGGCAATCCTCTTTGTTCGTCATTCTTGCTGCCCCAGGTCACCTGTGTAAGTCGGTGGTCCCATTACGAAAGTTCGCCCTAGAGTGGGAACTAGCGATTCCGATCATCCAGGGACAGCAGCGATCCATATGTGAATATCATCAAATCTTGCTTAAGGTTAGACCCAGACACCGTCAGAAAGTAAGTCGATTGTGTTCCATGGTGAGCTTTTACAGGGCAGTCTGATGGTGGCTTGTCTGCCAACCTCCACAGAAGTGCTCAACCAAACCGGCAATCGGCACTTATGGGCGCCCCGCGGCCACTAAGGGAGCCGATTATCCAGCACGGCCGTCCAGAACCAGTGACGCCAGAGGATACCTCTGCATGTCTCACAAGGCAGCAAGCGCGGCCGTGGACAGTATCGCAATTGGCGGACATTGATTTTTCGCGTGACAGTTGACCAAGATGAATGGCTGTAAGCCACCCAGTACACAAAGCCCCGCCTACTCTGAAGGAACTCCATTGCTGACGAATCTCAATGTGCCGGTTCTTGCCGTAACCGAGAAAGCTGCTGCCAGGGGAGGATTTCAGATAGCAGTTGTAGAATACCGAGATGCTTGAGCCCGGCATCCCCATTTAAGCTTTTGGTACTTGGTACTAGTTCTCCAACGATCACGACCAAAGGCATAATAGTAGTCTGTCAGAGTGGGTGAGTCCACAAAGCATGTGTCTCACCAGTGGCCAGGGATTTCTCTTTCCCCAGACTGCTACTACAACAGGAATCTACTAGAATAAACCTTTAGCCCGCTGGCACTTGAGCAGGTCGAAATATCGAGATTTGGCAAAACCTTTGAAGCTATATTCGCTGCCAAGCTGCCAAGGGAACAACTTTCCATTTTTATACTTGGTTCCACTTTTCTTCCATACCCATACCAGAAAAACCACTTACTCCGTATCATGCATCGTCATTCACAATTCTGTGGTTTTTAAAAAGATGGCCCAATCTGTAAGCCAGTTTAAAGTGTTCAATGCAAACCTAATCCTTGGATCACTTTCACTGTATATGATAGGTAGGATCCCAAGCCATTCAAGATGTCCCAAAGCTCACCATGTTAATATTTAGACGTTACATCCTCCCTTTTGCAATAGTCTTTACCAAATCCAAATACCACCTAGAATGCAATTAATACGTGGCTTATAATAATGAGAATGTTATTGTCCACAGAGCTTTAAAATTAATCAGCAGTGGGCTTTAAATGTCGAGGTGTCCAGTTTCACAGTCGTCTACTGTTCCATACTTGCTTCAGTCGATGGTTCCTACTTGCGACTTATTGTCATCCAGTGAAGCATTTTCTGCGATTCACGCTCGCGTAACTCCTGGCTTCCTCGGTGTTCGAATATAGAATCATATTCATTTTAGGGGAGATTTGACCTATGAATTCATCAACAGCCCAGAGTCTTGGCTTATATAGGTGCTTGTAGTACGATTAACGCCTTTCATCAGGAGGATTCATGTCAAATATTGTACGTAGGTCTAAGGGAAAAGAAGAGGGACGAGTTCTAGATGAAGTGGCAACCTGTGGAGTGGGACCCATGGCAGCTTCTGTTCCACTGCACACTTCTCCGATTGAGCTATTCTTTCTCCCTCTGCCGAACGATGGGATGTAGGTATATAGGCCACTAAGTACTTCTCCCAAAGCCCGCCATAATCTGCAAAACAGTTGTTCATAACAGCAATCAATGTTTGTCGAAACATGGCCTTTATCGAGGTCCGCTCGTGATATCCCTTAGAACAAAGGACTTACTGTATCCATATTTCCTAGTTCTAGCTTCGCTACTTCTTGGCTTCCGTTTTATGATAACGTCTATATATACACCTAAACGGGCTTACAATGTGGCTTCCTGGACACATAAGACTAACATTCTTTACTTGGACTTTTTGGGGGGGACTCGGAACATGGTTTTTTCAATTGTAAACAAAATGGTCTTTTATCTAATGAACAATCACTTGTGTGATTTTTCAAACGGACTTCGTTTAGTTGGATTATGCCATACATATAATATCCCTCGCCACCGTGAATAATACACTTGGTAGAGTCAAGGACTCAATGTACCCAATGAACACGGCACACACAGAACAAACAATCCACTTAATACGTATTTAACACAAAGTAAGCTGATAAGAATGGCTCCTCAACCACCACCACAATCTCCACTGTTTGGAGGCCAACCGACACCTGACCGCCCCACCGCCAGCAGTAATGGCCACAATCATTCTAGCCCATCAAGTTCAACGAACTCCAGAAGAGCAGCTCGGTCAACGCGACGACAAAACGCGCAGACGCTTTTGAGACAGCTGTCGAGGGTGTTGCGGGAAGATTACAACAACATGCCTCGAACATTCGGGCACGTGGCGGCCAATCTGTATGAATTCAACGTGGATCTGTTCGCTTACCAGCTTTCACCAGCATCAAGGACTGCATTGGCCTACACTCATCCAGATTTTATGTACGAAATCACGTCCGATGCAATACAGGGCGCTGGAGGTTACACCTACCACGCTTTGGTGAACAAATTCAACGCCATTGGGCGGGGACCAGCGATTACAATATGGCAGATGCCCCGCCAAGAGTACAATGAATGGATGTATCTCCTGGAGAAAGATTACATCGAGCACAACATGTTGTATTGTCAAGATTGTGACCACATCCACCAGGTAGAACATGCTATTAAAAATCATAACTACCCTTGTTACAGCAAACACAGGCCTTTATTCTACCCGACTTTTCACCCTGATATCCACCCCCTCGCGTTGTATTTTATCTACCTGACCAAGCTGCGAAATAACGATTGGGGCACACTCGGGTGGGAGATTGACCATCCAATGGACTACTATACGCACAGTTGGATGGCACATGGGTTTGAGCTTGATGCCCAGCGCCGGCATTCCGCATTTGTGACTGCGGATGGTATCTTCTTGCGAGAACAGTACCAGGTCCGACTTTTGCAACCCGCCAACGGAGGCATTTACCAGAAGCACTTATTCGGTTGTCAGCACTTACAATATGAGGTAAAGACATGGAATGGTCAAAATGACTATACACTGACCGTTGTTTACAACAACGGACGTTTTACATCATGGTACATGGCAAACCTCCCCTATGCTCCCGCTATTCAGGGCGCAAGACCGTCGCCGTTCCGCCGGCTCTTTTCTTGCTCGTTGTGCAATCGGGACTTCCTCTTCATGCCACTAACGCGGCAATCTCCACATTTGTGGCCTTCAGGAAGTTTTCCCCCAGCCGGTGGCGCTCTGCGGCACCCAAAAAGAATGTTCACCGGGTTTGCCCTTACCACCTGGATATGTGTAGCTTGGTACCGGTTACAGCTACCGGCCGCTCTGCCTCCTCCGGTCAACGCAGTTGGTTGGCCCCCTGTTTTCCCACCTTCGCCCGGTTTCCGACTCGAAGATGTAATATCCAGTTTAGTCCAACCGCACGTTCGTACGTGGCGTCTTAATGTCTGTAATATCATGCCTCCTCTACCTTCTGGTACAGTGTGTCGTGCCATTGAAGGCCCGCAATTTATTTATAAGTTACCTTCAGTGCCGTGAGATGCGTACAAAGGGAGTCCATTCACTGCTGTTACTTGAATCCGGAGGCAGAGCATTTTGAGCTGTAATCATGTCCGCATCTTTCCATGAATCCAATAGGAGCTCAAGGGTGTTCCATAGTCACATTACATAAAAAACCTGAAACAGACCAATGGTCAACCAATTCTGTAACGTAGCAAGCTTTGCATTAATAAACTGATGTTCCGACCAAATTACAGCCAAAATTGACTATCTATAACTTATGTAGTACATATCCAAACGTAGAATCGATCAACTATTTCAAGTAGTTTTCTTTATTTGCTCTCGTTCGAAATCTGAACAACGTGCTATTCTAGTCAACACCAGGCCAAGTGTTCAATACATGGGGTCAGTCACGGACATTTATTCGTTGATAAGGATGTGGTGAGCCCTAAAACGGGGTTCGAGACTTTTGCACCAAAAATACGCTGATAAAACGTGGAAACAGTGTGATGTCATGGCCGAAAGCGGTAGTAACTATCCCTTACCTACAAAGGAATTCGTTGTTATAGATTGAGTAAACAAATATTGTCAACAATGGAGTGACTAGACACAATGACTAGAACGTAGTATCTACCATATATAGCACAATGAGCAGCTATCACCATTGATATGGGCTATGATACATCCAATCATGTGTTGAAGTGTTAATTTCCACTAAAAAGACAGATATAGCGAAGCTTCAAGATGTCTTACATGAACAGGTACACACATGTCGCACCCTGGAGTGTGTTAGAGAGTATACTCGACACACGTTTTCCGGTAAGGGAGCACCTGATAGCTAATGTATGCGGGGAATCAGAGAGAACGGCCCTAGCCATGTCTAACAGGAGGCTGTATGACATGGTCCACGAATACGGCCACGGTCTCACCGACGAATCACAAAACAAAAGAGAAGAACAGGGCTACACTGTTTACCGCTCAATGGTCAACAGGCTCATCGATATTGATCAAGAGTATCCAAAATGGATGCGTATTGTGGAGAGAACTCAGTTGACATTTGACCGGGTGTATTGCCCATATTGCCGTACGCTCCATGATCCGATTCATTGTTTGGACGAGACAGGCACTCGGCCGTGTGCCAAGGTTGTTGGGGGCCTTCGGCCTTGTTTTATGTGGCTTTTCTCCAAAAGAATACACCCTTTAATGCTGTGGTTTCTCTACAACTACAAACAGAGGACCAACGACTGGAGGCCAGTTCCAGTTGAAAAATCTCTCGTCGACATCCAAACAGGTGCACGAAATGTGTGCGTGAGAAGTTCTGCACTGGTCAACAGAAATGGAATATTCCTGCGACAGGTGAAAAGGATTAAATTTAGGAAGACCTCGCGAGAGAGCTTTACGGAAATAATTTGCGACCACGCCGAGGTAAAAGTTAGCCAGGCTAGTTCTGATGAGTTCACCTTTCCAAACTGGCGTGTTAGCGTGCCTGTCTTCAACTTCAGGTTTCAAAACGTGGCAATATTGCAGCCGGATGGAGTGAAGACCACCTTTACACCTCCTTTCAACGTTCTGAAGCAATGTCCGGTGTGCAATAGAGAGTTTCTAATCGAAACGACAGGTAGCCATACTTCATCAGGTGTCTACTGCGGTTTGGTAATATCTGTCTGGTTCTGCATATGTCTAGGACAAGAGGTGCAGACCTACGATCAGCTTGAAGCAAACATAACTCGACCACATTTGGCTGGTATGTCGAGATCGGAGCGGTCGATGACCCTTGCGTACTGCGGACAATGCGCAACCGAGTTCGAGGGACCCGACTACGTCGCTCAAGTTTCGCCACCTATCCCGACGTTCGTATACCCTGACAACTGGTAGTTAGTAAGATGTATCAAGTCAAACTCGATTCGACTTTTTAGTAGGGTCTGCAATCTCACATGTTATTTTGAAGGCTTGCTCATTCGTCTAGACAGACGAAGATATTGCTCCTAGTGACCGAAAGCTTCTGTAGCTCTTATTACCAGAAGACAACGTGTCACGTGGGATGATTTCTGAGATACAGTATAACAAATATAACCCTAGAGTTAGACTAGTGTCTGAAAGAGCAAGACGTACCCAAGAGAGGGGTGTCCAGATTAGCAAGCGATTTTTAATTTTAACTTCTTATATTTAATGCATAGGTCTAATTTTGGTTTGTTCACGAAGCCAGCCAGGTGATGGATTGCACTGATAATGAAGGCGTTTGGGGTGAAAGTATTGTGTAGAAGTGGAAGTAGAAGTATGAGGCATGGCACGGCCTTGTATAGCGGGGCCCACTCACACCAAGCTTACCATTGGTCAACGGGCTCCCCGCAGAAATTCTCAATTGACAAGCACGGCCGCCAAAAAATTTCGAGATCCAGATCTTATCAGAACTCGTCGATTGAGAAAGCGCAACCACAGCGAACAAAAAGACGAAACACCACCACTTTTCTCGCCCAACCACATTCGCTCTCCGACCAAACACCAATTCTCCATCCCGTCTATCAATCCGTCAAAATGGGCTCCTCAAAACCTGAGAAGAAGGAAAAGAAGGACAAGTCCTCCAAGCGCGCCGAGGTCGACGGTGTCTCCAAGTCCAAGACCAAGGACGGCAAGAAGGACAAGAAGGACAAGAAGGACAAGCTCAAGAGCGCCGTGCTGAACGCCGCCCTCGACGAGAAGTTGCAGGCAGACGCCGCCGCATCGGCACCCGAGGTCACTGAGATTGAGGTAGAGGAGGATGGCGAGAAGGTCACAAAGGCCGTCGTCGGTGCATTGGTGCCGTTCGCCCTGCCCCTGGCTGATGACAAGGGCACCAAGAAGATTCTGAAGAGCGTGAAGAAGGGTGAGTTTTTATTTCCCATGCCCCAGTTTGCACCTTGCGTTTCGTAATTTTGTGGCATATTCTTTCCGTCCCTACCTTGTTTCATGCCAACAGCGCTTCACAACAAATTGATTTTCTTCTGCTACTGTCAATAAACCATCACACGCTAACCTGCTGCTTTCCTTACAGCTGCCAAGAACAAGAACCTCAAGCGCGGTGTCAAGGAGGTCGTCAAGTCTCTGCGCAAGTCGCCCGCCTCAGGTCCCACCAACCAGTCCTTCCCCGGTGTCGTGGTCCTCGCCGGTGACATCTCCCCTATGGATGTCATCTCCCACATCCCCGTTCTCTGCGAGGACTTCAACGTCCCCTACATCTTTGTCACCTCGCGAGCCGAGCTCGGTGCCGCAGGTAGCACCAAGAGACCTACCAGTGTCGTCATGGTCACCGAGAAGCGACAGGGTGGCAAGAAGGGCGAGAAGGATGCCGAGCCCGAGGATGAGGACTTCGCCGAGGTGTACAAGGACCTGGTGAAGCTTGTGCAGAAGGAGTCCAAGCAGCTCAAGTTTACCTAGAGGAAGTCAACAAGCTCTCTTTGGAATTGGCTTGCGCAAGGGGACGATGTCTGCGACTGCTGGGAGAAAAAAAGTGAAAGGCCCAAGCGCTACTGGCAGCCCGAGTATATCACAAGGCCCGATTGTACTCATGAGAAGGACGGAGAGGCGTATTGCCGCCGTCCTGATTATGATGATCGATCTAAGACGGCCGTATTGTTGAACTTGGCTGCAACTGTCCCGGTATGCTAAACAGCATGCTTTTTACGTACGTGTTTATGGATCATAGCCGTTGGTTCGGCTTTTCGGCGTTCAGGCGATATCTATACAGATGTAAGGAATAAAAAGGCATTCGATCATGAATTCTGTGTGCTCATCATTGTGCGTGCTGCCCCTAAGCACTCTTCCCATCTTTGGGTTGGTATACAGATATCCGAGAGCTGTTGCAAGCCAGCAAGTATTAACTAGTGGATTTCTTGTACATGGTTACACATCCATGGTAATAACTAATGTTTCCTCACTGGGAGTCACGGCATGCCTCAGCAGAGTTTGATCAGACCCATACTTTTGGCTGCAATGTTGTAGTAATTGTACAAAACTGGTGACTTGTAAGTAGCATGGCTATCAATCCCCATATCACTATCGCCAGTAGTAGGAGGAGCTTGTTCACAAATATGACGGTCAAGGACGAATGAGAGATGTGAGGTTGATGAGTATATTATCAATATGCTACGGGGCCATGCCCAAATCGTGAGCTTCCGAATGCATCGTTACACTAAAAAAAGGAAACTAATTTCACAGTTTCATCCATTGCTATTCATTTCCCATCCTCCAACTCCGGTTTAATTCACTTCCTAGAGTCACAAACCCTTTACTCGAAGGGGTTTGTCCTGGTGCCCCACCAGGTCAAGATGGTTGCGAGACCGACAGTCTCGAAGAGCTTGGCCAGACCGGCAACAGCGACGGTGTCAGCGGGGCGCTTCTCGGTGAAGAGCTGAGCGAGGAAAGTAGGAGCAGAGGTGGCAGCGAAGATCAGGCCACCGAGGTAGGCGGCGCCCTTGTAGGACAGAGTGCCGGTGGCATTGATCAGAGCACCAACGCCATATGACTGCAGGGCAGAGCCGACGAGCGAGGTACCCCAGGCGACGGCGGCACCGGTAGCCTCCTTGGAGCGCAGAAACTCCTCCTTGGTGTTGGCAGCCTTGGCGCGGTTGTAGGTTTGGCCGAAGAGAGGGGTCAGGACTGTTGGTCGTGTTGTTAGTACATATGGCCATTGGACTTGGAGTTAAAGAGGCTTTGCGTGCAAAACTTACTAGCAAGCTCAACGGAGTGGTTGAAGACAGTACCCAGGGCGATGGCCGAAGGCTTGACAGGGGGGAGGTCTAGATGTACGGTCAGCCGGGTTTGTTGAGATATAATAATAATAGTTCAGACCAGACACCGGAGTAGAGTGAATGATGAAATGACTAGGCAGGCGACTGAAAGTCACCGACCTTGTCTATTACATCAAGAAACTGCTCCAAGATGGATGGAAGCTAAAAACTTACAGTGCAGAGACATGATGACTGATTTGTGTGATTGTTGGTTGTTGGGTGAGGTGTGTTTGTGGTTGGTTTGATAGGTAGATGTGATTGATTGAGTGTATGTATGTGTGTTGATGGGAAAGTCAATAGAAGACAGAAGAGGTTGACAGGCTTTTATTCATGGCAGCTAAGTGTCTCAAATTGCTTCAGCTGGGTCCCCAATGACGAAAGTGAAAAGCAGGAGAATTGATCCGGAGCTTCGTCTACATTAGCGTGGCACGATGCAACCGGGGGGTATTCAAGCAGTAGGTAGCAGAATGTTCCAGCCGGCGGCTTGACAAGCTCGATTCGACCTCATCGTGATTCAATAGCAAGCTTGGAGCTTCAGTTGTCAACATGACGTAATGGACTATCAAGCTCAATAATGGCCCGAGCTTGCTCCAGCTCCAGTTTGCAGCTCGGCTTCTCAAGGTTCGCGGGGGAAATTGCAGCATGCGGATTCCAAATTGCAGCCGAGAAAGCCCGTCTAGGGCAAACTTGTCTGACCCGAATTGTCCAAGCGAAGAGGGCCTCCAACTTTAGCAAATGTCATCATGCCTTGCTCGTTATAACCACCTGTCACGACTCCATCATGAAAGCCAGGCACGCCAAACACATGGGCCCCATCTGACTCTGTACCTCCATTCGTTAGAAACACCCACTCCTATCCCAGATACCCACTTTGGTTTGTACTGTATGGCGCAACTACTGTAGATTTTTTTTAACAAGCAGAACAAGGTACAGTAACCCGAAGTTGTGATTGTTCCATGTCCTGTGGTTGTCCATGTCTCACTACAGGATTGGACTTTCCGCAGTCTTGAAATCTATTATGGGATTTCAATGCATAGCTTCGCAGGTCCAAATTCTTTCTTGTCAATGTACGCAGCATACCTTTCGTCACCGAGATTTAACATTACTATTGTCAATACCCACTTCCTAAACCGGGCAGTTTTGCGGGGAAGTGGAACTTTATGCTTTGACAGAGTCACTGATCATCATCAAGCCACAGACAATCTGTTGAGCACTTAAGCGTGATTGAGCATAACCGATCAAAGACTATGACGGGCAGAAGTTGGTGGGAGAACATATCTGGTCACAGAAAACCAAGTTTCGCACCCCGTCTTGGCAACATACTGTGACCCACGTCTAGACCAGGCTAGTACATGGATTGGGAAATACTGTACGCAATGGCTCTTTAAATTGCCAGGAAGGTAAAACGACTGTGCAGCTATGCTCGCTCTAGCGCTCCCTCCCATGCGAGGAAAACACCCCAAAACCATCACATATCGCTATTTTCAAAATGATGTACACTTGACACTCTCAAACATGTTGAACCGGGAGGCCAACACAATTACACTGGAACTCATATATGAGAACCGTCTTCGCCGCCTCTCAACGCAAGTAGTGCCCTGACGTCTGAGACGTACTGCAGCCCCTCTAGGAGCGGAACCAGATGCAAGAGATCGTTGTCTGTCGGGTCACTTATCCAACCTTGTATCGGAATGGCATTATCTGCATTAGTTCCCGTGTTAGCACATGCTTTGCGTTTGCCACCCCCTGGTATAGGAGCAAAGATGCGAACAGCCTTACCTTGGTGGAACATGTAGCTGAGCGGGCTGTTGTCTAGAATCATAACCTTGCTAAGGTCTGGCTCTATCGAGCTGAGATCCTTGATAAACGCGCCATGTCTGAAGGTACAGTGCTGTCGATAGTATCTGGCTGTAAAATATTTCCTTTCGGATTCGAGCCAGTCAATGACTGGGTCCGCGTATTCTTGTACAGACGCGGTGAAGACAACGAGGTTGAACCATTTAGAAATCTAACGCAGGTCAGTGGTTGGCTCCAAAAGCATGTGGGCGTGCACACCAGCGTACCTTTCGGAGGAACTCGTCGCAGTGCGGCCGTTTGTGGACGTAGTATAGGATCGGATGCTGAGGTCCAAGAGTTTGGTGGCCACCCGCCCCAACATATGTCGTGTTCAGCCGCACCTCAATCATGTGCCCTGACCCCATCCTGCCGCCTTTAGACATGCTGTGGATGAGTGTCTCGTCCAAGTCTAGAATCAGGGTCTTGAGGTGTGTCGGGTCCGGGGCTTCGATCGGGATATAGGAGGGCTGTCGTTGTGGTATTAGCGGTCGCGGAGGAGCAGGCGTTTTGGGATATTTCGTCAAGGCGCCAACAGGGGAAGTTGGCGACTTCAGTTGTGCCGAAAGGTCTGCTGCGGCATCACCGCCGCCGGGCCTGGCACTCGCAGATTGCGCTTTCTTGTGTTTGCGTTGCCGTAGATCGTTGTCGCTATGAAGCTTGATCCTGATTGATCTTCGGGCCGGCGCAATCTCCTCGGTTGACTTGGACCTGGAGTGGCGGCCGGAGGATCCGGAGCTGCGTGTCGGCGTGTCATTATCATAGGTTGCATCAGACTCCGATTCGGAGGAGAGGCCGGATGAGGAAGACCCAGAAGAGTGTACCGATCGCATGCTTGCCGTTGACGCATGCTTGCCTCTCGCGCTCTGGCTTGCGCGTCGCGAAGAGGTTTGCTTTTCGTCATTCATAGAAGTGTGCTCATGGTATTCGGCGCTAAATGTGGTTGTGTCACCTTCATATTGTCCGAACAGTCTCCGTAGCTGCCGCAATGGGGTGAAGGTACCCCTTTCGTCGTAGAGACATGCCATCAGGTATACCCCTGGGGCAGCCAGGGTGGACAGAACCCAGCGTATCGAGTTTATCAGGTTGTTTGCTAAGCGGCTCGGAAGGACGTGCCATGGTGACGAGCGTGCGTCGAGGTCTTTGGATTCACCGGTCCCTAATAAAGGGGTCTTCTCATCGGCGTAGCCGTGGCCGCCACGGCTCTCTGCAGCGTACTCGTCCGGCTCGACTGACAGAAGGGCCTGGTCCTCTTCCGGGATGCTCTCTTGAGATGACTTCAGGTCTTCGGAAGAGGTGGCCAGCGCAACATGGGTCAGGGAGTTGGATCGCGTCGGGCTCGGAGAGGATGACGGGGAGACTCGCGCGGAGATGATGTTGAGGGAGTTCATGGTATGGCAGTCGGCGTCGTAGCCATCAAGGGTGGATAGCTGTTGCCAAAGCCGGTATTCAGTTCAAGATCGCATCAGTGTTATCAGCAGTGCGATTTCTCGATATGCAGCCCCTGGGGGTATGCTGCCCGACGGTCGTATGTCTTAGTCTTGGTCTTGGCCTCGGGAGATAGGTCCGACGATGTGGTGCACCGGACGGGCAAAAGTTGGGGGACTGACTTATCCCAGCCTCGGTTAGGGGGTAGCAAACAAAAAGCCCCAAAGCACAATGAACGATGCGTTGCGATCAGGAGCGCACCGACGAGAATAGTCACAATTTCCAATTCGATTCTTTGTACGGATGAGTTAACCTCGTCCGTTGCACCACAATAAGGCTTGAGTCTATTTTAGGCGACCAGATACTTGGGAGCTTATCTTGAGTTTCAGGGTGCAGCACAAGGGCCATTGAATAACCGACTCTGCTGTTCTCACCGGACCTCATAGAACTGTCCTCAGTTGATTGGTACAATAGGCAGTTTCGGAAAGAAACATCAGCAGCCACAAGCACTGATGTGTGCCCTACTTAAGGGGAGGGGAGGGGGGGCGCTTCTTACTCCAGGGGCTACTGGCTGCTTCAGGGGCCACTCCGAGCACCCAAGTGACGTCCACACTTTCTGTTGAATCCTGGAGTGGTCCCCCCCCCTTCACATGTTGACTGAGATTTCTTATGCACTTAACCCAGTATTCTCTGGTATTGAAAGCTGCCCCGCGCCTCCGTCACACATCCTTGTAATATTATGTGTAAGTTACAGGTCGGTCCGGTGCTGAATTACAATTTCAATTCACCCCGCACTGGCTTTTATCATTTTATCGGCCTTTTTTCTGCAGTTGCTTCCGACCTCAGCAAGCCTGAGTCACAATTTCGTGATTTGTGAATAACCTCAGCAAAGAATTCCTTGCGCAACCTGTTCATGTGCAGAACGTTTTTGCCTGCCGCAAATCAACTGGCCGCAAGTCTACTTCTTTTTGCGCTTCTACTTGTATGAGCTGCGTCAAGTTCCCTCAAACGGCAATTGCGACAAACATTGCAAGGTTTCCCTTCTCTGTACCTCACCTGTCCGTCCGGTTCTTCATCGTCGACAAACCACGGGCACCTCCCGACTACACCCACTACAGCACCCCTTCTATAACGCAATTCGACTAGGCGCACAGGAGACATGGCGCCACCAAAGGGCGGCTATGCGCCCACACTGGACAAGTTCCTAGATTCACTCAAGAACAGGCCAGTCGAGGCTTCAGTCGAATCACTCATATCGTAAGCATATTTACTTCCTCTGCCCCCCCCCCCCCCCCCCCCCCCCCTTCCGCTTTGCTAATGCTTCCAATCCAGTCTCCTCAAGCGACGACAGATTACGGGCTCTGAGTCTTGCGCCCTTGCGACTGCACATATCCTCCGACAACTCGTTGCTAGGGACAAGTGGCTAAATGTCGAGCAACTACTGGAGCGCGTTCAGTCCGTTGGTCGCAAACTTGTCGCTGCGTCTCCCCGCGAGATGACAATTGGCAATATTGTACGGAGAATACTGGGCTTGATTCGTGATGAGGCCGAGGAAGACCGCAACGAGGCTGGCATATCTACACCGGATGCTCATAATTCGCCTACACGGTCACCCTTGAAAATCGACAGCCCTCCTGCAAGAACTGCACGACCGACCTTCCCCACTGCCCTGAGTACTTTGACGAGAACGCAGTCCATGTTCAACATCCTAGCAGATCCCGATCTTGTTCCGCCAAACTGGATGAACGGCACGCCCTTGGCAAGTTCAGGCGCCTCTACGCCCCTGCAGAATCTTTCTACCAACACGTCTGCTCTCCGCTCAGAGGTCCTAGACGGCATTGAGGAGATCATGGACGAGATAAAGCAGGTTGATGATCAATTATGCGGCTATTCGGACATTATAATCCATCCGGGTGATTTCATCCTTGTCCACCAGCCCTCAAGAACCATTCAGAGATTCCTCGTCAGATCCAAGAGAAAGTTCACGCTATTCGTTGTAACAGACCCCGCCACGCAGTCGGAGTCAGGCGATCAGTATGCCTCACTGCGCAAGTCGTTGGCAGCAAACGGCTCTGTTCTTATCAATGTTATGAACTCTGGGCTTATGGCCTATATGGCTAGAGTCAACAAGGTCATTCTAAGCGCTCGGGCGGTCACGGCGAAAGGCGGCGTGACTGTGGACGCAGGTGCTGCCGCCATCGCACGCGCAGCCCGCACCCAAGGCAGGACAGTCATTGTTCTGGGAGGAGTGTATAAGCTCAGCCCTGACAGCCAGGCCAACCAAAGCATTGCAACAGAATGGGGTGACCCCTCCAAGTATGTCAACTTCTCTGATGGCCAGCTCGTTGGCCACGTTGATGTGAAGAATGCCGTTTCCGAGTTCATCCCTGCAGAAGATATCGACACATATATCACGAACCTTGGAGCCCATTCTCGCGAGCACCTACACACCATCATAAACGACCACTACAAGGAAGCCGACATTGCACTGGATCTGTACGGTAAGATCCGGAAATAGGCAGTCCCATCACCAGCCAATATACGTCCTTTTGTTCCATCGATCATACAGAATGTGAGGCGACTAGACCACATGTTACTATACACAAATCACGACAAGTCAGAATCACCAACGACGAGCTCATGAAAAGCAGGGGCAGACAGCTGGCTGAAGATAGAGTTTTGGAAGATACAGGGACTTGGAGCTGGAGTCTTGCTTGGCATCTAGCTAATGGTAATCATGGGGTAGTCATCTCTGCTTCAGAGAAGGTGTTCTTTGGATAGTCGCAGGCTGGCGCAAAAGCCGCCTGACTCACCGAGGCAAAATGTAATGCATTTGGCCGCGTCAGCGTGAGGCTGGTCCTACACCAACTTCTATGAGTAGTTGCAGGGATGGGATGCGGGGCATAAGAGGAAGACGGTAGACACGAGTGGCTCAGCATTGGCACGCCTTGATTGCACCCTGCTGCCCGGCTCGCGAACCGCAACGCAGGGCTATCCTCCATAGGGTAGTTTTCGAGCTTCTATCGGCTTCTCCATCTTCTAGGTTAGGAGACTGGGCTTTGTCTACTGCGGGAGGTTCTTAGGGCGGCCCCCACCATCCGAGATAGCCTAACCTCATGGACTAGACGAATGATTGGATGCTTTAATAAAGCACTAACCTAACGATATGATACGATTCGATCGATCAGCAGGCAACCACTTTTCAGCACTCTCATGTACGTGACTGTTAAAAGCCAAATCATGATATTCAAATGGGTTCGGCTGAACCTTGGAGGCCCTCTTGAAAACCACTCCTTCCTGTTGTTTACGTTCAGCGGAATTGAATGCAAAACTGTGTATTATCAATAGTGCGCCCATCAATATCCTCGTAATTGAGACTGTAACATTTGGACTACCACTACTACTTCTACCACTACTACTACTACTATGGAACCACCGGACATTCCACCTCCACCATATTCGGAGACAGATATATACTCGTCCACTGAGCATCAGCTAGCAGCACCCCAAAGTAGTCCACATCACCAAGGCGACGATGCATCCATCGCGGCATCATCTTCTTCTCACAGCAATATTGTCTACACACCTCCAGACACCCCACAGGACTCTCACCATGGGTTTACAGGTGCAGAGGATTACCAGACCACGGCTTCAGCCCAGGTGTACTTTGACACCCGTTCAGCGCCTGGTGGCCTAACAACCTTGTCGCCCATCGCCCATCCGATCACCATATCCGAAGAGCCATCTCCAGTTGATTTCCCGTACCCGAACTGGGCGCCAAGCCGGGACGTGTCGCAGCAGGACTGGCGGACGTTCATCAATTATCTGATCCCGGATTATGCGGACAAGGCGAATGCGCACATCATTGATCGCAAGCTTCGGGCGTCTGAGGATGGCGATGCCCAGTCATCTTCTGCATCGACCAGAGATATCACGGAGGCGCAGCTGGATCGGCTGAGATCCTCCAGCGTGAGGCGCCGATTCAATGATACTGTCAAAGAGTGGAATGTCGGCTTCTTTGCGCCTAGAGGCGTGACCATCAAGCTTACCGAGGACGGCACAGCCAGTGAGCCGAAGGCCAGGATGCCGGGCGAATGGAACAACTCCTTTGATGCCGGCAGTGGCAGCAACAGAGATGCGCCCCCATTCGCCGCACCCGGCGGCGACCCTTCGTCCCCCCATGAGAGTGGCATGTGGCAGAGGCTGTTCGGGCCTCGATTCCGTATGAACACGAGCGAGCCGCTTCGCTTCGGACCTCTGACCATCGATGGCGACCGTGTCGCCATCGGGACTGCACTTGAAGTTGACAATCACGGTGTCCGCTGGAATGGTCGAGACATCTCCGAACACCTGCCCGGCGGCAGCGATCGGGGGCGTTACACAAGCAGCCCCGGACGTGGACGCGGTGGTTGGTGGCATGGGGCCGGTGATTACCAGCAACGTCGAGATGCGCACCAACAACGCCGTGAGGACTTCTACCGCCGCCGGAACGACTTTCACGAACGCCGCGGCGGACACGACGGACCAAGTCGTAGAGATCGGTCGCAGTCCGTACATTCTCAGTCGTCTGCCAGCAGCAGCTCGACAGCCGCCTCCGAGTCCACCGTGTCATCAATCGGCTCGCTACCAGAATGGGATGACCTCAAAGACTCGCAGCTGCCAGTCGTAAAGCAGTCCATCCAAGCATGGCTTTCCCATCCGGAACAGTCGGTCACAAAAGCTGACGTTAAGCGCGCAAAGGCCGAGATCAAGGCCGCAAAATCTCTCCCGCAGCCCAGTACGGCTGATGCCGCCCAGCGTCAAGAGATCAAGACTCTCCTATCTATGTTTGACGACCTGAAGATAACTCAGGAGAAGAACCTGCGAGTGGCCAAGAGGGAGAGAAGAGCACAGAAGAAAGCAGAGCGCAGAGCACGCAAATCCCGAAATCGCGGCGAGAGGAGAGAGGAAAGGCGGCAGCGGCGAGAGCACCGACGTTCTGAACGGGAGCACTCGAGACACGGGCGCCGCCACGGAGATGTGCCTCCCATGTCACCACCACCTATGCCAGGCTTCATGCAGCCGCCTATGCCACCCCCTTTCCCGGCCTTCTCTGCCACCTCTGCACCTCCTGTTCCTCCCACACCGCCGCATCCTCCCATGGTGGGCGGTTCTCCTAAACCCATGCCCCCGCCACCGATCCCTCCCGTGCCTCATAACGGAATGGGTCCTTTCTTCAGCCCTGGCTCAGCTGGGCCCGGGTGTTCCTTCAGCGGCGGGCCGAGCCGGGGGGGCCAGGCTCCATGGCACAAGAACGACACCCCCCAGCCAACACCATGGCGCGAGCAGGCGGCAGAAGTACGGGCACGGGCACAGGAACACGCAGCCCGAGTGAGTGCGGACGCACAGGCCCGCTCCGCCGTACAGACGGAGCAGGCCAAGGCGCAGGCGGCGCAGACCAGGGTGCATGCCAAGGAGCAGGCCGACCTATCCAAATCGCGGGCCAAGGAGCAGGCCGACTTATCCAAGTCGCGGGCGAAGGAGCAGAAGGTCCTGGCGAAAGAACAGGCCGAGCTGGCCAAGGCGCAGTCGAAGGAGCAGGCCGCTCTGGGCAAGGCGCAGGCGAAGGAGCGGAAGGCCTTGTCTAAACAGCAGAGCAAGAGCCAGAAGGGGAAGGACAAGGAGGGGCAGAAACCGCAAGCTGCTGCTGGCGCCTCCTCACAAGCGCAGCTCGAGGCGAAATATAGCGCTATCGAGCAATTGGAGCAGCAGCGGTCGGGGAAAGCGGCGGAGCTGCGGAGCTTGCAGCAGGCGATGGAGGCAGAGGCAGTTGCGGCCGCGCGGGCGGGCAGGGGCGACCAGAAAAGGACCGAGCCGACCCAGACGGAGCTGGCTGCGGAAAGGCTGGAAGGAGAGATGGGGGAGCTAAGTCGCAGGGTCGAGGAGCTGCAGCTTGAGGCGGACGAAGAGTTCGCTAGGGTTGTGGACAGGGAAGACTCGGATATCATGGAGGAGGCAAAGGTCAGGTGGCTGGATTAGAGACGTCAGGACGTGTGACATTATAGGGAGGATCGCTGTCTATTCCTTGAGTTTGATGAATATGCCAATACACCATAACCATGGTCACTTTTTACCTTAACCTTCTTTACAATGACAAACGACTTCAGAAACCAACAGACCGTTGCAACTGTCTGTGCCTTGGGGCCGTTCTGCAATGTGCATATCTTTTCATACTTGTTTGAGGCACAATATCACGGTGACCAGAGTTCTGTTGCGATGCGTTCACCATGAGTCTTTTTGTAAATACTGGTGCCTTTCAAATCGCTTGTTCATTCCAGTTGATCATGGTAAATCAATGCCTCTATATCGCATGCACGATGCGCAATGCTCTCAAGAACTTTTTTTATTCCCCCCCTCCGTCCCAGTTCGCCGTGCCATGCCAGACTTATGCAGGAAACACACCTCGTAGAATGGGGAAATACTCGCTCGCCTATTCCACGCCTGACCGTAACGATACTGGAGTATGCACCAGACACGCATCGCTACTGGTTGCTCTTCTCGCGTATCTTCCTTGCTCTCTCGCGGGCCTGTTCGTGTAGACACACATCCTACGCCTGCTTACTACTCTCGTTTTTCTCGACGAGATCTGTGATACCGAGTGCCCTGCCGACCTTGACCTTCCTCTTGGGGCCCTCCTTCTCCTTCTCCTTGTTTCTCAGCGCCAGGGTCTTCTCGTCATCGCCCGCCTTGCCGACGTCGCCCACGGGCTCGCCCTCGTCCTCGGGGAACTCGGCGTCCCTCTGCTCGCGGATCTGGTTCCGGATATCGGAGAGCTCGAGCTTCATGCAGTAGGCGTCCTCGCCGTCGGCGTAGTACTTGGCCTCGGTCTTCTCGCGGTCGAAGCCCAGGGTCTTGCTATAGAGGTGAATGGCGGCCTTATTGGAGACGCGGACGTGCAGGGAGACGTAGTGGGCGCCGAACGTCTCAACCATTGCTAGTTCTGTGTTTTTGGCGGACGCCCAGGTTAGCTTGCACGTTTCTCGTGGGAGGCAGCAGCCTCTCTGCTCTCGGGTTCCGACGTACGACTCTGTCTCATGAGCTTCTCCGCGATTCCCAACCGCCGATGCGTGCGCATCACCGACAGACTGGTAATGTGGCCGTGTTGCACGCCGTCTGCGGGCTCCTCCTCCATTTTGGCCAGCACGTAGCCGACGATCTTGGGGTAGTCATAGGGCGTCTTCTTGGGTCTCGAGACGTCGACGGCGACGAAGGAGAGCTGTGGCCATGATAGCGCATGGTATAGGTAGTACTTCATGAAGTAGTTCTCGGGCAGGTTCTCGAGGTTGGCATGTTGGATCAGCGGGATGTCGCTGGCGCGGAGGAGGCGGATATCCATCTTTGCGCGTGTTGCTGGGCTTGGTATCGAGTGGAAGATCAACAGCAATGGGCCATATGCAGGGACCAAGATGCGGCTCAGATATGGGTGCTTGGGCTTGGGCTTGGGGCTTGGGGCTTGGAGGGTTAGACTAGATTGAAGCTGTCGTGAGTTCTGTGAGAGGTGCGGTTAAGTGACAGTTTGGGGGGCCCTGTGCCAGGGTTTAATTTACTAGCTCTCGACACAGCTATCGGATAACGGGGCGTATTCACCCGAGAGAGCTTTCCATGAATCACTGCTGAAGATCAAGGACAGCTTCCATCGGGTATCAGAGTGGACGGATATGATACTTCAGACCTGCATTCTCAGCCTTTCCAGGCCAGTCAAGCTGTTTTTGTCCACCTTGTTGCTTGTTCATTAAGAAAAGCCGTTGCTGTCCGACTTGCGCGTATGCAACATTTCAGCGGGCAGAACACAAAGCCAATTGAATGTGGGGGGTTAGATGAACGCGGGGCAACTGAAGCTCGAAAGCTATGCAACATACCGCAAGTAGGTCACGATACAAGTACTGTCTCAATGCCCCGCAGCTCGGTACAAGAGTCTGTGTATGCAGAGTATCCAGTCTCCTACAAGCGACGACCGACGACAGGGGTCGCTCCGGGATTGGAGGAAGTGTGTATATAAATCGGTCTGAGACCCGGCCCCAGGACGGTCTGGGCAGTCTAAACACTTAACCATATCATATTTACAACTCTTCTGGTTCCCAGTTCCCTTCTTCGGTGTCTTTTTACGCGTAACTAACTCACTCACTTACACGGCGCTGCGGTGTTGTCTCTTCCATCCCGGCTTTCTTTTTGTACCACCATGAGTCTACCGCTTGCAGGAAAGTTGGCTGTGGTGACCGGTGCTTCAAGAGGTGAGTTTGCATCTCAGCAGTGAAAAACTTATCCGCCCGTTAACGCTATACGATTACAGGCATCGGTAAGGCTATCGCGACCAAGCTGGGCTCGTATGGTGCCAACTTGTCCCTAGCCTACACCTCGCCATCATCCAAGACTCTGGCAGAGAACTTGGCTCAGGAGTTGCAGTCCAAGCACAACATCAAAGCATTCACATTTGCCGCAGATCTCGGTACGCCCGAGGGAGGCAGGCAACTCATCGAGGCCACCAAGGAGCACTTCTCCAAGGATGGCGGCAACTTCCAGATTGATATCCTCGTCAACAATGCCGGAGTAGCCCAAAACAACCCCTTGCCCAAGATCACAACAGCCGAGTTCGACTCCTCCTACAAGGTCAACGTTCTGGGCCCCTTGCTTGTAACCCAGGCTGCCGAACCTTACCTTCCACACGACAGATCTGGCAGAATCGTCAACTTGTCATCCGTCTCTTCTTCTGCCGGCTTCGTCGAGCAGTCCGTATACGGTGGCACCAAGGCCGCTCTCGAGGCTATGACGCGGACGTGGTCTCGTGAGCTGTCCGAGAGGGCCACGGTAAACGCCATCAACCCGGGCCCCGTGCTGGGCGAGATGTATGCCAAGAACTCGGACGACTTCAAGCGCGAGATCAAGGGCTGGTTCGAGCATTCGCCCCTGATGAAGGTTCGGAAAGGTATCGACAGCGACGAGCTGGTCGAGGACGCAAAGCTGAGCGGTGGACGTCCCGCTTATGTTGATGAGATTGCCGGCATCGTGGCTATGCTTTGCGGAAAGGACTCTGCCTGGTGTACTGGACAGGTTGTCTGTGCCAATGGAGGTATGATCATGCTACATTAGATCCCACATGTTTGAGTATAGTTGTGTATATACGGGGACCTGCCTAGTTTACTACGTCTTAATTGATCAAGGGATGAACACTACCTGGCAGTTTTGATACCTGAATTCTTGGAGCAGAATATTTTGGAATTTTTACAATTCCGCTCAGGTCAGCGGTATCAAATGTGAATCGTCATTGCTGAACAACAAACCCATCGGTCTCCAGGTTGAAAGCCTAGTGGAGGTACAGTGACTTGGAAGGTATTAGTCACCCCCCTTTCTCAAATTGTGACCATACGGTGCCTGGAAAAGTAGGATATTACTGATGGAGTCAAGGGGCGTGAAGGAATCACGGTTCAACGGATTCAGCATTCCCCGCACCCTGTGACGCTTTCATGTAGACAATGTAGTCTTATAAAAGCGTGCCTGGCGATCCATAATACGTAAATGATGATCTGACGTCTGGGCTCCTATTTCATGACTAGAAACTAAGTAGTTTCATGACGAAGAAAGAAGAAGAAGAAGAAGAAGAAGAAGAAGAAGAAGAAGAAGAAGTCAGCATTCAATTTAATTCTTACAAAGCGTGTAGCTAATTTGCAGAGTATAGATAGAATTAATGTATTGTTGAGAGCAGCAGCCAAGAGACCGATATGTTCTTCCGTGGCATCAGATATCTGTAAATGATTTACCAACATATGAGCAAAACTTTCAGTGCTATGCTAGACTGATAACTATAAACATGCTCAAAGTTTGTTGAACAGTTGCTAAAGTGTGCGTTTTGTGCGTCTCTGTTGTGAGGTTCCCACATTAGCCCATTGGCGTCTTAGATGCCCTGTTAAACAAGATGGATGGACCACAAACGGGGAGCCACAATGGGGGAGGTGGTAAGGTATTCCCAATTATACAGTACACAGAAAAGCTATACCAAGTAGTGTATTAGAGAGTTCATCATTCATGGATGATTGTTCCTATTTTAGGTCATTACGGGCCTTTGAGGGAAAGTCCAATGGAGGGACCTTTTTACCCTTGACTGAGCGTCCTGGTTCATTCTGCACGGATTTCGACGTTGCTGGGAGCACGCTGCGCTGGACGATTCAATACTCCCTATCACTGCAGGGCGAAACTACCGCCAGGACGAAGGAATTTGATGACCAAGACATCAATGTACCCTTTGACAACAGAAACATGAACTATCAAGTAGGAGTCACAGCGATCCAACAGTGAAGAAAAAGGGTGCACGAAGGGACTTCGCATCCTTATTACACATCACAGGGCTGTCGCTTTTATTTTCGCACGACACCATACATAGTTCTGGAAGAACAGGAGGCTCGTTCCAGAACCCGCTCCTTGCACGGCTGCGCCGTGCGCCTCATGAACTCATCGCATTCGCAGGGGTCGGGATAATCTTGTTGCTGAGTAGCTCACCGTCACGATGTCTCACATCTTTGATTACAGATCACAAAAAAATTGCATGGTGATGACGCTGCTGACCCCCCTATGGCTATGGTCAGATGTCCTTCAAGTTGCCCATACTCATTGTTGTACGATCCACACAGTTACTCTAATTCCTCCGCCGTTCCCCGCGAGAGGGGGATGTCGTTTGAAACGAGTCGGAGAAAATGTCGACATTCGCAGTCTTGTATTCCTCAGAGTTTGCTGTCCCTTGAAGAAAGTTCAATCTGGATGATTGATGGGGCTCTATTGTGGGTCTACGTGATATAGTACCAACTATTCGGGTTGTTGCGGGAGGTATACACAAAAGCGCCTGAACTAGCTAATGATTAATTAGCGCTAATCAAGTTTATTTATAGGTGCAAACTACGGGAGGACCCCATCCCACATACTGCTGTCCTGAACTTGTAATGCGGCCTTGCGGCGCACGAACTGATCCTACGAAAATCTCTATTTTCTGCAGCAATTCCGACCGCATGAGCAGCCCCTGGGATGATGTCAGTGCTTCTATGGAGCAATGTAACCTTTGATTCAACTAGTTTTGCTAGCCCTACGGCACAGCAGCGAGATACTGGCTAAAGCTGACCTTGCCCCTGACTCTGTGATGCATGGTGATGGACTCGCAACCGAGGCGGCCAATGAAATCGCTTTTCTTCTTGTCAGATCCCATTGCTTACAATAAACGACAATATCACTATGGCCCCGTAGCGGACTAAACCATGATCGCCGGTCAGCCTAACACGTACGATTGCAACTGGTGCCGAGCGGCCGAGCCTATTCCCTTTTTCTGTATTTCCGTATTTTGGCATGTCTGAACAGCAGTAGTTGTACTGCTATATAATTGGGCAGGATCGCCAATTCTTGTCGTTGATCCCATCAACGCACAAACTGCAACATCCACAGCCCGACATGTTGTTCAAACTGTGCGCCTCGTTTCTGCTGGCCGCCACGCAGGCGACCGCCGTTGCCATGCCTCACAAGCGCGCCGGCGGCGACCGCAGCGTCTTCGCGCACTACATGGTCGGCATCACGTACGGACAGAGCGCCTCGCAGTGGGCAACAGACATCAGCGAGGCCAAGAGCGCCGGCATCAACGGCTTCGCGCTCAACGTCGGGTCCACCGATGATTACAACAGCGTGCAGCTCCCGCTGGCCTACGCCGCCGCGGAGAGTGCCGGCGATTTCTCCTTGTTCCTTTCTTTCGACATGGGGGCCACCACGTGGACCGTCGACCAGGTCAACGACCTGATCAACACGTACAAGGGCAGGAGCGCTCAGTTCAAGGTCAATGGCGTGCCGTTTGTCAGCACCTTCGAGGGTCCCAACTGGTCCGATAACTGGGCCAGCGTCAGGTCTGCGACTGGTGGCATCTTCCTCGTGCCCGACTGGTCGAGTCTGGGGCCAACCGGTGTCCAGGCCAAGGGTTCGGTGATCGATGGAGCATGTAAGTTCATCCTGGTTCTCATTGGATTGAGGTTTCCGACAAGTTTAAACCTTTACTGACGGTTCTCCACACAGTCAACTGGGGTGCCTGGCCCAACAGCAACTCCAAGACTATTACTACGGACGGGGATACCCAGTACCAGACGGCTCTGGGTGGCAAGGCTTACATGATGGGCGTAAGCCCGTATTTCTACACTCGTGAGTTTACATTTTGTTCATTCGGGGGAGACGGTGCTGACCAGGAAAAACACAGACTTGCCACCGAACAAGAACTGGTACTCTACTAGCGACACGCTTTGGTATGACCGCTGGAGTCAGGTTCTTGAAATCCTACCTGACTATGTTCAGCTAATTACCTGTAAGTACACCTCCCTCCAAATGCTACAACACACAGGTCTCAAAGTTCTTACATGTTAACCACAAACAAACAGGGAACGACTACGGCGAGTCCTCATACCTCAACTCGCCCGTGGTTTCGGAAATCGTTCCAGGCGCCAACGAATATGCCGAGGGAGTCGACCACACGGCCTTCCGCTTCGTGCTACCGTACTTCATCTCCGCATACAAGGCGGGCAACGCGAACGTCGCCCTCCCGTCGGGCGAGGGCGCGGTGGCGTGGTACCGCACGACCTCCAAGTCGGTCTGCGGCGACGGCGACACCGTCTGGGGCCAGGGGGGCACTGCATCGGCGGCCGACGGCACTGATGACGTGATCAGCGTCATCGCGCTGTCGAACTCGCCGGGCGCCGACATCACCGTCTCTGTCGGGGGCAGCTCCGCGACCGTCAAGGCCAGCAGCACCTTTGGCAAGGCCAGCCTCTACACCACGAGCTTCGCTGGCAAGACGGGCGACGTGACCATCACTGTGGGCGGCAAGACGCAGACCGGGCCGGCTATCTCGGGTAGCTGCCCCAGTTCGGGACATGTCAACTTTAATGCTGTTGCTGTTCAGATCTCATAGATTGTTTAGGTAGACAGCGGAAATCGTTACAATTCGGTACCCTTGCGTTGACACAGCTATTTGACTTCTGTCTCTGAATCTAAGTCCAGCTTTTACGCTCGCAGTTTAGGTATCTGCGCGAATTATATCAACCATGAATGTGATGCAGAAATAAATAGTGACTCTTATGGGACTGCCCAGTCTGTAATCAGGGGGTTTGGAACTATTGAAACCCACGGCCCTTTTGGGCGAGACCTTCGTATGTGTTCCTTGTAAGTTGACATGAACAGGAGCAAACCCGGGCCATGGTAGATTAAAGGCGCATTGACAATCACCGAGTCGCCGACGACGCCTCAAAGTAACGCTGAGCACTTCAAAGATAGTTTTAGAAGTAGTCGTTGAGTGGGATTAGATGGTAGCACTCGAGTAACTTGGAAGGGGAAAACAATATAAACCTGGTTCAGCAAGGATAAAATCTTGGGAGATGGTATGCCCCAGATATTGGGCCAGGAGGTAACAGTTGTTAAGGTAGGATATCTTGATTCATCGACCGGAGGAGGGCAATCCGTTGATCGAAACTGAGTATGACATGCGAGATGTGGAAGGGAGAATCGGACGGAGACAGAAGGGGCCAAGCGAGTGCGTTGACCGGGGTAGGTGGTGAATCAACGTGTTGGACGGGTCGCTGCCAAGCGATGCACATCCATGTGGTGTTCCAGAAATCGATCCAGAACTGACGGTGCTCATACCATATATCGCCGCTCAGCGTGTCCTGCAGGCCCGGTCTGGACTTGAGGAAGAAGTCGCGGCTACAACCTCCGCAGCACCACGTCCTATTGAACACTCTGTAGCGGGTAACATCGGTCGCTGACCTAACTGGAACTGTTCCGTTTCCATCGGCCATACATAATTCCACTTTGACCTCATCTGAGATGGAGGCCCTCTCAACGGGACCATATTCGGGGTACAAGTGGCAGCATGAGTAAATCCTTTGGAGATTCTCCCCGTGGCCGGATTGCGATTTGTCGAATCCTCGTAGAAAAATACCGTCGGCAGTTTACGACTGCGAAATGGTCGAACGGGTGTTCCAAAATGAGAGGTGACTCTCATGCGATTCTCCTTGGTGGACCTGTCCTAACCACGGTTCTCAGCTTCTCCATGTAGTTCCACGAGAAAACCGTATGAATCTCCTGTCACGTATACCAACGTAGATGGCGCATCTACGTAATACTCGCCCGTTGATTGTCTTAGTAGTGAGGGTCCTAGCCCGTCTAGTTCAGAATTTCAAAGAGACTCCGAATTGCCTCCACTGGAACCAGGTCTTGGTCGACAACTGTTGTTGCTACTGCCGGACGGGGTTTGAAGTGGTGGCCTCAGGCCTGGAAGATGGAATCTGATGGTTGTATAGCAGCTATTTTCGTGACGTATCGCATGTGTTGGGTCTTCATGTTCGTTTGGATATTCTGACAGAATTTTTATGATCAAGCGTCCCGAATAAAAAGATAGGAGCATTTGCATTCATAACCTGGCATCCTAGAATTGAACCGACAGAACCCAAATAATTATTAGAAACAAGTGGTCGGTAGCGTAAGACATCAAACCACAACGTATACTAGGGGTATTGAAGGGGTCATGTAATATTCTCTGGTCAAAAGAGTCTCCTCTTGATAGTCATCTGTGTTTGTAATGAAGCGCATAATATTATCCTTGAGAGCTCTTGGTATGAAGATGTCGTCATGCCACATCTTGCAACATAGATTTGGATGGTCTTGGTCAGTGATTTATGATAATATCAATCATGGAGCTGCACAGTCGAATTGAGTCGCCTTGGTCAACACAGAAATTGGAACGCCAGATCCCAGCTTTGTGACCAGCCGAAAACTTGGGAGGCGTTCCCTCAGGATGACATGGAGAGACATGCCGATGTAATAGGATGGCGTGGCAGTGGTAGGCAGAGCAGCCAATCTAGTCATCTTGTGATGTGCCTCAAGGATTTGCCTTGACACTAACTGTATCGTTAGTTCCATGAAATGTAAACGCTTAATTCTGTTTGTCGTAAGCCCATATCAGTACCATGGCCCTGTACCTTCGAGAAACATGACCAAGCCTGGACGTGAAGTTTGGTTAGAGTCTTGGAAATGATATATCAAGGACTTGTTGGTGCACCAAGGCATGGTGGTTTTTGCGGCTCTGCCGGACGACAAGGCAATAATTTTGAGGCACTCCTCATGTGCGGCCCCCAGCAATGGGATGAGAAACAAGAGCTCGGTACAAGCCGGCTTTTCTGCACGGGTGAATGTAGCTGTATCATACATCACATCTAAAACGTGATAAGAGCTCGTTGGGTTCTGAGCGTTGATTGATCTGTCGTGATGAATCCCAGTCTATTGATGTACAAGTCTTGGTCTACACTCTGCCCGCACCTCGATCGCGTATTTGATTCGTTTATTCCTCCTCTGCAAACTCGGCACGACCCTGCTTGGAGTTCAGGTAGTGGTTGCTATTGCGCGTTAGCCGTGGTTTGGAGGATCAAGACTGGATGCGGCCTTACCGGTGGATGGCCCAGTCCATGGCGTAGTAGAAGAAAACCATGGGGGTGGCGACGTAGAGAACCTGGGCGCTGAATCGTCTCCAGGTGTTGAAAATGGCGGCACTAGCAGCGCCGGCCAATGGGTTCTGTCGGTTAGAGCTCAAACTGTAGGTGGTGATACCCTTTTGCTTGAGACCGCCTGGTAACCATTGCAGTTAGCGCTCTGTTTCCCATACTGTCGTCGAGTTGCCGGTCGATTTCGTGTGGTCCCGCTCTCGAGGATCCAACGTCGCATTCCGCAGTGTCCTCTGTATGACGCCTTGCCGCCGTCGTGGTCTGTCCAATTTTGGTCGGGTGCATGGAACGTTGAGTCGGAACGGGTTCGGGCGCATGCGGAAGCAGGAATTGGGGATATTTAGTTTACTCACCAAAGTTGCCCCAGCCACCGAGGAACCTGGGATATTGGCATCAGCATCTTGTTCGTCACCGTGGTTGCATAGCGGTAGCACCCCGATGCACACGGTGCAGGCAAAAGCCGCAGGCGTTTGACCGGTGGTGCTACACAAGTGATGGTTGTACTCACTTGCCGTGCTTGCCGATGGGGCCCTCGCCGCCACCGCGAAGGATCTGAGTAGGACGCATGGTGGTCAATTGACGCTGTGAGGGGGGTGGTCAACTGAAGGGTTGGTTATCGTGATGGGTCGTGAGACTGTTGAAAGTGTGGATGGATTTGGACTTTTGGACTCTGGGCTTTGGACTTTGCCTCTGGGAGAGCGACGTCGAAATTGGAGCGAGCTGACTGGACGCTGCCGCACGAGCTTGTGCGCTAAGCCGCGAACGCATTAGCGCACAAAGACGTCCGATGCGACCCGCTTTTTGAGGTGAGCCTTCTGAGGTTAGCCTCGTAGTCGTTTCTGGCGTTCAGGCCCGGAAAGAAGCATGGGCCATCCAAAATTGTAAGCGTCAGGGAAGCTACGGGCATACCGCAAACCGCATACCGCATATCGAAGGAGAGCTTCACTCAGTCTTGCACTTCAGCACCTGTCGATTTCTATCCCACGGGCGTGCTGCGTTCTACCATCCGAGGACCACTTCGCCAACATGGACGCCAGACTTCTCAACACAGTTTCCAAGTATGCCGTACCCGCATTCGGCGCCTTCGCCCTGGCCAAGTCCTCCATCTACGATGTGCCCGGCGGAACCAGAGCCGTCATCTTCGACAGACTATCAGGTGTGAAGGAACAGGTTATCAGCGAGGGAACACATTTCCTGGTCCCCTGGTTACAGCGAGCCATCCGCTTCGACGTCCGAACCAAGCCGCGAAACATCGCCACCACCACCGGCAGCAAGGATTTGCAGATGGTGAGCTTGACCCTCAGAGTTCTACACAGGCCAGAGGTCACTGCTCTGCCCAAGATCTACCAGGTATGTTGAGTCTTTCCTGCATAACCTTCGCGCCCGTGCTCACACCGCAACAGAACCTCGGAACAGACTATGACGAGAGAGTGTTGCCCTCCATCGGTAACGAGGTCCTCAAGTCCATCGTAGCCCAGTTCGATGCCGCAGAGCTCATCACACAGCGTGAAGCCGTTTCCAACAGGATTCGATCCGACTTGATGAAGAGAGCAGCAGAGTTCAACATCGCATTAGAAGACGTCTCCATCACTCACATGACTTTCGGCAAGGAGTTCACAAAGGCCGTCGAGCAGAAGCAGATCGCACAACAAGATGCCGAGCGAGCACGATTCATCGTCGAGAAGGCCGAGCAGGAGAGACAGGCCAACGTCATCAGGGCCGAGGGTGAGGCCGAGAGTGCCGAGACGATCAGCAGAGCTATCGCCAAGGCCGGTGATGGTCTCATCCAGATCAGAAAGATTGAGGCCAGCAGGGAGATTGCCCAGACTTTGGCAGGAAACCCGAACGTGGCATATCTTCCGGGTGGAAAGCAGGGCGGCCAGTTCTTGCTGTCGGTCGGCAAGGCATAAAGCCTCCATGTATGATACGGAGCGGATGGAACTGGTAAAAGAAGGCAACCATGTACAATACAGAGAGGAGCTCTCTGATCTCCACTTCGGGTACGATATTATATCCATAATGTGACACTATTCAAGGCTCAAAATCTCATCGACATTCGCCTTTTTGCCGATGAGCGGTACACCCACGCCTCTGCTTAGATATGCCACTGTACAAACCTGACGCTCGAAGTGCGCCCCTGAATCTGCAGCCGCAAAGCGCCAAGGCACTTGCTCTTTTGCTGAACATTTCTGACATGATAAATGACTCGGAATGTTATGGAAGCCCATCCCGAGAATTCAGAGTGCCCGACAAGGCAATTGATGTTTTCGACGGAGACAGGCGTACACGCAATTCTGGTCAATAGTAGATGCCTGAGAGAGAATAGAGCTGATCTTTCTTATAGGGTGATCATGGGCTTATATACCTACAGTAGTAGTTACTGCTGCTCTATATTCCATGGGTGACTCCGCTCGTCATCTCTTCTACCGAGGACGGTGCTGACCACCATCATGGATACCCATGCCGACCTGATCATCAAGGTTGGCCAGTCCCCCAACGAACATGAATCTACCATTTGCTCAAGATCCGTGACACGTGCATCTACCGTTTGGGATAAACTCTTTTACAGCGCGTGGAAAGAGTCCAAGCCGCCTGACGGTGACTGGCGAGTCGAGTTTCCCGACGATAACGTTGACGTTATGAGTACCATTCGAATCGTCCATGGTCCCCTTGATACTATCCCAGCTATATTTGATAATTGCTACGTTTTGAAAGAATTATAGTTCTTGATGCTCCTACTATTCGCCTCATCATGAAGATCTGCCGGTGTCTATTGCATTTAGTACTTACAAACTTTCGCCTGACTGATTGTTTTGCGAAAACCTGAGACTTGTAGGGTTTAAATTTTGTTCAACTATTCCTCTAACATTTCTAGTACTAGCAAACGGATGCTCTGTAATCTAGCAAGTCTTTTCTGCAACAGTCTATGCAACAACCACATAATTGGAATATCGGCGGCGTGACTATGATCGCCCGTTTTGTGCCTGATGATACCAGTGGCCTTTCGGTGAAACAGCTACGGAATTCTACTGAGTTTGAGTTTATCTCTTATTCCTTTAGTGATTTCCACGCGTAAACAGTCATAGTTGCCGCAAGACTTTGTGCCCACCACTTACCTGCATGCCTCAGGTAGTTACTCGTGTAAACTCCCCTCGACCGCCCACCCACACACGAAAACGTCACAAACAAATTTCTTCCAACTCGAGTTAAGAGTTTTGTTCTTGCGCATTCATTCTTCACTACATCTATCTGCAACTCTTATTCATCGCGAACTAGAGTGCTGGCCATTCTTTAGAATGGTATCTCATCCGACTATCACAATGGACCCCCTCGGCGATCTGCGCCTCAAAGTCGGTCAACCCAACAATCAACGCGAGTTTATCGTCTGCTCGAGAACAATGCCTCGCGCTTTCAAAGTGTGGAACAGAATGCTATATGATCCTTGGCAAGAGTCTAAACCGAAGACGGACGATACTGATTGGGTTGTTGCCTTTCCTGATGACTATGAGGTCGCTATGGCCTACCGACCTAATCTCTGAGCCAGAAAAAGCAGGGAGACAATACAAAAGGATAACAGCTGACATGATATGTATACGTAGCGACCATTACAAGCCAGCACCATCTCTTCGTCGTAAAGCTTCTCAAATTATATCTCGAGACATTCCAACAGTGGTTGTTAGATCACACTAAGAGCTTCTGCACAATAGAGATGATTTTCATGGAGGCATCGGAGAAGGAACTCTGCCATCAGGCGATACTAGGCGCTATTATTTCGTCACTTCGAACTTTTGATTGCGACCCGCTCCTGGCTGGTCAACAGGAGCAGCAACAGGACTACAGAGGGTCAACCAAGGCGCTTCTTGCAGCTTTGAATAGTATCCAGTTGTTGAGCAAAGCTTTCGAAGGAGACGCTCTATCTAATCTAGTAGTCAACTATCGGTGCCATCATCAGAAATGCCGTCAGAATTTGCGGGTGCCGGACAACATTACGGAGGATTTCCACGGCGCTACAGTCGAGCTTACTGAGATTCAGAAGCGCCACCTCGAGTCCCAGGCGAAGAAGTCTGGGGTCGATGAAATTGTGCCAAAGTTTCGAGACCACGTGGTGGGACGAGGGAGGGGAGGTGGAAGAGGGCACATACATGAGTGGCAGAGGTTGAGGAGATAGAGGTACGAGAGGTAGAGGGAAGATGTTATTTCAAGTGTCATTTCTACAAGGATTCAATTAACTTACATTCTTACTATACCGCAAACATTAGGCGAAGTAACTCGGACGTTGTAAGGCTTGAATTCAAAATCTCCCCGCTAAAGCATATCTTGTCGCATAGCTACTATCTTGGTTCAGTAGTTAAGAACAATACATATTCGTTCTGTGCTAGTCACTTGGATGTCGTATATTCGAGTGGTACAGCGATCCGTTTTGGCGAGTGGCTTGGTTTGGTGTTGTCAATTGCATGATTGTGACTGGTCGCAAGCAAACCAGTTTGTGACGAGCTGTAGCCTGTAACACCGGCGAAACACCGGCTATCGTGACTTGGGACTTCCCGAACCTCAACCAAGCTTCAACCTCATCATCCGGAAGGTTCATCGTCAAACAACGAATTGCTCCGTGAAATCAGCCACTATGGCGTCCAAAGCAGTCACAAAAGCTGCCGGAGGCGTGATGAGCATCAGCCAGGTAATTAACATCCAGCTCCCCGTCCAATCCGGTTCGCCAGAGAGCCCACTCATCAAAACAAAGCATACTGACGTCTTTGGTCTCCCCAAACAGAAGCACACCCTCCAATCGACAGGAATCTGGGAGCGCATCCGCCGCGCCTTCGCCGTCGACCCCAACCGCAGCTCCGGCGTGCCTCTGAACCCCTTCTTCCGCACCCCGAACCCGGGCAGCAACCCTCCCCTCGGCTACGACGACCCGGTCACGGTCCCCGCGGGCGACATCGCAGACAACCCGTACTGGAAGCGGGACTCGCGGCGCGCGTACCCCAAGCTGTCCTTCGTGAGCCAGGCCGACGCCGTCGCTCTGCTGGGCGTCGGCAGCGCCGCCACCCCCAAGCAGGAGCTCGTCGGCGAGGCCGGACAGAACGCCCTTGTGGCCGCCAAGAGCGAGGGCACCGAGGGTGGTCTAGCGCGCTACTTTGAGGCCAAGGGGCCCGCGGTCGCACAGGAGCTGCTGGTCAACGGTCTGCCGCCGTTGCCCAGCGGTCAGGCCCTGAAGCCTGATGGAAGCGGCCAGTGGGAGGCGGCCCCGTACGAGTTGAAGGAGGAACAGTCATATTCCGATGCGTGAGTACTAGTTTCCATCCGAGCGGGCCTTACGAAAAATTATGGACAGAAGATATGCTAACAGCCCACAGGTACCCCTGCCGAGTGTTCAAATAGACAAAGATCCAGAGAGGAGGGAGAGAAAGCAATTTGTACATATGACGGCATGGGTTTAGATTTCATCACGGGCCGGCTATGCTCAGAGTCAAACTGAGATCATATTTCCTATCGTTCCAACTATCATTTGTCTAAATCTAGCAGAACCCGTGAATCCGTAGGCTTCTCACGTTTGTCGTTTGACCAGCCTAGTTTGCACCCTTGGTGAAGGATTGTTGGATCTGAGGACGAAACTGCGCCCGAATGTCCCTTTGCAGACTCGGACATATGATTCCTTACCGTAAGACTAAGACTCAGTGTCTTCGGTAGCTGTGCACGACCTGTTCGTTGGGCGGGAGGATTTGACTTGGCCAATGACGTGCGCTTCAGCGAACGAATGCCCTTGCGGTGCGGTGGTGAGGCAGTGCAAGTCTCTTGGGGGGAGACTGCAAGCCGATGGAGGTGTAGGTGTAGGTTTCCATTCGAGATGGGAACTCGGTTTCATATCTCATTTCGAGGTGGAGGTGGACTTTGTTTGGGATCGGCCTTCTCAGCATCTTCCCCGAGCATCCTCTCTACGATCTTCAGCTTTCCCTGAGCCCGCTTGAAGCGATCATCAAAGTCGTTGACGGCCTCGTCGTTATTCTCGGCAGACAAGGTCCCGGGCTCGACGAGTGCATGTAGTGAGCTGACGTTCTTTTCTAACCTCGCATTGCTGGCCAGTGGTGGCAGTTGCAATTCTGCGGCTGCCTGTCTTGTAGAAGATCGAGGCCCACTCGCTGCACCGGCGGCTCCGCGTAGATTGGACAGGCGGTTGGCCCAGACTATGGCTTTGCCCTGTAGACGGCCTGCCTCTAGGAACTTCTCGTAGCCCGACTTGAGCCCGACAGAGCGACCTTCGATCTTGCCAGATTGGTAGCCATCTTCATACCCCTGAGTATACCCCTGTTCATAATATCCGTCCTCCAAATTCAGGACGTCTTCAAACGGGTCCGACGCCATTGTGAAGGTGTTTCAGTAATCGTTTGACAAATCACGACTGTAGATGCGAATGGAGTATGAGCCTGCACAGGGACCCTTCAAAGACCATGAGATCAGTTTAGGCTGAGGTGTAGCAGAACAGAAACTGCTGAGCAGCCAACAAGGACAAGGCTGAAGGATGCTGAGGGCGCGGAAGGGCGCTGAAGGGCGTGGCAAGGCGTGCTGAATGAGTAAGGCGATGGAGGGGCAGTTTTGGGCTTTTGCGCGTTCGCTCTGCTCTTTCGGATCACCCCGCCATTGCGCAGTGCAGAAGCTCCAACTAAAACTCCCCCCCGCCAAACAATAAGGGTCCGATCCCTCTCACACCATAAACCTCGCCGTGACTCAGAAGTGTTCGACCGCAATCGCTCGTGTGACCTGAGATTTCCTGCATTCGAGTACCGCATCCCTTCCTCCGCTCTGATTCGGAATCTGTTATTGAACTCTCGCGCCCACCGGCAACAATGGCGACCCCGAAAGTCATCCTCCCGGAGAAGGGAAAGCAGAATACCCTCATCACCTCTGCGCTTCCGTACGTGAACAACGTGCCACACCTGGGAAACATCATCGGCAGTCTTCTCTCCGCCGACGTCTTCTCGCGATACAGCAAGCAGCGAGACCGACCAACATTGTACATCTGCGGCACAGACGAGTGTAAGACACCTGCGGCTCCAGAAGTACTCTTGGCACCAAACAAATATACAAGAAGAAGTAATTGCTGACTCAAGATGCGGGCAGACGGCACCGCCACCGAGACCAAAGCTCTTGAGACGAAGCAGACCCCCCAGGAATTATGTGATGAATTCCACGTCAAACGTAAGGACCCTTTGAGTCTCCTCGTCCAAAGGTATAGTCCAAGCTAATCCCCCTTCCAGACGCCCACATTTACGAATGGTTCGAGATCGGATTCGATTACTTCGGAAGAACAACCGTATGTACAAGACACGACCTGCGCCCTCCAGTTCGACCTGTCATTCGAGAAGCTCAGTATTAGTCTGTGGTCTTGCCAGACTCGTGATAAATACTCAGCGTCGTCATGGAAAAAAGACAGCTAATTAAAGTGTTTTCGTAATACAGACCGCCAAGCAGACCGAGATCGTACAGGATATATTTCTCAAGCTGCACAAGAACGGCTTTCTCGAGGAACGCACCACGACGCAGCCCTTCTGCCAACATGAAAACCATCAGGCGTTCTTGGCCGATCGATTCGTCGAGGGCACCTGCCCCAAGTGCCAGTACGAGGACGCAAGAGGAGACCAGTGCGACAAGTGCGGCAACTTGCTCGACCCTCTCGAGCTGATCAACCCCAAGTGCAAGGTCGACGGGTCCGCACCTGTTCCCAAGGAAACTACACACATCTTCCTGCTACTCGATAAGTTGTCGCCCAAGGTCGAAGAATGGTTCGAAAAGTCCAGCCAGGAGGGTCAATGGGCCTCAAACGGCATAGCAATTACCAAATCTTGGTTGAACAGAGGACTTGAGGTATGCGACTCCCATGTCCTTCATCACATTTCTTGGCCGTTGCCTCTCGCCGTCTTGGGAGGCGATTTGAACCTGCCCCCTGTCTTTATTAAAGGGAGAAATACTGACTTCTGATTCTCATATAGGGCCGCTCGATTACTCGTGATCTTAAGTGGGGAGTGTATGTACATAAATCAAAATACACCCTCAATTTCCCTTTGTTATTCGACGAGATACCAGTCGATAACCTTCCCGGCCTGTCTCTTGAGACGTCAGACTTGTGGTCTGGCTCAAGCCAGAACCCTAAGAATGCCCTCATTGCCATGGAGAAAAACCAGCTGACTGAGATGTTGTAGTCCTGTACCACTACCTGGGTACGAAAAGAAAGTGATTTATGTCTGGTATGTGATTCCCAGAGAGCCTTTACCACTCATTTTCAGCTGTCCCTTTTGTTGTCGCAGGAGCCGATTTGAATCCATTTTTGCCCCTGTCTAGACAGATAAATACTAACTTCTGATTCAGGTTTGATGCGTGCATTGGATATCCCTCAATCACAGCGAATTACACGTAGGTGTCTTGAAGATTGGCCCTGGAGCATGGCTGACAATATTGAAAATAGCGATGAATGGGAACAGTGGTGGAGAAACCCCGATGAAGTCAAGCTTTATCAGTTCATGGGCAAGGACAACACGCCATTCCACACCGTCATCTTCCCGGCTACACAGCTGGGCACCGGTATGCTGCTCCCATAATCTTCCACTACTGTCCTTGGCCATCTTCCTACTGTCTTAGAAGACCGCAAAACGACATTTGTGTGCGTATTCGAGTACAGTATTGCTAATCCCTGGCTGTTGTATAGGCGACAAGTGGACGCAACTGAACACTCTCTCAACCACGGAGTATTTGAACTACGAGACGGGCAAGTTCTCCAAGTCGAGAGGCGTTGGTGTCTTTGGCGATACGGCACAGGAGATCGGTATCCCGCCTTCAGTAAGCAATATCAGGAGCGTCAGGCTATCTAGACTAAACAATTACTGACTTGAACCAGGTCTGGAGATACTACTTGCTTGGAAGCCGGGTATGTACACTAGACTCTCTGAATTGTTACGGTTTACTAATCTTTACTGAATTTATAGCCGGAAACTGGTGACACTCAGTTCCTCTGGTCAGATTTTGTGGCGGCCAACAACAACGAGCTCCTTGCCAACTTCGGCAACTTCTGCAACCGTGTTATCAAATTCGTCAACGCTAAACTGGATGGTGTCATTCCTGACTTCTCAGTAACCTATACTGATGATAGTTTCGATTTCCCGGGCTGGATCGACGAGGTCAACACATCTCTCAAGGAGTACATTGACCTCATGGATGGTGTTCACTTGAGAGCTGGTAGCAAGAAGTTGATGGAGATCAGCTCCAAGGGTAACAATCTGCTGCAATATCGTCTTGATAATGCTGCTCTAGCCGAGCACCCCGAGCGTACCAGTATGTATATCCTCATGTTCGGTGGCATTGAAGTAGCAACTGACAATTATAAAGAAACCGTCATCGGTCTTGCACTGAACCTGTGCAACCTCCTCGCTTCAATTGCATCTCCATATATGCCCTCAACCTCCGAGGACATCGTCAAGCAGCTCAACACTAAGCTCGCCTTCATTCCCGACACCTTCCATGCCGATGCCTTGAAGCCTGGCCACAAAATTGGCAAAGCAGCCTACCTCTTCTCGAGGATAGACGAGAAGAAGATCGAAGAGTGGAAGGTAAAATACGGTGGTACACAAGCTTCTCGCGCCGAGGAGGAGGCCGCGAAGCTGAAGAAGCAGCAGGAGAAGGAGCGCAAGAAGGCCAAGAAAGCTGCCAAAAGAGCTGAAGAGAAGGCTGGTGCCGCTGCTGAAGCCGGATCGTCAAGCGAGCAACCGAAGATTGACGGCACTGTGAGAAACCTACCTATCCGACAAAAGGTACTAGACAAGGAGGGTCCTCTGACGACAGACGCGAGCATTGTACCAGAGTCGACCGCTCCCAAGACCGAATAAGGTACGGGTTCTGATGGTAAAGAGGCACTATGATGAAATAAAGAGATAATCAAAGGTGGTTCGGCGTTTGGGGATAAGCTCGATATGTATTCTGGTCCGTGGGCATAAGAAGCGTGGATGGAGCGATGATATGGATCTGGGCGACTAGATAGACGGCATTGAAGCGAGGCGCGTGCGGTGCTGAGAAGACAGCTTGGTCTAAGCTCTTAGATAACACAAACATGAATTTGCCAATGTACTGAGGGTATGTGAGTGGTACATCTTTGTTTGCAACCCTGGGCATTCAGATGCACGGCTAGATACATGTCCCATTGTCACTTTTATCCTGTTCAACCTTTCATGATGAACACCGACATTGCCATATTCCGCTTACGGACTTCAGTATAATTTATGTTCTTATCGTACGTCCTACGTTTTCCCCCCAAAATTTAATGTTAACCTTGTTTTTGATCATCTCCTAATTAGGTCTGGTATATGCGAGTAACCTTGCCTGGCACGTTCTCACCTGCAGCTATTTCCCCGTAAACGTCACTACCCGCTCCCGATCTGCATCTCACGATTTCGATCGCACTTTCGAAATGCAATACGTGATTGGTGCAAACCCAATAACATGGTGCTAACTCGTGGAGAGAACACAAAGTGAGCTGGGGCGACTTGAACCACATCTGGCCCAACCTTCGCCCTGGCCACGTCGTTGTATCGAAGAGTTTGATGCTTCGGTTGCTAAAATATACACGATCGTATACTATTGCCTGGAAGAACAAGTCGAATGCCTCACTTTTAGATTTGCCAATACTTTATTTTCTTGTGACTTGGTGATTAAAACCACCCATGTTTTTTGTCGACTAGTCTAGGCTCTTATTCGAAATATCCAAGGGCTGGCTCTCATGGATTGTCTTGTCGATAAATCTTGATCTGCGGTCAGTCGTTGTCACAGAACATTGGATATGACTTCGTGGATCCCCCGACCGCGACTTGTAATGGCGGTGGTCGTCTCTTTACATAAAATATTCTCCTCACGGACCAAGTAATAACTATATTTCAGATCATGTCTTTGCCGGTGTAACCATGCCTTCGGTATAACGCCCCAATAGTTATTTGAAGTCTGATGACTGATGACGGCGGGGTGTAGGTAGCCAATGATTGCAGGCATGACAAAGGCAGTAGCCGATAGCACAGAAGATAGTTGGGGCAGGTTTGCATCTAATAGTAGTCCGATATCTGGGTTCTCTCACGTGTATGACTCTTGCACCGGCGGCGCTCAGTCCTTATAGGTTCTGCGCAGGAGCCCACCGGAATCTGATTCACTGACTTTCGTGCCAGAGCAAGCTTCCCCATATTCACGTACCCCCGGCTACAGGGGTGATGACATCAACGGATGTGTATTCTATAGGGTCGACCGGTTCGTTGTGCCCGTCTAAGGTAGTGTGGCGGCACCGAACTCGAATCTGGTATCAGGGGTGAGACAACAATTATCAATCATACGGCTCTGTACAAGTTCACTCACTTTGGAAATACTGCTAGCGATGCAACCGTGGACGCTCCTCTCAACCCCTTGTTCATCATTGATCTCACGGACCTGCCTGATACGCGGGAAAGTGGCTCGGCTGCAGTAGATCCCAACACTGGGCGGATGACGGGCACTCTAGCTGCCGCGGAAGAAAGTTGGAAGGAAAATCTGTCGGTCATACGTATCAACGCAACAGGTGTTGACGATTCGGTACATACCATCTTCTGGAGCGGCACCTATCGCGCTATGCTGAGTCCACAAGACTATACCGGCGGAACCCCACTGTGGGAGAGCGACGAGCCTTACTGCGACTCCTATCATGGCACCCGGGACTCGTTCAGGAGTATTCACCTTTTTATTACGCTTGACGACCCTCATTCGCAAACCCAGAGGATTCGATCGCTCATTGAAATATATCGACACGAGGGATGGCTGCCGGCTTGCCGCATGTCGCTCTGCAAGGGCTTCACGCAGGGCGGATCGAATGCTGATGTGGTATTCGCCGACTCCTTTCTCAAGAATATCACCCTACATGTCGACTGGGCGGCATGAAACGAGGCTCTCGAGAAGAGCGCCGAGGTAGAACGTCCAGTCTGGGATCTCGAGGGTCGCGGCGGGCTCAGGAGCTAGAAGAAGCTGGGCTAACCTGTACAGCTTGTTGAGTGCTACTATTTATGAGATTCCTGATACGTGATGTTGCTATTGGGATAATACTACTAAGGCCTTTTTCTTCCCTCAGGACAGCTTATTACCGCAACCGTTCGAACGTCATGGTGGCAGTTGTTAGCTACGAACATAAAAACCCAAGACATGCCGATTAGGCATTATAAGCAATAGCAGGTAAGAGATGATCGTGCTAAGTGTACATGACTATGTCTGAGAATGCTCAAGGGTGATAAAGGTATCAATTACATTGGCAACGGTCATGTTCGTAAGCTAATTTATTTTCCTACTGTGGACGATAGGGGGGAGTATGGTCAATTCATTGTCACGTTCATCTATGGATCTCCAGCATGATCGCTTCGTAGGCTAACCCGTCAGCGTTAGAGGCCTGCATCTCTATCCTCATCCCGCTCGGGCATCTTCTCAAAGTGTCTTCGCCAATAGCAGCGGCCATCTTCTGTTTGATACTCGCATCATTGAGTATCCAGAATATGAGAATGACCTAGTTTCTGGATAACGTTCAATGTTAGTCAGTACGAATGTGGAGAGGATATATAATGACAAGTGGAGGTTGACCTACCTCTTTTCCCTGCCCGAGTTATATTCCAAGTTGTATCCAGCCCAGCACCACTCATCTTCGGGGAGACTAGAAAGGAACTCGTCATATTCCTAACTTCTGGAATTTATGTCGATTACAAATGTTTTAGTATGTGCTATCGAGCTTATGAAGGATGTGTTGCACTTCTGAAAAGCCGCCACGCAGTCGTCACTAAATGAGACACCGGCCATATTGTTCGGTTGTGAGGATACTTAATAAAGTCGTCTTAGTGACCTTCCGTGGCGCGTTCAAGTAATTCCCCTAACTGTGAAAAACAGCGTGTAACATAGAGTCGGTCTGAGAATGATACGAGCCATGGCAACCCTATAACCCTTTGCAATGGGCAGCGGCGCCATGGCGCGTATTTATACACGAACTAGTGAGTTTAGGATCAATATTAAATAAAATATTCGCGCTTCATCACACTGTGCGCGTGTCCATGACAAATGGTGTTTCTCTAATACAAGATAGACAACAAAATGCCGATCTCTCCTGACATAGTTCCGAGGACCTACGCCCATCATCATCAGGAGCCTATGCATTCAAAGACGACATGAGGAAAATATTCGATTCTGCTGATTATATGCGACGTCGATGTCACTGATAGACATACGGTACTAAAAATCAAGAGAAGCAAAATAGGCAGTTTACCACGGAACTCGCTGAAAAGTTTCGTAACTATGCTGGTGTAGAGTTTCACGACATGTCGGCGACAGAAACGACATCATGGTAAGGGTGAACGATAGGGGAATGATACTTACGGTCCAATCTTGTTTGTGTAGCGACGTGTTCACGTCAGCTGGTTTGTTATATGGGCAAACGTGATGCTCCACTTTAGACAGGCGTTTGTTAGGTGTTGTTTTTTCATGTGGCGACGTAATGCGTCTAGCCAAGTGTTGTTAAGTGTTTGTTCTTTCATGGGGCGACGTAATACGTTTAGTCGAGTGCCATACAGCGACTGAAGAAGCCTCAATGCTTTCAGGATCTTCTGGTGTTTGGCAGAATTGAGCCTGATCCCTATTGAATGTGTCAACATAAGATGCGCGCTGCTGAATCGGCCATGATGATGTTTCTGTTTTGGAAAAAGCATGCGACTAGATCGGCATAAGCATACATCGTGTAGAGCCTATAATTCTCGATTAAGCCTGTGGATTGATTAGCTAGTCCGTCAACTACTCAGAATTGACCTTCGTGCCGCCGCTACTTTGGAACAGTCTATAAGTAATACAGCTTGATAAGGCAGCCACCTCTGAATGTTGGGTGATATTTGACTGTGCCTGGCTGGGTTATGTGGTCAATGCAAGGGAACAAACACTACTTCACAAATACAAGAGTCCCGAGAGATGTGTCTTCGTGCGTCTGCATTTCTTCTTCTAGTGGTATTAGTCCAGTACATTTTGTCCATCCTCCAAACGCCGTCTCATGCTTGCTGAAACCCAAACAACCAAATTGCCAAGACTCGGCCTATTTTACACAATGATGCTGTCAGCTTGCTCGAGCCAGATGTTGGCAATGTCCTTCGTCAGACCGAGTCTGATCTTCTTGAGCACGTCTGCCGAGGTGCTTCCTGCGAGCACATTTGTACGCCAATCCCAAGTTCGCTTAATAGGACCTTTGAGAACACCACTTTCCCTAATGGACTTGTGCAACTGCGAAGCCATCATGGAGCTCCCAGTCATCACAAAGCTCCCACCAAGAGATCCAGTCGACTTCTTAATTAAATCAGCTGGTGTGGAGCCCTTGCCGTGACCAGAAGACATGACAATCTGAAAGAACGCATCTGCTGCATCATAAACTCTGGAGCCGACAGTCTGGATATCTTCGACTGCTTTCAGTAGAGTAGCGAGCTGATCTTGGGTAAGAACGGTAGGTGTTTGGTTGACGAAGACGGAAGCTTCACCGAGTAAAGCTAGAATAAAGTCCTCGCTGACCACTGCATCGCGTGTATCGTCATACAAACCACCACGAATATTGTCATCGGCGCTGGCAACGACGAAAGATAAAGCCGTTGCAGCTTGCTGCCGTCGCGTGAGCGACCGAGAATTACCTATGCCATTGCCATCTCTGAGTTCATAGAATTTTCGTAGGGTAGCGTATCCGCTGAGCATCTTACCAAGCAGCTCTGCAGCTTCAAGATCCTGTACGGCGAACTGCTCAAGAGTTGCGGTACGCTCCTTGAGAACCAATCGAAGTCGATCGTCCAATTCGCTTTCCGGAGGGTACGTGGTAGATTCAGCTAGGGAGATCGACATGAGCCCGTTAAGCACATCTCGAACCTTGCCAGGCCGGTGAGCCAATGCATAGTACCAAAGCATATCACCGAATCTGTAGGTATCCTCCCTCAGGATGTCACCATATCGCTGCGAACTGTTAGTAACGACCTTCAATCATATTATTGCTTACATACCTCAGCTGTATCCTCGGCGAAGTTGATCATGCCGAGGTCGTTGAGAAGTGACCACATCTTGTTGACAGTTGCTTGACTATCAGGCTCAAGCTGGTCAAGTATACTTTGCAATAGCTCGTTAACCAACTCCTCGGAGCGGGCGGCGTCATCCATTCGTCCGACAACTTGAACAGCCAACTCCCAGCCTTCTCTTGTGACCGGGGATGTTACTCCATTTTTCTTGGTGATACGCCCGGTGAGTTGCTTGATGTCGTTTAGGCCGCGTGCGTAGTGGTTTAGCGTGGCGTCTTTAATGCCATCTTGATCTCCCCTTTCTGGGGTTCTGTCGAGGCCAAATACCTCAAGATCTTCCTGGCTGAAACTGTTCGGCAGATCAATGAGGTCTGCCTCCGAGACGGGTAGCCAACAGCCTAGCGAAGCTATCTCGGCCACAGCTGATGCGATGGGAAGTGACCAGGCCCGCAAGAAACCAATGATACCCTCTACATTGCTCTCGAAAATAGAAGCAATGCATACTTCAACGGGATCGAGCGAGTTGAAGTGGAAGTCGGAGTCCATAGCAGCGCGGAAGGACAAGGCGAGGCGGTCGAGCCAGTCATCGTCGCCGCTAGGTTGAACTGCTAAGGAGTGTGACCGTGATAACGACATGCCTAGCTTTCGGTTGCTGTGGCCATCATCCCACCAACCGAAGAGGCCGATAGTCGCTTCACACCAATCTTGGGCAGCTGCTGTAATGGCTTCGGCTTCGCCAATGAGAATTGAGTAGAGCGATTGAAGAGCTTCGTAGATATCCCACGGCAATCGGCTCTCGGCTTTCCTTGCAAGCCCCGTAAGAGTTCTTGGGTTGGATACTTCGGGGTTGCCAAAACGAGTATTTGGACGATGCGGCCTATCCTTTCCTTCCGCAAAATTGATCAGGTTCTCTTTCGCTGCCTTTGCCTTGATTCGAAACAGAGTCCAATCGCTGCTGCGGATATCCCAGTTTTCGTCTTTCATGCCCGGACAGATGTCCATGATTGAGCAGACGTCTTCGACAACGCGGTTGATATTCAGTAGAACTTGACCAGTGTAGGCCTTTTCGGCCCGTGTGCCTTTCTTGACCTGGTCCCAGTCTGCTCGTCTTAGTAGAGAGGCTGCGGCTTGAACATTGCCTCGAATCAGAGACATGTAAACTCCTTGCCAGAACAGGCTATGAGCAGCAGGTGCGGGCCGATGGCCTTTGATGCTTTCTATCTGATCTCTACTTGGGTCATGATAGTCATCTTGCCATTTGAACAGCACCAGGGGTAGCGGTACCACCTGAGTCCCGCCAAATTGGTTCCTGAGGAGGGGCGTGTGGTGAATCCGGAAGACCATTGATGCTATCCACGATGCCTTCTCGAAGTCAGGCTCGTTGGGTCCTGGTCCAACTTTTGCTTCATGCTCCTGGTTGCCCTTGGGAAGAGAAGCCGAGTAGGGCTCCCAGACATGCTCGGACAAGCGGTCTGCTGCAGTGGCCAAATTCTCCTCCAACCTTTCCTCGTCGTCTTCGGCGCCAACACCCTCATTGAAGAGTCGGCTAATGATCTCTTCAGTAGGTAGGATGATGTCCGCCGGCTCGGTAATCTTAGCATATCCCATTTGACCGTAGAGGTCCTTGGCAACAGCGGCAAAGTTGAACTCGCGCCTAGGGCCGGATATGGAGCGCATGGCTGATGCGCGGAAGATATCGTCGGCCTCTCTCTGCATTCGCTCGGTAGCGGAGGGCATGGCAATGTCCATGTTGTCGACACCAAATGGGTCTTCAGTAGTAGCATCGGCGATTTCTTGTAGGAGTTCCTCCTCGATGTCATAATCGTCACCTTCAGCGTCCATCTGGTCATCTTCGGGCAGTTCGTCATCGTAGTCCTCCTCCAGCTCCTCGTCTTCGTCTTCGTCTTCTTCGTCTTCGTCCTCTGCGTTGGTGTTGTCCAGCTCGGACTCGTCTTCGGAATCGTCAAAATTCATGGCATAAGTTCCGGAACGCTGAGATGGGATAATATCCTCCTCCTCCTGATCGTCATCGTCGCTGAGGTCGTCCAGGACAGAATACGAGTGCTTGCTAAGCCCCGAAGGCTGTCGGGCGCCAGTACCACGAATCGAGCTGGCCAGTGGCCCTCTGCTTCGAGGCTTATGTGAGCTTCCCAGGTTCGGTCTTCCGAAGTTGGGGGGCTTGGGTTTGGTGGTTCCAGTCATGGCACCAATGGAGCTCTGCAGGAAGGAAGGTGAAGGCTCGCCCGCCGGGGTGAAGGATGGTGCAGAAGACGGTGGCGGCGGGGGGCCAGCAGGCGTTGTCGTAGGATGGTCCCCCCCGAAAGAAAACAAAGAAGCAGCTGCAGCCCGTTGTTGTTTCCTCTGCGGAGTTGCAGGCGAGCTTGAATCGGGCATCCTGAACATGTTGGCGTCTGGAATGCTGTCCGGGTTCGAAATTGCACGTTGAGACCAAGGTAAACACCTGCCAAAGCTGGATTTCTTTTCTAGAGCTTAGCGTCGCATGAAGAATTATCACAGGCGATTGATCTCTTGGAATCAGCTGCCTCAATTGCGAACACTCCCCGAACAGAAAGGAGGAATTTAGAGCTGTGATGGAAATTTATTGATTCGCGATAGCTTGTAGCTCTAACTCAGGCGTAGGCGCGGGCATGGGCAGAGGCACAGGCGACGCGATTTCAAAAGTTCTCAACTTGCAGCAAGCTCAAGTGGTAAACGTGCACGGGCCAGACAATCCCTGTCCGCCAAAGCTTTTCTGCTCTTCGTTTTCTTCAGCAGCTGTGATCCGTGGAGTTCCAACCACAGTATAAAGAATAGCTTCACCCCGTTTGTACAACATCAAGTTTGAGTTCATGTAACCGGGCTGACCCCATATGGTTTGGAGTTGTCATCTGAGAGGCCCATTCTTTTGCAATCTCTCCGTGGTCCAAGGGCTTAAAAAGGCCAGTCGTTCTTCCAATCTGTGCTTTGTGTCCCCAGGTGTTTTGGACGAGATGAACATACTCCATGTTCGGAACGCCGGCAGGAAAGGTTTCGTGTGTACAAACAAATCATAGTCTTGAGTCACAGTGCCACCCCAGTTATGAGGTAGTGCGTGGCGATACCTTGTTCTGATTTTTATCTTCGAACACAGCGACATTGAATCACAAGAAGCCCAAGATCTCGCGCTCGCCGTGCTCGGCTTCGTTGTATAAATTCCGTGAGTATTTGCAGAGGTGGACAAGGAGATATCTCGGGCTTTGGGTCCTCTATGAGAATGAGTCAACCGGCGTGTGAGATCTGCTTGCTTGCTATACCTAAGCCGCTTACTAATTTCGAGTCTCTTTGGCGAGTTCGCGAGGCGATCTGAGGTGGGTTGGTCGCGAGTATCTCGCAAATTCGCAATGCCATGACCGGCCACTTATTTGACCATTGCCTGCGGGCTGCGAGACAGGAGATAAGCGGTTAATTGCCGTTACTCGTGGGGGCGGAACTGGAGCCGATCACATGGTCAGAGCCAGTTGAAGAGGAGCATTTCGAATTACAGCAACAAGTGACATCAATACCAAGAATGCCATCTCATCTGGCCCCACCAAACATATCGTGTAGGAATAAATATCCTTTTGGGCGGGGCTCATATAGATCTCCGCACGGAAACCAGCTTCATACCCGCAAGAGCTACACCTATATTAAATTTAGGCTTTGGGTTCGGCAGTACCAATCTTGCACTCTGCTTGAACACATATAAGACTGCGAGCCCCTGACTGACCGAACCCGATCACATCAATTGTCTTATTCATCCTACCATTTTTCTACTCGTACACGATGTCTGACACAGTTGGCAAGGTCCGTCGATTGCCCCCGTTCTACCCCGCGCATCGCGTGGAGGGGCAGCAGCTTGGAAAGCTAACTCTAAAACCGTCATAGACCATTACTTGCAAGGCCGCCGTGGCATGGGAGGCCGGCAAGCCGCTCAGCATTGAGGATATCGAAGTCGCACCCCCCCAGGCTCATGAAGTCCGTATCCAGATTTACTACACTGGAGTTTGTCACACAGGTGCGTTCACCCAGCTTCCGCATTGCCAAGCGCGAGAAGCCGAAGCATGTCCGAGAGACCCGGAACTGATGTACTTTCCCCGCTCTAGATGCGTATACACTGTCCGGAAAGGACCCCGAGGGTGCATTCCCTATTGTCCTTGGTCACGAGGGTGCCGGTCTCGTCGAGTCGGTCGGCGAGGGAGTTACCAACGTGAAGCCTGGCGACCACGTCGTTGCTCTCTAGTATGTGGACCCTTACCGATTACACATGCCCGGGGCTCACTCCCGAGTCTTCCCCAGTCACGTCACGGCAAGACATCCGACTAATCTTAACCCTCTCGCAGCACACCCGAGTGTAAGGAATGCAAGTTCTGCAAGTCAGGAAAGACAAATCTATGCGGCAAGATCCGAGCGACACAGGGTAAGGGAGTTATGCCTGATGGCACCTCCCGATTCAAGTGCAAGGGCAAGGACCTGCTTCACTTCATGGGAACCTCGACCTTCTCGCAATATACCGTGGTAGCAGATATCTCCGTCGTTGCCGTGCAACAAGATGCTCCTATGGACCGAACATGTCTGTTGGGATGTGGTATCACAACGGGTTACGGTGCCGCCAGAATCACTGCCAACGTTGAGGAGGGTTCAAATGTCGCTGTTTTCGGCGCAGGCTGTGTCGGACTCTCTGTCGTGCAGGGTGCCCTGGTACAAAAGGCGGGCAAGATCATTGTTGTCGATGTGAACCCTTCAAAGGAGGAGTGGTCCAAACAATTTGGTGCTACCGATTTTGTTAACCCTACGAAGCTCGGCGACCAAAGCATCCAAGACAAGCTCATCGAGATGACAGATGGCGGCTGCGACTACACCTTTGACTGCACCGGTAACGTCGGTGTCATGAGGGCGGCTCTTGAGGCCTGCCACAAGGGATGGGGCCAGAGTATCATCATTGGTGTTGCCGCTGCGGGCCAGGAAATCTCTACTCGACGTAAGTGCTCTAATCTGGTTGTTTGTATTCGGATACGATACTGACAGAATTTAGCATTCCAACTGGTCACTGGCCGTCAATGGAAGGGATGCGCTTTCGGTGGTGTGAAGGGTCGTTCTCAATTGCCTGGCCTGGTCACGGATTACCTCGAGGGTAGGTTAAAGGTTGATGAGTTCATCACCCACAGAAAGACGCTGCCCGAGATTAACCCTGCATTTGAGGTAATGAAGGCAGGAGACTGCATTCGTTGCGTGGTTGACATGAAGAACATTTAAAAGGTTGAGTGCGAGTAGAAAGCCATAATGCAGGCGGTTCATTAAAAAATGAGGAGAAAATGTACCCGGATGGCCATCCCACCACGCCTGGCTAGCTTTTCGCAATACAGAAGTAAAATTAAAAAAAAAAAAATTTCTTTCCAATTTTTTAACTATCAAAGAAGAGTTTACATCGCACCCTCATGGTATCTTCGTTTGTGTTTGAAGTTTTCAACTAATTGCCTAGTCATACGCACGAGCGCTGGTATAAAGAGTATGCGCCACCTCTGGTGAAGACGTTGCCCGTACTTCCAAACAGCAGTGGGTTATAGATTTCAGCGAGGAGCTTGAGAAATAGCTTTGCCACCCAGGTTGATCGGAACACCAATACCAGAAGCAATGTTACTTTTTCCACGAATTCGTGACGAGTCCATTGCGACAATGCTGTTGATGATATTGATAGAAGGTTGGCGGTTTTGTACGTCGGACGCGGCGCATCTATGCAAATGCTAGCGCTATCGTGATCAACCTAAATCCTGGCTGCATATATCCATGACAGGGTCTGGACCTGAACGGGACTGCCATGTGACGGATCGCCATGTCCCTCGCTTCGGGAAGAACTCGTAGCAAGATCTACTTGGTACGAGACGACTGCAATGCACTGAGTTCGGACTACTGCGTGAGCGGTGCAACCACGACTTGCTGTCGTCGGGCGTTGATGGCGTGGTTACCAGAGGATCGAGCCATAGGCGGCTTGCCGATCTCCAACACCTTAGCGGCTTGAGTCATGGAGGTCGGGCATGGCCGCTACATGGTGAGACAACACGGTGCTCGAGTCGTGTTCGATGCGTGTGTTGGGCAGTATATCCTAATGTAAGAGCTGCATAACATGGCTCTCGAATGGCTATAATAGGTGTCTTTAGTTGACCGCTCAATGAGATTAAGCACCTTGTCCTTCTTGGCTTTGCTGATGATCAAGAACAACGTATCTGCCAAAGCGATACAATGACAATTTGCTCCTATTAGGGCGTTCCATACGCTTTGCCAATATGCACGAACATTCCTGGAGTAATTTAAGCGTCGATCATAAAGGCGAGGCGGCAGATCCGAGCCGCCATCACTAGAACCACGATTCAGAAACCCTGGACCGCATTGTTGGTTCGGTAGTCTGTGGCTTTCGGCATGCAATTTAGCATACTTGAGCAATGCAAGGTATCACATCATGTATTTGCGACCGCATTGCACAACAGTCTTGGGGCTTCCGCTCACATAAGCCACAATCGCAAGGTCTTGCATGGAGTGTGCACAAACTGCGATGCGCCGTGCAGCACTATAGTTACGATCATCATCCGGCAAATGACGAGCCGCACGAGAAGATGACACTGCATGGTCTTATCTTAAAGTCGTGAATATGCACCAGGCTTCTCGAATTGAGCTAGGGGCCTGCAGTGCGAGGCACAATGTATAGACTTGATGTCCATCTGACTACGGCCACGACACAAAAGACCGGGTCCCGATTCAATAGTCAAGAACCGGTATGAGCGAAACAAACGGCTTGCTACCCTTTAAGCAGAGACGGGGCAATGCATCGTGAGCGGCTCCTGCGGCGCGAGTTGCTATTTCTAGTTAAACCTGGAGTGATGAGACTACAACGATAGGCGAGACAGAGATAGGTAGTCGGTCGACCGGGATGGTTGGTTGTCACGAGCATATCTGCATCTGTATTTAGAGTCCAACCCGGACCCTCGTATACATAGCCGTCTCACCGTCCCATCACATTTCCTCTTGCTCCCCTTCGTCTTCCTGAAATCCGCTTTGCAGGTTTCAAACTACGAACGATCTTGTCCAGAAGAAACAAGGCGTCCCACCAGCCTGAACTGCCAGGCCGAGCCGCATCTGAATACCTGCATCTACCAACCCCCAACGGCTCACAGGCAGATTACCGAGGGACCAAAATACCGGACTGAGTTGGATTCCTTGAGATTCTCCCGACTGCCACTGGATTTCCATAACAATCCCGTCATCTCCAATTTACCCCAAATTCCGACGATCCGATCTAGCGTCTTTGTCCTTGTCGCCTCCCGCTTTCGGAGCCTTGTCCTAGCAGTAGCAGCAGCAGCGGGCGCTCTGCTAAGTACATGAAGTATTAGCCAGAAGCGATACGTCGTCATCGCAACCTCAGTACTCATTCTCAGGACCCTTGCACCCCTTCCCTTGCACCCTTGCTCACGCCTCGTGTGACTACGTCTACGTACCGAGACGAACCAAGGCCGCCAACGCATCGACTGACTTGCGCATTGCATTTCACCGGCTCTCTCAACAAGTTTATTACCAATCTGTTCCTCGTCTCTGCGAAATTTACATAAACCAAGACGAACAATTCTGCTCTTACTGCATTAGCTCGTTCGCCTCTTTCCACCCAGCCTCAAGACCTCCCCAAGGTTAGCGCTTTCTGCTTTAAGGAGTTACCTGCTACAAAGGCGGACGCCATATAATAATACTAACCCAGACCCTGGGACCGCAAGACGAACCAACCCAACCCAACCCATTCTTATCCCATCCCGTCACCTTTAATTTCGCCTTAGTTACGCCGCATCGTGTGATCACTTGGTAAGTCTCCCATTACTTCACCCATTGCTGCTACATGCCTGGTCCAGGCGCCTTTCAGCTCCACCTGATCAGCAGCTTCCCCGGGAATAGAATCATTCAAATAAAGACCTGTCCGCTGACCTTGAGTAGCCTGTCTCCAAGTTCACCTTCCACCTCATCGTCATCATCCATCGACACCACATTTGACGACAAACAAAGTAATCCTCTTTACTACTTCATCTACGACTTCGAGAGTCATTATTACAACTACACCCAACAACACAAATCCAAGACACAGCAACCACCACCAACAATGGCTCCCAAGAAGATCCGCTGCAAGCACAACGAGTGCAAGGAGGCTGTTCAGAGGATGTTCGGAGACTGCGGTTTCTGCCAAACTCAATACTGCGCCAAACACAGATTACCCGAAGATCACTCATGTTCTGGTCTGGAAGCCGTAAGTGTTTGCCTGGTGGCGTTTCTGTCGAGTCTGTCTTCTCATGTACTTGTGACTAACACTACTCGCCATCTGCAGGTCCGAAAGGCAGCCCATGAACAGAATGCCAACCAGCTGAACCAGGAGCGAACCCAAACCATCAAGGTCGCTTAATGAAGCCGGCTCCCGCAAAGACTTGGGCTCCTTCAAATCACTGCGACACCGTCTTCTTGGTCGACTGCATTCGAGTCATCATATTCGAGTCGCGACAGACGGCCGACAAACGCCCCACATCGCCACCTATACCACTACTCCACTGCTTCTGTACGGCGTTATGGGCATATTTTGATTTTACACAGCGCTGCAATGATTGATTCTACGGTGGCGCTGGCGGCTGCAATTGCATCTGCACCATGATATTCCTGATCTTTCTGCGGATCTATCCCATTTGGGGAGTCACCAAGATCTTGCCCTTTAAAGGGGCTTCTGTACATAGCTCCCCCAATGAAAGAGTTATTTTGAGACAAGCTATCGACATTGTCATGTCACAAGCGATCCCGTAGACAAGTTGTTGCATCTGGATGTTGAAGACCTGGCAACACTGGGATCTCCGACTCGTTGTAGAAATTGGTAAGCATGTCATGATCATCGTGTTGCATTACATCGGGTACTCGAAGGCCGCACACTCGTACGAGCACACTACTTCAGTGTCCTGGTCCTCTTTACCGATGCAGATATCCTGTCTCCATCCACGTCTTCCTCTTTGATCCTTACAGCGTCATCTACCTCCTCATTCTTCACAACATCTGCCAATATGACGTCTTTCTTTTCCACAAGTTCCTCCTTGACGACCTCCCCAGCACCGTTCACTTCCAACTTCAACTCCCTCTCTTTCCTTCCTTTCAGTACTTTCCCCCTCTCAGCGGCCTTACAAAGGCCCCGCAGCCCTAATTCACACTCGCCACACTTTCGGCCCACAGGCAAGCAGACGGTCTGCCCAAAGCCAACCAACAGCCAGTTGATCTCCCTCCACTTATCCCTCGGCAGCCAGCTCTGCAGCGCCATCCGCGTCTCCTCGGGATTCTTGGTGCTGTGCCACCCCCACATATTCGTGATCCGGTGCACGTGGACGTCGACACCGATGCCCTCCGTCTTGTCCCACGCGGCGCTCAGGCAGAGATACCCCATCTTGGGCCCGACGCCGGGCAGCGCCGTCAGGCCCTCGATCGTGTCCGGTATGTCGCCGCCCCACTCGTCCCGCAGGATCTCGGCCGTCCGCTTGATATACTTTGTCTTGTTGTTGTGGAAGCCCACGGCCCAGATGAGCTCGTTCAGCGCGTCCGGCTCGACGGCGAGCAGGTTCTCGAGGTTCAAGCCGGGCGGGTCGCCGGGCAGCTCGGCCTGCAGCCGCCGCATGGCCGCCGCGTTGGTCGTGTCCCGGGTCTGCGACGACAGCATCAGCGCCACCAGCGTGTGCAGGCGCCGGTCCCGCGGTGGCGAGGACGCGAGCGCCAGCCGCTCGCAGCCCATGGTGTCGACGGCCGCGTTGGCGGCGGGGCCGCCCGGGTCCAGCCGCATCGCCCTGACGAGGTCGTACATCTCCTCCCAGTCCGAGGGCGGGGAGACGGTCGTGGTGTTCGTGGAGGGGTCGAGGGTCTTGCGGGCGGGTGTGCGGGCGGGACGGCGGGGCGTCGGTTTGCTTTCGTTCATGGTTGTAGTAGCAGCAGTGGCAGTCGTAGTTATTTCTTCTATCACCTCTGTTTTCACTGCTGCCTGCGCTGTTGGCGACGGCTTGGCAGCCCGCTTCCGCTTTCTTGTCGTCGTCGTCGTCGTTCTGACGTCTTTCGCGCCACACACCGCGTCTTCAATGTCCGTGACCGAGGGTGTTGTGTTCTCCTTCTTTACGGGGCTCCCGCCGCTGTATGCGAAGCGGGCGAGCGAGCCTCGCGTTATGCGTCGCGGTGGCGAGACCGGCGACGTGGCCATGGTGAGTTTTGTTGTATACTGTGCTAAACCGTGATAGTTTCGTGATCTGGCAATAGTCGAACAATTCTTGCGTCGGTGCGAGCAGCGCTATTGATTGGTAGGGAAACACAACTTCGTCAGCTCAAAGTCTCGACCCGACTTTCCGAAAGCCTCAAGCTTGCCCCGGGTCCCTGCATATAGAGTTCCATTCATGGAAATTGGTTCCACTCTTCTGTCACCCCCGGATTGCCCGCTGTGGAAACCCGCCGACGCTACCGGCCAATGAGTTTATGTGGGATGCCAATCATGTTTAAATGAAAGCCCCTAAACGCCGCATATGTTCAATGACACATGGATTTAATTATTACGCGTAAGACTTTTTTGTCGTGTCGATGGCGAAAGACGTCAGATGGAGATGTAATGCACACACTATGTACGGTGCTTACAGCAACCAAGATGCACAAATAGATTTCGACCATCGACCTGCTCAACAAGTTATTAAATCTAACAATCGCTGCACTACCTTACGCCAGAGCACTTTCCCAAGATGTCAAGTGCCATGTTATATCAAGAACTCTTCTCTGAGCCAGTGCTTCATGACAACCCATCCTTCTGAGAATGCGGGCCCTTCGCGTCTGATGATAATCGCCGCATGGCTGTGTCGATGTTTGTGAATCCATACAGGGAACTTGCGCCAGCCCAAATTATCAAGAGCCCGCACCATGTCGAACTGCGCCGGAGTCAATGCCAACGTCGGCCATTGCGGGTGCGACTGCCTGCGTTCGAGTTTGAGTGTTTTTCGGTCCCGCTCGTTTAACGCAGCCTCTTCGCCTTCGGAATCGGAGGAGGCGAGATATTCTTGGTGTTGCGAGCTGTTGACGTTTTCGTAAACATCCTCAACGGCGCCGCGGATTTCCTTGATCATGAAAGGCATTCTGTAACCCTCCACTTGAATGCCGGCCTTGCCACTTTCGTGCAGTTGGATTCTCTTCGAACTGCGGAAGTTCTGTACGACAGAGTTGAGCAAGAACCCGACAATACCAACAGGAATAAAGAATATCAAAAAGATGACGATGGGAGTATTCTGCACGTATCTCCATGTGGTACCCTTTACTGAGGCGAAGCTCATCGGTTCAGTCTTTTGGATTCGGGGCGAGACGGGATTCAATGGGTCCAGAATGACGTCCTCATAACCCTCCACGAAGTTTGCCTTGACTTTGTCCATATCTGTGTACGGGTCGGATTTGGTAATTCCTGCTGTGAAATAGACGACGCTCCTGTCATTGACGATGTTGGTGTAAAGAGTTCTGCGCTTGAACTTTGCGAGGGACAACATGAAAATCGAGTTTGGATCAGCCATGACTGCAAGCAGCGGCTTGCCTGTGTCTCTGAAATCATCGATGGTGAACAATTGTTTCCCCGACATGGACAAAGTCCTGGCGCCAAGTACGTTCCAAACTTGGTTGTGCCATCCGCGCAACGGCGTTCGAACTCCGAGATGCGGCGTTGCGAAGGTTGTGAAGTTCTGGTCCCCGCATGTCAGCCATACTCAGACGTTATAGGGAGACGTAATCTACCATTGGCTGAACCTGGTCCAGTACACCCTTCGCACCCAATAGTCCCACGGCATAGCGCGCGACAAGTCCGCCCAGCGAGTATCCTACAATACTGAGTTTTGTAATTTTGCCGCCCTTGCTCTTGATCATCTCGAGTTCCTCTTCAATCTCGACGCATACGCGCTCGCCACCTCGCTCGACGCCATCGTAGGTAAAGCTACCAGTGTTTCGCTTCGCAACCAATATGTATACCTTATCGGCCGGGTACTCGTCTCGCAAGGCTTTCGCAACGTTCTTCATATGATTGGGATTGCCCCATAGCTATGTAACCCATCTACTGTCAGTGAAAGTACTCTGTCAGCGCTTGGGGAGTTTCCAAAAAGAACAGCGCAGTGCATACCCCGTGTACGAGTACACATAAATGGTCTGCCTGAAGGGCTCCACCGGTATACTCCATGGCTTTTGCGTTCTTTCGTGGCCAGCGGGCAGGCCTGATCAGTGGAATGAGAGTCGACGGGCACCAGTTCGACTACTGTGGGACAATGTCATGCAAATGGAGAACTGTAGGAATCAACGACGGTTCGCTTATTCACAAAGGCGACAATAGAACTGGAAGGCGCCACAAGTCATAAGACGCATTTCCATAGAGCACAACCGGAGTTAGTAAACTTGTTCGGGCCCGGGCGTTTGGATGGGCCGCTGCACTGCGCGTTCCTGCAATCCTGAAGCAGGTCCAATGGATACTTCTCCTACACGAAGCAGCTGAACCTTGAGTGATGACGACACTACGCAGCCTAGCGACCGATTTGTGTTGCCTGATACCCTCAAGAAGGTTGATGCGGAAGCTCAATCATCATTCATCTTAGGCACCCCCAGTCGACGCAAATAGGACAATCGGCTGAGGACACCTTGTTGCACATGGTGACGAGTCCGCCATGACAGGTGAGACTAAGCAGGAGTCCGGGTAGCGGCAAGTCGGTGGGGCGAACCATGGGTGTGGCGTCGTTGCATCTCTCGTAATATTTGGGACAGCTGAAGTGTCACCATAGAAGCGACATATCCGAGTCAACGGTTAAGAAACAGAACCTATGCAGTGGGTTTCATATCTTGCCGTTATTGCTGCTAAAAGTTTGAAGTAATATGCAGATGTGGTGTCAAAATAAAGCTGGTTTCCCGCGCACGATTCGGTTCGTCCTGCCGGATTTAGCTGAATCGCTTTACGGCTTATCATTGCGAGTCTAATGAAGCAGAGGCCGCAAAACACGAGTGATGCATGTACCTAGCCTGTCCTGATCGCAATTCGGAACAGCCAGTATGATTGACTTGCAATAGAGCGATTCTGTTTCAGTGGTGGATCCATTTCGGTTTACTATGTATAGGCGATCCATGATGTGGTATCTCTGCAACGACTACCACCGGACGTAAGGCTCCTAACGACTTCGTGTGTACCACTTGTGTCAGCAGTCTTCAACACAACGTTGCGAGCTGAGCCTATCAATTGTCTTACCACTTGCAATTCTTGTATCACGGTCGAGGCGTCCGTTATCAAATCACCTAAGCTGCCCTGTGTGCCCCGAGTACCTCTCCGTTCGAACCGTACCACCCAAAACCTCATCATTGTTGCACATCATCTTCACCCTTACTCCAACACCGAAATTGGGCACTGGCCACAAAGCACTGCTACGCTCCACTGTCAGATCTTGAGAATTTGCCTTCTCAAGTCTATCAACAGGTGCGATGAGTTTTTTTATTGGTAGGCGTTGTTTTGAGTACACGATGGTCATGATTTCAGTGAACCTGGCCCGATCATCTTCTTGATTCACTGGAAGTTGGCATCAATTGAGCGTTGTAGGAACTTAGGAACCTTCCAGCGCTCTATCAGACAGTGATGCATATACATGTTGCTGACTTCCCCCGTAGCGAGGCCAAGTAAGAACAAACTGCAGAATCGGGTCCCAAAGATATCCTTCTCCTTAGCTGCTGAGTTCTCTTTCAGATGAGACAACACTGATCAATTTCTGCTGGAATTTGTCCATTACCACTACATTATCATTCCATTGCCATGGCTGCTCTACCTGTTGTCATCATTTTCACATTGTCTCTATGGACTTGGAGGACCTTGAGCGGATCTATAACTGCAGGGACGACCGGCCTAGTGCTTGATCTTTTTACACAAAATGACGAAACTGGGGGACTTATCTATAGTTCGTCTGACTCAAAACAGCAATGCTACAGTTTCCCACATAGACAACACAGCTTCTGTGGAATGGTCACTACTAGCCTAGCACGACTTGGGAGTCGTAGTCAATAGTTCAACAATACGCATTCTCGACACTGGTACAGACCGTGCTATCCACCAGATCAGTGAGATCAAATCTATCTGACAGGTCATGCCACAGTAGGATGAAACAGGTTGGTCACTGGCAGACGAGCCAAGCGTCCTATTGCAATAACCTCCGGTAAGGTTGACATCTGGCTATACTACGTCACAGGCGGCAATATGTTCAAGTCTTCGCGGCAGGAGACAATATTTGAGAGACGACTTCAACTTTAAACAGTTCCTATACATTGACCACGGTAGTGCCGTCGGTAACTGGCGTGAGCCGTGGCGCTTTCTGAGATGCAAAAGTAGGCATCGGTAGTGCACTATTCATACGGAAATACGAAAGCAGCAAGCAAACCTCTAAGAGCATTATGCCGGCGATTTCCCGAGTTGGACGGAGTCTCTATATGAGATGCATGATAAGTTAATCGCAACGAAATAAGGAGTCGACTCACACACATGAAGTATAATCAGTGCTTTCCAACACAAGTTCCCAAGTGCGAATTGGGGTTCGTCATCAGCGGAGTAGATGATCGTTGAGAAAGTGGCATAGGCCTTGAGGGACCATTGCTGTCTTCTACTATAATGATAATAAAATCTCCTTCCAGTCCCTTCCTTGTGATATCAATTCTCTTCCATGATAGTGATGAGAAAATAGCTACAAATACGTAAAACGACTGCATTGGATCAATTTGAGTACAGATTCCCAGATCTGCAACCCGCTTTTCAAGAAATAGCTGACTTCCCAATAATGTGTGCTGGGTCATTCATCAAAATATGCGCAGTGTGTCATAAAGTCTGCTTTCTTGAAGGCTAGCAAGTTTACCGCCCTGAACACGAAGGATCAAATACAATGTTCTTAACTTAAATGAATAGTAATTGTTTTGGCTCAAATTGAATGAGGTAACAATCTCGCTTGGTTCGGCTATATCCCGTTCGCTGTTTATCACGATGTAAAACTTCAAATTCTAATGATTGTAGTACACACACCACCAAAAAAGTACTCATCAGGGATGTTTTCCAGCTACCTCGCAAGTTGAAGGTTCATGGTCAGTTAGGTGCCACATTGAGACCTGAGGCACGCCGCTTTAAGCCTAACCCTGAGTGATGTTTGATCCCTGCATAAAAGGATGAGTTGAACAAGGTTGCGAATAAACGTAACAGACAATTAACTAATCTAGCGTAATATACTGGTTTAATTGTTCATTTTTTATTTATGGAATATTTCCATTAATAACTTGTGGTTCAATATATCTGGACCTTTGTCTATGTTTGACTTCCATCCAATGTTGATTCACCACCCTTAGGCAAAGACAACTTGCGCGCAGAATAAAACTAAAAAGGGTCATCTCTGCTGAGCGTTCAGCTGTAAAAGACTAGTGGACAGCTCGATCCGGCTTGCGCGCGTAAATAAAGTAAACGGTATTTGAACGCAAACAAAACAGATCTGTAAGCATCGGCGCTCGAGACAAGATCGACTCGGTATACGTAGTTTCAATCACCTAAATCGCAAAGTACTTAAGTCATTGCGGTTAGGTAAGAATTGCGGTTGAGTATTCTTGTTAGCTATCATTAATTATGGGCGAGGAACTGCGGGAGACTCTAGTCTCAAAAGTCTTGGCGACTTTCCAGGAAGTCGCCGAGACGTGTTATTTATAGTCTCGTCAACTAATAGATACTGAAACCCAGCCTATTCAAACCAACAAGATGGACTAAAACCCATTAGGCCTAACAGTAACATTGGAAAGCTACTGTAGATGCCGAATGGAATTCTAGGGGATTAGAGGGTAGAATTGCATTTCGGCCCAGGTTGGGGGTTTACTAATACAATTTGGGATTTATACTAATAGCGACTAGGCCCATGTGAGATGTAAAGGCAGTGTAGTTTCGAGTGTAGACTAGTTAACTACTCGCATCCATACAGCCCGGTCTATAGAGTATAGAAGATTGGTACCAGATAGATAAGTATCAGTATGGTTTATAATTATTGGGGAGTAAACTAGTTTGGACGTAAGCTAGTATAGCATCGGGTAAGAAACGACTCTACACATAAGATATATGCCATTATAGCTTAAAAATCGATACATGCTTGTTTGTAAAAAAATTTATTAAAATAAAATAAAAATAAAAGCACAATATACGGCGCCAGGCATGTGCGTGGCATAACAGGGCATATATGCTCGTTTCTAGAAATGGCCGATTGTTAAATATAGTATTAATATGGGAAGGGGGGAATCTTCAAAAACCAAACGGTGCTTAGCTTCAAAATTGGAGCTTCGAGTCTATGAATTCGAATAAAAGATATAGATGAAGCATCGGGATCTTGAGATTTCTTAAGCTGCTCTGATAGCCAAAGATGGGGGGTTGCAGTGTTGCAGGGTTGCAGGGTCAAGGAAACACTTGCGTCCCGGAGTTCGTACTGTATGATGCCTGAAAGCGTATTAGATTGAAACGCACGACCGCCACGGCGCAAGATGAGGCAGTGTTATCATTGAAGACCTTGCAAGTGACAGCATATGTGATTGGCTAGAATTACCCAGGCTCGGCCCGGTCTACACCATGGCGGCCCGGGATAAGGGCGCTTAGCAGCACCAAGGGGGGAACCTTGTTCGCATGTCGCTACTTGTAGACATTTTTGATCAAGAAGTATTAAAACCTCAGCCGTACCTCATTTGACTTCGGTTTCAGTTCTTTTTTCTACTCCTACCTCCCTGCAATTATCATAAGAAGCCACAATAAGATGGCCTCCCTTTCTTCAAGTGATAGCAAAGCGGAAGTCGGCGACTCTGGCAAGTCAGTTCCGATTTCGCGATATTTTGCCACGCCTTCATCTGGAATAACGTCCAAGATACCAGACACAATCGTAGAGCCTTCGAGCCTGCCACAACTGCCCTCCTTCAGTTTCTCCCCAGAACTTCCGGCTGAAGAAAGTAGTGGCTTACGGCCACAGTCACCGTTCCGCCTCGGCCAGACGAGCAACTCGACAGAACGACTTAGCACACCCCCAGTTGGACGACCATTGTTGTCTCAGGGCCCTGGCGGTGTCCTGGGAGAAAATGCGTTCACTTTCCGATTCCTTTATAATGCATCTCCAACCCCATCACCTCGACCTTCTCCAACGCCCTCACCACAGACCTTACCATCGCAGCCACCAGGGCAGTTGCAAACAGACTTCGGGTTTTCAAGTCTAACTCTGGACCAGAGTTCAGGTGTAGGTGAGAGATCTACAACTCATGAAGCCTCCGCTTCAAAATCCTTATCTGATGCAGCATCCTCCACACTCGGGTTCCCCAAACTGGATCCCAGTGCAAAGCCCCCTATCTTTGGCTCTGCATCAAGCCTTTCGAAAACCCCAATCCACCGAGGATCACCCGTGTTCAAAGCCTCTGAACCATCGGCTTCTGGCAAGACGACTCCTGACGTCGGGCTCTCTAGACCTGTAGCTACTCAGGATCATGGGTCGTCATCTGCTTCAGAAGTCGTGTCTGGCAGCGGAGCGTCCATATTTGGATCATTATGTATACCAAAACCGGTGAAGTCTTTACTTGGTACTGGGTTCTCTATTTCCGGATCCTCGCAAGAAGTATTTGGACCAAGTATCTTGGCCCAACCTAGGTCCTCTGAATCCGGATCTTCGAAATCGCTTCCAGCTATCACAAAACTGTCTACTCAGAATCCAAAAGATCTCAAGCTAGCCGCGTTGTCTGACCAGAAAAAAGTACCTAAACCATACAATGTCTCCCATGAGGAAGCTCCACCACATCCTTTGTTCACTTTTTTATTTCAGTCAGCAATGACCAGAGGTCTGGCCATCGCAAGGGACGTGGAAGCTTTGATCCAGGGCTTCAGATGTTCGATAGGCCTGGATGACGATCTGCGAAGACTTCTGAGCGATGCCGAGAAGCTTAACAATTTCGCCTGCTCTGACACTCGAACGGTTGCGATTCTCGGTGATTCTGGTCAAGGTAGGCACTCGCTGCGGCTTTCAAGGACACTGGCTTATCATGTATAGGCAAAAGTAGTCTTGTCAACTCTCTTCTTCATTTCCCAGGTATAGCTAAGACGGTGAGCCTGCTTCTCCCATTCAATAGTTTCACAGGCTTAATGAATATCTGTTAGGGGGACATTGGTTCTGCTTGTACGTCTGTCGTTACAGAATACAGACACAGACGGGAATGTCATTCGGCTCCTATCACCATCGAGGTTGAGTATCTGAAACAGGATGGAATTGAAAACATGGTAAAGGAACTTCTTTGGAGCTATCGGCAGCTCTTCCTACCCGGAGTCGAGTCTGACGCCACATCTGAAGCTGATTATGCTCGTTACACAAGAGAATCGGATCAGGCATGGTCAGCACTTGAAGCAGCTTTCAGCCACCGGAGCGAGTTCAAGAAAGAGCTCTTGCAAGACATGTCGGAAGGATCTCTGGAGAAGATTCAAGAACTACTGGTCGGGTGGGCTCGCGAGATAAAGTGGCCATCGACTGACGATGCTGGATTCTGGAAGTCGACGGCTACTTCGGCAGATGAATGCTGTGAAAAGACGAATATCTTTATGCAGGATCGATACTGGCCATTCACTAAGATTATTCGGTAAGTCTTACTCGTTCAGTCTGGATACACAGATAACTCTAACATGATGGTTTTGCAGCATTTACGTCAGCGCCAAGGTCCTTAAAACTGGCCTGGTCCTCGCAGATCTTCCCGGTAAGGGACTTTCGAGAAATTTGTACAAGAACGCAATTAAAAAGTTTCTAGGATTGCAAGACACAAATTTGGCACGCGTCCGAGCAACACAGGAGTATTTGCTGAAGTGTAACAGCATTCTGCTCGTCACGAATATCTCTCGTGCCATCACCGACCAATCCTTGAAATCATCCCTTTACAAGGTCCTATCTCGACATATTCCTGTCGCATGGGAGGAATCGGGTGGTAAGGGATTGAATTTAGCTGTTGTGTGTACAAAATCCGAGGTAGGTTGACGTCTCCTTCGAGACCGCAGTTCCAGTAGGATAATAGTCGCCAGGACATCAACCTCAAGGCTGCGAAGGCAGAATTCTGTGGCCCATCCAAGCCGATCACAAAGGACACGATAGAGCAACTGGACAAGGAATTGGAAGATGCTAAAAATGCGGGTCATGGTGCACGTAAGAAAGAGGTTAAGTGGAAGTATGACAATTGTTTTCTTAACCGATCATTTCATACCGTACACTAAGCTGATCGACCCCCTAGACAGCAAATGCTGCTCATGCAGGCGAGAAATAGGCATGTGGAGATTGGTCTCCAAAAGGCCTACGCATCTAAGGTACCGGGAGGGGAGCTTGATGTTTTCTGTGTTTCAAACACGATGTATGAGAAGTATGCAGAGAATGGCAACGGAGAGCTCGTTCGAGCTAGCCGTATACCTGAGCTTCGTCAATTCTGCTACAGCATCACGGCAGAGGCGCATTTCCGGGAAGCATCGCATTTCCTTCGATCCGAACTTTTGAACTTGCTCAACTCTTTACAAATTTGGGCTAGTACAGGTGGTATCAACCTGTGTCAGCCGCAGACAGATGGTCTTGATGATTCCCTGTACCCCATACTTGACGATGTCGGAGTGGAGGTAAGAGGTTTTTCAGTTGCTTCGTCAAAAACATGGGCTGATGGAGTGAAAGCTTTCTAATGCCAGTTCGGACCTTGGCAATGATTTTAACTCCTGTTTCAAAGAGCAGGTACTCCAATTCTTGGGTAAACAGAAAAGTAAATCCTCCCAATTCTACTTAAGCTAAGCGAGCTGCAGAGAAACGGCACGTAGAATGGGAGAAAGCAGCTTCTAGTGAGGGAGACCGGTGGGCCAAGGTGAGTTGCAGTACTACCGATGCGACTATCAAAATTCATCTAATTTTGGAACAGTGGCATTGGAGCAAGTCAGTCCCAGGAAATAGTGTTGCGCAAGATACTAACCAGTAAGACGGTGTAGCTCAGTATTACGGTTTCTGTCTGAATAATGGCCATCACGAAACATCGAAACGACCTAGGGAAGACTGGAATGCCAAAATACTATGGAAAATGCGTATGGAGCTTGAATACCAGTGGGACCTTGTTGAAGACGAGATACCTGTGGTGTTTGACACGCTTCTGAATACGGTGAAGACTGAGCTGAATTATGTGAAAGATCAACTCAAAAGTGAGTCTCCTCAACGATTTACCATGAAGTCAGCGCTTACAAGATGCAGACTCTTCTTCATCTAAGATCTGCGACACATTATTAGAAGGCGTCGACGCTCGAATTCGTTCGGTCGAGTATAGCCTCGAGCTCTTGAAAGGGAACTTCGCAACCGGGATAAGGTATGTTAACGTAGTAACCCCCAGTTGTTCACATGAACACCTAACGCAACTTGCAGACTCGTGCGGAGCAATGCGTCCGAATCGAACTCCAACTCGTTCGTTCTGAGCGAAATGATACCAGCCTACAGGTCGGCTTCGAGTCAGCGTGGTAAGAGTCACAATAAGATGTCAATACTTGACCGCAATGTTCCAAGACTGACGGGTAACATTCGAGTAGGTAACGGCAGAGATCATCTGCAGAAGGAGATAGTCCAAGGTCGAATCAAAAACGGCACGCTCTTCCCAAACATTTCCGTCGCAATTTCGGACGCGATAAAGCGCGTCGTCCAGGAAACAGAAAAGAGTGTAAAGGCGATGCTATCCCAACAGGTTGGCTCCATCAAGGACGATCTATGTCTCGCTATAACATCAGAGCGACACAGTGGCGATGCGGCTAGAAGGAGGGAGGTTGAAAGTTTTGCTAAGGAGCTAACGAGACTTAAGGAACATCATTTCGCAATGCTGGAATCTATCACTTCCCTGAGCTAGGCGTGGCGGTCGGCGGTGGTAGAAGACGTCGTAGCACTTAAGAGTTCAGCGAGCAAGCTATCATTCCCTCTGGTGGCCATAGAAATGCTAAACACAGTTACTTCGCCTCATAGATCTTGTACCAGGCTCTAGTCAGCTAGCCAATAGTGTTCAATAAGCACACGGCTAAATGAACCAGTCGGACCCAATTCCAGTTGATCGGGCTCTATTGATGGAAGCTAGGTCCCGGCAGCCCTTTACTGAATTTTAGTGGGCGTTTCAGTATTCAATGCCCAGATGTTCTCCTATAAAGCTTGAAAGGAGAGCTTTAATCTACTACTACTTATTGGATATACTGGTCATACTTAGCCTGCATGAACTGCGGCAACATACACGTTGTTAACGATTGATATGGGTGGTACCTGGATTGAAACAAACAGAAAGTTATATGAATTGATTTTGTTTGTTTAAGGAGCTATAAGCTATCAATCACATTTACCTATATTATACGGAGTGTACAGATACCATTTCGAGAAAAAAGATTTATGATCTCTTTGCATGACATCGTATGAATGCTCATGACTGCGGTTGCCTAGGGTTGCTCAGGGTACGTCACTGATTATCGACTGAGCCGAGCCTGATCAAAAGCGGCATATATGCTAGGCCCAGTTTGGCCCAAAAAGGGTATCGTGGACCCTCAACTACCGCAGGCTTGCCAAAAGAGGTGGTCTAGAAAGCCAAAAACGACACCTCCAGCCCAAACCGCAACATACGTATTCTTTATGTAATCTGCGTAAGCTGGCAGGATGTGATATATCTAGCAATAAACGGGAATATTGAGTTGCACTACTGAACCCTGCGACTTGCGACATCAAAGGCGATCGAGGGTTTTTGCCACTGATCAATCTCCACGACAGGTGCTAACATGGTACAGGGGTTGCTCTTGCCAATTCCTCCCAGCATCAAAGCTTCTGACTTTCAGAATCCTCAACACCAAACTTACAGCACATCATTCACGCAAATCTCAACGACAGCACTCACACTAACCATTGTTATTCTTTTCATCATGGCGGCTTCACTTGGCATACTCAAGAGTCTCCCCTGCCCGGCTGGTAAGAACTGTACCGCATTCCAGTGCCTCTTCAGGCACCCAAGCGATGATGCAGCAGAGCCAGCCAAGACGGATGAGTCAATCATTGAGCCAAGTTTAGGATCAGCCGACGCCCAAGACTCACCAAGAAAACGCATAAAGGTGTCAATAGACATTCCCAACACGGACGAGAAGGTCTTGAAACAAGTATCGGCTGGCTCTGCCAAGCCGCAAACCTCAGGCAATGAGAAAGTGGTGAAGGCCATGAGTGTCAGCGCCAGGATCTCGCCACCACCCGTTCAGAGGAAGAGGACCTTGCCCGACAATCGCGCAGATAAGTCCGGGAACACACTTGTATCACGGAAAGCTACATTTGCCACGTCATCTCAACAATCAACCGCTAAATCCCCAGTGCAGCTGCCAATTAAAGCAGCGCCATCAAAACCGGAGACCTTGAATCCTAGACACCTCAAGAAGTCACCTGCAAAGCATGACATGCGGTGGCAGATTGTGAAACTGCTACATGCTCAGTATGAACGTCTAAACAATGAGCTCAAGAAAGTAGCACCTGATGACGAATCTTTTTTAATCATGTCTCGGCAACAACTCATCACCAAGACATTGAACGAAGAGGAGGAAGTTGCTATAAATAAGCCGACCATGTACGGTAACATACTGAAGAATAAAATCAAGGTTTACACAAAGATGGCAGTCGAAAAATGGAAGGACGAGAGACTTGAAGATATCAAGAGATCTACAGGAGACACTTCTGCACTGGAAGAAGCGCACAAAGTTATCGTCACGGGCTTGACACCTGTTCAGGAGGTTGAGGTTCTCCGACAGCTTTTGTCTCCACTGAAAGGTTTGGAGCAATTTGGCTACATTTCTACTGTCCCTAAGAATGAAGACATCGAGAAGGCGCGACAAGCGGTCGAAGCATCAGGGAATGTAGAAGTGTGCGACCGATGTACACGCAGGTTTACTGTTTATCCTGGTCGAAGGGAGGAGGATGGTGCCCTAGCATCTGGAGGGCCTTGTGTGCACCACCCTGGCAAAACCTATTTCATTGAAGGGCCTCCTGGCGATCGCCTTGCGCGGTCATCGTCATCTAAAAAATGGCGATGCTGTGACCAGACCGTAGGCGATACGGATGGTTGCGTGACGGGCAAGCATCACGTCTTCAAGACCACTGATCCAAACAGGTTAGCGAGCGTTCTCCAGTTTGCGGAGACACCTCCCAACCCCGATGCTCCCGAGGATCGTGCTGTCTGCTTTGATTGCGAGATGGGTTACACTGTATATGGGATGGAGCTCATTCGACTGACTGCTCTGTCCTGGCCTTCTGGCGAGGAGCTTCTCGATGTGTTAGTCTATCCTGTTGGAGAGCCCATTGATTTGAACACACGTTATTCTGGAGTTCGTACCGAAGACATGGCTGTAGCAGAGCGATGGAAGCCCGGCGATAATCCAATGCCCACTGTCATTCCCTCGGGTTCTGGCCAGTTGTCTCAGCGGAAGCTCAAGATTGTACCTTCGCCTAAGGATGCGCGCGACCTGTTCTTCAAACTTATATCACCCGACACACCTCTAGTTGGACACGCGATAGAAAACGATCTCAATACCTTACGTATTGTACATCCAATGGTCGTCGATACGGTGCTACTTTTTCCGCATCAGCGTGGTCTGCCCATCCGCAATGGCCTGAAATGGTTGACAGAGACTATGTTAGGCCGTAAGATTCAGGTAACCTCAAATGATGAGGATGAACTGAAGGGCCACGACAGTGCAGAAGATGCGAGGGCGACAGGAGAATTAGTGAGACTCAAGATCCGGAACGAGTGGAGAAATATGCAGATGAAAGGATGGACCTGGGCAGACGATGGCAAGCTCAAAGCCCCCGATGACATCTGGACTGTGGTAGGAGCTAAAAAAACGAAGACGCATTGACTAGGCTGCGACTGGGTCCTCTGTCGTAGGCTCAACCATCATACACCCACTCGGTCAATTATGAGAGGTCAAGTACTTGCCTTCCTGCGTCGTGTCCTAAGAGCTTGGTGAACTCATCAATGCAATTACCATGACTAGGGCCATTCTCATGTGCATCGACTGGCATCCCAGAAGGGCAAGACCGTCTCGAGCATCTAGAGCCTAATTCATAGCAATCAAAAACATTGACAACGGAGCATCAATACACGTGTGAAGTCTACATGTAGATCTAGAGACCAATGTGTGCAGATTCAGCGCGTTTGTACTTGAGCTGAAACTGTTTTCTGTACATGAAGCCACTCACACCAGCCATCCGCCCTGTCTTTTCAAAGCATCTTGCCAAGTCTCGCCGTCGTTGCGTGAAAACTCCCTGGCGTCTTCCACGTCGGCGGCCCCAAAGTTGCCGTGCAAGTGCGGGCACCCGTCGCCGTTCTCGTACGTCACCTTGTCCGCGAACGTGAAGCGCAGCTTGAGAACCCAGACATTGGCCGTCTCCTTGAAGAAGAGGGAGAGAGTGGTTGGTATCTAAAAATAAAACAAAAAGCCGACTGTCAGTTCATATGTGTGCGTGTTTTCAAGTATTAAAATTCAAATTTCGGGCGTATGCATCAGGGAGGGGAGGGAAATTTCCGGCTGACCTGGTCCGCGGTGCTCAGGTGCACGAAGCCGTCGTTCTTGTCGAGGTCGGATAGAGGGTACCTGTCCGGAATCGGCGAGGGCGGGGCTGAGGGGATGATCTTATAGACGTGTTCGGGGAGCGGTGAGGGGGCCATGATGGGGGGAATCTGATCACGGGAAACGGTCGAAAATTTCAATGTGGTGATACGGAATTCGTGGTTTTTGTTGAAGAATGGACGAGGTTCATGTGAATGCATGTATTATTTGCGGAGTGCGGGTTTGGGAGGTTGCGAGATTCTGGCGCCAGCTGTCAGAGTTGCTGTGTCGTGGGGGATACTCAATTTGCTCGATTTCTTTGCCAGCGTCAGTCCTGAACCATGAGGTACTTCTTCTATGCCAATTTTGTCGTGGAGATTTCGTCTGTTTTTATATTATGCTCAACAAAGCAGATCTCTTATTTGTCGCTGCTCAGGCGGGGCTAATAGGAACGTGGCTGAATCGGCTATTCGCAAGATGGTTATATTTACAGAGTACCTCACTTTGATACTTTCATTACGGTTCACAAGTTGGAACGTCTAATAACAAGGCTTGCAAGCGATTTGAGCAGGGTTGTATTCAATGGACTAAACTCGGCGCACGAGTAGGGTATCCTTGCAAGAGAAGCACCATTATGCTTTTCCGACCTTGAATGACAGAATCTGGTCAAAATGTCAGCAACAGCCCAAGCATATCTAATAAAGCGACTTACATCATTCTTGCCTACGGCAACAGAGTCCTCCTCAGAGACTCTGGTGCCGTTGGCGCCTTCTATGTAGGCGATTGTTACATCGCCCATAACTTTTCTCGCAACCTCGCCCACCGTCAGGTTCTTTCTCACAAGCACACAATCTCTGAACACTGATCTTGTGTCTGAGCCTGATCCGAAGGTTGACGTGCTTCGGACCGGGAAAATAGGTACCAAACCCAGGATCTCTGCAGCTTTTGAGAGCAGCTGTACTACTCCTGTAGAGCCATATCGATACAATATCAGATCCTTATACTCATCAATAATGTCTCTATTTTTTTCATCGATCTCCTTCAGACCTCCACCATCAGGGTCACCGTCATCGATAAGGTCCTCTCTTGTCCATACGGAGTCGCTGCCTTCTGTGTACTGAACATAGCCCTGCTTCGCCAGTTTTCTCAGGAAAATCTCGGCCTTGGCAGAACACGGCACAACCGGGCTGTTCTTGTACATCTTGGTGATTTTCATGAGGTTCGTATATGCATCGGCGTCGTCGATTTTGTTGAGACCGATGACAGTTGGGAACTTTTCGTCGGTGAAGGCACCAACCACCTTGTCCACCGTTGCCTCGTCCCAGTCTTGTAGGGGCTCTTTCAGTGCGAGTTTGTCCAGTGTCCGCGCCACGAGCGATGCAGTACTACCGTATCCGGAGAATTGAGCTTGCAGGGTCTCGACAGGTGTCGCTTTTACCGCGACGTGCCGCCTCTTGATGGAGCCCCAGCGCTCATACAGGTTGCCTTTGATCCACTGGACGATCTCACTGCGCAGCCACGCTATATCCTGTGACGGATCATATCCTCTGGTGTTTTCGCCTTCGGCGTTCGTCTTTCCGCTCGCATCAACCACATGGATCAGGGCATCGGCATGTCTGAGATCATCCAAGAATTTGTTGCCCAGACCTTTTCCTTCGTGGGCTCCAGGTACAAGACCAGCAACGTCCAGAAGCTCTATGGGCACGGAGCGCTTGCCGTCGACGCACCCACCATAGTTGGGCTTGCACTTCTCCTGGAGGCTGTAACGCCTGCAGGCGCAATCTATTTGGAGGTATCCAATAGCTCTTTGGGGATCGATGGTGGTAAATCTTGGGTCAACAGGTCAGCATACATGTGTCTTGTATAGGTACCGTTGATGTCTAGGGTCGAGCGTACGGATAGTTTCCTATATCGCAGAAGGACTCGTATCAGCGGGAGTTGGTCTAGTCTTGCAGACAGGCTGATGGCGAGGGTGAGAACCCACCAACTTTGGAGGAAGCATCAGTCAGGCTGTTAAGCGTAGTGCTCTTGCCAGCCGATGGCTTGCCGACCAGGCCGATCAGGGGATCCCTAGGCATTGTGCGAGGTGCGCTTCCAGGATTATTACCGAGGAAGATGTACTACAGCAGTCTCGGCCAGTGGTCCGTCCGGGTTGTAGGGGTGACTCGGTGTGTAGACGCTGGGTTGGTGTCTGTCTGTGGTATGTGTGTTAATGCTGCGAGACGGCATGTGGATGGTCTTTGCGCTGCAACACTTCCAGCATCGCGGGGCACTGGGAAAAGATTTGGGCTGATGGTGGGGTTGTTTTGTGCAGATCCTCAGCCCGGCACGACCCAGTCCAAATACGGATCCGTGCAGTAGACGCGCAATACTTTCCGCCGTGCATCCATGTAGTGTGCACGGTGCTGTACATAGACGTCAGACGATTACATAGCACATACCGTACTTTATCTGGCGAGGTTACGGATCTGTATCTCCAATCAAAACGGTCCCTGCCAAAGGTTCTAACCGCAGAGCTTGTCCAGCCTTGGCATGATCTTGACATGGCAGCCGGGATGCCATGCACTTTCGGTAAACTCTTTCTTCGAGGCGGGAGTAACACGAGAGAGCACTTATTCGCAAACATTGAACAGAAAACAGGCCTGCAGTACGATCAATAACACTATGGCTGGATATCAGTCACAAATATCTGAGAAGGACTTTTTTTGACCATGTCACTAGCCTCGGGTGATACAGAGTTTAGGGATGCAAATAAGTCTAAGTTCGGGCCCGCGGGACCATAAGGAGATAAGATACTATACCTTTCGGGCTGAAAACATCCATGCCAAGGACCAGGGCCACGAGGTGTCGTACGTCGAGGTCTCAGATAGGAAATCAAGGGGGCAGATCTTCTGAAGGAAATTGGACGAACATCGGACCGCCCAAGGTTTTTCGTCCATTGTTTTTTTTATAAGCCTTCATTCATTGCTTTTCTTTCCCGGCCTAGGATGTGGGCGGTGGATATGATTGTTGAAGCTTTTCAACTGAATTAATCAATATACCTATGCAACTATGTAATGATTCCAATACTGTCATTGTAAATGTGTTGACAGTCATGACTCGGCGTAATATCCTACCTTACCTATGCCTCTTTACACTGTTATTCAATGACACACTCAACCGTGGTGCCCATGAAATCCAGGGACACTACGTTGGTGGCGCAGCCTAGAAAGATGCTTGATATGCTTGAATGCATGAAGATTTAGCATGTAAGCGGGTCGATTCGTCGACTTGCCCACCTCCCGTTTCGAAACGCTGAATTAGCTAAGCCACAATTTCATTTCTTGTCCACCTCGTTGGAAATTCACCGCTATCCATTGGCAGGACGACTCGATCGGATCCTTCCTGACGTCCAGTAGCCTCCGGGTCCTGCAGCCATTGCCGACACCATATGCTCCCTCGAGCAGAGTCGGTCTGTGGGGGGAGTGGCTCCATTGTGGAATTTCTAGACGGCTTCTTAAGCCTCGCCCGCAGTTTCATGGGGGCCCTTGACTGAGACGCGTAATTCCACCCCAACGCAACCAAGGTTGTGCTTCGTCGTCCGCTTGCTTCGATATCCACAGAAGACTACAGACGTGCTCGCAATGGCAAAATATATCATGACTAGGGAACTATAGGGTCTTGGCATACAACCTTAGCAGAGGCTTGTATTCGCGTTCAATCCACGACACAGGCAAGAATATGACGAATGAGTATCTCCTTAATTACCATTGGGTGGACCAAGGCGCTGGATAGCCGGCACAGAAGCATGTGGCTCACAGTCTGTATATAACATAGAATCTCTCTTCAAGTCAAGTGCTGAGCTTCTTTCCTGGCCATCCAACCATAACAACCAATACAGTCGTTTCCACTCCAACCGGTTGACTTCCACATATTACCATTCACTCATTCACAATGGTTACCTTCTCCAAGATCGCTGTTGCGGCCCTCGCCGGCTTTGCTACCGCTCACCCTGGTGAGAAGCACGATGAGCACAAGATGAAGCGCGAGATCGTCGCCCGTGACAACGCTGCCCGTCTCGGCGCCCGCTCCCTCGCCCAATGCGGCAACTCTGCCTACGCCCAGACTCTCAAGGCCCGATCTATACAGCGCCGTGCCGAGAAGGTCAAGGCTCTCCGCCAGAAGCGCGGTATCGAAGGTGATGCTCGCAGCAACAAGCGTGATCTTGCCGCTCTCCAGGCCTGGGAGGCCGTCAACCACAACCATACCGGTGCTTACAACTACGACATGTTCACCCCCCTTGAGGAGGTCTTCGATGCCAACACCAGCTGTATCCTGGCCCCCGAGGTTACCGATGGCCCCTACTACGTTGTCGGCGAGTACATGCGCTCCAACGTCAAGGAGTCCGAGTGGAGCGAGGGTGTCGATGTGTTCCTCGAGATTCAGTACATTGACGTGAACACCTGCGAGCCCATCCCTGCCGTTGCCGTCGACATCTGGAACTGCAATGCCACCGGTATCTACAGTGGTATCTACACCAGCGGTAACTACGCCGATGGTGGCCTCAACTCCACTTACCTCCGTGGTATCCAGCTGACCGACCACGACGGTGTTGCCTCGTTCGAGACCATCTTCCCCGGTCACTACGACGGCCGTGCTGTCCACACCCATCTGTTGGCCCACACCAATGCCTCGGTTCAGTCCAACGGTACCATCTCCGTCTGGGAGGCTCCCGTCGCCCACATCGGCCAACTTTTCTGGGATGACGATCTTCGTGCTGAGGTCGAGGCCACCTACCCCTACACCGAGAACACCCAGGCCCTGACTACCAACGACGAAGACATGTGGTCCATTGTCCAGGCTGATGAGTACTACAACCCTCTCCCCGAGTACTTGTAAGTAACCGCCTAGAACCTTCCCGAGAAATTCCTTAGACGTTGTTGAGGATGCAATCGCTGACATTGAATTTGCAGGTACTTGGGCCCTTCCATCGAGGACGGTCTCTTCGCTTGGATCCAGATTGGTATCAACGGCTCTGCCGACTACACTGATGACGAGTACTACGGCGTTGCTGCTTACATTGACGAGGAGGGTGGTCACTCCACTGGCTACACTGTCGGTGGTGGTGACGGTGGTGATGGTGGTGCTGGTGGTAACGGCACTGCTCCTTCGGGCTCCTTCTCTGGCGCTGTGCCCACTGGCACCGCTTCCCCTTCCTCTTAGAAAGTTGAGCCTCGAGACTGGGCATTTTCTTCTTTTGGTTTGGATCGGGCAAGAGCGTAGCGTGTTCTGCACTTTGCATATAGATGTACATAGATTTTTCAACCTGTAAATATTTTCTTAGCATGTACCAAACAATATCTGGGCCAAAACGTTTATTCAGCGCAAGATGCGCTATAATAAAGAGTTACACGTGTATTACTTTTCGTTCGCGTTGTGAAAACATCCAATGCGAGTTGAGAAATTGTTCACCATGAAATGGTGGTGACGGAACTAACGCCTGCCCCGCTAGAATTGGTGCTGTGAAAAAAACAGTGGACAGCTCTCAACATCCCATCAAGTTGTATCCCACCTACGAAGAGACAAAACCGGAATACACAGTATAGCAAATACAGGTAGTACTACTCCTATTTTACTTGAATTAAACGCGTCAATTGCGAGGCTTGCAATTGCTTGACTTGTAGAATCACTCCCTACTTATCATTAAGGTCAATCTCGGTCGCCGTCCAACATGCGACGTGGCAGCCACGCGGAGGCCTTCAATGCCTTTTCACAGTGGTGCACATATAATGATGTCCAGCTGCTAGACATTACCTTGGCCGCCGATGATGAGAAGGGCAATCATTTCCAGCCGACCAGGGATCTTGAAAATGAAGACGATAACATTGAGCTACCATTACTCCTCACTGTCCCTAAAGATCTAGTGCTGTCCTCCGAGGCCATCCATCAATACGCCAAAGTGGATAAGAATTTTCGGGAAATATTCAGTAGAGCAGGTCATCAGGTGCGTTCCAGAGTTCTTGACAGGCTGAATGAAACCATCCTCATCCTTAACAGTCTCACCGAGTAGATACGCTCCTGTTCCTGATGCTGCAATATATCTACTCATCTCCTGACTACCAAGGGACAAATGGAGAAGCTTCACCATGGGCGTGGTATTTTGATATGCTGCCATTCCGTGTACCTGTGCCAACAATGTGGAATGAAGACGAGCTGGTATATTTGAATGGAAGCTCACTTGAGGCAAGTTGAGCCCATCCTCGTCTAACTCAAAACTCTTTTCGAAAGATATGTATTAACAACTACTAGCCCGCGGTATCTGCAAAGTTGATCTCCTTGAACAAGGAATTTGACGAGGTGCGCGAAAAGTGTGAAAATCTGCCGTTCTGGTCCGATTTTCTTGAGGACTACGAAGGTATCACTGTGGAAGACTGGGTCTACTTTGACGCACTCTACCGATCCCGTTCATTAGAGCTTCCGAAGTCTGGAGAATCTATGGTGCCTGTTCTAGATATGATCAACCACTCATCTCACGCAAATGCCTACTTTGACGAGAATAATGAAGGCGAAGTCAGACTTCTTATTCGGAAAGGTCATACAATCCAATCTGGAAGTCACGAGAATGCTGGAATTGGGAGTGAAATCACCATTGACTATGGCCAAGGCAAGTCCGCAGCCGAGATGCTTTTCAGCTATGGGTTTGTAGAGCCGGGCACACCAGCCGGGAGTCTCGTTATACCATTAGAGTCTATGGACGACGACCCTCTTGCTAAACCCAAGCTACATGTCTTTGGTGGCGCACCGACGTTGAAGATTAAGGATGCTGAGGACGGGGTTCCCACATGGACTGCACCTTTTGTCTATCTCATGTGTCTGAATGAAGATGATGGCATCGACTTTCGGATACTTCAAGAAGTCGATGGAAGTCGTCGGCTGGTGCTATTTTGGCAAGACGAAGATGTGACAGACAAAGCCAGAGAATTCGAGGGCCTTATCGCCGGACATGATCTCGAGCCTATCTACCACCTCAGGGCTATCACAGTCATTCACTCGCAGATCGCGGGACAAGTCGAATCCCTGGAAACTCCTCTGGGCCGTCTTGATAGAGAGATCAATCCCCGATTCCGATTCTCCATCGAAAGCGTTCAGCAATTACGAAGGACTGAGCTAGACCTGATGCAAAGGACCTTGGGGGCGTTAGAACGACAGGTAAGATGCCAAAGCCAAGTCTCCGTCGCGTGGCTGCAGGCTGGGTTGTTCAGTTACCCTTGCATGGAACTGTGTGCGCGGCCTTTCAAGTGACAAGGCCCCTGACCTGCAGCTTGCTTCTTGCATTAGATCTGTTTTGCTAACGCTTCCTGCAGAGAGACACACTACTGGAGAATGATAGGGTGAAAGCGTATCTCGGCTCGATGGAAGAACCCCAAAATGAGGAGATTGGAGAGCAAGCGCCCAATAACGAAGAAGATTTCAGCTAGGGTTTACAAGCTAAGGCCATATCTGCATATTCCTAACGGGTTACCCCATATTCTTCCCTGAAGACATTCTATCAACGGTCAAAAGGCATTGAAGGATTACATCTGTTGCTCAGTGTCTGGCGCTGGATTTTGTGTGGCTACTCTAGTAAATGCACGTCACGAAAAATAGTCGGAGGCTTTGTCCTCAGACGAAGACGATCCTTTCCACCGTCTGACTGAGTAAGTTGGAGTTTTAGTCTCAGTCTCGGCTGTGTGCACAATTAGATGATCATCTCGTGGGGAGAACGCCTGACCCGCCTTCTCGCTGAGAAAGCGAAGTAAGATATTTAGTTCCCAATTCATTTAAATGCTTGGCAATTAAAGCGCAAGGAACCGTTCCAAAGTTGTTGAGCGGTGTATTCTCACTCTAGTCGGACCGTCGTCCCTGATGGGTGCACGCTTCCCATGAAGTCGGTAGTGACACAGGCGCAAAATCCACTTTAATTGGACGGTTCCTGCTGACCTTAATATATGACAGAAAAGTGCGGATATCCTTGGAGCCACGAGGCCAACTCGCTAGTATTACCCAGGCTTAAGGTCCCATTTAGCCGGAGGACAAGCTGAAAATCTTCACTTCTGCTAATTCCGGAGGCGTCGGAGCTACAAATCGATCCCGGAGCGCTGTCCAGGCCTTCCAGACACAAACAAGCTTTTTTCCTCTTATTTTCGTCTGCAAATCGTCAAACACTGGATATTATGCAACACAATATCTTGCATCCGTTGACGAGTATATACAGTGATTTTGCTATTGTAAGCAGTCAATACTTTCCGGTTAAGTCAGAAGACACCGAGCAGCTGGAAAAGGCCATTGAGCAAACCAGCACTCGAAGCGAAACAATACCGCCCTACTGTATTTCTGAAACATAGAAAGAAGCCTCAAGGTTTACCTCGACAGCCGGGCTCCCCACCGAACAATTGACTTAAGGTTGGTCTGTAACAAGCGGATTTCGTCAAGTCAGCATGCGTCCTCCTAACAATGGTCTCCAATTTCATAGTTCTATCCATGGGTACATCCACTGATTAGTGGTTAATGTGAATATCCAGTCGCATCAACATGGTGTCAATCTCTTGGAATGAAAATGAGGCGACACGACTGATTTGCAAATAAGACAAGTGGACATGACGGAATATGACCGCATGGGCTTCGTGACGCTAACACCACAAGTGTGTCTGCTGGTCTATACCGGATCCTCACTCGAATCATGTACTTGAAAACCTGGAGTGGTATTGTAACGGTACGTTCACGTTAGCATGGTCCATATTGTCTAGACAGGAAAAGAAATTGTCGGCAAACCATCAAGCTTCGAGAATCGTCAAGCCGTGAACGATATTACTTCCATGCTCTATTGGTAGGGCTATATCGCATAATGCTGGTCTATAAATGAATACACTTATGAACTTTGAATGATCCATGTGCGCGCAAATACGACGCTTGCATTCACTCAGGAAGGTGATACTGACTGGTATTTACCCTCATCAGGTGTATAGATGATTCCTGTCTTTCTCATTGAAGCCCTCCGTCAGAATTTAAATGGTTATTTTGAAGTGTTAGACCGATCTAGACTATCCGGATGCCCAGCTCAAGCTTAGACGAACTACTGCAACAACTAAGGAGAGTTTGCCAAAAACTGGGGTAAAGAGTGTCTGCCAACGTGCGCATGACAGCATCGCGAAATTCTAGCGGTAGTTCTAAGCCCAGCGAGTGGAGTTTGCGGATCTCGCAGAGTCACGATGGTGATCTTGGGTACTCTTGTCATCCAAAACACGTTTAATCATAAATGCCGAGTTGCACACTAGAAATGTGGCGACTCCAGACCGTACCAATTGACTCAAACTAAGACAACTATACTATGCCCCTTTCTGATAGAGAGCAGTGCCCCAAGAGATCAGCTCATTACAGCAGCCTAGTCCTTCACGGTAGACAATAAGTCGGGACGCCCAGACAGACAAGAAGAGCGGGGATGAAGAAGTAGAACCAACGGGCGTCCCTTCAATAGTGCTTGTGCCGTACGGATCCATAGACTAGATCACATCACACACACTCACGCCTTGCCGTTCACGACCATCCCCAGCCCATCCATGCTCTCCCCCGGATTTCTATAGCGTGGCTCATTGGCCGACCAAATCGATTGCCCCCCAGTCTTTGTGGAGGAGTATGGCGGGCCCCAGGCCACGCTCCGGTGGATTCTACTACTTCTCCACAGTCTCACCCGCGTCCCCCATCCATTTTCTCATTCTTATTCCCTCGTCCCCTACTCGTTGGGCTTTTTTGTCAATTTTACCCCGGATTTTGTGATGCTCACGACACATCGCCGTTTATTCTTGTCGCCTATACCCAAACAGTACCAGACCGATCCCAACCAGCACCGAACGGAAACGACAGAGACCATTCTTATCAACGGTGGAATGCGCGGCCACAGCGGGAATTAGTAAACTCTCTGGAACGTGACGTCGACGAAACCACAACGATCCAATACGACTCGTTTGGAACCCCGGCCGTCGAAAGGCAAATTTTGAAAGAAGAAAGACAATTCAGAAAGGGCCAAGGGGAACGCCGTCAAGATGCCTGGTATACTGCCGATGAAAGTGATCAAGGTGGGCACCAGTTCGCAAAGTCGTATTGCCCAGGTGAGTCTATACAGAAGTTCGACATATCGGGACCGCCACGCTCACCAATAATAGGCTTGTGATCGGTGTCGCAGCAAAAAGATTCGTTGCGATGGCATCCGACCGACATGTTCGCAATGCTCGAACGTTGGCTTCGAATGCAAGACTAGCGACAAATTGAGCCGACGTGCATTTCCGCGGGGCTACACAGAGTCGCTGGAAGAGCGGGTAAGGGCGTTGGAGGCCGAAGTTAGAGAATTGAAAGATCTTCTGGACGAGAAGGACGAAAAGATCGACATGCTTTCGAAGATGCACAGCCATCACCACCGTAGGCCGTCACATGGATCAGCGAACAGTCCGGCGACATCAGCGACCGCTGAGTCCAGAAGGGATCAATCACCCAGCAAAGAAGATACATTCCGCGTTCAAGCATCACCGTTACTGCTTGGCGTAGAGAACTCAGACTCATACTTTATGGGTCCTTCGAGCGGTCGCACATTTATAGGTAAGCATGTGTGTGCGCGCGTGAGGGTCTGCGATGAAATTGACCGTTTCCCAGAATTATTCAAACGAAAGATGCAAGAAAATGGAAAGTCGTGCTCAGATTTTAACCCCGAAGCTTTCTTGCATATTCAAGGTTGCCATCCACTGGTCGCACAACCACCGGCGTCCTCAATGAAGACACCGCCACGACTATTTTCTGACAGATGCGTCAATGTTTATTTCCAAGAATGGGCACCGCTCTTTCCCGTGATCCACAAGCCGACTTTCCTTCGCATATATGAAGAGTTTGGCGCCGACGCGGACAAAGTAAAGAGTCACCATAAGATTGCGCAATTAAACCTCGTCTTCTGTATTGCTGCATTATCGAGCGAATTACCGGATACGGAGCAAATTGCAGCATGCGAGCAGCAATGGCAAAAGGCCTTGGATGCCATTCTCATGGAAAACACCATGAACACTTTACAGTGCTTGGTCTTAGCTCTCATGTATTGCGCTGTCCGCGCCGATTACAAGCGCTTGATTCACTACAAAGGTATTGCTGTCGCGCTATCACATCGCTTAGGTCTTCACCAAAGCCAGAAGCGGTTCTCCTTTGGCGCCTTGACTATTGAAACCAGGAAGAAGGTGTTCTGGACTTTGTATACTCTGGACTGGTGAGTAAGCTTCGTAAAAGCCTTGGTTCCCTGACTAACTTCCTCTCTAGTTTCTCTGCTGCGATGCTAGGCCTACCAAAAGTTTTGAAGGAAGACGACATTCATGCTGAGTACCCGTCGGACTGTGATGACGAATATGTCACAGAAAAGGGATTTCAGCCTACTCTCCCCGGCGAGTACACCAGGCTCTCGAGCGCTTTGGCATTGTTCAAATTATCGCGCATACTTGCCAAGGTCCTGGAGAAGAATTATCCTGCTGCCACGTCATACGAGCTGTCGCTACAGCAGATCGCAATGCTGGAAGCGGAGCTAGTAGGGTGGGATGAGAACCTACCGACTCATCTAAAGTTGACGTTTGCACAAGACAAGCCGTCAACTGACGTCACTGGAAGCCGTTCGCCGGTTCTGGCTCTTGCTCGTTACTACGTGCGAACTCTGATTCATCGACCTGCAGTGGGCTCAAGTCTTGGACCAAAGGCTGTGTCATCCGTTATCGCTGTTGGCGAGTCGAGCAAGCACATGATTCAGATCGTTCAACTGCTTGAGGAGCGCAGCATGTCTTTCTCGTTCTGTCTGAACAAGGTTGATGTTCTTGTCCTATGCTCAATGACCTTGCTATACCAGACGTTGGATCTGAAGCAGGAGAGCAGACTGGCGAAGGATGCAGAACGCCTGGTCAATGCAGTCCTCAAAGGATTGTTGAAGGCTAAAGCACCAGGAACGTTTGATTTGCAACGCGTGGCATCTATGCTCATTACTGTAGATGAGCCTATGTCACCCCCTGTACCACGTGCCAGCTCTGAGTCGAGTGCGAATGTACCTCCATCGAAGGCCTCTCCTCAACAGTCGACCTTTTCCAAGAAGAAGTCCTTCTATTCACTTGGCCGACACTCGAGCGCAAGCGCGAGTGAAACAGACCTGCTGGCCCAGCAAGAGAAGCTTCGTCGCATGACCATGCCGAACGCTACTGCTGTGCGTCCTGAACTCTATCGCTCCCAATCACGTGCGTCGTTTGACGATGCCTCGCATCGGCCATCGATGCCTCGTCAGGAGCACCGGTTCTCGTTATCACAGATTCAGCAGAGCATGCTCAGGATGTCGTCCACGCACAAGAAGACGAATCTGGACTACTTATCACTCAGTACCACGCCCATTACCACCCAACCGCCTTCCCCTTTGCAATCAAGACTGGCGGTTCCACAAGCGGTGCAGCGCCTCCAACAAGCACCATCACCACCGTTATACACAGCAATTCCTGCGCCAACTAAGACCGACTCAGTAAATGCGATGTCGACTGCGGAGTGGGAGTCGCTACTCGGCTCTCTTGACGGGGGCCAAGCTAACTTATACGATGCCATATATGGCGGCCCAGCCCTCTCCCTCGAGACGCCACCACCAGTACCTACCAATTTCCCGGATTGGTCACCGAACTCTTGGAGCTTACCCGGCTTCAATCTTGGGGACATGAACACGAATGCGCCGCCGCCACAGAGCGTGCTGAGCTTCAGTGATGAGAGTCTGAGCTCTGGCGAGGAGCTAGCTACGAGTGACATTTACTTCAACATGAATGACGATTATCGCAGCAGTCTGTTGCATTCTAGTAATAGGCAACCCAACGATGGGCTTGTCATGGTGGACGGGTTACCATTGGATTTGGGTATTTGATTGGATACCACGTGGGATTGTGCTTCCCAACAGTGCTTAATTGCCACGAGCTCACGATCACGAGACGGTTCAATCTCTGTATAGCAACGTTATGTTTTGGGCCGGCGTGATGGTGTTCCAAAGCGCACATGGTTTAGGGATATGACAGGCCGCGGGTCAACGTAGCTGAGTGTATCATGTTGCCTTGAATTTGGGATTTATTTGCTCCATTTGTACTTGGGTATATTTAACCAGTAACCGGATATTGGGAAAGGGAATTAACACAGGCAGACCAGGTAGTTGGGATATCATAGGGAAGCCGAGCATGCATAGCCTCATGAATCTAGGCATAAGAAAGAAAGAAAAATAGGAACCCTTCATGAAAATACAGTAAAATTAGATATACTTGATTCCCGGCTGCGGATAGAAAGCTCCTAGCGATCCTAATGGTTCTAAGACTGACGCGCATATTCGCACTACAGTGGTTTCTTACTGCGTACATTGGCGCAGTGACACGCTAACTGACACCTGCTAAGTGTAGATTTCTACGGTGGGTTCATCCGCTAGCAGTGATCGGCTGGTTATTTGGTACGACTTAATTGTAAAGAAGTGAGTCATTAACATACGTAGGTTGTCGGGTATCAATGAAACATATTGCTTCCATTCACGATAGAGCTTCACTTCCTCGTGACGTTTGTCCGCGGTCCCAAAGTTAACAGGATTATTCTTGCGTGGCCGTAGGTCGACTGCTGTACTAGAAGTACTAGGATTGTGAAACCTGAAGGCGTTTTCACTTCAGCCCCAGCGACCAACTAGGTTACAAAATTCAAAGAGTAACAACCTCAATATTGAACGGAGTCAAAAAGCGCCACGTGGAACCGTGATAGAAATGATGCTGGAAATCAACAGATACCTCCCCATAAAATACCACGTGAGAATTATGTCCCTCGCCTGCAGGTATTCTGTTAAGCATGCGACAGAGGAACATCACATTGCTCGTTGTCACGTTGTCCAACGAAATGTCTCAGCATCACGGACCCTCCTCGAAAGACTTCACACAAGGCGAAACAAAGACTCTTTGCGGGGCCTCGTCTCGGCAAGCTCAAGGCAAAGCATTGCCTTGGTCTTGAATCCAATCAAACAGGCTCTTTTCTCGAATAAGAAATTCTTGACCAGCCTGTCACCCACAAAGGTCATCAGGAACCACCAGCTGACCTAGGCCTGGATCTCGGCATCTTAGCAACCCGAACGCCGCAGCTGTATAGGCGGTAGCACGGCGGTAGCGGGTTTTAGGCGGTCAGCAATCCGCTGTATGCAGTGCCCGCAGCGGGATTTTGCGGTACCGACTGTTGTGGCGCCATCTATAACGAAGTCTTGGCTTTCTTTACAATAAAATATCACGACTTACATCGCCGCTGGACCCAACCACTTGCGAACGAGTGTCATTGCTTCGCGATATCATTTTCGTCTATCATCAAACCGTGGCGCTCTAGTTCGCAGTATCTCACTTCATTGAAATTCCGAGTAGATGGTGGAGAGAACAGGTCGTTACATCCATAACTCCACTCACCAATATCTCCGTGTTAGAGGGTGCGGCGCCATGACAGCCTTAGAGACTACACCATGCCTTGGATCAACGAAGGAGGCGTACGACAAATCATCAGGTACGTTGATCAATGAGCTACCCTCTTACTCCTAGAACAAGCAATGGTGTTGACACATTATTCGTAGCCAACCTATCTGCAGCGTTGCTATTGACACCAGCAGATGGCGGGCAAGACGGGAAGCCGTTACGGCTTCCTCAGACCATTGCACACCGTGGATACAAAGTCGCATTTCCGGAGAATTCTATGGCTGCCTTTCGGAGCGCGGTGGAGGTCGGCGCACATGCGATAGAGACAGACCTGCATCTGTCGAGTGATGGCGTAGTCGTCTTGTCACACGTAAGCCTTCCTCGTAATAACTTGCACCACGATACCGAGTTTCACGGTTTGAACAATTTTATAAAGAACAATTTGTGAAGATCACTAGAATAGAAAGCTGATGACGCAACTGAGTTAGGATGCTTCACTCAAACGATGTTTTGGTGAAGACAAGAAAATCGCAGACTGCGACTGGAACTATCTGAGCACACTGCGTACCGTACGCAAGCCCAGGCAGCCGCTACCTCGTTTCGTGGACCTTCTAGAGTATATGGCACAACCAGATCAAGAACATATGTGGATTCTGCTTGATGTCAAGGTGAGTCGTCCCTTACTTGCAGGGCTGTTATTTGCCTGCGTTGGAGCCAGAAGCGTTAACTATGTTGTTTTTAGAAAGATGATGATCCTACTGAGCTTCTGAGCCTTATTACCTCGACTATAGCTGCTGTACCCGCTAAGAGGCGATGGGCAGAGCGTATCATAGTCGGTTGCTGGGATGTACGTTGTTTTTTTCAGCTGATGTGCAACTGTGCATTACTACATTTACAAATACTAAACATACTGTGCAGGCGAATTATGTAAAATTGGCTCTAGATCTCCTCCCTGGTTTCCCGCTCACGTATATCGGTTGGAATCTGGCATATGCCAACTCGCTTTTTCGAGTACCAAACATGAGTTTCAATCTACTCGCCCAATCTGTGGCAGGACCATGCGGAGACAGATTCCTTCGCAAAGCTAGGAAAAACAACCGAGCAGTCTTTGTGTGGACCGTGAACAATGAAAACTGGATGGAATGGAGTATCAAGAAGAATTTGGATGGTGTAATCACAGATGACCCGAAACTGTTCTTGGAAGTGTGCGATCGCTGGAAAGGAAATCCCGATAAACCCAGTATACACAACAAAAGGCAACCCAGAGTCTCACAGCGGGTACGATGGAAGGTCAGACAAGTCATTGAAGTTGCAATTTTCTACGTCTTGCTGTCACTTTATTACATGAAGTTGCTCGCTCTTGGAAACGCCAATTCGAAGCAGCACGTTAAGAGAGCACTAGGGTACTAAATGTGAGGGTAGAGATGTACAGTAGATAGTTATACCTGAAGGTTCAATGAGAGTATACAGGACCATCATATATCAGACATATTTTAACACGTTTCGTGCAGTTGTGTTGCAATACTAATTAGCCTGTGAACTTTGCAGTCAACAATATGATAGTGTACCATTCAGAGTCGGAATTGACGCGTGCAAGTTCCGGTAGGTAGTTTGTGAGATTGTGAATAAAGGAGGGAGTTGTTGAACGAAGTTTTTATAGGTCTTAATGTCAACTCATTTCCTTTTTCCATGCTTGGTGTCTTGCGAGCTGTAAGATAATATGTTACGTTCCACGTCACTCAGAGATGAAACGCTCGCAATAATCAATTGGTACGAAAAGAGAACGATTAATTACCGATCAATATTCGCAGAGGAATCAGGTTCTGTCCATATTGAAGTACCAGAAGAGCAAAACAAAGTCACCTCACTGTCTAAAATGTAACTTAGTATACTGCATAACTGCTCTCAATTTTGGAGTAGTGGCATGTCATCCAGGGAATTATATCAGCCAGAGCAGTTTGAAGGTTCGCCATCAGTCATCGAATATGAAGAAAGACAATAGCGAAAATTTAAGCGTGACACATGGCTTTAACGTACCTACAAGATCTAAATGATGTATCAAAGCCTCCGAAATGGATGTTCTCATGTCTTCGTCACTTGATTTAGTCACTATTTGGCAGGAAGGCACGCGGGTGCGTGCCTTCCCTTTACTTGAATTCAGCATCCAAACCTTTATTTTTAAATCAAAACTGGAATAAGGCATACCGAAAACTTTTCTCTCTGAAGACTTGGTTTCAGTTACAAATTTTCCACTCAATTTGTAATTTTCCGGCTGGCCACCTGCGGCATCTCCTTTACCCAGAGACGACTGTAACATGAGATCTATTTGTCTGACCTTTTAGTGCCATCATGTCCTCATTCCCATCGATTCAATCGTTCTATAAACGCGAGATCGTAGGCAAGTCTGGCATTACTCAACATAATGCCTCAAATACCAATGATGGGTTCACCAGCCAAGAAGTATCAGATGCTCTCCACCCTCTGTCCCGGCCATGGAGGCCGAATGGAGTCTATCGCAAGTGCCCAATCGCTTCTATCGAGGCTGGCCCATGCAGTTACGAGATCCTGGGTAGAGTTGTGAATTTCTCATCTCCCTCCGCCAGAAATCATGCGCATTCTGCCACTGAGGGCCAATACCGCATAGTACTAAGTGATGAGAACGGAGCGATCGCTGTAAGTGCATACTCGTCACGAATCAGTCAAATAACTTCAGGTCTTCTGGCTTACTAGTTTTAGGTTAAACTATTTTATACCAAACCTCGCGACTTCACTTTGGTCATTGGTCAAACAGTCACCATTTACACAGCATACATTGCAAATTCAACAAAAGCAGAGACCGGTCACATCCCATATGTCCACTACTGCACCATAATCCATCCTAGTCGCAATAGAACGACACATATCATTTTTCATCAAGATTTACCACTGTCTGATGAGGATCGCTCCTTCAGGGCTCCCTTAGAACTCAATACCGAGCAAACTGATAACCGATTTGGTCTGATGAGCTTGAAGACATTTCTTTCCAGCGGCTTCGATACGGGTGAAGGCACGATACTTGTCTGCGTGCGATCTATCGGTCCACACAAGTCTGTGAGATCCAGAAAGCGAGAAGGAACTGTGGATTTGATTGAAGTAAGTATCTTTGACGATACTGCAGCCTCTGTTCTAAAGCTGTGGGGCGATCATATCTCCTGTGCAAGATCACTTGTTCCGAATCAGAGAATCCTTTGGATCTCACATCCAAATTACAAGACTTTATATGGGCATCTAGGTAACTCGCCAGTGTCTGCTAAGATCAGCATCAGGTACAGCTCTATGGTAAATTTCGACCCAGTGTGTGCAGATGTGGAATGGCTACGTAAGAAAGCCAAAGAGTTGGCCAAGAAGGAAAGTGTACTAAATCACTTTCCTGAGGGTATTTGGGACGTCGAAGCTACTGTCAATTCAACGGCCAGAGAACTCTTGAAAATTGCAGAAATGGACGAGAATATCCGTCAAGACCTGGAGAGCAATACCACAGGCAAGTTGAACGTCATCATATCCGAAGTAAACCTCATGGCAGTTTGGCACAAGGGGATGCTTTGCTGTACTGAGTGGTGAGACATGCTACGATGCCGATGTAAATTCCGCAAGGTAACTAACTGTCGGTACTAGTTGCGGTATCCCGCTGTACGCCAACAAGCCTCTTGCTATATGAAAGAATTGTGGCTTGCAAATGGAACTGTCTCTCAATTCACGAGTGCTTGGCACGATGGTAGACGAAAGCGGTACAATTTTGGCAGGGAAACTTGCTTGGAAAGAGACTGCTTGGACACAACTATTCTTTACAGACTTTCAAGACAACCAGGATGTAGATGGTGATGACATGTCTGATCTGACTAAACAAACCTGGGAAGACCAAACAGCTCTTGATAGCGTGACACTCAAAGATATCGAAGAGCAACTGCTATACTCGCGAATTACGATAATATTTGGTTGGTGCTCAAAGTTAGAGAGACTCTGTGTATTGAGAGTCGAGTGGTGAACGTCAAATAGTATATTTAAACAGAAAACTTCAATAAACTAAGAGTACATGTGGCAACTATCCGAGCATAGGTTCGAATACGTCGCAAAACACATCAATGTAGCTCCTTGAAGAGAGGCTAAGCATATATTCTCATGTCAAACTGAATCGGACCCTCTTTCTGTGCAAACGCTGTAAGATATTGTGTTGCCGCGTCTTGTTTATATACTTTATGGAATGCGTATATATACGGTATGATATGTTCAGATGCGTGTCGTTGATCATTGATTCTTTGCAAATTTAGAGTGCCGACTTCTTGTCACCAACTTCCTTAGCGGCTCGATCTCTGAGCTCTTTTCTCAAGATCTTTCCAGACTATAGGACCATTGTTAGCACCAGGATGCTCATGTTTCAGCGAAGTCTCACGATAGGAAACTTACCGGGTTTTTGGGGATTTCAGGCACATAAATTACACCGCCTTTCAACCACTTGTATCGCACAACCTTGTTCTGCATCCATTGCGCGATGTCTTGTTCTGAGACCTTTGCTGCAGGGTTCGGCACGACATATGCACGCGGAACCTCCTCGCCATTGATGGTGACACCAACAACAGCGGCATCAATCACAGACTTGTTCTCCAACAGCACACCCTCCAGCTCGGCGGGGGCAACTTGGTTGCCCTTGACCTTGATCAGCTCCTTCAAGCGATCGATGACGTGCCATAGTCCACCCTGCTCGTACTTTTCAATGAACGCGATGTCGCCAGTCTTTAACCACCGCGTGCCGTCGGCGTCAATATGTAATGTGTTTGCCGTAGCCTCCGGCTTATTCCAATAACCCTGCATAAGTGTCGGACCTGTGACCCAGATTTCGCCCGACTCGTTGGCGGTAGTGATCTCACCAGAACCGTCGAGCCGCATGATCTTGCCCCGACAATTCGGCGTCAACTCGCCTACTGCGATACTCTTAAGTTTGCTGCCTGGGTGCCATGTCAGACACGTGCACGTCACTTCGGTCATGCCCCATCCCTGGGTTATCAGGACGTCGCCGGAGGGCCACAGCTTCTCGGCCTCTTCGGCCACTTCTCGCGTAAGCGGCGCAGCGCCCGACCCTAGACTTTCGATGGAGCTTAGGTCGTATTTCCGTGCGAGCGGGTGCTTGGCCAGGGCTACGACGATGGGCGGGACGCAGGTGAGCGATGTGATGCGGTACTTCTGTACGTACTCGAGCATCTTGACAAAGTCAAACCCGCCCATGATGTAGACGGGAATGCCAATCTTGGGGAATATCGTCGTGAAGTATGTCTGGCCAAAGGCATGATACATGGGAAGAAAACAAAGCTGGCGTGAGCGCTTGACCCAGTCCTCATAGTCATCCCTCATGGCCGCAACGTGTAGTACTTGGATGCCATTTGCGATGTATGAATAGTGGCTGATCTGAACGCCCTTGGGAACGCCAGTCGTTCCCGAGCTGTAGTTCAAACAGCATGTGGCGGTTTTAGAGTCAGGAGCCTCGTACCAATCCCATTTCTCGGCCTTCTCCGCTGATACAAGGAGGTCGGTCCAGTGTTTGGCCCCTGGTGGCGCCTTTCCGGGAGTCGAATCTAGTGCTGTTGCGTCAAAACTATACACTTTATCTTTGGGAAGTCCTACTTCCGCGGCGGCCTCGGTAGCGATATCCATGCTGCTATTGGCAGAGACAAGAAAAGAGGCACCGCTATCCTTGAGCTGATACGCCAACTCTCTCGCCACGAAGCTCGGGTTTGCGCCTGTAAAGACACCGCCAGCCATAAGCACGCCCATAAAAACAACAGGTGTGAAGAGCGTGTTTCCGGAGAAGAGAAGGACCCTATCCCCAGGTTGTAGGCCGGCCTCGATCAGACCGATGGCAAACCTCTTCGACCAGAGTCGAAACTGCGATTTCGACAAAACATGCGTATCAGGCTTTTCGGGATCGACGAACAAAGGCGTGTCCGGTAGCGGGTCAAATGAGGAACCAAAAGTCCATCGTGGCAGAGACCCGCCGGGGATTTCCACGTTCCAGCGACTAGATACCGGCATCGTGAAATAGATACTCTGGCTGTGCGTTATGCGGTTGAGAAGCGAGGTGATATGAACCGGACGATGTGTATGTTGAGACCAAAGCGGTAAGGGCCAGCTACTGACAAGATTTCAAGCGAATGAGCAAGCTCAATACGTTGAGTCCAATTCAGTTCAAGCCAACCTTTGCTACTTGTTGAAACGACGCAGGAATAGCCCAACCCTAGGTACTCTAGGGCTTGTCTGGTAGGATGGGAATTGTGACACAAGTATATGGTGTGCATACATGCAGGTGAGAAGGAAGCTTTTACTGAGGTGACCTGTCGTTTATACCAGTCAACCAGGACGCACTCTCTGGGGATCCATGCTTGCTCGTAAACTTGTAATCCTCCACGATAGAGCTCTGCTGTAATTGGCCACATAATCAACAGCCAAGGATGAGATTGTGATCTCCCCGCACAACGGAGTTGTTGTGGTGATAAATTGATGCGGAGAAAGCTGGGGTTTGGAGAACAAGCCGAGGCTGGTCGGCCTGAATAGGTATAAGGAAATAGTTGTGGGCCGGACCCCGACCTCTGGTGGGTTTCTTTTGTGGAGTCAACAATTAATTTCATGGGGATATTGTCCGTGTGATGGAGCTCTATGGATACTTTGACCCAGAGTGAAATAATATGCATTGCAAGCGTCTGGCTTGTTCGGCTAAGTTGCGTACTTACGGCAGTGACACAATCTTGAGAGGTACCAGTTCAGCGAGCTTCTGCAGCTGTGGAGATAGACTACTTGTGCGAACGCATCACCAAGGACGATACTGCCTCATGGTTCGAATCATCAATGTGTTGCAGTACCATCTGGAGGGAGAATCTCAGTACTATTTACGGATAGTAATCGTGTGTGGGCCAAGTGCTCCTGCCACGCACCAAGATAGAAAAAAGTAAGGAGACGAAGGAATCGGAGAAGAAATAGAGCAGACAAACAATTCTTTTAATAGTACATCATCATCATAAGCTGAGGTTACCACGGCCGTTAGGACTGATATTCAAGACCTACAAGGCGTATATTTATATTGAGAGGTGCGGGTCGCAATTGCTCTGATTTCAGCTTACTGCTCCGGGACATCATCAGTAAATATAACGTTAGGAAAGTTTGTAGTTTCCTGAAATATCATTTCTAGTCTAACAGAATCGGCAAAATTCGAGAAATACATGCTCGAGAGATATGGAATTATGTAGTACAAACACGCTTTTAAGATTATGTTTGTTTTTATTTATGACAGAGGCGAATCATGGGCAGTTGGATGGACAAGTGGAGACATTTAGAGAGCAGTAAAGCACGCGTGAAAAAGTCGCGTCGCATTTCAGTCGAGCCGAAATTCTCCAATTGTCCAACGTCGCTCTATAACGCTGTTTGTGCTACAGATCGTGCACTTTCCTTCAAGCGAAGAGAAATCCCGATCTTGTGCGACTCTTGCCACGTTGGCCAAGTGTCACAAAGCATGCAAAGCCGTCTAGGGTGGACTGGGGTGCCGAAGAAAGCATAATCTTAGGTGATAACAGAATTCTAAAATATCGTCGTCTACAGTGGTACGCCCAAATTACATGCTGCTATGTCTCGTGTATATTGTAACGGCTTCGTCAGATCCAACATCATATCACTTGAATACAGCTGATATTTGAGACAAGATTTGGCAAATCTTGTCTCGGGTGCAAACTCATAGCGTATCGCCCCCTGTACGCTCATACTATCAAATTAGCCTGGAGACTATCAAATCAGCGATTGTCGCCTATAGAGCACACGTAGCATGTTTCCTGAGGTACTGCATGTCCACATAACACAAAATGAGCACGTAGAAGGCGACCTGTATTTTCGCAACAACGAAAGAGCTAAAATCGTGACAATCAGACCTCTAAGCGTTCTCTTATGGGTGATGCATTCGCACTTTTCTATCACATGAAGTATGATCTGAGTAACCAAGACTCGAGTCAGAGGTTGCTCGATATTGAGCTTCACTGCTGCAGGGTCTTAAACGATTAGCACTTTCCCATTTTAAAAGAAGTTAACGACAATGTCATGATGGTTCTTACCCGCCAACTGCCAACAGCCAATAGACCATTTCACAGGCCATTTCGCGGGGCTTGGTATTGACTGAGACGGCCGGGCTCTTGCATTTGGAGCCATAGTTCTGCCATTTTGTTATAATAGCAATTCCAGGTTCGTGATAAACTAAACGAATAGTAGAAGATGAGTAGATCTCTGGAACATCATAGCAAAAGAGTCGGCAAGTATCCATAAGTCTACAATCTAGAGCAGGATTAAGCCAATGAAGAAACCACTTTCCTGAGAGGCCACCTATAACGAGCTTCTAGAATCGCCAAGCATATGTGTTAGTCAAAGATAGAGATGACAAGGAAAAATGATCGAATACCAAGAAACCAAGACTTGCCAGTGCTCTCGGCCCATCTGTCATGATGCTTGGCCTCGCGAACTGATAACAATTAGTCCAACCTAGGAGGCTTCCATGGTCGCCTCCGCGTGCAAGCATTTCGCATTATACGTAGGCTCAGATCGCCTATTGGACGGTATGGTTGTTTCATGATATTAGGAGAAGGCGATTCAGGCCCATGCTTTGTTTGGATCTTTTTGCGAATATCGATCTAGAAGATTCTCCCTTCACAAGAGCTTGAGTCGATTGTGGCGAGGACTGGACGATAGGAAGACTTGGTGCAACCGGATGAAAGTTCCCCTGAACGTTGATTCAGGCAATCAGTGTTACAACGAGACTCGAAGAAGACTGCGCTTGTTCAATTTTCCATCTTCCAATTTTCACCATGCCCGACGATCCGGTCATAGGTCAGGGCCGAGTATGACGCTCGTTCGTAATTGTAGTTGTGGTGGGGTTGAGGCTCAGTGCGGCCACGAAGGTCCGAGCCCCCTAATCCGATAGTGTTGTCAGACACCTCACGTTTGAGGTTCTACATACACTCCTAACCTTCAAGACAAAGTATCCCTGTGAAATCCGAGCCCGGGATCCGAAAGCGCGTTAGCTGCATTTCCTGAACCACTTGGACTTTGTTTGCAAAGCAACCATTGCCCGATTGGGACAGAACTTGATTCATGGCGCCAAAACATCGTAACACCAAACATCAAGAGAAACAGCACAGCCCGACAGTCAAACAACAAGGCAGCCACAGGGGTTTACTCTATGATCTGCGGATCTCCACTCCACTATACGATCTCCCGAAAGTTTGCCATGCATTGACTACGGAGATGTTCCGTTTGAGCCTCGATGAGCAGTCTGGCCAATGAGACCTGATCATACCAGGTCATAATGGATATTGTCCACAACCAATCGCAACTTTTCCTTAAGCTTATTCTGACTGCCGGCTACCAGATGATTGAATGTGGTCCTAAGCTCTTGGCCGAGTTCGCCAATGCCCCTAGGCAAAGGTCAGATCATTGCTTCGCCTGATCTTTGTTGCAGCTCGTCTATGGTATCCAGACATCCGGTTGAGTAGCCTCAAACCAAGGGGCTACGGAAAGACTGGAAGTCCTTAGCGAGTACGTTGAGAATGTCATCAAGCCTTGCCAAGTTTTCCAAGCTTTACCAAGAGCTGTCAGCCAAGCCAAAAATCTATAAGATGGTCGATCATTCCATCCAAGAGTCGAACTTCTTTTCACTATCATCAAGCATCAATCATTCAACCAATATCATCTCTTTCTATTCTCTAGAGCCCGGTGCTCCTTATTAATCAGTCCTTACTTTACAATCCAGTTCACTATTCTAGTACTATTTACAACCCAATTTTCCAAACAAAACCCTTCTAATCAGTCAAGATGAAGTACGCTACCTCCATCCTCATTGCTGCTTTCGCTGCTACCAATGTTCTCGCACACGGTGTCATTACTGAAGTTCAGGGTGCCAACGGTGTCAACCTGCCCGGTCTTTCCCTGCAGGACGGCACTCCTCGTGACTGCGCCTCTCCCGCCTGTGGCTCGGAGGCCGACACTTCCATCATCCGTGACAAGGAGCTCGGAACTTCCAAGGCTTCCGCTCTCGGCCGCACCAACGGTGGCGGCCCTGTCGACGCTGCCAAGATGGTTTCTCTCTTCATGGACGGTGCTGGTGGCAACACCACCGCCGCCAAGACTGCCCGTGATCTGCACGCCGAGAACAAGGCTCGCTACGTCAGACTCGCCATCCGTGCTGGCAACGGTGGCACCAAGACCCCCAAGGGTACTTCTGAGACCGGTGTCAAGGCCGCTACTGGTGCTGCCTCTGGTGGCATGCCAACTACCGCTGATGATGGTACTCTGACCATGACATTCCACCAGGTCAACCAAGATGGTGCTGGCCCTCTCAAGGCTCAGGTTGATGCCACCTCCGGTGGTACTGACGCCTCTGCATTCAAGACTGCCGAGGTCACCCAAAACGTCCCTGGTATCGGCATTGGCGGTCTCTCCGCTGCCTCTACCATGGACTTCCCTGTCGCCATCCAGATGCCCGCAGGTATGACCTGCCAGGGCTCCGTTGGTGGTGCTGAGAATGTCTGCGTTGCCCGCCTCCAGAACTCCGCTTTGGCCGGTCCCTTCGGTGGTTCCGTTGCTTTCACGCAGAGCTCCGCTGCCAAGAAGCGTGCCATTGAGCACAACTTGGCCAAGAAGCGATTCGCTCGCAACCTTGAGAGCCAGCAGTAAATCATCGGCTCTGTGCGATAGTGGTGGATAATGGTAGACGGCGTGGAGTGATGGGTGATGGGATTTGTACAAATGGCAGAGGAGGAACATCCCACCCCTGGTATTGAGGACATTGTAAATAAATGGTTGTGCTGCTCTCTCCCGGTTGAGACAGTGACATAGAATGGTGGATATGGGTTTTAGTGGGTTGACCATCCTCTTCGCCCCCAACAGTTCTGCGTGCGGAACATTGTATATAGATACCAGCTTGATATGGGTCGGCGAATGATGAGTCTTACGTTCCTTAGTTACTATAATCATTGGTTTTATCTCAATCTACTTTCCTCAACTAAATGTGAATGCCAAGTGACAAACTCATAAAATAACAGATCATAAGAAATATGGCTAGTCATAGTCAGAGGGAAAAAGAACTCACTAAGAGGTCTTGGCGCTCCTGCGCAGATATATAACTGCTCGACGGACCTGCGCGTGATATGCATGGCAGAACTTAATTTGAGTGGCGCGAACTCCGAATTTGGGGAAGGGGGTTTCTTCAGCAGTCCTCAGTGCCTGGTCCAAATGAAAGAACAAATAGAACATTATTAGAGGAATGGAATTATGTTTATCATATGGTAAGCCGTAGTTCACGTTGCGTATTGGCATGCGTAAAACTACAGTGGTTGCAGCTTGCAACGTACCAGTGGTCCAATCCGGGCAGTAAAGCCGCCCATACGATGCTCAATCTCACCAACAGCGTTAAAGTTGTGCGAAGCCATGCCAGAGACGATCTGACTCATGTAAGCAGCGAAATAAAAGCGAGCTGCTCAATTAGGAAACAACTAGGAGATTGGAAACCTAGAAGGGGGCAGTATCTATGCATTCGCTTATTATTGTGTTATAATCCCGCCAAAACATATTAGGATATATTAAGTTTGACTATATAGCCGAATACTCGCCAGAACAGTGACGGGCGTCACTTTCCCTTAATAGTATTCATTAGGATAGCGTTAAACGTAGGGCGCACGCTAAGTGAGCGTCCTGTTTCTAACATACACAATCTCGCGAACGGCCTATGCCCGGCTCTTGAAAAGTAAAGTAGAGGACCGGCTCTTCAATGATTTATTAGCGCACATATTCGTGGAACTTGCTTACAGTACGTCGTCTGCATTCCATCGCAGCCTGACATACCTGTCAAGGCTAAGACTATTCGTTTGTGATGAGTTTCTTATTTTAGCACCAGCAGGATGGCTGGTGGGGTTATTTCGCACCACGGCCGCTAGGGCTGCAGGGACTATCCACTACGTATTCCCAGCTGCACTGTAGGTTAGAATCATGCCTCCAATAGTGGCCTCTTCGCTCTGTCTCGTTGGAATGCTGTTGGTATGTCTATGAAGCAACATGGCTCAAGCAAGACGCGCAACGACGTCCTGGTTTGCGCAATGAAAAAGACAAAGAAAGATGCAATTGCTCATGCAGCTATGCGGTGCCGTTGCTTCGGGTTGAGGTTTGTGCGACCAGATGAGCTCAGAAGTGGCTCTGTGCCGCAGACACTAACCCAACCATAGGTAAGATTATCATGCGAGAGCCCAGCCCTGCTGCGGGCCCCCTGCTTGCCTCCCCTCAGAAATTAGAATCACGTTTGACTTTCGTTCGCAGGAATTGACCAATCAAATGTCCCCCGATCTTTCTTCCAAGCACATTTCTACTTGCTTGAGTATTCCGTCACCAAGGATCTACCGTAAGCACCAGCTCACGCCTGATTAGTTTGGAGCCAACGTGAGCAGCAAATCGGATATGCACGATGGCTGAGCATCTGCAGGATGAGGCGCCAACAGGGGCTCCCAATATCCTGGGTCTGTCTTTTCCTAGTCGACATGCATATCAACGGATGAAATCGTGTGATGATGGAGGAGAACTTAGTTTGACTGATTTCAACTCTTCTCCTCATCCAACTGAAATCAACGGAGGAGCTACGCATCGTTCAACAGAAATGGATGCCGATCGAGCTGTCTCTCCAACCACGGTCGGCTCCCAGCAGGACGTAAGCGTCGACGACAGAGCGGTTTCGCCAGTGACCATTGCTGAACAGGGAGAAGAGCCCCCTCGGACTCCTGGAATCTTGGTGTCGCCAGCGCTTCCTCAAGAACAATCACCAGAAATTGTGTCAGCCCCAGTGCCTGCGATACGGAAAGCCTCCAGGAAGTCCAGGTTCACAGAGATACTTAGAAGGTCTTTCTCGTCATCTTGGGACAAGTCAACCGCGTTTGAAGCAACTAGAGATGTACCGGGATCCGGTGTCTCTTATCCGCTTGGTTCTCCGGGAACTCCACAAGACCTAACCCATCTGCACCCGATCACCGAGTACAGCAATGAGGAAACTAGAGACGATGCCGACCGGTCTTCTCTGAAATATAGTAAGACGCTGACTGCAATATGAACAATTTGAAGCTGACCTGGAATCAGACCAGCCTCCCATGGACTGCCACTCGAGAAGAGACGTTCGCGTACGCCGTTCGAGCTGGCTATACATCATGTTAATGATACTCTCGGTGTACTCGACACTTCTCAGTGGGTTATGGTTCATTGTATCAATCTACCAGCCACGCTATGGACTGGGCATCTCATCGAGCAGCAGCCATCACGCCATCGTACCGTCCACAGCATCACTGGTAACCGCGCTCTTCGCTAAGACTACAGAACTATCTTTCGTGACTGTTTTTGTCGCATTTGTGGGACAGGTGCTGACCAGGAGGGCGTTCGTAAAAGGATCTCAGGGTATGACTCTTGCAGAGATGACGATGCGGAACTGGGTTATCCAGCCAGGCTCTCTATTTACGCTTTGGGACAGCATTCCGTATGCTGGCGGAACATTTCTGGGTTTCTTGACCTTGCTAGCCACCATCAGTGGCATCTTTTATACAACGGCATCCGATGCCATGGTCACGCCAAAACTGATATTTGGCAACTGGGAACACCAGGAACTTCAGGGACTAGTAAGGGCATCCTACGGGAATCCATACTTCGTAAGAGATACCTGCACGACGCCTATCAACAAGACAATCGACGAATGGAATTCCGCGCCGTCATGCCTCGATGTATACTACTCGGGCCAGTCTTATCGGAATCTGCTGGCTTTCATGGGTTCCTGGCAAACACTCGATCAGAATGACACAGTCTTGCAATCAACGACAGATATCCAGGCAAGACCGGCTGGGACTGCACTATTATATGATAACACCACGCTTTACTCCACGTGGGTGGATGCCGAGTTTAGCGATCCAGCAAAGCAATTCGAAACTAGTAAAAGAATCATCAATAATGTCACGCTATCCATGCCGCATCCTGGAGTCTACGCTGCAGCAACCGACCCAGTCAATGGCATCCTGCAGCCAAATGATCTTTCAGGTGTTGGTGAATACCAGATTCGAGCCAGCGTTGCATCACCCACGGTAAACGTGATGTGCGTCAACATCGCCAAGTCTGACTTGGCGCCGCTGATCTACACGGAATGGCCTGATGCGAAGAACAACCGGACTGACGTGCCTGACCAAGTGATTGGCAATAAGAACTGGCAAAACGACGTACCAGTTTTCAGCGACAATGAATGGCTCAATAAGACATTAGTAGATGATGTCTTTCAGTGGGGCGAAAAATATGGCCGCCGTCCACCAGTCTTCCAGCTAGTAAGTACTTACGATATTGCTTTCGCCAGAAAACACATGCTGATGCTTTGGGACTAGTATCCGCTGGACTACAACATGATCACCAATACAAGCGTCTACATGTCTGACTCGCTATACTTGCTTGCCAAATCAGGACTAATCGAAGATTATACTCTATGCCAGCTCCGTTCCTGGCTGTCGCCGGAATGCTCGACACAATTCAATATATCTGGGATCTCGGGTGCACAGATGCACGCTCGCTGCCAGGATCCTACCGACGAGAATTCTTACTCACATTCCACACCAGGGCTTCCTGAAACCCCATCCGTAGATTGGAAGAACATGGCGGATCAGTGGCGTCTAAGCATGGATCTGAATGGCGGCATCACCAACAACAATGCTTCAAACGCCCGTATCATGACCAACCTCATTCTCGACTCGGCACAACTTCAGCCACTGCTACCGTCAATGGCCGAGGCCCTGGCCGTACTCGCCTCCTCAACTCTCATCATTGGCTCAATTGGGACTTCTTATAGGCAATACTGGGACGCCTCGTATCCTTCGCAGAATATGGACGTTGGAGTGTATGAGTCATTCAACTCCACCCTTAAGACGCAACAGTACGCGTCTTCGCATGTCGAAGATTGGCAAGCCATCTTCTACCCTGTACTTGGGTTGGTATTCCTCATCAATGTGGTGTGTCTTCTGTACCTCACTTTCGCACATGGCATGGTGACCGACTACACGGAGCCGCGGAACATGTTCGCCCTAGCCGTCAACTCGCCGCCGTCGAGACAGCTCGAAGGAAGCTGTGGCGGCGGACCAAGGGCGAGGGAGTTGGTCGTTCCCTGGCGTGTGCATTATCAAGAAAATGCAAACCACTATTTCTTCGAAGAGGGAAGCGACAAGCCGTTGAGAGGCAAGTGGAGGAATTCGACTGTGGGTAGTACAACAGGCACAAGACTCCTGTCAGATGATGGACCGGAAGGGGGACGATATCGGAAAAGCTATAACAGGTTAAGTTCTAGCCGAACTTGGCTATAATAAAGAAGAAGAAAAAGTATTAGAAAAAGAAGAAGAAGAAGACATAGATAAGACTATAGAAAGTATTATAGATTGCTTGCATTTACGAACATGTTGCATAGCGTTAGCGTTTAATTAGTCTACAACAGGATGATAGATATGATTCATGTCAGTCAAAACAGGATTCCCAAGCAAGCTGGTTCTGGTACTGTTATATCGCTTATCAAGCATGGTGGTACCACCACTCGTTCACAGACTTTTATAAAGTAAACTCCAGCTGGGACAACACTACCGGAACAATGTAGGAATCGGTTCTTCTCCCCCGCAATTCCGGGTGAGCTCTATTCCGCCCGGCTCCGAAACTCGGGATCTGGGGGCCCCACGATTGCCCGCCCTAAATGTCTGCGAAATATAGTCGCGGGGTAGGTAGGTTTGACGAAAAGCTCATGTACAGCAATCTACGCGATCAGTTCGTCTCTCCTTTCTGCTCTACATGTCCTGCCTCCCTTTTCTTATATCCAGGTCGACTACCATCGCACTAAGAATCCCTCGCCCGTCCCACAAACCGAGGATATTATATACCACTACCGCCCGGAGAACCGTGACAACCACCCCCCAGCCCAAGATGCGCATCCCCTACACCCCGGACCCGCCGACGACGACGGACCCCTCGGAGCTCGAGGTGATCGAGCGGGTGAGGGCGCGCCGGCACCCGAGGCCCCTGCAGCCGCTGGACCTGGCGCTGCTGCACGCGCCGCCGGTGGCGGACGGCTGGAACGCGTTCCTGGGGGCGGTGCGGACGCGGACGACGATCCCGGCGGCGGTGCGCGAGGTGGCCATCTCGCGCGTGGCCGTGTGCAACCGCGCCTGGTACGAGTGGGCGCACCACGCGCCGCTGGCGGTGGAGGCGGGCGTGCCGGAGGCGGCCATGGAGCTGGTGCGGGCGGAGCCGCTGGAGGGTGTGACGCCCGCCGCGCGCAGGGAGGCCGGGCTCGGCGACAGGGAGTGGGCGGCGCTCAGGCTCGCGGACGAGATGACGCGCCATGTCAGCGTGCGGGACGAGACGTTCGCGGAGGTCCGCGAGCACTTTGACGAGCGCGAGGTCGTCGAGCTGGTCGCGACGGTGAGCTGTTATAACTGTGTCAGCCGGTTTTTGGTCGCGCTTGACGGTGAGTATCTTTTCCCCCTTTCCTCTTTTCTGATTTCATCTTCCTCGACCCCTCTGGTCGTGCTTGGGCGAGACGGAGCGAGCAGCTGGAGTGGTAAAACAGAATGCTAACGTGGTCTTGTCTAGTTGGCGAGAGGAATGGCACTGGCCCTGATGCTGGACACCATTGATGGACGTGCTGAGATGATATAGTTACGGATGTCGGAACACAACGTCGGACAGGATAATCAGTCTCGGAGACTTGGTTTCAGCCAATATGTGATGCACTTATATCGGGGCAGACAGGTGGTTGGTGTTTGTGTATCATGATATTCTAAATCGTTAAGTACTTGTTAACATTACTCATCTTTTTCGCATCCCACATAAAAACCCCTGTACACATAGTCTCCGTCCGTACATACATAAAAATGACATCCATGCTTTCAATCGGAATCCGAACAAAATTGTTGGTGAGGGTAAGTTGGTGCAGTGAAAAGGGGAACTTTGGAATACAATCCAAGTATAGTCATCGAAGGTGAAGTGCTCAAAACCAAAACATTAACGGGGGTATCCAACGCGTAAAGCCAAAGCAACTCTCCATATGCGCCTTATCTCCAATGCACCACAAATGCTAGCGCTCAATGATGCGGTCATCAGCATGTCTCATGCTTCGTCTTCTATCGCAGACTCGGTCAGTCGTGCCTCATGTCGTAAATCTGCTTTCAAACTCCTAACGTTGTTCAGGCTGAAAGGCGAAGGGGTGTGTGAGGGGGTGCTCGGCGGGCTGCTCAGGGGTGAAAGTGGCGGGGAGCGCATGGCCTGCTCGATCGACGCGTGTCTGTTACGCAGGATAGGCGATCTCTGTAACTCGGCGACTACGCCCATCCACCCGGTGCGATGCGGCGGCTCAACCTTTTCACTATGACCTATGGTCGAAGTCGTCAAGCGGCGCAGAGAGGGTTTCTTCTTGAGGCTGTCTGACAGAGCGCGATGTAAGGCCAGCCTCGGCTCTTTGGGCTCATGTCTAGCTGAGAAGGGAGACTTCTCAAGATCTCTCTGGGCAGTTTGCTTGTCCTGCTTGTCGCGATGACTGAGCGATGTCGCGACGATGCCCATATACACCGTCAGGAAGCGCATGCGCAAGAGATCAAGCCTGCGTATCCTCTCCTCCAGCTCTTTCCTGTGGCCGGCCCATAGTATTCTAGCACTCGTGCGCAACATGGTGCCTCGCTCGCTGACGAGCAGCCCATTCAGAACCTCGCGCAGGTCATCCCCACCCTTCTGTATCTCCCGGAGGAGACGCCCGAGGCGCACCTTGTCTTCCAGGCGCTGGACACGCGCTACATCGCGGTCGTAGCTCTCGTTCTCATGTATCGAATCGTCGACGGCATCAAGGAATGTTGTGACCTCGTGCGGCGCTACTATGTACGCATTCGAGTAGCGGGCGAGGATCTGGGCAGCGACGACCAGCGCAAGGCAAAGCGCTGTGGCAAGGAGGATTAGGGTCCAGAGGAGGGGTGTTGGTGGATCTGCCATTCTTGTGCACTGTCCAGAGGATGTCCCGTATGTTGACCCAGTTTGCTGGCTAGCTATTCATGACTGGACGAGCGTGCTATATTTTCGCGCAGATTCGTGGATTTCGTATAATTAAGGTCATACGAGAATATGCAGCTCAGCGAATTTGAAGGCGGGACAAACGGGCAAACAAGGTTGATGACGTTCCCTCCAGCTCTCTTTGTGGTTTAAGTCGGACGCGGAGAGAGGGAGGCGGCTGGGGAAGTATATATTATGCAAGTGTGTGTGTGTGTGTGTGTGTGTGTGCGCGCCCGCCCGTGTGCTAAATCAACGTAGGTATCGCATGCCACCACTACCACCACTACCACTACTAGGTTACCTAGTTGCTGCTGCTTGCGCCCGTCAAACTCGTGGCAGAACATGGGGTTTGGCCAAAGAGCGGGTACGAGCCGCCGATGATCGCATCGAATAGGCCCATCATCAGCGCATTGCAGCCCTAGGCTCAGGACCCGGAACCCAGACAGAGCTGAATCTGTCGGTCACTGCGGCCAATCTGCTGTGATTGCTCTGTGCATGTTCGAATCGTGGACTCCGCCTGGCATGGGCATTGCATTAGGCGTCACATGTTGCTGCACGGTTGTTAGCCCAGAGCTATACTTCCCCTTCCCCGTCCGCTGCAGCTGGGCTGGTGGTGTTATTAGTGATGGGCGGTGAGTTTCGCAAGTTGCCGTGGTGCTAGGATTCCGCGACGTTCAAGACGTTGGCAGTCATTAGAGAAAGGAAGGAAGAGGAAACAGGGAAGTCTGGGTTGGAGAGGAAAGGAGAAGAGGGAGAGCTTGACACTTTCAACTCGTTCAGCCGCAATCTAGTATGTCTAACGTAGGACTTGTCCCTCTTCTCTGCCTGCACTGCATGTGTATGTGTCTCGCCTTGACGCGATTGAGGTTGACATCGAGCTGAACTGCGCTGTAAGGGCCGCCCTGCTAGCAATGGCGGGGCAATTCCACTGCCGGGTGGTGCTCTGATGAGGGGTCAATTTTTTGTGAAGGTTGCGACTTGCACATTGCGCCTTCGACTGCACAGCTCGGCAGCCCAGAGCCGCAAACCAGCCAACCGACTCCCAGCAAGCCGTTGCCTTCGCCGACAACGAGGTTCGTTCGTCCTGCTCCGGCCTTCGCAACATCACAAGACCATGGCCGAACCAATCCCAGCACCCGTCCCGGACCCCGCGCCGCCAGAACCCACCATCCACGACTTCCCCCTGCCGCTCGCGCTCACCTACCCGGCCGCGACGGAGCCCGCCCTCATAACGCAGGGCGCCGAGGGCAGGCTGTACAAGAGCTCCTATCTGCTGCCCTCGTTTCCCTGCGCGCTCAAGCACCGGCCCTCGAAACCCTACCGGCACCCGCTCCTCGACGCCAAGCTCACCCGCCACCGCATTCTGGCCGAGGCGCGCATCCTGCAGAAGTGCCGCCGCGAGGGCGTCGCCGTCCCCGCCCTCTACGCCGTCGACGAGGCGAACGGCGTCCTGGCCATGGAGTGGGTGCCCGGCGCCCCCGTGAGGGTCAGGGTCAACGAGTGGATACGGCGGCGGAAGGAGCAGCTCGTCGAGCTGGGCAGGGACGGCACGGCCGAGGTGGCGCGGGGCGAGGGCCGTGCGGAGGAGCTGCTGGGTCTCATGAGGAGGATGGGAGAGGCCGTGGGCAAGCTGCACAAGTGCGGCGTCGTGCACGGAGATCTCACGACGAGTAACATGATGCTGCGGCCCTGGGAGAAGGGCAAGGCACCCAGCAACGGCCAGGCCGAGGCCGCCGAGGGCGGCCAGGAGGAATCGTTGGAGGGCGAGATTGTCATCATCGATTTCGGCTTGGCGAGCCAGGGCACGCAAGACGAAGATCGTGCTGTGGACTTGTATGTCCTAGAACGCGCGTTTGGCAGTACACACCCGAAAGCAGAGGGCCTATTCTCGGCCGTCTTAGATGGATACAGAGGTACATTTAAAGGTTCGCCGGTAGTGCTCAAGAAGTTAGAGGATGTAAGGATGAGAGGACGCAAGAGAAGCATGTTAGGTTAAAGGGCACCAAGCAATTTGTCTGCACGAGTCCGACTTGCCACTATACTCAAGATCGTCTTCGCTCTGATTGGCTCGTGTTTTCGTCGAAACGGTCGATAGGAGTCGCGCCATGTCTGCTTTCCCGTAGGCTCTACATGCAATGTCACCCAAGTAGCTGAGCAGATGACGGGGAGCCCTTTATTCGTCCGTATCGAAGTTGCATCAGTATATGTACCTGACGTACCAGGTATGAGTCGAGGGGGCGAGGACGGACAGAGACAGACAAACAGTCTAAGCATCCATCCCACTCAGCTAGACCCCCCAGCACTTTCTCCGAAAGTTGCTATATGGGTCATCGCAACGCCCTTTCAAATTCTTTGCGGCTGCTGTGCTGGAAGAGCATGGATCAAAGCCAACACGCTAGGATAAGAGGTTTGAAATGTTCATGTAGGTGCCGGATATGTATGTACGTTATGAAAAGATGCTAGTCTATGACTGTTGAGCAATGAATCCTGCCAACATGTAGGAGCGCTATGCGAAAAGTACGCCAGTCCACCCAGAGGAAAAGAAAGCCCGAATCATGAAAGCCAAAACCCATTAAACCATCATTGCTCAAGGAGCTGTGCGCCTGCGAAATACCCCTTGTTCTCGATCACGCCGCGGTCTTTCACAAAGGCTGTATACTTCACAACCCATTGCGGCGTCAAGTCGCCCCTGAGCCCTTTGTCCGAGCTCTCATCGGCCAACAGGCCAGCACCTTGCAGTCCCTGGCCGAGCAATTCTCGTAGTGTACCGCTAGGTAAGATGTCTGTGCAATCGGTATGTGTTAACAGCTCGATGCTCTCCTTGTTTGCCAGGTCAATCAGTGGAGGTGGCACGCTGCAGCAATTCCTCGTGTTGATTTGGTCAACTGCGGGGCGGACTTGAACTTTCTTGATAAAGTTGGACAGTTTTTCGGTGCCAAACTCGGCCACGCCCAGCCTTTCTACTTCGCCTCTCTCATGTAAAGTCTCCAGGGCGGTCCAAGTGTCGACTTCGTCCTGGGCATTACCCATGGTCGAGTTCATCTTGTCTGCTTCCCATTCGCAATCGCCTTCAAATGAGATGCCTGGATATGAAACAATGAGCAGATCAACATCTTTCACCCCAAGCTCTTTCTTGACCAGCTGTAAAGCTGCATCGATGTATTTCGATCTCTCTGACACGGGCGCAGTAGGCAGGAAGAAAAGCTTCAGCGTAATTTCGTAGGAATCCCTGTCCTCCTGCAGGCCGACTGCAGACCAATCAATGCGCGGCACATATAGCGAGTCGCCAATCTTCTCTGTCCATACATCAGTGACCGGCTTGTCACCGTTCACCTGTGCTTCAATGGCGCCATTGCCATTAGCAGCGCCATCGACGTTGTTGAAGGCGGTTGCGTAGTCCTGTTGTGCGGCTAGGAAGCTGCTTCGGAGCGAGTTTGTGAATTCGAGATTTGATCTGTACGCTCCCGGCTTTCGGATGATGGAGGGCCCGCCTGCGACGATGTTCCTGATCACGCAATTAGTAATGAGAATTTCGTACGTTACCCCGAAAGGTAAAAAAAGACAAAAGCAATGCGCCGCGGGCTTACCCGGTTGACAGGATTATGCTAGTCATTGTTCGCGATTTTCTGGGGCTGTATAGACCAAGTCTCTCCAAGTAGGAGAGGATGATTCCCATCGCAAAGTCCAACGCAATAATACTGGAAATGATATAATTAAGTCTACTCCACGATCGCACTCTTCGGATGGAGGGGTAAGATGGAATTGGGAAAAAAAGATCAAGACGTCAAGTGGGGTCCTGAACGGCGCCGCCGAGAAGGGAAGGGCGAATTTTAGGTAGAGGCTGAAGAGGCGGCTAGTCAGGGTCTGAAAGTTACAAGTACAGGATCAATGTCTTGACTAGGATACATAGACTGGAGGAATAGAATGATCTCAGTATGTTTGGCCCAGTAAGACGATTTCGGTCGACTTTGGGATTCAAAGCTAACGTGAAATCGGCGGGTAAGAAGCGGAGTTTGTAAGCAGACATCCACAACCTTGGGTCGGCGTGGAGTTGTGCTGGGTACTACTTAGTCAAGGTATCATAGTCATTAAATTGATAGATGAGTGGGCACTTGCCGACTTGTTATACTACTCCCAGGTCAGCAGACGGGTACGGAGTAGCTGGTTGAATGCAGATATCGTGGATCCAGCCACTTTACCAGAGTTCGCTTTTGCCGCGGATAGTACGGCGGCTTTGCAATGACCGTCGATAGCCTTGCCTCGCGTCGGAAACTCCTCAACTAGCAGTCCAAAGCAGCAGGCGTGGTGCAGGTGGTGAGCGTAAGATGCCGTATTCAGGTCCTATAGTTTGTCAAATATTCCCCAAATGTCGTGGGATGAGGTGTGATCCGTCTGTGTATGCGGTTCGACTTGTGGAGGACTGCAGGCATTTGCTGCACGTCAAGCTGGAACTGGCTTTTCTATCCCACGCAAGGGCGAACGAATGAGCGGGATCAGACGTGGGGGCTTCGTGCAGCGGTCCAGTTGAGCAGTGCGCCGTAGAGCTCTTATAAGTTTGTGATGGGATGGGTGTTTCAAACCCGTGGCAAGAACTGCTCATAGCTACGCTGGAACATTTGGTCTTAAGGTCTTACATATGGCAGCTTCGAGGTTTAGCCGCTGGTACGAAATCGTGTACGTCCTAATCCAATCCTTGACTATCGTATGTGTTATGGAGTGATGCCTCTGGGTGCTTGAGAATGACTGTCTTAAGGACGATTGCAAACATGTTGTCATTTGGATGATATGTTATAGATCAAGATAAGAGTAGCCGAGCACTTTTTCCAGACTTTCAGCTATGTAGCTTAAGTAAGTACCAGGCATGTGATCAGGAGAGGTGTTTGGGTTGAGATTGAGATGCGGTGCAGCGTGTCTGGATGCCATGCCCAGGCCTCAAAAGGCCAACCAAGCTTAAGCTACGTCCCCAGCACACTGCCCAGTGCTTTCATTCTATCGGCGGATGGTTAGCGCCGCTCCGGGACCTCACGCCCGCTAAATCATGATCATGATCCCACTGCGGTTGTCGTCGCGCATTCACTCATTCATTCGCATTCGTGGCCGACCAGGTTGTGATTGTGACAAAGAGGCGGCACCTGTACTGTACTCTATCGAATACTAACCCGCCAACTACCTCATCTCGGATCCACCAACCCATTTCTTGACACCATCTCCGCACTCAAAAACAGCTTTCAGAACTTTTTCTCTTCTTCCCGTAGTGGTGGTGCGAGAGCATCGTCATGGCTATCAAGTATGACCAGCCCCCTCCATCACCCCCCGGAGGACTCTGATGCAGATTTACCTACAGCTTGATGCTAAGATCACGGCAGCTATCTCATCTTGCTCTCTAGACAGGGCAAGGTCCGTCTGGCAAAATGGTTCACTACCTTGTCTCCCAAGGACAAGGCGAAGATCGTCAAGGACGTCTCTCAACTAGTCCTCTCCCGGCGGACGAGGATGTGTAACTTCCTCGAGTACAAGGACACCAAGGTCGTCTACCGCCGATACGCCTCGCTCTTCTTCATTGCCGGCTGCGACTCTGACGACAACGAGCTCATCACCCTCGAGATCATCCACCGATACGTCGAGCAGATGGACAAGTATTACGGCAACGTGTGCGAGCTGGACATCATCTTCTCCTTCACCAAGGCATACTACATCCTTGACGAGCTGCTATTGGCTGGAGAAATGCAGGAGACTAGCAAGAAGGCAGTGCTACGATGCATAGGGCAGCAGGACTCCCTAGAGGACATGGAGGTAAGCTTGTGACTGCGCGTTCCATTGCTCGTCATTTTTTCTATCTTTCTTTCTTTCTCCTTTCCTTCTGGGGGACTCTGGCCCGAGTCTGTTTCCATTCACTAACACCATTTTTCTTCTTCAACCCAGGTCGAGGACGAAGTTACAAAGATCATGTAACATTCATGTATATGGAATCAAAACATACCGGAGGCGCCTGGCGTTGTCTTGCGACGAGCGCACAAGTCTCCAGGATGAGATATGCTTGGGACGGTGATCGCTAATAGATATTGTTTGCTCAATTAACAGGATTTCGAAGAGTTCAAAACTGCATTAAAAGCAAATGGACTACTCTGAAGAGGTAACCAGATGTGCATGGCTTTTCGTTCAACGACGTGTGTCACCATCCTTGTGGGAGAGAGACCAAAAGAGAAAAAGAGAGGATTGAATTCTTTTAACACAACACAATACAACACATTGCAACGCAACGCAACGCAACACAACGAGGCATACGGAAATAATTTTCCAGGGGTTTGGGTACGTGACTCTTGCATTTGAGAGCTCTAGACGATGAACTCGTCTTGGATAGGGGCATCATAGCGGGGTAGATACATAATGGCTTGGTCCAGATACCATGGAAGCCAAATTTTGACCATGCACCAAAGCATCGGCAAGCAATTGAAGACAAGAAACATGACGAAATGAAACGACCCATTAGAGCTTCTGAAGCTTCCACGCTCAACATCCGACATGCACGATATCAAAGGGACTGATGTGACGGTTGGCTGCGAATCCTACTCGTGGCACCTTGACGACGTCTCATTCGTCGTGCCTCCTTTGGCCGGCTCCTCCTTGGTGTGAGGACGAGGTGGAGGCTTCCACGCTGAAAGCAACAACCTAAGAAAGCGCCCCCGCCAAACCTTGGAACTGGGAGGCACGTCCCATGGCCGCTGACAACGCCAGAAATTCGGACACTTCTATGTTGGGCATGCTGACATAGCCCGACGACAAATGGTGTCGCGTTTGTGACCGCGGGGATATTGCTGGTCTCCCGTTGAAGGTATGAGAGACTGACTATCATTAACCAGGAAATTGTTCTTGTCCCCGTCACGAAACTGGGGACTCTACGAGATGCCATCTGCTGTAAACACGCACGCTTTAGCGCTGCCCCAAGCAGCTCATGTGCCATAGTGTCCGAATTCATGAAGCCAACTCCAGCTGGGTCAGATAACACCACCCACCAGCATCCCGCTGATCATCGACTGTTGCTCCCATCGTCCCGGTTCCCCTTTGTCCATTCGTTGTCCTCCTCCCGCAAAACAACCATCTTCCGCCCAACTGTTCAACCACCAAAGACCACCATCTCGTACATATGCCTTTCTCTGCCTGCTAGACGACCATCGTCTGGCTAGTTCTATTACTCGGGGCTGATAAGCAGGAACCGATTCCGGGGTTTGTGTTTGCTGCGCAACCAACTCCTCATCCCAGCGCTTTGTCAGAGAGACAGGACACGAATAACAACAATTATTTCATACCCTTCAGCATCTGGAGTCGTTGCCGGTTTTGCAGCTTCGGCAGCCGAATAATCAGCAGTTGTTGTCGCGTCTAGCACTGACTTCCACTTCACCTTTACTTCACCGTAGCACTACAACAGCGGTCGACGTCATTACGATAACAACACTACATTTGCGACAATATTCCACTTGATCAACGCAACACGTTTCAACATGAAGGTAAGTTGCACATTCCAGCGGTGTTTACCACTTCAAATGCGCCAACGGTTTCCAGTTCCTTCCGATTCGCGACTTTGATACGGTTACGTCCGCGCTCAACTTTACAACGCCGGACTTGTGCGTCAATGGAGGATGCGACTTGTACACAACGAAAGCCGCCGGTTCGGACAGGAAGCTATACAAGTCGATTGATCAATCGCTCGAGTCAAAACATGCTGCCCTACTCAAGTTCGGCGCATCGCTGTCACCGCCCCAGCGCGAACAGATGGCGGCTTCCTTGAACTTGTCGCGATCCAGCCCATTTGGTCCGCTTTCCGATATCCAAAGTCGTCGCACATTTGCGTATTTGATCGCAACCTTGAATGCGAGCCATCCCGACTACGACTTCTCGCATGTGCTGAGACCTTCCGATTTTCGGCGGGAGCGCAACATCCGCCGCGCGATAGCGGCTTTCGATAACACCATGAGCAATGTGCGACCATTGTCTCTTCTTTCGCCCAATCTTGGTTCATCTTATCGCGCATATGGCAGCTCCCCTTCGAGCTTGCCTGCCGCTGGTGGTGCAGCCATCAGCAGCCCAGCTTGGGGCCCGCAAATGTGGGCTATGGTTGATAAGGAGATGAGGCTCAAGGACTGTGTCTGCTTCTCCTACCAGCCAGCCACTGACCCTTTTGATGGAGAAGAAGCCGCCATATGGAGAATGCATTACTTCTTCTTTAACAAAAATCTTAAGCGTGTGGCTTACATGTACGTCAGGGGGGTGCCGTCCCTAATGCACTCGTCGCCCGCTTTGCGACCCAATGGCGGAAGACGCGGGAGCAATACCCTTGCAAGTACGTCGTTTTCATCGTCTGGCGCAAACAAGCGCGCCAAATACTGGCTCGGTGACAGTGTTGCAGACCGAGTCATTGAGAGTGATGCTGAGAACGAAGAGGACGATGAAGAGATGGAGATCTGGGACCCCGATGAGGATGTCGACTTCGACCCTTTGAATGCTACAAAAAGCAACGAGAACAGTGAGGATGAGTACCTCCAGAGCGAAAGTGAAGACGAAGAAGACGATGGTGATAGAGCTCAAAGCCCCGTACGCGGAGTTAGTGAGGACATCGCATCGCGGATGGAGATCGAGTAAACTCTTTTGGCATTGACCACCTTTGCATCAGCCACACACTCTGATGCAAGAATTTGTTGTTTGTACATCCCGAAACAACTGGGTTACACTGAGGCACACATGCTTCCACGTTTTTGCTTCATCAACTGAAGAACGATTCACTCGTGCCGCTTTTTGTGCATCTTCACCACGTTGGGTGGGAAGAAAATCGGCCTCTGCGCACAGCAAACTTTCAACCTCCAGATTCCAGTGAACCACACACTGGACATGTTTTTTCCTTGCTGTTCTTGTTTCTAGTTATGTCTTACATGTACATGATTGGTTGTTTTCGGTTTCCGGCGTTGGTGGGATGGTTTACTGCTCTGGTCAGGGAGAGCGTTAGTGAGAGGCGCTGATACCCCCAGATTTTCTGCATTTTTCTTGCTTCTACTGGTAATACACGGTATCGTATGACTGAATCATGAATTATTCTCGGCATATGCATGGGTGGGTGCTTATGGTTGGTATCGCTGGTGGTGAGAGAGCTGGCCTTGTATCGACAATTGGAATGAGCATACAGGAGAGCACACCCGGCGCAAGGACACAGTCGGTTGTTCACGTGCATGAGGTTCACGTTCGTGTGGACTCGAGATATGCGCAGATGAATCATGGCAGATTGCACGCAAGATAGCAACTGAATTGAACTTTTTTAATCGATCACTACCTCCACACTTGATAAGCCGCTGACTTGCTTTCATCCCTGGTGTGGAATTTTAATACGGAATAATTATCAGAACCAGGAAGTACGGTGGTGGCGCTCACGCTTGGCTCCATGTTTATAACATTGAGCTTGACAAATGGAAAAGTAAGCTTTCTGCCTCTAGTCTAGAGCTCTTACCTGGGCAGCTTCTTGCTTGCTAAAAGAAATTAAGAGTTGTTAGCACGTTGGAGAGCGGGTGCTTTCCTGGGTAGGAATGTTGTATGTTGATTTATTATGGCTCAGAAGATGGAACGAAAATTATTGGCGTTACTGGCCAAAACTTCCGCTAGCCTCCTTCAAATACGGCCGAGAGTCTACTTAACTCGCACGAGAACCAACTCCTTCTTATCAGAATACCTATATTGAAATGGTGGGTACAACTCGAAGTATTGTTCTTTGTCCATGGGAAGACCAAGTGTAACATTGAAGGTCTGTGACACCCATGGAGTAAGGGACCAGCTGGACACTATGGCGTAGGAGCTCTATAGCATCTACTTTCGTTCGACCATGTAATGAGCCGTAGTTACTGTTACAGCTTCTGGTCACCATTTTATTAGAATTTTCACTAAGCTGGCACTTGGTATCCGGTATTCAGCAGTGAGAGACTCATACGTGCTGCTTAGTCACAGAAATAGCTCAAAAAACCTCTCGAAGTTGAAACATAAATCATCTCAGCATGATAGGTTCCAAGCTACCTGGAATACTCATTAGCCAAGGATAATCATCACTCATTCAGCTCTATCAGTTCATATCAACGACCAACTGATACCCACTTGCGATGTCTGATTCATTGGAAAGGATAAAGAGTCAAGATTAGAAACTAAGAATCTATCTCTATTGGAATAAACATATCACGATCTCAAATGTACTCGGAATGTTAAAGGAGGCATATCATGCAGACTTGTAGCAACTGAATTTGAACAAAAGCGCGAACATGGCCATGCCTTTGTCCCTCGAGGTTTACAAATATGGAATTGTCAAATTGAGATATATTCTGGCAAGATTAGACATCTGTCTATCATTCGCTTCATAGCCTCTTTCAAAATCTTCAAACTCCAAAAAATTCGACTTTGTTGATGGCGATTTCTGACAAATCAAACACGATGACGACGTTGAGCGTTTCTCTATCAGGGTTTGATTATATCAAGGCCAGCGGAAGAGGCGAGAAGGTGGGTAGCCAGAAGAATACCGCTAACATCTGGGCCAGGGTCATTCTGTCCAAGGATCCAGATGAAAGCCATTCCGTCATGTCTCCAGATCTGTTCAATCGCTTTTCCAAATTGTGCAGGTTAATGAGATAAACTGGCGTTTTCTCTCGAGGAAGTTCGGAAGGGCCTCATCTGGTGTTTTCTTGGTTACCAAGCGTCTCGTGGATGGGAGCTGGCTCATCTTAAAGTCGCATATTTTTGCTGGCTCACTCGTTTATTGGTTTGGCCAAGAAGAGCCAATTTCGTATGTCTGTTGTTCACTGGGTTGGTTGTTAGAGTTTTGTGGTATGATTTCTCACCATTGCTCACGGTTCGTGTCAGAAGTCCAGTGACGTCGATAATCAAAATCCACTGAGCAGCCTATTATCGCATGTTAGACTCCAAGGGCGAGTAAGTGGGCCGCGTCATACCGAGTCTGGATGATGTCTCGAGTTGGCAAAGCAGAGGCAAGGGATTCCTCAGAGTTGCTCCTGGCGCCAATGGATCCATTCGGTAATCAAAGAATCGAAGGTAGGATGGGCATCCTAATCAAAGACGATCGAGACGACTGACATGAGTAGAAGTGCCTATATTGAATATCCTGCAGTGACACTTTGTGCCATCACGAGATTGTGGTCGACTCTAGGCAGAAAGGTATTAGAATCAAAATCGTCTGTAATATAAAATATTAGTTTTGCGATGCATAGGCATGAAACGCATCCCTGTTGATCTGGGTTATCAAGGTATAGATAGTATTCGGAATCAGTGAGTTTAGAACGATTCTGCACTTGATGAGAGATATTCAGTACTTATATGGTAGCTGTATTCTGTACATTCAGTGTTGGTCGTCCTTAGTGCTTACTTGGTCGCATTTGGGGGTGGAATTGATGTGATAGTGGTTTGAGCTTACCTCGGTTCGGTTACACGCTGTCAGCGATATCTGTCGTTGTGCTTGGCCCGCTCTTTGCCCATCGCAGACGTGTGTGAGCAGGTTGATGTATCTGTTATCAACATCAAAAGGTTAGCACTCATTATTACCCTGCCAGTTGCTGTGCTCTTAGGTGACAAGCCAATGACAGGAGACGACACCGAATCATCTGAGCCAATAATTGGCAGTTAGAGTTGTGTTTTAAACAATGAAGTGGAAAAGAGAAAAATTGGTGTGAGATAGCAGAAGCACATAGCGAGTCGAGGGCTGTTGACCATTAGCACAACTGGTCTAAAATTTTCTTGAGTGTGTGTTGAGGAGTGTAGTTGTATTACATCATAAGAAATTCCCTGTTCTATATATCACTAGTGCAACAAGGAAGTAAATCAGATCGCTTTGGAAGACTTATAGGCCCCTATTGTCGATAATTAGGTATGAAGAATGGCTAATAATGGGGACTGCCACAGCGAATAGCACAGAACCTGGAACCCAAACTGAGATCGGCAATACTTTCTACCATTGTCGTCGATTGAAACTTACTGTTCAGGTACAGCTAGAAGATTCCTGTGAGGATCCCGAACACAGGAGCATCTGTCATGTTATTTGATTGTGCACATTTCAATAGTCGTAGGATCTGGACGCTCAATATACGATGCAATGACGTCTCCCAGTATGACAAGCGGCACCTGTCCATAACCCCCAAGACCTACAATAACCATAACGGCTGTGGTTGTCTTGATTAGAACACAGAACGTAATGGCAAGAAGTAAGTTCGGAGATAAGCCGACTTAGCGAATCCGTTTCAGAGATTCAAGTGAGACAACAGCTCACTTTCAGATTGGCAACATCAGTACGAGGCGGATAGTGGAGGCAGATTGTTTCCATTCAAGACCATGAGCCTCACTAGTACTGTAGTGTTCACACATTCTGATTGATCGAACACTGCATTTGAACCAAGTTGCCCAATACCTCATTTCACCGTCTTTATGTCCACATGCTCCATCGTGTATATTGAGTGATTGAAGCAGCCCTCCTGGTTTCCTTCATTGCTGCAGATTGCGACGGCCTTGTAGACGCCAGCATAAATGGTGATGTCTCAAAAGCCGTGCCTTCCTCGCGTCTACCAACAATCAAGAGCAGCGTGCTAATTCATCTGCACCGCCTATTTCAGCAATCACTTAATCCATGTTAAAGCATCCTTCTTCACCCAATCATTCTTCTTTCCATTTATTCCCATCACTCACCTCTTTCATTCATCCCAGCTCACAGATTACAGATTACTATACAATCTTTTTTTTTTTCTCTACCTGTGCGGACTTGATCCCAACACAAACTCCTTATGAAGTAGTGCCATCTCTCATTCCGTCCGCCACTGCTGAATCGAGACTCGTCTTGAAGTCTGTTGCCCCAAGTTCGTTTAACGTCATCACACAGGATGGGTCGCCTGCCGTATGCGCAGGAACTTGCGCCCAAACCCATTGCACCTACCAGTTCTGACCAACGCGTCCCAAACCAAGACAGCCAGAACGAGAAGCTGACGCGACCTCGTACGAAGCATCAGCATATGGCAGCCTGGGAGAAAAAAGTCAAGCACTTGTTCGAAACCAAACACAACACAGAGCAGTTCGGCCCTTGGGATCCGTACTCTCGCCTGAAGGGAAAGGGAGCTGTCAGGAACGAAGATGTAAAAAGATTTTTCAATGGCTTCGACATCCCTATGGGCAATGACAAGCTGGTTTATCGCCAGAGGTTCGCAAGCTGGGCAATTGGTGAAGCTCTGAAAGACTACCTTCCTGGTCACTTCAACCTGTGTGGTGAAGTGATTCAGAATGAAAAGGTAACCTACCATGTTGGCCACAACAACAAGGAATTGCCCAAGAATGTTGTAGATGTCATTCGTGCAGATGGTCAATATGACATTGACGCCGAGGTAAGTTGTCACGGATTTATCAATGTGAGGAAGCTGAATAATGCGGTTGCAGGACCCCATTCCTCCAAGCAAGAAGAACGATGACTTGGAGATTTCTCAAAGCGTTAGTGGCGCAGCTCAAGCCTTGATCTCCGGGTCACGTAATAGCTTGGGTCCTCCCATTCAACCCTGTGCCACTTATCTCCAGATGGACAAGGTTGGAACCTATGGTGAGGAGTCATTTCATTCTCTACAACTGATTATTAGGAAAATTCATCTAATGGGTATTATTAGGTCGAAAAAAGCTAGGCCTGTGGAACTCTCCATTGTTTCCTGAGGTCAAGGTCAAAAATGACGATGACGACGAAGAGGAACAACTTTCACACCGCAGAGGCCAAGGGCGTTATAGAAAGGGCATGGCCAAGGCCAAATCTGCAAAAAAGCCATCCAAAGGATTCCTCGACAGTCAAATTACAGGTATCGTTTGGATCCTATCCCGACTTCTTGGAGAGCTTCCTAAACTGCGCGACAAAGAGACCCTGGAGCAGGCTGAAATTCGTCGAAAACTTCGAGGGCCAAAGTATGGAGGAGCTCTGCTTGCAGATTCCATGGGCCTTGGGAAAACCTTGACTGCTATTGCCACAATTGAGCTTATGGCTAGGCGTGGGCTAAACGTGGAGATTAACCCGATCACCGGTAGAAAGATGCATTGTCCAATCCTGATTCTGTGCCCGACTGTCACAGTTGCAGCACAATGGGTTGAGGAAATTTTACAGAGTACATGCCCCGAGTCCGTAAGCGATATTCTTGTCGGCGGAGCAAGTAGCAACGAATTTCCGCATGGTTATAGAGTTCACCATTTGTCAGACACAGCATTTAATGTGTGTCCGGAGGAGGGTACATTCAACTCATGGCCCATTTCACACAGCTATGTGTGGGATATGGACGTTGCCAGAGCTTCAAAAACAGTCATTATTCTGCCGATACACACATGGGCGTTACGTACATGCTACCGCGACGAGGACTCCGAAGAACCCAGCTGGCGCTCACTCTTTACCGACAATGAGTGCTACTTCTCTATTGTCTGTGTTGACGAAGCACACAAGGTCAAAAATGCATCTACAAAGCTCTTTCGGAGCGTCAGTCTACTTCTAAGACAATACACACTGCTTATCACCGCCACACCATGCTTGAATACCTTGACGGACTTGCTGGGTCCAGCAATGCTGCTCTGGGATACTGCAGAAGATAATATTGAAAGAACGGCTGGACTTTGGGATCGCATTGAAGGTATCACTGACATAACGGAACTAGATGATCTAGAAGGCCTCGAGCCTCACGACGCTCTTCGGTTGGCGGCAGGCCGGCCTAGCCTCCTATCAAGGCTTATTTGCAAAGACAGAAGGGGCAATGGTCAAGATATCGCAAGTACGAGGAAATATCTTCGGTATTTTGAGTCACTGGCAATGCTCAAGCGTGGGCCTTCTTCCATCATCTTCGAAGACTTTAATAAGTCTAAACCTCTTTCACTGGAAGGACTTTTCCCTGTTGTCGATAATTGGACTGTCGATATCGACGTTGACCAGGAGTCAGCTTCGCAGTACCAATTTGTTCACCTCCACTTGCTCCTCGACTACTTCAAGCTCCTAAATAACTGGACAGACGCGATGAAAAACAACAAGGGTAGTGGTATAGACCCAAACTATGAATCTCTGACTGCCTTGCATCGCCAATGGCAGATTGCTTCATCGTCTATGGATGTGTGGAGAATCGACACACTATTCAGTGAATTTAGCGACGATCATGGCGAACCGTATGGCACAATGGCGTCGCACATATGGGAGATGCGCCGGGCTGGCGTGACTTTCCGGGAGCTTGCCAAATTCCTACTTGGACCCGGAGAATCTACACCAAAGACAGCATTAGACTATCTGAAGATAGCAGTCCGGGGCTCACCCATTCTACGCTACATTTTACATGACCTAAAAGAGAACGTTTTACCAATAAAAGGCAATAGTATAAAGAAGTTGCTGATCACAGAAGCTATTCCAATTACTGCATACTATATCGAGCTAGTTCTGCAGTTCATTGGTATCAATGCTCGCGTCCTCCATGCCAAACTTAAAGAAGCGGAGCGGAAGGAGCTTGTTGCATCGTTCAACGATAGTTCATGGGGCTCGGTCCAGGTTCTCATCCAGATGTACACAGTTGGGGTTGCAGGAACAAACCTGCACAAGAGTTGCTCACGCGTCATTGTGGCTTCACAAGCTCGTAGCTTGCCTGTTCAGTCACAAGCTGTTCATAGAGTCATCCGCGTGGGCCAAACTCAAGATGTACAAGTTTTTCGCTTGAAGGTCACCAACTCGTATCATGCTTTCCTCGAGAGTAAGTCATTTTTATGATTGTATCAAATTGAGAACTTAAAGTATACTAAGTGATTTAATGCAGGCCGACAGATCGAAAAAATCCTTCCAGAACTGTCAGCTCGGGCCCAGGGCGAAATGAATACCATTTTGGTACAGCTTCTGAATATTTTTCAGCGCGAAGTTGACGAGGCCTGGAACAGCGATGAGGGACAGAAGCTGATAGCAGAAAAGAACCTGATAATATCGCAACCGATCCTTGAGCCTATATTCTCGGCAGACACTGCATTGACCGGGCAGCCAGCTTCTGCTGTTGTTGACTCTAAACGGGAGGCAGCAATCACTGCTGTTAATAAATCCAAGGACTTCATGTCTTTATATCAAAAAGAGGAGGATCCTCTCTTTGTTGCACAAGGAGACGTTATTGAGATGGTGAATTCAACGAGAAATGCGGATAAGCCAAAACCTAATATGCATGTGGACAAGAAGCGCAAACTCGACATGGCTAATGGACTACTATCAACCATGCCACGTTATCCCAATTTATCTTATGATATTCCAATGGTTTCTACATCCAAGGTTGAACGAGACGAGGGTGCACACGAAAACTTGGAGGAGATACAGGAAGAATATGGGGAAGACGAAGACGAAGACGAAGAGGACGCGAATACATCCGATACTTCAAGTGTCACGTCAATAAGCATCACGTCGGCGACCGGCTCCCAAAAGAGGCCTCGCGAGATACCAGGTTTTGAGGGCTGGTTCAGAGATGATATTGAAGACGTTACTGAATTAGAGGCCTTTTTGGCTCTCAAACCTCGCCGAGAGTACTACGAAGAGTTCAAGAGGCTGCCCAAGACTAAAAAGCACTTTGATCACCGCAAGAATCAGCTTCGGCGACTGCTGTCTTTCCGCCATACTGAAGCAGATGGGCACACATCAAAGCCTTGGAATGAAGAGGATCTTAACAATGTGGCTGTACTTGAGCGAGGATTAGAACTCATGCTAAGAGTTCGTCATGGAGCCAACCATATCGACATGCTGCCATTCCCGCATATCAACTTCTCCGACATTGACCCTGCTAAACTTATACCTCTTCAGCATGAGCTCGCCAAGCTTACAAGCACAGATCACGAAGTTGAGGCATTGTGTGTTCAAAATGGATCTAGAAGAGTTAAAGGGGATTTCAAGGAATTGGTCAAGGGCATCGATACTAGTAAGTCTCTGAGTGAGATCGACAAGCAATTTGCAGATGGGGTGAACCATGGCAGCAATCCTCAAAAGAAGCCCCATCAGAGGCTTGGAAATAATGTTGAACAGCCCTCTGCTACTGGAGCCACAGTAGAGGAGCAAGACGACGGTGGCGATCATGTCGAGGTAGAAGACCCCTGTTTTTATGATATTGCACAGGATGATATGTCCATCTCACACTTGAAGGACGCAGGTACATTGGGTCGTACTGAGAACAAAGTTGAGGCTTTCGTACACCAAGATGTCGATATGACGGACGCAACTCTCTCAAAGATGGACGACAGTAAGGACGAGGTTAAGAAGTTGTGGAGCTGCGCGACAAACGATGCATCAAACAGTTCTGGCGATAACAACGACCCTAGCACGGAAAGCCATAATGAAAAGAAAACCGGCATCCAAAGTATGACGATGAAGCTTAATGCCTGGATGAAGTTAAAGAACAAGCATAACGACAATGAACTAGACGAGATGCCATTGGCTGATCCACCCATTCCGCCGAAGCACGAAGTGGACAACAAGCACTTTGATGGCCAGGAAGTCAAAGTGGAGGAACGTTCACAACATGCGATCTCAGACGAAGCTTTCAAGGTAAAGCTTGAGGATGAGCCGGCAAAGATTGCCAATTCTACCGAAACTCAGTCCTTGAGAGACATGAAGAGCATTCCTAGTAAGCAGGAGAAACTTCAGCTTGAGGTAAAGCCTTCGGTGTATTTGAATGATGACACCCCCACAGAATATCGCACCTTGATTAAGCAGGAGCCAGGCCTTCTTAAGGAGACTGACTGGGCCACCTTTGCGGACATGAAACCTATCAAGAATTGGAACTATTCAGGCACTAAAATTGCTACGCTTGATACAGAGAATGTGGCCATCAAGCGAAAATTGAATACTGAGAATACAAGCTTCAGAGGTGGCAGTGGTGGCAAGGTATCCGACAAACATCATAAACCTATCAAGCAAGAAGAAGAAGAAGAAGAAGAAGAAGAAGAAGAAGAAGAAGAAGAAGACGACACTAGTATGCTGGCATGCATAAAGCGCAGTAATACTGAGGATTTGAAGGCTTCTGATACTGAAATTCGAAACGTCAAAGTGAGACGTGGTAATCATCAGACAGTCAGTCATCCTAATGTCGTTAGAATCAGTGGTACAGGTATTCAATCTGACCCTTGGGTGCTCTAACGATTGGGATGAGAGGATAAGGCTTCCATACATCCGTTCTGCTCTTAAGCAAGCCGGAAGTTGCCACACTAATTAAGGATAAAAAAAACTTTATAGTGGTTTTTGGGTTGAGATATCTGCAACGGACCCCAAGTTCGTTCACGGCTCTCGGGGTGAATCTTCGAGACGGCACTGCGACGGGGATTATCACAACTAACTTTGAGCACGTAATAAACTTAAAAACGATCATGAAGAGCAGGCCCTTCGGATTGGGCGTGTGTATCTTAAGGTTTTCCGTATCGCGCTGACTCGGACCTCTGTATCTTGGTAGCAATTACGTTCAGCATATGATGATGTTTTCTAGACCGATCAAGCTGGTGGATGTTTCGTACTGGATGAACTTGAAACATACGAAATTCCATAGATGCAACATGATGTCCGTTTCTGTGCTGACGGCACCTTTGTCTGCTCAGTTCCAGGAGTTTTAGGCTTAGCGTGTGTCTTTAAAAGTAGGTAATTCTATATGTTACCATCTACACTTTCTAGCATGTCCATAAAGTGCATACTGCCTACCAGAAGCGCCTGGGCTTTTTGTTACTGTTTCAATGTAGCCCCGAGGACCCTAAAACCATATGGGAGTAGAAACTACTGGATCTGAACACGTTAGTGAAGAAACTGGCGGCAAATATCAATTGGGACATGCTGGTTGAAGCATTCTTTGCGGTTATGTTGAGTTTGCAGGGATAGAGAAAGAAAGATGCTTAGCTTTGATACATGAAACCGAGAGAACGAGACTGAATTCACTATAACTTCCCAGCTTACATATACCAAGCTCCAGTGTTGAAGGTCATCCTTGCGTCACTTGCAGACTCGCTTTGCTTGGGAACAGATTCTTGAGAAGCCGCCCGCTCCTTGATTATACAGATTACAACTTTCATCACAGATATAACAGTACCCGTTCAGGTGCTGCTAGTAGGCACGAACAGGTTGAGAAAAGGAGGTACAGCACCTCTATTCTACATCCGGTCGTTCGAGACCGCACAGAATTGTAGCACGGCCAATCGTTCGAAATCTCATGGCAACATGAGATCCGAGCCAGATGCTACGTCAAGCCCCCGGCGTAGTGTGGTGAATGAATCAAGTAATTTGTCCAGCGGCCCGAAGATAGTCTCCACTGCAAACCCAGACGCCCGGTTCCTTGCGCGCTGCGTCCAGAGTTTCGGGCCTCCTCGCTTAGAAACATCAGCTCACTTTTCTTCAACAATTCCCAATACCTCATTTTAACACTACTTAACGTGAGCCCTGAATGGAACTAACTCTCTAATCATTATTAAATCTCCGTCTCCAGACTTGGCGTGACAGCGCTAATCGTGGATCCGGCACAAGACACCGAAATGCTAGGCGCAATGGGAATTAGGGGGCTCAACTAGCACACCCCCCACTAAGCCCCGGCTACAAAAGTACGACTAGATATTGCCCAGAACTGCCATCCTCTGGGCAAAGTAGCTTGGTCGATGAATCCAATCACTCAATAGTGGCTGCACAATTCAGAAATCCACTAAATTTCACCTCACACAACTCACATATTGGTAGGCTAGGATGCATGTTGGTAAACTTGGATATTCTAATGATTCCTAGATGCCTGTAGATGTGGTACTTGGACATCGTGTCTCCGTGGCTCTTGTCCGAAGCTATTGAACAGGCATTGCCGTCTCGACCACATACAGCCGACGAGAACTTGCAAAACAAACTCAAGTGACCTGGACCGATATGCCAGCCAGGAGTTCATGGCAAGTGTATGGTGCAATAATGACAAGTTTATCGTACTGATCTCAAAGCGACACACCAACAACTGGCTTCTACAGTTGGTAGTTGCCGTTTCGTTTTCTCCCAAGACAGAGTTCTGTTCGTCTTTCTCTTCCTTGTGTAGCTCCGGCATTTAAGAAAGCAACGACCACAATTAATCTACGTTCGTTACCTGGCAGATCCAAGGACCAAAGTCCCGGGGCAGTCTTGCAAAATCAGGCCACACTGGCAGTTGGTGGCGTCAGGGCCGGGGGACTAACGTTGAGAATCGACCCGAACCCGAACGCCCCGAACTATGGTACTGATACTGTTGGTCAGACGAACTACCTAAATGGATACTTGTGGCCCCCATGAACACTGCTACCTGCTATTAACAGGCCGCTACAGTATGCAAGCAGGGACCTATGACCTCAATTTCTCCAAGAGCCTGAAGGCCCAATTTATCAGGCGCGAATGTGTAATTGTATCTCCATGCTAACAAGAATAATCTGATCTCTACCGGATGTATCTCAAAGTCAAGTCGATTCGGCACAGGGGTAGGGAGTAGTTGCTTATTCTGCCCAGGAGCAAGTCCAGACGGCCTGGAGCACTTTATTGGCTCTCATCCTGGCCCGTTTCTTGTTGCAACCCCAGACTTCCAAAAGAGGACCCCCATACCGGCCCGAGGAGTAGATCCTCCGTTCGAGAGGAGTCAAACAACAAACCTTAACCAACTGACAGGGACCACGCGGGCCCTCAGACCTGAGCAAAGACATTCCGACATCATTGCGCTGTGTCACTGGCGGCACTGTACACAGTAGAAGCTAACCTAAGCAGGGAAGGAAAGCGTTATCGCCTACACAGCTTCCCCCCTTTTTATTTTTTACCCTTTATTTTTATTTTTATTTTATTTTTATTTATCTAAAACTTTTTCTTTTCCTGCTATGCATTACCACGTGCGACTGGGGTCTTCGGAGCAGCACGTTTCAAAGGCGGTTTTTATTTCTCAGCTCGCTCAAGCCTCACAAATCCGGAGCGCACGATGGCTGCAGGTGATTGCGACGAGCGCCTTCGCCACAACAAAGATATGAAGGTTGACAGCAAGCCAGATGCCATCACTGTTTCGGATTGGTGTGCATGCTTTCTCTGACCACGAGATGGATGAGTTAGTAAACCCATATGACTTACATCTGTCGACACACCTTTTAGCTTATCTACAAGCGAAGGCTGCGGGCATTTTTGTCTTTGAGTGCTTATTAATGTGCACATATTTTGCCCTCTCGCCGTGCTCCTCACTATTGCCGAAGCGCCCACGTGTATCAGCGCGCGCCAGGCTTTGATCTTCAGCGCTTGTGCGCAAGGGCGATTGCTATCATTAGAAGTGTGCTATGCCCATCCGGGCTGTATGGCAAATAGCTAATCTTGATGTTGCAATAAGGGCTGCTTTTTGCGACGCAATGCAGCCAGGCAACGAACGTTTCTCGAATTGTCCAGCTGATCCTCCTCACAAAAGAAGGCACGCTCTGCATGTTGTGGCAACTCCGAGCACCGATAGGCATACGTCCGTTAAACCAATCAAGATGTGCTTACTATGCATCTCTACAGATCTGCATCGAGATGCCCTTGATGCACAACGAGCACTGTGCGCAGACGGACAGGGCACCGCGTGAGATGGGCGGGTGCCTTTCCATGTCTGCTGCATGACGAATCCGGCTGTTTCATTGGCAAAGCTGGCCCTGCTGAATTTCCCGAACAAGGGGGAAGGGTCTCTCTGGACCTTCGTCCGGGTGATTCTTGCATTGGTCATGCTCCCCACGTTCGACGATAGCATACTAGTAGTACCGTACCATAGTACTGTAGTAAAGAAATTCAAGCCCCGCTTGAGACTGCGACCGGGACCAGGGCCACTCTCGTTGCTGGGAGCTGGGAGTTGCAACGGTTCCAGCCTTTTCGTCGGGTCCACGTTCCCCGGGCTGGATGTTCAGTCAAGTTTTAACGAGTATGTAGAAGACACAGTCCCCGACTGGCTCCCCATATTCTGTCTTGTCTTTCTCCTCATCATTGAACATCAAGCCGAACCACAGGATTAGACAACAGTGTTGGTGCATCAGTACTTGTACTAACCATGTGGAACCTGGACTAAGAGTGCATGGGTAGCAAAGACAAGCTGACACAAGAAACGGCGCGTCCTTGGCTTCACTGAACCATAATACCGGATTTATCTATTGCCACATATTAGGAAATAGCTCGAGTTTGAGGCTGGCGAAAAATGCTGCACCACTACGACATGATTAGGATCTTGATCGACCCTGGGAGAAATACGAGTCAAACGGCTTTGTGATCGTAGGCCAACCAGGCTAGCGTCCCCACGGAACTCTTTCGCACGGTGTTTAGTTGTTGCCCTACGTGAGGAATCTGTGGGCGGAAGCAATGGTCGTTCCCCCGAGCCCGACAGTGCAAGGAATGGATGAGCAGCCCGGGTCTCTACTGTAACATGCTGCCATGGTGTCCCTCGCCACTGCACTGCCTATGTATGTATCATGGCTGTTGCAACGGCAGTTGCTCGATGTGTCGAATCGAACCGAACGAACGAACAAACGGGATCTTCAGGACAATATCCGGGGACCACGCTCTGCAGGTCAACGTTGTGCTGCGAAGAAGCCATATTGTATGTAGTTCCGGCTGGGTTCCTCTGGCTGCCTGGGTCTTGTCTCGCTGTCTCGCGTCGGCCGGTACGTCCCTCACTGGCCAGTGCTCGGCCAATCCAATGGTCAGTCAGTCCCGGAAGACTGTTTGTGGCCGTGTCTCGCGAGTGCTCTGAGCAGACGTATCGATCCATCCCATCCATCCATCCATCCACCCATCTACTGGGGGTCACTGTGCCAGCCCGTGTACCATGTACCATGTACTATGTAATAAGCCTGTGCAAGCGACAAGCCACGGTGCAGCTAAGTCGTCCTTGGCTCTGCATCTGCATTAGCGGCACCACTCTCACTCTCCCAAACCGACGGTTGATGTGCCTTTGGTGCCACCTCTTAATTCCCGGGTCCTGCCCATCCTCGAGCAATTACGTCGGGTTTGTCTGTTTTCATTCTTGGACAAATCGTCAACCCAAACCACTTCACGTTGATACGCAATGCATCTGTGACCCGGTTTCAATGCTGATACGAACAAAATGTTTGGGAATTTCACCTTCTGCCAGAAGAAGGTGAACTCGGGCGACACTCCTGAGTTGGAGTCCGACCTATCACCTAAAGACGTCCCGACAGACTGGTCCTCGCCACAGGCCGTCCACCTTCCCGCGACACCTGTTGCTAGGCCCACCTTCAGTACCAGCAATCAAAATCACAACCATGAAAGCGACCATGGCTCAGAACAGATGGAGACGCTCGTACAGAAAATGAGCCGCCAAACCCTTTTGTCGTATCACCGAAGCGATGGGTCGTTGAGAGGAGTGCCGCAGGTTGAAGATTCAGAGACTGGATGGTCGCTACCCATGGGCGGTTCGACCTTCTCTGTGCCTATACCGGCAAGTTTGCCTTCATTGGCTGCAACGAACGAGAAAGAGTATCGCGACATATTGCCATACAAGCTCGTCGTAGACTCAACGCCCTTGCCGAGTCTTGCATCAAGAGCGGTGCCCTACAAACGGGATGGCTCCACGTCGCGGCTTCAGTATGAATTACCACCACCAAGCGATGCTCCTAGCCCTCGGGCTGTTCGCGAGGCACTCATGGAAAAAATGATCAAACACGGAGTGCAATGCAGGGTTCAGCCTTCAATGCCGGATCAAACACACGCACCTAAGGCGAATATGGACCAACCGATGCTGGATGCGAATATACCCACAGAAGAACTTGTACCGATCGAAGCAGGTGGGCTGGGAGGCGATGACAAGAACGTCAGCATCAGCCTGCGTGAAGCAGGGATGCCCAGCAGGATCCGTTACCGAAGGGCTGGTGGGAATTTCACCTGCCTCTCTGCCGCTGAAATAGCTTCAAAGAATAAGAACCTAAAGCGGAGTGCCGTCAGGATGAGGAGACGACCCTCAGACAAACCGAAACCAATAGGGCCAGTGCAGCTCCCCACGCCGCCTCCCGAGCAAGACGCCATAAACCTCTCGGCGGTGTAACTCTTATTTGGCACAATTTGTTATTGTACGATTGATTTTCAGAGCGAAATGCATATACCCTGGGATAAGGCGTTTGGGTAGCTTGAGCTGGGCAAAGCACGGCTTGTTGGACTGGGTAGTTGATGGCCGTTTCGACCACGGAGGAGAGAGCATTTGCAGCATTTTGGACGGAGTTTTAACTTCCATAGCCGTTGCTAAAGCACACAGGCCAGAGGGACAATTGGAACGCGATTCCGCTATTTGCGATCTTGGAATTAAAGGATACCACTGGGGATTACATAAGAGGCAAGCCCGAAAGCTCCCTCTTATCGAGTATGGGGTCTATTAGAAATGGACTGATGCACGTGGCAGGCATGTACTAGATACAGTTCAGCCTACTTATGGCTCTTCTACAGGCATATTTATGGCGGTGTATTGAACCCTCAGAGGAATTACAGTAACATAAATAGTTGAACTTCACACCGCAGCTGTTGGTGTCGCGATCCTTACCTCTTGCGGCTTCGGCCCAACTACCCCCTTTGTTTCCCTCCTTGTTGGCTAATTCCAGCCGTAGGCTCTCCCAAATTTCAACGAGGAGCTAATTATGGATTGTTTGAAGATGCGAGAGACCCCTTTGGCTCACCGCGGCATGTGTTTGCCTCTAGATTCAGGGTGTTTCGGCCTACTCAGCCTAGAAAGTGCTTCCTCGATATATATCCAAGACGCGGCGCGTCCATGATCCAGGGAGCTTATCGCGTCTTTGACCCGAATTCCCTACCTGGCCATTTTCGTTGGAAGTTGTCTTGACGCCGGTGTTCCGTGATCGAGCTCCAGATCGGTCCGTGCAGAGATACCGTTCGTTCTGATGATTAGCCAACATTCCATTCCAGCCCTTCTTTGTTCCGACATTAATGCTCGATTCCCCACGCTAAAATGGCCCTGTGTCGCAATGGATGTTATCTCTTCGCACGCTGTTGGGAATGATCTTATAAAAGGACTCCTTTGTTGTCCTCAGGGGCGGTGTCTCGAGACGGTATTCTACACGCACTCCCGCCATGGCTATACTCGGCAGACTGTGCGCCGCCGAGGTCAACGCAGCTATGGGGATCCGGGGGCCCTGTTCTTCTTAAAGAACTGCCAGGAATGGCGTCTCTCTTGATTCTTTCCCGAGTCGTCTGGTCTCAACATAACATTCCTATGTGCAACATTTCTTTCCCAGTGCCTTATATGACGCTTCGTTGCAACAGAACAGAGACATAACAAAAGGTTAATCTGTCGATCAGCCTCAAATTGGCTTACGATACTTCCATACCTGCTGTTGCTGCGGCAGTATCCACATGTTTCTCGTCAGACGTTGCTACCCTCTGGATACAAGGCCAACGTCGGACCTCGTGTTGGACAATATCTACACACAATCTACACCTACCTACGTAGGCTTGGACAACCATTCTTCATTATATGATATTCAGATTAGGTAACATCTATACCTCAGCCAAGTCATGATGGCGTCTACGACGGTGCTCTATCAGATGGACAAAGAGCAGCAACAAATGTCATGTTGGCCGGAGAATGAGGAGCTCGGCGGTGTTGTGACAACAAGCGAGAACTTCTTTGACGATGAGTTTGTCACCTTTGATGCCAACGATCTTCTCAAGGACCCTCAGAGTCCCTCAGCCATTCTCGACTCGCTCGATGACAGCTTGACCAACTCATCCAATGATCAGGACAGTTTCCCAGTCCCGTCCTCGACGGAAGATATTACGGGTTTCTCTATTCAGAACTCCTTTCCAAGACCGAACGAATCACTACCGGCATTTTTGGGTGCGACAGATCCAGTGTTGGGATCCATATCCGACTCTGAGCTGTTAAGGTTGGAGGGAATTTCACTCAAGTCACCAAATGGCGACACCACAGCACCATCGAGTCCTTTTTTGCTACAACAACATCCTAGTCCGACCAAGAAAAGCCGGCTTGTAGATTCTGTATATGCCACTTTTCGAAGAGCAACAAATATTTCGAGACCACCAAGAGCTATGCAGCTTTTCAAGGGGGAACCTGACACTATACATAACCAACCACAGAACTATGACTGTACGACAAACCGATTGGATCTGAAGCATGAGCCTATAGACAACAACGGACTGCCATTATCGCCGCCCCTCACGAGTAGGATTCCACAGACAGGATCGTATTCGAATCATGTGCCGTTCATGACTGGCGACATCGAAGATCCTTTCAGTGATAAGCTTCTGAGCCTGCCCACAGCTAATGGTCCCAGCACGCCAATGAACACGCCGGCAATGACTGATGAATTCTTCTTCAAGGTTACGCCCAGCCTCAATCTCAACACTACACAGATCCAACAACCCAAACAACGGAACACCAGCTCAGCCGAATGGCCCGTGGATGGGATCATCAACGATGACACTTCGCGCCACTGGACTTCAGTGGGTAGATCTTATATCCCCGACAACAACACGCAGCACAGTCCCGGCTGGTGGGATGCACCATCAACACCCAGCACAACACTCGTACATCCTCCATTGTCAAACACTGTACGCAACACCTCCTTCAGCCACAATCATGCAGTGCATCACCAACAACCCGAGCTGCCCTACGAATACTCGTCTGACCTGTCAGGCCTCATGATCCACATGCCGCAGCCACGACAACCACAAGCCGCCGTGCTAGCGGCCAACGTTCCGGAGCAGCTCATGACGCCGACCCACCACTCTTGTCACCCTCCGCACCATCGGGGACACTATACGGAGCACCACCACCGGCGTCCGCAGCCGCGCGCCCCATCATCTGGCGCCCGCCACCACCACGACTCCATGACCTCGCCGCGCAAGTCGAGCCTACACCACTCCTCGCCCCGAAAGATGCTAGTCCACCAGGAGGGATCCGTGTCGCCGTCCCCCCAGTCTCACCACCGCCCCAGGCGCACGACGAGCTCCTCCAGCATCTCGGTGCGGAACCAGAGATCCTGGTCCCGCGCACCGCGGACGCCGAATCCTTCCTCGCACTCCGTCTCTTTCGGCGGCGGGAGTCCCGAAGGAGGAGGCGGTGGCGGTGGCGGTGGTGCGGCTACCGGAGATGTCGGCTTCGTGAATTACACGCCCAACGATAAGAATGTCCTGATGATGGGCGTGGCGCCGAGCGGAAGCAGCAAGACCAAGGCGCGGAGGGAAAAGGAGGCGGCGGACCGGAGGAGGCGGTTGAGTGAGGCGGCCGTCAAGGCGGTACAGGCCGCCGGGGGTGATGTGGATAAGTTAGTCAGGGAAGGGTTTTCGTTTTGAATGCGCGAGTCAAGTCTAAGGCATATGGAAGAGGCCGCGGCAAATCCGTGTATCATTGTCTTTCTGTGTGTTGCTCTGAAGAGGGGACTATGGCGGCAAGGATTCATCTTGAACTGGGGTGAAATACGGATTCCGGGTCTAACACGGTGATATTTGGTGTCTTGGCGTTGCCAGACATCCAGCCATGTAAAACAATTTCGTTCGTCGTTGCAGCATAGTCTCAGGAAGCGGCCGGCGTTGTAGCGAGATCGGCAGGATATTTATATGGTGGAATCTACATCAGCGACTACTTATGAGGGTACGGCGGCGCTCAGTTGCAACCAGTTCAATTTTTCAACCTATCACATTTACTGCTACTCGGAATTTTTGTTAGGGAGCGAAAGGGTTATGATGCCGTTGTGCACGGGCTACTATAGTTGAAGTTTAAAGCGTTCGATAATGTCCAACGGTCTTTGAAAGAGTCATTCAGAGCTTAATCCGTATATCTGACTATAATTTGGTATTTTATGATGATCACAATAAACTACGGGGTGGGTGGATTCTGTACAGGGATAAAGCGCTGCCTCCGGTTGCAATTCCCGGAATGCAGAAAGAAGATAATGCAGCCACCGTGTAGGTTGGGCGGAGTTAACGACATTGGCCAGAAATAGACATTCTCTCTTACCGCCGTGCTGGTCGTGAGTGATGGATTATTGTGCAGCACTGCGTTTGATGTTCCCCTCGGTTGGCAAGGGTACGGATCCTGGTCATCCGTTCCTCGAATGAGAAGGTGTTCTTCACGCATGCACTCCAAGCCAGTATCGCAGGTAGCGACATAAAAGACGGGCCGCACAATAATTAGTTGTCCTTGAGGAGAGCTGCAATATTGTGATGATTGTTTGGTGTCTGAGCTAATCTGCCATGGTCGTCCTGTAGAAAGACGGCCACATGCATGCGCGATCAGTCAGTGGAACAGGATGAGAATTTGAAGACTGCGTGCTAATGTTGTAAAACTTTTAAGATACTATCGAAGTCGTTTTCGGAGCTAGATGCGTGTAGTGTGGTTTGTGGCGTTTTGCAATTCGCATCATGATGTTTTAGTTCTAGCTTCGCCGCAACCTCCTTTTCCGTGCCGCAATGTGGCATGATCATATAATGTCGCAGCTATAGGAACTTTTTGAAAGTCCAACTGTTTTGTACCGCAAGGAAAACAGCCACGTTTGAGTGATATTTTTTCCCCCCAGATGATTTCCAGTGTTAGAAATTGCACCTGCACTTTGATGGTGATCAGTCGCAACCCAACCGTGTTAACAGTTTCCAAAGGTGGGATTATAAATCGAGTGTATCCTCCTAAGGAGTCCGTAAGAGCTGAATTGTCCATGAATGGTTTAGGTCGTGGAGCTGAGTACATACGAATGTGCAGATTGGCTGACTAGATGGCCTGGTCTAGGTGGTGCTAGTCAGACTAAAAGTCCCGAAACTCTGGCTTTGCCCGAACCAAGAGGTAACACCCCCTTGATGAGGGGCGTCTGACACTCGGTCGTATAATATGGTGGTCTCGCTTGTCCCTCAAGCGCAGGTGCTGTCAACGTCGTTTTGTTCTGATGGTTTTCTTCGTGTACATATCTTGTCGTGTATAATCGAGTCGATTCATATTAAACTTGAGACTCATTTCCACTATTTTATACTATACCATTCTAATGAGCGTATTAAGGCAGAAGGTCTTGGTTCATAGGAACTAGACACTGGTTGAATGCGCAATTTTTGTCAGATCTCAGAACTCTTGGCAACCATTTCGTCAAAACGCATCGGCCTTTTCCATTTGTCTAGTCGAGGCAGCCTGGCAATGAGTCAGTAGGAAGAAACACCAGCCAAGATGTCCAGCAAGACTCTTTCAAAGCGTTCGAACTTGTCAATATATGTGTTCGCGACTCTCGTGATATTCAGCATCATCCTGTTTTTCAAACGGGAACACCTTTCGCAGCAACTCGCAATACCAGAAGGAAGAATTGTCTACCAACAGGATGACCGGCCATCTGGAAGCCTGTCCGAACCAATAGAGACTGATACCGTGAACGAGGATGGAGTACTTATAATAAGCCTCACAGGGCCAGTGGAGCGCAACCTAACTAAAACTATCATCACGGGACACACAAAAGATGAAAATGTTGATTGGATACGCGAAGGGTTCCAAGAACCGGAATACCGTCTTCGCGTGTACTCGGTGGATGACCCAGAGTCCAATGATCTCCATACACCTATCAACAAGGGTCACGAAGTCATGCCATACTTGACATACATCTTGTCGCACTACCATGACCTATCGGACATCAACATTTTTCTTCACCCGCATCAATTCGCCTGGCACACGTGGGATGCGATCATCCCGGACACGGCAGAGTTGCTCCACCGCTTCAACATGGAGCGCGTGGAGCGCCTAGGATATGTAAATATGCGTTGCAGATGGAATCCAGGATGCCCAGCACACATCGATACGCAGAGCCTCGATGCGGCTGCCGATATGCCTGAAATGGCCATCTTCGCAAACTCCTTTATCGAGCTATTTGGGCAAGACGTTGAACTCCCAGCGATGATGGGCGGCGCATGCTGTTCGCAGTTCGCTGTGACGCGGGAACGCATCCAGAGCGTGCCCATTGAGCGCTATGCTGCCATGAGGGACTGGGTAATAACAACTCATCTCGATGATGGGCTGGCAGGAAGAGTATTTGAGAGCTTGTGGCAGTTCCTGTTTCTCGACGAGGCCGTTCTTTGTCCGAGAGAACATCTGTGCTATTGCGACGCGTATGGATTATGTTTTGGTGGAGAAGACGAGTTCGCAGCGTTTGGGTGGTTACAAGATCGCAGGTCCGAGATAGAAAGGAAAGCAGAACACCTAGGAGAATCCATGAAAGAGGAGGAGAAGACACAGTTGAGTGCCGTATCGCCTGAAGATATCCAAAGAAGTAGAGACAAGTTAGAAGAGCTTCAAACCGAACGACACAAAGCTATGATGGAAGGGCAGAGATTGAGAGCAAAGTATGAAGATGCGATCAATAAGGCCTTTGATAACGGCAAAGATCCGAGCAAGAAGGCTGCAGAACTTCGCACAGGTTGAACAGGATAGATGTTTTAGTAAAGAAAGATATCCAGACATCCGAGTTCTCAGAAATATTGCCAATCTCCTTGTTTTGCTGTGTTTGTAAATACAAAATCGCTTCATCTTGTAAGTTTCTTAGTTGAAGGAGGAGCCGCTGAACTCGGACTTATAACTTTAGCAGCACCGATATACTCTACTACTATTCATGGACCAGTCAGGGGTTGGCGTTTACTAACACACCATTGTATTACTTGCTGTAGGTCTCTAAGAAGACGATTCTTTTCAACGTTGAGGCAATACTCCTTTCGGGATTGCTAACGATTCACATTATACATTAAATCGCAACTATCATTTTCATCACACGCTGTAGGAACTGCCAAGCTACCCACTTCAGTACCCGGAAATGCAAGCTGTCTAGACATCCACCAGATGCGTCATTTCGGAATTAATTGCGTACCGATGGTGAATGACACGCAAAACATTACTATCAAGTGGCTTAAGGTGTCCAATTACCATGTGGGCTTCTGGCCCGCGTTCTCATACCGGATACCTAATCTCGAAAAAGAGTATGTACTTAGACTTCTCATTCATATCTGCGCTATTATACCGAGTAACGAATGTGTTATATTACTAAGATTCATACGATTGAGGACGAATATATTGACCAATCCGAGAGTTTGTGAAAATTGCGTGTTGGGCATATTAGAACCGAACAACTTCAAAAGAACATAGCATTTCCGCAACGTTTTCGTGAGAGAAATGCCGCTATGACAATATGATTTTCAATGGATGTAATTGCTTTAGAGAATAGAACCGGCAAGAGAAGTGATATAATATAAAGAAAGGGCCACCTCACAACCAATGAACAAGGAAACTTGCAAATATTTGGATTCCGTTTGGGTCAGATATTATGGGATTACCTAATGGTTAAGATAGATGTAAGAGATCTGCGCCACTCTTTTACCGCTCCTGTGTTAAGTATTCTGATACCACAAGTAAGTCTGGTATGTCTGTTGTTGAGAATGGAAGGCGATGGCTAGTGGCAGCACAAAATAAGCAGGCTCGGAGGACAAGAATACTGGCAGGTAAGCATAGCATGGGACGGCAGCCACAAGTTCATTGGCTGTCTTTAATTTCTGCGAATGATGTTACATAAGCTCTTGTATAACTCGTTATACCGTTCAAGATAATACTGATTCGAATATTATATCATTATTCAATCCTCTTTTGAATAACCCATCTGCCACTAGTGCGAACAACTTGGCCATCATGACCAGTGAATTGTTCGTGCTCACCAAGACAAGCCTACCATCCACTACTCTGGCATACAATCGACAATCAATTCACCACAAACCATCGTTCCATTACCATTAACAAGCAGCAATGTCTACTCTCATGGGACAACTCGATGGCTTGACCGTCGGAGAACTGCGTCAACTCGTCATCTATATGTGTATCGAGAAGAATGGAAACAAAGAACTTATCACACCTGTTATCTGTGAGTGGAAGGGGCAAAGCGGAGAATATGCCATCGTGGATAAGGGCAAATAAGTTCCAACGCCAGCGGGTGGGAGACTAGCACAACCTAGAACATAACAAAGAGAGCACGTTGGAGACATGCCAGAGGTGCCACATGCAATTTCACGAGCCCGACTACGCTCGATCTTGTCGATATCATTTAGGTATATTTGGAATGTAAAGTGTAAGATAAAGTGTTAATGAAAATTTAAGGTGAACTTGAGAAAAGAGCTCTCGTACCCAATGCGCGGAATCTTATAGTGTACACATGCTGTCAAAGAGGGCCCAAGAGAGCAGGCTGCAAAGTCGGAATGCATGTTGCGGTTGAGGAATAGAAGGGATCTAGAGTTGGGAGGTCAATAACGAGAGAGCAAATTCACGCTGTATAGAAAACTGTTTACAGCATCGATGCTACATCGAGTATTAAACAAGAGATATTAATCTAAAAATGTAGCTAAGAATGGCTCTACTGTGAAAGACGAAAACTTCTTTCTTTTTTTGTGACAGCCTAGAAAGCGGTTGTCCTGTTATATTTGATCTTAGATCAACGCAAAGAAACAAATCCATTTCGACCTGCCTGTAAACCAATCATCAGCTTTCAGCAACCAGGAAACTGTTTGTGTTAGCTCCTGAGAAAAAGTTTCCTCACGAAATCACGTCACACTCGACCAAAACAACCAATTTCATGATCGACCCAAGTCACCTAATGCCCCATTCCACGCAATAATTAACAGAGTCGGTTAACAGAGTCGTGCACAACACCCGTTGTTCATCCTGCCCATCAGACTACCATGCCGGCACTGATGGATGACCTTGACGGCCTGACGGCTGAGCAGCTTCGAAGACTCATCGTGCAGGTTTGCGTCGAGAAGTAAGGTGCCAAGGACGTTATATCGCCCATTATCATCGACTGGAACAAGAGGGACAGCATTCGTCGAGTCGACCAAGTAAAACCGCTTACGCTTACAAAGAAACGCTAGATGGCGGCCAAGATCGACGGCGCCGCTCCGCCGGGAGAAAAAGAGAAAAGGAGAAGACGCGCGACAACGCAAACGAGACCAGCAACAAGAGAACGAAAGAGGTGATGCCAAGCGAGCTACTCCTTCAACTAGATCAATGTTAGCAAGAACTGCTACAAGCTATTCCACGGCAGTCAGGGAGACCAAGCCTGCCGCCACCACCCAGGTATGTATACACGAGTCGATTTATCCCTAATTTAATGCTAGTGGCGACCTACCCTAATTTTGTTCTATACCTAGCTGTAATAAACGACATGATACCTGGCAACCGACTCTGTCCTTGCTGTCACAAGACTGTTCTCGAGCGCTGCTGCAAGACTGGCAATCATGTTGTATCAACGTGATTTAGGATTTGAGATATTGGGGAGACACTATTACATGCGAACTTGTCGTTGAAGGAAAGTCGATCAAGATCAGCATGAAACGTGGGATTCGGATGCTCTTTGTAAGCAGTCTCTGTATGGCCTGCCGGTAGAGCAAAATCTGGTCAGACAGGTAGGTAAATCAGAGCCTGTTTCATAGTGGCATGTAACATTCCGTTTCCTCTCTGCCATAGCGTTTAAGGATGGCTCATCTCAATACAAAAGAGCAACTGTCTACTGGTTCATCTGTTGCAGACCAAACTCTTACGCCAACTAACACGAAGAATATCGTGGAAATCGAGCAGTAGCGGATGGACTGGCAGGTAGGAGTTGTCCAGAGAAATGCAGGTATCCTGTCACAGCTAAGTGCAATTGTGCAAGCGCCCTGACATGTCTGCTTGTTGAAATCTTTGACTGTATTCACGCTCGCTGGTCCCAAAAAGCAATACAATCCTCTTCAAACGAAATTGGGCCACAGGTTGCATGGTTGCATGCTTCCTCTCAGCCTTGTGAATAATAATAACATTGGCATTATAGATATTAGCGTGGACTTCGTCTCGAAGCTCTTCCCGGACCTGGGCAATGAATATAGAGTATTACCCCATTTCTTGGTGTAGATTCTGTTTTGGCCCTGGTGCTTTTCGAAGGCGCCAAATATAATCAAATGCTTCCGGCAACGACTCTGGTGGTCGTAGTATCTCCATTTTCGGGGGTTTCGATCACGGTATCTCCCTTTTTTTCTTCTTCTCTTTTTCCTCCTCTTCCCCCCTTCTCCTTTTTTTCTGGAAGAATATCCGTGGCGGTCAAACCAAGCTTTCGTGGGTTTGATATTCGTGCCAAAAGTGGGGATCCCCAACATCTTGTCGTTTTTCTCTTCCATGTTTTGGCTGGCTTTGTTTGGTAAGTCACTTCTACAAACGGAGGCAACTACCAGGAATTGCACGTGACGGTCTAGCCAGACATCACCGCTGGTACTGACAACTTTGTCGGTCCCCAAAATGTTGAAGAGACAGTCGCAGGAGTAACGGCATTGGTAATTCCATCGGGTTGTTCTACCCAATCTGGGGCCATTTGGAGTTGTCGCCACAAGAAATAAGAGTATATCTCCAGTATACGTTTGATTTGGGCTCCTCATGCTGCCGCTGCCTCTTGGGTGAGGCCAAGGGGGCTTCTCTTCTCTTCAGAAATGGCGTGACTTTCTTGGTAATCTGGGGTGGATATCGACGGTGTGTCGACCTGTGGATTGGTTTGTGGATGACGCTGTGTAAATATTGGTCAGTTGACCACATTGAAATTCACCATGAGTAGATTGGCCTTATCCGGCCGGCTCTGGGAACTGTGGCACGGCTGACTGTCGTAGAAGTGAGTGTAGTGGATTTGAGGCGAGTTCTCCCTGAAACAAATGTTGTGCTGCTGCGTGAGTATCCCCTGAAGTTATTCTGGGGTTACCGATGTATTGCCTGGCCTCCAGCTTGGATCTCGACGTAACTTGGCCCCGGCTAACGAGCGTTGGGTTTGCTTGTGTCAAACCTTGGAGCCTTGGACTTGCTGTAATTGCTGATGTATTTGTAAGTTGAGGCTATCGACCTCGATCCGGGCCGCGCCATTTTTTGTTGAAGAATGCCCATGAGCTCATTACCATCTACTGCTCGAGGTTGGGGTAGCTCTATTGTTCACCTATAGTGCGGTTTCTGGGAATATTTCGGTATTTGTTTGTGGCATTAATCATCCGTTGTCACGGAATGAACAGATCCTCGAGGCCGAGTTGTTACCTGTTGCCTAATGAACCGAGGTCCTCGGGCATGACCACAACGATTGACGAAATACCAACAGAGAAGTGACAGGTCAATTTTTTCGTTCTGTTTGGTTATGAGCCCGGTTGCCGTTTGTGCTTCGTTTATGTGCTTGAACCCATCTCACCAGCAAACCTCACATTCAATCCCTGTCAACGGCAGTAAGAAAGAGCCAGAGCCAAATCTGCCAGAGCCAAAGTATCATGGGAGCCTGCTGGAGCCCCAGTGAATCTCGCCCCACACAACGATATCTGGAGTATAGGCTCTGGCTGCACAAGTTAACATATCAGATACATTGCACGCGTACAATGGCGGTTTTCGTGGCCTTGGATGTGAAATTTACTCAGGTGATTGAGATCACAGTAACATTGCGGGTAGTTTACTGATCTACCTCAACTGGTTTGTCTAACCGCCTAGGGAATCGTAAGGCCCTTCCCTCCCAGATTTGCTTTGTCCGTTCACATCATGTCCGAGTGTTCGTGTTCCTGTCCATCACTCGAGTCTTCTTAAGCCATTGTTTGTTTTCCAGTTGTGAATTTCTGGATTTACTCGCGGAGTCGTCGCAGGGTGGATCGCAGGGCAGTGGCAGCGGGAGTGCTAGACGACTGTTAGGACATGTCAACAAGGTGAGAGCAGGACAACTCACGAGAGAACGTATGCTCCACCAGCCAGGCTCTTGGAGCAGCCCTTGCACTTCCAGATACCGGTGCAAGCGCGGCGAACGGACGTGCGACCACAGAAGGGACTGGATTGTTAGTTATTGCGATTCATGGGAGCGAGCAGCCGGAGCGACGTACCAGCTGTATCGAGAATGTTGGGTGATCTCGATACGCTTGACCTGCTTACGAAGTGACGCACCGTACCTAAATGGGGTTAATATTCCGAGTTGACAAAAATACAGCGGGCGAGTGTGTGTTTACCTTGTGCCGTACTTGCCCGTGATACCAACCTCTGGGAGCCTGAATTAGTGATGGACACGTAGAAACGAGATTACGACGTACTGGTTGTGCGCTTCGACATTTTGGATGGTACGGAACCTGATCTCGAGGTGTAGAAATTGGTGATGATATCTGGTTGGAGTGGGATGAATCTGCAATGAAATTTTGAGCTGATACCCGGTGATTAGATAGAGTGGGAGATGCCTGTGGGGCTGCTGGCAGCTGAATAGGGTAAACGGGGGATTCAAGATGGTCCTTGCATTCTGAATGCAGTGTGGATTATGTAAGTGGGCTCCGAGATAAGAAGATTAGCCGGCCAATCTTCGGCTAAGCTGATGCGCGTTCGGGTTTGGCGGAGGGGTCAGCCACCAACACAACACGTGCAGCCTAGTCTAGACTGATAGTTAATAGCCCTTCCAAATCGCCAGGGCAGCCACTGTACGGACCCCGTTCATCCTTCGGCAGCAATGTCCAGCCAGATGTGGATGGTACATACTGAAACTCAAGAACTGTCTGCAGCTGCGCCCAAATTTACAGCGTTTTCAGATCTATGTGCTTTGTTGCACCGCCTCTGTTGTGTGCTGTATTATGTTGTGTTTTGTCATCGCCAGTTATTAAATTAGCCCATCGCATCATGTACGGCGCAGCGCGGGATGATTCCGTCGCGGACAGGGACCCGGACCGGGACCACTGAATTTTGGGAGAGCTCCAAGTCTCCAGTGTGAAGCCTGCGGGTTCAGCACTCTCCTTGCACGTTCAGCTTAGACCAATTAATTGATCTCGGACAATTTGGGTCCTATGTAAGGACGGATCACAAGCGATGGCTTCGGCATTTGCGAGGACGCTTCCATCGTCTCTCAGTTCCCGCACCATCTTCGTCAAATGCTCGCCAGCGCCCTCAAATTTTACAGAGCGTCGCGCCATCCTCAAAGCTCTCTCTACGGCTGGTGGGAAGAAGGCACTCGAGGTCTTTAAGCGGCTTGAGGTACAGGAGACAGAGTTCTAGACCCTACAACACAATAGACAGAAACTGATCAGATGACCAACAGGACAGCTCATCCTTCATTGCAGTGACGGCCGATCCGGGATGCGCCAAGACACTCGTTGACGAGTCCCCGTACAAGCGCATTCTCCACGTACAAGACTCGGCCACAGCCGCGACGTTCGCAACCACAGCATGGGGTGCTGCGTTTCGGACGACCATCGCAGATCCTGTCAACGTACAGCCTCTCGAAGAATGGCAAGGCGAGTCCAAGACCGACAAGCCAGTTGGTGGAGCCGGTCTCGGCCTGAACAGCAAGATCTTCACCATACATGTCTTCCCTGGCAATGCTGCGTACAGTCACAAGCAAGCTATCAGCCAGAACCCATTGTATGGCCCGTGGCCCGCAAGAAGCGGCTACGAAACCTTCGTGTCTGCAGCCCTGAGAAGGACGGTTCCAGGGAGCCACATGGCCGCTGGTCTGCGCGACTGGGACACGGGAAACCAGCTGTCTGAAGATCTAAGCAATTCAGCCGAAGAGGGCGCAGAAACTCTGCTTGGGATGTCAACAAGACACAAGAAAACATTTTACGAAGAAAGGCGACGGAAGGCTGAGACCAGGATACCCGATGTCATGACAAGTCTCGCCGCTGTTGCCGAGTCAGCCAAGATCTCGGCATCTCGCGCTATTACAACAAAGCCCAAGGAAACGTCTGATAAGCCGGCTCAAGACCTTCACGCTATAGTAGGAGTACCTGCTAGGGAAGATGGCCATATTACGCTGCAGGACAAAGATGAGCACGGCATGTTGGAATCTTCTACGTCGCAGAATCTCAACACACATGACGAAGCAAGTTCCTCACGACGGCCTAGTGGGACTGACGCTTGCATCTGGGATGTTGGTAACGCCCCAAAAAGGGGCAAGGCAAATGCGTCAAAGAAGTCGAGTATCAGTGACGAACGCCTCTCGCCCTCAAAATTCCATGAACTTTTCAAAGACACTTGAAAGTTCGAACGTGGGGGACGGCTGTTTGTACTGCAGGGTGCTTGGCCGTGATAAGCTCAAGACTACAGTCGAGATAAATGCCTGGCGAAAACCCCACAGTAAGCTTTGCCATTTGGTATCTATATGCAGCACGATGGCGCCTGGCGAACATCACGGCACTCCGCGTAGCATTACCTCTACTCTATTCTCTTAGCCGCCGAGAGAAGCACTCTGGCTGATTCAGATTGATTACTTATGTCAATACGGCCGGCAGAAAGAGAAGGTCCAGGCTTCGCTGCGAGACGCAGTATTCGACACAAGTAGCATGAGAGGCTCGTTGCTGCTGAAAGCGTCAACAGCTGGTCTATGTTTTTGGGTTGCCGAGAGCAGGGTTGGGACGTTCTTGGTTTCGAATCATTGGTCACAAACTGATGCGAAACACAACTTGTGCACGCTTTGCAGTCTGCACTTCTCGAAACGCATGCAATCGGGGAACAACATGGGAGTATCTTGAGCAAGGCACGGCAAACAATTGTCAAAGCATCCACAATAACATTCATGGGTGTACTCGATTATCAACTTTTCCAAATAACCAGTTCCATGAACATGTGACCCCAGACTCATGGTCTTCAGGGTCTCGGCACATAGTCAACTGGAATTGCAGTCATGTTCGACTCGCCAAGATTGGGGGAGGAGACGTCACTTTGGCTCTAAATCAAGGCACTGCCGACCCCTACCCCCTTACGCGCTCCACCGATTTTAGCGGGAGGCCAACGATGCAGGGGCCGATTCGAGCCAAACCCAACGGCTCCCGGCAGCTATACGTCATTTCTTCATAGCCAACGAGTCTAGCTAATTCCTCTGCTGCACGACGACGCGATTCCTCGTTCCATCTGCTGTAGCTAAAATGATTCCTTGGAGTTCTGGACCTGTCATCAGCCTTGCCGACTTATCCTTCATTTGACCTTGCGAGTGTCTCGCGCCCGAAGTCAAATCGGGGATGACGTCGTGTCCTGATCTCTGGGATGCGCGTCTGGGCTGCGCAATCTTAGACACAGCCGTTGCATTGTTCCGAGACAAGCTGAATAGCTTTTTTTTCGTCCCGTATCCTGTTTGTGTCCGCCATGTGAATTACCCCAAAGCGACAGGGTCCTGGCCAAGTATCACAGCAATCAGATCATTGGCAGTGATCGTCATTCTCAGACCCCCGTGTACATATATGTCGTTCCCGCTGCCACCCATTCCGCAATTTCCAGTCTCACTATCGTCTACACATTTATAAACTCGACTGTGCAACCGCTACAAGAGTCTCTATAGAGACTTCATTGAATACTACACAACACCAGTAGCCAGTATTCACCTGACAAACCAACACCGCCAAAATGCGTCAAACAGGTTTCTTCCACCACATCGGCACGTTCCTTCTACTCGTCGCCACCGTGCTCCTGATCGTTACCTGTATCAGTGCACCTGTAGTCAACAGGCTATCAGTCCTGAAAGTTCAGCTGGCCCAAAACAACAACGAATACAACCCCGATATCACCTTTGGCACATTCGGTTACTGCGTTCAGCAGTCCAGTGACAATGATCAGTGCTCAAAGTCCCACGTCGGCTACAACGCCGCAGACGTCCTGAGCTCTGCCTCTGGCGGCCAGTTTGACACCTCCGAATACGCTGCCGACACTGCCAATGCCCTGACCCGTGTCATGGTCCTCCACCCTGTCGCAGCTGGCTTGTCATTCATCTCTTTCCTGCTCGCTCTCGGTGCTGGCGTAGTCGGCTCCTTCCTCGCCGCCGCCGTCTCTCTCCTCACGTTCCTCGTCACCCTCGTGGTACTCATCACGGACTTTGTCGGCTTCGCCATCCTCAAGAACGCCGTCAACTCGTCCAACACTGGCGCCAGCTCGGAGTTCGGTGCCTGCATGTGGACGCTGCTTGTCGCCGCCATCTGCAACCTGCTCGCGACTATCGTCGTCTTCTTCACCTGCTGCAGCGCCCGTCTTCACAACAAGCGCAGCAACCGCACCTCCAAGGTTGAGCGCTACGACAGCCCTGGCAGACCCGCCCGCAGACGGTGGTTCTAAGCTCGTTGCCTTCCCACAAGACAGCGCCGGCGACACATAAAACATATTTATATAAAAAAACGAATAATGATATATATGAATAATAGGAGGGGAGTTAATAAGCGGAAGAATCATTGCATCTGAGCAACTCGCAAGGCGCACAGGGAGTTGGATCATGATGAACTTGTCATTTAGCAAAGCATTATACCTTTTGATACCAAAATTGTAAAACATCTTCAAACAATTTTAAATTCTTATTGATACTAGTTGACGGCGTTGAAGTAAGCGAGCGCACAGATCTGTAGTCTACAACACTGCGGTGTGGCATTGATATGATCAACCCGAAACTGTTGGTTTCTTCTAACCTACGTCGTCTCATGTTCCCCAACGCGACATGCGCGTCCTGACGATTTGTCGAAGTTTGATGCTCTACTGCGACTTCCGTCACCCAAGAAATACTGAATATTAATTAATCCCCTGACTTCAAACTCATATAACTGTATTTGTTGCATGTTGGCATATACAAAGAATGACCATTTCTCACGCATAGACTTGAACTATTTCGCACACAACATTTAGGCCATCTATTCCTCTTATTCGTCCAACACATGACAAGTCGCATATACATATTCCTTTCTGGCCTTCCTCCACCACGGCGATCACTTTCCGTCCCAAACAGCTCAACCTTGCCGCTGATGAAGTTCCTTCACAACACACCTTTAGCCGTTGGAACAAAACCACGACCCCGGGGGTCATATAGCAGGCTCGACTTTTCACTACTGAGAAGGGTACTGTGTCGGAGACTGGACATGAACCTCACTGACAGGTATGGATGAGGACTCTCGACTTTGATCCAGCGCCGTTTTTGCCTTTGTCCGTTGCTTTCTAGAGCCACCGCACAAAAAACACCACAAAAACATCAAAAGAGTAACCAGATCGTGAACTGCACTAGCCGCGAATCGAACGCGGGGCCCATCGATGGCAACGATGGATTTTACCACTAAACCACTAGTGCTATCTTGCGGTTGTTGTGTTTGGGCAGCGTAATGCGTGATTTGTAGTAAGATGATGGCGTGGTTTTGCTTTTCATTTTACCTAACAATGAGGCGAGGCTATCGTGGGCTCGTTCGTCCAAGGCAAGCAGCTGGGTGGGTGACCTCTTTGTAGTGGATACAGGGAGGAACCTTGGGATCTTGTGGGGAAACATGAACACTTAGGTGAGCACTTTCAAGACACTCGAGGGCAACGCCGCTGCGGCCATGTAGAGAATATTCAAGTATATCCATCCAGAACGCCCTCGCATTTGTCAAATGCCGTAGCAACATACAAATAAGCAGATCATGCCAGCAACCGTCATATTACTGAACCCCACCCCCCGAAAAGCATGCATTTCGCATGCGAGTGTAATCTACATGTCATAACGTCCAGCTCGAAATCCTGCGCAGCATTAAAAGCACACATACTTTCCCAAACACGCCTCAAAGTCGATTAAGAGAGGGACTACTTTCGTCTCTTCTTGGGGTTGGGGTTGCGGTCACGGTCCTCGTCCTCCAGCCCGCTCTCACGGTCCTTTCGCTTGGCCTTCTTCTCCAGCTCATCCCAGTCATCGCCTTCTTCATCGTCGGAAGCTTCTTCCTCGGATGCATCAGCAGAAGCATCATCGTCGAATTCGGAGTCATCTTCAGAGGACTCGCTGATTTCCTCGAGCTCGGATCCACTGATTTCGAAGGCCGACTCCTCTTCTTCTTCATCGCCATCCTCATCGTCGCTCTCTGCAGCCAGGAATGACCACCCACCATCGATGAAAAACTGGTGAGTGTCTGCCGTAACAGTCTTTATAATGGTCGGCCAGTTGAGGTTCAGAGGACCTTCAGTAAACGCAATCTCGGAACTGTCGAGCCACTCTTTCACGTCGTCCAGGGATTCAACTGGAATGGTGTTGATATGTGCAGGTGCTCTAGTGAAGTCCTTGAACACGAAAACGAGATCAAAATTCTTGAGCCCAAATTGTACACGTTCCAGGTGGGCGACCTCGATATCCTCGAGCGTAACAACAAGGAATGGGGGTTCAGTAACCTGGATAAGGCAGTCGGTCGTGGGCTGGATGTAGACGTTGCTGCGGAACGGGACACCATTGAAACCAAGCTCCCTGATGGGCATGTCGACCTCGAGGGATTCACCCTTACCGGCCTCTGCAATCTTCTGCGCAAAGTTTTGGAAGAGGCGGTCGAGTTCAGCGCGACGACGTCGCTCCTCCTGTTCGGCCTCAAACTCGTCCTCGTCACCATAACGATACTTGCGCTTGCGATTACCGGTCTCGTCGAATTGGATATCCGTGGCTTCCCTGTAGAATTGGACATCCTTGGTCTTTTTGTTCTTGCCGCCCAAGATGATGGGATCTTTCAGATGTATATGAATGATGACAATGAGCTCGTGCGCGCAAGGTTGGAAGAACAAGTGACGGATATTGGAAAAAAGAACATCCACTCTTTGCTGACTGCTGAGAGGAGATTGGTAACGAATACCGTTCTGATGAATCTCGACTTTGCCAGGAACGCGCTTCCCTTCCATGGCAGGGCGAATGAAGACGTTATCCAACACCTGCGGACGGCGGTCTATTCAAGTTAGCGATACCCAGTAAAATCGAAAAATTGCCATCAACTTACTTCGAATTTCTACGAGCTTGTCTTGTTCAACGACATCCTCTAATTCCTTCTTTGCCTGCTCCTTCTTGGTGGCCTCCTTCTTCATGTTCGAGATGCGGTTTGCGATCTCTTCATAACGGTCACCATCCAGTGAACGGAATGTCAAGCTGCGGACGAACTGTGCAGAAGGATCTTCGAATGGTTGATCATCTTTCCGGCCTACACCCTGACCTGGTGATAGGAAGTTGATTCTAAGGAAGGACCACTCCCCTTCGTCGTTCTTGCTGGCGTTTTTGATGGTATGAATATGGAAAGGGACCGGACGACCCATAACAGGAAGAATGACGGTAGCAGTCTTCTCGTCGATGAAGATCTCCAAGTTCTTGACCTTGGATGGCAACTGGTTCTCCCGCTTGTACGATTCGAATTTCTTGAACTTCTTGACTTCAGCGCCATTTGGTCCACCGGTAGCCTCGGAGAATCTCGCAAGACCCTCCTTTTGCTTCTTAGCAGCGAGCTGTTTCTGATGATCTCGACGTTTCTTGTCATGTTCTTCGTCGAGAGCATGGGTGGTGCGCTCGGATCTCAATCTCGTGTTGGTGATGTTCTTGGTTGCAACAGCACCAACCTTGGGGTCTTTCTTCTCCTTCTTGGGGGTAGGCTTCTCTTCCTCCTCGTCCTTGAAGAAAAAGGATGTCGCGTCGAGTTCCGTAGGTGCATCACCAGTGAACACTACGGGCTCGCTTGAGGTGACACGAACTGTATCAGTGATGACGAGGGAGTAGTTCTTGCTCAGCTTATCTTGGGGATCGGGGTTCTCGATATCCTGGAAACCGGTCGTGATGCAGAGGGTCATTCCATCCTTCAAGCTCCTGGTGTTCTTGGCGTTCAGGAGCAAGGTGGGATCCTTGCTCTCGATGCCAATGCCGGCGCCGACGTTCTTCAGAAAATGTTTTTCGAGCTCGGGCTTCTTTGACTTGATGAGATGCAAAGCCTTCTTGTAGACATCACTCACAAGGACACCATCTCGAATCTCCTTGAGGACAAGATTGTGCACGGCGAAGAGGAGTTTGTAGTTGCTCTCCTGCGTCTTGTTGGGGTCGACTAGGAAGGTACGGGCGATGGCGGAACTGTACGACTTGTACCGCAGCCCCATGCCCGCAATGATGATGCCTGCGTGCAGGTTATCGTTGGTGGACTCTTGCTGAAACTTGAGGTCGTATTTGCCACCGCTCTGGATTGCGGGGCCGAGGAACCAGTCGAGGTTGGCAGGGTCGAAGTCGGATGGCAACTTCTGCTTGTTAGGCAGCTCCACGGTCTTCCACCACTTGGTGTCATCAAGCTTCTGGTCGACCTTGTTGGCAAGGGCGCTGTGCTTGACCTTCTTCTCCTGGTCGAGGACGTCGGACATTTGGTCGAGGAAATAGGGGTTCATCAAAGCGACGCATGCCTTGGAAGCGGTTCGCATGGCTCGCAGCTCAGTTTCGTCCTTGACGGAGAATGCGGCATTGGAGAGGGCAGCGCTGATGTCGGTCTGCTCGGCATCTTTGCACTTTTCGCCGAACACCTTTTTCCATTCATCCACGAAGGGGCCTTTGGACGTGTCTTTCGAGATGACTCCGACCTTGTTCTGCGGCGGAAAAGTCAGTCAGTGTTTGTTTGCTTGCTTGCTTGCTTGCTTGCTCGCATGCATGGATGAGGGGTCACAGCCTGTCACTTACGCCTGCAGCATTGATGGCGTCGGCGATCTTGATGAAGAGCTTCTCGTTCTCTCCAGCATCCTTGCCGCGGACAAGGACCTCGATGGGAAATCTGCCGCCTTTGAGTTGCTCAAGATGCTTGGCTTGGGGGAGGTCAGCTTATGGGTGGAAATGTGCGGGGACATGGGATGCCTGTTTTCCTTACCCTTCTTGGCGGTTGTGAGGACGTAGAGCGTGTCGAGTGTAAAGAGCATGAGGGTGGTCGGGAATTCATAGCCTAATAACCAGAACTTTTTGAAAGTGTTAGCGAGTGAGTGAGGAAAGGCAAAGGCACAGGCAAGGGGGGTGCGACGTACGTGCATGGCATTGTTCTTGTGAAACTCGGGGTTCTCCTCGACCTTGCCCATCATGACGAGGATGGAGGAGACGCCATTGAAGACCAGGTCGCCGGCGCGTTTGTCGTTCTTCCAGGAGGTGATGAAATGGTTGATGCGCTCCTGAAAGAGCTTTCCGTCGATCTTGATATCTGCCATCGTGATGGTTGACGCGACCGCAGGCGCGTTGATGGTAGATGTGGGACGGAAAGGATGCGTTGTTGATGCGTTGCGTTGCGTCGCTCGAGGGAGAGAGGAGGCTGCCGCTCTCTCGCAGAAGCTTTGCGATTGAGAAGGTTGCGTGTGAGAAAAGTGCTGAACTGAGCTTTGTCTCGGATGCAAGGCAGTGACGCGAAAAAGAGTGGGGCTGTCGATAGGGTAGGTTGCTACTGTAGGCTAGGTGGGCAAGCTTGCAATCTTGGCGCGTCAAGTTTAATGGATTATCAACCGCTCAAGTCGCGTCTCCTATTCTTCTTCTTCTTCTTATTCTTGTCTTCTCCTCTCCTATCGAAGGGAAGACCGTAACACATGTAAGAAAGGAAGGAACCTTCTTGACAAGTCCCGTATCTGTTATGCCAGGTCGTGGAACTTGGGTCTTGGCTTGTGTGCAATTGATCGATTCGACGACTTAGCTTTGTTGCTGCCCATGTGGTAGTTATGTGGTGCATTTGCATATTTTCCTTGAAAAACTCCTCTACTCAGACCAAGTCCCCAGTATTTGCTAGGGAGGTGCGCGTGAATTCCTTACATACACGGCAACGACTTATTGAAGCCCATCATCTTTATGGGAAAGAAGAATGAGCAATGTCAACCATACTGTTTGTGGGCTCTAGATGTATCTGGCCATAATGAAAGAATTGGCACATCCCACCATGGTCAGATGCCTAGCAACTTTACTCGCAGTTCACGACTCCGAACCGTTTGGGCCGAAATACTTGCTAGCTCTCTGGTCAGAAGCTTTAGAACAATGTTTTTCATGGCCTCGGTTAGTCAACGACCGAACAGCATCTCTTTGATATATGGTAAACATTCAGCAGAAAGCCAGTGGCTAGTATTGTTGGCTGTTCATTTCCAGGATCGAGGTTGTCGACAGATAGCCGAGACATGTATATAACATCTCCTTGTGCAACGATCAGAAGTACATCTCATGGAATAACAGCCTTCCTCAGAGCCGTTGCTTATACGAAAGTTAGAAATAAGCGGCAGGAACGCTTTGAAGAAACCACCACTTCACAGTGAAGCTGTTGTTTTGCTTCTAGAACAAACAGAAATGCGACCGGCTTTGCGCTTCGCTTCAACGGTATGATGCTTTATCACGAACCTTGTCAAACTGGTCCACGCATAAGTAACCTATGTAACCGTTGAGCACACAGAAAACCCTCTACCTGCAGAAAGGGCTGAGACGACTGGACGTTGAAATGGTATCCTGTTGAAACCCGTCATATTGTGCACTGATTTGGTTGACCAATATCTAGAGAATCATGGCTGTCGCAATCACTAGACCGGGACCGCAAGTGAATTATGAAGTAGATTGGCAATGACGGTGATAAAAGATATGATGATAAGAAACTGTTTAAATATATGTATAAAAGAGATGGCATGAATGTAGAACAGTTATTACCCTATTTTCGCTATAGCTATCCGCACTGTTGATGAAAAGGCCAATCATTGCCGGATCCCTTCTGAGCAAAGTAGCCGGCCGCGTCATAATCCGTACTCACAAGATGAACCAGGCGGCCTGCACTAACGTTAGCTGCAGATGCGAAGGGCATAATCACACGCACTGCAGTAAAGAGAATCATGCCATAAAGGAGACTCCCATAGAGATTGAAACCGGCCAGTACCGCCTCCAATTGCTTTTAAGCTGAGCAATCTGAAAAGTTGAAACTTAATGGCTGCACGTCTGACAATGCGGCCTTCGTATCGCGATGAATTCACCAAAGGAATTTTTGATGCCGATTAGAAACAGGCATGATGGATGACACATTCTCAACGGCCGAGCAAGCCGATCCATTATTGCCATGGCCCTTGATCAAGTGCCGTGCAGTAGGTTCAAACGTAGCAGCAGTATTGCCATCTCAGCAGCCAGCAAGTCACCACTCAACCAGTTGCAAATTACATACTCCATTACTCCGTACTTACAGAAACCATCGAGATCTATCGTGGGTCAGGGCAGGGATAGGACATTGGGTGGCTCATCCTTGTACAACTACATAAAGTCTAGGCTACACTAGCTCAGCGACCCCCCCCATGCACTCGTTTCTCACATTTTAATCGCCCAATCCCCTCGCTGAGCCCGTGAAGCCTTGACCCGTATCCATAATTGGTTGATGGGAATCTCTCAGACGAGGTGGGCAATTTGAGGCACAACCCATGTGAAGTACAGTATGTACTCCATGTTCTGCTCCACATGCCCGAATCGCTTAATCCTTTCGCGTCTTTGCCAAATATCTCAAGTCGGCAGAATCTTCCACTGAAGAGCCTACGCAGTTGATATCGGCCAAGATATTTTGCCCAAAAGACAGACTTGCGGGAGCGGGTGGTAACTTAACTAAGTCTTTGATGTATGTGTTTAACTTTCATTTTCTTGGTGTCGGAGCACGGAGCAGAAGTCAGTTAAAACTCGGCGACAGCAGCAATGGCAACTGTGCGTGCTGACAGATCGATTAAATCCAATTTCCCAGTCGACAGCAGCAGCACAAAGTTGAGAGGGGGCCTAGGGTAGGTCCATTTGCTCCTCAGTTCCCACAATCCAAGCATTCTCGGCTTGTTCCATTTATGATCTGCAATTCCTGTCGCCTCAGAGCAGCCAAACTGGCAGTCGACCCCCAGAGCCGCACGTCAAAACCAAAAAAAAAAAAAAACCGTTTAAGCAAACCATAAACGGCTGCAACCTAAAAAAAAATTTGTAGATATAAATAAAAAATTAGAATTTTGATAAAAACAACGATAAAAAAGACACCATGACTATTTCCCTCTAGACTAGCAATTAGTTTTACGAAGCGAACCATTTTGGCATGTTCCAGAAGCTTGTCTAGCTTCCGAGGCCACGCTGATAGCTGTATTCGGTCCCAAGGCAAATCCCGGGGCGGGCAAATTGGCAGTCCTGCGCCTGTAGTCTGAGTGAGCCAGTATACGGGTGGAAAGGAACGGTGGGAGTACTTGCGAACAACAGCAAGCGAAATCAATCTTTCGCGTCCTCAGCACGGCGCTAACCTCTGATGATCAGCACCAGCCAGAGCCAGCATTTCTAGCTCTGTCTGTTCCGCAGCAGCGTTTCCTTCAGGTCCACGGTCCAAGGTCCAAGGTCTGGCCTTCTGTGCGGCTAAACGTATCCATTCTTTCCTTCTACTGTCAGTCGACAATCATTCCGTCTTCTCTCCTTCAGACCCCTCCTTGGTGGTCTTTGAACGTCGCGAAGCTGCCACTCTGCAACGGTCGCCGAAGTTCCGATTTCGAACTTCGAACTTGGATACTATCTCTTCCCCCTTGGCCGGTATCCCTAGACCCTGTTTGCGACAGCGCGCCGCGCGTTTTCATCGCCCCTCCGATTCCGTCTCGACAACCACACTCTGCTCGTCCGGCAGTCCACCGCACCACGCCACTGTCAAGCACGGCACGAACAGCTCGACGTCACCAGGACATAGGGCTGGCTGTATTGCTCCGTCGGTTTTGCTGTACCGTAGCTGGTCCGAAAGTTGAGGTATTTCCAGGCAAAGTCGGCCCATCAATAGCTTGGAATATGCATACGGAACCGCGGCTTCTCAATCTTCTGTTCTAGTCGGGTTCGGCTGCAAAACTCGTCATGAGGGTTGCGATTCGGGAGCAGCTAGCAGCATTGGTACTGCTAGCTGTTCTAGTTTCGCTCGCTATCCTGTCGATCCCGACCTGGGTTTATGTCAATAAATTCGTCGTTGGCGTCGAGATCAATGCTCTGACCCTTGCGGCCTCATTGAAGGCGAGCTCCGTTGCCGCTGAAATCGAGCTACTACAGACGACTACCAAGACGATAGCGACGCGACTTCTTATCCAGGCCGCCCTGAGAACATTTTACGCTGGAAACACGTCAAGCGCGAACTGGAACAACGCTATGATTGATGTCCAAAGCGCTCTGAATGCTGCTAGCGATGGCTCAGCCAATCTACTACAAGCCAAATTGTTCTCTAGAAACACCACTGGAGAGCCGCATGGCCTGCTCAACGTCACAGTCACAGATTACGGCGAAATACTGTTGCCATACCTGGATCCCAATGGCTCGCCAGTGTATCTGGGCGACACTGAGTACGGTTATCCGTCCGGCCTCTTCCCAAATATAACCTACTACAACTCCACTACTCCAGATCCTCTTGTCAACGGTTCAACGTTGCAAGTTGCCCGTCCATGGCCCGATATCAGGATCGACACGGCCTCTAATGGACTAATCCTCGGCCCTTTGGTAGTCAATTCGAGCTACGCTTTGGTATCCCTAACGGTTCCCCTCAGGGACAATGAGAATGTCGGTGCTATCCTAGGCTACCTGACCATGGTATCCGAGTGCGCTGCTCTGGTTAATATCGTTCAATCGCGTGAAGGTCTCGGCAATAGCGGCTCTCTCCTAGTCATCGGACCTGATACCGGTTGGAACAGGTTCAGTAAGTACAATCAGCCAGCGAATAGTACCAACAATGCGGCTGCCAATTTCTCCGACGTGTCCGTCAAGTTCATACTCCCACCTGAGCCTGTTTCGGGTTACGCTTCCAGGCACACTGAACACAGCGTACGAGACGGTTCTTGGTCCACGTCGTTTGCAGTCAAGAGCTATCCTGCTGTTTTGTCGGCCTTTACGAACCGTAACGTCGCTACTAACAATGCCAGTAGTTTGTTGTCAACCACAAATGAGCAGGGCGTTAAGGTGGCTGTCGGGTGGGCTCGCCCGCAAACAGCTCTCGTGAACTGGACTTTGGTTGTGGAGCAGGAAGAAAGCGAGGCATACACTCCCATCCACACCTTACGAAACATAATCTTGGGCTGTGTTTTTGGCACCGTTGGGGTGGTCGCACTTCTGATTGTACCTTGTGCGCATTTCAGCGTGCAGCCAATTCGCAAGCTCAAGGCCGCTACAGAAAAATCGGTGGCGCCTCCTGGTTACGATTACATGGACGATTTAGACGGCGACGACGATCTAGATCCGGATCATCCTGCTTCTACTGGTATTTCTACCAGGTCAGAGAAAGGTTGGCTTCTCAGTCTAAAGAGGACAATCCGGGGCAAAAGGAGGCCCCCGCCTTCAGAACATGACAGCGATCCAAGACGACGGGTCTTCAAAATTCCAGGCCGTGTTAGGGACAGAAAGCATTACGTAACGGATGAGTTGACGGAGCTTACTGACGTCTTCAACGAAATGGGGGACGAATTGCTCAAGCAGTACGGCTCTCTAGAACAGAAGGTCGCCGAGAGAACCAGCGAACTCGAAATCAGTAAAAAGGCTGCCGAAGCAGCTAACGAGAGCAAAACGTTGTTCATAGCCAACATCTCCCATGAGCTGAAGACCCCGCTCAATGGAATTCTTGGTATGTGTGCTGTTTGTATGGAAGAGGACGACATCTTCAGAATCAAACAGTCATTGAAAACTCTGTACAAGTCAGGTGACTTGCTATTGCATCTTCTGGAGGATCTGCTTAGCTTCTCCAAGAATCAGATCGGACAGCAATTAAGTTTGGAAGAAAGGGAATTCCGTTTGGGCGATATCCGATCACAAGTGTTGAGTATTTTCGACAAGCAAGTTCGTGAAGGAAAGATTGATTTCAGCGTCACGTTCCTCAGCACTGATTTGGACCCAGGCAGAAGTCCTGAACGGGAGAGTATGGAGATTACGGATCCTAGGTTACCCGCCATGGGCCCGCAAGGTGTCGGTAGATTGAAGGATATGTGTCTTTGGGGCGATCAACACAGAATCCTGCAGGTTATGATAAATCTTGTCAGCAACAGTCTTAAATTCACGCCTCCAGGTGGCAAGGTGTCCGTCCGAATACGATGTCTTGGTGAGGTCGAACAACGCACCGACGAAAGCCGAAGCTCTTCGTTCTCTCGTAACTCCAACCGTCCAGGGCGCACTCGCCACCGGATGGGGTCTGGTTCCAACCGCTCGAATCACTCAAATAGCTCCAAGGGGACAAATACGCCTCAACCATATAACAAGGGTGGTACAGCCTTGTCGATCAACCCAATGGATCCGAAAGCCACACCTCATGTTCATATACGTGAGAGATCACCAACACCACCACCACCTGGTGCAAAATCTTACATGTTTGAGATCGAGGTGGAGGATACGGGCCCTGGTATCCCTGAGCACATGCAACAACGTGTCTTTGAGCCCTTTGTCCAGGGTGATCTAGGTCTAAGCAAGAAGTTTGGCGGTACCGGACTTGGTCTCAGTATCTGCCATCAACTGGCAAGCTTGATGGGCGGCTCAATTTCACTCAAGAGTACAGTTAATTTGGGCACGACGTTCACAGTGCACGTCCCTCTAAAGTATACAAGAGAGAGGTAAGGCGATCCAAAATCGGCACAGCATGGTACGTGTACTAACATGAGACAGAGCGTCTAGTACTGCCTCGAGCAGTGTCAAATCAAGAACACCCAGCGTGGTATCCGCTGGGGAGGGCGAACACCGGAACTCCATCCCGGGCAGCGCGACGGCCGAGGCCAAGGCTGCGGTCTTAGACCAGCAACCTCGACTTATTGGGCTTAGTGCACCATTCTTTGCCGCAAGTCCTGGTGCTGCACCAAGGCCGACAACTAAAGAAGATCAGTTGAAGGCGATCAACCGAGCGATGGCGGCCAAAGCTGGCGGTAAACTCCGTGTCCTTGTCGCCGACGACAATTCAGTCAATGTCGAAGTCGTGAGCAAATTGCTCAAACTCGAATCCATCTATGATGTTACCATTGCCAAGGACGGCCAGGAAGCTTATGATCTAGTCAAAGCGAATATGGAGAAGGATCTCAGGTTTGACGTCATATTCATGGACATCCAAATGCCCAATCTAGATGGACTCCAGAGTACTCGACTGATCCGAGAAATGGGATACGAAGCGCCAATCGTTGCCCTCACCGCGTTCTCAGAAGAAAGCAATGTCAAAGAATGTATGGAATCAGGCATGGACGAGTTTCTCGCGAAGCCTATTCGCCGACCAGCGTTGAAGCGGGTCTTGAAGAGATTCGCGACCATCCCGGAAGAGCCCGAGGTCGCTTCGATCCATACAAAGACTACATCGGAGAAGACATCGCCTACCGCGGCGACACACGCCTCTAGCAATGAAGCAGCATCCAAGCAGCCTGCGGTGACCCACAGCGAAGTCACAGCAATCAACGGCCATACCACACCACCCTCAAACAATGTCAATAGCTAATGATACCCCTTTTCCAGGTCCACGACCTGGACTTGCTTTAATGATAGCTTAAACAACCATCATTTGTTCCTTGAGTCTCAGGAGTATTTCGGGCTGTTTCGCCCTGCAGAATTGGAACGAAGGCACAATCTATAACAACAAAGCGATTGCAAGTCGACATACACACAGGCCAATAAGAAATCAAAACGGGTCCTGGCGAGGCGTCATGGCGTTTTTATCCGTACGGATATCACAAAAGGGGGCACCGGATATAATGTTTTTTGTCTTCCTTTTTTTTGTAGCATGCATGTAATTTGTCCCGAATTCGTCGGGGGGGAGGGGGTTACTTTCTTCTTTTCATGAACCTTGAATAGGTTGGCCAGCTCTGAGCAGCTCGATGCTAGGCTGTCCACATCACATACAAATTTGTAAACCTAAAGACCAAGTGGAGAGACTGGAACCTCTGCGTCTTCCCACCATTTTTCCTGTATCGGCGTGTGTCACTTGACTTCCGTGCTTGGCGAGCTTACAGGCTGGCTTCAGTGCAACTCTATGACCTCAAACCATTCATACTTTCGAATAATGTGACTGCTGTGACTGTGACCATCTATGAGATGAGCTGAACCTGCCAAAGCAATCAGCTCTAGATCCAGCTTTATGTTTGGGACACGTACAGACTTCAACAATATCACCCTTGACTCTCCCGCAGAACTTTGCAGCCCACGCTTAACATGTTCACACAAAAGAAATCCGTCCCATGGTTGTATAGTCTTGGATATGTCTTCACTTTACGGTCGACATGATGCGATCCCATCTCAGCATGTTTCGCTACAGCGCAAGTGCGTTGTATGTTTGATTACATGAAATGAAAACCTGTCTAGTTCTCGCATTCCTAAGGCCCTGTTATATTAATGCTTCGGATTCGTTGAGTGATGTAGAAGATAGTAAAAGATCACTTAACAACTTGTTCATACTTTTGGAGAGCTTGTAGAGAAATGACTTCACAGGTCGCAACTAAATATTCTCTAATCACTGTCTTTGCAGCTCGCCCACAGCTCGTAATTTTGCTTGTCAATACAGCGCTATTTTCTTTTTCCTTTTTTAAAATATTTTTTTTCAGATCTCTAACCACCGCAACAATGAGGCTTGTGACATTATTATCCGTCAAGAAACTTTCTTCTCTGCCAACAGAACGATCTCTGATTCCGGGCTATCAAGCAAATCGGCTGCCCTGGTGTTGGTACTGGTACTACCGGAACTAGGAGGCTGCCCTCCGAAGATATATTCTGATGAACCCCGAGCTCTGAGTTGACACATGATGGGACTCACACGATAGGCTACATTAGGTAGTATGTGCGGCGGCAATGGGAAATTATCGGGGTCGGCGGTTTGATTTCTAATGCGTCGCCGCGCTTGGTGTAAGGAGCTATACCGCTTGACGTGTGTGCGCGGTCGAAGACCGCACCGGGCTCCCTCTTTATGTCCTCCGAAATATTGGGAAAAGATTTTAGGGACGGAATACTCATCCCTCACATTGACATCTGTGAGGTGTCTTGTATTGAGGGCACTCAAGCCTCATCAGTTCCTATCTTTGTTGAAGTGAAGCCGGAATTTCCCCCGCACCGCGTTGGCATAATTGTCTGCAAAGTTTTCTCCTCTGTGGTCTGCTCTGGCACTGATACTGAGCTCACCAGGCTTCTCCATTCTTTGAGCGGCCGGGTGCGTACTCATGGCCTCTGTCGAGATGCCACCAAGCGATGACCTTGCTCGTCGTCCAGCGGGGGTGAATGAAACCAAAGACTTATTCAATTCCTTTCCGTTGTAGAAGAGAATGGAGCCTCGGCATCTTGATGCAAAGTTGCGATTTCAGGGTCGACTTACGCACTGGGAACTTCTTCATACTCGGCAAATTACCGACACAAAACTTTCACGAAGTTGTAGTAAACTGAACACTTTTTAGACCAACCATAATAACCAGTCTTGGCCAAGGTTATAATACCGGCTCCCTATTTAAAGCATTTGATAGAATTCCTAATTTCTGAGGTTTTTTCGGGAGTCAAATGTAGGCTAACTATAGTTTCGTATGCACTCCTTGCTCAATGAGACACCGTTTGGATTGGTATAAACCTCTTGTCCAGGACACCATTTGACGAAGATAGAACCTCCCGACATACCTGGCAACCATAGTACGACTCTAACCTTACAGAGGAAGACCCCGGAGGAGACTGGCAAATTCGAGGCATATTCTGATACACCTCTTCACGTCTGAAGCTATTCGATTTGAAAGAAAGGCGTCTGGTATGGGAGGCAATCCGCACCCAATGATGTGATTCGAATAGTGCAGCGGCTTACCGACCAATCATCTTTCACTGATTGAATCCACAACTTATAGCTAAAAAAGAAATCCAAAAGTTCCAGGCCCGGAGCTCGCTTTCTCACTCCTTTTTATTCAATTCCTTGGAAAGAATCGTCCAGATTACAGCCACAGGGTTTGACAACCCCAGTCTCACTACCACGATGTCGCCGGCTGCAGACCTAGATCTCGATGCCCCTTTTGTGCAGGATATTATTCTTGAAGTCCGGAGCAGTAAAATGAAGACAATGCCTGGCTTGAACATCCAATCCGGCATTGACAAGACGATTCGCGACGGAATAGTCTCGGTCGACCGACTTGGAATCGAGGGAGATGAGCACGATCCGACGTTCCATGGCGGCGTCGATAAAGCAGTTCATGGTTGTAGGCTCTCTCAAGTTCCCATCCCCCCTATTTTCAAGCGCGAGAGGTGACTGAGAAAGACCACAGACTGCTCGTCGCATTATCCCAAATGGCAAGCAGAGTACCCGGAAGCTGCATCGCGTTTCAAGCCTGGAGGTTTTGGGGAGAATCTGGTGACGGCGCACATGAACGAACGTAATGTGTGCATTGGCGACATCGTGAGCAGGACCCCCTTTTTCTCTTCTTTTTAATTTCAGATCGTCAAAGCACCTCCAGATATCCTCTTGCCAGCCCATCAATCACCATGGAATGAACATTTTGCTCCCAGATGCTGTGCGCATGTGATGACACAGAAGGGGGCTTTCATCCAGACTGAAGTGCCCGTCGCATCTTCACCAGTCTCAACAGAACCCCCCAGTCATCACCACTCTTTTCCTGTCATTCTGGAGCTGAAAATTGCCAAGTGGTCCTCTTGAATTTTTCTGCCCTCGATTTCCGTGCCCACTTCCAGCCATATGACTGCGACAGGTGATTGACAGCCCCGGGTCTCCACGATGTGACTCATCCGGCTGCCCGCTCCCAATTAGTCTTCGTCATCTTGGTTTGCTCCATTTGAAAGACCTTAGCAAGCCAGAAATGATTCATCCTTTCGTTTGCGTACTTCACGCCCCCACCCCCGCAGCAAGGTCTTCCATACTATGTGTCAAGTTCCCGTGCCCAGCGTCCAAAAGAAAATAGTCCAGCTAATCCGATCTCGCCCCGCCAGATCTCGGTAGGAGACCGCGAAACCGGCCTCCAGCTCCAGGTCTCCCTCCCACGCTCGCCGTGCTTCAAGCTGAACCACCGCTTCCGCCTCAAGAACTTCGCCCCGAGGACGTCCGCGCTGTCCCGGACCGGGTGGTACTACCGCGTGCTGCGCCCCGGCCCCCTGGAGGCGGGCATGACGATATCGCTCGTGGAGCGGAGGCATCCCAGGTGGACCGTCGAGCGTGTGCAGGAATACCTTCACAGAAACCAGGAGGATCCGGACATGAACCGGGAGCTCAGCAAGATCGAGGAGATGGGAGACGAAGCCCGCGGTGCCTTTGGTGAGTTAGTTTTTACGGGGTTTCTCGAAATCGTTGCTCTCCCTTCCGCTCCAGCCCAGACGGCTGACTGACTAACTCGCCCACGTCAGTAAAACGAGTGGCCAAGGCCGAGGCCGCTGCAAAGCGCAGGGAGAAGGCCGAGAACGAGCCCAAGGAAGAATGGACTCCCTACCGACTCGCGGAGAAGAGGCGCCAGACAGAACGCATCGCGAGCATCGTGCTCGAGGCCCTGGCGCCGGACCCCGAAGCGCCCAGCTACCTGCTGGGCGCGCACGCGCGGGTCCGGCTACCGAGCGGCCTCGAGCGGTGCTACTCGATCGTGTCGGGGACGCCCAACCGGTTCGAGCTGGGGGTCGCGCTGGACGCGCAGAGCCGCGGCGGGTCGGCATACCTGCACGGGGCGGCGCGGGAGGGCGACATGCTCCTGGTGTCGTCTCGCACGGGCGGCGCGATCGCGCCCGCGGGCCTCGCGTCGAGCCACGTCTTCGTCGCGGGCGGGGTGGGCGTCACGGCCTTCCTGGCGCTGCTGTCCATGTACAAGAAGATCCACTGGAACGCGGTGCTGCACTACGCGGTGCGGTCCGAGGCCGACGTGCCGTTCTCGTCCTCGCTCGCGGACCTCGCGCGGCCCGCGCCCAACAAGGACGGCCAGGTGGGGCCGAGCTCCGTCGAGGTCGTTCTGTACCGCGGGGACCAGAACGAGCGGATGGATGTGCGACAGATCTTCGCCGGCGCGGGCTGGAACAGCCATTTCTACGTGTGCGGGCCCCGGCGGCTGATGGATGCTGCGCTGGCGGCGTCGAAGGAGGCTGGTCTGGGTGACGACGAGGTTCATTTCGAGGCGTTTGGGGCTGATACGACAGGTGATCCGTTCGAGGCTGAGGTCGCAAACCGCGGGAATCAGATACTGAAGGTAGGGGCGGAGGAAACGCTGTTGGAGGTGTTACGACGGGAGTTTGGCAGCACGCAGATAGCGAGTAGTTGCGAGGTTGGAAACTGTGGAACATGTAAGGTGGCGCTGAAGTGTGGTAGGGTAGAACATCGAGGAACAGGACTACCAGAAGATGAGAAGGAGCAGGGACTGTTGAGCTGCGTTAGTCGCGGGATAGGGAGGATAGGCATCGAGATTTGACGCGTGTCAAAGGTGAACGAATGATATACACTGTAGTCAGGTGGACCGAGGGAAATATCTATTAAAAACGAAAACAAACTCCTATACCGAACGCCAAACTTCCATGATGCGATGACATCGCTCGTTCCTGGGTCCTCTTTTTCTTATGGGTGATGGGACCAAACCACCGCGGGGAATACCATTGTCCAGCGTCATCCTAGAAAGAGAGACCTTTGATAGGACGAGAAACATACCAGGGAAAGGAAATACACGAGAATAGTCATACAATCATCTCAAGAATCACTAGGAAGACAAGAAGCCGATGCCCTCTCTTCGAAGCTTCTGCACGTCAGGGGGCGCCTGGCGCGCGCTTTGCTTCCACCTCAACCATACTGCCTCCAAAGACGGATGTGCTGGCCAAACTAGGGCGCGAGATACTACCAATCAGACTGGTAGTACTATCCACCTGGCCTCTGCGAAGGCTGTCTGAACGTGTACTCTTGGTCGGCGATGAAGCGCTGGCCGGATTGGGTAGGTCCAGATAGACGTGGGTAGATCTTGACGGCTTCTGAACTAAAGAGCGGGCCTCGTCTCGTGATGGCGGCGCAGGTCTGGATTTCTATGCCAAATCGCGCCCCGTGGACATACCGACGGCGGGACCGCCCGCGCCAGATTTTGCAGCGTTGTTCGAGACCTTGTTCCAAGACAGGTAGGTGTGGTCACCGAGTTTCCTTGGCTTGATCAAATGGGTGACAGTGAAGATGGCACCGAGAAGGATACAGATACCACCGACAACAACGTAAGCAATACCCAAGAAGGGGTTCCTGCCGCCAATGACACTCTTGGTGGTAAATACGATGGACTTGGTGCCCTGGTATTCAACAGTAGGGAATTCTGCGAGAGCTGTTAGCACTTGTGGTTCTACTCGACTCGGAAAGGCGACATCAGACGTACCCGAGAGGATCTCCATGGTATAAGTTCCGTTCAGCATGGCAGTGGTGTCGTTTCGCATGTACAGCTTGCTGAATGTTGGCAGACCAGCAGTCCTCATCCACACCTGGAAAGCCTGGTTGTCCTTCAGATTGGGGGGAGGGACATCTTCCGAGTACTTTCCGTCGGGGTATTGTCTTTGCCAGTTGGGAGGCGGGCGAACCGAGTTCAGATCCATCCCGGAAGGATAGTGGCCATACAGCTCGTTGTCCGAAGCCCAGGCGATGTTGGTGTTGTTCTGCATGATGTATGTCTGGTTGGTGTCGCTGCTGTTGACGGCATTCAGCAGGACTGGGTTGAAAAAGGTATCGTTGAACAAGGAGTTGGCAATCAGTCCACAGGGGTAGTAGACAACCTGGTTCGCGTCCTGCGTCAATGGAGTACAAGTTGAATCCCTGACGTTTGCGGCGGTGACAGTCTCTCCCTTGAGCTGCTTGTCGTAGTAAGAGGCGACATATCGTCTGTGGTTCTGGTAGAAGTTGGTCAAGTGGTAGTAGAACAGCACGGGTGCGGCCATGTCCTCGGGAATGTTAAACTGGAGGGTGCACTTGGAGACGTTTTGAACAACGTGGTTACCGCGGTATGTGTGGTTGACAAGCTCGTGTCGCCAAAGGGCTTGAATGGGGGTGGTGGTATCTTTGAAGCTTGCCGTTATCAGACTGTCGTCCATCTGGCCAAAGACGGTTGTTGAGTTGGGGGCGTCGGTGTTGCATGTCGAGTAATCGATCTTGAGCTCTTGTACCTTCACGCCACCTGTCAGCATAGCATCCTACATGGTTGTTGATTTGACTTGATGCAATGCGCATACTGTTGAACTGGCCCAGATCAGCAGCCCGCCGATGGGCGCGAAGATGATGCCGATGGCGAAGAAGAGCGGCAGCACCGTCTTGGGTGTAAGGATTGGTCTGTTTTAAGAGAGCGGTCAGCTCTTTGAAGCCCGACGGGTGTCTTGCGAGGTCCCGGCCCCAGTCGCATTTCTGCGTTGTTCGTGGAGTACTCACTGCCACGCCTTCAATCGTTGTTGTCTGAAGGCGGTATCTAATCAGATGCAAAGTCATGGTCAGCATTCGTCTTGCATCTCTTCTCTTGTTCGTAGCATGCAGCAACTCGCCAGTCCGCCTCTCGCTCATTTCGCACTGGGGCTCACTCACTCGCTGGTCTTCTGCTCTTCTTCTTCTTGCCATCGACCGGCTTGTCCGGATCGTCGTGGGAATTCATCGAGTCGGTATGCCCGACACCGGGCGCGGGCTCGGCCATTATTATCGCTTTGCTGTCGATAATGGGTTTGCTGGTGATATCGTCGGAAGCAAGAAAACCAAAGATTTTCGTCCGTGGGGGAGGATGCGCGGTCGTCGTGTCGCGGATTAATTTACATGTAGGGAAAAGTAGTGTAAGTTAACGGGTTCAGCTCCCCCAAAATGCCATTGGCAATTAAGTTAACCTTTAGTCGGCTTGTCAGAGGGCGGGCGACTGACTGACCGGGGGGCCCTATAGGGGGAGGGAGAGGGGGGGGCCGCGGATTTGGGCTTTTGGTTGCTGCTGCTGCTGCTGCTGCTGCTGCTGCTGTGCTTGGGGTGCTGTCCAATTGGGGGCAGACTGGAGGAAGCACAGCCACACTCTCTCTCTTACTGTTGCTACGGATCCGTACATGCCTTTGCCAAGCTCAGTCTTAAGACTGACTACTGTAGCTTGCGTTTATTTTTGGAAAAGCCATGTTGCAAACATTGGTCACTCGAGATGCTAGCTGAACGACAGTTGACCACCGACAATTGCCCGATTTCAATCTGCCCGTCATGTTGTGTTCGTTTACTTGTGTCTTAGCTACCTACATCATGCTACATCTGTATATACAGCTGCTCCCCGGCGATTCTTCATTTAGAATTTTGCCCAAATTACTTAACATAACCCTCAATAACCCGTCTGTTGAACGATTGTTGGCAAAGCCAGCCGACCAATACCAGATGTCGCCAGCGACACCATACCAGTTGGCAACGACCTCTCGCCATTGGGACAGGAAACGGGACAGGAAGGAGAGCAGGCATGCTGATGCAAAATTCATTCCTTGTAGTAGCACGTACGAGACCGATAGGTCATGCAGTCTTAGCTTTCCCTAGAAATCATGCGCTAATCTAACTATCCGATCATTTCATTGCCCTGACACCTGTACTCCCCGCCAAATGAATCACAAACTTCCCATAATGCCCGTCGCCATGACCAACGTACTAGTTGCATACTTTGCATACTTTGCGTATTGTTGCATACACACATACACACACACACACATATATATATATATATGTACCTCCTGGTGGGTTTTCAGTTCCGTACCGGCAAATGAGACGTTTGGCTGCGAGGCCATTTACGCTTGTGCCAGCATTGCTATGGCCGCCACCATCAAGCCTGCGCTGTAGTAGGCGCGGTTGTCACGATCTTCTTTTGTTCAGGTTGTTGGTTGGTGTCGTTGCCTGGCCCATGCAGACTTTCCAACGATCGTTTTTGACCTTGACCCATAATCTGCTCCATCACACCAGCACTTGGTTTGGTAGTTGGAGGCGGCGCGGGACTTGCCGTCTTGGCAAAAGGAGGCTGTGTGACAACCTGAGGTAACGGGCTTACGGTTTTTGCAATCAGTCTGTCCTGCGGTATACCAGAGCTGGTGCTCGGCATAGCTGGGCTTGCACCCGGCGCGGGGGCCGGAAGTGAAGCTGATGCTGGCCGCGCAGGTGGAGCCAATTGTGCCGCCGGCGATGGAGCTGTGGCTTGGGGCGTTGCCGGTATCTGCACAAGAGCAGTTGCGGCATTCGGAGCCAGGTTTGTCTGACCGGCACCACCAGAGTTTGGGTGACCTACCGACGGCCGTGCCACTGAAACGGCCCCAGGACGAGCAATCGACGGACGTACAGCAGATATAGGGGGCTTCGGAACCGTAAATCCATTCGACGTGGCTGGAGTGGGCGTGAAGGTGTTCGGCGCCGCCAAGGTCTGGCCTGGTGCTGGCGAGGCAGACGAACCATGTCGAAATGCCGGCCCTGGTGACGCCTGCGAGGCTTGGGCTGGCGATGCCGTCGATTCTATCTGAGAATTGTATTTCTTTCTCACGTTGTTGATAATCTTCGTGACTTCCGTAACGAGGAGGTCATTCACTTGCTCCCACCCCTTTACTTTGCCCGTGTTCGGCAATCCTTTGGCTTGGTTGACAGCCGACTCCATAATCAAGTCAGCTTGCGGACATTTGCTTCTAAAAGTCTTCATGAAGTTGTCCCTGAAAGATGTGAGCGTTGACTCTATCTCGGCGTCGACAGGGGGCAGCGCTGCTGGGCTGGGTCTAGGCGCTGGTGTCTGCTGCTTCGGCGGAGGCGGTGCAGATACGGCTGCAGGTGCAGGTGCAGGTATAGGTGCAGATAGTGGAACGGTGGCCGGAGACGGGGCTGGAGCCGAGACGGGAGCAGGTGTGGGTGTGGGTGCGGGTGCGGGTGCGGGTGTAGGCGTAGGTGGCTCTGGAGGCTGTTGAAGAGGTTCCTTGTCGAGGATTTTAAGCACCTCGTTAGTAAGTCTTGATTCAACTTTTTCAAAGCCTGCAAGGGTTGGCAGTGCCGGAATGCCAAAAGCCTTGTTGATCGCAGTTTCGACGAGCTGCTGGATCTTGGCCTGGCTAATGTTCAACGACGATAACATCTTCAACATCTGCTCCTTGAAGGCTACAACTTTCTGGTTCTCATCGGGGTTACCAAGGGGCCCCCTAGAGCCAACAGACGTGACTGAAACCGCGCTTTGCGGTATTTGAGAGCTCTGAGCCGTTGGCTGTGGTATGGAGGTATGCTGGCCATGTATATTTGCTGTTGCATTGCCAGCGTTGAAATGAGAATTCGTCGTTGCCGTGGGCCTCTGATATGGAGAGTTGTAAGCACCTTGTGATATAGGTTGTCTCGGTAGTGCGGACGCGCCCGCTGCAGACACTTGGGCCGGAGATTGACTTGAAAGTTGCGATGCGTGTGATAGCTGGCCATTCATCTGAGCCTGAGAACCTGTGTAACTTTGGTGGTGCTGATTTGTAGCAGGTTGCCCATATGTCTGATGTTGCTGATGGTTTTGCATGACGTTGCTGGGCAACCCGTCGGCAAACTGAAGAGTCCCTTGCTGCAGATAATTCGGGTGGTGATAGTAAGGCTGCTGGCCCATTTGATGCAGCGGTCCCATCTGGCGTTCTGGTGTGGGGGCCTTTCGCTTCTTTCCTGCATCGAGATCGATCCCGTGAACCCTCTGCCAAAGACCCGTCTCTTCATTCTTTTTAAAGCCGTCGTTGCCGATAAGATTATGACGGACACTACTCTCCCATCCCTTGGTCTCCGCAGAGAAGTAGTACCAGGGGTACGCAGCTGTGATCCGTTTGTATATCTGCTTCAGCGATAGACCCTCAGGAGGTCCCGCTTGCAGGGCTTCGTCAATGAGATGAACATAGTTCTTGGCTGGCTTTTTCAGCTGTTCGGCGGAATAATCCTCAATCTTAAGGTCCAGAGGCGGAGATTTTGGCCGCACTTTCTTGTCCTTCTTCTCCCTTGCACGCCTCTCTGCATCCGAACCTTCTTCACCATCCGTCTTCCTCTTGGTGTATTTTCGTTTTTCCGGTCTATCTCCATCATCCGGTAGAGGGTTCTTTCTAGGTCGGCCTACAGGTCGCTTGATCTTCTCACCAGGAGGCTCCTGAGGAAGTGTCTTCCTCGACATCTGCTGAGCCTCAAGCTGTTTCTTAAGCAGGCGGCGTTCCCTTTTGGACATGATGCCGTCCTTTGGCGGGCGTCCCGGCCCACGCCTCCGCGGTATCACGAAATCTGGAGGAAGTTCTTCGCCCCTCTCGACAGATTGCAGAAGGGCAGCTGCGGTCTCAGCGTCCATGTAAGGCAGAATGAAATCATCGCCGGCCATCTCAGACTGATCTTCGATCGCCATGGTTTCATCGTCCGCTCCCAGTTCCGATTCTAGTAATCCTACCAATTCTGCCTCTGCTTCAGCTTCAGCGTCGGCGTCTATGTCCATAGGTCCCGCTTGAATTTCGGGTGCGATTTCGACGGCCATGTCAAGATCGACCCTGTGGTCTGGCGGTGGAGGCGGAGGTGGCGTTTGCACAATTTGAACGGGAGATGGACTGTCGGTATTGCGTAGGAACTTCTTCTTCTGTTCATGATCCGAATGTTCGAATTCCAAGCTCATCTCCTTGCCGCCGACGGAACAGCGCTTGCTAGAGGCCTCTTCCCCCTCGTGCACGTCTTCGGCTCCGGTCTTGCCAGTCTGGACGCCGTTGATTACGAAGAAAAACTCAACGTCCTTGATCTGAAGGCGACTACCACTGCGAATGGTGACAGGGTCGTCGGAGCCATAATGCACGTCATCGCAGAAGAAGCCGTTCTTGTGGAGCGCCAAACCTTCGAAAACCCCTCTCCTCTCGTTGAACTGGATCTTGAGATGTTGCCGGGAGATGCCTTTAGTTTTGGCTGCAATGTTCGGACCTGGAGAGTGTATACCAACGAAAGGAACGTGGGTAGTAGAGGGCTGGATGTTGCTGAGGTCAACCGCAGCGGCTCCCTCACTATGAGAGACATACTGCAGGTTCGATTTTGCGTTGTCATCCTGCTCGTCTTTGACTTCGGCCTCGTCGTGCAGAGAAGGAGCTTTTCTCCTTGGAGCATTGCTGTCGCCACCATCGGATTCTGGACCAAGCATGCCTCCCTCCTCACTAACATAAGATTTGCTGAATTTGCCTCGATCTAAACCCATGGGAGTAGGCGGGGGCAAGCCCTGTTCCTCGGCCTTTTCGCAAGCTTCTCTGTATCGAGTGGCGCGCCGTTCGTCTTTCCGGGCTTGTGCCATTGCCCTGTGGTCACGACCAATAATGACGGCGTATGTAGTCATCTGGAACACACTGTCGGCGAATTCGATTCTGGCGAAAGACTCGAGCTTTTGACTGGCACTTGCAGAAGCAGATTCGAAAGTGCCGGTGCCGGTACCGGTGCCGTCATCTTGACCAGCTTGGGAGATGGCGAGAGATATTTCCGAAGGCGCGATAGCTGTTGGATAGTCGGAGCCCATGGGGACATTTGCATTTGAGGCCATGGCGATCATGAAAGCGGCAGGGTCAATGTCGGTCATGGTGTTAGACCGTGACATCCTGCCGGCAGCAATTTGCTGTGCTGGGTATTCAATGTCGTCGTCGGTGGTTGCGACAGCAGCATATCCTTGGGACTGGGTCGGTTGCGCAGGGAAGGAATGGTCAAAACTTGGGAAAGGCTCCAACGCAAGTATATTGTGCTCGGTCATCGCGGTGCCCTGATGGGTAGAAACTTGCTCATCGTTAAGTCTCGGCAGGTCTTCGTCAAGCGCGTGGTCGCCATTGGTGCTGTGGATGGCAGTGACTGCCGGCGTTGAGAGCGGCGACACGGTCGGCGGAGATGGCATATAAATGTGCTCTGGTATGGCGGGCGCGATGGAGGCAGGCAGGTCTTGGTGACCGGCTGCTGTGCTTGTTGTGCTTGTGGTTGGGGAAGTTTGAGGTTGCGACTGCTGCGGGGCATGTTGCTGCAAAGTTTGGCCATCGACGTTGCTAGGTTTTATTAGTTCTGGCGCATGTGGAATCGTGTCGTTGGTGACGGTAGGAGCGACTTCTGGCGGGTTTGTGTCGGCATGGGAATCTGCCGTGTCAGTCTTTGGCAGCGTGGACGTGGACTTCGGTATGGGTGTCGCGATGGGTATGGATATGGGTATGGGTATGGGTATTGGCTCGGACTCGGGCTCGGGCGCAGGCGAAAACGAAAGCGCAGGTGCATGCGCAGGCGCAAACGGCGGAAGCGATTCTGAACTGTGGCCATTGGTGTCGGCCACAGCATCAATGGACGAAGTCATCGCTAGTCACCGCCTGACAGCTCGTTCGTCGGCCGTACCTTTGGTTTGGTGGTTGTCGCGACAGGACAAAGACGGGGGACTTTTTCCGTCGAGGTATTGGAGAAGATCGCTTCTCAGCCGACCGCCGCATCTAAAAAGTTCAATTGCCCGACAGGACAGCACAGGACGTTCGTTCGTTCACCTTTGGCCTTTCTCTCCGCGCCAGAGATCCCTGCACTGCTCCTTCCTTCCGTCGTGGAGATGGTGATCTTGCAAGTTGATTGGCTGCGTTTGGGGAACGGAAGGCTGCTTCTATTGTGCTGTTTTGCGAGCTTGCCTCTGTTAGCCATCGGCGTTTTGCCTTCCCAAGCTACCGATGTGGGGTGCTGCCCACGCTCGGGGCACTTCGAGGTGCCTGCCCAAACCGCTCTTGCAATTGGAAGGTGCCCACCCAGCCAGCCCAGTCATCATCCCTCAGAAGGGCAGAGCTTGAGAGAGAGACATCGAGGCATGAGCCTCTCTTCATCAACAGAAGACTGCCCAGCTGGCAAGCAAACAAATTAACCTAGGTTAGTTAGGTAGCACAGGTATCCCGCCGTGTTCTCGGCTCCTATCAGTCACGTCCTGGAGTAGCCAACTGAGGTGCCTGCTTCACACAGTTCTGCATAAACTAATTAGTGAGAGACATTCCCCAAGCATCGAAGCTTTGAACCTGCAGCAATGTCCCTACACCGTCTCTTCGTATCGAAGCCTAACTACTGCAAAGACACCAAACATGTCTCTGGTTTTCGTGCCAGTACAGTGGCCTATCCTGGTGCTGCCTCAGCCAGGTATTACAACTCTTGAGTATCCGCCGAGTCAAGATATACGTTAGCATCCTGCAAATCAGTTGGATCGCAAACGCTCGTGCTAGAAAGCGAGAATGGTTCGTAACTCTAGTGTCCGCGTCGTGTTGTCGGCTGTGGTTTCTTTGTGACTTCAGGCACCTCCTTCAGGCACATCCTGTTGTGGTTGAGCATCGACTGCAGTGTACGTCATGCCGACAGGGGGCTCTGGCCACGACTCCAAAACAAGTTCTTGGTTGCTTCTCATCCCACACATACGGCATAACAATAGACATGTATTTCCCGATAGGCCGGGAAGCTATCTCAAACCCTTACCATGCTCCCGAAAGGGTGCATTAGTCGAGGAACAAGGGGAGAAACTGGTTTAATGATGAAGGTCTTGTCATGGAGGGCCTCTCACGCCCTCGATATATGCACGTTAATTTCTTATGAATGTCTGTGACCTTTATGTCTTATGACAGGTGCAATTCACGGAGAATTCTTGTCAACTTATATGCTACCCGTGGGCTTTTAGTTCATCATATACAGTCTGGGTGATTGATCTTTTGATTCTGGATAAAATGGGTCGGCACACGAAGCATGATGAAAGCTCCGTTGACCCTTCGCCTTCCAAAAGCCAACAGCAATCTAACACGAACACACTTCCGGGAAGGCATGCTTCGAATCATATAGCATCCACACGCCATATCTCTAGTTCGGTCCAGAGGAATGGGTCACACGCGAAAGACCAATATGGCAAAGCTGGTTCAGCGAACACAAGCAAGACTGATACGAGGCGCAATGCTTCCGTCAGATCTGCAGCAGCACCGCGTCCGGGGGTACAGAGAGCCAACACCAGTTTCCAGACTCGATATATGGACATGCTTCTTAGCCTAGACACTATTCCACGGTTGCATAATATTTATGCTTCGCTCTTCACCTGGATACTTCTAGCTGGTACGTTATGGCTCAGGATTGTGATTAACCCTTAGCCCTTTCTTTCTTCCCTTCTTTCATGAATTGTTCTTTTTGTGGTCTCCAGATGTGTTGTCGAACCCACTCTTCGTTGTCGGTGCAGAGTTAACACTAATGACTGGTTCTACGCTACGTTAGGTTACGTTGTCCTGCCTGGGACCTTCACGAGCATTAGAGATCTGTCTGATGACACGGAAGTGCGAGCGAATAGTGCTGCTAGCACGATTCTGGATCACGTCAAGAACGTCCCGCTCCTTGTAATAGCGGCCATCTGCTGTGGTATTGGTATGTCGGGCATGATATGGTTGATGATCCGTTGGCGGAACAATTATGTCTGGTTACTCAACCGGTTGTTACTGCCGGGTACGATGAACGGACTTGCGGGCTTGATTGGGACTCTGGTTACTGTCTACACACAACAGAATGGATCATGGAGCATCAGTGCTAAGGTGGGTGCTATCGTCGAGGGATGCTCTCTGGTCATCTGCGGTATGATGTTCGTCTTTTTCAATAACTTGCTACTGGCAAGGATAAAGAGAAAGCACGGCCGTGAAATCGAGAAGGCTCAAGCTGGTGAGGGGTTTCTTGAGAAAGCCGAGCGGAAGCTGCACGAGCCTGCTTTGGAGCCGGGAAGCGTTGTATGATGCGATGCGCAGAATCGAGAGGATACCCTGGAATCTTATGTTTTCCTTGCGTAGCTACTCGCAGGTCGAGCCAGCACGATGTTCTTTACGCGAGTTTGCCAATTTGATACACAAGTAGTTATTTCTGACTTCTATATATATACGAATTACGAATTATGATTAACTTGGATTACGCAGCGACGATCCTGCCACTGGCGTCGTGGACTCAAGACATATTATTGGCTTGTTCGGTGTAACAGACCATGTTTGCAGCATCACACTATTACATCTCACTACCGGGGTGCAATATCCATGACCCCATATGCCACTATTTACTCTTAATTTTGTGCTGGACTGCGCTACAGCATTGGCGCTTACAGCTATAGGCGTTGAGTTGCGCGGTTCATAGAGTCAACATAATTGAACGGCATATCCAAGGTTCGATGTGATTATAATAATACCACTTTTTTTTTCTAACCTGAATAAAGAAAACGAGGTATCAATCAACATCAAACCTCTATCGCCAACTCAAATTCTTTCGTCCTTCGCTCAGCAGTTGTCCAAGACTCTTGGACGATGCTAGCAGGTCCTTTCCCGATTTTTGTCAGAACACATGCATTATCTAGTTTAGTTCTCGCTGAGTAGTTAGCTAGTACAAGAGCCGTTGAACTGATCCCTTCGGAAAAGGTTACAGAGACTTGGTATCCGACGTGCATTATTTACAAGTGTTTTGAGTTTGGCTCTGGTTGGCATTAAGCAGCACGACAAAGTTGTGTATGATCTACTACTTGCCAATATGACTAGAACACGATATACTCGTGGTAAATACCCATTACACACGCGCTGTAGGCTACAATCAAGGAGGATTTATCCTTTGCTAGGGGGATAAGTCAGCCAGAGGGGACGTGGTGGCAGGTTTTTCTTCAATACCAGTTCAAATCGAGGTGCTTGTGGATAGTGGATTATAGAGAAAGTATTGAATCTGTACATAATGCCCTTCAAATGTGTCAAACTAGTTATCAAGGTTCTATGAACATCAAACAACTCGTGACATTAGTAACAGTACATCAATACAAGCGTTATCCCAAGGTAAGCATGCTTTCGGGAAGCGTCTCAGGGTCCCCGATCTGCTGCACAATGTTGTTGAACTCCTCGGACGAAATGCCAATGTCACTCAGAAAATCCATAGTAATGGATGTGCCGTTTTGTTCACCGCTCAGTGGGTAACCCGATTCTAACGCCATTCCAAAACTGCTTCTGTCAGCACTAGCATTGGGGGCAATGGACGCGAGGTTATTCTCTTCAGCACGGCCTCTGTGCAAGGCTACACCCCCTGATGTGCTTCGTTCCGCTACTATTGTTGTCAAAATATTCATGTCTTGGCTTTGCAGATGAAGCGTCTGGTGCCCCTGTCGTTGTATTTGAGCCGTTAGCGCTTGGCACAGCTGCTCCAGATGCGCTAATTCGGCACGTCTCGCAGATGCAATTCGATTGCCTCTCATCATCAAGTCATCCAGAATCAGGTGAGATGATTGCTGATACTCGGCATAATTTATCACTTGTGGAAACAAAGTGCTGGCCATTGTCAGATGGAGGGCGGCGGCGAAGGTGAACTCGATATCGAATGGTAAAAATGCTTCTAGATAAGTAAATCAGCACAGAATCGTCTGGCACGGAAAGAACTTTGCATTCCTCATCAACCTACCTAAGAGACTATACTCGCTCGTGAATACTTCCAGAATCTTAACAGCGGATTTGATTCCAGTAGAAATGACTGACCCTGTCTGAGAAAGGAAGTGCCCCCAGTGGTCATCCTCCGGACGACCTAGCGTAATCAGTCTTTCTTTCAAGACAGACAAAAGTAAGGGTCTGGTGGCAACTACAACACACTGAAACACGAAACAATTAGTCTATTGGGACGCGCTCTCGACCAATGAACAAGACCCGGTAGACGGGATGAGGGAACAAACCTGATGATAAAGCAGGATCACATGACGTATTCTTCGGTGCATTGTTCCAACAGACATCTGAAATTTAAATCCAACAATCCGTTCAATATCACTCGCGTGATATGCCAGAGTATGCAATATCGACCTCGTCTGGTCGAGGAATGTACCTAATGGTATAACCTCAGGCCTATACAGAGCTACACCGCAGTTTGATTAGCTAAAGCCATTGGATACATACTACGAGCGTGCACTTACTTTTGAGAATTACAGACAGTAAATGGGACAAATTTACCTGTAAACTGCGGGCGCTGTCTATCTGAGAGCCGAGGTTTGGAGGGTTTACTGGCGTTGTGATGTCGCTATCTTGTACCGACATGGGTAACCCGACAGATTGAGAGAAATGCCTATCCATTATGTATAAAGTCCACCAAAGATCGCGGCAAGAGGAGGCAGTCTCAGCACCAACATCTAGCTCCGGCAACTGCGTGTGCATACCATCAAGTTGGGCGATGCGTAGTGCTTGACCAAGCTTCATGAAGACACAGTATCAGCATATATTTGGCTACTTTCATGAAAATCAACGATTAGTAACTGTCATCTTCAACTCACTTGAATATATGCTGCTTCTCTCTCGTCCGCCGAGTAGAGGTACATAGCAGCCAAGGCTAGCACTTCGATAGCTATTATACTGTCCTTGTACAGAGAGCTCGTGTCGGGGATTAAGGTCATTGCGCGCTTGAAAAGATTGGCACCCGGAGGTTCGGAACTGCCATTCAAGGGTGGCGCATGAAACGCCGTACCAAAAGCCAGGATCAAGAGGAATTTGACGAACCAAAGGCGGTTCTCTCCGGCAGTTTGAAGAGGGTTGGCATAGAACTGGTGTATCTGATCCTCAAACTCGTCATCAAAAAGGCGATACGTCTGATCAAGATGAAATTTCACAGCATTAAATAGGTAAATCGCATGAGCTTCCGAGGGCAGACCGCCAATATCAGGAAGATCGCTGTTGGCCGACGTCTTCCAGTTCCAGCTATAGACATTGGGGCTTACCAAGTCGGCGGGTACTGAAGGGTCGTCTGGGTGAAGCTTTTCCCGCAGCATAGCCATTAGCCGGAGTGTGAACGACCAGGTTGACCAAGGAGCTAGCCATACTGTATCGCGATTAGCCTGTGTAGGAAGACACGTCAGTGTGAGAGAAGTGACCTACTCCACCCGCGTTTATGAGAAGGCTTTGGAACCTGGATGACCATAGAAGGTACCGAGAACGCGCATGATAAGATGTCATGCTGATGTTGTGTGCCATCACAAGGCTGGATAGGCGATGTTACCAGGCCTGATACACTCTGCTGTCGGGCAGGGAGGCCAATGTTAGACTCAGGGGAAACGAGCCCAGTGGCCGCGCTAGACCTAACCTTAGCACTATTGGCCTGGCTAATAGATGTTCTCATGCTACTCTGACTGAAGATGCTGCCGAACGAAGTCTCAAATTGTGGAAAGTTGGCGGGCGGTTGCCTATCGCGGTTCAACGCCGGCGATGTTGGCGATGCGTTATAAAGCTGTGAAACACTCTGGACTGCCGAAGGGTGAGAGGCGCCTGGCGAGTTAGAGTGTTGGGAGCCGACAGTTGCAGGCCGTTGTTGCTGTTCTTCTACCTGCTTCTGTAAATCTTGCAGATACCTATAAGATTTGTGGTAACGTTGTTAGATTACTATGATTGCTGAAACAGGAAGACAAACCGAACATAATAATTAAACACACGTGAGGCATACCTCTCTGATACAGTGACCCTAGTCCCCCCATCACTGAAATGGCATCGGATAGAGCGTCTCTGACAATTCTGACATGGACAATCTCCAGAACATTTGATCTTACTTGAACGGCATGCGGCACAACTAAATGCGTACGATACTTATTAACGCAAGCATCACGATGTTGCGTTTAAAACCAATGCAGACACGGGTACTCACGCATTTGCAGTACGCCTAGTCTTCCGTTGTTGTTGTTGTTGTTGTTGTTGTTGTTGTTGTTGTTGTTGTTGTTCCGCTTGTGTTGTCCTCTTCTCCATGGAATAGTGTCGAGCAATTCTCCCTCAACTAGATGATGATGATGATGATTGAGTGCTTGTAGCCCATCTCAATTGACAACTTCTGCTGGTGGGTATTAGTGCTTATATTGGCATGATAAGAAAACGCATAGCATTTCTCGTTTAGGCGGGGTTGAATATCCGTGGATCATGTTTATCTACATACTGTACGCATGAACGAACAGCTGTATCAGTATTGAGCCTAACCCCCTCCCAAACTAATATTAACAGCTTGCTTGATTCAGGCCAAGTGCCAACATGCAAGCAGAACGCGGGGATAAGAAAGCAGCCATCACGGGGGAGGCACTTGACTAGCCACAAGCCTGATATGTAAGAGGGTCAAACTGCAATCCCAACTGGTTCACTGGTGCATTTTCCTCGTATGAGAAAACTGTATGCAGATGTTGATAGCCTGGGAGAGACGCTTAGGAGCAATCAAGCGAACGTCGGGCTCCAATGGCGCAAACGCCAAAGATATCGCTGCTAGCCCGTCTCGGTCTAGCGCAGGGCCGGCAACTCGAACATGATACAGCAGACAGTAGCTTGAACCATGGGACTTTATCCTGCTGCCGGGATCGGACACAAGGATCGGCTTTCGAAGACATTTTATTTTGCGAATGGCCATTGGTCAAAGTATTATCACTAGTTGTACATCTAGCTACTTTCTGGCTCTGTAGGCAATACAGTGCCTTATACATAACTGCAATTGAGTTTGGCATTTGCGAAGTGTGGCCTAGCGATTTACATCCCCTACGGAAGATCAATTCATCATGTGTGGCACGAGCTTGCTTACACACGTCCTAGATATATGAGAGTATAACATGTTCATTGCCGGGCACACTAAATTCTGGTTAACTAGCAAATGATCCGAAAGAGCCGATGTAGCACCCATTCTAGGGCCGGCGAAGAAGCCAATATGGCCTACCTCTCGGTGTCTACCCACCTTGTTGCAGGACATGGGATGCAACGCTTCATCGTGAGCTACAAGAACCTAGCATGTGTCGTCCGCGAAATCAGCGTAAATGACCAAGGCATATCGCCCCATCGAATTTTTCGACCAGATCTGGCAGCACGAGCAGTTCAGCCGCGAAGCCCTCTATCCTGCCCACCAGATCTGTCGCTGCACGCGATTTGCTGATGTTTATGGTAGACCTGTGGGGAAATCACTTCGTGGTACTGAGTATTCGAAGGTCTGGAAAGATTGTATGGAATGTGCTCCTGCATCTAGTCAAACTGGTGCAGCAGAGGCTATCAAAGGTCTGCAGAGCCGACCGTTGACCTCGAAATTATGGAAGTACGCAGATGTCGATACGAAGACAGCCAACTTATCGAGGCCCACAAATTTTACGATGGAACCTATAGTGGTGGAAAAATGTCCATCTATTATTAAACACAAAGCTTCAGTCTATATTTGAGCCCACTAGTCTCTCATCCGGGTCATATTCCATGTACCAATATTCGGTTGCGAATCCTCAGTGCCTACGCTTCGAAATGTATCCCATCCGTTTCAATGGTATGGTCGCTATATTCGCAAATCCGCGCAACTATCTTCATTATGATAGCAAGCACTCAACTAGGGAGGCTACCTCATTGTCAATCTGTTCGGCGAAAGCTTTCAGATCCGCGGCAGTCATGAGCACCTCGTTGGCACTGAGTCGGATCTCCAGCACCCCTCCACCATTCTCTTCCCGGTCACTGCCAACATCCACAAACACATTTTGTTTCCTCATAACAGTGCTTGTGTCAAGTACATCAACAGTCGTCTGGCCTGGAATAGCAGATACAGCGCTATAATCGGTTCGCATACCCAGGTCCATGCGCTCCCAAGCTTCTTCGTCGTCAGTGGCAGAGGATGCGTCTTCAGCTGCACCCTGCAACTTGGTATTCCAAAGAATGTTCAAGTACGTGTTGAATGGCACGGCCTCCCCCGCCTCAGCCCAGCGTAGCACATCACGAAGACGAGACTGCTCATAGGGCACTTGAGCATCGAGGTGCTCATGAACTGACTTGAGAGATTGAATCAGTTCAGACTTGCTGTTATTAAGCTCATGAGAAACATCCACGTCTTCTGGAATGGTGGTCGGCAGCATTGTGGAACAAGGTCCAACCAATTCGTCAATCCTATCGACGCCATCAATCGAATCACGACCACTATGGAAGCACCCAAAGACAGGACGACTGGAGCCCGTTTTCTCGGCCAGAATGTGACTGAAAGCCAGGTAGATGATGGTAGGCGGTGTCACACCTGCTACTTCGGCTGCCTTTTCGAGAGCATCGGTGCTGGTTTTGGTGCCCTTGACAAGAATTTCATTCTTCTTCAAAGAGTTTCCGTCGTTATCCGTTTCCGGCAGCACTATAGTCTCTTCGCAATCCCGCAGAGTGTCTTTCCAAAATTCCTCCTCCGCATCGCGGTCATGTGTGAACAATGTCTCTTTGACGAAGTTCCTGAAAGACGGCGCTTTAGACACTACCGGTTTCCCATGATACAGGTCCGAGAGCTCTTGCACAATAAGCCCCATGCTGCGTGTGTCACAGGCTGCATGATGTATTGTGATCAAGATGGCGTCTCCCTCTTGCACATCACCTTGCACAAGCGTCAATCTAGTAGGCGGTGTCTTCAAAGAAGACGGTCGTTTTGCAAGCTTCTTCAGCTCATGTTTGACGCGCTCCACTAATGTTCCCTCGTGATACGAGGCCTTGGAGAAAGTGGCATAGTTACTTGCACCACTGGATTGTCGTAATACCACAGTGAAGGCCTCGTCTGGTCGTACAGCCACCAGCGTAGACCGCATTATAGGGTGGCGACGTCGAAGTACCGCCCAGGCGCCGCGGAGCCGATGCTCGTCGACAGGAACCTTGGTGCGAAATGCCCAAGTAGGCTCGGCCAGCGTCCGGCCACTTGTGAGCCAACTTGCCAAGTGGAACTCCTGGCCCGGCAATACCGGCATTACCGCTTCGACCGAGGTATCATGAATCCCCAACTTGGCAACAGCTTGCTGTCGGTCAGAGACGCTCACGAGATTCTCGACGGATGTAGTTGGCTGACGCTCCAGGCCACCTGGTCTCGCACTTGACTCGTTTGCATTCACGACTTCATACTGAGGCGTGGTGGGTTGACTGTCAAGTGGGTTTGCTTCACCGCCGCCCTGTATTGGTGTAAATGGGTGCGAAGTCGTTGCACCGACATTTGACTTGATTAGAGACCTTGACGGCAACCGCACGAGGAAACTCTCTCTGTGCTGCCGCTCACCATTCGAGGCGCCCTCTGGGGGCTTCACGTCACTGCTTTGCTGAGCCATTTTGATGCTCCGGGCAATATGTTAGGCGCCGATTCGACAAATGGTAACCAGGATGTTGCCCACTTCGAAGGCATTCAAATGCTTCTCTTGGTGTCTGAAATGTGTCTGTTAACCCCTCGCTTGTGCTGGTGATGGAGATTTTGTCGTGGTTGAATTGAGTTGGCGACTTTCAAGACCTCGGGGTTATCTGGAGAATTGACGAGACGCCTGCGTTGTCCTGATGAGCGGCATGCCACGAGCCCAAAATGAGGCCTAAATAGCGTACTGCCATGACGTATTGGTGGGCTGTAAAGTGGACTTGGTGGGCTGGTTTCCATAAATTGATGCAACTGAATCATGCATTACCTCCTACCTAACTCGTGTCTTCTATTCCTTACTCGCAAGATCACCGTTTCAAGTCTGAGAAATCTCATGGAGCTTTACAAAATTTTCATGCTGTATAAGCTGAACCTTGACAATGCAAGAGACGGCACGTACTGAGTGAATTTAGTCTATATAGAAAGTGTCTCGAGGGTTAGACTAAGGTGCAAGACATCGAACTTGGGCGGGCTGATCATCTCGCAGGTAAATCCCCCGCTGATTGCCGAGCGGAGCCGATTTGCATCGGGGGAACTATAGCGCAACTGCTGTAGGTGGGGGGTGGGGAGAAAAGTTGGTACGAAACAAAACGTAACAGGCACTGCAGATTATAATTTTGCGGGTTCAAGAGAATTGTGATGTACGTTTGGTTGGCGGTATGGATATATACGGTCGGGGTTTGTGAGTACGTTGGTAAAACGCGTTGATACCCTTACGGTTTTTGATGCAGAACGCCGTGACTAACTGACTTGGAAACTCGCCAACGTTAACCCGCTTCTTGTCGAGTGGGCTCCGATGCTTGTTTATGCTACTGTTATGTATGATTTTATGTCGGAGGTTTCCGTAACGATCCAGCCGAAATATGAGATCTGAGTAGCTCGAGCTAAGTCCTACCCAGGAATATATCGTAAATACACTGACGTGAATTAATAGCCAAGAACAGAGATGTGGACAATGCCATTTCCCCAGATTACATCAGGCTCCTGTATCGACCGCTGCCAAGGGTATCCGTTGTTGCCCTGAGCACTAGCGAAACATCGATTTAGACGTTGGATAGGCTATACCCAGGCTTTGCCGTAATGTCTACGTCTAATTAGTTCGAATGACAATATCGTTGCCATAGAAACATTTGACTATCATGAAATGAATCAGTATGGTAAACTTGTGTATGAACCAAGATCTGCAACTAAGATACGAATTGTTTCGAGGGAACTTACCAACTGCCGTGTGGCAATTGATTCCCACAAAACCGTATGATCACGGAATTTAGACACGCCAATTCTTCGTGTCTTTATCAATTATTCTATTTGAGCCTACCGGTTGCCAAAGTGTATTCACCCCCCACGCTCGCGATGGACTGTACATATGCTGACATGAATTATAATTAAACATCGAGCACAATTTTGCCAATTTGTTTTCCCTCCCATATGTATTGTATAGCCGCCTCAGCCTCCTCGAATGGCTGTACTCTATCGATGATATCGTCAAGAGGGGTTCGATTGGCCGAGAGCGCGTTACACAAATCTTCCATGTCGACTTTAGAGCCGCAATTGATACCTCTTACAGCTTTTATCAATATTTGCCAGATCTTGTGCATGTTTGAAGAAAAAGGCCATAAATCTTACCTCAGCAGTATTCTTCTGTCGATCAGAAGCGGTACTAGCTCCGCAAGTTCATCTCCCTTGCCCTTTCCGCCGAGGTATCCGACTTGGCTGACGATACCGCCGCGTCGAGTACATCTTAGGCTCTGGATCAGGGATGAAGAGCCACCATTCTCAATCACAATATCAACGCCTACACTATCAGTATGTTGCAGAACTTCTTCGTGCCAATCCCTGTTAGTGGCATAGTTGACAGTGAGCAGGTCAGGATAACCTTTCTGCATTTGGCGGAGCTTTTTGTCGCTTGAGGAGGACAAGATAACGCGCAGTCCAGCTGTACGAGCGAGCTTGAGGGCGAAGACGCTCACACCACCTGTCCCTATTCATAGTGTGGTACCTGTTAGCCGAGTTCTTCCATGGCGCTGCGTGGGAAATGGAGACCGGAGGGCATCTACCTTGTATCAACACTGTTTGTCCAATAATCATGCCCTTGAGAGCTGCCCAAGCTGTGACACCTGCACATGGTATAGTTGCCGCGGCTGCCCAGGGAAGATATGACGGCAGCTTGCATACAGTCATCTCGTCAAACACGATGTAGTCGGCTAACACGCCGTCCTCATCGGCGGCAAGCCATGAACGTCCGACGGAGCGAGCTGTCAGGTATTTTGTATCGGTGATTGGAGCGACTCGGTCTCCAACCCTGAAGGAGGTAACTTTGTCACCCACTGCGGCGACTTCACCCGCCGCATCGTTGCCGGGTATACCGTTAGGTATCACTGGCCATGGGTTGCCACCATTGGCAATGTTAGCATCTCTATAGTTCAAAGAGATAGCGTGTACTTTGATAAGTACGGCTGTCGGGTTCAGGGGCAGAGGAAGAGGCTCATGAACAAGTTTGACCTTGGGCGAACCAGGTGTGTAGTCGTCGGTCCGGCGGAAGGCTCGACGATGGATCTCTTTGTCAGCCATTATTAGTAAACTTCCAAGTAAAATACTGCGCACAGAATCAATAACGTGTAGAGCAGAACTAAATATCAATGTTCGATTCGTGAGCTATACGGATACACAGATTTCAAGAACACAGTGAAGCTATTGATTTGTTGGAAGAGCTTGTGCTGACTCGCCCCTCGACAGTACAATTGTTACAATAAAATTATTCAACGCATAAGCGACTCTCGGCTTCGACGCTTGAGACACCTAGAAGCGGCTTTTGGAGGACTGTTGCAGCAGCGGGGGTGAGACACGTATAGGATACCGAAACTAGTAGGGTATGTATTGCTAAGCAACAACTGATAGCAGAATATAGCGCGGGGCAGGTGCTGACAAAAGAGCTTTCCTCCGCTAGAACGTCTTCATGCTTTCTCAAGAGCTGACACGATATGTGCACGAAAATGCGATAGGAAAATATGGAGTTGTCAATGTGGAACTCATTGAGTGTAAAACAGGTGGGCTAGAGCCTCTCATCTTTTCAAATGTAAATAGTTGAATTGCTGCTGATGATCACGAGCTTTGTTATTTCACGCTTCCGGGGTCTCCCGGGCTCAACATACGGATGTCTGAGCCTAAAGCCAACGCTTGCACTATTATCTACTGTTAATAGTTTATCAAAAGAGCGGTTCGTCATTTGGAAAGAGCATCAACAGATGGCCGAAATACGTTATATTACATCTGTTACGTCCGACAGCAGATTTCCTCTTTATTTTATTTCTCCATTCTCCCTTCCCTATTCTTAGAAGAGATTTGTTGCATGTTCAATAGTCTTAACTGCACCTAGTCCGCACCTTGGACACTAGCGATGACAAATGCCAGAGCGAGAGATAGGAGACGCGTGTCTTCTTTGACTCTTATACCTTTACGCTCTGTGGTGTGCTTTGTGGTGTCTCCGTCCCACTGTCGGTAATCTGCAGTTTTTCGGAATATCTTAGTCCTCGATACACTGCCCTTAGTTGTTTCCATCCGTCTATCAGAGGGAAGAAACCGGCAACAAGCATTGTTCCCCATACCCAAATGATAGCGACAATAATCCATGCTTCGAAAAACCCTTTGCCAAAAATGTAGCCTGAACCGTACATTGGCAGGGGCCTAGGGCGGTCAGCAAGCCATGGCTGTCACATGAAGGAAGAACTTACCACAAGACCCAATGCCCGAGAAATGTCGCCGCTGCCCAAATGCTTGCGATCCTACCCCAGCGCTTGAGCTTGGCTTTGTCCTCTGCATATGTCGAGCGCGTAACCAACTCGGTATGAGGAGGAAACCTTGTGTCTTTGGCGGTAGTGGTTGGCTGATCAAAAGCCAGCCGCTCATTCCGGAAATCCTCCCATCTATAGTTTGCTGGCTTGATTAGCGTTATAATCAACGAGTATAAACCCGGGCTCAGCGCAGAAGCAGTCGTTCCGTAAACGCACGGCAACGTTTGCCCGGTCGATGCCACGGAAATCTCGCCAGAGAACGCATGGGCTGAGCCGAGCCACACTGCTATACCCGTGGCCATCCCCAGCAGCGGTGAAATCACGGCTGCTGCTTTGGATTGCTTTTTCCACAGGATCGTGAAAACGGTTGGGAAAATACCTGGGCATGTGAGTACACCGAGCATGTACAGAGTCCATCCCAAATCGACATTGCCGTAATATAGTGCTGTCGAAAACGCGGCAGAGAAGAGTCCAAAAATGATAACTCCTATGTGACTCCAGCGTATGACATCTCTATCAGTGGCTACTTTGTTAAAATATTGACGATATATGTCGAAGGTTATGATAGAAGATACAGCAATCACCTGGGCGCTAATGGTGGACGTTACAGCCATGAAGATGATAAGAAGAACTGCTGCTGCACCTCCACTACCAGCTATCGCCACTGCGGCGTATGGCAAAACGAGTCCATTCGAAACTTCAGTGCTCGTTAAACGATTGGGAAATGTTGGGAAACGATTCGTGTTTTCAAGACTCAAAGCAGCAAAGCTCATCAACGTTCCAAGGCACCAAGGGATCGCAAAATATGCAATACCACCAACGATGTAGCCTGGCACAACAGCTTGGGGGGCAGCACTGAACGCTTTGGCAAAGAAACCAGTATCCATGATGACAAGGCCAAAGTTGGCAAGGATATGGATGATACCAAACAGAATGGCCTGTCCAGTTAGTGAATGCTATGAATGTAAAGATGTGTTGTTGGCTCACATTTTTGCTAGTCATTGTCAGGTAGGAGCCATCTTTATTGCCTGCCACTGGAGAGGATTTCCCAGCTTCGACGATCATGTCATACAACCCGGCAGGAGAGCCAATTTCAGGTACGAGGAAGATTTTGATCGTGAAGAAACAGATAATAATAGTAATCACAAACGTGTGAAAATAGTCGGTCAAGAATGTCGCCTTGATGCCTCCTACGAAGGTGTACAGAATCACGCCAACGGGAAGTAAGAAAGTCGCGGCTATAACGTGCATTCCAGTCACTATAGCGACGTTAGCTTTGCCTCAAAGGATATTTTTATACAGAATATTAATCACGTACGTGCTGTGATAGCGGCGCTAGCTCCAAGGAGCATGTTTGCGACAGCGATGATGTTGTTGATTAGGCACAACACAATCCACACGATATGTCCGACTTTACCATATCGTATTCGAACAATCTCGAGGAGCGTATGCGCTTCCGGTATGCGGTGTTTACAGGCAATTCCGAGGACAGCGAAGAAGACTATCATGGGTGAACAGCTAGAGACTTCCGTCAATGATGGTCTCAGTATACGTCTAGGATCACCTACCCAGCAGCAAACCAGAATGGCCCGGCTACTCCAAAATTGTATCCCACAAGAGTACTCCCCAGCATTGCAGTACTCCAAAGCCAGGAGGATATGACTGCTGATGCAGTCAATCCAGTTCCGACACTCCGGTTTGCTGTCATGAACATCTCAGTGGTCTTGTTGTCCTCGCCTATAGTTCTTTTCAAGATCTGCGTCACAAGCACCATGACGAACGCAATGAGAAACCCAATGCCCACAACGACCGCATAGCCCACCCCTTGAGGTAGAGGTGGCTCAATTGCGCGTTTCTCAAGCGAATACATATTTGAATTTGGTAGTCACACGGCGAAATGGAGAGTTAGTTCTGAGCCTCAACATGTAACGGCGTCCAATTCACCCAAAGATATATCATCGAGTGTCAAGCAACCAAACCATAACTGTTCAGATCCCCGCTATCGTAATGCTGGTAAGCATCCCCAACTACCGGCAAAAATATTCTTAGCTCTTATGATGCAAGAAAGACTATGATCGGTGATCGCCAAGTCTAGACTCATTTCATGCATCGTCCACGCGCGATCTTATCTTGGAGGCTAGCAGTCAACCAACTGTAGTTGGGACACTCGGTTCTCATTGCGCATACAGATATCTTCCAAGCCGGTGGCTACAGAGAAGAAAGCACACTGCAAAACGTAGCCATCCAAATCTCTGGGATCTGCAATACTAGTCTGACCCCCAAGCACGCGATCTCAAGCAATTGCAACGTGCTCGAAAAGTGGGTCACAAACACTCATGGGCGGGTTGCCAACGATATAATTCACGGCCATAGGACTGATTATCCCACCCGGATCGAGTGCCGTAACTCTAATATGACGTTTTACGCTTATGCGGCCAATCTGCGGTTGTTGAGTCCGCAGCTTGAAAATCTAAGCGACAAGCTGTTTTGGCAATGCGTTCCGGAGTATTTCATCCCCGCATCAGGTCAAACGCCATATGAAGCCTCGGTCTCATTGTTCTGCAGACGAGTGAAATTCATAATTAGAACTCTCTAATTTTCTTGACAACTTCAACCGGATTTCCACTTAAAATGGCTTCGAGTACAGAGAACACCAGCGGGACTCGATCAAAGAAGCTCATTCTCAACGCTTTCGTTGAGTCCTGCAGTGGCCATCAATCGCCGGGTCTATGGCGGCACCCCGATGACCGTTCATGGAACTTCAATAGCATTCATCACTGGGTAGAGCTGGCCAAACTTCTTGAGAGAGGCAAGTTCCATGGCATATTCATTGCCGATGTACTTGTAAGTTGCTTCAGCCGCCGGTGGTGGTGGTTCAGTCTGACGAACTGGTCCAGGGGGCATATGATGTCTACAAGGGTCCCCAAAATCCAGACCCAGCAGTGATATCTGGTGCTCAATGGCCTGTGAATGAGCCTCTATCTGTGGTTCCTGCCATGGCAGCAGCCACGAAGAACATTGGGTTCGGCGTGACTGTAGCTACTGTAAGTGTTCAAATCGTACTGAATGTTCACCGATGACTCGATGTGTTTTGGGACTACATATGTACGATTGTGCCTTGTCATTGAAACATTGGGGAACATGCTAGGCGCCAGGCTAACCCTTCTTTCTGCAACCAGACATACGAGCAGCCATACCACCTTGCTAGGAGACTAAGCACCGTGGACCATCTAACAGGTGGCAGGCTGGGGTGGAACATAGTGACGGGATATTTGGACTCTGCAGCCAGAAACCTGGGCCACACTGAACAGCCGGCACATGATAAGCGATATGAGATTGCCGAAGAATACGTTGAAGTAACGTACAAACTATGGTATGTCGCACCTGACAGTTCTACAACTCCTTGTGCATTGACTCAGGAGTCAGGCAATCTTCGTGGAGAGATGACGCGGTGAAGCTTGACCGCAAGAGCGTCGTCTACACCGACCCAACGTTGGTGCGCAAGATCAACCACGTCGGTCCGTATTATACAGTGCCGGGGCCACACATCTGCCAGCCATCGCCACAGCGCACGCCCGTGATCATGCAAGCTGGCACCTCGAAAGCTGGAAAGACTTTCGCAGCAAGAAACGCTGAAGCCATTTTCATAGCTGGACATCAGCCTGCGGTTGTCGCAAAGAATGTTGCAGAGATTCGGCAGCTTGCAAAGGATGAATTTCATCGCGATCCAAGCACGATCAAGTTTCTGGCAATGTTCTGCCCCATTATCGGAAAAACCCAGGAGGAGGCTCAAGCCAAATACGATGACTTGATCCAGTACGGATCTGAAGATGGTGCTCTAGCCCGTAAGCAAATTTTCGGGATAATATCCTCTCCTTTCCAGCATATCTGTGGTCCATATACCGCGCATCAAAGGCATTAAGCTCTTTGTGATCATTTTTTACAATACCCCATCGGATCCTGGACCTGTTATGAGAAGTAGTTACTGACTAAATGCTGTAGTTTTTGGTGGATGGACTGGCATTGACCTGGCGCAGTATGGCGATGACGAGGAACTCCGCCATGTGGAATCAAATGCAATCCGCTCTGCAGTGGAAGGTTGGTCCAAATCTAGCCCCGGTGTCCCGAAATGGACGAAGCATACTGTCGCCAACCACATAAAGATCGGCGGATTGGGAGCGACAGTTGTCGGAACTCCCGAGCATGTCGCTGATGAGATGGAGAGGTGGGTTACTGAAGCGGATGTTGACGGCTTCAACCTGGCCTATGCGCTCATGCCCGCGTCGTTTGAGGATGTGATTGAGCACTTGCTACCGGTGTTGAGACAACGCGGGCTGTTCTGGGATGACTATGCCGTTGATGGTGGCACATATCGTGAAAACCTTTACGGCAAACAGGGACTAAGTCGGCCGCCCGCTGATCATCCGGCTGCACAGTATCATTGGAGAGCAGAGGAGAGTTGAAATACGGAATGTTTGGTTCTACCCTTCACCAGCTGGCAACAAGGCCATTTTATGGTATTTCCAGCGTGAGAATAGTTCAATGAAATTCCAGTTAGCTACAACCCCCCACACAGTGAACATGAGCAATGTAGCCGGTATACTAAATATCCAGAACCACTTAAAGCCTGAGTGTATGATGACATCACCGGTCTCCGACTCAAGCGTCGGCAGGGCGAACAGAGTAGCAAAGAACGTCGCAGGAAGGAACGCCATGGTAAGAATGGCAATAGCTTTCATAGTCGAGCTATCCTCCTTGGAGGCTCTAGCGAGTTCTGTGCTGAGGTTTGCGATATTGATGTTGATGAGAGAATCCTCATGGGTCAAGAGACCAAAGAGCTTCGAGGCGGGGTAAGTTACTGTATCATAGGCATGTGGGAATGACTTACAACTTCCGACAATCGTTCAGCTTGCTCCTTTTGGTACCTGACATACTCGCCGTATGCATCACGCTGACTCCGCAGAACTGGTACGGCTCGTCTGAGATACTCGGTGTTCACGAGCATGCCTTCCATCATTGTACCTGAGATAGGCGTGCTGAAAGTGGGATCTTCCATGACAAAGGTAAACAAGGAGTCAACGAGGCCAAGATGTCGAAGCTTATTGGCGATGTTCTCAAGAGTTCCCCCAATCAACTGATGGTAGTTGGTGAGCTTATTGATATCATGCTTCATGCCTGATTTGACGTGCCGCCTAGAGTCGTATCCAATTTCTCTGGCGACGAAATGTATATGGGCTAGCTCATGCGAAGTAGTTGTGTCGTCGAATCTTGTAACGTGAACGGCAGTGACAAATGCAAGGAGAGCAGGACTAGATGTATACTGCAGAAAACGTTTCAAGAGCTCAACAAACGGAGCGTAGCAGTCACGAGACCGGTCTATAAATATGGCTCTTGTTGAGAGATCGCTAGGATCAAAGGACCATGCCAATGCGTACAGCCACGTGCCAATGAAGAACGTCATCGTGGGCCCGTTTGGTATAATATGGAACCCGTCATACTCGTTTTGAATAAGATAAAGCGCATGCCGATTTACCGACATTGCATCCAAGAGACCAAAGAAGTTTGGCTGAGAGATTTTGAGACCTGTGCCATTGCTCGTGGATGCGCAGGCAACAGACACCAACCGTAGATTTGAATGCACCCCATCTTGTCCGGGGATTGAGGCGCGACCCGTAAAAGGTAGCAAACTGTTTTCGTGAAGAGAGGCTTGCTCTATAATGAGCAAGCCATTTGCACCGCGCGAGGCAGACAGAGTGTCCAAAGTACTGTCTGAATATAAAGCCCAGAAAACTCCGTTTCTGCTGGCTTCCTCTTGTGTAAGAGCATTCAGTTCGTCCATATCCTCGGTTCATAAGGTCAACGTCCGACTTGAGCATCTTATGGCGACGCGTTTATTGACAAAAATGATCGCGGCTTACTATGTAGGATGGTCGGTGGGATGTATCACGTGGGATCGACGGCAGGGGTTCTCCTTTATTGAAGGATTCGTCGGAATTGTAGTGCGATAGCGTTACCATGTTCATCACCATGGTCAAGCCGCTGTGCCAGTCCGTTGTGAGATATCTGGCGTGGTCATCATTCTGTGTAACCCGTTTCATCGCATTAATTTCATGCTGTCAGCTTAATTGCTGAGTTATGTTACATTGTACAGTGGCCGACTACCACCCTTCGGCTCTGGATATGAACTTTTGGCTAGAAACAGAACCATTTATGGCAAGTCCAGAAAAGAGCACAAGAGCCAGGTTATCAAACTAATTGTACAATAAATGAGTTGATTTAGAAGACGCTCTTATGGCAAGTTTCCATATAATCGTCTGCCAACAGTAGGCGATGGAATGGATAGAATCAGCTGCGCTGTCGCCAGGGTAGCTAAAATGGCGTGCGAGCACTCGTGGCACAGAAACCTTATGACAGCGGGTGAAATGCTAACGCAATTTGTAATCGACGCGACGCGTTATGCCAAAAGTGTTTGTTCCAGCCAGTATATATTACAGCTACAATATTAAATTTCATATTGAAATGTGAAAACGGCGGCGCTACCTGCTTATCATTCACTGGCTTATGTTGCCAAATTAACGCCAGCAACCGGCACACTTTAGTACATCTAACGACAAAATTTCGAGCAAGTCTGCGCCTAGGTTCGTAATGTCTGATGTAGATCCGGAACGCCAGTCCTTGCTGGCCGGAGCCTCCGGCACTGGATCCTCATCCAGGACTGCAGATGGTAACACAACGTTGACGCAGCGGAACCCACCCGGGAGGGCAGCCTATCAGCCAGACCATGGCAGGTTAGAAGATGATGTTATACCTGAAGATTCTGTGCTTGGCCGAAACATCGGATGGTCAAGCGCTTATATCATAGCCATATCCAGAGTCATAGGCAGCGGTATCTTTGCCGTGCCGGGCGTGGTTCTAAAATCAGTCGGCAGCGTTGGAATGTCACTAACACTATGGGTCTTGGGAGCCATCGTAACAGCATGCGGTCTTGCAGTTTCGCTTGAATATGGTTGCATGCTGCCAAGGTCCGGCGGCGACAAGGTTTATCTTGAGTTCACGTATCCGCGGCCAAGATTCCTGGCCTCCACAGTAATTGCGACTCATGCGGTGCTGCTCGGCTTCACGGCAAGTAATTGCATCATCTTCAGCCAATATGTGCATTTCGCCCTCGGAATGGAACCAGATGACTTTTCCAAAAAGCTTCTAGCGGTGGCCCTGATGACCGTCATCACCATCATCCATGGCGTCTGGTACAAGGCTGGCATACGCATTCAAAACTTCCTAGGATGGTTTAAAGTCGGACTTGTGTTCTTCATGGTCCTTGCTGCACTCTACGTCGTTGCCTTCGGACAGCGGCACCCTGAAGTGGGAGAAACTCGAGACTCGGGGATATGGGATGACCTATGGGCAGATACTGATTGGAATTTCGGTACGCTCGCAACGTCACTCTTCAAGGTGTTCTACTCTTATACTGGACTTCAAAACCTCAATTACGTCTTGAACGAAGTCAAAGATCCTGTCCGCACCCTGAAGTCAGTGTCTATCACAGCCTTGTTGACGGCATGTTTCTTGTACATACTTGCCAACCTCGCTTACCTCGCTGTTGTTCCCGTGGAGCAAATCAAAGAAAGTGGACAGCTCGTGGCAGCATTGTTTTTTGAACGAGTATTTGGCGCGAGTGTCGGCCGAAAATTTCTGCCGCTCACAGTCGCGCTCTCCGGTGCTGGCAATGTCATGGTAGTAACATTTGCTATGGTAAGATATTCTTAGCCAGCGGCACAAACTTTCGTAGACCTAACAAGAGACCAGGCCAGACTTAATCAGGAGATTGCACGCCAAGGTTTCCTGCCGTTCTCTAATTGGTTGTCATCGACGAAACCCTTTGGCGCACCAATGGGCGGACTTATCGTGCATTATATTCCGACAGTGCTTGTGATAGTCCTACCTCCATCCGAGGAAGTGTACTCTTTCATCCTTGAGGTGGAGGGATATCCAGGCCAAATATTTGCACTACTAACTTCGTTCGGCATCTTGTGGCTGAGATATAAGAGGCCGGAACTAAAGCGGCCTTTCAGAGCATGGATCGCAGCTGTAGTGTTCAGGATGTTGTTAAGCGTCGTGCTCCTTGCCGCCCCTTTCTTCCCTCCCGACGAGCCTAAGGAGGGTGGTATTTGGTATGCAACTTACGCGGTTGTCGGTGTCAGCGTGTAAGTTTCGAAGATCCATTAACTCCATATATCGCTAACAATTGTCCAGACTTGCATTTGGCGCAGTCTACTGGCTGATTTGGACAGTTGTGATGCCTCGCTTAGGGGGCTACCGTTTAGAGGAACAGCGGGATGTGCTCGATGACGGAACCACCATCACATTTCTTGGCCGAGTGCCAAAGTAATTGCAGCTGTGCGATTCCGAAGCAGCGTAGAGCTCAGTCGTCGCTTGCAGTAAGTTACCCGAGGTGTATGGTAATAAGTTATTATACAGACTGCAAACTCACCCGAGATCCTGCTTTCCTTAAGTGGTATCGTGGTTTTAGAAGTTCCATATCGTTTATTTTGTGTAGAGAGCCTCCATGGATGTTTCTCGAAAAAGTAGTGTCCCGTTGCATAGAGCAACCCAAAAAAATCACAGTAGACCATTTCAGTGTCTCAGTCCTAACAAAACATAGCGCGTAAACCTCCATAGATTTCAGATGATTGTAGGTATGGAAGCCGAAGGCGATGGTGCTGCGACGTAGTGATGTGAAATACGACATGCTCCTGGAGGTTTAGCGACTGTGTTCGCCGTGCCAGCAGCGGGCTTCAGTGGGATGGCTAACATACTCTTGGAGGCTGCCTGGGTTGTGTACTTGTGATAAAGCCATCCGCACATGAGCTATACCGAGAGAAGCTGTCACGCCGAACTTGGCGAACTATTCAAGGTAGCGCCGAACTTGGTGGAATTGATGCGAAAGCGAGTGCATAATCATAGAGGACATATTAATATTATAATAGTGCATCTTCTTGCGTGTGTTTTCATCGTACGGGATGAAGCCAGGAAGCCAAGCGCTTCTGACATCGTGTAAGAGTTAGTGCAACCAACGGATTTGTTTCATTCGTCGCAAAGCGTTGATGATTCCAGCTCGGCCTGGATCCATGCGGTCCACTTTAAATAGGTGCATTGGGGGCATTTAGAGTATAATTGACGTACTGCAACCCCTCGTCCCTTACAGTATACCGCAAAGCGATCTACGGGTGCCAAGGCTTAGTCTTCCCGATCAATTTGAGTGGTATCCAGAAGTCGATTTCAAACTACTGCATGACCAATCAAATGTAATGGACAGCATGGCAATCATCTGAGTAATAGCCAAGAATCACCAGAAAAACAAAACCCTCTGCGCATGAGGGTTAACCTCTTTGCTTTCGAGCAACAGGAATTCAATCTCAAGAGAAAGAACTGCAGATGGAATGCATTCCATCACCTTCGGGAGATATTTGCTCAGTACTAGACTAGATGTAAATTATCTCGTCCTTTAAGATAAATAAACTGATTGAGCACGCTTACAAAGTCTCAACGTGTAGTTCATCGTAGTGTACAGCGGCTCTCCCGCCATCTGATGTCAGCTGGCGACAGCGTGCATCCACACACAAGAGAGCTAGCTGGCAGCTGCCCCACCGTGCTCATTTTCTAGGGCAACTCTGGCGAAATTCTTCCACACCATCTTTTTTGAGAAAGGCAACCGGGTTTGGTAAGGATATTTGCGACGACAACGAACGAGACGACAATTCCCCGGCATAACAACAATACGGTACGGCAGCACAATTCTATCCGTCTACGCATCGATTTCCCACTAATTCGACTTAGACAACATGAGCGCGATTGTTGAGGGACCCAAGTGGCGCGACGTCAGGGTTGGACGCCTCGTCCTCCTGCAAGGCGATCACGTCCAGGCAGGAAAGGTGGCTGTCATCGTTGGTGAGCATACATACCTGTGCCGTTATGGTCCCAGGGTACACGACAGCTAACTTCAGATAGACATCGTTGACCACAAGAGAGTATGTTCCAGCCGACGACAATAGCCACAGATTTCGAGGCCGGCAATTAACCCAAATGATCTAGTTCCTCGTCGACGGCCCCGCTGGCTCCGAAGAGCTTTCAGTTCCCCGACAGGTCGTCCCCGCCACCGCTTGCCTGTTGACAGATATCGTCGTTCCCGTTCCCCGCGCCGCCCGAACTGGCGCCGTACGAAAGGTCTGGGAGAAGCAAGAGGTCGACGCCAAGTGGAAGAGCACATCGTGGGCCAAGAGACAGGTCATCAACGGCAGAAGAAAGGCTCTCACCGACTTCGAGCGCTTCACAGTGTTGCGCCTGAAGAAGCAGCGCCGCTTCGAGCAGCGCAAGGCTCTTGTTCAGGTTAGGGCTTCCGCTTAAAAAGGTGGAAATCAAAATCAGAGCATGGATGTCATTTGGCAATGTATTTCGACTTGAGCAACCCAGGGGCTTCGACTCTGACCGACGAGGCTATGACACAACGTTAAACGCAGACTTGGCTGTGTCCGACAGAAGAGGCAATCTTTGAGCGACACACGAGAAGTATATGCGAATGGATGGTGGCTGCTGCTTTCTAAACAATTGGGAGCTGTCAATAAAGAGCATTGCGAAGTGGTACACCTACTTCACCAACAATACTTGGTTATCTTGGTCTGTGTGATATTTACATTTGGAACGGAACCAGTGATGTACAACGGGGGCTCACGCACCCTCCCCGTACAGCCCGTGAAGACGAACTGTGGTGTCAGATTCTCGGTCCGGCTTGACTGACCTAGGTGGTATGATCCTCGGCCGCAAGCCCGTAATCGAACTCCGCCGATTTGGCCTTCCTACGTTCATGCAGGAACTCGATGCGCCACGGACTCGAAACTGGCAAAAAGAGTACGACTGCCTGGGAAAACGGATGTCTCCAAAGTTCCCATACGCGAATTCTAGGTTTAAGAGCTGCGCCAGACTGGGTTACCCACTGGCTGTACCAGAACTATTGTGCATGCCTCGATATCCGAAACCGTAACAATGTGCTCAAAATGATCGCGTGAATTATTCGATCTGGTTATTGTGGGTACAGTTGTTCTGAGGAGCTGTGTTCTTAGAATCAGTACATCGTCGTAACTGCCGTGAACACGAGAAACCTGCTCCTTTTGTTAATTGACCAAACAAATTCATCTTGTTCCGATCTGAAATTGATGGCAGACTAGCATCTTCCAAAGCTGCGGGGAGGTTCGGAGAGTGATACCATGACAGTTAAGAGCCATGATGCCTACGAAACGTATTGACTTTGGTTGAGCGATATAGCGATCAAAGAGCATAGGAACGAATTACAATTGGCTTCACACATGCGCAAGAAAGGATTGTCTACACATGGAAGAATCCGGATATCTTAAATGAACAGGCCGATAAGTCAGGTTGTGCCTAACGAGTGAATTGTAGCTGTCTGAAACAGGATTGTTCAGAAAGTCGAGACATTCATTATGCGCAGTTTCCGTACATGCGTTTATTTTTATTTTTAAAGTCGAGGCCTCGTAGGATTTGGGCATGGATGTGCCCATTGCATGACTGATTACGCCAACACATGAACATCACGCCGCACTGAAACAAACAGTCGTCCCAAACCTCACGCTTAGATATTCAACAATGGCGCCCGCTCACCAGTCTCTCTCCTCTTCTCACTCCACTCCGCAAGTCTGTACGCCCAATGACAAGCCATGCCCGCCAAGAACCCGACAGCATCGTTCTTGAATGCGAGGATGCCCGCGGTCGTCACCAACATGACGGTCCACCTCTCGAGGCGCTCTTCATCCGAGACCCTGCGGTGCACTCGGCTGCTGGGCTCGACACTACTCTCCCAGAGATCGGTCGCGCCGTGGTTGAGGCTCTGCCCAACCTTGGCCAGCTCCAGGCCCGCGGCGACGACCATGATCCCCAGCAGCGAGTTCGGGAAGGCGATCAGCAGACCCAGTAGCGACTCGCCGAGCACGAGGCCGAGGACGATCTTGAACACGCCGAGCAGAATGATGCTGGCCCCGCTGCGCGCGCCGAAGCGGTACTGCGCTGCCAGGCCGCCGGCCCCGTGGCACACGGGCATGGCGCCAAACCAGCAGCCTAGGAGGTTCATGAGCGCGACGCTGGTCCCGAGCTCCGTCACGGTCGGTGCCGGCAGGTCGGGCAGAAGGTCAGATGCTAGTGCGCTGGCGGCGATAACGGAGTTCAGGGTCGTGAGAGGCAGTTGAGCAATGCCCATGCCGATCGCGTCCGCACTCCAGTCTGGAATCAGCGTGGATGGGTGCCAGAGGCGGAACCATGGCAGCTGATAATGATGACCGTATCCCAGGTGGTCTGTTGCCAAAATCACGAAAGCCAGAATCAAGCCCACGATAAAGATGATCAGAGCATAAGGAAAGCGCTGCAGCTTCTGGGTCGCAATCAGGACCAAGAATGCGAGTAGGGTCCAAACTCTGTTATCGAGAGGCCATGGCAGAAACCAGGGCAGCGGCTTCAGGAGCGAAGTACCCGCCGAGATAACGAGAGAGAGGCCGGCTCCGAACTGAATACCTTTTATTACCGGCACAGGAATGACGCGGGTCACCCAGTGCAAGAGCCCCGTGGCGCTGAGGAGCAAGACGATGACAGATGTCACGCTGCCCGCGGCCACAGTTTCCCGCAACGAGGTATGTGACGCTATTGCAGCTGCAGCGATAGCCTATATCAATTTAGTTTCCGTTAGCGGGGTGTTCCTTGATCTCCATCGGTTAAAGCCAAGAAGCTCTTCACCTTCATAGGCTGCACCGGCAGGGGTATTCCAAAAACTATCCCAGTAACGAGATTATAGACCCCCGAGAACACCAAAGTCGTCGAGAGTGAGATGGACCCGTTCACTGCCAGTGTGATCATGAGAGGGAGCAGAGTGCCGAGATCGCCGAGGGCGCCCGAGATCTCAGAAAGCGGAGATCGGCGCAGCGTCGTGACATTGTTGCGGTGGAAGCGCCGTATATTGGCGAAAAAAGCCATCTCTCGTCGCTTGGGTCGGGTCAATCTCAAGGCATCGAAGCCGCGAATTCGATTTCAAACATCAAAAGGTGTGCGTTCGGTGGCGGTCGCACATGTGAAATCAAAGATCCAGCCCTGAAGGTCATGAGAGCCGCGTGGACCACCAACTCCGAGGCCCCACCAAGATTGGCAGCTCACGATCCGACCGGTTACACACGCTGAATAGGTAAAGTAAAAACGATAAAGAGGTTCCTGGGGTACTATACGTTGAGGGAAGCCAGTTCTGGCAAGAATACCTCGGGCATCTGCTAGCCTTTCACTCTCGATTTAAAGTGCGCTGAGACACCCCGACCGAGTTTAATGAGCATGTTCGCCTTGCCACACTCCAACCACTGTTTACTTCGAAGGCGCTTGGCAGGTGGAATGAGTAAGCATTCTTTGTACCGCCTACACCTAGTCCTGATTTTACACGATTCCGATGACCAATTATGTTTTACTCGATAATTATCGGCACAGGATGTCAAAGGAAATGCAAGCAGCTGAGAATTGGAATTTATTATAGGTATGCTTACAAGCATATTTTGTATAACTGGACTTAATGACGTGGGAAGCTGCGATTGATTTCCGGATATGCAAGATTTAGAACCCACGTGCGATCACGCGGCTAGCCGCATACCCATCGCATTCGCTGCAACAATAAGCAGTAAAATATAGGGCTGAATAATTATCGTGGCCGGCTCAGTCTGTTTTATCATCGTTCCAAAGAATTCAGGGACTGAAACTGTTTTGATCGCTCTCATTTCACAGTTGTCTGTATCTTGGCAACGATTCATTACCATTCAAACATCAGTACACCGGCATGCAGCTCGCAAAACTCGCACACTTGTCTGAAAACAGTTTAATGACCTGGCAGTTGCTAGTGGTGTCGCTTGCAAATGGTTCTGTCCCATCCTCGGGTTATGCAGAATGCGGCTTAATGCGAATGTAGGCGACCTGTAATTACACAACTACCATTCAGTGGCAATATTGCTGGAGATGTTGTGACAGCGGCCTGCCCACAGCAGGATTTACGCCTGCGATGGTCTTCCTAGAACAGTCAATTCTGCATCATATATGCCGAGCTGACACAGCATGACATCTGACATCTGGCATTTGTTGAAGAAAGACCCGTTACAAGGGTCGACATGATTTGGCTTCACGTTGATTGGGTAGTTCATTCCGGATAGCCAATGACGCGGTTAAGCGCACTGCCGAATGCATGTCTTACCACCAAAACCACATCTTTAGTTCACCTTTGGCGCACGGGAGGCCATGTCTCCGTCCCTCGATTTGCCCACTTTTTTTTCCTGACGAACATCTCGACGGCTGCGATCCAGAAGCCCGCGGTTTGAGATGTCATCTCAGGAGGCGGGGCTGCTGGATAGCTTTTGTCGTCCGTACTGACTCGATGTTCAAATGAATTCTTTGTTTCTCCTGCCGCTGACTTTCAATTTGGGGCATTGAGACTGCAAACGAGTTATCCAGTCTCGTGTCCGCCTGTGCTCGATTGAGTAGTGAAACACGGAGTCTCTTGATAGCTTGGGTATATGAGTGATCACCCGTAGCTGACGGGTTGACCTTTTTCTTGATTGCAATAACTGTATTGAAAAAAAGAAAAGAAACCCCCTATTTTCAAGATGCCGTCGGCCATATTGTATCTCGTCGCCTCCTTGGTCGCGTACCAGCTGTACAGCACGGTATCCGGACTACGGCGGAATATCGCGAAAGCGACGGCGACAGGCCTGCCATATTACATTGTCCGTAAGTACTGGCAAGACCGCGAGAGTGCAGCTGTGTTGATGTTGATAACTGACCCACGTCTCTAGCGATGAGCCCTATGAATCGAATCGGTCAACTCTTCGCACCTTTGATCATGGTTTTGTGGAAGGCCCTGCCACGAAAATACTGGGAAGATATCATGCCGTACGTGTGTACAGACATCCAGAACATGCCCCTGCGCATGACAAACCCCGTTAACAAGTCTTGCGCAGTGTCCTGCAAGCCGACTGGCAATACACCCAGCGTTTTGAGACGTTCGAAAAATTGGGAGAGTCTTTCGTCGTCGTCTCTCCAGGTGCGCTCGCGCTGTATACCGCCGATGCCGAAGCGATTCACCAAGTTACATCGAAGCGAGAAGCGTTCCCGAAACCGACCGAGCTTTATAAACTTCTGTCGTTATACGGAGAGAACGTAGTGACCACGGAAGGCGCAGAATGGCGCGCACATAGAAAGGTGACTTCAACATCTTTCAACGAAAAGAACGCGGCGCTTGTCTTCCACGAGACCATCACGCAAACATACGGATTGATCAAGCAGTGGCTGGGCCCAGACGGAAAGGGCGGCAAGACGATTAAGACAGTGGAAGATGACACAATGACTCTTATGCTTCATATCATCGGCTATGCTGGTTTCGGGCTTCGTCTGCTCTGGTCGGATGAGTCGCTTCCAGCCGACACGGACCCTAAGGTGGCCAGGTTTTCGTCCCTCGAGCCCTCGTCCGGATACAGTCTAAATTTTAAAGACGCGCTTGCGGGTGTTCTGCATGGTATTATACCTTTGCTGCTACTGCCAAGGTGGTTGATGCGTGTTCTCCCATTCAAGGGTATCAGATCGGCCTTTGCTTCAGAGAACAACCTCGTCAAGTACTTCGATCAATTCGTGCAAGATAAGATCGCGGACACAAAAGAGGGAAAGCCGGAAAAGGGCATGAACATTATGGGAATGCTTGTGCGCACGAGTTATGGTGATGAAGCGTCATCTGATAAAAAGCAATCTAAACTCACACGTCTCCAAGATTCCGAGATCATTGGCAATGCTTTTGTCATGATGGTAGCAGGTCACGAAACGACAGCCAACGCAACACACTTCACGTTGCTGAACCTTGCGACAAATCCCGATGTGCAGCGACTGGTCCAAAGGGATGTGGACGGTATTTTTGATGGTGCAGACCCAGCAACGTGGGATTACGACCAGTGTATCAACTCGCTCATGGCTTCGTATGTTGGGGCCTGCATGAATGAGACGCTGCGCACAATGCCGCCGGGTGTTGAAATCCCCAAAAGGGTGTCACCGTCTCAAGATCAAGTGCTTGTTCTCAACGGTGAGAAGCACGTTTTGCCTGCGGGAATGCGTGTCGGTCTGATCGCTGTTGCGGCTCAACATAATCCACGCTATTGGCCAAGTAAACGCAGCAAAGTCACTGGTAAGGACAACGATGTGCTTGATTGGGTCCCTGAGAGATGGTACCGCAAGCAAGCCACTGGTGACAACATCGAGATTGAAGGTGCCGACAATGAGGATTTCGGCGGGTTTGCCGGTCCTGATACCAGCGCCCAGCTTTTCAGGCCGGTCCGAGGTAGCTATATTCCGTTCTCGGATGGAGCGCGCTCGTGTCTTGGTAGACGTATCGCGCAGGTGGAAATGGTGGCGGCCTTGAGCGCGATATTCCAGAAATATAGTATCGAATTGGCTGTGGAGGAGTGGGCGAGTGATGCGGAAGTGGCGAGAATGGGCCAGGAAGAAAAGAGGGAGTTATATGCGAAGGCTCAGGCCAAGTCACGAGAGACTATGAGAGGTGCGACGAGTTTGATAACGCTCAAATTGCATGGTGATAAGTTCGTACCTGTCCGGCTGGTGCCGAGAGGTCAAGAACGGTTTGTCAACTGGGTTGAGTAGAGTTTTTAGCAGTTGCTATATGAATATTCAATACACCCAAATTCAAAAGCACAAACATCATGCACTGCTAGTGTGGATTGAAAACAAGACGAGTTTGTCGAGTTGAAACTGATCAAATGCTTGAGCATGGCGGCAAGAGCATTGTGCTGGAACAATATCCGATCGGGCATTCCTTAAGTATCGGGAAGCATCACTTGGAAAGGCACACAGACAGAAAGCCGAGGTGTTGCAACTCTAACGTGTGAGTGGGAAAAGGCACTCTCCGATTACTAAGGGTAAACACTTTATTTATCATTACTACATGTACCCTGAAAAATGAAGAGAGTAATAGAAGGCTTAAAAATGAAGTTGGAAAAACAAATAATAATAATAAAGGTATACACATTTATCCAGTGGCGTTGCGTTGTTATGTGTATGTAATTCGCATCAATCACGGCACTAGAGGGCCCTTGGTGCACGAATACTTACAGTAGGTTATATACTGCACATTCTTGGTCGTGTGCCACGTCAAGCGCGTGTCACTTGTGTATGCTCTCGAGGATGTTCGAGTTTGGATATTCCCCAGCCACGTGCTTTATGTCCTGAGTCAGTTTGAAGCCATCAAGCAGCATGATGGATGCCATCACACCTACGAATGCTCACCCTCTGAACCTACCTGAAGTAACTAGTCTAGAGCCAAAGCATTCGTTCAACACAAGCAATGCTTACAGTAGTCTCGAGAGGGACGCACCAAGTAGTGGATGCCGTTGGAGCGTCTTTCCCCAGCCACCCATTATTCTCGCAAAGCTTCTGTTGACGCGAGGTTTTGCTACGGGGGCCCACCCGCTGTCAAAGATCCCAGCTCCCGGGCAAAAAAAGCGTCGGACCCCAGGCCCCCCCCCAAAGGTCGAGTCTGCTCTGCTTGCTCTGCTCTGCTCTGCCGGCTCCCTCCACCAGAGCAAAACAACACGCGCTACGACAAGATATGTAAACAACGCAACCGCATCACCTGCCCGGTCCTAACCTAGCCCTCTAACCTTAGCACCAACACCCCTCTATCCTCAATAAAAGCATCACAACACTATCGCTGATAACCCCGTTCGCCTAGTCCGTCACTGGCCACCCAGCTGTATACTCGAGGAGCATTGCAACTTGGTCGCATTGAAGACGCGATTTCGCTGACACCTATTTCTCACGCATTCAACAACTGTTGCACGTCGCGCCCAGCTGCCATCATGTCGGTCAACACTTGGCTGCAAAGGCAGAGGAAGATGGACCTGACCGAGTTGGCTGAACACACTGGCTTGAAGAAGTAAGTAGCATTGGTTTTGGAATTCCGTGCCCGTTTGCCGCGCCGTATCTGTTGTCTCTGCGACGCAGCTGTTCCGCAAAAAGTGCAGCACATGGTGATGGTGACACTTACATCATGGCCAAGTCTCTCCTGCTTAGCTGAGCTGGGCTGAGCCGCGCTATCACCACCCCGCGCATCATAACCGACAACGCGCCGAATTGCGAGCGTCTGGGCCGCTCTGTGCATGCATGTCGCGCGCCAGAAACGATCCGGGGTTGATTGCTAATGTCATTCCACAACAGCTATGAAGCGTTCAAGAAGCCCGAGCTCGAACTCGCTCTCGACGAGTACCTGGCCGAGAACTCGACCCAGTTCGCGTCCGATCCCAGAGTCGCGCCATACTACTCGGCGCGCGACAGGGCCATCTCTTCCCCCGTCAAGAGGGGAGCTTCGCCCATCAAGAGGGGCTCAACTGCATCTGCAACGCCGGTTGAGACGTTGAGGGTTACGAAACGTCGTGTCACCAAGGCCATTGAAGATGCTGTCGCCCCGGATTCCGACGAAGAGCCAGCCGCAGCTCCCAGCATGACGACTGCCCTCGTGCAAACTCCCGGCCGCGCCCTGTCTCTTGCCCAGCGCATCCCATTACCTGCCACGCCTGCCGATGTTGCCGAGGCCGTCGACCGTGGAAGTGTCATTCTGAGAAACCGTGCCACCTCTTTGTACAAGGAGTCGGGCATCACCGAAGCAACTCAGGGCATCAAGGAGGATCTCTCGACCGTCAACTCCATCCTCTTCGTCATCTCACTTTTTGAGTCCTGGTTCTTGCGACCCGAGGTCCTGCCTGATCGCTATGCCTTCACCATCCCTGCCATCGACTTTCTCGGAACCAACGACCACCCGATCCAGGTCCCCGACCTGTTCCTGCTGCTGACCTCTTCCTTCTGGTCTCCCTTCCTCCTGTGGCTGTTTACTAGCTTCCTTCTGCCAACCGCCGCTGGCTACTTCTTCAATCTGTCTGCTGCCCACCAGCCTAATCGCCGTGCACGCACCTACTCAAGCCCTGAGTACGTCGTCGATCCTCTGACCTTCAGCATCGTCAAGGCCTTGATCTCCTTTGTTGTTTACGGCCAGAACGTCACCTTCGGTGGCTGGGTCAATGAGCAGTCTATTGCGCGCGTGGACGGTGCCCTCTACGGCGGCTACAAGGGTATCTTGACTGGTGCCGCTATCACTGGCCTCGTTAGCATCTACGATGCCATTTTGAAGAAATAGGACTCGCCAGATGCCAATGTGACAGTCCCAGTCAGGCCACAGACTCATCTGACCGGAAAGTGGATATAAATCCATCTTCGCCTCCTATCCTGCGTAATACCTATCATCGAGTAGGGCATGAAACTACCAACTCATACACAAATCACCTCATGGGCGGCACACGGCGTTCGTTGGTGTTATCGGCGTTGGCGGCTTTATCCGCCGGGACACTCGGCTCTTCTGCCAGGACTTGCGCCGTTGTTTCAGGCCCGACGCATGTCTAGAACCTATTTTGTATATAGCGACGCGGTACTATAAGCGCTGGAAGCACCTTTGGTTTACGGGATCTGTTTTTTTTTTTTTTTTTTTTGGATTGATGACATGTTTGGGGGTGGTTGAATCTTTATTGCTGTTTTAGTTTTCGCTCTTGGTCTTACTCGAGCGCCATTCGTGTATAGCAGCGTTTTTGGAACCGAATGGTATGGCGGGCTTGCTCAAAATTTTGGGGCGTTGAATTTGGACATCTCAAGGATTTCCATGGGCGGGGGAGTGCTATAATAGCACACTCTCGTGCACTTCGCGAAGCCATGAGGCAATGATGGATGATATATGGTTTCCTTGGTAGGATTGAATATATATATATCTACTCTTCGAAGTATACATTTCCTCGCTTCTCTCGGAGGCTTGATAATTTATTCTTAGCGAAGCGGATGTGATCCACGTCACTGGCCCCAATTCTCACGTGGTAACATGCTCTAACCTTGCGTGTTTGTGAGAAACTTGTACCTTAACATGGTCCTGTAGGATATTAGCGTTCCCCCCCAGCCCTCGGATCCCACGTTGGGGTTAAGACTAGACTAGTGTTGACTCAGTACAGCCACCAATGGCCGGAGTCGAAGCAGTGAAGGAACAAAAAAGGCTGGTACATTTTGTAGGCGAACTCGTGGCTTGCCCATCCATTCACGAATGTGCCCCAACCTTACGGCAACGCCGCCGTTTGGTCGATCCCAGACATGCATGTTTTGGTCGGCCGGGAAGCTTCGTGTTGTCCTCCGCCAACCTCCGTCACTATACCAGTATTCCAATCTAGACCAGGCCACTCTTACCTGCTGCTCCTCCCGGGCGATGGCAAACTACGGAGCCGGTACAGAACGCTCCCCTTCACGTTCAGAGGCCCCGAGAAGGGGCGAGAAGGAAGTTTATTGGTATCGGACGCGCACTAGGTTGGCCACTCCTGGCGGCCGATCTCAACCCGTGTCGGGCGCGTACGCGCTACTGGGAATACAGAGCCATAGAATGTCCAAGTGATTTCTCGCCCACACGGCCCGGCCCGGTATGGTCATGGGATACCAGAGCTCGCGTCGATAAAAGAAAAAGGTAATGGCCGTGCTGCCGAGAGAAACTGTCAGAGAAAATGCCATGTGTTCTTCGCAAGTGTTGGAATGTAGTGGGCAAAAGAAAATAAATGCAAGAGAGTATCTTCAATGGGGTAATTACTGTGGATGTATGTTGTCTGAGCCTCACAATAGCGCATTTTGCATTGACATTTGGCGCATGTCGTATTTGTCAATATCTACTACGATCATGGGTATGTTTAGTTGTAAACTGTTATTTTCGGAATGGTGCTCAGAGTACAGACGCCCATAATTGTCTTATCGGTTGTTGTCGTTGTTGTAACTAGATAATCATGTAATTATATAGCTATTACACTTGGGGCTCTTCATTTGGTCAATAGTGTTGGTTCTTATAACTTCTCTTACGTGGTCACCAAACCAGGCAGTTCTACCAAAAGAAGGAAATTCAGCGGATCTAGGATGGAAAAGGCCTTCATATGTTCTCATGAATGTATTTGTCATTCTAGTCATCCCTGGGTGCTCTCTAACATAGCAAAAAGAAAGCTTGTCTAGCCTATATTCGATCTGTCGAATGTGATGTTTCCCATATATACATACACGTACATAAATCCGACAATAGGATACAATAAACGCCTTTGCGCCATTTAGCCTTTCTCGCACTGCGACCATTTACCGTGAATAGTCGGGTCATCAAACCTGGGAAGCCCAGCAGAAACGGCGCCATCGATGCCTCTAATTCAATCCCAGCCCAGCCAGTGTAACAAACTCCTAACCCTATGCGGGCTTCCTGTTTCTAGAGGAAGTTCATCAAAAGAATACAACAAGTACGCCGCCAGCACTGCGTACTGGATAAATGATGGTGGTGAATATGTACTTTCGGAGGCAGGCCTCGTAATGGGCTGCTGGTGATGAAACAGAGTCCCCGTCATCTCCCGAAAGGAGGAGAGATTGGGCGTCTGTCTACCTGTATGATCCGAACAACAAAGGAAATATCTTCTCGCGGAAGAATGAGCTTTGAGACACCCCCTAGCTATCCCACTCGGCCGGGTTTTCCCATTTGATAGGATGTACCAGCATGGGACGCAGGCATAGACGGCCAGAACCGTTTTCGTTGGCCTCTTCAGCACGGCCGCCTCTTATGGAGCCTTCATTTGCTCGGCCACCATCGTCGCCACGTCCGTCGTACTGTGCGTATCCAAGCCACCGGCGCCATAGCAGACCTGCGAACTCGCTGTTGTAGTACCAGGATGAGCCCTTATGGTTGTGCTCGTTGGTAATATCGAAGGGGCTACCGTGTCCACCAGTCGTGCGGTCTCGTCCACCGTTGAAGTTCTTGTCAATGGCTTCGACAGGCCAAGCGCGATCAAGGTACACAGGGTGAGGGGCATACACAGCCTTCAGTCCATGATGAAGGGCCATCGAAGGGGGAAACATCTCGCTAAACATGCTATGGTGAAGACGCCAAGTCTCCTCATGCATGACAGAAAGGAGGCGGCGGGACAGACGGGAAGCAGTCACAATGGCACATCGTCGAGGAGGTTGTTGATATCGTAGATCGTATCCAGTGGCATCGCTTGCAAACACCCAACCCGAATCATTGGTGTCAAACATGGGGTTTAGTGTGATGAGGTCGGCATCCTCGCCCACGCCGCACTGGCTCATGTCGGACCCAGTCGAGCAGGTTGCAGGCATGAAACCCTCTTCGCCGTTTTGCAGGTTGGTCTTCCCAGCGAAGATAATAGGGCCCAATATACCACGACGGCCAGCGGCTTTGGTTTCATGATCAACCAATTCGGTAAAGTTATCCCACGAGCCATGGAACTCGGGGATGTAATACTTGCTGGCGCGTTCCCACATACCGATGCGGTTTTGCTTAGCACCCCATTTGCCAAGTCTGTCAAAGAGCTCATAGTACGATCCAACCCAGCGCATGTCCATCTCCCAGTTCCAGAAGTGCGCATACTCTGGATGCATGTTGGCAAAGTGCTGTAGTGGCATGTGCGCACTGCGATACACACCATGGATGTCGCCGTTACTGGGGTTCTCGAATGTGTCGCCGAAATTGCCAGGATAGTACAGTTTCATCTGAGGTTCAGACCAAAGTGTGCAAATGCCGTGGAACTCCTTGGGTACGTTGGCATCAAGCACTCGTTGGGCTGTGGCGGGGTCCGACCAGATCGGTGTGTTGGGGTCCCGAACATGCAGTAAAAAGTGTACGTCGTATTCACCTCCGGATCGCACATTGAGCTCGGTGATCATGGCGCGGAAGTTGAGAAGAGCATGGGCCGTCCACTTGAAACCGACATAAGTACGAATCACGACAGCTGTTCGGTCGATCTTCTTGGGCGTCTTCTTTGCCGCCTCCTCAGCATCGAGCGTTTCATTGCCAGTGTTGAAGCGGTGCTTGTTGGACTGGAAGCAGCGCTCTTGAGCATCGGCCCAGTCCATCCCTTCCCAATCGATCTGGCCAGACTTCTCCCAAACAGTACGGCTACCTTCGTTCTCCGTGTCTGTGCCTTCTCCAGTGCCTCCTTGCTGAACAGAGTATCCAAGACCATAGGCGCCATAACGACTAAATCGGTCAAAGCAAACATCCTCACGAATGCCAAGTAGATCGTAAGACCCGATAGCTGGCTTCGCTTGGCCTTGAGGAACACCTGCATAAGCATGGACATCCGGAGCAGGAATAGTATTGGCTGCATCGAGGTAGCATTTGTTGACTTTTTGATATTGGCTCTTGTACTCGCTGGAGTCGTAGTCAGGGTGTGGGCTGTACGGCGTGGGCGTAGGCAGTCTGGTATTATGTACAGATGACACCACTGCGGTGGGCTGTGTGGCGTCTGATGGTACGGGATATTCGGCCTTGTACTCAGAGAATGAAACCAATGATCGCAGACCATTGAAATATGCGTCCAGACTAGAGGCTTATTAGCAACTAAGATCAAGGAAGGTTTAGCACCAATTTGGAAGCTTACTGATCGTAGTCGAGCCAGTGGGGCCCTTTTGGTCTCTGCTTTTGCTTCTGCTTCTTCTTGGATTCCTTAGATTTCTCCGTCTCAATCTTCTCTTTCGGCGATTCTTCTGCAAGTTCTTTTGTAGTGGCCTCCTTTGAAGATGACTCTCCCTTGTCGTCTTTGCTCTGCTTGGGGCTTTCTGCTTCTTCGCCTTGACCAGACTGTTTGACAAGCGAGGCAACAGTCTCGTCAAGCTTGGTGGGATAGTTAGGCTTGGAGATATCGCTCTTTCCTAATTGTACAAGATCCAAGACGTTGTGGGTATTGTGTGTCAACCCAGGATGGAACAAAGTAATTGCAAGCAAGGCAATGGCCACGAGCGTCCATATAACCACCCGGCGGTACAAGCAGTGTCCAAGTAAAGCCCGGACACGCAGTTTTGGTTGAGGTTTTGTCGAAATGGGTAGGTATATATCCTGTTTTCCGGACATCATGCTTGGAAAAGAGTCGGACCTCCGTGATATGAAGCTTGATACTTTCTCCATAGCGGGCAAGAGGAGAATGCGAGGTAGAGAAAGACGAATGAAGCCCAAGGGACTTGGAGGAGGGGGAGGGGGAAAAAAAAAAAGAGCGAGCGTTGGTATCTCTAGATGTTTCTGCCGACGAAGAACATCTGGATTTAAGGTCGTGGTTGAGTTGGTTCGGCGGCACAAAGGTGCTGTGGATGAGGTCGCTGTTTAATCAGATACACCACTCGACCTCACAAAGAAGGGGACGACTGAAATGACCACCGACGCGCTTGGCTGGCTGTCAATGCTATAAAAGAAAAGGAACAATGTCTCAAAGAAGCGGCCTCGGTGCTTTGTTGCGTCCAGCGTTAAGACGTTTATCAAGAGAAGAAAACTCGAGCCGGCGAAGATGGGTGATTACAGAGCGGTAATGGCGGTGGTGGCAGTTGTAGTAGGTGGTGCCCAGATATACTGTACCACACGGGTGACTACGAGGAAAAGGACAAAGAAAGAAAGGTGGTGTCCCAAAATGGTGTACAGAAAAACGAATCGAACAATACCATAGGTACTTCTGGTGGTCGTGTAGGTCAATGGCGGGTCGGTGGAAGGAAAGCTCAAGAGCTTCTAATGTGAGTTGGGGAAGGAGGAAGGTCAACTTCGGGCATGTTTTGTCAAACAAGGAGAAGAGGCCGATCACCAAGTGTAATTCGGGGGTAGCCAGACCAGACCAAACCGGAAACCGAGCGAGTGTGGATTTGCATCTGAAGTTCCCAAACGGAGCGGCGCTCTGCCCTTTTACTATTATTACAATAAATTGATGGGTTGGAGAATTATGGGGAGACTGCGCAGATAGACTGGACCCTTTTTTCCTGGAACTCTGGTTGTTTGCCAAATGCAGCAGCTCCCCGGTCCCTATCCATGCGCTAGTACCCTGTCCACATCCAAGTCACCTTATTGAATACCGACAGAAAGGCCAAGGCTTCACATAGAAAAGAACTAAATGGTCCGAAATCCACATGGGCGACTGGCCTATGAAAGTTTGTATCCGCCGGTAAGCTCGTCTATCTGATGTGCTGGTGGGGGTTGTACACCTTGGGAGACATGCCTTGTTCTTGGCGCCCTACTGCGAGCGTCGTCACCTACTTCGTTAGGGGCCCAGATCCGCTAAGAGGACCACTCATACGCCCCCAACTCAATTTATGGCGACGCGTCAAATGCCGACGACTGCAAGAACCAAGCATATCGCTGATAACACCAACTCTATTCAGATTGCCATAGGGATTTCTTTTTCTGTGCTATCTGTCCTGTTAGATCGTCATTGAAGGCAAGAAGAGACCAGTCGAGATGCTCGGTAGGGGGGCTAACATCGCAAACACCGCAAACATCTGCGACCCGCCACCGTTGCAGACTCATGTCCCAAGTCTAGCCAAGTCTCATCCAGCAACGGCTCGTGCAGTTGAGCCTCCACCGCGCCAAGACATGATCCGCAGGCACGGCAAGTGACTGACCATAGTCCCTGTCGAGTTGTGAGGAGATTCTACAGCATCCTACAGGCCCATTGCTTCTAGCGCATGTCGTGAGGGGACAGAGATCTACACCAATGATTGAGCGCTCTTCCCTATGAACCCAGTAGCGTCTGGGGTCATTCGAGAATCTTTGACAACAAACCACTAGAAGAAAGGTGGAGACTCTAAATCTGAAACACCGACGCTAGCAGGCCATTTTCGAGGAAACAGTAAAAGGTCCTCAGGTCCTGTCGCTCTTCCATAATAAGTGATGAAACATTGTGACATACCTATCCACATTTACTAGGAAAGCAAATTCATCTCGACGTCGAATCTTCGATACCAAAGGCTGGCCAAAGCCGTCGCGAGGGATCGGCGTATCTGCTATCAAGCCTCCAGCCTTCTGTCGGAGATGCGAACAATTATGGAATGTGATCCAATCTTTGGCATAACCTTAAATCTTTTTTATTTCCCGAGGGGCTTCGTGCCCAAGACCGGACGAGGGCCAAGATTCAAGTGAAGGAGGAGTATCGTCGTCATCGTGTCACCTCGTTCATTATCCGATCAGTCCTGGGCCCTTGTAAGCTTTGAAAGTATCCTGGAAAGTCGCGACACGCTTCGTCAGCCAGGCTTGCCACCCTGATCGCACCATTCTCATATCCAAGCAACACCATTCTCATTGCATCCACATCCAGCTAGCAAGCTTTTTTGACAGACGCTGTGCTCCATTTCATCCTTTGTACATCGTCCGCCTCGAATCAACAGACCGTCAGACTATCCATAGTGCAGGCGTGCAGTATGGAGCTAGTTCTAGTTTTAGTTCAACATTCTGTGTATGACTATTCAAACTTATGTTGTAGCCCGAGGCATGATGGGTACTACCATCTTCGTAATGGGCACTGAAGCCCTCGGCATGATTTACGGGCATCTGCCACAAAGAAACAGTCGCACAACAGTGCAAAAGCAGCCGGGTTTAATGTCCCGAGACACCAGTCTGGCCGAGACAACAACAAGAATGAACATTCAAAAGGAGCATCGTCGTAGGCTACAAGCTTTATTGTCACTTATTGTCGCGTCACCCATTCACGACAGGCTTATATTGCGGGCCACTATCCGCAGGGCAGCCCAGTCGGCTCAAGCTGATATTCTGGGAACAGTAGTAGCAAGAATTATTGCCTGCTTGCTGAAACCCTATCATCACTAATGCAAAACAATATACGCTATAGCTCGCACATCACAAGATCTGAACATGCGGCTACTCAAATAGGCTTCTATCACTGCATCTCGTGTCAGCTAGGTCTAGCCGCCCCTAGCCTGCTACTCCCTATTATATACGAGCCCTTATTTGTGCTGAGCTAAAGTTCTGACAATACCAGACCTGTCAAGAACCCTTAACTGTATTTGTCTTGACATCCCGCGCATACATTTAACTTTTGGCCTAATGGCTCTACAATCTATCAGGACTGCTTTACTACATCGTCATGATTGCCATTCCGTTTGGAATACACCGCGATATGCCAGGCCACGACTCACCGCTGAAAGACTGCATCAGCTGGCACAATGGCCCAGGTGGCATCGGCCATATCGCGTTCACGCCGAATGCAGATGAAAGCGTTCGGCTAGGTCAACCTAACTGAGCTTATCCGTAGTGTCGCAAGCACTATAGCACAATGGACTGAAATGATAGTATAGACCGGGCTACCACGAACAAATTTCCACCGCAAGCAGTTCTAAGCGGCTCCATTTCGAGTGAATCCATAACCTTGCCCTCACTTACTTTCGCTTAGTGATCCTCAACTCAATCTTATTCATTCATCAATGCCGGGGCCAAGACAGCCGATCATGACGTATGACCCAGTCCGTCAACCACAATGCATGCTGGCCATCAGGGCCGTGTAGTTTTGCAATCAATTCATCCCAAAAGCATGCTTGCCCTTAAATGTGTAGATCAATGGTTGTTTTGAGGCTATGTGTACATTCAGTACGTCGATCTCGTCTGATCATGGGTCACAGCAATGCGGCTCGCCATGGTGAGACAATGCACGTAGCGGCTGGCCAAGCGCCACCCGCATGTATAACCGAACGGCTCTCGTTTCAAAAGAATAGCTTGATCGTTTCGCAAAGCCGATTTGTCAAATCTGCCAGCGGTACACCAAGCCGCGACCAAACGCTACTTCTACAACGTCAATCGTTGCACATTGCCTTGTTGTCTGACTAGGCATTGCTTGTTTGCAATGTTCTAGATTTACAATTCGTCGTTGTCAAGCAGGTCTAACTACGTATGTCTACATGATATGAATACCTACGTCGCTAAAACTCGTCGCACGACACCAGAGGCAATTAATTCGGCATACGAGAAAATATTACAATCGTCTTCAATTTGAAGTTATGCCTCTTTAGTGAATTTGGCATTTGTTCTGTGCTTCGTCAGCCTTTGGAACGGGCAGCACTTAACTATTATGAATCTCGCAAAGATTGCCCTCCAATGGGAGTTTTGAAACATTGAACCACTATGTTCCCTGCACAGCCAAACGCTACTACCGGATATACTCAGGCTTTCAGCTGAACCGTACGAGTGAAGTGCTCTGGAACGCATCTATGTTACTGCTTCTCATGGCACGTGTTTAAACCTTGGATAGTAGGCTTACAGTAGTACTGTTGTTAACTTAGTTATTGCAAGATACATGCTTAATGAAGAACCCTCGATCAAAAATACTATTCCTGACTCGTTGCAAAATTGAAGATGCATCCTTCAACCTCTTCGAACGTCATCCTTATTACCTTAAATTCTAGCCTTTACTCCTACAACCCCTATTAGCCGACGGAGCCTTTCTATTACTGTTTTCATAGGAATTAGTGTAGGATACTGTCCTTACACGATAAGGGCTAATAAGCTGCAGCATTCTTCATTGAAGCCTCAAAAGCATTCTCATTGTTAGTGTTCAAGATAATCTACTAAGGCTTCTGCACCGTCGAGCAACAGACTCAGGACGTCAGTGATTTAGTTTCTATCCACAAGTTTTTAAGTTATCTTCAAGGTATCGACGTGGTTGCTCACTGCACTCTGTCTGGATTTAGCTTTCCATTGCACGGCTTGCCTCTGTGACAGAAGTCTAAGCGCTTCCATGATCCCTTCAAACTTCAATCTTTCTAGCCCGTGACTCGGGCGCAACCAACTGCCATGCTGCCTTCGTCTCTGCTTGCGCCTCCTGCACGCTCCCAGCTCCAACCCTAGCAATCTCCGTCTCCAGCTGCTGCCTCGCTGCCTCCTTCTCCCTCAGCCTTGTGGCCTTCTTCTTACCATCAATACTCTCCCTCCACTTGCGGCCCCACAATATGGTCGCCACGATGCATATGCACCCAACAGCCATGAATAGACTCGAGATCGTGCTAAACCATCCTACACCCATGGTATTGATAGCCGGCAACACAGCGCCTGTTGATGCGCAGGCGAATAGGTATCGCATGACATAGTTTCCCGCGATGACCTCGCCCGAGCGGCCCGGCATGACGTCCAGGCAGTACGTGTTCAGACTCGGGAAGCAGAACAACTGTGCGAAACCTTGCAAGAACAAGATCACGACGGCGAGCGGGATCCCGCCCTTGTCGTACTCGATCGTCCAGCCGTAGATCAACATGCAAACAGCGATAAACCCCATGAAAGGAAGCGATGACCACAGTCGGTCTTCGGGAATGCGGACGCCGCGCTTCTTGATGTATTTCTTGACAACCATGTCGGCGTAGCGGCCGCCAAAGAAGGTGCCGAGTAGATAGCCCACACCTGGGGCAAGATAGAACAGGCCACCTTGGAGTGGTGTAGTGAGGTCGAAGCGCGGGTTAAGCACGTAGCGAATAGCAGCGAGAATGCTGTACATGTTCCAGAGGAGGGCGGAGCTGGCGAGACCTGCAAGCAGGAGGTTAGGATACTCATAGAGTCGGATCACGCGCCATGGGTTGATCATTGAACAGAGGGTCTTCGCCTTCTCGCTGCCAGAGAAGCCGACCAGATCGTCGATGCGCTTGTGGTAGATAGTCTCAGGCAGAAGGAAGAAGGTGCCCACAGCGGCTATGGCTGCCAAGCCTGTCTGCAGCCAAAATATCACTCGCCTGTGACGGATATTAGTGCTCCTGCAAATAGTCTGGCCACTCGGTAATGCGTTATAAAATGCTCACCAAGTGGTATATGTGACGATAATGCCACCGATGAAAGGCCCAAAAGCAGGACCAATAAGGGTACCGGACAGGAACCAGCCAAGGGCCGTAGCACGCTCAGTCGGGCGATACATGTCACTGCATATAACGTTAACATAACTCCAAAGTCAGAGAATAACTTCGGGAAGTTGAGTACACACGCTATCACGGCTGAGCCGACAAGAATGAATGATGTTCCTTCAAAGGCACTGAGAATACGAAACACAAAGAAGGCTGCCAGATTAGGCGCGAGAGCTGTGCCGATCGAGCAGGCAAGAAACGCTACGGCCGTCACGATGGTAACCTGCACGGCGTGTTAGCATGTAAGCTGCCCCCGATTTCCCCTGAGCTGATACTTACCCATCGTCTGCCATAAACCTGACTCAACGCTCCCCATATCATCGGTGATAGACCCATCACCAACATGTACATCGCATTGGACACATTGATGATAGACCCCGTCGTTCCATATTCCTTGGCGACTTCAGGACTAGCGGCGAGAACCGAGGTACTGGAAATAGGAGCCAAAAAGGAGCAAAACGACATAAGAGCGACAACGATTCTTTTCCGGTGGGCTGGCAACCTGTCGTACACCTCATCTGGAATTTCTACCACGGAGCTCTGTGTCTCTATCGGTGCATCTGGTCCCATGGACTGATGTGTTGAATACCTTTCCAAGTCATTAACATCGATGCGTTCGTGACTGGAAGAATCTTCCGTGCCGTCATGTGAGGACACTACACTGCCTTCCCGGATGGTCTGAGAGCGGTCGCTCCCAGCACGTTGACTGCCCTCATCCTTGGTTGCTGACATCAGGTTTTGAGATAATAGTTATTTTCAATTGAGTAGATAGATTTCATAACAATAACATCACATTTAATGTGGCAATGGGTCTGCGGATAACCTTTCCAACAACAAGATTAGGAGAACAAGAATGATCTTCCAGAATATGGATAGAATTTTCAGTCTGCTCAATTGTCCGATCTCGAAGAGCACCGAAACACTTTGCGACGTCAATGCAATGGCAACAGAAGTGATGAGTCAAGAAAATCAAAGAGAAAAGTCACAACAACAGAAAACCGGAATGGACGACATTGATTTCCTGCGAGCCTGAACGGCTTCGGTTGGTTCCCCGGAACTCCACAGGAAAGAAATGCTTGGCCGAGCATCGGTCGTTAGTGTGTAGCCGACCTTGCCTTGATAAGGCAAAGATCTTAGGACAACTCGATCATGCTAGGCCATAGCATTGGCAAATGTCCGAGGCCTTGAGAGCAGAATTCTGGGTGAAGCGACATTTGACCTACTCTGGCCGTAGCAGAACACCTTCCCTTGAACATGATATTATGCATTCAACAGATACAGACCCTCGCTGCGAGTAGCTGCTATTGCGTCGTAAACACCCTCAAAACAATGCCAAAGCCAGACGTGTCTCCCAAGCCAAGACTTATCAGTCACATTTTATTCCCGAGCGATTCCCGCGAGCTCCCTTAACGGGCAAGACGCCGATTTTACAAATTAACACAAGTCCGAGCCCGGAAGCGATGCGGCAGGCGCCCGAGAAGTATCCAGTCATGGCGGAGTAGTCATCACGGAAAAGCTGCAACTCAGCTCAATAACTCAGGTGCACCTCGTGCCTTTTCCGGATTGCGGAGTTGTGGGGTCGCGCACTTCCTCTTTTGCTGCATTGGATATGCAAGCATCCATCCCTATAGACAATCTGAGTGTGACAGTGGTAAGTCAAGCATGGCAGATACGCAGCCGGTCTGCGGCGAATGAATCGGCATCGAGATGTTTCAGTGGTATGGGCGGATATGCTCAGAAAAAGTTTTATCATCGCAGGGAGGCTGCTCCGCGTTACGGCAATCCATGAACCAAGTGGACTTCAAAAGTGGCAATCAAAGCAAAGCCAGCCTTACTACATGGATGGCGTTGGCAGCGCGGAGGGGAGATGTCACATCTGCAGCATTTTGAATATCGCAATCATAGCTCAGTTGCACCTGTTCGCCCATCCAGTGTGGAAAATCCACTTCGTGTGTGGGATGAACAGCGGCTTGAAACGGGCTGTCATGGATCCTATTGAACCTCAAGAGTGAATGGCCTCGACTCTCGAAGTCGATGTGCAAGGTTGCAACAGTCGATTGAGTTGCTCAAAAGGCAAGCAGCAAGCTACAACCACAGCTGATTGAGATTCATTAACCTCACCTTAGGTTAGATGTCTTGCTCTAGACTAGGTTAACGCATTTGGTTATGATAGACGCCATGGCACCGTAATAAATGACTAGGTTGTGTATGGAAGCTTACTTAGTAGTTCCAGGCGGGGGTGTGCTGTACCGTGCAGCTGTGGCGCTGTGGCTGATACAAGTGGTCTGTGCTGTTTAGCAGCAATTTTTGGAAGGCGCACCTTACTTTGCTCCGAAGCCCTAGCTGCCACACAGCCAAACCCGAAATCCCAAATTTGAGCGGGACTTTGAACAGACCTTCGAAAATCCTCATCAACACCCAACGACCCGACCACCAACAAACACCCAGCAGCAACCCGGTACAAGCTGTCAAAATGGTACGTTGATATTGATTCTGCAGATGGGGAAAGAGGCGGGACATGATTTGGGCATGTTGGTGCTCTGAGAAAAGGAGCGCGGAGAGAGACATGACGATTGCGAAAAGCACGACCTTTATCGGACCGCGAATACTCAGTCAGCTATCACCACGCCAAACTTCTCTGTACATGCGACGCCGCGTCGACTGTTTGCGCCTCGAAACCCAGCTACTCGACTACAGACAACCTCGTGGTTCAGGGATGGATGGGATTGGGCGGACCATAGAAGCTCCAACAAATAGCAGAGGGCTAACTCCAGTCTTCAAATATAGGTCAACATTCCCAAGACCCGTAAGACCTACTGCAAGGGCAAGGAGTGCCGCAAGCACACCCAGCACAAGGTCACTCAGTACAAGGCTGGCAAGGTCAGTACAAAGCGAAGAGCTCTCTCGAGCTGCCACCCCGCCATTCCGCTGCGGCAACCCGATCTTCACGCGGTTCGATTCTAACTCAACAGCAATAGGCCTCGCTTTTCGCCCAGGGAAAGCGCAGATACGACCGCAAGCAGTCCGGTTACGGTGGTCAGACCAAGCCTGTCTTCCACAAGAAGGCCAAGACCACAAAGAAGGTTGTGCTGAGATTGGAGTGCGTTTCTTGCAAGACCAAGATGCAGCTGGCCCTGAAGCGTTGCAAGCACTTCGAGCTTGGGTATGTTTTTGACTGCAATTCAATCGGGAAAATCATTGGCTAACCCTCAAATAGTGGTGACAAGAAGACAAAGGGTGCTGCTCTTGTTTTCTAAATGTTGTCTATGGTACTTGGTCTCTCACGCTTCTTCACATTTACGGTACATGGCATCAGGGTGGTTTCTCATGAACGGGCACACTGGCGACAGGAGTCTTGATCTTCGGCTACGGAGCCGGGTGTAGCAAGACATAGGTTAAAAATAAAACCATATGAGTCTTTGCTGATGAGACATCAAACGCCCCTTCCCAGCGATGCGAATGAAAATGATAGGCCTTCTTGGTGATCTTTCAGGTGCACATCATCGGTTCCTGGATGCGCAGAGGATTCGCCCGCGAGGAGCGATGATGAGAGTTACACTTTTCCTACATGTTGGCAAATGTATTGTACTCTTTTAAGAACTGAGGTATCAATGCCTATCATCCACACGACATCAAGTTTCTTGAAGAATGACAACGCAAATCTGACTGAGTAGATGACTGAACAGAAGAAGTTGAATTGTGGATAGGCCCACCATTGCTCCAAATTCGAGGCAACATGCGCGTATTCATGCAATATGACTGTTTTTACTTATAAATAACATCATGCCAAGAAAGCAGCACTTTCTATGCAGCCTGGCATTTCGAACTTACTATTCATTTAGATTTCGAAATTAAATCTCTTAGATGGTCTGGGACTTTTGCATTCGTACGGAGATCTAGTCTAATGTCTGTCTTTTAAGTCAACGCCAACAGCAATATGCAACATAGAGGACAGAGACGCGGCTACTTCCAATGGTTCATCAAAAGCCTTCGCCAGTAAGCACGGATCGCCCACCTCCATACCACAAGGTTCCAACTCTGACATCGAGGCCCTTCTCTTGGCCCACGAGCCACTCACCAATCAAGTCAGCGCCATCTTGGTTCCAAACTTCCTTCTCCAGCCACTGATTGATCTCGTCGATTGTGTCAACCCATTTCTTCCTTTGCTCAGGAGTGGCGTGCTCCTCATCTGTAAGGTACCGCCCAAGGGTTATATGAGCACTAGGTACAATATATCGAGAATCGACCGTGATTCCAGCCTTCTTAGCTAGGTCCCACACATCTCGCCTGAGATGATGATAGGAGTATTGATCCCCTTCCTCAACTTCGCCGGTCTCAAGTGCTGTCGGTGGCGGTGAGATATTAGGCTCATTGCTGGCTGGAAGGAACGACATAGCGAATGCAGACAAGTCATAAGAAATGAGCGGCTTCACCAAGCGAGCACGGTGGCGGAGTGTGTAGTTCGCTACCGTTGGAACAGCGGGCTCTAAAACCTTCTTGATAGAATGAACCTCCTCTGGTGTCTTGGAAAACGTTATTTCGAGTGTCGTGATGTGCATGCGGTGTAATGGCATCAACCAGATACCTAAATTGTTGTTAGCCCTTTCTCGTTTAAACTTTCCCCAGCCAAGAAACGAAACTCCCATGGGAACAGCCCCCGGCACTTGTCCCTTTCCCTTCTCGCTGATAGAAAAGCGCGTAGGAAGAGCATGAACTCCTTGACTTGAGGACACAACACTGACCCCCCATACTCTTCATCTCAGGTGTTCTTGTCGAACAAATCCAGGGCATAGTCAGCATACTTAGATACGCAAGCCAAGAACCCAGCAGCCATGATTTGATTCAGATTGAAACCGCTCTTGTTACTTTAAAACACAAGCAGCGCTCTTCCTACGTGGACACGGGTTCGTCGATCCATAAGAGCTTTTTTCCAAACCATTCATCCCGGTTCCCGTAAAGACGAGGGTCGGGGAGAGCTTCCACGGTCTCATGGGTCATCCTGCTCTATTCCAGAATAGCAGCAGCAACACACCGCTCGTGATATCAATACCGCTTCTCTCATGTGAGGGGGGCCAGACAACTTGCCAGCCAACACCGCACTTGCGCGTAACATTCGCCGCTCCCATACATCATGTTCAGAAAAAGGAGCATCGACACTTACTAGGAGCGCAAGCCTTGAGTTTTTGTTGAAGCTTGTCAGCAAGTTCCAGTACGTGGATCGGAGGCCGACCCCAAAAGGTCATGCAATTTCTCTGGTCCTTGAAACCTGGCTCGATCTCCGGATTCTCGAGTCTTAGAAGGTACGGGTCTATGATGAGCTCTCTGAAGTCCGGCGAGACGAACTTCTCCCTCTGCTGAGCATTTCGCTTTACACGATGCGCCGCGTAGAGCGCTTGTATTTGAGCCTGTCGCAGCGTTAGCACTCCTGCCGCTTCTGCCCATTTCCTCGCGTGATGACTCAGGCTGCGATACTTTGCAGTCATGCCAACCCTGTTGCCTCAACAGCATTGCTCGAATCCTCGGCAATGATGCTCTTTTGAACACAAATTCAAGGAGCTTAACTGACAATACCGCAGCCAGTTGGAAGGACTGACTTACAGGATCATTACCACAAGCCTCTATCAGAGCGTTGTAGGGATTTTCACCAGGTTTAATGACAACCCCTGAAAGATCCTCGAGCTTGTTCTTGAGATCCGTGGATTCCAAAACTGAGCTCATTGCAGCGTTTCTTGGGCAGTCCGTCCACAAAACCTCGAGGAATATAGTGCAAGAAGGTGCCTGTCAACTGGTGTATTGGGAAAGTCGAGATTTCCAGTTGTGGACAACAAGTGTCACAACCGAAGAACTCGTATCAAGGAGTGGTCGAGAACATGTTGTCCACCTAAGCAAAGCCACTCTGGTTGCAATTGGCTCACCGGCATTCTTAGCCCCATCAGCTCCTCCCAATAGTGTATGCAAGTCGAACGACCTCCAAAGGTTCCCATCGGAAACCGCATCGGCATATACCTCGATATCAATTTCGACCGGAGGACCAATATGGCATACGTTGGAAATACATTTGGGAAAGGGCATCAACCAGTATAAGCTCTGATACTTACACAGTACAGTGTGCGTTGGGGGAAGGAACACAGATCAAGCTTATAATCAGCCGAGGAATAGGCGAAGACGGTTAGATCCAGAGGCTCATACACGCTAGTCAAGATCATACGCTAGCATCTGGCGTCTGGCCTAGCGGCATGAAGCAGCGCGTCCTTCAAACGCGCAGCACAACGAAAACCATCTTTTGACACCGAATACTCCCAGAGCAGCTCTACGTCCTCGTCTTCAGCGGCTGCGTCAAGCATGTTCACAACATCCTAGGACATCTTGCTCACTACCGAATATCTTCGTCCATCGGTCATTAACCATGGCACGATTGATTCGGTGGCTCCGTTGTGGGCAACAAAGCCATGCCAGACGTCCACGTCTTCCCATACGCATGGCTTCACAACCTTTGACAAAACGTATGCTGAATATTAACCAGTAGCGACAGAATGCAAGATACGCTCTCATCTCAAGGATACATACACCTGCACGACCATGCCCAACGCGGTTGAGTTCATGTGCCCTGCAACAGGAAGCCAATCTTGAGCCAGCTCAGGAAGCAGGAGTGAATGCAACATGCTACCTGTATACAACATCTGCGAGAGGCACTTGCGTCAGTGGAGCAGTGCGCCGTATCTGCATAATCAGGATGTGTCTATCAATCACTTGATGGAGGCCATGGCACATTGGCATATGGCATATGGCATAAGTCGCAAACCCCACCACTACCAATTACCACATGGGGCTTGGCGCCAGACACAGCGCGATTCCATGAAGAAGCTCTTCAATGGAATCAAATGTAGGAGGAGCAGCAAGATAGTTCTTGTCCGCTTTCGTCAATGACGGGGTGAGAGGACGTCTGCGAATCTCGACCCTTTCTTTGGAAAGCTTGTAATTTCTGGCATGAGAAGGCGGCTGCATCTTCTCATGCTACTGTCAGACGTCCTATAGTTTCCCGGCCCACCCTGCAACAGCATCTCTCATGGAGACTCAAGTGAGGAATCACGAGCTTGAGGCTTGCATTCTGATAGGACCATCTGACTCGAAGACAATCGTGATCACGTATACGCACTTTGTGTCATGCAATAGCGAGCAACTGCTGCGGCCAGCAAAGCCACAACTGAGGCGAGGTTGTGTCTCGTGTGTGCACAGAGTGTAACGAATAGGAGACAGCCTTATATCACGCCATGGCATTGTCCAAAAGCGCGGCTTGATATACTAGGACAAACAGCGTCAAAGAGAATCCGAATATGCACGTGCTTGCATGCCAGCAGCACTGTCGTATTGCACATTGCCGGCTGATGCTCCCCGGTTCGTTGTCTTGGATGATCGCAGTGGAGTTAATACCTTGTGTCTTTACAGGTACAACTGATTGCAGTGCTTGGGATATGCTATCAGGGTTGTCTTGTTTTGAGGCCACCTGCGCATGGAAGGCCCACAACTGGGATGGCCACCCCGTTTATGCTTGATAATTACGCACATAGGACCATCCCGTTTATGCTTGGTATTTACGCAGATACCCAAGTTACGCAGGTTGCGTAAAAGGCTGCTCTGGAGACAACACTTCACTGGATTACTGGCCAACCCTAGCCCTCACGGTCCATGCTTTCCAACTCTTTCCTCACAAAACACAAGGTTGGCCACCCAACTATCTCACTGCTCCTCGCACTCATCACAACAGAAAGCAGCTTCGATTTTGCAATACTGCATTTGGGATCTGCCTCTCACGCACCTTGGGTTCAAGGCGGGAAAGGCGTACTGCATTTGTTTTGGGTTTTGCTTTATCAGCTTTTGGATAGGCAACTTTGCCCCAAGCTCCACGTTTGACTTGGAGATCGCGTCTCGAATCAAGTTTCCGCACGTCATGCGTGCACCACTCAACTGATTCGTTATGTCTTTCTCTAACGACAAAACAAGAGCAGGGTTCTGTATGTCCCCGATAATGGAGGAGTCGAGCTCAATCTCCATCGCTGACGAAGATGTCCCAATGCCCGACGCGACTTCAAATAACACAGGTACATCAGCGACTCGCAGCCGGAAACGAAAAGCTGAGGACATGAGTACGGCATCCGAAGGTATGATTATTACAATATTATTCATGTTTTGTAGCACTAAAAATGTTCCAGGCCACTCTGACCCAGCTGATGCCACGGTGCCCAAGGCGCGTTCCAATGGGCTCGACAGTAGTCTTCCGCCCATTGACAACGTGCACGATGCATTTCGTGATATTCTCTTGCGCATCACCACAAACGAGGAACGAAATTTCCCGGATCTCTTGCAGATTGCTAAGGATGGCGGGTTCACAATCAACGTTGCTACCATGTGCTCCGGCACTGAAGCACCAATCTTCGCACTTAATTTGCTGCAAAGCGAGTTCTTTGCCTTAACTGGGCTTGAGTTATTTCGCATGCGCCATGCTTTTAGTGTGGAGATAGAAGCATACAAACAAGCCTACATTCGTAGGAACACTGATGCTACAGTGTTTCGAGATGTTCTTGATTTCGCTGATCCCAAGCTATCTACAGCAAAAATGTGAGTTGGAATAGAGCATCGGGTTGTAGTTTGTAGAGACTGACGATATGTCTTAGACTCACTGCCCTCGGTTCTCTGGAGCCAGCCCCCACAACACCTGACATCTTGGTGGTAGGCACTTCTTGCATTGCGTTCTCTTCGTTGAGCAACAAGAAGCAGAAGGGCTTCAATGCAGCCACAGCAGAGCTCCAGACATACATCAAGGAAACGATAGAGCTTGAGGATGGTCCAGATCGGGAGGCAGTTTCCAAGCGACTTGTGGAGGTCGTGAATACGGCAAATATGAGCGAATCCGACTCGACTTTCTTCCCTGTACTAGCATATATACTTCACCAACGTCCCGCCATTGTCATTTTTGAGAACGTATTTGACGCACCCTGGGAAGATATGCGGGATTGGTACTTCCCAGCCGTTCAATACAGCGCAGACTTCTTGGCATGCGACACCAAGGATTACTACCTCCCCCAGACCCGCGCGCGAAGGTACCTCGTTGCATTCGACAACGACCGATTTGGTGGGGCTGCAACTTCCCGAATCATGACGCAGGATACCACACGTTTCCTGAAGAGTCTCGAAAGACGTGCATCCGTCGACATAGAGAAATTTCTGTACAACAACATGGACAAAGCTATACAAATTGACATGCAGCAGCTGGAGTTCGAGAAAGCTATAAAGCCTACGAGGGATGTTCCATGGGAGTATAGTCGCGTACGCCACGAGAATACTCGCAAGCGAGAAGATCTCGGCCGCGGCCATCCCTTCTCCGGCATGAAGTCAACGGGAGAAACGCAATTTTATGACCGAGTCAACCAGATTGTCATGGACCGGCAAACTGACCGTGTCAAAGAGGTTGCCGACATTAACCAGCTAAGAGGTCTATGCGCGATCCCCTCGTACGACTTCAATCACAAGGTGAAGGTCATCGACTTTAGTCAGAATGTCGACAGAAATACGGGCGCGACACCATTCGGCATGTCACCTTGCCTTACCCCCAATGGCTTGCCTTTCCTCACCATACAATGTCGTTTTGTGATGGGCAGGGAATGCTTCTTACTACAGGGTTTGCCTGGTGGTGCTGTCAATCTGTCGCGGGAAAGTTATGACCAATTGAAAAACTTAGCTGGCAATGCTATGACTACTACTATAGTGGCATCTTCATTTCTCTCGGCGATCATGGCAATCTGCAAGAAAACTGGAAACGTCAACTTTCCCCGCATCAATCGCGATGATGGAAAATATGTCGGCCCCCGTTCATCTGTTACAATTCCTAGCATCGTTTTCGATTCTTTGCAGACTGTTTCTGGTTTCGGAACTTACACATTCATGAACGTCAACACTGGCGCCATTCTGGATTTAGCCGCTCGGCTCCGCGTATACTGTTTCTGCACTGGTACCGCAATGTATAGCTCTGCAGTGCTTTGGATATGTATCATATGTGGCACGATCCGCTGCGGAAGTTGCAAGGGCAACCCCAAGCACGAGTATACAAAGTTGGAACTTGTACCAGAAGCTTTCGGGCAAGAAGACGCAATGTTGCGATTGATGAAGCATGTGCCTCGCGTTTTCGGAAATTTGTTCAGCCATACTATGTCAAGCTTGTTTCTGAGGGAGTTTGATAACGTCTTGGCAATCAGTTGCCCTGGGTTGAGGAAGGCTTCTTCACAACTGACCAATGCGGATTTTTTCTTCGATGGTATTCACCTGTCTGAGGTGATTTCCATCTGCTACACCTCCAGCTGCGGTTACAACTTGAAGATCATGATTGACACTGACAGCGTATCGTGGTATCTCTTCCTCGATGGCCACTCGGACATTGGCAAAGCTTTAACTGTCGCGAACAACGGAGACCACTCCAGCCCTACTGGCAAAAGACTGCGGGACTTCTGCTTGCGTGGTCGACCATTTGCACGTGCAAGACTTACGGACAGAACGCTTTCTAGCATTCCTACTGCCGATCAATGGACTCCTTGGAACTTCCAACAGCCTCACCGACAGGTCAAGCACGGTCAGAAGGTCTACAACCTACTGGTCACAATCACTGTTCCGGAAGATAATTCTGGACAAATCAAGATTGACTTGGTCAACGACAATAGCTCAGTAATTAGCCACGAAGCTGGAAATATCGTTCAGTCTATGCTTGGAACATGGACTCGCAAGCCAGACTGCGATGTGGCAGAAAATAGCCTTTTCGTTCTTGATAAAAGCAGTGGGAAGAAACTCTTCTTGTTCAAAGATCCCACAAGAATCGGTCCTGCCGAGATGGATACTTTTGTCATTTCAGAGACTCCACGACTGTTACAATGGCACGAACATCGGGACGTTCTATTGACTTTCGTGCCCCTTGCTGACTTCTCGAAGCAAATTCACAAGCTGTCGTCAGGCTCTTATTTGCAGAAAATCACGATGGATGGTTATTGGGACACCAAGGGTGTTTAGAAGACATCCGAGAAGACACATGTTCCCCAGCCTTCCTTCCAGCGTGAGAGCCTACAACTTTCTATGCTTGACGGAGCATTTTCCGACTGCAGTAATGATGACCGCCTGCTTGCCACCATGACGATTGATCGTGGCGATAAGCCGCCAAACCGAGTTTTACTCAAAGCCTCTTGGATCTGTTCCGCTGGCGTTAACTGGGCAATCATTGACAAAGCCGATCAGGCAGACTTCTTCAAGTCTATCATCTTTGCCGTTCCCAGTTTGATCCAATCGATGCAGCACCTGAGCATTGACAACATCTGTTTGGAGGGAAAGGACATTTGCGAGGCGTGTTCACCCCGTTTTCCTCCAGTATACTGGGTGGTCAACAGCGAAAGCAGCAATCTACAACCAATTCACAAGCCAGATGAGGTCGGCGCATATGAACGCGGTTTAAGAAGCCAGCTACCCGCATTTCAGGTCATGGCCAAAGTTCCTCCTTATGAGAAGAGCCAGAAGGACAACATGGTTTCTGTCCGGTTTACCATGAACCCCAGCCGACTTGCTCACCGAGCATTGGCATATTTACCGAATGCGCGCGATACTCTAGCTCATAATGCTTCTAGCATTACTATGAGGGCCTTTGTGGAGCCTGGACATTCCGATTCCCTCGTCTTCAACTTGAGACCTTTCGTAGAATCCATTCAGACCGTCCGCATGATATTTGACGGGGACTGTGGCCAACCTCCGAATTTCCCGCGAGGCCTGAGGCTTGATAAAAGCCAACTATTCACAGTCGGTCACATGATAAACAGGGAAAAGTCACCGAGGTTCTTCATAGAACGGGAGGATGAAGAGGAGGTGGTCCCAGGCGTTCCACTGCGCCTTGTCGGTCGTGTTGAACGCAAGGTGAAGTGTAGTGGTGGAGTCATTGCAGATTCTGTCGGTGCTGGCAAGACTGTGATGACTCTAGCGCTTATTGACCACCAGGCGAAGCATGATAACGACGGCTATTCTCGACGCAGTGAGATATGTTCAGAAATTGGTGCGATGGCTTCTAAAGCTACACTGCTAATAGTTCCCGAGCATATCAGCACTCAGTGGCTTGAAGAAAGCTTGCGTTTTCTTAAGAACCTTCAGAGAAACGATGTTATTGTTCTCCAAACCATGAGAGATCTGACTTCACCCAGCAACTTGAAAAAGATCACCGAAGCCAGATTGGTTATTGCCTGTGACAAGCTGTTCAAGGAAAACCAATACCGTGCGGAATTGTCCAAGTATGCTGGAAGAATCGAACCGGGCAAGATGGCATCGGAACGTGTCTACAGAGCATGGTACCGCGAATGCGTGCTGCAGGTACGACAGTTCCTCGCTCGGTATCTTCGGGCGCAACATAACCATACAGCCAAACAAATGGTCGCCAATGACATTCAGACCGCCTTTCAAGAGGCACAGGCACTAAATCAGGAGCTAGTGGAAGGCATCGTCAAGAAAAGTACGAGGAAAGGTGCCAAGGGCCAGAAACAGAGTACCACTACATCACTACTCCAGACAAAGACTCGACCGCTCTCAGGGGCCAGAATGTTCATGGACGCTTGCATTCTTTTAGAGTTTTTCAGCTGGCCTAGGATTGTGTGGGATGAAGTGAGCTACCGCAACACCGAAGTTGCGCAGTTCCTCTCAGCTGCTGTCACAGATCACAAGTGGCTCTTGTCTGGTACACCTCCGCGCCAAAATCTGAGTGACATCGATTATTTGGCACGTGCATTGGGCATCTCGTTGGTACGACCTGTTAACTTGCGCCTAGGCCTTCCGTCGATTACGAAGGGGCCAATGGAAACCGTTCAAACTGACACTGAGCTATGCTGTTCTTATGGCAAATTAAAATCAGACAAGTTTGTCAAAGATCGCCACGAGCAAGCAGAGATTTTCCTCAAGACTCTCTCATCCTCTAACAAGGCGCCAGCTCTGAATGTCAGTATCACCGAGCGCGTTTTTGTATGCTCACCTACACTTATCGAAAAGGCCATCTACATGGAGAAGGAACAGGTCTGGCGTCGAGCACAGATGCTCACAGACAATCTGGCAGCCGAAGACCTCCGAGGTATGCTGCGTGATATTGGCCATCCCACGGGGACGCCATTTCCAGACGACTTGATATCACGTATATTGAGTTTTGCTGCTTCCCTCCCGACTTTCGGAAAAGACAATGGTCTCACACTTTCAAAGATGAAATATCATCGGGACGAGCTTCTCCGGAATATAGGGACGAGCATTCGACACCTCTTTCAGCAAGCCATCTGGCTCGCTCGTCGCCTAGAACAGTGTAATAACCAACGCGCTGAATCTCGACGAACCAGGAAAATAGGCAAACAAAGTGCAAAAAGCCAGAAGAAGGACGAAAGCATCAAGGATGCCGAAGAAATTGCACATGTCACCGCTTCCTTGCGAGGTCTCGTTTCTTCGCTACAGCATGGCGATTTTGAAACTTTCGGGGGGATACACAACTATCTCGCTCTGCTCAAAGTTCTTATTCCTGGTTGGGATCTTGATTCGCATGCTAGGAGGTACTTGCTTAACCTGGCCAAGTCTCGGTCAGGCGTGGATCTGGTGGCCTTACACTCCATGGAGATCAAGCCGAGTGAGCGAGCTGGTGATGATTTGAGCATTTTGCATGACTTGTACGAACAAGGCGATTTCTCGTGGGCAAACTTTTACAGGATCAATTCTGAAGATGTGGGTGCCATGGACCAGGCAAATGTTCTAAGTTTGACGAGGGAAAGTCTAAGCAAGATTCATGATCGCCATACACCTGAGAACGAGGAGAAACTCCGAGAGCTGGGACGAATGACACTTGCCCAGTTGCGCCAGACACTGAAAGATGACCTACCCATGATCAAATCAGCGCAAGAAGACTACCGCCAGAAGCTTGCTGACACCACATATGATGAAAAAGCGATGGCAACGAAGCATCGGGCCGGTCTAATGGCTGAAGCGCGCATTCGTGGATTGAAGATTTCTTCAATTGCAAACGTAACAACACTCCTAAAACTCATCAAAGCCCATGAGAATGGTGGTGCAGGACAGAAGAATTATGACACCCCTAATGTCCATGCTAATACACCAACGGACATTCCACCGCAACTCGGGCATACGGTCAAGGTGCGCGGTTCTGAATTTCCTGAAACTACGAATGCGTTCAAGGAAACCTTGCACCTCTTGACCAGCGCAATACGAATATTCAAGAGCCGTGAGAACGAGTTGCGACGAGCAAGGCTATTCCAACAGTTGCAGGACAACAAAGATGGGATAACTTGTCAAATATGTCATACAAGGACTGATTTGAAGGTTAACCTTGACTGCGGTCATGTCCTGTGCAGCGAGCATCTGGCTGGCAAAGAGCTTTGTGGGGATGGCACCACTCACTGCCAGGCTGTTATCGGAGATAATGCAGTTCCGATAGATGATCTGCGGCCCTCGAGTCGCGAACTTGAGCTATTGCCCAAAGCATCTGGGCATGCTTCGAGCAGTCGTCCACGCAATTACTCAAGCAAGGTGGACTGCGTCACGAATATTGCCAAAGGTGTCGTCCTAGGAGATGACAGTGTAGTGATATTTTCGCAGTACGACGACATGATCCAGCATATCATTCAAGCGCTGAAGCACAACGGTATTGTTGCCAAAACTACCAGCAGACTCCAGAATTTCAATGGTACGCCTGGCAATATGTCCAACATAATTGAGGCATTCAAGAAGAAGACATTTCGTGTCCTCGTACTCAAGGTCGATGCCCCCGAAGCATCAGGAGCTAACTTGGTTGTGGCAAACCACATCATTTTTGCTACGCCACTCTCAACACCCACACAAGATCTTTACGAGACTTACATGGAGCAGGCGAAGGGTCGCTGCGCTCGGAGGGGCCAGACAAAGGACATCTTCTTGTATCACTGTGTCGTCGAGGGTACAATTGAGGTTGATATCCTTGAGACGAGAACCAAGAGGCACGTCCGTGCACAACCTGGCCGAGCACTAGGCTGGCTCCTGCCTCGTGACGCTCCTGACGCCCGCCTCTATCAGCAAGACTGGAGCAGCAAACATGGCGCTACAACTCGGGTGAAATCTAGCTTACGACAGACTGAGGTTTGGAAGGCTATTGGGGAGGTTGATTACGTCACCACTCTCAACTTTGACAAGCCTGAAGATCCGCTGAAGGATACCGTCGGTGTCAAAGCCGACCAATTGGCCCACAAAGCATGGAGTGAGGACTTGGACTTCTGGCGAGATATATACAAAACCCTGGGACGGTCAAAGGTTTCAAAGACTTCATTTACCGACGATCAGGTGGCCGAAATTACGAGACGCAACTTTGAATCGATGGAACAGTCTCAAAACGGGACATGATCACTTTTCTGAAGGCATTGCTGTATGGAACGAACGGAACGATTTGACGCGCCGGACTATCGCAGAACGATATTCATTGTGATTCAAATGGTAGAGGTTTCATCATGTCTGAAGGTGATGAGGGGTGGGAAAGGAAAATAGAAAATGAAGAAAAAAAAATTGTGAAAAACAGGCGTGCTGTTCAACACAGCTGTAGAAAATAATGTTAGAAGTCAGCAAAAACTGAAAAGGTTTAACGCCACCAGTATAGTTTTGAGCGTTTGTGAATGACTGATGCCTGTGAAAATGAAATGTGACATCATAACCTGGCTAACTTGAGCTGAGTAGGGACTTTCACCATAATATTCCTGTTCTCGATCCCTGAACTCTCCAGCATAACCTCCTGGCAGTCCTCCACTGCAGTATCGTTCGCGAATTGTATCACCACGAAATCCACAGCCGTGCCCTGATCTCCCAGCGCAACCATCGGCGCATGCCACGTGCCAGCACCATATGTCACAGCCTGCTCACCCGTTGCTACGAACGCTCTCAGCTGGCCCAGATCAGGGAGTCCACTCCCCGGCAGTCCCCCCTTGCCGTCGCGCTCTTTCCTAGGCACGGGCAGGCCCTCGTCTCCCGTGCTCGCCTCCAAGGTTGGCGCCACGACGACCAGGTACCGAGTCCTTCCCCCGTCCTTCGTTAGGGGCGTGAACGTCTGCGTCGTGAAGGGGTGCCTCTCCAGGACTTTGACCTCAAACTGGTCCTTCTTGGGCCCGCTCAGCTCCCGTGCTCCACACACGAACATGGTGACCCGTGGCGTGGCATTGCTCTTGCTGGGCGCCTGGTCGTACAGGTTGCGGAGCGTGCCGAACTGTTTATATTGAATGGCAGTTCCCTGGTTGGCGGAGATGGCGCCACATGGCAGTGCTCCGGAAGCGATCGAGGCGGGAGATGTGTTGTGCGGGAGATCTGATGGAGAGGGATTTGTGAGGACGTCGCCGAAGGGGGCGAATGAAGACCGTGTGAGGGGTACGGCCTCTAGGTTACGGTCTCGGGGAACGGTGATGTTTTGCACGATCATTGTGTGGTGTTGGAACGCCTCGCAGCTTGAATCCGCCCGTGTATGAGCTTGGGGCAGTGGTGTATAATTATACCGCCGAGTAGGATGCCGAAATGTTTGACGGTGCGGAAGCGGAAGTGGGAAGCGATCGGCGCCCGCCGGTCTTTGGGGTGCTTGCGGTTCCACATTGATAGTGATTGTTAGGCAATCGGTGGAGGTCTACATTGATCGCTATCATGCACTAATTCAAGTACCCACGTAACAGTTGGTTGGCGCCATTGTGCAAGTGCAGGGTCGTCTTTGCGGTGAACCTCTCAAGACTTCCCGTGGGCAGCATTGGTGCGGCACAGCGAAATCCTTCGCGCATAGTTAGTCCCAGTTTTCGGCGCTGTGTCCGTAGGCAGCCTTCAACTGATATCAAGTCACGACAGTCAATACATCAGGATGTGCTTTTCGCCGTTCTTCGTGAACTATCCATAGCGTATGTGCGCTTGCCATTCGTTTGGTCACGCATGTTTGTAGAGTCGTTGTCATAGTAGTGGCAAACACGAGGACCAATATCAAAGTGTTTTAAAGTAAAGACATTCCAGCTCACATGAGATTTTGTGGTTTATGGCTGACAATAGTAGGGTTCTTCACCTCATATATACATCAAGAGTGATTGTGTCGCGATCAATCCATGAAACAGGCTTCCATCATGAGTCTCTGCTGCGGCCTCTTTCAGAGGCGGTCCACATCTGCGCGACAACCTGCGCGAGTCAGTGGTGGCAATCTCGAGGGCGTCGAGTTCAGCACCAGAACGTCCTACGCGAGCTCGCACAACGAGGAGATTCAAACTACACGTCCAGACGCCAGTGCAGCTCCTCCAGCCCCTCCAGCTTCTCAGACAGCCATACCGAATCCAGAGCTCACAGGATACTACTCACCTGCGGCACTTCCTCCACCCCAATCACAGAGACCTTACAGACCGCCACTGGACTTGCAAGGCTTCTATGGGTCTTCCCTGGCTGGATCACAACAGCCACTGCCAGCGAGGTCAGAAACCCAGATCATGCCGGGCTACATGTAGATAGTAATATCTCGGCGGATGCCAGCAAAAGCGTTGGACGTATGACACACATAACTGCTGGAGTTGTTAACATCCGAGCGCCTTTTGAACGACGATCTGGTTTAGCGGGAAGTACCAGCGATAGGTCGACGCAATATGATGAGATGATAGATAATTGATAACGGGACTACCGACATAGAAATGTTCAACGAGGTACATTACAAGGGAGATATGGTGCTTCGTCAATCTGGTGTAGACAGTATAGCATCATTCAGGGCGTGGCGATGCTATGTTTCTCAACTGTCACAATAAACCTTCCTGACATTCAGCAGGGGCATCTAGTTCCGTTGAAGTGGCATGGACGATAGTCCTACTCGGTCAAGGCTATTGGGAAATTATATTTTATTGCAAAAACAGAAATATTGGGGGCCAAAGGTGATTATTAAAGGTAATTAAAGGATCTAAATATGCTCTAACAAGTTCAAGAGCTAGTGCTTCTACTTCCTTTACTTTTTGTATGGTTATAGTCCGAACAATACCGGTTAGCCTAGTTTCCCATATCAACAATCGAGTGATTCACCTCTTCTGCGCATTGATGAAGTAGATATGTCGCCCGGTCATTCACGTACACCGCAGCACAATGATCTACTTGATGCCCCGTCAACGCAAATACTGAACCACTCATAGTCCAATCTCAATTTCCACTTGCATCAGGATGAACACCACTGCAGCGTCAGGATCTGGCGAGACTGCCACTTCGACCATCGTGTCACCGACAGCAAAAGTCGCAGAGGTTAGAGTATCCTCGCAAAGGTTATCTGAGCTCATCGAAAATAGTTCTTACACCTCAGAGAAAGCAAAGGAAGCTGTACCAAAAGCGACTGCTGATGAACCGGCCATCAAGGCACCTATGGAAGGCAGCAACACCTCTCCTCCTGCACCTTCTGAGCCATCGTCGACACCAACTAGCAGCGGTCCACAGACCGCGAAGGACGAGGCTTCTGCAAGCTCTCTCGTAACTGACACTACAACCCCCGCAGACGTTTTTAGCTCGCTAGCAGGTATTCGCGTTTTGTTACTTGATCCTCTTGATGGAATTCGCATCACCCCTATGGATCCTGACACCAACTCCACAGTTTCTGCGATATCGTCTCCGTCAACCACTCCCTTATCGCTTGCTGACTCTTCTGTTCAGCCAATGCCCACCCGTAGCATCCATGTTACCGTGCCTGTGGGCACCACGGCAGCTTCAGGCTCAGGGACTGCTGCCGCTACTTCTGCCACTGGTCTAGCAAACCCACAACTTCCCGCAATCAGCATTCGAACAAGAAGATCTGACGATAGAGACGTCGACTTACATGTCCGTTGGGCCGATGAGGTAGAGCCTGCCGCAGTTCCGCCCGATTCGTCGCCACGTCCTCCCACACCGCCCGCCGCCGCTGCTGCACCAGAACCGGAGGAACCGGATCGCCACTCGCTTCCAGAGCTTCATCATCACCAAGCCCCAGCTCAGCCACCCATTCACATCACTACGAGTTGGAATCCTGCCATAGTTTACCTGCAGTGAGTACTTTCCGTGATGGTTGGATTCCAAGCTGTTCTACTAACCTGATATGTAGCCAACAGTCGCCGTCCGCCATCAATTGCCATCAGCCACAGATGGTCATGGGCCACCAACACCCGACGCTCATCCATCAACAGCCTGCTACAGTTGCTAGTAACCAGCCCTACTTGCTCATAAACCCGCCTATGGTCGGCCCTGTCATCCAGGCGCCTCCCATTGGAACTGGAAGTTGGTGTAAGTATCCAGTATATTGTAGCCGCCCATCCACACATCACGAAATTGCTTGCTGTACAATTAGACGTACTCAATAGATCGGGATGTCCGTTGGGGTGTTCATTAGTCGAGCCCAACTAACAGCTGGACAGGCTACCCGAGTTCGCTCCAGTCACCTTTTCATACCGGTACAGCTCATTGGCGCACTAACCCGCCCATCATTATTGGTCGGCCAGGTCCCCAACCGGTATTCCTTGGAGGCCAGGCTGCCAATGTCATCATCTACCGTTGAGTGTTCTTGTAACTAGGCCTGCAAGATCATAGGATGTGAGTGGAGGTTGTTTAACAATTGTATGGACGTGAAATGGCTGGTGGAGAGAGCGATTTGGTATGTCATAGGGGACAGCTTCTGCATTTGCTTTTTAAGACTGCGTTCGCAGGATAACTGTCCCGGATAGTACGACACCACGTTGCTTTGTTAAGACGACGCGGACAGCTCGGAATGGTACCACCTTATTTGTGCCTACTACTAATAAATGAGATGAATCCGGTCTTCGCATTCCCAACCTCGCCGTTGAACTAATTGTTATCAAGGTGTAAAACGTGAAAGGATTCATCAATAAGTTATTTATGTCTCTTCGGTACTGTCTATACTTCACAAATAACTAGTAGCAAAATAACACCGCAGAACGTCAGCTCGTTAATCGTAATACAATAGGATATATAAGCCCATGTAAATTTAGTAGCCACAACTACCCTCATACCCTATCGTTTAGGCAAATATGTCCTCATTGCAAATGCTCCTGGTTATCGGCCCTCCGGTCTCCATGTTTCGTCGAGATATGAGTTAGTTCGCCCAATTGTAAATGCTCCTGCAGGCCAAAAATCACGCCTTTAAATCCGACCGAAACGACCCAATCGGCTTTTTATAGACCTCGAGGAATCCAGCAGAAGGTCTGGCAGACCTGCTCCCCCGCATTGCCCGCATTTGGAAGATATATACCGTTGCCGCTGTTGGCACTGGGCAAATGACGATGGATGAGGAAATAATGCGGGGATAACAACCATGTCCCAAACCTTTATTGGGTGTTCGCGATGCTTGGGTGGACTGCTCGTGAGTTATCATTGACTTTCGGCGGAGTCATTGCCGACGATAACTTTGTTAAAAAGAAAATAGACAGTAGCATGCTGGCAGCAGAATAATCCACATCCCACATCCTCGCTGCGAACCTGACGGCGAAGTTTTATTGCCAGCGAGAAGACTCAACATGGAGAAGCTAGATGTGAAGCACATTGAAGGAGACGAGGAGGTTTGTTTCTGCGTGGTAGTTTGGTCAATATCAGGTTCTAACATGGTCAAAGTCGCCTGTGCCGACAGACACGGCGCCACAGGATACCATCACGGCGGACGTCTATGACGAGAAGCTCAACGAGAAGTTAAACCGGCGCTTGGACATTCGGATCATTCCATTGTGCTGCTGGTATGTGACTGTTAAAGCCCCCCATTACCTTTCCTAGCTATCTCTCTTCTGTCTTGGGGGACGGCCTGAAATAACCTTTGTCGCTGTCCAAATGCAGTAACCCTGACCTATGATTGTCGTGTAGGCTGTATTTACTCAACTTCCTCGACAGGGGAAACATTGGGAATGCACGCGTGCTAAATGCAGAGACGGGCGACGACCTTCTCCAGCAAACCGGGATGACGGCTACAGGATACGCCGTCACGGTCTCGCTGTTCTCCGTCGCCTATGCCGTCTTCGAAGTCCCTTCGAACTGGATCATGAAGCACTATGTGCGCCCATCGCTTTGGTTGGCTTTTCTTTTGGGGGCCTGGGGTGCTCTCACCATAGGATTTGGTGCGTGTTATTAGGCTACTATTCCTAAACGAACCATCACCATGTGCTGATGCTGACAACGAGAAAAGCTGGTGTTCGTAACTATGGCGCAGTACTTGCGTTGAGATCACTGATCGGAGTGGTAAGCAATGCCTATACACAACAAACTGAGCCAGCTAAAGAGAGAGATATATAGTTTGAAGCAGGGTTCTTCCCTGGAATTGTGTACTTCATCACGATCTGGTATCGCCATAACGAGCGAGCAGTTCGCATCGCCTTGGTCATTGCCTTCTGCAACCTAGCAGGTGCCTTTGGCGGCGCCATTGCGTATGGCATTGGGCATATAAATGGTGAGGGAGGACTTCAAGGTTTCCGCTGGCTCTTTATCATCGAAGGGATTATCACAATATTGAGTGTGCTACCCACAGCATTGATCCTCCCAGACTATCCTTCGCGGGCCAAGTTCCTAGATGAAGATTTAAAACGTCTTGCCATCGACAGACTCAAGGAGCGAGGCGGTGGCTACAACAGGGATCATGCGTCGCGCAAGGAGGTCCTTCAGACGTTCTTCAGCCCGAGGATGTTGGCCCATTATGTTGCCTACGTGAGTCATATTCCTCCGATTCTGTATCACATTGGCTTTGTGTGCCGCTGACCTGACACCTCTTTGCGATCTCAGATTGCAAACGTAGTCCTGCAAGGATCCTTCACATTCTACTCGCCAACGATTGTGACTGGTCTGGGCTACGCGTCGATCCAAGCACAGCTCATGACAGTTCCGCCGTGGGTCGTTGGGTTTGTGGTTGCCATTGTGCTGTCGTACTCGGCCGATCGCTTCGATGCTCGGGGATGGCATATCGCTGGGGCATCCATTGCCGGTGGCGTCGGCTGGGTGACCGCTGGCTCCTTGCCACCAGATGCCTATGCTTCGAGATATGGCTGCTTATGTCTAGCTGCTGCTGGAGCGTTTCCGTACGCACCAGCAATGACCAACTGGGTTACCTGCAACACGCCATCGCTTCTGACGTGAGTTTGCGGCACTCCTACCGTGCTTGGCTTTGTATATAATATGGATATTGGCTTACTGATGTCGATCGATAGTATCCCCTTTGCCATCGCCTTGCACAACTCATGCGCAGGCATCGGTCAGATCATTGCACAATGGATATGGAAGTCCAATGAGACCTCGTTAGGGTATCCGACCGGCAACTATGTGTGCGCTGCTTGCAGCTTTTTCGTAGCAGTCATGACCATTGGCCTGCGACTCTGGTATGCTCGAATGAACAGAGTTGGGTCATTGGACGCTCGTGGTGAGACGCGGGTTTGGTCATACTAGGCCGTGTGACACTACACAGGGTCTGGGCAACAATATACTAGCCATGACAATCGAGGGACAATGCAATAAGTAAGGAAGGAAGCGCTAGACCAGCCATAAACAACTTCCAGTCTTCATCTTCCAAAAAGTCTCGCCATCTCTTCTCATCCTCTCTCGCTCGACTGGACATGAGATGGCAATTTCTGGTAACCGGGGTGGTCCATCTTTCAGTATTTTCAGACTCCCCATCTTCGGCTTCAACTCCAGTGACTTATTTTATTATGATTATTAAAATTTTTTTTTTTTTTGGCACAGACTGTGAAGACGCCCCAAGTTGATATCTGGCATTCACCCTGTGAGTTCATACAGCCTTCTGCGCCGCCTGTTGGAACATCATATTGTGGTGGGCTTGCGTTGACATACTACTGAGGCTCCGAGAGTTTACTGAACCACACCGGCATGATGATCCTGAAATCGATCCATTTGCCGAAACATTGCATAGCGTTCTGTGAGATCATGTTTATTTTCTCCGAGTAGGATCGTGTAAATTGAATACGTCGTAGAAGCTTGGTCCAATCTTCTAGAACCATAGCTTTGTTATCAACTCCAGAATCGATGGCCTTACCCTGTGCTCGGGTTCACGTCATTTGCCTTGACCCCTGTCCCTTGACGTTAGCGCAACAATCAACCCCTCCCCCCTCCTACCCCCGGTCTGCAGCAGTTGGTCTGGGGTTTTAGGCCTCCAATCCAAGGGAATATGGAGACTTCCAGGGCTCGGAACCACTGAAGTCAATTACAGGGAGTCTGATGCTATCTGCATGAAATTGATTACCTCAACCACTTGGAGCAGTGTGGGAATCCAGCTGATCACGACGAACTTCTGGGGTCGCATCCTTCCTACGTATGGAGTGGCTCAAAATTGCACATCTATCAGGAAGTTCCTCTGTCGAAGGAGCAGCCAGATTCAATGATGCTTCGTGAGCACGTATCCCACACCCACTGATTCATGCGACTCCGCTCGACTGGAGAGATGAAAGTAGTATTGCTAGACAAATGGTTGATTGCATATGAGCCTTCAATATCCAATTCCTTGGCTAGTGGATTGAGACGCCGATTCAAAGAAGAATTGCCCGACTAAAACCGTTCGGGGCTCTCCTCAGGAATGCTTCCAGGTTGTTCCAAGATACCACTGCCACTGTTCTACGGACTCCAAGCCGCAATTCTGCTTTTGCAGCCACAATTTTGTTGGAGGAGCCCGGTCTGCATGAGACTTGAGGAGTCGTGACGGTATGTTTTCCTCAAATCACATCTTTCTCCCGGCACGACGTCCGCGAAGTACGATTTCACACGAAGTCCGATCCTACAGTCACTGGAATACCGACTCGTGCTGACGGAGTTGAAGCTAGCTGTACGGTGCGGCTGGATCGCGAGGTCTCTGGACCTGACGGTGCTGATGCCATGATCTGGTCCATCGTGAGATGATGCGCACAGCTAGAAGCCTAGGTATTGGCGCATTGAACGATCAGCTGCAACGGCGGCTGAAAATTGTGGCAATCCCAGAGGCGCGTGATAGTGTGTCATGAATCGTTGCCCAGCTCAACAGATGCGGTGCATGAATAACCTTCAAAGGTTTGACGGAAAACTCGTGACCATGAAAAGGCCGAGGCTTGCAAAACAGGAGACATCTAGATCACAAGTTGGTGGCGCGGTGAGTGCCGAGCGTAGTCGCTAGCTCCCCGAAGGAGCGGAGCCGTTTTCAGTGAGCCTCTAACCTTAGATCTCAGATTTGGTGAAACTCATCCCCCGTGCGCCGCGTGACACGAAATATTCCAAAGCCATGGCTGGATGTTTCCATACCAAAAGCTAGCGTGTACCGTAGAGATGGGATGTGTCACGACGTTTGTGTCGCTTTGATGGTGGTGCTTTTCTTAGCCTGTGCCACTCCAAGCCTTCACCGCAGAGCCGCAAGCTAGTTGCATTTGCCAAGTCTCGACCAGACTGGTCTTCATTGGACTTTACACTAACTTACATACTTGTCATGTACTACGAAAAGAATTAAAAGGATTGAATTTATTTATTTATTTAAATTAAGTAAAAAGATTCCTCTTCGTTGATCGACAGACAGGCCCCACCCGCACGTGGTTGGTCTCCAACAATCCAGACAGCACCAGTCAGTGGGATCGCCTTCCTCCAAAACGGTTCCCAGTGCACTGGTCCCGAGGTTCCATCAAATAAGCAAAGGCGTATGGGCATATGTACTCCGTAGAAGGCATTGGGGTAGAGTCTGGCAATGTTGACCCGCTTTGAACCAAGAATCTTCGCGAGTCACTCAAATTTCAGGAACACGGGGACGAGACAAGCGAGGGATTCTCAACGTTAGCAAAAACGAGGTTTTGCTGTTTGGGCTATCGGACCTTTCTGTCATAAGCGGCTATGTCATATGTCGGTCGTTTTCGCATCCTTGGCGCCCGAAAAGATTCAGATTTGTCTCCGGGTAATCCGACGCGCCAGCGAAATGAGATTCGTGTATTGTCCCCAGCTGAAGCTCCTTTTATGTAAGAATTTTAGCCATGACGAGTCGGCGGTTTCGTATTGGCGCGTATCGTAACTGTGTGTGCTGTAGTTTACTCGAATTGTTCATTGTCACCAGAAACTACAGGGTACTTGATTGAATTTACTATCCAATTTGACGTGCCAGTCGCTCATTTCGGACTGGTCATGCACGGGCGAGTTGCATCGAAATCCCGCTACCACAGTCAAGCGAACAGAAAGGGACCGAATCGAATCTTGACCGAGCGAGACCGTTGAGGATTCTGGCCTTTTTCTACACAAGTCTGAACCTACCTGAGTCGGCTGGCTTCACCATGGTATTGAGCCCCTCCCCTTGTCTAGACTCAAGATGCCGCCGAGTACAACTGTATCGGCCCTTTCCCTTCAGATGAAGCTGGGGATGAACTTGGGGATGTTTGGGGACACTCGGTGAAATCAACGGCCATTCCCCCATCTGGGGGAATGATTCTCGCGTGGCTTCAGAGATTTAAGCTTTTGGGTAGGCACAGATGGTCAACCTGCACTTTGAGTGTGTATTGCGCCGACCACGTCCGAAGACCCCTGTCGGGTCTGACGGTGTTTAACGGGCAATGATACTTGGTTAGAGTGACGGGGACCATCCTATCGGACAAGCCAATGACAGTCACAACCGTATCATTGGAACGTCAACATTCATTGCAGATTGTAAACACTATGTAGACCTCTCAAAGACATCAGAGGTAATGCGCATGCCTTGGAGAAGCGTGTCGTATGAGCACTGATCACGAGGACTCATCTGATCTTGCCTGCACGCGGAACAATGTGCTGTGACAATGCGTTGAATCAGCAACAGTCGACGCATTTTCGGCTCGGTGATAATGGGGCCTTAGAGCCCGACGGGCCAGGATCAAACCATCGAAGATTCAGCAGCAGAACGTGATCAAGACAACTCCACAAACATGCCCCAGAATCACGGATTCAGCTCCAGTCATCGGATCAGTCAGCAATGATGGTGGTGCAATACCCGCGTGTAGCTGTCCTTACCATCGGACTGGTCGTGCCATCCCGACACGATATCTCAAAAATTTTCGAGGTGCCAAAGTGCTAAAACTTCTAGAATCCGGTCTGGCGGTTCAGATAGCGTGTCCGCTTGAACACCGGCAGAATCATAAAAGCACGGAGGTGAAAAGTTGACCCAGCACAGCGCTCCACAGTAAATTACCTTTCTAGGAGGAGTGCTTCGAGACTCACCAATCAGCACACAAATCCGGCTTTACCGCAGCCCGGACAGCAGCGACGGCGCCATTGCTCACTGAGCAGAAAATCGACCGACAATCTGGCCGAGTTTCCACTCCAGCCCACAATGAAGCCGAAAGCGACCGAGTCCATTACGACAACTTAGCCCACCGTAGTCTGCCCACTGCAGGGTCTCTCGGTTCTCCAGGCTCGTCTGGAGTGTCGCGTTAGTGGAGTCTGCACAATGTCACCCCGTTTCTCTCGTCTCGGGGTATACTTTCGTGGGGATTTTGCCTTTGTGGGAGAGTGGTTCCACTGTCCTTGGGGACTTGGAGAATTGTCTGGAGCGCTCAAGGCATGTGCTCCGGGGCGTGGAGGTGGGTCCCAAGTTTAAGTAGTCGGAACTGGGCGTTGCAGCACCCAAATTGCAACCAGCAATTGTATAAAGGAGATCATGATGCCCTCGTGAGTTCAAGTTGTTCTCCTGCATTCTAAATCTCACTTCTCTATTAAACTCCTGAGCTCTACTATTAGTTCTTTGGGCCACTCACAAGTCCCTTTCTTAACTTGAACTACCCACCTTTATAATCCGAAGACTATATACCCCATTACTACTTAACAATCCGACAAGATGCCCGGTGGTGTCGTTCCCCACGGTACGGCGGACGTGAACCGCGTCGAGGCGCCCGTTACCTTGAAGACCTATGCCATGTGTGCTTTCGCCGCATTCGGTGGTATCTACTTCGGTTATGATTCCGGATACATCTCCGGTGTCAACGGTATGGACTACTTCATCAAGCTGATTGACGGTCCCAATGCCACCGAACTGGAAACCTGGAAGAAATCTCTTATTGTTTCTATCATGTCTGCTGGTACCTTCTTCGGTGCCATCATCGCTGGTGATATCGCAGACTGGATTGGTCGAAAGTGGACTATTGTTACTGGCTGTTTCATCTTCCTCGTCGGTGTCATTCTCCAAGTTGCCTCTGCTGGCCTTGGTCTCATGGTTGCTGGCCGTCTCATTGCTGGTTTCGGTGTCGGTTTCGTCTCTGCCGTTCTGATCTTGTTAGTACCACCAACCCGTCACTTTTTCAAGGCAATCTTCTAACATCATATTCAACAGGTACATGTCCGAAATTGCTCCTCGCAAGGTTCGTGGTGCCCTCGTCTCTGGTTACCAGTTCTGCGTCACCATCGGTCTCCTCCTCGCCTCCTGCGTCTGCTATGCTACTCAGAACCGTGAGGATTCTGGATCCTACCGTATCCCCGTTGCCATTCAGTTGCTCTGGGCGCTGATCCTCGGTACTGGTATTGCCTGCCTGCCCGACTCCCCACGATACTTCGTCAAGAAGGGCAAGCTCGACGTCGCCGCTGTCGCTTTGGCCAAGCTCCGTAACCAGCCTATCGAGTCCGACTACATTCAGGATGAGCTTGCCGAGATCATTGCCAACCATGAATACGAGATGTCCGTCATTCCCCAGGGTGGCTACTTCGACTCCTGGATGAACTGCTTCCGCGGCTCGCTCTGGAAGCAGGAGTCCAACCTCCGCCGAACTATCCTCGGTACCTCTCTTCAGATGATGCAGCAGTGGACCGGTGTCAACTTCGTTTTCTACTTCGGTACCACCTTCTTCAAGACCCTGGGCACGATTCAGAATGCCTTCCTTGTTTCCATCATCACCTCCATCGTCAACGTGTGCTCCACTCCTGTGTCTTTCTGGACCGTCGAGAGATTTGGTCGTCGTTCCATCCTGATCTGGGGTGCTCTTGGTATGGTTATCTGCCAGTACATCGTCGCCATCATCGGCACCATCACCTCCAAGCCCGAAGCCATCTCCGCCATGATTGCCTTCATCTGCATCTACATCTTCTTCTTTGCCTCTACCTGGGGCCCCGCCGCCTGGGTCGTCATTGGTGAGATCTTCCCTCTCCAGATCCGTTCCCGTGGTGTCGGTCTGTCGACCGCCTCCAACTGGTTGTGGAACTGCATCATCGCCATCATCACCCCATACATGGTCGATACCGACAAGGGCAACATGGGTGCCAAGGTCTTCTGGGTCTGGGGCACTCTCTGCGTCTGCTGCCTGGTCTACGCCTACTTCCTCGTCCCGGAAACCAAGGGTCTCACTCTTGAACAGTAAGTTTTTCTGCCCCTCAACTATTTATTAAATCAGCAACTAACATTATTTCAGGGTCGACAAGATGCTTGAGGAGACTACTCCCCGCAAGTCCGCCATGTGGGTGCCGCACTCTACCTACGCTGCCCAGATGGGTCTCGCCAACAAGGACCAAGTCGAGCACATCGAGAAGGAGAGCGTTTAAACGAGAAAGACGATGATAGTAAAGAGTCGGGTGTGAATAATTAAAGAAACGGATACTACGAAGCGCATATATATATTAATGGGCTACGACTTCAGCGGTAGAACCGCGCACGATTAGAAGATACCACAAAACAATTGGATAGGGGACGGGTTTAGAAACCACAGCGGATGATTATCATATCTCAGGATACCAAACTTTAATAAACATTTCAAAGTTCAAACATAAATGGCCTTCAAATCTTGAGTGTACTCGATCCTGCAAAGAAGCTAGTGTGTCTAGCAGAGCACTCTTTCGTGTCTGTCAATGGAGTGATTGCTCTTTTCCCTTCCTAGTTTTTTTTTTTGTTTTTTGTTTTTGTTTTTTTGGACTTGCTTCTTTCACCAACAGAGCAAGAGTAATTTCTGCCGTAGTACCAACACTTTCAACCTAAGAAAACTTCGTTCCTGGCCCCGTAATCTTCCGTCTAGAATTTGCTATCTCCTGGAATTAATAACGGCCCACATAAAGACGGGAACTTTCGGTGTCAATAGTCAATTAAACAGGGATGGAAAAGCACTCTTCCCTTCCCAGGACCTGGCCACCCATTGCACGCCTGTTCAGAACTGCCTCCGCTTGAATGCAATAACTCAGGTTTGGCGAGTCCTCAGCACCCTTGAACATGTTCGCTGATATCTTAATGGGAGAAGGAAAAAGAGAACATCAGTAAAATGGCCACGGCTATGAGGCTGTTAATCTTGAAGAATTAAAACAGTTTGATTATTCTACAGGTCAAAATTTTCGCGCATGATAGTCCATAGAAGCGCACAGCACAAAATCAACCAATCAAATCAAGACGCTCACAGCCGTATTTGCAGGGTCCATGACCATGTACGGAATGGCGCCGTCGTCCATCTCCCTACTGTTGTAGTAGAAGACTTTGGCCAGCCTGCACAGCTCCAGATAAAACATTTCCGAGATGTCCCTCACCTGAACCTCCTTGTCCCCTCTCTTCTTCTTGTACACGTTCCACTGACTGAGCGCAAAGTTCAGCAGGCTCCGGTCGCTGGCGACGCGGAAGCTCAACAGCCAGGGCAGCTGGGTCGCGAGCAGCCACTCCCTCTGCCGCCTGATGGGGAGTGCCCTGATCATGTGGTCCTCTGTGAAGCTCCGCAGGTCGTCCAAGGACGTCGGGAGCGCAGTGCACAGACAGGGGGGCTTGTTGGGGACGAAGGCCTGGTAGAAGTTCTGCAGGTAGTTGACCGTGGAGTGGAACGGTGCGGCGACGTGTATGCACATGGTGACAGCATCCACGAGCTGATCAAATGTTTCGATGGTCGGGAAGGTCTTCAGCCATCCGGCGGTCTGAATCTCCTTGCACCAGTCTGCGATGTATGGATCTTCTGCGACCATCTCGTCGGCGCGCGCCTTGTCGTAGTACGTCTGTAGGATCGAGGAGACGTACTGTCGGATGGCGGTCCACATCAGCGTCATGTTCTTGGCGTATGGGTAGTTCTTATACTTCGGGTCCCTGAGAGCAGCTTCTGTGTCTGGAAAGCCTCTCGAGGTTAGCTGGTTCGGCACGTAGTTCCCGACAAAGTCGTAATTCTCGTATCCATGTCTGATGAAGGAGGAGGCTTGCTCGGGGCTGAAGCCCACAATGTCACGGATCGTGTGGGGCACAAGTGCGTCCCTTGCCGCAGCGTTTAGGGACAATGTCTTGTACCAATGTGGGTGCAGAGTCTTGTAGATGATGTGTTCCATCGGGATCGTTCTGTTCGTCGCCACAATGACGGTCTCCTCGATGAAATGCGAATTCGTCAAATGGACCGTGAGTTCGTGGCGGACCCAATCTGCCACTTGGGCGCAGGTTTTGGCATATCGCCAAGGCCAATCCGTGGCTTCCGTCTTGCTTGAGTCCGAAGGAGAAACACGCTTGTTGAAGATTGTGACAGACTTTTCCATGGTCTTCTTGTAGTCGATGCAGATCGCAACTGGATGAAGCTTTCCGTTGTCATGTAGCTGGAACAAGGTGACAGGGGCACAGGCCCAGTTGTCCTCACTCAGAGGCTCTTTGTGGTGGACGGTCTCGTCTGAAGCCACCCCCATGGCTTCCCGGTAGTAGCTGCAATCCTGCACAAACAACGATGCTGGGTCGATTTTAGGTAGTATTTCGGCCCATTTGATGTAGCCCCCAGACCTCGCAGCCTTGATGAACTCCTCGACAAAACTTTTTGATGCTCGGGTGATTGTTGTAGGATTGGTACCAGTGAAAGACTGCTCAGCGAACCTTCTATCAGAAAACCAATCAGGTAAGAGACCGACATTTTCCCCTCGAGCAATATCTGTGCCAGACTTGCGGTGGAATTTATTGTATTCTTCGCAGTCCTTGATCGTTGGTCCCACTGAAGGGTCGCCGGCAATAACATCTATTGCTGTATTCTGTAGCCACTCTGCTGTTTTCCCCAGGAATGAGTCCGGAATGACCTTCCGAACAATGACGATGGATTGAGCCAGTCCAAGTGCGTTGAAGATCTTCCATTTCGATACATCATCTGCCTTAGGAATCACTTGCAGATGAGGTGGGTATGCAGCAGGTTTGCCATCATCGCCTATTGGGTAGGCAGAATACTGATAAATGTCACGTTTCTCTTTCAGATCGATATAGCGTGGTAGCGTGGGTTCTATTGCTAGAACATCAAAGTACGATGCATAACTACCAAAGGTAAGCCTCGATCCTTTGGGGGTACAGTACAAACACCTTGCTTACCTCTGCTCGATTCGGGAGTAGACTTGTGTCAACGCTGCTTGTGTTCCCGCGTAGGTGCCTTCTTCGATATTCCCTCCCTCATACTCGAACCCATCTCGGGTATGAGCCTTCTCGGCATCGACTCTGCCGGAAATCCCCAAGTTCAGGAGTTCCTCGGAGAGGACGCCGGGGTCGAAGTCTGCGAGTGGAGCGTCCTTCACTCCGACTAAGGTTTTCAGAAACTGGTCCTCATTCGGGTGTGACAGAATTGAGTGTGGTAGTGCGAGGCGCAAGTGAGCTGGGGGTATGGGAAGATTGGAGTTCAGCCTTGATACGAGGTCATTCTGACCGTAGCCGAATTTTGACCGCAATGAGGATATTGTGTTTCCCATTATTTTCGTCAAACACAGCACAAGTAGTAGTATTATCAAGCAAAAACAGCAACAGGAGCCAAAAAGTAGAGGCAAGAGGCAACGGTGGGCAGGTAGCCATTCCAAATATATAACATGAAGTCGATCCCCAGAGTAATTCCAGAATTCCGGACCCTGGACCTTGCTGATCTCTAAGCCTCAGCGCCTCGATGCAATATTGCGGTACAACGACATGCAATTGGCTTAGTGGTCAGCCTGACGTAAAAAATGAGCGGGCCGAGACAGAGGTGCTCACATGCATCTTGGCCTCGACGCCGCGGTGATGCTTCGTGGGCTGACAATTGAACAAACATAGCTTCGGTGAGTCCTTAAGTACCCGGTGCGCAAGCATTACAGAAGCGCCCGCCCATGTCATGGCTTATATTATGAGGCGGCGCTACCTGTAGGCTTACTGGCGCTCTGCCAATCATTTCCAAAGAATATACTGTGCAGGGTAAAGGTCCGCCAGGCTGGCCATTCGGTTCGGGTAATTCGTCCCAATGGGCCGGCTGGTTATAGTGGAGGCCCTGTGGCAGCCTGGCGACGATTTTGTTGTGTCTTACCCGGACGTAAGCAAAGGATAGCCAATACAGACATCCAGGGTTTGCATCCTTCAGGAATCACCGCTGCAAGTACACCTAAAGTAGTCTAGCCTCGGGCCAAGGTCGAATGTTGTAAGCTCAGCCCTATGCAGCTCGGAGGAGCGAGCTCTAAATGACCTAGATTATCATTCACAAGCTTGAAAATGAGTTCAGGTATACGCATCGCCCTTGTAAGAAGTTCACCGCAAAGCTAATAATAATGATCACTAGATCATAAAACCATACCTCGGAAACTATTCGTGTCAGCGCATGCGCACTATCCAATTAGGAATCACCGCCAGTAGTCATTGGCGCAATCTGACATAATTCCGCTGGCTGGTGTGCCGGACGTTCCCTTTCTAAGACTATAATGACAGTTGCATCTTAATAGTTCCCCTGAACTCGACTTACATTCCCTAATATTGCCTCCTGGAATGTCCATATAGCATTTTCTTTTGAGGATCAAGATTCTTTGTATATGTTCTTCAGCGGAATGGTCTCCACTCATAAATACTAGTAATGAACGTTAGTGCTGTAATAAAATATGACAATTTAAAAACAGGCTTGACCTCTATGTCACTTCCGTTTGTTTGCAGTAGAATCCACGCTTTGATGTTTATTCAAATGCTCAATAGCGTCTTCTGTGTAAGCCCAATCAGATTCTTGGTCTTCAGCGTACTGTATGGGTCTCATCCATTTCATTCTGCTGTTCCACATCAGCTCCTGAGGAGAGAAGATACATTAATGCTTGCTCCGCATGCCACCAATGCCAACCTCTCGCAAGTTCGTGAAGAGCCATGTTTCGTTCAGCTATATACTTTGGGCCCTTAGTACTCGAAGCCAAGTATTCACACATGGTGATCTCCTCGTCCCAGAATTGGTGCCCCATTCTGCCTGTGGCGTTGACATTTGTGGGAGTCTTTCCTACCAAGAAACGGACAACGTCCATATTCAGCAATTTTCGTTTACAAGCTTGAATTGTAAGCCCGTTACCTGATTTCAAAATCTCGCCATTATGAGATTTTCTTTTTGTACGAATCAAGAACCTCACTATCACGTCTTCGTAATCTGTCGTATTCGTCGCTGGTTTCCATGGCCACCATGTCATATGCAGAAGCCAATCCGTATCCTGAATATTGGAACCGGCGCAGGCTGTGGTCCTTGCTATGTGTCGCGCAAATTCGAATGCAGTTGTTGAATCGACGCAGCAGACATGCCTCTTTCAAGTTGGTGGTTAACAAGCCTAGGCGGGATCTCCTCCAAACGAGCAGTACCATGTGGCCACTCGATTCCTCGCGATGGACAAAAGCTACCCCCATAACATTCCTGAAACGCCTCACTGATGATTCTGCCGGCAATCATCACGGACGAACAGGGCCGTGGAATGTGATGCTGTCGGTGATATCTTGATTCTACCCGTCTGGAAGTGAGAGCGTTCACCCGATGCTTCCACAATCGCTCAAGGTAGGTTTTCTTGAATCAAACCATAAAGCTCGTTCCTCTTCAAACTTGGTGCACACCTCAGGCGGTATAAGACCATTGTTGTCACAGATCGTTGAAGTCCGCCCCTGCTTGCAAGAGTAATGTCACGGTCTCATGTTGTCCGGAGCGGGCAGCATGGTGTAGAGGTGCGTCCCTCTGCATCTTTTGCGTTGACTTGTTGGCTGATCTTAACCATGACCTTGCGAAGAGCTTCAACTAACATGCGCACGATGTTGCTTTGTCAAGCACGAGCGGCGAGATGTGACGCGGTCAAATCTTCATTGGTCACACGTGCAGGATCAGCACCGGTCGTCAGGAGATGTTTCACGAAAACCTCGGAGATTGTGGAAGCCAGAAGAATTAATGCAATTCCATCGGCATTGGGTGGATTCACCTCACTTCTGAAGATTTGGTGAAGTTGTGTATTGCTGTCATGGTCAACGACTTGACTCTGCGGCGATGCGGCGTGTGCCATGGCGCGACGACTCATCACATTCCTTTGCATCCCCCTGAAACTGATGGCAGGACCATGACCAGTAATGGTAGATTTCCAGGTTGCCCGGAGATGTGGTACACCAAAGCCAGCCACCACCAGCTAGCAAGGAGCGTGTGCATAGCTGAAGGCATTTTCGGTTCGTCATGTGAGCAAATGTTCTGTTGTTGATTGTATGTCGTGGATGGCGGAGTTGGTCCATGAAGTAGATGATGGCTCTGCGCCAGACAGTGACTACTTACTTCAAGGCACGATTTTCTAAGGTTAGAGCGCTATGTATTATTGTGACTCTATAGTATTAATTCATTATGGAACACCCTGTAGTGCAAAAATTTGTTTTTCGTCAACAGAGATCTATCCTAACCTAGAAGGATGTGTCTCACATATGAAAGATACAAGGCTGTGAATAGCAAATGAAGTCATTATCCAGTTAATCCTACAACTAGACTAGGTATCATAAAAGCATCAAACCCGCCCTCTCAAGATGGAGGGGAAAAAAATCATATGCGTGAATGGTATCCTTTAAAACAAGAGCAACCCCAAAACGCCCTGTACCCTGGAGCACAGTTGTGTATGCCGTATGATGGTATTAGAAACTGGCGTCGCAAGCCATTTCTGTCCTCTATGTACCTGTACTCATCTGCCACGGTGAGCGGGCTTCTTAGCCATATTCACTGGTGGAGGAGGGTGGTCATCATCCAAAGGGTATGGAAGAGTCGAGCCTCCCCTCCCTTGACGAAGTGCTGGATGCTTCATGTCCTCCTGAAGTGGCGTTTTAGGCGGCCTTGGGGGAGCAAGGGGTTCGATGCGGAAACCTTGTGGCACAGAAGACTGTACTATTGGAATGCTTTGCTGTCTGCGAGGAGCCTCATCAAGACTTGTGATCATGATTTTGTCAGCCCCCGATTCATTATGGTACTGCGCAGGCGTAGGCGCCGTCACCATCAACCGATCAGGATCGTCGATAACTGGCTTGGTTGCAGTAACCACTGGACTTTGTGAGGATGGCGTGTATTCTTGAACTGGCTGTAGCGGCGGTGATGCGTGACTAGTCGGTGGGCGAATCCTCTCGTTGGAACTTCTCGGAGATGGTGTGTAGGCTGCGTTTGAACCTGGAAGGGACAAACGATCAATCCCAGAGTCGTAAGACTGCCTACTTGGAGGAGTTGTGTGCAATGGCATTGGTGGTGGGAAATCGCCGGGAAGCTCGACAGCCAGAGGGAAATTGATGGAATCATAGTTGGTGTAGGTGGCTGAGGGAGAAACGACACCAGGCACATTACTACCCATTCTCTCCCATCGTTGTTTTGCCCTATGAATCTTGGCAAGCTTGGACGACGAGCCCTGAATCATCTTCTGTTCGTCGGGTCTTGACATATACCGCCTTGTGCCAGTGCTAATTTCGGATAAGCGATGCCATTCATTCATACCAAACTCGCCAACTCCAACCTCGACGTTGAGACGGTAGTAATTCTCGGCGTTGACGCCCCGCTTCATAAGGTGTTCTTTTTTCATGTACTCGTGGATGACCTCGCAGTTCTCGATCTTGGCGATAAGCTTTTTCCTTGCTTCAGCGAAATCGCCCAGGAAGCCTTCGTACCATTGGTGGGAGTTTGTGTCAGTGCCTTTGGGTCTACGACCTGTACCAACACTGACAAAGACTCCGACTTCCCTTCCAGGCCATTCATTGACTGTCGCCTCATCAAGAGCGGTGGGAGAGGGGTTAAACTGGCCGCTGCCATCGTCGTGGAACAGCGACTGACCGACCCTGATTGGTTTGAAGGCCAGTCCAATAGCTGAAGTCGCGCGCCCCGCCTCCCAAATCTTGCAATCGTATTCTGGGGCGGGCTCTTTTCTCGAGTCGTACGAGCGAAGCAATGCGGGCTCTCCGCCCTTTGGTGTGCCCTTATAATACGCCGTAACAGCACTGTTACCCCGTTAGTTTCGCAGCGTCACGGGCTGTGGTACGAGGGGGCTAAGTCTTACGTTTTGGTCCTGTCCTCTCTCTCATCGTAAAGTTTTGCGTTGGGGTCACCATATCCACCCCGGAATGCCGGGCGTGCCATCTGGGCCTGCGGACTGCGCGCACTGAAGCTCACGACGCTGGCATTGCTCGTGTGCCTACTGACCCTCGAGGCCGCGCTCGCTCTTGAAGCGGGGGACAATGGGTAACCTGAGGAACCTGTGCCATCATTGCCCTCTTCATCGGACGCGGTGTGTTCCCTCACGGCTTCTTTGATGGCCTGCTCGAGCATGGAGGCCTTGAACAAGGTGGATCGGTATGGTATTCCAGCAATGGTTTTGTCCGTCTGAAAGACCATCCTCGTCATGCGCACGTATAGTTCCTTGCACGTCTCAAGGTCGAGCCTCAGGCGACCCAGCATGATGGCGATAAGGCCGCCTGTACCGGTGCCGACGATGAGGTCGAAATGGTCGCATGGTTTCGGTATCTGGTCGCGTCGCGGTGCCTTGCCTTCGATCTCGACGTAGACTCTGTGCATCAACTCTTGCAGGATGATTATCATTGAATAACCACGAACCCCTCCGCCATCTGTCATGCCCCGCATACTACGTCAGTGGATTGTGACCATGGGTGTGTTTCGAATATCGCGGATGAGTACTCACCTAACGAAAGTATCCGCAAAGGCGGACCTTTAGTTGTGTCCTTCCTCTTGAGAGCGCCCTCATGTTCCATCATGTGCGAGAGTGTGTAGAGGCTATGAGCTCTACTATGTCAAATAAAGGAAGAGAGTGATGTGAGCTCTCAAGAGTCCGGCGCAATTATTAGAGTTCGTAAACTTAGTCTAAAGAATCGAATACCAAGTATGTAACTAATGACTCCGCCACGGGCGTCAGTAATGTTGGGTAAGGTAAGGTTGGCACAGGCAGTAATTACGCAATAAACGGGCTGGGCGGATCAAATGCGCCACGGCCCACGACAGATGAGCGCTGCTGAACCTTTCTTTATCAGCAAGGCCTCCCTCGAGATGCGCTGACCGCAGATGCCGAGACAAAACAAAACAAAAACCAACTCGCGCGGAACGTTTCACAGAATGGGTGGGCTTGGTCGCGCTATTCTTCCGCTCGATAGTGCCTTGTATTTCGTGATGAGATTTTCCTTTTGGTGAGATAGCGTTTCTGGTATTTCTTTAAAGCAGTTCTGGTATCGTCCCGTTAAGCTTAAGAGGCTAATAAGTACAGCATGTACTCTACGCATGTATGTATGAAATAAATAGCGGGGCGTGCCTGCAGCTGCTCAAGTGTGGCTGTGAATAGCAATCGCATGCGCCAAAGACTGCAGCTCTTCTTTTTTCGCCGAATCATTAGTCGTCAATCAGAAGCCAGAAGCATGGCTTCGTGGAATAAATGAAGGCCTGCCTTTTCCATTGACAAGCGCCCACTTTTGCGCCGTTGTCCTTGCCTGACTGCCGTTGAGTGATGGCGAAAGATCCTATTAGAGAGAGGGGCGATTGAATCATGGTGGGGCAATAAGAGCATTCGTTCCGGCTCAGTCAGGATACCACCCATGAAAAATACTGTCTTGGAGAGGCCGCCAGACAGCACTCCTTGCAGTTTCCTTCAATTGTTTCTACGGAGAAGTTTTGAAAAACAGGTCTTTATCAAGATCCAAGTCGTCGTTGGGCTAGCATTCTCCAATAGCAATTCTGTTCCTGAACTTCATTGGTTATGGGCAGCTTTTTTACGGGCGCCAAATGCTGAAGGTCGCATCGGCTCCGTGTGGCTGTGTGTGCTAGTGGTGTCCTGGTGTCTTTGATTTTATCACAGGGCTTGCCACAGCGTTGGACAGTACCGCCCAATCATAAGGCACCAAATGATGACTTCTCAGCATTTCGCGTCTGATCCATCCATTCTTCTACGCGAACTCCACGTGATGTGATGGAGATTTCGATTGCTGCCGCGCGAATCAGGTTTTTGAAAAGGCGCAACTAAATCACTAAACTAGTGGAGTCGGCACAGCACAGCCGAGGCCTCTGTTCTCGACGTTTTCCAGAAGCCCGGGAACATTGTCCCAAAGCCGTTATATCCGAGCAATCAGAAGGCTCCTGCGTCGTTCATGTGCGGTACAGTACGTAGGGTAAGCGATCATTACAGGGTCGGGGCTTTTGAAGACTCTCACGACGATATCCATGATAGGCTTGTCACACTGCTTGAAAGCATACGCATAGTATTGATAGGGTTCAGGATACTAATAAAGCACTTCACGGCCTCGGTGTATTCTTAATGCAGTGACTGGCACAGCCAAAGCATTGCGACTACTGATATCAGGTTACACTGGTGTAAATTAAGCGTGCCTCACAGGAAGCAGAAGTTGCACTGATAGTCAAGTTGGTCGAAGTGACAACCTTGACGAGGTTGTCTCGTTCGGCCCATGGCCTTCATGACTCACAGAGCGACTTTCACAGCTTGTATGCGGCGTCAAAGCTATTGTGGTTCACGGATGGTATTAAGATGGAGATGCTTTTACCTTAATGATATGTCTAGCGTTTCCAGGAACAGAGAGCGACCTTGGTGTTACCGGGTACTTGCAACGGGCCGACAGTCCTTTGAATTCACTTTACTCTCTCGAAAATCTCTTGAACATACCTCTTCTTGGCTTTGTGGCGTGCATTGATATTGGCAGGTCGCTTTGAGACAGAAAGGGACCGTCCATGTCTGCCCCAGCCACCGGCAGCTTCTTCAACAGTCCGAAACCAAGAAGTTGAGAAACGAAAAATTTGAGGTAGAACAATATTATCAACCTTTGTAGTCACGGAGCCAACTTTTTGATTCAAAAGCCATCTGTTTTTCGAATTTTGTTCTGATATATTGCAAAGCTGGACTCGAAGGACTGGATTGGTTGGTAAATATTAGAAAGATATCACCTTAGACAAGTTGTACATTCGACAATAGATTTTTCGATGCTACACGGGGAATCCTTAGATCTTATATTCTTCTGATTTCTCTTTAATATAAGGAGGTTTCGAGATTTCCTTTGAAGACTATTTCCGCTTCATCGAAAATTTGCCGTGAAACCGAACCATAGAGCACTTAAATTATAAGCCACAGCCTGTATGACATAAGCCTATGCAGACTACGGGTAACTATAACACATACTATGTAGTACGATCCGCACTATGGCAGGAATCAAATGGCTGCTATATAACAACGTGGTTTAATGTGTGCCACTAAGAACGTCACCAGGCACACCAGATAGGCTGTTAAGCTTTTGAGGAAATAACATTAAGTAGTAGTAATTAGAACACATGTTTCCTACAGTTTCCTAGTGACAAATTAACGGTATGCGTAGAAGTTTGTATCGGTAGCTTTTACCACCGAATTCAATATAGCGGACCTGGAAGTTGTGTCAGTAATATGCGAGCATCGAACATTAATACACTTTAAGACGCGAGAACCATCGCGAATGTAGCTAGTATGTACGGTCGCATGAAGCACATGGACTAAGTCATGTACTAATGTTGAAATAACTGAACACTACTGGTATGAACACATACTGTAGAAGTGAGGCATGCCATATATTTCGAACGTGGAACACCAACAACCAAAAGCAAATACGTGTATTACGGGCACTAACACTCATCGAACGGTTTAGGAGAATTCTTAACTTAGATAGTACATAATATGATATATCCATAAAGCCTTTCGGTCACCGCCGGTTCAGCTGACCCTCGAAAATACATTGCCCTTGGAAATTTTGCTGGTGGGTATCTAGGAACGGTGGTGACCACGAGTCTCCACAAGACTTTGCTCAGATTTTTCACCCTTACACCGAAACGCTCTTGGGACATACGATGCTCAAACACGTGCCCGTTAAGTCAATCGGATAATCAGCCTCCAATGTTCATCTCTCTCTCTCTCTCTCTCTCTCTCTCTCTCTCTCTCCTCTTGGCAACTTCTTGAATGCATTACGGATCCGTAGAACGAAACTCGTCATTGTCTTCGACTGACTCAGGTCGAGTCAGCAATCGATCGTCAAGCTGCAACGTTGTAAATTGGAAACACTTTTTTGCACTTGGTGGGGTAAAGTTGGAGAATTGGGGGAAAAGTCTCGTCATGACGACTCCGGAGATTCCCTCCCCATTTTCCTCGGTCCACTAATACGGTTTTGGCACTATTTCCCCTCATCCCCCATGCCCCATGCTCCTCATGGTTGCGAAATGAGGTGGCCCCCATGTCTCCTGGACGGAAAGACACGCCGCTGACGTACACTCCCATGAAACTTCACAGGACTCGAATGACATCAGAGCTCCGTTGCCGCAGGTAGAGATAGCTCTGCCTGAATTCTTCCATCAAAAAGCAAACATTTATAGAATGGGTTGAGATAGCTATAAGCCAATCTAAAAGCACTGTACGCGCCAGATAGTGCCATTTTTTAAGCTTCCCCAGAACGTGGGCAGCTAAGATAGCTTTTCAATGGGGCACAGGATGACAGCGGAATAACCACGATAATAAAACTGGGCCGTCAAGAGAGCAACCTAACCGAACAACGCACCGTTGCAGGGTGTTTGGATTATGCAGTACATAGTAGTGCTAGACGCTAACAGCACACGATGTGGCTTCATTACTGCAACATTTCTCAAACAAGAGCACATTGGTCACGGTCTAAAGTCAATCGACAGACTTCGAACCGACCGTCTGGTGATCAACATTCCAACGAGAACGCTCGTTGGTCACGGCCCTACCATGGAGTAATCCTTTGAGTTTATTCTCCATGGGGTTTGGAATCAGCGGGGAGAAGTCCCCATTACACGCACTGAAACCCCCAGTCCTCGCGTGCTTCTGCATCTTCCGATCGCAAGGTTTTGCACACAACCCAATTCATCTCGGTGCGTGTGACCACGAGCTGTGGATCGCGGCCATGGGCATCTTACTAATAACACGAGCTTTGTCCAAAGGGCTATGTAATTCATTCAGAGTATGTTCGACTTCTCCCGGGTCTGTCTAGGAGTTGCCATTGCTGCCAACTGGACTTTAAGCGGTGGGCATGTGCCTCTGATACAGTTGCCCTCATGTACATGCCTAAATTTCGGAAGCCGTATCGCGTAAGTTGCGATCTGCCAACCGGTCGAGCTAGAAGTGCAATGTCAGGGATCTTGTTCCCCATGCATAGTATGTATGCAAGCCACACTTTTCGGGTGGCCTTGCCTTCCCTTGGCGACCATGCTTGTTTTACTTCCTTTCAAGGGCAAGCGCGTTGATAAAAGGCTTGATCGTATGAGATTACTTGGGTCTTGGATCCGACAGCTTGACCTTGTTTTTCCCTTGTCAACCCACCTGTACCCGACATGCCTAGGTAGATACACCTGCACCTGAATTTGCGTATAAGACCGACGATCCCCTCATGCCTACAACCTTTGGCTTTGTTCTTCTTCAGTATTCTTCCCTAGTACCCAACTATCCCTTGACCAACGGGGGTCTTAGACACCATGGGCTATAAGATTGGAAACATTTACTTTATTTCGGCCATCGCCGTTATCGGTAAGTTGACAATAAAACACAACATCTACATTTAACCATTCATCATTAACTTTCGACTATAGGTGGTGGTCTCTTCGGCTTCGATATCTCTTCGATGAGTGCTATTATCTCCACACAACCATATCTCTGCCAGTTCAACGAATTAGGAATAGATCCAGCAACCGGCCTCTGCAGAGGACCGAGCGCAGATACCCAAGGTGGCATCACAGCTGCCATGCCTGGTGGCTCGTGGCTTGGTGCCTTGGTATCTGGTTTTGTGTCTGATCAATTTGGTCGAAAGACTTCGATTCAGATTGGCTCTATCATTTGGTATGCGGTTTCATTTTCCGAAATCCGAACAAGCTAACTGTATACTTTGCAGGATTGTTGGATCTATCATCTCCTGTGCTTCCGTGAATATTCCTATGCTCATCGTCGGACGCATCATCAACGGCTTCAGCGTAGGAATCTGCTCCGCTCAATGCCCTGTTTACATCACCGAGCTTGCACCCCCTTCAAAGCGTGGACGATTGGTTGGAATGCAGCAATGGGCCATCACGTGGGGTATCATGATCATGTTCTTCATTTGCTATGGTTGCAGTAAGATAGGGGGTGCTGCTTCTTTCCGTGTGCCCTGGGGCCTCCAAATGGTTCCCGCGGTCCTACTCTTCCTGGGACTTCTCTTCATGCCTGAATCACCTCGTTGGTTGGCAAAGAAGGATCGCTGGGAGGAGACCAAGGCAGTCCTTGATTTGGTTCATGGCAAAGGCGACCCCAACTCACCATTTGTTCGCAAGGAGATCAGCGAGATTCGGGAGGTCGTCGAGTTTGAGCGACGCAATGCTGACGTCACCTATTTTGAATTACTCAAGCCGAGCATGATCAACCGAACACATATTGGTAAGTTGGCACTGCTGAAGGCCTGAAGGTCACTTGGGGACAGACATACTGATGATGCAATCCAGGTATTTTCACTCAGATTTGGTCACAATTGACAGGAATGAATGTAATGATGTACTATATTACGTACGTCTTTACAATGGCAGGCCTGGGAGGAGACGTGCTGCTGCCCAGCAGTATTCAGTTCATCATCAACGTCGTACTGACAGTCCCGGCACTCATCTGGATGGACAAATGGGGTCGTCGTATGCCACTGCTCGTCGGCGCCTTCTTCATGTGCCTTTGGATGTGCATCAACGCAGGTCTGTTTGCGGTTTACTCACGACCACCGGTCCCTGAGGACCACTTCACTTCGGAATCCGAGTCAATGGCCATTACTGGCGCGCCAGCTAAAGCGGTTATTGCCTCGACTTACCTTTTCGTCGCGTCATATGCTCCCACTTGGGGACCTGTCAGCTGGACCTACCCCCCGGAGTTGTACCCGCTGCGCGTCCGTGGAAAGGCCGTCGCCTTGGCGACATCTGCCAACTGGGCCTTCAACTTTGCCTTGGCGTACTTTGTGCCTCCCGCTTTTGTCAGCATTACCTGGAAGGTATATGTGCTGTTCGCCGTATTCCTTGTCTCCATGTTCCTGCACGTCTTCTTCCTCTTCCCGGAGACGGCGAACAAGCCTCTTGAGGAGGTTGAGGCCATATTTGATTACAGCACGCCTGGATCAATCAAGTACATTGGTACTCCAGCATGGAAGACGCACAATGACCGCCACCACACCATCCGTGCGGAGCGCAACGAGATCGATGTCGAGGAGAAGATCAGCGCTGAGGTTGAGCACAAGGACAGCAACGGGGCTCACGTCTAGTAGATTGAACATACCCCTGGTTTGACCTCAGCTCAAGATCTTGCTCTCAAACCTGGAAAATTTCCGGGTGCAACACAATCAAGTGCACCTAGGGCTGGGGGTGCTGGACAATAGACCTCGGGACATGAAGATTACAGGTGCTTTGGATAAGAAATTTTGAGTGCAGAGGATGAGAGTTATAATGTACCAAGTAGTGTTTGATGACCTACGACTATACCCAACTACTTGAATAATATATATATGTATAAATAAAAGATATGGTTCAGTGATGCAAGTCGCACAAGTCAGTGGCAGTTCTGATGAAAAGCAAATTCAGCCCCAGCTTGGTGGAGGGGAGGTGAAGCCGGCCAATCAGGTCATTTGCGGCATATTATTTATTATTGTTGCACGTAATTACATAGAATAGTTAGTTACCCATCCGCCTGTAAAACAGATTTGCATGCCCGAGTAATGTCGAGGATGACACAAGAAACAAGTTTCGGCCTCGACCAGCTGTAACTATCTTCCTTTCGACATTTTCAGCGGAAGCAACTTGCTCACGAGTCCAGCGTCGTGTTTGGGCGACAACAAAGAGATTTATGCACCGAGAAATGCTTGCAAAGCGAGCGGGGTGATGTCGGGGGTGATCTAGACTGATTCGAGATGAGCATTTACCCCACACCTGTTAAGGAGTACATGGCCCTGCGCTGGCCTGAGCCTGCGGATCCGTACCAAGCACTCAAGAATGCCCGTTGGGATAGTCCTGTCTTATCAACATCCAGAACGCGCTTAGTGAGACAAACCCCCCGGTTCATGAACCAGACACGGTTTATTGTCGAAAATCGTCAACAAATTGACACCGCCTCGATCCTGGACCAAGTGGACAGCCCATAGCCCAGAGCCCAGAGCCCGCAGCCCACAGCCTCGTCGGCGGCCCAAGTCGTAAGGCTGCTGAATTTATTCCCAATTACTTCTTCATTTCTGACGCCTTTCCCCTCGAATGCATCCGAATTTGCGATTGTAGGGCTCTCGAGCCATCGCGGAGCATATTGACGTATCCAATCATAGTTGTTGTCACCAGATTCACTGCGAATCGTCCGATTGAAGCTCAATCTGGCGATGGACCCTCCAGCGGCTAAGAAAAGGCGCCTCGCACCCAAGGAGCCTCCCCAGCCTCAGCCTGCCTTCCCTCCTCATGAATCAGTGCGTGAACGTCCAATGGCCCTCAGAACAGAATCATAAACAGTAGTTGACCCCTCTAGGCACCCCAACCACAACATTACCAGGTGCAGGAGGCGGTACCGACCGCCCCACCGCCTCCAGAGAGACATGAGTTCGAGTCGTTCGCGAGGCATCTGCAAGATGCCGCCATGCTAATATATCGACAATCCCAAATATCGCCATACTCGAACGCTTCCGTCCTGATACTCCGCTGGGAGGAAGAAAACGACGACAAAGAAGATGCCGCTGCTGACCAGGACCTGGTGGCATTCGAACAAGTCCTCCGAGAGAGGTATAATTACCCTACTGAGAGATGGGACATACCGACCGTGCCGAATGCGAGCGTAAAACTGGGCGTCAAGCTACAATCCTTCTTAGAGAGGCAGGCGCCAAACCATCTCCTCATCGTATACTATACTGGCTATGCTTACGCTGGCGTGGATAGCCAGCTCGTCTGGGCAAGGTGAGGCTCCTGAAGCTGGCCGGGAGGAAACAATTTTCTGATCAGAATGTAGCAATTCGACAGAACATGCTGCCAAATTAAAATGGAGCGGCCTGCGCTGTCTGTTTGACGAGTCGCCGTCAGATATGCTTTTGCTGCTGGATAGTTGCGCAATGAGAGATGTACCAGCCCCAGGCAACGGCGCGAGCTTGAAGCAAATCATTGCCGCAACTGGACCTGAGAAGTCTGCTCAAGAGTTTCAGGGCCAATCCTTCACATCTTCACTCGCAGATGCATTTTTAAGGTTAAGCACAGGGCGGCCTTTTACAGCCGAACACTTATGGCATGAGGTTGCATATCAGCGCCAGCAGGAGCTGCTACAGAACTCTGGACTCACGAACGGTGCATCGAAGGGAGTATCGCTAGCTGAAAAGCTACCGATAATACATACTCTAAGTCGTGGGAAAACTCAGAATCTAAGTCTTGCCCCGTTGGTGTCTCGATCAGATTCTCCTGTACACGCCGATGGTGATGCACACCTGGCTGGGGCCTCCCAACAAGAACACGCCATACATCCAAATACTGTTGCCGGTCTTACTTTCGACGAACCAAGAGTGCTGGTGTGCACCACATTTGTTGGTGAAGCGAGCCCGGACATGTCTTCCTTCAACCAATGGCTTCACAATAGCCCTGGTGTGCCTAATAAAATCGTCGTTGAGGGCATGTTTCTCGGACCACCTACGATGCTACTGATTTCCATGCCCGTGGCCGTCTGGAACGTCGTGCAGCACGACAAGGTCTGTTGCTTCCTGGGTTACATAACCTCAAAGAACCTGACGCATCTTTACAAGCATCTCGTCGGATCTGCTTCACCAGTAAAGGTGTCCCCAGAGGATGGCCGCATACTTCTGGAAGCACGCGAGGCTGCGTCAACGACTCCCATCATTCATCGACAGGAGTACCACCATACAGATCAGAGTTACGTCCCAAGGCTTCCCGAGACTCCAATACGGCTCGATCTAGCGAGCCGAGGGGATCCCATGAGTCTCAGTCAGCCTTCGATATCCGGTGTCAATCGTTTCCCGAATTCTACGCCTACTATTAACGTGGCAAAACTTGACGATGGGGAAGACACTGCAGAAATGCAGGAGGCAGCTGAGCAACTCAAAGCGCTAAGTCACGTTCGACACCGGAGCATTTCTGATGCTGCGCGCGCCCATGCGTCGCTCATGGAGCTGACACCGGAAGTCAAGCACGACGAAGGCGCCTCGCATGAGGCTGAGGGATCTGGTTTGGACGAGCAGCAAAATACGCCATCTGCCAAACCAAAACCACGTCGATCCCTGGCCAAGGTCACGCCAAAACAAGAAACGCGATGCGATCTCTGCAGTCATGCACCATTCAAGGACTCGTCATCACTACGGAAACACATTGCAGCCGCTCACACACGCCCTTTTCCGTGTGCATTTGCGTTTGCAGGCTGCACAAGTACGTTCGGCTCCAAGAACGAATGGAAAAGACATATTGCATCACAGCACCTGTGTCTGACCTATTACCGATGTTCAAGTTGCCCGCAAAGTACTGTCGAAGGCAAAGGAAATGAATTCAATCGCAAGGACCTGTTTACACAGCATTTACGACGCATGCATGCCCCCTTCGCCATCAAGAAGTCAATCACGAAAGGCGACAGCAAATTACAGGTAGAATGGGAAACGCATGTCAAGGAGATGCAAACGTCATGCCTCATCATACGAAGGCAGCCACCACAACGCTCAGCGTGTCCGAAGTCAGACTGCGCAAGTGTCTTTGAAGGCCCTACTTCTTGGGACGAGTGGACAGAGCATGTTGGCAGGCATATGGAAAAAGGCGAGGCTGCTAGACTCGGCGTCGACCGCCTCCTAGCGAAGTGGGCATTAGACGCGGGTGTCATCGAAAGGAAAGATGATGGAGAGTATCGCTTGTGCAACGGGCCAGGACCCGGTGGAGAGAAGGAATCAAGCAGCAAGCATAACGGCGCCACTAATCATTCGGATACAAATTCGCGCGAATCGGAAGAAAAGATGGAAGAGAAAATAACGGTCGCGACAAGTACGACGCCAGAGAAAATGGAGGTGGACGAGTGACACACAACACCAGCGGATACGTTGAATCAATATAGTAGGGCAGTGTTTCTTACGAAAAAGTTAGTTCTACCCGCCAGTAGCGGGCGACCGGGCGATGTCTCGGGCGAGGCCCTGGCATTGCCGGGTCGCGGTAAAAGTCACGGGCTGGAGCTGATGGAAGGAGATGCACCGTGGCACGCCTAGATGAGTCTGCTTGCTGCGAAGAGTAACACTTTTAGATTTGGATGCAAGGCAACAAACGGTAGAGCGATTTATGACCACTCCACGACGGATATGATACGACCTCTGTTTCTTTTGTCGCCGACTACTACATGCTACGATGTACGAGTATATACTATCGCCAGTCTATACCAATGGTTCGAGCTGCAGGAACTGGGAAGAACAATATACAAGGAGTTTGAACCTGCACGGGTTCCTCATATGCAATCAGCTCCGGCTTACACTTGTGACTTGTGATCAAAGCGGACCGCTGCGGAATTCGTTCCAACAAGTCCCAGGGAATGTCCTACATAACCGCCCCAGCAGCGCAATACGAGGTGGAAGATCTGCCAGGGATTTCACGGCACATCATGAACGCAAGCGAGCATGATCCCTGCCGATAGCTGTACCCCACAAATGCCACACGCGGGACGAGCTTTTCCTTGCTTTTAGGCGCACCGCCTAATGCAACGCTATCCCAGCAACCGTCGGTTTTTGCTGCAACACCACATGATGACTCCGGTGGAGCACTACGGTATACGGAAGGAGCGATGCACTTTTGCGGATATGTTTGTCCACGAATGATTGAGATTGGCCGGATGGGTCGATCGAGAAACCTTAATAGTCCCCGGCCCGTGTCGGAACGAGGAGCTGGCATTGTCAGAATTGATGAATGGTCGCCTAACGAGGGCTTCATGTTAATGAGAATGGAGCCTCATAGAAAGCGGTGATATAGGATGAAGATTCCCCCGTGCTCTCTGGGGATCAGAAGTCCACGATTATGCTGCATCGATCTTCAAAGGGCGCATAGTCACGATGAAGTTTCTTCAGACCGGTTTCCTGCTGCTTACAGCCAGTGTAGTTCGCGCCAGCCTGCAGATCGTACCTGGCGCCACGTGGACAGCGGTATGTACTATCCCACTCCAATCTTGAGTTTATCTCAACTGCTAAAGGGCAGGGATTTTCCCGCGACAGACCAACACAGGCAAACACATCCAAGCCCATGGCGCCGGAGTCATCCAAGTCGGCTCAACTTACTATCTGATCGGCGAGGACAAAACCAACGGCAGCGCTTTCCAGAACATCAACTGCTACTCGTCGACTAACCTCGTCGAGTGGACATACGTCGGCGCCCTGCTGTCGCAGACTTCATCCGGGGATCTCGGACCCAGCCGTGTGGTCGAGAGGCCAAAGGTCATCTACAACTCCAGCACCAAGAAATATGTTTTGTACATGCACATTGACAGCAGCGACTACTCGGAGGCCAAAGTCGGCGTGGCAACTGGCGACAGTGTTTGTGGCACATATTCCTACAAGGGCAGCTGGAGACCCCTTGGGTTTCAGAGCCGCGACTTGGGACTGTTCCAGGATGATGACGGGAAGGGATATCTACTTACCGAGGATGTGAGTCTATAAATCATTCGACACGTGTCCAAGGGGTGAGTCGCGTCGTGGGTGCTAACCGGTCCCTTGTCCAGCGTGCCAACGGTTTGCGTATTGACGCCCTTACTTCCGACTACCTCAACGTCTCGAGCGCTACCTACTTGTGGGGGGACTCGATTGAGGCGCCGGCGATCCTGAAGAAGAACGGATATTATTTCATGTTTGGCAGCCATCTTACAGGCTGGTCGCCCAACGATAACGTAAGTTTCTTGCCTACATACCTCCTGTAACTTTTTCGAAAAGGCATCCATACTAATACAAAGCCTGCCAAAAGGTCTACTCATACGCGACCTCCCTCTCCGGGCCCTGGTCATCGTGGGCCACCTTCGCCACCACCGGCTCCAACACCTACACCTCGCAGACCAACTACATCCTGCCCTTCGGGTCCTCGGGCATCTACATGGGTGACCGCTGGGTGTCGTCGAACCTCATGCGCTCCACGTACGTCTGGCTGCCGCTCACCATCTCCGGTACCACGGTCTCCATGCCTAATTACGTGAACTGGGTGCCGAACGTCTCGGCGGGCACGTTCGGCGCCGGGCCGTCGGAGGCGCAGCCCGAGGCCGAGAGCGCCACGCTCGCCGGCGGGGCCAGCAAGATCGCGTGCTCGGGATGCAGCGGCAGTAGTGCTGTGGGCAACATCGGCGGGAGCTCGGGCGGCACGGTGACGTTCAGCGGCGTCAGCAGCTCGGCGGGCACCAAGAGCACGATACGGATCAAGTACGAGAACGGGAACACGGGCCAGCGGTTCGGCCGGGTCACGGTCAACGGCGTGGGCCAGACGGTCGCGTTCCTACCCAGCGAGGACGGGAACACGCCCGCCAGCAGCGTCGTGCACGCGCAGCTCAACAGCGGGGCCAGCAACACCATCGTGGTCGCTGGGCTGGGCGACGGGACGTACGGCCCCGATGTCGATCGCGTCATGGTGCCTAGTAGCTAGCTGGCTGGTTGGAAAAACGGGAGGGAAATCACTCGTAATTTCGTTTGCACGAGGTAATATACACTTAATCAAGCTGTGGTTATCTGTTCAGACTAGGGTTCTTTGACAACTCTGACAACTCTGAAAACGAGTCGGAACAAGCCTCCGAAGTAAATTGGCAAGGAACTTTTACCTAAGAGCGGACAGTTAGAATATCTGGGAGGTAAATGTTTTCGAACACTAGGAACAGACGTTTCTTTGCGTTCAGTTTGGCCATCCATTGATGGGAGTTCGACAAGAAGCTCAGTAATGTCAAACCAAAATTTTATTATTAAATCGAATTTGTATGCACATAGTGGGTGGCTATGAATTATGTAATTACCTCGAGTCACCATTCATTGCGAGGTCGCCTCTTCGTCGTCGCATGTCGATCGCTAGACAACCTGGATCTTGAAGGCCTCGGTCAAGGGCTGGTCAACATCCACAGTCACGCTTCTCTTGCACTTCGAAGTACCTGCGCCCAAAACAGTGACCTTGGAGACCTTGAGAGCTGTCTCATAGCTGAAAGCGCCCTCAGCAGCTAGGTATGTGCCGTCGAACTTGAAGGTGATGGATGTCACACCCGTCTGCTCAATACTTTCGCCGTCGTCGAGGTACAGTTCGCCCTGGGCAGTACCATCAGCACCGATGGGGATGACAATCTCAAAGTCCTGCTTGCGGAGCTCGGTCGTGGTCATGGATGAGTTGGCGCGCAATGGCACAATGACACCCCCGCGGTAGTAGATAGGAAGGTCAGATATTTCCTGATCTTCAACAGTAATGTAAGCACCTTCACCGACGACCTTCTCGTGTGTATAGAAGTCATAGAAGGTGTCCTTGGGTAGGTAAATGTCAACGCTAGTAGCATTCTCTTCGGTCACCGGGGCGACCAGGAGACCGGGCCCGAGGAAGTACTGCAGCTCAAGATCCCAGGTGTTCTTATCTTCAGGGTAAACGTAAAACAGGGGCAGGGCATTGGGAGTACCGTCGATCGTTTGGTGGTGGAGGGCGGTGTAGAGGTAATCGAGCAACTGATACCGGATATTGATGAACTTCTTTGCGACCTCCGCCACAGTATCCCAGCGGTAGAACTCCTGCGAGATGCTGGAGATATCGTTGTGATTACGGAAGAAAGGGGCCAGAGCACCGAGAGCAGCCCATCTTGCACAGAGCTGTTCTGTGGTGTTCTGGGCGAAGCCACACACGTCCGCGCCAACCATGGGCACTTGATAAATGGCGGTGAATGCTAACATCGATCGAATGTTGAGCCGGTAGTGCCACCAAGTGGATAAGTTGTCGCCGAGCCAATGGCCGACCTTCGATCCAGCACCAGCGAAGGTGGATCGAGTGATAATCAATGGACGAAGCGTGGGATTTCGTGCCAGCATTGCTTCGCGAGAAGCTACACTCATCATGGATCCGTAGAGATTATGAGCCTGAAGTGGCAAAAATTATTCAGCACACAGTCGATATGGTTTCACAGATTTCGTTAAGAAATAAGAACTTACATCGTACATGGCGATTCCATTTTGGTGGATGAGGTCAGTATTTACTGTCTTGTTTGAGATTCCACCTTTGTCGGCATTCCCTATAGCAAATTTGTCAATAACCATTGCACAAACTGGCTTTAGTTTCGCACTTACAATCATCCTGGTAAGCCGCTTTGTTGTGAATGGCATACTTGGGGTATAGCAGGTCACGGTCTGGAAGACCTAGTTGCTGGCCTGCCTGTCTTTCTGAGAGCCAGGCAGCTGTTTCCGAGCCCGAAAAGCCATCTCGGACGGAGTTGATGGATCTGATAGTGTCAATGTCGCGAGTGGTCAACTCGGATCGTGTACATGCCGTGCCTTCTGGCTGGAAGTCGCAAGGCCAGCCAGGTAAAGGTCGTGGGGGCGATCGTACAGCCGGGGGCTCTGGAGGATATCCAATAGCAGACACTTCTGGGTTGTCACATGGAAAGTAGCAGGGGAAATTTGAGGGCTCGTTCATGTCAATCCAAAGACCAGAAATGTCTAGACCGTCCTCGGGCGAGAAGAAGTCCGCAAATTCCCCATTCCAGTAGGAAGTAATGTTGGCAGCAAACCAGTCAGGGAATGCAGTCACACCAGGCCAGACAACGCCCTTCCATACTGAACCATTCTCTCGGAGCATGAAGATATTGTCATCGATACCCCGTTGTAGAGAGCCAGGGAAATCCTGGTAAGCTACCGCTGGGTCTACCATGACAATGTAGTGTTGGTTGTTGGCATGCAAGTGGTCAACCAGCTCCCTCATCTTCGACAAGGGGAACCGATCGGGGTCCAAGGAGAAGACTCTGCGACGGTACATATAATCGATATCAGTCCACATTGTCTCTAATGGGATACCGGCTTGACTATAGTTGTAAACAACCTCGGCCACGTCAAAAGCATCCTGATAGCCGTATCGACATTGGTGGAATCCAAGCGACCAGTATGGCTGCATAGCAGGGAGGCCGACGACGCCAGCGTACTGCTGAGCGACCTCAACGGGTGATGGCCCGGCAACGAAGTAGAAGTCGAGGACTCCTCCCAGCGAGTTGTATTCCAGATATTGGCCGGACTCCTCGGTCTTGTTAATGAAGACATCTAGGCCGTCAGAATTCAAGAATAAAACTCCATGAGTGCCTCCCTCACGGTGCTCAAAGTAAACAGGGTGATTGCCGTAAAGATTAGAGCCACTGGGGACTGCGTAAGAGTCTTGCGACCAAATCGTTCGAATGTAGTCCGTCGTGTTTAATCTAAAAGGATCCGAGTGCTCGCCCAAACCATACAGGTATGGGTCTTCAGGAAGCGCGGTCCTTAGGCGTAGGTACTGGGACTCGAAGACCAGACTAGCAGCAGAAGTATCGAAAAGCACTTCTCCAGTCTCAGCTCTTGAAACGGTGAATGAGAAAGGCTCCTCGGTGTAGTTGAAGGCCAAAGCAGACTGCTCTGCTGTGCTACCGCCAATTGCAGGGCGCGGGAAGACTGACTCGGGAATCTGGTAGACGTCATTGCCAGCATCCTGGATCTTGACATGTAGTCGAGTATCTAGAGGACTATCAGTGTCTGAAGCTCGTGTTCGTATCATGACCCAAATCATATCGCCTTTCAACTTACCGGTATCGTATGAAACCTCGAGAGTCAAGTCGGTCAAGTCGGTACCATACACGTTGCAAGCTTCACCAGCCAAGGTTAGATCGGCAGTTAGACCAGATGAGCTGGTCTGCACATTTGAAGCCTTGTAACCAGGGCAAGCTGTGAGTGGCTCGTCGCTATAGTAGTCCTTTTTGGATACTACAGCAGCAGCAACGACAGATGCTGCGAAGATCAACAAGCCCGCCATGTCGACTTTTCTCTTTGCAAGAGAACGAGGTAGTCCGAGGATGAGACAAGAACCAATAACTGCGCGACAGGTTGGCCGTGACTTTACTTATTATACATCCACCGTGCGGTCACCCGGAGCAAAAAGTATCAAAAAGTATGGCAACCCCGGACAACCCACGATTGGTTTTCTTCTTTGGCTTTGTGACCCCGCATGCAACTGCGACTACCCCAAATTCTCGTAGAAATTCTCGTCGCCCGAACAGGCACCTTTGTGAGCATCATGCAGCATTTACTCCATGTTTTGCTCCACCGGGTGATGGCGCCAAGACTGCACTTCCCATGGGGAATTCGGCCCTGTTTCGGGGTGACCAGGCACGCTTCACTAACGCTCTCAGGGTCGGCACGCCGCAATGACATCTTTTTCAAGGAATGCACGCCGTAATTACAGTCGTCCATGACATATAAGCGAATGTTAGACCCAGAGACACGACGGCGCTCTTCGGTCTTACTCCCAGTTCCCAGCAGCTTGGCACGCTGAAAACACACGATCGTATGCAGTCGTCGCATACTTGGCTTCTATAGAATGTTATGGCTCCAAAGTGGGCTGTCGGACTTGGGCGGAGTAAAATGAGCTCCCTGTTCCCCGGTCCCCGCAGGCACCCTGGGAAATTTGGAGTTCGTGCCTTTAGGTAAGGTAAGCTTATAGTAGTGCCCCCGCAGAAATGCCAAAATGGTGAGGGTAAGGTATGTACGTATCGAAACTCCCGAGGTCATGCCAATTGTAGATCCATTCCATTCTGCCATGACTTAACAGTTCTTCCACGTGTTGCGCGTTATGAGAATCGTCAGCCTGTTTGTCAGATGTCTATTTACTAACATCAATGGACGTTATCGATCCACAAAGTCGACCACTGTTGATTTCGCCCGCCTCGCACAACGGAGCTCGAGGATAACTCAATTGCATGCAACCTTCAAGCCAAGGCCTTTCCCAAAGAGAAAATACCCATCATTTTGGAAAGAAAAAAAAACCCCCCCCAAGTCGATGATAGCCTGTGGAAATAAATGCGGACAGTGGATTGAGCTATCCTCATCGACGTAGCCCCCACTTCGTTACCGACTACTAATTCGCAAGGTTTCCGATGCTATCCGAATACCAACCATTGGCTTTGTTGACAGGGATCACATGAGACGATCATGGCTATAGCTGGGTCTGACTAGCCGGCATCCGGTTATCGTTCATTGTCTTATTAGTCATCAGTAGGTGGCATTGCATTTTATTGATAGCTCAACTTCTGGGGGTATAGTAAATGTAGACAAGTTCTATGTTCCGGAATCGTACTTTCGATCTACCACCTGCCGAACGCCTCAACGCCGATGATGCAGATCCTCAAAATTGCCCTCTCTAGTTTAATACACCTCTATCGCTTCTGACGCTTAGGCTTTGAGCTTCCCTCCGAGCTCTCTTGCGTAGCTTTTCCTCGGCCTCGGCCGCCACCGCCGCCACCGCGTGCCTCGCGAGGAGGGTCCGGTACGACAACCAGACCCTTAATGCCCTTAAGTCCCATCTTACCGACTGTTGTTCGGTAAAGAGCTGGCACCTCGGGCGCGCCAAGGCCTTCGAGCGCAAGCTTATTTGCCTCTCTTACGAGCTGCTCCGGAGTCCACTGGAGCTGCTTAAGAGGAGCCTTATAGTAGCCAAGCCATGATTGATAGGCCTTGGTCTGTATCTCAGTGTCCAGGCTTGCGGCTATCCGCAGAAGATCACCCTTTGAGCTGAGGTCGGGTTGAATCCTCTCCCATGCAATGTCCTTGAGCTTGTGCTCAGGGAAGTACTTCTCATGCTCGGTGACGATGAAAGTGCCACGACCTGCAGCACCGGCACGGGCAGTTCTACCAAGACGATGAATGTAGGACTCTCGATCGGAAGGAATTCCGACTTGGAAAACGTTAGTGACGGAAGGGAAATCCATGCCTCTGGCGATGACATCAGTAGCGAAGAGGATGCCGTTGGCAGCATTTCGATAATCATCTGTTGTTCTAGTTCGTTTGCTTTGCGTCATACGTGAATGGAGTGCGATGACTGGGGGGAGATCCGCGGTCTTCTCCAGGACTCCTGCGTAGAAGTCCACAAGAGCAGCGGTTTGTGCAAATACTATGGCTTTGAAAGAACCAATGCCGACTTGGTTAAGCTCTTGGCGAATTGCTCCAAGAAGTGCAGCGGTCGTGTCTGCAAATGCCGGAACAAGGACTAATTGTTGAGGAACACGCTCATGAGTGCCAGCTTCACCTTTCTGGATGGTAGAGATGAACTTGTAATCTTTGGATAGTGCGAGGTGAGCAACTTTCTGTACGTGATCCGCAATGGTAGCAGAGAACAGCATGCCTTGTCTATGGCTAGACTCCTTATTCGGAAGGAACGAGATGATTTTCTTCAAATCTGGAAGGAAGCCAATATCAAGCATTCTATCTGCCTCGTCAAGGACAAGAGTATCAAGGTTCTGGAGTCTTTCGTGGACTAGACTGTAGCCGCCCTCGTCAGGTTGAATGTGATCTAGAAGTCGGCCAGGCGTGCCGATGAGGATGTCACATCCTTTCGAGATACGTGAGGCCTCAGAGTTCTTGTTCGTTCCGCCAATGGCAATGCAAACTTTGTATTCAGGACGACGCTGTAACAGGGTGGTCGCTTCTTTGGCGATCTGCATGGCAAGCTCTCGTGTTGGGGAGATGATCATGGCTGATATTGTCATGCCTGCCTTTCTATTCCTGTTGATAAGGGTTTGGATGGCAGGCAGCAAGAAAGCCATAGTCTTGCCAGTTCCGGTCTTGGCCTGTGCCAACATATCACTGCGCTCCTTGAGGAGGTCATGGATAGTTGCGGCTTGAACAGGAGTCATGTGATCAAACTTCATGTCTTCCGTAATGGTTTGCAGAAGAACGGGGTCAACGAGATTCTCTTTGGCCAGGTCTGCAAACTTTGGTGTGTCGGTGGGTACTGTAATTGTGAGTGAGGGCTGTGCGACGGCCTCGAAAGGTCGTTGAAATGCGTTGGCAGGAATGTTCTCCTGTTTGGCAGGCCGCGCTTGAGGACCATCACCAGGCGGCTTCTTGCCATGAAAATGACGCCGATTGGGTCTGCCTCCCATCTTCTTTGACTCTTGCATCATGTTCGTAAGTATCTGTGCAGCTCGGATTCTTTTTAAAGGCTGGAACATGGGGGACGATATGGACGGGTCAAACAGATTGTTTGATGGTTGTCTTCGGTTGCAAACCAAGTCAATATTTTCAAAGAGTTGAGATAAGATAGCGTTGACTAGGGGCGCAGCATTGCGCTAAGGACTCACAACGCCTAGCGCAGTTCGGGCATCAACGTCCAGTGACGTCGCAGTCCTTAGCGCCTCTTTTTGCGTGTCACCCATCGCACCTGGAGCGCGCTTTCCTACTGTGCTGTAATCGAACGGGTTTCAGGAGCAGTTGATTTCTCGATGTCCCATCATGGTTCGGAAATATTGACGATTTGTGTTTTTTTTCCTATTCTCGCGTTGACGGTGAGTATTCGACCACTGTGAGACAGATTCATGCGAACATTTAGTTCCGTCGACGGGCACTGGCGCCGGTCAATGCCTATACCTCGCCTCTAATCGGGTCTTTTGTGGTAGGCGTGCGGTCTAGAGACTACCTCACCACTCAAAGATTGTTAGAGGCTCCCTGCCTATACTGCATGCTACACATCCTACCACAAATACCACAGAAACCTTCATCTTCTTTGTTGTTGAAAGACGAAGACCTTGCATCACTTCATCTGGAAGTGGGAGATTCGCTATATCTGATAGCACGTTGAATGAAGACAAAGTTTTGATCAGGAAGCCGGCTTTTGACGCCTCACCCGATGAATTCATCTTCGATTTTGTTGTTAAACGTCAAGTTAGATCAGGAAGGGTCAAGTGGAGCCGCATCAACAGGGTCTCTCCCGCCTTGACATTATATTGTAGTTCTGAGTAAGACGAAACTCTCATTGTGCCATAATAAATGTTTGCCTCTTCTAGAGCTGAATGGTTTGAATAATACCATCCATAGCACCGGCTCTCGGCTTGGCTACCAAGGCTGAATAAGTCTGCAGCTACATCTCTTTCCACCTAGGAATATTTCCTACTATGAATGTAGCTCTGGCCTAACTGTGTAAGCAGGCGGCAAGCTCCCACTCAGAGCCAGCTTGATATATCGGCTGAGAGGTCGCGACCACATCGCTGGTGTTGTATAGCACCACAAATCATTCAAAATATGCTTGAGGAATATAAATTTTTCGAAGCTATAACCAACGTATCGTTTCGCAGGGAAGACGGCGGCAGTGCAGCTCGAGGCAACAAATGCATACGTAGTAACATCAGGAAGCTCGTTTCCTCTCTCTCCCTCTTTCTCTCCCTCTCTCTCTCCCTTTCTCTCTCCCTCTCTCTCTCCCTCTCTCCCTCCCTCTTTCTCTCCCTCTCTCTCATATGTAGTTCCATCTTCTTCCCCTCTGCATTGGAGCATTTCTCGAAGCAATCGAGTACTCAAGCCGTTCCGTACACGCCCGAGATCTTACAAGCAATCCTACTTGTCCAAAGATAGACCGAACTGCCACAGGTTATAGCAACCTCCATGCCCTGGTCCATCTGACCGTTCCAGATCTGGCAGGTGCCAGCTACCGTGGTACCATCTTTCTTGTAGTGCAGAACGTCACCATAGTATGAACCCTGAGGCTGGTTGTAATTGTTGGCGCAATTGTGAATGATGGTCTGGCCTCCGCCGTCCATGGTCATCCATTTGTCACAGGGTTGGTCGTACTCGTCACCAAGTGTTGACTGTACCGCGTAGTCCTCACAGTAGTCCCCGTTGTAGGCTGGAAGAGTGACCCAGTGAAATGTGCACTACAGTTTTCGGAGTCAGTATTTGGTCTCTTTATATGGGTTGGGGAGTCTACGGAGAGTATCAAAACAATGACAAAGAGCTCGATTGTCACTGATAAACGACATATGCCCAGTACATGTTCTAGAAATTAGAGATGACAATTTTAGGAACCATTTACCAGTTCGTTGCCGCTCCCTGGACCGTCAATGGAACAGGTTTGCCGCAGCCACATATCAAAGTCTGCTGAGACAAAGCTCGATAGTAGTATACTTGTTATGATGGTTTTAAAGAAATGCATGATGGCGGTGAGTGAGACAGGGCGGAATTGCCTGGTAAAGTTGCATGCGTGATTTCTGGGTACAGAGTTGCTTGGTGGAGGCGTAGGCGTGCTTGATGTAGACATCAAGCTCTGGCTCATGTGAGTCTATGGGATCAATATGATTTCACACACGGCCTTTTGCCCATTAGTCAATTCATCTAAATCATGTCGTCTCAGTTTGTGGCAACCTCAAATGGAGAACATAGCCGTTTTTCCTTTCGGAAACCCGGGGTTATACCCTTGAAGGGACCTCTGGAGTAATGCAACGTGCAATATGACTTGCATGATACGAGAAGTGGAGCAAATCATTGTCGAGTTCCCCTCGGTTACCGCTCAATGTCGGCCCGGCTGCTCTGATCGATCAAAGAATCCGATGATACCGTCGGTTCGGGGGCTGAAGTTATGTTACAATGAACGCTGTCGGAACCAACCAGACGTGCAGAAAGGATAACGGATATGCATAATATTGTAATTAACCGCTGTCGCCTGCAGAGAGTCGGAAGCTAAACAAGCTCGGAAATATCATGATTATTAAGATTGAACAGTGCATATCATAATATGTCACAAACCAATGAACTTGCCAGTATACAGTCTCTTGTGGTATTCGCCCCCCAGCTTGGCACTATGTACGGGAAATCTAGACCTGATTACACTCAGAAAAGGGCAGGAGTCCGAGTCAATAAATTAAAAATTATCTTTCGTCCCAGACATCGTATCATCTCCATTACGACTACGTGACAGGTCTCCAATTTCCGCCCCGATTGATTCATCCACTTACAGGTGTTCACTCTGCAGGTTGGCGGTCCACCGGATCACAATGTCTCCTGCAGACGAATGTGAAGCCGGAAATTACACCAGTGGTCATGGAATATTGAGATGTTGCAGACATATCTACCGCTATGCTGTCCATTGATGTTCTGGTCTATTAAGTTAATGCTAGCGACTTTCTTTTTGGAACGTTAAATCACACCCCTTAGATGACAAAGAAGTATATGTAGTGTGCAATATTCTATCAATCACTTTAAATTTCACTTTGTATCTGTCCGACCGCCAGTCAACATGCATCTACCTGCTCAAACAGTATTGTTCTGGGCAACCTTGACGACCGCCTTGCTTGACAAGCCAGCACTATGGAAAGATTTGTCCAAGTTCACGCAGCCATTGGCTGATGGTCTACCTCGACAGGGACAGGTCATCAGTGCGTGGCCATCAGGCACATTGTCGAAACTCTGTTGGGATAACATCGTTCGAGACAAACTTGACCCGGGCACATTCCAGACATACTCGGTTTCGTTTAATGATGTAAGACTCGATTGCATACTCTAGAATAAATAAGAGTGACTGATCCATATATAGTGCTCCCAAGCTTGGACTTTCTGTTGTGAGTACACCGACCGATCATACCACCCTTTTCTGGAATTTTAGAGTTATTACAACTAATTTGGGCTGGGTTGCCTTGGAGAAACTCAAGTGCCAACACTTAGGCTTATGCTGAGGCGAAAAGTCCCCTTAAAACTAACATCTTTCGCAAATAGATCAAATTGGCTCGTATCAGAGTATCGATGAATTCGCATCCATATTCAGTCAAGCTCCGGTACGCATGCGTATGTGGGTGTCCGACGTGTCGCTGTACAAGGACGGTGGAGGTGGTTATCAGTTTGGCACAACTATAACGCTCAAAGGCACTCCGATGGCAGATACAATGATCCACGAGTCCGAACACGCGTGTGAATATGCTTGGGCGTTTAAATCGATGGGATCAGGTAATGTCACATGATCTCAGAGTCACGAGACAATTACTGACAAGGATGGACGTCAAGCGACTACTGAGTGGCTCTCGGCCTATGCCGCCGACTCTGCAGTGCAGAGCGAGTACGGAAGAAACAACCAGATTGAGGTCAGCAATTAAATCATGTATGAGCAAAGGGTTACCAACTGAATAACTACAGAACCTAGCTCAAACACCCGGTATGATCATCTACGACCGTCTGACCAACGGCAAACTTGGACAAGAGCCTGACCTGTGGAAAATTGGCAACGCTCTCAATACATTCGTCGACCAAGCAGATAACAGCAAGTATGGTGGAAGGATGCTAGATATCGATGGTGTCTACTGCACCAGGCGATATGTCCCAAGTGCCAAAGTAAAGACTGATGGCACATCTGTCAGTACTGCTCAGAGTTTATTTATTGAGAGCTTGCAGACGAGCAGGGGTATTGGAATCGCTGCGGAGGACATCATTATGGAGGCGATCCCCCCTTTGACGCAAAGTGCACCAACAAATTGCACATTCTGAGGGGCGGCTTGGACGGGTGCTCTGGCTTGAGGTCTTCTGTCACTCAGTGTGTTGTTTCATTGGTCAGTCTTTCGAGTGCGTCGCGGTAGTTATTATTATAGTATACACCTGGGGAGATCTCAGATCGCAACAGACACTACGCTATGAATACGATGTGACAGACTGAGTGCCGTCAAACATGGAAGACCTAGCATTTATTGTGGTACAGATGGGGAAAGTCCAACAACTAGAGCAAACCCAAGCTACAGTCACTCTGAGCCAGCAGGCCTGGTCTTTCAGCCTAGTCTAGTGGGCTCTAGGATGATCCACACTTCGGGTTGCATATAGCTTACGTTCTTTTATTTTCTTTGCCTTTTCCCTCTTTTCTTCCCCCCTCATCATGTTGCTACTTGCAATTGTTACCATGCGTCAGTTCTGGGCTATTTTGTGGTACACCAGCCAATTTCTAGTGTCCACTAGGACATAATCAGACTATGAGATTAAATACACTCTTATCATCTCTTTTTTGTTCTTGGTCAATCATGGCTTGTTGGAAGCATTGTAAAGTCGTTTGAAACGTTCGAATCTTCCGCATATTGGAAGCATGTATCGGCCCAAAGGGACATGCCCTTTGACGATATCGGAGTAATTTCTTTTGTGCAATAGCCAAATTTGTTGGAATCTGATAGGAGGAATGTCGTACGCAAAAAAAAATCTCCAGTTCCCGCAAAATGATATATGAGATACCGCATAAGCTGCAGCATCCGTTGCTATGAACTGTTCTTCACATAGAGTGTTCATAAGTCTAGGGCTTGGATACGTATCTAGTTAATCCAGCTCTTTCCTGCAAGAATCAGAGGTTCTGTTGAATGGATCAATACGACGTACGTATGACGCCCAGCAATGGTTCCATGCCATAGGCGGAAGTTAGGCTTTAGCCCAACTTTGGGAGACCCATACGGCTGTCACAAGACCACCGCAAGATGCACTCGTTTGGTTTGACTTGTGCACGCCCCATTTCCCATGTCCCTGACTAAGGATGCGGAAAAGAAATAAGCGCACCTATAAGACTTGGCGATAGCCTGTCAGAAAACATTTCACAACACCACGGAATTCCGGCAGGCAAGACAGATCCACTGAATATAACTTTGTAGCCAATAGAAGCTGTGTCCGGAAAGAGCTATACCTGTCATGCTCCGAAGCCAACCCTGGTCTGGTTACCGTGGGTCCAAATACACACCCGGTAGTTGGTATTTGGGAGTTGGATATGGGGTATGGGGTAACAGTCCCCACAACCCCTGTCGGAAAGCATCCAGAAACAAAAACCACCAATCAGTTGCCTGAGCCGTAACTAATTCGTCGTCAACCTTGTGTCTTGGCATAATAGCAAGATGTTAGCACGGAAGATTTTGAGAATGTCTGATCCAGGGGATAAAGTAGCAAACATGATTATTGAAAATTATAAAGGTGTTGTGGCTTGCCGATACTGATCGCGAAGTAGAGTCCATCAACTCCAGTCCCTTATCCTTCGAGCCCATCATAGACACTGGATCTTATCGAATATGATCTCAAGACAGTTCTTCGCGCTTGCTCTCGCGGCCTTGGCCCGGCAGGTCAGCGCTGCTGGTGTGACTGGCGCCGCCGAAGGCTTTGCTAAGGGTGTCACTGGAGGTGGTTCCGCCACGGCCGTATATCCTACGACTAACGCCGAGCTTGTCTCATACCTAGGTGATAGCTCAGCCCGGGTTATCATCTTGACGAAGACTTTCGACTTCACTGGTACAGCAGGTACGACTTCTGCGACCGGCTGCGCCCCGTGGGGAACGGGATCGTCCTGCCAGACAGCCATCAATCTGAACTCCTGGTGTGACAACTACGAGGCTTCTGCGCCTGATGTTTCCGTCTCGTACGACAATGCCGGCATACTTGGTATCACAGTCGGATCTAACAAGTCCCTCGTCGGGCAAGGTTCTGCAGGAGTCATCAAGGTATTGGCCCATCTATTTCTACATATGAACCTATGTACTAATGATCCAATCAGGGCAAAGGTTTGAGAATCATTAATGCAAGCAATGTTATCATTCAGAACATTAAGATCACTGATCTGAACCCCGAGTATGTCTGGGGAGGTGATGCAGTCACAATTGTCAGTACTGACCTGGGTAAGTAACTTATGGCTTCAACTTTCCCCCTCTGTGCATGCATGAACAGTGAGGAACATTTATTGTACCTTCCTACAAATATTATCCGAAGCTAAATTATATACTAATTTCATCTAGTTTGGATTGACCATGTCTCCACCTCCTTGATCGGTCGCCAACACATCGTACTGGGAACGTCAGCCAGTGGCCGTGTGACTATCTCGAACTGCAATATCGATGGTACTACTTCCTGGTCGCCAAGCTGTGACACTTACCACTACTGGAACGTTCTCTTCCTCGGCTCATCGGACCTGGTTACTTTCAAGAACAACTATGTCCACCATTTCTCTGGCCGGGCTCCCAAGGTCGGAGGCAACACGCTCCTCCACGCTGTCAACAATTATTTCTACCAGACCAACAGCAATGGACACGCCTTCGAGATCGACAGTGGTGGTATGGTCCTAGCAGAAGGCAACGTGTTCCAAAATGTCGTCAATGTCGTCACCGACGACGTCTCGGGCGTGGCATTCACCAGTCCGAGCACGACGGCTAACACTGCCTGCTCTACGTACCTGGGACGCAGCTGTGTGTTGAACGCTTTCGGCAGCTCTGGCACATTCAATATTGTCGACACTAGCTTCCTGGTCAACTTCTCTGGCAAGAACATCGCGTCCGCTTCTAGCGCCAGTGATGCCAAGTCTGTTGCCTCTTCAGCTGGCAATACTCTTTGAGCGGCAGGGGGCTTGGCGGTTGATGAGTTGACAAGAACCCATGGGTCACCATGAACGATACCTTATCACTGCTTCTGTATATACTCATTAGTTCAATAAACTGTACATACCAAGTTTCACTTCAGCCCATATTGTCCACAAGTGAGGTACACGAAATGCGAGTAACGAGCACCAAAGTCTCGACCCAAAACAGTAGTCATAACAATATTAAATTTCAACTCTATTGTCACTCTGAATGAATGGGTATATATCGAGAATAATCGACCACCAAAGAAGACTGTAATTCCACACAATTCTTGACGACATCTAGGAGACAGTCTCCACATTAACAAACCCCTTTTCGCCGAACACCCTCACATGATTCTACAAACCAAAACAGCGAAACTTAATTCAACGCCTCGTCTTGGTCGCCACATTCGCAATGGCAGCTTCCAAAGCAGAGGTGATGGTGGCATGGAAGAACGGTCGGTTGACACCGTGAACAGAAGCGACCGTATCGGGGATCCTGCTATGGGACCGCGCTTGGGCGGAATGCGAGGAGATGCGGTCAACATCATCCGAGTCGACGTCCTTGGGATGGATAATCGTCGATTGCTTCTCGTAATCGTCTGTTGTGCCTACGGCTGCGACGGTGTATATTGGCTTCCATCCGGGGTTGGCCTCGAGGAGTGCATGGCTGGGGTAGCCAAAGCCGGCTGCAGCAAATGCCCGGCGAGACCAGCGATTGGTCACATGTGCGAGATGCCACTCAACGGGCTCAGGGGAAGCATATCGGTCGAGTTGGTTTCTGGTGTCGATGAGAGCTTGGATGGAGGTCGTGTCGACATGATTAATCGAGGAGCAGTCCAGGATGACTGCACGGAGGATTGGTCGGTCGTCATCGAGGTTGACTTGTTGTCCTCGGCGTGGACCGGGGTTGTTCCAAGGACGGTCCTTCATATGGGAGTCAGTATTGTCTGTTATAGGATTTACTGAGGTTCTTGAACTTACACCAAGTTTTTCATGCACTTCAAGCTCTGTAGGCCTGGTGGCGTGATGTGCAAAAGCAACAAGCTCGTCCATCAGGCGACCAGAGTGGGTGTAGTTGAAGCCATCGTTGAAGCGGTAGACAATGACACCAGGGTAAGGCGACCTGACATTGATATTCGGGTTGGTGTTGTCCGAATGGTTAAAAGGCAGGAAAACTTCGGTGCTCTTCCCGTTACCGGCACCATTCCCTCGTGGAGTATCTTTGCTGACACTGTAGGTGTTGACTTCACCAAGAAAACTGCCTCGAGACAGTGCGAGGCGAAACAGCAAAAGAGCAGCAGACGCACACATGGTAAAGTAGATTCCCGTCTCAATGTCGGTAAACACAGTGATAAGGACACCTCCAAAAAAGATGATAACATCAATGGGAGCCACCTGCCAGAAGTTGTACACGACATTCGGTGGCGTTATCAAATCTCCAACAGCATGGATAATGATACCAGCCAAAGACGCTGACGGAATGTAGAAGAACACGGATGTCAGCGCATAGAGAGCCAACAGAACAATAACAGCGGTAAAGATACCGGCCAAGGGTGTTCGCACGCCGGCTTTAGACTTGATAGCAGTTCTCGAAAAGGATCCAGTAGCTGGATAAGCACCGAGGAACGGTCCAAGGATGTTCGTGAAACCAATAGCAACCAGTTCTTGAGACGGGTTGATGACATAATTATTGATTCGGCCAAATGACTTCGAGATGGAGATATGTTCGATTAGCAGCACAATGATCGTACTAGGAATGTCGGGGCCGATCGCTGAAAGCAATTCAGGGGTAATCACCGGAGCGCCGTGAACTTGAAATCCAGATGGCACAGTCCCCAGAATCTTGAACTTGGCCTTCTTAGAGTCTGTGACATAGCGGTTGGCTCCCCAACTAATCAGAATGTAGAGGATAATGACGAAAGCCATGCGCAGCGTCCCGAGGAAGAACCAAAGCTTCTGTTTCTTGGGCTGCCTCTTCGACATGAAGCTGCAGATGAATCGGAGCAAATACAGCATTGCCAGCGCTGAAACACCCATTGCAGCATCAAGCTTTGCGTTCGGAAGATTCTTCAACGTGTTAATTATGACTTTGTACGTCGATTCTCGTGTGTTGACGCCGCTGATGCCGAGCAACGTTGGTACTTGTCCAGCCAAGATACTGATAGCGGCGCCGGTCATAAATGAGTGAATGGCAACCAGCGGAATAAATTCGACAATCCATCCAAGGCGTACCAGACCAACGAATAGTAAGAAGGCGCCAGAGATCACCGCAAGACCTCTTGCAATTTGCTCCGGGGCAAATTCTGGGTGTACATCGCGAACTCGGAGGATGATGTTGCCAACAAGAGTTGACATCACAGCCACTGTACCAATAGTGATATCTTTTGATGTTGCGAAAGCCCAGTACAGTAGAAACCCGACAAAGGAGGTGTAAAGGCCATACTCAGGAGGCAGCTGGGCCAGGATGGCATATGCCATTCCTTGAGGAATGACAACAAATCCTACGGTAACACCTGAAATCTTTTAGTAAAGCTTAAGACCGCCAAATATGTAGACCTTACCAGCAATGATGTCGCCAGTAAGCCATGTTAGATTATAGTGAAAGATCCAAGACCAAAAAGGGAACAAGCTTTTGAAATAGCGAGCAGCACTGCCCTTGGAAGGGACGAGCGTGTCGGTTAGCCATTCCTTGACTGTAACCTCTTCTTCAACGTAGGGCGTTATTGAACCAACAGATGTTGCAGCTTGCCCTACTGCTTCTGTGGGTTCAAGCCTTGCGCGATACCCAGTGTCAATCCCCACTCCCTTGGCAAAAACGTGGCCGACCTTGGCTGCTGTCATGGTTGAGGCTCAATTGAAAGTTCAATGATACCAGGTACAAGGCAATGGCTGACGACAAGAGCTCGGAACTCTACTAAGCTTTGGCGAAAGTCTTTGCATCTTATATTCCTCATACGTCGCTTCGTCAACTTGGCGCGGCATATGCCCGTATGTTGCGTTGATTACCCCCATCTTGGCGGTCATGTCTTCATACTAGCCCCGAGAACTACCACGGCCTTCACTGGCTGAAAGAGTTAATCCAAGATACCAAGAATGATCTGGACTTGGCCTCTCTTGCCAACAGGCCATATGGGAAAGGCCAAGACGGTGGCCCAGGATTGGGCGCAGTTACTATTTCAATAAGAGTACCGGGCGGGCCTTGGTTCTCACGCTAAGCGGTCACGACATCTTAGCTCCAAATGGCGAATATACTCACCAAGACATATATTACCTTATGGAACTTGAGAAAGCTGAGCTGTGGCGACCCCCAAAACTGCTTTTTGACTTTCCATAGACTCATATTTTCTTAAGCGGACGCGACGACCGCACGCGACTTTTGCAAAACAGCAGCCAATCTCTGAGTGTGCCCGACTTTTCCAGGCCCATACCCACCTGGCACGGTTGTGCGATTGGTTGTTACCGACCCTTGGCAATGCAGACATTGTGCTTTCGTGTTTTCATCGTTGCTTTCTGCGGTCAATGCCGCGTTGAGACACTGGACCCGAGGAGATGGTACTGCATGGCGATCCATGAGCTGAACGCAGTAGACTTCTAGACCCTTGCCCCAATCTGCAGCACTGGTCTCAAATTGAGATTACGTTTCTCTTTGAAGAACTACCCTGTTGTGTGCCATGTGATTTCCGCAGCATCAAGACCCCTTTGCTGGGGCGGGCATACATAGTGCTCGCGTTAGACCCTGCAACTTTGGACCAGACTCAACTCAGGCCGCTCTGAAATAACACAATGAATCCGATCAGCTGCCATAATTCGCTAGACTGGATACATGCCTGAATTATGTTCAAAAGCCGAGCCCCAATGATGTACTTCGCATTTGGACACTCTGCTGTCTTCTCAGTGGTGTTCTTGACGACCATCGTATCACATAAAGGTTGCAACCTTTTGATCAGGGGGCCTTTGAAGTCCAAGAATTGCCTCATCATGATCCTGTCAAGACGATGGCACATTGCCATAATCATTAGACTGATGTCCGACAATGTTGAACGTTAGTAGACTTTGCTATTAGATTATGCTTTTGTTGGTAGATGAGAAGTTCTGGTCTCCGCGGAGATTTACCATGGACGGAATATTTTACTTTTTGGCATCAAGCCGCTTGTGAGGATTCTTGCTGTATAGCTGCTAGCCTTGATTATGCAATCTTGCCAGGAAACTCGCGAGCAAGCACATCGTCACCAACACTTCGTAGTCCATCGTGGGGTCCAATCACGTAAGATAGCCAAGACAACTCCAACATCGCCATGACTAGGGCACTGAAAAGCCTTTCAACATGGCCGATCCAACATTGACGTCCAGAGAAGATCGCGACGGTGGTGCCAAGACGCCTGGACATGAGTGGGAAAACCCCCGAAGGTCATCAACTACTTTTGTTACTCGGTGAAGACGATGAGCTGAAACTAGTGACCCAATAGTGTCAGTTTGACTCTGCATGTATGTGTGATGCTTAAGGCACATATACACATTCTTGAGGGAATACAAGTCTCCGGATCTGAGCATAGAACAACTTTGAATCAAGTATTGAGAGTCAATTCACAGATCCATTGGCAGGTGTGTCTTCTGTATTTGAGGTCGAATATTATTCTAAGTGAAGTCTTGAAAAGATTTGAATAAAGAAATTTGAAAAAAGAAAAAAAAAGAAAAAAAGAGGCCTGTCCCAGTGGGGGTGTTGGCAAAATGGCTGCTGTTCATGTGGTGAGGCTTCGTTATCCATGACAGCATCCATATGAGGAATTATTGAATCGATAGCCAAACTAGACAAAGCAAATCAAACGACCCGTAATAGATAGAAGCAGGCTGCGAGTCTGGCGCTTATGGTGTAAAATGTTGATGTCCCCAAGGGACTTCAAAGCATCCCACCGGTGCAGAGTAACAAGGAGTGAGGCATCGATCGCTTAAAAATTCTGTGTATATCGATATTGTTGACATTGCCTACTGGTCCTTTCATCCCACACTGAAAGGATTGTATCAGATTTACATGAGCCTGAGCGCCTATGCATTTGCTTTATTGTTCAGATTCCACCAGTCTGGTGCGGTCATGAACGGTAGAATAGACATTGCTGCCATGTGAGACACTACCGATGGCTTGTGAATCCCGTAGTAGACCGGATGGTTCTTCCATTATTGGCGAGAGGGCACAAGAGCGTTGAAACTGTAAGTGATTGAGTGGCCGTTCATAGCTCAAACTTCAGACCAGGAGCCGCAGGTCCTTGTCCATTGCATCACTCGAAGCTCAACTTGTCCCAAATTACCCACAAACTGCTCTTGACGATTTTGCACCCTTCGGAGTGCCAACTTACGCATAATGGGTTCACAAATAGTGCCAAATCTCTTTGACGGCATTGCGATGACGTGCACAAGATTTGATAGAAGTTCGGCATTACAGTAATCTAAAGCATTTTCAAGACGAAGCCATGAGCTAAACTGCTATTGCGTGTAAAAGGTCCACGCAACTTATTATACGTCCAGTTGAATCAGCTGGCCGCAGCTGGCGGCGCTGCTGCCCACCCGAAGCTCCCGCAATGACAATGACAATGACAATGGCAATGACGCGCTAAAGTTAGCTTGTGCTTTATGCTAAACAGAGAGCTCTAACCTTAGTCTGGGTTAATCTTTTTTGAGGACAAGCCTGAGTTCAAGAATTGTTATAGCCGATATAGAGCTCTCGCGACGCTGCACACTGCACTGCAACAGACGAGTCCAGCCATGCTCAGGCAAGTCAATGGCCACGAGGACTGCAGCTGGGGCCAATCATGCTAACAGAGAGACTGTAGCAGCATCTGCACATAGTTTCACACCCACTATGCGGTCGCAACTGACCCGCCATGTCTTGCGACGCCTGCGTGCCCACCAGGGCATTCCCTTGTGTCCGACCACACGGCCAGCAATACGAAGGACCCAGGTCGCTCTCAGAGTAACGAGACCAGTACAGCGGCGGACCTTTTTGAGTTTCTTTCAGAAGGCCCCCAGAATATTGAAGGAACCCGAGGTCGAACCAGGATTCGAATCATTGCTCAGATATGGCGCTCACAAAAACGAGGGCCTCCGTCCGCCGCCCAGGGAAGAGCTGGTCAAGGCCTTCCGGGACTTCTTCAAGCACAAAAAGTTCAACAGCCGCCCCGTCAACGCTATGCAGGCACGGGTTGCCCACCACGTGCTAAATTATCTAATGGAACCGGGGGAGCGCAACGTCGAAGGTATCTTGGCCTTGGGCGATATGAGGACAGCACAACAAGCTCTGCAACTGCGCCCGCGAGACGATCCGACCGAGCTTGTCAATCTTTCAAAGGCCCTCTTCATACATATCCGAGACCTGTCGAAACAAAAGGCGCGAACCGAAGGGAGAAGTCCTGTTGTGGAACGGGCCCCTGATGTTGCCGCGCTCTTGAGGATATTGACACAGCACGGGAGGTCACAAGAAGCAAAGCATCATCTGCTTACTTCCTGGTCAACATTGCAAAGCGAGCCAAAGCTTGGCTATGGCCGGACCAAAGGACTGTGGATCCCAGTGCTTCGTGGTCTTGCCCTGGAGGGCAGGGAAGAAGAGTTGTTGGAGTTTCTCTCGACAATGCAAGCCCGCTCCGGCCTCGAATTTGGTCGTTCGGTCCATGAGATTATGACGACCTTTTATGCCCGGCAAGACAGTGTCGACAAAATGAAGGAATGGTTCTATAAACCCATCGAAGCTAGCCAGGACAGCGACGTATCTCAGACCGGCGCAATACCACCAACGCCCACGCAGCAAACATACCAGGAAGTTTTTCGTTCTGCAATGCGGAACAATGATCTGGAATGGGCTATTACTGAGTACCAAAACATCGCTGACGACCTCCAAAAACTAGCCCAGACGCACTACTCTGAAGAGGCTGTTCTTCTCATATACCGCTTCGCAGTGCTCCTGCTTGGAAAGGGGCCCGAACATATCGAGCAAATGATGCTCAACAGCGCTGATCCGAAACTCCGACCCAACATTGACATCGTCAATGCGGTTATTGAAGCAGCAACGGAAAAGGGGGACTTATACATGGCGGAGCGACTATCGGCATTGGTGCCAAAGCTCGAAATTTTTCCAGATAGGAGACACTACAGTCTCCAGGTAAACTACAGGATACAGGCCGGCGACTTGGATGGTGCATTCACGGCTTATCGCTTGCTCCAAAACTTTGACAGCGATGACGTGGATTGGCCTGTCCTCAACAAACTCATTCGTGGGCTGTGCAACCAACCGACCCCTAACCACGACAAGGTGCTGGAAATTACAAGCTACCTGGAGCAGCTTACAGCCACTCTCGAACCCGAGACGGTCGTTGCAGTTTGCATGACTTTCATGAAGAACGACGAGCAGTACGAGGTGATAGACACCCTGTCGCTTCATACAGTGCATTACAGCTGGGACGAGAGAGCATTGGTATCGAAAGCATTCGTCCGGTTTTGCTTAGATCCAGCGAACAGCACGGCGAGAGTGTGGGACGCATACGCGCTGCTGCGACAATTCTTTCCAGATAGCGCTTTGGAAGACAGGACCCGGATTATGGACTCGTTCTTTGATCGGAAACGTGCCGACATGGCTTGCCACGTGTTCGGTCATATGCGACAGCACAGCAACCCAGTTTACCGTCCTACGGTAGACACATATATTCGCTGTTTCGAGGGCATCGGCCGTGCTCCAGACTTGGAGAGTCTCAGGATGGTCCACAACATGCTCAAGATGGACACTACAATACAGCCAAACACCCAGCTGTACAATGCGCTCATGATAGGCTATACAGCATGCGACGAACCAGAAAGCGCTCTCGACTTCTGGAAGGACATCGACAACTCGGTCGAGGGTCCTTCATACCAATCATTAGAGATCATCTTCAGAGCATACGAAGTAGCACCATACGGCGACGAGCCCGCAAAGCAGCTGTGGGAGAAACTCCAACGGATGGAGATAGAGCTGCCTGCCAATGTAGTGACGGCGTATGCCGCGGCACTGGCTTACCATGGCCATGTCGAGGAATACAAGAAGATCCTCGAGGAGATGGAGGCCGACATCGGGCAACGGCCTGATATCTCGACGTAAGTTTGCCAAGTTGCTTGCTGTCTTTGGTGAATTATTGATACTAATGACTGGTGATGTAGCCTCGCCGCCGTCTACAATGCATTACCAAACGACGAGTTCAAGGATGACTTCGAAGCATGGTCGAAAGAGTGGTTCCCCCACGTATGGAGTCAGCTGGAAAAGAAGCGCAGGAGGCGGGATGCGGAAGGATTCCGGACATTCGTGATGACGCGCCCGTGGAAGGCGTAGTGTGTTTTATATCATTTGTATATGTACAAATACCTAAGAGCAACCTATACACGGGATGTGGTGTATATCTATCTGTACAAAACCAAACCAAAGCGAAGCTGTTGTACAAATTGCCTGTGTCCATCAAAGCTCTCTACCCTCGATATGCCTAGATTGGTGTTTTTTTTTTTTAAATAGCGTAGTGGTTACCAATCCTGCCCGTGGGCGCATTCTGTTGTCCGACCTGGCGCCTCTCCCTCTTCAACAGCTCCGGGTGTCTGTGTACGCTCGGGTGCAGGCCCAGACCGATGGACCTCCGGATGGCCTTTGCCACCTTGCGCTGGTTGACGGGGCGCAGGCCGGTCTGGTCGGCCCTCTTGATGCGGCCATGGGGGGTGGTGTACTCGGAGATGAAGGAGAAGTTGCGGTACATGTCCAGCGGGCTCAGGCCCAGCAGGTCCACCAGGTCCCGCTCGACCGTGGTGATCTTGCGCCACTTCTTCATCTCCACGGCGCTCAGGTCGTGCGGCGCGTACACGTCGCCTAGGTTCCAGCGCCGCGGCGCCTGCCGCATGTAGTCGTCCGCCAGGTTCTTGCCGCGCAGCTCCGTCTCCACCTTCAGCTCCTCGCCCTCGGGCGTGCGCCGTTGCGGTGACCGCAGGCGGTTGAATATGGCCTGGGCCATGGCTGTCTTGTTCCGGGGGGCCCTGGCCGGCGAGGCGTCGAGGTCTAGCAGGGTGGAAGCCGAGGAGGCCGGGGGCCTCGAGGTGCCGACATCTCGGACTACAAATGGGATCGTCGGAAGTTAGCGAGTGATATACACCTTTCGGGGGGATGGCCTCAAAGGGGAATGCGTGTATTGGACATACGGGCTTGTGATGTAGCCGTCTTGGAGAATTGGCAGATCTGCGACTTGACGAATGTCCGCGCCGGCCCTACGGCGCTCAGCATGGGTATCCTGGGGGGCATCGTGGGCGATATGTGCTGGTTCGGCTGAGTAACAGGAGCTGAAGCTATCCCCAGTCCTAATGCAATTGAGATGCGCTTGCCTTCGATAATTTTGGCGTCGTTAATCCGATCCGCTTGGGCTGGGGGGGTTCAACTTATGCTACCTGCATAAATACATACATAGTACAAACATGCATAGTTAGTGCGTCAGTACGGATTACGCCCCATATGAAAGATGCATAAGTGGCCCACCATGCATGTTACCCGACTAGCTTGTATGGGGCAAAGCGTCGCGGGGCAGGTCCTGGGTATCCACTAAAAACTTTCTCAGGACATTCCATTCTACTGCCAGCCGCGGGCAGATTGACATCTCGAGAATCAGTTTTGAAGTTGTCGCTTTACATCATAAAACGATCATTGGTATATCTGTCGCCGGAAACCATCTACAACGATCGTTCCGAGGTCGTCACTTGACATCGCATAACAACTAGTGGTATATCTGTCGATTGAGACCGCCTACCACAAATCATGGTTCGCAAATTGAAGCACCACGAGTGAGTTCACCGAGACAAACACCCGAAATTGCGAATATGGACGGATCGCTGACCCCTCTGCTTCCAGGGCCAAACTCCTCAGAAAGGTTGACTTCATTGAATACAAACAAGACAACGGCCATCGCGACCATGCCGTTATCCGCCGTTATATGATCCAGAAGCCCGAAGATTACCACAAATACAACCGCCTGTGTGGAAGCGCGAGGCAACTAGCACACCGTTTGACTCTTTTGCCGCCGGATTCTGCTGTGCGGAGAAAGCACGAGGACCTGCTTCTCTCTAAACTTTACGACATGGGCGTCATCTCGTCGACCTCGAAGCTCAGCGCTGTCGAGCACGACGTGACCGTCTCCGCCTTCGCGAGACGCCGTCTGCCCGTCGTCATGACCCGCCTCAAGATGGCCGAGACTGTTCAGGCCGCCACGAAGATGATAGAATCCGGCCACGTCAGGGTTGGCACGGACAGTATCACCGATCCCGCCTATCTCGTCACGCGCAGCATGGAGGACTTCGTGACGTGGGCCGTGGGCAGCAAGATCAAGAGAAACATCATGAAATACCGGGACAAGTTGGACGATTTCGAGCTGCTATAGGCCATGGGTGGGCCAGGCTATGGTCGAGGGACAACGATGTAACCACGGTTCATCTAACTCCATACCAGATGCCCAATTCGACTGAGGATTATATTGCATTGCATGGCGTTCAGGCGTTGGCTTATTGTCATGAAAGACGAGGAGTAATTCATTACAGCTCAAATGCACAAACATGTTTTCAACCTAGTGTCTTATCACTGTGACATTGCGATTTCCACTCGACCCTCGAACCGCCCAGCTGATGTATGTACTCACGAACAGGGGATTGAACAACAAATCCAAAGAACCTCGGCCATGATGGTACGGCATGGAATTTTGGCAAGTACTCATCTCAAACCGACTCTTTCGAACCACCATCCATTTTGAGAACGAGCTCTACTTAGCTACTCAAGCTACAGCCGTCCAGCAGGTGTAGCGTGTCTGGTACGTGTGTCAAATGATGTAGAAGCCAGCAGCCCAAAACTTAATAGTCATATGTTCGTCTATGTCAGGCAAGTCTGGAAGTGATGATCTAGACAGGTTGCAGAAGCCTCGGAAAAGGAGCTACGTGGCTAGGTTCCGCCAGTCGTCACAAAGTCACACTATCCCCATACGAACTCGTCCTGGTCATGTGGATTCTAGATGCCACTTTGTTCAAAAGGCCGCCGTGATCTTCGTCAGTGTCGAGCAGACTCTGTCTACCGGGCGTCTGTGCTTGCCGCATCCGCCAGGATATATGCCTTTCGAGTGGCTCGGCTGTGCCCACTCCCCAAGAGCTCTACCACGTGGACAATTCCGCAATACAGCGGGGATTACGGCGTGCGGGCGGGTGGTTGACGCCGGAGACAGGTGCGTACGTCTCTGTCTCGTGACCAAGACGAGTTCACCAAGATTGAGACTGGACGTTGGTAAGAAGCATAATATGGGATGATCATCCCTTTCTACCCTGCGCGAGAGGTCGGATCTCGTAGCTGACCGTGCCACCAATCACTTTGCGGGCATGCGCAGGCCGAAATTTGCACAATGTCGTTCGTGTCTCCGAATCGCCGCCAAGCGGCAATATTGAGTTCGCCACCATTTGATCGCACATCTCAGAAACATATACAGGAAATCTGGTATATAACCCTCGGGCATGCAAACTTAAAATCGAGAAGACGTCGATCAGGTTCGAGTTGTGGCGAAAGCTTTGGTAGCTGGCAACATTCTGTGAATATATTATCGTGATTTCTATTAGAAATCTTTGCTTCGAGAAATTACCGAGTGCCGAATCTTTACATTTTAAAACATAGAAGGAAGCGTGGGCTGCTTGTGCTGGTAGGTAAGGCTGAAAAGATCTTGGTGCATGTGTATACGTAAAACATCAGGGGCCCGGTCCTGCGTGGCGCTCATGTATACGTACGTATGTGCTCTATATACTGACCGCCTGTGATATGTTGAGGCTGTTGAATTCTGAAGTTGCTCATTAAATGGAGATGCGCCCAGCTGGAATTTATTCGAAGCTGACTCAATCGCTGTAACAGCATATTGGTCCATTTCGATTCCCAGGCGAAATTGCCAAGTTTTCCGTATGCAGGTATCCCTGCTCACCTTGGTACCGCTCCTGCTTTTCTGGGGTTAGGTCGTTGAAGGATTGTCAGCTAATTGAATGCTTGCCACTTTTTTTTCGTCTCAGTGAAGCCTTCAAAGCTGATATGATCATAGCTAAGACGATGGTTTTCAGAATAACGGTGTTTCAATAGAATGAAATCTTTCTTCAACTAATTTTGTTTGTTATTCATGCGATTCGAAATAAGAGCATATGCGTTTCGGGGACTTTTATATAAATGGATTTCCAGTCAAGGTATACTCGATTGACAGAGGAACACGAGCCCAAAACGAGACTGCGAACTCCGCCACCAGCTCACAGCTATGAGATGACCGGAGGTCTATCGAACCCGTCTTCTAGCGATTTAGAAGTGGTTGGTGCAGATCGCTCAGAAACACCTATCAACGCACGGGACAAGTTCGTTGTTCGTCCGTACTCGCCAAATGGTATTCAGTCCGCATACGTACCAGACGCATCTGTCCCAGCACCAGAACGGTACGCTGGAGTTGACAGACCCAGAAGGCGGTGGCTCGAAGGACTGAAGAAGCGGCGCGTGTATATTGAGTCGGCTTTCGCGAGCTTAGTTGTGATAGGCATCGTGGTCGGCGTTGTGTACGGAACAGAGAGGCAGCGACACGCCTCTGATTCACGGATGACTGACGATTCTCAGCCAAGCAACAGTACTGTTCCGATCGGAAAGTCGTTCAACGCAAGTTTCGGTGTGCCTGCCGGCAATTGCACCTATACCTGTGGGTCTTCTGTCTCAGTACGTCCGGTAGTCTTTCCCTTGATTCCAGAGCAATCTACGATTCCTCTCCCCTTCAACTTCGGATCCCAGCTGAGACTTGATTTTGCGTAGGGCTACACAGCAGGCGTTTCTCAGAACCTATGGGGCAGCCGTACAGATACCGAACCAGGTTGGGCGTGCGGAACTTGCTGGCACATCCACGCAGAAACAAATGGTCAACAGCAGCTCATAAATTCAACAGATATTGTTGTCCACGTGCATGATTGGTGTCCGGCCGCAAAACATAACGATCTCTGCCAGCAAACGGATCTTAGCTCAACCAACAAGTATGATGCTGTGGTCCATTTCAATCTGTGTCCAGAGACTGGTTCATCAGCTGCATTTTTCGCGTCTGGTGATGGCTTAGGCATCGGGACGGCCACTCGAGTAAACTGTTTATAGTACTTGTGTTACTCGAAATTGCCCAGGACCAAGGGCATTGACTCGTGAGAAGTATAAAAAAGATTTGGCCACAAAGGTAACCTACGCAGCCAGATGCCCTTAGGATGCATCATGATTGAAATTGCGCCTAGCTGAGAGAATGAGCCACGGCTGATGCAGATCACAGGACGCAAGCTCTAAATAATCTTGGGCCAATGCCAAATCAGATCGAGTAAAAGTCTATTAAAGGTCTTTAGTTCAGCGAAGAACTCTTCGATCGGGTTCAAGTCGGGTGAGTAGGGCGGTAGAAACAGCACTTTTGACGGCGGCTTCTCCACAAAGCTGGTCTATTTTATGTGGTTGATGGAACTGTGCATTGTCCATGATTAGAACCGAATTTGGCTTGGGCCATTACCACACAAGGGCAATAAATCACATTTTAAGTTCTCAAACACGGAACTATTAGTTGACCCTCGAAAAACCTTTACATGGACTATGCCATCCATTGTGTACGCCGGCAAGATCTGATGCGTTCAGTCAAGATGAAACGGAGTCGTTTGAACGGGCGATATTCCCTTTGGTGCCCAACCATGTCGGCGAATATTAGCACGATTGTCACACCCCGAAGCATCGACGAATACAAAGTGATACGATCGAAACTCGGGAAACATATAGCTATAAAAATTGCGTAGCTTATTGTCCCCCCCCCCCCCTGTAACTCGCCTTACCATCCTTTTGTTCTATCTGATCAATGCAAGAGCTCGGCTTACTCTCATCTTTGTTACTTGAGCCTCGAATTCTTCGGCGATAAGGGTCGACCATTTCGTCTTAGTACAGATCATACCCCGGGAAGCACGTGCTGAGATTCTGCGAGGTTGGTGCCATGCTGACTTGGTAGCAACGCAACAAATTGATAAGGCAACGATTGCGTTGATTATATAAAGGAGGTAACGCTCGAAGGACATTTAGTTCCGGTCTATTCAGTAGCGTTCTCGCTAGACGGCCAGCGGGTGGCATGGGCGTTAGACGATGAGACCGTGATCTTTTGGTTAGCTATAGGCGAGAAGCAGGTGTCGCTTAATACCGGGGTTGTTCGAGATCTGCACTTTTACTCAATGGGCACACAGCTCTTAACGGATCGAGGGCCGTTCGCTATACGTGTTATAGATAACATAAGTTCTCAAATACCCTGTGATACTTCCTTTGATAACAGGGTTCGCTATGGAATTGGCGATGACAAGTGCTGGATCACTTCAAACGGGCAGAATCTCTTATGGTTGCCCGTACAGTATCGTCCGGCAAACTCTGCCGTCTTTGGCAATATCATTGCGATTGGTTGCTTATCCGGCAATTTCTTGGTTTTGCGGATTATGCATCAAGGTTGGAATATTTGTCACTTCAAATTGCAAAGGAGGGCATAAGGATAACTTTTATGTTTGTCTTTAGTGTCTGCCTAGAGTTCCCAAATTGGCCGTCCTAAAATAGAATTTTGCTCCACAAATGTGGAAGGGAATAATGTTACTTATTGTATTGTTGAACGGGCGGCTATGCTGTTAATAGATAATGCTGTTGCATGGTGTTTGAGTGTTTGAGCTGTTCAGCGACAGCTCTACGTTAATGTCCCCACAACGAAACATTGTCCTTCTCTACAAAGAATGTCACGTGATTGCGCGACCATGCTGCCAGAGAAAGGCGCGTTGGGGTGCGGCTTCTTATAAGTCTTACATCACACTCACTCTGGGAACACCACCTTGCAATCATGATTATCAGGGAAATGTGACCATGATACCTCGAGAATCAAAGGGTTTTAACATCACTCATGATGAGGGTGCAGCATCCTCAGATGACGTCCATGCACCACCTTCTCCGTCAAGGCTTGGCGGCCACTCCAAGAAGCGCAAAACAGCGTCAGCTGTGAAGGTTGAGTGGACTGACGATGAAGTCGATTTGACGTACGAAACAAACAAGAAGAGGAAAGCCAGTGACAAATCAGTCGCAGGTGATGGTAAAGAAAAAGCTACCGCGAGACCACCACCGAAAGCGCTCAAAGGCAAAAGTGCAAAATCTCTAGCCCGGAAGAAAGCCGAGCCTTCATCTTCTGCGGAGGATGATGGGACGCCAGAGGACGCTCTACCTGACTACCTCAAGTTGAGACGTAAGGAGTTCAACCAAGACCGGGAGCGGCTCCAATTAGCGGGTTTGAAGCTACCTCCTACGTACGACGAAATTGAGTTTTCTGAAGATGAGAGCAATTTCAAGCTTGAAGAAAAGCCCAAGTTCGATGAGCGAAGTGGTATCAAGCCTAGTCGCGAGTATCAAGATATTTTTCTTGAGCAGTCAGCCGGAATCATACCTGCTTCAATCGCGCAGTACCTGCGTGACTATCAAGTCGAAGGTGTGAAGTTCCTCCATCGTTTGTTCATCTATCAAGAGGGTGGAATACTCGGTGATGACATGGGTTTGGGAAAGACTGTGCAAGTGGCAGCGTTTTTGACCGCGATGTTCGGCAAGACCGGAGACCAGCGAGACGCCAAAAGGATGAGGAAATTTCGGAATTCCAGCGATAGATGGTATCCCAAGGTACTAGTCGTCTGTCCGGGCTCTTTGATCCAGAACTGGAAGCAGGAACTGGATCGCTGGGGGTGGTGGGTTACTGATCTCTATCATGGAGCTAACAAGGACGATGCCTTGGCCGCGGCAAGAGCAGGCCGTCTGGAAGTCATGATTACCACCTATACAACCTACAAGAACAATCTCAACGCTGTAAATAGAGTGACTTGGGATGTAGTCGTCGCCGACGAATGCCATTGTCTCAAGGACCCTGCGGCTGAGGTCACCCGAGCCATGAACGACGTCAATGCACTATGCCGTATCGGCCTCACCGGGACAGCAATACAGAACAAGTACGAAGAACTGTGGTGTATACTTAACTGGACGAATCCTGGATTATTCGGGACGATTACTGAGTGGAAGCAGACTATCAGTGTTCCACTCACTATCGGACAGTCTCATGACGCCACGATTCAGCAGTTGAGCAAAGCCAGAAAGACGGCACGAAAGTTGGTAGAGAACCTCCTGCCGCGGTTCTTCCTTCGGCGAATGAAAAGCCTCATCGCACATCAGTTACCCAAGAAGCGCGACCGTGTGGTGTTCTGTCCGTTGTCGGATTTGCAGCGCGAGGCATACCAAAACTTTGTCAGGGCTCCTCTGGTGGAATTTGTTAAGAAAGCGTTCGATGAATGTGATTGCGAATCCGGAAACAAGCGGGGGTGGTGCCATTACAAGGAGACTCCAGAAGGCGAAACCTGGAAGGCTCTTGTTTTCCCGTGTGTCATGTCACTGCAAAAGCTTTCAAGCCACCTTACGTTGCTGATCCCGGCCCATTCCGAAACCATTGATAAACACAATCGAGACATACGGTATCTCAAGGCTGCTATGCCGGACAGATGGAAAGAGCTCTATAGCCAGCGAGATTCTCTTCTGAATCTTGCTAATCCAGACTTTTGTGGGAAATGGGGTGTCCTGAAGAAGTTGTTGAAATACTGGCATGCAAACGGGGACAAAGTGCTAGTGTTCTCTCATAGTGTCCGGCTACTGAGGATTCTACAACACTTATTCAACAATACCAGCTTCAATGTCAGCTACTTGGACGGATCTTTATCATATGAAGAGCGGCAGAACACGGTTGACGATTTCAACTCGGACCCAAACCAATTTGTATTTCTCATCTCGACAAAAGCCGGAGGTGTCGGTCTCAACATCACTTCGGCCAACAAGGTTGTGATCATGGATCCGCATTGGAATCCTTCATATGATCTTCAAGCCCAAGATCGTGCATACCGTATCGGTCAGGTCAGAGATGTAGAAGTCTATCGACTCATTTCCGTCGGTACAATCGAAGAGATTACATATGCCAGACAGATCTACAAGCAACAACAAGCGAACATCGGTTACACAGCTTCAAATGAGCGTCGCTATTTCAAAGGCGTGCAGCACCAACCTGACCGGAAAGGAGAGATCTTCGGCATTGACAACCTTTTGTCCTACCATCCGGAACAGGTCAGGCTCAGGGATATTGTCAACAAGACGAACATCGCTGAGGCTAGAGCTGGCGTAAGCCTTATGGATGTAGACATGGACCAAGCTATTGAGGATGCTTCCCAAAGTGGTTTAGTAAAGAATGAAGAAGACCCTGATGCCGGTGATGGTGGACTTGGCCAGCTGGCGTCCATCTTAACAAAAGATGAGCAGGACCGTGCGGAAGCAAAGCAATCCAAGAAGCGCAAGAGTGACGCTGTCCAAGCCATTCTTGTGTCTGCAGGTGTAGAATATACACACGAAAACTCCGAAGTCGTCGGTTCCTCGAAGGTGGAAGACAAGATCTCTCGTAGAGCAGAGCTCGAAGCTAGCCAAGACATGAACCCAACCGCCAGAGCTATTTTCTTCAATAGCCAAGATCCCGATGTCTTCGACGACGTCGCTGACCTTGGAAACCTCAGCTTTCAATACAATCCGCCCGAAGAAGTCATGCAGCGTCAGTTCTGTACCATGGCAACAACGTTCGGGTTCCCTAATGCTACTGAGTTAGCATTGGCCGTGGAGAGCATGACGCAGGAGCAGCGCAGGAATACACTTGAACTATTCTACAACAAGAGACTTGAGCATCTCAGGCAGTCGGGTCTTCTCAAGTCTGAGATTAACGAAGAACCAAAAGCAGAAGTCAAGGACGAGATGGAGAAGGAAGCAAAGGCAGCGGTCAAAGAAGAGCCCAAAGCAATTGGCGAGGGAGATCCCGTCTTCCCAGTGGTAAAGGCCGAGGCGAAGGTGGAAAGCACGAGAGCATCTTTCCATGACGATGTAAAGCCGAAGCAGGAAGAGGTACCTGCTATGACTGGAGGAAAATTGACAACTTCGATCTGGATCTCAGATGATGATGAAGATGACGAGTTATGAGTCCTTTTATGTACGTATGTTTTGGAATACGGATTGATACCCTTGATCATGCATGGTATAGGAATACCAGAACTTTACATACGCAAGCTTTGTAATTACATTCAATAAAAATCGAATTGATGATCGTCATCTCAACTACTGTACCAATCGGAATCGCAATCTTCAGGCCAATAGTTCGAAAAGCCTACCAGTGAGTATAGTAAGATTCATCGTGTCGAGCTTTGGAGGTTTAGACAATTCTGCGTCCGCATCTCAACAGTGTGATTTCTTCGTTGTCTCGCATAATTAAAGCGGCTTGTAATACCTTGCCTAACCACGTGCATTATGTCAACCAGTGCTTATCTATTGACAGTCAGACATGAATCAGGGTTGTCCAGTCGGCGTCAATGGCTGAAATTATGTTTCACAACGAGATCTAATTCGTCCCTGCCCAGAAAATATAGGCCAAGCTGCGTGTGAAGTGAAATAATGTCAAAACAGCCCAAACAAGGTCGGCCTCCCTCTCAAGATCCTTGCTTACCCGTCCTGTGCCGCTATGTTTGATCGACCTGGCCTTCGAGAGATAATTCAGATTTGGTACAAGGCCCCGATTTCTTGGAATCTCGTCAGTCACAGTTGTAGCAGTAGGGAAAAGCCAAATTGTAAGTACCAAGTGGTCGATCACAGCCACATTTGGGGTTCGTGTCAGAGGTTCATTTGTTGTCGTCATTTTCATTACGGAAATTGCAGGTTTTGTATAGCCACGTACAGGCGCTTGACTCTCCTGCTTGATCCGTCCTTGTTTTTCACGAATTACCTTATTAGCCCACCTGGAACTTGTTTCCAACATTGCCGTGCCCCGGGGATAAATAAGTATTCGTGCATCACATTCCCGTGCCGCCACAAGCGAAGTTGTGTCAGCCTAGTGCCCCAGATCTTTTCTAGCCATAAACCTTGTTTGATTCGTTAGTATGTCAAGGCCTAGTACAGCGTTAATACTACGGTATTAGGTTAGCATTCTTAATGTCCCAAATCTCCCTATCGAGAGCCTTGCGCCGAGCTAACTTTATTCCTTGTTACAAGTGTTCTTTGCCGGTGTGCCGTTACATTTGTTGCAAGCGCTGCATGATTTGGTGCCGGTAGTTGGACCTCACAGGGCTCAGGGCCAAGCTTTGGGCCTAGTTAGCGGGCCCGAACCTTACCTATTCAGTGCACAGAGGCTCGCTGAATGGCCAGATCAAGCCCCTGTCGGCTCTGTGAGCTCCTTGATTTGAACCCTGTTTTCGTGGTATGACCTCACGCGACGAACGGGCCTCTGCAGCAGGAACGAGCTTCTTCGCGAATCGGCATCTAACAAGTTGTCTTGCATAGCAAATCGTTTCACCCCTAGTTCCTTGTAACAATACTTTCTCTCTCAGTCTGCGTATGTGGTAGGCTGAGCCAGGCTACGGCCGTGCTTGAGATCGTTCCAAGTGATTCCAAGGTATCGGTACCAAAGCTGATGTGTCTGGCATGCCGGTCTCTCTCGGGTTTCGAATCACTGACACGTACGCGCAAACGCGCAGAGGAGTTAGTAACCGCAAACAGAAAGTAGGCCTCGTGCCTTGGTTGACTGTTGGTCCAGACTTCGCAATCAACGTCATTCTCATTGAGTCAGTGTCGCACATAGCTTTGACTGTGAATCATTGACGATAAATACTCGTGATGCTTTCCCTCCACCCGCGATGTTTTGAACTGCTACAACAATTATCATAATACGCAAACATACACATCAAGCAGCCACGGGTCTCTCTCTTGGGCTATCAAACTAACGTTAATACTTGACCGAAAAGTCACACGGGCTTACATAATACCGTCAAAATGATCTTGACGGACCTCATCGCCATGATCCTCCGCCTGGCGGAGCTGGTCTTCGCCGCCATTGTCGCTGGCCTCAACGGCGCCTATCTCCACTCAGTCCGCAACTCGGACAGCTGGAGCCAAGGCCGTTTCATCTACGCAGAAGTCGTTGCCGCTCTTGCCATGTTCCTTGCTTTGATCTGGCTGTTCCCGTTCTCCGGCAGCTTCGTCCACTGGCCTGTTGACATTGTCATCTCCATCTGCTGGTTCATTGCTTTCGGCCTGATTGTCAACGTAAGTCTCATCTATACATGGTTAAGCCAATGCTTCCAGGCAGCTACGGTTAGGAACGATGTATATTGACACCATCTCTAGTTGCTCGGTGGCTCTTGTGGTGGCGCTTTCAACTGGGACAACATCGCCTTCCGGGGTGATGACCAGTGCGGCAAGTGGAAGGCTGTCATCGCTTTCTCTTTCCTGTCCGCCATCTGCTGGCTCGTCTCGGCCGTCATCGGCATCATCTGGGTTCGCGACCACGAAAGACGTCAGTACCGACGTCGCAACTGGGGCTCTAGAACCAGTCGTGTTTAGATGACCCTACTTCCACATGACTCCGTCACAAACCGGTTGCCCTACGCACCCCACGATTACTGTGCGAAGCCCGATAGTATCGGAATTGCTTTCTACATATCCTTGAAGGATGTATTTTATTTCGGGCGATGACAATTCATAAATATGGGAGTTAGGATATTCCCTGGTTTTGCTCAACTTCTAATTGTCGGGGACGTTGACGCACGCACTGCATTGAGAATGATACCCTGAACTACTAAGTTTCTTTTATTAAAATACAAACACGATGCTTTTAAATCAATTAGTACGGCTTAGACCACCTGTCTTTCATAAAATATGACAAATCGTATCGTGCAAATATATTTAAGTAACATGGTCCCGCCCGTTGGTGGTAGAGCACAATTATGCACCACTCCTATCAGCTTTTGAAGCAAGACCTCCCGTACAATTACGCGTGACGAAAAAGTATTTATACCACTTGTTAAGTGCGTAACGACTTGGAAGCAGTGACACAATCGATGTTATATGTGTTGCCGCTTTTCAATTGCTGAATCAAGCTTCTACAGCAAGTTCATATCTAGTCTAGTACAGATATCGGCCGTGGTGCACTGCCAAACCAAATGGCCTGGTCGCATCCCAGCCGGAGTTTGGTAGTATGATTGTGAAGCGAAAGTTATAATCGTCATGCACAACAAGGAGACGACTTGTAAGTCATGAGCAAGCATGCGAGATTTCAGAAACCTGGCAATGACTATGGCGCTAACGAGATACTTACATTGCCAACTTCGGGAGGGGAGCAGAACCTCGGAAGTCTCTTTGCATTGAAGATGTTGACCCGCGAATATTTTGTGTATTCATGTATTCTCGTGTATTATATCTACTTCAAGACCGCAGTACGGCCTACCGGTACCGAACGCTGTCATCTTTATCCAAAGAGAAAATCTAGGATTCTATCGTAAAAGTTTCTAGATATAGTAAGCACAAGGTTCTACACCATTTTGATATCCATTTTGACTTACGTTGATTTCTCTGGCACATAGTTTCTTGTGTACTCCTCAATGCCGGCCAGATCTTGTTGAAGATCAACTTTGGCAGGCTTATGAAACCTGGTTCTGTGAATGACCTTCCACACAAGAAACAAAACGGGGAAAAGAAAGATCATCATGTAACTATTAAAAGTCAGTCTTATTCACGGACTAGGCCTCCAATCACATGCTGTGCTTACCTGAAGAGAAAGCTGCTGATATCCCAGTTGCCCGGGAGGAAGATGGTATAGCCGTTCATGAACGCCATAACGAACGTCATCACGCAAGCGTACCAAGCCGCATAGGGTTGCAGTTTTCCCATGTATGGAAGTGTCTTTCGGTCGATACCTTGGGCTTTCAAAGCCCGATAGAAGCAAATATAGGTCACACATACCACACAGTAGTTAATCAGCTGTGACGCAGTGATCAGTGATACGAACCAGCTCAAGACCGTGGCAGTGTTCGAGCTGACTTGTAAAAATGATAGCAGCGAGATTAGCAGCACAATGATGACACTGTATATAGGCACACCGTTCTTGAGACAAATCGTGAGAAACTTGGGGGCCTTTCCCTCAAGCGCGAGACCAAACAGAGATCGGGAAGCACAATAGACGCTATTGTGGTAGGTCAGTATTTCATCTCGGATATGCTCAAAATCTTGAATTGGCGAGACTCACTAGCTGTTTCCGGCCGAAAAGGCTGCAGTCAGCACCATCGCGTTGATAATATGAGGCAGGACTGGTATACCCAGACGATTCATCGCCACCACGTAGGGCGAAGCGGCAGCGCCAGGTTCGCCATTGGTGAACGCATCCTTCAACGTCTGGTCATTGTATGGCACCAAGATGCCAACGCACAACGACCCTAGCATGAAGAAGGATGTAAGACGATAGAAAACGGCATTGAAAGCCCGGGGCATTACTTTTCTTGGGTTCTCAGCCTCACCAGCTGCCATGGAAACATAATCAGGTCCGGCAATTGTGAACGAAGCGGCAATCAGGCACTGCATGAATCCCATAAACCGGCCAAGATCTCCTGTATGATAATACGTTGCGAATGCACCTGGCTCGTACCAGTATCGAAAACCAAAGTGATCGTGTGCCGGATTACCTCCAACCATTACGATGAACGTGAAGACGATGAGTCCGACGATGAGCAACATCTTGCCCAGTGCTGCCCAGAATTCAGTCTCGCCGTACCACTTCACGGCCAAGATGTTTATCAGGCCATAGAGAAACACAATAATAGCAATAACACCTCCAACAGGTACTGCATCACTCCAGAAGTGAATAATGAGATTACAAGCCGTCACTTCGAACGGCACCAAGGCTGCTTCGAAGATGAAGAAGTTCCATCCTGTTGCAAATCCGATGGACTCATCGATCCATCGACCAGCGAATCGAATGAACGGTGATGAGATGGGAAGGTAAGTCACCATCTCAGCCATGCTGATAGTGACAGCCAAGATGACAGTGCACCATAGCGTGAAAGCGAGAAACAGATTGGCGGGTCCTCCTGCGATCAAGCTCTTGCCAATTTGAACGTATAAAGCCGTTCCGATGGTGCCTCCAATGCCAATTAGCTGAATATGGCGCGACTTGAGCTTTCGGTGAGTTTGATCAATCTGACCGGTATGCAGAGATTCGTGACTGCTAGGCGATCGAGCCGCGGTATATTTCTCTGGATCGTCGCCATCTTTATCGTGAGAAAAACCATGCGTGGGCGAGTTGACATAATCAACACCACTAGAAGCCATCTCGTGACCGTATGCTGCCAGTCTTGGCGGCAGTCTAGATATTAGATCGACTTGCGTACTGAAAAATGTGGATTGATCAATGTAGGGACTTCAAAAGCAAAGAGAAGAATTCGACCACAAATTCCATGAGCGACAAGCTGCAAGCGAAAGATCCAAGGAAACAAGCGTGTGAGGACAAGAGAGTGGTAGAGCAGACGAAGAACTGAGATTTCAAGGCTTCCCAAGAACAATTACATGTGCCAATGCTTGACTGCGTCGCCAAGTTGAAGTCGATCAAGGGTTTCTATCTGAGTGGGGGGCTGGCCACGCAGGCTTCGCGCTGAGTCTAGCGCCAAGCGGTGTTTACCATGGTCAAAGAATTGGCTTTTCAGTCAAATTTACCTGTCCCGATATGTAAAGACGTGCATTGGACGTGCATTACCTCGCAGATTGCCATGTGCGAGTGCTGAGTGCTTTTGTGGCAAACAGTTGTCCACGGCCATGCATATATCTGCGTCATATCAGATCGTAGGGCAACTCGCGTCTGCATTGCTTCGTGAACCTCCACCCCGCGAAGTCGCTACCATGAGGGCGGGGAACAAAAGTTGCCAAAACGTTTTGGCCATGCCGTTCTGCCATTAACCTTGTCGCTTATATCCACATCATCTGGTTCCAAAAGCTCGGCAAGTCATCGATACAAAAATTTACACGAGTCTCATATGGGTATGCTTTGAACTGAAAAGGTTTGACTGTCTCACCCTATCTTATCCCGTGTTGTGCTCCTAACTTTTCATTCAAGCATATGCCGCCTTGGTGATCTCGGAGGCTATTCTGCATTATATCATTGGAAGTTCACCAAGGTTAAAAAGGAATTACTCGTACTAACTATCTGTGAACTGAATGCGCCACTTCCTCGGCAATGGGTCGATGAACCAATTATGCACGTTCAGTCCAATCCGTAGCTGCGGCTTTCATCACCCGCATTGGGAAGTCTTGGGTGCGTCTATTCATCCATCGTTTTAGCGAAGTTCCACTGGATGGCACAGTGGTGCCAAAGAACAGGGCCGGTTGTCGGTCGAGTGACCGGCCCAATCGTATGCTGCTGCGAGACGCCATTGTCTTGATCACCTGACTGCTAGTCTGATGATCTGTGCGCTAGAGGAATATACGTAGCCAGTAGTTTACATGGTTAGACGAGGACTTTTCCTTTGCAGCGCAACAACTCGTGATGCTACTACCCTCACAGCCACGGCCACTGGGTATTTGCACACACAATGTGAGTAGTAAAAATGAAGATGACTGTTTTTCTTTGGGGGAGGGGAGTTCTTCTTCTCTTGCCCTAACGAATTGAATAAAAGAAGTTCATCTTATCAGCCATCATTATACCATTCTATGCGAATCAAAGACAACATCTGCCCTGCCTTTTAACCCATCTCTGACAGTCTCGCTCACCACCGTGGCGAACTCAGATGAGTGGAATAATATGCCAAGTTCCTGACTGGTGAACCAGCTTGCACGATCCATATTCCCAGACCCCAATACTGTGTACTGTTTGTCAATTATACTGAGCTTCAGATGAGATTGAACTGGCTCCTCCGCTGCACCTTGTCTCTGGTTTTGATCATCAGCATGAAAGTATGAGATTCTGAGGCGTCCAATCTTTCGAATTCCAGCCTCAAGATCAATCATGGGCTCAGAGCTCGCCGCGCTGCCCGCTGGTCGAGAATTTGATGTGCTCTTGACGAGCTGGTTATAGCGCCCGATTAGCGATCGAATGCAGATTGACGTCGTCGTTCCAGCTGTGACAATCTGCTCTAGCAACATCATTCCCTTGCTTGTCACTATGGTTACTTCCACCCCACGTTGCACTGCACCGAGAATTCCATCTATAACAACAGCGCTTGTTAGATTTGGTGTCTGCATATAAATGTACTGTTCAGCCATGTCCAGAAGCATAACAATCGCACTATTCAGTGGTGTCGATGGAGGCGCTGGATGCTCGGACCAGGGCAAAGGCCGATAACATGGGTTTCGATGATGTGAGGATGGCAGTAACACGGTTGGCGTTGCTTTGCCCTCAATCGCAGCAATCCGTCTGGCCGGGCTTTGGATAGAAGTTAGACCAATAGATACTGCCCGGGGCCTGTTGATTGGTACAATACTTGGTTGGCTGAAGGCCTGCTCTGCGGCGCGGCTGGTTATATCAAGACTTCGGTCCCAGGTGTCTCGATAAAATGCCAAAAGCCCATTAACAGCATCGCCAGTGATCTCCACACAACCTTCAAGCCACGCTTCCCAGCTCACATTGCAGCTTGGCAACCAGGCTCTCTGACGATCGACAATGACAAACTTCGGGTGCATCACACTGAAGGGCAAGAAGAACAGACTCTTGACCTGAAGCTCAATCGCGCCCGCCCTCAACACATCCGGATGTGGCAGTCCAAGTTGAGTCGGCCATTTCCCCGGTGGATAGACATACCCTTCTTTGGAGGTCGTGTGAAACAGCTTCTGAAATAGAGATCTCGAGGAGAAGCATATGCGCACGCGCAGCGGCTGGGCGACATCAGCATCCGGCCCGCTTTCCTTCATGAGCTGAGCGCGTCGCCTCGCAAGCTGCTCTAGCGCGTCTTTCAACGCCGTAAGCGTGGATGATGGTGCCCAGAAGCAGGTGACTAAGATAACCTCAAACCGTGCCTTGAGGATTGCAGGAAGAATCGTGTTGGTATAGATCGAGGCCCCGGTTCCAAGTTCGAAGGAATGCGGATGTGATGTTGTGATCAAGGAGTCTACTTGAGATTGCGTGCGGTATTCTGGAAGTTCATCAACATATGTGTGGGGTGCGCAGAGCTTTTGCCTCCACGGGCTACTGAAAGCATTCAGAGAACCCATTAGAGGTGTCTGGAAGTGTATGAGTAAAGTTATTGAGTATGGTTGTAAAGGTGACGATATATATGACATTAGGTACATGCAGCACGACTTAATGACCGGAAGAATCCCCAACGCTGATTAGCTCGAATATCGAACAATTGCCAAGATTGCGCTAAAAGCCGTCTCCGTCCGCCCCCCCCCCCCCCAAGCCGGTTGACGTCTACTAAATAATTAATCCATGTAAGAATTCATCCATTGGCACTATCTGAAGATCGGCGTCTCTACAATTCCTTGTCATAGAGCAAATGCAACTTGAAACAGGACACGTCTTGTCTATTCTGAGTGTCGTGTGAGACATCAGTGTAAATTGTAATGATAATGTACGACATAGTCGCATCAGAGAAATCCCATTGGTGGTCCCTGCCGTTCCCAATCCACACTATCAAGCCATTGCATCGTCATGGCATTATCATCAGCTACCATCAAATATTCCGGCGGTTCGAAAGTAAACTCCGGTTGGATCATATTGCCCATATACGGCACATACTGCACACCCGAGTTGCCAACCATATCGACTTCCATCTGCCCATACCCTATTTGTTGCTGCTGAGACTGCTCATGACTTTCGGGGTTCGGACATTGTTGAGATGCAGAAACAGGGTGGTCGCCTTTATGATCAAGGATCTTGTCCAGCACAAAACTGAGCATGTTTCGTCCGGACTGGCTCATTTCGTACAGACCATCACTTGGGTCCACATTAGCCAGCCTGTCCTCGAAAACAGAGAGGTCTCGGATCGTCTGGCTACGGGGTAAGAGCGGCTCTATAGGATAGACTGGCAGCTGCTCTTGCTTGAACAGCTCTGATGCGATGATCGCGGCGGCCCTGAGACCATGCACAACAATTAAGGCTGTGAGATCTAGCTGGTAGTTTGAAGCCATTTCTGCATTCGTCTGGGCTTCGAGAACGTCCTTCAGCGCGGCCTGGGCAATTCGAATCATTCTCTCAGGTGTAGCAAGTTTCCGTCTGATGAGCACTCTTTGAAGAAGGAGCTCGTTGCTTCGGGTGCCTTGGCGTAGGATGGTCAAGTATAGTTGCTTTAAAGAGCTGTGGGCGGGGTTAATTCTCTGATGTCTTGCATCCCGAATGATGGTGGGAAGGTTTTGCCAGTGCTCTTCTGTTTTTCGCTCGATTTCTTCGGCTAGCCGCAGTAATTCTTCGTCCGTGTACGCACGTAGTGAAAGGTCGAGGATATCTGCCCTCCTCATACAAAAACTCACCCAGGTCCGGTACCAGGTACCACGACTAATGATTTCAGCTGTGCCAAACCCATTCTTGTCCAATTGCCTCAGGACAGGCTCAAGTTCAGCTCTGTCTAGCATGAGTTCCTTGTCCGACAAATCAAGTGGCGGTTCCATATTCCAGTAGTGGTATTGAAGACGTGGTGGACGGCCGTGGAAAGAAGCGCCGCCAATTTCGGCGCAGAATGCGCATGCTCGTGCTCTCTTGCGTAGCTCCGCAAGGAAGAACGGGATTTTGGCATTGGCCTCGATTTCCAAATGCCATTTCAAATAAACGATGGTCGAAATGACCTCTCCTCCTTGCTTGTAGCTCTCGTATTTATTGAGCCCCTGAACAAGTACTGAACAGGTCCAGTTTTCGTTCAGGAGCCAGACGTAGAGGTCGTCGAATACTCCGCATTTCTGAGTATACTTTACACAGGCATTGGAGACAATATTGACTTGCTTGGCTAATGCGTTACGATCGATCTTGTGAATTTTGAAAAGCTCGATTGTCGGATCGACGTATTTCACGCATATACCGATGGTTGCCGCGATAGTCCCAATCACTTCCCATCGAATATTGGGTCCCGTTGCACGATCTGCCCATTCTAGGATAGACGTGTTGCCATCATACTCGAGAGGTTTCTTCGTATTAGTCCAAAGAAGTTCTGAGAGCCGAAGTAACTGGTCCGGGTCTTGTCGCTCTAATGTTTCTCCATGACAGAGCCATAAGCCTCTTAGCCAAGCTTTGAGGACACCCTCGATTGATATGTCATCGGCACCTTCGCAGCCGGTGAACCATCTGTCAATGAAATCATTCACGACATATCGGTCCTTCAGGAACGCCAAGGAACGAGCGCCCTGCGCGATCAAGTCGGCGCCAATACTAGTGCTGGGCTCATCGATGGGCTCCTCCTCGGTGGCAAGGATGCCCAAGTTCTCAAAATTCTCCTTGAAGATTGACCTGGCAGTATTATCGCCACGATATGTCCGCTCCCTCTTGATGGCTGGCTCACCATCTACGCGATATGGCGGATATGGTGGTAGATCTGGAGGAGCAGAACCTGCACGTTGACTGTGTGTAGATGAGTCAAGAGGATACTGGATATTATTGAAAGAAAAGGCATCGTTACGATGCGTTCTAGTGTTTTCAGCATGTGGGATAATACTCTGTGAACTAATCCCACTGGTTGACCCCGAGGGTGTAGGTAAGGGTCTCTTTGACGACTGGCGTGGTGCACGGTTCTGTCGGCGAATTATCAGCCAAGATTCCGGACGGAGCTGGCTGGGACGAATAGTAATAAATCCATGAGCTGCCGGTTTATCGTTTCTAGTTCTGATCTTAAAAGACGGGGTCGTGAGACACAGCATGGCTGATCTGCGATTGTAGATGACGGGAAAAGACTTTCATATCAGATACAAGAGCAGCCTTGACTCATCATCACAGAGAAAATGAGATACATGTTGGTGAATGAAGTGAATAATAAGACTAGAAAGTGACAAACCATGAATGTACTGACCGGTTGTGTTAGTGGATTAGGATGGTATATACATTGATCAGCACATCGTCGCTTGATGCACCGGCCACAAGTAGGAACAGTATCTGAGTCGGAGTAAGTATTACTAGGCGGGCCCGGTGCGTTGCATTATGGTTACCTAGAAGGGAAACATGGAGCACTTACGGTCGCACTTGAGCTTCGACTTCCGACATGGTTCACAAGATTGCAACTTTCCATTGCGCCTATATTTTCCTACATGATTGATTGGCATAGTTGATGGGGCTGGTACGGCCATCATGTCTTGTTGGTTGTACGCCATCTTGAACAGCAATCCACACAAGGGGTGCTGTATATGAATCGTGGCGGAATGCTTTTTCGGAATTGGAGGCTTCGGAGCTGAGCTGGGAGCAGCGGATGGAGGGGGGTTTCAGTAATGCAATTGTGTAGCATTCATGATGAATTATTCATACTGTCAAACTCAGCTGTAACGGGTGTCACTGACGAAAGACTGTTGGAACAGAGGTAAGGGAAATGTTTGTCAACTCCGATCAAGAATTGCGTGGGAATCAATCACTCCGAATTGCATACAAGGGTCGACGCTGCGCCGTATCGCGACATTGGTACCCTTGCAAGTTTAGTGTGTATACGCTAGAGATTAGTGCTCACATCTCGGATGCAAGCGAACTCCGAATCGGTCAAACTCCGATTTGCTTTTAAAGCTGTCCTGGCTGAATATCGCCCGGTCGTTCTAAATTGCGAACGAAAACATGCTGCGACAGTGATGCTGACTGAGTAGTAGTAGCCCTTGACTGTTCGTGTCCCGATGGGCATTCTCAACATAAGCCGAGCAAGATTCCGTGAACAGCTTGAATCCGCAAAGACAGTGCAGTCATCTTGACAGATGCCGCGATTCTCTGTTTGCTGCATTGAGCCGTGCGATTGCGAGAAAGTCGGATATTGCAACTCATTTACAGCATTTAATTCTCTCCTACCGTACTCGAGGGACGTACATCATGGCGTTAAATAAATCTTCCACGGGCGGTTGGAAAGAGCTGAGATGTTTTTGTAAGCAGTCATTGATTCAAACAATGCCACACAAATAGTGGATAGAGATGCAGCTGGAACTCAACGGGCCGTTGCACTCCTGTCCACTTGGCGCTGCAATCCAAACGTTTCTCAGCCACAGTGGCTGGGCCCCTGACTATTCAAACAGTTCAAGCAATAAACACTCTCCAAACCGGTTTGCATGTACTTTTTCTGCTTTATTGCGGATTGTAGTCAAAACAAGTATTGTCCTCAATCTGGGGACAATGGAACGATTCTGTTTGCCTCCGAGCTTATCAAAGAATGACACGACAACTTGCATTTTATTGTTGCTGCCTTAATGCTTTTAATCAGTGCAACTTCCTCTGAAGTATAAAAGTTGTTCCGCTGTGCCGCCGCCACTGGAGGGCAGTGGTATGAACATTTTATCCGTCTTGGCTATCGACTTCGATTTGCATCAAACCTTTGGGTTTCGTTGCCTTGCCTGTCTAGCAGTAGCTGGAAGTTGTTCTTTATGGTCGCGTACGAGAGAAATTTTACAGAAGCTCAGTAACTCGCCTACCACAAGTCAACAAAATGCCGTCAACAGTTGCTCGTGAGCCCGTGGTCAGGCGAAGCACACCTATGCCAAAAGGTTATGTCTTTGTGCCCAAAGGCAATGTTTATGTCACTGGCAACTGTAGGAAACAAACACAAGCAGCCGGCCAGACCATCTTCGCCGTCGTTGATAAGAACAAGCGCGCTGTCGGCATCCGCGTACCGCGCGATGTCTACGCGGTTGTGCTCGCTTCAGAGGCCTTAACTCGACAGGATCGTGCCAGCGCCGTACAGAAAAGAGACCATGGCCTGGAGCGCACATTTCGTGAGGCAGTCAAGAAACTGACTCCGAAAGCGCCAGACGGCGAAATCCCAACGATTGTGGCACGGGCAATGCAGAAAGGCAGTGGGCGAGTGGGAAGAACCTCGAAGATAGATATCGAGGACAAGGCGAGACTGGCAGTCAGAGCTCATATCAGGCATTGCCACACGGACTATGACAACCTACTCAAAAAGGGCACAAACCGTGACATTGCACGCAGTCAAACAGTGACTAATGTCGATAACACATTGAAGGCTTGGGGTGGTGCTCAGCTCGACGTCAGGAAAGATAGGAAGAAGCAAAGAACATCCTATAACCATGAAACCCGGGCAGGAAAAGAGGCGAGGTTGTTGAGAAAGACAGAGAAATACACCCAAAGCTTGCGACAGGAACGTAATCGTGACGCTGGAGGAGCGACTGCTCAATCAGACAAAACCCAAGCAAAGAAATCGGCCGACCTGTTAAAGAGAACAACGAAGCACGCTCAGACAAAGCGGTCAGGACGGAATCCAGGCGGCGACTCAAGCACTAGCAGAACACCCCCATCACCTAAAGAGCGGCGGGAGTCCAAGTTGAGAACACGCCGCACTCGAGCTACATCTGTCACCACAAGCCCTTCAAGATCAGCCATCAATGGCCCTATAGGCCGTTCCCTACGAGATGATTTGTCGGATATTGGGGAAAGTGACGATTATGTTGAAACGACCGATACTAATGAGTGGCTTGGCACGGATGACGAGGACTCGGACTGACTTGCCCCAATTTGGTATTGCGTTCTGGAATGATAGAAGGTCTATGGATGTATATCACGTACAGGTACTCCCTTACCTGTGTCTTCTGTTAGATACACAGCATATGCTCATGGATTTTTTGTGCCCCACACAGTTTGTAGTTTCCATGACGTACATATGGCACGGATCTGGTAGTATGTTGAGCTGTCTGGGTAAACATTGACATCCTACACAGAAGTTCTGCAACAGTAATTTGGCTGGCTGCGCAAATCAACTCATCTACGCCAAAAGCCATATTGCGGGAAGACGATGATACTGTGTTGTAGCTTGGAAGCCTTCAGCTCGTATGGAATCCAAACTGGGAACATCCAAAACGGCTGCTGGTACGATGCACAAAAAAGCCATGCATTCCACCGGCCCAATGTAAATTATTAACGGTTATTACGAGATCTTCTAAGCACAGTAAGTCTTTCCATCGTGCCAAAACAGGCAACCGTTGTATTGTATGATGTGTTGTAGTGATTAATCAAGTAGAAGCCGACTTCTCCTATTCTCTTTTACGAAGAAAAGAAATGCCGGCACAGGTGCCATGCCATGAACAAGCGCAGATCTAACAGAAGGAACTGGACTACTAACTTCCGTTAAACATGAAAGACTTCGGTCAGAAACTTGTATTGAAATCGAATTGCTCGAGGGAACTAATATGGAAAATTGAAAAGAATTAAAATTTTGTTAGAAAGAATCGTAGGCATCTACCCAAAGCGAACCAGTAGGAAATATGTTTATTTTGAACAATCAGGTACTCACGATTTCAAATCACAACATCAATAAGTAGGTAAGATTATGCTTCTTTTCTTTCTCAAACCAAGAGCCAAGAGCCTAGTTAACGCTGTTTGCCTCAACGGCCTTTCAGTTGATGAATTGCGTATTCTATTCACTCCCACGCGCCGATGAATATTGTGGCCACATCTCCAAGGTCCGGTGTGAACCTCGGAAAGTTGGAAGAGCACATGTCCCTGAAGCCATATAGACGCCATGTTGATTACCGTTTGTGGCCATGGAGATATCCATGGAATTCAGGAGAGAGTTCAGTGAATCAAAAGCACCAGGGCACGCGTGTCCGCTACCTTGTCCGGTACCATGCCCACCGCCATGCCATGTCCACCGCCCTGTCCATAACTGTGCCCAGAGCCATGATTAGAGCCATTTTCAACACTATTTGCACCGGCGGCTTTACTGACTGGAGCGGCAGCAACCTTCAGAAGCGAGTAGAACCCGACTCTACGGCTTGCGCTGGGATGTCGTGGACTTTGTGTGCGTTGACGTGGTATTGGGAATGGTGGCTTAAGACGAGGATCAGGTCACCGTATCGCGACCAAACCCAATCATCTCATACTCTTACTTGAACAAGAAAATTTCGTAGCCCAAATTCATATCTCCGGGCTCATCTCTGACATCCAATCTAATCTGTGGTGGCGACATAATCATCGAAGAAAAACCTGGCGTTCAAGACAATATAACACGTGAAACGACAAAAGTCTCCTAGATGAAGTATAATTACTACTTATTAAGCAACTTAGAGAGCATCCGTACTAAATTTACGCAGACCTCGTTGCCTTGGTGGGTATCATATTTTGTTTCGTCCGAGCAATTCTCCACAAACTCGTAGTGGTCTCAAAATCGAGACAGCATTTATCGAAGCTCACCCTTAGCATCGGCCTGCTTCAAAATATCGTGCTCTGCGCCACGCTGGCTTGTCTTGCCGGTAGCGTGCTGGGCCTCATACTCTTTCTGGGCACCAGTGTTGCCAGTCAAACCGGAGACGGCAGCGCCGACAGTGCCAGTGACACGGTCACCAACGCCCTTGGTGTAATCATTGATCTGACCCTTGGCCTCTTGTTGTTGGCCTTCAAGGTTCTGTTCACGGCCGGATTGCTTGAGACTCTACCCAATTATTAGTATACCGATAAGTACCAATTGCAGTGGCTACGAGGATCATGCTTACTTGAGATCCAACAAGTCCACCCAGGGTCTCCTTGGCAGAGCCAGCAGTCTGGTTCCAGCTACCGGCAGCGCGGTCGGGGTCGTCCTTGCTAACACCAGCAGAGGATGCTGTGAAACCTGGTCCTTTCAAAGTGGCATGCGATGCGTCGTTCTCAGCTTGGGCCTTGTCTTGCTTGGCCTGGCCTTGAACCTGGTCGCCAGTGCTTCCTGTCAAGTTGCCGAGGACATTCTGGGCGGCGCCGACAGCAGAGTCGACATACGACTTGAGAGTGGAGGTATTGTCATTGGAAGACATTGTGATGATTGTTGTAGATAGCGTTAGGTAGGAGTGAAGTTATGTGTAGATGCTGGTTTGTGTTATCTTTTGTAAAGCTTTGTTGAGTGTGCAGATAGGAAGTGGGTGAAAGGTTGGAGGGGCGAGGATATGTTTATATGCAAGCATACAGCCGCAGAGACACAATAGATCCAGCCTTTGTTACCTAATCACCTTGGCATTCGATGATATCATTTTGGAGCGCTTGTCTCAGGGGAAACCAGGCAGTAGCGTTGGGTTATTACGCAATTGAACTCTTTGTCACAATTTGTGGGCATGATTCACATGAAGTTCGCAATTCTAGTGACTATTGCGTTTGGGAATACACTCCAAGCAAGCAGCTTATGATGTCATACTGGAGGGGCACGAGGGGCTTCAGCTGGACACAAGGCCCAGACCCTGAGATGCCCCGCAATTGCCCGCGCTCATCCCAGAGCCTTGGGGCGCTTTCAAGAGCTTTCCAGACCGTGATTTTGCATCAGCTGGGCATTGCACATCCGAAAAATCAGGATTCCCGCCATTGCCTCATGCAGCTTCATTGCTCTACAATAGGACATCAGTGATGTCGAAAAGGTTGAAACCGTCGGTGGGCTCCGCAAGATGATACTTGCAGTGATGCCATGAAACTTTGTGGCCTGTCTACTTGGCTGTCATGTCATTCCCACTCGGTGCATGCGTTATGGAGCGATAACGAGTATGAAGTTGTGCAATGTGAAATGTGACCAAATAAGCACTGCAAAGAAAGCCAGCGATTTATCGTCGCTTATACTTTGCCGTCACTGTGTCCAGTATATTGATGGCATAGATAGGTTTAGTCCTTGGCCCCTTCAGGCTATTAATTATGCCGCCAAACATGGGGAAGTTAGAGCTGTCGGCAAAATGCAGCTTGTGGGGTGGTTTGGCACAAATGGTCGATTCAACATATCTTATCTGCACTATGGCGCATTTAGAGCCCCCGCCTACTACATTCAAGCTATGTACAGTAGCTACATATGTAAAACATCATACAACGACATCAATCTCACAAACCTACATAGACGTGGTTAAGCCACCCCTTCATTTGCTTCTAGATCGTTGCACACGACTGGGTAATATTTCAACTGATTATTTACCCTTTTATACGGCGTTAGTGTGAGTCTCCAGTAAAGGCGGTTCTGATCGCCCAAAGTGTTTGCAGTTGTAGATTTGCTGCAATTTGTTCACAGCCGAACCCAAGCGACCGCACAGATTGAATCTGACGCTTATCGCGAAAGTAGATGTCCAACGGAAGCGACAATGACAAGGGCGATTCTGAAGACTGAAATGGCGATGATGAATATAACCGCGTTGAGACAGTGGTCCTCAGGAGTTCTTTGCTGGTGTGCTAGCATTGAGGTGATCATGGTCTGAGAGACAGTTCAACGCGCTCAAAAGTGGCCCAGTTTGGACCGATACTAAGATTCGATACTGCCACTGCGATATCATAATTTGACGTCGTGGCTCTGATATACCCGATTCAGGTCATGCCACTGGTCGGACTCGTAGCATAAATCTGCAAATATGTACTCAATGGTATATGCGAAGTCCTCTTATGCTTATGACTATTATTGACTGATGTGTGTTTTGCATAACAACTCTATACACATGAAAGCAAAGTAATGAGCGGAAGGCTGCAGAGAATTCCATTAGTTTCAAACGGAGGAACAGCTTAGACTATATCATGTTCTTCACCACGATACTCATTATGTTGTGCAACATCGGCTCACTCTCTCAACTAGCACTTTTCACAACCTGTATGGATAAATTGATGCTCCGGATTCCAACGACTCCATGTGATAAAGCCTTGTTACGCTTTGAGTCATTCAGATACGTCTAATTCACAGGCGAAATAGGGCTTGTCAAGACTGGCAACTAATATAGATCATGTATCTTGGAACGAAGCCGAGCTCAGAATTCTCATGCTCAGGCAAAACGGATATATCTCGATAGATATAGGAGTTCACGTGTACCGTGACTCACCAACGCAAATTCATATTACGTCATGTTCACGTCTCCAGAGGCTGATTTATTTCTTATATTCTTGGCTTTCAGCAAGTTTGATACGATGTAAGTGATAGCGACTATGGATGAACGTTCTCATAGAAAGCCTAATATTAAATGTTATGATCAGTTATGTCTTCTCTTTGTGAGCATTGAAGTCTAAGGAGACATCATATATGACAGTTCGAGCCGGTAGAAGGCCTAGAGCCATGACCTGAGTGAGCGCGATCAATGGAATGATCATAATGCATCCTAAGGCCAATACAGACAATAAAAATATCGTCATTGTTTTGTACTAGCATTGCGATGTAAGATTCATGTTGTCGCGGCGATCTGTTGTACAGTTAAGGAAATCGTATTTAGCTGTCGCGCTATTTTTCTGTTGCAGCATTTCTTCTCTAGGTTGACGAAGTTCTTCTGGTTTCTGTTAGCGTGGCTCAAGCTATTTGCTCTGCATACAGTTTAGATCCGCCATCAAGCACCCGAACAAAAGTCAGACCTAAAGAGCAGCAGCAGGTCTTTCCAGCCATTGCCGTAGCGATGTTGAGCTGGCACACCTGCCGCCATGCCAGCAGTAAAAACCGCCACGCAAGCATCGATTGAGGAAACCTAGGGTAAATAAACTAATTTCGGTGAATAATGAGAATTACGAGAACTCACAAAAGAATATTCGACATAGAGACGGCCTATTGGTAGATGTGTTCGAGGAACTGTACATAGCGAGGGATAAAACTTCGATGACGATTGGCCTTATCACACATTCACCATCGAGATCGAGTATGTTCAAGACCCATGTGACTAGTTACCGGTAGGCTAGAGATACATCTTCCCCATAATTCGGTGCATGTAGGATGAATTATTGCAACCCTGAAGACTTCAAATATGGTTCTGCCGTCTATTACACTCTCTTACGTATTCTCGAGATGAAACATGGAGCCTTGGTAGATGTAGGCAAAGAATGGATAATGGAAATTTTGAGCTGTGCTCTTAACATCATTACTACTTGTACATACTTCTCGTCACTTATAGCCTTCATCGCGGCCTTTATATTGGGTTCATCTAGGCTCCTAGTACTGCAGTTATTCCAGGGGCCCCAAGAACCGTGGTTATCAACGAATGTGGTTGATACGGTTTTCCTTTTGCTACCTGCTCGCCGACTACCGTGGTAACCCCATCTATCCTCCAAATCAGTATATGCCTATCATCAAGGCTGACAACTGTGCCATATTCATACACAGGATGATGCTCTACCTCATGTATGGCCGCATCTTCGATGCTTTTCACGGCGTCGGTAAGACCTACTCCGCTATTATTCACCTGCCTGAGGGCTCTATTTACGAAACTTCCGCCGTTTCCGTTACAGGATGGAACAAAGACACTACTAAAAAAAATGGTCGCCTTGGTTCATGTATGTCGGTTGAATCTCATCAGTTGTACCGCAGAAGTGAGGGTGGACTGAGCCCGTGTCTCAGCCTAGTCTACCCGATGGTGCTCCAGATCCCTTCACATCTCCGGCCGCACACATCATCTCCTCGCAAGCTGTGGAGGCATCTCTCAACTAGCATTGTTTCTATGATATTGACCGAATCAACACAAAACATGTATCTACCGACCATAGCCATGCAACCATCGAAGTACGCTTCGCTCGTACCAAAACCAAGCAAATACAGCCTTTCGAGTCTAACAAGAGCAACACCCTCAGCGACAGCAGATCCAAGTGTACTATATTTCGGATCCGCGTCACGCCTAAATCCGCATTGACTATTGGCTTTAAGTGACCTGTAACTTTCCTTACCTGTTAATGTATTTCGATTGACATTTTGTTGTAGATTGTGCCCAGATTCCTGGAGGTCCCTCGAGGAAGTCCTTCCTCAAAATCTCAGCTTGGGTGACATAGTCTGGAGATGCTGAGGCTACATGAGCGTCTCAAATACGAGTCAGATTTGGAACTCGTGATTGGCCGCTTTTAATTCCTGAAGCTCGTTGAGACAAAGTTAGCACGAGGCGTTGAATCAAATGATATGATTTGCGACTAAGTATAGCACCAATATGGCATTGTTTGGGCGAATGATACTCTCCCAATCTAGTTATTCTACTGGCTAGACGGTGTCGTAGCCACAAAAGATAGTACCAAGTTTAGTTCATTGAGCTCATGATTCCTCTATATATCCTATTGGCGTGTATTCTCGTCATCCCTCCTCGTATATCTTTGTGGTTTTAAGAAAACTTTTGTTGTGGCGTTTTAGTCTCCTGGAGGTATCTTGATATCACTTGTGCTTTTTGGTTTTATTGTTTGGCTGATGCTGCCATGGGTCTTTTAGATTTAATACATTAATATGATAAAAAGGGAGTTTGAGTTAAATACTCCAGAGGACACGACATCATGAATTTGTACTCTACACGGCGACAAGAAGGTATTGCGTCAATAATATACAAGCTAATTGAGCCTATCTCCTTTGTTGTCTAGCCGTCTTGTTGTTGTTCATACAGTCATTGTCCTGGTGAGATCATGACCTCAAAGCTGAACGTATGACCAAAGGTATTGTTCTTTACTGGCAGTGCATGGTGTACTGCTACAATCCTCCAGTCTTGACCACAACCATATTTAATATTCAGTGTTCATTCAAGAAACATCTTGTCTGCCTAGTTTGTGGGTCCACACCCTTCTCGTGGTTGTTGAGGGAACAATCAACCCAATTCTACTTAGAAGCTCTATCATCCCCCACCACTTCCACCTTGTTCTTCCATCCTTAACATCATCTCATCAAAAACCTTTTAGCGTCTGATCGGAACAATAGACTCAATTCTTCTAAGGATAACTGAATCATAACGCCTCTTATCCACGATCTCCCGTGACGTATGTCAGGTAAGCAAAAGACTCCGTCGCAACGAGCCTGGTTTGACCCTGTCATTCTCTAGTAATGAGCGGCTACAAATCGAGTACATGAAGCCTGCTAACCACATAATCTATAGCCTTGTAAACAACTCAAGATGAACGAAATATCCACTCTGCTGGATCAGCTTCGAGACGGAACTGAGATTCTGCCTTCACAACCATGGCCAACAAACCAAATTGCCGTGGGACCACCTGCTCCCACCACCACCGCCATCACCACTCAGGATCTTCCCGTTGACCCCACTGTCGCCATCGATGTCATTTCAATCATTCAAATGCCTGCGACAGACGACCAGGCTGTTCAGACTACCACCTGTTCGCCGAATTACAGAGGCAATCCCTACGCACAAAGCAATCAGTCAGCTGCAATTAGCGATGATGATAACTGTGCAGTATTCATCGATGGTATGACACCATTGCTCAGTTTTGAGCGACTCTTCGCGTCACTACTTGGCGTAGGCAGAATCTACGCGTGCGTCATACATGCACCTAGAGGTGAACATGGGACCAGTGCAGTTTCTATTACGGGCTGGGACCGATTGACCGCCGAGGCTATTATAGCAACCGTGACAGCAGGCCATCTCAATCTTGATGGATTTACCCCCGGTATTCGCATGAATCGTACTCGTGTCGCCGCACAGTCGAACCAGAATGGTTCTAGAGCAATCATGATCTCTGGCCCACCGTGTCTTCTCCACCGCGAAGCCCTTGAGGCATTCTTCGCACAATATTTCTATTATCAACTAGATCGTGTTGTAGTTCATGTCCTTACTGAATACCACGCTATCATTGAGATCATATTTGCCAGTTATCGTAACCAAGCACAAGCTGCACACCGCACCTTACGTCAGAACCATCCGAGGCGCAACGAAATCCGGGTATAGTATGCCCAGGACCCGTGCGCTATCTAGAGAATTGCCTACTTCATTATACAGGTTGGAAATCTCCTTGGTTTTGGCAATAATATTTTCGCTAATACTTGGATTAGCTTATATAATCATGTTTCATTATGAATCTATGCATGCACCTGAGCTATGAGATAGGAGGCTAAGCTATTTCTGCTATATCTGGAGGTCGCAAGGTGACGATGGTGGATCTCCATACTCGATCGACTTTGGCAGATACGAATGAATTTGGCGGCAGTCATCATGACTGTGGAATTTACTCGATTATATTTGTAACGGGTGTTGCGAAACTGGAGGATTCTCCAAGTGTCAGGAGGGATGTCGCATCGCTGCGCAGCAATATTCTAATTTTGGGTTGTGACCAAAACTGGCACAGACAGCTAGAGAAGCATCCGAATGCATTACGAGGAAGCTACATAGAAACGCAATGTTCCAGGATAAATTCCCCGATGGCCTAGGGACAGATGACAAATATCATGATCTGATATAGGTCCGAGATTTGCTGAGTGGGTTTAAATTGCCATGCCATCTCATGCATGTAAGATCGGAGCGGAGCTTAGTAGGGTCGTGTGTTCCCGAGCTGGTAGAACGCCAAAGCTGCATCTCGAAGTTACTGGGGCTCGACAGATACGCGATCGTGTTCCAACTGTTTATTCTTTTGACTTACCCTTCCAACCCTTGCTGCTAAGTGTGGATAGTTGGCGGAACAAGAAACTCCCTGGAAATGGACGGGCACTCCTGGAATTTCGAGTATGCGCTGGCGGTAGGGATTCTTATTCTGGTCATGTATCTGGTATACGAGGCTGTGCTGCCAAAGCCACTGCCTGGAATACCTTACAATCATGGTGCACCAAACAAAATATTCGGAGACATCCCTGAAATGATGGGTTATGTGATACGTACGAAACGCATTTTCGTGAGTTGCACTCAGGTAATTCATATTACCCATGGACCAAACTGATCAAAATGATTTAAGTGCTGGCTTACATCCCTTACGACGCGCCATCAAAGCCCTATCGTGCAGGCCTTTATCAAGCCAATGGCTCTACCTTGGGTAGTGGTTACAGATCCCTCTGAGAGTCAGGATATACTGCTGCGGCGTACAAAAGAATTTGACCGTAGTGGCTTCTTCGGCGAGCTTATTGGTGGGATCCTACCGGAGCAGCACATCCAGTTTCTGTCTTCAGACGAGCGCTTCAAAAAGAATCGCAATTTAATCAATCACCTCATGGCCCCTAATTTTATCAATCAAGTCAGTGCACCAGAAGTCTACAACTCTGTCTGCACCCTGATCAAGGTGTGGAAGCTTAAGTGCGACATCGCGAAAGGCCGTCCCTTCTCGGCTCATCATGATATCACGTATGCGGCTTTGGACTCTATATTCGCGTCCTCTTTTGGGCTACCCGAGGAAGACAGTATCACGATTCAAAATCTTCAGGCTACCGCGACGCGTGAAGCGGATTTCTCGGGTACGGAATCCATGCCCATTTGCTTTCCCAGCTTCGAAATTCCAGAGGTCTACTCCGCTGTCCTGACATTAGCTAACTCAGTGACTGACACACAACTCTCTCCGGCCCCTGTTCTCACATCATGGGTACTGAGGAAATTTCCATACATGAGGAAGGCTACCGCGATCAAGGATAATTACATCAGGGACAAAGTCGAGGGATCGGTCAAGCTCATCGAAAGTGGAGAGACCAACCCAAGGAGTGCCATTCACTCGGTGCTCCTACGGGAGCGTGACGTTGCTGCCAAGGAGAATCGCCAGCCAAACTATAGCAAGCAAGCCATAGCTGATGAGTTTTTCGGGTTCATGATGGCCGGCCATGACACATCTGCCACAACAGTCGCTTGGGGCTTGAAGTACCTAACCGATAATCCAGGCGTTCAAGACCGCCTACGACTCGCTTTGCAAACGGCCCTGTCTACCGCATACCAAGAGAAGCGGCAACCGATTTACGAGGAGCTCAGCAAAGCTCATATACCTTACCTGGACGCTGTAGTCGAAGAGGTACTCCGCCATGCAAATACTATCGCCTTTGTGGTCCGTAGAGCGCAGCAGGACACTACCGTCCTGGGTCGACAGATCCCAAAAGGAACTGACATCTTCCTCATGGCTAACGGTGCTGGTTATCTGGAACCCTGTATCTCAATTGCAGACGAGTCTCGCAGTCCTGGTGCCAGGGTCAGGTCCAACAAGGCCCTCACAGGCCAATGGGACAATCGGGACATCGCAGCCTTCCGCCCGGAGCGCTGGCTTAAAGTTGATCCAGAAACCAGCAACGACGTTTTTGATCCAATGGCTGGCCCAACACTAGCATTTGGTCTTGGACCAAGAGGCTGCTTCGGAAAACGATTGGCGTTACAGCATCTCAAGATCCAGTTCTCCTTGATTGTATGGCATTTTGATCTGCTGAAAACGCCCGAGAAGCTAAGCGGATATGATGCTGTGCAGAGATTCGCGAGGGAGCCGACGCAATGTTACATTCGTCTGGCGAATGTGGGATGAATAGCTATAAGCCGAGCTGATATTGTTTCTCGAGTCCCAGTCTGTTAGTTGTGATGATGATAAATGATAGGCGGAATAACACGAGACTTGTGCAAATAGTGTTTGGTAAAATATTTACATCATACTAAAAAGACGGGTCATATTACGAGATATATTATAACTTCTAGTTGTTTTTATTTACAAAACTCCACACATATTCGGTTTTATTGTACGATCATATATTTATTTTCATATATTTTCAAATCGTCTCTTTGCTAGAGGTGATATAGACTTTCCTTATAAATAAAGACCGGGTGTCTATGCTTTCGAAGGTACACATAACGTTTATGCTCTTAGCTCTACGAACCTGTTAAATTTGATAGGCCAGACGGTTCATGGTGGTAGGTTGTGCCAAATTTCCATCACCTACGACGACGAGCCAGGACGAAGTTCTTAATAAACCAATTGACAGTGGCTTTTGAGCACCCTTAAGAATATAATCTCACGGTTCTGGCTAATACTCCTAATGCTCGGCAAACTTGGCCTTTATGGCTGCTAGATAGGTCAGTCGAGATCTACGCAGGAACAATCTGGTCATTACCATTATTTTCATTCATTCGATACAGCCGCAAAGCTTCTCGGTGAATGTTAGACTTACGGTATGCCCAGGCCCGTGCATACGCTCAAGTAGTCTTGGGAAAAGGGTTCAAGAGTGCCGATATTACTGATTCGGTAGGGAGCGATAACAAAAATATAATGCTCACCTGCGATACAAGTCCAGGTTGGTAATTTATTGTCCTTTTCATCTAACTTGAGCTCACCACAGATACCTCGAAAAAATTTAACATATTTCAAAGCCGACAATTTGTGAATACGATGTCATGAATCTAGTCAAATACCCAATTATCTTCTCTCAGGTTCTTCCCAATATTGGAAACGAGACTTTACTTCAGACTACCTACTTTGAGTAAACTCAAACCTCTATCCATAGCTGTTGGCTTTAAAAATTCTGAAAAAGTAAAAAATAAATACGGAAGGAGTATCTGAACGGGCTTGTCTGCCAGTCACTTGCTGTGGTAGATGGGAGGCTGTCAATTACTGATAAACCCGACGTGTCTTTCCGTTTTACTCTCGCCTTGTTTCAACGAGCCAATCCGGCTGTAAAGAGATGTAGGGAAGTAAAAAACTAGTTGAGATGCCAATAGAGAAAACAATCCATTCTCAACCCTTTTAACCCTATCTCCTATCTACTTAACATAGCTCAAGCTCAGAAATCGATTAATTTCAAAGATATCATATGCCTTTAGCGCTGAACTTTAAACCCCTATGCCGGGATACCCGGTCGTTTTCTTTCCAAATAGCAGTATTCAATGGGTAGAATTGGAATAGTGTATGTTCTACCGATAGCTAGGATAATTTACGTACAACCACAGGGTAGTAGAGTTGTATAACCAAAAGATATCAGGCGAAATCGTATCTTCATTATCAATTCCTAACCTACAGGTAAGTCTTTTTAGACAGAGACTTAGGCGAGGAGCTGAAAGAGTCAGGGAGACTCATTCTAGCTGCTACCATACGTCTTCTGCGAGTGACTGTACTCTAGTTGATTAGAGCTAAGATTGTCGTCGAGGTACCTGATGACCCGGCTGAAACAATAACCGCGTTAGACCAATTAGACATATTTTGCACTCTCCAGTTAATGTTGCTGTCGATGGTGACGCCAACAAATTCGACGACATCGCCGCGGACGTGGCTTGAGGCCTGTGAGCCTGAGTTTTGTTCTTGCAACTCTGGTGGAAACTGTGCAAACCCTCGTCAGCTATCGGTTTCGGCGAAGACATTTCCAGCGGAGTCGATGGTTGTGATTAGTGTGAGAATAATTGGCGAAGGCGTTGTTCACACAAATTAGCGCTGAGGAACTTCCAGTCGCAGCCTGGGTGGTGGCTTATAGCGCCGAGGCCGTGGTGCTTGAAGCCTGTGCCGATAAAGTCGCAGAGGCACTGCTGAGAGTGAAGATAGCCGAGGCGCAATATTGAATGGCGAATGATATGGCAGCTACAAACGATGGGATGTTAGAGACTATGAGATTTCCGGAGTATGTGTCGGGTGTTGCGTACCAGCCTGATCAGCAGCGCCGCAAGAAGTGGTAATGCAACTAGTATAGCTAGAGATGAAGCTGGCCGACTCGCAGATACATTTAAGGTCGGTTACCGCGCAGCCGCTGCCACCAATAGCATTTAAAGCGCAAGTTTGCTCCGAGTTATGTTAGCAGATTTCAAATGATATTAATTTTGGTGGTGTTGATGTGCTTACAGCACAGGCGGGTAGGGCATTAAGATCCTGCGCCAGCGTGGGAGCTGAAACGAAGGCGACGATGAAGAAAAGGACCTTCATTTTCAAGTTTGAGCGATCATTTACTATATGTACAGGTAGACAACTTTGAAAGGTTGATACAAGACTGCTGCAAAGGCAGAAGCAGTACCAAAGTCTTAGGAAGATTTGATAGAAGGGATTTCCTAGCTTGTATTATATTGTAAAAAAGGAGGAGCTCGATCTCGTGACAAGTAATGTGCAGCAAATACCATACTGGAGCTCAGTCAGTAGTTAAATCGTGCCGGGAGGCATGCCACTCTGGGTCCAGCCTGAATGGGCTGCTTTATATATGCTGCTTGACAATAGCCAAGGTGCTAATGCGCAGTGATACTTCAGGCTTTAAGGTTTACCAGAAGCTTAGCTTAAACCCTAAGTTGCAGCTCAGTAATTCGCTGATGCTAAGGAAGTGTAGTCCGAGAGTTCGAGATAGAATGCCAGCATTGGCGTTTCTAGACTGAGAGGATTGGCGGCCGCCGGGCCTCAATCCTAGGACCGGCGACCAGGTCATGCTAAGCTTTTGAGCCATGAACATCTCGCATATAACACAGGACTGCTCAGAGCTGCTTGTTAGGATTGCTATGTTTCCGATCACTTAAAGAAGCGACAATTTTCCTTTGCCAGTAACAGATTGGGACGACTAGGAAGAAAATATACTCCGTAATCGATAGGGAGTTTGCCCAGTACTGTGGCTAGGGAGCTCAAACACGTCGAAGCCTCTCTTCGGAGCCGCTCAAATGCCCGATGTTCCCCGTGGGCGTAAATTGGTGGCATATGTACGCTGACTATACCCATCAGAAAGTAAACCTTATATTCTTTGCATTTTGTTCTGCGATCTTTTGGCCATGATATTCGATCTTCCACAAGGGATCCGCACAGTACATATATTTCGAAGGTCGCGAACCGGGGTTCCTGTTATTATGAACCTCTTGCCCAAGTGCCATTTTGTCGCCAAAACGCTGGCATTTCGAGTAGAGGAAGCTACTCATAACGTCGTAACGAGCTCTTAGAGTGTCCAAGCATGCGTCAAGCATCTACTATATTGAATAGCAGGTTTGCATATTGATTGAACGATATCATCTTCGCAAACATCGGCCAGATAAAAGTAGCACTTCTTAGCTTCCTGAAATCACCAGAACATCAAATTAATGCTTGCATCTGCAAGTTGTGCACTATTAGTTTTGTCGAAGCAGCATGTATCAACTCTAAATTATTCAAAGCCATCTCGTTAAGCCTGCCTACCACAAAACAAGGTCTTGCAATAACCAAGAGAAGTAAGTTTCGAGCGTCGCTATATGTTCGCAAATGTCTGTTAGCTCTTTTGGTCAAATACACCGGCTTGGGGTGCGTAGAGCTTGGAGCTGTCCCCTTTTAGGTCTGCGGTGTGGCCGGTTGTCTTTGAAAATGTGTGGCACGCTGGACATACGGCAGCTGCCGCACTCTGGTTGCTCTCGATCCCACCGGCTGTTCTTGGCCCGGCCTAGAATCAAGGCGGTTTGTACATAGCTGTTCTACAAAATCAATTTCACTAGATACATAAATCGCACAAATGCCAGTCCCGCCTCTTGACATGGTGTCAATCTTGAACTCCTTGTGATATGAAGCTCCTGTAGTGAAAAAGGGCACGGAGTCGGACTTATTTTAGCCAGAAGCCTTGGTCAGCGACACTACGATCAAACACAAGCCGACCTGCTACATCTTAAACCATGCGTTCTGCTCCCCTATAGGACATTATTGTCGTTGAATGGCAATATACGTTTGCGGAAAGAAGCCCGAATATGTGATATGCAAAGTAGGGTTCGGGAAGGATTCGAATGGCATATCATCTCAGAAATAGCCAACATCACCAATCGTAATTACCACCTGGCATACACTGAAGCGTATGACCCCGTGCGGGTGATATAATACGGACCAATTATCTTGCGTGTAGCACAAATATGAAACCAATTTTCGCCCTGCGAACGCCACATTATTGCAAGGACAAAAAGCCCCCCTACAGCCTTATATCGGTGAGGTAGCCAATGTCGCATGCTAGCCCTAATCCAAAGTACAACATTTAGAGCATCACATACTCTACAGCGCCCGTCTTTCCCTTTCTGTTAATACCAAATATGGGACAATATGCAGTAGCCCCCCACTGTTGTTTATACTACATCATATCATAAAGTGGAGGAAGCAAGGTGGAAAAAGGGAACGTAGCAGAGCCCGTAAGCTCTGGCGCCTCTTCCGTTTTTACCAACGGGATGAATGAGAAGCATCGTTCATGGAACGCCAATTTCGTCAAGATATCGTCGGAGGCCAAGACTAGTTAACTGGCAAAATTTAGATGCTGAATATTACAACGTAATCCTTATTGCTCTCACGATAATTCAATTATGGCGCTACTAACGCTTACTTTAAGCACTGGGTCGGATCAATTGCTGATTCTTAAGCGAGGACTCCTAGTATACGGCCTAGCCCGACTATGAAGCATCTCCTAGAAATGTGCTTCATGTTTGCACTGTCCTAGGCGGCCCAGTCGTCTTCAACAATGCCTCTGCGACCTATCGTATTCTATAACTGTGCTACTGGTTCTTCATACCAGCCAACTTGAGCAGTTACGCAAGTACTCCCGGTTTTTTCTTTCTTCTTTTCTTTTCTTTTCTTTTATTTTTGATTATTATTTCTTTTTTAATATTTTATTCCATGATGTGGACTTTCATATGCTTCGAGTATCTAACTATTTCTTCATTGATCAGATCGCTGCTTATTCCCAAGAAAGATTTCATCGCGTCTTCCGGACACAATGCCTTGATTTCTTACGAGATTGCCTATAAGTCGCCCAGCATCAACTGGGGGCCCTCATACCACATCTACCAGTCTCCATTCACAAACCCGTACGGCATCCCCACCGACCATGAAAGATCGACGTAATGCTATGCTACGGCTGGTTCGTCACTACCCCTGATTTTGAAGGGCCCCGCGCTGCCTTTGGCGCCACCATCCTTGCCGGCAGGCCAGCCTCGATGGCGTTGGTGCTGTGCTCTCCCTGACTGGCACCGCCTACTTTTTACTACCAGCAGCGCAGAAAAACTCGAGTACACAATGTGGGGCTATAGTGGCGGCTCGCTCGCTCGCTCGAAAGCTGCTGAGCTGCAGATTCAATTTGCCCCTGAGCTGTTAACGGGCTTCGTGGGTGCCGCATTGGGCGGCCTGGTGGACAACCTCAAAGCCTTTTACACCGTCACTAACAAGACACCTTACACGGGGAACCTTGCCCTCTCCATGATGGGTATTATGAGCGAATTCCCAATGGTCGACACCTATCTGCGTAGCCGCGTTAAAACTAAAGGCTCGCACAATGCCATCGCCTTTCTCAAGGGCCGTGAGATGGATTCACGACTGTATTTCTACGCCTATTGGGGCCAGAATATCTATGGTTACTTTGTTGGCGGTCAAGCTTACCTTGAGGGGTCACAAGCTTTGTATGAAATCGAAAAAGGGCGAGTGGAAGCTCGGTTATCACGGCGCCCGGTGATCCCACTCTTCGTCTGAAAGGCAGTTGGGAATGAGACGATGCCCATTGCCAATATGGATGAGCATATAGCTCACTACAGGCGGTATGATGTCAACGCGCAACACGAGCGCAGCACGGTCTGTGGCCAGGTTTCTGAGATAGTGAGTGGCCAAGACCATGCGATAGAGTGGTTGGCTGGCATCTTTGACGGCTCGCATAGCACTGCGGACCTACGTGTCAAGATTCACGATGTTATTGTGGACACATATAGACCACCTGGTTTCTGAAGTGATACACACACGTTGGTGGTAATGTTGGTATAGCAGGCCGACTGGTACAATACCTTGGCTGCCGTCTGGTGCAAGGCCGGGAACAGCAGGTCGTGAGTTTCGGTCCCTAGCGATCTATACCTCCAACATTGCTATGTAAAATGGGGCGTGCAGCTAGTGGAAACGGGACTTGGTGAGCCAGTGGCAAAACTGAGTCCCAGTACTGGCACCAGTGTGAACGACGTCCCGGCCGAAATCCCGACAGCTGGAGAGTCTAATTACTGTGATGGTGATATTACTATTGTCGGGCCCTCTATTCAAGTTGTGGTTGCTGATGATGTGGAGGTGTTCCCAGACTTGCTCCGTTCCGGAAAATCCCAGCATGTCCAGGTACCGACATCAGGCGTCCCTTTCGGATCTGTTTCCACAGCTTGGCGGCCCGAATCCGAAGAGCGCGAGTGTCTCGACAACTTATTTCACGATACATATGCTTTTTGATCACCGTTTCTTTCCCCGTAGCCCACACGATAGTGTTGCCATACATCCTGTTCCTACTGCCAGTATATCAGGCAGTCGAGGTATCCGAGTGGTTTGCCACAGATGAGCAACAGAGAGATGCACAGGTGGGTGTGCACGTCGAATTTCTTCAATAAAATCATCTCGGAGTTCCTCTGAAAAGCATCATCTTTTATTTATCTCTTGATTAAAACGAGTGGCAGGGCCTGCATCTAATCCAGCTCCCTAATCTGTGCTACAATATTAGCCAACTCAATCGTACTATTTACTCAAGCTTATCAAGCTTTTCGCGCCACCCGACGAGATCCATAGTAAAGAGGTGCTTGTCTTTAGCGATCCTCTCCTGTTTCTGTGCAAGTTCCTCAGCATCCCAGTTTGCCGCGACGAATTTCCCGTCCAGGAGCTTGGCCTCGTCGCTGACTATCCAATTGAAGAAATCACCACTGAGAGTAGCTAGATCGAACTTTAGCACAGATTCAAGCCTCACAAAACAGTGTCGCAAAAACTTGAATGGAACATCATTCTTGGAAACGCAGCGACTCACCATCATCAAAGGGGATATCCTTAACACTTTCTCCAAATTTCTCGCTCATAGTTGTGTTGATCAAACCAGGGTGAAATTGAATGACTCTGACGCCATTACCAAGCTCTGCCATCTCACCCTTGAATAAATCGAACACCTTTGTCGCACCAGCCTTGGAGCCGCGGTAGGCAGAGTAGCCTGACATGTAAGGGATGTGGATAGAAGACGAGCTGGTATGCACCACAATGCCGTCCCTCGCAGCATGAGGAACATAAGCACGAAGGAGATTGAAGTTTCCCTTGATGTTAATCTCAAACGTTTGCCACCAGTCCACCGGATCCGCCTCAGTGATGGATGTCAGGTGAGGCATATAGCCTGCGTTGGCGCCAAGGATATCAATCTTCGACCCAGTGCTTATAGTAAAGGAGCCAAAAGCGGTGAGAACAGTATCAGTGTCCCTTATATCGACAATGTAGATAAAGACGTTAGTGTCGGGGGATATCTCGTTGATCGAAGACTTCGTCTGAAGAAGAGTCGATTCGGTACGACCGAGGAGTCCCAGCGCAGAGATTCCGGACTTCGCGAGAGAGATGGCAATGGAGTATCCGATTCCTCCATATCCGGCACCGCTCACGATGGCCGTTTTGCCCTTTGTCGACAGTTCCGGTCGAGTTGGGTTGATGAAGGGGTAAGTTGTGCTGTGATATTTAGCCGTAGGCCACTGGAAAAAGCCCGTGGTATCAAATTCGGCCATTTTGTAAGGATTTTGCTGAGACGTTGCCACGAAAAATATAACTGAGTGATATCTATTCAAGCTTATTTTTCATATGAAAGCTTTCCTTCTTTTATAAGTGATTGTCGCCGACTGCATCGACTCCAAACATTCAAAGCAATACCCCGAGAAGGAATTCATGTTTGTCAGCCCCCCAAAAAAAAGTTGCCGGACTAGGCCCGCTATCATATTGAACACGGTAAGTATCTGGCTCCTGTTCATAATTAGAAGCGTCCTGTTCGGTCGGATATTTCGACAATTTTTGGTGGTGTTAGTGATGTTACGTGAACGGGGGGACCCGAAGCCCGTGACGGACTCCGCTCGGTGCATCGTTATGACTCTGTGGGGCTGCAGGCACTCAAAATTAGCTGACAAATGCTCACGACAAACATCCTGTCACGTAACTACATGAGACGTGATAGACACACACCTGCAATTGAATTCTAAAGCCAATACGGAACATGGAGAATGCGGAGCAGGAACTCAAGGTTTGTGTCGACCCGTGGAAATCATACTCAAAAGAAGTGGAGCTGATATGGGCTATAGCGCCGGCGTGAAAGAGGTCGGGTAGCGCAGGCAGCATTGCGCAAACGGCAAGCAAAGGCGGCACAGGAGATCCAACATGAGAATGGGCAATTGAGAGAAGCACTCAGCGCTATTACCAATGTTGCTTGTCGTGACGATCGAAGCGACCTTCTGGCTGTCATAAGGCAAGCTGCCGACGCTTCTGGGATAGACACCAGCCACCTTGAATTATCGAATTCCTCCTCATCAAAGGGCGAATCGGAAACCGACTATGGTGACTCTTTCCAAACTAGTTTTCCAATGGGGCAACAACTCACTATTACTCACCAAGCCAATCATGGCAGTAAACCTGTCTTCAAAGCTACAAGGTGCATGATGTGGCTAAACCCTATGCGCTATATGCGTATTAACGATCCACCAGAAGATATCATCCCATATCTAGGGCCTGCCGCGAATACACTGGCTGGGAAACTCTTTTGGGCTGTCCTGGAACATGCCATATCAAATTGTCATCACGTGCATCATCCGACTGCTCACGGGACGTTGCACCGTAACCCTTCCTTCAAACGAATGGTAGAACATACAACTGCATTAGGGGACGTTAGCGACGACTTCATGAGAGCTATGATCGAAGCCCGGCTGGAATACCGTAAATTGGGGTTCATAAGTGCTGAGTATGCCAGTGCTGCGGAACCCGACGCTGGAAGGGTAATGAGGCGCAAGGTTGTTGAGGACTATATGAAGCGAGGAGAAAATGCAGACGTCTGGTTGAATCCCATGGCTGTAGAGGCGCGCGCCAGGGAGATACTGGGTTCTCATGGCTTCACAAAGCTGAAACATGCGGCAGAAAGTCCCAACAACAATGCTCAGCACACAATTTTATCGAGCGCAGTAAACAAACTCATAGAACATTATATGTGCTTTGGGGATGGGCCCAGGTGGAACATTGAGGTTGTGGATGGAACATTTACTAAGTGGAGGCCGGAAACAACAAAATAGGGTAGAGAATCTCAAATAAGCGTACGACGGAATTTATATTTCCTAATTGATGCCTCTATCTTCAACAGTTAGATCAACCTACCAAACGAATACTCACACGGAACTGGCATACCAAAACACCGGTCACATGAACGCAAGTTTTCAGACAGCTTAAGGCAGCATATTGATTAAATAACCGTTGTGCTTTGTTAGAGGCATGGGATTGAATTGTGATACCTACCTTGTAAGGCTATGTCAGTCCATTATACAAATCGGTATAGGAGTATGGCGCCAGTCTCCATTGTTTCAGGCAGTCTACTCCTTCAAACACGATACTTTCTGTATACCGAACTGCGTAGTAGTGTCAATGGATAAAATCACATAGTTAATGGGCTTCTTAAGCTTTCAGTAGGACGAATATAAGTCGCCAATTGAATATCTAGATTCTATTCGGCCCTAACGGTCTCCAGCTGTTGCGATTTGCAGCGCTCCAACTTCTGAAAGCCAAAGAATAAGTCATAAGCGTAAAATCTGCTACTTGCTAACAAACATATTCTTGAATGAGAGAATGGGCAGTGTTGATAGTCGCATTTCCTCACCATTCCATTCACAGTGGGGTGATCGGCAAGATAACCTTGGTGGATAACGACTGCGTCTTCAGCAACCTCCGTTTCTAGTTTAAACATGACACGCTGAAAGCTGATATTTTCCAACAGTGGGCCTCGAAACATGTGATTACCGAAATATGACCTGACCACAGCTAACTTGTCGTGCGAGCGATTGGCCAAGTACATATTGTGACCACCAACGATATGACACTGCGCAGACTTGAGAAGATACTTAATGAGGCCGATCGCCAAGCGACAAAATGGAGCATTGCGTGAACGATGACACATGCAGAAGTGGTGATGAGACCTCGGAAATATCACATTAGTCCGAGCAACTAGGAAAGTCAATGATAGTGATTGGACGACCTCTAGTTTGGAGATGGTGATCCGGAGTACTGTGGTAGAACCACAGCTTTAAAACGCCCGATTCGTTCGGAATCGTTGCCCGCATGCCCGCTGATGCAACTGACTCACGAACGGAGGCCTTCTTGACCAACAGCCGAATAAGCTTTCGGAATTCCAGGCAGCGTCAATTTAAAGTCGGCCGATTACCGTGACCCGAGTACCGAACGATTGGAAGCGAAAGTTTCTGCGGATCAGTGAGGCCTGTTGCTAATTAACTATGTACAGGCGAAGCCGAAGTTGATCAAATGTCAAACTGCCAAGGGACTGATTGACTAGACATGAGTCCGACGCAGCCGCGAAAGTTTCCTTGAACAATGTCTATATTGGTGTCGGGCACCTGAACTGACGAGCCGATTGGTTGCTAGACTTGCCATGGTCGTAATGACTTCTGCCGACTATACCACAATGCGAACAGTAGTCTAATCCATTGATGGTGTAGTAGTAGACTTGCGATATGAATACAGCCTCTAACATCTCAAAGACCAATGAGCGAGTTGCTATTTGAGTTGACGGGCTCGACCTAGGCGGATTCTACCACTTTCTAGAATGAGTACTCGTTTGGCGAATGGAAATCTCATTTGAACTAAACAACTAAAGTGAGGCTTATGATTGTGGTTAAGACCCTGGATTTTGACTGACCGAGTCTGGAACAAAGCATTGGCCAAGTGTTCAGGAGAATATTGGAGCCTCGAGCCCATATTAGTGAGACCGAGTGCCTCAGGAGATAACGATACTGGGTAAGGGGTCACCTGCCGGCCTACGACCGTTGCTGACAGCTGAAGCTAATTCATTAGCGACCAGAAAAGTAAGGCGGGAAATGCTTGGGTCTAGCCGAAGATCGCCAGGGACCAACTGGACCAATTGAGCTGATTATACCAGCAGACCAAAAGAAAAAAAGAAAAAAAAGGAGAAAAAAAAAAGAAGAAAAAAAGAGGGCCCCAGCTTCTAAGGCAAGCATCGATATACCATGCCCAGACATGTCGAACTTGGGTAAGGTTTAGCTTTGCAAGTGGTAACCCATAGAAACCCGTCCGGCTGGACCGGCTCGTGCGAAGGTCCCGAGGGCAGTACTACTACAATATGGTACAGTACAGTTGTCCACGGGACACTTGAGCTAAAACGATGCGATGAGTGTGTGGATTTTCAAGTGTCAGCAGTTACGGGAGGAACCGTAACGATCGTTTGCCCAGGGCGTACGATCGTAGTGGGATCGCAAGATCAAACCTTCGGCATACTGCACTTGGTATGATAGCTCATTGGTGATAATAAGTTGTGACTGAACATAGAGTAATTGCTCAGGATCTCCAAACGGTAGTCTTCTGTAAGGCCATTCATGATGCCGTAGCTACCGTGCCAGGCTGCCTAGACGCCAGTCCGGGGTGTGCACAGCTGACTGCTGATAGATAGACCTTGCAGGGCTTAATCATGCCCTGCCCAGAGTATGATGGTGATTGAGGTCTAGCCCTTCGGTCATTGTCAATCTTTACGAAAAGAGGATTGATGAAAGCTTGGCTTCATATGTATGCTCCTGGGACCTCGGACCAGATGTCATGTGTTGGCCAGGCCGGTCGAAACAGCTTCGAGAACACGCTGATCCGGGGGCGTTGGCACGAAAGACAACACGCCAGTACCCACAGGTTACCTGATTGCCGGGCTCAACGCCTTGGTTTTGTGCGCTGATCATTGCCGGCACAGCTCTGCTACGGCCAGTGAACACTGGCGGACAAAACGGGTGACGAATTTTTGTGCAATGATGGAAGGGCGCTCGAAAGAGCACGTATGTACGAAAGTTCAGACCTGTTGATCGTGGTCCAGGTCTTGGTTGTCATTAGCCAGGCGACCAACCCCAGTTTCAAAAGCACTGTACGCAGCGGAACTGAGAATCAAAGAGAACTGAGACGTCACACTTGTCATTTGAGGGTGACCTGCTCTGAAGAGCTGAGCAGCTGGGGTGACCTAGAAATTATAGTATCATTGCAAGAACTGGAAGTTTGTTCTGAAGCTTAAAAAATTGGGCTACGTTGAGCGTCCGGCTGTATTTGAAGCGCTGGGCGCAATGACCTGCAAATTAGTTCACGGTCAATATGTGTAGCCTTCAAAAGTACAGGATGTCTGTTTTGGAACTCCAATTGTGGACATTGTGTGAAATGCGACTTGCTGGTGGAATATTGACCATGACTGCCTGCTACTGACGACTTCATGTGTCAGTAACTTTCCGTCCAATGGATGATCTTCAGTGGGTTAATATGGCGGCGTGACAGCGCGATACTTTTCCAGTTGCCTAGAGCCTTAGCAGGCCTAAAGGAAACCGTTTTTGCCACTGTACGATAAAACACACGCCTGGATCGAGATTTCAGTGCCGCAATCTTACGCTATGACTGATATGGGGTCAAGCTTGTGTGCTTTCCTTCCAATTGTATCACCAAACATGTCTGAAATACAGCGTTCTAACTGGTTAAATATGGGCTTCGACGCCAATGGCCACGCATGTCGTTTCGCACCGCAGATAGACATTGGCTGTGAATCGAGTATCAGGTCTGAATCGCAATGCATTGGCTTCGAATTGTCAGATTGGCCGACATGCAGGTTTAATGAGAATCCGATCACGATCCTCGTCGAAATCTTTTCAACGTATGGATCACAAAACCCTATCTAGCTTGCTTTTAGAACCATTTGAAGACGAACTGATATGTAATAAGCATTCGTGTCAATGGGATGGACACATGCGACCACCCATGCGAGGCATGGTGTTTCCGTAGTCGCTTTCTCGTCGCAGATTTCCCTCCGGAGTACCCAATCTTTTCACAGCATCTAAGGTTTCGCGATAAGTGTTTGTCGCAATTTTAGACTAGAATGCTCATCCGATCTGGAGATCGTGATTGCTCGGAAGGAGAAGCAAATTGGCTACCATAGTTTAAAACCATTCACATTTCCATAAGAGCTTCTTCATGCCGCCCCTATCTCAACCGCATTCTAGTCTTCATCAATTCATCCTCAAGTTGAAGTTTACACCTCAGGATCCATTCACACCATTCCCATCTCCCACGAATAATTACTGTCAAACAACCATTAATCAAACGGATTCAAACATTTTATCTCCACTTTGAACAGTAATCCAGAAAAGTGCGTGAACTTTACGGTACATAGTGGGCCGCCACTTTTCATCTCGCCTGTTTCGCTGTTCCCCGCCCAGCATCAAAACAGGACTGACCTTGTCTCGGCTGGGATTTGTGCCATTACGCCACGCAGGCCGCCCAGAGCAGCCCAGTCAAGCCGGCCCCCACCTCAATAAACTCATTTGAGCCAATATTCGAGCCCGACGGATCCGCTGCACATTTACAAAGTGACTGTGTACTTGGCTGCAGGTTCCTTTTCTCTGGTGTGTTGCGTCGCGTTGCAGTCCCCCATCTGTATGCGACACACCTGTGGCTCCACCCTGCCAAAGTTAAATCTCCAGTTTTCTATATCTGGTCGCCAGCATATTTACAACCCAGACCCTCCCATCAAACAAACCCTCATCAAAAGGACCCTTCCGGAACTCATCCCCCTGGCACATTAGCTTCCACTCCCAATTGCAATCAAGGTCTTAAGATCCGGGAACTCCATCTCCATTGCACTCTGAACTTCCGTTGGACCCCCTTATATCTTATATGCCGCCGCAACATCTCGAGATAATCTCGCCTTACTTTACAATGGCTTCCCGACCATCCAAAAAGCTTCACTACTCCAGCTCATCGTCAACCTCGTCCGACTCTGATGCATCATCAAGTTCATTCTACCGTCACAGCATGGATTCCGTCACTAGGCCAGTTGCCTCAGTCGAGGTGCTACGCTGTCTCAGATGTGCACGCTCAGTAGAGACGACCTCAACAGACGACCCAGCTACTCAAGGCATGGTTCGCATCGGGCACAACATCTACTATTGCACAAGGTGCGCGAAAATGGTCGGCTACAAGTGAACTCGCACCAGTTCTGCCACTGTATAAACTCTGGCAATCATCACGAACTTTTACAACACACAACCGTGGATTCATGCCATCTCGCATTGTCACTACCATCGTCGCATACAACAATGGATGCACTCCATGCTAGAGACTCTGATCGACACATTGATCCCAACACTCATATTCCATTCTGGATCCTGCAGAGATAGGCATAAAGTTAGAAGGGCTCGGCATGCCCGATCATGGTACGATGTTTCCATTTTCGAAACTTAGAGCCGCGCACACGCCAGCACCGGCGCGAGGCTTAGCTTGAGCTTCTGAACTTAAGGTTCAGAAGACGCTTGGCAGGATAAAGGACCTTACTACTATTGGGATCTTGAATCTCTTCGGTGCTATGTCCATGCCATCCAAAAAATCCCATTGAAAAGGCTCAGTGGTTGATAACCGGGCAATTGCAGGCTGGAGGATTCGACACAGTCACTTACGCTACATGCAGCGGCGCTACTTCAAAGCATGGATCGGATGGCACTGGGGTCCCTAAATCGTCCCCTTGCGCTGCAGTATTCTCCGTAAACTCGGTCACCGGCTGCACTTGGTCAAGCAATACGAATGGCATGATCAATCGCAGGAAACATGACAGTGCATAGTTCTCCGAACAATCCAGATTCTTCCGACTTCTGTCCCGGGTCTTGGTCCGGGCAATGGATGTGACGATGTTATTGGGCTCAGGTGTCCAGGGCTGGGTCTAGAAGACTTGACGTCATTTCGCATATGTCACAACCAATTGGAGAGAGTTATCTCCGGAGGACCCCCGCCGAGACCATTTAGCCCTAGAGGCCAAGAGCTGAGGGGCTGCTTGATACAAGCCTCTGACGTTATTTGTATGCCTGGCCAAATAGCATAACGGGGCCACTTGGTAAATTAATATCGAGCCTCGGCCTCGAGATTGGTCTGAGCTATGGGAAGGCGTTTACCATGAAGTTCACCTTGTGTGCATGTACAACTTGCATGAGAGAAAGGGTGGACAAATAACAAACAAATGGAGTTGTGCTTTTGTACAAATCGTTGATGTTGAATTGCTTGCGATACACATTGCATTTTATCCATAGCGTTCACATAGTACCAATTACAAGCAACTTTGAACTTGCAATCAATGATCTTCCACATTGTGATGATGTAAATCAATTGATGTTGATCGCCCGAAGCATTTTCGCATGAACTAGTAACAAAATCAACAACAGTATTGTAAACACCACTAGCACTCATCAAATCAAACCGACTACTTCCAAGTATAGTATAGAAAAGATGGTCTCGTCAGCGATAAGCGAGCGACTAAATTTAAACCTCAGTTCAGAGGTCAACGAGCAACACTGCCCCAACGTTGAGTTACATGACATTGTCGCTGGCCAAGTAAACCGTTGTAACGGGTAGGAGGTTGCACACACAAGGAGGCTTAGCCTTCTCGCAACCCTACTATCTCGATTAGGTTCATGGATTCTAACCTTAGCAACGTATAGCGGCACCTATGTAATGATAATCAATCAACGATGCCCGCCACGGCAAACAGCCCCAAGCTCTGAGCAGGCACTTCAATGTGAAGTACCCTACGTCTTTTTGTACAACCTGCAATAACACAAATTGAATATCTTACAGCAACAGCCGGTCGTCATAGTTGCAAGCATAGCGCTGCCAGACTACCCGTTTTTGTTGTGGGCATGTATTGGAATTCGTAGAATTTCTCAGAGAGCCCCACTTACCTACCGTCCACTGTCCCAAACAACAAAACTCTCCCTTTCACGAGCATATTAGCTGTATGTGACTACATACGATCCCTTCCCACGAAAAGCAGGGTCGAGACAAAGAAAGACGGGGGTCTCCACTCAAAGGTGATTTCCGAGGAAGCTTGACCATTCAGCAACCCCAGGCTGGCCTGTACGACGTTGCATTCAGAAATCAGGGTCTAGGTCACTGCCCGACGTCGTCATACCCGCGAGACCCTGATTAGGATACCCTCATTTGCAGACTTCCACCAAAGTGCCGCGGGCGGTGCCGAGCAACCGTTTTGGCAAGTCTGTTGGTTCGAGGTGGTCTAGAATCTAGATTCTGACATAGCGTCTGACCCCTACCTAGACTATCCTTTACCCACCGTTTGCACGTTATAGGTGCTGATTGCAATTATGCTTGGCTACCAGACACATTACCTAACAATAAACAGAGCAATGAAACAAAATGAGCATTTCTTACATAGATGCAGACTTTTCTTTTACTTTCTGACATATGGAGACCGTAGCGCTAATCCACTCCGCAATATCTCCAGCTTTCTCGGCATCTTTCTATTAAGATTCCCCCCTGTTTTGACTGCTGCAAATTCCGCGCTTACGAGCGTTTTCCGCCAATGACTACGCAGGTACGCAATGTTGATAGGCTCAAAGGCCATGCGGCCATTGGCCGCAATGATTTGTTTCGTAACAAGCTGCATGCGTCATTTATAATTTTGAAGTGTTGCTAGCCTAAGCGAAGATATCTACACTACTATGCATTCCTAGTGGTGCCGTTCCAACGGATGCGCTAAGCTGCGACAACCACGTATCCATTCCGTCTAAGCCGCGAGAAACGGCAGCGCAAATCGCGTACGGGTCAGATCTATACGCGTGGGCGCGATGATCTATACCTCATCTGTCTCCCAAGCTTGTGCATGTTGACCTGGCGGTCTGTTTTTAGTTGATAGAGACTCTAATCTTTCGGTCACACTTTCTCACGCATCGGTGGTCTTCGATTCTCGCAGGAGAAGAAACCCCCCGCCCCCCATGAGAGCGGGTAATAATGGGTCATGACATCGATCGGATTTCTGTATGGTCATCGACTAAAGGATCAGCGAAATATCTGGAACCGTCGCGGCGGCGTGGAAAGCATGGAATAATCATGGGGCACGATGCGAATAGCTTCGCATACACTACAGCCCAGCGCTGCCATCCCCGGAGATACCTCCGGGTCTTATTTCAGCTCACCGTGCCCTCGGCCAAATGTGGATACGGTTCGATACACTAGGAACGTGTCCAATCAGACACTGTCCAAGTATCGAAAGGTACGCACGCTGAAAGTTCGGAAAGGTTCGGATATCTAAATGAGAATGTTGCATCTACAGTACTGTCGGCATTATTATACCGCTGTGTCATGGGTAGATTCCGTCAGTGACGGTCACAACGCATGTGGCATATTCAGCTCCGCCACACCTGGCGCACACATGATTGGTTTGACCGGCAATTACGGATAGGTTGGTAGGACACTCTTCCCTGTCGCATTTTTTCGTCGTTTATTGACGTTTGAGGTCACGCGATATCAACGCAACAACACTATACTCCCGCATAAGCGTCCGGTGTTGTCTCCGTTGCTTCCGTCAGAGTATCCATCAAAGGCCGACTGACTGATCACAATCCGATACTTGCGTGAATCACAGTGTCGTGCTTCGTGCCTTTGGACATTACTCATTCGCTACTTCGCGTTTCTGCTCGGTTTTAACACATGTACTTCTTTAGTCAGTATCTCATCAATGAATAGCATACCGTTACTACTGTCGTCCTGGTCCTTCGCTAGAAGTCGTCGTCATCCTGAACGCAACATCGCACCATTACATGGTCGACTTGTGTGACCGGTGTACCCATTAACAAAGCAGCCTTACAGCCTTATGACTCGAAGCCGGCAATCCGCGCGTTGTGTGGATCTGTCAGCGATTCTCGAACACCACTAGCTCGAGAAAGAGCCATAACAATGGCCATAGCTTATTCTGTTGTATGCTGGGTCATGCGATCCAGGCCAGTTGCTATACTCCGTTGGACTAGTTTCACAACTCTATGGAAATCCGATTCATGGTCTGTCGGCGACTTTTAGGGTGCCTACAAATGCGCAAGTTATCATCAGTCCACTGTTTTCGAGTGGTCAGCCGCCTAGCATACGTCACAAATAAGGTGAAAGCATACGGCTTGTAGAATAGCCACGAGTGGCAGAGTCTGTTTAGATAAGCAGAGCTTGTGCGGAACTACTTGTCATCCCAAGAGGCTTCGACTATACCGAAGAAACCGCTTGGTGCCACCTTTGTTGCTCTAACGTTGAACCGCGGATCTGCAATATCAAAGATCGACTTCCAAGCACTGATAGGTCTCTCTTTTCCGTTGAACATGGCCATCAGTCTTAGATCTGTCGCGGTTCCATACTGCTTCGAAGACAGGGGAATAGCCTCTGTGGCTTCGCTGTTCTCTTCGCCGGCGCCGCCAATATATTCGATCAAAATAACCTTGGCACCCGGTTTCATAGCTGGAATCAGGTTCCGCAGAACTTGAGCACACTCGGCATCTGGCCAGTCATGCAAGATCATCTTCAACAGATAAATGTCTGCGGTGACCGGCTGAACGTTGAAGAAGGAATGCTCCACAAAACGGACTCGGTCTGACAAGTCCTGAGGCAGAGCCGCTTCGAACGCCGGCCCGGCATGCTTCAAGTCCTGAACCGTCACAGACATGCCTGGAAACTGTCGAGCAAGACGAATCGCATCGCTACCCGCGGAACCACCGACCTAAGGTTATAATTCAGCATAGGGAAGAGAGTCTGGTCCACGATCTAGTTGACTTACATCAACGACGGAAATTTGACCTTCAGAAGGCCACTCATACGAGTCCAACACGACATTCTCGAGGTGGAACAAGTCGTTCAGATAGCGCATGAACTCCACAAAATTACGTTGCCGCCAACCCTGCTTGTCCCCTTCGCCGTCGTTCTCTAGGAGCTCCCACGAGTTCTTGAAGTCTCCAAGCTGGCTTCTGCCATAAAGCAGCGCGAATGATGTCTCGTCCATCTTCTGCGAGAGGCCGGGCTGACCAGAGCTGAAGCGACGCAAAGCTTCGTTCAGGACCATCATTGGCGCACCTGAGTCGCCGAGAATCGATGATACCAGAGCTCTGAGACCGGAGGCTTGCGCCAAGGCTGCGGAGCGCGAGGTATGCTCGATGCGCGACGCTCCAGAGCCGTCGCGGGTCTCGGCGAACAGTCGCATGGTGATGGCATGTTGCAGGATTCTGTATACCACGTCTCTTGGAAGCGCTACTTTGGCGGCCACTTCTTCATAGGAAGCGGAGCCGCTCAGGGGCACGGCAGACCAGAAGTCGAAAGAGTTTAGGACGTTCAGTGCCGCCGCATTCGGTATAGCCTAACCAAACGTCAAACTTACTCTCCGCATCAAGACATTCACAAACACCTTACCGAGTGAACGTAATTGAACACGCTCTCACTAGGACCCTGGGCTAAATACCACAGGTCGTTCAGGTTGTCCAGCAGCTCTTGGCGAACCATAAAAATATTAGGCGGCAAGTTCGGATATCTTGTCGGGCTGTCCGCGGCGAACGATGCAGCCGGGACCTTCTCTTCGTCGAGGTATCCATTCAAAGCCTCAGAGAGCTCTGAGATCTTGGCCGCAAGAGATCTCAGCGTCGGTTGACTTGAAGCCGCCATGATAATATCGTCGGCTCAACGGCAAACGCTGTAAATGGTTTATCTGATATGCAAAGGCTCAAACTGGAGGCAAAGCAAAAATATGTACTGGCAAGTAAGCTGGGCATTATACGCCTCTGCAGCAGTGTCAGACCATTCTTAAAGTACCAGTCCCCCGCCCGCGGTCGGCTGCAGAGCACCTCGTAAACCCCTCAACCACACAATGAGGACTACTTGGCATACGTGTTCGGCGGGCAAGATGGAGTCCCGGTTGACTTGGCAGCACGGATCTGATAAGATTATCTCCGTGTTTGCAGAAGCGCTCCGTTGATAGGGCCTTGGGGAAACCCCGCTTTGATACCACCTGCACCACATTTTAGGATTTCAGGATAACTTGGCATGTGTAATGAAAAGAAATGTTTCGGGAGGCGTCATATAAGATAAACCTTTCAAGCAAACTGCTCCCGAGCCCTGAAAACTGAAGCCAGTATCCGGTGTGAAGCTAATCTTCAGCGCCAAGCCGGTCGCAACGGTGCAGTGCCTGTTAGGCGTAAGTCCAGCACTCGCACTTCTGCTCATTATGGTGAGGAATTGAGAACATTGATTTAGAGTCCGAGTTAAGCTTACACAGGCCCCATTTCAGGGGGACCCGCAGCAACCAGTCTCCACTAACAACCAATATGGTGGGATTGCACATCGTCAGATGTTTCGTTGCCAGCCCATATGGACCATCTGCCAATGTAGTGATCCCTCGGCACGTTGTTTTATTGATGGCTCCGCAGCCCACCTCTACGACTACACGCCATTACGCCAAGCTCCGAATTTTATCTTGCTTCCCACCTATCATACTACCCCAACCGCTGTGTAAGTGCCTAGCTGCAATAACGAGCTTCATAGCATGGCACGCATATAGCTGCATGAACTTAACCATAGATGGAAGTCGATGTTGTCTGAGTTGCACAAGGTCCTGTCATGATGTCATTCATTTTTCCATGCTGAGACAAGAAAATGGCGGCCGGCATTGTTATATCATCGACAAAAAGCCAATACCCATTACAGTTCGTGAGAAAGAAGGTGGTAGGTTTTAGATTCATATGGTCCAACAAAGGCCTTCAGCCAAGGACTCCCTACGTAGGTTACGATCGCCACATTAACTTGTTCCGGCAAGTGCCAGCGAATGAAGTCATTCACACAGTGGCTAGAGGACCGACGTCGGACCATGGTTCGATGTAAGTTCATAATATGTCTCTGCCAAGTGAGATTTGCGCGGCATTTGGTACCAGTTGTATTCTGGATAGAGCTACAAGGCTTGGGCTCTTCCTGTAATATAACCGTAACGTTGTTTAACAACTTGATGTCCCGAATACATCCGCATAGCGCTACTTATGTTACCAGTACTCTAGTAAGGTATTTCCGAAGTGTCCAATGTCTTCCTCGGCAGTTCCCAGCGCGAGCCGACCACAAAGTTTCTCTAGCCCCCTCAGTATTGACTGCGCGCTCTCGACAAAGATGTTGAAATGTTATGGGAGTATGGCAAGATTAGTCAGGTGCGCAAGTGTGTCTACACGGAGACCAGTAGGATTGTCGGCATGGCGCAATGAGAAGTATCCTGGCGGGAGGCGAGGAGGACCATAGAGAGGAGCCAGCAAATACTCCCTAGCTGCTGCCTCTCACTCGCCCGTGGAGTCCACAGTCAATGACGCTTGGGCGACCATAAATACAGTCAAAGTCAACACGAGCACAGAGGAAAACGTGACCGCGAGCTGTAACACTTTAGTCATGAACATGATCTTGAACAGGCTGGGAGCGTCTCACCCTGGCATCATCGTCCCACCAGCTCTCGGTTTCGGGGTCCTTGAAGGGCCCCCATTCGGTGCTCATCCAAACGAGGACAGTGATACCACCGATCATGCAGATGACCGCGGCCGTAAGAAGCGCCGTGCTCGCCTGCCATGCGTACACCTGGCCCCTCCGGGGTCGAACGCGGCCGTCTCTGTGCACACCGCCGGCCATGCATCTCCTGATGTACGCCAACCCGTCACGGTGCGCGCTGAGGCGGTGCAGGCGCAGGGTCTGCTGCGCGGCGATGAGGACGGAGAAGAGCGCAAACAGGATCCCGCAGAACCAAAACGCCCGCACTGACCACGGCTGGCGCTTCCCGTTGGATAGGACGCTTGGCCAGCTACCCGTGCTGGTCAAAACCCCGGCGAGAAGAGCGCCCTACTTTGGGGCAGTTCTGGTGAGTCGGGAGTTCTTTTCTCGACCAAGGGGATTAGGGCAGGTAAGCGAGACTTACCACCACGCCGATGAAGTTGAGCTCCTGGAGCTTATGGTCGCGCCATTTCTCAGTCAGGCGATCTCGCTCCTGAGCATCATCCTCGTTCAGCAGCGCCGACAATGTACTGTGCGTAGTCTGGCTTGGGGCGACGAGCCCGCTTCGGAGCATGTTGATGAATATCATCCCACCCTAGATATCAAAGTTTAACACACCATGCAGTATAGACCGGATAACGACGCGGGAATTCCTCTTACACCGGCGTTGGCTTGTCGTTTGCGTGTTAGTGTATTGACTTGGTCACCCGCATTGGACCTCAGCAGGGGAACTTGGTCGCTCATTTCTCGAAACCGCTTGCGCAAGTGTCAAGAAAAGTGTTCTGCAGAATATGGCTTGTCGAGACTAGGACTCAAGCTGCATTGCCATGACCATGGTTAGAGTTTCTTCAAGTAGTTGCATTTTCTCCACATGACGTCGCATGCCGGGGCTGGGGAAATGCGGGGTGCATGTATAAGGGCAGGTATTGCATTACTCGTTGTGCACCATGTTTAGCTGTGTTCCCGAGGTACTTGGGGAGGTTTTATTCTTCCCATCTATTCTTACTAAATAGAGTAATGTCATGTCTAGCATTTCATGTTGGTTTCAGGTTGTTATGAGTTATGAGCGGAAGCTCTTTCTATAGAGGGCTATGTTACGCTCCATATTATTCTGTGGTGGAGATAGCGATTAACACACTATACCCCACGCATTGAAGCCACGCCCGAATCTCTCCTTATCACCAGCACTAATCAGTACAACCTACAACCTACAATAGTTAATTCTTGCCTGTTTTCGATTTTCGTCTGGATTCATTCGAAGAGCAACAGCTGCCGCAGGTGTTGGTGTTGGTGTAGGCGTCCGAGGAATATAAACAGCAGCGGCTTCGGCCTGGGTAGGAAGCAATCTGAGTTCTGGAGTAGATGACTCTGGGACAGAAATCTTTCGACGTTTTGGGCTTGGCGCTTTATCTACATCGTCTTGCGGTCTTTTTCTGGCATTTTGTGGTCGTGTCTTTCAAAGTAGTCGTTGCCCCAAGAAATTGTTGGTTTAGGTTCATTTTCTAGTATTACAATGCGGAGCAGGTTTTATAGATCTCAGATACTTGTGAAAGAGATTCTACATTTGTTTCGTTTGATTTCAGATTTAATAAGTGATGCAATTGGCATGTAGAAGAAGTCATCGCTCAGCCTGAGTGATGGTAAAATGGCCAATGGGCAGTGGGAGAGTGTTGAGTGGTCAATCAAGACTGTTCCATGAGTATTTTACAGCTCAAGTACAAAAAGATGTAGAACGGGCTGTACGCATGTTTGCTTGGATTTCAATCACTTACACACTGGGGCACTCTCTGGAAGCTGCTTATCGTTCAGAATTTGTCGCTCTTCGCCCCTTCGTAGACGGAAGCACTCGGGTTTGAGCTGAGATGATTCGATGCAATTATGTCTACCCCGAGGCCCCAACACAGACACCATAGGTAATTCAAGACCACCAACAGCAAATAATTAGCAAGAAAAAGCCCAGCCTCGGTGCCAAGCTCTAGTGCCGCGTATTTGCATTCCTCATTTGTATTTTCCCAAGAATCAGCCCACGCTGATGTAAGAGGTCTGGACCGTGGTGTCGGAAGCTGGGGGATCCGTGCCAAGATCCACCCGAAAAATCATGATAGCTTGCGAGACTATAGTATAGCGTCCATCCTAGCGCACCCGCTGGCTCGGGATGAAGTTGTCACAACCATTCATTCCGCTCCTCGGTGACGTCTTTGCGCAGCGGGTAGGGCGGTCAGGGTGTTGAGTTGGACACAAGTTGACGCAAGGGGTTTTCTGACAATATCCTGGATAGTGTCACATTACATAGCATGCTAATTTCATCGAAATCATATGATACCCTTCTTGCAGCGAGCTAAATAGCAAACGGCGCCAAACTACCTGCACCTGCCGTCCCGTGACGGATACAGGTTCCGTTTCCTGAGCAATCCGTACTCATGCCGTCCAACCTAACGCCAATGTTCTGATGCCGTTACGAATCGTTACACAACCCGTAAATTCCACCTTCCATATCCTCACCGTATGTTCCGGTCACAGACGGGCTAGCCTTCCATCTTGACATCCTCGCTATTAGTCGTGTCCTTGCCCAAGTTCTTAAGAAGGTAGCTTCGCTTGAAATATTCGTTGGGATGAACAATGGTGTCGAGCTGAGCTGTGGTCATGATGCTTTCGTCCTTGGCACGCTTGATTTCGTTTTTGTGGACATGTTCAAACACACTAGGCATTGTTAGTATAACGATATTATAGTTTGGGTTAACAGTAGGGTCGGCAACTCACCGATTACAAGCCATGTGAAACTTCTGTGCCTGTTTGTCCTGTTTGACACCCTGGAGCACTGCCCTATCTGAGATGCCGACAGCTTGAAGTAATGCTGTCAAGTTGTCTTCGTTGAAGTGACGGTAGGGGCAGCCGTGCGCTTCACCCGGGCCAGGCGGGTGCTCGGTCAAGATCTTTTGACACGAGTACGGCGAGTAACCGCCTCCGCGGCGATTTGAGTCTCCACCGACATCACCATACGAGTGTCGCACGTTGTATCTGTAGTCTTTGTTGAACTGGTCGTCTGTAAGCTTGCTGAAAGACGTCCTCCAGAATACCAGGCACTCTTCCAAGTTCAGGCCGATTCCCTTCAAGAAAAGGGTATACTGTAGACGGCCAAAATGCTTGAGATGAGCGTCCCGGCGTAGTGACCTGTGCAGGTTCTGCATGCAGAGTGGGAAGCTGGCGGAGAGCTTGTCGACGTTCTTTGCGGATATATCGGCGCCAGGCACCGAGGACGTGCTGCTGCTGTAGGATGCATCCGGCGTGATAAAGTTCTTGGAGAGGTGATCCAGGATGGGCGTGAGTCGGTCGTCTTCGTCCAGCCTGGGCAGCGCCCTCGCTGTGAGTTCCAAGGCACGCTCGAGTCGCCCGGTATATTCGGCCACCACCATGCTTGTCTGCTCCCGCGCAGGCACAAATGCTTTGCCAGCCCTGAGAAGCACCCTTCTCGACTCGACTAGATCGGGCACGCGCTCCCAGTCGACTTTGAACCAGCTCTCTTCGTCCTGGGGCGATTTGCGGCTTTCGGCCAGAGCCCTCAACTCGTCGGCATACCTGTTCCGCTCCTCGGTGGTGATTTCTTCCCAATCAAGGTTCAGACTTTGTACGAACTCTTTTCGGTCTTTCAAGTTCTCGTCGTTGAACCTCAGTCTGAATAGCATGGTCTCGACGCGACTGAACCTCCTCCTCAGATCCTCTGTGGAGGCGAATGCCAAGCGCAGGATGAAATGGCTATAATGATCTTTTTGTCTTTGGCTTGCCAACTGGGTGCTATTGGTCGTGTTGGTGTCAAGAGGCAGGTACTTTTCCAGCAACGGCTTCATGTGGTCAGCTGTGTCCTTGACGCTTTTGTTGCGGAAGGAACAGGCCTCGAGCTCAGCTAGGATTCGCAGGCGGTCGATGGCCCATTGCTCGAACTGCTCGAGGGTGATGTCGGCGGTGGGAGGCACGGCGTAGAAGTTCAGTCGATGCGGGTAAGTTGTGTCCTTGTACGCTGGGTCGGCAAATTGCTTCTTGCGATGGTCGAGATTCGCGCGCCGTTTCGGGTCGATGCGATTATAATCTGAACGCAACATTATGGGCAATAGAGTATTCCGCACCACTGTCGGTTTGATTGATTCAGATGCTCCCGCCTCGAATGGGTGTTCAATTGCAACCACTCGTGGTTATGGGCAACGGATCTTGGATCGTGCTGCTTGGATCTTGCTGCTTGGTGGGAGGGATGGATTGTTTAATTGAATTTGGAAGGCGCGTCTAGACAAGAGAGACGAGACGCGTCGCGACTCCCCGAAGTGGACGGACTTATAAGTGATGTGCAAGATGGCCCAATTAAAACGATGCTGTATCGGAAGAGACTAACTTGGCTTAGCCTAGCTTGAGCTAGTAGGGCTGCCTCTAGCTCTCCAGTATTTCGCACAGCACTTGTAACTCTCGCCTCCTCCCACTCCTCCTATGACACTTGACTTCTTCATACTGCACCATCATGCACCGCGGAAGTCTAGCGGAAAGGATGACAAAGAGTTGTCCCTGTTGAACTCAAAAAAAAAAAAAAAAAAAAAAAGGTTCTCTCACTGCAGAGATTAACACTGAACCCTACACCCGAACTAATAGACCGATACACAATAATTACTTCGTTGCGCTTTGGAATTATTAAGTCGCTTCGAGGCCAACAACAAGATAATATATATTCGCACTTGCTGTAATCGGGGATCCGAACAAATAAATTCGTATTATCATAGGTACTAGGCGGAAAACGTGTATATTTGTAGTCCTCCATAACGACTATCACGCCGCAAGTCAAACCCCGCGAAGAAGCACATTTCCGTATTTTTCACCATTATCGTTCCCTTCCAGGTATACTCAAATCCACATTCTAGTCCATCCCACCCGAAAGATGAGTGACGCCGCAGATGGCATTCCAGCCACCAACGATTGTCTGATTGGCAGCCACGAAAGTCTCTGGCTTCAGCCTACAAACTCATTAGCATGGTGGTCATTGGCACACACACAGACAGAACGTACAGGTCATTGTAGCAGGTGCAGAGCGAGCCAGTCTGGCCTCCCACTATACCCGTCATCAGCAAACAAACCCGAAGCGCTCTCGACAAAACACCCTGGATACTCACCGTACTTGACGAAGAAGCTCGAGCCCGAAGGCGCAGCATTGCACGTGTACTGGCACTTGAACTGAGCATAGGCGAAGCCCGTCTCCTTGGGCTCAAAGACGCCGTAAGTCTGAAGGTTGCCCACAGAGTTAGTGAACCATGGAGGTTTGACGGAACCACGGGAAGAAATCACGGGATACTCACATAGGTGGCAGCGACGTGCTGGCTGCCCCAGACGGGATCGGGTTGCCAGCCAGAGTCGGCTGCATTTGCGGTTGGCGCGGCCGGGGCGTAGTTGATGGTGTAGCCGGCCGTGACGACGGGTGCGCCGGTGGTACACGGCACGACGAGGTCATTACCGACGCCATCGGCGGGCGCTGGGAAGGCTGAGGCGAGAGTGAAGAGGACCGCGGAGGCGATGGTGAGCTTAATAATTGCGGCCATTGCCACGATAATTTCTTGTTCTGTTTTGGCGTGCGGGGGGAGCTGTTGATATTAAAGTTCGTGGTTCCGTCAGTAGCACGTGGAAGACTATCGCTTGGCTGCCAATTCATGCAAAATTTCAAAGATTTGGAGTTGGAACTGGATCGGTGATTCCGAGTATTACAGAAAACTCTGGCAAGCACGCTCCCTTGCGAAAGGACAAGTTTTAGATTCTAGAATGACTTGTTAGATTGCGCGACGGTCCGCTACATAAGAAGGACTAAACCATGCAGACTTAGGTTTGGAGGATAGTGGACTTGAGTTCTGGAAGTGCGTGACAATGACAACGAGATCTTTTAGATTTCAGAACAAGCAACCAAGCGACCATTACACTAATGTCATACAGGAGGCCACGAAGGATCCAATCCTAACGCCATGTGTAACGTGCTCGAGCCAGTGCTGAATCGCACACACGAATTTGCCGATTGACAGTCAAGTATTTCGCACGATTGCGCAAGTCCCTGTTCTCACCTGTTCTTGTAGAGGTGTTCCAATATATATGAGATCGCTGCTGCGCGGAGTGGATGTAACCTCACTTCCGGGATACCACACGTTCAACGGAAGTTTGGGATGGACTAGCATTACTGGTTAGGATGCAATCAGGGTCAGGAACACCAAAAGCCAATAACGTCCTTCGGTGAGCAGAAGATGGTGCTCTAGCCCCTGACTAGGCTGTATACCCGCGAGGCCCCGCAGTGAATAGGCAAAATCCAATGCCCAAATACGGAATGGAACCTACCTTTCCAGAATTCCACCCTTCGCGTCGTAAAGTCGTAAAGAACGAACATGGCCGTAAAAATGCGTACTGTGAAATCCTGTTTCATTTTGGAGGTGACCAAAGTCCATTTAGCGCGGATACTCGCTTGCTCTGTGTCTATCTAGTAGGACATATGGCGACATGACTGAGGTTATCATCAACGACGTGGCAAAATTAGACCCTAGACTAATGTCTTTCATCAATTTTATACCCCAATTCGAGATGAACTCAATTTTTTATATCACGGCGGGGTCTCCTGATGCGAGTTATTGTCGTCTGCTTTCCGTATTCGTTCTTCTTCTCTCCATTGTGGGCCAAACTTAATCGCGGAGAAGACAACTGGACTGAACATGATCCAAATGCCTGCGATCGTCACCCCCAACCATCCAATGCCACCCGACCTGACTAATGGGGTCGCAAAGGCAGTTCCGCCGGCGCCCATCCAGCACCGGGCCAGGTTCATTGCCGCGGATGCTGTCCCCGGCTTTTCACGGTTCAGGTCCATAACCAAGTTACTGAAGCCAGAAAACGAGCTCGCACTTCCAAAGCACTCGAAGAAGAGGAACATCAGCGTGACCGCTATGTGCTTCCCACTCTGCAAGGTCCAGGTGTAGCCTAGTAGGCAGACGCTACACATAACCAGTGCGGGAATGCTGATCTGGAGGCGTGCGACCTCGATGGGGAAGCGAGCCAGGTCTTGTTGTTTTTGGGTCGATATTTCCAAACCGATGAGCTTTGCGTGACGACGAAAGTTCCAATCGAGGAGCCGCCCCGTCAGAAGAGTCGACGTTGCTGTCCCGAACCCGGATGCCAAGAAACAAAGACTGATGTGGAGCGTGTCGAAGCCATATTTCTCTTCCAGCTGGTCCGTGAATGTAGACAGAACCATGTACGAGCTTGCGTAGATAAAGCCGCTGTACAGCAGCAGGAGACCTGTTTCTTTCTCGCGGAATAACTTAAGGGATTTCAGCGGGTTTAAACGAGCACCTCGGGGTCCCGTCCTTGGCTTTGACTGGTGTGTCGCAGAAATTTCATCTTGTTTTGAGCGTCGCAGGTACTCGAGCAACGACATATTCCAATATGAAGTTGGTGTAGATCCATTTCCGACGATTCTTCGGCATGTTTCTGGGAGGAAGGCCGCAGAAACTATCCACACGATCGAAGCGTAGATGGCGAGAAACCAGAAGATGGAGCTCACGCCCAGGTATTGACTCAGTAAGCCACCAATAACCTATATACCCATACCGCATCTTGTAAGCTCCTGTCCAAGGTCATTTAAGTAAACTAGGCACGTGGAAAACTTACGGGTCCTAGAGAAGGGCCAAGCATCCAACCCATCTGGACGTATGATGTGTAACGTCCTCGTTCTGCAGAAGTGACAATGTCTGACACTGTTGCAAGAGAGAGTGCGATCGTGCCGCTGCTTCCAGCACTTTGAACACATCTCATCGCGAGTAAGAGGGCATAGTTGCGCCTAAAGGCAGCTCCAATACTGCCAGCAATAAATATCAGGAGAGAGACGAGAAGTGCTGGTCTTCGACCGGTCTCATCAGACAGATTGCCGACAAAAGATGGCGCAATGCCTTGAATGATCTGTTGGATCGAGCGTCATTAGCGTTCTTCTGGCCTTGACTTCTTCATATCTTAACCTGCTTACCAGGTACACAGTGATAGTGAGATTGATTTCGGTAATGGATACGTTCAACTCCCTCGCCAACTCAGTGATCACCGGATAATATATGCTTGCCGTTAGAGGAGGAAGCAGTGTAGTTAAGGCCATAATAAGGACAATGAACGTCTTTTGGGTTGGTGAAAACTGTGAATAAGGGATATTGGCCTGAAAGACGTCACCGCTCGTTTCTTGTCTGTTGCTTGGGGCTTTCTCGGCGTCTGCATCGTCTGTAGATATGGAAACATTTCTCCCTGGCTGCCCAGGTGGGACGAGCTGACCAGTGCCATTGACTAAGCTGGGTTGTTGAGGACTATCGTATATTGAATCTATAGTTATTTCTTTGCCGGCAGACATGATTTTATTGCATATCCCTGTGCTGCCAATTTCAAGGAAGCACAACGCACGGGCAATGTCAAAAGATATCGAGGAGCAAAAAAATAAATAATGAAACTTTGATGGCTCGATTTCGAGATTGTTTAAAACACACATAACTATCCAGGGAGAAAGAAAAAAAGATGCGCAACTTATATTTAGCAATGCTGCGCATCATATCGGTGGTCCTCCGAGATTGGATGCGGTCTTCCGGCCGATGGCTGTTAGTACTGAATGTGGGACCATGCCGTCTTAAAACACAAGATGTTCCATGAAAAAGATATTCGATCAGTGTCAATCACTAAAACAGGATTTTCCGACGACTTAATGCCAACGTTCTGTCTATCAGAATTAAATCTGCTAAAACATATACCAAGTTGGCATAAAACATCAGCCTTCCAAGAGTGTCGTTCCTTTCTTCATATATGAAACGACAAAGCAATCAACGAGTGCCAAGTTTCCACTTGCTGACTTCATCTGCGTCTTAATATAAAGCATCATATGCATAGAGGTTTGTGCAACATTTAAAGAGGATTTTGACTTTGGACTTGGGCTATCATAGGGCCGGTTCCTGGAAGTGGTTTACCAAGAAATCGTATTCGTTCAGGAAGTATCCATTAAGCGTATCATCGCCAAACAAGTCACCACGATATCCTTGATTGGGTTCCGACGCTTGGAAAGTATGTGGAAAGCCCGGTGCATCGTTAAAGATTGTATCTGTCATGGGAAAGTTCCGTTCTAGAGCGTTCTCAAGGCAATCCTTAATAACAATCAAGAGGTGCCGGGGATGCATCGTTTTCGACACGCTCCGCAGTACATTCATCAATTGAGACATGAGACGCTGAATCTCCTGAACGTTCATCTGGAAGGCGTTGGAGAACCGGGTTGACATCTTGAGCAGAAACACCACGGCGAAAGCAATCATAACGTGGAAATAGGTCGGCAAGCCGTTAAGAAAGGACTGAATTTCCGTATCTGAGACAACCGCTCGCAGTATAGACACAGCAGAAAGTATGGCGGAATTTGCAAGCTCGTACAACTCCATATCTGTATCCCAAGATTTTGGCTGGGCTTGGTTGGAACTTTGTCCTCGAAGAGCATGAGAAAAGAGGTATAGCTTTGCGAAATGGTATTGGATACTAACGCCCTTGCGGGGGTAGTTGCCAACGTGAGCGTTTGGAGTGAACCGTTCCCCCCATTCAACACGCAGGTTGTCGAGAGCAATGCTGAAGCGCCTGACTTTGGGAATGTCGTCATCAGAGAGGGCGCGGTCGACATCTGCGCCGAAGGTGTCATAGACGTTCGTACAGACGCTCCAGCGTAGTACCTGGCTTACCAACCTTGCATCGTCTTCTTTGGCATGTTTACATGTCAGAAACTTCCGCACATCCCGAATAGCCTCGCATTCTCGCGTGATGGGCGGTCTACCATATGGAATAGACAGGTGATGATCACAAGCATACACCAGATAATACAAGCGTGCCCGCGAGTAATGCTCTCGGTCACCCTGTAGAGCTTTGGAGAAGCTCCTGTATAACTGTAATTCCGTGGCTATGCGAACTGCAAGAGACACCAACGATGAGGACAGGTCACTCATCCAGAAAGCGCCAATACAAAGTGCCCGAACATCATCAACCACATTCGTCTTGGAAAAGCTCATTGCTGCACTCAGGCCAATAAACTCTCTGTAGAGCGACTCGTAGTCAGCAGAGGCTGAATGGAGTGCACCAATCGCACAGACAACAGTACCAAGTATGGGTGATTTGTGCTGTATCTCCTCGAACGTAGCGTTGCTGTAGTCGCCAAGGGGACCATACAGGAAGTGATCTAGACGGTCTTGATAAACTCGTTGGTATTTCCGGGCGTTTTCAATTGTAATCACACCACGAGTGATTAAATCCCGAGATGGTCTTGATGGGATAGGAGCTGCAGATTGAATATAATGGCCAGGAAGAGTGCTGGGGCTCGATTCGAGATCAATGACAATCTTCAATCCCGTAGTTCCTTCCGCCGTAGTGTATGAGCTATCATAATGATCATCTTCGGCTAACGTTTGGTTAGTTGGTGTTGCGTTATTTGATCCCGGAACTAATGGCAATTCATGATTTGAACCAGAGTTCGCATTGGCCGAGACCCCAACTCTGTCCTCAAGTACCTTCATTCTCTGTTCCAATGCTCGCTTCCATCTAGGATGATTGATTGATTAGTCTTCGTAATCATGATGAGATGGTACCAGATTGCTCACGAGACGTCATTTTCAAGAAGCATTTGTAAACTTCGGTTCAAAGTGCAAGGTAGGCCGCGCTTTCTACAACGGTCACAAGGTGGTTTGGAATTCTTCAATGAACATCGGATCTAAGGTGGTGTCAGCATCGTCATTATTGCCAGATCCTTTGTTTTATGTGGCCGCCGTCAGTTACCTTCTGTTTGCGACATGCTTCACAGGCCGTGATCCTGCGCGTAATTTCAGGTGGCCTGGAGTCTGCTCCTACACGTTGAGACCGATAAGCAGTTGCCGATTGACCTTCATCCTCGGACATTTTGTCAATACACTTTTGCCCCGAAACGTACTTAGCATCGAATCCCTGGTAATTCTCTTGATAAAGGTTGAATTCAAGGGTCAAGCGTTGCAAAGTGCGTGGAACAGGGTGTGAGGGGCCTAGGCACCGGCGTCGGCTCCGGCATTGACTAGACCATCGGCGAAGGACCGAGTTTCTAAAACACTGATATTTGGATTGTTCAATGACCGGCTGTCTCTTATTGGTAATAGCAGGTCTCCCACGGCTTTTCGACAACCCTGCAATCCTAATTTATTGGTAACTATTCCGTGTGGCCTTGTTCTAATTGCCTGCCGGACATATCACGACCAGTTCATAGCTGCTTCGTTGCGATGCAGTCATCAACTTTCCATTAGCGCTATGCTACAAGAGTTAGTATTACCAACAGTGTTACTGCTCTGTCACAAAGCATGCTATGATACTATAGCTGCACCTAGACAGACGAGAATTTTTGCTACAGAAGCAATGCACTATTCTCACAGAGGTCAAAAGTTTTGCGAAGTTCGAAGAATACATATTGCAAACACGTGAGAATGACGTGTAGAAACTGCTCCTGTATCAAGGAGCGCTGATTTAGTGGGCGATGCACTACCTTAAATTAGCTCCTTACAGTCATTTATCGCTGTGGCTTTATGCGTGCCAACTGCTCTACGGTTACACTGACATCGGGTTAGCGTTAGTGGCTCTCACGCCGATTGACTCTATATTGTAGCAACATGTTTAATTTTGATCGTGATGGAATGTAGGCGGCACTTGTTTTAGGTCATGGCCATGCTTCTAACATGCTGACCCTTCCATAGATGCACGAATCCCGACCTTAGTCTAGTTTGATTGGTCTATCTGGGCCTGAATTCTTAACCACGAGTGTGGTGGAGTGGCACCATCGGTGTGTGCTCGGGATTTTCAGTCCTCCAGCGGATCGAAAGTCTCCCTCTGCAAAATATAAGTCGTTATTAGCATGGTCGGACTATGTAGTATGTAATTCTCTCGAGTAATTATCATGTTACTCATTAGAAGTGACACCTCCCCGTTCGCAACTATGCTGTTGCTGTCCGGAGTATCGTGTGTTATGCTGTGCTAATTGGCAAGCGCATATTCCCAAGGCATCCACGCAATCCACACCTGGATGACTCTCAAGATAATAGTAATATTGATGATACTTAAAGTGGTACAGAGGGTATAATCCATCTGCGTCTCCAGCCACGAGACCAGGAGCCGCATGTAGCTCATAGTATTGATTTAATCTAGTGTTTGGTGGAGCAACATCGTGTCGACATATGTCCAGGGTAAAGGCTGGCCACGGGAAATGTGAGTATTCTAATAAAACACATGGAACAGGTGTGACAATTCAAGAAACAAAAATAATCACAAATCGAAAGCTACATAGAAAATGCACCAACCAATCTGCATTTGGTGCCGAACCGAGCACGACTTAAACCAATATCGCTAGTTAGTGTATTGTGATTTGGAAGGTCCCATTGGGAGAAGACGAGCTCACAAAATACCCAGGCGATCCAGATTCTTTGAAGAGCCGAGATAGTAGCGGCGCTTTATCGTCCAAATAGAGCAGTCACAGGATGAACACGGCGAGGTTGGTGGCAAGACCAACAAGAGGCCGGTAATAGTGGATGAGTTCCATACAAAATCGAGAGACGGCCGTTATATTACCCACGTGTAGGCATTATTCCAACGTACAGAGACATTTGCTCGATCAGTGTAACATGACAACTCATAATGATTACCGATGCTAAAACCCCCCAGATCCAAACCCCACAACCCCTCTTGCACAGTCGTCTCGCAATACAACCCAGCAGGGACCCGTACAAACCCGAAACCATACGGCACGAAAGCTCGAATTCTGGGCCAACAGCAGAGCCACATGGCCAACCGCACGATATTTACTCGAGTATACTCCAAAAGCAGTGCAGCGCAACTCATCGCTGCCAAAGGTCCAAAAGGCACCTTATCCCACGGAGAGCTCCTCGCGGAGTTCCAGAAGCATGCCTATAAATCGAATCAAGAGGCCACGGCCTTGGTGTCGGTCAGCGATCGCATTATCGATACGGTGAAGCGTGCGTTGGATAAGCACTATACGAACGGCGAGTCTCCTGAAGATATCTGGATCGCCTTTATCGAAACCCCAACCAAGACACCTCCCGGAGTCCACGCTGCAAATGGTTTGGCAAAGGAATCTGGGTTTCCGAGGCCAAATCTGTTTTGCCACGAATATATTTTTGAATGGGCTATACCTGAGGAGTATGTGTTACATACAGTCTCCCTGCAGATCTTGATGGATCGTGGGCTTGATTGGGAGAAGTACTCCACTCAAAATCGTCCTTTGTCGACCAAAGACCTACGACACCAAATTGCCAATGAACTCCAGCATACAAGTTCTGTGTGTAGCTCGTGGGATGTTGGTATCGTATTGGCCTCTTTCGCACGATTATTCGGTGCTAGAGCCCCTCTCAGCTGGATTGCTTACCAGCTTTTTTATGATTGTGTGTGGACAGAAATGGATCCTGAGCAACAGGTCGTAAGACTCAAGTTTGCTAATGAAAATATCGAAATTGTTGACTTCGAGTTCTTTTGTGACTTGGATGATGGGGTTGATACTGCTTTGAATGATTGGTGGCTTGCGGATACAAGTTTCTTCCTAAGACACAAAGCCTTTGAGGACTGGAGAGTTGCCATGCTCTGTGATACGAATAATTTCTGTGAGAGTTGGCACGACGTTGACGTTGGTGATACAGTTGGGAAGATTTTATGGGATGAAGCGCTCAAGGCAACTATCGAGGCAGAAGCTGTGATGATGGGTTTATAGGAGAAGTCTGTTGTTCTCTTTGCTCTGGCTCCAATTTCGTTTTAGTATGCGCCGGTAGTGTTGATTCGAGTAAGTTTGACCTGAAAGCGGTCCTGTGAGAACAGAACGCCTAAGGGCTGTGACATCGAATTTCGTCAATCGCCATGTACGGGACTGAAAGTTGATAGTGTAGAAGTTGCATCATCATTCCTACGATACTGCCAAAGCTATCACAATGAGGTATTGCAGGCAAAAGCGCACCTCATCAAAAAGCATATATACTAGCGAGCAAACCCCAACGGCGCTTGCCTTCCACTTATTCGAATTCTGTTTATGAAAAATGTGAGCATATAACGATATACATCAAATTTCGCATTCAAAGGAAGTATTGTGAGCGCAAGAACTACAACAATCTGTATGTGATGGCAGCGCGAGTCCATGTGTATTCGGAAAAACAGCAGTCCACCAATCATGGATTCCAAGGAGACGAAGCTCTGTGACCTGTCAAGGGCTCACCTCCTTCCTCGGTGACCAAAATTGGATCTTCGAGTCTCACACCAAATCCAACCTTGCGGCCAACCTCTGCAGCCTGCTCCGTCGTCACATAGATACCCGGCTCGTTAGTCACAACTTCTCCAACCTTCAACTTTTCCGTGTTCGCACCGTTGAGATAAGGATGCTCGTGCATCTCCAGCCCCAGCCCGTGACCCAGTCGGTGCGTGTAGTAAGGACCATATCCGGCCGCCTTCACGGGAGATCTCGAGGCAGCATCGACATCGGAGCAAGTCTCGTTCGCCCACATGCGATTGAAGCCTTCCGACTGAGCTTTATGGACGGTATCCCAAACGGCCATAAGGTCATCGCTGACAGTTACGCCATTCGGCAGAAATGTTCGCGTTACGTCGCTGCCATATCCGTGCAACTCCGAGCCAATATCCATGAGGACGAATTCGCCCTCGCTGAGCGTCTTCCCGTGCTTGCCACCATGTGGGTAAGCAGCTTGATCACCGAATAGCACGATGGCCCAAAAGCCATTGCCTACACCACCGCGCTTGAAAAGATTATGCCCGACTGTCGTGAGAGTTTCCTGCGTAACATCCAGGGACAAGCAAGACTGTATCGAGCGGATGAGCTGAAGTGTGTACGAGTTGATCCCTCGCAAGATCATAATTTCTGCCTCTGTCTTGACGGCCCGCAGCGATTGGATGGTCTCGGACATGGGTACGACCTCAACGCCAGCCTTCTGCAGTCCCGCCGCGATCATGTATCTTGTATGCTCATCAATCATGATTTTTGAGAAACCGGTTGCCGTGGCCAGGACCTCGTATGGTGATTCTTCCTCAGCCCATGCTATCACCTTCTTGTCCTTGTAGATCATATCCAGATTCGCGATGCGGCCAGCTTCAAACGTGGGTACCAGGTATGAGAACTGCGCCTCCTTGTCCAGGATCACAAGGAAAGGCCGCTCCGATAGCTCAAAGGTATCGGAGATGTTGGCATAATACGCTGTTGAGGCAGATGGCTCCGCGATGAATGCATCAACTCCAGCATCTTTGAGTGCGCTGGCTAGGCGATCCTGGCGCTCGAAGAATTCTGAGCGCTCGATAGGATCAACGGCCAGAAGCGCCGTGTGCGGTTCCAACAGGTTCCAAGCGCATGATTCGAGTGCTGACACGGACGTTCCTTGCGTAGAAGAGGTGTACAATTTATGAACGACCATCAACAAGTTGATAGACACGAAGCCTAGAACGAACTTGAAAAACATGTTTCTGCACGACCCGGCGGCAACCCGGCATGGTCGAAGATGGCTGCCAACAGAGCCCGGTGTTGCTGCCTTCTCCGAACTAATTTGAGGGGACTCTAGCAGCGATTGCTGCTCGAGCTTTTCGGCACTTAGCGGTATTGGTGCCATCCTTTCAATATCCAAAGAAATGCAGAAGTGTCAATATGAGCTCGGTCGGTTGGAGACCTGCAATGTTTTAAAGGAGATCGCAAACGGAATCGCAAATACGCCGCGCCGGGTTAACGCTCCGCAGGGGAGCGACGCCCGCGACATGCCTAACTCGGTTACGGTGGTGTCGCTTATTTACTGAGTTCCGACCAACGTGATCGCATAGAGCAATGAACCAGCGTGGAGACGCTGTCATTCTTTGGAGACACTGAGAAGACAACCCAGATATTCTAGTAAATATAACTTTTAAAAAGAGATAATAAAGCTGGATAAAAAGAAACAGGGGATATGTATATGGCCCCTGAAGCACTTAACAGGAATTCAGGTGTGGTGGAGTTTATGAGTGTCAAACCTTGAAACGCGAGTGCCTCCCATAGTGCTCCACTATGCCCTTCGTTGGAGTGCTGTCCAGATGTGCCTCTATGATGAATATCGCACGACTCTCCACCGATCCTATTCAAGCCATCACTGAGTATATGGTGCCAAGACGACATCTTTCTTTTCCTTTAGTCATTTGACTAGTCAGAATTTTAGTTCGGCTTTTGTTGGCTGGATGCGATCCTACGTTGGTTGGTGCTCGTAACGGGACGCCTGCTCCCGCCACGTTGATCTGGTAGCTGCAGTCTGAGGACACTGCCATCATCACATGAGATGACATGGAAGTCAAGTTATTCCTTTTCTCTGAATTTCAAGATGTTGGTTGCATTTATAATGAGCCGTTTCGTACGTCTGTCGAAGCAATGACTCAATCGGTAGACTTGAATCTGTGACAGTTCCCTACTTCACATAGATACAGCGGCCCTCGATCATGCTCATTGAAATTACACATCCGTAGTGAAAGGATCAGTCCAGAGTTATACATTTATTTAGCATGGAAGCACCTTGGTTTCGTCACCCATGAGAAGTCAGAATCCGCGCATTCCCTCATCTAATAGTTAAAGATTATTGCGGATGTTATAGGAAGTGAGAGTAGTGAAATATATAGATGTCTTCAGGCTGGACGGGTAAGGATCTTCTTTGTGTTGTAACTTCTTTGAATGATAATTAGTCGTCGCCGTAACTTGACCAAGGCTTGTCTGCCTCTGGCCGATCATAACATTTGGAAAGCTCGGGAAGACATGCTCAAGAATGGAAGAGACAATACCGGGAACCCTTGTCTATCATGAGGTCGGACGTGCGACTACAAGTTTCACAGATCTTGACATGATCGAAACCTTTTGATACCAAGTCAAAAGGATTGTACGTTAGCCTTCTGCGAACATATAGGCTCGCATCGCCTGATAACCCCAGGCGATGGATGAACATGGAATATGGTCATGATGGCCATGTGATGCAAAAAGAGTATTCATAACTTTGGCATCGGTGTATCGAGATAGGCCCAGAATAGTTGCAGATGATATTGCTATTTAGCTGCTTATCTCAAAGTATTTTACAAAACCAGAAGGCATCAACCAAGTTGATCATCCCAATCATGACGCACTTGAGAAACCTATTATTAGTGCAAACTATCGAACTTAATACCGGTTAATGAGTTAATGTTAATCCTGCTGCGTGTACAAGTCGCCATCGTTAGATGCCTGTCATTAGTGCCGTTACGTCGGAACCAATCGATCTGCCGTCATGCTTAAGCACCAGGAGGAGGTGGCGGAGGCTGCTCTCCAGGTGGCGGAGGAGGTGCTTCGCCTGAAGGAGGCGGCGGGGGAGGTGCCGCACCACCAGCGTACTGCTGAATGAGGGCACTGAGATTGCCAGGCAACCCAGGAGGCGCACCCATGGCATTGCCGCCAGGAAGTCCGGGGGGAGCGCCCATTCCAGGAGCAGCACCATAGCCAGCGTAGCCGGGATAACCTGGGTAAGCTGAAGCTTGAGGCTGGGCCTGGGGTTGCGAGGCTTGCTGCCAAGGAGCAGCGCCGCCAGCGGTAGGTGCACCACTGTTGTAGCCCTGGCCGCCGCCGTAGTAGTCGTTGCCGGCTCGGTTGTCATCACGACGGGGACGATCACGCCAAGGTGCAGCGCCACCGTCGTTGCCAGCGCCGGCTTCGTTGTCACGGGAGCGCCAGGGAGCTGGGCCGCCAGTAGGTCCACGCTGCCAAGGCTTGACATTGTCACCGCCATTGGTACCGTTATTGTTGCTATTGGTGTTATTGCTGTTGTACGAACCGGGGCCGGCTTCAATACGAGCGGGTGGGTCGTTGGAGCCACCGCCAAGTTCTTGCATGAGTTGCTGGAGAATTGTTAGCATCACTTTCTCGTAAGATTAGGAAATCTGGAAACAACATACCTCGTACTCGTTGTCGATGGCGTCACCGCCGCCAATACGGCCGGCAGGAGCACGGCCAGGTGGACCATCGTTGCGCCAGCTGGCACCCTTCTGCCTGTCAGGACAATCGCGAGCCATATGACCAGCATTGCCACAGACGCGGCAGATGATGTTGGCAGTAAAGTTCTGCTTCTCAGGACAATCGTACTTGCGGTGTCCTATCTGACCGCAGTTCTGGCAGGCCTGGTTCTCATCGTCACGCAGAGTACCGTTGAGAGCAGCCAGCTCACGCAGCTGGTTGCGCTTGAGCTCGTTTTGTCCCTCAGGGATAGAAGCGGCCTGTGTGTATGAGTTAAGGCGGGACTTTTTGGGTATACCAGGAACATCTCCACTTACAGTCTCGATGATATTGTGAACCAGCTTCTTGGCCTTATTGACTTTCTCCTCAGTGTCTGCCATGATCAAACAGTGCAGATCCTCCTCCTGGTTGCTAGCATGAGCGGCATCAGATCGACCTTTGCCCTCCTTGACGGAGCCTTTACCACGGATGGCAATCTTGGCACCGGATTCTGTTTCCATTTTCTTGAGTGTGTTACCACGGGGGCCAATGAGTAAGCCAACTTTACAAAGGAGCTAGGTGTTAGTATCATGTGTGGTATCCAAAAAAGAAGGTAAGGGGGCAATGTTAGATGGATGTCAAACTTGTCTACAGCCTGGGTGCCATAGCTGCAGCGCATGGCCTGACAATACTCTGAACAAGGAAAAAGACGAGGGAACTTGGTTAGAAAGGTTAGAGGGTTAGTAATCTCACTGAAGTTAATCTCCGGATAGTCATTGACTGGCACATAGACCTTCTCCTGCGTCTTGGTGGGACGTCGGTAGTCCTGAGGTGGGTGGTAGTTAGGGATGGTCTTCATAGCCTTCTCGATCAGCTTGTGGCGCTCATCCTCGAGACGCTTGCGATAACGGTATTCCCTGGTGTTGACACGACGGCCGTAGTTGTCGTACTGGGGCGGAGGGGAGGGAGATCTACGAATCCGAGGTCAGCATGGACAGGTTCGCAATTGTAAGCAGAGCAAGACGAACCTGTCGCCATCAGCAGGGACGACATCGTCGATCCTGAGCTTCTGGCTGATTTCCTCGATACGCAGATGGAGTGTGTAGGCCTCGAGCTGTTCGCTAGTCATGTTTGCGACAATGGCCGTCGGAAGACCCATCAGGCCAGCGGCCTTGTTCTCCGAGGCATCACCCCATCGGTTGCGCTTCTTTCGGCGTCGTGGGCCATCGGCGTCGGTACGTGGTTCAGGGCTGCGACCGCGCTTCAGTTCACTGCCGCCATAGCTGTCGCCAGAGTCGCGATGGTCGCGAGAGTCGCGCGCAGGGGGTGCATCATCTTCATCAGCAAATCGGCGCTTATTTCCCAAGGGAATATTGTTAGAGCCGGTAATGCCCTGGTTTCTCCAAGACATGATGGTGGATAGTGTCGTCGTGGTCGACGGTTATCCGTTAGGTTCTGGGTTGTCTTGTCGGCGAAAGCTGATGGGTTGGAGAATAAGAACAAGGAGCAAAGAACAAGAACAAGAGCATTCATGCGCTGGGCGAATTCTCAAAAGTTTAGGTAGGCAGCTTTTGGGGGGCAACTGCCAGAGCATGGGCCAACGGCCACTAAAGCCATGTAAAGCTCACATATCATTGGTGCAGGCAGCACCCCACATCTTGAAACAGGGGACTTTGGAAGCGCCTACAGCATGCAGCAGCATACAGCATGCAGCCTAACGTTACAAGCTGAGGAGAGAAGAGGACAGAACGAGCATTTAATAACGTTAGTCTAGCATGCACAATCCATTCTTGTCCGCTGTCTCAGCCTTTGTCGGGTCCCAAAGGGTAAAGGTCAGGACCTGTTGTCTGTGTTTTGAAAACGTCCTCACACTTTCCCATAACTATGGAATCTGTGCTTCGCGATTCTAGCCTATTGTTCTTTCCTAAAATAAGAATTTCGCCATTTGACATTTTGCAGTAGCCATGGCAGAGCCGTAGAGTGCAGTGAAAATGAACAAGGCAGCGTTTGATTTGCTGAGCAGTTGTTTCTGCAAAGCAAAAGCGGTGTATTTTTTTTTCTTTCGGCTCGTTTCGCCTGCTGAACACCTGCCCGGCATTTGGTGATAAATTGACCTTTTCTATTTATACATCAGAGATGCACGTCAACTTGCCTCCTGTGAACGAACCCAATGCTGCCGCAAGCGGTGAATGGCAAGCTGCAACATCCTCATGGCTTCGTTAAATCATTGCCTTCTCTCAACCCCCCGCCATCCATCAGTTTGCAGACGCGGTCCAATTTGAGAAAGTTTCGGGGTCCAATTTCTGGGCAGCAGACCTAGAAGTCATTGGGCCAGCACTTCTCTTTGGGCCAGAGCTTGGAGTCGTGAGTACCAGCATGGACCTCAAGCTGGATCTTGTTGGTGTTGATGATCTCCTTACGACAGTTTTGGCACTGGCTGAATTAGTCTTGAAGTCTGGTGGGCAACCTCAGGGTTTTCCCGAGACTCACGATTGAAGTGGGCTTAGGCGCCTTTACAGGAAGGCCATTTGCCTTGACAGGTGCACGAGTGCCAGCTTTCTCAGCTGCCTTGTGCTCCTTGGTTCTCTGGGGTTGTGTAAGCATACAATATCTTGACGGTAACAGTATTATCGCTGGCTTACTCTGTCCTTCTTGCTGATAGGCATGATTGCTACTCGTGGGTCTAAGGGTCCTGTGGTTTGAATGTTTGACAAGATCAGGCCATGGGATATTAACTTAAGGTTGAGAAAAATTGCTTGGGTCGAGGCCTCTACTGTGATTGAACGCGCTAACCAAATACGGCAAGTCCTTATCTCCAGCAGAGCTCGATGGCCGCAATGAATTTTCTCGACATGTCAGCAAGAGCAAGAGCAAAAATAAGAACGCAATCAATTTTACACTTCGCGATCCGGTCATTCTGTATGGTCTAATCAAACCCGTACAAAATATCAGTGATTACTTATGATGGGTCCCCCAGGTATCCATCTGGGAACACCCGCGTAGGTAGTCCGGCAGTGAGACCCCGTTTCTTGCAAGCGGCGAGCAACTATACCAAATATCATGAAGAAGCCTATTTTCTTATTAGTATTTTCGGTGATCTTTACTGAAAGGTGCACGAGATAGGACGCTAGTCTCGCAGACCCATTTGCAAGTATGTTTAATTCGCGGATCTGGCAACCAAGTCTCATAGCAATATGCAGGGTGGCCACTGAATGAGCTGTCGATGGTTTGCATGATGCCGTCAGGAGTGTGACTCCTGACCTCGCCTACACCCATGAATATCGATCCTTGTACTCCATACAGATTGTAAGGGGACTTATCTGTTGTCCGAGTATTAAACATGTCGTCAAGAGACTCATATGTTACTCGGGTTCTACACAGGTTGTACGGGGACTTATCTGTTGATTGACTTTCATACATGATGGTGACGAGTGTCCTGTCTGTGGAGCTGAGCCGACGAGTGGAAAAGTACTAAAGATATGGTTTACATCAATCATTTTCCATGACACTCGCGCACTATACATATAAACTCTATAAACGATTGGGAGAACTTAGCTACCAAGGTATTAATGTTCACTCGGAGACAAAGAAAGTAGGAACGAACAACGTGACATAACGATCAGACTATCTATTCATTCATAAACAATTGTCATTGTACCTAAAGTTTTGCTGTCATGAGTACTAGCCTCGAACTTCCTTTTCTTGCATTTGAAGCATTTCACATCCTCCATCACGGGGTCAAGCACCATATACTGAGGCGCGCCGCAGCCGCCCCACGCGCTGTGTTGACTGCCGGTGGCTTCACAGCTGAATTTTGTGCTACGAATAATCCGTGCTCGGTTACAGATGGGACAGCGAATCTCTTGCTCTACTGCGCGACACATCTTGAGTTACCTGATAGGGATATTGGCTATATCTTGCCGGCTCCCGAGTTTTGGTCTTGGTCTGAAACGTCATATGTGCTTATTGTATAAGCAGTGGGGTTTGATATTTGAAGCGAAAGAAAAGAGATGAAAGAAGTATTCTCATTTTCGGGGCGAGGTTTTGTAGCCTTTCGGGTCAACGCGTCCAGTCACTGAGGTACGATTAGAACCTAGATGACATGGATTTGGGAGTGATTTCACCCATTTACTAACTGTTCATGGGTATGGTGCAAGTGGTGGGCAAAAAGAAAAGGTGCAAAAGCGCCACGACTGATTGTATCACATCTTTGGTATTGCAATGTGGAATCACCTCAATTATTTTGGAGCAGAGTATAAGTACCGAACGGAGAAGTTGATGGGAGAATGTAGGCTAGAACAGGTCAACACAGTTATGCCAGTCGGTGGTCCGTGCAAGTGAGATTTTACGAATTCTGTGTCTATAATAGTTAGACTGTTTTCAGTACATAGAAAGCCGCAGCGCACAAGTGTACAGTATTGTCATTCCTCGCATCATTCATTCCTACATGCATCATTCTGTATGTGCCCAAACCAATCTTCACGACTTCAAAAAGCCGATCATGCGTGCTATACTTGTAATCAATACTAAAACCCATCATTTCGTGATCCCCTAAGGCAACTTCAATAGGCCTTGCCCTCCAAGGCGGCCTTCACCTCCTTCTCGACGGCATCAAGACCAAGCTTGGCAAGCTCGTTCTTCATATATTGATGGGTGCGGAAACGGTACAGCGGTATGACAGGGTCAAGCATGCCATCTGGATCAGCGACATTCTGCCGAGCGTTGTGGCGGCTTTCATGAATGATGCGATAATTATGTTCATCGAGCTCGATGAGCTTCAGCTGAACAACAGGCTCGGCGCTGGATACAATACCACGCTCCTGATCGATCTTGTTGATGCTCTTGACTGCTTTGAAACCGCCGGAGATGTCGCTTCTCTCTTCGTACATCTCGAAGAAGGGCAAGCGAGGTTGGGCGTACACGACGGCAGAGACAGATGATGGGCGGCTTCATTCCGGTAACACGACGGAAGTCCTTGCTGCTCAGAATGTGAACCGGAATGGTGCATCTAGCATTTTTGTCCCAGATATACGGATCGTTCTTGTCTGGGGAAATCGACTGCTCAATTTCTCCACCGCCAAGACCCATGGATCCGTGACCAGGAATTGCAGGGCCACCGCCTCTCTGTTCGCAAAAAATTGAGAGAGTGGTCTCCTGTAAGATGTATCATTGGTACTCAAAGCAATCTGGAGGCGGAAAGTAAAGAGCCATAGTCGATTTACGTGACAGATTCCATAGTGGACGAGCGTGTAGCCTACAGAGAAGTCAGCGTCTTCAATCCTCTCATCCACAAGGAATGAACAACTACGGACAATCGAAGGGCTGATGACCGTTCAATAACAACTAAGACCTGTCAGGATGATTTTACTACTTATGTTGAATCATTACCTTGAGGAGGAAGCGATATCGTCGAGGTGAAGCTGATTCGGGACTACGACGTCATCTTGGACCTTGTGAACTTGGGAAAAACGCTTCAAACGACGAAACTTGGTGTTCAAGACTTCATTCTTGTGCTCGCCCGAGAGGAAATTCATGCCTCCGGCAAATATTTTGACCATGGAAGTTTGTGATGTAGTAAGCTGATTCACATGGCCTCCTTCTCTACATTTATGTTAGATTAGCTGACCTCGTCGACAGGTAGGGAACTGGTGGTTTTTACGATACATGGGCAGGAACAAACCGCCCTTGGCAGGCATCTGAGTATGCAGCTGCCCAACATGAGCTTAAACCTGGAACAGCGGAAACTTGCCAAGATCTGGAGGCAGCTGGGAGACACGTGTTGTCAGAGACTCGAATCGTGCGCCGAAATGTAATGGAGAGCTACGTGCCGCTTCCATTATATTTGATATTGATTTCGTCGTTATTGACACTGCATTGCCGCTGTGGGTTGGCAGCAGACAACTTGGCATCGGCCGACGAAGCTTTTATTTTGGAAACCATACTGATGGAGTATTTTTTTTTGTTTCAATGTGACTTCACTGAGAATAGCAGGTGATTAATCGGTTAAATTATTTGGTCAAATTATTATTCTACCATCTTTTAGCCTCACAACGAGTGCTAAGCATCTTGTGTGAATAGCCACCATGCAATTATGTGACATACAAGGAGAAACCCGCGTTCTGACTCTATACGCACGGATCATGCAATGTCCGGAATGTCTACAGACATGAGCACGACTCTAAGATACCCATCTGAATCCACGTGTCTAGATTCCACCCAATGTCCATTCGCTCTTTCGTATACGTATCTACACAAACAAACCCCGCCGTAGCCCCGATTTTTGACGTTTATTCGTGATAAACCGTTCCAACGCCTGGTCGTCAAGATGCCAAAAGTCACTAATACAGTGTTTAAGAAGTGGTCGTGTTGACTGAGAATCCTCCACGAAATGCGACGCGCCTTTGACCCCAAATCTGATTGTCAGAGTCGCGACAGCTTTCCACATATCCTCACAATCAGACATTTAAGCTTTGCGGGATCGGGTGGTGACGCCGCTGGACTTGGCGGCGTTCTTGGACTGGCTGCCAGAGACGGCAGCAGCCACGACGTGAGGCTCAGGAACAGGAGCCTGGGACATACGGCGGAGAGACTTGCGAGCACTGGGCGGCTTGCCGTCCTTCTTGTAAGTCGCGAAGTAGAAGGAGATGAAGAGGACGAGGTAGGAAGTGAGAACACCAACGCCTGAGAAAGCTGCGAACTCCTCTCCAGCGCACTTGCCAGAGTTGGGCATCCAGGGGAAGTAGGTCGAGGTAAAGTAAGTGTACGAGGCGAAGTAGACGAAGCCAAGATCGATGACGAACTGGATGATCTGGAACCGGGTGACCCACTCCTTCCATGCGATGCGGACACCTCGGGCGCTCTGGAAGTAGTACCAGTACATGAGGACGTGGACAGCCAGGTTTAAGCCAATGACAACCCAGGAAACTGAGGTGCTGCCGATGAGCTGAGTGTAGCAGAGAACCGCAGTCGCACCGTGGTGGTAGGTGTGGAGGAAAGCTGCGAACAAAGTCAGTCTTTGATTGAAATAGTATTCTGCTCCCAGTGATGCTTACTCAATGGCTTCTTCTTGAGAACCAAGAAGACCGTGTCCAGAAGCTCGAGGTACTTTGTCAGGTAGTTGAGCTGTGCCTTGATTAGTGCCCATTCCATCCAGTGCGCCAGTATCCGCCAACGTGGACTTACGTAGTATAAAACAACCAGGGGCTGAGTCCAGCCGCCTTCACGATCGCAGATGGCGTAGAAGATGCCCTTTCGGACAACAGTAGGCAAAAGCTGCTCAGCGAACAAGACCAGGAGAATAGCGCTGATAGCGGTAAGGTAGAAGTTGTGGATGAGGAAGAGTGACTTCAACTTCAGGGGCTCACGGCCTCTCATCAGCTCCCGCCCTCCAAAGATTATAATGTAGTAAATAATAACAAAGATTCCCGCTTCCTTCAATGTCGACATGGGAGTCTTGCCGGCAACGAACTTGAAATCGTCAGCCGGGTAGCCCACAACCTGCTCGAAGGCCTTGCTGAAAATGGGCCATAGCTTGATGCCAAATGGCCTGTCGAGGGTCGGGATTGGGACGGACTCGTACAGAGTCGCCTGAGATAAGCTGGCCATGGTTTCGATCGGGCAATTAAGCCGTCCTACAACTCAGTTGAGCTGGGTCCGAGGAGGAATGTGAGGATGGGACGGCGCAAAGGCTGACGCGACGGGTCGTTCGGAATCGCGACGCACACAAGTCACGCGCAGGTTGGTGTGATTGGAGAAGAAGTGTCGAAGGAGTGACAAGAAGAAGCAAAGCAACGTTGAGAATAGAGAAACGGTCTCCTCGACGACCAAGTAGACTGCAGGCTGTCGGGCTTGATGAAGAGAAAATGTAAGAAAAGAAGTCAAGGGCCAAGAGAGGGAGTATCTCTCTTCAAAAAGAAAGGGGAAAGTCTGACTAGACACTAAGGTTTTTCAATGGTCATCTAAAAGTTCAGTGGTACCCGGTAAATCTGGGCAATGGGACGGGGCAGAGGTAACCCCTGTTGAGGGCACTGCTACCGCTACTGCTAACTGCTACAGTTGCTTGCTGCTGCTGCAGTAGATGCATAACACATGGATTTTCGGGACCCGTAGCACCCCGCGACCGACGTCGTGTTCTATTCGGTAGCGCGTCGGTTTGACCCAGCTAATTTCCATGCTGCATGTGAAATAGCATCCAGCGAAATCGAGAGCCAATCACAGTTCAACCCTCGTAATGCTCAATTTCGTAAGCGTGAGCCACGTGACACGTGCAAAGGCCAGACGAACAGTAAAGAACAGTACGGTGCAGAGTAGTGATTGGGGATCGAGTGTCAAACGGCCGGGTGATAGAGAACAACTGATTTATCAGGGCCGAATGAAGTGCGCATGAAGACGGTCGCGGTTCAAGCATCGGTGCCATCTCAGCCAGTTCCAACGTTCTATTGCTTTGGGTATCATGTATGCATGCACGCATGCATCATAACTGCGCTGTATAGCGAGGCGGGATGCCGGACCACTCAAGCATCAATCTAAAATTGGGGCCAACCATCTACGGGTACCTATATGCAGTAGATCCCCTATTTCCCTATTTCGTGGTTGGACCTCGGAAGCCGGCTGTCAAGATACGCATGGAGAAGAACTCGCCGTGAAAACCTCATACCGGCGATCACATGTTTTGAACTCGGCGAGACTTGAACAGTGCTTATTTAAACCTGGAGAATGCTGTGGTTATGGCGGTCCAGGGGTATCAACAAGCTTAACCGGCTGCTGAGGTTTGTCGAGCTGACTTGGAGTCGAGTCTGCCCACGAGCAGAGAGCAGAGGGCAGAAAGACGGAAAGACGGAAAGACAGAAAGCGGCAGGAAACAGCATGCGTGTATACAACTAATAATGCCGAGTTGGCTCATTCACCTCGCCCTCACAATGACGAGGAGCCACATGTGCATGTTGCATGCCGGTGATTGACAGTTTGACATGTATCGCGCGCACACATGGACCACCACTACTGTATTGTATCTATCTAGCCTTTGCCGCATACGGGAACCGATAGGGAAGGGTTGGGAGCTCAGACGTCTTCCTCTTCCAGACGGGTTGTGGCTAGAGTAAGTGATCTAAATTACGCATCCGTACGTGATCGTCGTGAAGGATTCGGGTGAGGCTGTGACGACGAACAGGAGACTCCCATGCAGCTGCCATGGTCCGATGTGGCTGAAAAGGAAAAGCACACTGGCACCCAAACCTGCAAAAGCTCAGCAAGCTCCACCGGCAGAGCGCACCAATCAAGTTAGTGGGATTGAGCGACTTCCTTTTCTCCTTGTGGCCTGCCAACGATATTTCCCAATCCACCCGAAATCAGTCTCACGATTCAGTCCCAGTTGCTGCTACCAGTGCACCTTGCCACCAGTCAATCAACCACCACACCACCCCCCATCACATATCTGCGGCAGTCGTTTTTCGCCATGGCCTCGACTTCTCTCCTTCGCACCATCACCCGCGGGCCCTCTGCCAGCCTGTTCCGCGCATGCCGACCGGTTGTTGCCAGCCGCGCTGCTGCCATTGCCCCCAGTGCCATTGCTGCCTCGAGCCTCAACTTCAGCACCACCGTTGCCCGCCGCAGCGATGCCCACGCCGAGGAGACCTTTGAGGAGTTCACTGCCAGGTGAGCATGTCCCGCATTACCGCCATCGCCTCCAGTCGCGGTCCCAAGAGCATGCAACACAAGAGAGCTCATGGGTTCCCCCCAGCGAGGCATCAGCCGTCGTCGATTGCGCGTCGAAAGAAAAGCTCAAACACTTATCAATTGAGCTGCGAGGCCATCCAAAACAAGCTCAATGGCTAACCCCAGCTTTAATACAGATATGAGAAGGAGTTTGAGAGCGTACAAGATGTTTTCGAGCTGCAGGTAAGCCACCTCTCGCCCCGTCTCATACTCAACCCAATTTTCGGGAATCGTATGATCAAACCGCCATCGGCTCGTGCGTCGTTTATGACGCACCACAAAACACCACAGCCTCCCACCATGTCTCATATCAATCCAATAACAACACGCCACTCTCATCTGCAACATCTGCATCTGCATCTGCATATCCAACCCGACTAACCCTCGTCCGTCGCAGCGCAACTTGAACAACGCTTTCGCCTACGATCTCGTCCCCTCTCCCACAGTCGTCGTTGCCGCCCTCAAGGCCGCTCGCAGGGTCAACGACTACCCCACCGCTGTGCGCATCTTCGAGGGCGTTAAGGCCAAGGTCGAGAACAAGGGCCAGTACCAGCAGTACCTTGACGAGCTCAAGCCTCTACGTGAGGAGCTTGGCATCGCGCTCAAGGAGGACCTCTACCCCGAGGAGGCCAAGCACTAAACAACCGGCAATGGAACTGTAATCAAATACCCTCGGCAGACTCGATATCCGGAAACGCGTTTATAGACTGGCACTAATTGGAGCTGGAAGAGGGGATCCCACTTGGCTATACTCGTGGGGAGACTGCGTCATCCCATCCGGATGGTCAACTTTGTATATGTCTACTACTTACAACCTTTAGAAGCAAAAAAAAAAAAGTCTCAAGGCGGCATTGGTCAATTGGGGCAACAGGCATTGGTGAAGACTAGAGGCCAATCTTGGTTTTTTTTTTCCTTTTTCTTTCCTTTGTTGTGTAAAGCATCAATGAGAACCATTAAAAATCAAGTGCTCTCCGGCGTGCTCCATCGACCATCTGGGTATCACTGCTTACAGCCTCTACAGCTTCGACTTGCGGAATCATATACACTGCCACTCACGCCAAGCGAAGTAATGAAACCCGAATGTTCGCGCGCCTCGGAATCAATTATCCATCAGTTTTACCAGTGAACAACAGGGGAAGCCACGAAACTCGGCCAGAGTTCGGAAACGGTCTGAAGTAAACCATACGGCACAACATTCAATACCATGATCTGAGCTTCCTGCGCCAGTGAGTATGAGATTTTATACAAGAGTGCGGATTTTTAGAATGTATTGTTTATCAAACACAACTGTAACGACTCGGCCTGATCGTCCTAGATTATCGTCTTCTACAATGGAATAATGTAACCACTAATCACGATAATGGTGACGGTGCCGATGACGACGTCGATGAGGAACATGATGATGCCGCCGATGTCCCCGCTCATTCCTATCCTCACCAGGATCAGCCACCGGTGGTTCATACTTATACTTCCCTCCGTGCAACGGACAGAAACTACCCCTATCCATAACATATTCTTCGCACGCGGGATCCTCCTTGCACTGATGCTCCCTGCAGTACGTCGCGATATCCTTTATCGCCCTCAGCACCTGCAGGAACTGGGTTGTTGGGCCAGTATTCGCGAGCGCATGGTATAGCAACTCCGCTGTGTTCAACCCTTTCTGCATCAGCTTGTCCTGGGCTATCTTCGGGGGGTGCACTTCTGACCGCAGCATCTTTGGGGCTTGGCATGCTAGGATCTGGCACTTGTGCACCTCACAGAACCCCGGTGGTATGTTGGCCGGCAGCTCCCTCATAATGGCCCGCGCGTTGATGCATCGTGACCATAGGCAGTTGTGCTGATCGCAGAAGGTCTTGCCGGTCATGACGGGCGCGCCACAGTCATGCATGTATAGACATGTCTGCCCCGTCAGCTGAGGGTTTAGGTTCTCAGGGAATATGAGTTGGTTTCCACCGGGAAATATCGACATTTTCAGACAAATCTTTTTCTTAAGTTTCGATGTTATACTTTCGCCTTTAGTTTCTAAGGGTTTGAACGAGAAGAGTATATAGCAGGGTTCAGACGGCAGGAAGAAATATTTGTAGTTACAATATATTGGGTCATGAACAAGTACTTCGAGGTGTATGTTAAATCACATATCTGCCCTGATCTTGCAGTGCGTCTGTCTTCATGTCCAGACGTGATGCTTGCAGGTCGCGGATGATACATTCGATTCACCGGTGGAGTGCTATCGGATACGCGTCTCCTGTGATTCTGCTCCTTGATGTTAAGTGAACAATAGAAGAGTAATGGCTTCTGGATTCTGGTGTCTTATAACACTAAACCTAGGTAGTCGGAGAATGATACCCCATCAGATATCAGACTGAATTACAAGCATAAAAGTCGCTCGTCAGAAAACAAGGTATCAATTTGACTGGCTGACCACTCAAACATTTCTAGAAGTCAACATAGTATCCCGTTTTACAAGGGTGTTTTCCCCCTTGGCTGGTGGGGGGGGGGGGGGGGGGGGGGGGGGGTTCAAATTTCTTTTTCTTTTTCCCCCCGATCCATTGCCGAAGTGTATCCCATCATCTGAAGGTCGACATACAGCGCAAAATGCCGACGAAAACCAAATCGCATGAAATTTCAGAGTGCAGAAATGTCGTGGGAGACTTTGCAGGTTCTCCAATATGAGAGTTACTGAGAATAGTTATATTTCAATGGTCCCAAGTCAGCACTGCGAGTGTCCAATCTAAGCTGTTCTTCGATCTAGTTGGTACTCATATCTAGGAATACCCTCAACATCTACTTTGACCTGATACACATCACCCGATGATCCATCATCAGATATCGACGTGATGAAAAGCGTCTTCATATCCTCTCCGCCGAAGGCTGGACACGAAGTCATCTTTGCACCTGGCACTTCGACCTCGGCAACCACATTTCCGTCTGGCGATATTCTTACAAGCTTGCCTTTCGAGTTGGCCGCAGCCCAGACGTGCCCCTCCTTGTCTACGGCCAGCCCATCGGGCATACCTCCATCGTCCAGCTCCGCGAAAAGCTGTCTATTTGCAGCTCTCCCCGTCTCTACATCATAATCATACTTCCAGATCTTGGACTGGGGCGTCTGGGGAGCATACATCGTCCTATCATCAGGCGAGAAAACCGGTCCATTCGGTACCGGCCAGCCACTGTCCTGCTCTACGGGAAACTCCCGCACCTGGCCATTCTCGAGACACCATAGGCGCCCGATTTCGCTCTCCTCGTCCAGCGCCATGGTGCCAGCCCACCAGCGTCCCCTAGCGTCGATAGCCCCGTCGTTCATGCGCACCTTCGCGTCCAGCTCCTTTTCGTCTCCGCTGTGGCGAATGCTGGCGACAGGCTTCAGAGTTCCGGATTTCAGGTCTAGGAGCGAGAAGCCCAGCTTTGTCTGCACGGCCAGCAGGTCGGCGCGGCCCTTCACCAGATTCAGCCGTGTGATGGGCTCCAGGAATGTGTAGGTGCGTTTGCCCTCCCAGCCAAGGGAGAGCGGTACCGAGTGCACGAAGTGGTTCTTGATGTCTACGAAAAAGAGCGAGTTGGAAGACGGGTCGTACAGAGGCGATTCGCCGAGGCCCGAGTGGGAAGGAAAGAGGTGCTCGGCTTTGTATTGTTTCATCTTATACGAATAGTTTTGAGTTTGAGTATGTAGAGGTCTCTTGTCCCAAAGGGTTATCCTAGCACGTGGTGTAGGAGTGGTAGTGAAATATGGCTGACTATACTGTAACCGGCGTCGTATCCAGATGCCTGAAGTTGGGTACTCGGTTATAGTCGTCCAGAGACTTGGTCTATGACGTAACACTGGTCTTGCATCATTGTGACGGACAGCAGGTCGGTGGGTCTTCAGAATGGACAGATCTCTCTTTGGCATCGTATTGACTAAGAGTAAATAATTTTCGATGAGAATCTTGCATTTGGAGACGAAAATTAATTTCGGATAGCGTGTCAGTTGCGGTATTGACGTTGAAGGTGGGGCAGTCATGTATAACCATCTTTCGTCCTCACCTCCAGTACAACGTCACGTTCTTTTACTGCAGGATCCAACATGTGCGTGATACTTACTTCGAGGTTTTCAGATGCCCAGCAAATGATATTTGTGTGATATATGCCGGCTACAGATTGCACATATGTCGGGCCTCGAATGCTGACCGCAACTAAACCTTGCAGTACTATCTGCCCCGCGAACCACGTCAGAATCACACTTGTAAAATAGTCTTGAATGACCAGAACGCACCTGCAACAACCGACAAAACATGCCATCGAAGTAACTTTCAAAACCGAACTGTATGTTTATTGTTTCCTGTGATACGCTGTTGTCTATTTCTCTAGTAATGGTCATAATCCTTGAATTAGAATTGCATATACATATTTTAAATCCTTCTGTACCTACATAGGCTCGACCTTAAAGACCCCGGAGTCGTATTCTCCAAACTCGGTTAGCTGTTTAGAGGTTATCTCCCCTGCAACATTCATGCAGCTGACATGCAATAAGACGAAGTTCCGATCATCATGGACTAAATCCGAAAACTGCCAGAATGAGCTTTGTGAGTATACCTGCAGCGTCGAAAAGATGACGCTCTGCGCTTCTGTTTGCCGACTTACTCGAAGATTAATGTTGCCAAGAAAGCATTCTGTTTTGCTGTCCTCGTTGAATTCGAAAAGTTGCATCCTCCGGTCTTACTCATTGCACGCGTCCGCCCACGAGCTGGAGCAAGATGTGGCAGAGTATTTCACAGCCTACAAGGATCACCTTGCAAAAGCTCATAGACACCGGCAACTAGCCCAGTGGGAAGAGGTTCTCAGAGAGCTGGAGCACGCGGAAAAATATTGTCTTACTGAAGCCTTTCCTGGGGCAGATCGTTACAAACAGAAGGTTTTGGGGGAACTGGGGGCTGTGGATCGCCGTTTGGGTAGATTTCCTGCCGCGTTGCAGCGTCTTACAAGAGCCCTCACAATCACTGATACGGACGAGCTGCAACGACTTGAGATAGTCGGCGAGTTGGCTGTAGTCTACCAACATATTGGCGACTATGCGAGCGCTAAAGAATCATGTCTCAAGCAGTATACTAAGGCTAAGGAGCTCGCCGTGCTGGAATGGGCCAAATTCGCTAGCACTTCCGAATTTGTGGGCAGAGCCAAACACAGACGCCGTGCCTTCCAAGCTGAGGCCGAAGCCTGTCGCGCGATAGGAAATCTCGGTCGGACCAACCATCGACTATCACAAGATCACAACGACGGATATCTATTGAAAGAGGCTGTGTCTCAACTGAAAGAGCGCGTGCAGAGGGCACAGAAGCTGCAAAAGGATCTGCAGATGGAACAAACTTCTTCAACACTGATGGAACTGATCACGACAGCTAGATGTTGGGAGTCGATTGGCCACAATCGCTTGGCACTTGTATATGCTGCCAATGGGAATCCAGGTGAGGCTGTGAAATACGGTGAACTATCGCAGCATGTGACACAGGGTCTGGATGATCCAACCATGAGAGCTCTATCGCGATTCTTTTACGCTTATGCATTGCTGCACAACAACGAGGTCGAGCAGGCAAGGGAGCTTTTCAGCTTTACTAGCGCTCGAGATATGTGTACATGTGCGATCGCACTGTGCAAGGAACCTTCAGCCGAGTTCTGCCAGTATCTCCGAGTCATAACCGATTTGGATGTCAGTCTGGACAACTATGACGAGCAAGGCTATAGTGCGCTAGATTATGCAGTATATAATGGGTCTCGAGAGATGAAAGATATAATTTTAGGAAGCCTCGCAAGACATCACGGCCCTAAGAATTTCAAGCTGTTCAAGCATGAGGCAAAACTCAAAAGACATTATCGGGAGGTCTTCCAGGGATATTTACGTCCGATCCTTTTGCATGGTGGATTTGACTCTTTCCAAGCAATGCGGCGTGGCTATGCTGACTTACTCCACGTTGATAAAGCGAAACGAGGCAGCTTTGACGAGCTTAGAATGGTTCGTTATTCCGACTTTGTCAAGCATGGAAGACTTCCCTCGTTCAGAGATGGTATTACTCGCACATTCTCGGATGTTCGTGCGGATGAGGATGATCGGACCTCCAAAGACTTTGTCATCTTCTTTTCATACCGATGGCAAAAGAAGCAAAGAAACTCGACTACCATCAATCCAGATGATCTTGAGCACACTCAATATAGGAGGATGTGTCAAGCTCTGGAAGAATTTCTCAGTCTGGAGTTACCCCAAGGCAATGTGAGCAAAGAAAACTTATATATCTGGCTGGTACGTAGTTGTATCTTTTTCCCTTGATCATCTCCCTATTTCCTTTTCCTATCAACGGACTGGTGCAATTTCACAAAACGAACGAAATCTAATGTCGTTACAGGACCTTGCTTGCATCGATCAAAGTAATAAGGACCCTGGTGTCAATGCGCTTCCCATAATTGCCGCACAGTGCAACGCGATGATTAGTTTAGTGGAAGATGGCTTCTTTGAGCGAGGTTGGTGCAATGTCGAAGCGGCTCTGGTCCAGGCCTTGATGCGCTCGTACGGTAAGCATAGTTGGTATGAGCATCATCTGCTGAACCCAGGAACAGATCGCGTAGTGGGTGTGCTGAAGTCTATCGACCGGGAAATTGAACACGACACTTCCAAGTTGAAGGTCACATTCGAGTCAGACAGGCCAAAGATTGAATTTCTTCTAAGGCAGAGCAGGCTCCTGGGACATGTAGCTTGACCGAAACAATAATAACCGTCGAAGAAGCTGATTAAACTTGTTCGAGGCATCAGGTATATATTTATTGAGTGGCATAGTGGGTGGTTGCTCCTTCGTCCTGTGCTGGGTGTTTGTGACTCGTGAACACAAGCTACCAATATTCTTCCACACTGTTATTACCACATAGGTCGTACATATAACAAATCTATGATGTATACTTTGAACGTATATGAATAGAATAAAGGGTTATGTTATGAGGCTCGCCAATACAAAGACATACCCGTCGTCGAGTTCATTCTTGGCTGGCTTCACCGGAACGAGGTCAACTCAGGATATCTCAGCAGCAAGATGGTCAGGCAAAAACACTCATGGTTCCTCGAAACAAGGTATCCTATACCTGATGCCTTGGATATCACGACCCTCCATTTCCCCAGCTGACAACGCAAATTTCATCCTTTCAATTTCAGACACTTCATTTGTTGTAAAAGCTTCTGGGCCAAGAAAAATTGTTTAAGAGAATGTTCACCTAATTTTGATGACAACTGGCGGTCTTTTGGTCACGACGCAAAGACTAACACAGAGGGAAATCTTCATATTCAATCAAACCAGGAAGTCTGGCATCGGCAGAGCCAGTATAAAAGTGTTGCTGTGAGGACTTGCTACTTTGATTGTTCTTGGACAAAAGGTTGCAACCAGACTAGGTGCTGCCTGCCAGTCAACCCTGCGATACGCGGAATGCTAGAGCCAGGAATATCGCAGATGGGCAGGGTGACGACAGCGACATAAAATTTAAGATTATGATTCTTGGCAGTGAATTATCTACCAGACAAGCGATTATATCCGTGGTTCTATCATCAAATAGGTTGGTCTTTGAATATCTCTGGATTTTTGGGTTTCTTGTTCTTTTATTTTTATTTTTGGCGTTCTTTCTGCATCATACGACTGCTATCCGATGGATGGCGAAAATGTGGCGCCAAAGTGGGCACGAGCCACATGAACCCGCGGCCGAGGCGCGAGACCTGGACAATCGCGCTGAAGTGCCTGAAAGCGATTTGCAAGAACAGCACGGCCTCGTTGGTAAGAGAACATCTCCCGGATAATCAAACAATGCTTCATGATACGAGTGCTAATATGAGAATGAAGCGCCAATCGTTCCAGCAAATACTGCGGCGTCCATGAGCCCAACGATTCCCAACGCTGCGACCATCGCGAACGATAGCAAGCACGATTGGAAACAACCGGCAGGTCAGAAACGCGGCGTCTCGCGGCAGGTCAAGAAACCAAAGCGCAGATCAATAGTAAGTAGCCGCCGCAAGAAGAAGAAGAGCAATATCCAGAAGGCGGAGTTCTGGCCGATCAAAGACATTCTTGAGGAGGAGATCACCACCGACGGGACCACCAGGTATCTTGTGGAGTGGGAAGGCCTAGATACAGACGAGCAGCCGTACAAGCCAGAGTGGGTGGGTACAGCGGTTCTGTAAATGTATATATCTAGACGCGCGATGCTAACTCATTCCCCAGGTTCAAGACGTCACAGACGACGCGCTTCAGGCCTGGCAAGCGAAGCAAAGGGGCGACCTTAACGAGTCCAGTTGGAGTGACGGTGACAGCGATATTGATATAGCACCTCTGATCTCGTCATCTCAACAAGTTTCAGGGAAGTCTGCGCAGAGAGAATCAACTTCGCAAACTGGAAACGACTCTCAGTACTGTGAAGAAACCCCTGGTCGGCCTAGGCTTCATCGCCAAAAAAGAAGACGCACTGTTGTGCCTGATTCACAAGATATCAAGGGTCTGTCTTTGAACAACAACAGTCCTTCAGAAAACTCGGGAAGGGTTTGCGATTCTCCCCTGCATAAACGCCAGAAGATCATCGTGGAACTAGCCCAGAGTTCTAGCTTTGATCCTTCGGCATATCGCACTGTCCAGCTATCTCAAGACATCGACACTCAGCTCGACGTACAAGTAAACAGGCATTACTCTGCGCAGTCATTCTCGGCTGCGTCGCCGAATGATCACTGTGCCGACGAGAGGATAATTCCTGACTCTCAAGAGCCATCGGCTTTCTCGAAATCTGATGCATCGAACAACGGTTCACAACTACGCGCGGAATCTCTAGGCGGGACGCTCTATAATACATCAGAAGTACAAGATCAGAACTTGGCCGTCTTTCCAACCCTCCAACAACAAGATCTTGAGACCTCTGCCGAAATTCCATCACGCCAGCCAGACTTTCGAAGAAGCCGGCAGAATCTGCAACTGGCATTGGAGCCTTCTTTTGAGTCAACAATAATTGCTCCAACCGCTGCTGGGGACGAGCGGCATGAAATTCCGCCACAGCTCCCTGAGCTGCAAACATCTTCCGACTCACTCGCATTCCAGACGCAGGAGCCATTCAACTCACAACCCCGGTCTCCAATATCGCCATCTGGATTGTCCCAAATCAACGCGCATGGGGAAAGAACGGAGTCGCAAGTTGCTCTTCAATCTTTCCAGACTTTGTTGAATCCATCCCGTTACACTTTATCAACTAGTGGCTCGCGATCAGAAATTGGTGATCTATCACAGATCTCGTCACAGGCTGCACAAATCGTGCCCCACACGCTTAGTCAGTCGCAAGGCAATCCAAGCCAATCTCACCTGCTTCGAACATTTAGCGTCTACAACGACAACCAAAACTACGACGAGATCATCCCAGATTCTTCGCGCCAACCGATCAACGACGAGAAAGATTCGCAAAGCTTCAGCAAATCTGTGAATGAATTAGATGGTAATTCTAAGCTTTCATCGTCCACCCCTCTGCAACTAGGATTAGTTCCTCAGCCACAAAGTGTGCGGCTTCTTTCCCAAAGTTATATGGATAAGTCGTCCTACAGCCATAAAGCTTATGAAGCTAAAGCTGTCCTATCAAGACCCCTTTCTCTTCCACCTTCACAAGGAATTAAATCTGGCTTGCAATTTTCTGATCGTTCTGTGGTAAGGCATAGCAGTCAACCCGCAACTCTGACCAACAAGATGGAGGGCATAGATCCAGCTGGTGAGAGGAGGTTGACCGCGAAGGAGAGGATGCGTCAGATAATCGCAAGAAATTTTGCGGACAAGTCAGACAATGCGCCACCCACAGACGTAAATGCGCAAAACATTGCAGGTGGCTTAGACCCCATTGCTCCCCCACCTCGAACATCAGCAGAGCATGCGGAGCCTCTAACCATCTCGCCTGCGCTTCTAGTACCTATAGTTGAGATGGATCATGATGTGGTAGGCCCTGCTGCTTTGGAAAGCAAATTAGAGAACGTCGCGCCGATCAATCCGCCGGTTTTCGAGAGTACCGCAGTTGGCACAAGTTATGATCCATTACTTGAAGAGCAGCCCGCGACATTGGACCCGTCAGCTTTGACCTTGTCGATCGAACATGACATGATGGAGCCAGATATTGAGGACGATGGAAGCCCATCGATACCCACGGATGATTTGCAACCACACAGCGACGGTCCCGATAGCACAGATGAGGGTCTACAAACGAACACTGACGTTCAGGATGTCCATGATGTACAAGATGTGCAAGAGCCAAACATTCTTCCCTATATTGACTCGCGGCCGAACGAGTTTATTGTCACACTGTCTTTGGCTAGCAACATTCGACCACAGTACGTCGAGATTATCAAAGAATCCCGGGACGATCTTGCGGCATACAATGCTAGGTTCACTGAAGCTCCTTATCAGGCTCCATCACCTGCAGTGGTTCGCAAGGTCGATGGTGTGTTCGAGAAGCTCTTAGACATTTGTGATTTACCTCCCTTTTTAGAGACGCTTAAGAAGATAGGGCCAGACAAAGCAGCAAAGTATATTAGAACTACCAACAGCAAATACGCCTTTGTTGGTCACTTCCTAGACCACCTCTCGAGGCATGCCAGTGCTGAGAAGCGCATTCTGATCTTCGCCCGGCCTGGTCCTATCGTTGAGCTGTTGAACAGCTTGCTGCAGATGGCTGGTATGCGACCCGAGGAAGTGCTTGGGGCCCCGGCCACTGATAGCAACAGTATTCAATCCCTGGACAAGTCTTGGGCCAATGAAAAGATCCTCGTCACAGTCTATCCTACTGGGGATAAGCCGTACGACCTGCAGTCATATTACGACGTCGTGATTGCTTTCGATCACACCTATCGCCAAGAATTCATGCCAGTACATCTTAACGAAAATCCTCCCATCACCCTAGTGCTCGTAACTACCACTAGTATTCAACACATCAATTTTCGCATTTCTGAAAAGATCGAGCCACTCAGTCGCAAGAACTATCTTCTGCTCGCCTTATGCGCGTCAACGTCAGAGATGTTATCTGGTGAATCTTCGTCCACTGAGGCTCATCAAATTGCCGAACATTTCGCGGAATATATTAACGCACCTTATGATGACGACTTCTATTGGAGTCCGCAAGAACCCTCAGAATCTATCTTCGAGAACATTGCCGCGAGCTCCCAGGTGGAAGCGACTCATTCAAGCATGTTGCCAATTGCAGGTGTCTCAGGCATATCAAGTCGGAAGCGCTCATTTGTAAGCAGCCACATCAGCTCACCCCCACAGCTCCGGTCCTAACACAAGAAGCAGGACGAGGCAGACGAGACTGAAGCCAAACGTCCGAGGATGGCTCCGGCTGAAATAGTCCCGATAAGCGTGGCAGTTGCACCGCATATTCCTGATGGCTTGAAAGGCTTCATTGGAAACGACGTACCGGCAATCGAGGGCAATCCGGTCGTGCAGATTTCTGTTGCAAAAGCTGAATCACTCGCGGCGAAGGTAAGACATGGCATGGTAGTTATTTCAAACCAATTAGCTAACACCAGCAGATGGCGAGACTGGAGGCAGAATTAGAGAAGACTCGCGCTCAAAGGGATCAATTTCGAGAGCTTGCTGATCGGAGCAAACTGGAAGTTGACAGCTGGACAAGCTCACTGAATAGGATCCAGCCGAAGTATATGGCTGCACTTAGAGACCGCGGGATCTTTCAGAAGGAGCGGGATGTTGCGGTAAAGAGGCAACAGGAGGTTGTCAACTTACTGCAGTCCACGAAGGACCAGTTGACAGCCACTACCAAAGGCAATGCAGACCTCAGAACTAAATTATCCGAGGCACAAGAGTCCTTGCTTAATTGCAGCAATCCTGAATTAGCGAGATTGGTGCACATGGAACAAGAAGTTGAGGAAACACGAGCAAAGTTCGCGGAACTCGACAACAAGGCTGTCCTTGCGAACAAGGATCGCGACTATGCTTATGCCCAGTATCAGCAGGCTTCGCAAGGTGCGCTTGATCTCAAGAAGGATAACGATGAATTGCAACGACAAGTGGTCGAGCTTATGCGAAAGGCCGACGACAACATTGTCAAAATCCATGATATTCAGCGGGATAACGAGACCCGCGAACTTGTGCGCCTCCTTGATTTGCAGAAAACTATTGTCAGGGACCGGGAAAACGAACTTAGCCAAGCCAGACTGCAACTTGCCAGCCTTAAGAACGGTCGCCGAGAAACTCGTCAAAGTAGTGTTCCGCGTAGTCCCCGGCTCAACGTCTCTAGCCCTAGGAACCAAGGTCGACGAGCGGCAACCGAAACTGCAACTGGCACAACTAGTCGTCAATCAAGTCCTGCTGCAATGAGCACGTTTGAAGTTGGTGGGAATCTCATGCCTGGGATAGGAAGTTTGTTCGCTGGACAGCAGGGCAATGGAAGATTTGCACACCTAAGGGATTAGGTTCCTCATCGTGACCAAACTTAGTCTCAGAGGTTACACAATGAGCATAGAAAAGGTGCATATGGGCAACAAATGAGATGTGCGGTTTATGGTTTATGGTTTAAATTTTTTTTTTTTTTACAGCTTAGATGGGGCGCGTACATACCCGGCTCAATGATGCCTCACTTGTTTTGCTGTCGTTAGTAGAAAATGAATATGATGTAGATGGCTATTTATCAACGCATGTGACCAAAGAGCCTGACTTGAATGCATAAAATTTTGACGTCAAGTCATCAAGCTTTCTGGCAGCGAGCAAACCGTGATGCGAGATCAGAACGCAGATGATCTGTTATACCTCTACTAATCAATCATTGGCCAATCTATCGCAACTAGGGTGCTCTTATGCTCTACAAGAAGTTCAGAGTGTCAGACCAGCGAGAATAAGCTACACGTGAGCTTGTCCTGTTTTAATATCAATCATCTGCCACATTGTCAGCCACTACTTCTTGGAGCGGAGGGTAAGGAAGGATCTCAACTACGTGTCATGGCAAACCAGAACTGGCACGCGTGTTCGCCATTCTCCTACACTTGAAGGTGCATGAGGTCAATTATGCAGCCTTCAACCCAGGGATGGAGTTGTTTGGACTTCTGCCCGGTTTGAAGGGTGGTGAGAACGGCCAGCCTCTCAACAATTTCTTAACTTGAAGTACAAGACCAAAGAAAATGAGGGGGTAATTGAATAAGCCATCTAAACAATTTAAAATCAAATCACCTCTGGATCGTGCCTCGCAGATCGCGGTGGACGCAAGCATGTCCCAAACGGGCCACTATCTTAGCTATGGGTTCCTATTTATCTATGAGACCGATAGCCGCCGGGCTTATTTAAACCGACTACGTATATAGTAGAGACCTGCTCAAGGACTGAAAAATAATTTTCATTACTATAAGTATATCTCCATTTCCAATGTGCATGAAGTATCGGGGCAGAATCAGGGCATCCCAGCCCCCTCCGGATCGTGCGCAACTACCTCGATCTCTACCCGCATGTCATCTTCTCCTAGCCGAGGAACACCAACTGTTGTCCAAATGGGCTGATGGTCTGGCATCCATTTTTTAAAATTCCGGACCATTGCCTCGAGCGCCTCATTGTTCAATGGGACGTGATATGAGTTGACACGGAAGACTTGTGACCAACCCTTGCCGCCAGCCGTTTTAAGTGCCAGTTCGACATTCACGAATGCCTGGTCAATTTGGGCGTTGATCTCCTTGTAGATTGAGCCAATACCATTCTCAGCGACCCAGCCGCCTACGAGTTGTGAGCATTTGGAAGTAAAAGTTTGGCATGCCTTGCTGCTGCTGACCTTGACCTGAGCATTCGATTCTGTCCCCAACGCGGACCGCCTGGCTATAGTGGAAGTTCTTTCGGTTATCCTCACCGACGCCAGGATATGAAAAATATTGCAGGTGAGCCATTTTTAAAGCAGAGAGATGTAGAAGCCTGGTCGAATCTAGTAACATGGAACTGAATTTGTTGGTTTGATAATTTGATCTTCAGAGGTCTCAATATTTACCTTTTAGCCCTTCGCAGTACTGGTCAGTTTGAAGTGCGGAATTCATATTCCTTCTTTTTTTTTTATTTTAGTATACACGCTAGCTTTAGAGTAGTCAAATGGTGGCGCGTTTACAATGACTCCTCCTCGTTCTCTAACCTTAGCGGTTTATGATAGCGTTTTAGGGGGCTGTTTCTAGCGCCTTAAGACACATAACACATCAAAGCTTTTTTTGTATTTCATTTTATTCTTTTCCTTTTGGATCGGTATCCGTCACTCGGTTCGGATTTTAGGCGGAGGAATAGATATAGCTTGATCAATTTCGATTTACGTGACACATGATACAACTTCCTGATTCAATGCCATACATCCTTCAGCATGTTGACGTGCGTTATTTGTCTACAGGATAAATCACCCGTACATAACCAAATGATACGTCTTCTCTTTCTTCATCGCCAACGTAACATATCACTCAATCTCGACGTCATAACTCCAATACGCCTATCCAAGTCATAGGACGCTACGTCTGGCACAAAGCTGTCCTTGGTTTTCTACGTTGTCGATAGCCAGGACCACGAATCCTTGGAGAAAAGGTGATTCGAGAAGCCCAGCTACACTTCCGCTGGCCACCTGAACACTGCACTGCGATAGATTGGCAAAATCCGCCCCAAAAGTCCCGATGTTGAAGGTGCTTCCAAGTATGTTATCTGACTGAAATTTGAAACTTTTCTTCCTTATTTGAGATGATCCAAACACATTGCAAATGAAGTCGAAGGTGCACGTCGAGGGCAACTCGAGGATTGATAGCTGTGTCTGGCCAATACAGGCGTATCGGAACCTAGTGAGCTTGAAGGCATTCGCGCGGTTGAAGGCGGGGGTAATAACGGCATTGTTGATCCGTGGCGACACGTAGATATCGTTGGGAAGGCTGGGCGGCTTGACATTGGATAGAGAGCCAATGTTGGCATAGCCCGCATTGGTATAGGCCAGATAAGTCCCGTTTGGTACTGGCGCGGTGATAGCGTTGACCTGCGGTAGAGCGGGGAGGACTTGGATTTCGTCGAACTGTCATGTCAGTTGCCAATAATCTTTCACAGGTAAAATGCTAACTAACTTCATCAGTGACTGCAGGCAGATCACTGCACTCAATAGCACGCGTATTTAAAGCAGCATCTTCCAAGGGGATGGCAGAAGTCAATGCTCCCAGAAAAAGAGTAAAGAGTGAGATACGCATTATGTGCTGGTGAAGCTATTTTACAAGTTGAGATTGATGGAGACTAATCAAGCAGCGCGATATCATACCAATTTATATTGGGAACAGTAGCATGCCTCTTTTCCCATTATGCTTAACCAGCAGGGCCGCATGTAGCGGATGTGCAAACTCCGGCTACATCGACAGCTGGTCTCACTTTTAGACAATAGAATAATATATAGTTTGAATTAACTGCTAATGTATCACTCATTCCGCCATATACATCAGGCACGTGCAGCCATCATCGGCTGATCAGTTGATACGGCTATACCGGCGTGTAAAGAGCGGTGCCCAATCGAGTTCCAAGAGTGACAAAATGGCAAGCCACGGCAGATCAAGTGCGGAACAGGACCGACCCGTTTCTAAGGGGTGTGAGGTGCCCCATAAGCGAAATCAGTCCACGGGATTCATTATCAATGCCAGCTCGGAAACCGATGAGATACGACCCGCACAAGATGGCTCCCTTGCCAACATGGAAAGTTGTCACCTGAAGTCTCGAAGCCATGCTAGGCACGGGCCGCTATAATGTCTAGTCCAGCCTCCTCCGGCGTAGAAATAATACTAGTTAAATGAGTGGCGTTCGAGCAGGTCATTTTCAAAACCTGTTGCTTCCAACGATAGTTGGATGAGCAATATTGACTGATTTCTGCATTTAAGGATATACTAACGATCTTGGAAATCTGATTTACCATATTGCCATAAAGCAGAACGTCCAGGCCGTGGAAACGCGGGTTTGATAGTGCGTGGGGAATGTCTTATGTAGTTTTAGTTCTATTTGGCGTGTCAGAATGTACTCTAAAAGTAAGTAATGACAATGGAGACTTGACGTGAGTCAGTCCTCACATACTACCTGCACAATTATTTGCCAAAATATTTCAAAAATATGGCTAGGTGAGGAGACAGCATTTGAACGATGAAAATATTATGATTATTATTCAAAGGAACGACTATGCCTTCTTTGCCTGGTGGTCGTCGAAAAGGAAACTTCTGGGTACAGCTAGCTCCTCAATATATGCGTCTTTAGACGACTTCTGTGTCAACTCCTCTTCGCTTTCATTTCCCTTCTTCTCAGAAACTGTCCACATGCTTCCCCGTTTTGTAGTAACAGTGACGTCTCTTGTGAGCATGATTTGGTTTTTCATCGGATAGCTATCCACGCCCTCTCGACGGCCCTCGTCACGGTCATTCCAATCGTTGTTGTCGAATGTGGTCATGCCGAAAGTATCGTTGGCGGATCTAGAACCGAGCTTCTTGTGCCTCTTTGATTGGTCCAAACTTCCGATCGTCTTTGGAAGCATGTCCTTCGATCCCTTGGAACGCGTCTGCTGTGTCTGCCATATTCCAAGCCTCTGACCCATGCGCTTGGCGAGAGGCTGGAGAGAGGCAAGGCTACCGGCTGTGATAGCAAGCCCTTGTTCTGTTGTAGACCAGATAGCAATGTCCACAGTAGCCCCTATTATCATGGTTAGTCTTGGCTTAGGGTCGTGGGTGGACAGTTTCTTACAAAGAAAGTCTGGGTCCTTGAACTTTTCGATGAAGGCAAATCGAACGACAACAGCGATACTCGCAATACATCCCATGCCCAGGATAGGAATGAGTGCGAGCTTGGTTCTCTTATGCATTTGAAGTCCACGGATGATATGTAAGGGGAGTAGTGCGAACGTGAAGTCGACTATCACACTAATAGCGCTGTACAGGTATGTGAGGGCGGCGATGATGCCAGAATCGATGCATGTTCCGTCTTGCTCCTTGTACCAGAAGTACGTGACTGGGTAACATTGAAAGAGTGTAACGAAGAAGAAAACTAATCCGGTGACAACCGATAAGAACATAAGTATGTAAAGAATGTAGTGATGTAATTTCGAGACCGTGATTCGGAGGAGGAAAACACCGATAGAAAGTTTTGAGGATATCATCGTGACACAGTACCAGATGTAGCAAAGCCACCAATACTATTCAGAAGTCAGTCTCTACAGCTAACCAAAAACTGATGCTATGGTCAAGATGCGTACCTTCATTGCTTCTTCAATATTAGGTGTAGTAAGATCCTTATGGTGTCGCCCCGTTCCATAGTGAACGCCGGTAATCGCACAGGTACAGAAAAGTGTCATCGAAATCTTGAGTGGCTTGTTAGCAATGGAATGGCACGACGTTCCGTCAACAGCACCTACAGCAGCAAAAACCATCAAATAGTCATCTCTTCCGAAACCCTTCACAATAAAAACCCTAGTAAAACACCTCAAAACCATGGACACAATAGCAATAGTCAACAGTGTTATGCAGACAACCAGAAGCTGGGGTCCACGGTTCTCGACGACAGCCATGATAATTACTGCCTGCCTTCGGCGCTTCGTAGGGCTGGTAGGAAGATTACATGTAGCTGAACGAGTTCGAAAATATTGGGATCGGGGCAATCTGTAAGCGGATGCGTTTCCTTGATATCGTTTGACCCAACACCGCGGGCGCACCATGGCAAGTGTCCGATCGACATTATCTCCACATGAAGAACAAGGGTCCCCTTAAGATCAACAATCTAGATAGCTGCTAGGCCACCTCGCTGCAACCTCGTGGCGTCTGGGTATGCAGGCACCAGGTACGAAGTACGCTTCGGTAGATGATCTAGGCTTCGGCATTGACTTCGAGTTCTAGAGTATTGTATTCCTTGCAGTTCTTCTCTTGCTAAACAACTAACCTAATCTATAGATCCTGCCTGCAAGGATGAGATGGCAGTGCTGACTTTACCACTGCTCTGTGCGCTGCATTCCGCAGAAGCTCCACTGGCCTTACAGATGTAACCCAAGAGTATGGAAGAATCTACCGAGTAACCCTGCCGAATACTCCATACGGCAATACCGATCCATAAATCGAAGAAGTCAAGATGCAGTAATCAGGAGAATCGGGACACTCCGAGAAATGAACGGCGAGAGCGTCTCGTTTGGGCAAGTTGTGCAAAGAGGATAGTATCTCATTGGTCAACTCACAGCCTGGACTGGGTCTGGACAAGGATGCGATATGTCAGTCATCAGCAATAGAGACACTAAGCATCATTGATCCACTTGGGTTCTCATCGACTAGCTTCTCCAGGAAAGAATCACCGCTAGATTTGCCTGCCAACGTCTCAGCCTCTGCGGAATTGGGAGAGCAGCTCGCTCGTACTTTCTGCGGCTATCAACCTCCCGAAGACCTGGATGGCTAAAGCTTGGGACCTGAATAACATACCTCGCTAAAGATGGATACTACTTACCCCATCTGCGTGCTGGGTAGCCATCGCTCGCACGTGCGCTCGCCGGCTTGTTAGCTGGCAGCTTCGCTTGAACTCTTTCTTCCACGAATCCGGCATGAGGTCAGCTCTCTAAAATCTGGGCCTAATCCGTCGGGCCGGCTGAACTTAATAGTTCACTAAGTGTAGTAGTATTGATTCCCAACATGCTGATCTTCATCCCTAATCATCTTGGTTTATATGTCGGTAATCAGTAGATGCAGGACTGAGTATAGTCGTTTTCATTGAACCTTGTTTCTGCATCTGCACGCTGAACAAACCTGGTAATCTTAAGCTATTCCAGGACGTTGGTCGCGATCGGCGGCTGACATGAGTCTCCGTGCGCACAGCATATGCCCTTAGTATTGGCTGGACAGATAGCGTGCGCATCTACCAAATGCCGAAGAATACATAGTATTGCAGAATAACTTGGCGCTCGCCGTCCGTGCAAAATTTAAATTGCCGTCCTGGTTTTCCTTAGTCTTGAGTGATTCTCGAAAGGCATACCTGTCTCAGCTCAACGCCCGGTAATCTGTAGTTGATCTAACACTTGGCGCGATTTACTTTACTATGTAATTCATATCCGGACAAGGACCAATACCCCCGAGAAATCGTTGGGAATAGTGTCACCTGATTCTCTCAGGAGTCAAAAGACATCCAATATGAGCCATAATAACCACCAACATCACAAAATTCGTCATCTGTCGCGTGGTATTATTGTGGAAACTTCTGGGGTTGGGGTCCGTTTTTCTATCTCCTTTTCTTCGTGTGTGGTTTTTTTTCGTGCCGCTCGTTCTTTGGCACAACGTTCGACGGCTTCGACGGGCGCCAGCGTTAGCGGGAGACGGTCTTGCGAAGCTGCCTCAACCCCTGCGGAGCCTGCTCTGTACTAAATAAGACTACTGGAGTAATAGATAAAAGCCGTATCGGACTGGCTTCCGATTGTGAAATCATGACTAGTAGCCCCTGATCAGCGGCGGCGGCTTCATTGTCTGTGTGGTTGCGTATGTCTCCGAATGCATTGTAAAGTTGCGCTGGCAACTATTGCTAGTAAATCTGGCGGATCGTGGACTCGGCGGGAAACGCACCCGGTTTTCGTTGAAAGAAGCATCCGAAGGTCTGTAAATGTCAACACTGCCCTGGATGGGTGATCAAGATGCCGTTCATGGGCAGGATTTTCGCCTGGCTTTTTTTTTTACATTCCGCCGCAACATGGTCATTCCAGCGATCTGTTTAGCATTCCAAAGACTGCTATGTACGAACGCGCGACTTCTCCTTACGGTATATAACGTCACAGAACAACATCGGTTACCATGTTGAGTTATTACGCCTTGAAGAATGGAGCAAATATCGTAGCATCGAATTCCATTCCTTGTAACCAGGCCAACTCAACCCAAGGCTGTAAACCAAGCCAAGCATCCCTAGGGCACTTATTCACGTCCTGCCAGGTTCACCCATGATTTTGGCATCACTCCTGTTATTCGGTTTTCCCCAAGCCTCATATGCGAGCTGCAATATCCACTCCGATACGGTCTACGAGCACAGAGCTGAGCTTGTGCGTCTCCAAAACTTGCTAGGGGTTGCAGGCATTGTCCCATGTATACAGATACTATCGGTATTTTCCAATCACTAGGATGTCCGACATACCCTTGTCCGAAGATCGATTAGGTTTATCCACATACTGAGCAGTCAAGCTACCTGCTTATGTTGGGTTCTTGACCATGAATTGCACATTTCCAAGGCTAAAACTTACCCTTTCCTCGAGCCGGGTTGCTACTGTTGCTTTGTGTGCACTGGTTTCTCCTCTGTCGTACGTTCAGAAGTGTACAATACCATACTGTCCCAAGAGATTGAGTGCATATAACAACTCACCGTTTTCAACCAAAGAAACCCACTTTTCCAGTAGACACCTTGACTCGGTAAATTTAAGGCTTGTACGGTATGTTTGTGATATGTGCAGGGCAAATATCATCTCACTACACGGAAAAGTCTGAGCAGTGCAGGGAATCTTGACTGTACTAAACTTACTCGACATTCCTACTAAGACTTTTCGAAACGCATATCCTGATCGTAAAGAGCGTCTGCAGTCGCCAGTAATGCTATTGTTGACACTAAATGTTCCTCTTTTAGAAACAGAATAACAGCAAACTATTCATTATGTGAGACTACGAATACGACTCTATTGTATACGTTGGATGGGCACACCGAGCTGTTGATACCAGTCCGTCAAGATATATTCTATCTACAATATCAACAATACCCTAGCAACCCAAAAGATACCGACCATCAACCAATGACTGCCAAATACACAAATGGGATTTATATCAGGGAAAATATAATTCTAAATGTCCATGAATTAAACTAACTCGGTATAAGAAGAAAAACATTGCTGACCGATTGATAGTAACAGGCGAATCAACTCGCTTTCCCATTCAGTGGATCATAGGTCCAAAAAGCTTGTCCGACCACTAACAATTCCATTCATGTATACTCTTCGAGACCACTATCTTTGTCTACCCTCAGCCAGTTTCATTGCCCACATTGTTTGGTATTTTTGCTCATGTCTCACTATCTTGGTATATTTTCCCTCATTAACTGATTTTGCTGCTTCTGCAGTCCCTTGAGTCGACGGGATAGCATCAATGGATGGGCCGGGGCCTTCAGGCGTACCAGATGCAGGGAAGACGTGACGAAGAAGAGCTTCATGAATAGCCAGGTCATCTTTAGGAGAACCATTCCGTTAGGAAAGTGCTAGATCCCTAGAAAGGCAAGCCCGAGAAGTAAAATTTTGAAGACGTCCGAGGCTATGTGAGTCTGTGCAAGGCATAGAAAACCACTGGCTTGTAGAGTATGGGCCACATCGATATATTACCGTGGGACTATCCAAGAGTCGATGGATATAATGGATGCGCACAATATTGAACACTTTTAAGGATTTTTCATCATTGACTTTTTAATATACTGACGCATGTATACGTCCCTCCATATGAACTCTTCAATTTGACATCAACGCATCAACTACGCCAAAGGAAGGCAGGAACGTTCACTAACAAGTGACGAATACTGCCAGGGATATGGTATGGTATACCATAGGACTCTCGAGAAACGTCAACTACGGCACGAATATGGCACAAGACTAAACTTGAATAAGCCTGGCTCCAGATGATTGCCGAAAGGATGGCAAGCAATTGTGGGCATACTCTTGATTAATATTATTAATTGTGAAGGACTCACTGATTTCAGGCGGCTGAATGACTTGGATTACTGAAGCAACGTAGAGATCAGTATTGAATTTGCTGGTGATAGAAAGTTGAAGTTGTTCAAGGCGAAGCACAATTGTTTTCCTGAGGCTTTCAACAGTGGGCAAATGTATTGAGTAGTTTAACTATCTGGAGTTTGAGGCAATCTTAGTCTTTAAATTGACAACGAGTTCCAAGACTTCGCACGCAGTTACAGTCTTAGATAAGAAAGAAAAATGTAGGGAAAGGTGACTCCAGCTTGACAACCTGAAACTTTATAAATTGACAGTGTAGCCGAGAATTTGAAGACGATTCAACATTTGGACGCTTCGTGCATTAATTTCCCATGTTAGCAACGTATTTTGTGGAGATGAATTCACAAAACTGACTGTACACCAGACATGGCCAACCCCCTCTCTCCCCCAAATATGGAGTACATCAACTCTAGTTCCTTACAAGCACAACATCCCACGATCTGTGGGCCGGCGGCGGCGGCCTCTGCGGACCGACAAAACACGGACCTGGTCCAAATAGCTCCCGCTCACTGATATCCCTCCAAACGTACAGATCAGTCTTGGACCCCCTGATCCTGCGAAACACCAGCAGGTCCTCCTCCCACCGCCTCGCAATCCAGGGGTCGTTGAAGCGGAAGTAGAAGCCGCAGCCGTCCCCGCTGGCGACGACCTCGATGATGTGATTGATGGGGATGCGGATGAGGACCCAAGTGCCGACGACGCGGGTGTCGAGGCGCAAGTGGTGGTGGCACCAGCAGGGCCGGATGCGCTCGGCGTAGCGGCGGGCCTGCCAGTTGTTGCGGAAGCCAAGCTTGAGCCAGAGCGGGTCGAACTGCACAGCGACCTGGATGTTGATCGGAGCGTTCGACATGGCTGCACGATGGCTGTAGTATCTTTCCTTGTGGTGTATATGAGCGAACTCCGGCCGATGGGAGCTCTTGTCTTGTTAGCCTTGGATGAGATCGAGAGCTCAGTGTTTTAAACAACGTTGGGTGGTGAGAGGGTCATGGACAATTCTAAATGGGCTTCTCTGTCCCGGCAGTCTTAGGAGGGGATTTTATGCAAACACAGTTCCACGTGCGCTCATGACGAACTATTAGACTTCTGCCATGTGCTATAGCCAAAACTTTCCGGCATTAGAGCGCGACGTTAACGCCACTTTTACTTTTCAACAGTCAGCAATTCGAAGAGTTGGCAATCATAAAGTTATGTTAAACCAGAACACTAAGCCGTAGTGCTCAGAGCTGAGCGAGTTTAGCTAGTTTGAAGTGCGGAACAACTTATACAAGCCTCGTTCTAAGATGACAGCACGACTTGCAGAAAATGAGCGAATAGCTTCGTGGATAAGCAACACAAGTCGGTTATTGAGAGGAAACGTCAGCACAACGGCGCAATTGTATGTATTGGTCGTCTGCTTGATCTTCGACCTTCAAAAGCTGCTGTAAGGTCTCGTGATGCTGCTAGAATGCTTAGATAGTCCAGACCCGACATTTTGGCAACATGAGAAACAGGTTTAAGCCATAAGGCTTGATGATGGAGTTTGCTCAAAATCTTATGTTCAATCGATATGTTCTACACATAGTATAGCATACGATCCCGTCTCGTCCCCTTTCCTCTATCCCCCCCCCCCCCCCCCCCCCCCCCCCGGTACCAGGATATCCTTCCCAGCTGTGATTGGCTAGCTCCTCTGGTATCGACAACTCGCTTGGGGTGAGACGGTCCAAAGAGAGTCGCCCGCAAATGGTTAGAAGGACGTGCGCCAGCATATGCTATGGGTATCGACAGAGCCTGCATAAATTATATGCGTATCACTTGTAGTGATAAATACGATGTGCGGCGCTAACCTTCTCCGTTATAAAATGTTTGCGGCGCAGCGCTTGTTATGCTCTTGCTCCTCCTCCGAGTATTGTAAACATTACGTATTCTTCAACATCCTTTCTTCATCTATAATCCTTCAGTCGTCGTCAGCCCCTGTTACAGCAACAGTAGGCACAGGCGGCGTTTCGTCAGTTGTAGGACTCTTGATCGGTTCACTTTCAGCAGCAGAGGCGTCGCCTGCACTAGCCGTGCTTCCACTCTTCAGCCTTCTGCGTCTTGCCTGCCTTTCTTCTGCAGCATTGCGACGCATGCTGCGTCTGGTATCACCCCCTTCTTCGGCGGCCCCATCGCCACCGCCACGCATATCACGCAGCAACATCTCAGCCCTTGAAGCAAGGCTATCCTCTCCAGTAACACTCTCAGCAGAAGTTGGAGAAAGAAGCCCAGGACTAGTGGGTACTTCATTTGTATCCGCGACACTAGTACCGTCCGACCGCAACTCAGGTTCAATGTCTGGAATTTCGTTGATGTCTGGGACATCTTGCCCACTGGCAATGCGTACTTGATGTCGGTCCTTGAGACGTGCTCTTCGCCTGCGATCGCGTTGATCTCTTGCTTGTGGAGCGGCAGCGCGAAGTTTCTCAAGCAAACTATCCATTGCACCAGCGCTAGCTGGGCTTGCTGGTGAAGCTGCAATACCTTCGGCGTTCATGGCGTTGATCTTCAATTGTGCATTTTTGCGCTTCATGCTGGCTTCGTTCCTGCGCCTCGTATCTTCGAGATTGACGTTCTTCTCCCGAGACCTCTTCCAGTCGTTAAGGAACAGAGCCAGTTTGGCGAAAAAGTCACGACGAGCACCTTCATCGGCCGGGTCTTCACCGTAAAAGACCATGATATCGTTGTATGTCTTGACCATCTCCTCAAGGTACAAGCTCATCTGCTCGGCCTTGCGCCGGGATTCCTTCATAATGCGCTGAACGATCTGGCTGACACGGTCTTGTGGATGGAACTTCTTAGGGTCGGACAGGTTGCCACTGTCTAGCGACATCTGGACGTTCTTAATGTTGTCGATATACTTTTTGGCATCAGCCTGAAGTTGTTCGACATTAATCTTCTGCACCGCAACGACAGCCTGAATGTCCAAGGTGAAGCCCTCCCATTCGGGGTATTGGTTGCGGACAATACGTTCGACAAGATCAGCAAGAGTAGACTCGTTTTTGTCATCCTTGACCATGCCGAGACGGGCCAGTGAGCTGAGCTTGAAACCACGTGCTTGCTTGTTAGCGTCGTTCATGTAGTTACCGATATCCAAGATAAGGCCGAGGACGTTCATCAGCGACACGGAGTCTCGAAGGGACTCGGAGACCTCGACGACCTGTCGAATTTTGTCGTTGATCTCCTCGTAGTCAATCTCAAAGCTTCTCGTCAACGCAAGAGCACGCATTCTGCTCTTCCAGTAGTGGTGTAATTCGAAGGCCGTCTGGAGATAGATTTGATCCTCTCTAGTAAGTTCGGATGGATCCTGCTCACGATCTTCTTTATTAGCGTTGGGTCCAGTCCAGTCCTTGCTGTAAGGCGCTAGCTGTTTCGATGTACTATCTGGAATGTTGCACAGGTCATCCTTTTGGAGGAAATCCATGACCACAGGATTGTCAAGCACATCCTTATCGCAGTGGATGATCATCTGTACAATCTTCTCCACAGAAAATTGGGAGAATTTCGAAAGAGCGATAGCTGGCATAAATCAATGTCATGTTCAAGTTGGAATGGGATAACGTTAACATACCGTAAGCTTTCCGTAGATCTCCGTTGATGATCTGCTTCTTGTCATTCTTTTTGTGGCCTCCCGCACCGATCTGTCTGATCTCCTTGGCCATGAATAGCTTTTCGACCTCATCAAGAATACCCTTTTTGCTGAGCTCGATATACTTCTCTTCTCTCTCCTCTGCAGTAGGAGCATGAGCAGCCCAGTGACTGGCTTCCGGCACATCAACCTTCTCCCAATGAAGTGCCTTGAGCTTCTTTTTCGGTCTGACAATGGGTAGACCCATAGTCGCAGGAGAGGCAAAGTTGTTTTGCGCAGAAAGGAAATGTCCGGACATGGCACCGGGCATTGGCGGAGGCGGTGGAGGAGCGCCAGGCATACCACCCGGCATCGGTGGCGGAGGTGGAGGAGGAGGGGGACCGCCCGGCATTTGACCTGGCATAGGAGGCGGCGGCGGCGGCGGCGGTGGTGGTGGAGGTGGAGGGGGGCCACCCGGGATAGAGCCGGGCATCGGGGGAGGCGGCGGGGGTGCGCCGGGAATAGCACCTGGCATTGGTGGTGGTGGAGGCGGTGGAGGTGGTGGTGGACCACCTGTACCAGTTACCTGAATCTTTGACGTGTCAGGATCGCTTGGCGTAATTGGCGACTGTGATTCCAAGCTGGGATGGGATGGACCGGTGGTGACCTCATCTCCGTCTTCAGAATCACTAGCATCCTCCTTCTTGCTTTTGGCCCGAATCTCAGACATGAGATTACTGGCTTGTCTAGGGTCCATGACGGGTCTCCTAATTTCGACAACCCTGGGCTTCTCAAAGACAATGTCGTCTTCATCTCCTTCGTCTTCAGCAAAAGCCTCGCCCTGAGGGTTGATGGGCTTCCTTGGTATCCTGGTCTGGCGGCTGGTTTGCCGGTTGACGGCACCGAGAACGCTATTGTAAAAACCTTCTGGTGGCATCCCGGCTCCCTCTGGTGCAGCGAAGCCGTCAGGAGAGAAGCCGTCCGAGGCAAAGCCATCCATCTCTTCACGCAGAGCACGTAAGCGGTCGGATGGGCCAACAGTGTCACCCCATACCCTACCTTCGAGCTTATACTGCGTCTTCTGACGCTCAATTTGCATTTGCAAACGTTCCATGAGCCTCTGTCGGTCCAGAATTCCTTGCATACGAACTGGGTCCTCCTCCGCAGCAGGCACCCCAATCTTGTTTTCGGCCCCGCCTTTGACAGCTTGTGATGCAGCGACATCCTGTGCGTCCCTAAGCATGAGATATAGCTCTCTGGTCTCAAGCTCATAGCGCTGAGCCTCCTTGGCTCGTATGGCCTGCAGATTCTCGAGCTCAGCTTTGAGTCCATCGGCTTGTCGTTTCTGCGCTTCGATGAACCTAGCTTGCTCGTCCAATTGCTTTTGCAATTGCGCAACCAGACCATCGGCGCCTAGCTCCAACTTGGCCTTCACCTCGTCTCGCTCTGCCATGGCGGCGTCGGCGATTTGCCGGCTCTCCAATGCTTCATCGAGGGCTTGCCGGGCTTCGGAGTCAGTGTGCAGCTTGTCCAACAAGCTCTGGACAGTGAAGTTCAGGCTTTGTTTGAGATCCATATTTGGTAGCCTCCTATCCATGGCCACATAGCTAAGCATCGAGTCCACGAGTTGAAACATACGCAATCTCTCTTCCCCGTCATTTTCGCGAATTAGCAGTAGATGCTGCAATGCCGAGACAAAATAGTCCTGGGTTTTGGTTCCCATAATACGTTGCTGTATAGCATCGACGATTTGTACTGGGTCATTCAGATCCTTGACCTCGCCCTCGATGCTGTCTTTCATGCTACTGCCCTCGCGCTCAAGCATATCCTCATAGTCAATAGCTTCGTTGGTCCGGTACCGCTCGACTTGCTTGTCTATCAGGTCATACTGGAATGCCTCCATCTTGGTGAGGACCCGCTTGATCCCACAAGCACCGAACTGTGCACGAAGGTGCATCCGCAGCTGGAGATCGCCCTCGGGCGCATCGACAATCATGTTGATGAGGATGAGAGTCGCAACAGCATACTCCATGAGTAGGTTTTCCATGCCGATACCACCGCTACGCACTTCCTCGCTGGCTCCGACAAGACTGCCCATCTTTCCTCGTCCATCGACAGTGACTTCGACGAGTCGCATCCAAGCGTCAAAACGTCCATTTTCGTTTTGCTGGGACTTGACCACATCCATAGCCTCAATGACCTTGATATGGCCATCCCCGGCTTCCCAGTGGCACAAAAAGGTCAGGACATCACTAACGAGTTTCCTCGTAGTCAGGCGGGGTGAAATGAGTGATGTTGCCAAGGCCACCACGACTTGCTGGTGAGCAAGCGCATCGTCAGCGCCGTATTTGTTGTTGAGCAATGCCTTCAAACACTTGACGATGTCATACTCTTTATCGAGATTTTTCTCACTGGCCTTTGAGTCGGTCGGCGCGGCTGGGCCCACGGCGGTCTTGCGGTTGATTTTCAAAAGCAAAGTCGTAAGCGCTATCTGACCCTGGCATTCGATGAACCGCTTCACCCAACCAATTTGTTGCGTCCGGAGGTTGACCTCCAAACTTCCCAAGCCCTTTGTGTCGAGGGTGTTGTCCATGACTTTGCGCACATACCACTCAGGGGATCCTTCTTCATCCGAGGAGGAAACGACGCCGAGATCGATTTGTGAGTACTGGTTTGCCTTGGCGGTCTGTCTTCTCTTCTGTTCTCCCTGCCATTCGGTTAATCGGTCCTGGTAAATGAGAGTCCATTTTTTCGAGGTCGGATATGCGACCATCTGGCGCTTCGCTTGTTCGGGCAGGTTGTGCCATCCTCGCTTTTGCATAAGTTCGTAGAACATCTGCTCGGTTACCGTGTCGTCGGTCGGCCTCGTGAGATTCGCCCCGTCAGGTCCACCTGCACCCCCCCCTCCGCCGCCACCATTGCCGCTCACTGCGCTGGGCGAATAGGGGCCGCCTGGGAACCTGGTTAATCGTTGCGAGTCTCGGCCGGAAAACTGGGAGTTGAAGGAGCTCTGAGAGGTGGCGCTGGGCAGGGCTGGTAATAGTCTGGATGAGCGCGGTGTTGTTGCAGAATCTGGGGGTCCTCCATTACCTGAAAATATGCTGGACTGATCGCTCTCCCTGGATACCCTCCCAGCCGAGTAGTTGGAGTATGCTAAAGAATCAACTCTAGCATTATAGCCGATGCCGCGATCTATGTTGCTAAATTGACTGGCTGTGCTGCCTCTAGGCATCTGAGGAGCGCCGCCGGGCCCCCATTGTTGGAACTGAGTATTGCGCTGGCCGGTGGAGGCCATTGTTATGTTGGAGGCGTGTACCGGGGGTTTTGGGCCTAATAGATGAGAACCAGAAGACATATGTGAGTGGGTGTTAGCTTCTATTGTAGGATATTGGTGAAAATCACTGGTGGACTTATTGTTGAGCTGATGTGGTAAAGGATCTCTTCGCACGGGGGCCTGGTTGGGTCGGGGTAAGTAATCCATGGCTATAGGACTGCGTCGGTCTGCATTGGTGGTGTCGTAGGGTATGGCAGTGATGGGACCGGCCATGTGATTCACGCCCGACTCGGGGGTGACAGGACGGTCGACGGATATGATCGAGGTCCCTCTCTCGTGTCGAGTCGATCGGGGGATGGAGTGGACGGAGACGGCGTCATTTTCGTCGCGTCTGTCGCTTGCGCTGCTCTTGTGCTTGCTCCTCGAGAAGAAACCGCCTCCCTTGCCGCCAGACGACTGTCTAGTCTTGTCGGCCGAGGACATGATGGGCGGTTGAGATGGGTTGCCGGGCGCTGAAAAACGCCGACTTTCCTAATATTCCCTCCCAGTCGTCAAAATGGTACAAAGGGTAATCAAACCGCGATTGCGTGTATGTAGGGAGATTAAGTTGGATTGGATCCAGGTCCAGGTCCAGGTCTAGGTCCTAGGTCCAGTGAGAGAGCCACTGCTAGAGCGGAGGTAGCGTAGCGTAGCGGCCGTTCGGGTCAGTGCAGCAGGTAAATCGAATTGAATTGAACTGGATCGAATCAATTACTCTTAGCCAAATTCGAGCTCCGGTGACCTGCGCCTGCGTCTGCGTCTGCGTCTGCGTCTGCGTCTGCCTCTGCCTCTGCGACCGCGTTTCGTCCGGTTTGGGGGGTTATGGAACTGAACTACTGTGAATATGGAACTTCCAGCGCGCGGCAGATGCAGTTGCGGGCGCTCCTTCCAGCTGGCTTTGGCTTGTACCAGTGCCACTACCAGTATCAACCTCTGAGGTCCGCTGTCGAACCGAGAATGAATCTGCTGGATACCTCAAGGCTGTATCAGACTTGGGGCGAATCGCATCGTGCGATGTGTTGCTCAATGAGTAATAGAGTGATTCTCAGGTCAGGTCATGCGCGGTATCTCCTCGCGACCCGTGCTTCGTTTGTGGATGAAAGACCTGCATGAAGCAAAAGCCGTTTAGCATTGGTTCTGGGGATCTTCCCGCGTGCGCTGGTGCTTTGTATGGAGACACCGAGTCGTCAAAAGAGCCATCGAGGACACAGGTTCTGCATTGTTGGATGGATCATGGGTATTCTGGCCGGCGGGCAAGGGAAGGGGACCCCGGACATACATTAATAATAAGAGAGGTATGGATAGGTAGAATTCATACTGTAATACACGTCTCGATGTTAGGTAGCGTGCATGCTAGCGGCGAGAGCGCTGCAGGAACAGCTTCGAGAATGAAACGGTTGAAAGTGTGCCGTGTCAACATTTACAAACAACAAAGAGAGACGGGAAGAAAGGTGTTGGGCCCGACCAAGCGTCCGTTTCTCCAAACCTCCCGCAATGCCAGAGATGACGATCAAAGACCTTCAAAAGGCTTACTTACGGTAATGAATAAAGTCATGCGACTTGCGCCAATGTTCATGTTGTACACCACCAGACAGTCAAGCCAAATATTCGATAGGCGCTAAAAGAAAATACCTTGGCCAAAAGCGGACTGACTCAAAGGGTCTCCACGGCCCTTTTTTCTAGGTCTTGTAGGTCTTGACCGGCTGATTGGTTCCGACCTATCTTTAGACCACAACCTGATCTGTCGACCGCGCCAATGACCGGCCAATTCGTTTTCCAAACCACGGATATCTTGTAATTAACACAAATAGCAGATGGTCGTTGATTTCTTGTACAGACCCAGACTTTCAGCTATTAGGACCTGCTTGTGTTCTTTGTTCGACAACGCTGCTACGCGGCTTTGCAGGGGGGGCTTTTTTTTAATTTATTTAAAAAAAAATTTAATTTTTTTTATTCCTTTTAATGCCTTTTTTTTTTTTTTTTCTCTTAACAGTGGTGGGGTGATTCGGCAAATATCATGAAACTCCAACGGGGAGCCCCTGGATGCACATTTGACACATTCGGGAAACGCGCAACGACCGAACAAAGCCCACCAGAACCGATTTGTGCTTCTACTTGCAAGGGTCTCTCGTTCAGTCCTATCATTTTCTCCAGACTGGAGTGTCTGACCGCTTGACCAAACTGGCAGAAGCTGGGGAAGAGGTTACCCTGTACGTTGACGCAACGGGGCACTGTGTGGTTCAGGAGTGCCTGGGCAGAGACCCAACTATTGCTCTGCTGCAGTACATATACCCAACACGATAAAGGGCCATTTTGATGTTCAGTCATTGGTTCGCCATTGGCGAGATGCAATACACATTCTCCAAGTGAAAGGCTCCACACTTCCAGGTCTTGAGTGTTATTGTGTAGACTTAGGCCCCAGATCTCATCAACGAGCCCCTATTCCTGTCACTTGATTATCCACTTCTTTGCTAGACTAGGTCAGGAGGATTTGGTCAAATAACCGTCCTTGACGCGCTGTCGTCAGAGTGGCCTACTGCGTGCAAACGGGGGTGCGTAGCGCGGGCTTCCGCTAGAGAGGGCGCCATTGACCCCAATGACGCGGCATTAGTGGCCTTCTGGAATTACCAGAAGTCGCGATTCATTCTGAAGTCGGAAGTTTCACTCTCAGTGCCAAATCCTAACTCTGCTTACCTTTAGCCTCGCTGTCCATTGCTACATGAGCGGTCTGGGCATATATTTCTGCCGTGTGTTGGGTAATACGTAACCTCTTGTCGAACAACACTCCCGGGCTTGTTTGGGGGCGCCACGGCGGACTCGTCTTTTATTCCTCAACGTGGACATTTGATCTTTGGCGACCACACCGTAATGTCTTCACATCACAACAGGTAGCCACGATTTGTTGGACTACTATTTGCAAAATGGGTTCTACACTGTCAGCCGTCAAAGTGAGTGAACTTGACTCCTTTGAGACCGTCCAAATGATGAGCAACGATACGTTGCACCCCAGCTCACTCTGGCGCAACTTGCGGTTGCTGCGAAAGCGTTACATCTACTTCTAACTGGAAATCACCGAAAGTCTTGGGGGATCTGTGCATGCTTCGACCTGGATGAATGCGTGTCTTTCTATTTCATGATATGCTAACTGTTGCTCAGACGCTGATAGTTCCTGCCGTAATCTCCCTTATCTTATTTATCGTTTGTTCCTACATCCTTGTTCCGCTCTGGCGACAGTACCGTCAGCGATACAGTCAGTACCTACCTCTCGAAACGATATCGAATCAGACCTCGTCATTTCGAGTCCGGGCACAGCACGCGATTGCCAAATGGCTCATTCCGGCACGGTGGCGACAGAGTTTACATGGGCGTCTTGTCACTGCCGAAGGCTCCGATGCTGGCTTTGATTCCGATGATGGGGAGGAGCTCGGAGACGTCGATGATGATCGTAGACATGCGCTTAGCTTGGATACAAGCGGACGGATAGAGCATACGGATACTAATAGAAGGCTCAGCAGAGAGTAAGTCGTACACCGCTCGTGGTTCACACGACAGTTAGGATACTGATCGCTCGATAGCTTGGAAGAGGGGTTCATGGATGACAGCGACGAAGAAGGGGACAACCGAGACAGAAATCGGTAAAAAAAAATTTAATGCATATGACATGAAGCACATGGCTACTGTGTCCAACGCTCGCAATCCCGTCGGTCCACAGCAACGAATGGTCTTATGGCTCGCATAATCACCTGAAATCATGACGAGCCAACAGGATATTACGACCAACGATAAGCATTTCTCGGTATGCTGCGCTCACTTACGAAGTCTTCGAGTGCAGTGCCTTGTCTCATGAACATGGGCATTGGCTTAATTGAGGCCATTTCAATATTCAATCTTGATTGAGTGTCTATATATTAATAGGTTATCACCCAATCGAGACAACTTCCCATATGGAGCGGCCGGGTATGAAATTCCGTTTGAGGTCGCGCAGGAAGAAGCAGGCTGAACGAGAGGCCGGCTCGATGGCGAAAATATAAGTTCTGGCGATCTGAGCACTCGCGGTATATTTTACTGTCCAATCTACGCATGTATCTTCCAGTCTGCCTACAGTGCTCAATTTACCTTAACTTGCTTAAGGTGTTTGAACTAGTCAAGGAGGACGTTTGGCTCCAATGGCAATTTGCTAGGAGGTAGTTCCGATCTAATGTTCTAGATGCGACGTGCAACCTTGGGCTAGCTCGAGCTTATATATCTGTTGGAATGCGCGATGATGTACTCACGACACGACCGCCACGGATTCAAACTCTAAGTTGGGACGCCAAATGTATGGTGTCGTTTACCTGGCTGTGGTAATAGATTTCGGCCTGCCATCTCCACTCGTACCAAGACCGCTACCAGACCACAGCATCAGGTCCAAATAAGATGATCCATTACACAATCATCAAGTGTGACTAGAGTCGTGACAACAATTGCTGTTCTCGTGATACGTTGGACCCACTTACAATGGCTTCACATGATACAAGGAGATAAGGTACTTACTTACCACGCGAGGCTGATCTGAAGGCGTCGAAATTACTTACTGTTCGCAGAGGTGCATTCCTTTCCCCTCACCCCAAAAGTAAGCTCTACCGCATGCCAATCTACTTTTAGAGTCGATTGTCTCGCGGTTGGCTGCTCACGTACCTTGAAAGCCGCACGCACACGAGTAATGCACGTTTACGGCAATCGTACATAGTTCCTTAGATGAGAAGAGATCTTCCTCTATTATATCGCTGCTGTTAGATCTCATCACCATCATCGGGCCACATTGTTTTAATCCCCTTGATGTCTGTCGGCGTTCTGTAACCAACGAGCAAGTAGAATTCCTGCCTCGCAACCAATCGTTGGCCCACTCGGGAACATGAATAAGTTCTTTGCGGCCTAAGGTTGTCACTTGCATTACGAGGCTTGCTCCTCGAGTCACTGATCGAATCGACGTCAACACACGTATGCAGATGAGCTCATTCTCCCAACAAGCATTCGTTCGTCCAACAGTGCACTTCTTCCCATCTTTTATTTTTTATTTTATGTTAATTCATGTGCGACCGTCCGTTACCGGGCGTTCAACACTACTCATTGCAGTTCATATCTATTGATTATCAGTGCCTACCTAGAATTATTCTGGATCATCGGCAGTTCTTATCCTGCTCGTCACGAGGGAAAAGCTACCCTGCATATGCTACCCCTCCAACCTGGGTCGTACATGGCACTTACAACCCACCTGTAGACCAACCAAGCTTTATCACGAGGCGCCTCTTGATACTCCGAATTACAGCTTGCTTATCGCAGGGCTCGGATCCGAAATCTACCTGAAATATACGACTTGTCCCCAGAAAGAACTGTGGAAAAGGTGAATGCGCACAACTGGGAGCTTCTGCAGTTGATGACGGTGCTTATATTCCGCCTGATCTTGTGGCACCTCTATCTTGTCCGGAGTCTCATCTTCGCACTTTTCGGCCTCTTCATCCGGTTATATAGAAGGTGGAACTTTGCGACCATGCGGGCTCGTAAGCTTGTCAGTTTGCCCATGAAGCTTCCTCTGAAGCTCCTACACAAGCTTGCGCCCCATCTAAGACGATCGCGTATCGACGGAGCCGCTGTCAACCCTCCGAGCATCAGATTCGAAATGCTGGATGAGAAAGCCACACTAAGAAAAGACTCACCTCCACCGCTGGAGGAGTGCCCGATCTGCCAGGACCCCGTCGGTGTACCTAATCCAGAAGGCACGGTCGAGTCATGGACTTCACTTCACTGCAGCCACAAATTCGGTACTATCTGTATCCAAACCTGGCTGCAAGACTCCTTAGATCGCGACGACCCTCACAATCCTAACCCGACGTGTCCCATCTGCCGCGATGTTGCGAAGCACCCGAGCTGCGGACATCCTGTCTGTATAGTCCCGACCTTCGAGATGCAGTGGAATGCATGGCAGCAGTATCATACGGCTGCAATGGCCGACGCTACTTTTGTAAACTTCAGCAGACCTCCGGTTCGGCAACGCAACCGGCTTCAGCGCCGTGAAGGCCATCCGAGTAGACCCTCTTTCACACCCCCGAAGCGAAAAGCTGACACGGTTGGCGAGTGTAGCGTCTGTGCTGAAGCTTCCAAGAAGAAGGAGATGGAGAAACGAATCTTGAGCTTTGTGCAGCCACAGCAGGAGACGCAGTCCGAGTTCCAGGAAGAGCTGGAGATGGGAATGCCATCTATCACAAGGAAAAGCGCCGTACTACACATGAGACGAGGCCATATGAGCAGAAGAAACGGAGAACCATCACGTGTATCAACAAACACAAGCCCAAGTCCGAGTCCCAGCCCGACGGACGACGAAGAGCTCCATATCCACCGTGTGGTGTGCAATACGCCCCCGCCACGCATTCCCACCCCCGTGCCTATGGGTGCTTCCGGAAGCAGTCTGCTGGTGGGGACACGTCGCGTTAGCACCGCCTTCTGAAGGTTGTCGGACTGGTGGCTTTTGGAGGAGAGAATTATGGACGAGGAGTCTGGATATTTCGAGGAGTAAGGGTGTATTTGGATTTGCTTTATACAGGACAAGTCGATGACTAGGTTTCAGCGGGTGGCTATAACAGAATCTGGGCTGTGCAATTTTGCATCGGAATGCTACTTATACCACGTTTCTCATGTATTCTGGAACGCAGAGCGGCGGTATGGCCTAGGTATGGATTGGACTCTAGAGGAGTGGTCAACAGACAAATTGGTTACTTGATACCCCATCTGGCAGGGCTGATAAATCTGCAACGGTTTGGCATAATGACAACTGCTACACAACTGTCTTCTCCAACGGTCAAAACCGCAGGACTGCTTCTTGCATCGTATCGGTGCGTCTCCTCCATCCTGTCATGTTTAGTATGTACTTCATGTTGGAGGAAGCACGGCCTCTCGACAAGCATCCTAACCTAGAGCGAACAGCTGCAGTGGAGCCACCCTAGCTTGAATCGCTAACCTTACATAATATGTGCTGTAAGTGTACTGTGCTTAAAAGCTGCCCAGCCCACATGCGCTACTCCGCATCGACAGGGGTCACTCCCAGTGCTCTGGAGCTAATGTGACGCTACGGACGACCTTGAACTCGAACTACAGTGGATAAGATAGATATGCCATAGGCGGGACATTCGCTGACGTCGACCGGTCTTCATGAGCAACTCACTTGTCGTGAAGATGCCCCAAATTGAAAGTCGCGTCTCATTCGTACACTATTCCAACTCTTTCCCCCAAGCGCGTCAGGTGAACCCCTCCATTTGTCACCCTTCGTGACCGACGATGAGGTTCAAGACGAATCTCAAGAATGTTCGTACATTCTCAAGTGAGACTGAACTTTCTTGTCGCAGAGGCGAGATGGACTGACGCTATTCAGAGCTCACGGCGGCGCTCTCGTCTCTCGAGAAGATCGCCTGGATGCGCCTCGACGACGACACTGTTCGCTTCACCGTCATTCCCGACCAGGGATCGCAAGTATGGGCGTAAGTCTTGCAGGCATTCGTATCTCCCCTGTATGGCTGCCTCAGTTTTCTGACTTCATGTCGTTGTCTAGCTCTCTTTCCATGGACCACATCTTCGACTCGTACCAGCTCCAGTCCGCCGAGCCCTCCAATACCATCAACCTCGAGCTGCCATTGCTGCCTCTGCAGCGCGCCCTCAAATCTGCAGCCAACGGAACGTCAGCTTCTCTGCGTCTGACCAAGAAAGACGGCATTCCCCTGCTATCCATGACCATCACCACCTCAACCACCAGCAAGAACGACGGCGGCCCTTCGCGCTTCGGACATAACAAACGAAACCCCCTCAATGCGCAAGGCGTCCTTGACGGCGACGACGATGACGGCATCTTCAACATCGAGCCGTTGGAGACCCATCTCAACCGCGAGCGCGAGAAGATCATCACCCAAGACATCCCCGTTCGTGTCCTGCACCCTGAGCATGTGGAGATGATCATGCAGCCCAAGGTTCGCGAGCCAGATGTGCATATCCAGCTGCCGCCCCTGATGTCTCTCAAGGCCATTTCAGACCGTTTCACCAAGCTCGCAGTTGCGGCACGCGTGGGATCGGGAACCAATGCCAACAACAGTACTATCTCATCCTACTCGCCTAAGCTGGAAATCGCCGCGAACATGCACGGAAGCCTGAGATTAAGCCTCAACACAGATACTCTTGATGTCGCGAGCCAATGGGATAATCTAGAGAATCCCGAGTTGGATCCTCGTCAGCTTGGTTGCCCGATTGAGGAGCATCCTTCAACCAAGTTTCGTGAGGAGGGCCCAGATAAGTGGGCGACTGTTCGTGTCGATGGTAAGGACTGGAGTAAGGTGCTCAGTGTCGGACGGTTGGAGGGAAGAGTCATTGCGTGTTTTGCGGACGAGCATGCGTTGATTTTGTATGTATACGTGCCGCAGTATGATGATGTGGGTGCCGAGGATAGTGTTGTGACGGTACGTGACCCTTCCTCTTTTATAGATCGTGCGCTAACAACTTCAAGTACTACGTTTCCTCGTATAGCGTGTGATGAACAGCTGGCAGTCATGCCAATTGTCATCAAAGCTTCAACTAAATTATCAGCTATGCGTTTGTTACACGACATCATGAATCACAAGAGATTACAGGATTACGATACCGCATTGCAAGGCGTTCGATCATAGACATTACCTGGGCGTCAGTAGATGCGAATAAATTGTGGACATTCCAAGGATTGCGACCTTAAAACCAATAACAATACCGTTCAGAATAGCAGATCGAGGCTGGGTTTCTGATATGATAGGTATACTCGTTATATTTCCCAAAGCATGGAGAGATAGTACAAAGCTCCGCCACGTTGTGGAACTCAATTAAGCACTTATAAATTCCCGCAAATCGCTTTAGTCTCTATCAACACGTAGCCTCCATATCGAACCCCCAAAGTGGTCAATCATGAACACCAATCTCACAATATACACCCTCCTGATAGTCCGAGCTCTGCACAACTTCGAAGTAGTGTTTTCCGAAGTTATTTACCGATGAACATTCCAATTGAGTAGTCAGCAGTCCCACTATCTTCAGCAGCTCGTCATCGTGCCCCCAGATATCCAGCTGTGATCCCAAGTGCCTTCTATCCCACCACGCAAGAGGTAGGGAGTGTAGATTAAACCCCTCAGCGTCATATTGCCTTGATGGTATATAGGTGTATCTAACAGTCTGACACGTAATTTCTAATGCATATGTGGCTTTGTGAATTTTTGGTTTGGTAGTTTGCACTCTAGCATGTGGAGAATGTCTCACCAAGGCACTTAATTTCAAGAAATTCAGACTATATCCCTTAAGCTAACCTTCGGATCACATGGGTTGAGACTCTTACATTTCCTTAATAAAGGTCCAATAATATAGCTGTGTAGCTATTATCGGGCAAACGCAGCTTTGTATCGCTAATCTACTGAATAGCATATCTTTATCTATACATGACAAGATACTCACAGAGATCAGTGATGCGTGCCACCTTTTCCTAGTATTTCTTCTCCGCGTAATATTTATTTCGAAACAATCATTATGCACGACTATTACATCGTTGATAATAACATTTGTAATGAGATCTAGTCCAACATCCTCCCCAGACAGCACATGTGTAATTGAGTATCAGTACCTAACTATCCAGCTCTAGCATCTTCAGCTCAAAGATTATGACTTTATGCCCCTGTCATAGATCATGTCTGGGCAACCTCTTCCGTAAGTGCTCGGTAGACCCGCAAGAGTAACGCTTTTTGGACTCGGTTGCCTCAGCAGTCTCGGTGTGAGGCCGTGCATTCCCGGCAGCCCGTTCAGTCTTCTGGCCCGTTCGAGTCCCGGCCGCTGGCTTCTTCGTCTTGAGGTCCTCCTGACGGTAGGCCTCCTGGCCTTGTCGCGGCGCAGAGGACTTTCTAGAGAAATTGTCCTGGCTTTTGCACTTCAAAAAGTGAGCCTTGGACTTTCGGCTCTGGCTCCTTCACGGCCCTTGGCGCGACTACGTTCCAGCCTGACTCCAGTAGGGGGCAGTCTCGCGTGAGATGCTCGGTGCTTGAGCACTCGAGGCACTGCTTTGGCTGGGCGCAGTCCTTCAACATGTGTTCGGAGGGCTTGCAGTTGAGGCATCGCTTTGGCTCCGGGCAGTAGCTCCCGATGTACTTAAATGACCCACAGTCATCACGGTTCTTGGGCCCGGCTGAAGTTTTTGGTGTGGCTTTGCTGCTGATCTGTACAGTGGACTTGGACCCGGTGGGAGCGATCACAATAGCAGGCAACATTCTCTTTTTGTGTGACTTACTTCTCTTTGCTCGGGGGTTGAATGATACTGCTGATGCTAACTTTTCTAGGTTACGATTACATGCTAGTAGATGGGCCGGTGTATGTAGACATTCTAGCACAGTAAATAAGAGTGATGGCCGCTGTATGAATAAGCATGTGTGAGAACATTACAAATGATCACACCTTTCAGTATGGAACATGTCTCCTTGTGGCTTCCGATGATGTTTGTATGATGGCATCAAGAATGGAAGGGATGGCCAGATTCTCATTGTCTCTTCGTCGTAAATGAAATTCTCTTCGCAATGTTTTGTCCAGGACCGTTCTGCTGGAATCCGTCTGTCTTTATTCTTTGCTGGTCTATTTCGTATTTCTTTTCTTTTATGCCCCCTTTTTGAAGTAAAAAGAAAACAGAAAATAAACCCCGCTCGATTATCTGGCCTTGAGGTCCGCGCGTCTGAGGCACAATGTTGGGATGACCATGTGTAATAATCGTACAACCTCGCATGACCAATCATTATTCATTATGGACCGATTTGAACGCGCTTCGTTGTGACGGGTCTCGACTACCTGTAACGCAGCGCTGACATTGTGCTACTGTAGGACCGGAAGGTGATAACAATTTCAAAATAAATTAGGTTGCTGGTCTCCTGACACTCTCAAGTCTACATATCAACGGCTGTACCATCATTACCCGATATCTGTTTAACCACATCTGAAACGCGTGCTGCATCTCGCCGTTGTCACTCCTCCGATTGACTCCGAACGCGCGCGAGGAGCGTTCGGTCCAGACGTGATGCAGTAGCACACTCCATATTCCACTTTTTGCTTTATATATAAATATTATATATGTTTAGTCTAGGCGCCGCAATTGTCATCCTCTTTTTTTTATTTATTCTTTTAGCTATATCAAGTGCCCCAGTGCACCAACACCAGACATATTTCATGCTTAGGAGTAATACGCCTACGTTTCAAGGCGAAGTCAATCAAAACAAACCCCTTCCAGCAAAGAAGTGTGGCGACTCTTGAAGAGAGCAGGATTACGGGACCATAGTTCAATCCTAAGGCGGTGAAAGAACTTGGTAAGATGCACCTAAGCAATGATGTTCATCCTGATGCGCCACCATCATACGAGAGTCTTTACGGTAGAGGCGGCCAGTACCAAACGTCCCAAGCCTGGGCGACAGAGAGAGCAGAACCTCCACTACCTGCTCGGCCAAGACAAAACACATATACGCGAAACCAGGGTGAAGCGGTCATAGAGATAACCCTGCATCCCGAGCCTCTAGTCCACCAACGACGACACCAGCCATGGTTTGGCAATCTTCGGGTGAAATGCGACCATGTGCGGCGTGTCATGTACGATGGTTTCCACTGGAAACCTTCCAATATCGTAAGATCCGAGAGCTACTATGAATCCGGTATTAGGGATCCACCCTCTTACCTTCAGCAATCGTACGGAACTATAAGAGACTGGAACCCTGGATGGACGGAGGCGCGGCATTTTATAATGAGGGATTTGAAACACGAGCCACCGCATTGGGTTGCGAAGCTAAGTGTGTACGCGAAGGCTGTTGATATCCTAGAGGTGGCGGAACTAGAGGGACTGAGGGTCGAGAATATGGTCGGTATGCGTGGATACGGCCGCTTTGGGGAGACACTATATCGTTTTGATTCACGTGAGCCATTGTCAGGCAAGAACAACGTGTATATACATGAGGGCTACTTGATCTTTGGTCCTCGGCTGCCTTTTGCGAATGACATACTTAAGAAGGCAACGAAGCAGGTTGTAAGAGGACTGGTTCGTTAGTAAGGCCAAAAGAGGTGAAACAGTATGATGGTCGGGATAAATCACGATGACTCGCCGCAGTGGTCGGTGCAAGGCTTTTGCACCAGCTCATGATGGTGTTAAGTCAAAAACGTTATGGTCTAGAAAAATGTTGCTATCCTACATATTCGCTTACATAGGTTGTCAAAGGTCGGACAGCCTAACAAGACACGGTTCTTAAACCTACCTCGACCGTAAAAAAGCCCAAGGTATGCCCCTGGTAGTTCGTTCTCGATCGTTTGTCGCTTACACGGCAACGATAAGCAGAACAATCGGAGTCCTGTCGCTGTCGACCACAGTCACTTAGCACAGTCATTGAGAAATCAAACAACCATTGCACACATTACTTGGAAGTGTCGGCCACGCATCTTCAAGGCTTCAAATTTAGTTGAATTCCTCAAGAGGTGACGACTCTCGCACTCTGCACATCTCATCATAGTTACATCTGAGCCAAATTTGCCGCTAACGATAGCGGCAGAGTTCGTGGCCAACCATAGTCCCACCTTTTTGAGAGCCATCCTCAGCTTGTTGCAAGAGAAGTGGACCTACTGAAAAGTCTGTTCAATTTAGACCACGTTGAACCAACATACTAACATCTGAAATCACAATCATCTCATCTTGGTTAGTATAGTGGTCAGTATGCCAGCTTGTCACTAGATCACTAGATCTGCCTGTACGAGCGCTGGAGACCCGGGTTCAATTCCCGGACCGAGAGGATATCGTTCGATTGTCATTATCTTTTTGACCTCATGGGGTCGAGCTTGATGTTTTGTGGTATCTTGCGGCTATGTCGCGCAACGCGATTTGTTTATGACCTCCAGTGAGGGTACATAGAATGAGACCTGTGTCTAGTTGGAGGGTTGTGGGGTAATGCTGGTAAAATGAGCGAGCATAAGATGGGGCGAAGTAATACTGCATGTAATACATAAAATAAAATAAAATTTGTAAAATAAAATCACAAGTGCGGCATCAGTTGGAAATATTGCCCAACACGTAACTTGTGAGATTTGTTGAATTGCTTGAGTTGTCTGCTGACGAGCTGCATGAAGTCTTCCTCGCGGCCTTGGCAGAGATAAGTCAACGTGAAGGTCGGGCGAGTCTAGGACATGAGATTCGTAGGACAGGGTAGTTAGCTCGTATGGGGGCATAGCTCAGCTCACGGAATGGTAGTGCTGATATCAGCACCCAAGTGTTTACTCCGGCTTATCGGAAAACTTGAAAGAAGCGGCCGTGCCTGCGCCGACAGAAGATGTCCGGCCACTGAGGCGAAGCGATGCTAAGCGCAAAAAGACTACTGTAAATGGCATGTCTTCGATCTTCTGTCCAATGACAATTCATGCCAAGAGCTTTTGGTCTGATCGATGTGAGCTAGCCAATTGGGCACAGAAATAACTAAGGTTGAGCTGGCGATGAGGCTTGTAAGCCATTTGGGGCTGAAGAGCTTGATAAGTGTCTGCAAAAATAGAATGCCATGATAGCTTCATATAAGCTTAGGTATGATAGACAAGCCCATGTCTCTACGAACAGTGTATATAATGCCTTGACGATATCTACCATCAGGACATCTTGAAACATCATTCATCACAACAACTTACTCAACAAGCATCAATTTTACCTGTTTAATCCCATCTCTAACCTTCCACTCAATCACTCTAATACATAATCTATCTTTCAAACCCATAAATCAAAATGAAGACCTTCACTGCTGCTGCTCTCCTTATCGCCGCCGTCAGCGCGCGCTCAACTCCTCTCCGCGTCCGCCAGAACGGCGTCGGCAAGTACACGGTCTTGCCAACGCTCCTGGCCTCTCACGATGTCATCGCCGGCGACAACGTCCTCGCTCAGAACACCATCACCGCCCGCAACAATGGGATCGAGACATCAACTCTCTACGAGATCGAATTTCCTGAGTCTGTCTCCGGCCTCACCTGCGAAGCTCACTTCTTCGCTGGCCGCACTACCGACTCCGTCGTCGGGACCGGCGAACTTGACTTCTTCACCACCGGTATCGAGGACTTGGCCGAGCAGGCCAGTGGTAACCTCCGCGACCAGGCTTTGGGCCGCATCAGCTTTGTTGCCATCGGCGAGGACTTTGTCATCGACCCTACGGTCCCTTTCGTCTTTGCCGGTGGATTCCCTTGCCCTACTGGAACATTCGTTATTGAGAGCGCTGCTGTTGGTGACTTTGATGTTGTCACTGTCGGTCAGGACCTCGCTGGTGCTTGGACCCCCGCCAGTGGTAAGCCCAACGGGTTGAGCTTCATCGCCTACTAATTATGGCGATGGTGAACGGAGAACGGTACGGTTTTGATTGGGGCGTTGTTGCATTTGCGAGTTTTTGCTCAGGTTGGGATTTGCATTTTCAGGTTGCGAGCAGCATAGCGATTTGGGTACTGTTTAGGTCATAGTTGGTTCAGCATAAGTCATGAGTTCACTAATACACTCTTGTCGGATATATAGTCTATATCACAGTTTCTTCATTTCGTGAAAGCAGCGCCAAGGTTTTATCCCATCAAAACCCCCTGAATAAAATCATATTCTAACCCGTGTAAAGGTACATAAGTAAAAATCGTAAGGACAGAAGCTGTCAATGAAGTATTGTGGATTAATAAAGATTGGTACGAGTGCCGAGAATCAATGTGCAAAACAATGCAACAGAGCCAATTCATCTGGAGTAAAGTTCGCCAATGGTACTGCCTTTGCTTGAACGAGAGACGAGTTCAAAATTGCATATAACAAATATGAAAACTACAATACCATTTTAGTCGTATGTAATTGATTATTGGATCCAAAGCGGACTTCGATTGCACATAGGAAAGCATGATGGTGACTTACTACAAGCCATCAACTAAAGTATGCAACGATCATCTAGGGTTACATGGCCATCATTAATATTTCAAGTCTATATTGCCGGATTCTACTGACGTAGAAGACTAGGCAAATTGGTGCGTTAAAATCCGACACGGCTTTTGAGACTCGTCAAATTCCGAAGTAGTCCGAAAGCGTATACACTCAAGTCATCCAACCATATAAGTTAACCAAAATCACAACTGAGACCATTTGTATTACTTGGGTCGAGAAAGCAATCATTTAATTGTCTTTGACTTCCCTTGCAGTTGTATGTTCGAGTAAGCACTCAACAGATTGTGCATTGTCAGTGACCGTGTCAACCTGCGATATTCGAGAAAACAAAACTGACGACCACTCTCTTGCCGACAGGTTGGTCATAGAACCTGCCAATGCCGCCTTTGAGAATCCTGATAATTGGGGCCGGCGTAGCTGGTCCCTCCCTGGCTTTTTGGTTGGCGCGTTGCGGCCATCGCATCACCATCACCGAACGTTCGCCTAACCTCCGTGCTTCTGGGGCGCAGATTGACCTTCGGGCACAAGGCATCACCGTGGCACGAATGATGGGATTGATGCCATATATTCAACGTCATCTTGTGGACGAGGCAGGCGTTGCATACCTCGACTCCCGAGGCAGAGTTATTGGAACAATCATGGCTAATCGCTCAGGACGAGGTGCCCAGAGTCTAACTAGTGAATACGAAATCATGAGAGGCGACTTGGTTAACGTCCTATATGATGCCACAAAGAATCTCGATGGTATTGATTATGAATTTGGGAAGACTGTCGAGAGATTCGTGCAAGAAGGAGACGGAGTCAAGGTCTGGTACGACGACAAAACCACCGAGAAGTTCGATGTTCTAGTTGGAGCAGATGGACAGGGAAGCAGAACACGCAAGTCCATGCAGAAAAACTCAAACAATGAAGATTCAGTAAGAAGATTAGGTGTCTACTTGGCTTATTGGAATATCTCAAGGACGAAGACCGACAGCAACATACGGCAGATGTACATAGCACCAAGCCGTTGGATCTTTTGCCGAAGCCATAGCGAAACAGATACGCAGGCGTATTTCTTCTTCCGAGACGACTCTGACGAGGCAAAGAGTATGACTAGAGCCCCAGAGGAAGAGCAGAAGCAGTTCTGGACCAAGAATTTCCAAGGCTTGGGATGGCAGACGGAAAGATTTATCGATGGCATGAAAACCACATCAGACTTCTACTGTCAGGAAGCCGCACAAATCAAGACGAATACATGGTCGCAAGGTCGCGTGGTACTTCTTGGCGATGCGGCGCATTGCGCGTCCCCACTGACTGGGATGGGGACAACCGGCGCGTTTGTTGGTGCTTACGTGCTCGCTGGCGAGATTACTCGTCACAGTCAAAACCTGGACTTGGCTTTCGCCAACTACGACAGAATCCTTCGCCCGTTTGTTGATGAAATTCAAAAGTTGAAGCCCCTCCAGATCAACATCGGGTTCCCAACAACGCAACTAGGCGTATCATTGTTACACGCCTTTGTACGATTGATATGTTGGCTCCGCTTGCCATATATCATCGCAAGGTTGTTCAGCGAGGTCAAAGGTGGTTGGGAACTTCCTGTCTACGCTGAGCTGATCTCAAAATGAATCGCTCGGTTGCCACTCCACAAGTTCTGATGCTGGACAATATCGTATTATCGTGATGGCGTGCGGAACGGATGTAATTCTAGAGTTCACTGAAAAGTCAGCTATGTATCTGTAAATTCAATGAATACACTCCCCGCCCAAACACAAGAGTGCACAATATTCTCGTCAACATTCGCCGCGAATCATCGGCTTCATCAGCCTTACTGCTTTTTAAATGCCTGCCCACTAAGTACATCGAAAACCCTTTTGAAAGGATTTACTGTAATGACAACTAAGCGTGACTCGTCTGCTTTTGAGTCTCCGGGTAGGGAAGACTTGCAGTATATTCTGGAACACCTGAAACCAGCAGTACGGCCTTCTGTAGTCCATTCGAAGAAATGAAATATGACCGGCGTCACGTCCTTGTCATGATTTGAGGTAAAATTTCCCATTAAACTACATCGAAACCTCGGGTAGGGACACTAATCATCTACTTCATCACGTAGCGGGCACCTCGCTTGTAGTTGAGCCATGTGTTTGTGTCCATGTATACCGAGACAGGAAGACGGAATGTGAGCCGTGCACATTTAGAGCACAGTGAAACCGATGGACAAGAAAATTAGGAGACAATCGTAAACTCTATCACAGTCATCCGAATCACAGTATCTGAGACGCACCTTAACACTGGTGGCTTGCAAGGTTATTTAGTGTCTGCGGGGTGGTATGGTTAAAGTCAGAGTTCAACAAATAATTAGTAAATTTCACTACGTACTATGTACGTACTTGGAAACAACAAGAGGAAATTACGTCATTGCAGACTCATCGTAGACTCTGAAAAAAAAAAACATGGACAGAAGCAGGGCTGACAGGTGCTCTTTTGGCATGTCGTGCGCTGAGACATTTGGAAGACCTCTTCAAGAGGGTGAAATGCTATATGCCATCGCGATTTACTGGTATCGAGCAGTTGCGCGAGACAATTAGTAGTGATCCCTTCATTCTTGGCCTATAATGGTACACCTGCGATACGCATTTGACTAGAACGTAATATCCACACGCGGTACAAACGATCAATAAGCCAAATGTAAATATTCATACTGATTACCTAAGTATAAAAAAGGGAGACAGGCCTCCTAAGCAGCATCAACCTGAACAGCAACTGGAGAATAATGACTATTGTATGGCAGAAGAGTCAGGACATATCAAGCATCGTAGTACAGAGTAAGTGAGGTTGGGATAGGAGACTCCTTCGAACAGGAGTCTAAGTAATGCCTCATTGCGATACCAGCCAGGTCGTGTTCAACAATGGAGAATTTCCCAAGCTTGCCAGGAGCACGCCGAACATTCCTGAGCTTGAACACCTCCCTCAGTGTGGCGGCAAGTGCGGGTGTGATCAGCGCAGCGCCAAAGCAGGAATGCAAGCCATGGCCGAGGAGAATGTAATCCTTCATCGAACGATGTGGGTTGAGCTTATCAGGCTCGGGATATTGTGTCGGATCCATGGCGGCCTTTGATGTGGCGATGAGAACCGTATGTCCAGCCTTGACATGCACGGGCCCACGAGCGCCGTCTTCGATCATGATATCCCTGGTGGCTACACGGGGAGGCCCGGAACGACACCAGCGTGTCGCATACCTTCCATTACGAAGCCGTGAAGCTCGCCATCGGAGTCCTCTGGTTTCATGTGCGCCAACTCGATGATGCGTTCTTTGTACTGCTCGTACCCCGGGCTGAGGAAGAGATCAATAAGCAGAGAAGCTTGCTGCGTGATGTTACCTGCAACAGGTGCTCCTAGGCCAATGCAATCTCCGACAATGTCCCCAATTGGCAACCCCGACTCGTTGAGGGCGTGGTAGAGGCGGTCAGCCTGAGGACCAACCTCAAAAGCGCTACCCTTGGCAAACCAATCCACAGCTTTCTCCTTGATACCTCTTTGCGTCTTCAGATGTGTTTCGAAGATTGGGCGTAGAATGTCGCCCGCTTTCGTGGCTGCTTCTCGAAGCTTCCACTCGTTCACAGGCATGATATTGAAGCTCTGGTACATGAAAAGAATCAGGTACAAGCCAAAGGCTTCAAAGACTGAAATCATTCCCTTCGGCTTCTCTTCAGTCTTCAGTGGGATTGCAAATTTGTCGGCGAGCCATAGGATTGGGGTAATGTTGGTCACATTTTGGACAATGTCGATGCATCTCTTGCCCTTTGACAAGTTCAGGGAGTTCTTCGTAATCAGTTTCCTGACGTTGTTGCTGAAGAAATTAGCCACATTCTTCTCAAAGCCTTCTTCCATGAAAGCCTTGTGCAAAATAGTTGATCGGTCATCGTGCCGTTTGGCGTCATCCCAACCAATCATGAAGTCGTGTCCAGCAGTACAGTTGCGAATTGCATCCTGATACATGACACGAAAGTTATCACGATCTTGGAAGACCTTTTTGCAGCCTTCGTGGGTCTGGATGCTAATAATGTCCATACCACTCTGAGGTCTTTTTGTGTCGTACTTTTCCAGCACACCGTTGCCCTTCAGAATACCTTTTGAAGCTTCTGGAGTATAGAACGGCAGGAGCACGTACGATGAAGTGCCTGTGAATGCTCCAGGGAGACCTCTAAGTAGTAACTTAGGCAGCATTCCGCCATATGCACCAGGAGCGCCGTCCTGGAGTAGTGCAGCCCCCCACTGGGTCAAAGTATTGCTGTTGAGGTCGTAGCTTAGAAATCGATCTCCTCGAACAAGAGAGACGGCATCATCTAGTATACCTCGACCAGTCGTCTGGCCTGGGCAGACACCGCTTCCAGGAATCGCAGGTTTGGTACATTCAGCCATTAGACCAGGGTAGAGCTCCATGTTCTCTATATGGCCATACAACAGCTCAGCCGCCCTGGCAACGGTGGTGTCCTCGTTCCACTCGTCAAAGCTTTCGTAGGGCTTCAAATTCAAATAGCGGCGGAATCTGCGATGTGTATTGTTAGTTCCCGTTCGTGGCTTCTGCGAAAAAAAGGAACAAAAAGAAGGAAAAGAAGAGAGAGAAGCAATGGGGAGAAAAGTTTCGACTTACTCGTTGAGAGTGCAGACATTGAACACTTCTCTTGCCTGCTTTTGGCCTAGAATGTCTACCATCCTAAGACTAGCTGGCGTGCCGCGGGCTCCGAATTCATGAGCAGGCTCTTCGATTGCGTCTTTGATGAGATCTGCGAGCTGCACATCGTTAAAACTGCCGTCAGCCTCACGCTCAAGCCCACCAAAAGTCCATTCCCTGGGCTGAGTTGCCATCAGTCTATGGCCGTGTTCCATCATCACCTTGTAAAACATATCCTCGGTGACGTCGTCGACGGACTTGAGATCGGGAAAAGTGGCTCTCAAGACATCCTCCATCCACTTCCCATCCGCAGCGCTAAGAGCAGCATGCCAATGGTATAGCACTGCGAACTCAACCGAGACAACATTTCCACTGCCGCGCTCAACACGTTGACCGGACTTCTTGATCTCCTTACCAAGGTTGAGATTCCACTCAGAATTGGCCCGTGGGGTATTGAGAATGGCTGAGACATAGTCCTTCAAGACTACAGTTGCGAAGAAACCAACATTGATGTTCCGTGAGATTTGAAATATATTTTCGTCTTGCCTATAGGATTTGTTAACAACTGTCATGGGTAGATTAAATAACGTATCACTCACCATTGCTTGCCCTCATCATCGAGCTCATCCCAGAGTTTGTATTTGCCCTCCTCGTTGACTTGTATCAACGAATTGGCGATGAAGTTGTGATGTCTGGAAAACATAACTAAGACGGCCACCACTGGGGGCGGCATCATCAGGATCCTCTCTGAGGCGATGGAGTCAGGGTAGATCAAGCCATTTTCGTACGTTCGGACGCGCTTCTGCTCGTTTTGGGTATTGCCGTAAAGGGTACTCAGGTCGACATAACTGGAAGTTTCGTTGATGAATGGGTCTTTTCGAGAGGTTTGGAAGCATTCGTGGATAACAACCGTTGCAAAAGCGAAGAACATCCGGTTTAGACCTGATGGGTGCTTACGGAATACACCCTCTTCTCGCCTCATCAAAGAGTCGTAAACTGCCTCGTAGTCTGGCAAGTTGGGGCCTTTAGGTTTCATAGGCGGCACATTGCGAGAATATGGTGACCCAGCTTTTCCCATGTCTGGATGCCATGGGTTATTTCCGCCACCATCATGTCTTCGATATCTCGATGTTGGCCCAGCTGATGTCAATGCCGGATGTGGTAGATCTGCCCATAGCATGGTTATAAACCCATCAGAAATAGCTTCGCTCAAGCCGCTATTCGGAGGCAGTTTCTGGAGCATTTCAACCCCCTTTTCAAGGAGTAATTCTTTGTCGTCTAAAGGGTTTCCAGCCGCCAAGGTGGGCAAGTTATGGGCAATTGTGTGTTTTTCCTTCAGACTCAACCCCATGAGATCAGAGACGACGTTTGTCTTCTCGCCGTTTGTAGCTCCCGCGGCAGCGGCAGCTTGTTCATTGGTTCGGCCATCAGCTGCCTTGCTAGGGCGCCTGTTGATCGTCCCGATGAGTGACTTGAGTCTTCCTGGCATGATATATTAGCAATGACTAATAGTGACTAGACTTCTTAGACCTAGGAAACAGATATTTGCAGAACAAGAATAGAATTTTCCCAGGTAGATGAGAAAATTCATTAAGGCTGCCTAGCTAAGCTGGCCCCTTCCCTCGTTGGCTCGTTACATCATTATGGAAAATGCAACATGAACGTCGGACGGCAGCTGCGCCATGGCTTGGGAGCTACCCCTACCACACAAGAGACGGTTGTCTCTCTGTCAGTTACCGCGAATCGTTCGCACGAGCTGGAATGTTAGCCATGGTCCAATGGGGCTGCTATGATTGGTCGATCGTGGTGATGGTCGCCGATTGCTTTTTTCTCCACCACGGGGCGCTTGCCAGCGGGACGTGCCATGCAGCCTTTAGTGTCACCACCTGTGCAACTATTTTTCAGCCCTCCAATATGATCCCATGTCCAATTGGTCACTGCAGAACCACTTTCGCAGCTATAGAAGCTAAATACTCGCCAATCTAACCTTGCCGCCAGTTAGGGACGGGATTTGCAGCACTAGAATTTGCGAATCAAACACATTCTGGAGGCTTTCAATGGAGACGAGATCGATCGTCGACGCTAGAGTTTAGACATATGCAGCCGCCAAAGGACTTTAGAACTTTACTTCCACGCGTTGTGATCTACCCAAGTGGCAGAGTGGCTGGCTGACAACGACATCTCATGCCGCCCGAAGGGCATAAGCTCCCTTTGGTGCTATGTAGTGCATTGTCAATCGATCCAATCAGGCCAAGTGTGTGACATGAACTCGGAAGTAATGTCACTGGACGCATGTTATTGGACACATCGGAAAGTCAGAGACATTGTATTACATGCAGTAAAATGTGATCGGCAATGTAGCTTTTGTAGCTCCAGCCAGATAGTTCTCAGGATCCCCAGCGATACGGAAAAGTGCTCCGAGTATTGACCGTGCATGTGAAGTGAAGCAATTTGCCTCTCGAGGACCTTTTTCACTGTATACTCATCTCAATCGATCTCTACAATCACATAGTAAATATATGTCGCCATTATTGCACTCAATTCAATACCATTCAGGATGGAAAGGAAAGTCAGCAGAAGGACTGGGTCTTACCCGATTCAAGACACAGACTTCTTTCCACATGTAGATTCACGAGCGCAACAGACCATCGCGGATGATAACAAAAGTCTCCGGCTACCAAGAACACTTCGCGCATTGAATAATTCACGCAATATCACAAACCATCCTCGAACGCTAGTCATCTGTCTCGACGGGACCGGCGACCAATTCGATAATGACAACAGCAACATCGTCAACTTTGTCTCTTGTCTGAAAAAGCACTCGCCCTCTGAGCAGGTTACATACTACCAGTCGGGTATTGGTACATATGACAAAGGCGGGTTGAAGAATGGCATTGGCGCGGCTATGGACATGGCCGTAGGAAGCGGGTTGGGTGAGTAATTTCCAATGCAATGTTTGTGCTGCCATACAACTAAAACATTGTGATAGGTATTCATATAAAAGATGCGTACAATTTTTTGATGCAAAACTATCGCGACGGCGACAAGATTTGTCTATTCGGCTTCTCAAGGGGCGCCTACACGGTACGATGCCTCGCTGGAATGCTACACAAAGTTGGCTTGCTACCTGCCAGCAACGTGTCCCAACTCAATTTCGCCTACAACTTCTACAAGAATGACACAGAAGATGGTAGAGAGCTTGCGGCTGGCTTCAAGCGGACATTTTGCACACATGTTGAAGTTTACTTCGTCGGCATTTGGGACTGCGTTGCCAGCGTCGGCTTCATTCCCCGCCGATTGCCATTTAGCAAGTCACCGACCAACTCGATTCGTCATTTCCGACATGCAATGGCTCTCGATGAACATCGTGCCAAGTTCAAAGTTTGTCAGTGGCAGCAAGAAAATCCCGGGGAGCACAATCCGAAACGGCGAGGGACGGTTGATTTCACACCTACAGGTCGTCTCCGGCGTCGTTTCGGTGTGCAGAAAACCCCCAACATGGCAACGAACCCCCAAGCAATCAACGGCAAGTCCAATGGCTATACTAACGGTCACATCAATGGCAGCGAGAAAAGACCCACAACCCAACACAGCAGCGACAGCCAGGATAGTCTCGAACGTAAGTTCGTTGCCCAGGACAAAGCACGACATCGCAATCGATTCTTTGAAACTGACGTTCTCGAATGTTGGTTCATGGGCTGTCATGCCGATGTGGGAGGCGGAGCCGTCGCCAACGAAAATCGACACAAGCTGTCGCATATCCCTCTACGCTGGATGATGCGCCAGTGCTTTGAGTGTGACACTGGTATTCTGTTTAATACTTCACGCCTGGCTGAACATGGTCTCGATGTACAGACGCTGTGGCCGGTATACCAGAAGCCAACCAGACCAATCGCCGGGCCTGCCCCGAGCGTAATGGCGAAATACGAAACAAATAGCTTGGAGCCTCTATATCGACGCGCCGCGTTTCTGCCTATCGGACCAGAAGAGGACCAGATCAAGGACCAGCCGTCGTTAGAACGCCTTGGCTATGTCCTCCTATCGGAAGCAAACGAGGATTATTTTGATGCCTTGGAAAAATGCAATGATATGCTTAGGATTGCTAAGGTGTGGTGGATTCTCGAGGTCTGGCCTATCAAGTTGCGGATTCTCAACAAAAGCGGCGATGGCTGGGAGAAACGCGTACGATTAAATTTGGGAAGACATCGCGGTATTAGAGATGACTCGCCGAGCATGCATTGGACTGTACAGCACGCTATCGATGAAGGAAGATATACACTCAAGACCAGATGCGAGAAGGGTGTTTGCTGGACAGAGATCATTTAAAGTTTTACGGACTGAATTTTTTTGCATATCGCTCGTTTAAACGCACTGCAATGTTGCATCTATTGTTCTATTTCATACAACCCTTTCGAAGCGTTCAACGTATGGCCAGTTATGCAGTGTTATAATGTTTACTCAATATTTGTCATCATCACCATTGGTTTTCGCTATGCCCGAGACCTTTTTGGGGGATCTGACAGCAATTGAATCAGCTTCTGTAGATTTCACGTGTCGGGCGGGAATCAACCAAATGTATGGAGAGGTTTTCGGCAAGTTCTTTGAGAAATTTTGCAGTTTGTCGGAAAACTAAATTGCAGAATGCGCCCTTGTTTGGATATTTTGTTCTTGAACATTCTTTGAAGCAATTGTGAAATAGAAATACCAGACGAGGTTGTGATGGCGCAGGCAGGTAAATGACGTGCCCCGCCTCCTTCTCCTGCTACGCCACTACGTCCGAAGTAATGTGTTTATGCCTACCCAGGATGTCACATCTGGACACAAATCACGCCGCTTTTAAGACATGACATCGTACTGGTGCGGCTTATGACTAGTATAGCTTGGAACGTATACTATTTCAACGTTCTGGCTAACTAGTACAGATGGGAGACACTACGACTTACGACGCTACCGAATTGGACGATGTATAGAATCAGACATTGACCATGGTGGGGGACGGAGGGGCAGAGCAAAACTGTGCAATGTATAGAAGTAAACATCAGACATACCTAAATCAAGGTAAGGAACTTCTCATTAATGCGCCTGATCATATATTTTTGCCTTCATTGAGATTTGATACTCCGGTTGCGGACAATAAGGCCGCTACATAGCTGCTATTTGGTAAATCCTATCACGAAAAACTACGTATAACCGCACGGTCTCACTGCAAAACTTCGTTACGTTCAATTGCCTGAATAGGACGTCATCCGTAGCTTTCATTCACCATCTCTTATTGTGACAGGATGAATAAGTCTTCATTAGCTCATTTATATTATTTCTTATATAGACGTTCACTGACGTCGGGTTGCGCATCGTCTGTGCCACGGACAAGTCTCAACTGCGAAATATTAGCTGAGCTCTAAAGGATGTTTGGCTTATGGAGATGACCTTAGCATACATGTGTAAATGGTATTCATTTTGGAAGTGCGGGGGTTTTTTTTCTCTTCAGTTTCAACGAGTAAATAAAACCCCTGCCGTCGGGAGCAGTCCAGCAGATATGTGTTCTATATCTAATGACCAATATCGGTAAACTGACGATCATATGTGCATGAATTTCAGACAATCTCAACAGTCCCCTGGGTGCTTTTCTCGAGCCATTCCTTTACTCTGTCCTCTGAACCATCATAATCATCATAGAAAACAGTATAACAAAGCCGGATCCGTTCGAAAGCCCCTGGTCCTCCCTTTGGCCTAAGCACGAGGGCTGTAGCGCGCATTACCCAAAGGCATGACACAGTTAAAGAGCTTGTATCACCCAGGAAGAATGGAAAATCCGGCAAAATATTGGTTGCGCATGATGCGAAAGAGTGGTAAGCACAACTCGTAATCGTCAGGAAAAAGTTGCTACAATAGTAACCTTTTAGCTGCTGGTAGAAACGATTCGTTCAACGCCCTTTTTACAGGATGACTATGTACTATTTTCCCTCAACCAAGGGCTGAGCCTGAGTAAAAGCGGCATTGGGCGCTAGTCCTAACCCAGCGAAAGAAAAGGTGCCTATTGAATATGCCTGACGGCCTCCCAGTTCGCCAAGCCTACGTGGGCCCAGCTATAAGAGTAATATGTTCACAGGCAATAATTCTCTCTCAGATCAAGGAGATCTCCAGGACTGTCAGGTTTGACAGAAATAAGATGATGTCCTCCAAATCCTCTACCATTACGTCGGCCGCGGCCGAACGTGTCGCTTTGACACCCGAGCTCATGGAACTCATATTCCTAGATACCGACTTACGCACACTTCTCGTGTCAGCGCAAAGAGTGTGCAAGACATGGAACGGCATTATCCAATCATCACGTCAAATACAGTGCGCGATGTTCTTCGAGCCTATCGCACCCAGCACAGATGAGGAGATCACACAAGGCCGGACCATCAATCCCCTGCTCGCAGACCGCTTTCCATCTTTCTTTACAACTGCTAGAAACACGATAAAAAGGACTGCAGATGAAGAATTCTTGCAGGAGAATATAAAATTCAACGGCGAAAACGAGCCCTTCACATTCATGGACGACCCGCCCCGAGGCTCGACTAGTAAGCGTCGTGGCCCAAAGACTGTTCAGCCAACGACGAAGCGAGATGCTTTCTTGCGCACTGGATCCAGTTGGCGCAGAATGCTTCCCCAACAGCCTGCGGCGCCCAATGTGGGACTAATCGAGGTGCGTGGTCCATGTGAGCGATCGTGGTATAGCGATGTCATCAAACCGAAGCCAGAAGCTGGCAGTGTTGTTACCATGGGCATGCTTTATGATATGGTATATCGATTTATGGGACAAAAAGGGGATAAAAGCAAGTTTTGCGTCTACTGGCGTAATGCGAAGAAGGACAAGAGCCATGATTTCAGTCAATGGTACGGTAGGTGTAGGGAGGAATATGGTATCCTAGCTGATTGGCCAGACGACATTGGGATTGTTGTCATACGAAATGCCTGTAACAATGGAGATTGGAATAATTCAGTCCAATCCATGGCATCGTTGGATGCGAAGTACAAGCCTCAAGAGATGGTATTGTACAATCCTGAGCTTCTTTATAAGGACGGTGAGGACTGGTTTGGCTGAGGCTTGTAGATTTCTGTAGTTCAGCTTGTTTCTAGACGCAATGCTCAAGCTGTCCACGTACTACTTATAAGATTCGTCAAAGATCTTTGAAATTATAATTATGGCTTCTTCAACTTGGCTGCCTTCCAATTGGAGAATATTGTATAGTTTACAGAAATGGTAGTAACTTCTTTTTATTCGCGTAATAAATTAGTCTCATTATACCTTTATCATCTCTCCTCATAATGACTGCCAATTTAAATGCAATGTGCAGAGTCTATACTCGTTAGTCAAAAAGCCACCAGATTGACACTAATAGACTATACTTCTAGAATTATGACTGTTATAATAATCTTTCATATAGAAGAGCTGTTGCCGGAGATCTTTGACTTCGTCACTCTTGGCCTTCGTACCCATGGATACAAGCTTTAGTATATTTCGAGAATTCGGCCGGTATATCCTGCATGACCATAGAAGCCATGCCAACGTTATCTTAAGAGAGTGGTATTGTAAAACTCAACTAGAACGCCTTTGTTATCGCTCATCTGATCGGGGTAAGCCGGGTGATGTAAAGACAATCAAGCGCATGAGTAAGATAAATTGAATAAGAATATCCTACATAGCGCCGAATAAGAATGTATTTTAGAAGGCGTTAGAGGAAATATCGAGGAACTCGCACATGAAAGATGTTTAATTATATTAAGCCTGATTTTTGATTCTAGGCTTCCTTGTGGAAATCTCGCCATATCTCCATGATCTTCTTAGTCAATGTATAGATAAGATTGTTCTTGGCCGCAGTCTTCCAATTGTCATGCTCTAAACCAACTACAACGTTAAAAATACGGAAAGTAGTGGCGATGGAGCGGGTTTTATTTGATACAAGTTCTTTGAGCTTGAATATAGCTGTCAGGATAGGTTGGATTGCCCCATTGCGGATACGGTTGGGTCACTCATCTTTGCTAGTGGAAAGGCAGTTAGACAAACCATATACCAAATCTTATTGTTAAAATATGGTGTTGTTATCATTTATCTTAAGTTACCAACACCCTTATGAAACACTATTCGCTCGTCAAATCATCAAGCATATCTCACACTACTCTGCGAATGCAATCCACCTTGTGCGTACGACGACTCCGCCTCTTTATTGCCGACGCCCTCCGTGCCTGCCAAGTCACCGGGCGTAGGTCCTTGTCCCACTTCCTGGACTACTTTCTCATCAGCGCGTCCACCCTCGGCACTCTTCAATACCTCCATGAGCTGTCTAGCACCCAACGGCCACGGTACGATTTCACCCTTGCCGCCGTCACTAACCAGACCTTGATGAGGCTTGACTTCACCACGTAATACGCGCTCAGGTGTGATGCCCTTCTCAGCATAAAATGCTGCGTTGGCATCTGGACGTTGCACGATAACTGTTCCGTCGGCCTGAATGCCAGCATAGAAGCCGCGGGACTTCATGTAACTCCAAACTGGCTTACCGGCACCAACTGCAGCATCCAGCGACGCACCGGCACCTACAGGTCCAGCAACGACGGCAATTTCACCACCAAGACTGAAGCGTGGCTTGGTGAATGCCTGAACTGCTTCCACGGTGTTCAGGACGCAGACACAGTCATAAATGTCCAAGCCTACCATGAAGCCGGCGCCAAGAGTGTGGACCAAGAACCCGGAGGGCGGAGACCATGAGCCATCTGGCAGTCGGGACAATACGATACCGGAGCCAGAAGCGCCGGAGATGTGAAGACCTGTGCGAAATACGGTGAAAATGGCAATGCCCTTTGCTTGTGCGATAGCTTTGGAGGGAACCTTGACCAAAGTCTTGGACTTGTTTGCTGGCCCTGGGTTCGTTGCATGCCCAGGAGAAGGCGGCGGGTGCGACGGTGACTCGGTGTAAAATCCGTCTGCTGTTGCAGGGGTTAGCAAATATCACGGGGCTATTAATCAAGGAAGTTGTTACACGTACTGCAGAAAGACTTTAAGATGCGTGCCGCCTTGTCGCACTCCTTATCCATGCTGGTAGGCCAGAAAGCTTCCGAGCCCAGCTTGTTGGTAATCTTGTTCACTGGCACACCGGCTTTGACACTCCAGTCATAGAACCGCTCGCCGAATGTCTTCTTCTTCTTGGCATCAATGACCTCGTCATGTGCAACGCCCGCACCTCCCGCAGCGCCTGCTAGACCTGCGGCGCCGGCGGCAGGCGCTGCGTAGCCGTGATGCTCGCCCGTTGCGGGGCCGGCTCCGTGCATCTCAGCGCCTCCGGGAGGAGGAGGGAAATACGGGGCCTGGCCCTGTCCTTGACTCGAGCCGGGCCGCGAGCCAGGTCGTGGGGGGAGAACGGGTGGTTTCTCATCTCCTGGGATATAGAGGCCAGGCGTCGGCTCGTAGCTCGGTGGTGCCTGGTTGTGATCTGGAGGATTCGACTGTAGCGGGTGATATGTCTGTTGGGCCTGGCTCGGGGGCGGGCCAGAAGGCGGAGGAGGATAGTAGTCTTGTTGGTGCTGTGCTGTAGGCAGATCACCTGATGGCGGTGGATAGACGTGTTCTTGGTACTGAGGTGGATTGTGTTCTGACGAGGCATGGCCGCCAGTTTGCTGGTGAGGAGGTGTACCGCCTGAAAGCTCACTGGCTGGAGGTGCGCCGGCTACGCTGGCTGTCTCAGCGTAGTAATCGGGATTGGTACCATGCCCGCTTTGGTTGTTCGGGTATGCGCTCATGCTGGCAATATTTTCTTTCTATAGTTCTGCTGAAGTAGAGAAGATGTCACTGAGTCCTTAGTGTTCGCAGATGGTACTGGCTGAAGGTTGCGATACTGGTGAATGATGGAAAATGGATAGTTCTATTTGGGCAGGAGAGCTAGACGGAGATATATAATGATAAAAGCTCACTTGAGCACGCCGTGGTAAAGTGGGATGGGTATAGAGCCAACAAACCTGCAAGCTTGTTCCTGGCTTTGCATCACTCACATCATGTTTGCAGACGCGTGTAGCCGTGGCTCAAACCAATGGTAGCTGCGCATGTACGGCACCTATTCTGAGCCTAAGTCGCACAGCTTGCAATGCTAGCACTTACTGTTTCATGCATGGCAGCATGGCAGCGGCGACCTTCATTACGAAAGCTCCCGACGATCACCAATCAGCATGGTTCGCGACTGGCAAACTTGGTGGCATGTGAGGGGCATCGAAAGCCGGTGACAGATTGATGTCATCGCCACAAAGTGGGCGGGGCGCAGCTGGTAGCCGACTGCCAAGCTGCACAGCGGGCGAGGCGCAGCCCAATTTCGTTGTGTCTGGCGGACTGGATACCGGATAAAATGTCTCGGGTGCCTGTCGTGACATTTACTTGACATTCAATATTCTTCGAAAAGGATCTTGTGGCCCAGACTTTCCCAAGTAACTGAGGACTGCATAAGCCCACCCTCCTCAGGTCTATGAAATTGAACCTCATCTTCCATGACAAGTTCATCTCCAACACCTGTGTGCATCGTTTGTATAATATTCAGACATCCCGCGATACTGGGTGACACGATTATAGCGAATACTGGATGCGTATCCTCGGCGACTCTTTATAATCATTCCTCAAACCTTGTCCTGAGAATTAGGGAACATTGAATCAGGGAACATTTGTGAGATGGGACACCTTCAAGCACAGTGTTCTGAACGAAGAAACCCAAGGACCTGGTGATTTTCAAGAAAGCTTCATCTTACTAACTTTCCTTCGCACTTATTTTACCAGGTATCACCAAATATCAATAGAAACTCTAACATATACGACCATAATTCACAGACTTATCATACAACTCGTATAGCCGGGCACGGCGCATCCACTAATAACGCGACACGAGGTTGAGCTCGCTGCAGAATCCTGGAGAAATTGCGCTCATTTGTTTTGACAGCCAACAGAGACGTCAAGTGTTCACAAGGTCGCATGGCATAAGACCATAGAGTGCTTACGGAAGACACGATGTCGTGGATCTAGACAGGGACCTCAATGAGCTATTGACGTGGACCAGAGCGATAGCATAGAAGTTGACATGGCACCTATTTTCGCCATTCTTGGCTCGCTCTTGAAACTCGCCAAACGAAAGCTGCAGTGGCTAGGAAGATTGACGCTTGTAAAGTAACTTGAGCAACTTCAGATCAGGTTCGTAATTTATCCAGAGTCAGACTGGCCAACTCCTGGACGTTGGTATGATGAGAAGCTGTTGAAACCAATGGAAACTGATCTCGTATCTTTATTTGTTAGTGAAATCGATCAAGACCAGTTTTAACTTCGTGGCTCGTTACTGGTTACTCGCTTGCCCTCCTACTACGCACCTACGCAATGGAGGATATCGGGCAATTTCTACTGACAATCAACACAGCTGGCCCCATCCCATCGAGCAACGAAAGTTATATACAGCCGTTTTTGTCTACAGATATTCTCAATCCTCCTAGTCCGCGGGTCTAGGACAGGCACTGCAAATCAAACATTCTCAACTCAATATTCGGGTTCTTAAATACGACCTATAAACCATCAGCAATCGCACCGGCAACATCTCCAGAAAACAAGGCTAGATACGAAAAGATGTTTATCATGTATTATGACACGAGCACTATCTCGTTCCATCGCCCCTTTTAACTCCACAGTAAGAGCAAACGACAATTTGCAACTTCATGACAATATCTTGAGTCATGTTTATCAAATATTTGCCGCAGATAGATGAATGGCAAAAACCACCATACTTATTAACTAGTGAATATACTATGTTTACATCGAATACATTAACCCACCATACATAATGAGCTTCCTATACAGTGGAGGTTGCTAGTTTTGACTCCATTTCTAGGTTGACTTGGCTGGCTAGATGACACATGGAGAAATACGTACGTCAGGCAGCATTATCCAGCATGGTTGGTCAGCCGCTGTCTTGGTTGGGGTCTTGAAGAACGGTTTGAAGATTCCACATTGGTTGAGGCCAAGCGATTTTGGAGTAATCTTGCACTTGGTTAAAGGCGTTGAGAGCGCCGGTATGGAAATGAAAGAAGATTTGGGCACATTCTCCATCTCACAAATACCCATTATGTCATCGTAAAGGGCTCTTGATGTCCTCTTGTGTGGACAGGTCTTCACGAGTCCTTTTACACTAGGAAGAAGTCGGAAGTAGTCAGTGTGCCTAAACAAGTTTCATTTAGCTGCCTTTCGCGCTTTTTCGCTTGTCGATTCTTTTCACTTTTCTTGTTCAGCTTAACCAGATCGGTTTTATTTTTCTATTTACTCTTTATGAATGTTTACACCAGCGATAACAGTCGGGAAAGCCGATAAAGTGGCGACGAAATGATGTGTTCTTACCCTCTAATTATGTTCTTGCCGAGCCGCCTCTAACTCCGCTTCAAAAATTTCCATCCAACTCAGACAAGTAAGAAACAACCGGGCTTGAATTGTCCAACGCTGCTCCTCACCACTCCTCGCCACGTGTAGCATAAAATCGCGACTCGCTGGTTTTAAAATGGTCTTGAAAGACTTTGGTTAATCCGCCTGTGAACCTTGATGTAGACGACATGACCATGTTGCTTGAGTTATAACATCAGTCTAATACGAATAGACTAATTCATCTGTATATTTCTGGAGACAAAAGCCTAGTTTGTTTCGTTCTATGTGAATCGCTTATATGTATAAAAAAGCTCAATCTAATCATTTGTCGTCTTTACTCCTGGAACACCCGCTTTTAACTCAGTCCTACGCGAGCTACCATGGACGCATGTTTCAAAACAACCGAAATGATATTGTGTGCTCAAACGCTAAAGCACCATCGACATGAATTTCTGGTACTACAGTATTCCTTGTCAATCATCTTTCAGTATATTTGAGGTTCCTTAATGTTAGTACACCCCGATTGGTACTGTTCGTACTCGATTCGCTAGCCTCATGGATGAACATACTTTTTTTGTAACCTTAATATTTGAATCATTTACTGTGACAGAAACCAGCTCAAAGCCTCTCATTGTGGTGAAGTGCACAATAATCAAGGTTTGTGGAAGTCCAAGGATGTTGACCGAAAGACGGTAGCCATACGTTAGTCATGCCCGATACTTGTGTATCATTAAGTATACAACGATCTTAGAGCTTCTTGGCCTATGCTACACTCAACAAGGTTCATGATCTGTTACAACTACATTGATCGGCAGTGATACTCAGGTATGTGTTTATTAGGTGTACGGCCCCAACGAACCATTTACACGTTGGTTGCATTATAGACGAATAAGTTCTCGTACCCTCAGCGTCTCTTCCTAATAATAGGGTCTCTTGTGGTATCAGGCATCGATAAGATACTTGCTCTCATGAGTGCCATATGACCGAATACGTTGACGCAACCTATGAGTATGAGCACGTAGTCCTTTCCCAAGCTGATATGAGATGAGATAACCAGTCGCTGCAGTCGCGGCGACGTTGAGAGACTTGCACGCATATACCTACTCTTTGATAAATCAATGTTGTCTTGGCTGGATAAACGGGACACGCACTGCCCATCTGAACATGTACGGTGACTGTACCATTAATATTGCTTGGGATAAGCTAGAACTTCGACGTTACTATCGAATGCGACCAAACCTGCTAGTGCTCCAGGCCTGGAATTACTGTAGCATGGATTATATCTCCCTTCGCATGAAAGCGTAATGTCAAGCCTTTTCCGTCAGGGATTCTCCCAGATGCAGGGAATAAATAGGGGAAACGATACATGGTAATCCGTATTGATTTTAGCTCGAACTATACCTATCTAAGCAGCGAGTTGACAGGAAACAACTGACAAGAGAGTAAGTTAGTTCATTTTGAGGCCTCCATTGACAGCATTCGTTGTCGTTTAGTCAACTGATACGGCCAATAGAGTGCACGAAGACTATGTTGTGTTAAACGCATACTCAGAACTTCGGGCAGCAGGTGACCGCCCCAGTCCTTTCGATCATTCACGACATTGCACCCTCTAATAACAGTTATCCGTATACCCACCATTGTTATTGCAAGGATGATGCTAATTGCTTGCGGCCCGTGGCGCCAACGTATTCAGTGCTTTAAGAAACAAACATGATGTGCAGCATCATCGAGTTGGTCGGCGGGATGCACACCTGCTTGTGTTGTTTTACCCTCCTTGCATGTGTAGGCAATGGGGATTGCGTCGTGGCCAAGCTCCAGAGTCTGAAGAAACATCTGACTTGGATATTGGAATTGATGATGATGTGCCGATGGCAACGACAAAAATAGAAGGCCAGCTTACAAAAGCTAGTGGGTTCCAATAAACTTTCGAGACGAAGGTCTAGATCTCTCAGATACGAGGCTGATCCCTACATGATTCTCCATCCGTAGAGATGAGGGTTGCAACGACTCAGCACAGCCTTCTAGAACCCGCAATGCAAGCGCCGGCAGAGCTAATCTTCAATCAAGACCGTGTTCAGGGGCAATGCTACTGCATGTGCATCGGTTATAACGTTGCAAATTAGCCCGCATTTCAGCGAACCAGTCGAGCTCTCCTTGCATATGAAGAGAACGATGGCTTGTGGTGGCGCTCGACTTTTGCGAAAACCAGACGGGATGGCTTGTCAGGGGCCAGCAAGCCACTTTCAGTGATAGACTTTGAAACGTCCCCAGTTTATTTGGGGGTCACAAACTTCCAGGGCAGCCAAGGTTGGCAGTCTGGACAGTGGCCCTGTTTCGCCAAGGAGATACAAATTTAAAGCTTAGTTCGCCTCAAGAGGTATATTACTCGCGCGCGCAGAACTGTTTTTGGAGAGTGCGTACAATAGCAATTTTACTTATTGACTTGCATCCCTTTCGAGGAGATTGCTCGATAGCGGTGAAGTGCATGCCGATTTTGTGTCCTATATCAAAATTGGAGAGTGTCACGCATTTGGGATCCACGGGTGATCTGGCTGGACCCTGGAGATGCAGTGGTCTTGCCCCATACTCGGTATGGATTTGCAAGTTGTAGAACTTGGACAGACGATCAATGGCAGGACCATATCGGCCAATTGCATCAACTGTGATATCTACTGTGGCTACAAGATGATGGCACCGCGCCAGTTACTGGCTGACGTTCACCGCCAACGATGATGGAGCATTAAATAAATCGCTCTATGTAAATACATTGTAGCTGCCCGAGATGTGTGCATTTTGGAGTTGTGACGTCAGTCCTCAAGGTTCGCATTAGTTCGCATTCCTGGGGGGCTGTTGGTGTTTCCGAGAGTCCGTGGGGCGATCACCATGCTAGAGCGTTCAGCCAACTCAGCTTGCAACCTTATGCGTTGAATTTTGATCTTGCTGGCCCATTATCCGGCTGCATCTGCAGATTTAGGACGGTAGGCCGTCCCATAGGGATTGCGTGTCACCCAATGAGCCGCCGTGCAACTTCCAGCGTGATACTACTACATACGTGACCGTCGATCATTTCGTGTTATGCAGTTTGTTGCTGTAAGGAAAACTTGAAATAACGCCTGGATGCTTAAGAGTCCATACATAATTCTTGACGAGTAACTTTGATATGTACATAGGGTCATCTAAGGGTTCCACGTACATTAGTCTCATCCACTGTTGCCGCCCTTTGCACGCGATGTTGTCCCAAAACAGACCAGGAAACCACGAATTAGGAACAAAGCCTCAATCAGGACCAGGCCGATTCAATTAGTCTAGGGACTTTTGATAGTGTTTGCGAGCTGAGACATCTGTTTGCGGCACAGTGTCGACCGCGATTCCACTATTGATGCCCCTGCATGACAACGCGAATCTTGGAAATCGTTGTTGTGCACTTCTCGCAACTGCGTTTTTATATGGAGCGCGTCAAGGGCTCTAAATCGTCCGAAGTGATAACGTTGATATTGGTTGGCGTCGAGAATTACGTCTTCTAGATGTCAACGCCGGATTGTCGGAAGAACAACGTTGAGAACCTAGGTTAGTACGCGTACATAAATAAGGCTTCTAATCCCTCGGGCCGTTGGTGAGCGCCGCGGTGAGAGGCGCTTTGGCTAATTGCTTTAGTCTAGGACAATCATTTGTGGCAATTGGAGAGGAGAGTTGAGAAATCTTTCGAACTGTTTTCCTGAATACGGCCTACCAATGCGCAGTCTTTTGTATTTTTTTCCCCCCCAACATGTAATGATTTGATGCCCGGAATGCTATCCGCGGCATTCTTAGTAAAACATTTGCCATCATAGGTAAATCTTGAGGAACCAGACAAATATCGCCTCTTTAGCTGTGAGGTTCAAATAAAGTTCCCCCGCCAATTTTCAGGTGGTCCCCTGCATAGGGGAAGTATACAGTTCATTCGTTTGTCTGTGAGTCCCAGTGTATCTACTTTATCACTCGAATTCTTGCGCAGTTTGCTGTTTTTCTCAGAGCTATTTTTGATATTCTGAGCACATGGAAACATCCATATCCTGTACATTATTCACGTACAGTATCTGATACAATTTGACCGCGTTGCGCTGAGCTGTGGCGTGCGACCGGCAGCTTGGCAGGACCCATTCAGGACCCATTCGGCCCACCCGCCCAGAGACCCCCCACTCACATTGATCGCCTATCAAAATTTGAGCGAACAGTGGACCAACAGGGTGCGTCATCAGTGAGGAACAGGGATACATGGGAGCAAGTCCACCACAGCTCCTGAAAGTTGCATCTGCAGAGAATCGGCATCTGTGAACAGACAGATCTGAAGATTGTCCAATTTTCTCTGCTTTCTGTCCGAGGATCGAGACCAATTCTTTCTCCATCTTTCTCCCCACTGCCTCCCACTCTTATTGTCCCTGGATCTGCATGCATTTCCGAGGATTCACATTCGTTTCTGCATTGTTTGGTTCTTCTGGATTTCCTTAGCCTTTGAGAACTGCATTACAGCAACATCAACATTCGGCTCGGGCATCCCAAAATTCAAAATCCATTTTTTCGAGTATCCGCAGGCCCAGAAGCTACGACATTATACCTGTTGCAGGTTGATCATCTTTTTGGACGAACAAGACTGTAAATCCTGGGGAGATCCGTGGAAGACTGGATCTCAGTCCTCAACGAATCGGCATTTTATCACCATCCCTCAACTGTAACAAAGATACACCGAGTACAACAATATCCTTGACAAGTATGACTACGCCAGTCCGGCGGGGGTCGTTTGAATCCAACCATATGACACAACCAAACTCTCATGATCCTGAAAAGGATGGCTCTCCAACCCTGACGCATGCACCGACGGTGTCAGATACGGAAGAGCATTACAATGAGAAGGCAAGGCAGCCTCAGTTGAATCTTCACGTACCACGGGAAAGCATGGATCAGGCATCCACGGAAGCGCGCTCACCTAGCCAGTATCTGTCTCCAAGCACAGACGGGCGCGACAGAGAGCAAGCTACGCGTTTGGTGGACGATTTAGAGATGCTCCGAATCCAGCAGATGGTTAGCAACCAAGAAGATAACCTTCGGAGATCTATCTCTAAGGTCCGGTCCAGGCAAGAGCCAGTGGGCGAAGATGTGTTTAATCAACCTACGCCAGGCATCACCCTTGGACCCCCAATAGAACCTCCGAGCAAGGCCAACAAAGTATTCGTGTACCTGAAGAAGTTGCCCAAAGTTGCTCGCTACTTCTTATATCTAATCCCGATCACGTTGATTCTTCTCATTCCCATTTTTCTGGGCATTTTCTTGGATCCTCAACACCAGGCAGCCATTGGAGGCACTGGAGGCACGCAACTTCTGTGGTTCGGAATCTGGCTGGAAGTTGTATGGCTATCATTATGGGCAGCTCGCATTCTCACAGCCATTCTCCCATATGTCGCAAGATTCGGCGCCAAAGCCGTCGGTTCCGGGAACCCGAAGAAATGGAAGGCCATGGGACATTCGTTGGAACTTCCTTCAGCTCTCTTCTTATGGATGCTCGCCGTTCTTATCTCGTTCCTACCCATTGTTAATGACAGTGGCCACAAGGTTTCAGCTGGAGGAACTGATCCCTTCCCCGAAGTAGGCTGGATCGGAACGCTTCACAAGATTATCATCGCGATTTTCATCTTCTCTGCTCTCAACTGGGTTGAAAAGATTTTGATTCAATGGATTGCAAATTCTTTTCATCTCCGAACCTACGCCATCAGAATCGAGTCGAACAAGCAGTACATCGCATACTTGGTTCATCTATACGTTCACAGTAAAGACAGACTGGTTTCCGAAGAGTCCGTTAAAAATACCCCTAGCTATGGAGCTTCTGGTACTCGTACACCAATGAAGCTATTTCAGAACAATGCCCGCCAAGCCATCAACAAAGTTGGAGACGTTGCCGGCCGTGTTGTCGGTGACTTCACCGGTACGGAGGTTCTTCTCAGCAACCATCCCCGTAAGGTTGTTACCGAATTACTTCGAAACACGGCCTCTGCTCAAGTACTAGCCCGACGCTTATTTCGTACCTACGCAAAGCCCGATGCCGATGTGTTGCTACCTGAAGACTTGAATCCTGCGTTTCCCACACCAGAGGATGCTGAGAGTGCTTTCGGAATATTTGATCGTGACCTCAACGGCGACGTCTCGATGGAAGAATTGGAGGCGTTTTGTGACGAAGTCCACCGCGAGAAGAAGGCCATTGCGGCTTCCGTCAAAGATGTAGACTCTGTTATTAGAAGGCTGGATCAAGTTTTCGTGGTTGTAGTCATCATCATCACCATCATCGTTTTCATCTCCTTGATCTCGGCGTCTGCTGCGGCGGCGTTAACATCTGCTGGCACAGTCATTCTCGGTAAGTCTATTGTACCCGACACATGTTGTCACAAACTAACGAGATAACTCAGGTCTGAGTTGGCTGCTCCAGGCCACTGCTCAGGAATTTCTGCAATCCATCATCTTCGTATTCGTAAAGCACCCTTTCGATGTCGGAGACCGTGTGACAGTCTATGGTAACACTGGAACCACTGGAACGGGCGACGATTATTACGTCACGGCGATCTCTCTACTCTACACCGAATTCAAGAAAATGGAGGGTCACATTGTGCAAGCACCTAACTCGGTCTTAAACACATTATTCATCCTCAACCACCAACGCTCTGGCCAACTCGCCGATGTGTTTGAATTAAGAATGAAGCACGGCACACCCAAGGAGCACATTGAAGAACTTCAGGCAAGGATGACAGAATATGTCCTCGAGCATAGACGCGACTTTACTGGCAAGATCCTTACAGAGATGAAGAAGATTGAAGACGCCTACTGCATCACTGTCAACTTTATCTGCTTCCACAAATCAAGTTTCCAAAACGAGTTACTCCGTCTTGTTCGTCATAACAAGTTTGGCCTCGAGCTGATGACTCAGATGACGAAGATTGGAATCGAACAACCCAGACGCCAGTACCAAATTGCAGGTCGTGACTTCCCTGTCTACCAGACAAACATTCAGCCGCCAGCCTACGACGCCGGTCATGCCCCTGTTGATACATCACAACTATCAGCCTCGCGGCGCGCACGCTCCAGTTCTCGAGTTTCAGCAAACGACCAAGACTTCTTCCAGGATGTTTTCGTCAGCCGGAAGCTTAACCACCCTACTTTCGTCCACCAGCCTCGCATTGCCGAGGAGACATCCTCGGCGGAAGCTAGTGGCGCAAACGGCAATCTCGAGAGGACTGCCAGTCTGGCTTCAGGAAGTCAACGTGCTCCACATGGTCATAGACTTTTCGGTCGGTCTATGACCATGCGCAGCAACGCGGAGAGCAGACGTTCTAGAGACATGGTATAATAACACCTTGACTGTGCTTCTGCGTATTCAGCTACTTGCTCCTTACATTCCTTTCAATCTTTCTTATGATAATGACATGCATTTTGCGGGAGAACTTTGATAGTTCTAGCGATCCGATGATCCGGAGAAACCAGATTAGACATATATATATAGACAGCGGATGAATACCCGATAGACTGCATAGTAATTCACAAATTGGATTAGATCCAGCACATGGTGAATAATTGGATCTTCTAAAACGCCAGGTGTCATGCCGTTGCATTGATGACGATGACTTCTAGAATTTGCGGAGCACATACGTCTCACTGATATCTATGAATTTTCAATTCTCGGGAACTCCGTCGGAGTAATATTGAAAGTCATCCGGTAGTGGTGGTCCGGTATCTGACAACGAATCGGAATCTATCTCAAATACTGATGCGTCCTTTGGCGTCGCCGTAGCTGTTGCCTCACGCCCAGCTCCCTCGACATCAATTACTCTCAGAGCCTCCGAGCTTCTGCTTTGATCATCTCTCAGTACTTTGGTCATCCGTTGCGCCCACTCCCACGGTTTCTCTTTCCCGCCAGGCGAGCTGTTGAAATATTCCCAACCCATCACGCCGCCAAAGTTGGCGATTTTCTTCCTCATCAACGTCAGGTTCGGCCCCAATATCGGCCATGGCACCCAGCCACTTCCATTGTCCGAAGTAGTCACGACACCCATAACGAGCTTCATAGGATCCCAACCTCGCGCCACGCACATCTCGTACATGAACGGTGTGCTCGCGTCGCCCCACCCGCAGTAGAACTGTGCGTTATACCACGCGACCTCCTTCCCGCGCATCACCTCCAGGGCCTCGTAGTCAAACCCGCTCAAATTGCGCCGCGAGTCCAGCAGCGCCGCCGCCACAGGGGCCAGGGTGATCAGAAACCTAGGACCGAAGTCGGCCCTCAGCGTATCGATGAGGCGGATGATGCCCGCGAGCGACATCTCCTCCTCGACGTCGAGGTCCAGTCCGTCGAGCCCTCGCTCCCGGATCATATCGCGCAGCGGGACGTAGTAGCTCTCGAACGTGGCCTCGTCCCGATCCAGGCGTGTGAAGGATCCCTTGGCCGCGCCGCCGAGCATGCCTAAGACTGAGATCCCGCTCGCCTGTGCGATGCGACATTCTGCCCATAGCGTGGCGAAGCGCGGATCTGAGGGCGGGTGGTCATTGAGAGTTAGGCCCAAGGGTTCAGAGTTAATGTGGATGGCGGCCACGATTAGGTGGGTTACGGAGATATCTGCTTTTGTGATGAGTGGCAGGATGGATACAGGTTTCCCAGAGGGGTCATTGACGGTTTGGTGGTAGAGTATTAGACGCGGGAGGGACGTCCGCGGTATGGGAGCCATGTCGGTGTTTGTGGTTCTGTTCCAAAGAGGGTAAGGTCTAGGCGGTCGCTTGAACGCCAGTATATGAAGGAAATGCAATACACAGATCCAACGTGTTCTCCAGCTCCGTAAGGTCTGGATGGTTAGAACCACCAATTTCGTCCACCTCGTGCGTAAAGAAACTGAATATAGGTTTGTCTGCTCTTGATGCCTCCGCTTCATTAGATGAAATTCCGGAATAAAGCGAAAGTCCAGTGTATAGGCTGATGCAATGAGTCGAATGAGCACTCGTCCAGCATGGGCGCCACCCACGTGGGGTCTAACCCAATTAACGTAGCCAAGCTCTCTGAATTCTAGGAGGCGAGCACGCTGAAAGCAAGGCCAATCATGGGCCCGTGTAGATCTCTAGTGCTAGTTTCTGTTAGCGGCCCAAGCTTCGAAACAACAAACGATGTCGCTCAACGTCGTTTTTCACTTGTCGCGCAAGAGATCGCTTTTTGAGTGATTCTCGTCGGAGAGTATTCCGAGGGAACATGTCGGCTTGACGATATCGAGTCCCGTTTTGAATTTTTCAATTGACAGCAAGGTCTATTCTGCCGCCTGCTGATCTGACGTCATGAAGTTCGCGAAGGAGCTTGAACAGGATCTTGTTCCAGGTGAGTTTAAGCGCTTCAGCAGTTCGCTAGAGATCCTCCCCAAACTAACAGCCGATAGGTATGTAACCATTTTTATATAGTACATGTGTACGGGAAAGCGTTTTGTAGTAACGCACTTTATTCGATGTATATATGCATTGGTGTGGATTGCTGACCTTATGGCCGCAAAGAATGGAAGATCAAGTATCTGAATTACAAGGCCGGCAAAAAGTATGTGAAAGCTGTTTCACGAGCCATCAACAAGGCCAACTCAACACCTCACTTGGGTAAGAGGGGCGAGCTGCCACCTCGCACTACGCAATCGTTCATAGGAACTCCCTCCGGTAACAGGAAACTGGATGCGAATCGTAATGCAATCCGCTCAGATGAGACGAACCCCAACGGGTCTGTCCCGGCACCTGCTGGTTTGAGTAGAGCAACAGCAGTGTCAAGCAGATCATCGGAACCACCGCTATCCAGGGCTGAGCCAACCCCTATATCTCTGCAGCCGGAGCGTCAGTCTTTGGCCAGGTCGCCGGGTAATGCAGGAAACTACGGGAGTTTCGTGCCCTCGCCGTCCGTAGCAGCATCACCTCTTACGACTGTGGGAAGCCGGCATACTTTTGAGCTGCCTGACCCAGCCATACGGGTACCCTCGAACGCCAGCGAACAACTTCCAGAACCCGCGGATGTGGCCGCCGACCGGTCCCTCAGCAGGATGCTCATAAACCGTAGTGTGACCATGCTTCCTGGCACATCAAACTCCATGACCATGCCACGGCAGAGGCTGCAAAGAGCTGACAGTTCTTCAACTCGTTTGCGTCGCATTTTCACCCACGGACAAGGATCACACAGGCCTGAAAGCGTGAAGCTTGACTATGGAATGCAAGCGCTGGATGATGTTCGCCAACGAGAAAGGGAATTCTTCAGCTTTCTGAATAGTGAGCTTGACAAAGTAGAAACGTTTTATAAGCAAAAGGAAGAGCAAGCAGGCCAGCGGCTTAATGTTTTGAGACAACAACTGCACGAAATGCGAAACCGGCGGCTTGAGGAACTTGCAGCGGCGCAACAAGACAAAGGAGAAAACGGACACACTGATGAAACCTCCCATCAAGCAGAAAGCCACAAAACCTCACACACTTGGATTGATCCAATCCGTTCGAAATTCTTCGAACCCGGGCCAAATACGAAGGCACTTCTAAGCATGGCGAGAACGCCTGTGCTTAATGGTATGTCGGATCCAGATAATGGACGAGATTACGTCAGGCGGCCTCACCACGAAGTGCCATATCGGACGGCAAAGCGGAAACTGAAACTCGCACTACAGGAGTTTTACAGGGGGCTTGAACTACTGAAATCGTATACACTGCTCAACCGGACTGCTTTTCGAAAACTGAACAAGAAGTACGACAAGGCAGTCAACGCAAAACCACCTTATCGGTACATGAATGAGAAGGTCAGCAAGTCCTGGTTTGTGAATAGCGACATACTCGACAGCCACATCAAGACCGTGGAGGATTTGTATGCTAGATATTTCGAAAAAGGCAACCATAAAATTGCTGCTGGCAAACTGCGCCGCCTCACACGGAAGCCAAACGACGAGTCAGGCAGTACATTTCTGAATGGCCTCTTCCTGGGTATCGGCGCTGTCTTTACTCTTGAAGGCTTGGTCTATGGTGCCGAGCTCTTATTTGACGAAGATCCTGTGGTGCGACAACAGACTGGCTATTTGCTACAGATATATGGTGGATATTTCCTGATGTTGTATCTGTTTGCGCTCTTCTGCCTCGATTGCAGTGTCTGGGCTTCCAACAAGGTGAACTACCCGTTCATCTTCGAGTTTGACCCTCGACATCATCTTGACTGGAGGCAGTTGGCTCAATTTCCGAGTTTCTGCCTCCTTCTGTTGGGTGTCTTCATCTGGCTCAATTTCACTCGATATGGGTCGCCTGAGATGTATCTTTTTTACCCAGTGATATTGATATTCGTCACAATAGTGCTCGTACTGTTACCGGCACCAATCCTATGCCATCAAAGTCGAAAGTGGTTCGCGTACTCACACTGGCGGTTATTCTTTGCTGGATTGTATCCTGTGGAGTTCAGAGACTTCTTCCTTGGCGATATGTATTGTTCTTTAACATACGCGGTTTGTGTAGGTGTTGAAGATCCCCGGCGGTAATTTCTGCTAACAGAACATAGAACATTGAGCTGTTTTTCTGCTTGTACGCGCACTACTGGGACAACCCAGACCAGTGCAATTCCAATCATTCACGTCTGCTCGGATTCTTCTCTGCGCTACCCCCGATATGGCGTGCCTTCCAGTGTATTCGACGTTACGCTGACACGAAAAATGTATTCCCTCATCTAGTCAACTGCGGAAAGTACTGTATGACCATAATGGCAGCAGTAACTCTTTCACTCTATCGAATCAATGGCAACAACAACACCACCACCCTAGCACTGTTTGCAACTTTTTCTGTTGTCAACTCAATCTACTGTTCGGTGTGGGATCTATTTATGGACTTCTCATTCTTACAACCAGACTCTCGGCATCGGTTCCTGAGAGACATACTGGCTATCAAGCGACGTTGGCTTTACTATGTTGTCATGGTCATAGATCCGATACTGCGCTTTGGCTGGATCTTCTACGCCATCTTTACCCACGACAAACAACATAGTACCGTTGCTTCCTTCCTTATTGGATTTGCTGAGGTCACGCGTCGCGGTATGTGGGCTCTGTTTCGTGTCGAGAACGAGCACTGCTCCAATGTAGCACAATACAAAGCCAGTCGCGATGTGCCACTGCCCTACAAGCTTGATCTCGAACCACTCGTTGAACGAGCTAGTGAAGACACAACGCACTCGCAGAGAAGCCCTGAGGAAGCCACTACAACAGCTGTCGACCCCGGCGCGGCTGGCAGTGTGAGACGTGCCGAAGAGCAAGCCGTCTCCGAATCCCCTGCCACGCAAGCAGCTGAGGAAAGTGGGCTTCGCAGGCGCAGGAAATCCGAAGTCGTGCGTGGTGGAGGTGACACAATCCGGAAGATCATGGCGAATGCTCATAGGCAGGACTTTGAGAAGAAAAGAAAACGGGCCGAACCGCCGAAGGACAACGATCAGGATCTTGGAGGGGACGGACCCAGCGATGATGACGACGACGACGATGACGATGAGGACACTGCTAGTGTGGAGGACGATCGAATGGGGGTTCGACAGGCTGAGGACCTGGTCAATGCCTCCCATAGTGATAGTGAGTGACAATAGTGTCATCTGTTGGGGTGTGTCTAGATGGCATGGTGATGTCGACGAGAACAAGTATACGTAGCCTGTCCAGCGAAAGCTTAGCATGATTTATTGAAAGTGTCAAAATGACATTTCAAGTTATTTATTGCCATCTTCTTGATTTCAAAATGCCGCTGTCAAACCTAAACCCGAACCCAGGTGCAAACACAGACTAGCCGAATGCCATAACGCCGAAACCTGTAAAGACAATCTTAGTCACGTAACAGTCATACAGTGAGAAAAGAAATTGAAACCCCCCTCGGGCGAAACCATGGCGTACACTCCCTGCTCATTTTCCGCCAAAAGCCCGATCCAGCTCGGCTCCCTGATCAAGATCACCGGCCATCTCGCTGGCCCCTTGCCTATCAGCGAGGCTCATCTCCGCAAACTGGCCGGCCATATTGCTGTTGCTGTTGTCATCACCGCTAGTGCTTGCCCCAACAGTTCCGTCATCGAGCCCTGGACCCGGACTGCCGACCTCGACCTTGCGCTCCGGTTCTAAGACCCTCACCTCGCTGTCAAGCCAGCCGGGCGCAACCCGCCTCTTCTCGGCCAGCTCCCTCTCCCTGATGCGCTCATCGAGCTCCCTGAGCTCTCGCTCCGCGTCCGCCTGCATCTGGGAGATGTGCGACTGCAGCGCCTTGCACGAGGCCATGATATCGTCCGGGTGGGCGGCGTGGCCCGAGGCCGAGACGACGTAGCGCGGTTTGTTGGAGCCCGAATCTGCCGGCTCGTTTGCCACTGCCGCTGCCGCTGTCGTGGAGGTGATGCCGCTGCTGGACGGCGGCAGGGAGGATGGCATCGGCTTGTAGGTGTATGGCAGCGTGGCGGCCGTGGGCAGGCTCACGAAGGGCGATACGGTCAGTGGGATCTGGGCGAGGAGTGGGTGCGTGCGGTTGTCGTGCATTTTGGGCGGGATTCGGTCTGTTGAGGAAACAGGCCCGTGTGCTATGCTGTGGGAATGGTTTGAGCTGTAGGCAGCTGGCGCGACGTCGTTCCAATGCGATTCGAGCTGTTGTGTTCTTGTTGCTTTACTTGCGTTTGTCGGGGTGTTCTCAAGTTTGCGACATTCGGTGAAGTGCCATGACGAACGACTCAGGGTGATAGCGATAGCGATAGCGACAGCTTTATCTCTATCATGATTATGACTATCGAGATAAGCCAAGCGATAAGCCCCGCAGTGTGCAATACTGGCAGCACTGGCACTGGCACTAGCACTCACTCACTGCACTTGATGGCGGGGAGCTCTTGGTAGTGGAAAATTAACAAATCATATTGTTGACTCCTGAATAAGTACGGCCTCTAGGCACATTTCTGTATCACAAGACCCTTTTTGCTTACTTGCTTGCTTTGTTCGCAATTTTCACATTGTCCACCATGCTGCCAACAGTCATCAAGAGCCGTCCCTCGCAAGACGATGACTTTACACCGCTCGATGACTATCAACAGCAAACCCCTGATACCTTTTTTGAGGAAGAGGGTCATAAGCCTGTGCTGTACTTTCACGACGAGCACATCAAGGTCTGGTGTTCTCCGGAACACGCCTCAAAACTGCACATTTTCTCGGGCGATAAGCTACCTAGTCCGCCTGAGTCTCATGCCTTGGAGAACGATGGAGGCAAGCATCTTCGCGAAGAAGAAACAGTCGATGTCTTCGTTGCTTCTCAGTGAGTATTCCCATGCTGCATTATAATCAGGGAGATGGCTAATTCATGGCATAGCAAGTTGATCCTGTACTCTCGCACCAGCGAGACAGGAATTGAGATACCCTACCCTTCCATCACTCTGCATGCAGTCAAAAACTTCAAGCATCTGCAAAACCCAGATGATGAGACGGCCAAGTTCACCGCTGTCTACATGCAGCTCGAGTTCTCAGGCGATGGAGGTGATGACGATGAGTCGTTTGACCCCATAGAGCTCACTCTGGTTCCTTATTCGCCTGATGGCACAGCAACACGTCTGACCACCTCGCCACGTACGTCGGCTTTGTTCGATCAGATCTCCGCCTGTCAGAACTTGCATCCTGATCCAGCGGATGAGGACGACGATGAAGAAGGAGACGAGATGGACAGGATTGTGTTTGAGGGAGAGGCGTTGGACGGTCTACCTGGAGCATTCCAGGGAGATTCTAATGGTGGATTGCCACCACCAATGCCCGGCAGTTCTGGATGGATCACGGCTGACAACGTGAACGAGTACTTCGACGAGCAGGGCAATTGGATCGGATTTGGTAGCGAGTTAGGTGAAGGTGCTGGTCGTGTTCGAGGACATGATGAAGTGGATGATACCAACGATGGGACGAATGGACACGAGGTTGGAGACGATGCGGAATCGAAGCGCCCGCGTACTGAGTAACTATTGGGGGGGTTTTTTTTCTCTCGTTATGACGAGCTAAATTGTGCAGCCAGTCCTTGAATCAAGGATGGCACGCTCGAAGATGACATATCGTTATGTTAGTACGACACATGAAACCAACACACCAAGGATGGCATTCCTCGAATTGGATGACATAGATACAGTGGTTTATCAAACTCCTGTAAGCATATATGCCTTCTAACTCGATTTCTCGGCTAATGAGTCCCAAGTTACCTGATGATTGGTAACTCGTAGGGCAGTGGCTTTTAATATCAGTGCACATGACTCATCTGTTCATCGTAACTCACAATATTTCTCCAAGGCGATGTATGACCGGCTTTCAATGCTTGTATGGACAAACTTGAGCTTAAATTTAGTACAGATATGTCAATGATAGGCTTATAGCAGGAAGTGGCATTGTGCCGGTACATTATATTACCTAATATGCGAGGACAGCAACTCGTCCGTGAGTTGCTACAGTGCTACTACACTTCAAACTTATTAGGATCTTGTCTTCGTCGGGCTGACCGATGCTTTTGTTCTCAGAGCTTCTCGTCCTGAGAAATAGCTTGTTGGCTGTTCCTTTGAGACCGCAGCAAGCCAAACGATGAAACAAGTACTTATCATAACTTCTTCTGAAATAAGTCTTACGATAACGTAAAAGTGGGTTTCGCCAAAGGTACGGGTGCAGTTGCTCGATTCAGCTCTTCCACCATGTGTATCAAGATTGTTATGTGATTACCACAGACACATCCGAGGACTCTGTAAAAGTCGCAATCTTTAATTGCTTGATCAAAACTGTAGATTAGCCTGTGTCTTGCATATCAATGGGTTATAAATGGGAGATATTTATAGATGTGGTGTCAACAATTTGTTGCATCATCAAGTTCACCACTGAGGACGCGAGGTAACTGCGGCCGACAGAGGACCGGATTTGAACCCCTGCAGTTCATTCAGATGTTTCTCTAAAATATATCGACATAGCTAGTATGAGTGATCACCCTTGAACTCGTTGGTCCAATAAGTCAGTCGGCCAGGGGGGTCAGGATGGCAATCTATACTTGACCCAAGCTCTGTTCTCTGCAAATTTATTTGACTGCAATCATATAATTTTTGTCATTAATGGTTCAGGAATATGATTCTCATCATAACGCAAAGTTCGCATGAACGATCTTATCTACGATACCTTCACAAGGCTACTAAATTGTCAACGACTCTGAAGTCAGTGTATTGGGATGCACTTCCCATTCTCCATCAAGCAAAGCACGACCCACACACGGCGATTCAAGTGATGGTACATATCAGATCTTAGAGGCATCTATTAATAGTCGAATAAAAATATGTCTGCTTAGATCTGAAGGCTTTTGATTTCGAAAACATCTCACCCATCTTGATTAACAATAATTTCAAAGGTATTTCGACATCCATCTCCAACTGACTTGCTGTCTATCAAATTTCCTATCTATTAACCACTATAATTCTGGATTATCTTTCAAGGTTCTTAAGACGTTTCTTTTCATTGGGACTACGCATCAGGTGCAATATGGCCTGTTGGGGCCCTGAGGAGATGTGGTCTCGGTACGGAGCAGATTGCACGGATCGCGGCCTCGAACAACCGGACTCGTTCAAGCTACTCATAGCTTGTTTCCGTGCTCATACAGCGACAGTCAGAATGAGCCAAGCAGCAAACAACACATTCTGCAGTCCTATCACTTCTGAACTGGGTGTAGTTCATCAGACGCTGAGTGGATGGTGCCCAAGTAAGTCTTGTGTTTCTATGTTCCCTGAGATGCCGCGGCGGTGGTAGCAGTCATGACTTCCTACTATGACGATAACAATTCGAAATAATGGTTCGAGACGTTGAAATTGACAGAGCCTAGATTTCCCAAACGTCGATCATGGGCGGTATGGGCAAGAGGTCAATATTGAGACGTTAGAAACGATCATCGCCCGATTTGATGGAACTTTACATGAGTATATACAGGAGGCTCAGTCGAGCGGCGACTGGACAGTGAGTGCCCCGTGTTGGATGACTACGCTGGATGCTCGAATGATCTGCCACGAAACCTCTAAGGCTTTGTCGGTCGGCACTACTCTTGAGGAAAGACTCTTCGGATAGTGAGCGTGAGAGTCGCTGTCCGACTCTCCTATAATCCTCTAGATCCGATCGGCATCGTGGCCAATTACGCCATGCGCACATGAGCTTGCTCATGGCTGCGAGAGTTCTTTGCCGCATATGAGCGTTCGGGCCATCTTCTTTCCTAACAAGCGAGACTGTCCAAGTTCTTTCGTGAGGAATCCTTACGTGGTATTCTCGCCGCAAGCCGACCAAGACCGGCCTCGAATTCTCCGGGGGGAGGGGGGACTGTGGTCGCCGTTGCTACTCAACAGCCATCCGGTTCTGGCAAAGGACGACGACGGAGAAGACAACAAGACTTTAGCCAGGCTCAGTACGAAAGCCCAGCAGACTTCACGGCTATCAGAATACGTAGTCCAATAATGCAAACGCCAGGGATATTCCATGCGTCCAGCAATGACGCGATGGAATTGACGACTTCCCCGCCCCAGTCGATCAAGAAACAAGCAATGAGGATGTGGTGATATCAAGAGGATTGGTATGTTTCAATGCACAATAACGTTGTTCTACTAGTCTCAATATACTGAGGATTAGCTTATTATTCTTCCTACTAAGTACTACTATTGTAGCACAGATATAATATACAGTGTGCAGTCTTTACCATACTTCAGACACAATGGCTCGGTCCCGCCGCAAGTGACTTAAGTTTTCTCACTGTGGACTGGACTACGCGCTTATAATAAGTAAGCTTTTTATTTTTTTTTATTTTTTTTTTTATTTTTTTTTCTTTTACCGATGAAGCAGAGCAGCCTCTACGGATGGTGAACCTTGGCGGTTCGATCTCATAAGCAGACCCTTTGAGACAATTATCCGAAATTTCAGGAGGCTTACGTGTTATGATAAACCATAGTTGAAACTCGGGAATGTTTACTATCATTATTCCTGGTACTCCGCTACGAATGGGGGCTGATTCTTTGATGAACAGTTAAAACATTCTTTTGCCCGAAATAGGTAGTAGGATAAAACCTCCAGAAGGGGAGATTAAGAGAAAATGGGAACCCAGATCAACTTCCAGTTCATGTGTCAACTCTTGAGCAAGGGTCCGATACCAGCTGAAAAGCACGGTAAGCTATGTATCCAGGGCAAGCCTGGATCTTTTTGGTCTGCCCGACATACTTGGGTACCGGGATTAAACGCTTATCGTATCAACAAGGGTTATACGCAGAGCCTTGTCAGCCAAGCTGAAAAATTGAGGCGGGATGTCATGTAATTTCCACAAGGCCCTAGAAATCTCAATCTGCATCTTAGGTACTTTCACATGCAAGTATCAAATACAACAGAAGGAAAATTGTAGAAAGAATTTGAAAAGAAAGAAAAGTCTTCTTCCCCTAACTGGGACCCGAGAAATTACTTGAGGCGCTTCTGTAGCGGCCCGTCTTACCGCCATTTGCTTTCCACCCCCCCTGTACCCCTGCGATTGCTCATCGCAGCCAGCCTCTTCGGGTGCCCTGCAATTGCATTAATATTGGTGCCTGGACCCGACAGTTTGGGTCATGACCGGGGTGGGAAGTCGTGTGCACTGACAGATTTGTCTGATTGGGGAAAGGTTATGGATGTAGATCACTTATCCGTCGATCGTCGGCGAGTACGGGAATACGAGTACCACTTCCACTCCCCCAAAGTCTGAATAAAGCCAGAAAAGCCTCATTGAATTGAGGCAATTCCGTACACGGCTCGTATGTTCTTCTGATCAACGGCCCTTGTCTTTTTTTTTTTTTTTTTTTTTTTTTTTTTTTTTTGAATGATAGGCGTGCTTTCCCAGGCATGTACCCTGGTAATTTTGCGATAAGGACTTGATGGTTTCGCCATCAAAAGTATGCAAAGAAACCCTCCAGACAGGCCTTGCTATTGGGCAACGGGGTTCGCCCGCAATCTGCATATCTATTTTGCTCCGGATGGTCTGCAGAGGAATCGCAAATAGTGTGGCATAATCTGACGGGTCGGGAACAATGCTCGGGAACAATGCAAAAAAATACCCAAGCCGACCTATTCGACAATCGAGATGTATCTCAAACTGGCCCATGGGTCAGTATAAGGAGGACATACGGAGCACAGGCTACAATCTGACTCTTCCTCGTTAGGATGCCACACAGTGCTCAATTGTTGTGTTCCAGATCAAGATCTTTTATTCCAGTTCAAGGTGGCTTCTCCGATCGCCAACTTTTACTTGCTGTCATGGATACCTAAATCTTATTTCTTTCTTAAAAATATGAAAGGATTTGCATCAGAATGAGGCTTGCAGCGTAGGATTGGACAACGTGGACGGTTACACACAAAACGACAGCTGCAGCTTGAGGAAGCACAGAGGCACAGTCTAGTGCTGACAAGTCCATTGTCAACATGCGGGTTATTCTTAGCTCTACACAGAAAAGGACTGCAACCATCAACAACTGGCTAACTCATGAAAGCCAGGGTTAGGCAATGTGACCTCTTCGTGGTGAACTTCTCTTATTGAAGTGAGTAGGGCGCGAGCCGCTGGGTATTGTTATCTTAAAGGTTTTGATGAAAGCGAAACCAGCAACAAGGGCCGTTCGGTGCACCAGTAGAAGACAAATGCAATCATAACGGAGGGTTTGCAACGTTCCTCGCAGTAGATTCCTGTTCATATGTAGACCACACAAGACGTGATGACCCTCGCGATACGTTCCAGCTTCGGCTAGTATCGCCTCGTGGTTCTGAGCACCCCAGATGCTCCGTATCATCAATGTATGCCCAAATGCGACCCTGAAAATGCCGAATACCCGTGCAAAACGCTCAGCAGACAGAAAATGACATGACCCAAACACCCTAGTTCCCTAATGCTTCTCGTGCTATGCCCGGCCGAGTATCCCTACAATGCAAACAAACGAAAACTTTTTTGTGTGGTTTCCCAAATCTATCGTGTCGTCCCTTTCAAAACACCTGTATGATATGCGATTCCCTCTATATGTCATGCACATCGGCCCTGCAAGACTCCATCCTTAGGACCACATGCGTGTTTAAACAATGCCGCAACCCATTCAAACAAAAATGAATATCCGCAAAGATTACCAGCTTCCGGATAAGTTCAAAACGCCATCCTTTTACGGGTTCAAATGGGTATTCGCTGCAGACCGATCGATGAGAAACATGCTAAAATGACCAATGCTGTGTACAATCGGGCAAGCCCCGACATGAGACGTCGTGTAAGATGGTGTCAAAGGAATAGTCTCAAACTAGCGCACCATCTTTGATCAAGATTTAGCGAATGACTGTTGCGAAGTCTCCGAGTACCCGCTGTCAAGGCTGGACTTTTCGACCGACTTCTCTGAAGTGAGTTTAGAGCTGGGATTCGACCTGTTGAAGACTTTGTTGCCGAGAGACTTGATTCGCCCGACAGATTCCACACTATCTCCGGGGTTGACATAAACATCTGTGGCAGTGCCAACCTCGATACGGCAGAATAGAGTCGAAAACAAATATCGATCGCCGTTGGCGTCTAGCAGAGGTAGTGTGCGGTAACCTTGCTTTAAGCTGCTGAGTTTGGCGGTAAACGTGGCCATTGTCGCAGCCCGATCATTGGGCTCACCAGTGGTGGAGAACTTGACGCTCCACTTGATAAAAATGAGCTCAGGATACTTCGTCGTAATGCTGAATTTCATCTTCTCGTCAAAAACCGGGTTGAAGCCGTTCTCCCTGACAACACCTGTGTTGTACTTCAAGGGGCTATCAGTAGGCGTGGGTATTCCAACTGTACTGTCGTGCTTGTCCCTCTTATCATTGGCGTGGAAGACTTCGACCTCGACAAATGGGTCGAGGCTCTTGTTGGCCGGCAGATTTCCCGGGCGCATGAGCTGCTGCGCAGAGATGACGTCGATACTAAAGGTGACGTTCTTGCGCACCAGTTTACCTACTGCCTCTGCTGGAATACCATTGGGCATCCTTCGAATCTCGCGCATGGAATGCGGCTTGAGGACGTAGCCTGATTGGTCTGTTCCAGCATCGAACATGGCTTGGTTGAGTTGCATTCCGTGATCGAAGGTTTGCCAGTTGAGCGCTGCCATTTGAACACCCTTCCTCCAATACATCAAAGGATTAAAGTTGTTTGAGCTCAACCGGGAGAACTGGGGATAGACACGCATCATGTATCGCATGTTGTGGCGATACAACTGATCCTTGAGTTCCTTGGTCTTTGTGTTCGACTTGAATGTCCCTTCCATAAAGGACAAGATGTGATAAGGCATCTTACAGTCAACTGAGTCGAATCCGTTAAAACTGACACCGGTACAATAAACACCAAGATCTCCTAGAGCAGGAACAATTCTGCTTGTCTTCTTCTTGCTCGAAGTCTTCTCGTTGCCACTGTCGCAATCGCTCGTGCTGCTGCTCACGGTGTCCTGCACCTCACCCTCTGTGATCGTGTTGTATCTTTTTGCGACTCTCTTACGAGAAGGATCTCTAGGACTCAGCATGGGACTTTGGGTGAGAGAATATGGCGGAACAGGCGCGCTGTCAGCGACCATTGGTTTCGCGTATGGCGATGTCAAGCTGTTGCCACGCCGGCGGCCATTGGCACTCGGCACGCGACCAGTGCGCTGTTCCTCGGCAGCAGCAGCCTTAACCTTTACAAGGATCCGCTCCCTCAATTCAGACGGCGACGGCAGTTTGTCGGAAGATGGATCCAAGGCGGTCAAAATCAGGCGCTCACCGAAGATTTCCTTCATGATACTGGACATGAGAACTTGTTGAGTTGCATTGCAATGGACCTCGAGAGATATCCACAATGGAAATTTACTTCTGGCAAAAGCATATTTGTGAACAACATTGATGACTTCGCGGAAGGAAATCGCATTAGTCATTGCATATCCATGTTGGACGGAAGGTTGACCGTCGGGTCCATCCCAACAGTCAATTTCGATGCTTCTACACCCCTTCACCAGTGCATTAATATAGCCTTCGACGCTCGAAAGATCGGCTACTTGACGCCCGACAAGATAAGTGTTGTGTGAGCTTGAAATGAAATACTCATGCATGGGACGGTTAAGCTTGTAATCAGCTGGCTCGGATGTGAGTGGAAGGTTGAATGTCGACGTTAGATAAGCTGCGAGAGTTTGTTCAGTCATTCTCGGAACTTCATTTTCGCCAAAGTCGGTAGCTTTGAACTTGCGAGCAAAGCGATAGAACTTGGCCTCCCAAGCTCGAGGATCTGAATCGACATCCTCGCCTTGAGTGTCGCGCAGGAAAGCGGCGAACTCAGGCCAGGTAATGCCATTCGCGGCGTCGCTTGCAATGCCGCGGTACAAGGCGCGAATGTCGATTCTCTGCTTCATCTTGCGAACAAATTCTTGAAACTCGGAGAAATTTAGTCGACCAGTCCTTGTGGCATCAGCCAAATCGAAGTTCTCCCGAAGGTCTCTCTGTTTGACATGGATATGAAGATTGTAGCACACTCGCTCGACTCCCCCAAAATCAATCTCCTCCTCGTCAGGCGAGTGGGGCTTTCCATCGAATTGTTTAAACATCTCCGAGCTCCAGTAAGCGCGAATCGCCTTGTCGTTGAACGACATCAAAGAGGTCATCAGATCTTGGCGATGTTTTGAGAGGGCGTCCAGGGCGGTCACCCAGTTACCGAAGGTTTCCTCGTCTTCAGCGACCAGGTGCATGATCTTGCTCTTGGATTTGTCGGCTACCGCATGTAACACGGAAAAGAAGCGACCTTCTTCAGTATCTGGAACGTCGTAGTCAATGCGGTATTGTTTTGTGTCAGAGCCTATCCGGATTTCTCTGATATCATCAACATAGATGCATTTTGAAGGCTTGCTTCTGTTCCATGTGACTTTCGCTGCTTCGTGATCCAGAACCAGGAAAATTCTCTTGAATTTTCTCTTTTTAGAAATTTTACGAACCCAGGTGCCTTTCACAAGGGCGAGAGGGATGACCGGCCCCGCGACAGGATCAACTGGAGAGGTAGAGCCAGAAATGGAAGCCGGGTTGCTAGTGGAGGAATTTTCGCGTACTTGGCCGTCTATAGGGCCCAGCGGATTGATAAAATCATCCCTTTCATCGTAGTAATCTTCGTCCGAGTCGGTGATGGCGTTATCTGGGGGAGGTGCAGTGTTCGTGCTGTCACTTCTACGCCGCATGATATGAGGGCCCATGCTGCCGTTCCGGCTGTTTGGTGCGACAGACGACTGCCGCCGCGTACGACTGACAACCTTCATCGTCTTGCTCGACAATCTGCGAATCAAACCTCCACTTGACTTTCCTTGGCTTTGCAGGGCTTCGGCTAGCGAGCCGGTACTGGGGGCTGTGCTAGGAGCTATACTGTAGTTCATGGAATTGCTGCTGGACTTGCGATTGAGCAGCGGATCGCCGAGTGTAAGAGGCGTAGGAGGGAACTGTTCGACATCACGCCCACGGACGAAGGGCTCAGGTGATGGTTGTATTGAACTGCTGGTGGTTAATACCATGTTCTCTGGAGACATCATGGGAGAGTCATGCTGAGAACTAGATGCCACCGAAGAGGCACTTATGGCTGAAGTGGGCATCGAAGTAGGAATGCTGCTGGCTTGAAGAGAAGTATGAACTTGGCTGGGACGAGATCGCCGCAGCATAGAGCCATGTGGATTAACCTGGGCAGACATGACAGGTGTTGACACTGAAGCCTGCGAGCCGGGACTCGACCGAGGCGGATTAGAGTATGAAGCGGAAGACATGATGCCAAGCAGTGGGGACTGTGTCGGCAGCGCTGCTGTTTCTGCACGGCGAGAGTATGCGGCGGGTGCAATTCCACTCAAGTGAGGAAGATAGGCATTTATAGAAAACAGGGGTTTTAGATTATCCGCCTCATGATCTGGCGAGTATAAGTGTTGATTGAGCCGCGTCTGGAGTGAGCAAGATAGCGCGGGGACAACACACTGATAGGGCCTTGACTGTGACCTGGCGATGATCTGGGACTAAGATCCTTTATACAGCCAGGCCAGGGCCAACACTGCAATAGGTCAATCAATGCCTCTCACGATGTGTCGAATGGGGCTTCTTGGGGTCCGGCTGCCGACAGCCAAGGAATAAGTCAATGGAGAATGAACAGTGCATGTACTGCGGGAGTACAGGTACTGTGCTTCCAATGCGGGTACGTCTAGCTACAGCTGTATGGGCCGGCCGTACAGCATGTGCGCGCGCCGCGTAGAAAGGAACGGCTATGGGCCGCGTTGCAATAGTCCACGGTACAATGATGAGCTGGCAAAGGTGGTATGCACCTGCAGGTCGCTTATTTGGGACGCTCCAAAGTTGGGGGACCAGTGTCAGGTAGATATCCACTGCCACAAATGATATTGTCCTTGGTCGTCTTCGTTCAGCGTTGCCGGCTATGGTCTTTCTTCGACACTCCCTGCCCGAATTTGCGAGCACCCTTTAGCGGATAGTGGGCGATATTCCTCCTTCGCCCCTGGACGGCTCCTGCAGATATGTCCCGTCTCTCAGATTCTGGTCTCGCTTGCCGTGCGTGCAAAGAAAGACAAGTCTCCAGGGTTCTCCGATTCCAAGTTACGCTGGTGGCCAAAATTCCAGGCGCAATCGCAAGGCTCCAGGCACTCTCGTCGAGTTAGATTACCAAAGTTGCCGTGACTCGTGATATTTGCGCCGTGACCAGTAGTTGAGGAGTACCGAGGTTGGGAACGTTTGTATATTTATTGTTGTGTGATCGGTGTTTCTGCCTTGTCACTCGAATGGTTTCTGTGTGTGTGCGACGTGGATATGGTGAGTGAAGGCAGCCCGGGGATACTAAATGTTGAAATCTAATCGTGGTGCAGCAGACGGGGCCGGGAAATTATGAGAAATGGGGCAGATGTAAAGGCATGGCCGACAGGGAACCAGCTTGTAGATAGTATGGGAGTTCCTCTGCTTGGTTTAAACAAACCACACCTAAATAAATGACAGGCACGAGGGATGTGCAAGGTGGAGTTCTTAGTCGTTTAGAACTGCGAATAGAAATAAGAGTACAATGGGCAGAGCAAGTAGGTTGTCGAGGGGAAAAGGGACACGAACCAACGCACTGGACGATCGATGACTCTTTTCGGAGGTACTTAACAGAGCACAGAGACTGAGGAATGGTCGCATCAAAATCTCGAGGCGACATTTGGTCACTGACGAAGAAAAGAGCAGGGACGACCCCGGGCCTGCAAAGTCCCCAGCCCCAGCAAGCCGAAGAGCCAGTTGTGCTACTGTACGTACTAAGCTTGCCCGGAAGGAAGTACTTTCCAAAGTACCTGCCTTCGCCAGTACACTGTACCATACCTTGTGCTAATGCTGGAGCGGCCAGGGATCGGCAAGGGGCATTTTGCACTGACGTTGTCGCTGGAGGCAGGCCTGGCAGGAAAGCTGGTGTCGTGTCTGTCGTTGTGTGGGGGAGTCTCACACCATCTAGGGACTTCCAGGCTTGTGTGGCGCGTTGGCCGTAAGAGATGGAATTAGAGGCTTGGAGCGCCCGCCAGGCTGTACATACAGTACACAACTCATGTACGGATAGCAACATCAAGCCCGACGCTAAATATGGAGATTTGGGTTCATGGCCTGCAGCTTGAACAGTGACAGCTCCAAGCCAATTAGCTTGGATGCGTGAGGCCGTTGTGCTAGCATGGCACTAGAACATGTTTTTCTTTCACTGGACTTTCTCGAGATGGTGGGGAATCGGATGCTCAGGAACGCAATTTTGAAAGTACAGTCCAGGAAAAGCGTATCAAAGAACGAAGGGGGGCGGTGGAAAGGACAGGTATGTAGTGGTGCCACATGCTACTTGGTATGTGTTCACTGGGAGTTTTTTTTTCTGTCTCCGAATAACCTTCTCGGACGGAAAGAGAATATTGTTTGATTGCGCTTGACCTGCACTGCACTGGGTGGGCTTCAGACTTTGGGGGATGTCGACAGCTCGAACCGAAAACCCAAGCGCTGTCCGTTCCTGGCCTAACGCTGAATGCAAGTCAATGCTAACTATGACTTCATTCTCACCGGTAGAAGTTTCGTGGTAAAGTGCTGTGGTCATTCGATGGGCATTGTAGTATTGACGATGTAATAATGTGCCAGGATGCTACAATGCAATCAGTCGATACATTGATCTTTTGCAGTAGTGGCTCAGTCATGGCACGAACGGCATTATCAAGTCATCAGATGCTGGTACGGAATAGTGTCACAAGGCCATATTGTCTGTCTCTCAGGCCCCTTCAAATTGATTAGGATGAGGTGATGATTGTGCCGATGCCTAGGTAGCGAAACACGTTGCAGAACCACCAAGCCTCAGCGAAAATAAATGAGCCTGCGTAGGGAAACTGCGCTTCAGAGTAGTCGTACAGTGCCAAGCTTGTGCGCACTGCTTAGCGGCTACTCAAGGTTCTCTATGTAAAAGGAGGTCGAGAAAAATTGCAACATTCCCCAGTGGCATGGCTAGCCATGGCACCATGGTACGGCTGAACCAAGCACAATTGAATCCCCTGACCAGTTGAATCACAGTGGGCATCATCAACAGGCTATTCCTGATCCGCCCTGGGTTGGAATCCCCTGTCCCATGGCTCGCTCTATGGACATCGACCAACAGTACACAGGGGCACAGTTCGCCTCTCACCTCTCATAGTCTTCAGTTAACCGCGACCAAACTTGGCACGTTCCGATAACCGGGTCTTTCTTAGTTCTTAGCAACCTCAACCCAGATGCGTGACTCTACAGTGGAAGGCAGTTGTCTGATCATACTCCGTATCCGGATTTCACCACATCATCGACACGCATTTCAAAGCAATGTTTGCACAGATGAAGAAAAGCAAACATGTCATCTTCAAGGTCCGAACTCCGAACATGCTCTATATTAGGGCCCGCACCAACTCAATATGCTGCTTGCAACTTTGCTCGTCTAGGATGGCGCCATAGTACCAACCCTAATTATTTATCTACCGCAGATTTGCTAAAACTAGCAGGAGCAAGCAGTTTTTAGCCTATCGTTTTCTCCAGCTCCTGATCACGGGATTGCTTGATAGACTTTCAAGTCAAAGTAATACCTAGGGCGTCACCCTGCTATGTGTTGGCTGCTTATAGTAATTGTACATTCTTGGCACACGAAACACCTCGACGCTGCCAAACGACGATCTGGATGTCCAAGAGAAGATCAGGCCGGAACACAGCCTAGTAATGGCCAATGCTGGCAATTGTGCAACAACGCTGACATGTAATCTTGCAAAGCGCTTGGCTTGTGGACAACATTGAAGATCGTTTTTGTCTTTTGGATGGCAATCAATAGACTTCAAAGGCCCTAATGATCTCATGATCAATCATGATCAAGCATGGTCACAGAAGGCCTCACGCAAAAGTGTTTCCAAGCATAGATAGTGCTTTTGACACTGCGCACTACACTGTACCATATTATCTCAACGATTGGATCATAAAACGAACCAATAAGAGCTTTCTAACATATAATTCAAAGTGACAATGGAAATCTGCGAGGTTCCCTTTGACTGGTACGCGCCAAGGAGTCACAACCTAACATGGGTACCATAGTACGCCTGACCTGGAAGAACCGGGAACTTCGCTGAGCTTGAGCATGGGCAAAGCGGACTGCACATACCTTCTTTCTAAGAAAACTTGCAACTTTTCAGATTATACATGGAATCTCTTTTTGATGCTCTTGTGGTTTGCATACCGTGATGCAAGTATAAGCAAAGCTACTTGCCAGCTTGCTTCCCCCACGTCTTTTATATAGCTTGCAAGGTTCGTTCATCTTGTAGTACGGCGTACCTGGCAAGAGGCAAAACAAGAACGATTGGGACTGTCTGATTTGTCACTCACAGGTAGCCTTGCGGCGCCGAAGTCATCATTCGATCGAACGTGTCTGTCGTTATTAAGTTGGCATGCCAAGAAACCGTAGCATGACCTTACCAATCATCGCAAATGATTGCAATTGGTCGACCTGGTTCCTTTGATGTTGTCTGTTACTGCAGAAAGGGGTATCTCGCCACGAAATCATTTCTAAAGAACATCTGTATCGCTGCCCATTCGTGTGCAGACATTGCTACAGCTGCTGCCAAGTCATTGTCAAGATTATACTTGCTTCCTACCTCACCCAGAATTAGAATTCTTTAATTCTTCGGCTAACCGGCCGTATCGAAACCACTGTGTGAGTTTAATGTTTCCGTCCGGCGCGGATTCATCTTCAATGATGGCCAACAAAAGCAAGCTTTATCGCCATGATGCTCGGTTCATGCTGAATTGTTCCGTGTTGTGACAAGAGCTGAGAAGTGTATGGACGGCTTAGCGTGGTACTCATCTACTCGCTGTCGGAAGATTGAACAAACGGCCTGCTGTTCAACATGGACTATGCGTCACCAACAGGAGTAATACATAACGGAACCCCGGGCTGATAAGCCAGCGAGCCAATATCTGAGGTCTGCGAAGTTTTGGCCCTGTTGTTCCATTGCATTCCTAGGGCCGAATACTCGTGGGGTGCTTGTGCCGCGTTTTGCTGGGGGACCAGATCCAACACGAATCAGCTTCTGAGGTCAATGCCCACTACAATAGTCACGGGGTTCGGTGCCGGCTTAGTCGATCAATGACAGTCGGTCAACATTGTTATGTAGTCGATCCAAGAACGTTGACAAGACAACTTCCAGAATGATTCGATGCGTGCAGAGTGTTTCAACGTAGTCGAAAGGTTTGTGCAACCAAGGAACAAACATCACCCCTTGTTTCTATCACGTCAAAACGCCCATAGGTAAGCGCTGTTGGACGTTTTTGTAAATGGCGTGTAAGTTGATTGGCGCATTGCCCCCATGTCCTGTAGCAATCAAGGCGCGCATAGCAGACGAGGGCAAATGTGTCACGAGGACGAATTTTCTTTGCTTGTTCATTTGGGGAGTTCCTTCGAGCCGAAGCGGCCCCAGTAAGTGACCAGGGATACTTTGAGGCACTAAAGAAGACCACCAAAAGTGCAGCTTCTCCGGCATCCATTCTCACGATGCTGCATGCCATGAGGACCCGGCATCCCCTTTTGATTCCTTCCGCGGGCGTGCTTCGGAATAAAGTCAATTAATCTGCTTTAGGATTACCGGTCACTGCCAATTTCATACTGGTCTTCTAATTCAAGCGGGTGGCACCAAGAAAGTTGCAGCAACCAAGCCCCAATAGCGAAAGATACTTTATACGAGTGACATGGGGCTGCAACTATTGACAAAATAGCCTTGAATTTAGTGAAGTCGAAGCCGTCTCTTTACTATTGAGAAAAACAAATTTGTTCTGCATAGCCCTTTAGTCGTCTCACTGCAATACGGGTGATGTCCAGTTGAAACATTGAGGCCGGCGAGTTGGTTCCCCAGATGGCAGATATCAATCTAACGTGGGGCTCGTACGATGCCATGCTCTTCAACCTCCAAAAATCGAAGACCAGGCACTGCAAGCGATGAAAAAAAGAAATCTCCCACATCGACCAGGACTGTGTAACCTAGCATGCATCATTGCGCCATTACAAGGTCGCCAATCTGCAACGCATCCAGCAACATGGAACAAAATTCGGCCAAACGGATGCAAATCTTGAAGTGCCCCGGGGGCGAATTGGGGGACATATTCTGTGAAGGTCGACGATCAATGTAATGATACAAAAATAGCAGGCGGCAGTCCAAAAAGGTTCTGACCGATACTGCATGTTCATCGGAGGGGTGTCAAGGGATGTTGTTACAAACAGCAACAAGCATCACCATCTTGCATAATGATTTTTCACCATTTCCCCTCCCTCCCCCTGGCTTTCATCTTCTAGTCCATGCCCATGTGCAAGACAAGAAACAAGGAGGATACTGCAGGACCTGGTTCCCTGCTAAAGGCAAGAAAACAAATCAAACGTGTTACTCATGAGACCTCTGTAAAAGATCAATTCGAGTGGGCTCATAGCATTCTAGCGTTATGTAGTCTTAGAGATTCCGACTCCAGGCTGCTTGGTCATCACCAGGGAAAATGACAATATCTTTTGTGGCAAGATTTTCATTTTGACCTGGCACCGCAGAAAGGCTAAATGTCGTGATACCACATGCATGCTAAGTAGGACTCAGAGCCTCGAAAGTACTCAGGAAGTACAACCTGCTATCTATTGCTTGAAGCAGACTCATACGCTGCGGGAGTGCCCGGCGTTACGTGCGGCTTGTTAGAGCTGCAGCCGCTGCTGCAAGCGGTCATGAAAACCATGCCCTTTCTATACTCTATCAATGCTACTTCAACATCAACGGTAAACCGTCACGTTGTATCTCTACTCTACTCTACTCTACCCTACCACTTGCTGCACAGCGAAACTGCCGGCGCAGATCCTGTGCATGATGGAACGAAGGTCTTCAACCCAACCGCCGCGTTAGGAATTGGTGGGCAAGTTTCAGGGCAGAACCGAATTGTGATGTCGTCGTCAACTGGGTAAGAGAGACATGATCACCCCACCTCTTTCATCCACTCTTGACACTGGTCTCTCTGCTGCCACATTCCCAATTCATGCTGTTCATCCACCCATGTGTTGATCCCGTCAAACGAGAGGCGGCGCAAAGCGCGGCAAGACCCTAGACTAGTTTGTTCGTGTTCGAAGTTCGAACAAACGCGCTTCGACACGACAATTTTGATGAGGAA